CGACAGCAGATCGGCTCTGCAGGCGATCCAGAACGTGACGAATAAACCGGGACAACGCATAATCCATGCAATCCTCCAGGCTGCGGCCGAGGTTCAGGGGGAGAAAGTCGAACTCCGCCTCCAATGGATGCCAGGGCACTGTGAAAACCTAGGGAACGACACTGCAGATCGACTCGCCAAAGAGGCCGCACAACCGGGTAAAACCCACCCCTTTCGACCGCTACTATCGAGGGAAAACGCGTTTGTCCGCAGCAAAATTTATGCCCAATGGGAGCAAGAATGGAAGACAAGTACCAAAGGTGCTCACCTACGAAAGATAGACGGCGGCCTACCAGCGCGGTATACGAGAACGCTCTACGGGAATCTACCTAGGAATCGCGCCTATCTGCTGACGCAGCTACGCACGGGTCACAACTGGTTATCCACCTACGCGAAAAAATTCGGCTTTCGCGAGGATGATTTGTGTGAATGTGGTGTGCAGGAGACAGTCGCCCACGTGCTGATGGAATGCCCGAGGCTTCGAGAGCTGAGGGTAGAATTGAGGCGGAAAACTGGGGATACGCTGAACAGCGTAGCGAGCCTGCTGGGAGGCTCAAACGAAGGTGAGCAAGGTAAACCAGACATCGTCTCGAGGTCCAAGATGGTTCAGGCCGTCCTGGACTTCGCCGAGGCGTCACAGCGGTTTCGCAGTCGTGCGCCATAAGGGCAGCCTAACAATGAGAGCGGCAATGGGCCACGGGAGGCCGTGACGAGGCTCTAAGTTTATGTCAGGAAGTGGATCATTCTAAATATACACACTCAGATATATAGTTGTTGTATACTGCATATCGCTTTGGCGAGGGGTCAGTGTAAATGAATACTACTACTACTACTACTACGACTGTAACAAGCTGATTACTCGATGCATGTTGTTATTCATTGGCTCAGCCTGGCAAATTTAAAAATAGTAGATATTCGTTCAGCTAGCTGTGTTTCCAATTTCTATTACCATGAGATCTCTCACAGCAGGTAGGAAGGAACGCTTGTTTTTGAAGGGCAGGGAAAGCTTTTGGCTAGATCAGGCAGAAAGCACACAGTACACGTAGGATATATCTCCACATATAATCTTCCTCTACATTGCGAGGCATATGGTCATACTGCATTATCCATCGACTAACACTGTATCCTCAAGTTTGCCACCTCAGCTGACTTTTCGCTCGGTGTTTTCGAGAGATAGGGGTAGATATTACGTATAATATTTCGATGCTTCTGTAATTCAAGAAACCAAACACCGCAACCGGGCACTAACCACATCTGTCCCAGACAGACTGGTCTTGTTATTCAATCATTTAAAAACGGTATCAGCAAAGGTACCAGCAGGATCTATGAACTAAAAACGACATTCCCAATGGCCCAAATCACTTATTCAACTCGTGAAACAGCGGGTTTGACTGATAATTGCATCGAAATTGGCCGAAGCAAGTTATTCAGGCGATCAAATCACGAATAAAAATCACAGAATTGCACTTTTTGACTAAAACTGCTTTGCCAATTTACCGTGGCAAAGTGGCTTGGTTGGTGATATTACTCTTAGAGACATCGTTCCCTTCCCCGGTGAAATGATATTAACCCATCTAATTGAGATGCTCTGTAGGATATGTTGAGCCCACTAGAAAGCGACCTTGTCAAGTCAAGCTGGAGTGCCATGATCCCATCTGTCTTATTTAACCCAAATCATAGCTTTCCGGTGACCAATTTTCGATGAATTTCAATCACGGGAACTCTAAGCAGCCAACTTGACGTCTCGTTAATTGAATATGTTGGGGAAAATCTTCAAATTCCTTCCTTTGGCCTTTTCGATTGGGTCTCTGATATGTTTGGCGATTGTGTTTTCTGGATGCACATCTACCTCTTCTCCTGGTGACTTATACTTCATGAAGGTTCATATGTACCACACATCATACTTGACAAGGTAACTGAGAATATTGCAGGTCAACTTGCATTCCCTTTCGATTGTAGATTCGACCAATCTCCGCCGCGATATCTCAGCAGGTACCTTAGACTCAGCCTCGGTCACATCGGAGTTCCAGAGTGCAGGGGGCAACGTTGTGAGCTCTGCAGAGACTGGGATTGCGCAAGCTTCTGCGGCCGCTCACACAGCAGTGAGTGAGGCCAGCGATACTGTACAAGGGATAGCCGACGATTTAAGATCTAAACTTCCTGGATACTACTCCGTAGGTCTGCTGGGATATTGTCAAGGACATGGTAATAAAGCCACCTATTGCTCACGTCCCAGTACCTCATTCTTCTTTAACATGACAAGAATATTCCAAGAGGCTTCCCCTAAAATTTCTAGCCTCATCCCAGACATTGGAAGCAAGGCCTTGAGCGGATCTAAGTTTCTTGCTAGATGGTCTATCTCCACTAATATACTCGGACTTATATTCTCATTTGCATCGGTAATCCTCGGAATCACGAACATAACACTGTCCTGTGGAAAGATATTTCTTGTGATAACCCATTTGGTACGTTAATGCCTCCATGAAGATTACTGGGAATTCTAACTGTAGTGTAGCTGTCTACTGTTTTCGTTACTGCTGCGGCAATTCTCACGACAGTTGTTTACGGTCTTATGACAGGCGCTATTAAAGCAACTCTACAAAACCTCGGGATCGTTGCAAGCTTCGGAGAGCGCACATTTACAGCAGCATGGCTTGGGGTCTCTTTCACCTTTGGGGCTTTGTTGGCTTGCTTGATTGAGCTGTTTTGCTGCTGTATCTAGCTCATCGAAGGGTCAGTTGCTTCTTCAGCTTGATTTAGCAAGCACTTAATGAAGGATTGGAGAAAAATCAATAATCAGAAAAGCGTGCTCGCATGCCTTGATACGACAAATGGCAGAATATTAATCTCCGAAACATTGTGTACGCGGTGCGATATGAACATTGTTGGTATCACCAGCTAGGTACTGTGTACACAGTTAAGTGGACAGTGTGTATGCTTCCAAAGCAAAAGTCAATTGATTCATGTAGATAGATGTTGATGCTCAGTCTAGTTGGAAAAACACCCCTAGATCCCACACGCCGGCCTTCGGCGGTCACAACACCGGGGCCACAGCCCAGCGCAAGAATGCGTACACCAAGCAAGGGATGTTATCCATCGGTCGCTAGCAGTGGGTCACAGCCAGTTTGTTCTGACAGGAGAATATATCCCGACAAACATATTACTGTAAGCTTTGATTTATTTGCAAGAGATTCACTAAAATATTGTATATAATCATGTACTTATGAAAATTTCACTCCTAGATCTGTCTTACGTTTACTGCCAGACACTTCAATGAGACCTATGTCTAATTGCTTAGGGTGCATGTCAGACAGTTTTCGATTAAGCGTACGCAGCACTGGTTAAATGAGGCCCAAGTTAGGTGAGGACGCTGGCCAATCCATCACCTCCACCCTATGATATGGAAACTCATCTCGGATATTTTATGATCATTTATTGGTATAAAACCAATTTCGGATACTAAGATATGGCCCAAAAAAAAAAAAAAAAAAAAAAAAAAAAAAAAGAAATTACGTACACTTTCCACAACTACCGGATCTGAACGCCCACGGATGTACCTCACACCTCCCGCGCATTTACCATTCACATGAGGCTTGGGAACTGATAGTCTGTACCCTTTAGCCTCTTCTACAAAATTTCCATACGCTTCTTTGTCTAAGGTAAAATGTTCTTTCAATCGAGAATCCATATAAAATCTTTCAATTTTGTTTTGTGGCTTCGTTTTGTCAATTTTGATTGAAGGGGTACAGTATTTTTCACACCTCCTACGACTACTTTCAAGTCTGATATTCTTGAGTTTCGTACAGCAGTGGAACAGTGCGAATTTCCATGCCTGTGTGCATGATTCATCCTGTTTTTCTACCCAGCATTCAGCCGGCAAAGATGGGTAAGTAAGTGGCGAGCGGTAAGGCTGAGCTCTCCGAACATACTATATAAAGGACGAAGGTGAAGCCCTGTTTAGTATAGGGTACGGCGTTGCAGTTAATGTTGAAATTATTGTTAGTTCAACAGGTGATACACCGCGTTCAAGTCTAAATCTACTAGCAGTACGCCGGCCAGACGAGCGAATTGTGGTTGAATAATGGGGAAGGATTTAGGGGTGCGAATGCATTTTGGAGATAAACGCGCTGATTCAACTGATTCACTGGCGGTCTTTCGCAGCCGATTGTACTACTTATAACTAATATACTTGACCCGTTGACAATTAAATCCACACCCATGCACACTGTCGGGATATATTCTCCTGTCGGAACAAACTGGCTGTGACCCACTGCTAGCGACCGATGGATAACATCCCTTGCTTGGTGTACACATTCTTGCGCTGGGCTGTGGCCTCGGTGTTGTGACCGCCGAAGGCCGGCGTGTGGGATCTAGGGGTGTTTTTCCAACTAGACTGAACATCTATCTACATCTATCAACACAATTGACTTTTGCTTTGGAGCATACACACTGTCCACTTAACTGTGTACACAGTACCTAGCTGGTGATACCAACACACACAAATAACATTAGCATAGTTGTCGTTGCTAGTAGATTCAATACTCGTATATCAAGCAATGATAGTCGCTGGAAAATACTAGACTTTGCAAAAATTGCCACAGAGGCAACAGTGATTCCACAGAGGCGTCTCGTACATATCGAGAAGTTCAATCATTAGTGCAAAATGTACTCCCGGGTTGATGCAATATTTTTGAATACCATTCTTGATTTGACAGCATGAGAAAAAGGAAGCTCAGATATAAGGCCTCGATAGTAGCTGCTTGAATAATCCTTCGTCTTGATATTCATACTGCTTTGACAAACTTCTGTCTGTCCTAAAACAAACTACTTCCCGTCTCAAAGATAAAGTACGTATCACAGTTAGCATCGGACAATAGTGGAAGAGTTGTATGTCATCCAAGATACATGTTGTCAAGGCAAGGAAAAGATCACCGAGGCCATTACTGCCTAGTGTCTCAGCCTCACAAAGCACCTTGATGGAAGGCTGTTTCGGAATTGACCTCAGATCCATCAATATTCTCGAAGTGGAGAAGGTTTCTGAGATTTTCTTGAAGATTGGCGAATCGTTGCTCGGAGTAGGCTAGCACAGCCTTTTGATTGCACGTTTCCTGTTCCGCAACCTGCAACCTAAGGCATAGCCGAGAATTGACAGAACGGAGCATTTTGATCTCCTGCTGAAGATTGTGATTCTCGGTTTTGCCCATAGTATAGCAGTTCCAGAGTACCGAATATAGTTCCAATATTTCAGTGGATGATGCATGGTTGAAGTACTGAGAGCATTGCAGTTGTCGCGCTTGTGTTTGTGATGGAGTCAATTGAGCCTCGAAACCTGTGCTTCTCTCAGATTCCTATCGTTCATCACTTAGTTTGTGCTCTGAAAAGGCTTTGAGAGCACTTACTAAGCATTCATATCTCTCGATCTCAACACCATTGGAAGTGGATTCGGCTGGGTTAGGTGATCCAGGGCTGGTTTCACCAACAGTTTGATCTTGCTCGATGATGGAGACAGCCATCAGCACCTTTCAATAACACTTGATTACTTTGAAATGGCGCTGGCGGGGTTAGGCTGGGGTATTTATATTACGTAGCAATATTGACCAATATGGAAACCTTTTGACGCTCATTTATTAAAACCATCAGATTTAGGATGGATCTAATAGCGATGAAATGGAGTTTGCGGGAAGACTGCTACAACCCCTTCAAAACGCTGGCTATACCACTTGTCGAACATGCTACACAAAACACTGCGAATGTTGTTCAGTGCTTGAACCCTACAGCATATTGCGACCAGTCGCCATTACTTATCTCTCCCATCTCCAACAAACTGAACACATCAAACTGACCCGCACCTATATTACCCTAACTCTTTATCATCTTACCACTTATCATGCTCTAACACACCCATAGACTCGCGCTCATATTTATTCATGAGAATTGGAATGAATATTGTATGCTGAATAATTATACGTGAAGTTTCAGACAAGGCTTCATCGAGGAGATGAGTCAACCTTCATTACAGTGTAATTATACAGTGACACAGACTGAGAAGCTTTCCCGTAGTTAAATGTGTTACAACTGCCCCATGACTAATCCTCCAAAAGTGGTTAGCATCGGCTACGCTCCCGGGAAGGGTACGGGTCGTCTACGAGGACAGGCATGGTCCTCGACCTCCTTCACAGCAGTGAATCATTCACTTCAAAGATTATAAAAACTCAAAGTGGCATGAAATTGTCCAGCGCAATGCTATTAGAAATTATGCCGAAAAATTACATTTAATTGTCATAATCTTACCCGAGTCACAGCAGATCTTCACGGGTGCTGAGATGAGGATTCGGGCAGTGGGTCAAAGCAATTCGATATATAATCCTAATATCATCTCACCCGGCTAATACCACCATCGTGGCGTACCTTTTCACCACGAATGTCCAAGCCACTGACCACAGGATATTAAGCACAGGAGAATAAGCCTCCTACTCAGCAACTGCTGTCAATCTGGTGTACATCTTCTCAATTCTTTCGGACATCTAGCACCTCAGAATGGGTTACAGCACTGTGTCAAAGGGGATTCCGCTTCTAAATTAACCTAGGGGGGAATTCTTGCATTATAGGCTTTTTACGGATCCAGGTAACTCTTTCAGATTTCTGCATTGCCATGCATTGTGTCCCACTTTTCTGCGACCCTACTTTGGATCAGGTCGTCCAGCTTTGCTTCTAGCGCCGCGACCGTATCCCCTAAAACCTGAAGCCTGGGCAAGCCTTCCACAATAGTTTCAATACCCCGTTCAATTTCTTTGTTCCAAGCCTGTTGCCTCAGTAACTGTTCACTTATGCCGCTAAAAGCTGATTAAGAAGGGTTCGTAATTCTTGGGCTCGCGATGAAAACCTACTTCGCACGAGCGCCTAAACTATAGAACGATCAGTTTCGAATGGATTAAGGCTGTAAGATTGCCTCACTCATTTAAGGTGGTATTGATAAGCATTGCAAACACACTTGTGTTAAAATTTTGTAGGGCTATGCCACCGAATGGAGATTCCATGCCGTAGCAGTTTTCTTTAGCATTTATGACTGCGCAGCACGTGTCGTCGTGTTGTCGCTTGTCATTTTGTTCAGGTATGCCATTGTACTCATTAATAATGTTTCGCGGGTTTGAAATCCTGAGTTCCGATGAAGCCACACTTGGACAGATATCTGGTGTTCGGTGCCTTCCTGCAGAAATATCAGCCAGTGATATGCCTGGCATATAGTCACTCAGTGCCACCATGATGGAGGCATGAGGATAAAATCAGATCATAGAGACCATTGAAGGGACATATCAGGTTATATAGACCAATGGAATTGTATCACCAAACTAATAAAGGCCAGAAAGGCAATTTTGGAGAACTGTGAGCCCTCCTCACTTGGACAATTAGGTCCATCCAAGTGATGCCCGGAACTGGGACTTTGCCTGAGGTTTGCATACCTACAGAAGAAAGTGTTGCGTGATGAGACAAAAATAAACGGAATAAAGACTTTTTTTCTGGTCACCCCAACGTATCAATTATTTATTTTTGATGTCTCAGTTGGTTGGATATATGAGTTTCTGTTTCTTTCTCTGTCCGAATGTATCACTGGAAAGTGAACGATTGGATTAGTTCAAGAATTTTACGTCCTCAGAAAGCACTTTATCATGGAATGTATCAAACATTCCCAACCATATGCGAATGACGTGCGCGATTTATTGAAATGAAGACTGCCTAAACTAGTATTACTGAATCCTGTGCAAAACGTGCACGAAACTGTTTCTTGCTTATCTCTACTGTACAAGTTCTTGCCTCGCTCTTGCCAGGTTTCTAAGCTTGTAACAACCGAAGCTCGGCAATTCAAATCCCAATGCGCAGAGGAAAAAGACAAGAACAAGACGTATCAGATTGAAGAGAGAAGCGCTCAGCGAATTTGCATTTAGCCCCGCTCAAACTATTCATGCCAGGGTAAAAGATTCGGTAATTTCACTTTTCAGAGGAATCAGTGGCTACCATTGTAAAAAAGATACAATTAGACGGGAGAGAATAAGACAGCATTTTCCCAATACCAAAAGATACAGCAACCAGGCCTTACTGGTTCATATTTGGTTATTAGGTGCTTGCAGAAGGATTTATCGAACATTAGGACAGGGAACTGTCACATGTGTAACAAAATGAGTGGATCGTTTAGTCTCATAGATAAAAATTAAAACTGCCGCATAATCATCGTTATGTGCGATTTCTCCATACCCACGTCCCGGTCAAGACCAAGTTATATCAATCCATTAAAATCAGGAGCCCTGTTCGATAACAATTTGTAGTCATTAGGCTTGTTGATACACGCAAAGAGGGGTTCGAGTGCATTCGTAAATTACTCTCTTTGGTAAAACTCAATCACAACACTTATCATATTGGTACAATTCTGCACAAATTATCATAGCCTGTCTCAAGTCAGTACTTTCTGTTGGTTTCCCCGCACAGCTGCACGGCCGCGCTGTTCACTATCCTAACATAGACGAACGCCCGACTTGCCTAACTGCTCATCAATAACACCGAATCGAGACTCTGTCGGATCAAATATATATAGGAGGTCCTCTGGAGGTCGCGATCGAGCACAGCAATCTTGTTGAGATCTTCTTCAGGTGCTCGCACATCACTTCTATTCCCACAACTACTACACACAAGTTACTATGGACACCTCGGTATGGCTTCGACTTGCATTGAGAGCATCGGCTGACTGACGGTAGGAGATCCTTCGAACCATCGCGTCGCTGAACACACGAGCAATCCAAGCCGAACGTACCGCCGCAAGGTATGAGCAGGAGCTCGCTAGAGTTCAGCAGTCCCTAGTGAAGAAGGAAAATGATCTGGAAGAAGCTGTGAGGATGGCCGAAATTCTCTACGAATTAAATCGGAAACTGGGGTCCGTGACCGACTACCTATTGAAACAGCAGGAACGTTTGGACGACACAGACTGCAGCTCGTTCGAAGCAATGTTCAATATTCTTCTCAAAGAAGTGGAAACACATGAAGTTAGGCCTGATGGCGAAGCGAGCAGTAACAGTGATAAACAAGGCCGAGCTGGGCATCCAGACGGTATCAGTTCACTGGGTTAGAGTGGTCTGACTGGGATCCGTCTCCCTTAATAAGCAAGCAGCACTACCATAGAGTGACTGTTCATTTCTCTGCGTTAGGGGTTGTTGTACCTCAGATGGACTAATAGGATTGTTTCTCCAAAATGAACACAATGAAAATTCCTGTATAGTGCGAAGACAATTGGCTTCCTAAACCCTTTGGGAATACTCCCCGATGGTGCCGCTTAGTTCCCAAGCCGAAATAGCCTTATATGACAACAAAGGTGAATGTAGCAGGTATACAGTATGAATCATTGCCCTTCAGCCCAAAGCCATTCCTCGATTCCTCTAGTTCTATCCTGAGCACCATTCAACCTGGGTAATCCGCACGTAATTTTTCTACTGATCTCCGAGGTAAATTAACCAATTTGCATGAATCGAATATCAAATAATGATCAACTTTCTTCGCATAAATTGGATTATTCAGCAATTATAATCCCTGACAGCACAATGCCTGGGGAAGGCTCAACTTGCATTTCCTCGCACAACCTCATTGAACCTCATGGTAACCCATTCTTCGTGGGCATGACATTTGTAGAGCGTTTCGCTTTTGAACATTAGGGATGCTTGCTCATCCAGCCACCGCCGGGCCCGGCCAGTCTGGGTCTTGCATCTTTCACACATTATGCATTTAGTTAATGTTTGGTACGAGCGCTCAGACAGAAACCCGCCGCGGTTTTTAAGTTCAAGAAGTTCAAGAAGCGCTCGGGAGCGGCCATACTCCTGTGCTGCTCGTCCGCAAGGGTTACCATCTCTGACCCCAATGCACACGGTTTCAGCGCGAAAAATAAAATGATATTGCATGTTGAAGAGACGACGACGCTTGTTACGATTTTGGGAGGAAATTCGAACAAGACTTGGTGGAGGTAAGATTCGATTCAAGCGGCCGGTAAATTTGTTGATGCGATTGTGGCAACGCTCAGGCGTAGTAGCTAGCAACGAGGGAAAATAATACAATACAGTAACCCCCAGAAGAGCTTAGAGCGACAAAGGCTAGTTCGGTTTGGCTTCGGTCGTTCCAGCGCCACTCCATAATTCCTGCGAACAAGGTCGATTTTCAAAATAAATCTTTGGGAATCAATTACTTCTTGAGGGATCGTGTAACGTGAGAAAATTGGTCGTCTCCGAGGTCATGTTCAAATTGAAGTTCGAAGACCCAACTTATCATTTCGACTAGGATGAGTCATTATTCACGTGCATTTAATATAACTTACTATCTGGACAGCGGCGTAGATACCTGGGCAGGAATTGCACAGAATGGATGTACGGATTCGGAGAACCGCTGGGCGCCTTGGACAGGCGAGGCAGGTTTCACACAGAAGCGGGCGAAATAGAACGCTTAAGATAAAGTTTGGACGAGAGGCGATAGAGAAATTCTACAGAAATGTTTGTGAGACCTCAGACCGTGCACCAACTTAGGACTTTGTATGAAGGTCCCACAACAATAGCCTCGTCTTTCTCCTAGGCAACTATTGTGCAGCTGAGAGCCTGATAAGCTCTCATTACATCACCATTATGCAGTTGATAGCCCAATCTAGCTTTTTGCGTCAACAGGAACTATAGTTGCATGATGTTAATGTCTTTGGGCCATCTATGTGAAGGGCTGAAGCAAGACTTAAATTCAATCTAGCTAGGCCACGAACTGTGTACAAAAAGCTTGAAGAAGAAGATCTTCCCGCGCGTTTTCGCTATGTCAATATGCCAAGGTCTCGTGGCACACGTGACCAATATCGGGCACTGGCCCGTGACATTCAGGCGGTATTCAGTTATGTGATAACAACCTCACCGGCGTGGTCATTTTTATACGAAGTCTCACGTAGCAATCATTTATCCATTCCGATGCCACAGATTTAACAGCCGAGATCGTATGCTCAACGTCCGACATTGTCTTCTATTCGGAGTGTCTGGTCGACAGGACCACTTAGTTGCCACAGTCGTAGCACTCGACTACAATGTGGAGATCATCAAAGCGCAACAGGTCTAAGAGAATATTGGCCATATTCCTCACCATGCTAGGTCGGGGAGCTGATCCACGCGCATCCATAGAGAGAATCCACTCTAGGAGCGATTTCTCCTCATTTGCAGTCAATTTATGATTGTTGGCGCGCGTTTCGACGCGAAAGGGTTGGCCATTGCATCGACGTTGAAGAGTTGCATGAGGTACTTGAAATCGGCGCGCAGCTTCGCGAATCGATGGAATTTCTTTGTTCTGATGAGCCTTTATCGCGAGCTGAATCCTACCCTCTTGCTCAACAGAATTTCTTGAATATTGACTGCGAATTGGAGGCATGGTAGGTTGTTGAAGTGAGGAAGTTGACGCGGTGGGGCACGATCGCGATTTCTGACTCACTCGCTTGGGTGACTCACTCGCTTAGGGATTACGTTACCCCTCGAAGGCTGACTAATAATTCACCCTGTCGCACACTAACTAGTGTAGTGGGGAGACCTCCCCCTACTACATGGTTGCCATCCATGATATGTGACATAGCCGGCAGTATACGGTGGCCGGATAGCTAGTTCTAGAATACACCTTCTTGCACCTCCCCGACCTGACCCCTACATCTGGGCTTCTCGCTGTTTCCTGATTGCTACGCGTGTGTTTTGTGGTGGTTTTTCTGCTGAATCGACCCACACGTCTCAGCGCGTGCAGCCATCGAGCGCTCCCCTCTTCACTAGTTAGTTAGTTATAGGCCTAAACTATTTCAAGATGATAAGAATGTGTCAGCATCGAGGGTCTATGACTGGATTAGTCGTGTACTGGACCGAGGATGTTGTGGGTTGAGACGAATCATAAATTAATCGCTCGAGGACAGGCTTTGCTTCGAGGGGTCGAGTCTGCAGGTAATATTCACCTAGAATTCGCCTGACCATCTAGCTATGATCAGGAGCAGTCATAAATACACAAACAAGGATATAATCACAACAAACAGAAGTAACGTAAACAGTAAACAAACAAACCGTGTAAAGCGAGTAGTTCTGATATATCTCATTCATCTGCGGAGTGCCCCTCGGATGCACACGCACTCATCTGACAGCCTTTTTTTAGAGAGATCTGGCCAGTTGATCAGGTAATATTGATCACAGCCTTGGAAGCTAGGGGTTGAACCGGCTTGACTTCCAAGAGAATGTGGCCCCTCATTTGTCGTCCCTGCAGCCGATTTCCGGATCGTCAGATAGAGCCTGATTTCGACCCGCGTCTAAGCGGGATTTAATCAGTCCTCTGTCAACTTCGTCTATACCGGCATCACTCAAACATTTGTTCAACTCTGGAAACTGTAGATTTATATATCAGTGACACGTTGTTGCCAAGGTCAGACAGGCGACAGATACTTACAAGGCTCTCATAACATTCCTTCATGTGCACTCTGCGTGAAGCTGGTTCCTCGTTGGTGTATTGGGGAAGGCATTCTTGCAACAAATGGACCCTAGACTTATCAAGGCATTGTTCCGCTTGTTCCCTCTCAGGATTGTCGTGTAATTGGCTCTTCAGGTCTGCAGTTGCTGAATTCGCAAATTCGGTAATGCATTTGTCATATGCCTCGCCACGCGCCTCTATATATTTCCTGGAATCTGTTTTTTTGTCGTAAACCCGGCTCGCAAAGGCCAGATTGATAACCATGGGAAGCCACAGTGAATGAATCTTCATTTTTATGATTCGTGCAAGTGCTTAACGAACTATATTCAGATAGGCTTGTTTAGGAGAAGAAACATGTTATAGAAATAGAAATACCACTTACCTTGTAGGTTCAAATTTGGCAGAATTTCTTAAGTTGAGAGTAAAATGGACAATGAGGAGAGCAGAAGAAGGGGCTGTTAACCCCTTTAAATAGAGGGGGAGAAGTCAATGAGAGAATTTAATTTTTCATGTATGGAGTAAAGTTGGGCAACTGCACGATATTCGCGCATAAAATGGTAATCGAAAAATCGATAAGAGACAGTCTACCTACTACTTAATAAGTTCCCTAGAGCCCTTTCCGAATTGCTTACCTCGAGTAGTAGGCAGTGGAGAACTAAGTTCAATAATTGACTTGTATATTGTTACGAACCCTGCAGTGCAACAGTCAACTGCCGCAACTTACTGATCGGCCACCGAGAGCCAACCATTCCCAGGAGCTATACATTAGCTCCGTGTCACGTGCAAACCCTAACACCTGGGCGACCCCCAGACATCCCAGACAAGAACACTCGTGACGCGCGCTTCGCATGTTGATGCCCTGAAACGACGAGGAATAGAACCACCCGAGAAGAAACAAAAAGGTGCTGAATGGAGCATGTGACTTGCTCAGTACCACGAGCAATGAGACTGGTGACGGGCGCTCAAAGTCTGTAGTGTCATTCGATTAGTCCCAGACGTGCAGGAAATGTAAATCAAAAGTTAATATACAAGATGACATCCATGGTCAGGCGGGGAACAATCTCTGTCATCCAAACCTATCTCGGAATGTCAAGGGCGATCAAATATTTGACCCAGAGATCTACCGCCTAACGATATCTGTGTGTCCAGTCCGGGTTGAATTTAATTGTGAAAATACATGCGACAAGCTCTCATACCTTCGGGATCTCCCTCGTAGTCTTGTTCCGGTCGATTATAGTCATCCTAAGGGACTCTGAGTACGTAGATACTCTTGAGCGCACAGTATTACCGATCCTTGAAAAGCATGAAGCCTGTCAGGCGGCACCAAGCCCCCCGTGTGGATTTTGTGGTTTGGCCACGGAGCGAATCCTGCAAATGCCTAATTCTATTATTCAGCAAATTGGCTACACGTTTCTTTCGGTGAGGGTTCATTCTTTGTATGGTAAAAATCCACACTGCTTAAATACTCTCATTGACTCAAGAAATTGCTCAGAAGTTGATAAGAAAAAGCTGTTAGTATATACTTTGCACTATTGAAAATGGGGTGACACTGTATTTCTGCCGAGAGAAGGCATCCTTGCCTCGAGAATGTAGATCCTTGTACTAGTGCGTTAGGATTAACTAACTAAGTTAACTCCATTTTTAAGGAAAAAGAGTCTAGCATGGTTACAAGCGAAATACTCAATATTACAGCTGGAAAATGCACAAATTATACAGTCACGGGACACCGGGCTGTTTGCAGTGTTTAGCAGACTTTGGGCCGTGGGCTTTCGTGGGCTCTGCGGAAGTCCATGTGGAGAGAGGTTATGACTCCTAACTTGACAAGAACGCAGTATGTTACAAACAAAATCGGGGCCCATGGGTCTCGGCAATATTGGCGATGAAATCTCGGTCGGAAAGAAATGGGGGTATTGGGGATGCTATCATCATCGAATGGCAGCCCATCCAGGCGACAGACTTGCATCGCCTATCAAACGAGATTATCTACCCAACAATCCCAATCTGTCTTCTCCGGAAGCAACCTCTTGAAGAGCTGCTTCCCTGACAACATCTGTTTCGCCGACGAAGGTCATGAACACTCCGCTATCACTCTCGACGGAAAAACATACACACTGGCATAATAATTTCGATACGTATGTCACACAGTAGATGAAAGATATCTTCTCGGCTGGGCCCAATTCGGGCATTCTTAGCGCTCGAATGTGCTGCGTACCTGAATGCTGGTGTCTTCAAGGACTCCACGCCGAAATCTCTGAACTACAACGGGATGATCCAGCCCTTTTATTTCAAAGATTTGAGGCACATGAGAAAATCGGTCGTACTAAAAAGAGACATGTGGAGTTGCGCAGTCTGTTCATGGACGCTTATAACCCTGACAGAGCGATAAAGGCCGACAAACTTGGTCTTTGTGTTGAGACCACTGCGCTGAAGGATAGTGAGATTGAGTGCGAACATTTGGGATGTGAAGAGGGTACGGGGTGGATGGCACTGGCAGAATGTGAAGGATTTCAATTAGAGCGCTGTGCTGATGGTGCTCAGTGTATATTTGAGTTCATTGTTCTGCAGCTATGTATATCGGGTTCTTTCTCTCAACGTCTGCTTAGTTGAATTTACCATCCTTGAGAGCATCGCATGTTGTTACCCACCCCCAGCAATTCGCGACATTCCATTCCCAAGTCTCGCTTGCGCTGAAGGGTGTCGTCGTCGCAGATGCATCGCGAAGCAGGATGCAATCATATCCCTTGCTGGCAGCGTCCATCAGAGTACTACCCACACATTGGTCAGTATTCACGCCCGCAAAGAGCAAAGTTGTGATTCCATTTCCCTTCAGAAAATTTTCCAAATCTGAATTTGGGAGACAGAGGCCCGACGTGCGATTCTTGTGGATGAGAATATCGGGCTTCGAGGAGGCTGAAGACGAATGATCGGGGTTATTCGCGCGAAATTCTTGTTCCAGGGGCCCATACAACGCCGTATTCCACGAGTATCGCATCAGCACTCTGCCACCTTCTACTTTCTGACCACCTCCGAGATCCACGGACCCAATTTCCACACCGAGACCTTTGTACAACTCCCGATTCTTGACACGAATCATGCCATCCTGCGAAGGCACTGCGTGGCTCATATCATGCCGAGACGAATCATACGGTCCAAAGGTGCGCATCATTCCCGGCGGCGCATTCCTCAGGTCCTCCTCCGTTAGCCCCCAATTCAGCCAGACAATACGAATGCCATGCCTGCGCGCGGCTTGGATTCCACCGCCAAGCAGTGCTTGCGCAGCTGACTCTGCAGGTGTCGGGTTTTGTTCTGAAGCCCTGGGCCGAACAGCAGGCGACAAGAAGAAATTCTGCATGTCGACAATGACCATCACACTCGTGTCTGGGTTGAGTCGGATCGGATTCGTTGTTGTTTGGATGCTGAGCTGAGTGCCCTGCGCCCCCCGCGACAAATCAACAAGCCCTGTCTCGGCATCGTATGCCCAGAAGTTGGTTGGGTGGTGGCCAATTCGTTCGGTCATCGTTCCTTTTACAGATTGCTAAAGTCAGGGTCTCGGAGGGTTGCAGGAGATGGCGATGCGGGGTTCATCGCAGCCAGATAAACATACCCGCACTAATTGCCGAGGCTCAGGTACCATGTTGCGACGATTCATATTTTGACTAGTTCTTGCGCTAAATATGAAGCTGCGCGTTGAACTACCATGGATGCGTTTTTGGAAGGTGTTTGCTTGAAAAGGTGCCTCTTTCCAGAAATCGGATTCTAGAAGCTACTTGCTAAGTCCTACCAATCGCCAAGACACGCGATTGGTCGTTGGACGAAGAAGATGCAGTTGACGCTAGGGCCGATTTCCACAAATCATCCAGATCCATATACGAGTCAAGAGAATAGTTGCATCGCATCAAGTCGTATCGGACCAACTAGCCAGAAATACGACAAATTGCTGGAGATGATGGTAAACAAGAGGTTCCCCGGCTCGACACTGAAAACTTTCAAGCGCCGCCCAATGGCTGGCTGGTGGAATTATGAGCTGGCGTTGGTATACTCGCGGACGCCCAAGAAACTTGAGATGATCTGTGGTCTATTTCATATTCCCATCGCTGCTCACATCTTACTCCAGCTCCAGTACGATAGATGCCTCGGAGTGGATGCTGAGTACGGAGTCACCCCAGGATTGTGAGACACGAGCCCCACAACACCTTGTCCCGATATCTAGCACATGTTAGGTCACGGGTAAGAGTGACCGAACCGACATTGCATTTTTAGCCCTATTCAGGTACATGGCCGAAGATGAACCGATTATTCACGCAAGACCCTCCACCATTCAGTGGCTGATTGCTTGGGTCGTAGTCAGCGAGCATATACGAACTCCTCGTCAACAACCTTATTTACGAGAAACTCCCACCAGAATACGATATCCGAGATCTTATTGGCTACGGATGCGTAAGCGAGAAGCCAAGAAGGGATAGGGTTGTTCCTGAAATAGGCGTTGCTGGAGGATCCCGTATCCTCAAAAGCCTCAAAAAGCAGCCTTGATGCTACGTCTACTTCTTGGCTACCTTCCCCCGCGACAAGATACGCTAAAATATCAGATTAGATCTCGTATGCGTCCCCTTGGCAGCAACTCGACAACAGGAAAACAAATCCAGCCCTGCGGATCCTGCTCGTAAGTCCAACCTGCGACTGGCTTTCTCGTAGACCATGGGAAGATGAGGCCTAGGCAAAGAAACATCAGACCAAAACATCAAAATCGGCAAGTATAAATATCTGGGCATCCCCAGGTGGAAGGAATCAGAAATCAGAAATTGCCAGTTCACTCTCAACAATAATTAATATCATCCCTCAAAATGAAGTTCTCCGCTCTCGCCGTCGCTGCCCTTCTGCCCATCGCGGCCCTGGCCCAGCCTTTGGAAGCCGCCGACCCGCAGGCCACCGACCACCCCGACTTCGCCGTTGTGGATTACGAAGTTCCTGCGGTGGAGGCTCGCGACCTGGAGAAGCGAGCTGTCTCCGGAAAGGTCCTCGTTGATGGTCTTCGCTACCGGACTTGCCCCAGGACCTCTTGCTCTGCTGTCGGCCAGTATTCAAAGGGCACAAAGATTAGTATCAAGTGCTTTACTCGCAAGGATACTACCACTGTCAACGGAGACGCGTATGTATCATTTACCCTCGATTACCGTGCCAAGATACTGACCAGTTTGAATCTAGTGGATGGGCAAAGCTAACCAATGGATACTACGTTGCTATGGCCTACGGAAAGTATATCACTTGGTCTTGTATGTTCACATCCATTCTCTGTTCCCAAATCTCGACTAACGACAATGATTTCCAGCCACTCTTTACGCTTGCTAGATGGAAGTAAAATGATGTCACACTGGGCTCGACCGGTACCTACTCCTCAACCCAGAGTGAATACTTTATCTGAACTAGCATGGAACGGAAATACAAATTAAAGCAATCTTTCGTATCCGATTTTCTTTCTAAATAATTCCCCACTCCCTTTAGTCGTAATTCAGGGTATGAATAAACCGATCCAGATCTATGCATATATTCAGCCTAGGCATCGAATTCGAATTAACACAATGTATCAAAATGACTTTCCTGACGAGATTACAAAATACCGTGCGTATCTACGGTTATGGGTTACAGCGCCCGGGAGCGTTCGTGTAGGCACGGGAATATCAATCTGCCTGACGACCGTCTGACATGAAAATAATATTAGCCTTTGCGATTATTATTGCGCTATGGAAAAAGGCGCAAAACGATTACATTTTGTTCCTCCGGTGGGATATCGACATCATCGGAGTAAAACTTCTTCCCTAGCAAGCGCTCTTCCCAGTACTCGATTGGATGCTCCGGACGAGGATTGTTGGATTTAGTGACTGAGTCTCGTTGTGCTTCATCCATTGAGTTTGTTTGTTTCACGTGACGAGTGCCCTCCTTTGCTATTGATAGGTGCGAGTGGAAAGAAAAGAGAGAAACAGCGCCGGCTGCCCTGCGGCCCGGGGGGGTGGCTTTGTATGCCGTGGGACCATATGCGTCAGCTCTTGAGGGCGATCATAAACTAAAAAATAAGCACCAATCACATACATTCTCGACTAACCAACAATCTACAGGGTGGATGAGTGTTGATGTAAATTGCCGCCATCCATGGATCAACACCGCCTTCCCATCAAAGTAGCTATAAAGTTATACTGATCGTGAGAAGCAATACACTTACGCCCACTGGATAGGTCAGTCAGCTTGACCTACCGCCTTCATGCACCTATTGTCACAAACTCCGAGGAGGACTCGAGGAAGGGGCGGGATTACCCAAAGGTAGCGAGCGGAGGAAAGATAATGGACGATAAAGGATCTGCGGATTTGTTCATACAGAATTCCGTTATTCTGAATCTATTTTTCGTCGCACAAATTATGTTATAATTGAACTATCCCAACACACTGTTGAATCAGGGTTGCGGGTGAGCGCCACGGACCACGATGACCGAGTCGCTTATTTCAGTAGGGAGTAAAAATCCCCCCTTGGCATTAGCAAACATCGGACGATCAGTCCAGACCCGAAGGCCAGTGTCGAAATTTTGGAAAAGAGCAGCTCGTCCTTGGCCACCGGGTACATCAGTACAAAAAAACGGAGCCCGAATAACCTGAGGCGCTTTCGATATTATGAATTGGCCTCCATAGCAGTGAAAGCAGTGAAACGTCTGGCCCGAAATCATTCCTGTTTCCTAATCCCAGAAATACTGTGACAGCAGCAGCATCGTATTAAGGCGTCTCCCTGGGTTATGGCACTATCCGGCTGGGCATGTAGGAGATCTGCGGCTAGTATTATCATAGTAACAACATTGAGGGGCTGTGAAGTGCCTCTCCTTATAGGAAGATATCGGAATGAGGTTGAGATGGGAGACGGGTGCCAGTAGAGATGATCGTGGAGCGAGCGGAGTTCGGCCCGCTTGGGATGGTCCCTATACTGCGGATCAGTTTTATTATAGCTGGCTTTTATAGGACCGACCGAAAAATACTAATAATTATCAGATAGAGACTTTCTTGGGATAAATAATGGTGCCTAGCAGGCTCACTTATTCTGCCACGTTTTACCACCCACGCATGTTGCCTATAAATACTTCCAATCTCCATGTCATTTCATCTTCTTTCCATCTAACTTCATCTTCTTCACTCCTCCATGAGCTCACTCTTCACTCACCCCTCTTCACTTTCACAACAACTTTACGCCTTCTCTGTCTTACAGGTTCACCTCTTGCTCTCTCACAAGTCCACGGGCGTCGACAACTTTCCCCACAATTTTCTCAAACATCATGGCGGATAATCCCGAAAAACCTCCTGTGCGACCCGTGGCAGCAGTGATCGGCGAAGTGCTAAACAATCCTGCCCTGTGAGTTCTAGAATAAGATCTTTTTAACTGATCCAGACATAATATCTGAAATAGTCGCCTGAACTTTCCGCAATACCAACAGCACGGGGAAGCAATAACGATCCCCTTCCCTGTCGCTGTCACTGGAAACGATGAGAGCCCCCGATCGATAGGCGAGCTAAGTTCTTAGTTTGCTATTCACGTGGCACGTCAAGACCGCCGAATCAAGTGAGATATTCTTTCGTTCCTGCTGACACAATCCGCAATGCGGGAGCTGCTTCCAAGAGCATCCCGTCGTAATGCGCCCGTTCACCTGCATGAGCAGCTAGGCCGTGAGCGCGAAACTGTCGAATTCGCTGCTCTACAGGTTATTAGGACGATATCCGAAACCGAGTGCGCAAAATGCCTCGATGGCCGGGGATCCTGGTCCCGTTGTGTGATAGCGCGGGGCCCTCAACGATGGGTGACGGCCTGCGCTAATTGCCACTAGGCTGGTACTGAAAACTCTGCTTTCTTTTCATTCACCTATCTGGTCATCTACCTGGTCATATATCCAGTCATCAAATTAATTACCTATCTGGTTATTTATGCGACCCTGGAGATTGCAGGTGATGAGTCACGGTCCGGCGCACACTAATCCCCCATTTGACAGTCGCGGAGCAGCGACTAGAAATAGATGAGGAATATGTACTGAGCTGCATCACATTATAAACGTATGCTCACGTGTCGCGAATATTTACCTCGAAATACATAAATGTCCATCATTCGTTTCCGTCCACTTATCACTCCCAACCGCCGTCCGAGCATAGAAGATGTGATGCGGATCATACTTCTTCTTCACAGCCTCGAGCGCAGCATAATTTTCTCCGTAAAACGCACTTTTCCAATTCGGCTGCTTCCAGTCAGCTTCATTGAGATACGCACCGCTGTCGGGACTGAGCGTAGTTAACTGTGGGATGAGGACGTCGGTCATGAGAGATTGCCCGTGAATATCGACTGCTCGGCTGGTGTAGTTGTATGTTCTACTTTAATTAGCATCAACGTACTCCGGGAAACCTGGGACAAGTAACTCGGAGATACCTACGTTCCCAGAACGAATGAAATAGCAGCGTCGCGCCAGACAGGGTTGACTGCATTCCGTGGCGTCGCAGCGCGGGAGACGTTCAGCGATACGCCCGATATGACAACTCCTTCATCTGCAATGCCCTGCAAAACGGATATTAAAGCCGGAATTTTCGAGTCGATGACGGAGCGCGGCATCAATCGGCCACCAATCTGGGCTTCGGTAATGTTGCTGTGTGGGTTCATGGCTGCATAGCTATCCCAGAACGTATCAAATTGTTCAATATGATACGCTGCATGAGCGTTAGTTAGCTTGCAACCCTGCAGGACGAAATGCATTATACGAAAATAGCAAGTGCAGAAGCGACGTACTATACGTGATATTGTGCTGGTCTAGAAGGGCCAACGTCGAGGCCAGCCCAGCCTGCAACTGCTGCAGACTGCCACCGGGGAAGGCAATGGGGGTAAGCATAAAACTAGACCCGGCGACTGCCCAGATGGCAACGGCACCTGCATCCACCAGCGGCTGAATGTCAACGATGAATGTCTGCACGACCTCCCAGAACACCGCTGGGTCCACGTCCGTTCCGCTAAAGGTCAAGTTGGCCGAAGAGGTGATCAGTTCTGCATGAGCCTTGACTGTGGCGCTTAAGACCACAGCATAGGTGCCACCTCCACCTCCCGTGATTGCCCAGTGCAAATCCGAATTCTCCGTTGGCGATGCCCTGCGAAGCTTTCCATCTGCTGTCACCACCTCCCACTCCAGCACCTGGTCGGCTCCCAGGCCGAATTGCGAGGCTAGCTGGCCATGACCCCCCGCCTGCGAGTAGCCTCCGGCCACTCCAACGCTCTCGCAGTTGCCAGACACAACGACTTTATTATGCGCATGCGCTGCAGCCATCGCCTCATATCCCTGTATACCCGCACCTAACCGTAAAGCCGAGCCGTTGTAGGAAGGCGACGTGTACTGCAGATGCTGTGTATCTTTGAGGTTATGCATCCACAACGCCACAGCCCCGGGGGCCGTCGACTTGCCCAAATAATCATGGCCTGTGTTGCGGATGACCAGGCGGATATTATGCTTGCGGGTAAATCGCAGAGTCGCTTGGACATCTTCTGGACCGCTCACATTCACAGCATACGGCTGCAACGAGCCAATTTCACAGGACCGATGTGGAAGGAACGGGTCGCAGGAGAAATTGGCAAACCAAGAGGCCATGGGCGACGAGCTACTCTCGTAATGGGTGGTGGGATACGCCCAGTTGTCGAGCAGGTCGGCGCAGCCCTGCGCATCGTAGGCCGCGAATGCACCAGAGGTATGACACACGCTGCCAATTGGGACTGTGGAAATCAATTTGCCGCCGAGGGTTGCGTTGAAGTCGGACCACTGCTGCACGGTGGGCCAGCAAGGCTCGCCGGGGAAGCATCGGCAGGAGGGGCGGGTCGCCTTAAAGCCGGCGTGTACGATTGGCAGTGCCAGGGGGAGGAAAAGGAGACCCTGGAGGTGCATAATGGCAGAGAGAGGGAGGGAGGATGCAAAATGCAGCGATGCAGCGGAGGCAATGCAAGACTCGGAACGTTGGCGGAAGGAGAAGCGGCTATGTACAGGGCGCTCTTGCCTCTCTATATACCCCTCTCCGTCGAGGGTCCCTCCACACCCCTCGCCTTCCTGAAAGAACAAAGTCATCAATACGATCGCACTGGCAACGGGGCTGTTCCTGAATCCGACGTCCGCTTAGAAGACGATGCGATTCGCCCCGTGGCCGCCAGCCAGCAGCGCCGAGCGACGCTGAAACAAAGAACAACGGCATACCCCCGTCGCTTTTTCACCGGCCAGCCATCCACGGCGTGAGATAGACCAGCCCCTGCCACAAGCACCACCATCTCCACGCGGCGGCGTCGTTAGTCCCCTGCAACACGTGGAAGCCCACCCACAGCCCGCCGCCCATAGGCAGCACATACCCCGCCAGCCTGCAGCGCCAGACCAGCGGACAGGCGATGCTCCAGACAAGCACGCATCCCGCAATCCACCATCGCGAAAAGGTCTCCCCTAGTACCAGTGGGACCGTCCGGCGTCCACGGGTCCGGTCACCGGGCTGATCCTTGAGATCCTGCACTTGCATCGTCGTCAGGATAATCCCGCTCATCATCCCCAGCCAGCGGTATCCATGTTCCGAGAGGTGGTGGCCAGGTCCGACGGCGATCAGCAGCGAGCTGGAGAGATACAGCCAGTATCCTAGGGCAATGATCACGTCACGGATAATCTCGTCGCCGCCGCGCAAATCGTTGTAGGCCCAGGTAGTGAGGAGGATCAGCGCACTCTGATGACCGACGCCGAGGACTGCGCTGATGGCCACGGCTGCGGGGATGGCCACCAGCATCCAACGCCGCATTTCTTCCGCGCTGATGAGCTTCGAAGGCAGCGGCCGCCAAGGTTTGTTGGTCTCATCCTCGCGTCGAGCTTCAGGCAGCCGTTGATTGGCGAGGTCGAACACGAACACATTGGCCCAATTGAACAGCATGACCCGCGGCAGCGCCTGCAGAAGTAGCTCTGCAACGCTGAGCGCATCGGGACGGTCGGTCAGACGGGGGGCCGCGAGAGCTGCAAGTATCCCGAAGCTCGAGTTGGGAAGCACAAAAGTGGGCACGTTACTCTCTGTGAACTGCCAAATGAGGCGCGGCACTCTCATCCACCGCCAGATTCCCGGAATGGTCGCCATCTCCACTGAGGCTGCGTGGTAAGTCTATCCGCGGGTAGGTACGGTCAATAGGCGTGTTGGGGCGGTAGCAACACCCAAACGGGGAGGCAATGAGCTTGCGCTTGCACGTTCGAGAGACATGTCTCGACAACGGGAGCTGGCCTTTTATATTGCTGTTATAACCTTGACCTAATGGTTTGGTTTCTTCAGGTACCATCAGGTAGCTTGTACACCCTCCCTACCTGGTTCGGAGCCATTTATTCCTTTCACCCGTGAGGCTCAAAGTATAGGCAGAGGGGCCGTCACCCTCTCTTCTCAAACTTCTACTCGGATGCAGCACGCAGCAATGGGCCCCTTTACTTACTCGGCGATGGGAGTCGCCCTGGGTCTGGCGCTTCACCATGGATTGCTTATTCATGGAGAATGGCATATCCGGGCACCTGATCTTCTCATATATCACGTTGTGTGCTTCGCATCTCTTCTAACCCTGCTCGAGTCTGCACCCTCGATGATTCTGGGGTACATCGCCTCCCTCTTCTCCAGCATCATCGTTTACCGCGTCTTCTTCCATCGCCTCAGGCAATTCCCAGGACCAAAGTTGGCTTGTGTCACCAAGCTATGGCACGCCTGGCACGCCCGGCATCGGCAGAACTACCTCGTATTGGGGAAGCTACATGAAACATACGGAGACTTCATCCGGACCGGTAAGTCTGGAACTTGTCCATTTCACATCAATTCTAATATGTCTCAGGCCCGAGCGAGGTCACAGTCTATCATCCTGATGTTTTTATGGCTATTGATGGGCCCCAGGGGAATTGTGTCAAGTCAGACTGGTATGATTTGCTGCATCCGAAACAGTCACTCGTGACAGCGCGGAAAAAGGAGGTTCATGCTGGACGTCGTCGGCAATGGAATCGAGGATTCACAAGTCAAGGTAAGTCATCGCTCGCGCATATATCTCAGGTGAGGAGTGCTGACCCTTGCCATATATTTTAGCGCTGGATCAATATCAAGACCGCATCTTGCCTCTTCTCGACGAGCTCGATGGCTGCATCGAGGCGGACATTGCTGCTGGTCGCCCAAGCAATGCAAGAAACCTCTTCTTCTGGCTAGGATTTGATCGCATGGGCGACTTTATCTTCAGTCGAACCTTTAATATGCTTTCTCGACAGGAATGGCATCACATTATTCTTCTCCTTCAACGGGCTCTATCCCTACTAGGCCCACTGAGCCCTGTGCCCTGGCTCATCCACATTGCATTCAAGCTTCTTCCACGAATATGGATTTTGAATGACTGGTTCCGGATGGTAGCTTGGTGTGAATCGCAGATGGTCAATCGACTAAAGGTTCGTGTTGCGTTCTGAGACCTTTCAACCCCCTTACTTACCCACCACGCGTAGACGCACGCGGACACCGGCAAAGCCCGAGATGTCGCCCATTACCTCCTTGAAGATGTAAAGGAGGACTACCAACAGTTCCCTTGGCTCACAGGCGACGGCATCCTTGCAATTGTTGCGGGAAGCGAACCAACAGCCGCCGTTCTCACCGGCTTATTCTATGAATTAGCCAAACACCCCGAACACGCAGAAGAGATTCTCCGCGAAATCAGCTGCATCGATATCCACGACTCTCGAGCCCTCGCGCAAAGATGCCCGCACTTAGAAGCAGTGATCCTCGAGGCCCTGCGTCTATACCCAGCCCTTCCCACAGGAGGAAACCGCAAAACACTGGAAAACGGGGTTGTCATTGGCGGAAGATATATCCCACCCGATACGACAATCGTCGCTCCCAGATTCTGCATCTCCCGTCGTAAGTCAACCGACATAGGGGCATGAACAAATACTTAAAGAGTTTCCAGGCGAAGACTGCTTCGAGAAAGCCCTCGAATTCATCCCGGAACGATGGTACAAGCACCCCGAGATGGTGTGGAACAAGGCCGCCTTCGCCCCTTTCGGAACAGGTAAGCATAAGCATAGCAACCCCCTCGTAGCACCTAGCCATGCAAAAAATGGAAACAATGTCCTCAATGACGTCTGCAGGCCACCACAGCTGTCTCGGCCGAGCCCTAGCAATGAACGACATGCGGCTCACCACCGCCCGACTAATCCAGAAATACACCTTCACCTTTCCCGCCGGCGAGAACGGCGATTCCGTTTGGAAGGACTTGAAGGACCAGTTTACGTCGAATCCCGGTTGTTTACGGTTGGTTTTTGAACGGCGACAGGCGTAAGATTAATCTGTGCGGGATTGTACCACCCGGCTTGCCCCTCACGGGTCCGAGGTGCAGGGGTGGGAAGGGCTTCGTTTGGTTTGCTCTGTGGTGACAGTGTAAGCAAGCAATGGGCTTTGTAGCTAGTACAAGGAATAGGAATGCTATTGTGTCCTGCGGGCGTGCAGGATAAGCACTTTCATCTTCTCAAACCCCTTCATCTCAGATGATTCAGTCGCAGCTTGGCCATCTCAGGCAAACGGCAGAATACCCGAGCTGCGGACCAATTTGAAAGTTGGCAGGGAAGCACTGCAAACGCCGGTCAGTCCAGATGGAAATAAAATAAAAATAACACTCGGCTGATCCACGGGCGCTGTGGGGCCGCATAAGCTCGAGATATTCTGGAGTCGAGTGACTCACTCAGTACATAGCTCAGGTTGGTTCAAGATGTTTATTTTCGGCACGAGCGTATACACTAAAGCCACATTGCAGTCGAACGTGCAAACCACAACACTCGCATGAGGCAAAGACCTGATTCTGTACGACCTCATGAGGGGATACCGCTGCGATGTAACCCTGCACTTCCACCAGTTTGCCTGCATGGGGCGAAAAGCAGAACCAAAAGCTGACTGCATGGTGGCGGGTTGATCAACGTCGGAGCTTATCCTGTTTATGATTCTTCAGGTGGAGGGTCGGATGTGCCTAGGGTGTGGACTTTTGTCGAGTGGGAGCAAGGGGGTGAGGATTTAGAAAACACGGTCGAGGAAAAACATGTCCATTCAAAAGTGTTTGCTTACAGACTAGTAAACTTGATGAATACGCGTGGCACTGGAATCTTGCCATCGGAGCGAAGAATACGAAATTGGCCACTGTGGTAATACTCTAGATGGGGCTAAACGGCCACCCATACACGCCCGCGTGCAAGAGTTGACCCGACTGAATCTCATTGGCCTTAGCTTTGAGCTCGTCAACATCCCAGTTTGCCCAAACATTGCGACCGTTCAAGAATGCGGCTTCGGGGCTGGTGAGCCAAACGGTGAAGTCGGCGGGGAGGTCATCTATGCACTAAAATTAGTTCGGCCCGCTCACATACTCGACGGAATTGCGGATCATAGCTTGATAAAGAAGAGCTGTTGTAGATCACTTACCCGAATCGAGAGGCAGTTTGTTCGGATCCGCCCCAGACTCGCGGAGGATTTTCGTATTGACCATCCCCGGGTGCAAGGCCGCGGCAAAGACATTCGGATTCTCTGCCGCGATGTATTCCATCACCTTGACCAGTGATAGTTTGGAGCTAATATAGGCCGACATACCCTTTGTAGTTTGCACGGGGAGGACCACGGCAGCAGTAATGCCGATGATGGCGGCGTGAGTCGGGTTCGCAGTAGGGAGGAAGACATTGGTGGAAACCATGGTGCCCTTGACATTGGTCTATCCCATCGTTAGCACATGAACCTATGCTTTCGCGATAACACTAAACATAAACCAAATTCGAGACTCACCTCAAAACACTGCCACCACTCCTGAACAGATGACTCGCGCACCGGAGTGGGCTTTGCGATGTACCCAGCCGCGAGGACCATCACATCCCACGTCCCCACTGCGGCCGCTATCTCTGCCAAGGCCTTCTCGTCGGTCACATCGGCGGGGCGAACAGAAGTACTCGTCTGGCTGCTCAACAGGCTTTGGGTCTCTCGTAGCGAAGCCTCGTTGCGACCGATCAAAATGATTTCGCTGGCGCCTGCCCGTGCGAAGGCATGGGCGATGGCGCGGCCGATTCCACTGCCCTGAGAGAAGTTAGTTGGTGATTAGGAGTACCAGTGTAGTAGGAATCGATCGATATCGTGGACCAAAGAAAGAAATTAGGGTTGGATGGGTACGATCGACTTACGGCGCCAGTAATGACCACTCTCTTGCCCGCACAGCTCAGCTCTGGGCGCGAGACATCGATCGAGGCGTACGAGGAGCTATGCCAGGTGCGAGTCAACGACGGTAGCGGGGGTCGAGTCATGATGTGATTCCGTAGTTGAAGGTACTCGGGAGTGGAGAAGTGAAGGTGAGGATAGACTTCAAGGAACAACGGAAAGTGGGCGTGGGGAAGAGCCGCGGAAGAGGAGAAAGTCGCGTCGCGTCGCATTTGTTTCCTCCTCCGTCCTATCCAAAAGCACCGCACTCCAGTACTGGAAGCTCAGGCGTGCCAGTCAACCTCCCAGCATGAACTCCCTGTCAAGCGACGTACCAATCGCCGGGTTCTGGTCGGTTGCATGTCCCGAACTGCAATGCAGGGTGTCACACTAGTCAGCGCGGATCGCTGCGACCAGGGTCAAGTCGGCCAGCCCTGCTGCTTATTTCAAGCATGCGGAATGTCCCTCGTCCTGGATCCAGATCCAACTTGAACCTCCAGCATCTCCTGTTCCCATGCTGGTATCCCACGGGCACTCGAGGAAATGGCCATCAGTCCAGCAGGCGTCCGGCTATCAATATGGATGGCCGTGTTTACGCTCGTTACCACCGGCGTGATCGCCATGCGAGTCTGGGCCCTCCATTTAACACGCAAGAGCCTCCATCTCGCCGACTACCTCGTCATCGTCGCCTATGTCAGTACCTGAACCAGAACCAGCAGACCCTTATCCCTTGCGGAACTAAACCAGTCTAGATCAGCACCGTCGCCATGGTCGGCCTCAACTACTGGGCGATTATCAACGGGCTAGGTGCGCATACCAAGACTCTCTCTGAAAGTGAACTCCACGTGCAACTCAAGGTATGATTGTCAATCTACCTGCCGATCCATCCCCACGTCGACACTGATTGATAATAATCCGTCCCAGATGATCGTCGGCGTTAGTATGACCTGGCTAGTCGGCACGGTGTGCTGTAAACTGTCCATTCTCGCCCTGTACACGACTCTCTTCCGTACTTTTCGCCCTATCCGCATTCTTGTCTGGGTGGTGAGCGGAATGGTGACTGCCTACTTTATCGCGTTCGTCCCGGTCTTCCTTACGCAGTGCCATCCCATTTCGTATCAGTGGCACCCGGTGCCGGGTGGCTCCTGTCGAGATTTGGAGGTTCAGGAAATTGCGTCCATTTCTATGAACATCGTTTTGGATTCAATGATCGCCTTACTACCCCTCCCTGCAATCTGGCGACTGCGCATGCCAATCCAGAACAAAATCACCATCGGAATTATGTTCGGAATGGGCCTCTTGTAAGTCCCTTCCTTGTCTTCCTCTACTATTTCATATTTGTCCCCTATTAATAATGGAACCTAGCGTCGTCGCGGTAATGGTATGGCGCCTAATTCTAACCCTCGACCCGGCAACAGCTGCCGACTTCGTAAAAGGCCTCTACATAATCGGCCTCGTCAGCCTCCTCGAACTCTGGCTCAGCATGATCGTCGTCAGTCTCCCGGCCCTCGCCCCACTCTTCCGCCACTACATCGAGCCTCTTTACGCCAACAAACAGCCGCGGGCGGGCCGATTGCACGAAGCGGAACATACGATCGGGAGTGACCCGCCGCGCAAGAGGACGGGAGAATCTCTCTATTCGGATATTGAGATGGGGAGGAGCTATTACTCTGCGCATGTGAAGACGGGGGTGAGTTCGTCGCAGAGTGAAGGGGAGGATACGGTTGGTCTTGTCAGGAATATGCAGCCTAATGCAATTGAGATGAGGAGAGAAGTTGTTGTTCGGGAGGGGGAGGGTGGAAGTAGGTCTGATCCGAAGAGTCAGGTCTAGTCTTTTTGGTGATGCCCATTATATTCGCGATGCATTTGTATCAGAGAGTTTGCAGATACTTGAATTCCCTTTCAGAGCTTGGGAAATAGAAACCTCATTGCATGATCTTGTTATCAGTGGGCACTCGATACATTCAGTTTGTGTAATGTGAATACTTTCTCTTCCAATTATACGCAGTGTACTTGGAAGTACATTTTCATCAAAGAGCTTGTAGATACTTGACCACTCCCCATTTCAGCACTTCGAAATTGAATCCGAGCACCGTTATTTTTTAAAATTCTATTTTCCAACTTCCACTCGGTACATTGTCAACTGTCAAGTCATCAGACCACCACCCCTCGCTGACCGTTCAAGTATCTGCTAGCTCTTCGGCTTGAATGTCCAAGCTCTTCGAGTCTACAAATGAACCCTCTGCTCTCTGGGCGAGAATTATTCTATCCTGATCCCATTCATTTTACATAGCGCATCACACTCTCGAATAGTTATCTACACAGCTGATTACGTATACTAATGTAGGTGACCGGGTAAATGACTAGGTAGCTGACCGGCAAGAGATAGGTGACTGAGCAATAAACCTGACAGTTACCAAGACCATAGTCGACGGGATATTCGCCGTCAAGTCTGGCACCATGTTTGATCAAGTTTCTAGCTCTGTCACACTATTGTCTCTGAGCGAAGCCACGACCGCCCGGGAGGGGGAGGGTAAGGATGGAAACGTCAATCTCCTTGATAATCTATTAGGCTTCTGAAAGCTAGACACCTTTCTCCCCGTCAGCGACTTTTCGTGAACTTTTGTATTATGCGGCTTGTCTGGCCAAATGTCAAATTGCGGTCTCCCAAAACAGTCCTTGCCAGATAGAGGTCAGCCCGCCGCTCGTTCACCGATTATGGAAACCTCGCACTTACCCGTATTGACAACGCCGTACTCGGTCGACGGTTGCTCATTGGAGATGGCATCCGCGCCTGCCTCAGCGAGCACCGGGTTTTTTACTCTTCGCTTTCTCAAGGCGACTGTTTTCCTTTTCCTTTTCTTCCTCGCTTGTTGCGCAATTTTTTGACGCCGATATTTGAAATTCGACATGAATCCGTGAGTTTACCAAATCAATTGCAGCCGTACAGCTTGTTGACCGGGATAGCACACCCCCAATGGCGAATAACTCCGACCCCTCGTAAATTCATGAAACAGAAACAGACTCCACCCCTACCAGCACCACTTCCCATTCCTGTTCTCCTACTAGTCCTGTTTCGTCATCAGCTGAGAAATCCTCATCCCATCGAGGCGCGGGGCTGCTAGCTCTGGATCTAGTTCCGCAGCCGTTGAGCCACCGATTCATAGACTTCACCGAATTCTCGACATGCTCGACAGCGCCGTTAAAAAAAAAAAAAAAAAAAAAAACCCGGTTCTGACTTGCAGACCAAGGTTGATAGCCGCGGAGGTGTCGAGATTGAAGGCGTTCTTGACAGGTTGGAGGAGAGAGCACGACAAGTACGACTCCTACGACTCGAAGACTATGCTGGCCACGTTTGCAAAGCCATTCGAATCGCCGCACGCTTAACCGGCCATTCTGCCAACAGCGTCGTCATCTGGCATCAGGCCTCTCTGCCGAAAACATGTTCGCCAGGAACGCTCGGCACCAGGCGAGCTTACGAGCGTGCATTCAGCGCCTCGCCGATGATGAGGTCGATATCGATGAAGTGAATGCTCCGGAGGCAATTGCCGTAGCCCGGAATCAGGTCTGCTACACCGTCTCCAAAAGGACCGACAGATCTCGAGAGGGAATCTATGGAGGACTTGGAGCGCCTGGTGCATGAATCCGACACAACGGCGGTACAAACTAACGGATACGGCGGATCGTCAATTGAGCTTTCCTTTCTTCCTTGGTCTAATCTATCTCCAATCTAACTGCCATCTATCCCCAGCGAAGAGCTCGCACCTTACCGTGGTGCTGAGGTTCAGTAGTCCATTACGGACATAGTCAAGACGAGCTCACCACGTAATTAATGGCAACGCAATCCTAATCAGTTCCATATATTCCGGCTTCTACTATATGAGATCCCTCAAGTAAAAACTCAAATCAGATAGCCGTTGCCTGCTGTCTGCACCCAATAGTATCAAAATCTCCGCATCGTGCGTGGAAGTGCTCGCCCCATGACGTGTCGCAACCTCCGATGGTAACAGTGAAACCAAATCTGGCTCCCCCATGCAGGGGAACTGCTGTCAATACAGGTATCAGATTGTTTTCATTTAACCTAGGTAGACAGAAACCAATGACAGCCCGTGATAACAGCCAAATGCCGAGCTCAACAGCCATTTAAGAGTGGCTGAAAAAGCGCCCCCGCATTTGTGGAGACCCCGGATTCATCAAACGCATTGAAGGGCACTACTCGCGCAATATCCGCGATCCATCGCGGTTTCCCCTTGGGCCTTCCTTCCACCCCACTTGACTCCATCAGAAATGCTGCGTAATTCTCCGGCCAATTCTTCATCTCGATTCATCCCGCTGCCTCCCTCAAGGCCCAATTCGCCCTCGTCGAGCCCCTTCCCAGGCTCCACCCCCGTCGGGATATCTTCGGCTATTCCCTGTTTCGGGCGACGATCGACCCTTGAAACCAGCGGGAGATGATCTCTCCGTTACTGCCGATTCTCGGTAAGATGCCCTCCCGATGGACAACGCGCACCACGATGGGGTCACTCAGGGGGAGGGGACCGAGGTGGATCAAGCTGTACTTAAGGTACGGGCACACCCATCGATAATCGATTCGCGTACCTGTTGATACCTATGCGCCTGACGGTCAATTGTTTCCACATGACTCGATTTAGTGCTCTTTCACTCTTGGCGCTGGGCTCGCTGGCTCTCGCTAACCAGGATGCCTTTGGGACCAAGTGTGTGCAGTTCGGTGACAAGATTGATATCCCCGATGTGAAGGTCAACTTCGCCGAGTATGTGTCAGGGGGCACGAATCTTTCTCTGCCTGACAATGCACCTTCGTGTGGCGCGTCTTCTCAATCTGTGACGGCGGACGTGTGCCGTATCGCGATGGCTGTGGCGACTTCCAATGGCAGCGAGATCACATTGGAGGCTTGGTTCCCTCGCGACTACAAGGGCCGGTTCTTGAGTACCGGCAACGGCGGCCTATCGGGATGTGAGTGATTCAGTTCGACATATCTTTGCCTGGCCGTGCTAACTTCCTGGCAGGTATTCAATATTACGATATGGCGTATACCTCGCAACTGGGCTTCGCGACTGTCGGTGCCAATAATGGTCACAACGGCACCTCGGGCAAGCCATTCTACAAGCACCCCGAAGTCGTCGAAGACTTTGCCTATCGCTCCGTTCACACCGGTGTCGTCATTGGCAAAGAGCTCACCAAGCAATTCTATGACGAGGGATTCAACAAGAGCTACTACCTTGGATGCTCCACAGGTGGTCGCCAGGGATGGAAATCTGTCCAGAAGTACCCCAATGACTTCGACGGCGTGGTGGCCGGTGCTCCCGCAATCAACTTCATCGGCCTTCTTTCATGGAGCGCGCATTTCTACCCCATCACGGGCTCACCCTCATCAAAGACATTCCTCACCACCGCGGAGTGGTCCCTCGTTCACGACGAGATCATCCGTCAATGCGACGATATGGATGGCGCGAAGGATGGCATTATCGAAGATACCGATCTCTGCCACCCAATTCTCGAGACTATGATCTGCAGTTCGAGTACCAAGAACAAGTCAAGCTGTCTCTCGCCGGAGCAGGTGAATACAGCCCAGCAAATTCTTTCCCCTCTGTACGGCAGCAACGGCACCATGCTCTACCCGCGCATGCAACCCGGCTCCGAGAACCTCGCCGCTCCCATCATGTACTCCGGCAGTCCATTCCCATACAGCACAGACTGGTTTAAGTACGTCGTCTACAACAATCCGAAATGGAATGGGAAGAGCTGGACCATCAAGGATGCTGCCGCCGCCCTCGCCCAGAACCCGTACAACATCCAAACATTCGAGGGCGACATCTCCCCCTTCCAGAAGGCTGGTGGAAAAGTCCTTCACTACCACGGTATGCAGGACCAGCTCATTAGCTCCGACGACTCAAAGTGGTACTACTCACATGTCTCGAAAACGATGGACATGGCACCCTCCGACCTCGACGACTTCTACCGCTTCTTCGCTATCAGTGGCATGGGTCACTGCGGCGGTGGAGATGGTGCCTATGGTATTGGTCAGGGCACTGATACTTACGCCGGTAGCGACCCCCAGGACAATGTTCTCATGGCTATGGTCCAGTGGGTTGAGAAGGGTGTGGCGCCTGATACTGTTCGTGGCGCCAAGTTCTCCAACGGCCCTGGGTCAAAGATCGAGTATCACCGCAAGCACTGCCGTTACCCTCGGCGCAATGTTTATAAGGGGCCGGGCAACTACACTGATGAGAATGCCTGGCAATGTGTTTGAATGACCCTACTAGCTTGACTTATAAGATGCAATAAATTTATAACGAACACTTTTCAGAATTTACCCATAGCGGTATTCTTGGCGTTGTTTTCATCGTCAGCGACATTTTAAAGCTTTTTAGATAGCTCAAATTTGATTTTCGTGGATAATCATAGGAGCAATAGGAGCCAGGAAAAATAGAGTGTTTATCCGTTCATCATAACTATGAATCCGAGGTTTGAGCTTTATTTGCACTTTACCTTCACTTCGTCTCGCCTCTTTACAGATCCTACCCCTCATCCAAGTGCAACCAAGCTCTTCTCCAAATACAAGTCCAAGGTTTATCTTCAACTCTTCCAACATCTCCAGACATCACCACTTCTCTGCACATCATTCATCTTCAACTACAAACCCAAGGTTCGAGCTTGACTTTCACGTTTCTTTGACTTTACCTTCACTTCATCCTTGGCCTTCCCTTCGCCTTTACCTTGCCTTCACCTTTTCGACTTTTTTCTCACTCCGGTACAGCATCGACCACATCTCATCAGAAACTTCGCCTTCGCCTTTTCAACACTTTTCTCTCTTCTCTACAGCATCGACCTCATCCCTCATCAGAAAGTCTATTTCGGCCAGACAAAGCAAGAGCCTACACATACGAGATCGAATTGGCTGAGGGCCAACCATCGGAATAGTTGCAAGTTGGCCATAAGTGGAATGGCTTTGGGGTAGTAGATTGCTAATTCTGTTGTTAGTATGAGGGTTTTGGTTAATATGTAGTAAAATAGAAGGAGCTCACAAATATGGGTTTTTCTGGGATAGGTGTAGCCTCAGTCGGAATAATAGTACGTGGTGGCGGGTGCAAATTGTCATTACGGAGGCCAGGGGTCCCGGTGTAAGTACTATGTTGCTCCTCTCGCTCCTCACACTCCCACCGCTGCACGACCTCGTAGCTGATACAATTGTAGGATTTTGTGTAAATCTGAGGATTAGGACAGAACAAGGGATATCGTTTTCGATATTTCACACTGCAACATTTAGAACCGTATACCGATCCTGAGCAGCTACATAGATTGTGTCAACATATAGAACACACTATTAACTAGTTACTTATATCCGATCATTACCAATAACTTGACTTCATCCACGGTTGTCTCAAGAGTGAAAGAAGGACTCTCCCACATGCTCAGCACCCTCCGGCCAAGCATCCACACCATCCAGCAGCACAAGACCCATCCCCGAAGACAAATGCGTCTCCATATGGCAGTGCAGAAGGAAAGCACCTGGATTCACGACATGGTACCGGATTGCAATCCAGGCCTCTCCAGCAGGTGATGTCAGAAAGGTATCTCGATAGATAGGGGTTTCAAGGAAGCTTTCTGGCGACTCAGCCGCCGCCTCCTGCAGCGAATTCCACGCGAACTTGCCCTGGCCAGCGCCCATCAAGAAAGCCTTATTTGAATGCTTGTGTATCGGGTGTGGAGGCTGAAGCTTCGTCGGCTCCGGGATGACGAGCTGAAAAACGATGTCCACCCAGGTATTGTTTTTTGTCTCGATTTTCAGCGCCGACTCGAGACCAGGTGCTTTCCGATCGAACAATGCCGGCTCCATCGCAGCAAGGTTTGCCGGCAGGAAAGCGGTACCGTCCAGAGTCCATTCCCAGGATGAATTGATGCGTCCGAGCTGAAGGAGGTGGAAGTCGTCGGCTTCCATTGCTGGCAAGACTGCGGGATAAGGCGGGAGGTGAGTGGTATTGAGCGGGATTACGGATGCTGTTGTGTTGACACCGCCGTAGTCAATGTATGGTACTGACTCGCGTTGATTGTTCTCGCCACCTTCGTAGTTTAGCGTGGCGAAGCCAGAAATAACTTGGTTTCCGTTGCCGGCAACCCGCATTGTATAGACACCAGGCTCTCGGTCGAGCTTGACCATTACCGAGTATCGTTCCCCGCTGTAGATCGGAACTTGGTGGGCCAGCTGTGGCTCGATGTAGTGGCCGTCCACTTCGTATACGTACATCGGATGCTCGTCGATGGATACTGTGAGGGCCTTGAGGCTGGCTGCGCTGATGAAGTTGAAACTGGCCCACTTTGTGTCGGGATTGACTTGAAAAGTGGCGTTCGCGCCTTGGCTAGGGATGCAGCCCGAGTTCAGGCCACCCGGGAGCTTTTCGGGGTGATGTGGCCAGGTGCCTTGCAATACGTCCATGAAAGGGTCGCATCTAAAAATGCTTATTAGCCAAGTTTTGAATGAATTGGTAGTCTTCACCCACCCTTTGTCTGTCAGCGGTTCAGTGACGACTGCCCTGATCTGTGGTGGCTGTAGAGCTGTAAGCTCTTCTGGGTCTTTGCAATAGACTGATCCTCCACCGTTGATCAGAATACTATCGGAGCAACTACCATAACGGCGATGTTAGCTAATTTTTTTCTTGACATGATCATCATGATAACTCACAAAATGTCGTAGCCCGTCTCCATCAAGGCATGCATGTATGCGTCGGATGTCAAATGGTCCCAGTCTGATAGCATGACGAGATTGGCATTTTTCTCTGCCTCTTTCATGGCCTCAATATCGGCTTCATCGTTAGAAATCATCGAGAATGGTGAGTCTCGATCACTCGACGGTCTGGCTAGTGTTAGAGAATGCTCGGATGAGGGTGAACCTCGAGCAGACTTACCGGATTTGGATTGCACCGTACAACCCGTCCATTATTCTATCCTTATCGTGTGAGTGATACCAATATGTACCCGGCTGCGTCGCCGTCCATTTGTAAGTGTATGTTTGGCCCGGCAGGATAGCCCATTGTGATAACCCAGACACGCCATCAGCCCAAGGCGTTCCTTTTTGTCTTGATGAAAAGGTTAGGCCGCGGTTTTCCATCACAGGGAAGAGATTATCTTACTCAATTCCATGGAAATGCACTGACGAGTTGAACGGGAGGTGATTGGTCACGGCTATCTTCTCCAATTAGTACCTTGGAGTAGCATCGTATAGAAGAACGCTCGATACACACTGAGACTTCATCACCCTCATCCATGATCAACGCCGGCCCAGGAAAGGCATCATTGACAAAGATCATGTCGCGTTCCACGCCATTGGGCGCGCCTTTCTTCCAGGTAAGGTCCAGTTCGAATTTCAGATGCGCGGCGCGTGTCAAGGCAGCCAGCTCCAGCGTCGCCAGGAGCAGCATTTTGAGCGGTGCCATGTCGTCTCGGGCGCTGGCTCCGTGTTGTGGGGGATTGTCGGTGAGTTTAATTATGTGTTGGAGACGCGTGGTTCTCCTGTCTTTTTATTGCAGGTTGCTCCTACATACCTGCCAAGTTTCATAACAGCGCCTGGGTGAATTGCACATTCCTTTTGCTCAAAATGGGTTAGGTTCATTTTTTTTCAACAGGGAAGAATTCAATAAAGCAGGACTGCGATATTTTGATCGTGCTGGGTCTCGAACACTGGCTGTCGCCGTGTTTGTCCTGATTAGGCAATGTTTGTTGGGTCATCATTCTCACCAAGCATTGAATTTGTGACTACCTAACGAGAATTAGAAATGCTTTCAGCATTTCGAGACATCGCATAATCACGGAAAAATCTTCTAAGCATCCCGAATTAAGTCAGCCGCCCGCTCAGCGACCGCATACACCGTTGCCATAGGGTTAGCATGCGAGATGAGCGGGATGATACTGGCATCGACGACGCGCAAATTCTCCGTCCCATAAACTCTCAGATCCTGATTCACCACACCATCAGCAGAGCGAGGCAGCATCGCAGCAGTTCCGCAAAGATGATGCGTGGATAGCGCATGTGCCTTAAGACCAGCCTTGATTGAAACGAGATCGGTCGGCACAGCGCCCAACTCCAGGAATTCGTTCAAAGGCGACGAGGAAAGCATCTGGTAGAAGTTGCGCACGTTTCGCGCCAGGATCTCAATGTCGAGCTCATGGCTGAAGAAACCTGCGTCGGCAACAGGTGTCACTTTGAAGCCCTTTTCGGCGGCGTGTAAGCTTCCTCGGGAAAAAGGGAAACTATTTATGACTCCTGCGATAGCTAGCTCCGGGGATCTAGCGATGAGAAAAACTGTCGCTGAGGACTCTTTTGGACTCTGGATTATTGACCGGATTACTTTCTCGGATGGGCGGTCGGATTCTGCGTAGGCTGAGAGAAGCTCTTCTTGCTCGCTCGGATCGATCCTTGTGAATCCCAGACACTTGAATCCAGGGGCCATTCCTTTAATCTTCGGGTTAGACTTGATGTGGACAGGTAGAATGCTCATGAGGTGGTTCTGCAGGGTATTGCCCAGGTTCGGTTGGTCAATCCGAACAGGAACCCCCAAGCGCTCAAGTCTTGCAGGATCGCCTATGCCGGAGTATTCGAGGATAGTGGGAGTATGGAACGCGCCCGCGGCCAAGATGACTTCTTTTCGTGCCTTGACAATCTTCACGCCTCCGTCTTGCTCAACGCGAACACCGGTTGCTACCAGATTCGACTGCGAATTAAACAAGATCTCGTGGACGGTCGTCTCCGTAACGATATTGACATTCGAGCGCGACGCTATGATCGCACCGTACTGACTGTCGGCGCTACTCCGGAGACCAGTCTTTGGATCAATGGCAGCAGAGTAAGGACGGGCGCCGACGATACTGTCTTCTGCGAGAATATCTGTGTCATTGAAGCCGTATCCTTTGGCTTTGAATGCATCGCTCCAGGCGTTGACAAGTGCTATTCCCGCTTTGTCTGCAAAAGCCGGATAGCTCACTTGGATCGGCCCATGGGCTGGATCGCGCTGGTTCTCGTTGATATCAGGCAGCTCCTCTGGTGCCGTCACCGTGTAGCATCTTTGCAGGTACGGGCGAAGGGTCTCCCAGGTCCATTTATCGTTCCCGAGCTTCGCCCAGGCGTCGATGCCCGCAGGTGATGGAGGAACAAAGCCCGACCCGTTGATCGCAGAGGTGCCGCCCAGTAATTTTCCTGCAGGGTGATCTTGCGGGCGTCCACCCAGGCCGGTCTGCGAATAATGTTTGTCAGCACTGTCCTCGATGTCGGGAGTCGGCAGTATGTATGCTTGTTGGGAGCAAAAGAACTAACCTGAGGAGTGATCTTCATCTTCCAGTCCAACTCTGAACCACACAAGCCATGCCAGGCACCCGGGTCGCGGACTCGGGGGTCTTGTGTGCAGTCCGCTCCAGCCTCCAGGACTGTGACGGCGACATTCGCGTCTTCTGAGAGCCGGCAGGCGACGACTAGACCTGCTGTTCCGCCTCCGACAATAATATAGTCGGTTTCTGCAGGGAGATCGTGGGAGGCCATCGTGATGGGAATGAGCGATGGAGGGGTGAAAATGAGACTGGGGTGGGGTGGCAGCTTTCAGGAGCAACAATGGGGGCCTTTTTCAGCAGTCAGCAACCTAGCACATCACCACCGTTTGTTTGCTCATATTCCCTGATATCCGTCAGACCCGAAACCAGACCTTGCAACTCGAAAGCGACAGGGCTGTGGGCTGACAGCATCCTGAACGAATACTACTCTCTGTTAGATGGTGGTTCGGTAGCGCCTTCCCGAGGTTACGGTACTAGTAATATACTTTAGCAGTTCCGTTACTACATCAGCAAGGCAGTCTTGCCTGCGAAGTCATGCAGCTAGCGTCTCTCGAGTTCGTGATTTATTTCCACGGCGAGGTGATGATTATCTAGAGAATTTCACATGTCCAGGGGCTTACTTCCCCACTGACTCGGATTCTTTAACCAGAACGTTGTTGATTCGGTGGAATGCTCGTGCAAGGGCAATGTTTGTGATCGACTGATAGAGTTCGATGGGACCCGCCGACGCCGCTTGGCAGAAACGGGGTTTCTTCATTTCCATTGTTCAAGCCGGTATGCGTCCTGCTAGTGCAACGCCACAGCCTGTCCAAATCACTCAAAGAAAGCTTTACATTACGAAAGAAGAGGCTTGGTTTCAGTTTCTACGCCCCGCGCAATCCTATCGGAGCTTGTTTAATGATTAGAAATACTGACGGCCGTTGACAAAAATAGTCCGACCGAGTCAGCCACGTCCTTCAACGTCACGAATAGTGATTCCTTTTTCATCAATCAATTTAGGATAATCGAAAACAGTTAATAAGTTAATCAAATTACATGATCCAGATACAGGGTAATAGCATAAGATAATAATTGTACCATTGTGACATTACATTCGATGGAACACTCACTATCTCAAGCTGCGGCGCATAGGATGAATGTCTCAAAAATATATATAGTGAGAGGTCATGTGATGGTTGTGATGTTGCGTGGTGCTTGCTGCACCGGTCTAACCGACTTGTCAATTTTTGATTTGTACTCGAGATTGAACTTTCCGTTGCTTTAATATGATAACCCATTAGACGAAAAGCTCGTGTTGTTTGGTCTACCTGAGTGATAGAGTGCGAGTGGTAAGCATCGCTCCGAACGCCGAGTCGGAGCTCCGTCTCCGCACAGCTTCTCCGCACAAGGCTGGCCCTTCCGTCTTCGCACTCCCCTCGCCATTCACCACCACCTGCAACGTGAAGACAAAAGGGATATATCACTCCCAATTGTGGTCATGTCAACCGACGAGACGTCGCGAATCCTCCCGTCGGAGCAGACTCCGTTGCTGCGCGATGACCCCGCCAATGCGGGCCCGCCCGAGGGTCAGGAACCGGTGGCCGAGGAGCCCAGCACGCAGGAACTGTTGGTGATTCTGTGCAGTATCTGGCTGGGTGTCTTCCTCGCAGCACTCGGTATGGACTCATCTCGAGATGCAATTTATCGACAAAACCCCTGAGTGATTGCTAATCTCGAACTCCTGCAGATACCACGATCGTGGCGACGCTGTCGGGCCCCATCTCCTCCTCCTTCAATTCCTTTTCGCTGCTCTCGTGGCTGGCTACCTCTTACCTCATCTCGAACGCTGCCTGCCAGCCGCTAAGCGGAAGATTGACCGATATCTACTCGCGTCGCTGGGGATTGGTCCTCTCTAATGTCTTCTTTGCGGTCGGGAACCTGATCTGCGGTTTGGCAAACACCCAGTGGGCCATCATTCTCGGCCGTGTCGTCGCAGGTATGGGGGGCGGTGGCCTTTTGGTGATCTCAACCTTTGTGACGTCCGACCTGGTTCCTCTTCGGAAGCGAGGAATCTGGCAGGGCGTTGGAAACATTTGCTATGGCGCCGGTGGTGGATTGGGTGGTGTGTTCGGCGGCTGGATCAATGATACCCTGGGCTGGCGCTGGGCCTTTTTGATTCAGGTCCCGTTCCTAGTCGTTTCTGGCATCCTGGTTGCGTGGAAGGTCAACATCCCGGTCAAGGAGACGGACAAGGCTCGGATTAAGCGTGTGGACTTCCTCGGTGCCATCACCCTGGTCGTCACGATGGTGACTCTTTTGCTGGGACTGAACACTGGTGGTAATCAACTGCCCTGGACACACCCCATAGTGCTCACTTCCTTGCCCTTGTCTGCAGCGTTCCTCGGGCTGTTCATCTACATCGAGGCCAAGGTCGCGACCGAGCCCATCATCCCGGTCAGGCTGCTGCTCGATCGGACCGTGGCATCGGCTTGCCTGACGAATTGGTTCACGACGATGACGGTCTTTGGTCTTTTGTTCTACCTGCCCTTGTACTTCCAGGTGCAAGGCATGTCGGCTACGGCGGCGGGGGTGCGCTTGATCCCCCAGGCGATCGGTACTTCTATTGGATCGCTGGCCTGCGGGTTTATCATGCGGGCCAAGGGACGGTACATGATCCTGAGCCATCTCGCCATGACCCTCCTGGTGACCGCGGGCGCGTTGATCTGCACCTTGACACTAACCACACCTGCATGGCTCCCGTTCCTCTACTTCTTCCTCATGGGAGCAGCATATGGCAGCATCTTGACCATCACGCTGGTGGCGCTGATCTCGGCCGTGGACCATGAGCACCATGCGGTGGTGACCTCCGCCTCGTACGCCTTCCGCAGCACCGGAAGTACGATCGGCATCACGGTGGCCTCGGCGGTGTTCCAGAACACCCTCAAGACTGGGCTCTGGTCCCGCTTTGGCGGCCGGGAGCATGCTGCAGAGCTGATCGCCCGACTCCGCGATAGCCTGGACGAGATCCGCAAGCTCCCTCCGGATTGGATCCCTGGCACCCTGGATGCATATATGATTTCTCTGCGTGCGGTTTTCCTGGCCCTCTTGGGTGTGACGGTGTTGGGGGCATTGACTAGTCTCGCGATGCGTGAGCACAAGCTGCATAACAACCTGTCCCGGCGTTGAACAATTCCCCAGTATAACATGAGCTGTGTATACCCCTTTCGGATCAAAATCTTCGCAGATATAGAGTACACCGCTGCTTAGCCTAGCATTTCATAGTACTATACAGTTCCAGTACTAGTTCTACTGAATGATCTCCCTTCTATAGTTAACGTAATCCACTAGCGAGTGAGACACACGGGCCCGTGAGACAGAAAACCAGCTACTATAATTTCAACCCAATTTATTAAACCAACAACGCCATTGATTTCAAATTTCTATCTATTAGACCTATCAGGGCATTGCGTTCTTTTATGCCCTATTTGATGACAGTCGCTGCATCGCGGGGGTGCGCGTGTAATTGGCTGGGAAGCTGACGCAGCTGGTTCCGCCGGGGCAGTATTAGGAGCTTCATGAGCCTGGTTCATCGACTCCCTGGCTTCTTGGCCCGTAAAACCCTCCGTATGAGCTACGCGCTTAGTCGTTCTGTTGCGTTTTCGCTTTTGTGTCTCGTTTTCAGCCCGTAAATCGCGGACTTCCTTTAGAAGGATTGCATTAGAATGCAACGATTGCTGATAGCCCTTGAGGAGCTGATCAATAGCTTTATTCGTAGGCGTCGGAGGGCTTTGCGAACGTTTCTTAAGCAGTGCCTTGATTGAAGAGCCCTGTCGATTCAATTGTTTGAGATTTGCCGGCGTTTTAGGGCTCCACGCGCTCGATTGGCTCCCTGGTCGACTACCTGAGGGGGTAGGTGTCTGAAGTTGAACATCAAGCTTTGAAATGACCTGATCGGGATCATATGGTACTAAACCAGCTGCGACGAATGCATTTTGAATAGTCTCTGGTTTAAAGGCCTCTTTGCGAGCTTGTGGGAATGCTGCAAGGAAATCACTTGTCGATATGGTTGACCCCCAACCGTGCTTTGCGCTCAATCAAGCTCCCATACGCGCGCCTTAGGGGGGCAAAACAGCCTATATCCAAAGGCTGTAGTAGATGAGACGAATGCGGAGGCATGCAGATTGGAATAATATCATTTTGCTCGCACAATCGATCAAAACGGGGGGTCAAATGACTGCCATGGCCATCGAGAACTAGTAGTCGATATTTACCCCTAGTACGACTAGTAGTCGCAGGGATAAATAGCTTTTCTAGCCATCGAAGCCCAATTTCGTCTGTAGTCCAGCCATTCTCACTGATTTCGATTCTCCAATTGTCGGGTAGGTCATCAAACCATGCATATTGTTGGTACTTTGACGATTTGAAGATAATGCATGGTGGGAGTATAAAGCCCGTTGAATTCACACATTCAATCGATGTGACCCATTCGCGATTCCCTGGCTGTAGAACTGACCTCCGACCATAGTATTCAGCTCTTGTAATGACTTTCGCAGTGGCTATAAGCCCCATTGCGAAGCCAGTTTCATCAAAATTGTAGATATCCTCAGGTTGGATACCATTCTCATCGATCGTGCGTCGTACAAGGTCGAACCATGGTTTAATAACCCTTGGATCTTCGCATTTGCCCTCTCATAATTATATCGACGAGAATACCGCGATTTGAGCTCATCATAGCGCTCTGTATATCTGTAAACCCAATTGACTCCAACAGTCTGACTACCACGCTCTGCTAGTAGAATATTGGCCATATCCCTTACCATACAAGGCCGGGGAGCTGATCCACGTGTATCCATAGAGAGTATCCACCGTAGGAGCGATTCCTCTTCAGTTGGAGTCAATTTATAATTGCTGGCGCGGGTTTCCGACCGATGAAGTTTGCCATTGTATCGGCGATGGAGAGTTGCGGTAGGTACTTGAAATCGGCGCGCAGCTTCGCGAATTGATCGAAATTCTTCGTTCTGAAAGGCTTGTATTGCGAGCTGGATCCTACCTTCTTGGTTGATAGAATTTTGAGGAATTTGACTGCGAATTGGGGGCATAGTGGGTAGTTGAAATGAGGAGGTTGACGCGCTGGGGCGCGACCGCGGTTTCTGTCTCACGCGCCCGTGTGTCTCACTTGCTAGTGGATTACGTTAGTTACTTACTCGAAATAGACTTAGTCACCCGTTGACCGCCTGGTGCTGCCCAATCCCGCGAGTGCATCGCTGCACGTCTGCCCGCCGCTAACCGCCTGCATTTGTTGCCAACTACTCGACTCTACGCTACGCTAGTGCAGGTTGTCTTTGCGTCTCTTCTGGTTGGCAGGTCGCCCGCTTCTGGTGCATTGGTCGGCGTTTCCTGATTCGCCCCAAACCAGCTGCAGCTCTGCTTCTCCCCGAGTGGCGAGACGTGGTGACGCATCCGCAGCCAGCACAGAACATCTACACCGCTCGGAAGCAAGACTGAAAAAGTACGGGTTGCACGAGGTAAAGTGCTGTGAAGGCCTGTGGATGCTCCAAATAAAAGTTGCGCCCACCGCTTCCATTGCCTGATCATCGCCCCAAGCTGCACCTGTCCAACGTTGACTTTCGGCGCGCCAATTGACATCCGCTCGACTCACTTTCTCGAGCTCCTCTTCTCCCCCCCGATCTGACCTCATTCTTTGACCCTGGATCTCCATCCATCACGCCTCCACTTTCACCATATCTACACTTTCGCCTACGTCGATCGTTGCCTAGGTAGTTGCTTCGGAATAGCAGCTAGCCTTCGGTCCGATTCAGCAACAGCGACTGAGTACCTTACCACTGGCAGTCACGACAACGATAAAGCCGGATAGAAGATCGGGTACACAAGGATTGTGACACTTGGCGACATGGAGGTGGATGGCGATAGCGAAGAAACGGTGATCGGCAACAAAGAAGGCTATCGAGTCTATCGCGATGCAGCGTCGTTGCGCCAAAGACGCCGGCGCCTCCTGCTGTCGACCGACAGCGCGTTCGCCGATGCCGTGCTCCCATCGCTCATACAAAACCCATACATCGAGCTTCGCCTGATTACCGACGAACCTTCAGCTCTCTTGACCGGCACAAACAAGATTCCGCATTACATGGACACGGTGGATAGCCAGACCTTTGATAAGAAGACAGGAGCACGGAAATGGCTGAAGGCAAAGACGGCTGAACTCTGCGAGTGGGCCGATATGCTCCTGGTCGCTCCCATTGACGCTGGCGCTCTGGGATCCATGTTGGCGGGTTTGACCAACACTTTGACCTTGGCGCTTCTGCGGGGTTGGGTTTCTTCGAAGCCGGTGATCCTTATTCCAGGCATGACGGTATCAGAATGGGACCATCCTTTGAGTACTCGGCAGCTGGAGGAGATCAACCGATTCTGGCGGTGGATTCGCATCGTCAAGCCGGTGCTATGGAAGTCCAATGGACCCGAAGACCTCACACCACTTGCTTGGGATGGGCTGAGCGATCTGCACAGATCGCTGGAGACATACTTGTGCTTGTCACCATGGGACGTCTCGAAAGGAAGTGCAGCATCGGGAAATGAATCACAAGCATCATCGACCTCAAAACCTATCGGCCCATCAAGCAAAGTGACCAGTCTCAAAACCGCCTCCGCTCTTCGCCATCTACAAACGCACTGGCCCAACCCTGAAGGAAAAGTGCAATCACTCCCTCTAGAGATCTGGCTCAATATCTTTGAGGACCAACTAGGCGACTGGGAAATAGCCAAAGCAGTCGGAATCCCAACCAATATCCCCGTCCCGCAAGAATGGCAGAGCCACTTGCTGAAGATGTCCACACCCGCTTCCCTCGAATACACCATCCTCCGCGGATCATCCGCCGCTATCAAGAAACGCATCGAGGCGTTACCCAGATGGAAACCTCTCTCCGACCTCGCTTGCCACCTTATCGTCAAATTCTCCCGAACCGATATTCTCTCCTACCTTACCGAAAACCACCTCGACCTTCTCTGGACCACCTCTCGCCTCACCAACATCCCCTATCGTGCATCCGCAATCTACGGTAACCCGACAGTCTTGACCTGGTGGCGTGATGCCCCTGCACTTCCGAACAAAGAATACATGGCCGATGCGATGGACGGGGCCTCCCGCGCCGGCTTCATCCATGTCCTTGACTGGTGGCTCAACTCTGGTCTTCCATTACGATACACCGAACGCGCTCTGGAATCCGCCAGTGCAGAAGGCCGCGTCGCCGTTCTCGACTGGTGGAAATCCGCCTCGGCAGAGGCATCCCCATACAAACCCCTCCCACTAAAAGTGGGTAAATCCGTCCTGCTCGCCGCACAATCCGGCCGCACCGCATCTCTAGCATGGTGGGACGCATCTGGTATCCCATACAGCCACGCAGAAAACGTTGCTCGAATTGCGAGCACCCACGGCCACGTGCACGTTCTCGACTTCTGGTACAGACTGAAAGGTCCCAAGATGATCTTCGACAATCAAGTACTAGTCGGTCCAACAAAGAACGGCCACGATCATGTTTTGCAGTGGTGGAAAGATTGTGGTCTACGCGTTGAGTTCAAGACGTGCGATATCGAGGAAGCGCTCGAGGATGCGGTTTCTGGCGCTGATGGTCGTGTTCGGAGCTGGTGGGAATGCAATGGTCTTAACTTGGGCGTCGGCACACGCGAGTGGATGAAGCCTAAGGTTCTCTGAATTATGCACTAGCTTCTTATTTTCATTTTTGGATTCCGGGGTGTTGAGGGTGATGGGACATAACTATGCATGTATATCCGTGTTTATTGCCTTCCAACAGTTGGCCTTTCTTTCTTGTCCATACTTGTTTACGCTGATGACTATGATGATGACCCATAATGCCTAGTTGAATTTCTTTTGACTACTAGTAGTCGTAAATACATGTAAAGTAGCAAGTAACCCGCCCATACAAAGCTCTAGACCCAAATCACTCCAATCTCTCCTTAACCACATGCTTAACATCCGCCCTCTTAACCACATCCCGAATATCACTAAAATTCACCCACGCCTCAGTCTTAGCAAAACCAGAATGACCTCCACAGAATTCCATACAGAGAAGAGCATGAAGTCCCCGTCTTCACAATCCTCCAAATCAGCCCTCCACGCGCCAGAAGTCGCGAAGCGAGCCGTATACGACTTCAGCCCTAGATGGCCTATAGCAAAGGCTTGGTAGAGCTCGTCCTTCTTGCTCGGCTCAATGAAGCACCGCGTTAATGTGATGACCGGTGCGTTGAGGGGATTGTAGATTCTGAGGGCTAGAGTTTATTCATATGTATGGTAAGGAATTGTTCATTAGGCGAGGGGTAAAAATGTACCTCCAGGTCGAAATGAACCATCCACTCTACATCGATATCAGTTTTTGAGTCGTTCAAGATAGCTCTGGTTTTGTTCGGGTGCGATCCACTGGTCGTATTTTGCGACTTGAGTCCCAGCCGCTCAATAGGTAGATGTAGGTTGGGTCTTCCACTTGGCGGAAGAAGTGGACTTGATAGCTTGAGTATGTTGATTGGGCATTTCGGACCTCTTTTAAGGTTGTCTCTGTACTGGTGGATGGGTCTTGGTTTTGAAGTGTAGAAAGGCGAGCTTGGTGACGCCCATCTTGTTGGATTCTCGTATGACCTTTTTTTTTTTTTTTTTTTTTTTTTTTGTTTCAGTAAGCAGAGACAGATGTGAAATAAGGGTGCACAGTGGGTGATGTTATATCTAGAAATTACGCAATTAATGCTCTTCGCTACTTCGGGGGCCGAGATTTAACTTCACGAGGCGGTGGATCCTTGCTGCTTGTTTCATTTTGGTTTCCATTTTCCTGAAGCGGCGAGCATCATAATTGAAGCTTCTTAGGTATGGTATCTCCAAAATTCGTCTGGTACAACACCTCCAGGTGGTCTCGTATCTGATCTTGTCTTGCTACTGGTTTGGTAGTTCAGGTTTGTTATCTCATCGCCAACACGGTCGTGTCATTGGGTATAGCGTTATGGTGCTAGGAATAAATAGATACAAAATAGTGAGCTGCTAAAATGACGCCTACAGCCCGGAGGTTATATGCGGAAGCATGGATTATACCTCCTTCCTGTGATGTGGTCAGAGGGAACACGGAAAGATATAGCCGGGCGTAGAACTTACCATGCGTAACCACTCTTCTCAATACCAGGTGTCTTGATGGCATTGTGGTTTCCAAATGGATTGTCTTCGTCGTCTTCCTCCTCAGACGAAGACTCATCACTCTCACTGTCGAATATCTGTCGGGTGTGCTGAGAAGACGAGGCGAGAGGGAGATTTGGCCGTGGGGGCTTGGGTGGATTGATGCTAAGTCCGTTAAAGCCTTGTCCCATCTCCTCCTCGATTTCCGCTCTCGACCTCCAGTTACCAGAGAGAACATCGTCGTCACTGTCACTGTCATAATCGACACTCTTATCCAACACCTCAAAGGCCATTAATGCCGTGACCAGTTCTTCATTGGCATGGATCAGACCACCCAGGAACTCCTCGCTCTCGATGTGCTGGATATACCGCAAGATTTGGTGTCGGAGCTTCTTGCAGATATTGAATCGACTAATGCATTCAGCATCCTCGCTTACACGGGTCGTCTCGCGGTTTACCAGCTTAAGCGCATTGAGCAGGTTAGTACTTGCAACGGATGCCGAAGCTAGTGTCTGTAGAATCTCCGGCCGTTCACGCTCAAGGTTGAAGCTTCTGCTGACAATCGACAGCTTCTTCTCTTTCTTGTCCTTCGATTTCTTCTGCTTCGGGCTGCTGAGCGTCGTCGACGGTCCATTACCCGCAGAGACGGAGACGGTGTGGCCCATTGGTGCCTCTTTAGGGTTGTTAGCGCCTTCGCGAAGAACCTTGGCTTTGGCCTGCGTGGCGGGCTGTTTCCGCTTCGGTAGCTGCTTGTAGAGCGCGGTGACCTTGGACATCCCCGGTGTATCCTTGTATGTCACGGCCCACTGACCGAAGAGCACTTTGCATTTTTGTTTGACCAAGGGGTCGGAGACTGGGTCTGTTCCCGCGATGCGAAGGCGTTCCAGGAGGGGCTCGTCGGCGAATTCCCGAAGGAAACGTTCACCGGCATTTTGGATGAGAAAATCGAGGATGGTCAGCGCCCGCAGCTGTCGGTGGAGATTTCCATATTTCCTATTGACCTTGTCAGTATAGTCGACTCGAAAATCGGTAGGCGAACATACAGCTTCTTGCGCAGTGCCCGACTGGCTTCCGTGGGACCGCTGGCTTGGATGCGAACGACCTCCACCAGGTCGACGATACCGCTGGAGTCTTCCACTTCATATTGTTCGCTTGTCAGGACTTCTATCTGCACTGTCACCGCCGAGTAGGGTTTCTGTGACCGACGTAGGATAAGGGTTAGTATCAAAGACGGTCTCGCAGGATCGCTTATCGCGCGACGGGCTCTGCTTACCGATGACTGAAACATGATGGCGCAGCTCAGGAATGCGACTGGGAAGGTTGTGAGAAATGTAACAACCGGTATGCCGGAGGAATAAGGTGCTGTTTAGGCGGTCGAATTCGATCAGTCAACCACGATCCCCGCGTCAAGATAATGGCGTCCCCCCGTATCAAAACCCCGCACAGTCGCAACTGATTTTCGGATGAAACGAGGCTCGTGGGAATTGAGCTGCCTTGACAATAGCGACAACCGCGCCTGGTCGCTGGCTCTGCTGAGGAGTGTCGAGAATCTGCGGGGATATTTGCAGGAAGTCCCCGGGGTTGAGCAGTGGTGTGATTGTGGTGTCGGTGACGTCGGAGGCCGCAGGAGGATCCGCTGGGCGATCAACGGTGCGAAGAGGGGCGCCAGCGGGCCGGGCGAAGGTGAAACGAGGAAACGACGAGACGATCAGAGATGCCCACAAAACCCGCACAATGAGAATGTGTTCAAAATCCGTTTGGCCGCAAAACGACGGCCGTCCAAAGTCAGAAGAGATCCCCGTGACTCTTCCGGCCAGATCGGGACTAGTTAGTTAGAGCGAGGTGCCTCAATTTCCAGTCACCCACGCGGGCGTAGCAGCTTAAGCATTATCTAAACTAAGACAACTGACGCACTAAGTGGGATGCAGTAATTGATACGAGGCATCTCATCTACAGCTGAGCCAGAAGCAATTGGACGAAATCGAACGCAATTGACCCCCAGCAGCTGTTTCCAGCAGTGCCCCGTACATGAGGAGTTCCTCAGCCAACCTGCTACGTGTGCTGTCCCGCCTCGTTGTCTGCTCCACCCTCATCCTGGCGCTCAGCGTGGCCCTGAAGACCCGCTCCCGTTTCGCTCTCCTCTTCCCCTCCTTCTCATCCCACCACCCCGCCACCATGTCCTACTCCCAAGAACGCTACATTGCCGAACTCGCCGTCCAGCGGGCCACCCTGCTGACCCAGAAGGTCTTCTTCGAGAAGGCCAAGGGTACTGTTTCCAAGGATGACAAGTCCCCCGTCACCATCGGCGACTTCGGCGCCCAGGCCCTGATCATCCAGGCCATCCGCAAGAACTTCCCCAACGACGAGATCGTCGCCGAAGAGGAGGCTAGCTCCCTGCGCGAGGACAAGGACCTGAGCGCCGAGATCTGGCGTCTGGTCAAGGACATCAAGCTCGAGGATGCGGAGAGCGACAACCTGCTCGGCGGTCCCCTAGCCAGCGAGCAGAATATGCTGGACATCATCGATGAGGGCAAGAGCGCTGGTGGCGGCAAGGGCCGTATCTGGGCTCTGGACCCCATTGACGGCACCAAGGGTTTCCTCCGTGGCGGCCAGTACGCCGTCTGCCTTGGTCTGATCGTTGACGGCGACGTTAAGGTCGGTGCCATTGGTACCCCCAACTTGCCCGTTGATGCCGCCACCATCGACGCCAACACCGGTGCCCAGCAGGGTGAGACCAATGATAATGGCGTCCTCTTCTCCGCCATCCTGGGCGAGGGTGCTACCAGCCGCCCTCTGTCCAACGGCGCTCTTGCCCCCAGCAAGCCCATCTCTATGCGCCCCGTCCCCGACATCGCCCAGGCTGTCTTCTGCGAGGGTGTTGAGGCTGCCCACTCTGCCCAGGGTGACAACGCTGCCGTCGCTGAACGTCTCGGCATCACTGCCCCTAGCGTTCGTCTGGACTCGCAGGCCAAGTACTGCTCGATCGCCCGTGGCTCCGGTGACATCTATCTTCGTCTCCCCGTGAAGAAGGACTACCAGGAGAAGATCTGGGATCACGCTGCCGGTGACATCATCGTCCGCGAGGCCGGTGGCCAGGTCACCGATATCTACGGTGCCCGTTTGGACTTTAGCAAGGGGCGGACTCTTGCTGCCAACAAGGGTGTCGTTGCCGCGCCCAAGGCTCTCCAGGGCCAAGTCATTGACGCCGTCAAGGTCGTCCTGAAGCTGTAATTATTTGCTATTTGCTAGCTTGTTATGCTGCCGTGTCCTTCCAGCTATTGAACTGAGCTGATTGGAGGCCATTGGCTAGGATCACGCTTGATGCGTACAAAGTACATTTGTGATACCAATCGAAGGAAAGGGTTCTAAAAAGACGTGGAGGATGAAAAAGTACATATATGGAGATAGAGTATAAGAATACAGGGAACCAAAAAGAGATGCAATGTTCCAAAAGAGAAAACACACGAGCCCACGGATTATTTGATCTTCTTTGCCTTGAGCTTGATGGTCTCTCCGTTGACGAAGATACCCTTGCCCTTGTACGGCTCCGGCCGTCTCCACTCGCGGATCTCAGCAGCAAACTGTGTCACCTTGCGCTTGTCGACGCTCTCTAGGAGAATACGGGTGGGTTGCGGAGTGCTGGCCTGGACACCTTCGGGAATGCCCAGCTCAATTGGGTGGGAGAAGCCGACCTTCAACGAGACGAATTGTTGTCCAGGGTAAGTTGGGGAAACGGTTGTCGCCTTGGGCTCAATGGTGGCCCTGTATCCGACACCAACAAGACTCAGAACACAAATGTGGCCTTCAGAGACACCGGTAACGTGGTTTTGGAGGAGCGCGCGGATTGTTCCTGCAGTTGAGCCATCTGTTAGAGATTTTGGACAAGAGAATGCGGAGAGAAAGTAAACACGTACCCCACATAGCACGCTGGTGCGGGATCTCAGTATCCTGGATAGACAAGGTCGCCTTCGAGGTAGCCGTGTCGTGGTTCACAGTCAGGAAAGATGGGAGATCGAGAGACATCTCGCCTTCAATTTCGCGCCAGTTAGCAAACCCGGGTTCCAATTATCGTCTTTGGTACGGGCAACATACCCCTGGGACCCTTGATATGAGCGGCATGCGTAGGAACATCCTTTCCACGGCCCCGGTTCAGACCCTTGGGCAGATCAACGAGGGAAAAGGTCACCTCGGGGGGAACGGAGATGGCGGCGCCTCCGACTCGGGATTGCGCTGGGGAGGTGGTCGAGAAGCATTGCGCGCGCGACGGGGAAAATGCGGGGGTGAGGAATAGGGGTAATGAGCCGTGCTGAAAAGGCTCTCTGAGGAGCTGCCGGGCGCAGCGCTGGGGTAGACACGACATGATGTTTGGCGTGTTGGACAGAGCTCCGCTGCGGACTCGATGATTTTGTCGGAGGATAGGCCCGACTCGATTGGGTTAGCTCGCACGTGATGTCCATCTGGGGATCGATTTTTGCCTGAGAAGTATGGCGGAGATGGCGGAGACGGCTTTACCTGGTTACACTGCTTCGATTTTCAAGTTATTCTGCAGACTCTTGATTTCAAGTTTTAATCATTATTTCGATGCTCAACATCGTTTTACACAGAAAAACATTTTTGCACGAGAGCCACTGTCTGCATAATTGTCATCTAAATACGATCTCCCTTAGTTCTCAAATTTAGATGAACAAGTCGGATTAACTAGCCACGGGGTATTATTATTGATTGGAAATCACATCCCCAGTAAAAGCACAATCCTTGTAAAGGCCATAATCATATACACAAAATCCATAGCACCAACTTCACAATATTGTACCCTAATTCGTCTGACACATTCGTCAGGGTATGTATCCACCATCAACCGAAACATAATGCCAAGGGAGTTCGGAGGGCGAATTCTCACTTCTTCTTCTGGGCAGTTCGCCAGAAAGCTCTTGCCGTAGTCGATTATCGGCTTCGAGTTCGTCTCGAGCGGGAGAGTCATCGCTTAGCTCGCAGCGCACGTTGGTCTCTCTTTCTAATTCGGACTTCTCGTGCTTGGGCGTCCAGTTCATGATGCGGCGTAGGCAAGGTGGGAGCAATGGATCTTTCGAGTTCGGCCGGATTTGAGGATATTTGCGAACGACGGCGTAGACGGAGAAAGTACCATATCAGCCCGGCGATGATGAGCACACCGCAAACGCCTCCGACCACAACGCCAGTAATAGCGCCTTTGTTGGATTCTTTGCTGTCTTTCAGGTGAAAGGCAGTTAGCTTTATCGAGCTTCACTACACCCAAAAAAGAGCCAAGAAAGGGATCAACGGTATTGTCACTTACTGGTGGAAGTCACACGAGTCGCAAGCCTCAGGCTTCCATCATAAGAGGAATTGTGAGATCGTATCCATCCCATATCATTACAACCATAGATTCCATGGGATCTCTTCTCTGTGATGTAGCCTACTTGACCCTAATCACAAAAAAAGTATCCATTGTTCTGCCACAAGGTCTAACTTGAGTTGGCACAAGTAGTTGAAACCAGGACGTTTCTGTGTTTTTCGTCCTCATATTGCCAATTTGCACTCTCATCATTTATCCATCTTCAAGGGAATGGGACAGCACGCGAAGTAGTTGTCAGATGTCTCGTTTTTATGCTCATTATCGTACCAGGTGCCGTAGCGACGGATTGCGTAGCCGGTTCGAATTTGTGAATCGTCAGAACTACCTAAACTGGCCGAGGGCGACATCATAGAGGGTTGTGAAGGAGAGTGCGATTTCCCTGGGCCCGAGGGCCATGGATATACAACTTGGTTCGCCCAGGGAATCCAATGCGGCTAAATTTGGGGGCCTCGTGGAAGGCTAACGTGTGCGAGGAGAGCGAGCGTTGCGCTATCCAACGTAAGTGATAGCCGTGTCGATCAGCCACTTTTAAATCCGGGGTTTACCTTACATCCGAACTTACTAGGTAGTTTCCTGGGCACACGTCGAGACCTGGAACTTTGGAAATACCTGGCGCTCCTCCGTTCTTGGATCATATTTTGGCCGATGGCTGTGGCTGGTTGAAAATTTCGATTGGTTGTTATTCCCGGGGTTGCTGTGCCTTGAGCCATTCCAGCCTCAGGACCCTGTCCGCGTGTCACACAGCCCATTTTAGTGACATAATCAACCCGGACGGAGCTTACGCCTTGTGATTAGTTGTGCAGAGGAAGATCGACCAGTCAGGCGGCTGGGGGGGGGGGGGGGGGGGGCTTGACTGTGGGCCGTGGTAGTGGAAGCAACGGCTGAGCACTAGCCGCATTGTACAATACTATTCATCTATAGAAAGGTAGAATACCATGGGCCGGATTTCTTCTCTAGTAACACGGATTTATTGGGTCTGGCATGCCGATTACTGTTCTGTGATAGTACTACTTCATGCTCGAGGTAATGCCATACTAATTAGCCGTGCAGCAGCTCTTCTAGACAGCAATCCCTTAAGCAACTAATTCCAAGCAGTTCAAGTTCATCAGAACCCGGGAATACATTTACATCACTTTACGTGTTTGTTTTCCTTTCACATGACACCTCACAGTACTGCATCCAACAGTACCAGGCACGTATGAAAGCAACTCCGACCCCCTCCAGCCTCTATTGCTAGTATGCTAATCGAAGTCTCTTACTACATCACATGCGATATTCAGCTCCTTTTCTCTTTACATCATGGGATTCTCGGAATAATATTGTGGTGCTTCAAAACATCTGGCACGCCGGCATATTAACAACATCCAATCTTCGCGAACCTTCACGATCGTGAAGATATCAAAACCGTGAAATCATATGCAAATTATCTTCAACCCTTCACTTCTTGGTGCTTCGTTGATCCCCTTAATGTCAATGCTGGCAATCATCGCCATCTTAACAAGTCTCATAGGCGTACCATTGGAGACAAATTGTATAGTTCGGCATGCATTGCCGCGAATTGAATCAATCCCATTATTGCCTCATTTCGAGGCCATGTCCAGTAATTTCACTCGAGACTTTTCACGTGCGTACAAAACCTTCATCAATGATTTCGAGTCCCAATCACATGCCACATCTCGAGGGTCTTCTCAGGATGTGAACTTAATTTATCTGCCGCTTCTCACCAACTCCAACCTTCCCATGTCAACTCTCCTATCGTCTATATCAGACTCGGTGATCATTACTCCTCAATTTACTCGTTATCCCCTGATCTTTCCCGAATCCTTCCCGAGCCCACCTTTCCATGCTTTCGAACATACTGCAAAAGGCAGATCTACAGCAGAGGTAAGAATCAAGCTCGGCTCACGCCTCGGCGATCTGGTCACCATGAGACGACTCAACCCCGGCCGAGTCCTGCTCGTGCTGCTCACTTTCGTACTCAACTTGGCCGCATCTGGCCCAACACATACAGCGGACACCTTCGGTATGCTCGCATAGAATGAGCGCACTTTGTTCAGAACACGATGCTAATATGAGTGAGCTAGGAAACCTGGAAGACCTTTCTGAAAGAGCGCGGGGTCGAGGCAACAAGGGTCTGCTACCCAAATTTGGATCGAGAGATCAACAACAAGACGCATTGTCTGTTTTCACCGAGGCCCAGCAGCTAATCAACTCGATTGAGACACTGCCGTCTTGCACTCGAATCGCCACGAGCAATCTTATTACCTCATGCAACGAGATTGATGCAAGGGATGTCGTCAATTCCGATGTATACGAGAGATTAGAGCACGCCAAATCAATTTATGCTGCTCGACTGGCTATTTGTGAGCTGGGTGGCGCCGGTGAACCGGTCCCTCCTGCCTGCACTCCGGTGACTACGGCAACGCCGACGGCAAGATCTCGTTGGCCATTCTGGAACAAGGCTCCTGTTCCCGAACCCACCGATACATTCGATGTCGTTTCAAAGACCGACCTGGAAAAGTGCCTGAAGGCTCTAAAATCAGGCTCGCAAGGCTGGACCTCATACAGCAACAACAGACAGAATGCAGTGGTCATCTGCCAGACTTCCCGAGGCGAAATCGAAAAGGCGGAGCTACTTCATGCTCATCGGCGGATGGCTCTAGTCGACCAGAAGCTGTACCAAGCACAGAAACAGGCTCTACACGATGCTGCTGTGGGCTCATCCGAGCACAAAGCCTTTCTCAAGGAGTTGAAGGTCATGCAAGAAAGCTTGGCCACGAAGCTGCAAGAGTCTGTGGCAAACACCCAGAACGTCTTCGGAAAGCTGCTCCGCGAGGTTCAAGACGGGCTGAAAGTGATCGGCACCCAGTTCACCATTTCGATGGTGCAGGTTCGTGGAGAAGTCGGAAATCTGGAGAAGGTAATTAATATCAACCCCCAATTTTTTTATTTTTTTTGAGAAGATCTGACAGCCATGCAGAGCATCCAGGGTACTTCCGACTCGCTGAGTGGTCTTCGGAAGGCCCTGAGAGAACTGCGAACAGAGGCGGTTTCTCAGAAGACGGAAATGCGTCAAATGCACGACGAGAATGCCTTGGCCGGCCGCGAGGAGGCGTCACGAGTTGTATGTTCGTTTGCCCGCTTTTGATAAAAAAAATTATGCTAATCCTGGCCTTCCAGGACTGGCTTGGTGGGCAAATCATGGGTGTCATCGCCCTCCAGGTCCAGGTGATCGAGGTACGTACTCTTACCTGTAATCGATCTAAGAACGACATTTGCTAACTCCAGTAGCAACTAGAGACCACGGTAGCTCTTGCCGACGAGCTGCAACAAAAGCAGCAGACTCAAGCCGACGCCATGGATCGGGTGACCAGCGCTGCTGTGAACTTGCAGACGGCGATGAACGATATGGCGGAGAGGCTCAAGTACGCCCAGGGATTACATTCTGGGGGTATCCCCGTATGGACCCTGTGGGTTCTCGTCGCCATTTTGATATGGTTCGAAAGCCCGATGGTATCCATCATTGCTTGCCTTTTCCTTTTGTCCCTGGTCTTCGGTATGTGCCCCTATCATCCCACCAAGTAAAAACAGCACAGGCTAATATTTGGGCAACAGGTAACACCATCCAGGCGACTTTTTCCAATTTTTTGCAGCTTTTCGGTTTCTTCTGGCATTCCGGCCAGTGAAGGTTTGGTTTTCTTTTCCCCTGTAGGGGTTTTTCCTGTTTTTGCTTTCTATAGGCTTTCACTTTTTGGTTTCCCCCACTTCACTTCTGACTTACATTCTTACTCTTTAGATTATCTTGTATTTGCATTTACACCATCCCCTGATGTATGACCGGAGTTCTTACCTCGATTCAGCAATATGATATACTCCTTTCCTTATTTTAACGTTGCGTCCTTTCATCTGTCATTTTCGGGGTGAAGCAATCTCCACATTGTAAAATCAGTGTCTCATGAAACTCCAATCAGCCCGAGGCCGTAGATGGGCGTGCAATCTAGGCGCCCGGGGGGTGGATCTGATACAAGATTGCGGTGTTTCACCCTCGAATATCCGGAGCACCGCCACTGCAGACAGCACTAGTCCACCCAGTGTATGCTGTCAGGGCGGGTCGGGCCCCAGATTTGGTCCACCGCAGCCAATGGTAGCCATTCTATGCGCGGGCGACATCTGGACTATCAGCACTGGACTGCTCCCCGACGCCCCTGAACCCTCGACATGCAAAGGTTTACGCCGGCAATAGCGTAGAGTCAAAAAAGCCAAGCGCGGCAGAGCGCAACTCCCGTCCGGAATGATGTCACGTGGTTCTGCGCGTTGATGCCTTCGAGGGGAAGGTGCGTCCTCGCCTGCTCCCACCCAGTTCCATTTACTCTTCTTCCTCCCCAACACAACCACAACGCGTTCCCCATATCTACCATCTCACCGCAACCATCCTACTCCAACGCATCTCGATTCATTTCTTTCCTCGATAACCATCATGCCCGGCGTTCGTAAGTGATCTGAATAATCACTGCAATCCTCTGCGTCGTGTTCGTTGATCGATTTCCCCGAGCTAACCCCACATTAGCTCCCGACGCCTTCGCCCAGATGAAGAAGGGCATCAAGAACCTCTTCCGCCGCAAGAAGGCGAAGAAGAACCAACAAGAGGAAGATAAATCCAACTCTCCTGCTGATGCCACGACCGGCGCCACCGCCAACGATTCCACCACCGATGCTCCCGACGCCGCCCCTGCTCCTGCTCAGCCTGCTGCCCAGCCTGCTACTTCCACTGCTGAATCCGCTGTCCCCACTGGTGCTGCTGAGCCCGTCGAAGCTCCCGCTGTCGAGGCCAAGCCTGCAGAGACTACTACTTCTGCCCCTGCTGCGGAGACCGAGCAGCCCACGGCCACCGGCACCAATGGCTCTACCGGTACGTTAAGAATCTCTCAAACCCACAGACGGTCCTTCTCGCCACGGTCTTTTATATTAAACGAACCGTCGCCTGAGCTGGCCCTCGGAGGTTCCCCGCTGACGCGCCATCCCCTTCAGCCGCCCCCGCTGCTCCCACCGCCGACAACCCTGCTACAACCACTGCTACAACCACCGGTATGATGCTCCCTTTCAGAACAATGGATCCAATTCCCGAAAACAGTGAGCGAGGTCCAGGAGACCATCGGGATCCTGGTTTGAAAAGCGAAGTACTGATTGTCACTAGACACAACCAAGTAAACCCGGCACCGCGCTCCCCGACCCTACCTGGATAGTATCTAGGCTCCGGTACGTATTTGATCGTTTTCGGACTAGCGGTGCCGTTATGGATTGCGGTTTCTTCTTTCCTACTTTTCCTATTTTCTGCCGTGGTCGCCTTTTTTGCGGCCTGCAGCACATACCGGCAGTGACACAAAAGCTCTCGGACATTCCATCATGCGCTGCTTTCAAGTTGTTTAATTAGTCGCACAATACCCTTTAATGTAGAGGTCATCGTTGACCTCATTCTGCAATGAAATTTTCACAGTCAATTCCCATGAGCAGATGTTCAGAAACATTAATTGTAGGGTATCATTAGACTCCGGGTAGATCTATACACTGATAATGCAGCAAGCTACTCCTCACTTCCCGACGATCCATCGCCATCTGCCATAGTCACATCTTCAATGGCAACACCAGCTGCAGCAGCTTTAGCAGCCTTCTCCTCACGAGCCTTTTGCCGGCGTTTGATCTTTCGCTCGCGGTTCTTGCGATTGCGCTTTTCAGCCTCGTTCTCCTTGGCCACCTCTGCCGCTTTCACCTTTTTGCGCAACTGCACGCGTCTCTTCTTGCCGGGCTTCTTCTTTGTCTTTGGCGATTTGGTCTGTGCTCCTTCAACCACGTAGACAGGGACATCCTTTGCGGTCCGGGGTAACTTCGTCTGATGGCGTTTGAGGTGGATCACGCGCCAAGGTCGATCGCATCCAGGCTATGAATAGACAGTCAGTCTTAGCTCGCAGAAAATCTTTGGGATCTATGCCCTTTACGAAAACCTACCCATGGCATGGCCTTAGCCCAGGCCAACTGTTCACTGCTCACGGCGATTTCTTCAAATTGGCGCCTCTTTTCCAATTGCCGCGCTTCCTCGTCCGAGTTTTCATCATTCAATTCATATAGTGAGGGACTCGTGAAATAATACTGCCATCCTCGGAAAGCTTTCACGAATCTTCCATCTTCGGGATTCGTGGATATGGGTGTCGGAGAGCGCATTCGGATGCGCAGTTTGTGTGTCCCTTCATCGGCGGTATTTTTGTTTCCGGATGATCCTTTCTCCTTTTTGCTGGATTTCTGTTGCGCTGAGTCGGTATCTTTGGGTTTGGAAGGCGCACTGAATAGGCGGAATTCGAACTCCTGCTCGTCCGCCTCGTCGCCACCAGCTTGCGGTTGTTGTTCGGTTTCTTGACCCGCTGTATCTGCATATCCTGTTCCAAGTAGACTGTCCAGGTTGAGGAGCTTTCCTAGGCGGTCGTGGGCGTCTTGTAGCTCGGCCTCGTCGGCGGGTGACGGGGAGCGACTTGAGGCTGGCGATTGGACCTCGTCGCGGCGGACCCTATGAATGAGTTAGATATTGCTTCAACATTGGGAAAAGTGCAATTGATGCATACCGCTTCGCTGTGGGAAGGTCAAACATGGTGATTGTTGCGGGGAGTGCTGAACGATCCGAACAGTCAAGGAGGGAAAAAAAAGGCGGCGGTGGTGAAAGCGCTCGGGGTGCAACTGCCACGCTGCGGCCACGCACCGCTTATCGATGACATCGCACGGACTCCCAGCCTCACTCTGCCCTCTGCAACTTCGTCCACAATTTGTCGCGACTAAGGTATTTTTTACTCTCTACGCCGTTTCCTGCCTTTCTTTCACACTGCCCAGGGCGTCGTCTACACTCCTTACCCAATCTCGTCCTACTCTGCCGTCCCGATCGGCAAACCCCCAGAAAGAGAGCGGACGGTAGAACCACCCGCCCGCTGCATCGACAATTGGGGGTTGTTTAGTGTCTCGTGCAGCATTGTATCGTGCGCCCTTTTCGATCCGATCTTGAAACCGCGTCACCAAAATGGGTGTCTGCGCCTCCTGCCTTGGCGGGGCTCGCAATGACTCTCCGGAGGTAAGTCACAATGTATTCGGTCTCTGCAGCGCAGGATGTCGGGGCACATGTTTAATTCTTGTTGCCTCAGTCTATTGCGCGATGCTTGAGACGCTTTGAAAGAGCATCATACTGACATTAGTGAATTCCAGCCAGAGTCTTCGCGCCTGCTCGACGACGACCCTTACCAGGCGGGGTATGGCTATGGTGCCCTGAATTATACCCAACAGGCGAACCAGCCGGATCCGGAATACGTGAGACGCGAGAGGGAAGCGCTGGATGCTATCTGTCAACGAACGTCAGAGTAAGTCTGCCCTGCAATTTTGAAATTGAATTGTCAAACGCATGGTTCTGCTTAAATTGTTTGGAAGTTTGTTGCTAACTCGTTCTATCTCCAGCTCCGTTATCGACATCTGGTCCCTCCAACCACAATCTCATCTCCAACCCCAAGCAACCCTCCACGCGCCTGCCTCCGCATCGCCCTCGCCTAACCCGAATGAGTCGCACCTCACCGTCACTTCCGACCACGCTTCGCAATCAAGCCGTCCCGCATCTCGCGGTACTGTGCCGAAACATTGGGGCGAAGTCGTCGTGAACCCCAAGCGGTCCCGCTCGGATATCAAGACCGACGCCAATGTCAAGGCGGACCGTGATGTTTTCGGTGTGCTGAAGGTTAACTAAGTTGTCTACTCAGCCTACAGCAATGGCCACCGGAGGTGCTCCGATACGTTCTCGAAGTGAACTTCATCATATTACACGATAACAACGATGAATACGAAGGAAGGCCACAAGTCATGGGCTCATAAGCTCAAATTAACAGTGGGTCTCCTCTACATTAAATGAGACCTTTCAGAGCCTGTGCGGAAGTTCTCCGCGTATGCGCCTGTATGTTCGAAGCCCGCTTGTCTCGGGTTTTACTTTTCTGCTTGATGTTGCATTAATCGCCGGTCGACTGTTTCGCACATACTTAGCCACTCACTTGTCTTTTCCTTCATCTGATAATACCCACGATGCAGAACCCTTTGTCAACAGATTCTCTTTTCGTTTTGATTTGCGCTTGACAGAGTTTTTTGCCTCCGCGAACACTCACTTGGACCAGATATTCCGTGGCTCCTTGTTTTGATATTGGTTTACATTCATGTATCATTGTCTATCACGCTCCTTTGCACCTGCAATACCTAGAACAATACAAAAATTATGAAAATCCATCCTAATCAAGTAATGAACGACAGACAACGCCAAGAAGAGGCCCCCGAGGGGTTACATCATTCCAAGTCCATCTTTAGCACGCCCGAAGCGTTGCAAGGCTGTGTCGGTGGGGGCCGTGAACCAATTATCCTCGGTGCAGATCAGTTCGTGAATGAGGCTGTGGCTGGTTGATGGCTTTTTTAATCTTTCTGCACATCTTCGCTGCAGAAACCCTTACCCCGAGTCCCATACACGATCGTTCAAACTCTTATCGCATACTCGGAAAACCCAAGCGTCCCGTTGATTTTCATACAGCACCTTTCAGATTCTTGAAGAGCTTTCTGTCTGCATAAAGTTTCAACTGCTCGCATCAACTCAACCACACTCATAGTGTCTGCTCTTCAAAATGGGGAATCCAAATCTCGCCAGCAGCCAAACCGAAGAAAAGCAATCTATTCCACCTCCGTACTCTCCGCCTGACCCTACACCAGCCAATCAAGCAAACATATCAACCAGTGCATCTCGCAATGGGTCTATCCGACCTGGGGACACAGTTGCCGCGGATGAATGCATCATCCATCTAAAACTTCTGTCTACGATTGCCAATCTCCGGAAGTTCATCAAAGGAACCGACAGGCTCTTCGGAATACACGACAGCGAAGCCAAGAACTTTTCCGATCCCCGCAAACAATCTCAAGCGGTGACTCGCCTCGAGGAAAAGCGATGGGCTGTCTATGTGGCTCGCGCCGTCGACCGATTTACCGTTTGGTGGCAGACTTGTCTGCCGAATCTCGATACTCGCAATATTTCGTCGCTGAGTAAGTCGGAGGCTAAGATAGCATGGCCTGCAAGCATGATGCCTCCGCTTGGTGAGCTAATCCAAAACACTAACAGTGTGGAATAATGCTAATTCTAGAGGATAGATGTCCTCATGGTCTGGCACGCGTACATGCTGAACCCACGAGCCTTTCTCGAAGATTGTCTCCGTCAGTCAAAGATGAGCGTCTGGGCCACAGGGATGCCCTGGGAAGCTGTAAATGCTTCCATCGATGACGAGACGTTCGACTTCTACCCAGGCAAAGAATCAAAGATCAATTTCGAGACTCAAACCGGTCTCCACTGGAATAATCTTGCAGACAGCCCGACAAAATCTTTACTGTGCTCGAATTGCAAGCATGAAATCTCCATCATCTGGACAGAAGGAGGATTAGGGTGTGATCCAGATGTCGCATTCGCACATTGCACTGGATACGCCGACAAATCTCTGCGATATACATGCCCAACATGCAAATTCAGGACGACACATGATACCCTTTGCATCCAAAAGTTCCGCAATGACTTGCAGAAACTCTTGAAGGATGATACGCCTATGCCCGGCACGCTTCTATCTGCAACTGGGACGGCAATCGGTGATGAGGACGAGAGAGATTACGGTGTCTCCTTCCCGAATCGACTGATCAAGGATGGAATCAGAAGCGAGCTTTTACAGGCGACGGATCTCACTCAGCATGAAAGTACAATTCTCGAAAACATCCGAGACCGACTTGAGGGCCATTTGAAGGATAGATCATTAATTCGCCGCGTGAACAAGTCGACGCTGGTTCCGCGCAATTCGAATAATTCGGAAAGAATATCTCTTCGCAACATGCTGTCTCGATATTGGGAGAATCCTTCCCCCTTCGCTATCAACCTGATTGGAGCCGTGATTCGCCAGGGAACATTTTTGGAGAAAATGGATCAGATCGGCTGGATCAGGTTATCCACCGTGAGGTCGACTATGGACCACTTCATTAAGAAGTATGGCGTCTTTTTCCAAATCATATCCAAAAACAAAGGACACGCAGTTGTCCCTACCCTCGACGTCGACCTGATATGGCACACACATCAGCTTTCACCGGCTCGTTACTACTCATTCTCTACGACACTAACAGAAGGCATATTCATCAATCACGACGACAAAGTCGACGAGTACAAACTCAACGACGCATTCGCGTGGACCTCAAAACAGTACCAGAAACTTACAGGTGGCCAAGTCTACTCTGAATGCATCTGCTGGTACTGTTCTGCAGTACGCGAGGCCCATACCGAGGGACTCTCTCGGCTGATGTCTTCGAGTGCAAGTCAAGCAAAAGCCAACGCGGCTCTTCTTCATGAGAAGGCCGGGAACAACACGCCGCATATTTCTTCGCATAATGCAGTTCGCATCCAAGCGCAGATCGATCCCAAGGTGATCGAGGCTCAGAATGCAAAGTTGAAATCAAACTGGGAGAAGGCGCAGAAGAGGTCACGTCATTCCGGTAATGATGGTGATATGACTGGGAAGCCTTATACGAGGGACTCGAATATTCACCCTGAGAGTTATCCCTGCAACCCAGTTTGTGTGTCTACCACTTCAGGGGCAGTGGGTGACTGTATTAGTGGGACGTATGGTGCTGGAATTGAGCAGGGTGCTTGTTTGAGTGGGCCTGTGGCGGCTCAAACTCGGGGGAGAGGGAAAAGTTTCTGTGCTGGTATTGCAGGTTGCGGGATGAATCTCTAGTTCAAAAGTGTTCGTGATATGAAGGATGGTAGATTTATTGAGAAGATGTATTACTGAAAATATGATCGTTGCAAGCACTATTTGGCTCCAGAATCCAATAGCTTGTCGTTTCGGTTTATGAGCGCGTCCCTTTTCTCTACTCTGAATGCATCGAGCTTTGGTTGAAATTTTCATTTCAAGTAAATTCCGTTTCAAACCATACAAGGTTAACATTGAAGAGAGAACACTCACGAGGTGCATAAAAACACGTTGTGGCAGTCGGGAAATCGGGTGAGCCTCAGCTTGGCTGTGAAACAGAGGCAGCGGTAAATCCCGCATCAGACCATCCCTGACTCCACAGCCACAAATAGGTGAAATACTCAACAGCACCAAATCCCGAAAGATAAATCATAAACTCACGAAAACAAAAAGGACTGAACTCCAGGAAAATCAAAACGCCCGCTGGTCTTTTCCGATGAAGTACGAAGTGGGTTATCAGGGTTGAGATGCGATATGTTCGAGGAAATACAACATGCCGGAACAGGTGCTGCGAGAGAGAGGAGAGTGCTGGGGAGACGATCAAACGTCGTCCATAGTGCCGGCAGGCTCTTCGCCGCCGGACTCGTAGCTGCCAGCTGAACTGAGCTCGTCTTCAGATTCGGTGTCTTCACCTGCTTCATCGACGGCTTCCTTGCTGGCATACTTGGCAACATACTCTGCAATTCGTTAGCCATTTTATTTGAGAATCAAATATTGCCTCAGGCCCACCTTTCACTTTCACCTCGTAGGCCTTCGGCTCACGCATCATCAGTGCAGCAGCCTCGCCATTCAGGGGGTCTGACGGGTTGGGGTAACGGAGGAGCTGCGGAAGGAAGACCTCGAAGATGTTGATCATGTCGTACATGGGCGACCAGGTCTGGTTGATCACGTCCAGGCAGACCGACCCGGAACTGCATTTGTAGAGAATCAGTAAAATATTCAAGACACAAGGCGAGGTAGAATCTCACAGCTCATCAATGTTGGGGTGGAAGATCCGGTTGACAAACCCAATACTGGGGCTCTTGTATGGGTATTGGTCGGGCAATTCCACATGGATCTTCCAGAGGCCACCGGCAAAGGGTGCTAATCCGAGTTAGCATAATCCAATGAGCGAGAATGGGGTTTTTTAATGGACATACTCTCTTCCGGTCCCTTAAATCGAACATAGAACTCTTGCCTAGGTTTTTGTAAATCGCTGTCGGTCGGAACGGTCGAGGGTATGGATCATGGGGGCACATACACTGTTCCCAGGTTAGCTCAGTACGCACATCATCCGGGGCGAGGAATCCATACTGTTGTCATTCACCAGAGTAACTTCATAGTCACTCATCAACCTATCTCAAAAGTTAGATATGACTTTTTCGCCCGAAGGGTGTTTTGTTCGATCAACAGCGGAGCGGGTGTGGGGTATGGAGGGGGTCGATGGGCGTACATCCTAGGTCAGCGGTTAGCATGCGGTCTTCAAATTTTTCGGAACAGCTTTCGCAGCATACTTCATGACCTAGATCACCAAAAGTAACGTTGGTTAGCAAATGCGGGGACCGTGGTAGCTTTCGTCTGTACTCACATCCGTCTCGATTCTTCTCTTTGGGCTGCTCATGGTGGCAATGAAAGCAGGACCACAGGATTGTGTTGGGGTTCCGGGGAGCCTGGTGCTCTGGGGGCTCTGGGTTGACGTGTTTGCGGGCAGTGGGCGGCGTGATAGCGGGAGAATGAGGTCACCGGACGAGAGGTTAGCCCGGCAGAGCGGAGATGAGGAGGCGAAAGGCGGGGTGACGATGGCAGAGGCTCAGCGCACGAACAGCGCACAAGGAGTCACGTCACAGAAGGGGGTGTGTCAGGCGAGTAGTAGGCAGAACAATGAAGAGTATTCGACTTAAGAGGGAGAAAGAGAAGGAGGGAAAGCACCGGAAACCAACTCAGATAACGTTAGTTAGTTAACGTAATCCACTAGCGAGTGAGACACACGGGCCCGTGAGACAGAAAACCAGCTACTATAATTTCAAACCAATTTATTAAACCAACAACGCCATTGATTTCAAATTTCTATCTATTAGACCTATCAGGGCATTGCGTTCTTTTATGCCCTATTTGATGACAGTCGCTGCATCGCGGGGGTGCGCGTGTAATTGGCTGGGAAGCTGACGCAGCTGGTTCCGCCGGGGCAGTATTAGGAGCTTCATGAGCCTGGTTCATCGACTCCCTGGCTTCTTGGCCCGTAAAACCCTCCGTATGAGCTACGCGCTTAGTCGTTCTGTTGCGTTTTCGCTTTTGTGTCTCGTTTTCAGCCCGTAAATCGCGGACTTCCTTTAGAAGGATTGCATTAGAATGCAACGATTGCTGATAGCCCTTGAGGAGCTGATCAATAGCTTTATTCGTAGGCGTCGGAGGGCTTTGCGAACGTTTCTTAAGCAGTGCCTTGATTGAAGAGCCCTGTCGATTCAATTGTTTGAGATTTGCCGGCGTTTTAGGGCTCCACGCGCTCGATTGGCTCCCTGGTCGACTACCTGAGGGGGTAGGTGTCTGAAGTTGAACATCAAGCTTTGAAATGACCTGATCGGGATCATATGGTACTAAACCAGCTGCGACGAATGCATTTTGAATAGTCTCTGGTTTAAAGGCCTCTTTGCGAGCTTGTGGGAATGCTGCAAGGAAATCACTTGTCGATATGGTTGACCCCCAACCGTGCTTTGCGCTCAATCAAGCTCCCATACGCGCGCCTTAGGGGGCAAAACAGCCTATATCCAAAGGCTGTAGTAGATGAGACGAATGCGGAGGCATGCAGATTGGAATAATATCATTTTGCTCGCACAATCGATCAAAACGGGGGGTCAAATGACTGCCATGGCCATCGAGAACTAGTAGTCGATATTTACCCCTAGTACGACTAGTAGTCGCAGGGATAAATAGCTTTTCTAGCCATCGAAGCCCAATTTCGTCTGTAGTCCAGCCATTCTCACTGATTTCGATTCTCCAATTGTCGGGTAGGTCATCAAACCATGCATATTGTTGGTACTTTGACGATTTGAAGATAATGCATGGTGGGAGTATAAAGCCCGTTGAATTCACACATTCAATCGATGTGACCCATTCGCGATTCCCTGGCTGTAGAACTGACCTCCGACCATAGTATTCAGCTCTTGTAATGACTTTCGCAGTGGCTATAAGCCCCATTGCGAAGCCAGTTTCATCAAAATTGTAGATATCCTCAGGTTGGATACCATTCTCATCGATCGTGCGTCGTACAAGGTCGAACCATGGTTTAATAACCCTCGGATCTTCGCATTTTGCCCTCTCATAATTATATCGACGAGAATACCGCGATTTGAGCTCATCATAGCGCTCTGTATATCTGTAAACCCAATTGACTCCAACAGTCTGACTACCACGCTCTGCTAGTAGAATATTGGCCATATCCCTTACCATACAAGGCCGGGGAGCTGATCCACGTGTATCCATAGAGAGTATCCACCGTAGGAGCGATTCCTCTTCAGTTGGAGTCAATTTATAATTGCTGGCGCGGGTTTCCGATCGATGAAGTTTGCCATTGTATCGGCGATGGAGAGTTGCGGTAGGTACTTGAAATCGGCGCGCAGCTTCGCGAATTGATCGAAATTCTTTGTTCCGAAAGGCTTGTATTGCGAGCTGGATCCTACCTTCTTGGTTGATAGAATTTTGAGGATTTTGACTGCGAATTGGGGGCATAGTGGGTAGTTGAAATGAGGAGGTTGACGCGCTGGGGCGCGACCGCGGTTTCTGTCTCACGCGCCCGTGTGTCTCACTTGCTAGTGGATTACGTTACATGATGATCTGATGAGTCAGCACGGGAACCATGGTACGAATCGAATGGTGCCGGGCCGTATCTCCTATACTACAACCAACCTGAAGTTGCCCTCAATTTCAGTTCACCTGCCCGGCACCTCCCTGGATTCCAGCCGAAACAGAGCGTATCGCTCGTGATGGCTTTGTTCCCGCTGCCCGAATTCAGCGCCGAGCAGGTCCGCGCCTACGTGGCTCAGCTCCTCGTGGACCAGCACGACGCCGATGCCGAGTTCGCCCAACGTGCCGCCGATCTCTGGAAGATGGGCCGTGGTGTCGACTTTCGCTACTCTACCTGGCTAGCATTGGATCGCGAGTTTCGTGCTGTTTTTGGCGATGACCTTGGATCCTTTATCTACCGAGCAGTCCAGTAGGACATGGCGACACAGTGGCGGACCTCGCCAGCTGGGATTCTCTGTATATGAACTTTCAAGGTCTGCATTGTACTTGGGACGCTGTTCCTTATCCGGTCCTGTGACTGTACTAGCCCGAAAAAGATGCTCAATGCGTTGGGCGAGGCTGCCCTTGTTACTGGGCCTGTATACCTTACCGTTGCTTGGTACCATACGATGCAGGCCCCTGGCATTTAACGGCCCATCCTGGGAGCCTTGGGGCCCTATCTGACCATTTTTGCGATCGGACAGCTACTGGTTCGACCATCCATTTTGCCTCCTGGACCAGCGGAAATAAACGGAATTTAATAGCTCTGCTTTGTAGTTACATACTGTTAATATTTTACATGGATATTGGATATTGCATGCAGTCGTGGTAAAAATTCGCGTACCTGGCGGCCTTACTTAGAATTTAGACTTCACCGGGGATCGCCCGCGGTTCTGCGTCCGCGCGCCGCCCAACTTCTCCAACTCCCCCACTCCGTCTAGTTCAAGCTCCAGCTCCAGCTCCAGTTTCCGGCGGGCTCTTGCTTTCAATCAGCCATACTTATAGTCAACATGAATCCATACCCGTCCTCTGCTGGCGAGGAGCGCTCCGCTCGCGACTCCCCCACCAGCCCGCCCAGCAGCACCAACCTCAGCCATCGTCCGAGCCCCGTCCATCCTGGACAGTCTGAGCCGGGATCTCCACGCCGGGAGACCCCCATTCCGGATGATGCTCATGGTGCCGATTTGCCGATGAACATGACGGCCTCGGTGATACTGACTGGTTTGCCCACCGATGCTCATCAGGCACTCGCCGACGTTGAAGCTATCGATACTGGCAAAGGTAAGGAAAACATTCCTCCGTTCGATCCCCAGGATTCGCTCGACTCACACGAGCTAGTCACTATTCGCTTCATTCCGCTGCCCTCGGCGCCGATTCTAAAGAACAAGGTGTTCAAGATTAGCGCTTCCCAGAAGTTCGAGACCGTGGTCAAGTTCCTTCGCAAGAAGTTGGACTGCAAGGACACAGACTCGGTCTTTTGCTACGTCAACCATGTGTTCGCACCGGGCTTGGATGAGGGTGTCGGCGGCCTGTTCCGAGTAAGTTGATCATCTCCCTCTTCTGCCTACCCATATCGCTAACTCAAGTACCGCAGTGTTTCAAGACAGATGATCAATTAATTGTCGCTTATTCAATGACGCCGGCATTCGGCTGAGCCATCAAGAAACGATGACACTCACCAGCACGAATCGATGAAGAAATGAACTATGTACAACAGTATGCTAACTTGACACCCAAAGCATGCAAATGATACCTCCCAAAGAAGTACATGACACAAGGAATTCGTTACTTCCGATAAAGCTCGTCCACTGTCTCCTCAAACCTCTCCAGCTCTTCTTTCGTAATAGGGTAGGTGAATTCTTGCGAGGGAAACGCGCGACTTTTGACTTCATCGCGGTACTGAGTGATTCCTCGTGTAGCCTCGCCCCAAACATCCGCATACTTCTTGACGAACTTCGGCACGAATCGGCCCGGTTGGAAGTTGCCCGTCATATCAACTTGCACCAAGACCTGGCCCGAACAGCCATTTCCGGCTCCAATGCCGATGGTAGGGACATTGAGCTTTTGTGTGATGAGTGAGGCCACTTCTGGCGGCATCGCCTCCAGAACAAACATGAATACGCCGGCTTCTTGCATGACCATTGCATCGTGTAGCAGCTTCATGGCACTTGTACAAGTCTTTCCCTGAACACGGAACCCACCCAGCGCATTCTGTCGTTGGGGAGTGAGTCCAACATGTCCAACGACTGGGATACCAGCCTGTGTTATTCGCTTGATTGTCGGGCCCAATTCCTCGCCACCTTCGATTTTCACTCCGTGGACTCGACCCTCCTTCACAAGGCGAAGAGAAGATTCCACCGCTTGCTCTGGGCAAATCTCATAAGAGCCCATGGGCAAATCACCAACCTAGGATTATCAGACCATATCAAGAATTGCTTCGATACGGGACAACTTACAATGAACGCACTCTTCGCTCCGCGAGATACACTCCGACAATGCAATATCATCTCATCCATAACCACCTCCGTCGTGTTGTCCAATCCCAGCGCCACCATCCCCAGGCTATCACCAACCAGAACGACGTCGATACCCGCCGCATCAGCCGCATGCGCCGACGGAAAATCATGCGCCGTCAACATGGCGATCGGCTCGCCTTTCTTGTAAAGATTGCTCAGCGTCTGCATGGTGACCTTCTTCCGGGTCGGAGCACCAGGCGTGGGGTCGGGCGAGTTATATGAGCTGTATCGGGTCTGAGAACGAAGCGGCGAGGTAGGAGCGAAGGGGGAAGACGGCGGTCGGGAGGCGATGACTTTCTCTTGGAGGAGGGTAGTAGATGCGCGCAATCCGCTCGAGCTAAGCAGCGAGGAGCCGGCCAATACGCCCCGCGAGAGCGGGCGTAGGGCTGATTGGCACACGGCCATGGCGGCGCGGAGATCAAAACGGAGCTCGGCGGAACGCTGGACGTAGCACAACCTAATACAAGCTCAAGCTGAAGCTCGTACGGCAGTCTCGCAATCCCCTCTGCACAATAGAATTTATGTTGGGCGTAGGACTTGCTTGCCAGGTCCGGGCTCGCGTGATCGATGTCAATCACCAATGTCGCGGCAATGACCTCACAAAGATCCGAGGGACGACTTCGGCGCCACAAGCACGATGTAGGATGCAGGAAGGCTTGCGAGGGTATTTTGCGTGTGGAAATGTCGGCTGGGTATTTTCTTTATAAATTAAAAGAGTACTTCCTTCTGTCCGGGAAGTGCTGGGTTATGCGGCGTAGACGGGAGCATTTCCTTAAAAAAAGATGCGGCTTGAGGTGAGCTTCGCCGACCTGCCGGTATACTTGTACCGTTGATACCGAATTACCGCTCGGTTGCTTGCGGTCGGCAGTGATCTGCTTGTGGGGCTGGGCATAGGAGTGGGGTATGCTTATGCAGAATGAATTCTTTCGTGGATAGTATTTAATTTATTCGCCTTTCTTCAAGGCCTTTCAATAATGGTTTTTTGTTCGTTATATCATTTGCGAGCTTCAGAATATCAGAGCTGGCTGTACTCGGCGTAATCGCATGTATGGACGAACCCTCACCGCCTCCCAGATTCGTGGCCGAGGTAACTGCCGTTTTGGGTTAGTGCGGGGCGTGCGAGTATGAAGTGCTGAGATGTGCCAGTGTACAAGAGGGACTTGGCTTGCCAACACGAGATCGAGGTGTTCGGCAAGGATAATTTTACATATGATACTCGGACAAAAGGATGTTATTGTAGATTCAATGGATTGGTACTAGTACATACTACGATTGAGCAAAAACGAAATTGAAACCACCACTTGCGCCGGGTATAAGACCCGCAGGACACAAAAGCAAGACTCCGCCAATGAAGAACATAGAAGAGAACATAATATGGAGTAACATTAAGACCCCGCAGCCGCCAACGACAGGTGAGATCATGCAACCGGATGCAATGCAATGAGTCCAATATCTCCTTACAATCGTGTCAACACTTAGATGCCAAAAGCCAAGTCGCCAGACCCGGGAAATCCACCTCCAACCGTCGGACAAAGGGAAAAATAGAAATTGGGAATCATAATCCGGCAATGCTGTTGTGTCAATGCATTCTCCAAAGGATGCAGTCATGCAAAAGTTGTGAATAAAAAATACATGGTATAGAAGTGAAATGACCAAAGGGGAAGAAACGAGCGAACGGACGACCTCAAGTTGATCAAAGAAGTATGGGTGCTGTCGTGGTAATGCTGATGCGAGGTGAAAATGAAAACTCCACACTATGCGATGCAGATGTGTCCATGCCGCGGGTATGATGAAAAGATTCCTCCAACTGTATCTTTTCCATTGACTGGGTGTGGGTGACTGGATGTCCATAAGTGATAATCTGTCGTCGAAACCACAGTAGGCGAAAAAAGGGTCCGACAGCACCGAGGTGCACCAGGAGTCGGGAGAAAGTAGGGTTCGTATTTCCAATCTTGAACCATGAGCAGTCGCAATCGACGTAATTATTCATTAAATTCTTTCTTCCTTCAGTGGCCGTTGCAGCTCGAAGAGCAAACTATCGAGCTCGGCCCAATTGGAAGAGTTCTGGGCGAATCGGCGGTGCTTTCGTGTGAGGGTGTGTTCTTCGAAATCATCGAACTTTTCCCGGCAGTTCTCGCAGTAACCTGGCTTGGGGTCTCGTCGGCGTTGTTCGGGCTTCTTGGGCAGTTCCCTGTGCTGTGTCTTGTGCTGTACCTTGTGAGGAATCTTGTGCTGGTGCTGGTTCTTCTCATCCTCCCGTCGGCGCTTGGGGCGATCTCCCTCCGATTGGTATCCATCGTCTTCGCGGGGGCGCTTTTCAGGCTTTGCGGAGTTGTTGGACTCGGCCGATTGAGCCCGAGAAGGATTCAGAGATGAACCGTTGATGGGACGCTGAGGGGCGGCCATCGATCCAGTCACAATACCTCCGGTTTCCTTCTCAAGAACCTTTCGCTTCAGTCCGTGCATTTCCTTGCTTAGTCCTGCCTTGGCTCCAGGAACACCGGCAGTAGATGAGACCATTTGTGATCGGATGGCGGAGGTGACGTTGGAGGGCTGTACGCCAGATGCTGCTGGTTCACGACCGGTATAGAATGAACCAGTTCGAGGGATTGGTGGAGGAGCAAAGCTTTCTGAACTCTTCCGTTCCTTGGCTTCCTCGAAGGAAGGCTTGCGGGTGATTTCAGGGTGGGTAGCTGTGTTGGTTTGCTCCTCAAACGGCTTCTGCGGCTTCGAAAGCTCGGTAACCAACTTGGTATCAACGTTCTTTTCATTAGCGGTGACAGATACAGATTTAGACTGTGAGCGGGTCTCCTCTGCATTTTGCCGGGCTGCTTTCTTCTCCTTTTGTGCTTGACGCATACGCTGACGATCCATCTCCTTCCGGCTGGGAGGTTCGTCGATGAACGGGCACTTGCCCAGGGGTGCGCTTCGGAACTGGGGCCAAGCTCCGTCCTGGCGTTTAGCCACGCGTGGGTACTCTCGGACCATAACGGGTTTGGTTTTTTCATTCATGTCGTGAATATAGATGAAGGGTCCCTTAAACACTTGCATCTCCATCGACGACAAGGGGTCGCGATCAGACGGACCATTCAGGAGCTCTTGGCGAAGGACGCGTGAGAGAGCATTGTCACCCTTTCCATGGGCCGTGTGCCCCCCAGCAGTCTTGCTCCGTGATGCAGCATCATGGTGGCCGCTGATATCATTGTCGTTGATTGTCGTGATCATTCGTTGCAACTTTTCCAGCGCCCAGATCTTCATGCCCATTTGGCGAGCTCTTTGAAGGACGTCCATGTTTCCTTGATCCCGACGGCCAGCATTCTTATCCAGCAAAGAAGGGTTGACGGTTTGAACATTCGCATCGCCGTTGGCTTCCGTGGTAGGGGCAGACTCGTCGGTGGGACTGGTCGCGGTTTCGGCGGGTATGGGACGCGAAGTGACGACGTGAGTGACAGTTCGAGAGAAAAAGTTTTCCTCACGCTAGAGAAGAAAGTTAGGAACGATCTTGCTTAATTGAGACGCACTTGCATGATTGCAATGGGACGCAACGTCACCGCACGATGAAACATGCTGGGGCTTTCAGGTAGAAAGGGAAAACTTACAGCTCCAAGTGCCACAACCTGACTTGAAAACTTTCGTCGAACATCCTCTGGGATACTATCAAAGTAGAAGACAAACTGAGGGAACGCTTTACGGTAGTGTCTCTGCCACTGTCGAATGGTATCCAACGTGTCTGCCGAGGGCTTCTCGCCCTTTGCCCCCTTGACTACCGGGTGGCGTTCACGATCTCTAGCTGCAACAAGCTTCTTCTCGAAGGCGCTGGGGTTGGCATTGTTGGAACGACGCGCGAAAAGTCGGGATTCGGTACTTTGCTGGACGGTAGACTTGGCTCGGGACGGCGAACGGGACTCTGGCTCGAAGGAGTCCGTCACCTGCTTCTTGGGCGGAGGCTGGCCGTATGGGACTTCCATCTGGGTGGACCGAGCTCGTTTGGCCGGCAGGAGCCCGGCCTTGTGGGGAGAGTTGGTAGCATTCGGCACGTTGGCAAGAGGACGGCGAGTCGACATGTTGAGGGTGGGTTGGAGGTTAGGTCGGGGGGAGGGAGGCACAAATACAGCAGCCATGAGGTCACCGTATCTGTCCTGAGGTTGAACGTGTTGGTAACTTGAATATTGACCAGCTGGGTTCAAGCTGTCTGGGAGGGGTATTCGAGATCAAGCACGCGACGTGCTACACGTCTTTTGGTGGTCCCGAATCAGAGTTTAGAGAAGGGACATGGTAGCACAGCCGAAGTTCGAATTGAGCTGATGGTGTGTCGAGGTCACCAGTGAAGTGTCGAGGAGAAGTGAGAGTAGAAGTTGGGTGTAGTAGAGATTGGTGAGGGAAGAGAAGGTCGAAGGGCAAAGTCGTGTGGTGGAGACCCACTCCCTTTGTTTTGGCTGCGCCGGGACAACCACCAGCGTCGCGCGAAGCATGAACATCAACATTACATTCCTACGGGCGCGACGTGCCGGACATTTCTGCTCGATTAACTTAATTTTAAATTATTCTGCGAGTATTTCCGACATTCATTCTGCCTTTATTTTTTCGTCTCGCCTTTTTCTAACGTGCTGCTACTGTGAAGTCGACGGCGATTGCCAACCACCCCGACCAGCCACCATAAACTTTGACGAACGGACCGTATTAGCCCCCACGCCACGTCGAGCGGGGGCTGGAGAACGCATCTTGTATTATACATTGTTTTGGGAGGGTATCTGGCTACTAGTATACAAGGTTGATGCTTCTTAACTACGCAGGGCCTCAATATCCTCGACCTACTAGAAGTTAGCACGAAACAAACAGCTCGAGATGTCATCACAACATACCTCCTTGACGGCCTCGGGGGTCAGAACGATAGGATGGTCATCTCCCACACAAACGCTATCTTCAATGCGAATGCCGATACCACGGAAATGCTCAGGCCATCGATCGTCGTGGGGCACGTAGATACCACTGCGTGAAATTAGCTCTATACTACCCTGGAGTTGGTCAGGGGTGGAGACGAACGGTTCAATAGTGATACAGTTGCCCGCCTTCAGGGTATATCCTCTAGAGTACCCCGGGCAGTCGTGAACATCAAGGCCGACATAATGACCCAGGTGGTGGGGGAAAAGAGTGTTGATGGCCTGGTCTGCGTTAGCTATGTTTCCACGAAGATAATCGACGGTTATTTCATACGCTTCCAGGCAGGTCAAACCCGAGCTGCTTCAGCTGCTCCTTCAGACCGTTCTCGGCGATGTTGTGCAGCTGATCCAAAGAGAGGTTCGCGCTCTCCCGGCAAAGAGCCAGACAGGTCCGGTGCACGTTGAGCACGGCACTGTACAGTTCCCGCTGGGGGTCGGTGAACTTTCCGTTTACGGGCCAGGTTCTTGTGATGTCGGAGATATAGCCTCCAAGCTCCTATTAGATCGCTAGGGGTTAGTATTGCGACTTTGAAACTGGATACAAATGTCACTTACACCACCACCATCCACGAGGACCAACTCTCCATCCCTGGTCGCTATCAGCTACGAATCCACCATGAGTTGTTGATGTTATACATACCGCAGGATATCGTCGTTTCTGGTGTAATGAATACTCAAGGCATTCTTTTTCAGTTAATATTAGACCATATATCTGTCGGGGGCTTTTAGATCTAGAACTACATACCTGACCGCCTGCTACAACAGGAACGAAGGCGCTTCCGTCGCAGCCGTTGACCTTGAATTGATACTCGAGGAAGGATGTCAAAGCTTTTTCCCGGTCGAAAGTCTCGCGCATCGAATCGGTGAAGGACCGACCAGAGGCTTGACCAAGCATGCGCATATGCACCACTTCGTTCTCGCTCTTAAACGCCCGCATCTCGTTGAGAATAGGCTTCAGCGGCTTGACCTTGCGGTGATCAACGGTCTTCTTGAGCTTCTCTGATGCGACTGTAGGTCCGTAAAGATACCGGTGGAGAGATGACCTGGAACTGTCGAATGCAGGGATGTCGGAGTAAACTTCGGTGGCGCCGCTCACGATATTGGGCAAGACGTCTCCGATGTTTTCGATGTTTCCCGTCTGGAAAGTCTCCTGTCAGCGCATTGATCGCCATCACGTTCCAATCTGCGCTTTTCACCAACCTCGTCCGCATTGAAGACATCGACGGCGGCCTGGGTGCCAGACCGCGCACCATCCCATAGTTCTGCCCTCGCATCCTTTTCCCGAACGTACAGGTGGAAGATGTGATTGTCGCCAGATCCATCGTTGGCAATAACTGCAAGCGCGTTCGGCTCGTTGAAGCCTTTGCGTCCCGGGAAAATAGCAATGGTCAACTGAATTGTCCTCCTGCGCTAGAATGAGTGTATTCACCTGTCAGGTAGAAGAAGTTGGATTCTTGTCGGTATTCATGAAAGATTCCGGGGGCCCGGTATTTCACTTCACTCGCGGCGAGAATAGCGACAGCGCCTTTGGGGAGCTTGTTGGCGAGGCGTGACCGACGCTGGGCATATTCGAGTGCAGTTATTCCCGGGGTGACTGCGCAAGGTGATTTACCTCGTCAGTTCGATTCGGCCGACAGGTCATCAATGAGTGCAATGTTGTATACATACGTTCACCGGGGTCGAGAAGATGGGGATGTGTTTCGTGCAATGGTTGGCCGAACTTGAGGTCCGCGGCGAAGACGGAGGTCGCGTAGTTTCTGCGGGGAGCTGGACCACGTAGCAAGCTTAGGCGTTGTACCGGAAGGGTTGAGGGACGGGACGAAGGGCGCAGGCGCGCGCATTGTCGGGCGAGAGACCTGCAGGCCATGCTTGTGAATCTGTGGCTGTCGTATAGCCTGGACTAGTAACAGTAGGTGTTATCGCTGAAGGCAGCTGGCGGTTCCGAGCTGGGGCCGTCGGCGGTGTGCGCCAATCAGTGTCGCAGTGTTGCAATCAACTCGGCCCTTCACGCAGTCGCATGCATCTCAGCCGCTGAACAACAACTGCACATGCGACGAAATACAGTTAGCAAACTCAGGGAGATCTACGAAGGTATCCATAGCCCCTCGAAATTCTGGTCATCTCCGTCATCCGACTCCAGCGACTCCTGGGCGACCACCTATCGGGCGAATTCCTCATTCCGAGCTCATCTCAAGGTGAACGCTTTGGCGCAACCCTTTCCTGGTTCAGTTTAGGCACGTAGCCAATTGCACTGTGCCTTTTCTGGCGCGGATGGACCTACTCAATTAGGTGTCCTAACGTGTCGTATTCGCTGCAAATTTATACTACGAACGGCGATAGTGTGGCACAGATAGATATATATTTCTGGGCTTGTTCCCTTCTGAAGTTGAGCGTTCACCAAGTATCAACTTCTTTACTCTGAACTTCTGAAGTTTAGATCAATTTTATAATTACACTGTGTATACGCCTGGATCTATTATTATTCACACATCCATCATGGGGAGAACCCTCACTTACCCCAAACGGTCGTCGAACACTGTTAACCGATACAAGCACCGGGGTATGCCATCCCCAGAAGAAATACACACTGAGAAATCACTCACTAACGATTTCGCCAGCAACGTACGACCTGGGTGCGATCCACCAGATTGTCAATGCTTCACCAGTGCTCCATGTGTCCTTCAACCCGGGCCCAGACGACCCCTTCCCAACAATCCTGCCCATGATCGGCCAAATGGGCTCCTTCGAGTACCCCTCCGCAAGTCTCGACGAGCCACTGGAATGCTACCTCCACGGCTACGTCAGTTCGCGCATCATGAACCTCGCACGCAGCTCCGGCGGCGAGGGTCTGCCCATTTGCGTGGCAACCAGCCAGGTCGATGGCCTTATTCTGTCTCTGACTCCCAACTCACACAGCTATAATTATCGCTCGGTTGTTCTGCACGGCTATGCCAATCTCGTCACAGACGAAGAGGAGAAGCTCTGGGCCATGAAGATGATCACCAACTCCGTTGTCACCGATCGCTGGGATAACTCCCGCGTTCCGCCTGACAAGGCTGAGATGTCGTCGACGGTTATCTTGAAGGTGAAGATTGTGGATGGCAGTGGGAAGATTCGGGATGGGGGCGTGTCGGATGAGCGCAAGGACTATGCGGACGAGGCCATTACGGGCCGTATCTGGACGGGCGTGGTTCCTGTTTGGCAGACATTTGGAACTCCTGTTCCCAGTGGCGATGGGAAGCTTGGCGAAGTCCCGGAGCATATCACTTCGTACATAGAGAAGAAGAATAAGCAGAATCGGGCTCTGGCTGAGAGTGCTGTGAAGGTCAGCCTGCCTGCTGAAGAGCAGCACTGAGATAGTTGTTATGACCAATATGATGGATATGATCTGTTTACCTTCTCCAGAGGGCATATATGCATTTTCGGCATTCTGTGCTCATAGTAGGTCGCTTGTTTCCTAGTTCCGCCTCCTTGGTAGACTTCCTGTATACTTCCAGTTCATGTTCTCGGTCGGGCGACGGGCTCACCTCTGGAGCTCTGTAAGATACTTGATGATGCCGGATCTGGGGGAAACCGGCATAACAACGAAAGAAATATGAAAAAGCACGTAATGCATTCTTTGATGGTGTTTGCTTGGGGGTTAGATGCAGCAATGACAAATGGGCCAAAAGTGTTGCAGGCCGCCCCGCGAAGATCGGCGCCCAACGTCATTCGCCAGCTTTCTCCAACAAAATTATTGGGGCCAGCCTCATACTTCCTCTCTTTCTACTGCCATCCTCCCTCTGTCCGTCTTCCACCTCCCCACTACTTCCAAAAATGGCATCAGCTGCGAAGAAAGCTGCCCACGCAGGGGTGTCATCCGCCGATGTTGAGTCTTTTGCTGAATATCTCAAGGGATGCCGCCGTATCTTGGCGCTTCTGGGAGCTGGTCTCTCCGCATCCTCGGGCCTCCCAACTTTCCGCGGTGCTGGAGGATTGTGGCGTACCCACGATGCGACCGAGCTGGCAACCCCTGAAGCTTTCCAGGCCGATCCAGCTTTGGTCTGGCAATTCTACAGTTTCCGGCGACACATGGCCTTAAAGGCGGCTCCGAACAAGGCTCACTATGCGCTCGCCGAGCTGTCGCGACGGAACAAAGACTTCATCACCATTTCCCAGAATGTGGATGGTAAGTACTCTAACATGACATGAATATCTCTTTATATAGATATTAGTTTGGCCTAATGGTGTCGTCGTGATTTTCAGGCCTTTCTCAGCGAGCGCTGCACCCCTCCGAGCAACTCCACTTGCTCCATGGCTCTCTTTTCAACGTGAAATGCACCTCTTTCTTCTGCAGATACACACGCAAAGACGATTTTACCGATCCTATTGCTCCATCTTTAGCCATCCCTAAGAAGTCCTCTCTCGTCAAGACCGATGAGGATCAAGGCGAAACAGGAACAAAGCAAATCGAGGAGTCAGATGAAGAAATAGACATCTCAGATATCGGTCACCACCTTCCCGACATCCCAGTGAAAGACCTACCCCAATGCCCGGAATGTAACGGTTTGCTTCGACCGGGGGTGGTTTGGTTTGGCGAACCTCTGCCTTCAAAGACCCTTAAAACCGTCGATGAGTGGATCGAGTCCGATCCTGTTGATCTGATGTTGGTCATTGGCACAAGCTCCAGCGTCTACCCGGCTGCAGGCTACACCGATATTGCTCGTGCCCACGGTGCACGTATTGCTGTGATTAATATGGAGCAATCCGTCAAAACGCTGGGCGAGAACGACTGGTTCTTTCAAGGAGATGCGAGCGTCGTTGTCCCAGAGATCTTGAAGAGCGTCATTGGCGATATATGATACGTCTTGAGATATACAGAATGATGAGATCAGGATTCAAATTGGCTTGATATTTTGGTTTTTTCCCTTTTATACTCATAGCGTGAAGCAACTTGCACATAATTCAATTGGGCGCAATCTACTCTGACAACAACTCACTTGCTGATTTAAATGCACCCGAAACCCCTGTAAATAGCAGACACTAAGCTGGTAAGGTAAAGACCACCATATTCATCCTATGGTAAGGGTTTGCTCAAGATGATTTTCCCGGTCCCGCATATCTTCCGATAGTTAACTAGGATGTGGGTCGGCCTTGATAGGTTCAAAAATAAACAGACATGCGAAACAGTTGTCTCATTAAAACCGCCATTTCCACCAAGACTAACTAGAAAGTACCTAGCCGATCCATTTAGCCGGTGTTAGTTGCTGCTTGTTGCCTGCTGCCAGTGGATCTTTGTTTGCTGCGCCGTATGCTGTTTACGCAAATCGGCGAAGTGGCCTCAGGCACCCAAACCGTTGCTGGGGAATCCGCCAAGGCTGTCCCGAAAACAAAGTCCTATCGATAACGTCGACATTTCGCGACTTCGATTCTGCTTCCATTCCTCCCCCACCTCGCGCGTCAAAGGCTTCACAAGGCCCGGAAGAGATGTTTGATTCCAGGTAAGACTATCAGTCGTGAATTTTGGCTTCAGAACTCGGTGGTGTACGAGGACCGCCGAGCGAAATAGCTACCCCGCCATGCTGGGCTGAGATCGACTCATCGATAACTCAGCAAAACATTGCTCAGAGGCTAACCAGTCGAAGCTTTTAACTATATATCTCGACGCCTAACTACCAAATTTGACACTCGCTCTCCGGTTCCCTCGACCGGATTGCCACATTCCCGAGATCGTTGCCGCGCAGTCATCAACAAACTTGATAACATTACCCCTCCGAAGCTTCTTCGGAGACTCGTCGCCACTTCGTAAACATGGCCAGAGAAAGCACCGCTCCAGTGGAGCCAAAGACCCCGGGGAAGCCAATTGAGCGACCCCAGGGCTCCGTTCCTCAGCTTCCTGAGTTTGGCAAACCTTCGCCGATGGGCCAGCCTCAGCGCCAGCCTCACCCTCAGCACCAGCCGCGGCCTGCTGCTTCATCCAACCACTTGTTCAATATCCCAAAGTCGAACCATGCACGGCCCGAGCATCATCGTCCCGCACCTCGTCCGCAGCCACAGCCCCAGCACCCTGACCACCCGTATGGGGCGCACCAAAGTCACCAACCACACATTGCTTCCATACCTGGGGCGAGGACCGCAACGCCATCTGCGAAGCAATCCTTCGATCCGTTCATGCCAGTTCGGCCTTCCGCATACAATGACCATCGATCCGCGTATCACACAGGCGCCACCCCAATCAAGCGTCCTGAGAATGTGAACTTTACGACGCCTCGTGCTCCTCGCCCGATCTTCCAGTCCAAGGCCGGGCCCGCGAAGCCAGCGAATACAAACAAACACCTCCAGGCCTTTATCGACTTGACGAAGGACGACCCGTACGCTAGTTCGCAGCCTCAGTCTCAGTCTCGGCGCGTCAATACTGGATCAACCTTCGGTGCCATGGATATGGGCGGCTACGTTGATTCTGAGAAGGCTAATGAGAACATCAAGGCTCTTTTGGAGGGTGCTTTTGAAGATGAAGAGGAGGAAAATCCTACAAAGCCCAAGACCAAGAAGAAGGGTAAGAAGAAGCAGTCGAAGAAGGCAAAGGTTGCAGAAAAGGCCAAGTCCGCGGACGCTTCTGAAGCTAAAGCGGAGAAGAAGGAGAGCAGCGACGACCTTGATGATTTGGCTGCCCAGCTTGAGGGCGTTACAGTCAACGACAAGAAATCAAAGGACGAAGAACTTCATGTCAATGCACCTGGTACAACTGAGGCAGTTTCAGACGCAGAAGAAATTGAGAAGAGCCATGTCACCGACGAGGATGAAAAAGATGTGGATGCGGAGGCATCGGATGATGAAGAAGCTGAAGAAGAAGAGGACGAAGAGGAAGAGGAGGACGACGAGGACGATGATGGAACCGTTGAAGGTTTGAAAGTCTCTCTTCTTCCCCATCAAATCGATGGAGTCAGGTGGATGTGCAACAAGGAGACTGGCCAAAAAACAACGAAGGGGATCTATCCCAAGGGCGGAATCCTTGCTGATGACATGGGTCTGGGAAAGACCGTGCAAGCGATTGCTCTTCTTCTCCGAAACAACAAATCCGAATACGAACACAGCGATAAATTCGAATCAGCCGATGCAAAGAAGGACTCGAATGAGCCCCCAGCCTCTCGTCTGAGCAAGAGCACCCTCGTCGTGGCGCCTCTGGCACTGATCAAGCAATGGGAATCCGAGATTCTCGACAAAGTCGAGAAAACACACAAACTCAGTGTCTGTCTGTATCATGGCACCAACCGCGCGAAGACTGCTACTTTCCTCGACACATATGACGTCGTCATCACGACATATGGAACCCTTACTTCGGAATCTGGAACTGCTGCGGCCGACAAAGCCAAGAAATCTGGCATTTTTTCAGTCTACTGGTACCGCATCATCCTCGATGAGGCTCACACCATCAAGAACCGCAACGCAAAGGCAACTCAGGCTGCCTATGCACTGGATGCAAAGTTCCGCTGGTGCTTGACAGGAACTCCAATGCAAAACAACCTCGATGAGCTTCAGAGTCTGATTAGATTCCTTCGCATCAAGCCATATGACGAACTGGCTGCCTGGCGGGACCAGATCAGTCGACCCCTGAACAACGGCCGTGGTGCTCTTGCTATTCAGCGTCTGCAAATTTACCTGAAGGCTTTCATGAAACGCCGCACCAAGGATGTTCTGAAGAACAACCAAGGTGAAAAGTCTGGCGGTGATGGTGGAGAGAAGAAGTCGAATGGATTCCACATTGTCAAGCGTGAGGTCATCAGGGTGGACGGTGATTTCATGGAAGGAGAACAGAACTTCTACACACGCCTCGAAAAGCGTACCGAAAACAGTCTGGATGAGATGATGGGTGGTACCAAGCTCGATTACGCCGGTGCTTTAGTTCTGCTGTTGCGTCTTCGTCAATCTTGCAACCACCCTGACCTGGTCAAGAGTGATTTGGCTGCCGATAAAGACGTTCTGTTGCAAAATGGCAACGGTGGTAGCCAGTTGAAAGACCAGAAGCAAGACGACTTGGACAGTGTGGCTGATCTTTTCGGCGACCTTAGTGTGGTCGCTAAGAAATGCGACGTCTGCCAGACTGAGCTCAGCCACGCAGAAGCCAAGAGCGGCGCAAGTCGTTGCAACGAGTGCGAAGCTAACCTCAACACCGACTTCATGAAAGGCACGAAGGACAAATCGAAGAAAAAGAGGAAGTCCCATCGGCACCGCAAGGATCTTACTGCTGAGTTGAGCTCGCAGGCCGCCCGGTCACGCAAGAATCGACGAGTCATTATGGACAGTGATGACGAAGAGGAGGAGGCTGAATGGATTGTTCCAGAGGACCAACGCAAGATACCAAACCTTGGCAAGATTGGAGGATCCGATGATGAGGATGCCGAAGGCGGCGGAGACTGGATCGGCTCTGACGACTCCGACACAGAGGATGAGATTGACTCGCCCTCCGGCAACAAGAGTCGACCTGTCCACCTGGGTGATTCCGAAGACGAATCTGAATCCGAGTCTGAGTCCGACGAAGATATCTATGAAAACCCCGAGGGAATCAACGGAGAGCTACCATCCACCAAGATCCGTCATTTGATGAAGATCCTCAACAATGAGTCTGCAGAATACAAGTTCATTGTCTTCTCCGTTTTCACTTCCATGCTCGACAAGATCGAGCCTTTCTTGAAGCGCGCCAATATCGGCTTTGCCCGCTATGATGGTGGAATGAGAAATGACCTCCGTGAAGCTAGTCTCAACAAGCTTCGGAATCACAGCGGCACGCGTGTCCTGCTTTGCAGTCTGCGTGCTGGTGCCCTGGGCCTCAACTTGACTGCTGCCAGCCGCGTTGTGATTTTGGAGCCATTCTGGAATCCTGTAAGTTCACACTCCCGACCTTTCATTCATAAAAACTTACTAAAAAGATATCTAGTTCGTGGAAGAGCAAGCCATCGATCGAGTCCACCGTCTCAACCAGACAATCGACGTCAAGATCTACAAGCTCATCATCAAAAACTCCGTCGAAGAACGAATCGTCGACCTCCAAGACCGTAAGCGCGAACTTGCCAACATGACCATCGAAGGCAAGTCTGCCGCCGGCAAGTTGACGATGCGCGACATGATGGCCCTTTTCGGACGGGATGCCGAGTCCCGTTTCGAAGATAAGCAGAGTACTCTGGATTTCAAGAAACCCAGCGTTCTCCGTGGAAATGACGAGGACAAAGAATACGCGCCTCCTTCACAGAGTGCTGGCCGATCGGATTCTCGCGATCGCGTGCGAAAACAGCAGTCCAATCGGTCAACTCCTGAGGATTCGGTTTACGGTCGGCGTTGGTAGATTTTTGGAGATGTGATAGATGGATTGGACGTGTGACGATCATTTGCCAGGCGTTGTGATGTAAGGACTTTTGGAGAGCTGGATTGATACAGTTGGTCTATTGCCTTGATGTATGTGAACGGGGATTTGGCTTCTTGTTATTATTCTGACCACGGGCGTACATGAGTAACGATTTTTTATTTCACTTGCATTTCATCTTTCGATTACTATCGTACTCGAACTCCCTAGGAGAATGGTCTACTACGACCAGCATCAGTGCCAACTTTGTCCATTCCAGATGTGAACCGCGGCTGAACCAAGCCTGTGGCATGGGCGTCGCAGGGCGACCCGTGAATTCGGAGGAGATGTCCGCGAGTCAGATTCCAGGAGGCAACCCATGGCCATGGCAATCTGCACGCAAGCCCGGACATGAGGTCCGAGAGGGCCACTGGAGCTGGGTTTAACTTCCCTGGATTTTTGGGTCCTCGCCTTTTGCGGAGTCGCCGCTTGGGGATTCGCTGTCTGCGGGTTTTGTTTTGCTTGCTTCTTCCTAGTATTGTTGGGCTATCATTGAGGTGATTATTTGAAGTGTATGATTATTGAGAGCAATTGAGCGACGAACTGAAAAGCAGCTATCGAAACTTATAGGCTCACGTATGCAGAGTGTAGTACCTTGAACAGAATACTAAATTAAACTAGTGTATAGACGGAGTTCAGCTCGCGAAAGGGACACTCGGATGTAACGCCACGGGCTGAGGCAACTAAATAGCTGTCTAGACCTTGCTGGAACCAAGGTCAGCTAGGTATCACCGAAAATAGAATGGCGTTGCTCTATTTTGGAAGTGGGGATCCCTACATATTGTCCAGAAAGAGTCGATTCATCCTGCACAGGATTGCAGTGGGAGATTGACAAAAGCTGGCACAAGGAATGGCACTCGATGTAGCCCATAAAGTTTTGTTTCTAGAGCTCTCGTGAGCTTGGAGAGTGGCTGAGGTGCACGTGGACCTTGATTGGTGCTGAGACAATTCAACGAGCTGTCGAACGGGTACCTCCACTAAAGCTTGCCCATGGCTCAAGAATTCTGGATTGCGAATCATTATAATCCTTTATTATGCCCTGCAAACCAGGCGAGGAAACCAAAGATGGGCTTTTGTTGGATGTTTCCATTGATGAAGTAGCTTGCCGATAGGTCTCGGCCTACGGAGAGTGCAAGAGAGAGGATTGTTCGGTACGCAGAGGCGAAAATTGAGTGCATATTTCCGGGGACTGGGGAATTCTTTTCTCTTTAATTGAGTGGGTTTGTCTCTCAGCTTATTCTTCATGCAACTTCTTTCCTCCTTCCTTTTATTCACCAAACCTTCATTCTTTTAACCGATGGTGTCTCACAGCTAGAACTTTGTCCCTGTGGGATATCATCTAGGGTTATAGGTGAGTCCCATCCGCTGTTCCGGATCATAATTATTGTAGATATTTGACAGAATGTGTCGTACAAGTATTGACAATTTTTCTTGCCAGAGCTAGACGACCGCTCAGAAGAAAATCCGATAAACAATTTCACGTGGCAGCAATGACCTCCTCGCCGAAACTTAGCACCCACGACGATTGCAGAGCCGTCAACAACGACCAAGATGAGCAAGATGACAGAGCCACAGATAGCCGCCAAACCCTCGCTCGCACACTTTCTATTCCACAGTCAATGTGCATCCTGTCCGACACGAAGCCCGAGATACCCACGGTGACGGAGCTGGATCCACCAAAGTTAAAGCTGCCCCAACTCGGCAGTGACAGCATCGAGAAGGTGTTTCCAGTACGGTCCGTTCTTTCCTTTGATTCCACTCCTTCCTCGGCCATCCAGACACCCCCGCTCGATAAGCTGGAAAGTCCGCTCTCGCCGTTTTCAGATGCAGTTCGTGTGAACGGACTGTTTGATGAGAAATCTAGAACGCGGCCATCGCAGCCACCAACAGCAGAGCCCAACGAGCCTACGCGAGCATCGAGAAGACCGAACTACCTTTCCCGGCTACGAGAGCAAAAGCATGAGCTGAGTGGCTACCCTTCACCGCTATCGACTCTCCCGATACGAAAGCACCGTCCTTCAGAAAACACGTCTTTTTCTTCGAACGAAATCAATCATCATAGCAGCGGTGACTCGCATGACAAGAGCATTCAACTGCATGATTTTGTTCATGAGTGCGGAGGTATCCTGACAACCAGCAAAGCACCAGAGGGATTGCTATACTCGCAGGACGACGATTCGAATATTTCCATACAAGGGTTCGGTGCCTTAATCGTGCTGTTTGGGCTTGAAGGTAACTACATTGTCCAAGCGGCTAGCAGCAACTCAAAAGAGGTTATCGGAATTTCGCCAGATGAGCTTTTTGAACTGGCATCTATCTGTGATATCTTGCCTAAGGTTCAACAACAGGACTTTATTTCCCATGCCGAGATGGTTCTAGACGATGGGCATGATGTGGAGCTGTCGGGACCAGAAGTGATCTGTCTCTCCATGAAGAATTCAGATGGTCATGCAAATCGCTTCTGGTGTACCATGCATACAAGCAAGGCTTACAAGGATTATCTCATCTGCGAGCTGGAGCCAGAAACGGAAGACCTAGAGCCAGGTATTCTGAACATGTTGCCTCCTATCTTTCAACAAATATCGAGTGCCCAGACAATGGATGAGCTTGGTTGGAATGCGATTTCAAGTCTTCAAAGCCTTGCTCGGTTTGATAGAGTGACTATGTACCATTTTGATGGCAATCGCAATGGAACTGTTGTTGCTGACTCTGTTGATCCAGCCCTGGGTATCGACTCCCTGGGGGGCATGAACTTCACAGAGTTTACATTCAACGAGCAACTGAAAACTGAATATCTTCGGAACACTGTCTCATTAGCTTACAGCAAGAAAGCTCCTCTCGCGGACTTGACTTACAGATTTTCCATTAGCAAACTTGGGCTCGATCTGTCACATTGCTATTTGCAAGCATCACCAGCGAGCACACAGCAAATCTCGAGCTCTCAGATAACTGCTTGCATGTCTATTGGCATATATGTTTTCGGAAAACTCTGGGGTTTGGTGTCCTGCCAGTCTTACGACCAGAGCTTCAAGCTCCATCCACTCCTCCAGAGAGTATCATGGCTCATAAGCGAAACACTGTCGAGTAACATTGAGCGTCTCTCCTACTCGTTGCCATTCCAGAATCAGGAATACATCTACCCGGAGGCAGACAATAGTTCACAAGGAAGTCCGAATGAATTCTCCGCTGATATCCTTAGTCTGTTTGGTGCAGATTACGCCGCAGCATCAATCCTAGGCGAAACCAAGATTCTGGGAAAACCACAGGACTCATCAGAGGTATTGGCCTTGCTCGAGTATCTGCGGGCTAAGAATATCGACACTGTTCTCTGGTCAACCGACATTCTTTCTGATTTTGACGATCTCGACTACGCACCCGGCTTCCGTCATCTGGTCGGACTACTCTACATACCCCTTTCAACAGACGGCCACGACTTTATGACCTTCTTCAAAAGCGAGATGGGATGTCTTCCGATCGATTTGGCTCAATCTAATGAGTGGTCGGCATCAGAACTTGGCAAAGCATCCATGCTATCTCTGATGTACCGAACATTCACCGACATCTGGCAAGAGAAAGAGGCGGCAATGCAAAACAATCAACTACTGCGACTCCTACTCGCCAACTCAGCCCACGAGTTCCGCACGCCCTTGAATGCGATTATTAATTATCTCGAAATTGCCCTAGACGGAAACCTCAACCAAGAAACGCGCGAGAACATCTCCCGATCGCACTCAGCATCCAAATCCCTCGTTTACATCATCAACGATCTCCTCGATCTGACAAATGCAGAAAACGGACAGAGACTCATCAAAGATGAAGTCTTCAGTCTCTCTGAAACACTCTGCGAGGCAACCAACATTTTCTGGGAAGAGGCAAGACAGAAACAGGTTGATTTGCAGGTCGTTCAGCATTCGGCATTGCCGCCGGTTCTGGGTGACCAGCGCCGAGTTCGTCAGGTTATTACGAATTTGATCAGCAACGCTCTTCAGCATACGTCTGTTGGTGCGGTAACGATTGAGTCTTGTATTCTTTCGGAATCTTGTGAGCCTGGACACATTGCTATTGAAGTCGCCATACATGATACCGGTTCTGGCATGCCTCAGGAAACTATGGAGACGCTTTTCTGTGAGCTTGAGCAGGTTTCCAATAAGGGGTACATGCAGCATCTCAAATCGTGCCGGAAGACTTCCGATACGGCTTCTTTGGAGACGGACAGCGTACTTGGCCTTGGGCTTGCACTGGTGGCGCGGATCGTTAGTAACATGAATGGGCAGCTCAGCTTGAAGTCGGAGGAAGGTAGTGGGAGCTGTTTCAAAATTCGCCTCAGATTCCCTCTGCCTTCAAATCAGGATGGTGCACCAGCAATGCCAGATGGTCAAACACGACAAGAAAAAGAACCTTCTTTCTGCGAAAAGGATAAATCTGAACAAAAACAGGAAGAGACTGCTAAGTCGAAAGATCCCCTAGCATACCGCTGCGGTGATGGCGCCTCAAATATCGAGGAACTGGGGCGGCAAGATGGATCCTTCGTTGATGTTGACGTTTCTTTAGAGGGCGGAGAATCTCGAAGTATCGCCCTGTCGACGTCAGATCAAATTACGCTAGAATCAACGTCAGGACCCGATCCTGAGTCCAAAGCAGACAGAAATACAGAGCTCAATATCCTCGTCGCAGAGGATGACCCGATAAATAGCACTATCGTGCGAAAAAGACTTGAGAAGTTCGGATACTCCATACGGATGACAAGCAATGGCAAAGAGTGTGCTGGGGTCTTTCGAGAGAATCTTGGTTCCTTCAATGCGGTTTTGATGGATCTTCAGGTGAGTGATGTACCTTGAAAAATGCTTTTTTTGGTACATGAGCTGATCAAAGACAAGATGCCCATTGTGGATGGCTCAAGCGCCACAAAGATGATTCGCGAGCATGAGGCCGAACTATCTACCCAGCAGAATCGCATACCTATTTTCGCTGTCTCGGCCTCATTGGTGGAGAGAGATCGGCAGTCCTACATTGACAGTGGTTTTGATGGATGGATCATGAAGCCGATCGACTTCCACCGTGTGCATGTACTTCTGGGTGGAGTGTCATGTTCCGACGTTAGAAATGGCTGCCTCTACCAGCCAGGGATGTGGGAGCAGGGAGGCTGGTTTGAACCCAGTGAAGTGAGTGGCGATAGATGAGAAGCCAGATCATGAAAATCGATTGGTAAAAGAGCTTAGTAAATACATGAGGTTCTTTCAGGGGGTATGTTGGTCTAAAATAAATACAAAAACATGTCCAAAAATGCAAGGCAGCAGATGCCAAGCGCCAAAATGTGAAAGAAAACGTAAAACATAATACAGATAAAAGGCGTATTCGTTGACATCAATAATACTCCGGCAAGCCCAGTCCCGAGAAATCGGGAATATCGTCGCCGCATTTAAAGGATGGTGAGTATGCTTTCTCAGGCATATAGCCGTTCTTCCAGGCGGTGCGGTAGCTCCACTGCGCGGCAGATTCGGTACGCCAGGTCCAGTAGAACCAGCCTTGTGCAGTTTCGAAAGCAGACATCTGCGCCTCAGCGTATGTTTGAAGCCACTTCTTGTAGGCGTCCGAGTATTCGGATGGGTCTGCATTTGCCTTGTCGCAGCTGCAGTTTCCGTCATCGGCGGTAGGACAGTATGCCGTCGAGTCACTTATATCATATGTTCCTTCCCACCGCGTGCCACGGCCGACATTGTTGACATACTCGGCGCAGTCGGTGTCTGCTTGAGACCACTCGCCGCAAATCGTGGGGCCCCATCTGTTTGTTTATCCTTTGTTAGCTCGATTCGGTATTCTCGCGGATGGGATGGTGGACATACCCTTTGCTTGTGCTGTTGATTTCTTGAATCATATCGTACCAGTTTTTGCAGATAATTTCCACTTTAGCAGTGTGGTTGAGAACGATCTCGCCAGTGTTGAAGGTGGTGTATTGATGGGTGTCCAAGTACATATCGCTTGGTCGGTCCTTGAACATATTGTCCCACTTGTCGAGATTGAGGAACCCGTCATGCAGAACAACAGTGGCTTCGACACCATTTTTGCGAACAAGTTCCGTTGCCTCCTGTGTCCAGCCGAGGACCTTTTCAACGGACAACGAAAGGAGCAGGGGCTCATTGACAAGTCCGTAGATAGTCACAATATTCTTGTATCGATCCTGGGCAAAGAATTGAGACAATTGATCATGGATATCCAGAGATCGCTGTCGGTTCAGCTCGCCATCAGTGCCATTCAACCACCCAATGCTGCCCTGGTGGCCACTGTGGTTCCATCCATTCTGACTCCCTGGCAATCCATGAAGATCGAGTTTGACGCGGAGTCCATATTTGCGACACCATTCAATTGCTCGCAGGAGATAACGCCAGCCAATCTTGGGAACATAAGGATCGCCATCGTAAGTCGTAACGACCCAGTAGGAATACGGGATGCGGACGTGGTCCAGTCCCGCCTGTTGAATCTCGGAAATGTCTGACTCGGTGATGAACTCTGCGTAGTGCTTTTCAATAGTGTTCGATGCAGATGAACCGAGCTTTTGAGTCAGTGTCCATTCATCAATGACTTGGTCGCGGTGGCCCTCGAAGAGAGAAGGCGCAATGAAAGGCTCGAGAGAGAGCCATCCACCGATATTGACACCGCGGATGGGCTGAGAGCCATAAGGGAACTTTTCGTTGAGGGGAGGAACCTTGTCGTTTGCTCTCGTGGAATCATCCCACGATGAGTTCAGGCCCATAAGGTGCAAGCCGCCGACAGTTGCGTTAGTGAAGGTCAGATTGAAGCCTTCGGTGTCGTACCAGGTGAAGGGGTCAAGGAAAGTTCCTTGTGCATAAGACTAAAACGATTGTTAGTAACTCATCTCTCATGAAGGGTCAACAGAAGGTCGACTGACAGGAATGCTGTCACGGCTAATACTGTCTAGATTGGAATTTGAAGGGCTTGAACCATCCGAGGAGCCACTGTCACTGCTAGAGTCGTCGCTCTTGTTCTGGGACTCCACCGCAGCAACCGGGATGATAATGGCAAGCAACAAGATCACCAGCACGACAGAGCCAAGGATGATCCGCTTCTGTCTTGACCAGTTGGCCCAGAACTTCCACCGAGACGGTTGATCTCCGTCGTAGCTATAATAGCTTTGCTCTTTCTTCCATTGATCGTCCATGGCCGGACCGCCACCTCCTCGGCGACGCATATTCATCTCGGGGCTGCGTCCTTCCTCGAGGTATGCACCAGACACAACTCGGGCACCAGACTTGTGCCTCGACCTGCCCTCGGCAATCTCGTCGCCCAAGGCCGCTGCTCCGGCAGCACCAGCAGTTCCAGCCAATGCAGCTCTCTTCTTCTGTCTTCGCCGCTCTCGCCTGGCCTCATCTTCCTCGCGAGATCGTTCCGCTCGATCAGCACGTTTATTTTCAGACGCCAACTTCGCCAATGCATCTGCACTCAGCAGATGTGATGCGCTGCTCGTCGACTCTGAGCTCTGATGCTTCCTTGACTTTGAAGCTGGTGCAACAACCTCAGCTTCCATACTCGTCTCTCTCCCCCCTCTCTCTCTCTCTTTCTCTTTCCCTTTCCCTTGCCCTTTCTCTTTCTCTTTCTCTTTCTCTTTCTCGCTCTCGCTCTCGATGCCTCTCTTTTCTCCTCTGCCGTCTAGCTTCAGCCTCAGTATCTCGCTCCACATCCTCACTCCTCTCCCGATACCTCCGCTCTCTCACATCTTTAGTGGGACTCCGACTATCATCCCCTTCATAACGGCTCCTCCGGTATCCCTCGCGATCTCGCTCTCGATCCCGCCTCTTAATAGGCGACGTAGCAGGCGACTCTTTCGCCTTGGATCTCTCCCTCCTCCGCTCTTCAACAGCCTCATTGTAAGCCCGCTCTTCTTCACGCTGTCGCCTTCTCTCCCTCCGCTCCCTCTTCTCCCTTCTCCGCTCATCCTCATCCTCGCTCACATCCCGTCCAGATCCCGCATCGTAAGAATCGTAGCCGAACTCCGCACCGCGGAATCGGTATTTGCCCCGCGCGCCGGGACCGGAGACCTCGCCCCCATCCTCGTATCGATCGCGGATGTACTCGTGGTTCCGGTCTCGGTCGCGGCGGTGCTCGCGTGCGCGATCGCGTGAGTTGTAGCGGTCGCGGCTGCGGGAGTCTCCAGGCATGTTCTGCGGGTATGTCGATCCGCCCTGGGGGGGGGAGGGGGGGAGGTATGTGACTGATCGGAGGAGGGGGGACGATGATTGATTGCCGTTTTTGGTGCTTGGTTCAGAATCGATAGGAGAGTGTGGGTGTCGAAGGAACGAGGAATGTCGCTGGGAATGTCGTGTCTCTTGTTTCCCCCGAGAAACGTGCCGTCGACAGCTTGGCTCTTGGCTTGGGCTGCACGGAGCTGACGGGGGAATGTGGGAGGGAGATTCGATCCGGTCGAAATTGGAATTCAGGAGAAAGGAGCGACCATTTCACGGGATGTGGCAACTTGGCTCTCCTTTCTGAAATGGTGATGTCGGGAACTGGTTTTTGGATCGGTGCGACGTGATGCGCTTGTGGGTGAACTTCGGAGTTTTGTTTTGCTTTTGCCCGATGCGCCTTAGTCTCCGCGGGACACTTCGATCCTAAGGCTTGCCACGCAATCCGTAGGACTCTTGTGCGCACTTGGTACCATTGAATGGCCAAAAATCGTGAGGCCAAGGTGACTATATTCTTGGTGCCTTGGTGTCTTTGATCGGGGTGGAGTCTGCGACATCACATCGTTGTTGCGGAGCAACGAAACAGTAGAGCCTGATGTTCATTGCGAGATGTACATCCACTTGCAACTAAAAGCATATCTGATACTGCCATAGTACCAGCACGTGGGGTATCAAATGGGACAAGTTTGATTTTTATCACATCGGTTGTTAGTGATTAGCCAGAACAGGGGCCGTGAAGAGAAGATCCGTGAAATATACTGCTGTTCTAACTGAATCAGCGTGGTGGGTCCTGGAGGCCTTGGGTAGAGTGTCATGGTGTATAGTATATAATCTAGGTAGAAAATACCATGTTTCCTACCCACCAAAGAGAATTAGACTGCGAGGAACGAAAAGTGGATTTGTGATGGATATTGATTTCTATCTACATAATACGTCCCAATGAAACGGACATGAGGCATCTCATAGGTGAGATCGCGTTGAACAGACAATATAAACACAGAAGCACCTCCCACAAATGCAACGAGCACCAGTCTCTCTCTAGTCAACACAAGGAAACTGCCGTGTTCATTATAAACCTGGGTATGAGAACTCCAACAGAAATCCAGACAATATGAAAACAGTTGAAGATATGCCAATGCAGACGGCCAGATGGCCTACCGGCTGGTCAACAGAGGGTGTCCATCTGTACAAATTGGGCGCAGAAAAGACGAAGACAAGAAACATCACGAATAAATAAATATGAAATTGACGCTGGGCCCGGGGAATCTAGAAGAACGAAAATGGGTGCCACGGGCAACCCTGGCTGCACGAATGCAGAATACGTAAGATGGGGGAGACCCCATATAATTTTTTTTTTCAGAAATCGGGAATGCCCAGCCAGAGTTGGTGGCAAGGAGAACCCGAATCATCCCAGGGCTTCCAGCCTGACCGAATAGTGGTCTCGCGAGCGAGACGACGCTGCTGGTATTAGCCAGCAATAGAAGATGCATGGCAGTTTGAGCCACAGCCACACTGATCAGGCGGAGTGGAGATTATATCAAGACTTTTGGAAGCAACACTGAGCCGCTGTGACCAGTGCTTGCTGATCAAAACCATGTACCGATAATAATCCACGGAGGTCAGCAACAACGTTGGTTGCACGGTGAGACCTCTCAGCTGCTGATGATCTGTCTGGCGCCCTCCTTACCGAGAACACCCGGCTCGCTAGGCTTGGGGCTGCGATCGCGGCCCTTTTTGCGACTGAGGAACGAGAGCATGCCGCTGTTCGAACCTTTACCTTTGCCTTCGGAACCCTCCAGGCCTTCAGCGGGGAGGGTCGAGCTGTGGTTGGAGAGTTCACTCCAGCTTCCAGCTTCATCGAGAACCATTTGTACGCCGCCTCCCTTGCTCATCTTCCGTGTAGCTCCACGCGGGCGAGATGTAGGTGGCAGTGGGCGATGGAAAGATGGGGTGGTAGGGGGAGGCGACGCCGATGCGCGGGTTGATGGAGAAGGAGGCGGGTAAGGGGAATGCGGATCATTTGGATCGAGGTTCTCACTGACCGTAGTCAGATTGTTCTCATGTTGCGGTTGGGGAATTGGAGGCAGGGGAGCCTCATGTCGCGGCGGTGATGAGGCGTGCGCGTGGGATTCGGGGTGGGAAGGGTGGCGGGCGTGACTAGTTGTTGTAGCAGTCGCAATGGGAAGGATGTCTTCGGGGTTACTGAGCCTAGATTGTAAGTTAAGGTGCCCCGAGGTAAATGGATGTCGGGGTTTACTCACGTTGCAGCCGCAATGGCTTCCGCAGCATTGCCTTGAAAGCTGACAGTGGTATAATCGAAAGGCTCGAACATTGTTTCTATCAAGCGGTGCAGCTCATCCTCGCGAATTTCTTTGGCGGTAGCATCCTCACGCAGCTCGGCGCGAGGCTTCTGTCGCCGGGCCCGAGCCTCTAAGGGTGCTTCCTCCAGAAGCAGCTCCTCCAGATCGTACGTCGCGTCGAAGTTCGTCTTGTCGCTGGAAGGTCGGAACACAGGAGGAATCTCTTTGCGCTCGAGAGCAGCGAAGTCCAGATCTGCGAAGAAGATGTGCGAGGTGAAGCTTTCGAATCCAATGGCACCGATGCGGCGACTTCGGTCGCGTTCCATCAATGCTCCCATGGCTCGCAGACAAGGAACTGACACGGCCGGGTTTGTGACGTAGTACTTCGGTTGGGCTTTCTTGATGTTTTCGCTCAGAGTGTCTTGACTGCGGCCTTCGAATGGTCGCTGTACCGAGTTAGCTTAATGAGGATGTGGTCTAATTGGCTGCGTCAAAAATCGACATACCTTGTTGTAGATGCACTCGTAGAAGGTGACACCCAGCGACCACCAATCGACCTCGAAATAGTAACCGCTGCCCTCGTATACTTCGGGAGCTAGGTACGCCAACGTTCCAGACTTGCTCGTGAGAGGCTTTCCCGGTCGAAAATCGGATGCCACATTCTAGGTTGAACGAAGTAAGTTGCCGTTCCCGCGTATGACACTGCGAATGGAGGAGGGAAGGGGGTTGCGACATACAAAATCAGCCAAGTGGACATGGCCTTCCGAGTCCAGCAGCACATTGTCGGGCTTAAGGTCTCGATGAATAATACCCTGCGAATGAATATACTTCAGGGCGCAACCCAGTTCGGCCATCCAGAACCGCACTGCTTCCTCCGTGAAGCACTTCCGTGAAATATGAAAGCGGAGATCACCACCATTCATCAGATCGACCACAATGTAACTATTTTGCAGTCAGCGACACGCCCCCCCAGCAATTCATAACCTCGGCAACTCACATGTACTCCATATCTTGGAAACTGTATCGCAAGTTACAAAGGAATGGGTGATTCAGATGCTCAAGCATTCTTCGTTCACGAATTATATTCCGTACACTCTCCGAACGAACGACTGGACGGTCGATTAGCCATGTCTCGGGTATTCGCGGGGCACTATCAGGGAAGTTGACGTACCCTCTTCCTTGCGAATATACTTCAGCGCGAACGTGAGGCCGGTATCTTTGCGCTCGACAATGCGGACTTTACCGAATGCACCTTTGCCGACCACACGAAGGAGGCGGAAATGGTTTAGGTTGACTTGATAATGGCAGTCAGTACATGTGCGATCTCTCACGAGAGTGGCTGATGCTCGACGCGTCTAGGGAGTTATTTTCTCTTGGACATACCCGCATCGTTGCAAGCCACCGGCTTTCCCTGAGAATTTCCCATGGCGACGGGGACAGATGGGGAATGACGGAGGTTATTTGGAGCAGGAACTTCCCGACCACATCACAGTCGCTCAAGAGTCTTTGGGAAAGGATAACTCGGTTCACAAGGGCTCCGTTGAGACGACAACGAAATCACGATATACAGTGTTGGTGGCTATTGATCGTGAGACACGAGTTCCATGGGAGGAAATGGTGTTCCGGAGGTAGGATCGCACCGCGCGGGAGGGGGAGGGGGATTCAATGCCGGGAGATGCGAATTCGATCAGAGCACGACCACGCGATAGCTGTCACCGCTGCCGAGAACCTGAGAGAGGTAGAGACGGGATGATGTCGAGCAGGCCGCGAAAATACGAGGCAGGAGATTGGCGAGCGCACGGCGGAATAAGTATACTCAAGGAAAAAGGTGAAGGTCCGAGAGCGAATGGCTGAGCGCCGGCCGTTGGGGCTAACGGGAAGATCGGAGGCCGCAACCAAATGAAGCCAGCAAGGCAGGAGTGAAACGGGTCGAATTGGAAGCACTCGCGTGGTTAAGGCTGCTCGAATGTTGCGAACCTGAGGTGAAAGAAAGGGGAGGCGAGCGGTCAGCGTGGCAGAACGCCAATCACGCGGTGGACGAGAAAGGGGGAGTTTAGAGCAGCGGCGGATCGGCACTCCTCCACCCCCGTCGAGCTTAGCCGACCCCTGGTGGCTAACGGTGCCTTGCTGCTGCAATCGAAAATATACTCGTCGAATACGCCCAATGGGTCTTCAGCTGCCTGGGTACTTTTGGACTACGAATCGGCGCGCGCTGGCGGTTGACTCTCGAGATACTCCTTCTATCCCGATGACCATGCCCCGATCGGAGTCCACTGGGAGACCCACGGAGGCGAAAAATGTAAACTATAATATTTTGACGGGAATTCCTAGACTCTACCATCCGAGGAAGCACTGGGAGACGAAACAAACGATGCGGAATCCGATCACCCTGGCCCGTGGTCAGCGATACGAGATGCGTACCTCCTGCTCCTCCTGGAGGATGCGCATATCGACTCATGTAGAATGCCGGATCGGACCTTTGTCCCCAAGCGGCCGCACTGCAGAAACTCGCTGAAACTTTGTACCATTTCGACCTGTCAGATGCCTGCCAGTCTTGTTGCTCTGCTCGGCGGGGGCCCCGGGCTGGTCCGTGGATCATTTGTACTCATCCGGCCTTGCTGGTCACTCAGCGCTGCGCCTCGGAGATGCAATCGCCCTCGTCCTGCTGCGATCGAGCCAACCAGATCGACAACTGCACCGCGCCTCGCATATGATCGATCCTTCGGTTCCTCGCCACGCGAGTCTATTTCTCGTGGCCGCCACGTGTTGCCTGTAGGTCAGAGTACATGCTCACCTATTCTCTGTACAGAAGGATGCACTCCTTCTGGAGTGTTTCTCGTCGTACAGCAACGGTCGTGGAACCCCTGCAGAACATTCGACGTGTCTTGGGCGTGCATCGCGGCCAATCATGGCTGCTGCATGTCACCGAAAGTCCAAGGTACATCTGGCGCACTCATCACCGCGTCGATCCTCTCCAACGCGGGCTCCAACGCGGCCTCCAACGGGATGGTTCCTTGTATCGATCGCGCGGACGCCCGACATGACCTGCTCAATCTGCGTCAATCGCTTGTGCAACAGCGCAAATACTGACGATCAACCGGCTCTTGGCAGATGCACATTAAAGTTATAAGGCCGTCCACGTCTGGCCCACCGAGGGACGACTAAAGGCAGTATCCTGGTCGACGGGGCGTTTCATCTGCGCCTTGAGAAAGAAAAGGTGGCCCGCGCTGCATGCCTGGCCGTTTCAACCTTCAGCGGGTCCTTTTGGTCCTGGAGAACCCTCCGACTCAGGAGGCCGGGCTTCCGATGCCAGTGTTGGGTGCGCCTCTTGAGCCAGTCAGCCTAATTCTCAGCCTAATTCTGATCAAAGAAAATGAAATAAAATAGAATGGAGAAAAAAACTCACAAGATCCAGCTCAGATCGATGAGGCCGGCATCAGGCTGCACGCCATCATAGCCGATGGCTAGACTCGCATCCATTGTGCAACAAAAGACGACAAGAAAAATGAATGTGTGAAGCCCATGTCCTCCAGGGCTTTGCCACTGGCCCTTCTTTCCTCCCCCGTCCGGCCCACTGATCTTCCACCCGTAGGGCTATTGAGGTTAGATGAATGCTAATGCGACAGCATCTGACTCCGTACTATAGCTAGGGGGACCTCTCTCCGTCGATCCCAATATCCGTTATGTGCGACTTCTCGCCTAAATGGTCCCTTCCTAGCTGCTCGAGACAACTCCATACGAACTGGACTCTGATGGGTGGGGCGTTGCGGCCCCCACTACATGACGGCGCTGACGCTCGGGCTTTTGTACACTCTTAAAGGGGACTAGGTGCAGGTACTTGCGACGCAGAGAGGACTTTTTACGCGACGAGTCTTGTTTTGCTATCTACTAAATCACTAAATAAAATTGTGCACACGCCTCCGGAAAATCACGAAAATCACCGCCAGACGCAAAAGACCATATCCTTGAACATCATCTCGAAATCATACTGGACCTTGGGTTGGAATGTAAGAAGAAGTCTAGAACTGTCCTTTTCATGGATATCTCTTTGCATGAATCGGGAGAAGAAAAGCCCATTGGCTGCAAGTCTGGTATCAAGGGTGATCGTTCGGTTTTCTTCCGTTTCTGGTAGCAGCTCGAGAATTTTAGAGCTGGTGGAGACAACGAGCGTGCTCAATGTGCACCTCATCAACCTGCTTAAAATAATCCGATCTCTCTATGTGGTACCAATCAGGACAACCAGTTTCCTCCACAGGCCCATGGTCTTAGGGCAATCTGGCGAGCTCGCTTCTGAGTTGTCGCTTTCATCCAGAAAGCTCGTGTCTCCATCCTGAGCGCCTTCTGATAAGCTCACCGAGTCTTCATGTTGTTCGTTCATCCTGATTCGGGATAGGTTTGTTGGTAGTAAAATTTAGGATTGAATCGATGTTTCCTGACTTCCAGAGAAGTGGAAATGTTGTCCCTTGCGGACTTGATCTCTCTTTTAAAATGAGAGACGACACTAAAAGCCATGCAGAATGAAAGACGGGCCCTTTGTTTAAGGTCAGAGTAAATGAATAGAAAGAAGCCTAGAAGGACATCAGATCATAACCCGCTGAGGAACATCAAAAAAAGAGAAAAAAAAATTGATCAGAATCCTGGACCAACCATGAGGCCTCAAAGAAGTGCAACATTCAGAGCAACATCCCAAAGATAGAGCTGTCATCCTGACTCGCCCAGGAAATCAATGTTTGACTACAGAGCGATGCTGAGCTGGCTTCGAGAGCTTCACTGACAGAGGCCCTTACTTTTCTTGAATATATGGTCCGAATCTGGGACAAGTATGGCGCCGAGTTGAGCTTTGTTATCACGTCCGCCTTCGGCACCGGGCTTCGGGGGAGCAGCAGGATCGCTGGGGCTCACTCCGATCAAGATCCTGGGCGAGCCCGGTCTCTTGGATGCAGTTGAATAGAGTCAACAAACAGAACAGAAAATGAAAGTGGCAAGCCTATGTCATTTGGCTCGAGGAAGCATGAATCCTCGACTTTTGAAATAAGCCTTGAAGACAGAGTCGAACGGAGAGCCAGCGGGGGATTGTTCAAATTGAAATTCAGAAGCCGCTTGGGTACTATCATAGAACACCTATTTTCGTTAGAACCTGGTAGTAATTTTCAGGCAATCCTGCTGCATGCTGGACAGCCGAGGGGCATCCCCCGCTGTTAAGTCCAAGAGGGCAGGAGCATCCAAGGCGGTCTCTTACTTCCCTTGCTCTTCACCACTCCCCTCCTTTCGCCCTCGACAAATTCCAGGTTTAACCTCTCGCAACTTCTTCTGGGAAAAATCGATCGATTCAAAATGCAGAACGAGGTTTCTGGTCCAGTGGCAAGCGATGGCCCTTCGTCTGACTCGCAGACTCCAACCAGATTCGACCTGACGTCCACCGAAATGAGCGAGACAAGACCACCAATTCGCATGCAGCGCCCTCCAAGCTCTGGAATTGACCTGTCGACTTTTTCCTTTGCTAAACCGGCTTGCCATCAAAAGACATTCTCGCTACGAGCTCCGCCAAAGCACGCACCTCTCACCTCAGCTCTGTTCGGCACCGCAAGGGTTGAAGCTCGGCAGTCTCCATGTCACGACGGCAGCTCAGGGGCTCCTCAAGGCAGGTGCGTAAATTGGGCTGATCTGGAACATCTTGATGACATGCTCTAATCTACCTTGCAGGTCGACCAGCCCACGCCACGAGGCAGGCCGATGCCAACCCCAGACCAACCCAACTGAAGAGCGCACCTCCGATTCGGTGGAACCTCTTCCAGTTGTTGTATTACCTGCGATCGAAAAGGCGCCAAGGCTCACGACTATTCTTCAGAACACGAAGCAGGACAAGGAAAATGGCCGTGTAGCTCGGAAGAGGGTACCATCCCGGTCAGCCCCTCACTCGGAGTCGGGATCTGGTATATCCAAACGCCGCCGGGAGGTCAAGCCGCATCAATTCACCGAGGAGAAACTGTTTGAGCTCCTTATTGGAAAAATTAGAACGCGGGAGGAAAGAGAGGCCGCAGTTGCCGACATGCAGCAGCGATTACATACCGAAAACGTTCGCTTGAAAGAGGAAAACAGGGAGCTTCAAGAGAAAAACGAAATATACGAAGGGCGACTTGGCATCCTGGATGCAGAATCCAGATCTTACCGTTCTCAGATCAACGGCTGGAAAGAAAGAGTGTCCAGATTCAAAAAGATTGTCAACGACCTGGGCAGAGATTATGAAAATCTCCGAGCCGATACAGAAAGATTCAAGACAACGGCAACTGCTCTCCAGAATGACAGAAGCGACATACTCAATTCCATAAATAACATCAAGCTCCAAATTCTTCGGGCAGAAGAGTCGACTGATGAACAGCGCTCGAAAGTTTCTGACAGTGAGAAACAGATTGCTGTCCTGCAGCGGGAGGTACTCGCCTCTCGGGAGCGGGAGGGCCAGGCAAAGTCAGCCCTTGCTGAAGAAAAAAGGCGGAATGGCGTGCTAGAGTCATACGTTCAAAATTATTCTCGGAACCATATGAGACAGCTGAAGATGATCAGAAGTGATCACTCGCATCTGTTGGACAAACTGATGTCTGCCCTTGACAGTATTTCGGAAGGCTCTGAAAACTCGAGAGATACAGTTCTGTCCGAGATGCGATCTTGTTTTGACTCAATGGCGATTCGCCTGTCTGATCACGAGAAATCGGTCACCAACGCGAATGTTGATGTTTCGCACAGTATCCAAGAGAACACGAGGTTGATCGGAGTCGAGCTCGGCCCTGCGTCAAAGGTCGTCGAACAGCTCGGTCTTTGCAACAAGTCCCACGAAGCCTTAATGAACACATTAGGGGTAGTCTCACCAACATTGAGCGAGCTTGACACGTCGGTGAAGACTTTAGCCGCTGGCGGGAATCATCTCGTACACGAGCTGAAAAACTTTGGGACGAGGTTGGACGAGATTCAATTGCATGCAAACAACCAGGAGCTTGCCACGGAGTTGTCTGCCAAGTTCTCCGAGAATACCCAGCTTCAGATTCGACTCCACGACACCTGTTCGGATCTTGAGAACATACGAGTTAAATTGCACGAGCGAGAGGCAGAGAATCAGAAATTGGAAAGGTTGGTCACAGAATCAGGTGCCAAATGCCAGTCGCTTGAGCACCAGAAAATGCAAGTGGAGGCTGAAAACACTTGCCTGAAACGCCAAGTCGAGTCTTCTAAGGAGGATGCACGGAAATTGATTGATGAAGAGATTGCTTCATCCAGAACTGGGATGCAGGATGAGTACGAAGAGCAACTGCGGGTCATTCGACAAGAGAAAGGAAAGATCGAGACTTCGTCTGAAATGCTTGCGAGTCAACTTGAAGACGTACAGAAATCGTTGGTAAGTAGAAGTTTAGAGCATCACCTTGACATCTGCTGACAGAAGAAGGCTGAGGCCCAGAAATTGATCGACGACCAGAAGCGAGAGCGAGTCTCTTTGGTAGGTCACTCGGCGCAAGGCATGACAGATGCTGAAGATATTTTTCAGGTTCGCGAATCAGAGGAACGAATTCGACAGTTGACAGATTCAAATTCTTTGTCCATGGCCCAAGTGAGCGCTCAGACGGAAGATATCAAAAGATTCCAAGAGTCAGAAGCAGCATCGTGCATAGAAAGGGATGATTTGCAAGAGCAACTCAGACTGGCTCATGAAAAAGTTCACGAATTGGAGCAAAAGTCGACAGCCGTCAGAGCAGATCCTCCGATGACGGAGCCTTTCGTTGGAAATATCGTCCCTTTTTCGGCGGTTGAACGCCAGCTCGCATCCCAGCGAGGCGCGTCGCTTTGCTATGAGCCTGCTGATTTTGCAATGCTGTTTATGTCTGACGAGATGTGTCCCTCCTCGCCTTACAATGTCGAGGGTGCAAAGAAATCCGTGGCCAGCCCGGAGAAGACGTCACAGCAGGGCAAGGAACCACAAAAACATCAAGTTGATATTGCCGAGAAGATAGTCGAACCCTCTTCAAAGAATCAGTCGCCTGTCAGATCCAAGCGCAAAGCCGTCAACTTCAAGTCTCAAAAACTGCCGACGGACATCACAGAGCAAACATCGAGTACCAAGTCAATCCTGACGAAAGTGGAACATGAACCTGAAGACCGCCCTAGCAAAGTGACAAAGCATGTCCACAAGTGGACATACAGCCGAATTCGCAGCACAGGACCTGATATTCAACGCGAACAGTCCGCTGGGCCTTCTCATGTGTCTGTTGTCGAACGACGCACGAGCCCGAAAGGACTAGTGTCCGCTAACAGTGGCCAGAAAGCACCTACTCGTGGTGCTGGTCGGGGCCGGGGAAAACGGCGATCTCGAGGTAGGTCGAGAATGAAGCCAAGTTCCATTTGAACGAACCTTGTTCTCATGAAACTTAGCAAGCGAGCGCTACAATGCTCGCTTCAGTCAGGAGTAGTAACTTTATCACAAGAAGCAGATCAGACCCGGGGCCTTATTGATTAACATTGGCAGGAGATTGATTCACACGACTTTTCGGGTGACGATATCCGGCTTCGAACGCAGACCTTAATTGTCAATATTTATAAGACGAAGTATGTACCCGCTCGTGAAAATTTTGTCTTTTGGTCATGTCGTACGGTTTCTCTCAGGGAATTATCGATGCAACTTATCGAGAGGGTATGTAGTGGAATTGATTTTTTATCTTCAGTTGAAACCCAAAGCTGTAATGCTCAGAAACGCCAAACACAATGCTCCATCAAAGGAAGCCAAGGTGGAGCAGCGGGAGCTGACAGGACAGAACTCCCCATCATCCTCCTGACCAAACTTCCAAGGATATAATGTACACAAAATGGTTACACATCCCCACCACCGTCTCGCCGAAGACTTCGCTCCTTCAAAAATTTTAATCTAACACTCGATTCGGAGGGACCGATAGATGATGCGAGGCTCGTATCGATAATCGTGCAGGTTCGAAGGTCGACTTGCGTCGTCATCTGTCAGGACAAGGCCGCTAAACTGACGCAGAGCATCGGAGACATCGACGAAAAGCGGGTGGATCGGGAATCGAAAGGAAAAAGGCAAAGTATTCGAGTTTATTTCGCTTTGCCGCCCTTGGTCGCCTCCAAGAAGAGAACCTTCTTCTTCACGACGGGGTCGTACTTGAGCATGGAGAGGGGACGGTGCACACGCGGACGGATCATTGTGCGGTAGTAGCCGGTCATGGCCATGGAGATCAGGCGGACCGCAATGGTGCGAGATTTCGCTGCAGAGACGAATTGTGTTAGTGGTCATCATCGAACCCGGGGGGTTTGAAGTACTGCGCTGCCGTCGCCGCGGCACGGGAGGCCGAGCTTGTCGCCGATATTGGGGTAATTGGGGAGTTCTCTGGGGTATTTTGAGATAGACGTACCTTTTTTGGCCATTGTGGTCGACGTCCGGAGGACTTTGGGCTGTTGTTCGATGAGATGGGACTTTGAGGTCGGCGCCGGGCAAAATCGTGGGTGGTCACGTGCGGCTAGTCATCACATCCCAATTGTGAAGGCGCTCGTATATCACGTGACATTCATCTATCGCGCTCACATGTTGCATGTCTCAGGCTGAAGAGTCGCCGTGCATTTGACTGACGACGCAGGGGAAGCTTCCTCAAGCGAAGCGAATGAAATGCATAAAATGAAACATTTACCCAAAGTAAAAGTCCAGGACCTGGGAAACGCACGCAATATACGGGGCGTACTTTTCGGAATCTAGCGCGGAAGACAGACAACAGCACATGTCTAAGTGCCCACGGTTTGGTCGAATGTACAAGATCAAATACCGAGCGAGAGGCCCCTTTCGATCCCATTGGTGACTTTGTACCGTCGCACCTACCGAGAAACCAAATAATACAATCCATCCTGCCACTGAAGTTCTTTCTAACTCAGAAACTCCAATCATGAGCAACAAGCGCCGTGTCTTCGTTTCGCTACACCATCGCTGAGCTCTATCTCTCGGCGAAAACAGAGAGCGACTAGGTTATGTGGCTTACCACTGGGGAATTCACATCTCTCCCAAAAATTTAAAGGGCCTGACTGTTATGCCTTCGATGTGAGCGATGCAATATACTTTGATGAAAAACACCAGAGTCAGTGTCGACCCGAAGGGCAACTGGCGCTTTCGAGAGGCAGAAAATATCGACCCAGCATCAATCGGTCATCTTGTTGAAAGAGTCATGATTGGAATAATACCCAATAAGGTCACCCATGCCGAAGTTTGCAGTCTTTTAGAAGCGATTCCTCTTCCCATTAAGGACGCTCTACCTGCTGAGAACAGCGTTACTTGGACGAGAGCCACCATTTGCAAGCTTCGGGATCACAGCCTAGCTGAGCAATTTGACCTCGACCATTTCATGTACCGGGCGCTAGAGTTTGCGGATCGATGCCTACATATCTTAGGCACTGAGTCTACCATACCAGTCCTCAATTACACTGGCCGCCCCATGTGACTTGCAAAACGCTTCGGAATCACAGAAGATCCAGACTGTTGATATCCATCACCAACATCTTGCTGCAGCGAAGTCTCAGCAAAACACGGATAATGACAAATTGGAGAGCCGGACGTGCCCCTCGGTCGCAAACGTACCTCCGACTGGGCAGCTAATTGCTTAGCATGTTGTGCCCTGCAGGGCGATGCAATGTGATGCAGCTCCAGCTCCCTAGCGCTTAGCTAAGTGGTGATTCCATTCCACATCGCTACTTCAATGTCCCTTCTTTGCTCGGGATCACGATGCCGTTTCGCCCTTGACATAAAACTTGGGGGCGTGTTGCGGGGGCTGAAACAGGGTCTTCGGCACGATGTAACGGCAGACCCTGGCTTCTATTTTCAACTTCCCCTGTGAACTCTTTCTCTCGTTGAAATCAACAGCACAGTTTGAACTCTCCAAAATCGAGCTAATATATATCTCAAAAACTTCATTCTGTCATTGTGTGACCATGGTTGATCAACTCATGTCCATTTTGAGCAGCGGGTATAAACCTTTCCCAGATTGGAACTGGCACAGCACCTGAAACGAGACCCACCATGATTTACTTCTTGAAAACAAAATATCACTTTAAATCGCACTATAAGACTTGCTGTGTCAGGCTAGCCAGTCTCACCTTGACCTGCAAGCCGCAAAGAACCGAAGACCCTTTGGTGTAAATATGAAGGATCATGTGGGCTCATATCGCTCCGTATGCTAACTGGCGTTCGAAGCTAACAATTTCGTAGTCTTGCGATGTAACTCGACCCCGAACACCGGAGCAGTATTATAAAAGACACTGATCAACAGCACATCAGCAACTCGTCCTGTGCTTTTGCAATCAAGCTAACGATGTTATCAGAAATCTTTCTAGTGGCCTCTTTGTCGCTCCTCGGTCCAGCTCTAGCCCAGAGCGTGGACGGCTCACAATACAATAATCCAACAGCTGGTCCCCCAGCGAGCTACTTTGCTGCTGCAACAACTGTCCCTGTGGCCGCGTTGCAAAGCGCTGCTGCTAAGGCAAGCACAGCTGCAAAAGATGCAACCTATCCCATCAACAGTGATAGCGGTGCGAAGAGGGTGACGATTCACAGTGATTGGTCTAAGTTTAGTGAAGTCGGTTGTCCCTCTCCCTCCGGACTTTCTGGATAAGTACTAAATTTATTGGACGACAGGGTGCCGCATTTGTCTGGATCGCCGACATGGATGTCGACTGTGATGGAATCGACTACAAGTGCAAGGTTAGCATGACTAACATCGGCGAATCTTCTCGCCGTCACTGGAGCCTTACGCTGACTGAGAGGGACAGGGAAATCCAGATGGACAATCACAGACTAACTTTGGTTCTCTTGCTGCTTACGAAGTTCCGTTTATCGTGATTCCAGATGCTTTCGGCACGACCTATCAGAGTGTCCTACCAGGAAACAACGTCGGAGCAGTCATTTGGTATGCAATATGCGTTTTCTTCTCTACGTCGAATACTCATCTTTGCATAGCAACGGCAACATGTTCTACGGTATCTACGGCGACTCGGATGGTGATGACCCAGAGGTCATTGGAGAGGCTTCATGGCTCATGGCTCGAACTTGCTTCCCCAACGATGATCTCAATGGGAACAGTGGCCACGGCGCTGCTGATGTTACCTGTGAGGCTTTTTCATAACAACAGTGAAACTTATACTAATATCCGGAAGATATCCTGTTCACTGGCAGTGATTCCGTACTCCCTAGCACCGCTCTAAATAAGAACTATATCACCAACTTCAGTACCTTGCGCTCAATGGGAGATAAGCTCATGACAGCGCTTGCGAAGAATTTGAACCTCGTCTCAGGGGGATCAGGTGGTTCGAGTGGGTCGTGTTCCTGGGTTGGTCACTGTGCCGGTATTGAGGGATCCTTGTCTAATTTAGTGTTTTTTCGGTTTCTAACATGTTCTCATAGGCGCGTCCTGTTCATCCAACGATGACTGCTCCGACAATCTAGTTTGCACGAATGGAAAGTGTGCTTCTGGGTCTAGCAGCGGATCATGCTCATGGGTCGGCCATTGCGCAGGTAAGAGAACAATTACATCGAAGCTATGATTCAAGGGCTGATATTCTGCTTCGCTAGGTGCGTCCTGCTCATCTGGTGATGACTGCTCGGGCGACTTGATATGTACCAACGGAAAGTGCGCGAGCCTTTGAACAGTTTTGTTTTCGGCTTACAGTGCATTGTGGCCGGTCATTTCCGCGGGGCTCGGTTGAACATGGTTGCCATCTGAGCAAGCTGATGTACTTAAAGCTATTTCAACACTGATGGAACTCTTTGGGTTAATCATAGTTCTAGCAACTATTCTGCTTTGACAGTGTCTCAGCCTCAACGGGCGACATCCTTTAGCCACCACCCGCTCATACACAAAATGTCATTTTACGAAAAAAGGTAGGTCCATGTTCTGAGTGACCGCCGGTGCTACCGCACTCGTTTGTCTTTGTTGACCGACCGGACATCATGATATGACTGTCAGATCGACGATGGCATTTCCGAAACCAAGAATTCGGCGATTGAACCCAATTTGAACTGATTGAGGAGGTTAAAATTGCCCTTTTCATGTCCATATATCGAAAAGTCTATTTGCCACCCGCATCTGGGCATCTTCATAGAAATGCTTACGTCATAGATCGCGATCGGTTAGTTATTCCTGCAGGGCGTCTTACAGCTTACAACATTGAAAGCGTCATTGGCACTGATTGGCTTGGTGGATGTTCGAGCCGAGCTGACCCCAGAAACCACCGCCACGATCTGCGCAGCTGAAGAAATACACCCAAAATGGCGGGGAGCTGAGCATCCGAAGGGGGTTAAACTTTGGAGATAGCCTGAGATGGCGTTCCGGTTCGTCCGCAAATCGAGGGCTGGACCTCAGTAGCTTCATGCACAAGACACCACCAACTGTCTTCTCAAGGCGACAGGTTTATCCTTACACGATTATGGGGGCCTGAGGGGCCTAAGAGACGCAGACTATACGAACGTATAAGTTAGGACGAGTTTGTCTCCAGGTGTGTCTTGCCGCGCACGTTGTCTCTCACCATTCTTTTTTGCCTCACTCTAACCAGCTGATCAGAGCATCACATGGCTCTTCATCCGTCGCATTCTTGTGAGCTCCTGGGGGAGGATTATATTCTCCGGCAGCGAGAGGATGCCAAGCGCGCTCCTATCCGAAAGCGCATCATCATTTGCTGTGATGGTACATGGCAATCCGCTGTCTCGGGCAAGAAGAATGTTCCTTCCAACGTCACTCGACTGTGTCGCGCCCTGAACAGCATCGGCACAGATGAGAATGACGATGAATGGCAACAGGTCGTCTGGTATGACTCCGGGGTCGGCACAACAGCGCTGCCCCTGGGAGATGCCATCGAAGGTGCCGTCGGACAGGGACTGGAAGGAAACGTTATTGAAGCGTACAATTTCTGTGTTCTCAATTACAACCCTGGCGACAAGATTTACTGCTTTGGCTTCTCGCGCGGTGCGTATACCGCTCGCACAATCTCCGGCTTGATCTCGGATATCGGAATCTGTCACAAACGCGATTTGAACAAGTTCCCCGATCTCTGGGCTGTCTATAAGAAGATCGAGCCCGGAAAACGTTTTCACCGCAGTGACGAGTGGTTTGAGTGGCTCTGGGGAAAGGCCGACGAACACCAGGGAGCCAAGGGGCCGTTTGTTTATGACAGGGTGCCTCAGGGTGATTGGGCGCAGGAGGGCTCGAGGGAGGTGGAGGTTGTTGGCGTCTATGATACGGTCGGCTCGTTGGGTATGCCAGAAGTGCTGGGTTTCAAGCTGATCTCTTCGAATAACGGCTGGCACAATGTCGGGCTCTCGCCTAGTAAGACTGCACGCCACCTATACTAATGTCACAGCTAACCCTGATCCACAGATATCAAAAATGCCTTCCAGGCCTTGGCTTTGGATGAACACCGCAATGCGTTTTCTCCTGCTGTGTGGTATCTATCGGACAAGACAGCCACACCAGAGGAGGTCGAATCGAGAAGACAGGAAGAGACCCTGGCAGAAAGAAAATACTGGCAGACTTTGCAGCGAGCCAAGGACCTCAAGTTCTCAGGAAAAGCCACGGACCAGGACGTCAACGACGCCGCACGCGAAGTCAACAAAGCCGCCCGGGCCTGGAATAAATCTTCACGCAGACGAGTCGAGTTCCAAAATCGGCTCGAGCTGCACCCGAGATTGAAGCAGGTCTGGTTCCCAGGTTACCATGTCAACATCGGTGGGGGTTCCAAGGACACGCTCAAGAATGAGGGCGACATGGAAGAAATGTCCAACATCGTCTTCGCTTGGATGCTGGACCAGATCGACGAGTTTCTCTCCATTGACGAGCGATTCATTATTCACGAACAAAATGAGCGCGAAAAAGTATTTGCCACGCTTAACCGAGCCTTCACAAAATGGGACGCTATGATCCAAGCTCAAAAGACTGAATCCTGGAGCGACTGGGCCTGGCGCCAGATTAAGGCTACGGCGGCCGTTATCACGCACCCACTGAATCCCATCGACGAGCCCGCCTATAAGAAGCTGCGTGTTTATGGGTGGGGAGTTGGCGATATGAAAGACAGCTTCACTCCAATGTACTGGGCGAATGGGTCGAAAAAGCGAACTCCAGGTGAATACTCTTTTGGAATAGACGGAAAATCTCTCGGAAACAGTTTCGAGTTCATTCACCCCGTCGTCAACTTTCGCGTCGAGCAGTTCCAGAAGATGAATGAGAAGGACCGCTCTCATCCCACCTACAAGCCAATTGACGAGTCCATGCAGTACTTCCGTCGCAAGGTGGTGGATTCCGAGGGACACCCGGGGTATGAATACAATATCGGCACCTCGAAGCGACCTTTGCCCGAATGGAAGCTGGGCGGACTGGACTCTTATGAGCGTCTTGCTATTGCTAGCGAGGCAGCTTATGACTATGTCGATGAGCTGGATGCACAGCTCAAAACTGGTGTTCGGACTGTTCGTCGCCAGGCCGAATATATTGAAGAAAAAGCCAGTTGAGGCTCCTTTGGCTCCGGCCAGGTTTGACGGCGGTGGTTTCTGGCCTGCTAGTCCGGTGAAACCTCGTGGCTCTGTTGTCATCACTCGGGCCGATAAGGCTGTAGATGATAGCTGCCATAAAGACGACAATTGTCATGCGGCTGTTGTTGACTCCGATCTTCGGGAGATGTCTCATGAGGAGGTTTTCCAAGCTTGGAATTGATGTTCTCGGGCGTGAAATTGATATATTCTATCCAGCAACAATTTCTTTAGTATATCGACTTTTGTTTATAGCACCCAGATTGAACTTCCTAATATACGACAAAATGTTCAATTTTGAATTGCCCACCTGTTACCATGCCGCTGCGCATTTGTATGAGAATTAATGAGTATATACTGGATGGCACTAGAGACTTCGACAAGCATTTTTCTCCAATTGTTTCCCGGGATTCACTGGTAGTCCTCGGTCGACATGTGGCGCCACAGATCTCCACTGCATTGGCGTTAGATCGACATTTGGAACCCGACTAAAAGACTAGACTGGCCACGTTGCAGCGAGCCTAAATGTGACACGATCGAGTCAGAGGATTGTTTTCGGTCCAGGCTGCAAGATCTTGATCAGGCTGTGAACCTCCCAGCTCCCAGCTCCCAGCAAACTCAGAGTCTTGACAAAAAGTGACGGACATGATGCCCTACACTGCCTTGGTCTCGCCCAGATTAAATGATCTACCTGATTTGCAACACAGCCCATTTGCGCGAGGCAGCCAGCGTCAGGTTTTCTGCTCGCAAATCTGATCGATCAATGTCGATTCGCCGTGGCGATGACGGTGACAGAAATGGGAGGCTGGGGCCCCACTTCCACCCAATATGTGCCCCGGCCACCAAATTTAATTTCTTTCGTATCGGACTGCTGAATCTGCTCTAAAAGAGCGTTTTCTGAGTAGCATTCAGCATGGCTGGAAAAAAAGATGTTAGCAATGTCTGATTGTAGTTCTCGACTGCCATCCCGGCCCAGATCTCTGCTGTCTTCCATCCCGTATAGATCCCCACACAACGTGGCGCAGGCTCCACAACATCCCGTGGTTCGACCAATGGGTGGCTCTGGGATCCACGGATCTGCAAATCAGGACGCTGCGAAACAGAGGAGGCTGGCACCAGCTCTTTCCATATAAGACCTCGTGCCCAACGTTGCGCCTGCCACAGCTGTGTGGATGCGACACTTCTTCTCTCCTCCCTCCCCGTCTTCTCTTCCTCCTCTTCGTCCTCTCCCATCAGCAGGCTCTGTTCTCCATCAGCCACGTTTCTGCTTACCCGTTAGTGCGGCATCCATACATACGAACATCGTTTAGCACAATCTGCAGCTATCTGCCCACCATGAAGCTTGCTCTTGGTGTGGCACTGAGTGTGCTCTATTCCTCTGCTCTGGTTGCAGCCCAGACATACACCAACTGCAACCCTCTCGAGAAATGTAAGTCGAAAGACCCCACAGCAACCGAGATCGTCTGCTAAATCGTTCCAGCATGCCCCGCGGATCCGGCCTTGGGGAAGTCCAACCAAAAGTTCGACTTCACATCAGGCTCTTCATCCGAGTTCACGGCCTCCGGCAGCGTCTCGTACGATAACAGCAACGGCGCGACCTTCACGATTTCTCAGAAGGGTGACGGCCCACTGATCCAGTCCAACTGGTACATCATGTTTGGTCGAGTCGAGTTCACCATCAAGGCTGCTCCCGGAACTGGAATTGTCAGCAGTGCTGTCCTGCAGTCCGACGATCTGGACGAGATTGATTGGGAATGGCTCGGAGGCAACAATGCCCAGGTACAGACCAACTACTTCGGCAAAGGCGACACCAGCACCTACAGCCGCGGTGCTTATCATGACAATTCCGGCAACCATGACAGTTTTCACACTTACTCTGTTGACTGGACCAGCTCTCAAATCGTTTGGGCGATTGATGGCAAAACGGTCCGTGTTCTTACACCAGATACTGCCGACAGCAATCAGTATCCCCAAACTCCGATGATGATCAAGGCTGGCGTGTGGGCAGGTGGTGACCCGGGCAACGCCCAGGGAACTATTGGTAAGTCATCTTTCCAGCAACGTTTTTCAAGGTCGACATTCTAACTTCTGGCGAAGACTGGGCTGGCGGCGAGACGGACTATAATCAAGGTCCGTTCAGCATGTACCTGAAGTCCATGACCGTGACCGACTATTCCACCGGAAACTCGTACAGCTATGGTGACAAGTCCGGCTCTTGGGAGTCCATCATCGCAAATAATGGCAAGGTCAATGGCAACAGCGGCGACGAGCCTACTTCCACCGAATCCGCACCGGTCATCACCGCTACTGTCGACAGTGTTCCCATTCCCTGGAGTGGAACCCACAAGGAAACTTCGAGCTGGGTGACCCCCAATGTCTGGCCTTGGGTCGCAACAGACTCTCCCACAGGCACCGCCGCAGGCAGCCTTCCCAGTGGCTGGGAATCCCGATCCAACAACATTCAGCCGCCTGGTGGAGGATCAGTGAGTGAGCGCTCCCGCGCACGCAGAAATTCGTCCATGGAGTCGATCACTAAAACGAAATTTTCATCCACGCAGTCTACCTTCCTCTCTACGTCAGCGCCATCGGTTTCTTCGTCGGTTGCCTTTTCCCCTTCTGGGCTTAGGAGCTCGTCGAAGAATGTGACCCGGCATGCAAGCAAGACGACTACAGAAAAGCATCGGACCCGACGACCCACCGATGTTGCGACAGCAACTGCGGAGAACCAAGCTCCCGCCACAACTATGTCTTCTCATGATGCTCCGTCGGCCAATTCTGGCGCCACTCTGTACCATACTCCAGCGGCCCTTGGCACTTTTTGTGTGATTTTTGGTGGTTTTGTTGTCGGCGGTGCCCTTTTCGGTGGTACCGTCATGCCCCTTGTACTGTGAACCCCTTTGACGATGATACTCTTCATCTGTATTATTACCCACGATGCGATGCACACCACACGGCGTTGATAACTCTTTTCCCGACATTCGGTCGATATCATGACCCGGCCACAGCATATTGGCGCTTTTGACTAGGAACCTTTTGAGGAACCATTCTCGTTATTTTTTTATTCTTATGTCCATAGATGATCACGAACAACTCGAATTATAAAAGGCTTGGCGCACAATGAATACGAATTATATCAGCCTGACTCCTACTCTTCTCAATATCGTAAGCTTCGGTCTCTACACTAATGCAGAGACTGTCTATCTGAGCAAACATGATTTCGGTCATGTGCCCACATAGCCCATCTGCAGCCGCGTACCTGTTCTCGAGAACTGCAGCCCGAATAGAAAGTCAGCATGACGTGCAACGCATGCGAGAACCAAATACTACAATGCCAGGTTCATATCATTTTCTGCGGACAAATTAAAGGAGGATCTCTTCCTCTCCTTGCCTGAGATATCCGGTCTCGGTCTTGGCGTCGGTGTCGGTGTCGGCTCTGAATTCCGTCACCGTGGGAGATAACACACTGCAGACATGCAGTGTAGTCTCAGTCTGAATTTTTGTACCTCTGCAGATGTCATTCAGGTAACCACGAACCTTGCACTGTAGCTTGTTAAGAATTTTAATTTTTCGGAATGCTTGTACGCGTACACTATCGTTTTGACATGATTTATCTAATATCCTCCGTGTTCGTTTCTCGTTCTTTGGCGCGTGGCCAGTATTGAAATTGGCTTGTCCGATCAAACACTTGTCCGTTGTTCGAAATTGCTAGACCGGACTTGAAGACATGACGCCTTTTTTGTTTAGGGGTCCAAGGAGCCGTTTGAGTCCCATCCACGGTGTGTTGATCGGACTATCTTGTCCTGTGTACAGGAAGACATCGTAGATCCAACCTCCGAAGGTACAGCCGAGGAATGGTGCGACCATTGGGACCTGTTGGGACTATGTTAGTAAATGCAGCGGGGCAGAGAGGAGTTGCTATCACATACCCAGAAGTAGTAGTTACCAGCGGCCCATACTTCATGTCCGTATCCCAGCATGTAGGACGTTAGTCGAGGTCCAAAATCTCGGGCAAGATTGACGGCATATCCAGTTTCCCAGCCGAAGCAAGCTCCGATACCGAATATGACGAAGAAAAGTGCGAGAGGAGTCAGTGGCCCTGCGCCCAGGTTTCCATCGTCTTTCAGCGCGAATATCATAAACATCAGAATTGCACTTGCGAGGAATTCAGAAAAGAATTGGCCTGTCTTGGTCATGAAGTCTGCAGGATATGTGCAGAAGATTCCCGCTGTTGCGGTGTCCGAGTATCCTGGTACCGTCCTAATATCACGGCCGCCTTCGAAGACGTCTATGGCGGATTTGTAATTGCCGTAGACAATTGCTGCACCGCACATGGCACCAAGAAGTTGTGCCATGGCATAGATAGGGAACTTGCGCCAGGGGAACTTCCGAAATACACAGTTGGCAAGTGTCACGGCTGGGTTGATGTGGGATCCTGAGGCTCCGCTAACGTATACGCCTAGCATGACACCTAGACTGGTGGATGGTTAGATGAGAGGAAGGAGAGAGATCCAGCAGTGAATGCGTACCCCCATCCCCATGATATCGACTGGTAGTCACCCTTCTGGTTATGACTGAGCATAACCTGGGCAACTACCCCGTCTCCGAAGAGAATTAAAATCATAGTGCCGAAGAACTCAGAGAAAGCCTCACGGCCGTATGTCCTCCATTTCGACCAGAGCAATGGCGGTTCTACTGCAGAGGTGCCATTGTCTGGACTGAGGTCGTGGATAGATGACTCGTGCTTACTCCCCAGGTAAACAGAAGTAGATCCGCTATCCTGAGTTGTCGTCACGCCAATTTCCTTTTGTGTATTCGACATTGAATCAATGGAAGTTTCCGTCCAATGCCCCATGGACTCAGAGGTTTCGGGTAATGTAATATGGTTCTCAGAGTATATGGATCCCCCTCTGAGACACGACAATGGCGTGGTCATCCAGCGATATATCAGCCAACGCCGAGGAGACATAGCCGTGTAACGTCTGCAACTCAAATCTTGACCGGAGACCTCGTAAATCGGCTCTATTGGATAATGCAGGGTCCGAGGAAAACAAGACAGGCGTGTCTTGCCTATTTCAGGGCCGTGTGAGCCGTGCAGGGGGGCTTGCTGGTCTAGGAGAGAAAGAATGAAAGGTGACTCGGGGCAGCCGTGTTTCGATGAGATGGTTTGCGCCAGCCACGGCACTCAACTGAGTCCGGCCATCTTGAGCCTTTTCATTTTCCCCAGACCGATATTCCAACACGAAGCACGTTGTGACAGCGCACATATTCACCCAATGCCCAAGCCCAAGCCCACGGGTCCGTCGTTTGCAGCTGCTGCCGTTTGGTTTGGGTGCCGGAAAACGCCGGCCAGTTTCTGGTTTCCGGGGACTATATTCGACGACTCCGGTGGTCTATACTTTTTACAGGTCGCGAAAAATAAATTTTGATTTTTTGCGTTGCCTGGTCCTGGGTAACACTGCCTAATTGGCAGCATCATCGCACTGCTAGGATGAGTGAAAGGGTACCTGGCGTCTTTTGCTACCGGGGATCGTTCAATGTCATGGAAATTAGGGAGGCACAGAGAAGGTTCTATTGCTTCTGTTACCCACGGACGCCGATTCAGGAAAGAAATGGCCACGCGGGCCCAATTGCAACTTCTAGAAGGATGAGTCTTTCACCAACGAGAAGCGTTCTCAATGGCGACGGTTGGAAAGGGGACGGGAGAAGAGGTAACAAATTTCACGCCGGAAAGCTGCTCTTGGGCCAATGCCGCCCGCGTTCGCTCTCTGCTCTTTGCTCGATCTGGCGGTCTGTCCGTTGTCTCGCGCTGTCTGTCGCTTTCTTTCTCTGCTTAGAGTCCTACTGCGCTGCTGACGGTAGCATTTGGCGCTCGATGGCTGGAAGTTGTTGCGATGTCGATGATACCCACCCCTGTCCAACGCCCGTGTGACATGCTCACCCATGCTCTGTGTCGCTCGGCGCTGGGGTGGACCAGGCTTGTGGACGGTTCGTGCAGGGAACGATGGTGAGAGGGGGACAAGGTGCTTGTCCTCCGTGAGGGTTTCATGGCCGGATATTGCCGCAGTGACCACGACTCCAAAGATCCTCACCGACAGATCCACGGGACTTGTCGGTTGTGGTGCAGCGTGCAGCGTGCAGGGAGTCGATTGGAATTCCAGCTTGGCGTGTTGGAATTCGGACCGCGCTGGCTAAGAGAGATGGGCTTGGGCACATCTCGTGCTTTGCTGTAGCCGACTTGACTGGCAACAGGCGCGGCGACGTAAAAGACGCAGCAATTCTGATGCCACGGGCCCCACTTCAGCAGGTGCTCGATTCTGGAATCTCGTCAAGGCAACTGAGTCGCCAGGGCCCCGCATGACCTCGAGCAATGAGCGTGTTGTTAGTGGGGACGATCGCGACCAGTGCGACGCCGTGGCACAATGGCCATTGATGCTCGGGGCCCGCGGTGGGCTTCTTCCCCGGATCGTCGCTGTCGCTCGGTGGAGTTGGCATGTATGGTTATCGGGAATAGGCACATGGTGATCGCTGTGTCCAACATAAAGCAAAGTAGACAAGTTGAAGTGTTCTCGAGGCTAGTTCGGATGGCCCTGGCAGTATCGGGCTCGAGGAAGGAACAGCCATGCAGGCCGCTTTCGAGTCTGCGTCGCCTCGCGTCGCACCGAAATTCGCACTAACCCCTAGGATTAAACCCTATCAGAACGCTCAACCGCACGCTGACTCCCTGCTGGTCTGGTCGTACCCAGCGGATTATTCCCACCAATCTCTGAGGCAAGTCCCGACCCCCACCAGCAACTCCGCGCGAGTCCATTTGTGCACCCGGCGTGGCCGTTATTTAAGATGCCCGTTCGTCATTTACCCTGAGAGAGCTGCGCCGTGGGAGTGACCCGTCGGAGAACTTGAAGACCTATTCGCCTATTCTGGGACGATATCGATGATCAGATAGTTTGACTGCCCAGAATGCAGCCCTCGGAATTCTTCGTGGGCTCGATCGATCAGGGGACGACCAGCACCAGATTCCTCATTTTCAACCGAGATGGAGAGCCTGTGGCCTCACACCAGGTCGAATTCAGCCAGATCTATCCGAACCCGGGGTAAGTACAGAGTAGTGGGGGAAACCCATATCCCGTATCCATCCCATCTCATCTTGCGCGTCCATACTAAATGGTATACTTCCAGCTGGCACGAACACGACCCTCTCGAGCTTGTCTATTCCGTAGAAACCTGCATCGACCACGCAGTCCGCGAATTCGAAGAAAAGGGCTTCTCCCGTTCCAATATCAAGTGCGTCGGTATCACCAACCAGCGCGAAACAACTGTTGTCTGGGACCACGAGTCCGGCGAGCCGCTAAACAATGCGATTGTCTGGACAGATACCCGGTCCCAGGCCATCGTCACCGAGCTCAAGCAGAGACCAGACGCATCCAAATTACAAGCCATCTGCGGTCTCCCGCTCTCAACCTACTCATCATCCACAAAGTTGCTCTGGATGCTGGCGCACGTACCCAAGGTGAAAGAGGCGTTCGACCGCGGCACTCTGGCGTTTGGTACTGTCGATTCCTGGCTCGTATACCGTTTGAACGGCGTCCGCGCCAACGTTTTTGTCTCGGATTCGACAAACGCGTCCCGCACCATGTTCATGAGTCTTCATTCTTTGCAATACGATGATACCCTGTTGGATTTCTTCGGCATCAAGGGAAAGATCCATCTTCCTAGAATTGTCCCATCGTCTGATTCGCATGCTTATGGGTCAATTGTGTCTGGTGCGCTTGAGGGAGTACCTATCATGGGATGTCTTGGCGATCAGTCTTCTGCGTTGGTTGGGCAGAAGGGGTTCTCACCAGGTATGGCCAAAAATACTTACGGGACAGGCTGCTTCTTGCTCTACAATGTCGGTGAGAAGCCTGTCATTTCGACACATGGTTTGCTGGCGACAGTCGCGTACAATTTTGGGGGAAAGGCTGTCTATGCCCTGGAAGGAAGCATTGCAGTCGCCGGCTCTGGGGTCAAGTTCTTGCAGAACAATTTGGCCTTTTTCCAAGACTCCAAGGAGGTCAATGACCTAGCGTTATCGGTAGAAGATAACGGTGGATGTGTCTTCGTCACTGCTTTCAGTGGACTGTTTGCGCCGTACTGGATTGATGATGCTAAGGGAACCATCTGTGAGTTAATTTTTCTGGGTCTAGCAACCCTTCCCCTCCCTGGACAAACACTGACAAATATCGTTCTTAGTTGGCATCACTCAATACACCCAAAAAGGTCACATCGCACGTGCAACTCTCGAAGCCACCTGTTTCCAGACAAAGGCCATCTTAGATGCAATGGAGAAGGATAGCGGAAAGACACTCTCAGAGCTTGCCGTTGACGGAGGAATGAGTAACTCTGATTTGGCAATGCAGGTTTGTACAAACTGAAATCAAAAATTGAATATTGAGCTAACTCCTGCATAGACCCAAGCAGATCTCATATCCATCCCCGTCTACCGCCCCAAGATGCGCGAAACAACAGCCCTTGGCGCCGCAATCGCGGCTGGCCTTGCTGCGGGCTTGTGGCGCAATTTCGCCGAGCTACGTGATATCAACCGGGTCGGCGGAGTCGTCTTTGAGCCGCGGATCACACGCGAGGAATCCGCAAAAAAGTTCGGAGAATGGGAGAAGGCGGTACAAATGAGTCGAGGCTGGATCGGGGCCGAGAAGAATGCCCAAGACTCGGTCCCAAACGGTGCTCAGAAATGGCCCAATGGGACTTCTGTCTATCCTGCAGACAATCGAGACTTGTCCGCTCCAAAACCACTTCCCAAACAAAGCCAATCGCCGTTGATCTCGGATGTTGTTGCTGGGTCCAATACTGGCACAACATTCAAAGTGAAGGCATGGACAGCGAGCGGAGACCTAGATTTCCAGCCTGCCAAGGTCCCGACGGTCAGTATCTCGGGTGATCTTGAAGATGCAGATGAGGAGGATCTGTTTCTGGAGTTGAGGAAGGTAGAGATTCTGCAGAAGCTGAAGAAGTTGAGGAAGCTTAAGTTGAGCTATTACTAGGCTGGTTTACTTTGCTGATCCTTATTTTCGGCCCGCTGACTGGGGATACTTGGTTGAAATTAGATAGCCCGAATACCCGATCATTGCTAGAGGTGACAGTGTGTATCAATCGAACTATTTTTCTAAACTGTGGAAAAAAGGACAAACGAATATTGATCATGTTTTCCTCTCAGTAACAACTTGCACAAAGGTCTTCTGAATAGTTACCCGATTCCGAGATATGGCCGGGCTCAATTCAATATACAAAGCCTTCTGGCTACCTTTGCTCTCTTCAAAGGTAGCTGATCTCGGCGAAGATACTGTATTCACTACCGCTTTGTCGGGATCAATGTCTGGTCTCCAATAACCTGGATCACTCGTGGTATTCAATCTCTCGGTCTTTGGGCCCGAATTGGGGTATTTCCGAGAGCCCTTGGGGGGACTGCGTGCATATCGGCCGTAGGCCGTGCTGCCGTCTAATAACCAGCGGAAGAGAGGGCGAAGAGTGATCAGGCTGCCAGCGATGATGCCGAGTCCCGTTTCGACTACTGACCAGATGGCGATTTGGTAAGTGGAGTCTGTAGATCTGTTAGTCACGGAAACTTTTATACGGGATTGAGGTTCAATTGGCTCACAAAGGAAATTTTCATCAGCGTAGAAGTGGAGAAATGGAATCCGGATGATGACGGCGACGCTGGCACTGAATTTGGTTAGTTGATCATATCCTTATTTGTCCGGTCGTCAGTAAAATTGTATAACTCACATTGCTCCCAAGCTGAGAATGCCTCCGACTGCGATCTTCGTCCTTTGATTCATCTGTAGCTTCCACACTAGAGCGAGGGGTAGAATGCCCAAAGTCAGGTCACACAGGATTGTGATAGTGCTGTACAGGTATGCAATCTCGAGGAGGGTGTGCAACGGCAGACATGATCCGCTAATGGTTGGATCCACGCGATTCCAGAAATAAGAGATCGGATGACAGTCCAAGAGTAGAACGAGCCAGAACATTAGTCCGATCACGATAACAATCCCAATTACTGCCCAGAGTATCACTCGGTGGACCTTTTTGACTGCGAGACGAAGGAGAGCGACGGCGATGGATACTTTTGCCACCGCTGAAGCCCAGATGTACAGCATTTGACCAAGCCACCACCACTGAGATAGTTAGGGAAAAGATTCTGAAGAGATCTGGCTTTCCACAAGGCAACATACCACCAGTGCCTTTTTGTAGGTTACCAGACTGGTAAAATCTTCATATTTGTGACCGATTCCATTTATCGAACCGATAACGCAGCATACTGTCAACATGGTGAACAATGCCTAGAAATTGTCAGATTGATGTTATTGATCCTCTGTCCAAGATTTCCTACCACTGCTGTGACCATAAGCGCGTCGTCCCAGCCAAACGCCCGAACAACATAGACTCGAACAAAACTTCTGAAGGCGACAGTCGCCACAGAGCCACTCATCATCGCGACAGACACGACGAGAATAGCCAAGCTGCGGCCTTCCAAAGGCATTGCTGTCGTCATTTCGCCGATGCCTCTCGTGACTTTGGCCCGATCATCCACGAAGACCTTGAGACGTTCCGTATATTGTGATAGAAAATTGACAACTGAGCACCTTCAAGCCTGCATATCAGAGTTCATCGATGAGACTTTGCACCAGCAGAAAGAAACATCTTAGCAGCGGAGGTCGCAGGAAATTCGCCGTCGATATGATAGCGATTCGTAGCGAAGCTGGGAAAGTTTCAGAATGCGCATTGGGGCCGGAAACACCGAAGCGAAGACTCGAACTCCTCCAAAGTGGAGTCTCGGACTCCGCGTCAATCCGATCGATTAAGTTAACTATTGAAGGCGATGGAGGGGGCGCACGTTCAGTCCCTAGCCCGATTCGAGTCGAGGTCCGCGCACTAGAGCGAGGTACAGTCCCACCATGCTGACGGCGTTGATAGCCCTGCAGCGAGCTGATAACACGGACGGGTTGCCGCCCAGTCATGTCCGCGTGGTTCTCCGCTTGTCCAGTCTGTTGGATCGCAGCTGTTGGATTCAGGGCATTTCTGCCGATGGCGCGGCTTGCGGTGCCTAAGATTTCGTTTATATGGGATATAGACCCCGCTAAATACTGAAGTCGGGAAGTGTACTGCGGCGATCGCCTACTTGAAACAGCCGTTGTCAACGGCATTGTTGTTGTATTACTCACGTGGGTTGGGTGTGAATTTGCCGATGAATTTCTTTGTTTTCAGATGTGATACCCACCGGGTCACAATCTGCATAACACTAAGTCATGTTCCCGGAGGATAGAACTGTAAACACGCCCCATCATGACTCGCTCAAATACAAAATTGGAACCTTGATCAAACATAGTGTCAGTTTTGACGCAAATGCCGCCTTCGCCATGATCTTGCTGGTCTGAAATCTGCATTCTATCTAACACTTAGCACTTTAAACAGGCTCCTTGCTCAGTCATCTACCTGGTCACCCACGTGATCAGTTGTCTAGTGGCATACTTCTGAGGACTGATACGCCACGGCCCAAGGCAAATAGATAGGTGTAGGCAAGAAGTCTCTTTTCGACTCGAACAGTCGGGGAATTTAGTCCGAAGTACTGGCAGATATCTGAGAGGTCAGGGAGGCGAGCGATTGTAATATTCTCCTTGATAGATTTCCATATCCATGTCCAGAGATGAGTGTCTCAATTTCAAAATATTCAGTCATAGTCAAAACACGTAGCAAAAGACATAATCAAAGGTCGTAAATGGTCAAAAAAGTTTCATATCGCAATCCAAGTCGATTCCAAGAATTACGCAGCCTGCGCTCTCGACGCACTTCGCGCATAGTCTTCACCCTCCTTCACGAAAACGCAGTTCAACTCCGATCCAGGGCTCAGCGTGACCTCGAATCGCAAAATCGGGTCCTCAACCTTCTCCTTCCCACTAACCGGCAACGCAACAATGCGCTCATACGCCTGCAGGATCCGAATGATAGTGTATCCCATCTCAATAGTGGCGAATTGTTGTCCAATGCAGATGCGGGGGCCACCATTGAAAGGAATGAACTGCCACGGGCGCGGCTGCCAGCCCGAAACCCAGCGCTCGGGGATCCACTTGCCGGGATCGAAATAGTTCTTCGAATCCGGTCCATCGTACAGGTCAGGATCACGCTGCATCAGCATCGTCGAGTAGATAACCCGTGAGTTGGCGCGAACACCGACGGGCTCGCGGCCGTCTGGGCCGCCACCTCGGGGGAGGGTTGTGTCGTGGAGGGAGTAGCGGACGTTAAATGGGACGACGGGGTAAACTCGCATTGTTTCGTTGATTACGGCGCTGAGGAATTTCATTTCTTTCAGGTCTTGGTAGGAGGGCTTTTGGCCGTCGGCGCCGACGCCGAGGCGGGAGCGGATTTCTTCGCGGAGTTTCGCGACGACTTCGGGGTGGCGGGAGAGTTCGAAGAGGCAGAAGGAGAGCGTTCCGGCGGTTGTGTCTCGGCCTGCGAGGAGGACGGCGACTAGTTGGTCACGGAGGACTTGTCTGTCGCGGGTGAATCGGGCGAGGGCGTCGAGGAAGGTTTCGCGCTTGGAGAGCTTTTGTTCGAGCTCGTCGGAGGATAGAGAGAGGACGGTTTCGATGTAGGGTTGGATGAACTCGTCCATAATTTTCAGATTGCGGCGGAATTCGGTGCGGGACATGAAGGCGCTGAAGACCCTATTTTGATTGTGTGAGTTAGTAATTCCTTTCTCCAATTGCAAGTCCGCGAATCCTCCGGTCGGAATTTATGCAGCATCGCACAAGATCGAGATCACCTACCCGAAACGGAAAAGCTCGGCCTGTCGCTGTTGCACATATCTGAAAGCTTCGGCAAATCGTGTCGCAGGATTCTCCAGACTGTCGGTTCCTTGACCCAGCAGGTAGTCCGTCGCGGCATCGAGGGTATACCGAAAGAAGAGCGAGCCAACATCGACGACACGGCTACCGTTGGGCGAATTGCTACCACCGAGGAGCGGGAGGAGCTTCTGCACGTGCTTCTCAAAGACCTCCGTATCGACAATTCGCTCGCGAGCGAACATGGGCCGGATCAGCTGGCGGGAGCGAGACCACAGCTCCCCGTCCGTGGCGAAGATACTGTCGCCCAGGAACTCCTTCCATTCCTTATGGAAGGGCTCACCTTTGCCGTAGTCGGCGAATTGGCCGGTCAGAAGGGCTTTGATATTCTCCGGGTCCTTGGTCAGAACGATGCGAGTGGAGATGCCGGCATCGAGCTCGGCCGTCTTACAATCGCGGCTTCCTCCGGCGGTAGCGATGGATTGGGCCCAGAATTCAACATCCTTGTTCACAAGGTTGGCTTGGTGACCTTTGTAGATGAAATCGAGAGCTGTTGGCTGTTGTTAGTCCTGTTGTCTCTTTTTGGGCAGCAGGTTGGGTGCTGCCATTGTTCATTGACATGACACGTACCGTAGGGAAGCTGGAAGGAGATTTTGGGAGCACGAGCTCCGAGACGGGAGATCTGAGCTGCTGCTTGCAGTTTGCGGAAAGTCAAGACGACCACAAAGACGCCGAATGTCCACAGTAACGCCTTTGCCGGCGTCATGCCCGCCAAGAGGTCTTCAATCATTGCGAATACTCGGCCCGAGTCGCGACGATGTCAGGGGAGGCAGGGTCGGAAGGGCCACGTTTTGAACGATTGAACGATGTCTTCAAGGATGCTTCACGCTACAAGGCTTGCACATGGCAAGTCTGCGGAGGGGAACCGGGGGGGGTGGATAGTATTTAAAATGCACGAGGGCCGAGTGAAGTCAAGTAAAGTTGGGTGGGTACGGTGGAGTGGCCCATTCGTTGCGCCGCGTTTATCAATCGGGGCACAATGACTCCGAGTCCGCATTTACTTCAGGGATATTTCCCCAGAAAAGCTACGCTAGGACGCTCTGCCAGTCCGGCTGGCCCTATGACAGCGGCCTCAGGTCTCCTATGGCGGTACTAGCCTTGTGGCTCCTTCGAGACATCCTTGCGAGGTGCTTCCTCGCCCCACCAATGACTTCATTCCCGGCCGCCGTCGGCCGCCGCATCGCATTCGATACATCCATTCCGGCATAATTTTGATCGTCCGGACCATACCGCATATCAATTCCACAGCGCAGTGGTTCTCCCGGCTGTAAGGCCCCCCTTTTCTGTCTACAGGCATATTCAAGGTTTCCCCAGACGGCTGTTGAGAATCCGGGGAAACCTGGAGCCTGGGCCCATGTCCGTGTCCGGGGGTGACCTCGGCTACCCGGTTTCACATGGTGCTGACTCCCGTGCGGAGTTCAGCTAGATACTGTTGGTATTTTAGTTTGGTGCCAAGGATTCTACGGTCTGCAGAATATCTGGGGGTCGTTGCTCGTGTGCAACTACCGATCATGCATAGCACAAATCCCCCACCCCAGCTTAAGTGTGATCCCGCGGTCTAGCAAGTGCCCACGTTCAGCCGCAGATCATTCGCATTGATCCTCAATTCTCTCCCGTAAAGCAAAGAGCGGATTTGTGTACAGCAAGTTTCTAGTAGCTGGAAGTTTGTAAGGTCAATGTAGGTAGGCTGAAAGGAAAATTCGATGTCTCAATGCGCCCATGGCCTGTTGATGCCACAAGTTTCATTCGCTTTGTGTTGAAGAGCCATGTTTCGGCATCTGAATATTCTCTACGATAATGGACATAATTCTCTTTGAGCTGCCTTCCAATTCGCACTTGTTCTTCGCATCTACATAATTATTCTCGATACTATTTCTCCTATATTTCACAATATACGATTATAGTAGTATTGGAAGCTTTCTATAATGATGTTCGTGGTCCTTCAATGCATGGCATCATTTGATATAATATGGCACGATATATAATGCGAACTTTCGTCAGAATCACAAAAAATACACTCGAACAATGCGGACCAGATACTTGTTTAATGAATCAGAATCCTTTCATTTCTAACCGCCAAACTGTTTCAAATGCGGCCTTCGCGATGAAAGGGATTTCCAAGGTTGATGAAAGGGCCCGCGACAAGGCCAGACCGCCAAGGCTACTATTCCGCTTTTAGCTGTGTTGTGTTTGCACCGTTTGTCTGTTTCACGTGACCGCGTCTGATCGCCTTACCATTTTCGTCCTCCAAATGTCGGCAGCTTTCTTGATCGCATTCACTTTGCACGACGAAGCTTTAAGTCGCACCCCGAACCAAGCACCACTTTCGCTTCAATTCTTCCGAGAAAATACAGGCACTGGACAAGAACACCCGCAAATCCCGTTCTTCGCTCGCGCAGACTCGGTCGGAATCCCACCTCGACTCTTGGTGGCGCATCGCACCGATCGTCGTTCATTAACCTACCCTCCGACCCAATACCCCCTCCTCGACCCCCCATTTCTCGCTTTCAACATGCTTCCTACGATCGTTCAGCACTCGCCCCTCGCGGTTGCCATCGCGAATGCCTGCCAGCCCAAGGTGGTGGAGATGGGCTGGGAGGTCGATGGTAACCAAGAGTCTGCTTTGATCGATTACATTGTTCTCATGCTGATCAACGGCAAGTCACGAGAGCAACTCGCCAACGAGCTTTCCAACGATTTCCTTGGCCTTGACGAAGGCGACACCCAAGCCCTCGAGTTCTCAAATTGGCTCTTTGATCAGGTCCAGATTCTCAATGAGCAGATCAACGGACCTTCTGCGGGCTCGAACGGAGGCCAAACAGGCCAAGAAAATGCTTCTGCACCTGCTCTGAACCCGGGGGCCACAGGCTTCCAAATGCCTGGAGGTGATGCTGGAGGCGACGCCGAGATGGGCGATGCCGGCGATTCAATGTTAGTAGAACCCCCAAGATGGAGTTTGGAACCAACCACTCACAGTATCCCCTCTTACATTTTTAGCCCCCCATCTGGACCAAAGGCTATGCGCAATGACCGAGGCGGCCGCGGCGGCCGGGGTCGTATGTTCAACCAAATTAACCAACACATGAACCGTGGCGATTCCGCTCTCCACCGCGTCCAGGGACAGCAAGGCGCCGGTCGCATTGGAGGCAATGGCCGTGGCGGAATGAGGGGTAATCGAAACAATATGGCTCGCGGTGGCCGCAACATGAGTGGTCATATGGGCATGCAGGGCAACATGATGTCCCCCGAGAACCAGTACCAGCTCATGCAGATGATGGCAGACCATGCCCAGATGATGTCTCAAATGATGCCTGGCTTCGTTCCGCCACCTGCCATCAACCCCTCTTTCCAGAATCCCGGCCAGCAAGGTCGCCCTCCCTTTGACCGTGCTCAGCGTGGTCGTGGTGGTAAGCGTGGACAAAACCAGCGCAACCGTGGCGGAGAGGGAGGTGATGTCGACATGGATACGACAATGGGTGGTGGTGAGCAAGGCGAAAATGAGGGTGTCTGCCGGTTCAACCTTCGATGCACTCGCGCCGACTGTGAGCTAGCCCATCAGTCACCTGCCGCTCCGCCGGGCACCTCCATTGACATCACTGATAACTGCTCATTCGGCGCTGCCTGTAAGAACAGGAAGTGCACTGGGCGCCATCCGTCACCGGCAGTCAAGTCTGCCCACCAAGCCGAAGAGATGTGCCGATTCTTCCCTCACTGCACCAACCCTCACTGCCACTTCAAGCACCCCAGCATGCCACTTTGCCACAACGGAGCCGACTGCAAGACCGAGGGCTGCAAATTCACCCATCTTCAGACCCCCTGCAAGTTCAACCCGTGCATGAACCGCATCTGCCCGTACAAGCACGCAGAGGGCCAGCGCGGTAACATCGGCGACAAGGTGTGGACTCCGAAATCCGGCACACACGTCAGCGAGCGCAAGTTTGTTCAAGATGAGAGCGCTCCTGAGGAGTTGATCAAGCCCGACCAACCCGCCACCGAGGCTCCGACTGAGACTCAGAACATGGAGACGACGGCTTGACTACTTCTGAACTGAGGAGCCCTGTCTAGACCTCAAGACAGCGCTCCGAATCATGCATGTACACAATTTCAAAGATTTCAAATCGTGATGATGAATGGCTGGTGGGGAAGGGCGTTTACCCGTTGATGTATTTGCTTGCGCCGATTTCACCTGTACATAGATATCCCACGGGCCCTTTTTTTGGATGACGAAAGGAGAAATTTGACCTTCACGTCAATCTCATTTAAATATGAGATTTATATCAAAATGTTCCACTCGTAGCTGACCAAGGTACTCAACATCCAGTAATGCCCGAGGACCCTGTTGGCGCTACAAAAATACCGAGCAATAGCATGATATTATTGTATATTTTATAATAACGAATCTGTTAGAAGTTTGCCTCTGGCTTCTACCTAGGTAGTAACTAGTATTAATTCATAGCTATATTGATTTCAATGTGGCCTTTTAGAATAGAAAGTCGTACAATAGTCTCAGCAGTCATGATTGCATCCAGAGTATGTCGATCATGTTTACACACTTGAAATAGAGTAACATGCGTCAAGTTAGTCACCAAATTCACACCTGGTAGAATTGTTTAGTGTTGTCTAAAGATGGTGGATGACTGAAATCCGACTGATAAAGCCCGAAGATTCCAAGAACCTACAATGGCTGCCGCCTTCTTTTTCAGGCCTCCGCTATCGAGTTTCGCTTCACATCCCAATCTCCCTTCATCTTCAACCGACAAGCAAGCCATCCAGTCAACTCAAATCGGCCTTCTACATCCTCGCTCTCAAAGGTTCATCTCACCTCCGAATCACTCTTTCCTCTCTTCGACGTCTCCCAGCCCAGCATATACGAGGCCATGCCAGTCTTTAACGAAGACAAGAGAACCTGCGGCACCTGTGGTATCGTGGGCTTCAATGGGAGCAGCTGCCCCGAATGTCCCTGCGGATACTGCAAGCAGTTCGGTCACTCTGCTACCCAGTGCGCCAGTTTCCCGCCATGCACGAACTGCGGGGGGAAGGGACACAGGGTGGAAACTTGCCAAGTCCACTGGGTTACTAAGGAACAACTGGAAGAGGCGCGTGAGACGAGGAAGAATCGGAGGAACGCCAAGCGTCAGTGAGAACCTCTTTTTACGAACGGATCGATGCCGAAACCCGAGAAGTCGAACAGCCCCGAACACATTTATTCGTGGTCAAACTTTATCATCAGCACCACGTCTATTCTACTGAGCACCGAAACCAAAAAGAGTCCGAGATGTGGGTAGCTCACGAGTTTTGGTCTTGGGAAAGGCAGGTTTCCTTCCTTTTTTTTTTTTTTTTTTTTTTTTTTTTTCACCCGGGTTGATATCATTCTTCTACGTGATAGCCAAGTATCCACCACAAGAGGCTTGATCGTCTTGATACTTTTAACCGGTATGTGACCTGTTCTCTGATGCTTGGATTCGTTCAACTTAACTATATACATTATAAATCATCGGGTAAATGTACAGGGTTCCCAATGACCTCAAAATAATCAAAACAATGGGGGTCTCTGAAGGACCACTTCAGGGCCCAGTTAAATGCACTACCCTGCCAGTCGTTCCCGCAGGGCGTGTTGTTCGCACAGGAATTTCATTGCACAAAGGAAATGTGCAACCCGGGACACCGGCAGGAGTTTTTGAGAGAAGCCAGTGTTTCAAAGCAGCCTCTCTGAGACAAACAGCGAGACCAAAGCCAAGCCCCTCGATAGCAGTGAAAGCAGCCTGACACCACATGAACTTCCCTCGCCATCGGATGTTGCTATAGATCTGCGACGCTTGAGCGATGGGAAACATGACACTCTGCGCGCCCCATATTTTCTCCGTGTCATTGAGACAGTAGGGGATACCCCGGCAGGCTTCGTCTGCATAGAACCATGAGAGCATGTAGTCTTGGTCGGTGTGCGGGTCGATCGAAATAGAGCGTTGGGTGTGTGCCATGGCGAGTTTCTTGGCTTGGTAGATCATCGGGTAGATGAGAGATAGAGAGGTCCAGTAGAGCACGTGTATGCGTGCGCTCATGAGTGAAGGGAAATCGTAAGATGGACCAAATACGCTATCTGTAGAGGGCATGTTGGCACATGTTGATTTGTAGTTCGGGTATGGGGTTGGTGCTGGGCCGAGGGTGAGTTTTTGTGTTGTCCACCAGGCGTTGATCTTGTCTTTGTGGATGATGCAATCCTGGAGAATTGTTTGACATGCTTCGAAGCTAGAGGAGTCGATCCGCTTGAACGCGATAAGGATGGGTTTGAATGCGGTGAATATGTCGAAGATTCCGCGGATGGGTCTGTCCCGGATTGATGTGGGAGATTGTGGTCCCTTTCCGGGACTTCGCGAGGATTCCAGAGGATCAGCCTGCGGTGATATTGTTAAATATTGTTCACAGATGCTGCAGTGGGTTACTTACCACACCAAGGACTTGTTGATGCTGGTATATAGATGCAACAAGTGGGTTGTTTGGTGCATCTCGGTAGCATTTTCTCAAAAAAGCATTTGTCCCTTCAGCATGTGCAATCCAGGCCTCGACACCAAGGGGAGAAAATAAGGGCTGCATGGCAAAAAAATGGCTATATGGTTAGCGTTACTATGCAAGTGATGTTGCAGGGAGATTACCTCGAGTCTTTGGAAAATCACAGTGGCATATAAGAGTTCTTCAGTGGGAACATTGCGTTGTATCAGGCTCGACATGTGTCGTATTGCGGCGTTGTATAGTTGAGTTCCATGGTAGAGCATCTGCTGGTCTTGCTTTATTTGTCCCAGGCCAACACAGGTAAGTGCAGACATTGCTCTATCCAGCAAGGTCGTGTCGCTTCTGCTGGGGACAGTAGCGAACCTCGTGATGAGATGGTACCAGACATCCGTGCCCTCAGACCCCACGGTGTTGAGAGGGAGATAGGCACTCATGAATGAAGAGAATAATTGCGTCCGATGGCCTGCACGCGTATCGACAGGCTTTGGAAGAGCCACATGTTGAATTGGTTCACGGGTATCGGATTGCACATGTGCGCTTTCCGGCTCAGCTGGCGCCACGTTGTTAACGGTATCATAATGAATGAAAGTTCTCTCTCTGTCATAGCCCCCACACTCGAGACCACGCTTGATACACCGGCCACATTCTGGTCGTCCGAGGTCGCACTACCCCCCCCCCTGGGCTTAGCTATTCTGCACGGATGTCGGACGTGGGGCGCAGATCCGATTTACCTTGATTTTGCGTCTTTTACATGTTTTGCATCCCTTGGACTTGAAGGGAACGCCGCCCATATCTGCTCCAGAAACACACTGGGGTTTGCACGTATTCCGGAGCAAGGGGGGCTCAATGAGTGTCAAGATTGGTTCGAGATATTGGTCGGAGTGCGGCTGCAGGATCACATATTTCCTATCAAGGGCCCCACACGACTAGTGTATTCAGTCAATCATAGCTCGCGCTGGCTATATTTGCTTGTTGGGACCTGTCCGAAAGATGCAGTTCCACTTCCAGGACCCATCTCCTGAAGCTGGGTGGTTTTGTTCCAGATGGGTGCAGTATAGTAGTTGAGTGGACACGACTCTGTCATGTCAAAAAGCGACCATCGTCCATGCCCATGCAGGAGTCCGAAGTTGCCGAAGTTGGGGGAGTTGCCTGTCGGCGTTGGACCCACCTGGCGCCGCCGCGGCTTATTAAGAATGCGGACCTGCGATATTCGAGACTCCGAATCTACCCCAGACTTCACCATTCCGGCTAATCTGGGATCCGCTGGGCCTGAGTGCCGAAATGCCATTGCCATGCATCCCTAACGGGCTCCGACTAGGGCAGAGACCACTGGCCACCGTCATTCGTGGTCAGCGACGCGCTTACCATGCCGCCGTCGTCGGAGGTGGCATCACCGGCTTGACAGCTGCGTGGAAGCTTGCGCGGGACCCCAAATGCACCCAAGTTACCCTCTACGAAAAGTCGACAAGGCTTGGTGGCTGGATGGAGTCCGAGAAAATCCCAGTGGATGGAGGCCATGTGGTATTCGAGTATGGCCCGCGAACTTTGCGATGGTCAATTCCAACATCAGGCTTCATGCTAGAAATGGTAGCTGTCCCTTACCTGCGAATGCTATGGCTAGAAACTAACGCTTGTACTTCAAGGCCGTGCTGCTAGGAATAGCCGATCAAATGATTTTTACCCAAAAGAACAGCCCCGCAGCGCTGAACCGTTACATCTACTATCCGGATCACCTCGTCCGTCTACCTTCACCCCGACCCGACATTGGCCTCATGGAAAACCTGCGCAACTTCTTCCGAGCATTCAAAGAGCCAGTAATGAAACCGTTACTACCAGCACTGCTTTTTGAACACACCAAACCTACGCGCGTGCCAGACGAGTGGCAGAAAGACGAGTCCGTTTCAAGCTTCATTTCGCGCCGTTTTAACTCCCAAGTGGCAGATAATTTAGTTTCAGCTGTATTTCATGGTATCTATGCGGGAGATATCGATCAACTAAGTGCACAGATGCTCTTGGGCTCCATGCGTGACTTGGAGTATAACGGCGTTCTGTATGGAATGTTCATGAAGGCATTCTCTCGCAGAGCCACGCTTTTGCATGACGACATGCTGGCTCAGGAATCATCCAATTTCTCAGCGGGAATTCAGGAGATGGTTGATAACGACGATGTTGAGGGACTGAGACCCTTCAAGGGGAGTGTCCCTCTGACTCGGGGAGCTAGCACTTTCACGTTCAAATGTGGAACTCAGCAGCTCACTGATGCAATCGCTTCCACCTTGGAAAAATCAAATAAAGTCGAAATCAGAACGGGGGTAGATATTCGTACAATATCATACCAGCCGAATGAATACAAACCTATGGATGTAAGTTTCCCGCCTATGCTAATGCACGGCGATCATTCATCTGCTTGATCCCAACTCACAAGTCTCAGATCGCAACTTCAAACGATCGCAAATCTTATGATCATGTCATTGCTGCGATTCCAGCCCCTGCTCTGAAAAAAGTTCTTGAAGAGACACCTCCATCGACTAACCACCCCGTGTCTGCAAAAAGCCCCAGCCACCGTCTCCCAAGCGACACCATCCAGCAGCTCAAGCCGTTTGACTACGCAACGACTGTCATGGTAGTCAATCTCTACTACTCGAATCCCAGCCTGCTTCCCGAGCAGGGTTTCGGGTACCTCATCCCTCGATCAGTCCCGGCCGACCAGAATCCCGAATGTGGTCTCGGCGTGATCTTCGCCTCCAATTCCAGCGAAGGACTCGGCGAAGCAGACGCAACCATGGAACACGCTTCTGATTTTATGCACAAGCCCTGCCCAACAATGGCCAAGCAAGTATCACAGGATACTGTACGCGGCACCAAGCTGACAGTCATGATGGGCGGACATTACTGGGACCACTTTAAACCAAGCGACTACCCCGACCATGACACTGCTGTCAGCATGGCACGCAATATGCTCGAGCGACACCTTGGAATCACTGATGTTCCAGCTATTACGCGAAGCCGCCTCCAGAAAAATGCCATTCCCCAATACAAGGTCGGTCACTTGGATCGCGTGTATGAGCTCTCCAAGGCCGTCAAGCGTGATTTCAACCAGAGGCTTGTTCTGGCCGGTAATTGGTACAATGGTGTGGGTGTTGGTGACTGTGTGAGACAGGGCATAATGGCCGCGACATATGGTATTGGCTACAAGATCCCTCCACAAAATTGGAAGAGTCCGACGAATCCATGGGCGTCTTTTAACCAGGAAGACTGGGACTTGCAAGGTGGTATTCCTACGGCACCGGTGCGCATGTTCGAAGCACAGGTCAGAAAATGAGATCATGAATCGAACCATCTCTCGCCAGATAATTTCCCTACGGGCGTGTACATTAGACAGATAGTGAGAAGAATATGCATTCCTATGGCCCGGAAATGGCTAGAGTCGCATTCAATGCTGGAGATAGAGAAAAGCAAAATACCCTCAAAACGCCCGGGCTTTCATTCGTCGGGACGACGAAATCAAGCATGCTTCATGATGGTTCCTAAGCTTCTTTGTTTGTGTACACGGGTAGACTGAGGCAACATCTCATGGGAAATTGCACTTTCAACGGTTGGACACGTGCAAATGGGGTTGGGGCATGGTCGGCAGCAAGGTGCTGGACAAACCGAAAGACAGTAAAAGCTGCGAAACTGTAACTATCGTCCGAGGTTAGCGGGGATAGTTTGTCGAGAGCCATGTGTCCCATATACCAATGGTACCTGCAGAGCGGCAGCATAAGCTAGCCAGAAAGCGGCACTCGCACTGTGGCAGGTTTGCCGGGGTGCTGGTCATGTGCAACACCAGTGTAGCATGCTGAGTAGTTCGTGATCCCAGAGGTCATCGTAAATGGTGAGAGCGGACCGATCAGACCATGTCCTTACCAGAACTCTCTTTCTTCTCGCCATTGGAGTCGAATCCGAGAAGATCGAGCTGTCGTACAAGCTCCTGGATCTTGATGACCTTCTCTAGCTGCTCGGGAAGCAGGGACTCGCCCTGGGTCTTCTTCTCTTTGAGGTCGCGTGCCTGGCGGAGTTTCTTCTTCAAGTTCCGAGCCTTCTTCTCTTTCTCGGCCTCGGCGTCGACGGGGTCCTCGACGGGTTGTTCATCCTTCTTCGGGGTTGGGGCAGGCGCCTGCGCACGCCAGTTGTCCGAGTCGGTGCCCTTCTTCTCAGTGGCATTGTCGGCCGCTTCGTTCTCCTTGGCCTTCTGCTTGGCCTCACGGCGTTTGGCGTTCTTGATGCTGGTAGCACTCTGAGCAGCCTTTTCCTTGTCGTCCCCGCTGCTCACGGTTTCCGCACCCGGCACCCCACCACGGCCACGAGATTTCCAGGCAGCGGCACCGCGGTTCCTGTAGAGCTCTACGTCCTCGGGGGGTTTGTAGCCAGGCTTGACCTTGATCTCGCGGCGCGTGGAGCCGTCGGCGCGGACTGACGAGGGGATGTAGCGCTGGCCGGTTGTGGCGTCGGTGGTGATGCCGGAATTGGTGGGCATGGTGTATACTCCGGTCGGCAGTGTAGTGGAGTAGAGTCGAGAAGGTATGGGAGTTATCGAGGTAGAAGGGATATCGCAGAACGAGAGCGGCCCCGTGCGATTGTCGAGTCCGACTGGCGCGTCGTACCGGGCGGTGGCAGTCACTCGTCGCTTCGCAGGCGAAGGTGAAGATTGCGAAAAGACAACAATTGCGGCTTCGAGCAAACGGATGCCCGGAGGAGGGTGCGGCCAATCAGCGGGCCGGGAATTCCCGCAGCTTTTCGTCCTCGCGAACTTCGCAACTTCCGTCTCTTCACCACCCCGTTGCTCTCCCACTTTTCTGTGCTCACAGCCCTCTCCGTCACAATGGCCGGCGTAAGTGATCTCCCGCTCGTCTCCAATTGTGATAGTGACCCCCGACGCTCTGACTCGGAACTAACTGGCGTCGCATGACAGATCTCCAACGTTATCTACCAGCACGTCTCCCACCATCCCCGACCGCATGGTCGCAATTGCCTTGTTCACTTCTAACCGTCGATTTGTCGATCTACAGGTCCATCATCCGCAAGAATGCGGTCTTCCTGACCACCATCTTCGCCGGTGCCTTCGCCTTTGAGATGTGCGTTACCCTCGGTTTCCCCCTTCCACATTCAAGCAGAACGACATTCTGACCGAATCACAATCAAACAGCTCCTTCGACACCTTCTCCAACAAGGTCTGGGACTCCTGGAACGCCGGTGTATGTGACTTTCGCCCTTCTCCCACATCCTGATCGCCCCGACGCAGATCGCCCACTCCGCATAGAACTCTGGCTAACCCACAACACAGCGCCAATGGAAGGACATCAAGCCCCGGTACCTGGCTGCTGCCGCCGAGGAGGATGATGAGTAAACTACTTTCAGTGTGATATAAACCGATGGTGCTGGTTACCGCGGTCTCGAGAGACCGTAGGGGGAAGCGACGGAAATGCAAACTTGGAAGGGATTTGCTGCTACCCTGTGATTTTACCTATTCCAGCTACAGACTTGTACGCGATAGACATTGGAAATCTGTATTTGATTACTACTTGTGTAGCTTTCTGCATGACGAGCCGCGTTGGGTGTGCTGTTAGGCCGTAGCGTGGACCGCTGTGGCGTTGGGGGAGACCGCTCCGTCGATGTCATAGTCATGGCCAAAAATGCTCGTTCGATCTCCTCGCTCTTCCACGCCCCCGAATTGTAACCACTTTCCCCCAAGCCCAGATTCACCTCCAGTTTCTCGCAACCAGCTAGGTGATTGCTCAGAGGCTGGACCCGTGCCTGTCGACCTCATCGGTCCACACCTCGCCTGTCTTCCCCCACTACGATCGTCCGCTCTGCAAGATCGAAGAAACATCCGACGAAACCGACTCCAGCGCAGCACAGCGCAGCCGTTCGATCACTTTCTCCTGATCTCCGTTCTGTGGAAAATACTTTGCGAACGATACTTCACACATCTCAGATATTTTAATACGCTCGATTCAGACTACCGTCTACCGGGCCAACGGCTCTCCGACCTTTACACCTGTGTCAGCCGAGCGGCGCATCCTCCTCGACCTCTGCTCGCCTTTAAGCCATGCACATGCTCGCAGAATGTGAGAGGATCCTCGGCGATGGTCTTTTACGACTGCCACAACAGCACAACTACCGATATGGACCGCAGGCCGAGCGGGACCTGCTAGAGCTTCTGTTTCGGTCGCTCGTGGGACACAACGACGAGCTCATACACCACTTGTTCCCCGACGGCGCACCGACGGGCGCATGGAAACTGGCCGAGTCGCAGGGTGCCCGCGAAGGAGCAGAGTACAGCGAGGCAGCGCGGGGCAAGCGATGCGGTCACATCTTTCGAGCCGGCGAGGCCACCTACCGCTGCTTGACGTGCGCCTCCGACGATACGTGCGTTTTGTGCAGCCGATGCTTCGACTCGTCCGACCACTCAGGTCACCAATATCAGATCTCGCTCTCGTCTGGTAACTGCGGCTGCTGCGACTGCGGTGATGATGAGGCGTGGCGCCTGCCGCTCTTCTGCGCGATCCATACAGACAGCGGCAATGAGAAGGAAAAAGAACGTGCAAAGATTGAACTCCCATCTGAGTTGCTGGCAACGATTCGGCTAACAATCTCTCGCGTGCTGGATTATTTCTGTGATGTCATTTCGTGCTCTCCCGAGCAATTGCGTCTTCCAAAGACTATCGAAGGTATCAAGGCAGATGAAGAGGCATCGAGGCTCCGTCCTTCTTGGTACGGTGCTGGCGATCAGGAAGAGGAGGAACCCGAGTTCGCTCTTCTGTTGTGGAATGACGAGAAACACACCATCCGCGATGTCTCGAACCAGGTCACTCGTGCGTGTCGTGAGCGGGATAGCTTCGGCGTAGCTCGAGCCCATGAAACGAACGATATCGGCCGCAGTGTCATCAAGTACTCAAAGGACTTGCAAAAATTGCTGGGTGTTTCGAATGTAATTGAACAGATTAAGGTCACCGTCACTGTGCGCTCCGCTCGCGACACATTCCGCGAGCAAATGTGCGGCACGATTGTCGAGTGGCTTGCGGATATTGCCGGCTGCAGTATTCTCGAAGACAACGAAATCTTCCGCCAGGCTATCTGTGAAGAGCTCCTTAGCCCCTGGAGGAAGGGAAGTGGTGGCTATAATGAAGATATTGGTATGAAGGGTATTGATGACCACGAGATTGCGGAACATCCTCGACGCCGGCCTGTTCTTCTTTCCCTGCCAAACCACGGACAATTTGTGGTCCAGGTGAATGAGGCTGTGGATGAGGATATCGATGATGACAATGGCCCCGACGAAGATGACGAGGACTATGTCGAGGCTCATGATGATGCAGATGACGAGGATGACGATATGGAACTGGAGCTTGCCCGCCTTCAAGATGCAGAGGACGAGGACGGAGATATGGATATGGACGGCGTCAATCCAGACCTGGCCTTCGCCGAACAAATTTTGGCCCAAATGACTGGTGTAGTCCCTCGACCACCTGTACCTGTTTCGGAAGAACGGGAAGCGACACCGGCCCCGGCCGAGCAGGAACAATCAAATGAAGCAACCTCTGGTGAACAAGGCAGTCAGCAGACCGACCCCAACAGCTATGTCGCTATCCCAAGAACCCCTGCACATGTGGTCAGGCCCAAGCCTGGAGGCACGCAGGGCCACTGGCAAGTCCGGCCTCCAATGCAGGTGCCGGGCGAAAAGGTTGCTCCTTATGAAGACTTGTGGCAGCGTACTCGTCTTGACTGGCTCGTTCTCTATGACCTGAGATTGTGGAAGAAGACTCGTACTGATCTTCGCGACTTGTATATCAGCACTGTCGTCAATGTTCCCCAATTCAAGCGCATCATGGGTCTTCGCCTGTCTGCACTGTACACAGCACTTGCTCAATTGTACCTCATCGCAGACCGGGAGCCTGATCACTCTATTGTCAATCTGTCTCTCCAGCTTTTGACCACTCCATCTATTACCGAGGAAATAGTTATGCGTGGAAATTTCCTCACCAAGGTTATGTCCATTCTTTATACTTTCTTGACAACCCGACAGGTTGAGGAGCCACATGCCGTCAACCCCAACGCAACCTTGGCATTTGATGCTGGATCGGTGACGAACAGGCGTCTATATCACTTCTTCCTCGACCTCCGGTATCTCCTCCAATCCGAATATGTACAGCACCGAGTTCGGACTGAGGAGCAGTATCTCCCACAGTTCCTTGATCTCGTCAAACTTTCACAGGGCATCTGCCCCAATGTGCGTGCGGTCGGTGAGCATGTCGAATACGAGACCGATGCCTGGATCAGCGCCTCTATTCTCATGCGGGAGATTAACCGCCTCTGCCAACAATTCTGTGAAGCCTTCCGCAACCCTGAAACCGACAATGGACAGGATCTCCTGCGTGCAATCAAGACTACCACCGTCACTGCAGTCCTTCATTCCGCAGGTGTGGAGCGCAAGCGCTTCGACCAAGCAGAGATCAAAGAGGAGGTTCGATTCAAGACGTTGCCGCCTTTCGATTTCGAAGTTGGTGCTTCTGGCCAGATCCCGTGCCATCGTGTTGTTGAGTTCATCGTTGAGAAGGGATCGATCAGTTTCCACCATGCGCTTCATTACACTCTGTCGTGGCTGATTGAGTGCGGCCGCGGAATCAGTAGTGAGGTTATGCGCAACGCCCTCTTCGAAGCTGCCGAGACTGCAAGACAACAGCTTCACGCTGCCAAGGCTGCCAACAGCGAGCATATTGACGATAGTATCTTGGCTCTCGGAACTGAGGACCTTCTCCTCACAATGTTTGACTACCCTCTCAGAGTCTGTGCCTGGCTTGCACAGATGAAAGCCGGTATGTGGGTTCGTAATGGTCTCAGTCTTCGACACCAGATGTCCCAGTATCGTGGCGTTTCCTCCCGCAACTTTGCCTATTACCGAGATATCTTCCTGTTGCAAACCGCACTGGTTACCTGCAATCCAAGCAGAGTCCTCGCATCCATCGCCCATAGGTTTGGCATGGTTGACTGGATGATGCGTAACTACGTGCCTCGACCTGGCTACGAAGATGCTCAGATCATTGATGTCGCCGAGGAATTCGTCCATTTGCTCGTCATTCTTTTGACTGATCGCACGTCAGTGTCGGCAATCGACGATAGTACACATACGACCAAGGAAACGATCAGTCGTGACATCGCGCATGTATTGTGCTTCAAACCCCTTTCCTTCTCCGACCTCTCCACCCGCCTCAACGACAAGTTGCAAGACTCAGACATGTTTCAAGACGTTCTGGAGGAAGTCACTGAATTCCGTCCGCCCGAGGGTCTCAACGACTCCGGCAAGTTTGAACTCAAGGAGGAATATCTCGATCTTGTGGATCCCTACAGCACACACTTCTCGAAGAACCAGCGGGATGAAGCCGAGACCATCTACAGAGAGTGGATGGCCAAGAAGACAGGCAAGAATGCATCGGACATTGTATTTGAGCCCAAGCTCCGACCCATCACCTCTGGTGTCTTTTCCGACCTTCCGCGCTTCACTGGGACTATCTTGTTTGCGCAAATTGTGCACCAATGTCTTGAATACGTTCTCATTTCTCAACAAAGCACGCCCTCGATCCCACCAACACGTGTGGAAACTTTCCTTCAAGTCCTGCTGCATCTCATTCTAGCCTCTGTGCTCGAGGATGACTCCCAGGATAGTAACATAGAAATAGAGCAAGGCCAATCATTCAACTTGCATGCTCTCTCCAAGGCCAGGGAGATCGCTGCTGGCAACTTGACCATTGTTGGTCTTCTAGAGAAGATCTCGGTCACAGGCGAGTATTCCTCTTGTGGCCCCAAAATTCGCCATATTCTCAAGCGGCTCTGGCAGAAGCGGCCACGTACTTACGCAGCCGCAACTGCATCTCTCAAGTTCCCATTCGATCGCATCGACACCAACTCTCCCGCAATCGACATTGACAACGAAAAAGAAGCGAAGAAGAAGAATGCTATGGAGAGAAACGCCAAGGTGATGGCACAGTTCCAGCAGCAGCAGCAGAACTTCCTAAACAGCCAGGGCGATATTGACTGGGGTGAGGATGAATTCAGCGACCTCGAGGAGGATGAGGCTACCCACGAGACCAAAACCTGGAAGTACCCTAGCGGCACATGTATCCTCTGTCAAGAAAGGTGTCAGGAGGAGACTGCCGATTCGCGTCTTTACGGTACCTTCGCTATGATTCAAGACAGTACTATTCTTCGACAGACCGACATCCGGGATGCGGATCGGATCCGTGAAGCCCTCAAGACACCATCAAGTCTGGACCGATCGGCCGAAGAAATTCGGCCATTTGGCGTTGCTGGAGAAAACCGTACTACTATTAAGCGCCTGGATTCTGCTGGCAAGGAGGTGATCAGCGAGAAGGTCGGGTTGAGTAAGGGATTCAACCCCCGGAGCACGCTTCGCGGACCTGTAACCACCGGTTGCGGTCATATTATGCACTTTTCTTGCTTCGATGCATACAACAGCGCCACTCAGCGCCGGCACAATCAGCAGATTGCCCGCCAGCACCCTGAGAGGATTGAGTTCAAGGAATTCGTTTGTCCGTTGTGTAAGGCACTCGGAAACGCATTCCTGCCGATTGTTTGGAAGGGCAAGGAAGAGTCATACCCAGGTGCTCTCAACTCTTCTACATCCTTCGAAGAGTGGATGAAGGCTGGTCTGAAACAAACTTTGAATGAGTCTGAGAACCTCTCGGTTATCATGATCGAGAAGGACAAGGCTTACCGACAGCCTTATGCGGAACTTTTTAAAGATTACCTGTCCAAAACTCTGGTCACTCCTCTCTCCTCGAAGATCTCTCAGCTTGTGGCTTCTTCGTCTCTTCCCGGGGGTGTTCCCTCTTTCTTGTCCTCGACAACCCGAGCCATTATGCCAGGCTTGTTCCCTGGTACAGAAGACATGGCGCCATCGAGCCCGCTCCAGCAGGCTTTAGGTCCTGCCGATGGTCCTATATTCGAGCTTATGAAAATCTTCCGGCGTCTCAAGAGCACCATACAAACGAACCAAATCAACTCAATATTCAACACCACCAGCGAAAACATCAACACAGACGAGTTGGCTCATACAGATTCCCTGATCAGAAGTTTCGGTTTGAGCATTGCTGCGGTTGAAATTGCCCAGCGTGGTGTTCCATCAGAGCCCGGTTCTACCTTGTTGGAGAAAATTCCCCCATTGACGTTGACCCATTTGCGTGTTTTGGCCGAGACCGCGGTCACATATGCTGCTGTTGCCTGGGTGTCGTCCAACAATGCCCAAAAGAGTCGCCCAAGCAATGAGTTCCAGGAAATGCACCGACAGAAGATTTGCCAGTTGCTTGTTGGATACCCGTCTCTCAACGGTACTCCTCTCTTGAACGATGTTAGGAACATCGAACCCCTGCTCGCCATGGATACATTTGTGTTCCTGGCCGAAAGCTCGCTTTCTCTGCTTCCTGTCCTCCGCATTGATGTTCGCCATCTCATCCAGATGTGCTATGTGGCCGAGGTCGTCAAGGTGGCAGTCACTTTTATCCTGTGGCCTCTTGGGTTGAAGGAAGAAGTTCTACAGCAAGGAGACAAGGAAACTCCTGGCTCTGACATTTCGGACGAATGTTATGCTACTACACGGCATTTCTTTGATTCCATCGTGGCAGAGCTCAAGGCAAACTCGGTTGGACGCGCCGAGGGATCATCTTTCCCGGCAGAGAGTGGCTACGTGAAGGCTGGCGAGGAACCCGCGCCTCCAAACATTATCATCGCTCTGCGGCGCCTGGTTTCTAGCTATGCACTCACTTTCTTGCGCAAGTCTGTCATCCTGCTCCACGTCCAGCACGGTGTTGACTTCCCCAACACCGGCTTCAGTGATATGGGTGCGTCGGAGCTGGATCGACTCACGAAGGCCCTGCACCTCCCTACCCTGGACGAGATCTTCATGTCTGTCAACCCTGCGAGGAGCAGCAACAACGAGTTCGATGCCATCATCTCGGGCTGGATCTTCCACTGGAACGCATCGCGTTCTGGAATCCGTTTCGAAGACCACCGCCTCTGGCCTAGCCTTCCACACCCGGCCATCTTCGAGCTGGTCGGTCTTCCAAAGTACTTCGACAGCCTGATCGAGGAAGCGAACCGTCGTCGCTGTCCAAACTCAAAGAAGGAACTCAGCGACCCAAGCATTTGTCTTTTCTGCGGAGACATATTTTGCTCACAGGCAGTTTGCTGTATGCACAATAAGCTGGGCGGCTGCAACCAGCATCTCCAGAAGTATGTCTTTCTTACCCCTAAATCTAATACTTCATGAAATTTAACAGCCTGTCTATTCTAGGTGTGGCAAGAACATCGGACTTTTCATCAATATCCGCAAGTGTACAGTTCTCTACCTCCACAACCAGAACGGCTCCTGGCACACAGCCCCCTACATGGACCGTCACGGTGAAGTTGATCCCGGTCTTCGCCGAAACCGCCAACTGATCCTCAACCAAAAGCGATACGACAAGCTTCTTCGCGACGTTTGGCTGTCCCATGGTATTCCTGCTACAATAAGTCGGAAGCTGGAATCGGAGATCAACAACGGTGGTTGGGAAACGATTTAACGACCTTTCCTATAAAAGCGGGTTTACTGTGGCCTTTTTCTTAACGTGACCTTGGTAGAATTCAATTGATATTATTGGGCGAATCCGGGTTTTTTCCGTCACATATGTATCGTGCTTCTTTTTTTCCCTTTTCTTTCGAACCTGCACAATTCTTCAGTCTGGGTGTATTTTCGTGATATTGAAGCTTTCGCCAGCATTTGTATCGTCCGGCTTCGCTATAATGAATACCATGGTCTCTCCTTTTGAAAACTACGCGTCTTAAGTATTGTTACGTTGCTGGATGGTTTGTATGAGAGTTATGGATACTGTGTCAAATAATGTAGCTAGGTGCCACACACTCGTGGTGTTGGCATGTGCAGGTTCTACTATCCGACTAAGCGTGAAGCGCGGCAGTGAGTGAAGACATTTTGATGTCTTCAACGCAGTTGAAGCAAATAATCAAGAAGCATCACAAGGCCCGTAGTTGCTTCAGTTTCCCTTCGTGGTGGGCTTTTTGATTGCGAGTTGAAATAAGGGTATATGGAGCCCATGAAAATGATGCTATGTGTTCAACGCAAAAAGACAATCTGAAAAGAATCCAGCTCAACCAACATGAGCCGCATGTTTCCAGACTCGCCTAATCCTTCTTCCGTCCCTCAAGAACATTCATCACATCGGAAACACTATTCTTATCGCCCTTCTTCTTCTTGGGTCCACGCTTCCGCTTTTTCGCTCCACCCCGTTGCTGGCCCTCGCCATCATCATCGAAGTCAAGCAGAGGTCCATCATCCTCCTCATCGCCATCTTCAATCCGACTTCCGCCGAATTCCATGTCCATGTCTGCGGCATCCATGGCATCTCGGCGCCGGGCTTCTTCCAAAAACTTCTTGTGTCGAAGAGCAGCTTCGCCAGATTCGCCAGAGTCTTCGGCTGACGGCGAGGCTTGTCGGAGCGCGGCGGCTCGCTTGAGGGCTGCGAGGATTGCGGGATCTTTCGCAATTGGGTTGGATCGGTCTTCTGGCTCTGCGGCGGTGGACGAAGTGCTCGTTCCAAAGTAATTGCGTGGTCTCGCGGGCTGTGCTTCGCCATCAGGGCGTTTCTGTTCCGCTTCCCTGCCCTCTTTCTTGTCTTGCTCGGCAGTATACTTTTCTTTCTTTTCTTTTGTTTCGCCTTCTTCGTCGGACGAGGAGTCGTCATCATCTTCAATACCGGCAAGAGGGTTATAGTCTGTTCCGACGCCCGCGAAGATATTGTCGTCCTCCTCCTCCTCTTCCGCGGCCGCCTTAGCAGCAATCTTAGCAGCAATCTCGGCCGGGACCTCCATGCCGAGGGTCTTGGAATCTTTCAGAGGCCCAGGGAGTTCAGATTCCGGTGTCTTCTCACCCGGCTTGTCGATCCACCGCACCTTGCGCTTCGTGTTGCCCTGTGCGTCGGTAATGATAAGAACCTCTCGCCGCCGACCATTCTCCGCAACCTCAACAAAGCGCTTCTTTTCAGGCTTTTTCTCCCCCAATTTCTTGAATCCAGAGCCCAGGATTGACTCGGGTGGCGGAGGCGGGGCAGCTCGACTGGCTCTAAGCTCCTTCAAAATCTCATCGCGAGTCATCTTGGGAGGTGGAGGCGGTGCCATTGTACCCTTCTTCTCCCTCTGTTCCTTCGGAGCAGCCGTAACCTCTTCCTGCGCCTTTTCCTCCATCAAGCGCTCGAACTCCTCCTCCGCCATTTCTGCGGAGAGGGGCTCGTCTTCTGTGGGTACAGGGGCGGGCTGCTCCTCTGTCTTTGTAATGTCTTCGCCAGCTTTCACTCGCTTTAGTAGTTTCCAGTCCAATCCCTTGACCATGTGCGTGCTACTGGTATCACCACCCACCCCTATCTCTGAGCAGAGCTTATCAAACGCCTCCTGGTCGATTTGGCCCAATTTCTTCATCTCCTCTAGCGCTTTGACGCGCTTCTCTAGATTATTCTTCTCTTCAGCTTCCGCTTGGGCATTGCGCAGCTGCGCGCGATCTTGGTATCCCTCCGGTAGCTTGCTTCCTTTCGGCGCGGCGGATGACTTGAATCGCTTCGTTGGTCGATCTTCGCTTTCGCGTCGCTGCTCGGCGAGTTGGCGGGCGAAGTTGACTCCGGTTACGGAGCGCCTGGTCATTTAGTTAGCTCTTTCTTCTGATAGTCTGGTCTGTGGACCACCGTACGGAGTCATAGGAATGCTGGAACGCATTCGCGAACCCAGGAGCGGGCCGGGGGTTGCGCCGCCAGGCGCATTGTGTGAGGGGGTGCCCGGCTTGTCGTCTGATTTCGATGAGGTCTTGTTGTCGGCAAGCAGCCGGCGGAACTGCTCGTTGTTCATTGTCACGGCTCGCTGGTGATGCTGCACCGTTGGTTTGGTTGACGTTGAATTTGAGATGCAGAGGCCCGATCGGGCTTGGCGCGCGATAAGGGTGGCCAGGCTTATCGGCCGCTGTGATGACTCCAAGCATTACTCGCAGCTTGGTAGAATACTGCAAAAGAAAGCAACTTAATATCGCCCAATTTTTGCAGCAGAAACAAAGTAATTTTCTATAATTTTTCGATCACTACTCTAACTTATCGTTATATGCGGTTTCTCCAACTTTTTGAAGACGTAAGCATCGAGCTACATGATAATTTCAGTGCGCGAGGAAAATATAGAGTTAGCAGGTTAATAAGGCAGGACCAGAGCATGCCATACAGCACCGATCACATCAACTACGATTTTTTATTAGGTTGTTTTTGTATTACTTGATGATCAAATCCACAGGCACCAATAGAACAAAAAATCCTTCACGAAGTCTACATCTTGCATTAGACACGAGTGGATGGACCGCCGATTTGACAGTGGCAATGACGGGCTAGCGGGTCCGTGCGTCTATCAACCAAGACTAGCTGGAACCACGCCGCTGCAGCTCAACCATCTCTCGAATTTCTCCGAATGCGTACCGGCAGGCCCTTGTGGCCATCCTCTGCTACGAACTTGTTGTATTCTAAACGCGCAATTTACTCAACACTTACTGTACCGGCCATGACTGGAGCTAAACGCAATGCGCCCGGACCGACGCAGAAATCCCGACCGGGGAAGAAAGCCCTCCAAAAACGACCTGCTCTAACGCATTTTCTCTGTCTGCCCTTGGTCAATGCAACATCTCTTCCGCAGCTAGAGAGGTCAATTGCTTCATTCAATGAGTCACACATGCCCACCCCGGTGGCGGGGATACCGCAGAGCCGAGATAAATCGGCAGATAGGCCACCTCCAGGGACACTGGTCCCGCTCATTCCTGATGGCGCCTTTCGCCCCTTGGGAACTTTGCACCTAACTATTGGTGTGATGAACCTTTCAACAAAAGAACGATTGGATGAGGCTCTTGCGTTCTTCCGGTCTTTGGATCTGGGTGCTCTGATGCGTGAGGCTGGATGCGTGGCTATTGAGTTGCGCCAGAAGCAATCATCTTCAAAGCATAGGCCGAAAGTCCCCGCATCTTTCGACAACTCTACCCATGACTCAGAGCATTCTGATATTCTCAATGTATCTTTGGAATCTCTCCATGCCTTCCCACGTCCCAAGTCAGCGACCGTTTTGCATGCCTCTCCCGTTGATCCCACTGGTCGTCTCCACCCATTCTGCGTGATGCTGCGGGATAAGTTCATAGAAGCTGGATTTATTCTTGCTGAGGACAAAGACAAGAAGTCGCAGGCCAAAGAAGGCAAACCCGACTCGACAAACCCGGGGGATACCCAGCCTCCCAGTGGCCAGAATGCTATTAGGAAGTCCTCTCGAGAAGCAGCATCTACTCAAAACACATCATCATCAGCAGCAGCAGACCAATCTCAACAATCAGAGATGAGCCCATACGCCATGGCTCTGGCCCGCAAACCCAAGCCTCGACCTTTGGTTCTACACGCAACATTAGTAAACACAATCTACGTCCGCGGTCGAAAGCCTGAGGGGCCTAAACGTATCGAATTCGACGCTCGGAGTATACTATCGAAGTACCGTGATTATTATGAGGACGAATCACGAACAACGCCGCGCGAGCATACAACTTCCGACCTTGTCGAACAAGCCTCTGAGGGGGGTGAAGAAGTTAAAAATTCCAAGGTTCAATTCCCTTTCATATGGGCGAAAGATATCCCTATTGATTCGGTCTGTATATGTGAGATGGGTGCTAAGAAGCTTGATCTCGGCGATGCTGCGTTGGCGGATCCTGCAAGCGTGGCTTGGAATGCGCGTTTGGGTGAAAAGTATACAGTCATTTCGGAGCGGCGGATTTAGCAGATGGTCAAATGATTTCAAGCTTATTTGATCCGAATACTGGTTTCAGTTTGCATTGACTAAGCTACAAGTGGATGATTCTACATAGAAATTATACCCTTTCATTCTTTGAAGCTGATTCGTTTCGATTATTCATGCAGATATCTTGCTACATAATGGGGAGTCCCTTCCCAAGCCAGCTTGGGATGGATGAAGGGGTATTTTATGTTTCCCGGCGAGTTCAGCGTAAGGGCCTTTCTTGTTGGCAGATATGAGATGCCACGTCCCTTCAAGACCAGTCAAATGCCCACATGCCTTAGGGTGCATGGAAGCTCATGCAAAATCTCCCTAGGTTGTTGGGGTGGGTGAGGTATCATACCAGATGTTCTATTCGTGGACAGGCGAGACATGATCACCTCACACGGCTCATGATAGTCTCAACCCCGCGTTCAACAGACAACTCAGCAGCCTTAGCCTTAACAGCACTGAGCATACTGCGCTCAAAGTCATCGCGAGTACGCAACACAGCCTCGACCCAAGACAGCTGCAGATCCCAATATTCGTTCTTGAAAGACTCGTAGACATTGACAACAGGCTGGCCCTTTTCGCTCTCGAGCAGACGGACCAGCCAGTCCACAAGACGCCACTTTTGCTTGATGGTGGCCTCGAAAGAGTCTTCGTATTTCTGGAAGAATGCAAAGACTGTGAGGACATCGTCCTTGAATTTATCCGTGAACGGATCCACGAAACGGCGGAACTTGACGCCTCGGTTGCGGACTGATGACAAGTACCGCACCAGGAGTTCGTCTGAGAGTTCTTCGACCAAGATGTCGACGAGGGAGGGGTGGAGGACGGGTGAATAGTCGGCCATGTAGTCCTCGAATGTGGACGTAATACGCTTGATGGCATATTCGCCATACCATTTCGCGGTGAACAGATCGGGGATAACGGTGACAAGGTCGACAGTGAAAACAATGTCCACGAATTGTGTCAGGCAATGTGTGCTCAGGTCGACGTAGCCATCGCGCAGAGCATCCAATTCGAGGGCGGCGCGTGTCGCCAGATACTTTGGTGTCACGAGCGGCTCGAAATCACGCTTGAATCTTGTCAAGTAGCCCATTTGGCCCGTCTCTTCATTGTCGTCGATACAGGCGATCTGATCGTTGGCAACACCAACCAGCCAGTCCTGTAGCAGTTGGATACCTTCAGGTTGGTCCGCACCAGGTACTTTGTGCTTGGTGCATTCTTCATCAAGCAGTGCCTGCCATGCACTCTGCCGGCCCTTGAGCGCCCGGAACATGGCATCAATGACACCCTCAACAACGTCGGCTCGTTCAGAAGCACTGGCCGCCACAATTTGCTCATGCAGCATACGCCACATGTCTCCGATGGTCTTGGTGCGGAAGTAACCATCCGCATTGGTGTCCAGCGCATCTGGTTGGCGATCCATGAGACCTCTCTTTTCGGTCTCAAAGATGCGTTCCATCCATTCTTCCACGGCATTGATAATAACACTTTGCCATTGGCGGATCAGCTCTGGCTCGCGGTCATCCAGGATGTTGGGCTGGAGATCGGTTGCGGCCCAGCCAAGCTTCTTCATCTTCTTGTAGTATTTATCACTCCAGTGAATCATCTTCAATAGATTGTCCGCTGGGCACTCGGGATCGTCAATCATGCCCACGAGGAAATCGTGCATCATGCGGTGATAGATATCGGTGTATGTCTTGAAAATCTTCCACTTCTTCGGTACCAGGCTTTGCATGCCTTCTCGGACGGTGAAGAGGTCATTGAAGTACCACCGGAAACTCTTCTCCAAATGATCTGGATCACCCAAGAACTCCTCTTTCGTGTTTTCAAATTGGTTTTGTGCGTAGAATTCAACCGCCTGGAGTAATTTCTCCTTGTAGCCCCGGACAGTCTTAGGACCGATGTTCATCGACTTGAAACGGCTCGCCAGATCTTTGTGGTCCTTCTGAGCTTCTTGCAAGGCGCGCACGGTATCGTCATTCTTCTCTTCATTAAGCACGACGACAGCCAGACGAACAACCATGCTCTTATTATCTTCCTGGACTAGCGGAATGAGATTCATACAAGCCGTGCCCAGGTGGTCGTCAAACCAGTCAATTACCGAGTCCAGTCCTTGGAAGTATTCGGTCAATGTCTCTTCACTGCTGGCATCCTGCGCCTTGCGAATCTGATCCATGGCCTCATCGCGGAAGTCTCGCAGACGGGAGATATGCATGTGTGCCTTGAGTAGATTTGGCTGGTTCTCCAAATCATCGTCGTCTTCTCTCAGCAGCTCCTCTACTTCCTGGATATCCGCGCTGAAGTTCTCCAATCCCTTCTTCATCATCAATGTAGCGTCGAAATGCCGTTGAATTCGCGCCAACTTATCGATCTGTGCAAAGTCCTCCACGCTATCCTGTGATTCCGCACATAGTTTATCGATCCCTTGAAGTTCATCCTTAGTCTTGGATACTTGTCGTTGGCCCTCGGTCAAAATCCCAATACTGCGCTGCACGGCCTCAAGCTGGTCGCGAAGGCCCTCACGAAGCCGGGAATCCACAGCGGTCTTCTTGCGCTGATATTCGGCCTTGAGACCGTTGATTTTGTCCAGATCCTCCGGGTGACGCAGGAGATCCTCGAGCTTGGGCATGGCGACCGTGCCATCGGCATTGGCGTTTTGAGCCATGACGACGGTGGCCTTAGCGGCAAAGGGCGGGCTGGTGTGGTTGTATTCACGATCGATTTGGTCTTTCAAGGGGCTTCGGGCCGTTGCAAATCAGTCGGACCGCAGCACTTAAATGAGACTGCGATTTCGAACGAGTATCGTCCGGAAGCCGGCGTTCAATGGTAGGAAATGGCCAGGCCCGAATATGCACTGTACTGCACTGCGTCCCACCCGCGGTCTCGCAAGCTGCGGAGCTGCCACCCCGGCATGGCAGAATACACCCCACGTGACCCACCGCCCTGGATTTTGCGGCCCGCGCATCTTCGGCTCGCGCGACAGTCTAGGCCAGCTCATTCGCAGTGCCTTTTGCTTTCGGGGACCTCGTACCGCGCAATCGACTCCTCTACCGGTCAGTTATCCCTCCTCGATTGTCCGGCATCAGAAAAATACCCCGGCCTTGTCCGAAAACAAGAGATCGATCAGTCGACCGATCTCCGAGAGTCCTCCGGACAATCCATATATTCAACAAAACTCCTACTCGATCTCCTCACGAAACAATCACTTCGACGGCAGATTTTTAATCCCAATTGCCTTCACAATGAGCTACTTCCGCGTCACCCTCCTCCGCTCCGCAATCGGTCTCCCGCGCCGCTCAACAGACGTCCTCAAGGCCCTGGGTCTGAAGAAGCGTATGGGAACTGTCTTCCACGCCGTCACCCCATCCGTTGCCGGTCAAATTATGAAAGTGAAGGAGCTTGTTTCTGTCGAAGAAGTCGACCGCCGCCTGACGAAGCAGGAGGTGCGTCTGGAGCGCAAGCCTGATCCCGGATACTACATTGAGAAGAGTGCTGCGCAAGAACGAAGTGAGATTAATGCCCAGTAAGAGGGCCTTTCGCACCGAATCTTTCCACAAAGAATACGTCCATGATCGAGGATTTCTTTTGGAGGTTCATCGCAAATTGTCTATCTTGGTTGATATGGTTTCAATACTTGGGCTATAGAAACCGCTGTGTTTTCTTTTCTATCCTTTTTTTACTTTTGAACTTTTGCATGGAGCGGGCTTCTTTCATGTCATGTACTCTACGTCCACCTACCTCACTGATTGTACTATACCGGACGCTATTTCAATATACTCTGAAGAGACAAAATATGTGCAATTTGAATTATGGATAAGTAATAAAAGTGCCAGACGTTATCGTATGCGCGGTAAAAGCACTCTTAAGTAGACCGCAAACGCCATCGTGCCCAACGAGGCAAATGCAGTGAAGAATGCGACTAGTAACCTAGGGGGTCAAAGAGAGAAAGTGCCGAGACCACAATTTAGGGATTGTACACTGGACAAGAGTTGGAGACGCTTAAGCTTTGTACAAGGTGTCGAGGAAACCCTCAGCCAGACGGCTGACAATACTCTTGTCGGGGATGCTGCCGGCCACACCGTACAAAGCGGAGGTATCGCCGCGCTTGAGGATGTAAGCCTTGCCTTGCTGGCGACGATCCTCGGCCTTCTCCAGCTCCTTGTCAATAACGGCCACAAGGTCAGTGATCAGGGTATCCACGGCCTTAGCGGTGGGGATGGTGAAAGCGCAGTGCAGAGCGGCGGGAGATTGCAGGGCATTCAGGTGCCAACCCTTGCTGGACAGGTCATCGGCAATGTCGTAAGTATCGATGGCACCGTTCTTGCTGCGGAATGCGACGACACTGACCATGGGGCTGCCAATGACCTCCATATGAAGAGAGATCACGGGGTGTCCACGCACAGCAGACTCGAACTTCCGAGCGGCGTTGACGATCTCGGTGCAGCTGTTGATATAACCGGTCTCACCAACGTTCATCAGACTGGCCCAGCAGCCAGCAATCAGAGCACCGGGGCGGGAGCCAGCGATGGAAGGAGAGGCATAGACACCACCGGACCAGTCAGGGTAGATGAAGTACTGGTAGCTGCGGTAGGCCTTGCTGCGATAGAGGAGGACAGAGTTACCCTTGGGCGCAAATCCGTATTTGTGAGTGTCGACGCTGATGCTGGTCACACCAGGCTGGCGGAAGTCAAAGCCACCCTCCTCCTCGTAAGGAGACGGGAAGCCGGCCTTCTTGAGAAGAGCAATGACGAAAGATCCGAGGCAGCAGTCGACATGGAGGGGGATCTTGTATTTGGTAGCGAGACGCGACAGAGCGGGGATATCGTCGACAATGCCGTGGGGGAAGTTGGGTGCCGAGCCCACGAGAAGAACAGTGTTGGGGTTGATCAGACGACGGACGGCGTTGACATTGACCTTGAACTCGGGTTCGGGGCAGGGCACACGGTGCAGCTTGATCTTGAAGTAATTGCAAGCTTTGATGAAAGCCGCGTGGGCAGTATCGGGGATGATCCTGGAAAGAATTAGTGGATTGAGCCGTTTATAGAAGAATGGCAGGAATCCTTACATCTCAGGCTCAGTCACCCCTCGCTCGAGGAATGCCTTTTGCCGAGCACCCAAGCAGGCCATGATGATAGACTCAGTGCCACCGCTAGTAGTGACACCAGCGCCATCTGTAGGGCTATTGAAGAGGTTTAGCACCTATGGTTGTAATTAGCATGCCCTTCTCACGTCTCTGAGGTAACACCGAGGAGATATCATACCATCGCAACGACCTCGGCTTCCATCTTCCGAACACCAGGGAAGACGTCCGGATGGATCGGATTCGCAACCCCAAACTGGCCGAATGCCTCAGCTTGGAGCTTCAGCAGATCCTCGCCTCCATGATACACGGCACCGCTGACACGGCCATCCTCCCAACGGGTATGCTCCAGCCCGGCAAGCTTGTTGAGCTCTTCCCGGATCTTATCGGCCGACCACCCCTCTGATGGGATCGTCAGGTAACGGTTCACATCAGGTCCGCTCTGCACGAGCTTCGATTCGAGGTTTGCGATGGCAGTAGAGACCTGCTTGTCGACTTGGCCGCGCACGCCGGGGGTGCGGAGGAAGACGGAGTAGAAGAACAGACGGACGGCGATGTAGACATTGCGGATACTTCCGAAAAGACCGTAGCCACGGAGCGAGTAGAAGGTCTTGCGCGTATACCGAAGGATGAACAGGATGAACACGATATTGCGGAGCCTGTGTTGGTTTCACGGTGGCCGTGGTCAGCGGCGATCGTCCCGCGGGGAATGAAGAATGCAGGCGCGCCTGCAACGGTGACTTACAGGTCCAGATTCAGGGCGGACAAGTGCGCGCTGGAGGCCCGGCCGTAGCCCAGCAGCTTGTTCTGCAAGGCGACAGGAAGCGCGGAACTCATTGTGTCCCTTGGTCCCTAAGGATATGGATAACGATGGGCAGGTGGGAGCGGATCTGGACGTTAAGTAAGGTCCGGTGCTGCGGGCCGCTGGCCGCGTCGAGTCTAGCGCCCTGCCGAGGCTGCTCTATCGCCACATGCACTTGCCGGAGGGCGTCATTCGCTCGACGCGCTGGTTTATTTACTCTAGACTTATTTTGTATGTCGGAGTTGTATTAATTCATGACATACTTTGCAAAAATTATCTCAAAGGCTAGGTTTTTTGTTTTCTTCGTGTTGGCGGGTATGATATCATCAGTCTATCCGAAGCACTAATACTGTATTACAGTACCGTCTGCCAGGGTACTTCTATCTTAGTTACTAGTCCCACAGACCTGTCGAGTAATCTTTGACATGGTACTCGAGGTTACATTGATTGTGGATGCTTCGTGGTGCGTTCACAATCATTCCCACCTCAAGAAAAGGTTTTCTGTCACAATATGTCCAGTCTTCTGACTTAACGGATATACTGGACGAATTTGACCAGTGAACATTTTGGTAAACACACTAGTATCTCTTTATTGAAACTCTATTTTACACCTCAGAATTGAACAGAATTGAAGCGCTTTGTCTAATCAATGGTATCTCCTCAATGAAATAGTCGATCTGCGCCTCTCTTACCGTCATCCCATCCCAACTTTCCAAACAACCGTCCAATATCTCCAACAACTCTGCCATCCCTAGAAACACTAAAGGTCTTACGTTTATGCTGATAAGCAGGCTTTAACCTGGCATTCAATAATCTATGCACCAACCGCTCACCCCCCAAACAAGCAGCTAGACCCTATGGTGACTCTGTCTGATACTGTTTTATTCACATCACGCCCCAGGGGCATATGTACCGTTCAGTAGTCGCAGCTTTACTATGTCTTGGATTGGAAGGCTGTTGAGTATCTCGTTAAGGATCAATCGGATGACCTCTACAGGGATATGCATGTTGGCAGCTGAGAGTGGGAAACTGTGTTTTGTTAGTGGAATGGATGGATATTAGGTGGATATTTAAACACCTAGAGCCACACGACTGGGCCCTAGTCACTGCCAGCTGCACTAGAGACGACACAAGGCTTGACTCACGGGTAATGACGGCCAGCGTGCGAGGGCCTTTGTGATCATCACCCGAAACGAGACTGACATGTGCAGCACTAAATAAGCATAACAACTATACTAACGGATTGAAACATACTTAGGACAGGGAAAATAGTTTTGAATCAACGTATGAATTGCCGAATTGGCTGCTGCGCTTATATACAAGATAAGAGAGGACTCTCTCCGAACACCACCCCAGACGGTTCTTTTTCGGGTCCCAAAATCAAAAAGAACACTTTTTTAGAAACCTGGAAAAAGAAAAGCCCCAAACATATGAATCACATCAAATCATCAAGTCCCACGCGCGACTGCCGGGGATATCAGTCTCGCATGCCCAAAATATAAAGAAAACCGATAAACAGAAAATGCAAATTGAACGCCAGATCAACCAGGCTTCGTCTTTAATTTACGGGAAGACCGGCAGCCTGGGCCTGGGCCAGCTCCTTCTCCTTGACGGCGAACTGAGCCTGCTCTTCGGGCGAGAGGTCCAGAAGGGGCTTGTCCTCGCCGGACTTGAGGTTGCGGTGGTAAGCGCGGATAATGCTGTCAGCATCGTCGACGGCAATTGGGCGGATATCGGCCAGAGCCTTGATCTTGGCAGTGCATTCCTTGCACTGGGCGTCAGTCAATTCGATCTTGAGCTGCTGTGCACGAGACTTGATGGCGTTCCAGCCGGTCAGACGCGAGGCGAAGTGGACGTAGCGGGTCATGCCGAAGTCGGCGGGGTTGATGATCTCGTAGGTGCTGGGGTTGTTGAGGATAGCCTTGGCGTGGATACCGGCCTTGTGGGTGAAGGCGCAGAAACCGGTGATGTAGTTGTTGAAGGGAATGTTGACCTCGACAGCCTCAGCAACCAGGTCTTCAATGTCCTTGAGCTTGTCCAGGCGGTACTTGCCCTTGACGTACTCGGGATCGGCGACCATCATGCGGGCCATCAGACCACCCAGAGGGGTGATACCGTTGCGCTCACCGATACCCAAAACGGAGGTGTCAATGTGAGTGGCACCGGCCTCGAGGGCACAATAGGCGTTGGCGATGGCGCAGCCGGTATCGTTGTGGAAGTGGGTCTCGATGTCGCAGCCGACAACACCGCGCAACACACGGACGAGCTCGTAGACCTGGCGGGGGGAAGCACAGCCGACGGTATCGGCGATACCGACACGCTGGACACCGACCTTGTCGACGGCGGAGTAGATGGAGAGCAAGTCGACGAGGTCGGAGCGGAAGGAGTCCTCGGAGGAGAAACGGATCTCAATGCCCTTGGACTTGACGAATTCGATAACTTCGATGGCGGCGTTCTTGATGTAGGTCATATCCTTACCGTGGGAGTGCTCACGGAGGTATGAGGAAGTACCAATGACGACATCTCTGGAATAGAGTCAGTATTACTATCTTTTGAAACTGTTCTTTGTGGGAAAAATCAATGACTCACACTCCGTCGACACCGGTCTCAACGGCAACACGGGCATCGTCCATGTGGCAGCGAATATGAGTGAGAATCTACAGATACGGAGTTAAAGACTGCGTTTCTTGAGCTCCAACGTGGCGCATTTTGCCGCGGGGAGTGTAAGAACATACCTTGGCCTTCAGACCGAGCTTGCAGATAGCCTCGCAGTCGGCACGGGACTGCTCGGAAGCGCAGGGAGAGGTGAGCTCAATCTGTGATAGGCATTCTAGTCAGTCTCCTTGTTCCCTTCTGATCTCCATAATTCCATGTTTTATAGGATCAATGACTCACGTAGTCAACACCGAACTCATCGAGAGCCTTGGCGATCTCGATCTTCTTCTGGGTGTCGAAGAAGGCGTTGGCGAACTGCTCACCCTCGCGGAGAGTGCTCTCAATGATCTTGAAGCGGGAGACATTGCTCAGGAAGTCGGTCACGCCGACGTTGTGGCCGTAGGGGTTGCGGGAGGCGGAGGGGTGAGGGTTCTGGCGGGTCTCGATGCCAATGAAACCGGGATGATCGCCTGTAGCTACCTCAATTAGGACGCCGCATTCTCATAACTGAGTGCTTCCAAAAGGTACTGTACCATTGGCACCGTTCGCGACGGCGGGAGGCCCATTTGACTCATGGTCGGCGCCGGGACACATTGTGCGTAGATATGGTGGGGTGTGGAGGGTAAGTATGAAAGTGGCAGATATGCTTTCAAGGACGAAGGATGGCAGCAGCAGCGCGAGGCAAAAATGAACTATGAGGATCCAAGGAACCACGAATCGCAACGATATTTATGTTTCAGGAAGTCAAGGAGGGGAGGAAAGAAGAGTCATCGGGCGGTGTGTTTTGCTGGCGTGCGTAGTAATCGTCGCTCGCTCGCTCGGCGGCAAAAATGAAAAATTTCGCCTGGGACAACTCGCACTGTGGGGGGCCCGCCCGGCGCCGGCTTCGCTCACGGCTCTGGCATGTGCATGGCTTCCCCCTGTGAAGGGAATGACTCAATTGATCGCCTGCAAACTAATGCTGGCGGAACGCGCTCCGCCTTACTCGGAAATTCTCCTACGCGTACATTCCTGTGCTGTATGGCTACGATCCTGGGGTAGGTTCGGTAGTTGAAGCTGTTGCTGCCCGGATGCCCTGATGCGGGCACCCGACATCGGCCCTGGCGGGGTCTGAGTCAGGCCCTCCAGCAGTATCATTTGGCTCCCGGTGGACGCCGATAGCCATGCCTTAAGAGTTTCATAGTATGCTGTGCATCCAAGCTCCCGCGATAAGATCATGGAGGTTTTGGGTTCATGGCAAACCGTATGAATTGCGGACTAGGTCTGTCCAACCACTGCCTAGGTATTTCTACAGTATAGTTAACGTAACCCACAAGCGAACCGCCCACACAAGCGAACCGCCCACCCCATCAATTTTGATCTGAGTACTATAACCTCTCTTTTATAACCATCCACCATGCCACCAAATCGATCTAGTTCTGCCCGATTTTCGCAGGATAGGCAGGGCAGAATCTCATTAGCCCTGCATGCCATTCAAAATGGTCAAATTACCTCTATTCGCAAAGCAGCACGCCAATTCGACGTCCCCTGGTCCACTCTACGCGATCGCGTCAACGGTCAACAAAGTCGCTCAGAAACACGCGCCAACAACCATAAATTGACAGAAGACGAGGAGAGATCACTTCTACAATGGGTGCTCTCTATGGATTCACGTGGATCAGCTCCTCGGCCTGCTATGGTGGCAGAAATGGCCAATCTTCTATTAGCCGAACGCTGTACGCAGACTGTTGGCGTCAACTGGGTCTACAACTTTGTTAATCGCCATGATGATCTTAAATCTCGGTTCTCTCGAAAGTACAACTACCAACGAGCAAAATGCGAGGATCCAAAGGTCATACGAGAGTGGTTCGACTTGGTTCAACGCACGATTAATGAGAACGGCATCCAACCTGACGATATATATAACTTTGATGAGACTGGCTTCGCAATGGGTCTTATTGCTACTGCAAAAGTCGTCACCCGTGCTGAATACTACGGTCGGAGATCTCTTAAACAACCTGGAAATCGTGAATGGGTCACATCTATCGAGTGTATTGGTGCGTCGGGCTTCAAATTACCACCTTGTCTTATCTTCAAATCCAAGACACATCACCAGGCTTGGTACGAAGATAAAGGGGTAGGACCGGACTGGAGGATCGAAATCAGTGATAATGGATGGACAACTGATGCTATTGGCCTTCGCTGGCTGAAAGATCTCTTTATTCCGAGTACGGCGAGCCGTACAAAGGGTAAATATCGTCTTCTAGTCCTTGATGGTCATGGTAGCCATTTGACACCTCAATTCGACCGACTTTGCGCTGAACATGATATTATACCAATTTGCATGCCAGCGCATTCATCTCATTTGCTACAACCACTAGATGTCGGGTGTTTTGCGAACCTAAAGCGCGCATATGGTGGCTTGGTTGAGCGAAAAGCTCGATGCAATATCAACCATATTGACAAGCTTGATTTCCTTGCCGCCTACCCGCACGCTCGCGAGATCTCATATCACTCGGATATAATTCAGAGCGCATTCGAATCTGCTGGTTTAATACCCTTTGATCCCGATCGGGTTATATCGAAGCTTAATATTCAGCTTCGAACACCAACCCCCCAGGAAGCCGACCAGGAAGCCGATCAAGTGAGTGGAGCCCTACAACACCACTCAACACAAAACAATTATATCGGCAAGAATCTTCAGTCAAAGCTCTACTCAAATATCGATCCGTGAGCCCTCCAACGCCTACAAAGCATGTGGTAGAGCAGACTCTTAAAGGCTTCCATGTCACGCTTCAAAGGCTAGCGATGTTGGAGAAAGAAATCCGGGATTTGCGCGCTGCCAATGAGGTTCGGAAACAAAAACGCAAGAGGTCTAATAAACGCATCGACCGTACTGAAGGCATGTCAATTCAGGAGGGAAGAGACGTAATATTCAGTTCGAACCAAGCCGTTGAATCTCTGGATCCTGTTCATCCAGAACTAGCTCCGGTCGCAAATGAGACTAATACACCACGACAACGGGCGCCACCAAGATGCAGTGGTTGTGGAGGGATAGGGCATAAGATAAATAGATGTCCGAAGCAGTGATATCAATAATTTAATGGCGTTGTGGTTATTTTATATGCAAATCAAAATTATAGGTTGAGATGGGTGGGCGGTTCGCTTATGTGGGCGGTTCGCTTGTGGGTTACGTTACTGTATATTATCACTTACGTCATACTCTTGATAACCGACCGCATGAAGCTTGTGCAAACGTCCGAAAATTGCGACAAATCTTGAGCGGGGCACCACGGTCCATTTTTGAGGTCTTCATAAGCCATACATTTCGAAAGCATCTGCATGCTAGACCTCGAGGGCGACTATGGAAAACTGCATCGAAGCAATCGGCTGAACCCACGTATTTGCCACCTGACAAAGCAACCAATCTAGACTTTGATGCGCTAAATGGTTTAGCTTGACTGCCGATCAATCGATTGAATCTTGGCTGTGGGAATTTTTATCGATATTGGTAATATATGCATAAAGGGGAAGATATGCAGCCTTAGTCCGGATTTTAAGGTTAGGCTCCCGTCGTGGTGAGACGAGAACCCCGTTGTTTACCTTGAGTACATTAATGTACGGTACACCATTGGCTTTGTGGCATTGCTGTCAAAAGTCCTTGTCAACAATAGCGTAATAGATCAGGTGTCGCAACTCGAAGCGTAGATTCGCTGAGTGCAAAGAGCAAGGACTGATCCAATTGCTCTCTCCAACGCTCTATACCTGAAACCAGTCTTAATTAATTCTCGACAGACTACACAAAGATGTCGGACGATTGTCAGGAGGGCCGAAGGGTCAGACCATGAAAATTCACCCGTTCGATTAAATTAACTAAAGGAGCTTAAAACGCCATTGATATATAGCCTGCAGTGTCACCAGGTATTTTCTTCCCCAAGACACTGCAAGCCAAACCCAGGTGCAATCGCCCAATCAGAAAACCCGGCCACTCGCTATATACAACCAAAAGTTTCGAAAGAAAGTATTAGTTTGCACTTCCGGCGGCACCGGCGGCACCAGCAGCTGGACGGCGGGGTTCAGTGCCCACGTTACCCATACGGCGGCCCCTGGAGTGAATGTTAGCAGAACGCTTCACTGAAGACGGTGGGGTATAATGGAAAACTCACATGATGGTACGGCTGAAGAAGGATATACCAATCATGAACATCCAGCTAGGGATAGCACCGATGCCGTAGATGGCATAGCCCAGAGGGAGGGTCAGGTTGTACTTGGCGATCCAGCCGTCGGTAGGGTGGAAAGCACCCTCGTAGGCGGGGACCTTCTCGAAGTTCTTCTTGGAGTGGATCTGGTAGAGCTCTTCGGGAGTAACGGTGGTGGTGTTCATGTAGACGACATGGAGAGGAGTGGGGAGGCGCTCCTGGTCGGCGGGCTGGGCCTTGGGGACTTGGTAGTAGTAGACAGAGGGAGCACCGGAGGACCAGGCGGAACAGAGAACGCGCTCGGACTCGCAGTCCAACAGACCGAGGTTGGGGGAGGTCGGGTCGGCGGAGAAGAGGAGAACGGATTCCTAGGTAGGTATGAGCTTCGTTCCGGATGTCCTCAAGACGGAGTAACAGCATGATGGCATAATCATCGGAGGCAGCAGCGCGTCGCAGGGGAGCTTACATTGAAGGCCTTCTCAGCGCGGTCACAGCGGCCGAAGCAGGTCTTGTTTCCGCCGGTGATGAAAATAAACCAATCCTCCTCGACGGTACCGGGGGTCAGGATGGACTCCCAGTTCTGCAGGGTCACCGGGGTGACGCGCTTCTCGGTGACCTTCTCGGCCATCTTCTCGATAGGATCGGCCGGGACGGCGGTCGGCACGTAGGCCTTGGCCTTGTTGAACCAGCCTTGCACACGGTCGGCCAGGGGAACCTGCTCCTGAGCCAGAGCGACGGCAGGAAGAAGGGCGACAAGCGAAGTGAAACGCATCTTGATGGCTAGGACGCGTGTCAGAGGGAAGCTAAGGAGAAAGAGAATCACGTCCAGCGCGAGTGATGAAATGAAGAGTGAGGAGAGCAGTGATGAGCGCTATGTGAGTGCTACGGGGTGAACATACCTTGGACGATGGAGTATAATGCAGCGGCACCCGAGGGATAAGGAGAGGAAGTCGTGGCCAGGCCGCCTTTCCTGTAATCATCTGCGACAGCTGGCCTGAGCGCCCGAGCCAACCACAGTCGCCCAATTCGCACGCGGGGATCGGCTCCACTTGTCAACTATGTCAACATCATCACAGGACTATGTCACTGTTGACACGGTTGATGCGCGTCAAATGGGGGAGTTTCCGCTCAAACTACCTGACCCCAACACGACAACCGGGCTTCTTATCTATGTACTGTAAATATTCGCTAGGTTCATGATCTCACTCGGAGAATATTCCCCCGCATGTGCGAATGTCGACCGACGCAGACCCGCGGCCGGCATGTATACGGAATCTGTTATACAAACAATGGAATTACCTTTGAAGTTAACAATGAGTCTGTCAAGGATACCGGCAATTAACTACAATGATGCAATTCGTTCCTCCGTCCAGGAAGCGATATCCTGCAGCCTGCGTCAGGCGGGCGAGCGGAGTCTGGGGCCAAAAGTGACTCGAAGACTCCCCTCTGTTGGATCTTTTCGCGGACTACTTAACTTCTACTCTTATCCAGAAGTCACAAAATCAGTCGTATAATCAGAATAACTGTTTTAAGTTTCGCAACCCAATGTCTCGTCCCGATACGTCTATTCCCAGCAAACCTTCAACTTTCTCTCCATTGGGCACAACATTCACGAGATATGCCCTCCGATCAACGCTCTTCATACCCCATGGTGGTGGTCAGCGGCGAATTGCCCGATTCGGCGCATGAAGATATGCACTACATACGCAAGGGGCTCGGCGCAAGCAGGCACCCTAATTTCAAGATCGATAGACTCAGAAACGATCACTTGGAACTCAACATATTTGGCAGGAACCGGACTGTGACTGGCTTGCAAAACCTCGAGCCGAGAGACTCTATCCCCTATTGTCGAAAGGAATACATGCTCTCCACACCGCCCGGCATGACCGGCGCAGATTCTTGCCTTATTTTCAACGACATGTACCATGCCTGGTACACCTGGCGCTCGTGGAGCAGCTAGTTCCATCTCAGAAGCTTGCTGGGAAAGATAGGCCATCTCGAAACGACAGGATCTGTCGAAGGGCTATCAAACTTCCATGAGAGGTTTTGGCTGCGGATACAGGAGCTTCAATCGGATCTTTACGCCATTGCTCGCACACCGAGGGTCTTCCTTCCGAAAAAGCTACCAGATGGTGCTTATGCTATCTCTGATGCATTTCCGAAGGCTTGCATTTATATGGATTCACTGGCTTGGCGGGAAAGGGGTGCTTCTCGTTTTTGGGGACCCAAATTTCATCGAATCTTTGGATCCGAAGACGGAGATGGTGGAAATCAGAACGAGTTCTTACCATGTAGTGTGCATATGAGACAGGCTGTTATTGCCGTTCGTGAACACATTTCTGATAGCTACCGCGGAGATGTTGATCTGAGTGAAGAGTACCTATCACAATGTGGATGCGACAAACAACAGTACGACTCCATTGATGGAATATTCGACTTGAGCTTGTGAGCAGGAGCTCTTGTTTATGCTCAGATCATACTCTAACGTTCAGGCTGTGAGCAATTCTCCAAATAAATATGCCCTCGTTGCATTATTGGCTTCAAATGAGGACTTTTCAAAGAGATATGTGAGAGCAAGGTAAATCACAACACCTAGCATATTACCTCTTTTGAAAATTCTACGCAAATGACTAGTCTGAAAAAGAAAGATAAGAATACTAGTCATTTACGCGCCTTTTGCGTCAGTATATCACATCTCACACCTCCACATTATCTCACGTCGACCCTTCCCACTCACTCCGCAAGATGCGGTGAATATGTCGAAGGATGTCCGTAGGGCCGTAGGGGGGACGGAGAAGAGAAGTGACAAGAGGACGGCCTCCTTTATGGCCGCAATTATGATCATTTATCGTGGTTTTCGAGGGGGTGTCGGCGAACTGCAGGATTGGGTGAGGGATTGCAGGTGAGAAGGCAAGAGATATTTGACGAATAAATTTAATGCAGGCTATCTTGTATTCACAGGCAGAGATAGGCATAAAGCAAAGGCACGGTCGAGATGAGCCAGTGAATGGCAGTCGGACGAAGTGTCTGGTGCCTGTCTTCCACAGAAATGGCACCTTCCACTTCAGACCCCATCAGAAAATCTGTCTGCAAGGATGCTCACTTTGATAAAGTCTTTGGATCTCCGAGCCAGACTATCTCCCCAGTCTAATTCCTCTCCAACACCTGGGTAGTCTACCCGCATTTCGAATTTGCTGAAAAACAGGGCCAGTGTTGTATAGATCTCCAGATACGCCAGGCTTTGAAAGAATGCCTGCATTAGCCACCAATTCAGTCTAGGCAGTTTTAAGACAACTTACTTCATTCCAATACACGATCTGGTGCCTTTGCTGAACGCGACATTGTACTTCTCGAGTTCGATGCTGTCCTCTGCTAGCCAGCGATCTGGGTTGAACCAATACGGCTCCGGAAAGACTGCGGGATTGTGGTGCATCGAGTATATCGTACTTGATACGCTTGTCTGCAGTCATTGTCAGTTTTGAAGCGTGTCTAAAATCGCGAAGGGGTGGCTAACTCCTCCAGGAATAAAAAGGCCCTTGTATTTCACCCCTTCGGGAGGGACAACTCGTGGGAGTCGTCCCGGGATAACAACACTCATTCGCAACCCTTCCTTGATTACAGCAGTCTGTCTCATTGTCAGTTTTATGATAGTTAATGAGCAAATACAGGGTAAAAGCTCACCAGGTAAGGCAACTGCCGGACCCTTTTCCAATCATACTGTTCATCGATCGACAACTTCGCGTCTTGGAGCTCTTTCTGCAGGCGGTTGAGGATATCAGGAGATGACAAGACTTTATGAAAAGTATACATTAACATCGTTGAGGTCGTATCGACTCCGGCAAACACGAATACGTTGCCCTGGTCAATGAGCCAGGACCGGTCCTTCTCACTGGCATCTTGCCCGGAGGAGGGATTTAGGACGTCGATGAGTGTTAATTTTCTCTCTTCCTCGCTTGCATTCTTGCTTCGCTCCAATGTTTGATCGACCCATTGGCCACCTTGCTACAATTCGATTGAGTGACGGTTCATTGTTGAGGACCCGGCTGAACTTACTCGTCTGAAATAAATATATCCTGGGATCAATGTCTTGAGAATCCAGTTTGGCAGTACGAATATGTACTCTGCAAGGAATGGGATGTGAACCGCTGGAGATTGAGATTTAGTCGGATTCGATGCGGTGTTATCGCAGTCAGGTCGAAACTCACTGTACCAGAGGCCTTCCAGACACATATCAAGAACACGGAAGAGTTGGGAGGACTCCTCCGGATTGTCAACAAAGCCCGCGGAGAACCCGAAACATAAATGACAGATCATATCTGTCTTTCCGACATCATGTATCAGCGCGCGTCGGCCATAATGCTTCTGAGCAGGCCACATACCGATATGCTTCGCAGCATTTGGAACAAGTCAATTTCATCTCCTCTCCGAGATTGGGATGCAAGGTGGTCAGACGCTCTCTTGGTCACTTTGTACGCTTTTTCCGCCATTACACCCCAATCTCGAGGCGCGACGATTGCATTTGCTTTGGTCCGTATGAATCGAGCTGTTTTTGTGTCCACGCTCAGAATCGAATGAGGAACCCCGAGTTTGCTGTAGAATGCCGGGTCTTTTTCGAAGCCTGATGTGACTTTGAACATTCTAAGCATGCCTTAGTCGTTGCTTTTCACCAGTGCACATCTTCGCGGACTCACTGGAAATAAAAATCCGGATCGTTGATGTGGACATGATTTGGCGATATACGGACAACGTCGGAATCTGCGCGCTTAGCAATCGAAGACACGCCAGACACTTCTTGTTCTCACATACTGTACTCATCATGAAGCCTGGAGATAGCCCTCGCCATGTTCCCATCCCGGAAAACATCCTGCCATACTTCCCACAGGCTGGAAACCGCCGCGAGGCGAGGCCCAGGAACCGACGCAAGGGGGTGAAACCATAACCGCCACGCCGAAATCAGCACAAAATGAGCCACCAAGGCCGTCGCAATGGCTTTGATGATCGAGACCGAGGATATGTTGAGAAGGCTGCCAAGATAGCTGTCAAACATGTTGCTTGACGAATAGGCTCAGGCCGGTTTCGAAGCTCAACAGGAACGTCTGGGGATGGACGACCTTGGCAATTTGTGCTCTCTCGCAGGGCGCACTCCAAACCAATCAAACAGGGGCACGTTCATTGCGCTTCGGCCGCCGGCGCCACCACGGGAAATGCAGGGTGGAGCTGGTCACGATCGTGCATAAGCGGCTCGCGATTATGGATCGCCGTGTCCACTGTAGGCTGACGGCGGCTCCACACAATTCTCCGCAGGGATTGGCAGGAATATTGGCTTGGTGATGATTGTTTTGTTGTCGAGCTGATGTTCAAAAAAGCAAAATAGTCGATAGCTCGTTCCTCAAGGTTTATGACAAGGGCGTGGTTCGCTCCCGCCAGACTTCCGTGGTTGCACCGCATCCGACCATGTGATAGAAGCGTTATACTAGCGGAAATAATAAGCAATTCGTCCACGACTTGAACAAACTGTCAAAAATTATTTTTTGGGGGGACTGAGAGGCCCGTTAGGCTCGGTCGCATATTTAGGTAGCTCTGCAAAGCAATAATGACTTTGAAATTCAAGTCTTAAAATTGCACCTTTGATTGATTCTCGGCGCCTTCCTCTAACGGATGCCGAAGATGCATCTCGAAGACAAGGAGGATTTCCTATCTTACGCCGCGCCAGTGTCGCCTGGACTTTACGCTCACAACCCAGAATACTTTTCGCATTTCAAGCCCAGGATTCACAAAAATGCTCGTATAGCAGACGACGCTTCTATCCAATGTCAGATTGACCTTTTGGGCAAGGAACATATCGGCACGTTCGCAGGTTGTCTGAATCCAGTTTCGGGAGGATGTGCTGCTCTTACTTTTCCCTTCACCTCTCCGAAAGATCTTGCACTCGCGGCATATATGAGCGAGGCTGCTGCTATTTACGATGGTCAGTTTGAATTGATTATACTCGAGGTTAAAGAATTTCCTTAATAAGAATTGCAGATCTGGAAGAACTTCACTTGTCTACGGTACGGGTCATTTTCGTGGTCTATTGTTTTTGGCCATTTTCTCCATTTTCTATACGCCTCATGCTGTGATTACTGCTGACTTGAATTTGTATCCAAATAGGACACCCTGGCAGAAAGCATGAAGGGACAAGCGACTCGATCGACCCACGAACTAATTGCTAGCCTCGAGCAAAATAGCAGTGAGCGAATGGAGCAGGCAGTCGCAAAGATTATGGTCCAGCTGTCAAACCAAGGCCAACGTGGAGAGAAACTTTTGTCCCAATGGAATCTTTTCAAGCGTATCACGCAAACTGCTGAATCAGCACACGTCGAGTACGAGAGCCTAGATCAGTATCTCTCCCATCGGGGGGAAGATTTTGGCTTGAAGTAAGAGACCTCATCATAAGTGTTGATGTTTTGAGCTCATTATTTAAAGGAACTTGATTGCGCTATCCTACTACGGTGTGAACCTGACCCTCACGGCTGCAGAGCAGTCAATCACATCGCCTATTCTTCAGCCATTGTATGACTCGATAGCCCTAACAAATGACTATTTCTCGTGGGAAAAGGAGTCGTCAGAACAGAAATCGCATGTCGTGAGCTCGGTTGCTCTTTTCATGAAGTGGGATTCTTTGTCTGCATCTGAAGCTAAAGAAGCCGTGAAGGCGAAGATAATTGAGCTCGAAGGAGATTATCTGACTCGGAAGACAAAATGCCTTCAGGAAATTGGAAGTGGAGGCACCTCGCAGACCGTCAATCGCGCATTCGACTTGATTGAGGCCATTGCAGCAGGCCTTTTTCTGTGGAGCATGACTTGTCCTCGCTATCATTGTTCGAGCCAGAATATTTACCAAACATGTCTCGAGAATCGGACCAAAGACGGCTTTCAATTTTTTGATAGCTGTACAGTCTCGGAGGAGTTGCTCAGCTGCGAAAACCTTTATGCTCTTGCCAATGGTACGAAGCGGATGGTGATCAATGGTACGCACAAGCATGAAGTGGCTAATGGTGTTGCTCGCTTGACCGAGTCAAATGGTAACTCTCTCATTCTGGATGGCTTACAATGGTTTATTGACCTTCTTCTAGATAGTCAACCCCCTTCGGTGTTTAGAGATCTCTCGTTGATACCACTTGGTCATGAAGTGTGTTTTTAGGTCTCCCATTACCTGGCTTTGAACTGTGCTAACGAACATATAGGTCCTGAGATATCCATCCGACTACATCCTGTCAATGCCAGGCAAGGGAGTTCGTTGGGCCGTTTTGAACGCTATGAATTTGTGGTATCAAGTGCCACGAGATTCTCTCGACAAGATCAAAGAAGTGGTAAAACTTGTGCACACATCCTCTTTGATGTACGTCTATCCCTCCTTGGGTCACCCGCATTCTTGAACTGTAGCTTATACGACGGTCTCCTACTGTACAGGTTTGATGATGTTCAGGACAATTCCCCTCTCCGTCGTGGGAAGCCATCGGCTCACGCAATATTCGGAGTCGGCCAAACCATTAGCTCGGGCTTTTTCTTGTGTCTTGATGTTTTCAGGATAATCCAAACACTTTCGCCATCAGCAACGACAATATACCTTGGTAAGAGACACGGTATTATAACGCTGTCTTCATTGCATTCCTAATTGAATTTCCTAGATGAGCTTGATTTAATGCATCGAGGACAGGCCTATGATCTTTACTGGACGCATAATGGCATATGTCCTACAGAGAAAGAATACCTAAGCATGATTGATGCTAGTAAGTCTAAATGTATTCGTCTACTGCTCATACATATGGCTGACATGGTAAATTGCTATCCACCAGAAACCTCGGCTTTATTTCGCCTTGCTAGCCGGCTGAGTCGAGCCGAAGCAACCAAGAACAAGTGAGCACCAATCCCACCCCCTTTGGAGCCAGGATGTTAACAGATCAAAAGAAATCTTGAACTCGAACGCCACTTTACATTGGTCGGAAGATACTTTCAAATCCGCGACGACTACCAGAACCTAACATCTTTAGAGGTGAGCTTGCCGATCCGTTTTGCTAAAATTTAGACTAAGATCAAGTCTGCAGTACATCGACAACAAAGGCTTTTGCGAGGATCTTGACGAAGGCAAATATTCTTTGCTCCTCATCCATTCGCTTCAGAAGGGCGATCACATAATACCGACTATTCTTCAGCAGCGTAAAATTTCTGGGCACTTGACAAAAGAAATGAAGCTGTTGGTTCTCGAGCGATTGACGGCCAATGGAAGCTTTGATTACACTTTGGCGATCATGGAAGAGCTCTTTGAGCTTATCAAAGGGGAGCTCGAGGCATTGGAGCGAGAGACGCAGACGAAGAATTGGATTTTGTGGCGGGTTCTGCGTCAGCTAAGAGTTTGACCTGATATTTTTAGGGTGATGAGGTATTTGTGGCTGGGTGATGAAGCTGGGAGTGTCATGTTGAATAAACGTTGGAATTTTCAAATGACTGGAGCAGCTCAAATTCACATTCAAATAAGTGTAGTCCAGAGTTTGGAGCTGTAGTCATGCAATGTATCATCCTATAGATGCAAATATTAGACGGGAGCAATTGAATTCGTCCAATGAATGCTTGAGGTTGGAACCGAAATATATTTCGCCTCAACATTAACGTCATAATAATCGAATTTTGCAGCATTAGATAATCTCAAAGACGTACAATCAAAACATCGAACGAGATACGACCCAAAGTCAAAAGAGAACAACAATCGCATGTGGAGCCGAACTCGGGACTCCGCTGCCACCTGGAGCGGCTTGCTGGCAGGCGCGGTGTGTAATCGGCCAGGCGGAGAAGCTCCGCCCTACGATTTATCGACACTCGGCGAACATCACCGCGGCGACTTTGAACTCTCCAACTCCCCTCACACCAGAAGAACATGGCCGCCCCTATGTCTCTGGATCGGATTCCTCCGACCACAACCGCCTATGTTATCGCGACTGCCATCATCGCCGGCGTCACAGGATATTTCATCGGCCAAGGCGCATCGCTCGGCCTGTTCCACGAGAAGAAAAGCTGGCCCAACAGCTACGACGTCAAGGTCCACCGGGACTCTTCTGACGAGGAGGCCGAAGAATCCGAGGAGAGCGAGGACGAAGGCAATGGCGAAGAGCTCGCCAAGTTCCAGGATAACGCCGAGGAGGTGAAGCTGGTGTTGGTCATTCGGACGGACCTGGGCATGACGAAGGGTATGCTCTCTCGCCTTACTGTGCTACAGAAAATCTCGTCGCAAGAACTTCATGAAGCTAATATTTTCTTCTTTTCCTAGGCAAGATGGCTGCCCAAGCCTCTCATGCCACCCTCGCTTGCTACAAATATTTCGTCAACCACCAACCCGACTCCCCGATCCTGTCGCGCTGGGAGCGCGGCGGCCAGGCAAAGATCGCGCTGCAGATCAAATCGGAGGACGAGCTGCTTCTGCTACAGGCGCAGGCAATGAGCCTTGGGCTTTGCGCGCGCGTTATTCAGGACGCCGGCCGTACGCAGATTGCCAGTGGCAGTCGCACGGTGCTGGGTGTCCTGGGTCCGAAGAGCGTTGTCGACGGCGTCACTGGGCACTTGAAGCTTCTGTAAACTACCCTGCGAAATACCCTTTTTGGATAGGCAATAACGATCATGATGTCGATGACAACCTTAAACTCAGCATGCTGCTGAGTGGATCAGACCGTAGCATGTACTGCAAGGATTTTGCCCTGGCAACGCGATCAACAGAGCGAAAATTTGCGCTTGATAGCAAAGCTTTTCAAAACTTTTCCACATGCGTCGCATATCGTGCAGACCTTGTCCGGTTCGCGTAGAAGCCTTCTCAAGTTCCAGAAACTCGCTCTACAAATTCTACAGACTGTCGATAATGATGGGAATGTTGGCAAGTCATGGTTAGTCCCTAGCCTCACCAGCCAACGGCCAATCGGCAAAGAGGGGAGGAATATGACGCCATCCGCAGTTCCAGGCTCTCAAGCCGAGCTCACCAGAGGGAGCTCAAGACCCGAGTGGTACCCGGCGCAGAATATTAATCTGAGACCTGTCGACAGGACACCGTAAAGTGCCATACATAGAAGAAGTGTATGGCTCCATTGATCGTCGAACTGCCCAGCGCTCAACCGAAACACAGCTGTGAACGGGAGCTCTGGACACAGATCCGTGAGGTGAAAAAGAAAGAAGAAGAGAGCGCGGATCGTCCTATTTATCGCCGCTGAGAATTTGATCCACTAGTCCTGTTCGGGAATAGTGTAAATGTCACATGACATAGGGCGCGCTATCAGACCCGCGAGGCTCTCCCCGAACCAGCTCAGCCAGATCAGCTCTGATCTCGCCCACAGTCACCATGTCCGACGCAGTTTCGATCGAGCAGAACAACAAGATCCGAGTATCCCTGGGGCTCCCGCCTCTGCCTGTCACTGGCGCCGCCGCCGGCCCGACCTTCCAGGAAGACGACAGCGGATCTGGATCCGAATCCGACGAAGAGCCCGCGAGCACCGTCGAAACTCGCCAAGCGCAAGGATACGAGAACTGGAAGAAGCTCCAGGATGAGGCGGAAGCGAAGAAAAAACGGGAGGAAAGGAACTCTGCCATCAAAAAGGCACGCGATGCGGCTCAGAGAAATCTGAAGCTGGAGGGCGCCACCCTTGGAGAAGCAGATGGCGCCGGCCTCGACACCAAAGCCTGGCTGATGCAGTCCAAGAAGCGCACCAAGAAGATCGAAAAGGAACGTGCGCGCAAACTCGCCGAGGAACTTGCGGAGCGAGAGCGCGAGGCGGCCGCCCAGTACACTGCTGCAGATCTTGCGGGTGTAAAGGTCGGACACGCCATCAACGATTTTGGAGATGGCGAGGACCACATCCTGACCCTGAAGGACACTGCAGTGGACGAGGACGAGGACGACGAACTTCAGGATACCAACCTGGTCGACAAGGAAAAGACCCAAGAGCGACTGGAGCTGAAGAAGAAAAAGCCCATCTACGACCCTACCGCCGAGAACCAGGGCATCCTTTCACATTACGATGAGGAGATTGAAGGCAAAAAGCGGAAGCGATTCACACTAGATGCCAAGGGCTCGACGGAGGAGGAACGAGCCGCCAAGCGACAGGAGGTCTCTGAAGGACTGAAGAGGGGCGCCATCAGTCTGAACATCGAGCCCGAAGTCCCGACCTCGGATTATATGGACATCAGTGAGGTGAAGATCAAGAAGCCGAAAAAGAAGAAGAGCAAGGCTACAAGACAACGAACTGTAATCGATGATGAGGATATGCTCGGTGGAGCCGACTCGACAGGTACGCCAGCTGGGGCCTCATCTATGGAAATCGACTCTGGAAATGGGACACCGGCTGCCCCGGCCCCGCGAAGGACGATTGATCAGAATGTTTCCTTTGTCGATGACGATGACCTCCAGGCATCACTGGCGGCCTCACGGCGTGCGGCGTTCAAGAAGCGCAAGAAGATGCGCCCCGAAGACCTCGCACGACAACTTCGTGAAGAAGAATCGCAAACTCCCATGGAGGTGGAAAATGGCGAAGAGGACGCCGAGGAACCTGGCCTTGTCCTCGATGAGACCACCGAATTCGTCTCCAACCTCCAGAAACCCGTCTTGCCCGAGCAGGAGGAACGACGAGCCACAACCCCTGCTGCTCCTGCCGCGCCTGCTACCGAGCCCGTGAAGAAAGAAGAGGACGAAACCGGAGACGTCGATATGGAGCGTTCTTACAACGACATCGAAGACGATGAAGATCTCGCAGAGCGTCTTAAGAACGAGAAAGAGGCCGAGGGCGAGCAAACCCAGAAGCTCACCGGAACTGGATTGGAAGAAGAGTCTACACTGGATTCAGGCCTGGGATCTACAATGTCTATGTTACGACAGCGTGGTCTTGTCAAGGAGACCGACGGCGGATCTGCGAACGCATTGATGCGTGACCGGGAGCGTTTCCTGCAAGAGAAGCACCGCCGCGAAGCCGAGGCCGAACGCCATGCTCGGGCGCAGCGTGAGCGCGACCGTAACTCCGGCAAGCTGGACCGCATGTCGGCGCGGGATCGTGAAGAGTACGCGTCGTGGCAGAACCGACAGCGTGACCAGCAGGAAGCGCGCCGTATGGCCGATGTGTTCAACAAGGAGTACAAGCCGGATGTGCAGCTCAAGTATACGGACGAGTACGGACGGTCGATGAACCAGAAGGAGGCATTCAAGCATCTGAGTCACCAGTTCCACGGTAAGGGCAGCGGCAAGATGAAGACGGAGAAGCGGTTGAAGAAGATCGAAGAGGAGAAGAAGCGCGAGGCAATGGGGGCTCTGGACAGCAGTCAGCACACGGGCATGAACAATGCGCGCGAGGAGACGGCGCGCAAGAAGCGCCAGGCTGGTGTGCGCCTGGGGTGAGAGAAGTTCGATGCCGACCCGCCTGCATTCAAGTTTTCAAGTTGTATAGAGACGCGAGAGTACCACAACTAGCTCTCGCGCTACGAGATTCCCCCAAATGGAAACCAGTTTTCTTCACGACAATGCAAACCCCAGAAATACCATTGAGAGCTAGCCTGCTTCAGACATGTCCTCCCGAGCATAGGGTATCTCCGCGTTGCTACGTAATACTTTCTCCAGGCCACTCCAGGTTGTCTCCGCGTGTGGGGATGCGGGTAAATTTCGTTTGTAGCTCCGACCGAATCCTCGCACACAGATATTTCGGACTTATTGCGCGAGAGTTCAACCGAGCTCGGCTTTGCTCCTGTCGGAAAGGGATCCCGCTGGGATTGCAGGGTCGGTTTTCCCTAATTGTACTTGCCAGTAAAAAAGTGTTGCATGAGCGCACACCGGGATTTCCCTTACCCCAACTGCGTGAGGGGAAAGGGGTGGTGGAGCAGTCGCCCAGATCAGCTCACCGGGGCAGGACGACCCGATGTCGCGCAATGTCGGGTGAGCTGATGGCGATCTGAAGGAGATACATTGCTTGGTAAAATATACCTGAGGAAGTATCTTGGGGTACCGAAGGTGGGAATTTGTTTGTTGTGGGTGTCGAGTTAATTGAGATGAGTCGATAATTGGGAGCAATCCTGTAACAGCGCAGCTCAATGGCATAGGACATGAGTAGGGTAGAGCACAATGATCAGCATAGCACCCTGCGTGTACGCTCCTTCGGAGCGATCCCCCCATGCGGAGGCCGCAGCCAATGCCGGAATGCTGTGCGTGTGTACATGTGTATGTGTGGAAGAGAAGTACCCGGTACGTGGTGACGCGTGTGGGGAACACACAACTAGAATGTACCCGGTACCGCCATCACATGAGTCAATCCCGGCTCGCACCGCAGCATCTCCGACCTTTTCACCTCCGACTCCTGCCCCTTCCCCTGCCTGGGATTGCTCCTCTTCCATCCTTTCCATCTTGCCCATCCTTCACAATGCTCTCCACTCTGCGTGTCGCCAGCCGCTCGGCTGCTGCCCGCGATGCTAACATGCGTACCGTGGTGATCGGTGCCAGACAGGCCTCGGCCTGGTCCAAGGTGCCCCAGGGCCCTCCGGTAAGCCTCCATTCGGAATTGCGACGAAGCGAAAATGCCATTACGATCGTCAATGCTAACGGGCTGTCTTCAATAGGATGCCATCCTGGGTATCACCGAGGCCTTCAAGGCCGACTCCTTCAAGGAGAAGATCAACCTGGGTGTTGGTGCTTACCGTATGTTTTGGTCCGCGCAGAATGGAGCAGCTCCAATGATCCAGGAGTTCATCGCTAATATGAACCTTTTCCAGGTGACGACAAGGGCAAGCCCTACGTCCTGCCCTCTGTCCGCAGCGCCGAGGACAAGGTCGTCGCTTCGCGTAGCGACAAGGAGTACGCCGGCATCACCGGTATCCCTGCCTTCACCAACGCCGCCGCGGAGCTGGCCTACGGCCCCGACTCCTCCGCCATCAAGGAGGACCGCCTCGTCATCACCCAGACCATCTCCGGCACCGGTGCCCTCCGCATTGGTGGTGCTTTCCTCCAGCGCTTCTACCCTGGCGCGAAGAAGGTCTACCTGCCCAACCCCAGCTGGGCCAACCATAACGCCGTCTTCAAGGACTCCGGCCTGGAGGTCGAGAAGTACCGCTACTACAACAAAGACACCATTGGTCTTGACTTTGAGGGTCTGATTGAGGACATCAAGGCCGCTCCCGAGGGCAGCATCATCCTGCTCCACGCCTGTGCCCACAACCCCACCGGTGTTGACCCGACTGAGGCCCAGTGGCGCCAAATTAGCGATGTCATGAAGCAGAAGGGTCACTTTGCTTTCTTCGACATGGCTTACCAGGGCTTTGCCAGCGGTAACGCTGACAAGGACGCCTTTGCGCCCCGCCACTTTGTCGCCGAAGGCCACAACATTGCTCTGTGCCAGAGCTTCGCCAAGAACATGGTACGTTCGATTAACGACGGGAGAAATTGCAACCACTAATATATTTATAATAGGGTCTCTACGGTGAGCGTGTCGGAGCCTTCTCCCTCGTCTGCGAGAACACCGAGGAGAAGAAGCGCGTCGAGTCGCAAATCAAGATCCTCATCCGCCCCTTCTACTCCAACCCCCCATCCACGGTGCCCGCGTCGCCTCCGCCATCATGAACGACCCCGCCCTGAACCAGCAGTGGCTCGGCGAGGTCAAGGGCATGGCCGACCGCATCATCGAGATGCGCTCCCTGCTCCGCACCAACCTCGAGAAGCTTGGCAGCAAGCACGACTGGTCCCACATCACCAGCCAGATCGGCATGTTCGCCTACACCGGTCTGAAGCCCGAGCAGATGGACGCTCTGGCCAAGGAGCACTCCGTCTATGCCACCAAGGACGGCCGTATCTCCGTTGCGGGTATCACCACCGGCAATGTCCAGCGCCTGGCTGAGTCCATCTTCAAGGTTACTGGTTAAAGTCGCGAGAAGTTACGTTATATAACTTGAATTGAATGGATAACGGATGGATTGCGAGAGAGAGCCTAAAAGGAATTGGAATGGGCACCATGAGTCTTGGTGGCTTTTTGGTTTTGCGGCCCTTGTACTGATATCTAATGTCTCTGTGTTTTATGTTTAGCATAGCTTCCCATTGGTTGCCTTTGTCCATCTCAACGGAGATTTCGGATTTGGTTCCCATTTTTGCACTCGTAGAGGTTCATATTCAGAGTACAGCAGTGTACAATTTAGTTGTAGGCTTCTAGCTTATCACGTGTATGCATATTGTTATCTCAATGGTCTCGATCGTGTATGTAGAGAGATCGGAACTGAGCGCATACAACCAAGGTCAGATCGAGCAAGTCCAGACTCCATGTCTCATACCATAGCGATTAGTGTGGTACCTCTTTTCAATGATGCATTCAGGACCTTACAAGTGCACCAGTGTGATACATAGTTGCGCTACACAATAGAGAAAATAACATATAGTATCAAATCAACTTTTCGAGTATATAACTAGCATCTCTGCTCTGATTATTCATACCAAACACAGGCATATTTCGACAATGTTTATGTACGAACGAAAATGGTTCCCGACGACAATTCGTCGAGTATATCAGCTCTCAAAAACTTCAATTTTCAAGTGAAAAGGCGTGGATTTTTGACGTCCAATTTAAGGACGGTGGCACTCAAGGTACTTCTCACCAAGCTTGCAAGGCTCCTCAGCAACGACCTTGCAGCACTGAGCACCAGCCTTAGACTTGCAGTCACCAGAGCCGTCCTTAGACACAGCAATAATCTGGCTTCCGTCAGACAGTTGCTGACCAGACTTGAATGGCGAAGAACCGCAGAACTCAGAACCGTAGCCGTATTCGGACTTAACCCAGTCGCAGCCCCAGCCGTGGTAAACGCAGTCGTAGTCCTCGGAGTTGGCGACGCTAGCAGCATCGGAGGAGGCGGCGACCGAGATGGAGGAGTAGGAAGCGGTAGGGATGGCGGACAGACGGCTGGAGAGAACGCCGGAAGGAGGAATGGAGATGGATGGGATGGAGACCGAGGAGGTTCGGGGTGTGAAGGTCGACGAGGACTCGATGGCGGACAGGCGGCTGGAGAGGGCCGAGGAGGGAGGGATGGAGACGGAGGATGTCTCGGGCTTGAAGGAGGAGGATGAAGCGGTGGCCATGCCGGCCATGAGGAGGGCGGAGGTGAAGGTGAACTGCATTTTGGATAGTATGCTATTGAGAACGAGTGTTTGCAGAGAAGTGCGAAGAAGGGTCTCTTTGATATATGAATAGCGGCCTCGGCGTTTAGTGAAACTAGCAGAACGGAGTAGACCCTAGCACAGAAGTCGATGGACTCTGGCGCTCAACAAGTGACGAAGAAGGTAATTGCATGTGGGATTGATGGGCTGAAAGTGGGAACAAGCCTTCAAGAGCCGGAAAGATTAGCAACTGACCGCACGAACCGAAACTCTGAGTTTGAATAGATCAGCAACGATCGGCTTTACGCTCTCGCTCGCACGACGTGAAGGGTCTGTTTGGTGGAGTGACCGGCGCTATAGATCCACGGAGCCTAGCCAGATCCAGTAGCAGAACTATGTCTGCTCCATCCCGACTCCATCCCGACCCACTCCAGCTGAACGCCAGAACGCCGTCGAATTCCGGCCATCATTGGATCGAGCAGTTCATCTGTATCGAAAATCGAGTGATGGTCATTTCGGCAGCCCACGTCACCCTAACCCCTGAGATGAACGCCTAAAATTGGTCTAGGGGAAGTATGGGACCTTGTCGATCTGAGCTGCTTCCATACTACGGGCCCAAAGAGCAGAGCGCAGAATACCGCTACTTGATGAAGTGGATTCAAATGAGGATTATGACGGGGGCATTAAACCCTTCATCACACACTGGCAGTATGGGGAACCAAGCTGATTACTACCACCATGACGAAAGCGTATGGACAACAAAGCCAGGTACCCAAATGAGAGAATGACCAGACGTGCCGCAAGAGCAGTGGGAATATCACCCAGTGTATCGAGAGTATCGGACTCTCAATTGGGGCTACGAATGATATGGTTTTTATATTATGGTGCACTAGGAAAATTTTGGGTAATCACGACGGTTTTTGGTGAGCCAAGCGATGAAAATTTGCTGCCTCCGGTGCATTTATTGTCTTGCTCACTTCTCATTTTATTTTTTATCTTTCACTCTATTACTGGCCCTGACAAAGATACCCCGATTCCCTCTAACATCAAAACACAACAATGCCAGATTCGAAAACGGACATCAACAAAATTGCGGGCATGGTGCCCAAAATCGAAGGCAAAGTCCACTTCCCTTGTCGGTGTGAGTTCCTTGAAATCGACTGCATTTGATTCTAATATTCTCTTCGACCAGTTGTCACCGGATCACTGGATAAATCGAATGCTGGTAGGCCCCGTCTTTTATCCCATCCCAAAATTTAGACTCGAGCTGCTTCTGATGCCGGTTGTCATTCAAGATAGAATCGATGCTTGGGTCACCCAAAACCTGACTGAGGCCAACGGAGTTCATTCGGAATAGAATCGAATTTCTGCAGCTGCCGTTCAACTCGAATATCTACAAAGTAACTACGGGTTAAGATGGGCACGCCCGTTGTCGACGGCTCCGTTTATACACCACCGCAACTTGCGTCCATGATGCTAAAATTCTTATAATTGCCAGTCTCGAAGACCGCTGTGTATCTTTCAATTCCGATATACATTTTGGTCCTGATTTCCTGTATGCGTTCTCTCTCCCGAAGCGTTCGCTGCTCGCAAACGGGCATACTGTCAAAATACACGAAACTGCACCTTTCGCATGACGGAGCCCGCTGAGACCCTATCAACCATATTTAAGGATGTCACATGTGAGCTTTTCTAAAGTCCCTCGCTATCATCCTGTCCTCTTCGCCCCCTAAATTTCAAACCCCGAGTCCTTGAAGATCATGAACAGGAATGCGAAGGTATCAAACTTCGAGTTAGATGAACGAGCTGTGAAAGGCGACAGCGAGGTCTTTGGACCAGGATCTCGTTAGCTTCATTTTTCGCGAAGATTCAGCTCCCCGATCCCGTCTTGAATGTACCGGCCCGGTGCAATCACAATTTGCTATTCCAACCCATTCTCCCTTCGGCCCCGTGCCCACCTGAGCAGTGTAAAATATAGAACGCAGTGTTCCTAAGATAATTTTCGGGTATAATAGGTCAAGAACTTATCACAAATATAGTTTAATGTACCTGAACACATACGTACTGTAGGTAGATTCCAATTAGTTTGTAGTTAACAAATGAGCCCGAATCCCCGTAGCTAACGGGAAACCTGACAGCCAGGGGCAACCGGGCCGAGTGGGACCATCAGCCCACCCGAGCTCAGAGTGGAGAGCTTAGCCTCGGATCAAAACAACCAGTTCCTCACGCCAACTCCTGGCGAATATACGGTCAGCAGAATCTAGAAGATATGTTTGCCATACCCCCTGTGTGGTGGTAATATTACCCTGCAGCCCGTTAGACAATACATGACGTCGATAACCGCGAGTACCCTGGGACCACCTGGTTAATGCATTCGGGTGAGGGTAAGGGTGCTTAGTGCCCAGTCGTTAGTAGTGTAAGGGGCTGGGGACCTTGTCTTTTGTGAGGGAGGGACCTGGCGGGCCCAAGACGGGCATGAAACGCCGAGCAGAGTTATTTATGGCATGAACAATGGGGCTGAAACGTACAGAAAATACCCTGACACTGGGACTAGCGTCGTACACCTTGTCCATAGCTATGGCTGTGTGCTTTAGTTGTTAGGTCTGCTGGGGCTGTACCGTAAGGCGCGAATCCTGGCGGGTCTAAGCCACACGGTCGGGGCACGAGAAGCAGCACGAGGCGAGAGCAGGGCAGCGAACGAGTGAAACCATTACCGCGTGTAATACACCTGGACTCTGTAAGTGTTTGTAAGCGTGTGAAGAACCCTGCTTCTCGAAGAAACAAACGCCTTGCCCAAGCAATGTCAGGCGCCCGAAACTCAGCCCCAGCCCTATTCGGACCCCCGTCGCTGAACAAAGGCGTTTTGTTACTATTTCTGCTTGATCGTCGCTTGTTGTGAGGCGATGATCTATGGACTGGCTAACCGAGTAACGGCTTCACTGTTTCGTGAGGTGCAATGCGAATGACCCTCAAGTTGGTTGTGCTGTGCTGGGACCACCCGCCAGCCTTTGGTGGAGTTGTAGGTAGAAGGTCATGTATTACGGCGCCGAGAACGAGGAACTTGCGGAATGTCTTAGATGTTCGCGTACATGCCAATTGGAATCGTGCTCCTCTGGCCTTTTCGTGTTGGCGGCTCGTATTGTCCGCTGTGGCGAGTGGCTTCGACCGCGGGTGAGCGTGTCGAAACTGCGAACGGCGATTCTGTTAACGCAGTGTCCTGAAGTGGCGATGGTGATGTCGGAGGTTCGTATTTGGTCACCTGTTGTCTAGGAATGTGCTTGGTTTGGCAGGACGTGTATATAAAAAGGGGGAAGCTGGCTTGAGAAGAAGGTGGCAGTATACCCGCTGTATACGAACATCAAAGGTTGAACCATCTCAAGTGTTCTACTTCTGACATTACAATATGCACATCGCTCAATCTCTAGCTCTTGTCTCCCTTCTCGGATTCACTGGTAGGTATTGCCCCGTCTGTCACAGCTAGCACTAAGCCTTCGTGACGAGGCTAGGCGCGAATACCTGCCCGCCGGCGACTGGCGGCTGCGGCGACGCCGATGCGTGTGTGGGGACGGAGTTCTGCACTACGGCCACCTTCACCACGCCCTCCTCCACCGTGCTGACCACCTGCGTGCCCACGGCCACCTGCCTAGGCGTCTACGGTAAGAGCTGCGGAGCCTGAATGGATGTCATGGCCTTCCCATCTAACCTTTCCAGCCCAATGTGATTTCGGAGGTACCTTGGGCAACTGCTGCTCGGGCTATTGCGCGGCCAGCAAGTGTCGATCCACGGATCAGGACTGGCCCGGCTGCAAGGAGGATAATGGGCCGTGTCTGGTTGATGCCAATTGTTGCTATGGGAATCAGTGTGTGAAGGGGCTTTGTACGAGGCCGAAGAAATGATGGTCGTTGGATCTACAAGGCAATAGTCGTACATAGTCGATGTGATATGTGTATTGAGAAGCTGCAATTGTATTTTGTACAATTGACCAGTATACTGCCTACACTTGAAGTATTGCAACTATTTACACCCGACTGCTGTAAGCTGTACTGTAGTCGGTCATGCCAGCAACAACTCCGCCTGCTCCTGATACGCCTTCATGGCAACCCTCCACAATTCCGGCCCAACACTAATCCTCGCCACCCCCAATCGCTTAATCTCCTGCACCCCCAAAAACCCTTCTCTCAAATTCATCTTAACATTAACCATGCCCTCCAACTCCTTCACCAACACCCTAACCTCCTCATCCGAAACCCCACGCCCCCCAGCACCACCCCAAACAAACACCGTACAAGCCCCCGCCTCACGAAACGCACGCCCACGCTCAACCGCATCCTCAATCCGCCCCGTCACACCTAGCACATCCGTCCGGGCATTCAGCACAAAATCCGGCACGCCAACCTCCGCCGCGGCCGCCATGACCGTGCGGACGCGCGCCACAGCTTCGGGCAGCGGGCGGAGTCTGCCTGAGGCATTATCCAAGTCCTCGAGGTTACAACCGACGGCGCCGAGCGCGATGATCTCCTTGATTGTGGCGGCTAGCTCGGGGAGATCGGCTCCGTAGCCGTCCTGCAGGTCCACCGTGACGGGTTTGGTGGGCTGCGCGTGCGAGGCGCAGGTGTCGTGCACGGCGGACAGGACCAGGGCGAGGGTGGTGAGGTTTTGGGTCTTGGTGAGGTGGTCGTCTAGGGTGTTGTGGGTTGCAGCGACCGCGTAGGAGGCGGTTGCGACGGCCCGGCTGGTGGGGAGGGCTGCGATGATTTTGGCGGTTGGGGCGTCGTAGACGTTTGTTAGGACTAGTGGGTTGGAAGGATTGTGGAGGGCGCGGAGGGTTTTGGCGAGGTCGTTGAGGGTTGTCATTCTGGTTGTTTAGTAGTTGAGCGTAGTCGAGCGTAGTCGAGCGTAGTCGAGTGAATGTGTTCCCCGATGGAGACTTTAAAGGACTCGCCCTCCATGGAGTAAATGGGCATCTTGAGTCGGCGAATACGAGGTTGTTGCGGTTGAAGTTGCCAATCAAGTGTTGCTCCATACGAATATGGTCTCCAGTACGCAGGACTTTACTCTAGGAGGGTACTACCTAATGTGCTTATGTATGTAAGTACTGGACTTGCTTGACGCGGTGCCTGTCTCAGACTATAGCCACACTATGGTTGGTAGTCGGGGTGCGCTGCAGCAAGGGGATCCACGGCATCCTGCTTACTTCAGTGCTTTACAGCAGGTAGTACATTCTGCTAGTACTCCGTACGAAACTTACATCCCCGCGGAATCGGTGACTCGACCAGGCAATGCGAAGCGGAGCATCGTGACTCAAGTACCCGCAGTGCCGGGCGACGAGTCCAGACTCCGTACATCGCGGAGTAAAGTAGAGTAAAGAAGGAAAGTAGGAGGGTTATGCCAGGTAGTAGTACGAGTGCAACCCGCAACCCACGGATCTCCGTCGTACAAGCTGCGACGACCGAAAGCTCGGGAAATTTCCTCCCAGCGACTCCAGGGTGCTCTGAGATCCGTGCCTGCGTGCATGAACGAGGGGCATTCCTCGGGTGATCGGCCGTGAGCATGCCAGTCCAGCACTGGTTGCCATTTGCCTCCTCCTCACCTGGACCTTGGACGCTTGCCATGTTCATTCTCTCGTCCATGTAGGCACAGTGTCGAGCGAACGAGTCCAGACCAGCCGGCCACACCCGTTCTCCGCTGACGGGAAGCCCCATTTTCGGAGGTTCTCCTCACGAGTACAGTACGGTAATACCGTACTCCAGTACAGCAGGACGGCAGGTACCTGAAGGGCTGGTACACTCTCAGATATTAATCTGGAGGGCATGGCACTGGTGCTAGGCTCCACCGGTCGGCTGCGCTTAGGAGAGCTGCGAAAACTGCAGGAACGAGCCCCGACAAAGAAGAACAAGAGAAGAAGATCAAGAATAGCATCATCCATTGGGCTTCCATTCATCTGTGAATAGATCGTACCGGGTCGCAGGTCGAAGCACTGGCAACGAAGGCACTGGGCATCGTGAAACACGGATCGCGCTTCCGAACGGAGATCATAACGAGTAATCGTCGCCACGGAGAAGGAGGGGGGGGGTTAGATTGATTTAGGATTAAAATTACAGAATTATCCGATCCGTAGGGTCAGCCATTACCGTCGCCTGTAATTTTGGCCAGGGAAATCGCCCGTCAGCTCCTCCCCACTCTCCGCTTCGCCTTGCTCCTCTCCTCATTCCGCTCTTTCCTCTTCACTCTTCCTCAAGGAACCTCCCACGCTGAACCAGCCCGGCCATTATCCCCCGTGTATTTCTACTGTTGCATTACTCTCTGCCTCTCTTGGCCTGCCTGCTGTCCACCCCCTTATGGCGTATGGTGTTTCCTCGACCCGTGCAGTTGGCCGCCTGACCTGCAGCTCTCACGCTGCCATCCGACCCTGCCCGTCTCGAATCCTCTCCTCCCAACCCTCCCCGTTCTTCCAGACTTCATCATGACTGTGCTGGACATCCCCGACAACGGGCTGGCTCTCCGGTCCAAGGGCCAGCCGGGGGAGCCCGCGACCACGCGAGCCCAGTTCATGCGGCTGGCCCTCGCCCAGAGCACGCTGGACGATCTCATCAGTAGCATGCAGAAGGGCCAATCGGCCAAGGTTCGTCTGGGAAAACATCCCTCGCTCCAGTTCAACGGCAAGACCGAATCCTTCCACGCCTACCCCGAAACACACCGCTCTGAGATCTACGAGACTTCGTCCGATAAACGGACCCTTTATTTTGCAGGCGTCCTCAGCCACAGCTTGGAGATCGCAAAGGCCAAGGAGGATACGGAAGATGTCGACCGGGCCTTGGAAACGCTACAGGCGGGACTGAGTGCCCATGAGCGGGAGAAGGAGGCCAAACAATCGTACCTGGTGTCCAACCCGGACGAGCTGAAGGCGCTGGCCAAGGTCAACAAAGGCAACCGAATGTCAGTTCGGTCGGGAGGGCCGAGAGACAAATGTAACAACCCTTCCCATTCACTATTGTATTCAGTTGTGGTTCACTTCATTCACTGCATTGACCGAAATTCACTGGATGCTAACGAAATTTAAAAGCTCGCCGACTCGGAGTAACTCACATTGGAAATGGAAGCCTACACCCAAGTCCCAAACTAGGTGCCCCCGAATCGCCCGCCCTCGCTCCAACGTCCGCGCCTTCCCAGTCCAAAGCCGACCGGCGTCTCGAGGCCCTCAAAACTCCGTTCATTCACTTGCTCGCCGTCCGCGCCGTCTCCTCCCAGTATCTAGCCCGTCTCACGCACACCTCCCAAGACGAGTGCAACACCCTCGCCAAGAAGTTCGGGACGGAGAACCGCCTCAACCGAGAGAAGTTCGACCTAAAAGATAAGACCTACAAGGACCTCGACGTCTGGAAGTTCCCGTACCCGACCGAGGAAGATCGGGAAAACGCCATCCAGAACGCCATCTCGGCCTTTGACCGCATGCGAATCTCCCGCACCGACAAGCTCTGGCAGTCACTGCTCCCGAAGGAAGAACGCGGAAAAGGAAAGTGCCTCTCCCGCCTCAACCTGCACATCACACCCGCCATGCCTACCACCAAGAAGACCACCGGCACGAGTACCACCCCACGCATCCAGGTGGATGGGGCCGAGGATCGCGCGGAGGAAATCGATCGCGCCAAGGGATCGGGTGTGACTTCTCGACTGACTCGGAAGCCGCGAACCGAGAAGGATGGAACGAAGAAGCAGGTGAAGGGCAAGAGTGCCGACAACAGCACGCTGACGGGCCGAATCACCAAGAAGACCACCGGCAAGGCCGCCCCGCCCAAGACCGATTCCAAGTTCAAGTCTGCCGAGTTCGTTCACTCCTCAGACGAGGATGATGATGAGATGCCCGATGCTCCTTCACCTCTCCCCGAATCCACCTCTAGCTCGCGTCCCAAGGAAAACAAGCCCGCTACGGCTTCGGCTTCAACTTCGACTTTGGCTTCGACCAAGAAACCTCAACCTCTGACCAAAACTCAACCGGCAAAGAATACGGCTCCTGCATCTTCCAAGGCCTCCAAGGCCCCGGCACCCGCACACAAACTCGAGTCTTCTCATGCTACTCCGGCTTCCAAGCGACCGGCCTCTCGCACCTCCACCTCGCCCCAGAAGCCTTCTCCTCTCGGATACTCTCCTCCCGCAGCTGCTTCCGGTGGTTCTCAGGGCCGCAGCCGCTCTGACAGCCAGAACCAGTCATCCGGCTCCTCTTCTTCTTCGCCTCTGATCTCTCAACTTGCTCGCAACAACAAGGCTACCGGTACTGCCGCACGCCCGCAAAAGCCCGTTGCACCGGCCAATGGCGTCAGCAAGCCAGCTCCTACCAAGTCTTCAGCTCTGCCCACGACGTCAGTCAAAACGGCACCTGCGAAGCTTTCCTCCAAGCCCGTCCCCGCCAAGCCTACCTCCACCAAACCTACTTCTTCAACCTCTGCGGCTGCGCGTCCCAAGCCCACTCGGCCCGACCCTACGCCCGCCAAGAACGTCGACAATGCCTTGTCTAACGCTAATCCCCGCAAGCGCAAGGCAGAGCCCGATGTGGGCTCCGAGTCTGACCGCGATGGCCACCCTATCATCACTGGAAATCTGGAGCACAAGCGACGTCGTGCTGTTAGTACCTCAAGCGGTAGTACCGGTAGTGCTTCTCCTTCCATGACTCAGGAGGTTCTTCGCAAGCGACTGCTGGACAAGTCGGAGAAGTTCAAGGAGTATTACGCCAAATACTCGGCTCTGCATCAGGTTCTGGCCGGTCAGGCCAACCCTCCTGCCAAGGACGTGGACAAGTTGGAGAAGCAGCACAAGCGGCTGCAGCAGATGAAGCAGGAGATCTGGGATGAGAACCGACGTCTTCGTGAGGAAGGCGTCATCTCTTGATTTCTCTTTGCCATCTTCGATCATTTCTTTATTCATTTTCACTTTATTTTTGAGGATTACATTTTTTGCATGGCGACCAACATGGTCACCCAAACGGCGAGACACCCATTTCGACAGATGAACAGCTCGGCGTTTCACGGTTTAACGGCCTTTTCACGGTTTGATTTTATATTTTTACCCTCTGGTATCCTATGCTCTTCCAATATTTGCATGTCTTCATTATTATCTGCCATCAGCACATTTTTCGCATTCCCATGATCTGTGACATATAGAATTGCATTCTGCGACTCAAAATCGACAGTGTATCTGGTATCCTTAGCATAGTTCTAAGAGACATAGCCATCCAAAAAAAAAATATTCAATTGGATCTCACTCTCTCCTGCCTCTTCTGTCGATCTACCTTGTAGATGTATTTGTCCTTGGCTCCTAACGATGATCCACATGGATTCTACCCCGGATTCGCGCATCGCTGGTTCGCTGGGCTGCCAGTGGGCCCGTGGCGCGCGTTTGTACCCGTGGTTGGTCAGCGCACACGTGGCTGGGTCACGGGATCCATCGTAAAATACTGCACCAATACCGACGTCGTAATCTAAATTACATCATCACCGTTGATCCAGCTAGGCCGGACTAGGACTAGCGCCAGTGGAACTTGAACTCAGGAAAGTCGATTCTCACTCAGGAAACAACAGCTTGCGTGCCAGCCAACTTGCACAAAGTTGTCACGACGCCTTCCCCCGCCCTCGCGCAATTGGGAATCTCCTTTCCACCCGCATGAGGAGCATCGGAAAAACACAATGACGCCCCCGGCTCGAGGACGCGGTACCAGCCAACGCAGTCCGACCGTCCTGGTAAGATCGCCCAGAAGCAATCATCCCGCGCTTGCAGGGAACCCTTACTAACGGCAAGATGGAATGCTTTAGGTTACGGACTCGCGAGATCAACAGCCTGCTTCCACGCCCCGACGTCGCAGATCACCCGCTACCCGCTTCATTACCGTCGACAATGTCTTGCAATATGCCTCTGATGTTCCGTCCATGCAGCAACGAGGTCCGCCGCAGATGTCGCGATCCCGCCGTCTGGCTTCCGCAACGGGCGGGTTGATTGGTGCGGGTGGTAGTTCGTCTACGGTGGCGAATGGACGACTGCGAGCACAGCCGCGCCTCCCGCCGCGGACGACGAAAGTTAGCGAGAAATTGGTGCTGTTGCCGGATACGGGTGGTGTGGGTGAAGAAGGAGGTGAAGAGGGAGAGGACGAAGACAATCGCGACGACGCGGATCTGGTGGATGAGGAGCTTGTTGCTCGTCTTGCGAGGGATAAGCATGTTGATCCAGATGCCATGAGAGAGGCTTTGATTGCACAGAAACGACTTGGTGGAGGTGACTTTGGCGTCGATAATGATCTTGCGCCGCTTTTGGCAGAGGAAGAAATTCTTCGCAAGAGACGCACTACACCGGAGCGCGCGAAGAGCTATGCGGAGCGGTTGCCTAAGGCCAGGCGGACGGAGAAGCTTGCTCGTGTTACGGCTTATTGTACTGCGCAGGCGTATAAGATGGGGTCTGTGGCTTCGTTTGTCAAGGAGTGGCATGGGGCCCGGACGAAGCTGTACGATGATTGCTTGTACACGGCGTATCATCTGCCGCTGTTACCTGGTCATGAGGGGTATCGATTGCGCAGCAGTCCTGTACTGAAGTTCCCTGGTGGAAAGTCGCTTTTGGATGAGGAGATTGAGCGGAATGAGCTTCGTGATCATCATGATGATTGGATGGGCGAGGCTGAAGAACATTCTGTCGGTGGACACAATCGGCCGGATGAGGAACATCATCATGAAGCGTCTCCACAGGATTCGGATGATCATCATAGCTCTAGAGAACAGCATGAGGAGCTCCTGAGTCGGACTTCGTCCGAGGAGGATGCTCGTCATCGCGAAGAGCAGCAAACCATGGCTACGGAGGACAATGGTCACTCTCTGATTAGCGACGAGCAGCCTCCTGAGCTTGCTCCCCGTCGTCGCCGATACAGTTCTGACGATGGCCATGCCTTCCTACAAGCCCGTTCAGCTTCCCCGGCTAAATCATCTTCTGCAATGCCAGAACGGCCCGCACGAACGCTCTACAATGTCGCCGAAATGTTCGTCTTCAGCTATGGTGTCGTGGTCTTCTGGAACTTCACCGAACGTCAAGAAAAGGATTTGCTGGCAGATCTGGCGTTTGCTACCTCTTCAGCAACCGGAACACCCATCCCACTAACCACAATGCCCCTTCACGAAGAAGATTTCGAGACAGAAGAATTCCACTTCGAATACTCGACTGAAATCTCACGACCTCGCGTCTACAATGACATGATCACCCTCCGCAGCGGCGACCACATGATCAAACTAGCTATTAGCCACGGCATCTCCCAAAGCACAAAACTCTGCTTCTTCGAAGAAGTCATGGCCCGCCAAATGGCGGACGCAAAGGACGTCCCTCGCCGACTCGCCATGACAGGCCAGTTAGGCATGAAACGCGAAGAAGTCTTCCGAATCCTCGGCCGCCTCTTCAAATCCCGCGTCGAAGTCAATCTCTCTTCAAATATGCTCGATGTCCCCAACTTTTTCTGGGAAAGCGAGCCAACCCTCTACCCACTCTACATCGCCGTGCGCGAGTACCTCGAAATCAAACCCCGCATTCAAGTCCTCAATGAACGCTGCCGCGTCTTCCTGGACCTCGCAGAGATCCTCTCAGACTCCGTCGCTGATAACCGCACCTCCTACCAGACATGGGTCGTCATCGTCCTGATCGTCATCTCTATCCTCGTCACGCTCTCCGAAGTCTTCCTGCGTTTCGGTCTGCTTCATGCCCGTCAAGGCGCTACCTCTGCAAATATCTTCGCCCGCGCTATGGGTCGTTCTCTTCCGTCGCCTTCTTCGGGCTGGCCCCCTGCTAATGTTCCACCTGGTTGTATATGTCCCTCGATTGCGCCAACGGGCGGGAATGACTATAGCAGTGGGCTTATGGGTCTTTAACTAATACCTTATCATGTGACTTTGACTTCTGTCCTGCAGAAAATTACTTGTATATGTTGCGCGAATTTTAGTCGTTGGCGGGATGCTTTTGGTTTGGTGTATGGTGCTTTTGGGGTATGGAAAATTATTTTCTTCATGCATATGATTGGTATCGACTTTGTACCTCCTGTTTGGCCTGTTGGCCCAAAATGAAACCATTTCTCAAACGGAATTCTTTCTTCACTGATGCACAAAATAATATTCCACATCGAGACCAAATTGGGAAAGTCTCCGGGAACTGACTCCCGCAGCATTTAAAGCTAGCATGAGGCCGATACTCAGCGCCGAGCCACTAGTAATGGGGTGGTAGCAGTTGCAAGGCTTAACCTAACATCATAGTGCATGTGCAAATACGATGTGACAGTTCAAGGTACTGCCCACTGGGACAGCAAACAACAAACTCATAATGCACATCTAACCTTGCCTTGTTACAACCCACGTGTCTGACTCCGCAGTTTACCACTGCTCAAAAGCAGCAAATACATCCTCTATCCCTGATCATCTCTAGAGTGAATCCAGAAGAAGCTCTCCCTCCTCCCTCAAAGACAAGCCGACTCTGCCATATTAGGTCCATCGTCACGTGACCATCTGTCCTCTTTGTAGGACCACCAACATAAAGTAAGGCGATCTCTCCCTCTCCTCACCACCATTCCTCTCCTTGTCCCATTGGTTCAATCCTCTACTTGTCATTAACCCTCCCCTCAGACCCAGACTCCCTCACCGCCCATATAAAATGTGATCTCCAGCCCGACTCTCACCTTCTCCTCTTCAACTCTCACCGACCCAGAGACCAGATCAGCTTCTCAAGCTCCTCACTGTCCGGGTCAAAGTGACTTCAAAGAGTTCAGGCCAGAGAGCCATTTTGTTCGGCTTCATCATTTCTCTGGACCAATTTAATACGATGATCATTCCACAATCTCTTCTCTGGATACCATGACCGATACTCCAATTCAACCAGGAACAAGCTCGCTCCACCGACCTTTCAACGCTCGATCCGGACCAGAAGGACCAGATATCCGATCAACAGGACATGTCGCTCTTTGGGTGCATAATACTATCGTTGCCCTGTGTGCAAGGCCTCATGGGCCTTAAAATGTTGTATATACACGGTGGAGCAATTCCGAATCGCAAAGAACCTGTCTGGAAGAGGTACTTACTCTAACCGTGCCGCCAGCTTCATGAATGAGAAGACTTTTTGATGAAAAGGCTGGGAGAAAGAAGTACCAGTCTTTGGGTCTTTGTCTAACGAATGGGCGTGAAGAACTCCGGAGCTTGCCTAAAGAAATTCCAACCCGGCTGTTACTCGGCGATTGTGGGCGTGTGTGGTAATTTCTACCCAGACGAGACTCCAGGAAGGAAATGATGCCGAATTCCATGGAAATCTCATGAGTCTTCTCATCACCCTCTCTTTACTCAAGTGAGGTATGTGAGATAACGTTGAGCTACAGCCTGGAACGGAATCTCAACGGATAGCAACGCTTCTGCGGCGGTTGCAACACCAAAAATAAGTTCAGGGGCTACCTTGAGATAGCTGAGCTGAGCCTATCTCAAGGGCTAGGCAAGGGAATACAACTCGGATAATCCGATTATGCAAGAAGAGGCTTGAACAGATATACTATCTCTGGCCACAAAGGTCCATACGCCATTGCCATTGCGCGACTGAGCCTGCTGCATACTTATCGACTTTCGGTGGTCCTGCAGAATCTCAAGAGGACCTACCTAGGTACCCTGGAAGATATTTGAAAATAAATACAAAACCGACACTCACCTCCTCGTCAAGTCTTCGTCAAACTTTGACTCCTCCATGTCTCCCATCTGTACCAAGTCAATTCCAACGGACGTCAGTTTGATTTGGGAGACAGCATCTTCCAGAGAGTCCCATGCCTTCTCTTCCCTACAAATGGTTCCACCGAAGCGGAATCCTGCTGGCCCAAAGGCCTCCTCTTTTGAAAGCCTTGAGACGAGCACATAGGCCTACTATCATTAAAAATTGACTTGCGTCGACTTTACAAAGGGCATGGCACTCCAAATGCTACGGACCGCACGTTGTCGCCAATTCTGTGGCGAGAGTACTTGCCCACTTGTGAGTCTAGCACGGACATTGTTATGCCGTCGGCAACATTGCTCTCGTGTGCGGAGAACATAACAAGCACATTGCCACGGCGAATACGGAACCGGCCGGGGACCTAGCCGACAAGTTTGTTTTCGCTACGGATGAGACCAAGGAAACGTCATGTCAGAGGGTTCACGAACTAGAACACCCCTCTACAGCGATACCACTTGCCCTCTACTAATTTTTTGAATCAAGATGGCATCTCAATACCCATCACCAACTCCCCGAAGGCGTAATATGGCATCGCAACAGAGAATAAAAGGAAGAAATCGACCTTGCTGCGGCCTTCCGGCTACTGAATATGGGTCCCTGGGCTGCAGTCACAAAGATGCAATTGGTTGTTAACGAGGAAGCTCTGGTGGAAAGATACCTGCTATAAAAAGAGATTTATAGCATGATGTTTGATATTGGGGAGCAGCTGGATGAGAGCACTATGTGATTACAAAAGCCGGGGCCATTGCGATTTGCATTACAGGCATCTTCGGCAAACCGAATCAGCGCAGCTGAACTCTTTTTCCGAGGACCCCACGTTAACTACTCGAGAGTTGGAGGGAACGTCTTCAAGGGGTTTGTCGAATGGCTTGACAGGGTCTTTCACGGAAGATGCTAAGTTGCTATCATGGGCTACTGCAACAATGCTTATTACGTGGGGTCCCAAATGGGTTTAACCATGGTCACCTTGGCTTTTGCACGCATACACCATAAACGGTGCAATTGCTGCTGGAAAATATAGCGCGACGTTTACCCAATTGCGCGGCATTATGTTTTCACCTTAGCGAGTAACATCGCACCTTTGAGAGCCGAGCCAACGCCCAACAAGCGCCTTCGGGGTCTTCAAGTCCACGAGGTGAGCATGAAGGCATGTGCGCTCTTCTAAGCGACGTTGATTTAGGCCAGGTTCAATCACGTCCTCACACGTTTTTGGCGCGAATATCAGCCACCGATAACTTGAATTCTCCGAAGACTCTACGCCTGAAAGCTTGCCGTGGAATATGGATTATCTTACTTATCAACTTCCCATTCGATCTCATGACTCAACTTCTCGTCCAGGAACGCGAAAGAAATGTACATTTGTCGGAAGGCCAGCTGAGCACACTCATAAGTGGCAAGGCAAGTTCCCTTAACAAAGACGAATTCTGAACAGAACACTCTGCAAAGATACGGTTCTGGTTCTGGTTGGAGGGATTTTACGACACAGACGAAGTCGACTTCGAACCTAATCATCAACCTCTTCCGCAACTTACACAAGTTACACGTCTTCAACAACGGTACTCACAGAGTGAGATTGTAATTCCAGCAAGATTTCGGAAGTCCATCACCGGATGTACCACATCAGGCTCAACCCAGCTTCACGACCCCAACCAGAGCTCGGCTATCCCAACTTTCCAGCATGTGCATTTATTCGACGATGACATACAATTCCAGAGGAAATAGTTACATGTCGACAATGGATGCGGCTAAATGTTTCTACCAATGGCCGATTCATCTTGCCGATAGACAACATATGGCCGTGACCTCGCCTCGACGTCAGGAAGTGTTTCAAATCGTGATCATGGGATATTGTAATAGCGTCGCATTCGTCCAGAGGCAAATGGTCTCGATTCTTCGCGACTTCGCTGGATGGTGTCGAGCTTACGTCGATGGTGTTTTCACCACATCTCCCACGTGCGACGATCATTTGAACCATCTTCATACGCTCCTGGCAAGGCTGGAAGAATTCGGAATCAAGTTGGAGCCACGCAAATCCTACATCGCTTTTCCTTCTATCCATTTTCTGGGGCAGCGCGTTGATGCATTCGGCATGACCACCCGTGATGAGCGAATCAAAGCCATCACAAACCTTCAGTTTCCGAAGACTTTGAAGCACTTAGAGACGTACCTGGGCATGACGGGCACAGTCCTCCATTACATTCGGGGATACGCCGCGAAAATCGAACCGCTACAACAGCCTAAAACATTGTTGCTCCGGAACAGCCCGGTTAAAGGTCATTCACGCCGATCTTTCTCAGTCCGCACTCTGGCTGAACAACCCTCTGCTGCAGAACGACGCGCTTTCGACGAGCTGCAGGCAGAATTTGCTGATAGCCCTTGGTTGACCCATCATGATTCGCAGCGACAATTGTATGTAGATCTCGACGCTTCGAAGGAAGCAGGATTCGGAGCAATGGTCTTTCATGTCAACCCAACTCACGTACATGATATATCAAAGCCGCCAGCTGCCAACGCCATTCAGCCAGTTCTGTTTCTCAGTCGGGATCTTTCTGCAGCGGAACGAAACTATTGGCCCACAGAATTAGAAGTCGCGTGCCTTGTATGGGTCCTACGCAAGATACGGCACATGGTGCAAGCCGCCCCGCCCCACCTCCCAGTCGTGATCTACACCGACCATAGCAGCACAACACCAATCGCGCAAAGCTCTCCACTTCGTTCCGTCGCATCAGATCGGCTCAACTTACGATTAGTTCGCGCTTCTCAGTACATCCAGCAGTACCGACTCAGAGTGTTTCACAGACCAGGCGCAACGAACCAAGTAGTAGATGCGCTGTCTCGGTTGCCGACAAAGCAACATGAAGCAGGGCAATCGGATGATCTCGATGCACTTTTGGCCGTTCGTTTTGTGCTGAAGCAAAACCGAGCGTTGTCGGTACAATGCACCTTTCTGAAGACTTCAAAAACCGAGTAAGAGACCAGTATGCTTCAGATCGGAGATGGTCCGCAGTTATCCGAACGGTGCAACAAGTGCAGCAGGATACGGATCCAATCAAGACAGTCCTACCATATGACTATCGGGACGGCCTGTTGTATCAGCGGAACCCGGACGGTTCGAACACAGTGCAAAAGGTTCCATACTACCGTGGGACAGCCTTATGCGAAATTCACTTGATACATGGTTGTCAACGATATAAAAAATATGATTGCAAGCAGGAGACAAATATAAAAGGCTCGAATTCCTGTCGAGACAAGGGCAGCATACATGGATCCCTCGTCCCTAAGTCTTTATAATTCTAGAAACACCAGCTTCGATCTCGACCGCTCCGCAGAAGGCAGTTTGCCCTGAAGCAATATCGCGTATGACATTGAAAGTCTGGGGCGGCTATCGGAAAGGTCGTCGGTTATGTTTCCGAACTCGCTCAGCCTGGAAGATCAAGAATGTTCGAGGCACCCTGGCGACATCTTTCCTTATCTGGCCCATACCTCGCGGCCAACGGGCACTCCGCCCAAGTGCTCAAAGACGATACCCGCTCCGAACCCTCTTGCCTCCAGGTGCTACCTGCCGGGTTTAATGAACGTGTATTGACCGACCCAAATCAGGGCAACGCAGCGGATGCAGTTTAGGAGAAAGCTGACATCAAAACCGTCACTAAAAACCAGTGCGGTAACCCTCATGAGCCGTCCAAAACAGACTCCGAACCTGCACGTCGTCAATTGGGACAACTAGCCGACTCATTGAGGCTCTCCATTCCAGACACACAAGCTCTATATCCTCGATGATATCATCAGTTTACTTGAGGGCCCAGAGATTTTTCATTTCATAAAGGATCCAGAAAATTTTGAGGTTCAGTCGTCGACCGCGCCGTCACAACAGCAGCTGGTCACTTATGCACCGACCCTCGCCTTCGCATCGGAGAACATTCTCACTCCATCGGTCAGATTCATAAGGCTCGGAGTTCTAGGCCAGTTGCGACGCCTACTACCTGCTTATACGCAGAAATCAAGTCAACCAAGACCACCTACAAAAGTAAAGGCCCAGTCTAGGTCGCCCTTACATCGCGGGCGAAAACCACCTGAGCAGACCCTATTCACACATACAATCCGGCAAAGAATTCAGCGCCTGGTTACCATGGTTGAGAGATATTTTCAGACATCGGCTGGTACATAAAGCTTTTCGGGGCCAAAATATTGTCCTTGTTGGCGACTTCTTCCTTCCAGCTACTTCCTGTGGGTCAGAAGGCACTATGCAACCGACAAACTCCCCAGACCGGGCTGGAGTGGCTCTTTTTCCGAACTTTATGTATTGTATCCAGAGTCACCACTCAACTGGATACAGTTGTACGCCAGCAGGGTGGCGGATGATGAAATCGGACATTCCATTGTACGCTGGAACTACCAGATCTTTGGTGGGTTCATCCGGCCAACAATCATGCAAGAGTTTCTCGGAAAAGGGGAAATTCCATGCCTTGCTGAGGTTTGTTCTGTCTGGCTTTGTGATCATCTAGACTATTCAGTCTGGCATGATCCGTTGCGCATCAGCCGATTTGATCGCTTTCAAGCATCGGGATTTGATTATAATGCAAACGAAGCGAGCCCAAATCCAAGCGCTTCCGCTCCCGGTATTCCCAATAGCACCGAACACCAGCTCTGGTGGAAACTTATCTCCAGTACAAAGTGACCACCCCTTACTCCAGGTTATCATGAAGCCGCTGGAGCAGGAACCTGCTTCACAACACACACCTCGAGTACACGCAGAGTATAAACGGAACTCGCAAAGCGACACGGACAGAAAAACCTGACACAGCATTTAAATTCTTTATAGGGATGCCGATGCGGGCCTGAGAAGCCGACCCCTGGACAACCGAAAGACTTGTAAGCAAAACGCTCGACTTCAACAAAATGGCAACATGCAACGGTGTGTCCTCGCAAACAGTCAAGTCCGGATTAATCTCAGATATGTCGGGAAACAGCTGTCGTATGACAGAATGGTACCTAGGCATCCCCTACGTATGCCTTACGGACTACCGGCTTTTTACAGCCTTGCATCTTTCCCGGTTCTTGCGACATTTTTCTATGATGTCCAGCTCAGGCAAGGACGTGCTTGCTTGAACTAGTCAGTCCTGATTACAGACATGCAAAAGAGAAGACACGGAGCATTCAATACTGGTATGATCTGGAACATGACGATATCGACCCTTGAAAGGGCAGTTCTCCACGACGTCTACCAGAGGGCGCATTACGATAGCCGTCAGTGTAGGGCCCATGGGACATACTAGGTTGCGGATGTACTACAAAAGTGCAACTTGGCCGCACATTTCCAGACGGCCCACAAAACAGGGACGCCAGATCCTGACAGTTTCTGGTCAGTGTGAAACCGCCGGTGCCGAGAATTGATGATTATGTTGGAATTGGATTCACCGTCCCACGCGATGCAAACTAATCGGTCTATTTACTCTATCCAGAAGCAAACCATGTCGACATTTGAGGCATAGCCTCGAGTTCAATGAAACCAGGTCCAGGAAATAGAAGTCCCCGGTTGTTGTCTCGTGTATTCAGCGAGCTAGCGTGACGCAACCTGCTCTGTAAGCAATACGCCATCATGCAGCTACTGCACTTGCTGTTCAGGTGTTTCTAGGCCTACCCTGTATGGCCTCTTTGCTCTACCTGTACCCTTCAGGACATGCCTGCGTACTAAAAGAAGCACGGCATCGAGTATCTGGTTGAATGGTCGACCGCATGCTGTGACTATCTCATTGTTTCGAAACGGTAGTCATTGAAGAAAAGTATGAGAATTTCAAGTATCTCATTATTGACGAGAAGTTGATGATGGGCCCAGAGATGCTTTCATAGAAAGCAGAGGGAGAGAAAATCTACCAAGGCAAGAGGAAGCAACAGACTCGGATCCCTCTCATAGTGTTATTGGACTTAGAGATGCCGTCAAATTTGCCCAGTTGGCTAGGCATGAAACCGTTCTTTTTCAGATCTACATAGCCTCCCCCAAGAATAAATACAATTCTCGAGCACGTTCGGACAGAATTTTCATGATCTTTCCTTCGCTTGCGCTCAAGACTTTAAATAGGTAGATGATTGTAAAATAGACCGATCAATTGACAGCACCGTCTATCAACACATTTATCGTACAGAAAAGGATCGAAAAATCGACCTCAGACAAAATGGTATTCGATGCGAAGAGGTTCAGCAATAACATCAAAAACGTCTGAAAAGACAGATAGCAATACAAACAAGATATTAGAGTAAGATATATGAGACAGACAAAAAGAAAAAGGGGTAACAAATGAGGAAAAAAAATAAAACAATAAAGGGGGAGGAGCCAGTATGCGAAACTCAAAGCACAAAGAAGCACAGCAAGGAAAATCCAGAAAACGATCAGAAACAAACCCAGATACCAACCAGACACCGCACCATAGGATCTCCAAGAAGAAAAATCCCAGTCCCTTATTCCCAAATCCAATAACAATGTTGACCCATATGAATATCCCCAGTCCCGCGCTCTATCTATGCTGTTTCCTCGTCTGGTCGTGTCTCGGTAAGCCATGTCATCCGCACGCAAGCAGTCCAACAAAAGAAAAGGGGCGAAGGCAGTTGGGGGTTGGAGGGGAAGGAGGATGACAACTCCCGATGTGATGAGTAAATGTAAGGAAAAAATTCAAAAAGGGTTCCCAGTTTGCAACACGGATAGTCCCGACTCCGTTAATAGATACAGGTTAAGGAAATTGAAAATGCGATGATAAAATAGAGCAACGTCACAAAGGGGGAAACGGTGGAAAAACTTTGGAAATAGCTTTATTTCCATGGGAATCAGGAAACGATGCAATGATAACGATTTCAAAAACAAAGGAGATGTTGTTTGGATATTTTCTTATCCGAGACGTGAAACTTCGATTTGAACTCGCTTCATACCGGTGTAGACCAGCCATGGTCGCCCATTCGGGGCTTGGTCTCGTAGTTGTCCGGCTCGGTGCTGCCAGGTCGACGGATGGTCGAGTTGGGGAAGTACATGTGAGGCGGCATCGAGGTCGGATAGGCTGGACCAGTCGGCTCCGGGTAGGTGAAGTCATTGGCAGATCCCGGAGAGGGCATGCTGCCGTGGGAAGGCGAAGCCCATCCCAGACTGGTCATGTGCGGGCTACCGTTGACACTGTTGGGTCTATGGTCATTGTTGGCCGGCGGCTCGAGCGGCTGGGGAGGGGCATAAGGATGCGAGGTCATTGGCGGACGACCGTGGGGCGCGCTGCCAAAGCTCGAAAGCGAAGGGGAAGTCGCAGTCGGCGAAGCACGAGGGCTACCCTGGGAGAAGTCTCCACGGACATGAGGGGGAATAGGCCCACTACCCATGTAGTAGTCGCCAGCTGAGCGATGCATGGTCAGCGGGGGGAGGTCGCCGCCGGGCGACATCGAAGCATGTTGGGCAGGAGATGGAGTCGAATGAATAGAAGCTTGATCAGGGAACATGCCATCCGGCCCCCGCCGTTCCTTATTCTGGCGCAAGTTGGCCTCTGTCTCTGCCGCGGCCTCCTCAATGGTACCAGTGTGGTGGTTTTGATGGCGAGTCAAGGTTGTACGGCGTGTGAAGGTCTTTTGGCAGTTGGCGTACGGACACTTGTAAGGCCGCTTTCCGGAATGGATACGACGATGTCTGGCGAGTGATGAGGAGTCACTGAAGGGCTGTATGGGTAAATTAGCAACGAAATTTTGAGGCAGAGGGTTTACTCCGCAACAACATACCTTGCCGCAGCGCTCACACATGTGAGGCTTCTCTCCCGTGTGAACTCGCGAATGCACCGTCAAGGCTGAGCGTTGAATGAATTGCTTCCCGCAGCCAGGCCAGTCACAGGCATGCGGTCGAATTCCAGTGTGAATGCGCTCTGTGAGCGGAGGTCGTTAGAAAAATTAATCGATATCCTGCAGCATTACTATGTACGTACCGTGTCGCGCAAGGTCACTGCGGCGAGCGAAGCCTTTCTGGCACGTTTTGCAGTGGAAGGTCTTGGGCGGCGCATCCGCACTTGATCTCCCTGTAGGCACCGGTGCCTGCTGCATCTGCGGATCACCGGCATATCCGCCAGGGACATAGCCCATGTTCCGAGGAGTGGTGCCGGGGGGTTGGCCATAGTAAAAGGGCTCAGCGAGTCCCTGTTCCATCTGGACGTGTGGGGGGTGAGGTGGGTACGCGTTGACAGGGTCGTCCACAGCACCCGGCTCGGTCTTCATGGCGGGTTGGCTCAGCTGTGAGTTTTGCAGGTATTGTTGGTGTAATTGTGCTTCTGCGGCGGCAGCTGCGGCGGCAGAGTTCTTGCGGTTCAAGATGGTCGTGAAGTCCATGACCCGATCCAGCGATCAGCGTATAGACCGTGGCCGAGGACAGCTCGGGAAGCTTCCTGTCCTCTGACGATGGCAACACGGGCTGCGCCTACTTATTCGATGTTGCGGTGAAGAATGAGGCGGTGGTCCAATTCCATACACTGGAATGCCGGGTTACGCAGTGTCCTTTGTCTTTGTCTGAGTCTGCTCGGGGCGCCTCAAGGCTGGAATCTCGTGCTGACGTTGGGGTCCGAATGAAAGACCGTGGGGGAAGGCCTCGTATTTGCGTACGTCTGCGCTCGAATTCGATTCGAGATGCGCAACTCAGATCGAGGAAATTCGCAGCTGGAGGATCCGGCTAGGGGCAGAGGGGTGTGATTGGAGATTTGGTTGTCGTGAGGAGAGGACGAGTGAGAGAAGTACCAGTAGGGTTTCTGTTGGAAATGGGATGTGTCAGCTGTGAATCCTGCATGCGTTTGTTTTATCAGGCTTGCGCGTTTATCGCCGGATGTCGAGGCCGCTTGTCTTAGCTCGTCTCGGTTCTTGACCGCGCAGTCCTTCCGGGCTTCCGCCGCGCCAGGCTCCAGCATGACCACTGAGGACAGTAAAATCTCGAAAGGCGCAGGTCGAGAGACTCGCAGTCCATCCGGCTTGATGCTGAATCCAAGCGAAGCGCGCTCGGTGGAAGAAAGGGGCCCGTCAAAAAAAAAAAAGACGTCGGACGCAGGGCATCGCGGTGACGAGGAAAAGCGCGGTGTAGATCACAGAGGACGGGTTAGAAACGCACCTTATACGCGCCACAGACGAGCGAGAGATGTCAGCAGTAATCCTGGCTGGGTTCAGAGGACGCGAAAGTTGTGTCGAGGCGGAAGTCGGAGTCGGAGGGAAATCGCGAAAACAAAGTCGGTAGGAACCGAGTGGATGCCCGAGTCAGGTAGTTAGGTTGGTAGGGCAGGTGTTAGGTAGAAGCAGGAGTGGGTAGGAGTAGGCGTCGGGAGGGATGGTCGGTGTAAGGTCGAAGTGGGAGTGTGATGGTGTATGTTAGCAGTAAAGTAGGGTGTGTAGTAATCGCGGCAGTAACCGCAGGGAGTGATGGTTATTTAGGTGTGGTAGGTGCCACTTTCGCTCGACTACATCATTATTTACTGCCCCCACTTAGGGAGTTGTTCTGGAAATTGAATTCTGCGATCGCTTCCCTTCTTTTTATGGGGTTGAGATGTGCGCGCATCTATTTTTTTCTTTTTTTGGTGCTGTTCAACAGCGTCATATACACGCGCTGCTCCCCGTACTTTTTCTGCCTCTCTCAATCTCACCTTCTCGACTCTCTCTCTGCATTCTCCATCCACCACCTCCTGTTCTCCCCCTTTACGAGCACCCAAGGCTGCTATCCCTGCAGCGCAGGTCCAACTGGTTCTAGTTCCCCTAGTCGGATCCAGCGAATGCCGCTAGAAGGAAACCTGGCCGCGCCAGAAGCCCCCCGTCAGCAAGTCGGCTCCACAACGTGCATTTTCCCCCGTCCCTGCGGCCGCGCGAAAGATGTGGATACGAGATAGCGACGCCGATCTGAATCAGAATTTATTTTAATCATTTTCTCTCGTCCTTTTCTACTGTTACGCTTTCCGGAAGATGCTCCCCGATGCCCTGCGCCCCCCGCTCTCCCCCAATCGTGGCGACGGTGGCTAGCAAGCACATCTTCCAGTCCCTCGATCCCTAGTGCGAAACGACTACCAGTGGCTACGGCACTGCACCACGTCCCTCCAGTAGGCAATGACGCAAGTTGCAGAGCATGGGTGATCGGGCAGCGGTGGAGCCCTCGATGGGAAAAAGCAACCACTCCAAGCCTGCCTGCAGACCTACCTGCATGAAAGGGGGAAAGTGCCTGTATCAGGCTCCGACTCTTCTGTCAAAAAGCAACGTGTATCCGGACCCCCGGAACCTCCTTTTTGGCAGTGCGCACGAATGAGCGAAAAGGGGGGATGATCGAAAACGGGTCAAGTCGGTGGACATGATGACATGCATGTCTCTCCTGGCTAATGGTGCGACACGACGTCCCTAACGATTATGCAACTGGACGGCGAAGCAGGCAGATCTTCAGATGCGGGAGTCCTGTGAACAGAGAGATTTGCCTCACCATCTCGATAGTCTGTTTCCCACCCTCCCACTATTGCTAGCCGACACCGACGGTGGAAGGCTAAATCCATCCTTCCCGTACGTGCTACTCCGTACGGAGTAGATGATTTCCTTCTAGAAGGTTTCGATGGGCCCCCCTTTGTCTTCCCTGCAAATCTACACGGGACACAATGTGGCTCCTGACACGTCGTCGTGAAACGGGAAGCAACGAACGTCGTGGATGTGCGGTGGACGGCGCAGTGATGCTCGTTCTCAACTTCCCGGACCATCGTGCAACCCCCTCTCCCATCCCCTTCCCTTCTCCTCATTCCGAGACCGTACGTGCATCCAGATGGACTTCTGGTCTTGCGACAGTCCGTGACCAACAAGCCCTGTGAGATTTCCTGACGATCCATTTCCCAAGTGGAACCCCCTCGGTAATTAAACCCCATCTCGTCCATCCCCCTTTTCCTTTCCGGGGGAGCGACGCTAGAGGGCGCCGGCCGGTTCAGCCTCCAAAGATCCACTTCACTGCCACACAGACGGGACGGAGGGCTGAAGGATGACTCTGGATTGGTCCCGCCAAGCCTTTTACTGACCTTCTGGAAGGCCACCAGAAGGATTTCGAAGCTCCATGGAAGGAGAAGGGAAGGGCAAGGAGGCCCCTCCTTGCAGGCCGTTTGCTTGTCGCCCCATCCTGCACAGATGCGATGCGCGGGCCCGAGCCCTACCTACGACGGAGTACGGTGCACATCGTTGCGGATCCCAGTCCGACACCCTCGGGATATGTCGAGACCTCCGGACCATACAGAATCACCATGGACATCCGGGGCCTTCCACGACCTCTCCATCCGGGTCGGATTGACGCGCCGTCAAAAAGGGGGTAAAGGAAAAGGGGAGGAGGGGAGGAGAAAGTTCTCGTTGGTTGGGCACCGGGACAACCACTCCAGTTTATTGGCCCAGCCTCCTTGGACACTTCCTACTCTTTGTCGTGATCAACTTCACCCCCTCACCATGCACCCCCTGACAACCGTTGCGCCGGCACTAGGGGATTGGCCAGCTACAGACCTCCCTCTCCCCCGTCTTGCGGAGGCATGCGGAGATTTGTTGCCTCCCGCTTGCCGACACAGAATCAAAGCTTCCGTACACAAGAACAAAAACCTGGTCTCGAAAATCAGGCGAAACAATAATATGGCATATAATCCGCGTCGCGCAGCACCAGAAGCCCAGCCAGCAACTGAGTGACGCTGAAATTCGCCGGGCACTAAGGTGACCTAAGGTGACTCGTCTGCCCGCTGCGGCTCTCGATTGGCCATGCTGCACGGGGCAATGCCCACATGGTTGTGACTGAGACGTGGCTTGGTGCATCAAATTCCGCGCTAGTCTCCATATTTCTATTAGTAGAACAGGAAATTTACCCCTGGATATGCGTGGCACAACAATGGCCTTGTTCGATTCCCTGCAATCACTCTGCTCGGGATTTGTCCTGTTGCTTGTGATTGCGTCGACTGCTCGCAAGACGTAACCTCATCCTATACAGCCCTGGTTGCTACGCCCTGACCGCCAGACCGTTGCCGCGCTTGGACCAAAACATGATGTCACTGGGGAAATCGTGCACTGGCCCACGCGGTTCATCATGGGACCCATCCAGCATCTAATAGTTCGAATCGATTCCCCCATCGATCAACCCTTGTTCATTTCGCTTGTCCGGGTAGTTTGGAGAAATAAAATAAGAAGCAAAAAATATGCAAGGTCCTCGCGCAGAAAAACAGGGACAGAGCAAAGGTACGTGGAGTGCGTCCGGCGTCCGGCGCGGATCAGGCGATTGCATCAAGACGAAAAAAAGCAATCTACAAGGCTACTCTTAGTGTTGCGCCGTTGCGCAGAGACAAAATACCACCGTATAATCTCAGCCACCTATTTCCCGTCGCCTGTGGCGTCTGATCACAAAATCAGAGTTTTATCTGATCATACTTGCTTTTTTTCATGCTGTCACCGTGACACGGACATGCGGCACCGTTGTCTTATCAACCATGGAATTGCCGTGTCATCTTGCCGGTCAGGGAACTATGACAGGGGGTCGGGATGCTCTTTGCCGACGATCATCGGAGTCGGCATGTCCTGGCGGATCGAGCGGATCGGATCATGATTCACTTGCTCGCAGCCAGTACGTACCACTAATCTATAGGGAGTATGGATCAAGAGGAATGAGACAAATGGCACATATCGCACCAAGTGGGCTTGGGCATGCTCGGATTTGGGAGATCACGCATTGCGGGGACCATTGTTCGGAAATTAAATTTTCGATCGAAATCGCTTAATGTGCGAGATCTAGATGATTTCCAGCGCTAGCGGCATAGAGCGCCTTTCTCCGTTTTGGGATTGAGTTTGTCTCTGTCTTGCACTACCTACAGGTAGAAAGCGAAGTTTGAATGGCCTCGTTTTTGGTCGTGGTGTCCTCAAATTGATAGTCTCAGGTTACTGGTTCGAAGTGTCCTGGGTGTCGTTTCCGCGTCGATTATGATCTTCCGATCAAAGTATATTCCAGTGAAGATCTTGGAATCAACTATTTCAGGGGTGATTTGACGTTTCTAACGATTCTATCAGGAGGGGGCTTCTATTCGTCCGGCTTTTGGGTATCATGTCATACACTAACGTCTTATCGATCAAGTTTGATCGTCAGAGGGATCTACGTTGGAATACCTGGCATCATCCTAACCCCCATACCGACTCTATGACGGGTGCTCCAAGTGCTCAAACATACATCCTGCTGTTAGGCTAATTACGAAGCACAAACTGATACCGATGCAGGTTCAATCCAGTGGCCGAAGTGTTGATGTATCATATAATGAGGGTGTCATCAATGTACACCCACAGATTATCACATGCTGTGCGCAGCAAAACGTTTCATTCGGTTGAATTGGCCCGTTGCGTCCCAGTTCGATCTCGAGTAAACTATGTGACCGTGCTCGTTCTCTTAGGAGTTCCCTGGTGCATACCTAATGCCTCCCGTCACCTCAAAGTGCAGTCAGTATCTATGTGTTCAGAAGAATGTGAAATTAAACCGGTGCAGTAGCTAAGTATAGGAGAATACATGTGAAGCGTTGAGGTTCTATCATGACTTCCTGGGCTACTGCACGATTCCAGCACCCGTGCTTGTACCAAACTATATTCTTCATGGCCATTGATCATAATCCCAATCTCAAATCATTTTATGCTGGAGGCTGGGCTTCTCGCACACATTACCAACCCAGGTAAGCATATTAGACCACGTTTGACCGCCCATGGCTGTGAGAGTCGGTTTACCAACGCTGTGTAAGAACGTCTCTCGCGTGGTTAGTGTGTGCCTTGCATTAAACGTTGCATCCGATAATAAGACCAACGCGTGATGGGAAGGAGGCTGATTTTCGAGTTTGAATTTGCCATCTGTCTTGGATTGTTCAGTCATGTTCCAGGATCAGCAAGGATCTCGCTGCTATCCCAACCTCCGACTATCCGCACGGACAGAATCAACGTGTGACAACAGGTAACACAATCCTCTACAGGAAAACGAAGAACGGGAAATTACATGCTGAAGCTACTGCAACGCAACTGCGTATATTCCATGTCACATTAGGGTGCATCATCCCCAGGGCATTATAAAGGTGTATCACCAATCTATAAACAAGAATCCCATGCAAAGTACCAAGATCAAGCGCCGGATTGGATGAGGCGGGGGAAGGGCGATAGTCAAAGAGTCTGCACCAATTGCAGCTCATTGCTTCTTATATAAACCCCGATATGAACCCCCGAAGTCGGGGGAGCCAATGCAAAAAGCCATATAAAAAGTAGGAAAGACAGCAGAATAGATCATCACCTCTTTCGCCACGACAGTTCCAAGACTTGGTCACCCGCTTTGTCGCGCTGGATGTACCACTGTGTAACGCGGCCGTTGGGCTCGATCACGGCGTCTTCTAGCTGGAAGCTAATCTTGTCATCGTCCTTGCGGCGGAGGGGCCCGAGTTCGTGGAGGTAGGATTCGTCGGTTGCGCCGTTGTGCGGTTCCCAGGTCATTTCCATGGTAATGTCGCCCGGGTCGAGGGGTAGGCTATATTGGATGACGGAGAAACCGTTGGTCAGGATCCATTCATCGCTGAACTGCCACTGGCGCAGGAGGACGTCTTCGCCGAAGGCTTCGGATATCACGCTCAGTTTGGGCATGTCGGCGGTGAACCAGGACTTCCAGTGGTGCACAGACAGAGGCGGTTCCCGGCCCGCCTCGAAGAAGCCCGAGGCGTCCTTCATCAGATCCAGCTGGTGGAGGCGGTGGTCCACGGTCAGGCGGGTCGTGGTGTACTGGTAGATGCAATTGGCGATTCGGCGGTCACCGGTGAATGTCATCTGCTCGCACTCGTCATACACGGTGCCCAGATCGGATAACAGTGGTCGCGACATGAAGACGCCAGCGCCTCCGAACGCGATCAGTCCGAATACGGCGATCTGAGGTATACCCTCTGATAAACCGCCGATATACATGGGTTTGGTGTCGTCGTAATGGCCCAACGCGTCGACCAACGCGGGCATGGAGAGGAAGAAGGTGTCGTCGTCGATGATGCAACCCCACCGGGTCTGCTCGCGCATGTTGCTCTCCAGGATCGGGATAAGAGCGAAGTACCGGTGCAAGTAGTCGTCCTCGGATTCCGTGATGAACAGGTTGATCCCCAAATTCTCCGCCTTGACCTTGACCTGCTGGATCGACTTTCCTTTGGTCTCATCCGGCTCAATCAGCGCAAAGATACGAGCCCGCGAGTACCCAGCCCAGTGTGCAAATTGATCCAGGGACTCGTTCAACCGAGATACCGTCGTCGCCACGCCGAAGTCGATATGCGATGCGTCGGTCGACTTTGGTCGCGGGGGAATCTGGAGCGTGAGCGGCTTGCTGACCGAGCAGCCATCCTGCAATGCTCCCTGCTCGCTGTTCCCGGGGGCCTTCAACTTTGCATCCCACAGCGGCTCCTCGACCTTCTGCTTCAGCGGGAGCGGTTCCGGGTTGACGTCCACCACAATTTCCCGGCGGGTATAGTCCGCCAACTTCTTGATGTTCAGGCGGTGCAACATGTCGACATCCGGGTCACATTGCACTTGCGGCGAGATGGTGATATTGGAGGTGGCGCGCATCGGGGCCGTGTGGTGCTTCGGTGACGGCCAGAGCAGGGCGGCGAAACCAGCGACGGCAATGAAGACGACAACGAAGCGGAGCATCTTCTTCCACGCCCATGAAGCCGGGATGGCCCCATCCCGATTGAAGAGCATTATCAAGTTCCTAGTAAAGATATTCGGTTTTTGGGGGAGGGCAGGTCTATCGTGCCCGGCGGTTCCTATGTACTCGTCGCAAGGTCACCTGGTGAGCATGCGCATTGCGCAGACGTGCGCCGGTAGGACTCGAACAATCAAAAGGCCCACGTGGGGAGGACGGACCGCGGCGAGGAAGGTATGTACACCGTGGGGAAGGTGAGGAGGAAAAAACGCAGATTTGTACGGAGAAGCGAGACGGGAGAGCGAGGGCCGATCATGGTTCCGTGGGACTCGAAAGAGGCAAGGCCGCGTCCAGGGGCATGACGTGAGGTCACGTGTTGCATTGCTACTCCTGTACGAGAGGCCCTGAAAGGCACCGTTTTGACCCCGAGGCATTGGTTGAGTGGGTGAGACGGGGCTCTTTTGCCTTGGTTTGGCTCCGCCGTCGCTCGTAACGCAGCCTGCGACGCCCGGTAGCGCAGCCCAGCGGCCGCAGCGTGGCTGTTCATGCAGCACCTTGAGGAAAGCTGCTCACAAACGCGGCCGATGCCAAGCCCGGCCGCCAACGCTTGCTTTTCTCACTCGTCGTCCGCCCGCCGCTCAGCTCCACGTCCGCGCGTCGCCCTGCCCGGTTGCAGTCCCTGAGCATCCACTCCATACTACCGGAGCCCAGCCAAGCTGGTACCCTGCTGAGATCCCCGCAAGATCCTAGTTGCCGCTTAACATGCGATATACAGCGATCAGATTCCCCGGCAAGACATTCATTCTATCTGGCATTTCTGGGCGTTTGTTCCATCTCATTCGGGCGATCCCAATGCAGATCTGCCCCTGTCGATGGCCCGCTCACCGAGCCCAACTGGGTCTCGAGAGATTCTAATCCCCCTTGGTTTTAGTCGCAGGGCTGATCGTCCAAGACTTTCAGGGTCCAACCGAGGGGCTCGGCACCCGCTCCCGGAGTCAATCCCAACATACCACCACCGTCATGAACGAAGTACACTTGGACAGTGTACGTACTCCAGATTTGATCAAGATTTCTTGAGATCTGGGGGAATCAATTTGGCCCAAAACATCTATTCGTGACCACCCCGGGGCCGCCCCCACAGGAACGAAGCATGGAGAATGAGGAAGCCTGCTTGGCCATCTTGTAGTTTGGAGGATTACAGTTGGGGCCGGACGCCTTGGTCAAACTATTCACTAGAGCAGGGCATTTGAGATTGCCTTGCGAGGCTTCCTGAAAATAACTTCACCGACTATCATCGGTCGGTTGCCTCGAAGTAATGCCTGAGCGGTCCTGGATTCCCCTGTCCGTACCTAGCACCCACTGCTTGCTGCATTCCAATCGCTAGGTAGAAGTGGGCACGTGCCTGAGCTGACTGACTACTCTGAGACGACTTACATAACAGTGGAATGCCAAATAGCGACCTAGGAGCAATAATCAATTCATTTCGTAGGCTATGATTCCAGGAACCCCAAGCCTTACAACTATGGCATACTGCGATCCTTTGAAGTGCTCTGACCTCTCGGCCTAGCCCACGAGCGTTCTTGCTGATCCTTTGAAACGTTTCGAAGTTGCGAACCAAGCACGCCGAGCGTGGTCGCTGACATGCTAGCATAGCAGAAACATCACTACTGTGATCTTTGGGCAAACGTTGTCTTTAAAACTCCAGATAATATCAGCGATAGCGGCGTGTATCCTAAGCAGTTCAGGGCTCGGGAGTTCAGAACAATTGTTGTGACATCTAAACGTAACTTGCGAGGGTAGATCCGGGTGATAGAGAATACTAGGCTCATAATCAATAACCAGGCACGTATTCGGTGTCTGAGTCTCTTCAAGAGCAAACCAGAACTGGATAAAGCTATCGTAGAGAATAGAACAGAGGGTCATAGCGTTTCGAGGGTCGTTGATGGAGGCTTGGTCAATATTGATGGAAGGGAAGCAGTGGGTCAGGTGAGTCCACGTGATAATTTTCCTGTAGTTTTCATCTTCGTCTTTTTAGCTTGCAAGGTAGGCAGGGACTATCTGAACGCAGCTGGTGTAATCTCATCGATCCTGGGAGCCTTCAGGGAAGAAGTATCTATCGTAGACCGTACCAGTAGCCGCGACGCATCTGCCGCCGTCCCGCTCTAGACAAGTACTTGCGAGTCTTTTGTTTTGTGGCTTGGTTCTGGAGACTGGGTTGCGATGCGGTGGTTGTACTGCATCGGTGCGAGAGTGCCACTGTATAGAGACTGAGCGTAATCTCGGAATTGCGAGTCTGTGTCCAGTGACTGCAGATGATTGATGATGTTGGTTCTTCCATGCTCTGAGCAAATTTTTTTGAACGTTTCTAGGGTCTGAAAGTATCGTCCACTTTGCTGATAGGCTCGTAGTTCTTCACTCTCTGTGTCTTGGCTGTTATTGCGGCGGGGATAGCCGTGAATGGTAGGCTGGAAGTTGAAGTTTCTTGCATTCTCTTCGAGGTTATTCAGCTCGTGGATTCTACAGCTCTGTTTCCGTATGTTATTCCGTCACAGCTAAATTCAAATTCAACTGACGCAGTGCATCAGGTCACTAGGATAGAGAGTCAAGAAGTAACTAGTTAGTTAGTTAGTTGATCATTGCCTATTAGTCATGGATCACATAACCTGTCCATCTGGTCGTTCATCCGAAGCCCCCTGCCGATACTAATCTACGAGACTCGGTTGCCTTTAACTATGGAAGTGTTTGCAGATGATGGACGCCGCGGCAGCTTAAACAGAGAAGGTCCAGCTGGCAAGTATTATCCTGTAATATACACTAAACTGTATATCTGGGTGTCCGGCTATTCTTAGACCAGATCCCTGCTGCAGGTCCCGCGGTGCCGTTTCAGAGAGAGAGACCGGGTCGTAAACCCTGGCAAATCTTGATCGCGGTGTGCGCCACATTTTCAAGGGTTCCCGCTAGGTCGGACTAGCCGACGCCGGAGTTGCATAGTCTGTTTTGAGGGGAGTCTAGAACAAGCCATGGCTGTCGCGGGTAATTCGTTAGGGGTAAATTTTGCAGGAATACTTCAAATGAGTCAAACCAAATATCAATTTCTGCTATCAATTGATTGAGATGGACCAGAACTTAAACTAAACTGGGGAGATAGGCCGCAAATTTGTGTAAAACTCAACCAAAACTCGTAGAAGCACCATTACATAGCACGGGCCAAATATATATCGATTGTAACGTAACCCGTAAGCGAGTGGATCATGTAAGCCAGCGGATCACTTACCCAACTACCCAGCCACGAAAATATATATAAAATAACCACCAACCAATATATTCAATTAACACTGTTCACACACTAATTAGGGCACCTAGTTCTCTTATGCCCTATATTCCAACAATTTGAACACCTCGGCGGCGCTCTCTGATTGGCCGAATTCGCTACCGCAGCCGCCGCCGTATTGTCTATGATCTCTGCTTCAACACCATTTGCCTCCTTCTCAATACGCTCCTGAGCCTCACCAACAGTCATCCCACCATTATTAGCTATTCGCCGATTTGGTAATGCCCTTTTTCGCTTTTGGTGGGCATTTTCAGCGCGTAACCGCTCATTCTCATTGCTTACTAGAGCAACCTGATGAATTGCTTGTTCAGCGCCCTTGATTAGCTGCTGTAACGCAATCTTAGCAGGACTTGGGGGCGTATATGAGCGTTGCCGTAGTAGTGTTTTGATTGAAGAAGCCTGCCGTCGGATATCAACTGGATGAATTGGCGTGTGAGGTATGAAATCGCGGCTACTATCACTACCACGGCTGGTTGGAGGGGTTGGTGTTCGAAGCTGAATATCAAGAATATTAAGCACTCGCTGTGGCTGATATGGTATAAGTCCTGCAGCGGCGAAGCTATTTGATATCGTAGCTGGTTTATATACCTCTGTACGCGTCTGAGGATATGAGGCCAGAAAATCAAGCTTATCAATATGATTAACGCCATTTCGCATCTTAGCCTGAACGTGTTGTCCGTATAGCCGTTTCAAAACAGCAAAACAGCCAATATCGAGAGGTTGAAGTAAATGAGAAGAGTGCGGAGGCATACAGATTGGAATAATCTGGTTTTGCTGGCAAATATCGTCGAATTGAGGTGTAACATGGCTTCCGTGGCCATCCATCACTAATAGCCGCCATACCCCATGTCGACAGTTGGTAGTATGCGGAATAAAGTGTTTTTCAAGCCAAGCAAGACCAATTTGATCCGTAGTCCAGCCATTTGCACTAACTTCAAAGCGCCAGTCTCTTGGCGGAGTAGTAAACCACGCTGAGTTGAAGTTTTTGCCTTTAAAGATAATAGTCGGCGGGAGAACATTAGATCGGTTAATACACTCGATCGCTGTAACCCACTCTCGATTACCTGGCTGCATAAGCTTCCTTTTGCCGTAGTATTCAGCACGTGTGACTACACGTGAAGTGCTTGCTAGGCCCATTGCGAAGCCAGTTTCGTCAAAATTCCAGATATCATTCTCATGAATACCATATTGAATAATGACCTGTCGGAATCGATCAAACCACTCTTGTATAATCTTCGGATCCTCACATAACGCGCGTTTGTAGTCATATCGACGTGAAAAGCGTGTTTTGAGCTCAGGGCAGCGTTGGATATAGTTATATACCCATTTACTACCAACCGACTGAGGCGTGCGTTCTCCACGTTTTAAGAGCAGTATATTGGCCATTTCTCGCACCATATCTTGCCTAGGCGCAACACCACGTGAATCCAGCGAAATTATCCATTTTTGAAGCGATTCCTCTTCCAATTGGGTTAATTTGTGGTTGTTGGCGCGTGTGGTAGAGCGAAACGCGCCTCCTTTCATACGGCGTTGTAGTGTGGTATATGGAACGTCGAATTGCTTCGCTGCTTCGCGAATAGAAGTAATTTCGTCATTTTTGAGAGCTTGTATAGCAAGTAGGATTCGGCCTTCCTGCTCAGTCGAATTTTGTTGAGATTGAGTGCGAATTGGTGGCATGGTATGTGGTTGAATAGGACGCGTTGCAGAACGCGGTCGGAAATTGGGCGGGTGATCCGCTCGCTTACATGATCCACTCGCTTACGGGTTACGTTAGTACCGATCAGTCGAATTCCATTTCCCCCACGTTCTACCTTTTGCGCGATGATTTTCCGGAATTGAAGGCGAATGTCGCCCAATACTACAGAAAATAAAGAAGCAAGCTATTAATTATCTCAATTAAAACCAACCCCTGAATGCTCAGGCGACTAGTTAACTAGTTAGTTAACTACATGTACGGAAACGATTATATAATCAAACACGTGATACTACGGCAGGGCACTCGGCCTAGTGCGCAGCATTGCCCGATGGGGAAGGATTGATTCCGCACACTCTGGTCTTGCGGAGGTGGATATCAACCCGGGGTTCTTAATTGTCCCCCATTCCCCGACATCAACACCACAGCTACCGTCTGAAATACGATCCTTCCCGCACCGAATTACCCCAATACCCGCATTCTTTGCGCAACCCAGCCATGGTTGCGCAATCGCTGAGCTCGCTCTTGCAGCGGTCGACGATTGACGATCATGAGGAGGTGCTCCATTCCTGCGAAGCGGCCCTCGCCAACTCCAGATCCGACGTGAACGCCCAGTACATCAAGACAATTGCGCTACTGAAGCTTGACCGCTACGGGGAAGCTCTCCGTGTGATTGAGGATGGTGGCGACGCTCTGAAGAAGAGGGCCAGCTTGGAATACGCTTATTCGCTGTACAAGGTCGGACAATTGGACCAGGCACTGGATACTTTGACGAAGTCGTCTGGTGGCCGAGGTGCGCAGCACCTGGAAGCCCAAGTGGTATGATAATAAGTTTCCGAGCCTGTGGAATGTTGTGCAATCGCTAATGTTTCTTGTATAGAGCTACCGTGCTGAGCAGTTCCGCCGTGCCGCCGGTCTTTACGAACAACTGTCCCAAGATAAGGAGGCGCACCGTCACGAGGAAAATGACCTGAGCATCAACTCGTGGGCCACCGATGCCCAGCTCCAGTGGAAAGGAGAGTCGCAATATGTGCGCCACGAGCGGCCTTCGAGAGAGGATCTGGAATCGTTCGAAACTACATTTAACGCGGCTTGTTTGACCATTGCTAAGGGAGCCCTGCCGCAAGGCGAGGTCCTGCTTAACAGAGCGAAGAGTAAGTTATTTGAACGCCATCACAGGCTCAAAGCCTGTGCTGACAAAAGTCTAGATATTTGCCAGACGTCGGAAGATCTCACGCCCGAAGAACGAGCTGCAGAGCTGCTTCCTATTACGGTACAAAATCTCTACGTTTTGATTCGTTTGGGCAAGACCGAAGAGGCCGAGGCTCTTCTCAAGGAAATCTCCGTGGACAAGTAAGTTCACCGTCATCCTATTATGGGGGACCTGTATGCTGACCTTAATTTAGCATTCCCGAACTCTCTACCAAGAAGATTGCACAGAACAATATCGTACTGGCCCGTCAGACTGCTACCAACCCCTTCATTCTCTACAAGTCTCTCAACTCAACACCCGATCCCACCAACAACGACCGCTTGTTCGATTTCCAGGCCAATGCTCTGCTGGGCAACTCGCACGCGGCAGACCTTCTTGTTCAGAAGTATGATGGCATGATTCGGTCAACGGCGAAGGCTCTCTCCAAGAGCCCTTGCCCGTCTACCGAGGCCAGCACAAATCTCCAAGCTGTGTACAACGCAGCTGGCCACGCACAGGGCCAAGATGGCGCAAAGGCACTGAAGAAGATCCTTCCCTTGCTGGAGCGACGACCCAAGGACATCGGTCTTCTTTTGACTGTTGTCCAGCTCCATGTCAACGCTGGCAACACAACATCCGCCATCACAGTCATGGAGCGCTCGCTCCGCAGCCTGGAAGAGTCCATTTCCGAAGCCGATCAGGATGCCCGCTTTAACCCGGGCCTCCTCAGCGCTCTTATCTCGCTGTACCAGCTCGAGGGTCGAAAGCTCCAGATCCGTTCCACCCTCAAAGCGGCCGCTTCATACTGGCAGAAGAAGCCCGAGGCCCCGGCCTCTCTCCTGCAGGCCGCCGCAACCTCCCTGCTTCACTCCGACGACAAGTCCGACCTGGCCAAAGCAGGCGACATCTTCCGCTCGCTTCACCAACAGGACCCCGCAGACCAGGTCGCCATCGCAGGCTACGTTGCATCGCAAGCTACGCTGGACTACTCGCAAGTGGAATCGCAGCTCGACCGCCTCCCATCGGTCAGTGACCTTACCGCCGACGTCGACGTCTCTGTCCTGGAATCAGCCGGTATCATGCCTTCGGCTTCACTCGCCGCGGCTGCCTTTGCAAAGGCCCGCAAGCGCACTGCAGCCGACAAGGAAGGCGGCGCCACCAAGCGCGTGCGTCATTCCCGTATGCCGAAGAACTACGATGAGGCGAAGAAGCCTGACCCTGAGCGATGGCTGCCTCTGCGTGACCGCTCCTCTTACCGACCCAAGGGTAAGAAGGGCAAGCAACGTGCTGCGGAGCGGACTCAGGGTGGTGTTGTCAATGAGAGTCTGGATAGCTCTCAGCAGAAGGCTTCTGCTGCTGGTGGTGGTGGTGGTGGATCTAGCAACAAGAATAAGAAGAAGAAGGGCAAGCGGTAATGGACTGCGCTGTTGTTGCTGGGTTGGATGGAGAACTAGATGTTATGATTGCATACCCTGAGGTAGATGATGCTAGGCTCTAGAGCCTATGAATACCAATATGAAGGATTTTGACATGAAATTTGAATCAGTGAAGATCAATAGAATGGTTACAGTGCCGACGCTTATTTGATATTAGTCGTGACTGGTCGTAGAAATGGAACTCCGAGTCACATCACTATATTAGCAGTTCTTGGGTTCCGGGCATTTAGCACGGAGTTGAAACTGTGAACACTCACAGAAACAACAATAACGTAGTTGGCAATCGCTATAAAAGCTGCTTTAAGAGCTGTTTGCAGAACTGAAAAGCTACTCTCACTAGTAGATTTAATTGTCTTAAGTAGTTGGACGGGAGGGAAAGGGGAGGGAGTCTTGTCCTCAACAAGGAAAAAGTAATTAGAAAAAATGTAGAAGATACTGGCGGAATCAAACCGGCGGATTCTCATGAGCAGAAAAGTATTTCCGCAAATAACGCGCACCTCGACATTGCTGCCTTGTCGTGGCAGATACATCCGCCTCCAGGATAGTCTCAATTTGCATTGTTGTATACCAGCTTCAAGCCAGTGCCACAGTCTCAAAAGCCCCTAGAACCCTTTGAAAGGTCATGTATACTATAGAGAACAGTTGAAATAATCGTAGATCTAATTTATAGCAGAAAGTATTATGTAGAAGTGGTCAAGATAACTTCCTTTTTACAGGAGGCTACGATAGCCTCATATTTATTCCAATAAAAGTTCGAAGGGACTATAGTCGAATGGTAAGTAGTCCCGGTTCTGGTATCTCGTGCTACGTACGGCACTATGGTCGAGTGGTTCGCACGTCGCTGGACATCGCATCTACGCTTCCACATACATCTGTATCCAATGGTACTCGCGGGGAATACTCGCTATTGCTTATGTCCAGTCAGTCAGGCTCGCTGCTCATTGCACCGCGAGCATTTTCTTCTTTTCTTCTTCTTCTCTTTCTTTTTTTCCCCCCTCTGTGTTCTTTTTTGCCTTGTGCTTCCTCTCTGAACCCGCCACCCCTTCTCTTTTTCCTCTTCTCTTTTCCGAACAGCGATAAGCCTGATTTAGCATATTAATTTAATTAATTTAGTTATATCATTACATTCAAAGTCTACAAGGACATTTGAGGAATGTACTCACCGGTGTAGAAAGCTCGCATTCAGTCCTAGCTAAAGGGGTTTGCGCCAGGATACCATGACAACATAGTTGCACCGAATAATTCAAATTCAAAAAGAAATGCGTTCGCTTTGCGCCATACTGATGGGACAAATTCTGCTCGTGAGACGCCGAAGAAAATCCTATTGTGCGAAAGAAGAAACAAGAAGTGAAGAACCATTTTGAGCCCTGCTTGTGAATGAATAGCCTCAATTCGACCCACATGCCCCAGCACCACAATTTGGATAAATGACCCCATTTGAATAAAACTCAAGACCCAATGAAGAAAAGAAAAGAGCTTGAAAGTGATCAGCCCAGCGGCGTTCGAATTGTTCCACACTGCCGATCATAATGCTCAAAGATCATGTGAACGAGTTTGAGATCGTCCAGGGCATCCTCCGTGGTGGTCTTTGCGTCGGGTGCATCGCCCGAGACAAAGTATGAATACATCGCGCGGAATTGCTTCTCATAAGCATCTGCGGCGGTACTCGTGTAGACTGTTCGCTTCGCGCGGGGCCAGGACAAACTGTTGCAGACCCCATCACCATTCACATTGCCATCAAGACTGTGTCCATTGGTGTTGCCATTGACGGCGGCCTCGATATTTTCCGGCTTCTCCGCTTCTTCGACCACAACCGACATCACGCCCTCGCCGCATGTCGCCCCGGGGCAGGGGAAGTTGTATTCTAGACTAACTGTCTTGCCGGAACCGTAGACGGTGAGATGGGAGTCGCATCGCGGGACGGCGTCGACGCCGGCTTCGTAGAGCATTGTGAAGGTGTTTCCGTCCTCGGCGTTGTCGGTGTAGTGGAAGATTCCGCTGTAAAAGGGGTCTGTGATGGAGATGCTTGCGACGGCGTCAGGGAAGCCGAATAATTCGCGCATAAGGGAGAGGTCGTGGGCACCGCGGGTGCCGAGGAATCGGCAGAAGGCGACGCGTTCGGCTGTGAGGTCATCGACGTTGAAGATGTCGGCGAGGAGAGTGTGGAATTTGGTCGTGTTGATGATTGTGTTGGGGACTGTGAGACTTCCATTGGTATTGTTCTTACCGTTGGTATTTCCGTTCAGGCTGAGATTGAAGCCCGTACCGTTGCTGTCTCCTTTTTTGGCGGCTTTCTGATCGGGGAGCTGGAGAGGTCCGGCGATGTTTCGACACCGGGCATAGTAGATTCGGTCGATAGAGGCAACCTCCTTCTTGAAGATGTCTGTGAAGCAGGGAGCGTAGCGGCGGGCACAGCCGACGAATACCTTGGGTCCCCCCTCGACGGTCGAATTAACACTTCCCTTTTTGGTTGCTGCACGGATGCGCCGGAGTCCGTCAATACCCAGGCTAAGGGGGATCTCGACCATGACGTGTTTGCCAGCTTCCAGCGCTGCGATGGTGTGTTGTTCATGGTATTCGAACGGGAGCAGGTTGAGGACCAGGTCGACCTGCGGGTGGTTCAGGACGTCGGCGGCGGATGTAGTAGTCTCTTTAATGTTGAAGCGCTTCTGGCAGCGCTGCAGGGCCTCGCTTGAGGCATCGTGGAGGATGGTGAGCTCGAACTGGGTGGATAGGGCGTGTAGGGCTGGCAGGTGGGTGGACTCCACAGTGTCGGTGGCGCCCAAAATACCGAGCCGCAAGATCGGGGACATAGTGGCGTTGATCTGATCTCAGACCGGTCAGGGGACCGCAGACGATGATTTGATGAAGGATGCGACGGTGAAAGACGATGCAAGTGCGAGCGTGGTCAAGTCGTGGATGGGCGAAGAAAAAAGGGATGCTGAAAGGGAAGGGGGAAGTGAATCGGAGCCCGCCAACTCCTAAGTCATTCCAGGCACGGCATGCGCTGCCGTGACATCAGCGGCCTCTCATTTCCCAACGATGGGCCAGGGACAGACGTGGTTGGATGTGAGAGCTTTCCCCGGAATGCTCCCGTGGATCGAATGGCGGTCGATTTGATCTGTGCAACTAGTCGCGCGGGTGACAGGCTGTCCTATGAGTTACTACTACATAATGCGAGTATGTGATGTATACCTGGGCAGCACACTTTAAGGTCGTGGGAATGCAATTCCTCAATCTTTAGATCTAGATAAGATTTTCTAACTTACCTTAGGTGTGTTTCTAGTATGAATACCCTATCAGAGGCATTTGGAGTATACTTAAACCAAAATAAAAGCCGGTGGAGCATCCACAGTGGGCCAGGCACGCTGCACAGCCGATCGGCTCTAGCGATGTATGGCACTGCTTACTACTAAGGTCACGATAACTACTTACATTGACCTCCTACACTAGCGCAGACATCATATGATATTACTACATAGAGCAATACACTTTGCTGGTGACGAGTTACTAAGCCATAGCCGAGTCGAGTTCGCTGCCTGCCTGTTAGTGCTGACTCCTCGTGGTACAGTCTCAGTCTGCTCTTGTGCTCCACCCGCACAGCCTACGACTTCAGCCTTGCCAAATCGGGCGTGGCGCCTGACTGCGTCATCATCTTCTAAATCTTTTCTTCTTCTCGCTTTTTCCTCTCTCGTCCTCTTCGGCTTAACAGATATGGGTGTATGTATCTGCCTGACATCTGCCTTCTCCATCCCACACCCTTACTGATCGCAGCACCGCCCCAGTTCGCCTCGAAAATCGCCGCCGCCCAACAAAACCAGCCGAGCCAGACCATGTCGAGCGGCAACACCTACGGAGGCGCTCCTCCTACCGGGTACACGGGCGGTCCTCCGCCTGCACTGCGGCCTGGTGGATACGTAAGTCGATCAGTTCAAGACTCGACGTCATGGCAGAAAACAGGTGTTGACACGCAGCAACAGCAGCAGCAGCAGCAGCAACCGCCGCAGCAGTACCAGGCTTATCCCGGAACTCCTCCGCCACAAGGTGCAGCCCCAGGATCGGTAAGCTTCCTTTCGCAACACCCGTCTTGACTTTTCTTCATCGGCCCCGTGGTGTTTTCTCCTCTGCTTTTTTGTTTGTTGTGTTCGCGGGTTCGCATCCACCCCACTTCGCGACTGTCCTCGGTCTTTTGTCTCCGGTTCAACAACCAGGCACCATGTCCGGTCCCTACAACCAGCAGGGATATCCTCCGTACGGCGGCTCACCTGCTCAACCATACCAGCCTTACAACGCCCCTCCCCCCGCCGGTTCCTACAACAGACCTCCTCCGCAACAGCCCACCTACCCCGCACCGCAGCAGGCTCAGCAGGGCTATGCACGTCCACCACCGCCGCCACCCCAGGGTCAGCCCTATGGATCATCGGGATCGCCGTATCCTGGCCAGCAGCCTGTCTATCCGGGCCAACAAGCGCCATACCCTGGGCCGCCGCAGTCACCATACCCTCCAGGCCCGCATTCTCCCTATCCCGGACAGCAACCTCCATATCATACTGGACCGCAATCCCCGCATCCTGGAGCACCATCCCCGTATCCTGGACAGCAGCCACCTTATGTACATTTGAGCCCTCTTGTATCCTGACACTGCGTTGTACTTTGCCATCGTGATTGAGCGACGGAGTTTGCGTCAAGTTAATCTGAACAGGTGGCAGATGCTGACCAATTTCACAGAGCCAGGGACCTCCTTCCTACCCGCCCCAGGGCGCCCCAGCAGGCTATCCCGGTGGTCAGGGCCGTCCCGGACCATCCCAGGGACCTCCTGGAGGACAGTATGGCGCTCCTCCGCCCCAGGCTGCTCCAGTCACCCCGCAGCAGGTCAGCGCTTATCGCCAGCTGCTGATAAGCACCATCCAAGAGAAGAACCTCCAGCCGTTCTACCCACCTGAGCGTCTGGACCGACTAGTCCAGACTCTTGCCAATGACGCCCCAGCCCGACTGGCCAAGCTGACGCACGAATGGTCTGTGCCGATGGAAGTCGCAACGGATGTCATGAAGCTTTCTCTCTTCGACGTCATTCTCTACGTGGATGACAGTGGCTCAATTGAGTTTGAAGAAAAGGGACTTCGCAAGGACCAGTTGAGACAAATCCTCGGCCTCGTGGCCACCGCCGCCTCGACCTTTGACCAGGACGGCATCTCGGTGCGGTTCATGAATTCTATGGAGACCGGCGATGGTATCCGCAACGCTGACGACGTGAACAACCTCGTGAGCCGTGTCCGTTTCGCAGGACTGACGCCGTTGGGCACCAGCTTGCGAAGCAAGGTCATCGACCCAATGATCGTGGGCCCGGCCCGCGCCAACCGTCTGGACAAGCCTGTGCTGGTGATTACCATTACCGATGGACAGCCGGCCGGTGAACCCCATGGTGCCGTGGGTGATGCGATCCGTCATGCGATTGACGAGACCTCGCGGACTCGCTATGGCCGTGGCGCGGTGTCCTTCCAGTTCTCGCAGGTTGGTACGGACCAGCGAGCGCGCGAGTTCCTGGGAGACCTGGATGAGGATCCCCAGATTGGACACTTGATCGATTGCACTTCGAGTAAGTGGGATGGAAAAACATATGCTGTGATGCACAACAAAATGGTTGACTAACGACTTTTCAAACATAGACTTTGAAGTTGAGCAGGACGAGATGTCTCGCGCCAACCCGCCTGTGCACTTGACCCGTGAACTTTGGGTGCGTTACTCCTCCCTTCTCTATTATCTCTTCTAGAAGCATTTACTGATTATATTCTCTACAGTGTGCTAAGCTCATGCTCGGCGCCATTGACGCATCCTACGATACCAAGGACGAGAAAGCGTCAAGCCGCGCCGGTGGACCACCACCGCCGCAGGGCTCTTTCGGTGGGTATAACCAGCCTCCACCGGGCCCCGGTCCTGGAGGATACAGTGCTCCTCCGCCTGGCTATCCTCCGCAAGGCCAGAGCCCGCAGCCTGGCTACCCTCAACAGCCGCCGTCACAATCGCCCTATCCGCCATCGACCGGCGGCCCTGAACCGGGATATGGACAGCCACAGCCGTATGGCTATGGCGGGTCGTCGCCCCATCCCTCTGCAGGGTATCCGCCTGCTGGCGGCTACCCTCCGCCACCGCGTCGCTACTAGATGTGGGTGACGTCAGGGGCCTTTTTGCAGCCTTGGCGCGGTGCAAAGTTTGTTTGTTCTTTTTGTCTTTGCCTTCCCCACACTTTTGATACAGTTTGAGATGCAGTTGCGGCAATGGAAATGCAAATGTCACTTGAGTAGGATATCCACGATCAATCTAGTCGAAGCCTCCTGTAAACCTTGCCCTAAGGCACCTAGGCCAATTCCCTCTACTAGTAGTATGAACCGGTCTGTGCATCGCGTAATTAGCGATCGGCGCCAAGAGCCTCAGATGACCCCAATGACTGTTCCACGTGTAGCGAGGGATGGCCTACGGTAGGAGGTACCCTCCGTCCTTACTCTGAACATCTAGCCACATCATTCCCTGCATGTACATGGATACCCGGGCGCTGGTACGGGGCACAGCCTTCTGCTGCAGTGTTGCAGGTACGACAAATTAGGTTGCCACCACTGCATTTTGGGGCTATCGAAGGATCGAACGTTCTTAGGCTGTTCGCTCCACCGGACGCAGGCTGGCCACGCCGCGGTGGAATGCGGGCTGGTTGGGCCTATCCGCAGCCGTCGTATTGTGGAGGCCGGGGGCGACTTGGGGTCGGACAGGCCGCGCGCCATGGTTGCAGAAGACCTGGTTCCAGGAAGCCCTGCACCACGCAGATAGTAGTGCGCCCATGTGTGGCTGCTAAAATTAAAGCCTGGTCTCTTTGGTGGTGCTGCGGTGGACGGTGGCTGTCAAGTGCAACCATTTTGCGCGTTGCCCCCACTCCCACCGAACCACCACTGATGCCTCTCTGGATTCCAACACGTATCTCCAGTTTTCTCCAGCCAAACAATTTTGCGTGTTGCGTATTTTCGCTTGACCGTTGCGAGTTTATCGGGAGGTTATTACGATTGTATCAAACGTGAACTGCCGACCGCTTCGGGCGTCTTCCCGCATCCGGCCTGCCTCGCCTCCCCTCCCAAGTATCTCGCCAAAGCGCCTTTCTTTTCTTTTTTCCTTTCCTGTCCTTTCGTCTTGGAACACAACTTCGAATTCTGTGAACCCTCATATCCATCGCACGTCGCCCCTCGTTTTTTGCGATCCCCCTGTCTTGGCTATCCCCTCGTTTACGGCCGCCCTCAACAGTCGAAAAAGGCGAGATCACATCGGCGAACCCAGCCAGCTGCGAAACCTCAACAACTTGAAACGCCCGACCCCTCATGTGGTAAAGCAGAGGATGAATTTCCGCTTGTCTCTGCATCAGATCGATCGCCTCGATTCATTCTAGAAGAGACGGAAACCCAGAGAGAAAGAGACAAGACGATCGGTGAAACTGATCGGCCCGGTCCTGCGCCAGCACGATCGCAGCATTCCCGATCTTCGCCATGACCAACCACGACGATGAAAATCGTCCGGAGGACCAGCCAGAAATTGTGAGGCGACCCTCGCTCGTCTCCGCGCGCACCATGTCCGACTTGGGTCGGCGGGCCTCCCAACACCACCATGTGCGCTTTTCCACCGATCTCGAACGACCCCCGGTCGACAACTTCTCCTCAAATTCCAATGCGACGAATGCCGCGGACGCCAATACCGACCGTCGTCCCAGTTCGCGCGGACTGACTATCGACACGGCGCAGGCGCCGCCTACAGTCCATTCACCCGTTCGCTCGCCTACCTCTCCCCTTTCCCCGAACACCAATCCTCTTCCCCCTACCGCGACTCTCTCCCCGACCTCACCGCAGAGCCAGGATGCCAATGGTCGGTCACGATCGCGGAACCGTGGATACTCTTTGCGTCGGTCGATCTTCAATAAAAATATCACTTCTCCCTCCGACACGACGGACTCGCCTGTTTCCCCCGGAGTGAGCCCTCGCGCTTCGGCTGACATTACGGAAATTCCCCCGGTCCAGCACGCACCGAGCCCAATCGAAGAGAAGAATGAATTGCAGAGTGCGCCCACGGTGCCAATTGAGCCCGCCACGAAGGAAGAGGTCGCCACCTATATCGAGTCAGACCCTTCGGAGCGCCCGTTGAAGGAGTACATGTCCGTCGCTCAGGGCAAATGGAAGAAGAAGAAGGCCGCCGGAGCCGTGGTCGTTTCTCGCATCGAGGCCTTCCTGACGGTCCTGCAAAAGTTCATCCTCCGCATCAAAGACATTCCCCCTACCAAGGATGGTCGCCAGATCGATCTCAACCCGTCGACGGTCGATACTTTGGTCGACGAGCGTACCGGCAAACCGTATATCGGCAATTGGATCCGCTCCAGTCGCTACAGTTTCTGGAGCTTCTTCCCACGCCAGCTGTTTGCGCAGTTTACCAAGTTGGCCAACTTCTACTTCTTGGTTGTGGCTATCCTGCAGATGATTCCTGGTTTGAGTACGACGGGAACATTTACGACTCTTGTTCCGCTTTTGATTTTCGTTGGTATCTCGATGGGTAAAGAAGGATTTGATGATTGGCGACGTTACCGTCTTGACAAAGAGGAGAATAACCGCTATGCTTGGGTTCTTCGACCTGGTCAGGCCCCTGTCACTGATGGCGCGTCGATGGCTAGTGGTGCGCATGACTGGGTTGAGATTAAGTGGAAGGACATCCGAGTTGGTGATGTGATCAAGCTTGAGCGTGATCAGCCTGTCCCTGCGGATTTCGCACTCCTGCACGCCAACGGTCCCAACGGAGTCGCCTATATCGAGACGATGGCTCTGGATGGAGAAACCAACCTGAAGAACAAATCCCCCTGCCAGCCGGTGGCCAAGATCTGCTCCACGGTCGACGATATCATTAGTAATGCGTTGCACTTTGTCGTCGAGGACCCGAATATTGATCTTTACAAGTTCGACGGCCACGTCACGGTCAATGCCCAGGAAAAGCTGCCTCTGACAAACAACGAGATTGTCTACCGTGGTAGCATTCTGCGGAACACTGATTGCGCCATCGGAATGGTCATCTATACAGGTGAAGAGTGCAAGATTCGCATGAATGCCAACAAGAACCCGCGTATCAAGAAACCTGCTCTGCAAGGCAAGGTCAACCGTGTTGTCATGCTGATTGTACTTCTGGTCGTTATCCTTGCCGTTGTGTGTACGGTCTGCTATAAATACTGGTCCCAGGATGTGGAGCAGAACTCCTGGTATCTCAGTGATGCCTCGGTCGACTATGGTCCCATCTTCACTTCTTTCCTTATCATGTTTAACACCATGATCCCCATCTCTCTCTACGTCAGTATGGAGATTGTCAAGGTGGCGCAGATGCTACTGCTGAACGACATCGACATGTACGACCCGGAAACCGACACGCCTCTCGAAGCACGTACGTCCACCATCAACGAGGAGCTCGGCCAAGTCAGTTATATCTTCTCCGACAAGACTGGTACCTTGACCAACAACTCCATGCGCTTCCGTAAAATGAGTGTTGCTGGCACCGCTTGGTTGCACGACCTCGACCTCCAAGAAGAAGCTGCCCGCGAAGGAGATCATCACAAGCTCATTCACAAGAAGCGCAATCTCAAGGGTAAGAAGGCCGCCAATCGCAAGTCAAACGTCTCTGAGGCTCGCATGGCGCCCCGACCTTCCAATGTCTCGGCTAGTGCAGATGCCTTGCGTCGCTATGGCCAGGCCGCCAACTATCGCACCGTCGAGATGCTCGAGTACATCCAACGCAAGCCCTACACCATCTTCGCTCGCAAGGCGAAGTTGTTCCTCCTGTCTATCGCCCTTTGCCACACCTGTATTCCCGAGGAAGACGACACTGGTTCCGTCGCCTTCCAGGCTGCCTCACCCGATGAACTGGCGCTGGTCCTTGCCGCGCAGGAGCTCGGATATCTGGTTATGGACCGCCAGACAAGCACCTTGACGATTCGAATCCATCCCAACGGTTCCAATGAACCTGCCGTTGACGAAGTCTACGAAATCATGGATGTGATTGAATTTTCCAGTGCACGAAAGCGCATGTCCGTCGTCGTCCGCATGCCAGATCAACGAATCTGTGTTTTCTGTAAGGGAGCCGATACCACACTCATGCGCCTGTTCAAGAAAGCCGATTTGGCGCAGGAGAAGGCGGCTGAGATCGAGCGCCGGGTGAGCAAGCGCAAGGCCGCGGAAGCCAATCAGGTTATTCGCCGCAATAGCGAGTACCAGAGTCGCAAGGATAGCGGGGTGCGAAACAGTTTCGCTAGCCGACCTAGCTTTGCGCGCCGTCGTTCCTCTGTTTCGGGTCATCATGCTTCTACCCTGCGCCAGAGCATTGATGTCTGGCTTCGGGATCGGGAGACTGAGGGGGGTATCCTCAATAGGGATGATGCTCAGTATTACAGTCCCCGTCCTTCGGCACAGATGAGCAGACACTCGGCTGCGTTTTCGGACTCTGGAAGCTCGACTAATGGCGAGGAAGAAGAGGATCTGGTCGAAGAGGCTCTTGCTGTTGACGAGGCTGTTATCTTCGAGCGATGCTTCCAGCATTTGAATGATTTCGCGACTGATGGTTTGCGTACGTTGCTTTATGGTCATCGATTCTTGGATGAGGTGACGTACAAAACCTGGAAGACTGCTTATCACGAGGCTAGTACTAGCATTGTGGATCGTCAGCAGAAGATTGAAGAGGTTGGCGAGCAGATTGAGCAACAGCTGGAGCTGACGGGTGCTACTGCCATCGAAGATAAGCTGCAGAAGGGCGTCCCTGAGGCGATTGAAAAGTTGCGTCGTGCCAATATCAAGATGTGGATGTTGACGGGTGACAAGCGTGAAACTGCTATCAATGTTGGACATTCTTGCCGCCTGGTCAAGGATTACTCGACTCTTACCATCCTGGATCATGAGAACGGTGATGTTGATGAGACTATCTCTCGTCTGACCCAGGACATCACCCGCAGCAAGGTTGCTCACTCTGTTGTGGTGGTTGATGGACAGACTCTATCAACTATCGAGGCGGACGAGAATATGCGTGAGCGCTTCTTCCAGCTTGCCATCAAAGTCGACTCGGTTATCTGCTGCCGCGCGAGCCCCAAGCAGAAAGCGTTCCTTGTCAAGTCTATTCGTCTGCAGGTCAAGGATTCCATTACTCTCGCGATCGGTGACGGTGCCAATGACATTGCCATGATTCAGGAGGCACATGTTGGCATCGGAATCACTGGTAAAGAAGGACTCCAAGCTGCACGTATCTCGGACTACTCGATCGCGCAATTCCGATTCCTTCTGAAGCTGCTTCTTGTCCACGGTCGCTGGAACTACATGCGCGCATGCAAGTATACCCTCGGCACATTCTGGAAAGAAATGCTCTTCTACCTCACGCAAGCTCTATACCAACGCTGGAACGGCTACACGGGAACCAGCCTCTATGAGTCCTGGAGTCTGAGTATGTTCAATACTCTCTTCACTTCTCTCTGCGTCATCTTCCTGGGGATCTTCACCAAAGATCTCGCGGCCTCAACTCTTCTCGCTGTACCGGAACTCTATACCAAGGGCCAAACACACGGCGGCTTTAATATCCGTCTCTGGCTCGGGTGGACCTTCATGGCAACCTGCGAGGCAATCATAGTCTTCTTCACCATGTACGGACTCTACGGCATGATCCACGTCAACCCAGCAGATATAGACACCTTTGCCCTGGGCCTCCTAACCTTCTCCGCCTGCGTCGTGGTAATCAACTTCAAACTACAACTTCTGGAAGTCCACAACAAAACCTACCTCTCCCTGATCGTGGTCATCATCTCCGTCGGCGGCTGGTTCCTCTGGAACATAATTCTCTCCCAACGCTACCAGCTCTCCGCCGGAAAAGGCGTCTACGACGTCCCCGACAACTTCCTCCACCACGCCGGCAACAACCTCCTCTTCTGGCTCGTCCTTCTCATTTCCGTCACAGCCGTCCTCCTCTTCGAACTCACCGTCTCCACCCTCCGCGCTATCTTCTTCCCAACAGACGTCGACATCTTCCAAGAATACGAGCAGGATTTAGATATTCGCAAACGATTCGAAGAAGCCGCCGCCAGCGAGCTACAGCTCGGCTGGGACCGCGGAAGCAAGAAGTCATCCTTCGAGATCGCGAGGGAGAACGAGGAGATAGATGCGCGCGAGCGTCATGTTCGTGAACTCTTGGCTAGACCACGCGTTATGACGAATTCCCCGTCGCAGAAACCCGCGACGCAGGAATTGGAGGTTGGGTCCGAGGGTAGTGCCCGACTTAGCGGGAGCGTGCACGGGTCTTCGGACCGGCATGTTGATGTCGCCTATACTCCTCAATATCCCGCTAATCCCATCGGAGTCGATACCTCTGCTACTGTCCCCCCGCCACAGCCAGCACACGTCACAGGCTCAACGCCCGACCAACCGGCCCCCGAAAGTCCCTGTGCACCGCGCCGCTCGGTCGAGATCCACGAGCTCTTTAGCAAGGGCTTTGGAACCATCCGGAAGGGACAGTTGAAGTGATTCCTCTCTCGTCCCTTTTTTCCTTTTTTCTTTTCACCCTTCTTGAAACTTATCTTTATTGGACCCGATTGTATATGATGTGCATATGGGTGGTTTGGAGTGTTCAATATTTGGATTGCATGGTCTGCGTCGTTCCCTCATAGCGTTTCCTTACCTTTTCATCATTTCCCCCTGGACTTCCGGTTTCGGATGGAGGTCGGGCTTTCTTATCGTCTTTCCTTGACTCGTCCTCATCGTCCCCTCTAGGGGCTAAAAGGCGTTTGTTAGTGATACCCCGACTGTGGTCGTCTGGTCTTTTTACCTTTGAGGTGTATAGCTTATCGCAGTGTATACCATGCTGGTTTGATTTAATTCTTTTTTATTATTTGATTTTTAAGCCGATTGTTGTAGTTCGATTTCGTATAAGTACTGATACCCTTTCCTAGTAGCTACCTGTGCATGCTCATGCTGTACGCGAGATGAATGCACTTTAGAACACGTGACAACTGGAGTAGGTCATGTGATACTGCTATTTCGAATAAATGTGTCAATAGCACTGCTAGTCACAAATATACAGACTTGAATTTGTGTCTTGAAGATATCACAGTGTAAGTTAAATATGATAAACTTGAGAATGAGATAGGTGTATAATATATTTAGGCATTGAGATGCCCAGATGGGGGAGCACTATGTAGTGTAGCATTGCAGCGAAGCGACGAGAGATATCAAATGTCTCACCTAATTAAGAAATCTGACTCGACACCAACCCAAATTAAGCAGGAATGCGAATACGTATAATAACGCAGAATCCAAAATAAAATAAAATAAAATAAAAATAAAATAAAAAATCGAAAAATGAGTCTCAACGGCGAAGCCGCCATGAAGCGATCTAGCCGATTGGATTGCGCGGCCTCATCGGTCTGCTGAGTACCCAATGCATGGACCGTTCCATCTTACGTGCATGACACCAATGCAGCTTGCATTGTATTAGATTTTAGGTACGGACGACAGCGACTGTATTTATGTGTATGGGATAACCCCGGCTGGCGCTGGGTTGTGTCTGTTACGGCTGAGTGGCAGAGAAGGGCAATTTCTGCCGAGATCCGAACAAATCATGGTTGTGCTTCAGTACCTACACTATAAGGGCATTGGGTTGGTATACCCAAATAAATGCGAGTCATATGGCGTCAAGATATGTTTCCGTAATGGATTAGCATGGGTTGGGATGGGGTCGAAATAAAAGTTTGGTTCAGCTCCGGCCCGGAACCAAAATGTTACCGGAGGTGGCGAAGAAGCAACTCCACACAGAACCCCGAGAAACGTCCCATTTTATGCATATAGCTATATGTATATGCAAGAGCGTTGAGTATTACACGGCGATGGGGTGGGTTCGACTATTGCCGCTGTGCAGGAGAAGAAGCAATTTCAACAGTTTCATCGGCGAGAAGCTGTTGGCTCTGGTGCGTCCCGGGGAAGAGGTTATTCTCCGCTGTGTATGCAGGAGCGTTGAGGGTTAAACGACAGAAGTGGATGGGCCTTGGAGGGACTTTTGTAAGAGATTGGAATCGAGAGGGATCGTTTGATCTTCAATCGATCTGGTCTCTGATAGGGACCGGACCACGTTTATTGTAGTTGGGACATGTTTAAAACTCGTTTATATACATTCGTGACTCCCAAACCAGAAACCGATAACACCTACGCGCTCAGCTTTGACAAAATGTTAGCATACTGACCATTGAAATCCGTCGATGTGGGCGTGGGGCAACGCACCAATTCTGTCCTTACAAGAGGCCAATGACGATATCACCGTAGAGCTTGGCATCGAGGTCCAGACGGACCTTGGCGTGCAGGTTGAGGTGAATCTTGATCTTCAGGCTGCCGTCCTTCTCCTCGCCGCCCTTGGTGACGCCGGGAATCTGGAGACCGGCGTTGTCGAGGAGATCGCCAGCCTGCTCGGTGGCACCGCTAGCCGGGTCCTGGTTGCCCTTGCGGTTGCCCGGAGGACGGACTTCGGTGGAAGGAGCGGGGCTGGGTGGTAGAGGAGGCAAGTTAGCTAGGTCTAGCTCCTCGTCAAGCGGCATGGCACGTCTGGATCCCGGGGCAGGCGGCGGACGTGGCTTGATCTTTTGCTTTTTGCCCTTCGACATCAGAGTGGATGGGGGATTGGAGGGAGTTGTAGGAAGAAAGAAGGAATTGGAGCTGGGAAAGGGTAATTTACCTGGTAGGGTCGACCATTGTGGGTGGCTATATGGGACTTCGGAGGGAATTGGAATTGAACGGGAGAAGAGGAGAAAATAAATCCAATGGAACAGCAGGAGACGAGGGTTAATCGACAGCAGTTACGCTATGAGCTATTTCAAGTTTTTCCTTCTGGTGCCTCGTCCAGCCCGCGTTCCAAGCTGAGCTCGAGGTTCCTCGGTGATCTACATCGCGCTGGGTCCCAATCTGAGGACTATCAAAGTTAGCCCGGCATGAATCTGGCTCCTCTTGTTTAGCCGCAGAAAGGATGATGTAAATTATGGAGGCGAAGTGGATGAGGTCCCCACTTAGATCGACCCCACTTCATGCCATCTGCCTTCTACTCCACTTGTGAGGGCTTTGAAAGATTTATTTCCCGTATTTAGCTGTTTTGCAGGCCGGTGTTGGGAACCACACCACCACCAAACAGCCCTAAGACCGCATTCCGCAGCTTCCCAAACCCCTCACAACCCCGCATACCAGCTCGCTTCATCATGGTGTTGGGGGTCGTCATGATGGCGGCTATGTTGCCAACCATGATTGGTCTGAACGAGGCAACTCAGGGGACGCGCGATCAGGAGGAGAATCGACGAACCACAGAGCGCAAACAGCGCTGTCATCTAGTGGCCACCTGTTCTCATACTCAGGGGACTCCCGAACTACGACAACAGGTCCAGAATGCAAAGGTCTATGTGGGTCTGGACGGCAAAGTAAGTTTCCGTCATGCAGTTGCTCAATGTTTCGAAAGCACGAGCGAGGAGACGAGGCATCCCGGCCGTCTATTTGTAAGATGCTGACAATTCCCACCCCGTGTTTGCGACATATCCAGCTCTATATTACCAAGAAACCTAGGTCCTCCATGATCCCGTACAATGGCGGATTCTTTCAACATCCTGACTTCCCCCCCTGACAACACCTCTGGCCTGGTGACCGTCAGCGGAGAAGAGCCACCCATGCTACGCTGGGTGTTCCTCGATGCCGAGACGCACGAGATGCGCTGGGGCGGGCGTCCCGACAGTCAGGGCCACGTCTGTGGGCCGTACGACTGGACTAAAGATGAACAATACGTGACGCTAGAAGGGTGGCAAGGGTGGTTGGCGGTGCGATTGTCGGAAGACGATGCCCGGGATCAGTCGGATCGCGAGCTGGGGATCGTCGACGGCGAAGAGGTATGGCGGCTGTATTTCGACCAGAATGACGATGGAGCCGATCTGCCGCCCGGGGCGCAAGGGCTGGAAATTCAACTCAAGCGAGTCATGGCGGAACAATGAGTGTGGGGACGTGTAAAATTGCAGTCTTTTCCTTTTCTTTGGGAGTTTGTACATATAATTTTTCCTCACCTGCCACAAGGTGCTGACGACGTGTGGAGATCTCGGGGAGGAGAAACCCACCAATTTGGTATGGTGGCAGGGGACTTCATTTTTCCCCTCAATTTTTCCCTTCTGTACCCGTGTTTCACTTCCGACTTTATTTCTGATTACCGCTTTTTTCACCTATTGCTTTTTATTGCTTTTTGGTCTTTTGGTGGCGTGGTATTTTTCCACGCGTGCATATGAAGCGCAGACTGAAGTATAGCGATTTCTACATACCACGTGTGATCCGAAACTATGAATTAGGGCCTCTGAATTGAATTTTCATTAACCGGAAGATGCCACAACACAAATTTGTGAAGTGACACCAAAACCGAAAACAAGAACTCATCGTCATCGCGCGGGCCCCGATTTGTTCGATCGCGCTAGGCTCAGGTAGGGCCAAGTTGCCCGGACGAACAGTGGATCGCAGTAAGGAACCCTGATTGCAGGAATTCCCGAGATCTGAGCTTTGACAGCCGGTGGCGAGGGTTTATTTACGGCAGGCCGGCGCTAGTATTGGAGATGAGGGGTATTATTACGGTACATCTGGTATTTGACTGATACGATGCAACCAACCCCCAGGGACGGCGCAATTGGTGGAGCCCGCGTGGGTCTCGATTCAGCTCCGTATTGCTTCGGGTCGCAATCGCCGTCTCTGATTGATTATCCAGCCGATGCGGATCTCTCTTCAGCTCCAGCAGAGCCACTGCCTCACCCTATCTCCGCCTCGACTTGCTGCCTCTCGCGTTTTACCCTCCACACGCCCCATCATGCTAATGCACCTCAACGAGAGCATGCATACCCAAGAACCCGGAGGCCCAGCCAAGCCCCCTTTCACGGATTTGACCGGATGAAACACTTGAATTTGGAATTCTGTGCAAGGACGGATGGAGTATACGATTGAGACTATACTTTCTAGCTGAACAAGGGCGGAATATCCTCGTCCCTCATGGCTGACAATGATCTATCAATAGTCTTCCCGATGCCGCCGGGCCTCCCGCTGGCTGCATGACAGCTCGTGTCCGGAGAAAGCGTGGAAGATGATCTGTCTTTCTTGGGTACACGGGTGCACGTTCACCCTGTCAAGGTGGATCCCTCCGTCACGGATCCTGCATGGTTCGCGGCCCATCACCGATCGGGACACAGGAAGAGGACCCAGGCTCTTCAACCCCGCGCGAAGAAGGCGACTTGACCGAGTCTTCCATTTGCACGGGCTTGTTCCCATGCCAATCGATCGACGGTTCGTCTGTTTTTCTGAACTATCCACTTTTATGTTCATCGTCCAGGCTCAATTGGCTACCACTGCAGGGGGCCAGACCCATACTGGAGTCTCTGCGCCATGCAGTCAGGGAGGGAAAATTGTTTCGGTTTTTGCCAGCAAGGCATCACAAGTGCTCGGGGAACACTATGGGAGCTACACGCGGACATGACAGCAAAAGTACATAAACTAGCAAGGCAATTACTCCATACAGCCGCTCTTGTCGAGGCTAGCGGTGACTCCGAGATTTGGTCTCCGAAATTGCTGAGATCTATGATCCCCTAGTCTATATCTCACTTTTTTTCCTGCACAGCTCATGTGGACTGGCAAGTGTGGCGACCCTGACTCGACGGTGCTAAATGAAAATGCCCTAATTATGGTCCTGGTGGAGAGGAGGGCACCCAGGACTAACATCATTCTGCAGGTCCTCTATGACCATGCCTCCACGTCCCTACCCACCGAGCGGGGACACGGCACAATTGAATGGTAGGAATGTCATGCACAGGACGAGGATTTTTAGCCATTAAGTTACTCATGCCCCAGAACCACCTCGGGCCGGGCGCCAACTCATGCAAGTTGAAACCTTGACCGTCCCAGACACAGCCAGAGTCATGCGAGATACCAGCTTGGTGGGAAGCTGTTGCCACATTAGATCACTCGCGGTTAAAGAAAGCGGGGAGCTTGGGATTTGCTGCTGATCGGACATTATTCGTGAGGTGGAGGTAAAAAGCCTGCGCCCACCATGCAGCTGAAGCTCTCTACATACCCACCTAGTGATACCGAAAGTCGTAATCCGATGCTGGGAGCTTTCCAACCTAGTGGCTTCGCCTCCACACTCCAGCCGTTTTGCAATTGAGAATAGAGGTGTGGATTTTCAGGGCTCGAACAGGGATAGGAGGTGTTGAGGGTGTCCACGCCCCGAGCTGCTACAAAAGGCGCGTCATATCCCTATGATGTGTGATCCTCGTCCCAACTTTTTTTTACCCTGATCCCATCCCATGTGCTTGTTTCTTTCATAGTTTTTCCTTTTTTATTGCTTAAGAGCCTGATCGCCGGTTTGTGTCGGCTACTTTGTTGTTTCCGGAGCTGCTGCACCAGAGAATTGTCTGATCCCAATTCCCATCCCAATCACTCTCCAAGAGAAATATCCTCGCTGTTACGAAACCAACACCAGCTATACACCGATAGAGCATCTATCCCCGAAGCTCTGACAAGGAAAAAGAAACTATACATCTCTACCGAAGAAGCTACATCTGCCACCGATTTCACAACCAAGATGGCCCCTGGTATTATTTCTCCCGTCCCGGGCACTCCCCTCTCTCCGCTTTACAACGGCTTCGGCGGTTCGCGCCAGGTCTCCAGCGCCTCTGTGATGTTTGAGAGCGACAGCATTTCGCAGAACGGCCGCTCTTCGCGCCGCGAGTTTTTCATGCCCCGCAAGTTCAATGGGCTTGGCAACTCCAACATCACCAGCGTCGTGCAGTCTTTGTACCGCCGCAGCGGTGATGAGCTCGGCACCAGTGCCTCTGCGCGTCTCTTGACCTGCACCCACCAGTCGATCCTGGAATGGATCCGTCACCAGCGCATGAGCCACCTTCCCCCCGAAGGTAGCAGCTATGACAAGGTGCTCGGCTGGGCGCAGCTCTTCGTTGAGCGCCTGCACTCTTTCGAGGTGAATATCCAGAAGTTTGCTGGCGACAGCTACCTTGCTGCTCAGCTGTCTTATGGCTACTGCGACATGCTTCTCCAGGTAAGCTCTTCTCACAATTAACTCCAGGTCGATATGTCGCTAACTCCTCATTTCCATAGCTTGGCAAGGAGAACGCCGCCGCCCTGATGATTTCCTTCGGATTCTTCTACAGCACCTCCCTGACCCTGGTCAACCTGCTGGAGCGCACTGAGCTTTTCGATGTCTCCCAGGAGATCAAGGAGCAGCTCATTCTGGCTCTGTCTGACCTGGTTACTCTGGTTGCCAGTGTCTCCACCCACTTCCACCAGGTCATCAACGACCAGGCCTCCGGCTCGATCTCGGTCGACATCTACAACACTTTCCCTGGTCAGATCAACTCTTTCAAGGACCGCTGCGAGAAGATCGCCGAGTCCATGTGGCGCCACCAGCTGACCAAGGAGGGCGTCGATGCTGAAAAGGGTAAAATTGTTCCCGCTCTTCTATATACCCCAGAACAAAAAGCTAACGCGCACCTCAAAAGTCTTAGTCGTCAAGTCCGTCAAGTCCTGGCTCGCCCCCGAGGACCGTGTTCTGAGCCACCTGGCTGAGAACACCTCCCATCTTGCCCATGAGCGTGAGGAGATGACCTGCCTGTGGATGGCTCCCTACCTGACCCACTTCCTGAAGAGCGACAAGTCTACCCTGTCGTTCACTGGTAAGCCGGGATCTGGTAAGACCGTCCTGGCTTCCGTTATTGTCGACCGTCTGCAGGACCCCATTGGTGGTGTTACCTACAAGACTATCTTCGTTCCCATCAGTGAGTGCTTTCCGAGAAGTACAGTGCGGGAATTAGTCATCCTAACATATTTCCTCTTTTAGACGCCCGCATCCCTGCTGAGACTCACCCGATCGCCATCGCGAAGACTATCCTCTCCCAGCTCTTCGAGAAGCGCATTGGAAACGTTGGATTGCTGCAAATACTGGGTGACGCTTACGAGCGTAGCCGCAAGGCCACCACCAACGAGGACTACGAGAACATACTGTGGACTGCTCTCGAGCGCGCCCTTGGTGCTGCTCTGCGCAATGCTAAGGAGCTGGTCATCGTTGTCGATGGCCTTGACGAGGCTCAGTTCGGCGAGTCTGCTCTGCTGAAGAAGCTGACTACCGCTACTGCCAATGCCACTAAGGTCAAACTGATCACGCTTGGCTCCGAGAAGCCCAGCGGGACCAACAACCTGCTCCACGTTCCCATCACCGAGGACCGCATTGCCGATGATATCTCCATTGTCGTCCGTGCCAACTTCGAGCACAGCAAGGTCTTCCAGCAGATGCCCGAGATGGAGCAGGAAACCGTCATTGACAAGATCTCCGAGGCCTCCCAGGGCTCCTTCCTTTGGGCTAAGCTCTGCTCCAAGCGTGCTCGCAACGAGTCTTCCCCGGAGAACCTGACCAAAGCCGTGGACACCGTCATCAGCAGCAAGATCTCCGTCAGTGACTTCGTCCTTCACTCTCTGTCCAACCCGGATATCAGCGAGGATGCTAAGCACATGCTGCTGTGGCTCGCTACTGCAGACCGTCCTCTGCAGGTCCGCGAGCTTGCTGCTCTGAGCCAGGTTCAGCCCGAGAAATTCACCGTGGCCGACCGCAAGATTGAGCCCCTGCCAACCTTGAAGCCCCTCAACTCTCTGGTCTTCCTTCAGGATGGTCAGGTCTACCTGCGCCACGGTCTGATCCGCACTGCTGTCTTGGATGTCTTCTCCAAGGGCAAGCTGACCCCCACCATCAAGGACCGTCACGCTGATTTCGTCACCCGTCTGCTGGTTTACATCAAGAGCACTGTCCCTGAGCAGCATGAGCCCACTCTGACTCCTCTGGACCGCCAAGACACCCACCTTTTGGTGCAGCGCTACCCTCTTTTGGACTTTGCCGTGCGCTACTGGCCTCGCCATCTCACCCAGACCACCACCTACAGTACCGGTGGTGATGCGCCCACCGCCAAGGAGTACAGCAAGATCTTCCCTGCCAACATCACTCTTGTTCTTCTCCAGAACACCCTGTGGCAGTACATCTCGACCCCGACTCTGCTCACCTACTACACCACTGTCACAAACCTGTGCCGTCACATTCTGACCACCAACAGCCCGGTGACTCTGCAGTCGCTCATTACTCTGGCATTCTTCAACCGTGATATCGGCCGCTTCCCCGAGGCCACCACTTTGTTCTATGAGTTGACCACCGTCAGCAAGACTCTGCTGACTACCAAGTCGCTGATCACCATGAAGATCGCCTCCCTGTTCATCGAGCTGACCACTGAGAGCGTCACCACCTCCAAGACTGATATCATGGTCCGGCGCGAGGAGATCCTTCAGCTGCTGATTGAGACCTACAAGATCCACTACGGTCAGACTTCGGAGCGCGTGGTCACCACCATGAACACCCTGATCGAGCACTACCGCCTGACCAAGGAAGAGAAGAAGCTTCAGGAGCTTACTATCACTCTCAAGGGCATCACCACTGTTGACACTGGCTACGAGAACGAGTCCCGCGGTGATCTTCACGTTCACCTGAAGCACCAAAAGCGCCAGGACAGCGACTTCGGCATCCGCTTCGTTCTGGATGCTGAGCAGGACGAGCGCGAGTCCGACTCCTTCGACTTCCAGGCCCTGATCCAGCTTGCCCAGAAGTACACTGCCGAGGGCAAGGTTGCCGAGGCTGAGCGTGTGTACGTCGAGATCTGGCAGCGTGCTAGCAAGGAGTGCCGCGCACAGTACTCTGCTCAATGGGAGGAGATCAAGCTGCAGGCCGTCACTGAGTACTCGCAGTTCCTGCATACTCAGAAGCGCGAGACTGAGGCTTCCTCGATCCTGTCCAGCGTTTGGGAGGAGTACCGCCACTCTAGCCTGTCGCTGTCCGAGTCGACCACCAAGCACTTCCACCAGATTGCCAAGGTGATGTCTGCCGTTGGCCTGACCACTGCTGCTCTGTCTATCTTCAAGCAGTGCTCCCACTACTACCAGAGCACCAACAGCACCCAGTCCTCGTCGTACTCTGAGCTTCAGCAGAGCATCAGCTCCACCTCCCACCAGGTGATGAAGCAGGCTAGCTCCTCGTCCTCTTCTGTCACCTCCGAGGAGACTCTGGAGGAGATTGTCTACGAGGCAGCCTCTTCCATCTCTAAGATTGACGAGAGCTCTTTCACTGCCACCAGCACCCTGATTGAGCGCTTCGTCAGCCAGCACCGCTGGAAGGATGCTACTCGCGTTTCCAAGAAGGTTCTCCAGGGTCTGTGGCCTTCTCTGTTTGCTCCCTCTATCCAGGATGTGACACTGCCTTCCAAGCATGTTGAGAAGTGTGTCGACCTTGCTGAGCGCCTCAGTCAGTTCTACCACTTCCGCCGCCGCTTCCCTCGTGAAGAGAACATCCGCATCCGCGTCTACCGTGCTGTTCGCAGCGGCCGCCCTGTTGATGACAAGCTGCGTGAGCGTGTCACCACTGAGTTGATTCGCTTCTACGAGCGCTCCAAGCAGCCTGACAACGTGATCAACATCCGCCAGGAGATCCTTGATGACCAGGTCAAGCACTACGGTCCCGAGCACCCCGTTGTCATCAAGACCCTCCGGACTCTTGCTGAGCTCACTCGTCCTCGTCCCATCTTCGTCGAGTACTACCAGCGCATCATCAAGGCCCTCAACAAGGACGCCCCCGTCTGCAAGCCCGAGGCTCTAGAGCCACTTGTTATCGTGACTTCCGAGCTCTGGATCCAGAGCCGCTACTCCGAGGCTGTGCCTTTCTTCACTCTGCTGTTCACCACCTTCCTGGACCAGCCCAAGTCTCCTCGTTTCCAGGACACTACCTTCGTTCAGGAAATCTTCGAGCACTACACTCACGTCCTGCGTACGGTTCGCACTGAGTACTCTGTGATCCACAAGGTCACCATGGACTTCCAGACCAAGGTCAAGGCCGTCTTCGGTGCCACTGCCAGCATCACTATCCAAGCTACCCTGACCCTCGCCAAGGTCTGCCAGGAGTCCAAGCGCTATGAGACTGATGCCATCAACCTGTATGAGGAGCTGCTCAAGATCAACTCCACCGAGATCGACCGCGAGGATATCTCTGCCACTCTTGACGGCATCTACGAGGAGCAGACTGCCGTTCTCCTCCACAAGTCGGAGAATGTGTCGTCCAGCCAGGTTGAGCGTGCCTCCAAGATTCTGCGCAAGCGTATCACTACCGTCCGTGAGTCTCACGGCTGGGCTCACGAGGAGTCTCTGTCCAAGCTGAAGGAGATTGTGTCATTCCACTCCAAGCACAGCGAGAGCTCTGCCATCAGCAAGGAGCTGAAGGAATCTACCGTCAATATCCTGACCCAGGAGAAGTCTTCCACTCGCCTGGTCTCTGCTGCTATCGCCATCGCATCCAGCTACATCGAGACCAACCAGGTTTCCAAGGCTACTGAGATGTCTGAGGAGCTGTACCGCCAGGTAGTCATGAAGGACACCTCCAACTCCAAGAGCTCGCAGTTCGATGTCTCCAAGCAGGGTCGCCAGAGCCTCGTCTTCCTGGCCCAGCTGGAGCACAGTCTGCGTAAGAGCACTTCCTCCATCACGGAGATCCTGGCCTCACTCACCACCGAGTACGTCTACTTCGAGGAGTTCCGCAGCCTGACCACCTCCAAGAGCAGCTCTTTCCATTCTGTCTCTATCTCGGCCTCGCGTCTGTACCAGTTCCTGATCCGCAGCAACCGCTCTGCCGCTGCCAACCGCGTCTTCGATGACTTCGTCGCTTACTTCATCTCCACCGAGGGAAAGCGCACAAAGTTGACCGATGCCAACCAGGTCAAGATTTTCCTGCTGACCATTGTGGACCACTTCCACACCTACACCTCCTCCAACTTCGTCCGCTCGGTTGGTATTGCCAGCAACTCCCGCGTTCTGGAGCTCCTACAGGCTCAGCGCTACGACGAGGCCTCCAACCTCGCTTTGGCTGCCTTCCAGTACATCTCGGCCGATAAGAGCTTCGGCACTCCCGCCATCGTCAAGTTCGTCTTCACCCTGGGTATCTTCATCACTGGTCGCACCAGCCACCCTCAACCCGACCAGGCCACACAGAAGAAGCTGGCCGGTGTCTCTGCTGTCATCATCCAGGAGGTCCTGCGTGTCATCAGCGACCTGAAGATCAACCTGGCCCAGATCAGCCTGGACTACCTCAACATTCTGATCGGCCTGCTTGGCGAGCAGAAGGAATACAAGAATCTTGTCTGGCTGCTGTCCGGCCTCTGGGCCAACCGCAATGTCCAGAACTGGTCTTCTACCGTCACTCTGGGACTTGCCCGCCGCTACATCCTGGCTCGCTACCTGGTCGGCGATGCCCTCAAGGCTGCCCGTCTCGCCGAGGATATCGTCTACAACTGCCGCCGTGTTAACGGTGCTCGCCACACCAGCACCCTGGAGATGTCCACTCTTCTTTCCCAGCTGTACACTGGCATTGCCCAGCGCTACCAGGCTGAGAAGGGTGGTCAGCACATGGCCAACAAGTACTACAAGAAGAGCGCCGGTGTTCACGAGAACCTGCTCCGCATCCTGATTGATCCCTCATTCGCCGAGTTCGAGGCTGGTCTCGACGGCTCCCTGAGCATGGACGGCTCCGCATACGACCTCGACATCAGCGACTCGGCCAACGGCAACACCCTCCCCGAGGGCGAGCACGTCCGCCAGCACCTCAATCTGCTCAAGTTGGCTGTCCAGCGTCTGGGTGACTGGCCCAAGGATTACGAGGAGTACAAGCGCCTCAACGATGAGGTTTTCCTCGAGTTCGGTGCCGACCTCCTGGGCGTCGAGGGCGTCGAGGGCGTCGACAAGTGGGATCCGAAGAAGTTTGGGGGCGGGAAGGCTCAGGGAAGTGAGGACACCCTCAACACCGAGATCGAGTCCTGGGAATTGGATCTCGGACAGAACGGTGAAGAGGTCGAGGAGGAGCTGTAAAAGTGTAACTTATGGGGATGTTTCTGTACACATTGTATGACCTTGTCATTTGCATTTGTTGTGATATAGCATAGTTTATTTTTTGCATTCTTAGCACAAATTGGGATCAGACTTTACTTCAAGAAATCACCTCCTTTGCGATAAGTAAATCAGTAAGCACAACTTCGTTGCATTTGCTTCGTTTGGCCTTTGAGGTAAGTTTCTCACTGACAAGACATTTTCGGGTACCAAGGATGTGTAGGACGCCTGATGAGTATAGCCTCAGCTGTGATTCGCTTGCATCTCGTGACATCTTACGCAGGGTTGGGCTTATCACGATTCCGACATATAAAAATCAAGATGTGAGGATTATCGTTTCTATTTAGCCCTGAAGACAAATTTAATTGGTAATAACGAGTAATTTACCAGCGTCTCTCCAAGTTCCAACTCGTTCATAGTATAAGAGTTTTCGCACGCACTGCATTTGAAATTCGAGAATCTGCAATTTCTGGTGGGGATCCCATACCCAAAGCAGTCGCGGAACCCGAGAAACTTAAGACCTGCACGCCAAAGAACATTGGTTTGGTTGGTAAGTGTCGTTGCTAACTCAGAAGAACTTACTATGAATATCGAGGCCACTCGCTTTTGCCGGGAGAAGTATACGGCCAACATGTCAAATGCATCATTCGTTCTGCCTGGCTCAGACGCATTCGATTACGCGACGGAAGTGATATCTCATACTCGAAGTCTAACATTCTTGAAGAAGCATGAGTGGTCCGTACTTCGCTCCCAAGGCTATCTGGGATGAGCACACGGTTCATAAGTTTGGAACTCGATCTGTTGAGCATACGATGAGCACAATGGTGCAAGAGCCATATGCCAGCCACATTACAACAGTATAAGATAAGTCGCTATACATTATTGAGACATTGACTAGCCCGCAGCATTAGCTGACTGGGGGAATCGGTTGCGATAATCTCTCCAATTTCTATGGGGGCTATTTTATCTTCAACTACCCACCGCACACACAGTTGCATCTCGTCAGTCGTATTGTTGGCATTGATAGAGAGCCGTGAATGAATCAATCTGACATTGACGCACAGTATACAAATTGACTCGCTGTGAGTTACACATTGCACCATTCCCCTGTGATATAACCACTAATGACTTTCAAAGTGCCCCTGGAGTACCTCCAACCAGCCACAAACTCGAAATCCCATTCACAGCCATCGTCAATATACGCGGGGATTGACTCTATAATGAGCACATCATATGGTACCAAGCCACAGTATTGGTTCAGCTTAGTATCTTGTCAGAATATCTGCCATTTCCTCAACCTGTGAGGAATGTTGAACTGGCCCCTGGAGAAGAGATTCAAATGAGACTTCCTGTCGCTAGCGTTGAAGCTGCGACGAAGATGCGGGATTGGGAAGGCTGTTCCGTCGAACTTAACTCTTTAAAGGGGGTATACGTATTGCCAGGAAGCAATCAGTCTCGAAGAGCTTTGCATTTGCGCTTCACATTGGCAGGCTTTTGAATTCTCTCTGATTAGGGCGTTCAGTCTAGTTCACATTAATGCGCAAACCGCAAATACTCAAGGTTATGGTCGGAAACGGCTTCAAAGCGGAGCCAATCTTCCCTTCAAATGAAGACACATCAAACATTAGGCCAAGTAACTAACTAGTTAACTACCAAACTCACTATGCCTGAGGCAGCAGCGGAGCTGCCTGGGTCGTCTACATACGCGGGAGCCCCACACAGACGTAGTAATCAAAACACTCACCTGCATCTCACCTGCATCTCACATCTCTCCTCCTCTCATCAACCTTCATCGTCCCCGACATTTCACCCGCATCTCAAATCTCATAAATCTAGTACCAACGATGGGTGATGTTCCAGATAACCCTGAGTACCTCGAGCAGCCCACGCTGACCGATCTTGAGGAAATGAAGCGCCTCAAGCATGCGCTTACCAGTGCACCCCGGCAAGCAATGTCAAAGATCATTTCCCAAATTTACCGGTGGGTTCCTCCTGAAGTCAGACAAAGACTCATCGAGGCGGAGCTTTTGGTCCCCGATGATGAGGCTGTTCAGCCGCCTGACGGACGCGACTATCTTCGCTACTCACCTCATCCGGATGACACTTCTAGAGACTACTGTAGTCCTATCCCCGAGTCTCAGGATCACGACTCTCAGGGCCATGAGACAGTGGTTGACTGGGAGGACACTCCAGAATACAACAAATACATCGAATACAAGAGGACCGGAGTCTGGCCCAAGAGTCCTGGTGAGATGAGTGATAGCGACGTCGACGAGGGCAATGAGGCCGACAAGGTAAGTGAGCCCGGCGAGGGTTTCGAAGACAGCACGACTGGCGAAGCCAGTGGAATGGGTAAAGCGGTTGCAGGATCATAGAGTGATACTGCCCGACCCAAGAAACTTCGAAACCGATACGCCATCTGCAAAAACTGCGAGGAAGCGTTCGACGTTACTGCAAACACTGACAAAAGCTGCCACCGCCACGAGAGTATGTGTTGCCTCTGCTTACCCTGCCGCCTGTCCCCGTTATGGCTGGAAATGAAAGCTAACGACACTCCTAGAGCGTCCTAGACCGCGGGAAGAAATGTGGGAGTCATACAAGTTGGAGCTGCACTATTGTGGAGCCATTCAGCTAGATGACCCCCGCTCCCAAGACCTCCACCCGACCTGGTTTGACTACCCATGCTGCGACAAGCCGGAGCCTTGCTTCTACGACTGGCACCGTGAGGGGAAGCCCACTCCTAACCCGGAGGAGACGATCAAGTGGCCGAGCTTTCCCACCCCGGGGCACGCCAATTCGTGATCCACAATACAAGTGGACCATTTTTTGAGGATGGACACTAACCGGAGGCCTCAAGTTTGCTTTCAGCCGTGGGAACACATGACGGCTACCTGCCAGGTAACAATAGAGGTAACTTCAGTTTACTAGTACATGCTACATACTACTAAGTCACCTCTGTATTGTTTTTTGTTTTTTCTTTGTTTTTGCGAACCTTGCGAACCTCGCTGGATTAGCTTCCCCTTTGACTTAATGATACGTTCTGTCATAGCCTCTGTCACATAATCCATAGGTATGCATTTGAAGTATGGTAAGTATCTGAAACCCGAGCACCGTCGCTATCGCCAAGCCAGCACTCGGCGTTCACTTCAGTAATTGCTGAATAGGAGTTGCATTCCCTTTCAATGAAAATCCTGATACAAGATGTAGCTGTAGCTTCACTAGTCCTAGGTGAATCAAAATGTAATTCGATTTCTCCTGGGAGTTTGAATGATGTCGGGAGCATAGCCAACTGCTCCCTGTCGGGACGCGTTGCCTAGCGGCGCCTGAGGGCGCCTGGGGCAGAATGTTGCCTTGGAAGATCAATTAGTTTTAGGTATGCACCGCCGACCCTCCCTTTTTCTCTTTCCTACTTCCTAGGAACCTATTCGACTTGCTCGCATATGATCATCAGTAAGCACCACATTATCCTGGACCCCTATCAAACCCAATCCCAACTCGAGATCCGATGGCAGATCGCGGAACCGCTCCTGAGCCCCCCAATCGAACATTCGGGCTCTGGTCTTCGAGGCCCTTCCCAGCGCGCCGAAAGAAATTCTGGAGCAAGCTCTCCAGAAGGTCTGGGTCACCCACCCTTCGGCCAGGTCATTGATCAAGTCTTATTTTCTGGTGACCGAGAGCGAAGTTGCCATTAACAATGTCGCATGGGAACTGGTGTCCGCCAGCGACGAAGCGAGTGGACTAGACAACGACAAAGAGGTGGGTACAACTGATAGCGCCAAACAAACCAATGGAGACCAGCTTCGTCCGCGCTTCGCCTTGTGTGTGAACTGCGAGCGAGACTTTGACGTCACTAGAAACACCAGCACTAGCTGCAAGTACCACCCCGGTATGCCAAGGAGCAGTCAACTCTCCATTATTTCCTGTGCACTTGGGCATTCAAGCTAACGTTTTTGCAGCTGGCCCGACCCTAGCTTGTTTCTCCTGCGAACGCCGTAAGATTTCGGGGCTCGTAGTCCCCCCAAGCTCTCGAGATACGCATGTCGACATCTACTACCGATGCTGTGACAGCCATGCGGGCGCTGCCCCTTGTGAGGAAAACTGGCACATGGAGCCGAACCCTCTGGACGTGCTCGTTGAGGCCGAGGTGTGGAAAAAGAATGCGGCCCTAGAAAATCCCGCTCTCCCCTTGCCAAGTGAGTTTTGATTGCGTTCCCGGGATCGATGATGCGTCTCTCAGTCTCGTCACCGTCTACCATTCCTTTCTTCTTCTGCGCTATCTGGGTGCGGGACTATTAGTGCTTTCTAGTGCACCCTCACCACGGGAAGCATTGAATTGAACTAAGAATCTCGGCCTTTTTAAGTTTGCTTTGAGTTGCTTTTAGTTTGGATTTCTTTTCTTTTCAGCTAGGGAAGAGTCCTGGAATTGATGGAATCGACGTTCTTCTATTTACCTCCTGCTAAACACCGTGCTTTAGCATAACAAAGGTATTGTCTATCCGGACATGAAAGCATGATCATAAAAGTCACCATATAGCCGCCACAAATGACTGGGAGATCATAACAAGGGAATCTCAACTGTGTTGACGTAGTCAATATTCCCCACGTGTCCCTCTATCCGAGGAATATCGGTGTTAAACAGCCTATCCCACACCCGAGTCTGCTTGCCATAGTTATGACTATTCTTCCAGCCCTTCCGATGGTGCAAATCATGGTCCTCAATCACGAGCTCCATATCGCACTGTCTCAAGAGCCAAGTCCAGGGGTTGACCGCTGTCGCAATCATGCGCAGTCCACTGTGACCGAGGATCTCCGTGAAGACGACGTATTGTTGACACACCCACCACTCGTAGAATCCCATTGGGAAACCCATCAGCTTCATGGTGCCGTAAGTGAGGACAGGAGTGCCGATGATGTCGATGAACTCTTGCACCGTGTCCGCATATGCGGTCAGGAGAGGATTGGGGTGCTTGGTCAAGTGGTGGGTTCGGTGGAACTTCCAGAGATGATCCGTCTCGTGCGCGGAACGGTGGAACGTATAGTACCAGAAGTCGAGGACGAGAGCGTACATGCCCGTTTCGACGATGAGCCAGCCCCATCGGATGGAGGAGGGTGCTTCGTCGGCGCGGTAGGCGAGGAAAACTGTGAACATGGGCCGGAATGCAATGACGGATAGGAGGCTCTGAACGGTCTTGCCGACGCCCACATCGGGCACACCGTCACGGGCATGCTTGTCGCCATCGAAGAAGCCGATCTTGTGCCCCACACGTCGGAGGACCTGGACTTCGTGGACGGCAATTAATTCGAGAGCCAGGCTGTAGAAGACGAAGACTAGTAGTGTCGAGGGCTGGCCGATGTAGTTGATGTAGAGTTGGTGGAGGGCGAGTGGTATCGCGGCGTGGGTTAAAACCCAGCTGTGGAACTGCATTTCTGGTGCATAGGGGACTTTCTCTGTCTTCTGGTGGACTGGGACGTCTTGGTTGAGTTCGACGTGGTGTACGTTCAGAACGTGCAGGAGCCAGTGGCCGAATGACCACTCTGAACGGTCCCAGGTTCGCCAGGTGGACTTCATTGAGTCTTTAGGGTTACGTACTGCTACAGCCATTTTTGAGAGATGGTGTAGTTGCGGGACAAAAAGCTACAGTGGCAACGAGGGTCCAGGCAACCTCTTGTATCTATAGACATCTGAGCACCTGAAGCCGAGGTGTGGGTACCCAGCATAATTGTTGGGGTTCAAGGGAAAATCACCGGTTCCCCTGTTTACCCCACAATCGGTCTTCTTTTCTTTGTTCTGAAGCATCTGCCTAATTCCAGACCTTTAGGTGGTTCTCGAGGCGTCTTGCTGCCACCCGTGGTCTGTGCTAGTACATAATATCATCTTCTTGAACTATCTGTCTTCGCCCCTGCGCTGACTGCTGTATTTTCACATGAGAAATGACACATCTGGAAATACGATTTACCCATTCCAGTGCTGGATATTATGACGTGGTGGATCTTGGGTTGATTTTTGATCAACACATCTGATCCCGAGGTAGGGTACCGTGCGCCAATTCTTCCCAAAAGGGAAGTAATGTTCCGGTGCCCCAAGTTAACCAGATATAATCGACCACGACCCCAAGTTCGGCCCCGGTCACGATTCAGAGTTTTTTCCATTGTTTTGAGATGACCCCAAGTTTTTGTCAACCCATCGATCTGTTGGTGACCATGTGGTCCATGTACCATGTGTAGTCGACTGGTCAGAGAAAATAGAGGTGGTTCCACGTGCCAGGCAACCTTAATTATCTACATGCTTTTCAGATGGAAAACAAGTGACTACACTTGACAAAATAGATATTTGGATTGATATGATCCCAGGGAGACTGGATAGAGTCTCAACAGGACATTGTTAATCGTTAACTAGGTCACCCCCTCAGGTAGTGACTCAGTCGACTTGCCACTCCAGGCATAGAGTACTGTTTACTCCATTATATGAATAGAAGGGTGGCTGTGCCCGGCTTTAGCTCAGTTGAAATTCCATGTTCGCTGCAGATCATCAAAAGTGGTGGATGGCTCGTGAGGACTGAAACATTCCAGAACGCCCCACTGCTCCGGCGTTCGTGTGTATATCTACGGCAGTTGACAGGTCTAGCGGCAATGGTCCGCTATTTCTGGTGAACCCGTCAGATTGAAAGTGAATTCTTGAGTTGTGAAGTTGTTCTCGAATTTTGATTTCTAAAATAGCCAATCAGCATAAAGCCGCCATACTGGTGCAGTGGAGTTTTAGGAAAAAACCAAGGCTTGATATCGAGGGTGCATAATGACAAGAAGTGTATAATTTCGTCTTTGTGTATTGCTATGTAATAAAGATACTATTTCCCACGCAAAACAGATACAATGCGGAATGGAAAATGCAAAAGCTGTGCAAGAATTATAATGGCATCGATCACTCATATCATCACTGCGACCGGCAGGTTTGGGCATGGACTGGTCGATCTAAGCGATGGTGACGGTACGGTTGAGCGTCTCCAGGAATGGGTAGTTGCTTGCCTAGACTCATGGCTTAGTTTGGTCCAATATAAATTGAAAGGAGTGGGAATCCTCACACCAACGAGAGCAAAGTGGGCAACATTAATTTGGGCCTTGCCGTTCTTAAGGGACGAGGGAACCTTGACGGTGAAGTTCTCATAGGGCGGCGCGCTGGACTCGTGGTACGAAGGCTTGAAGTCGCCATGGTACAAAATGTTGCCCATGGTGTCCTCGGGAGAGAGGCAGGGGGAGGAGACGCAAGAGGTGATTCCGATGGCAACAGAAAGCTCGGTCGATCCGGTCAGAGAATTCTAAATGCGACGTGGGTAAGTGAACTTGTCAAAAACAGATCTGGAGGCTGCTGCGGACGTACAGGACGCTGAACCTGAACAACGACATCGTCACCCGCGTGCAGCTTCTGGGCCTCCTTGGGGTATCCGATGCCGGCGTTCTGAGCCAGAGCGACACTGGCGAGAGCAGCGAGAGAAGCGATGAACTTCATATTAACGGTGAAGAAATAGAGATGAAGATGCGAAATATGTATGAAATATGTATGAATGCGAATGTACAATTGAATGATTTGGATAAGGCTGAGAAGATTTGCAGAAGACTCCGGGGTATTTATATCCCCCAAGTCAACGTTTCTGAGTTTCACGTTGACCATGGTCGAGTTGGGGTGATTCGCCAAGTCTCAAATGATCGGCAGGATGTCTCGGTGAGCTGCCCAATGCCGCTGTTTCGCACCTCCTTGTGGGCCTTCTTTCTGCGGGTGGCCCAATCAAGTGCATCTAGGATGAAGGGTCGAACAGTTCGTACCAAATTATTGATTTCTCCACGCAGGGTTTTTTTTTTTTTTTTTTTTGGGCGCAACCCTCGTTGCCCGTTGACCGGATCGAGATTGATTTTACGGCATTGGGAGGTGCTGTTGGGTGTACCAGGGGTGTGCTGGATGCCCTGGTCACGATCTCTGAAGACAGTGGGGCGATGAGGGGCTAAGCCGTAAGCCACTAAGCCCCCTGGTGCGCCTAATCGGCCTGCGGGTGTGACCGATCTCCTGAGACTATTTTAAGGTCCAGATCATTCGGTGCCAGGTCCTGATGCTCGGCTTAGCTTTGGCAGATTACCAATGGCATGTATCAGGCGATCACTCAAGCTTACGAAGCCGACCACTTCGAAATGCTTATGGTCCACTGGAGGATGGATTGCCGGTGCTTGTTGGCTGAAGCAGGCGACCAGCACGTTGCATAGGCAACAAATAGACAGTCATAATGACTGTGCACGCTTCGAGGTGAGACTCATAAATAGGCCCCTCGGGTTTCGGCAGTCGATTTCAGGAGCCCTATTAGATAGTCACAATAGTATCCCTCGCTGAGGTGTTGCCTGCAAGCTTCGAGAACAACGCGCATGAATTTCCCAATTGGTCCATACTGATGATAAGAAATGGTAATAAAAATGGTGTAGATATAGCATCCTGACCGACTATCCCCAGCCGGGCTCCAAATCAGTAAGCTGGTCACAGTAGCGTCGGTCAGAGTTGAAAGCTACCTAGAGCAGCCTGGTAGCTGAACTCATTAATAAACATCAGATCATGGTATAGTGACAGGCCGAGTGGGTATAACATTTGTTCAATTCATTGAAAAGAAGACGAGTAAGGTGGCGGTGCCTCCACTGGTAATTGCTCTGTTTGACTTTGCCGCAACTGAGGTGCTGAGGATTGTAGGGGAATCTCATCGTGGAAAGGTCCCTCCAGCGTTGGCCGTTCAGGCATGTACTGATAGGCTCGCCTGAGGCCCGCGAACCCGGAGGTCTTTGAATTTTCTCAATTGGTGGACGTGGATGCTAAGCTTGGTATTGAAGAGCCGAGCTGGACAAAAACCTGGGAGTCGGCCCGTCAAGCACTAGGCCGCCGCAACCATAATTCCCGCATCACGAGAAGTGCACGTGGCTAGTGGTCTGGCACCTTGGCAAGCGCTGGGAGATCGCACAGGGAATGCTTGTTTTCTGGGTCGTACTTGCTCTCGGACTGTCATCGGCCATTCGTGATTGTTGTAATTCACTGGTGTGTGTTATTCTTGAGGGGGATACACGAGGCTATATATACGAGAAGACCAAGTTGATTGCAAATCAACTTGATTCTTCGTATAGGCAACCCGGGATTATTTCCGATATTGCGGGTTTGTTCCTGATCTGCGCTAGCCTCATATCAAAACAGTGATCAACAAACTATTGCCTTCAACTACTAAAAGGAAGCTTATGTGGATCTCATCCAAGAGCTCCACGGACAGCATCCACCGAAGCCAACACTCCAGTCAATTTGACTGGTACGTGTTCGCGCTTGAAGGCATCAAGCCAGGCTGTTTGAATATACGCACTTTATTCCTGCATTGATTAAAAAGATCCGTATTTCATGGTTTCATGCCTACTACTAAACTACCTTCAAAATGAGATGGCAATTGTAGCTCAGTCACATGCCCGCGCCCTTCCCCGCAGGTGCTTGTGATTGGCCCCGCACTTCGCGAGTCAGCATGGTCTCTTTATGTTTGAAAATTCGTACTTCTCCCTCCATTCTCATTCTCGACTTTGTCGGACATTTCCAAAATGACAAGCACAGCCACGGCCACGACAGAAATCGTTCCTTTCGACCACCAACCTTCGACCGTCTTGCCCGACCTGCAGCAACAACGACAAAATGACCCACCAACCACAGCAACCTTGGGACGAACAATTGAGCCTCTCGACATCGAATCACCAAGCACTGAGCACAACTATCCAACGGGCACGAAGTTCTGGTCCATGATAGCCGCAATGTGCGTGGTTCTTATCCTGGGAGGATTGGATGCCAACATCGTCGCGACAGCCGTACCCAGCATCACCAACCACTTCCACACCGTCGCCGACGTGGGCTGGTATTCGTCTGCCTTCCGACTTTGTACCTGTGCATTTCAATTCGGGTTCGCGAAGCTGTATAAGCTCTTCTCAATCAAGACTATCTTTTTGATAAGCAATACGATATTCCTTGTCGGGTCTTTACTCTGTGCCACGGCCGCTACATCAACAATGTTTATCGTGGGGAGAGCAGTGACGGGAGTGGGCTTTGCGGGTCAGTTAGCCGGATGTTTTGCAGCCTTGGTTTGTATTGTGCCTCTCAATAGACGACCGGTGTTTGCTGGTTTGTTGGCCTGTGTGGAATCGCTCGCTATCATTGCGGCGCCTTTGGTAGGAGGTGCCTTAACTCAGTCTTTAGGATGGAGGTGGTGTTTTTGGTATACATTGACCGTTAAATAACACCGATGAGGCTTCATAATACTAAAATTCACATAGGATCAATCTTCCCATCGGTGCTCTATCACTGGTGGCTATGTTTTTCCTCTTTTCCGACCCGAGAAGCCGCCAGGAAGATGACTTGACACTGGTTCAGAAGATCAAAGAGCTCGACCTTGTCAGCAACTCCTTGTTTATACCCTCTCTGACAGCTCTCTTCGTCGCCCTCTCTTGGGCGGGAATGAAGTATCCTTGGTCGGATGGGAAGGTCATTGGACTGCTAATAGTATTTGCTGTGCTCCTTGCCGCTTTCGTCTACAATCAATACCGTCGCGGAGAATCAGCAGTACTTCCGTTTCGCATCACCAAGAACCGAAATGTAATTGCAGGCTTCATTTTCACTTCGTGTACCAACTCGATGACGAACGTCTTGGAATGGTACTTGCCAACATACTATCAAATCGTTCGAGACCAGGTAAGATGCATTGACTTATCCAGTATTTGAGAAATTGTGCCAACAACGAGATTCTTTGCTAGACTCCGAGCGAGAGCGGCTACATGATGATCCCCATCCTTGTCGGAATGATGCTTGGGCTCTTCCTCCAAGGCATCGGCACCACGACATTCGGCTACTACGCCCCCTTCATGATCTTCGCCTCCATATGCATGCCAATCGCCGCGGGTTTGATGACAACATATGACCTTCACATTCCACTCACCAAAATAATTATATATTCCGGGTTTGCGGGCTTTAGTGCAGGAATCGGCTTTCAAGGATCCCAAGTGGCTGTACAGACAACCTTGAACGCTGCAGATGTCAACCTTGGGATCGGGGTTGTATTGTTCGGGCAGAGTATGGGTCCGGCGATCTTTGTCGCTATTGCGCAGGTTATATTCACGAATCAGTTATCGTCGAGCTTGGAAGAAATTGTGCCAGGGTTGACGCCTCGGTATATTGAAGAGCACGGGCTTGGTGATATAAAGAATGTGGTCCCTAGGCAGCGGTGGGATGAAGTTTTGGGTGGTATCGATCGGAGCTTGACCCATACCTGGTATTTGACCGTCGCGCTGGCTTGTATGACGATTGTAGGAAGTCTCATGGTTGAATGGCGATCGGTTAAGCAGAAGCAGTCTTGAAATATGAGCTGTTGTACGAAGGGGAAGTGCCCATGGAATATAGAACCAAGTTCGGGCGTGATTTGTGTCTGATAAGAAACGTGAAAGAATACTGCTTACTTCTTCCATCTCTTCCATCACCACCACCTTCTCCACAGCCGCCTTTTTCCCTTCCTTTTCTCTCCCCAACTCACTTGACTCCCACAAATCAGCCCGCCTCCAGTCCATACCAAGCTGTTCCAGTCTTCGCCTCCTGCAAGTCCACGTCTCAAAGCCCACCCTTCACCCACCTGCTTAAAACAATGGCATCACTCATCCTCAGGCCATATTCTTGGTTGTGGAGTCTATGCTGATTGATATGATTCTCTAGATGCTCACGGGCTACTGATGGTGACTCTGTCCGAAGCTCTTGAATTTTCAATCCATTGACTTCCTAAATTTGCAGTGTCCTTTTCCCATGATATCAAGTACACAACTTGAAGACGCTAACTCTAAACTCCAGCAAAAGTTTTCACCATGGTATTGGATCGCTTCTTCTGCTCCCTGTTCCTATCACGAAAGTCAGCTTCAGCTTCGTGTATGAGACAACTGACTGTCCCAATCATCAGAACAGCCACATACCCTCATGATGCCAATAGTCACCCATCAAATCACTTTTGACCTTTCTTCACTGTCGCATCCCCGGTAGGAACCAGCGTATCCGCTTTACTGGCCCCTGACTCTTGCGACTGCGTCTTATGAAGATTCGAGTCTCCCTCCGACATCTTATCCCGATTCTGACGATGTTCCTTAATCTTGCGGTTGACGTATTTCCACGCGTTCTTCGCGAGCTGCACGTCGGTTCGAGGTAGTGTTCCTTCTGGCGAGCGCTGGAGGGAGGAGGAAGACACCATGTCTGAGGAATGTGATGCACGATTGAGAGTAGTGTAAAGATTGGGGATTAGATGTTTTTCTTCGCGTCTGTAGCAGAAACGCGACGTCAATGATGATTTGCGGACACTTCGATGAGATGATCAACATACCAACCCAGCAAGGCATAAGCCTGATTATATACACTCATGAGTCACAGAAAACATTTCCCCTACTATCACCGCACCGAGACATAAGCAAAGCCCCTACACAGCCTTACCCCGACTCCGAAGGATTCACGGGCCCGTCTGGACTATAGTGGCGTGGAGTCAAGCCTTTTTAGGCTACGAGCTTACAGTCGTAAGCTCTCAGACAAGGAATTTGCCTGGTACATCCAATATTAGCTTAGCCTCGATATTACGATAGCCTTGCGGCCTGGACGGGGTCCGAAAGTGGTAATCAATTCGGGATGGCGGAGACTCGATCAGGCGTAGCTGAGCAAGCCCACTTCGCCGAGGAGTCCGAGCTGAACTTTATCTAGCCTCACCCCGACTCCGAATCCAAACAACCAAGAATTATTAATACGAGTTTTATGACGACTTGATTTTGGTTCTCTCATTTTTCATTTATCAATGTCTCTATTATCCTTCACTCAAAGCATATTCAATCCATTCTGCAGTTCGAACTGCCAGTTATCCAGATTTGTTATGTAGTAATTATAATCCAGTATGTCAGCTGCAGCATCGATGCCAGTCGAGAACTGCATCTCGGTGGTACTTCCAATAGCACTAGACTGAACAGGATCAGGCGAGAGAGCAAGTCCAAAACGCGGAGGATCGTCGCTCGAGCTTGTTGGCATATATCGTAGTTGCCTTCGTGCGGCTGGATGATGGTTCTGAGATATTATGCGAGGATAGTGAGGTTTTGAATTACCAGTGATCGTGGGAATTGAGGTGATGCGATAGGCGGGGAGATGGGTGCGTTCATTGAGAGGGAGGGCCAGCGGTGGACTAGTTCGATGGATAGGACGCCGGCTGTTGGGAGGCCGAAGACGCACATCTTCTTATGTCACACGTGGTGTTAAGGACAGGTCCAAGGCAATGAGAGGGCTAGGGTGCTTACCACCCAGGTAATTTCGGGCGATAATCTCATCATCTGGATGCGAGTGTCGACAAGTAGAAGGATCTCGCTCAGGATGTCATGGGAGGCCTTGATGAGGTCTGGCGACCAGATGTTTAGTCGTTTTGAGAGAATCCGATAAAGAAGGAATTGATCGTAGATGTAATCGAGATGGGCCTGCAAGTAGACGCTTTCTTTGACGTTTGCAATTCCCGACGACTCATCGGGATCATGACGCCGGTGCAGGAAAGGAGGAAGACTTTCCCAGACCTCCCTTGATTGCTGCAATAGCTCACCGTATCAAATTAGCGAGTGCAAAGATACAGCACTGGGAGAACTCACTCAATTCGCTGGGGGAGGTCCTTCACCTTCCTGTTCAGGGACAATTCCAAAATACTCTCTCGGACAGGTCCCATAAGTAAAACGCATCTTAGCCAGACGGCCTGTACGTCATTTTTAACTGTGTTCCAGCCATCGGTGTCTAGTTTCCTAATAGCCGCGTCCCGTAAACTTGGCTCGGTGATGACCTCGGTAAAACTGATATTAAGGGGCAACGCAATACTGAAAAAGCGCCAACTTATCCGCGACGGTCTGCCCAGAAAGTTGCCAGCTGTTAGTCGGCACTGAATGCACCGCTCATTAGTCGGTTGCATGTTTTTGAGAGCCAGAGCGGTATATTGTCCTCGGAAGAACGTTGATTGAGTCCCTGCGTGAACATAATCGTCGAGAGGTCGCCAAGTGCTCTCCAGGATCGATAGTCTAGATCTGTCAGTATCTTGACTTGGTCGAGTTCGATGCTGGGATTTACCTCGATCTCCACGGATGAGTGGGGTGAGAAATGTTTGCTGGTATACCAACCAGCTAACAGCATCATTCAGTGCCCCAGCCTCGTCACAGAACCTCAGACACGTCTCCGTTGCCGACAATACCAGAAATCCCAACTCCTTCCTCGGAATAACCGGCTTGCCCTCTACTTGAAATATAGAGTGCCAATTACAAGGCAGAACAGTCCCATACCCCACAAATGAAAAAGCCAAGCCAACAATCTCCCATCTATATACACAGCCGTTATGAACTCAGTAAAAGTCAACGAAGAATGCAACCGTGCAGGCTTCGAAAAATGTCGAAATTTCTCGCGCGAGCGCGAATCCAAGTTCGGTGTACCGCTCATCGGTGGTTTTGCTAACTGCTGCAGAGACTCGAACGTGCGTTCGACCAGGGGTCGGCCCAGGAATTCGCAGTCCTGCGTAGCGGCCAGATAGACATCTGCACTTCGGCGGTAGACCGGTAAGGCTTGTAGTAGCTGAATTGGAAGTGCGCCGCGTTGGATATCGGCCGGTTCGACGGGAATCACATTTGGAAGGGAAATTTGGCTGTCGTTCGGTTCTTGCTCTTCGTGGATGGATGATGATACGTCGATGTGGTCGGTGCATTCTTTGAAGAGGGAGAAGTGGCCGGTCATTCCGAGGTACTCAGATTGCGAAAGTCTTCTTAGTTCTGAGGCTGGATGTTCCTCCTTGGTCGATTATAGTGCGGGCAGCTCCAGTCTGTATTCTGAGTTGTTCGGTGTTTCAGGGTTCAATGCCACTCCTGGTCTAGTTCCGTTTCTTCTTCTTCTTCTTGTTGTTGTTGGTGAAGGTGAAGGATTATAGACGCATTTCTCTGGTTTGTTCGTGCATGTGCATCGTCCGCAGATGGGCTGTTGGTGGTCGCAACCAAGGTTGGACTTGCGGTATGGTTCGCATGACGATGGGAGGCCATTCTTCCGTAGTGTAGCCATCCTCGCGGGCTCTTTCATGCAATATCTCTTCCCGCCAGTGGCAACAGCACATCGTCATACCAAGGCTCTTGCTGAGGTATGGTAGTAGATCGGCTTGAGCTTCGGAGTGACCCGACACTCTGTTGGCGCTCATGAAGCTCCATGTAACGCTGCTCGACCATATTGAAAACACCACCAGTGTCAATTCATCCATCATTTGTCAATTTCACTGGATGTTTTGAGAGGGAAAAGTAGCAAAGGGGAGTGTCTACAAGGCGTTCTGGAGGAACTGGTACCGAGTTTTCAAAGAAACTGGTTCATTAAGGATACCATATATACGAGAACCACAACGGTTCCAACAACCTAAGGTCACCCAAAGGCACTATGCTGGCCCGGAGGTAAGAATTGCGTCTTCATGCAAAGACATCAGTAAACTCGCTCATCGCGAAGTACGATACCACAACTCCTGCGGGTCCCCAAGACACTCGCCAACGGTAACAGCTAGAAAGTATCAGCAGAGTCCAGATCGAGCCAGAAACGGTGAAGGCAAACTTACTCCTCAATCCCCGCGCAGCAATCTCATTCAATATATTATCGGCCAAGACCTCAACAGTATTATAATGGGTATCATGCGCCAAGACAATCGAGCCACCAGCGTCCAACCCCGCCCGGAGCTTCTCAAAGCTCTGCCAGATCAATCCAGCGTCATCGTTCTCGTAGTCCTTCGTATCGATGCTGGTGCCGACGACGTGGTACTGCAATTCAGACATGGCGGAGAGTACGAGGTCGTTGTACATCAGGTAAGGAATGCGCATGTAGGTCGGGAAGTACCCCAGGATTCGGGTTAGGGCTTCTTCCAGGGTAGTCATTTGCGAGACGATGGATGCGTAGTCCAGGGTTTCGAGGTATGGGTGGCTCCATCTGGAACTTGTTAGATCCTGGCTGCATGTTGTTGGCTGGCTTGGCTTAGCTTGGCTAGATACGTACGTGTGGGAGCCAATCTGATGTCCCTCTGCCACGGCTCGCTGGACCAGTTCTGGGTACTGGTCGATGTAGACGCCGTTCAGGAAGAATGTGGCGACGGCGCCGTGCTCTGCGAGCGTGTTGAGCATGCTTCTCGTGTAGATCCATGGTCCATCGTCGAAGGTTAGGGCGATTGTGCCGGGCACTGTGCAGCGGTCGATTACACTGCCGACGGCGACTTGGGTTGTTGCTTGGCGAGTTTTCAGTGCATCTTCTGCGCGGGTTGCGTGGGGGTCCATTGGAGCGGCGGTGGATAGGGTGGCCGCGAAAGGAAGGACTGTGGTCAGAATGCTGAGCGGATGCATGGCGATATGTGAAGAGTGAGTGTGGTTTTGAGACAGAATGGGTGTCGGTAGAGAAATAAGCCCGATGTTGTGTCGTCGGCGAATTGATCAGAGGGAGTGATTTTATACACTTGCAAGCAGGAGCAGGCCAAGCATCGGAGAAAGGCTAAAGAAGGATACGAGGGAAGGAGCGGCGCCGTGACTGCCACGACGAAGCATGAAACGGGAAGCACGTATGATGGGGCCAAAATTAACATTGAAGAGATAATCGCATCCATTGAGCAGGAAGACAAAAAGCCACCTCCGAGATCGCGGTACGGAATCAGATATGAGTACATATGGGGACCAAAGGTATCAAAAAAGGATACAGTAAAACAGTTTCCCCCCTCTCGGCACATCCAGTCCGGCTTTTAATTGTCAATCGGATCAAGACGTAATGAGAGTGGAATGAAAGGTGAAAATTTTCCCCCGACGCACCATTCCAGCATGAAGTCATCTAGCCCTTGCGGCTGTACTTCTTCATCGACTTGCGCTGGCCCTTCTGGCTCTCGCGCTCCAGGAACTTGCGCTGCTCCTCGGCGGTCATGCCGCGCAGGATACGCTCACGCTCCTCTTTCTTGACCTTCTCGGCGGCCAGCTTGCGCTCCTCGGCCTTCTCTTCCTCCTCGACCCGGCGCAGCTTCTTGATCTCCTCCTCGCGGGTGTTGCGGACCTTGCGCATGACCTCGCCGCGCCAGTGGGCCACTTGAACGAGTCGGTCGGTCAGGCGCAAGAACTGGTTGAAGAGGGGCAGGGTCGAGGCGTAATCGGAGGCAAGGTTGACCGACAGCTGCATGCGCTTCTTCGGGGTGGTCTCCTCGATCCTAGTAGTTGTGAGCTTGTTGTCGCTATCCATTCATTGGACATCATACACTACTTACTTGGTCGGCTTGTCAATGGGCTGGTCGGTGACAATGAGGTACTCAAAGTCATGGCCAGCCTTCTCAATGGCTTGAGCCAGGTCCGCGGTGAGCAGGTTCTCGGTGATCTCGGCGCTTTCAGACATCACAGTCACCCAGGACGGGAGCCTAGGGTGGTCCTTGGAGAAAGTCATGGACGCATCGTAGCGCTCAGTACGGAACTTGCGCATGTGGCTCTTGTGAACAACAGCCCAGATGAAGCCATCGTAAGTCGACTGGTTGACCTTGAGTGTAGAGGTATCCTTGCCCAGAACGGGGATCAGATCCTTCTCCTTGCCATCGAAAGCGTACATCAGAGCCTCATACTTCTGGGCAGGAGCCTCCCAGCTCTCAAAAAAGAAGCTGAAGATATATTCCATGAAGTAGGTGATCGGGTTGTAACGCTTAGGCATCTTGAGCGCAATGTCGAGGAAAGCGACATTCTGGCGTCCGGTAGCGTACGCCGCGAACTCGTTCGCGGCCCGCTCCTTCAGCAGGCTCTCGGGGTTGACCAGCTCCACGGAGACGGAGTCATCCTCCGCCGGGCGCGCAATGCCATCGAAGCCAACGACAGCAAACTCCTTCTGCAGCGCGGGGATGTGGGCTTTGGCCCAGTCCCGCGCCTTGCGCCGGTTCTTCCGCGTACCCCAGACATGGAAAATCACAATCAGCAGGATGAAGGGCATGATCATGGCCTCCTGCATGAAGTCCTTGGGGGAGGTGCGCTCCCACACCCGGTACCATTTTGTGTAGGGGACGGCACCGGACGTGCTGTAGGCCGGGACAGTGGTGGTATCGGCGACGAGAGACGCAGGCGACGGGTTCGGGGCCTCGACGAAATCGGCGAAGTCTGGGAGGAGGATGGTTAGATGGGAGCGCGGGGCCATTGGCACATGGGCGACTTACCATCGTCACTGGCAGCTCCCGAGCTCTGGGAGCCGAACACGTTCTTGAACACGCCCGCCATGGTTGGATGAAGACACGATGATGGGTGAAAAGGAAAGGAGGTTGAGAGAAACGAGGTGCGGAGCTAAGCTGGGCTTGGCTCTAGCGCCCCCACGAATTCTCCAGTTTTCCTGCGATCGGCCCGACTTGCCAGAACTGCCATCCCACTTTGACAGTTAGAACCATCTACAGTTGCAATTACAGAATACAGAGGCACAGAATAAAAAGCGAAATCAATGTCCATATCCGTTCCTATATCACAATGCATCCCAGATCCCAAGATAATACACGAAATTACTCGAATGAGTGTGGTATCAACGAAAAAAAGAAAATGAAACCCTCAACACAATGAAACGAGACGCCAAAAACTTCACAAAAATCGATTTTTGTACAGGCCCGCTTCCAAGAATATAAAAATAAGTAAAGAAGTCGTAACGGTCGTGAAAGTCTCGAGAGCTCGCTCGAGTAGAGAAGAGGAGAAGGGAAGGCAGGAGATGCGCATTGCGCTTAGTGGCCATAAGCCGGTGGTGGTGTATCGTCGTGCGCGCGACTCCAAAAGTTGCTGCACGCGTTGTTCGCCATGAGTTTCTCGTCACGCATGCGACGAGCAATCTCGCCGGCCAGTCGCTCGACTAGCAAAGGATCGACGGAGTCGCCGGCCGCGGTCTCTTCTTTGGTGAGCGGAAGCACGGTGGCGGGAAGTGGTGGCTGGACAGAGCCAGAGCCAGACGAGGGTCCGGCCTCGGCCTTCTCTTGGTGACCGCGCATGGTAGCACGGGGAGTAGCTTCGACATCCTCACCCTTGGAGGGGCGAATTGTTTCGACGGAATACCCGAGGTCTCCCTGGTCAGAGGCGGTGCGGCGTTGAGACGGACGCGAGAGGCTCATGCGGTGTCGCTCGGGAATCGATGGCAAGTGCAAATCGGTCTCGGGGGAAAGCGGGGGGGTCACTGGGTCGTCGTTCTGTTCGTTGACAACGGGCAGTGGCGCGGAGTAGATGGATGGCGGGCTGCTTGACTCTCTGAGCGAGCTGTCATCGCTGACGCTCATGGCATCATCGGTCGTCTTGGGACGACGCAGGTCCACAACACGCTTCTTGCGCTTTCGCTGATGGGCCTTTGAATGACGTCCAGCCCCTACGTTCAATCCATAGCTACTGAGCGAGTGGCTGCCCAGGGAAGGACGGCTTTGGATGGAGACATTGCTGGAGGTCTCGTGGACGGAGGATGCCAGGCTGCCCACCTGCGAATGAGTTCGAGAAAGTGCCGGGCTGAGAGGCGAAATGACGCTGCCGGGAAATTCACAGGGGTCGGCGGGAGATGTCCATGCTCGATATACAACCTCTTGGATGGAGGGGGTGAAAAGCGAGAGGGTCCGTTGGGAGTCGGTAAGCGCGGCGAGGCGAAGAAGGTTCTTTTGAGAAAACAGGGAATGTGTCTCGACAGAGGAGTCCAGTGATAGGGACGCGATTTCAGATTCGTTCAGCGCATTTCCAAGTGAATCGACGGGGTCCTGCGGGGGGCTTGCCAACGGGTCTTGGCCAGGGCCCTCACTTGATGTAGCTTCTGTATTGTCTGTTTGGTTCTGGCTCTCTTCTCCCGTGCGATATTCCGGTACCCAGAGCCGAAGCGACAAGCGATGGATAATGGCTGGCAATTCGTCCATAAACAGAATTCGTAGTTGGGCTTCGATTTCTTTTTGTAAGAAGTCGCGCACAAAGGGGATCGAATCGAAAGTAGAGGAGACCTTGAGGGATTCGAGCGGATCGTTGCGGAATACGACTGTAATTCCTTTTTGCTTCGAGAAGACCAGGATCACAAAACCAGAGAGCTTGAAGTCGGAGAGGGTGATTTGGAGAGGAATGGTGAGTGGGGTTCTAGATGCGACACGGTCAGTTCACGCCGGCGACGAAAATTCTTGCGCGGTTGGTTGGTGTCACCATCGTGCGCGAACCGGGGAAATACATACGCAGCAGCTAATGGTTGTGGTGATGCGAAAGCCGGTCGTGTGAGTAGGAAGGTATTTAGCGGGTTCGCTTGGACTCGGGTCTTGAGCGTCAAGAAGGCGTCGCCGGAATAGGACATCTTGAAGATACCGCGAAAGCGATCCTCGGCCAGATCGCCGATCTCCAAGATTTCGAGTTTCGGGGGCATGGAGCCCAGGTTGAGCTCGGTGACGATAATATCATCGACGATGATGGGTGGTTTGGGTGATTTATTAAGCGCGGCAGTGAGCAGTTCTTGGGCGCGCGAGTAAAAACTCGCGTCCGCCATCAACGGCGACCAGTTGAAGTTGAACGCCATGCCCGCGCATTGAGAAATACCACGACCGGAAAGCCTCGAGGGAAAAAACAACAATAAAAAGGCGATCGTGGATGGAAGCGAGGGGGGGGGGGGAGGCAAAGCCGAAGGCGAAAGGAGAAAAGAGGAACGTGAAAAAAAGGGAATCCCGAGGTCACAGGCCCTCGCGTGCCCCGACCACACTCTGCGTTTCAAACCTCTCGCGCAATCTACGCATTTACGAACAAACGCATCGTCAACTGATCTCCTTTCATTGTTTTGCTCGGTTTAACTTTACTTTTGACTCTCTTTTCGTTGTTCTGCCCATCGCTGACAGCGCTGCAGTATGAAAGGGCTGGTACGTCACACCTCCGGCTCTTGCAGGGCGACACTCCACCCTTTCCGACCAGCCCCGAGGACATTCCCACTTGGGGCGATCGCGGCCCATTCATGTTCCACCTTCTGCCTACAGAGGCGGCGCTGCTGCATAAGTGCGTCCGCTACGGTCAGTCCACTCTGATCGAGGTCTACGGGGGAAAAGATAGGGGCTCGACGCGAAATCGAGAGGCCTGCGACGCACTAAAACGATACGCGGTCGACCGCGGGCCAGAAAGGGCCGCGTCCTTGCAGATCATCTGAGTCCAGCCCTCATTCATGTCTCATCGTGGCAGAGGCGACGGTCGAGGACTGTTCCAGATTATTGGAGGAGGTGGAGTCCTCTAATGCACGTCTTAAAAACGCTCTCGTTTTGCCGTCGCGGGAGACGGATGATCTCAGCTCCATCGACGAAAATGGCAATCACAATGCGACGTCGCAGATTTTGAACAGCGGGCCTCGTAGCAACAAGTTGGCCGCTGCGTTGTATCTTTAATGAGTGATCCGGTTAGATGAAAGAAGCAGTTTTCATCCGAGTCGAGTTCATCTCATGTCGACAGGCCAGGCATATATCTCGCTGACGGGTGTTTGGCGATAGTGTAGTAGATAATGACGTGCTCGCACTGCATCCAGCCTTGAAAGACTTAGTTTGACTATCCCAAATTAAAGTGTTCAATGTTGGAAATAGCCTCCAGCCCTCGAGACTCCGGCCAAAGTATTTTTTGATCATCGGACACACACTATTAGATTAAGCCGATGTCAAAGCAAGTGTCACCTGCCGATCCATCATAATCGTATAACTCTCCACATTAATGTTCACTGACTTGAAGACGAGAAGAAATAAAACATCACGCATGAACATAAAATGAATTGCCCAGATTTGTCGTCGCTGTTAATCCTCTCTGTATCTTTCTTTCTTGACTTTGTTCCAAAAAACATCCTGATCTGCAAAGTACTATGCACAGACGGCTGTGATTGGCTGAGAGCGGAATAGCTCACCGCGGCAACAAAGCGCTAAACCGCTTTAGGCCAAAAGTCAATAAAGGTCGTTACTCGTTTTGGCACCGACGACCGTCTCAGTCTCCTTGCTCAACCTCATCCTTTCACCACTCATCAACCGTCCCGCCTCACTATACAGCATCCAAATCCTCCCCATAATCTCAGGGACCATGCTGGCCAAGCCGCCCTCCCCCTGCGTGGGTCACGCGACACCCATGCAGTCCCAGAAACCCAGCACCAGGACGGTAGCCCAGCGGAAGGTGTACGGGAAACGAAGAAACAATGCAGCCAAAGCTGTTTTCGACCAGAAGAGCCCGACGCGCGAAGCATCCAGCTCAGTCGATGCCGCCGTCGAGGCTATTCAGTCCAAGTTGGCCGACGTGACTATCAACGAGGAGCCGACTCCGACACCAGAGGCCGAGCCGGAACAAACAGAGGCCGTGGAGGAGCCAGAGTCGGAGCCAGAGGCCAGCACACCAGAGCCTGAATCCCTCGATGAATCGCCAGCGCCGACCGCCGAGACCCAGCCAACAGACCTCCCAGACGAAGAGCCCTCACAAGAAGAACCCGCGAAACCGAAATATTATGAGCAAATGGTGGAAGTTAGGGTCCCGGTTATGGCACCAAGGAAAGTACACATGAAGAAACAGACACGAAGCGAAACCTCTTCTCGAGAAGGACGACACGCGCAAAAAAAGATACCCACCGGACGCAGGTCATCCGGATTCGTCCACGACGCAAAAGCCAACAACTACGTGCGACCTATACTGGATGAAGCTCTATCCCCCATTGCGTCGCAAAGCATTCAACGATTCGAGACATGGGCCTCTCGATCAGCAAACATGTTCCATGTCGTAAAGCTAGCGGAGGGTTCCTACGGAGAGGTTTACAAATTACATCTGCACGAAGAGGGTGCCCGGCCAATGGTCTCCAAATCCAAACTGGCGAAGCTGAAGGCCTACGGCGATGGCGTCTTCAAGGTCGTTCCGCTGCGCGCGCAGAGTGGACCTGGCTCGAAGAAGTTTACTTCCATCGAGGAAATCGTGTCCGAGGCCAAGATGCTCAAGTACCTCGATCCGATTCCTGGCTTTGCTCGATTCCGAGAAATCCATGTTGTGCAGGGTCGATTCCCGGAGTCATTTCAAAAGGCCTGGGATTACTATAAGAAGACGAAGGATGATTGCTTGAATCCGAACCCGGCCAGTAAGAAGGCGTATCCGGATTCACAATTGTGGGCGATTGTGGAGATGGACGATGCGGGGCGTGAGTTGGAGAAGTTTACCTGGTCGTCGATATTCCAGATTTATGATATTTTCTGGGGTGTGGCTATGGCGCTTACTCGTGCCGAGGAGTATGCTATGTTCGAGGTGAGTTAGCCTGCCAAGTTCTATTGTGAACTGGGCCTCCGATTAACACAATCTAGCATCGCGATCTGCATCTGGGAAATGTTTGCATCCGCTCTACAAGACCGGATGGCTCCATGGAGCCTCCTTCTGAGCTTGTCATTGCCCGCCAGGCCTCCGCGAGTGGATTCGGTATTAGCTCCATCGAAACTACCATTATAGATTACTCGTTGTCCCGCGCTGATCTCTATTTGCCCGGTGATCCGGAGGGCTGGAGCGAGGTCGCCTCATCAGATCTGGATAAGAAAAAGATCTTCGATGCGATTGGCCAGGACGAGGATGACGCTTTGCTTCGAGATACCTACAGATAGTATGTACCCTCCTACAGTACTCTTGTGTCGCATGTATCGATCTAACTTTCCAATCAGTATGCGCGCCACGCTCTACACAGGCGAACCCTCACAAACCCAGAAAACACCCGACATCCCGGGTATCTGGGCCGAGTACGCGCCTCGCACGAATCTCGTCTGGCTCCTTTTCCTCCTGAAGAACCTTCTCAAGAATCGCAAGCCAGAACCTACAAAGCAACCAGCCCAGCCTCAACGACAGGCTCTTGCGCCCTGCTCGCCTAACCGGAAGACCACCAATCAATTTGGCAGTGCCAAGACGAAGGCGAGCGGTGATGCAGACGTCGTGATGAAGGAGCGCCAGAACAAGGGATTGTCTTCTAAGATTGCTCAGCTTAAACAGACCCTTGAGGATAGATTGCTGAATGTTCTGGAGCTTCTTGATATGGAACATGGGGACGAGGACATGTGTTGTGCTGCTGACCTGGTTGCTTATGCGATGCATTTGCAGTGGTTGACTGTTGAGGACTTTGAGGTTGTTGATGAGGAGTAGGTGTTGAATCTCGTGTTTACTGTGCATTTTTATACGGGCATTTTCTATGGAGTTCTGGTTGGATTTTTGAGTGATGATTTCTTTTATTTCGGGATATTCATTTCAGGTGCATTGTTTGGATATGGCATAGCAGTTTTGAACATAGATTTGGCTTGCATTAAAACGTCGGTATCGATTTTGATATTCCTTCAGTCTCTTCGTGCATTTTAAGATACCAATGCTACCTATTCAGTAGGTCGAGAAAGATTTCGAAGTCTGAGAGAACACTGAAGCTCAATCTGTTATCTCCATTCCTAATGCACTGTGGTGTTGTGTTGACTTGCTGTTACAACTGTCATCAGAGCCCGTCGTGTTAAGGTTTAGATCTGAGAATAGACTTGTTTCAGGGTACTACAGTATCACAATGTCTCCAAGGCTCCAACTTGGTTTTACACACCCAAGCCGGTCGTGAAGACCCTACAACATCAGCACCACCATCACGCCGTCTCCTATCTCCACTGCTTACGTGAAGACCATGAGGTTAAATTAACGCTTTTCTTTAACAGTTCCCACAATATATTAGAAGAATAATTTAGAATGGCACTACCTTGAACAATTCTTATTTAGGCGTAAAAAAAAGCCCACTGTGCTGGTAAGGTTGGCGGCACGGGATGCGACAGGCAGAACAATCTATCTCTGACCCTGAGTGGAGTGCGTATGTGGGGTGTGTCAGTTCTCCCCAGCCACTCAAGGACCATTCGCGATTAACCTCCCGAACTACTCCCGAGACTAGGTATCAGCCTGATCAAGGTTCCTCGCGCCGTCGATTTCATCTGTCCAATAACTTCCCCTGGTCTGAGATGAAACAAGCCCGCGCGGCTGACAGGCCCCAAGCGGCGTCGATACTGCATACAGAAAAATCCCGAGGCCACCCCCCTCTGGCAGTGCCTCACAAACACCATGATTGCCGGCTCGGCTTTTCTTTTTCATTTTCGAATCTCGCTTGCACCCTCGACGGCTGGTCGGTTCTTGCCATGATAGCTGCGGAAAATATCTGGACGAGAGAGCTTTCGGCGGAGCGCAAGGCTTATCTGGCGCAGTCTCGGATTCCGGAAATTATTGCCTGCAATGTTGTGTTGCTGGTGTTTGCGACTGTTGGGTTGCTGGTGCGGCTTTTTGTTCGACTGCGATATCTCACCGGGATTAATATCGATGATGTGATTTGTATGGCTAGTTGGGTGCGCTTATATCTGCATTTTCCGTCTTGATCGACTACTCATGCATTCTATAGGTCTTCACCTTTGTTTTGTGCTTCACTGTGATGTTGAGTAAGTTTACTTGCAGATGCAAATACTCACAGATGGTGCCTGACTCTCCTACAAAGTGACCAAATATGGATTCGGCAAGCACATCGGAACAGTATCAAGCTTCAGCGACCGGGCCATGTTCCTCAAGGTACGATGAAGCTGATAATGAACTAAGTCCATATTACATCCCATTAACTCAGCATATTCAACACAGCTTGACTTCGTGACTATGCTCGCCTACGTCCTCGCTCTCGGGACAATCAAAATGTCCTTTTGCCTACTTTATCTCCACATCTTCCCAGGAAAAAAATTCCGGATCGCCTGCTGGTGGCTTCTAGCCATTATCGTGGCGCAGACTATTGCCGAAGCCCTGGTCGTGCTTTTCCAATGCACTCCTGTTCACAAGGCCTGGGATGCCACAGGTCTTGTCAAAGGGACCTGCGTCGACATGAACACATTCTACTACGCCAATTTCGCCGTCAAACTCGCCAGTGACCTGGCCTTGTTCACTATGCCGATTCCAAAGCTTGTCCAGTTAAGGATGCCGGTGGGCAAGCGAGTGGGACTAGTGATAATGTTCAGTCTGGGTCTTCTGTGAGTGCTTTGCCTCATGAGATGATTGGATCTGACTAACCCGACGACTAGTGTATGCATGACAAGTATAATCCGAATCTGTTACCTGAATCCTTTCCAGGTAGACCATACCTGTAAGACAAACCACATGCTTTCACTACTTGGGTCGAGTCTAACTAGCGGAACCTCTTTTTAGGGTCGATGGTCAATGCGACGAATTGGTCTTGTGTGGAAGTTGCCGTCGCCATTTTTATCGCATGCATTCCCTCATTCAACACCCTGATCAGCTACCGCTTCCCGAGACTGCAGCGTATGCTGGGTCTCCCTAGCAACAAAGACAACACCACTGGTCCGTCGAATACATATGGCACTTCAAGTCATCGGACGTGGAATACTCTATCAATCGAGCCGAATAATAGCCATAAATTGAAAGCAATCATGGGCAAGGGCCATGGCGATGTGCAAGTCAGTGCCAATGGGTCACAGGAGCATATTATACATGCTGGAATTCAGGTGACTACTGATGTTAGTGTCAATGATAGGAAAGTTTGATGCAGAGCATCATGTACTGAAAAATCAATTCTTACATGTTTTTACTTCTTATTGCCTCCATGACGTATACTTGATTACCATTTGAAACAGGGTACAGCAATACGGCCCAAATTTATGGTGGGACAGCTTTTCCTTAGGACAAGTCGACCTCGTGTAGACTCGTTATAAAAATACCCCACTTCCAAATTCCTTCGCAGTGGCCGAAAGAGTGTCATCAACGAAAGTTCACTTTAGCTCTAGTAGTTTGCATAGTAGAACAGCATTGATCCACGCTGAATGACTTTCAACCAAGATACATATTTCTCACTTTGCGAAAACATCCTATTTTCTTTTTCCTTGGGACAAAAATTGGGGCTGAGTTCTGCTCTTGCTGCTGTACTGTCGGCCTTTCGAGGACATATGTGTTTGCTCTGTTTGCACTCGGCATCAGTCGCGGCGGCTTCACCACTCCGATTGGATTCGGTCAACCACTTCAAGTGAGTAACATCGACAGACGCACTCCACTAATCTGCCTGGTAGGCATTATTTACCGCTCTCCTCCTCCTGTACCCCATGCTAAGTCCACAATAGATCCCAAAGCCTCGGACTGTACACACCACTTGTGATCAGCCCGAACAGTCAAATCAAAGCAGCCTGTCTTTGAGAGAGCAGTGCTCTATTCTAGGACGGTCCCTGACCAAAGCGCATGATTGAAGGCACGCAGTGCTACACTTGAAATCTAGCTCAATCGGAATTTGAGATCGCGCCTTTACCACCAAGCCACCCAGCCCAGCCAGTGGGCGGAGAGGCGCTCCAGAGCACTACGAAAGACTGCAACGACTACTCGCACTCAATTTCATATCAAGCTCTGCCACAGGCAGGCCAACCATCAAGATGCCGATCACAGGGTAAGTGTGAGATGGACACGCCATGGTCTTCCAACATATTACTAACTAGCACAGAGTCTACTTCATCCCTGCTACAACTTCAACCACCCCAAGTGCAATGGAGCACATAACACAGCGTCTAAAATCAACTTTCAAAGAAGCAGACCTCATCCCCATCGGCCGGTGGGTCATGGAACAAAAGATCATGCGCGACACACCGGGCCTGCTCCCACACACAAACCCCAATGAGAAACCTCCAAAGCCACGATGGATGCAATTCCTCTCATTAAGCCACTACAAAAACCACGGTTTCATCTACACATCCGAGCCACTGGAAAAACCATTCCACCCGCCTAACGCAGCTTCGCCCGTACCTTCAGCAATGCCCGCGACGAACGCAGGTGATACTTTGCCCATGATCATGGCGACGATGTCGCACTCAGCCTGCAAAACCATGTTCCAGCATTTTTCGTACGCTTGCCAGCCCTTCTGGGCTCACCGGTTGACGCTCACGGTGCCGAACGGTGTTTATTACGATGTGGGCGACTTCCGCGTGCGAGTCGGTGATGTTCGTCAGACTTTTCCGTCGCTTCGGGCACGTGGGACGCTTGTTGAGATTGAATGGCGTGGTCCGTCGATGATTGATTCTTTTACTGCGACCGTTGCGAGTAATGGAGAGAATTCCGATTCTGGCGTTGATGTGTCCTTCTCTGCGCTTGAGGATGCTGATGTCGATGCGGAGTATGCGGCTACGGCTTTGCTTATTCGCGAGTTTTGGCAGAGGTTGGGGGTTGAGGGGGCTAAGGAGGCTATTCTGGTTCCTGGGGTTGGGAGTGAGGTGAAGGAGCAGTTGGCGAAGGTCAAGAGTGGGAAGCATGTTTTTGACAAACGGGCTCAAAGGGGAGATGCTATCCTTAAGAAGCTGGGATTAAGCGATTCGACCGAGCAAGATCCGGATCCGCAGGCTGGGGTGGACGTTGCTAGGCAGTACATGGAGGTTTTGCGGTTTAACCGGTGATTTTTCTGCGACTACCCTAGGGTAGAAAGAAAGGGAGCGACTGGCAAGGGATCGGATGCAATTTAAGTACGGTGCAGCGTTTTGGACTGCTCGTTTCAGTAGAATATCATTCATAGGTGTACTATGAACCGCATCCCACTCTTTCACCCTTATCTCCTCATTACCTGCTTTCCAAAGTGCACGCTTGATCATGAAGAGTCACAGTTGAGCCGCGTTCAAAGGCATAGACTACAGAGACCGGTATCGGGGAACTGAAATGGAAGACAATAGGAAAGAAGAAATAACCTCGTTTGGAAAATCGCGACTTCAGCTAAAGATGGAAACACATGGCGACGTGAGAGGTTTACTTTTGCATCATAAGCTGAACGAACTCGTTGTCTGCAGGAATATTAGTATCTGAGTGAGCTCAGGTGGGGGTGTGGGGAGGGAGGGGGTCGTACAGTCGATACGGCCGTCGCCGTCCTGGTCGGCCTCGCGGATCATCTCGTCCACCTCGTCGTCGGTCAGCTTTTCGCCGATGGAGGTCATGACGTGGCGCAGTTCAGCGGCAGAGATGAAACCGTTGTTGTCGCGGTCAAACACCTTGAACGCCTCGCGGATCTCCTCCTCGGAGTCGGTGTCCTTCATCTTGCGGGCCATCATGGTGAGGAACTCTTTGCGCGCAGTGTCAGTGGTTGTGTCCGTCCGTGCTTGTGCGCACCCGACCGTAGTCGTAGCGGCGGCGGTGGAGCTCTTACCAGGGAAATCAATGGTGCCGTTGTTGTCAGCATCGACCTCGTTGATCATATCCTGCAGCTCGGACTCGGAGGGGTTCTGGCCAAGAGAGCGCATGACGGTGCCGAGCTCCTTGGTGGTGATTTGGCCTGTATAAGAAGGAGGATTTAGCGAGCTGTTTCCTTCGTCATGAGGCAAATTGTGGCAGTCGTTCCAAAGAACACGTTCGTCCTGATTGTCAGGGAGATCGATGTAGTCCAGGAGATCCAAGGACTCCACGCTCTCACTGCGATCGAGGGCTTTAATCTTCGGAAGTTGCCTGCCAGCAAGGAACTCTGCCCGTCATGGACTTCCTCGCCAACAGGGCATTCCGTGTGCTCGGAGTTTTCGTCCAGGGTGTGAAACTCACCATCTCCATCTTTGTCCTAGCGATCGCGAAATAACCCGTCAGCTAAATTGATCCAAATCCACGTCTCCAATCATCGTATGGGAGCACTCACGAACAGGGAGAACGCCTCCTTGTACTCGGAAACTTGCTCTTCGGTAAGAGAATCGGCCTAGACGGGTACGATGGCGCTGTCAGTCACGAGTGTCCAGATCAACAGTGGGCGTCCCGGGTTGCGGGGAGGCCCGAGTCCGACCAACTCGATTCAGAGCAGTCGAATGGATGGCGATACATCCAGATCCAGATTCCAGATTGAGCTTGGAACATACCATGGTGATCGGTGTGGTCGGAGGTGGTGAAAGGGTGATAAAAACGGACGGAGAGGGGTCAATGGAGTTATGGTGGGGAGGAAGTTAAGGGGAAGACCAGCCTTACGGGCAGGCAGAACAACACCGGGCGGCTGCTGTCGTCCAATCACCGCCACCAGGGTCGCGGGCGGTCAGACCTAAAACGTGACCTGTACGGACTCGCCGTGGGTTGATTTACTACCGACTGCGACACGCCTGCTGCATCTTCCCAACTCAGCTGAAAGGCGGGTCTTGACAGCTGCACAGGGGCGTCTTTTTTGGCCCCCAGGCGGACTCGGTTATCGCACCTATCCCCCGTGGCTCTATTGCCCTCCATGCTGTGTCTATAAGGTGACATCCAGCGCTGACGACGCCAGGCGGATCACCAAAAGCTTGGTGTTTGGCCTCAGCCGTCCCGCTAGCATCGGCCAAGACTATAACTGCAGCCAACCTTTCTGCGTATTCGAGCCGGTGGTGTTATCGACCCCGCAGCTGACTCCGTCAGGCTACTTCCCACGGAAAGCATAATGCTGCCACTCTAGACGTAGGGTACTCGGTTGGGCCCCGAGGTTTTTGTCTTGTTTACCGAGGGCTTTGAGATCTGTAGAGCTGGACGCTTACACCAGATATACCCCGCGCACTCCACCGGACATCATCTTCCCTAGGCGACTTGTGTGACGTCGAAAGTGAACTACTAGTAAATGTAATTATAGGAGGTATGATCATCTCAAAAAGTGTTACGTCGAATGTGAATATCCATTTTCTTTCTTTTTACCTTCCGTCAGGTGAAAACGGTAGTGAAGTCACCTGCTATAAGGAAGTCAGATAAAAATACTCAGTTCCCACGGGACAGCAAGATCCACCTTCTCCACGAAAAGCTGCACTCTATGTGAAACGGAAAAGACACAGAATGACGTTGATCTACTCAACCAAAAGCAGGCAACATGGATACCCTGGGATGGAAGACCACGAGGGGGATGAAGTGTACGCCGAGGTGAAACTAACTGAATATGGAAAAGCCAGTATGACCAGCCCAATAGCGCAAGAGCAATCTATAAAATTAGCGAGTGTGTTGATCACGGAGTTCGTGCGGCTCTAATCGATAGGTTCAGTAGACCTTTCCAAGTACTTTCGGGCGGGTACGGCATTGCCCGGATTGGGCATGTGGTTCAGGGCGCGTGACGTTCGTAGCAGTCTCCACGTGGCAACCCGCCTGCGTGGGTGAGCAACCTATATCGAGTCAGATCTTGTTGATAAGATGTTGCCTGTCAGATACCCTTGAAGCCCACAGAAAAGGGTAGCGATAGAGAAAAAGCCGAGACGAAAGCGAGTACGATTCTCGGCCAAGTTGTAGGTGATCTGAGTTCAGATAGAACGTCTTAATGTTTGCCAATCATCCGTATAGTCAAAGTAATGATTCAATGCTCGTCTATTGAGCGAATAAAACCAGCCCATCTCTATAACTAGTCATAAATCATAACTCATAACACGTTTGTCTTGATGCACATGGTCGCCAAAAGTGAAAGGCACGCAATGCACGCTAGTAGTATAAATAAAGGCGCCGGGGAATATCCCACCGTCATGCTATACGTAGCACTCATTATCGCGGGCAGGACGACTCGAGCGATAGAATGCAGGAAACTCAAAAGCCCGAGAAGTTGGCCGGATTGGTCGCTGGGCACATGAGATGTCAGGCAGGATGTTAGAAGAGGGGCCACAGGCGCAGCCGATGCAACAAGTAGAGAAGAAATGATGAAAGAGCCCGGGTACCGAGAAAAGGCTATCCCGATATAGCCTAGGCATTGCAGCGCCAAACAGACTTTGATGGCGCCTACCTCTCCGAAATTCAACACAGAAGACAAGCTTGAGGGGCTCATTCTTCTGCCCCATCGGCGGACTAGCATCATGGCTGCAGGGAATAGCAGGACAAGTATCAAGATGCTCCATGATGAGAAAAGAGCTAGGGCGAAGCTCTGGGTGCTAGGTTCCCAGTGGAACAAGTATGCGGTGTATGCGAGCTGGAGAGAGTAGATACCCATAAGGATCCCGAAGATGCAGAAATCCACAGTTGCTAGGATAGCCATATTCTTCTGACGCGCCGCGCTTGATGCACGTATTGCCTTTAGTGACGAGAACACGAGACTGACACAGTTTTCCTTCCGAGGTAGTTCCTGGGTCAAGTCATCTTGACTGGTTGTACCATCAGGCTTGGGTCGGCGTGACTCTGGCAGGAGGAAGAGGAAAGCGAATGCGAGACATATATGGGTGCAGATGGCAAGCTTGTAGATGAGCTGGAATGGATTCGAAGCCGCTAGTAGGACCCCAGAAATGATGGGTCCCAGAGCCAAAGAAAAAGAGATGGCGGCCTGCAGATAACTGAAGAGTCGTGCTCGTTTGTTCGGCGGCACAAGGTCGGTAACATATGCTTGGGACAGGGCCGTCGCTGTAATGACTGCGCCGCTGAGACCCTCTATGGCGTATCCCACCAGGAGCCAATGTAGATCGATATAATCCGGGTATCGAAGGATGGTGAGGAGGAGAGATTCATAAATCAATGGTCCCATAGCGGTTAAAGCCAGGAAAGGTTTGCGACCGACGCGGTCCGACAGTGAGCTGAGGAAGGGGGTCGAAACGGCACCGAGAAGGCCGGCGGTTGTTTGGCCGTAAATGAAGAACCGCGAGAGATCAGATTGCGCTTGCTTGTTACCCAGGCACTGGGTTAGGTCTTCGAAGAGATTCGTAGCATTGTATTTGGAATGGTCTAGTTGACTCGTGGAGTATCGTTGGTGACAGATCAGGGCGAAGATAGCATTCATCTCTGGGACGGTCAAGACGCCGAAGACGAGGATGTAAATGAGGAACATGGAGATAATCCATGTTGGCTGTGGTTAATATGGCATTGGGAATCAACAACTGAGTCTCAGGAAGGAATAAAAGAGTAATACCGATGGTTGGCGAAATCGAGACCAGAATGACCTGGTTTCATGGGCCGTTCCGCCCGAGTCGCCATACTCCGGGCCACAACGGCTCTGGAGGAGAGGCCAAGTCTCCTCGTCCGACCGGGCAAGACCCATTCTATAGTGCGGTGTAATGAAAAAAAGTTAGTGTGCATAGAAGGAAATCTGCGATCGGAGATCTATTAATAAAGGAATGACGGGGGTGCTTAGGCAAGATCTAAGATGAAACGAGATCTGGGGCTCAGGGCAGCCGTTGAGATGCACGCGACGTGTTCACCTGCAGCCCTGCATGCCAGGTTCCACTAACATAGCGGTCTGGCTTGTGCATGACGGGCATTTTTGCTTCTGCACGTTAGGGGGGGGCCGAGCGAGGGCCGACACGTGGGTGTCATTTATGGACTGAACTGGATTTTCCTATTCTGGAGCGCTAGTTCAAGTTGTTTACTCCAATATCAAGGTGGGGTTCTAGCGTCAACGAGGGAAAAAATGAATCCTGGATGCTAGTAAACCCACGACGCAACAAAGACGTTGAGTTCCACCGCAGAATTCGCCGAATATCTCTCCCTAGATTGGGCAAGTGCCCCGTGGGTGCATGTTTGAGATTGGCAGTGTTACACAGGAATGGCCAGTGTCCAGGTGGCTACGTCATTTTCTGTGCTGGCACCAGATCACTATCTCGCGACCTTATCTTCCCTCATCTCTGTTGGGCATGAGCCAGAAAGGCAAATGACCTCTTTTCGCGGAAAGGGTTACGAACTGCTGGTCATAGCTGCTTCGTTTCGCGGGCAGGTGCCCTTTTTCTGACGCCCTTGAGTCCCTGTCCGGATCTTGTCTTACCCGTTCTTGTATCTGGGGTCATCATAGGATGTATCTTTTTCGCAGTCAGGATTCTATTCAACGCTTTATCGCAAATGGTTTCATTCAAGATACATAATAAGAATCATTCCGCCTGATCTTGTTCGCGACCAGCCATTTTGGGGCTGGATGCGATGGACGATCTTCCGCCCATGTTGACAGGCGGGATGACACTTGAGATCTCACTCCCGATGATACCAACGTCGTACCCAACTTGAACGTGACGGATTGCAGACGGTTCTCACCAGGGAGAGGGGCCTAAAGGGGGCAGTGTCGTTGTCGTACCTGTAGGGATGAATCCCTTTGAGACAAACATTACGAACTATCGCGCAAAAGAGATTCGCTATGACGCCCCTTCACAAGGGTTGGTATAGTGCCCCTAGACCAAATTTGTCTCGAGATCTGTAGCAATCGCGTGTATCAGGTCGTCGTGCATGAAAAGGGTCTTCCGACAATGCCATCCCTGCTTTCTTGGAACTGATAGTGGCAATAGTTAGAAAGACAATCCGTGGGTCGCAAACAAATATTCTGCTTATCAAGTTGACGACGTTGACGTATATCTCACAAACAAGAACGAACATTCCAAAGAGGAAAACAACCGCATTATAAAACGCACTTCTAATATTGTGCGCCGAAAACCAGCACCCTTCTTGATAAGAACCAGCCACATAATGGGTGGAATATAAAGCAAAGTCCTGACGTGAACAACGAAGAGCATATGGACAAGATGTCAGGAAACGCTGGGATGACCTCGACAACAACCCAGGAAAGAAATGTCAAGACAGTGACGAGCGCGATCCAAGTAGTAACGTATGACGGAGCCGCCACAGATGTTTGTGTAGATGTACCGAGCGAAAACACTGGTGTTGATGAACCAAGAAATAAAGATGACGGGGAGAGCGATGCCGAATACTATCCTCGACATCAGTGTTCCAGCAGAGAGCAAAGCTGGCGATTGCACGTCTTGCCCGACGAAAGAGTAGATGAGGGCTCCGATCAGCGTAGTATATGACATTTTCAATCAGTCCCAGCACGTATATGGACTTGACGTAGTCTTTAGGATTCCGCATTTCGTTCATGAAGGATGGTAAAGAAGGCGCGAATGCAAATGCGAAGTCAACATTGTTGATTGCGACCATAGCCTTCGCGAAATCGGTGTCCCCTTTCGGCCACGCCGACCGGTCGCCCAGTATGGCGGTATCGGCGAAGGTGGGCGGGATTGCGAGGGCGAGAAGGATCAACGTAGAAACCAGACCAAAGATCACAGTGCAAATATCACTCTTGGCAATGGTAGCGAATGCTATGATCCCAGTAAGACAGTGTGATCCCACGATCAGCATTAAACTAAGGGTAAGAGCCACAGTGATGATCCAGAAGCCACATTCTCCTCGAATCAGCCTTCCGTTATCTCCGTAATGCTCAACATCTGGATACTTCAAGATCTTTACCGCGCCGACGACATGGCTGGCGTAGGTTGCGATGACGCCACTTCAAGCTGTAGATATCACGCCTGCGACCATGCTGAGTGTCGCAAATGTGGCGGGAATGCTGAGAGACCCGTGCGATGGCTTCGACGATGAGTACAACTGTCAGGCGCTTCCAGCCGAATCTATGGAAGTTTTTGTTTCCATGGGTTATTTTTATGTGCCTCCTAGATTAGCATGGCATCTGGTCGAGAGTTTTCGTCTGTTATTTTATTCAGCGACCGCTGCATATCGGGTTCTTTCCATCGCCATAGGTTATAGGATCGGGAAAGGGGATAAGTTTGCTATTAGGGACATTTTCTAGTAGGACTGGGACCGTACAATGCAATGCTGTAGGATATCAATTATAGATGGTCAAAGCCAACGGGTGTTGGAAGAGGGGGGTTTGGGTGCTGAGAGTTCCTGACCTCCGCCCTCTGGCCCAGATATACGCACTTCACGTCAACTACCGAGAGCTTCTGGGAGATAGGTGAGAAAACCAGCTCAATCTCTGGCAACGCCGAATTATTTGCGTAATTGTGCAAGGATTGTAGGTCTAAGTGTTGCGGTTCAGCTACGCCAGCCATAGTCGTGATATCCGCACATCATCTCCCGTTTCATGAGTAGTGACATAGACCTCACGCAGATTAGCCCGCGTCCGCTAACTCACTTGCAAGTAGGCTGGCAAATAGGATTGCTTAGCTCTCTTATTGACCGCATTTGCATATATTATGTGTGAAGTGGACGGATTTTGCATGGTGAAGATTTGATGTATACCCTACCTAGGTATACTGAAGCAGGGTACTCGGTATAACATCAAGTCTGTGCAACAACATGGAAGCGAATAACTGGCGGGCGAGTGTATACACGTATACTAGACGAGTCCACGGAGGCAGACACGAAACTATTTAGCAGCGAGATCATATACACTGCTCGGACTTGGCAGGAAAGAGAAGTGTTTGACTTAGTATGAGCTTCTTATCTTATGTTGTGGTATGCATCACTTGGTTCTTACATAGTACTAGCCACTTCATATCTCTTGCTATTTGCTACCTTTGCATTTTTAACATCCATCAGAGTGCCATTAGTTACTTCGCATGAAGCCATTCGATATGGTAGAATGCCGGAATTTATCACTCAAGGATTGTATATATTACATCATTTGATGCTTATTGAGCTGAGACTTAAGCAGAACGAGAGACAGTTGACTTCAGGAAAATCCCTAGTAAGCGTTTCAGGTTGAACTTGGGGGCTGAAATAGATAGAGCCATTACCACACAGTCCCTCAAACACGGCCCATTCCCTTAAATATTTAGTTCCACGCCTATCTCCTGAGAGTTGGGGATACCAACGTCATACGGCCCAAAACCATCCAAACAAGTGGAGACGGGGCGGCGTGACGGGCGTATTACCGGCCGTGCGCCTGCCCCTGTTGCGGTGCGGAGAGGAGGCAGCTTCCCGGGACCTTCAACTCCGCCGAGACCGACCTCATCGCATTCCAACCCACCACCACCGTCGCATGGAACGCATCCAACATTGCACCGACTGATCATGAGCTTCGCATATACGACAACGTCCCCTTAATAAACCTCACGCGCACATCCCCCCCTCTCTCCATCAGCCACGATGTGGCGGGATCGCACCAACCTGTACGCATTCCCTCGACAGCTCAGCCCACACTCGCATCCCTGAAAGAAAGGAGATACTAATGGATTCTGCCTTTCAATAGCTACATATCCTACCGTCAATCCTTCGCACACCACCCCTCCAAGAAGCCACGCTTTGGCGGCCCCTCCAATGGCTTCGACACATCATCCCAGCCGGAGGAAAGCCGTCGTCTGATCTCCGAGACCGGCGGCTTCGAAGAAGATGGCGACATGGTCATTGAGATGGACCTGCTCCCGCCGCGCTGGGTCGACGTGCAAGAAGAAGTCACCGAGTACCTGGCCGACATTGCGCAGAAATCCTCCGAACTGGACAAGTTGCATCATAAACACCTACTCCCGGGCTTCGGCGACGAGGACGTCCGTCGGAAGGACGAAGGCGCGATCGAGCGGCTCACGCAGGAGATAACTCGCAGTTTCCATGATTGCCAAAAGGCGATTCAGCGGATTGAGATGATAGTCCGCGAACAGGGTAGTGCCAGTAGTGGCGAGGAAACTATGGCGAAGAATATCCAGATCTCGCTTGCGCAAAGGGTTCAGGAATCCAGTGCGAGGTTCAGGAAGAAACAAAGCACATATTTGCGAAGTATGATTGTCCCTTTGCCCCCGACGTCGAATTGGAAAATGGCAGTTAACACATCACGCGACTGATAGAACTACGAGACCTGGATGGAATCTCAACACCCTTCGACCGCGCGCCTACGCCTACACCCGCTCAAAATCCCTATACAGACCCCTCCCTCATGGAATCGGATGCAGACAAGTCGTTCTCGCAGACGATGTTGATGCAGACCCAACAACGATTAACAGGGCAAAACGATGCCGCTATTGCACAACGGGAGCGGGAAATCAATGACATCGCAAAGGGTATCATCGAATTGTCGGACATTTTCCGCGAGCTCCAGTCCATGATTATTGACCAAGGAACCATGCTCGACCGCATCGACTACAACGTGGAGAGAATGGGCACCGACGTCAAATCTGCAGATACGGAACTCAAAGTGGTGAGTCTTGCCCAATGACCCATGAATGTCTTGCAAAATTCTTAACTTTCGTTCCTAGGCTACGAATTATCAGCGGCGAACGACCAAGCGGAAAGCAATACTACTTCTGGCGCTCATCGTTGTGGGGCTGATTATCGTCCTGGTTATCAAGCCTAAGAAGAGCAGTGCGCCGCCACCACCACCGGCTGATGAAAGCTCGAACAATATCCGCTCTGTTGTAGCTTCGGTAGATCGGTTGAGGCGGCACCCTTCGTCAAGTCGATTTGCAAGAGATCGGTGGATGGATCCGGATATATTCCGATGACCTTGTCGTCGGTGCATCATGACACTATAATTAGTTAATACAAATGAGTCGGAAGACTATTCTACTCGGTATCTTTCCTTGGCCCAGTGGTTTGTACATTACTGTAATCTAAAGTGCCTTACGAGGAAATAGAGAACAGTGAACAGACGTGATGGTTCATTTGGTATTTGAATACACAATTCATCGCTCAGAGGCCATTGCCATCGGAGAAGAATAGTACACACTCTAGTATCCTTCGAAAAACAAAATACCTTGGAAGCATGCCCCATCGGCACAAATACATGAAGATCAAAAGCAAAATGCCTGCGTACAGGCCACGAGGGAAAAACCATTCAAGCCGGTGTCGAAAACAAGCGTTGGAGCAACTGAATCACTGCTGGCCCTGCTGCGCAATGAGCTCTGCCACATCCGCATCCAGATCCTCCTTGGCAAACTTCGCATAATCCTCCTCATCATGCGTGACCTTGCGCCTTTTGGCAGCGCCGTTCGAACCGAAATCAAAGTCATTTTCTCCCCCGGGAGAAAAGCTGGACGAATCAGGGAGTGACATTCCGTTGTCAGGCTGGGAAATGACGAGGCTTTCAGGGATAGGCTGGGACGGCTCTTCCGTGAAAGGGCCGTGGCTACTCTCCGCGGGCTCGGGCTTGGGCGATCCGACTGGAGTCAATGCTTCGACTGGGGGAGGAGTCAGGGCTTCGACAGCAGGACGGGGCATATCTGAGGCTCCATCGCCGCTTCCGATCAAAGTCTCAGAGCTGTCGTTGAAACCGCGGACGATTGCGTCTTCAACCTCGCGTCTCTTGCCCTCGGTCTGAATCTTTCTGTCGGCAAGCTGCGCAGCGAGAGATTCTTCCTTCGCAAGTTCAGCTCGGTTCGTCTCAAGGAGCTTCTCCAATCCGGCGATAAGGGCCTGGCGCGATTTGATGACCTCCGAGACAGAAGTCTCAGCATTAGCGAGGGTCTTGAGCAGAGAGCTGAGGCGAGCGGCGTGAACGGGAGGAGCTGGCTGGTCCTTGGGGTCCTGCAGCTTGTCGTATTCGGTGTTGGAGGTCGTGGTGGTGGTCTTGGAGGAGATTGCGGCCTTTGCGACGGCGACCTGGAGAGGAACCAGCGGTTGAAGTTCGGACGGAGTAGATCCAGTGGAATGATCCTTGAAGAAAGAGCCTCCGAGGGGCTGTTTCTTGGTCGTAGAGCGATTCTTGTCGATCTCTGTATTCGATTTCGTCAAAAGTTGGTTCATCAAAAGTTGGTCCAAATAGACAAGACAGAACGAACCGTTCACGCGAGCTTCGATGGCCTCCTGAATGGGGCCCTCGAACACATTACGCTGTCTCCAGACTTCGACCACCCGGCGCATTCGTCCCTGGATATCGTCCGACGCGCCTTTGTACGCGGTAGCGGTAGCCTCCGCAATGATCTACAGTCTTGTCAACGCCATCACTTGGCTACACAAGAACAACCAGGGAAACATACGGGGGAGAATGCGATTAAGAACTCCTCTCGGTTGCGGGCCTTCGACTGCTGGGCAACCTCTGGATACACTGGTTAGTCTTCGGGATAGCACTCGATGGGGAGAACGGTCATCGTCCGTACCGTTGGCGAGGTAGAGCAGGTTGAGTCGCTTGGGAGCCGGCGAGTCACGGACCTTCTGTAGCCAGATTTGCGCAGTGCGCTCGGCGTGGCGTCTGTAGGAAAACAATCCATGTTAGCGCGTCTGAAGCTAGCTTCGGCGTGTTGGGAGTAGTACCGATGGAACATCACCCATTGCGCGACAGTGACGATGCTTTCCTGCGTTTCATTAAGAGCAGACAGCTTTGCCTTGACGGAATCGTCCGTGTACGCCATCTTGATCCGAGAGAATCAAGGAGCCAGAGTGTGACAGAAGGTGGAAGAGAGATCGGAGAGTGTAAGGTGCACAATGGTAGGAGGCTCAGGTGACAGCTTAAGAGGAAGGCAACAGGGCAAATTGCCGGTGGCAAGCGCGAAAGGCAGAATCCGGGGAGATGCAGCTTTGCCGATGCTGATTGCGAGGACGCACCACAGAGCCGAGCGACTGCCGAAAAGGCCAGGTGCTTTCAGTTGAGAAGGTGAAGCTGTCGCTCATCGCTAACACCCAAGCTGCTCACCGCCTTTGATGCCGACGGGGCTCCGAGCGTCTCGCCGGCAAACAACTGTCAACTCCAACAGCTCTCAGCACTCTTCAGTCTCCAACTCTCGTCATACACCCATCTTCTTTTTGATCTTACTACCCATTTTGTTACGACCAGATTCACATAGCTCTTACAACATGGCCGACCGTTTCCCCTCCCTGGAGGACTTCTCTGAGGGTACGATTTACCCACCTGCACGAGGGCCCGCCCCATCTAAGAAGTCATGAACTCACATTGTTGCTTCAGGTCAGACTGAGGTTATCGACAACACTGGCGTCGGCCAGGATGACTTCTTGGCTCGCGAGCGCGCCGCTCTCGGAGAAGATGCCGACCAATTCGCTACCCCCCAAGACAACGTTGCCGGCGGCGATGACGATCTGCTCGGCGGCGGCAGCAACGATACCCCCGCTGAGGAAATCGGACAGTTTGAATCCTCCTTCCCCTCAATGGAAACCCAGGCACAGAATGAGGTATGATTTGGACTCAGTACACCGTCCCTGGAAGTCCGGACTTTGCTGACACGACTGTCATTTGGTACAGCGCGTCGCCCCTGGCGGTACAATCACTGGCACCGGATCTCCTTTCCCCCCCCACCGGATACCCTAGCTTTCAAGAGCCTGAGGAGGAGCCCGAGGCAGTCCGGTAAGTCCGATACACCTCCTCAGTGGAAAGACGCATACTTGTTTACTGCCTTCCATGACCCCCCTTCCCCATGCATGATCGACTAATGAATCAATTATTTTGCACAGTCAATGGCGCGAGAAGCGTGATGCCGAAATCGCCCGCCGTGCAGAGATCTCAAATGAGAAGAAAGAGGCTAGCGTGAAGAAAGCCCAGGAGGACATTGATGATTTCTACGTTTCTTACAACAACAAGGCCGACAAGCACCGTGCCCAGACGAAGACCGAGGCTGAACAATTCCTGGCCAACCGTGAGGACACCTCCGCCGGCGGTACCAGCTGGGAGCGCATTGCTAAGTTGGTCGATGTATCTGGCAAGGGTTCTGTGGGTGGCGGCAGTGGTTCTGGCAAGGAGCGCTTCCGGGAGTTGCTTCTTGACCTCCGGAAGGACCAGGAGGCACCCGGTGCTACTGGGATCTAAGATGCTTTCTTTTTCGTCAAAACGGCTGAGAGTTCGTGAAATGCGGGACGTGGGGTTTGCAGAGGTTAGTTAGGCCTGGAGAAATTCTTCCATGTGTCTGGTGGCCTCCTGCGGCCTCTTTTTCGAACTTGTCAGTATGCGTCAGTCTGGATTTAGAGGTGTTCTTTCTTTATTTCTTCTTTTCCCCCGTCTTGTTTGTTTATTTGAACTCTTTCTCTCCTTGCAGCGAGGTCTTCGGGGGTATGTGTAATCTAAGTATTTCAGACTGGCGGCATCGTTAATACCAAGTCTTATGATCGCATAGCCGAATCAATATCTAGTCCATTTAGATTTGCGGCAGAGCATGCACTACTCGATGTTGCTAGTGTATTCTTGTCTTGTAGATGTGGATATTGCTTCTATATTTATACCTGCCGGGCTGCTAAATGACGTAGGGGCTACAGTATGCATCACTGTTCAAGTCACAACCACAAATTTGAGATACGGTTTACAGATTAATGTAGTGTAGTGAAGCTTTCAGAGAATATATTGCGAATCGTTATCCTTTTTCATTTTAGATTTGATATCTATACTTAACTTACCCTAAATAAACGTCTCACAAATATACGAGGTCATGAGAAGACATTCAATGGCATTTGTTCATCACAAACTACTAGGGTGGAAAATTGTAGCACTTTTATTTTCAATCCAACTCCGTAACATCACCACCAGGCTCACCGATCTCTTGCTTACTCTCCTCCTCAATCTCCTTCAGCCTCTTCTGTCCTTCCTCGGTAGTACCATCGATGATACCTTCCTCCAAACTCAACATACCACCATTGCCCAGCTGCTCAACAATAACCTCTGCCTCCTCAACAGACATCCTGCCCAGAACCTTGTTTACTTCGTCCAGAGATTCACTGGCCAAAGCCTTCTGGAGATCCGCAGGGAAAGCATCGTAGAGCTTGCGTGCCTCAATCTCTGCGGGATCCTGGCTGTTGGCGGCTGGGGTGTTGATAGTGATCTTGGTGTTCGGGTCAGTGGCGTGCAGTTGGATCTGCTCTACGCCAGCGGGGTCGTTAGAGGACTCTTTGCTGAGTTCCGCTGACCGGGTCTTGATTCGACCGTAGGTCTCATTGACATCGTTGGTGAACAGAGTGGCTGCACGGTGATCTTTGGTGGTAATACTGTTGGGGTATGGTTAGGTTGAAATTTTGCGATTGGGCACTTGGTTAACATACCGAGAGAAGAAGAGCTTGATGCCGTCAGGACCGAGAGAACGGCAGTACTGCAAAAGCAGGCCCTGGTGGACACACTGGCGGGCATAAGCCTCATCGCCCTTCATCTGGCGATTGAATGCCTCAACAAGAAGACCGTCTGTCTCCTTCTCGGCAACGATTTGAGGGTTCTCGGAGATGAACTGCAGATAAGAGCCGTAATCGTTCGGCTTCAGGGCCGCAAATTTCTTAGCCAGGGCGCTGATCTCCACGTTGGCAGGGTCGTCATCGTCGTCATTTTCGGCCGCGCTGCTGGAGGCCTGGCCTGAGGAGCTCGGGTTCAGCAGCTCAACATCCGTTTGTTTTCCTGACCCGGAGGCCTTCTGCTGCTCGGCAACCTTGGCAACATGAGAGGTGTTAAAGCCCTCATGCAGCCCATCGCTGGTAATCTTGCTGCCCTCTTCCTTCTCAAGCTGGGCAAGCTTGGTCAACAATTCCTTCTGCAGTCCTTGCACCTTGATCTTGTGTCCCTCCACGCCTTGGATGTACGCCTTGAAGAGGTTGTCAGGCTTAGAGTCTTCGAATTCCTTCTTCACTTGGTCTACAAGCGATCCCATCATCTGCGAGTACTTTGGTTGTTCCTTCTCGTGTGTATGGACTCCTTCCGGCGGCGGCGGGGCTTGATCCTCGGAGGGGTTGCTGGCGAATTCCATGATGGTTCCGAAGATAAACTCATCGGGCGAAGCAGAGGAATCCTCGTGCTTCTTTAAGGACTCAAGGAGCCTGTCGATGCGCGACAGAAGGCCATCGTTGATAATGCGCTCGTACTTTAGGGTCTTAATATCGTGACGGCGCTGCTCACGTTGTTGGTGAATCTGGGCCTGCTTGGCCCGGATGAACGAGCGCTTGTCGACGTTCGGGTGAACCTCGATGTCCGAGTCGTCGGATAGCTCCAGTTGATCCCACTTGCTATAGTCAAGCACCATCTTGCTCGGAGTATGAGGGGCAGCGGGGTACGGCGGCGGGCTGTCAGAAAAAGGCGTTGTTGGGAACGGGTGTTCCTTGAGTTGCTGGATTTCACAGAAGATAGCTTTGGCAAATGAGCGGGAACAATATCAGCAGAAAATTGCCGCGAGGGAAAAGCTGGCCTGCAACAACAGCGGCGCTAAGCAGCGAGCATCGATAGCTCTCTGGCAGCTTCCATGGGCGGTCAGCAGCGGCAGATTAGTGGCTCGTTTTGCCGGAACCCCCGTTCTCCGACTTAGGACCTCCACATGCTGGGGACGAGCAACTTGGAATGACACTACGAGAGCTCCCCTCTGAGATAATGGCCGCCCGTGTTTCTCGGTGATTCAACTGAACACTTTCTATCTGCCATATACCCTCACATCGACCCGACCCGCCTCTCACGATGCGCGGTGTTCGGCTACCGGCCTGGGCGCCGGGTGTCTGCCCTCGGCCGACTGTCCGACAGAGCGCTGTCCTGCGCCAGGTCTTTCCACAATCGAATCGAGCAGTCAACCAATCTAGCGACTTCAATGGCGCCAAACGACTGTTTTCAAATTCCTGCGGAATCATTCGTGACACCCCCGGTGCTTTTCTCCGGTCAACTGAGGTTCCGTTTTCGCTTCGCCGGAATGGCCTCCAATATACCCCGTCAGCGTCTCGTATAATTTCACAAACCAGACTTCTATCCTCCGCCTCTCGTCTTCTCCAAGCGCAACCGCCGTCTCAATCCTCGAACACGCCCAAGACCAACAACAATGTAACCTCGGAAGCGGAGAAGAAGGAGGAAGAAGAAGGATTTGAACTCTCGGAGCGTGCCGCGCAAGCTGCGCAGGTCAACCTGCGGGCCAAGCTGGCGAAGGATGGCTCCTCGGGCAAGAAGTCAGGTTTTGCGGAAATCTGGCGATTGTTCAAGATTGCTCGACCGGAAACTAAGGCTCTCAGTTTTGCGTTCTTCTTCCTGCTGGTCTCCTCGTCTATCACGATGTCAATTCCCTTCTCGATCGGTAAAATCATGGACACAGCTACCAAGAGCATTGAAGAGGGTGGTGGCCAACTGTTTGGCTTGAGCATGCCCATGTTCTACACTGCTCTGGGTGGAATTCTCATGGTCGGTGCTGCTGCCAACTACGGTCGTATCATCATTCTTCGAATCGTTGGTGAGCGTATTGTCGCTAGACTGCGCTCCAAGCTTTTCCGCCAGACTTTCATCCAAGATGCCGAGTTCTTCGATGCCAACCGAGTCGGTGACTTGATTTCTCGCTTGAGTTCGGACACGATCATCGTGGGTAAGAGTATCACTCAGAACCTGTCGGATGGTCTTCGCGCCGGCGTCAGCGGCTTTGCCGGCTTTGGTTTGATGGCATACACGAGCTTGAAGCTGTCCAGTATCTTGGCACTTTTGCTGCCCCCAATTGGATTGGGTGCTCTGTTCTATGGACGTGCGATCAGAAACCTCAGTCGCAAGATCCAGAAGAACCTCGGTTCCTTGACAAAGATCGCCGAAGAACGACTGGGAAATGTGAAGACCAGTCAGTCTTTTGCGGGCGAAATTCTCGAAGTCAACCGGTACAACAATCAAGTCCGCAAGATCTTCAACCTCGGCAAGCGGGAATCTTTGATTAGTGCGACATTCTTCAGTTCGGTATGTTATGACAGGAGCGTTCGTACCAGCGCACTTTGCTTACACTTTCATCGCTTTTTTAGACCGGTTTGATGGGTAATATGACGATCCTGAGTCTGCTCTATGTTGGAGGTGGCATGGTTCAATCTGGTGCCATCAGTATCGGAGAGTTGACCTCTTTCCTGATGTACACCGCATATGCCGGCTCCAGCATGTTTGGTCTCTCCAGCTTCTACTCTGAGCTAATGAAAGGTGTCGGTGCCGCCAGTCGCCTCTTCGAATTGCAAGACCGCCAACCCACGATCCACCCGACAAAGGGTCTCAAAGTGGAGTCCGCACGCGGCCCGATCCGATTTGAGAATGTTTCCTTCAGCTATCCGACTCGTCCCGCTGTGAAAATCTTCAAAGACTTGAACTTTGAGATCCCTCAGGGAACTAATGTGGCTATTGTTGGTCCCTCTGGGGGTGGCAAGTCGACCATCGCATCTATCCTGCTTCGTTTCTACAGCCCCACTGCCGGCCGTGTCTTGATCAACGGCAAGGATGTCAGTGGCATGAATGCCAAGTCCCTTCGTCGCAAGATCGGTGTCGTTGCCCAGGAGCCCGTTCTCTTTTCTGGTACCATTGCCGATAACATCTCCTATGGTCGGCCTCATGCCACTCGTTCTGAGATCATCGCTGCTGCTCGCAAGGCTAACTGCCAGTTCATAAGTGACTTCGTAAGTCTGCCTCCTGAACCTCATTGAAACGTAACTAATTCAATTTTAGCCCGATGGACTTGACACCCACGTGGGTGCTCGTGGAGCTCAACTGTCTGGCGGACAGAAGCAGCGAATCGCCATTGCGCGTGCGCTCATCAAGGAACCCGATATCTTGATTCTCGACGAGGCCACTTCCGCCCTCGATGCTGAATCTGAGACCCTCGTTAACAGCGCGCTGGCGGCTCTTCTGCGTGGTAACAACACGACGATCAGTATTGCCCACCGTCTCTCAACGATCAAGCGCTCGGACACGATCATTGTCTTGGGCAACGACGGCACTGTTGCCGAGCAAGGCAGCTACGAAGAGCTCAGCTCTCGCCCCGACGGAGCTTTCACCAAGCTTATGGAGTGGCAAATGAGCGGCGGCGAGGCGCAGAACCCCCCAACACGGTCCGTTGAGCCGGACGAGTTGTACAAGCTCCAGAAGGAGACGGAGCCGGAACAAGACTTCGAAGAAGATGATGAAGTGGAAGAATTGAAGTCTGAGAAAAAGGAATAGATTTCACACCCCGCCCTAATGTTCATATATAATAAATAAAGGGCTTCTCCTGTCGACACCCAGCTCTTTTGAATACTCTCGCTTCTCATGCACCCCTTATTGGTTTGGATTTTCTTTACTTCGGCGATAGATATCAAACAAACAGCAACAGTGTACAAACACTCTTATACATTGAAACCCAAGATACTCAGCCTGATCCTCTCCTTAATGTCTATGATGTTCCAGCATGCCCTGCATGCAACAAACTGCATTACGTAATCACCTCCGCATTCCCCGCTGAATCATCGAAGCTGCGGACTTCCGAAGCGGCCTGAGCTGCACACCTGTGCTGGTCTCGTGGGTCACGGTCTGCCTACAAATTGATCCTATCGGCACGGCAGGAACACATACTATATACACACCATGGATCGGGTGCGCAGACTATTCAGCGAGCCTGTGGCGTACGAGCCGCTGGAGGAGACCCCCGAGGAAGATGGCGCCGGATCGGCAGAAACACCGGTACGGCCATGGGCTCGGTTTTCAAGGTTGGAGTATAGCGTCTTCTTCCTGCTGGGAGTGGCGATGCTATGGGCATGGTGAGTGTGGCTTTTGCTTGTGTTGGGCTATTTTGTTGTACCCAAGCATGAACCCCGTGGTTGTTGAACGGCGTGCTAACTCCGATGATGCTATAGGAACATGTTCTTAGCTGCCGCTCCATACTTCCATAGTCGCTTTGAGTCGAACGAATGGGCCGCAACACATTATCAGTCGTCGATCCTCTCCGTCTCGACTGTCACCAATCTCGCATCCTCGTATACTTTCGCACGGATCCAGAAGAATGTTTCCTACCCGTGGCGAATTACCCTCTCACTGCTTATCAATAGTGTCATTTTCACGCTGCTAGCATTCTCGACTGTCGCTATGACGGATGTATCCGTCCACGGATATTTTGTTTTTGTCATGATCATGGTCTTCGGCACCAGCTTGGCCACGGGGCTCAATCAGAACGGTGTCTTTGCGTATGTCGCCGGCTTCGGGAGAGAAGAATATATGCAGGCAATTATGAGCGGCCAAGGAATTTCCGGTGTTTTGCCTTGCATTATCCAGATTTTCTCCGTTTTGGCAGTACCACGAAAGGTCAATGATGACCAGAGCGGCGCTGGCATGCCGCAGGGATCATCGCCGAAATCCGCGTTCATCTATTTCCTTACGGCGACCGGCGTCTCGATCTTCACCCTCCTGGTCTTCTTTTATCTCCTCAGGAACCGAACGACCTCGCCACCGAAAACTTCGAATGAAGATGAGGACAGAGCGCTGGTCGACGGCGTCGAAGACAAAACCGTGAGCTTGTGGACTTTGTTCCTGAAGCTGCGATACCTCGCGTGTGCGGTCTTTATGGTTTTCGCCATCACCATGATGATATTCCCGGTATACACCTCCCGTATCCTCTCGGTCAACGACCCCGAAAAGTCGCGGATGTACGACCCGACGGTCTTTATCCCGCTGGCCTTTCTCTTCTGGAATGTCGGCGATCTTAGCGGACGGATGCTGGTGGCTATTCCGAGTCTGTCTCTCACCCACCGGCCGTGGCTTGCGCTTGTCTTCTCTTTCGCGCGGGTTGCGTTCATCCCGCTGTACCTGCTGTGCAATGTCAGCGGCCAGGGCGCGACTGTCAGCAGTGATTTCTTTTACCTGTTCCTCGTGCAGCTCCTGTTTGGTGTAACCAACGGGTACTTGGCTTCCAGTTGTATGATGGGTGCCAGCCAGTGGGTTTCGGCAGACGAACGCCATGCGGCCGGAGGGTTTATGGGAATGATGCTTGTTGGGGGTTTGACTGCCGGTAGCTTACTGAGCTTCGTGGTATCTAGTTAATTGCATGGGTATGTTTGGCTTAGACGCACTGCGGTGCATTCTCACGAGATAGACTGTTTGATACAGGTACAAGTAATGATTTACGACTATTTCCTCAGGCATATTGTTTCGGGCATATCATACATTTACTTATTTCTGCTTGATCTTCGATCTGAGTGAATTCGCAATCCAAACAAGCATATCAAATCCTCACAAGGCGTACCTAGAAACGCAGTGAGGCCGGTGGGTACGTTGGCGGCGTCTTTCTCTGACCCGCCGCAAGTGAAAGATGTGCGCCAGGGCATAATGAGAGACCGAACCAGGTCCGGGCCCAGCGGTCTTTCACTTCAAGTCGATAAAGCAAAGCGCCTGCTCCATCTAAGCAAAGTCAGGTGCGAATCCGCACAGTGCGGCCAAAGAAGCTCGCTCTCTCTTCCCCAACCCCTACTTCTTGCTCTCCTCGCCATTCTACTTCTTCTCTTTTTCCACCAACTCTCTCCTCTCCATTCCTCCTTGTGAGTTCCGCTTCTCACGTCCGCTCATTTTGCTTCGAGTTGCTCCCTTGATCGGCCTTGGATTTGTATTGCAATCCCTGTCGTATTTCTTGTAATCGCGCCAGACTAGAATGGCTGCCGAAGACGACTCAGCCTTATGGGTGTCCACAATCTTTTCGACCCTCCAGGCTATGGCCATTGCCTGCCTTGCCTCGGTAAGTCCCCAATCCGAACCCAGATGCCCCCAGAAACCAGTCACTAACTGTCTTCTAGCTATGTCTCTACTATCCTTGCTGGGTTGTCTACACATTGTTCTTGCACCCTCTCAGCGTCTACCCGGGTCCCAAGCTCGCTGCAATCACTCCTCTGGTTCACCTGCTGTGGGACATCCAAGGAAAGCAACATGCAGTTATGAAGGATCTTCACGACAAGTACGGCGACGTTGTCCGCATCGCACCGAATGCCCTCTGCTATCGCGCATCGTCGGCCTGGAAAGACATTTACGGGCATCGCAAGCGAGGGCAGCCCGTTTTCCTCAAGGACCCTTCACTGTACGCACCCACACCCAATGGAGTCAATGCCATTATTACCGCCAACGAAGAGGACCATACCCGTATGCGTCGACTGCTGACCCACGCATTCTCGAACAAGGCCCTTCTGGAGCAAGAAAGCCTCCTGCATGCCTACGCTGACATGCTCATTGACAAATTGGCAGGCTTGATGGGCGACCACTGCGCTCCAGTCGTCGATATGACCCGTTGGTTCAACTTCACCACTTTCGACTTGATTGGCGACCTCGCTTTCGGTGAGCCCTTCGACTGTCTCACAAACAACCAGTATCACTGGTGGGTAATGATCATCTTGGATGCAGTCAAAGCCAGTGCTTACCTGAAAGTGTTCTTTTTCTACCCAATTCTCCTTCCGCTCCTTGCTCTGCTTGTCCCGAAGCATCTCCTCCAGAAGCGCGAGGACAGTTTTGCACTAAGTGTGGAGAAGATGCGCCGACGACTGAAGAGTGGCACGACCCGCCCGGACTTTACCTCGTACATCATCAAGCACAGCAAGGACGGCCGCAGCCTTACCCCCGAGGAGATCGATGCCAACGCGGCGGTTTTCGTTTTGGCCGGCAGCGAGACGACCGCGGCTTTGCTTTCGGGTTGCGTCTATTACCTCCTTCGATACCGTGATAAGTACCTCCGATTGGCGAAAGAGATCCGCGGCGCTTTTAACAAACCCTCCGATATCAAGCTGGCTGCTATCACCGAACTTCCGTATCTCAACGCTGTCTTGACCGAGACTCTTCGCATCTACCCTCCTATCCCGTCGATGCTGCCGCGCATTGTCCCCGACGGCGGTGCCTACATTGACGGCGAATTTGTTCCCGCTGGAGTACGCAATTAACCTAGACAAATGAAAAATGTGACCGATACTGAAAATGACTCATTAGGTGTCCGTTTCGGTGTCTCTATACTCTGCCTTCAAAGCTTCGACCAATTTCCTGGAGCCCGACTCTTTTTTCCGGAGCGATGGCTGACCGGGCCCGAGTCTGCCCGCTTCATCGATGACAACAAGGAGGCATTCCAGCCATTCTCATATGGTCCGCGGAACTGCTTGGGACAGCAGTATGTATCCTGATAAACGCATCCCCGAACCGCTTTAGGTTATGCGCTAACTTTTTACCAAATAGCTTGGCCAATGCCGAGATGCGCTTGATCATGACCAAGCTGTTGTGGCACTTCGACTTGGACCTCCTCGAGGAGTGTCGCAATTGGTCTGTGCAAAAGACGTACTCGCTCTGGTCGCGCCCTGCTTTGAACGTCGCGCTCTATCGCGCTGGCTCTGACAACATTTAGCCGATCTGTGCAAATTCTTTCTGGGACTGCCCTTCATTCTAATGTCTAATAGCTGCCTATGGTCTCCCCAGGAACTGCTGGAGCCTCTCCCTTTATGGTTGAGCGGTACTAATGGGTCTTTTTGGCTATGGGTTTGTGTGCTGTCATGTGGTGAAGTGGCTGGAGATACCCTGATACCATGTTTGGAAAGTGTGTTTATTGTGACCATTATTGTGACCAGTCCACCTTGATGTTGGAGTATTCTTGGACTGGTAGCGCTAATGCATAATGTGCCTTGGATCACCTTGATCACAACAATGAAAGCACGATTGATCGATTGAAAACGCATTTCTCTACATGTATGTTTTTTAGGGCTTGGTGAAGATGGGCGATCATCTGCGACATCAGACACGGCCGTGAGCTCACAAAGTGGGCCCGCTAAGATAGAGATGATGTAGTCACTGGCAGTTTTGTCGAATTTCTGGTCAAGTTGCTGCATCTGTAGAGCTCTGTACATGAATATAGTGCAGCAATCACCTTACAGTTGGTATACCTCGGGATCGCAAGAATCAAATGTCCGCCTCTGCCTTTCTTTCTGCCAGCATCGACGAGGTCACCTCCGACCCGCACTGGGCTGACTCCGCCACAAATCCGCCGACAATCAGCGATCAGGGCCACTTTTAACCCAATCGAGTACAAATCCAGGGGTCTGGCGGGCCGGATGATAGCCGGCCACGGACCAAGGTCGCGTGTACCTGCAATTTGGTGGAGACCGCCCACGCCGACGAGGTATCAGGTACAGGAACAGGCCGGCCTAGACTGCGCGCCGCAGCTTGTACGCTGAAAAAAAAGTCCTCCTTGCCTGGTCGATCGTGTCTCACTTGCTTGCTTCGAAAGGGCGCCACATTGCGGCCCCTTTGCATGCTCGATCTCGCCAATCATGACGGCTCCCGTTGAATCTCTGGGGCGCTGGACGCGTGTCAAAAGGCAAGGAGAGACAACCCTGTCGATCAATGGAGCATTGCAGGTCTTGCTCCCTCCGATCCCCCTCGACAGGCACTTGACGTGATTTCACCACATGGTTGCACCTCTGCTTTCTCCATCCCTTATCTGGGGAATTTCTGGAGTTGGTAGATATTGTGTCTTCCTCTCGCTCCACCGTGCGATGCGATAATTCAGTCTCTAGGTGTGCTGCGTGAATTTTTTTTTCTAACTGTTTGATGGCTTGCCCTTATATTCTGCGACTTTCTCTATAATCAACCTGTGATTGCCATTCCTTCAAATCTTAAATCTATTGTTGCACGCGTGCAATACCCCACCTTCATTATGATCACCAGTCGCAAGGGTCGCTCTCTCACCACCTCGGTCTTTCTTCTTTTTGTCGCATACCTTTTTCTGGTCTGGTTACCTCTGCACCGACTGTACGGACACCACCGACCGACTCCCATCCAAGGCGCAGGACATGCGCAGAACAGCATTCACTTGAACAACTCTACAGAGAGGTACCCGGTCACCTCATATTTTCCTTTGCCAACATCACCGGGACCACTCCCCCGGATCCAATATGACTTCCCCGCCGAAACCAAGCGTGAGCGTAAGGCAAGACTCAAGAAACAGGAAACCATCAAGCGAGCCTTTTTGCATGCTTGGAATGGATATAAAAATCACGCCTGGATGCGGGACGAAGTCTCGCCTTCGAGTGGCAGGTATCAGGATTCGTTCAGTGGATGGGGTGCTACTTTAGTCGACTCCCTGGACGCCCTGGTCATCATGGGACTTGATGATGAGCTTGAGGTTGCTCTGGATGCTCTGGAACAGGTCGATTTCACAACAACCCCCAGCTCCAGCGTCAATGTGTTTGAAATTATCATCCGCTATATGGGAGGCATGATTGCAGCTCATGACCTGACCAACGGCAAGCACCCGATTCTACTCAAGAAAGCAGTGGAGCTAGGCGAGATGATCTACAATGCGTTTGACACGCACAACCGGATGCCCCAGATGCGCTGGGAATGGTCTCGATCCGCGCAGAATTTGGAAATCATACCGTCGGATATCACCAACCTGGCAGAGCTGGGTTCGTTAACTGTTGAATTCACCCGTCTGTCTCAATTGACCGGCGATCCGAAATACTTCGACGCCGTCCAGCGGATCACAAACGAGCTGGAAAAGAGCCAGACCAAGACTCGATTGCCCGGATTGTGGCCGAACGTCATTGATGCCGACCGTCTCTCGTTTGATGGACCCGAATACAGTCTCGGAGGATGTGCGGACTCGGCGTATGAATATCTGCCGAAGGAGCATATCCTTCTTGGTGGTCAGACCGATCAATACCGCAGCATGTATGAGAAGTCTATTGAGGCTATCAAGAAACATATGCTGTTCCGCCCTATGCTGAAGGATGAGCATCAGAAGATTCTCTTTACTTCCAACCTCGTCGTCAATCGAGGTGGCAGAATCCACCACAAGAGATATGTCCAGGAACACCTGAAATGCTTCCTCGGGGGCACTGTGGGGATCGCCGCGAAGATCTTCAAACGCTCAGAGGACATGTCGGTTGCACGCCAGCTCACAGATGGATGTATCTGGGCTTATGACACGATGCCAACGGGTATTATGCCGGAGTCGATGGAAGTCGTTGCCTGCAAGGGTAAAACTCACTGTCCGTTCGACCAGAATGAGTGGTATGAAGGAGTTTTGGGCCAGTCGGTCAACTCTGCCAGCGCAAAACAGCAGGTCGAAAAGCTCATCGACCATGAAAGTCTGCCTGCAGGCGTGACTGTCGTTCGGGACTCGACATACAAACTTCGGTATGCTTAACATCAAAGATATTTGATTATGATTCTCACTAACCAAATTGTAGCCCCGAAGCGCTCGAGTCTATCTTCATCATGTACAGAATTACCGGCGACAAGTCTCTCCAGAACGCCGCATGGCGCATGTTTCAACGCATCGACAAGGCAACACGCACTAAATTCGGCCACTCTTCGATCGACGACGTGCGTGACATTGAACCCAAGCTGAGTGACAAGATGGAAAGTTTCTGGCTTGCCGAGACGCTCAAGTACCTCTACCTCATCTTTTCCGAGCCAGACCACATCAGCTTGGATGAGTATGTTTTGTAAGTGAAGTCTCAATCTGCTTATCAGCTTGAATCGAAAGCTAACTGGACAATCAGGAGCACGGAGGCCCACCCCTTCAAAAGACCTACCAAATACTAAAGGCCACAAGCATTACACCGATACTCGGAATTCTTTCAGTACATATTACCAAGACACGGCGTTTTAAGACCCAGCGATTGAGCGACACTATCTTTAATCTGTCTATATTCCCTTCTACCACCTTTCAAGAACAATAACACTCATTTCAAATCCCATCATCCTCCTGCTCAACCGAGCTCTCCGTATACGCATCCCACTCCTGACAAGTCGAATGAAGCGTCTCATAATCAATCAGCTCCCGAGCCTCCTTCCACCGTTCCAAAAACTGAATCGCAAACCCCTCCTCCGTATGCCACCCAATATGACAATGCATCAACCAAGCCCCGGGATTATCAGTCTTAAAAGCGACAACCAGATACCCCGAGCTCGGCAACATAGCCGTATCCCGACAAGGCAGATTCGTCAACGTAGAAATATCGGACGAGCTATACGAACCCATCCCCTGCGCCAGAACAAAGAAATCATGGCCGTGCAGGTGAATCGGGTGCGGCACTGTGAGGCTAGTCTCGATAACGACGTACGACCACTCGTTTGCACGAGTAAGTTCGACCACGCCGCTGGTATTGGTGAAGGCTGTATCGTTCTTCCAAATTTGCAGCAGGCTGGGATTATCCCAGTAGACCTGCATAGAGGTACCGTTCATCTTCCAGCGGAAGAGGCTCTCAAAGTTCGAGCCGAGCGTTATGGGCTCACTGGAGTTGTAGTAGGGAACTGAGGCGCTTTGGGAGAGATAGGGAACTAGGTCGGAGGTGTCCATGTCGTCGCAGCTGTCAGTGTACGTGTAGCCTGTTGTTGTTGGGGTTGTGGGCGTGCTGCCGTAGTAGATTATTCCTTTGATGTTGTCTGTGCTGTCGTTGTCGGAACAGGCGGATTGGGGGATCGCGCGGAGCCAGAAGCTTTCGTTTGTGGTGGATTGGTCTGCGTTGACGACGATGTCATAGCGTTGGCCTTGGTAATTAGTTGATGATTTGATTAATGATTTTGGAGGTGTGACGTACCCATTCCTATACTCAGGACAGTGGTGTTGAACGGCTCAATTGGAACAAGGTCCAAGCCATAACAGTGAGGGTGTGGTTATCAATAGAGAACTTGAAATGCGTATCGACTGCTGCATTCACCAGTCTGAAACGGTAAGATATACCCGCCGTAAAAGACGTATTGAACCGGTACCCCGTCTGACTCGTCGATTTATCCTTGCCATAAACGTTCGTCCCATTAATAAGACCATTCTCCAACATCGGAGGACTATTCGCCTGGGCAGAATTATACAACTTATCAACAGTCTGATGACTTCAATCATTTAAGAAAAGAAGACCCTTACCCTCATCGTAATTCTCAGAAGCTGGGCCATTAATCACAATACAGCCGAAAACACCCTCCCAAGCCTGCAGTCCAATGTGTGAGTGGTACCAAGTCGAGCCGTACTGAGTAGCCCGCCACTTGTAGGTAGTTGACTTCCCCGGTGCAGTCGGACACTGCGTAATGGACATCACGCCATCGTTGGGGTTCGTGTAGTTTTGACGAATACCGTGGAAGTGGACGCTAGAGCCATTCTTTGCGGAGGCAAGACTGTTGGTGACGTGCACAACTACATTGTCGCCCCAGTCGGCTTGGATCGTGGGACCTGGGATCGAGCCGTTGACTGCCATCGCTGTTCGGGAGTATCCGTCTGGCGCGACAGTAACTTCTTGGATGTCGAAATAGTATTCTTTCGTCACGCCTGTGTCTGGGACGACGTCGTAGTAGTTTGTGCTTAGGCTGTAGTTGCACCAGGTCTGTCTGTCGCTGGCGGAGTTTCCGGAGCAAACATCGCGTTTTTGGGGATGGAGAGACGGTTTGTGGCGGTGGTTGTTTTGTTTATGACCCAGTGAAATGGCGGAGGTTGCTCCAATGGGGGTTAGAAAGAAATGAATGCTCTTCATGGTTGCCTATTTGGCAGACACGAGTCACACGAGCGAGTGGTGCAGCCTGAAGGATAGGACTAAAGAGTGATTTGAATCCAATGAGTTGAAAAGAAAAAAGCGAAGGGCTGGTGTAAGGTGGTATTCCAACGTCTTACTGAGAATTTATCTAGCATTTGGCAATAGACGTGATACATCCTCCTAGTAAGACATACATTTATCCTGTCGCGTGCAGCTCGGGGTATGCAACGAACCACAGGGCTGACTATCGTGGGGGGCAGTGCCTCGAGGTCCTTGCGTATCGCATCAGGGTATGAGGATCACAATCGGATGCAGAATAGTGCATCTCCTATTGGATTGTATCGATTACGACACGCAAAGGAACCGCCAGCTAAATTTTTGGGGCGCAATCATCATGACGTTGGCATTGACGAGCCTTATTGGAGAGTTGCAATCGGTATACTATTTTAAGCTGCATCGGCTCACTTGGATGGGAACTCTCAGAATCTTGGTTACAATCCAGGCTATCTTCTGTAGATGTGGGCTAGTATTGTCTCCATCGCGCCCCAGCGAGACAAGAGATCAATTGCGCGGCATCGGCATTAGTGTACTGTAAGTCTTTGAAGGTCTTGAAACGTTGACAGCTGCGATGTATAATTAGACATGACAGGAATGAATAAACTCTCGATAGTTTCAGTCTTACTGTTGTTCTACCTGTAACTTGACGAGACGAGAGAAGGCTTAGACATCAGACAATAGCCAAAATCTGACGTCCAGCCAGAAAGGAAGAAAGGCCCAGGAGAAAATAAAGCTAAGCTTATCCCGACCCCACATTTTTTGCTCGGACTACCCGGACGGCTTCAGGTACCCGCCACGAGGCGGCACAGACGTCAGCCAACGCGCGGCCCGCAGACACCACCCCAACGCATCCAATGCGACCGTTCGCAGACTAAAAGTCTTAACTGGATTTACAATAGTAGGGCTGTTGCTGAATATGCCAACTGGTCCAGCCTATATTTAATATGCGCTCAACTCTGCCGAATAGAGGGATTTCTAGTATATACTGGATATTAATGAATTGAACAAACTCTTACCAGTTTTTAATCAAAATGCTTCGCAGCTTTGTATTCTGCGCCGTCCTCGGCCTCCTAAGCTCTGCTTCGGCTGGTGCTTTGGCTACCCGCAACGCACCTCAAGTCAACGAGGCTTTCGGTCTGTATGCCGACGGCGACTCGGTTGGTGTTCATTCACTTTTTTATGCGGGAGGTCCGGAAGATTTACCTCTACCTGGATTTAGATATTATCTGACGAGGACCAGGCAAAGCCATGGTCGGTGACCCATCCAACTCGACATCCGCCGACGCATTCCCCGTCTCCTGTAAGAGCAATCCTCCCAGCACTCTACATAAAAGCCTCAATAATACTCTGTAGCCTCTCTAACATAAAGCCCAGTCACCCGCAATTCAGCCTCCTCCTCCAGTCCCTGGACCGCAAATCCAAATTCAACAACCACAACTGACAGCTGGTCCGACGAGATGCTGTACATCCCCAGCTCATGCTCTTCTTCGGATGAAATGGGATTCATCCCCAGCGAGGAGGCCAATGAGACGACGACCGGCTTCATTTTCTACGGACAATATGTCATGGTCAAGAATGAGGCGGGTGATATCTCTTCGAGCTTCTATATTCGGTCTTCCTCTGCCGGTGAGGGTGTTTATTCTTTGCTTTGGGATGCTGGTGATGATGATACTGCTATTCCGGTTTCGCTGCGCTCTGCAAAGCCTTCGAATTCTTAGATAGGGTGGATTGGGTTCAAATATGAGTTTGTCGGATTTGGGGGTTTACTGTGGGTGAATGTGGGTGGGGGTGTTTTTTCATCTTGAGATTTTGTTTTGAGATGAAATTATCTAATGTATTTTTGGACGATTTAACTAGTATTTAGAAAATGTGATGAGATGAAAGCCGTGCTCTCTTTCATTATTCTGAAATATTGTTTGAATTCGATCCGAAAAAAATATATATTCTTGCGGCATGCGTCGATGTTTAACTTCAATTACCTTCTATTGATTCATTGCAACGCTAAAGCGAATGTCTATAAATTGATGATGCTAAAATTTTAAGTATCGATCCAAGTAGCTACCAATCCCTAGGCAGTGTCACACTATATTAACACACCAGCAAGAACGATTTGGTGAACTGGAACGGCAGAGTAGCCACAGTCCACAGCTTGACCAATCACACAATGAGAACTTACTCGCGCCCATCAATCCAGTTTCACCCACCATCACAAAAAAACCACGTCTAAGCCATGACCAAATCAATATATAAAGAACGATAGATATTCTCTATACTAATGTAGAGATCAGATATATACCAAGTTCAAGCAGCAATATACCAGCTACACTACACATAAGCCATCGCATCATTCGAATTTTTCTTCGACGGCGCTAATCCCCTCCTCCGCGCCTCATCATACTCATACTGAATCGAGTACCCAACCTCCTTCCGAATAACCATTCTCTCCGGGTCCGCATCGAAATGCTCGCTCTGCGGTCGGGCAGATTGCCGCTGTAGCGGCGGCATCATTTCGATCGCGTTGGGGTCGGCGTCTAGAAGTGATGGACCCGGTTTCTTCTTCCCGCCCTCTTTGCCTTTAAGCCTTGGTGCTGGTGCGGGCGGGATACTCGGTGCGCCGAGGGGGAACATTGAGCGGCGGATGGGTTCGCGGGACGCTGGGCGTCCAGGTGAGGGTTTTCTCTTTCCTCCGTCGGTTGTGCCGTGCGGAGTGTCTTGACAACACAGTTTCTCCGTCGAAGGCGATCGTGGCGCGGGTGTGAGTTTCGGCCATGAATTTGTACCTGCTGTACCCGCCCGCTTTCTCTGGACGCGCGAGAGAGATCGAGATCGAGAGGTTGGATTCGAGCTCGAGCCAGAGCCGGAATTGGAACCTGATTTCGAACTCCCCTTTGTTCCGCGCGATCGGGATGCACTGCTTTCCAGCGTCGAGTCGCCCGCTGTTCCGTAGTTTGTGCTGACGGCTGCCATGAAGGGACGGAGGCAGAAGACACTGCAGGCGACGAGGGCGTAGTGGACTTCGACTTGGAGCCAGAGGGTGGGTTCAATGGCTGAGAGGGTTACATCTGGGTTGTTGAGGGCGGAGCGTAGTTTTGAGATATGGAGGAGGGTGAAGACGATTAGACTGTGAAGGTAGAGGTTAGCTTTGTTGAGCAGTTGGGGAGAACGAGTCGTACGGGAAGCGAAAGATGAATGCGAAGCCGATGGAAAGTTTGCGCTTTAGGTTCATGAAGAGCCCTTTTAGGAGGGTCACGGCGAGGAGGAAGATTATGAGTTCTGTTATTACGTCAACGGAGGCAATGAATTGCCAGCGTTGGTACTAGGTTTGTTAGCAGGGTTAGATAACGGGTGTAGAGAGACGTACTAAATTGCGACATTGTGCACCTTGGATTCTCCATGGCTTGTTTAGTTCACAGTTTACCAGGAGAATAAAAACGGCTGGAATGAACCAAGCAGTGCAGATGGCCAATGTGGCCCAGGTTGCTCTGTTGTGCGTCTTCTGAGGCGTAAGTCGGAGATAAATGGCCAGCACACAGCATTTCGAAAGATAAATAATAAGCAGTGCGAAGATATCGCTTGTTGCAATTAACTCGGGCAGGTCAGTTGGTGTCAAATCCACATATTTGGAGCAGACTCACTGCTTGGATGGTAATCAATCGACCTTCGTCCAGCAGATTAATCGATGTCCCGAATCCGCGCGAACAGGCGTAGAACATCAGTACTGACTGTAGACAAGCCACAATCTACACGCTGTCAGTGCTTCCCAACTTCAATGTATTCTGGTTCAACTCACTGTAGCACCGAGTAGAACGAAATCGTCCCGCGCAAAGGGCGGAATGAGCATCAGTCGAACATAGAGTCGGATCAAGAAGCACACGAGCGAAACAACCAGTCCCAGCGCAGCTGTGATGATTATGTACGCACCGTGGTGGAAATCGTCTATGACCTCGAAAGGCGGCGACTGTCCCGGGGGCACATAGGGGCCCATCACGGAATTGTAATCGCGGTCGAGCGCGCTCGCTGTGCACCATGAAGGAGGTGAGTGTGAGCACCCTAGGGTAGATTGGGTTATGAAAAGGAGGGTGGGTGTGGAGAAGACAGGGCCATGTGCGGGCGTGCAGGCGCGGAGCAGTCGGAGTCGAAATCTCCACGTATATACAGCGGCAATCCTAATCGGCGCAGCAACTTGAAGTCAAGTTGCGGCTGGCATAGGCAACATCAACCGATTTCTGACCCGATCAGATGGTGAGGACAGGACCGAGCTATCAAGGAAACGGACGTGACCAGTGCATCTCGAGCTCAGCGTGGCGGATAATCAAGACATCCCTTCGCCTACGAGAATGAGAAGAACCAGCTGCCTAGATTTCTCTCAAAATATCCAATATTATGCACGCCAACCATCAATTGTGCCGCTCTCCCCTCCATCATCTCTGATATCAAGTGCACCTGCCAGTTTGGCCGCGCCGAAGGGATCGATTAGCAGTGGGAACCACTAGATCCACCCCCTCACATCGCGTGCCACCCAACAATCGTCTTTCGCGGCCCGCTGCCATTCTTGCATGAGGCAGCGGTCAATCTGCGCTCGGCTCGTGGATCTCCGGAATACCCTGAGGTGAACGGAGGCAGGTATCCGATAGGACGGACGTGGACAAACATGCGAGGGGCGCACTGAGCCGGCGCATCTTTGCTGGGTGGGTTGTGAGGGTTAAGCATCAAGGGGTGGGATCGGATTGACGCAGGGATCGACATTAGCGTGGGTGATGCATCAGATGGAGTCGGGTGCCAGTGCCGACGCCCGGCTCGAAGGAGTTAGGCGGTGTTGGGCGCAGGGCAACTAACTATAGAATCCCGGAGTATAGCAGAAGCAACTTCAGCTCAAGTGTTTACGCCCGAGATTTCACACCGTTGCATCTAGCAGAGTCTCAATTACTCGAGTCGATAGAAAAAGACACTGTAAATCGTTCATTATCCCGCTCAAATTCGAGGGTTTAGTTGCCTGCGAAGGGAGCTGCAATCCCCCCCCCCTTGGCATGCAAGGCGCCGATAGCTTCTCGCCCATTCTTGAATCTACCCCCGACATTCAAGGGGCTGAAAGAAATGGAAGCCAAATCACACGGCCCAAGCTCAGTGCAACGTCCTTTTTCTTTGATGTAATCAAACATCCGATGTGCCAATGCCGAAAAGCTGGGGGCAATGCCCACATGGCTCGCGAGAATTCTTCCTCGCCACGCCTTGCTCCCACGCTTCATTCTACTGAATCGAATCGACTGCTCCGATTCTTTCATGATTTACCCGGTATGACCGCTGCTCAGGACTTCTCCTGGGACCTGCTGTTTTTGGTTACGGTTGCTGGGAACTTCGATCCTACCTGTTGGTAGAGCTAAGGGTTCGGCGCTGGAAGCCATTTCTTTCTTCCTTCGTGTTTATTACTCTTGCAAGAGGTCGGGAGACAGACTTTCTCTTTTTCTCTCTTCTCTTCTGCTAGTCGTCTCTCATTCTTGGCTGTTTGTCCATTTGATCGTATCCTTGCCCTTCCCTTTCCAAGACTGGAGGGTCTCCACAATGCCTCCCACTCACAGATCAAGGAATGAGTCGCAGATGACAGACACCCTGACAGATCTGGAGGATTACCCCTCCAAAGGCCTCGTTGCGCCCAGGTATATGGGGACGCTGGCTGATCAGCGGGATATGAGTGCGCTGGGCCGAGTGCAGGTTCTTCGAGTGAGTATTGTCATTGTGACTCGATGCAACTTGCCCAGGTAGTATGTGCGGCTGATGCGATGAAGAGAAATTTTCGATTCATTTCTATTGTTGGGTTCGGGTGTACGCTCATCTGTACATGGGAGGTTATCTTGACGTTCGTCATCCCCTTCACTGGCTGCTGGCTGGAGTGGCGATCTTAAGTGCTAATTCGAAACAGATTACTTTCCGCGGGGTTGACTGATGGCGGGACGGCGGGCCTTATTTGGGGTTTTGTTGGTGTGTCTGCCGGGTTTACCTTGGTGTATGCCAGCATTGCGGAGATGGCTTCGATGTAAGTACACCCGCGAGGTATCTGTTTCTGATGCTGATTGATAAGGGCCCCCACTGCCGGCGGACAATACCACTGGGTATCTGAATTCGCACCAAGACGAGGACAAAAATTCCTTAGTTATATCACAGGTATGTCACGAAGAAAGCTATGACAAGCATCAATTCTAATCGTGGTTTAGGATGGCTTTCGGCAATGGGATGGCAATGCGCCATCGTCTCAATCGCATACCTTGCCGGCACGATCATCCAAGGGTTGATCGTCTTGAATCAACCAGACTACTATTTCCAGCGATGGCACGGGACTATGCTGGTCATTGCCATCTCGACATTTTCCATTTTATTCAATACCTTCCTTGCCAAAAACTTGCCTTTTGTAGAAGGTCTCATTCTGATCATTCATGTCATTGGGCTGTTCGCTATTATCATTCCGTTGTGGGTGCTTGCCCCCCGCAATAATGCCCATGCCGTGTTTACGACTTTCAATAACGGGGGCGGTTGGGATAATTCAGGGACGGCGACGCTGGTCGGCCTCTCCACGACCATTACGTCCATGTTGGGCTACGACTGCTCGGTGCATATGTGTAGGTTGACAGCTGTACCCGAAAAGGAAACCAGACTAACAATACTGGAACAGCGGAAGAAATCAAAGATGCATCGGAGACGCTGCCCAAGGCAATGATGTCCTCTGTCGCGGTCAATGGCGTGCTGGGATTCATCATGTTGGTGACGCTCTGCTTTACGCTGGGAGAGGTAAACGCGGTCCTCGACAGCCCGACCGGATTTCCATTTATCCAGATCTTCTACAACACGACGGGCAGTCTGGCCGCGACGAACGCCATGACAGCCGTGCTGGTCGTCACACTAACCGCCAGCACAATCACTGAAGTGGCAACGGCCTCGCGTCAACTGTGGTCTTTCGCCCGGGACGAAGGAATCCCCTTCTCTTCTTTCTTCGCCTATGTGAGTCTTGTCTCTGGCATAGTACACCTCGCTTTCGACTTTCGAATAAGCCCGCTGACCCCTATCGCAGGTTACACCAGGGTGGAACATCCCCCTCAACTCCGTGATGGTCTCTCTGGCCGTGACGGTCCTCCTCTCACTCATCAACATCGGCTCCCAGGTCGCCCTGAACGCGGTCATTTCGTTGACTATCACCTCGCTGCTGTCAGCATACATCATCTCGATCGGGTGTGTAGTCCTCAAGCGGCTTCGGGGGAGGCGTTGCCGCAGCACCGCTGGACGCTGGGCCGGTTCGGACTGGCGGTCAACGTGGGGGCGCTGGCCTTTCTGCTGCCGCTGTTTGTGTTCGCCTTCTTCCCGCTGTCGACGTCCGTGACTCGTGAAACGATGAACTGGAGTGTCGTCATGTACATTGGCGTCATTGGATCGGCGTCGGGGTATTATTGGGCCAGGGGGCGGCGTCATTTTATTCCGCCCGTGGCGTTAGTCAAGCGAGAGGAGGCGACTTGAAAGTCCTCAATAGTCTGGCATGGGCTGGGTGACCGTTCACATTTGCTGTGATCCAGAGGTCGGCTCGGATGCTTTGAGTTGCCTGTGACACGATCTTTTTTTTTTTTTTTTTTTTTCCGTGTGTATTTATTTTTATCCATCCCTGGATGCTTGGCTGGCCCGTCCATTACCAAATACCCATTACACCGAGTCTGCTGTAAGGGTATGGATTGGGTATCGGGCCTAGTCAGGTTGATGATGTGACGTCGAGTATATAATAGAGCGTGTCCGAGAAGACAGAAGATTTGATAGAGTAGCTGGTAGCTCGGATTTGCACTTCCGAGCACGCTCCCATCTTCCGACCTGGCGTGTTCCCATCCCTGTGCCATGACGTCTAGAGCACGGCCGCTAGATTATTCGATAGAACGACTTCGGGTATGGGCATGTTTCCGGCTGGGGCTAGGGGAAAACGAAATGAGGAGCGGGTGGCACATGCCCAACGCCCAACAATATTTAAGTTATCAGATGGAACCGTTATGCCCCGAGGCCTCCTGAGACGGGAAGGTGTCTCACAGGGTGGCCCTCAAACCCTTCGGGATTCGACGAGTCCAGGGATGTCCCGTCCCGTTTGCGTCGTATTCAGCTAGCCGCACTGCCAGTGTATTCAGCCTGGGACGCCGTCCACGGAGTTGTCGCCGTGCTCCGAGCTCGTCAGCTCTTCAGCTCGCCTGCATTGCAGTCCATCGACGATCGTGAAGATCCAGGCACGGCAAAAGTACCCCTTTTTCGCGTCTTGCTGTTTTCTAGATCGAAAGCCGACCCACCGCCCCTTGAGGACAATGGGGCCAGGGGGTCCCGAGAGCCAAGCGACAGGGACGAGGCTAGAGACCGGCAGGACGGAAAGTGGGCGAGGTGGAGGTCGGCACTCCCTTTGTGGCATTATCAGATCGATTGATAACGCGGGAGCGGTCGGCCCACTCGGATGTCGGTTGAGACATCGCAGTGTCACATACCAGGAGTATTGTAATTTATTTATGTAATGCATTTCAAGGAGGTAGAGGATATACTATGTAGTAGTCACGGCAGAACAAATAATACTTGGAGATACCTTCTATGTATTTGTTCACTACGATCACGACAACAAGGTACTCTGCTGGTACCCAACGGATTCCCTCGCCTGGGTAAGCAGCGTTATGCACCGTCGATCTGGAGACCCCCACCGCATCCAGTAGGTGAGTCCCGATTTCAGTTCCGGATTCCCGATTCCTAGACTAGTGAGAGTCCGAGAGCGCAGGGACGGCGTGCGTGTTCTTAGCAGGCGTGCGCGGTAAAGTGAGTAAGGTTAACCGGAATGTGGCAAAATCAGATAATTCTCGGCCAAATCTGGCGTGCGTTTCCGCTCCCCACAGCCGACGCCCGCTCTTTTCGCTACTCAAAACCCTTTCCTCTGCACTCAAGTTCACCATTGCGCCATACTCCCCAGCTCAATCCTCACCGTCACCATCAAATCCATCGCATCGCCCTCGACCATCCGATTGCTTCCTCGCCTGCTCGCACTGACGCGGCGATTCCCGACTCCACCGACGGCCCTCGGTTCTTTCCCCCCGACCGTCATGGGTACGTGAAAACTCCAGCCTTCTACGCCTCTCTCGACCGAACATTATTCCCCTCTACCACGAGCATTGCTCTTACACTCTCTAGTTCACGCCGTCGACTCGATGCCCACGGCTACCCTCGCCACCGGGAACCGTCCCCGGAAGGGCACCTTTCAAGACATCCCCGTCTCGTCCACCTCCCACCCCGACAACCCCATTCCCGAAGAGCCCCGCGGTGTCGAGGCCCTCTCCATCACCGACCTCACCTTCAATGGCTCGCCCGCCTCCCAAGAGACCCAGTCGAGCGCCGCCAACTCCCCCGCCACCCCCCTCACGCCGCCCGACTCCCAAAATTCCGACGAGGATGCCGCAAAGCCCACCGGTCGCCCCCGTCGGGCCTCGACCATCCTGATCTCGCAGAACTCCGAGGACATGCGCCGCGTGCTGGAGAATGTCGGCACCGGAGGCACCCAGAAAATCCAGTCGATGTGCTGTGGTGGGGGTTGCTGCCGCGGCCGGCCCCTCCAGCCATTGGACGGTCCCATCTCCGGCTTCAACTCCATCACCGCACCTGATAACGAGGCCTTTGAGTCGTTGGGCCTCAACGTGGACCTCCTGACCCTCGACAGCTATCTCTCCAATATCGCCCCGCTGCCAGAGAAGACCGTGTCGTTCTCCGCGCCCCCCGCACACACGGCCAATGTGCCCCTCGGCCCGTCGGATCACCCTCCGCGCTTTGTGCAACCGCACCCGCCGTATGAGGTGTACCGGGCGCCTCTCCACCATGCCCGGGAACTGACCAAGAACGGCGCGGAGAAGCGCACCTATCACTTCGACATTGATGTCACCGATTACCCCGCCGAGAGCGGCATGGTAGATTTCGTCGTGGGCGGGGCAATCGGCGTCTGCCCGAAAAACAAGGAAGAGGAAGTCGAGGACATCCTGAATCTGCTGGGCGTGCCCAAGTCCATGCGCGATAAGAAAGTCCTCATGCGCACCACCAACGGCCGCTGGCCCACCATCTGGGGCGATGATAAGCCCCGCGAACTCATCACCTCCCGCCGCGAGGTCCTGAGCTGGTGCTCCGATATCCAGAGTTATGCGCCCACCAAGGCCCTCTTCCGGACTCTGGCTGAGTACACATACGAAGAAAGCGAAAAGAAGATCCTGGAGTATCTTTCCTCGGCCCAGGGCCAGGGTGCCTTTTGTGAACTCCGCACCAGCGCCCACATCAGTTTGTCCCAACTGCTCCACGCTTTCCCCTCTGCCCAACCCCCACTTGACCACCTCCTCTCCGTGCTGAACACGTTGATGCCCCGCTTTTATTCTTTGTCTCAAGACCCCATGATCTCCTGCCAGTTCAAGGGCACCGAATGCCGTCGTCTGGTCGAAGTTGCTGTCACCGTCGCCGAGTCGGATGACTGGCGTGGTGGTTTGCGGACCGGTGTTGGTTCCGGCTACCTGGAGCGAGTGGCCCGCCGGGCCATTGAGGCCGAAGCCCGGGGCGAGAAGCTCGATGTGCACATCCCCATGTTCCGCGGTCTGATGGCTAACCCGCTTGCCAAGCGATTTGCCTCGGACGGACCCATGCTCCTGATCGGTGCCGGTGTCGGTATCGCGCCCTTCCGCGGCTTCGTGCAGCGACGTCTGCAGTCTGCCAACTGTGCCAACAAGGTCTGGGTGCTGCAGGGTGTGCGCGACTCGCTCTTGGACGAGCTGTACAGCGGCGAGTGGGGCGTACACGAAGACAAGGTTCGTACTGTGGTGCAGAGCCGCAAGGGCGAGAGCCGTTACGTGCAGGAGGAGGTGCGTCACCAGGCCGATCTGGTCTGGTATGTCATCAATGCCCTCGACGGTCGTGTCTTTGTCTGCGGAAGCGGCAAGGGCATGGGCGAGGGTGTGGAGGCTGCTCTGGTCGAAGTTGCCATGGCCAAGGGTAACCTCAACTCGGAAGAAGCTAGCCTCTTCTGGCAGCGCAAGAAGGAGGCTGGACAGTACATTGCTGTAAGTTACTTTCTGGCCAGAAGTCAAGAGAGATTTACTAACGCGGCAAATAGGAAACTTGGTAAATGGTCCCTTGTCTACAAAAGTCTGCCTCGATCCTTTCATTCACATGCCTTCTGAAATTGCGGCCCGTGGCCGTCTTGAGCTGTACATATTTGATTTTCCATTCGCATTGCATTCGCATTGATCTTGTTCAAGGTAACCGAGCCAGTGGCCGGTCCAGAAAAGAGACTTATTTGAGACGGTCTTGACAAATCCTTGGATATCTTTGAATTTTTTTGATGTATTTTAGCGGGGCGGCTTTTGTCTTTTCATTTTTGTCTTGTTGCTCATTGTTTCACTGCTGTCTTTGGTGACGCGTTTCTTTCTTTCATTAGGATCTTGGGTATTTCCTTGAAATAGATTTAGAGGCCCGATCAATAGCAATCATCTACTACATGACTTTGGTACCATACTGGTGTAGCTGAGTCGTAGGGGTTACTGGTACAGGTTGAGTCACCCCGGCATTTTTGGACTGTCCAATCACGCGCAGCTGCATTTCAATCCTCGCTACTCCATCTGTACCCCACACCAGCAAGAGATCCGCCTCGATGCTCTCCCTGGTCCCCCGCAAAGTGAGGTCAACCGGTTGACCGGCCCGGTGCGATGTTAGCCATGAGTCACGTAGAGCTGTGTAAAAGGCGTCAGTCAAGTCAAAACAGGGTGACCTCAAGACAACCACAAGAGTCAATACTTTACAAATAACCCAGAACCATCGATTGAGCATTCTCCAGCTCTCAACCATCCCATCAACCCCCATCTGCGACTCGACCAGCGAAACCGCATTATCGCGCAGCTATCACCCGCCCCACCGATAAGAAAGCAAAGTGGGGGAATCGATTCGCATCAACCTCCCACCACCACCTCCCACCTTGACCTCAACGCGACGCCTCTCACCCCCTCCACCCGAATCCCAACGAACAAAATGCCCACCATCCAAGAGAGCAAACTCGCCTTCATCGGCGGCGGCAACATGGCCTCCGCCATAATCGGCGGGCTGCTCTCAAACTCCGTCCCAAAGACCAACATCACCGTCTCCGAGCCCTGGGACGTAAACCGCAACAAGCTCGCCGCAACTGGAGTGAACACAACAACTGACAACGTCGCCGCCGCGACCGCCGCCGACCTCATCATCATCGCCGTCAAGCCGCAAGTCGCTAAAACCGTCTGCGAGGAACTGGGCAAGAGCTGGGGAGACCGGAAAGACCTGCCCGTCCTCGTTTCCATTGCGGCCGGTATCACACTCGGCTCGTTTCAGGAGTGGTTGGAGACACCCGATGGCCGCGCTCCGCATATCGTCCGCGTGATGCCGAATACGCCTGCGCTCATTGCGGAGGGCGCGAGTGGCGCTATTGCCTCGGCGGATGTGACAGCTGCTGAAAAGGAGCTTGTGAATGAGTTGCTCTCGAGCGTCTCGCGAAGTATCGAGTGGGTTGACAAGGAGGAATTGCTGGATGTTGTTACGGGCTTGTCCGGTGAGTTCCTTTAGACCTATCCGCTTCCTTGGACCGGGTTTTTATGCCAGGAAATATATCGTCATGGACAACTATAATCTGACTTGAACTGTTTGGGGGCAGGGTCTGGACCGGCTTATTTCTTTGCGATGGTGGAACATCTTGTTGCGAGCGCTACGAAATTGGGACTGAGCAAGGAGCAGGCTACGCGTCTTGCGGCACAGACTTGCCTGGGTGCCGGCAAGATGATGACTACTTCTGATGAGGAGCCGGGTCAGTTGAGGAAGAATGTTACTAGTCCCAACGGCACTACGTTTGCTGCGTTGCAGACTTTTGAGCAGCAGGGTTTTGAGGGGATTGTTGATAAAGCTGTTAAGGCTGCGACTGAGCGGGCGGCGGAGTTGGGGGCTACGCTTGCTAAGTAGGTGGTTTCGATATGAGAGGTTGGTGATGGTGGTGTGGCTAGATAAAATATACCTCTTGCATTTTTGTTGCTCATCTTGGATATTTTTAAGAGCTCTCTGGCGTGGTGCTGGATGTCTGACTGTTATAAAGCTCTCTCCTTCCTTTCTGTATTTTCCCTCCTACACCTCCCCAGCGCCAGAACTCTCACCTCGGGCCACTCAACCTTCTCACATCGAGTCCCCCAAGAGCTCGTCTAACCAGCCATGGGGGCTAAACCCCGGAGTTGCGAGCCGAACGAGGCGTGCTTGCAACCTAATGTCATGCCGCGGTGCGTTAGGACATCGTCACAACGATCACTGTCCACAAATCGAATCTACGTAGACCTCCCGACATATGCGTCGCTAACAAATATACTACACATCGTTGATAATTCCGGATCCAGAGCCGTCGCGATTCAGAACTTTGACAACAGTCCAATCGAGAACGTGGAGATCACGAACGATCCGCGACGGTGCAAAGAACTCTCCCAAACCCAACAAGGATGGACGCCAGGATCCGAGTCAGGAACCCAATCCCCACTTTTCAGAGTTATCTCAAAATGGCTCGGATAATGATCAGATTTGTATCCGATGCGGAGATGCCGGTTATCACACCAGCGAGTGTCACGAACGAAGTCTACACAATCAAGGCGATACGAAGAGCTGCGTCTGCCGCGATGAGACATCGTCTTCAGCCCCGTGTCTGGCTTGATGCTGAGATTAACCTGAGAATGAACTGATCGACCAGAAATGGAAAGTCAAGGGCAAACGTGGGTTAGCACTGGGATATGAGAAAATCCGAGAAGCCATTTCCACTACGAAAGGAAAAGGTTCAAACTTGTCCTTAAGTCTGGGGATTCTCCCGCTGCTTTCATCTCACAGGGAAAGCCAGATGGTCCCTTGAGAGATGTCGATCAAGTCTGGAAAGAAGTGGAACTCGAGAGGAGGATGGTTATTCCCTGGCCCTGGAATAGTCGGAGAACTTATACTCAGCGAGGGGACTTTCAACTTTCAATGCTGCTCCTCACCCTACTACAGGGAAATCCAGAGAGGACAAACGGGCAGCCTGCTCTTGGTGACCAGTGATGTATCGAATGAAGAAAGACTTTCTTGCATCGACGGGAACACAAGGAACTCCAATTGACCACATCATCTACATCTCGATATCAAGCGCAAATACGAAGCACAGAACTCGAGTGAGTACGCATCCAGATACCCCGGTCGCGATGAACCCGCTCTTGCTTATCACCAGAGACGCAGCTCATGAAATTTCCCGTGAAGGCCAATATCTCATTCTTTCCACCCACTCCCCCGGCCCAGCTGGCGAAAGAGAAGGTTGATCGATACATCTCGTCGGGCACTGCGGACAATGCAGTTTAAGTCCTCCAAGCTTTCCACGGCCACCCGATGAGTTGGTCAACTGGAGAGTGACACGGGGAACAGGTGCTTTCAGAACACCGATGATATCTGACTACGCATCTCCAATTGTTGCGAACTGACGCTGACATGTATGTGTATGCTGCCTCTGTCGTGGAAGACCGTCTTGCACCGATGCAAATCATATATTCAACTCCGTCAAAATTGCCACCCCGGAGCAGCTCACTCGTGATGATGCACATGAAAGTTACCGAACGGGCAAATCGTTATGCCATGACATAGATGTCACCGGTCATTGCGCGTGAGAAAGGCCAACCCTCAGTCCAGCACCAAGCGAATCTTCTTCTAATTGGGTCAATTTATGCGAATTTGCGCGTATGTCGACGCGTGAGGTTATCCCCTTCGCCCGCCGGGATAAGGTTGCATAGGATACAACATAGCCTAGCAGCTGCGCGAATCGATTTGAGTCGGCCATTTTTGACATCCTGGAGGGCTAGTAGGATTCTGCCCTCTTGCTGTATCGAATCCTGTGAGGATCGCGAGCGATTTGTTGGCATGGTTGGTAGCTGAAGAAGGTAGGTAGGAAGGTGTCGATCGGAGAGACTGATATTAACGTAATCGGTAAGCGAGCGGAACATGTAAGCGAGCGGAACACCCTACCAACCCCATTAAATTTAAACCAATTTATATACACCATAACGCCAATTATATACAAAAAAAATCTAACGAGGGCGCTTAGGGCACTGTAACCTTCTATGCCCTAATTCACGACAGTCACTGCACCGCGGGGGTGCGCGTCGAATTGGCTCCGAAGCGTTTTGAATAGCTTCATGCGCTTGGTCCGATTGGCCTTTGGACACCTGGTTTGGCGTTGATATTGGCGCTGGCGTCTCCCCAATAGTAACCCCGCTTTCAAACGCTAGGCGCTTTGTAGATTTGGTGCGTTTAGACGTCTGCTTTGCGTTGGCGGCGCGTAATAGCTTGCATTGCTCAGCTAGAAATGTGTTGTTATGCATCGCAATTTCGCACCCCTTAATAATCTGATCTAACGCACGTTGTGTAGGGCTAGAAGGGCTCTGCGAGCGCTGACGTAGTAGCACTTTTACCGAAGAAGCTTGTTTATCCAATTGGCTTGGATTTTGGGGGGTTTTTAGTGAGAAATCACTACCCCTACTCCCTGGTGGCGTTGGCGTTTTGAGCTGGATACTGAGGTTTTGAAGCACTGTTTCGGCGTTGAATGGCACTAAACCTGCTGGTGCAAAGCTATTTTTTTATAGTCTCTGCTTTATAGCTTTGAGCGCGCGCAATTGGGTAAGCTTGTAAGAAACCAAGCTTAGATATTGAATTCACCCCGTCGCGGATCTCGGTCTCAATCTCTTTACTATATGCGCGCTTTAAGACACTAAAACAACCAATATCAAAAGGCTGTAAAAGATGTGACGAATGAGCAGGCATACAAAGAGGTATAATCTTGTTTTGCTCGCAGATCTGATCGAATTGCGGGGTTAGATGACTCCCATGTCCGTCAAGAATCAAAAGACGCCAAGCACCTTGTGATCGGTGATTTATCGCAGGGATGAATAGAGATTGAAGCCATCGAAGCCCTATTTCATCGGTAGTCCAGCCGTTTTGGCTAACTTCGATCCGCGAACCGATTGGAAGAGAGTTATCTAACCAGCCTTCGGTATAGCCTTTAGCTTTGAAGATAATGCATGGTGGGAGAGCGTATCCCGATGCGCCAATACATTCAATTGCGGTGACCCATTCGCGATTCCCAGACGATAAAAGCTTTGCTCTACCGTAGTATTCAGCTCTCCACGACCTCGGACAGGAACCGAACATCTAGCCCGTAATACCATCTTGTGTGCGAACGCGCGATGGTCGCGTCGAGCTAGTCGTTGGTTTTTTCCGAGTAGGGGGTGCTGAATTTTATGAGATGCTTTTGCTGGTTGATGGACCACCTCCAGGCGGCCGTTACAGTCGTGGTCCCCAGATCAATTCCAAGATATAAGTCCGCCGACTTGGAGTCCATATTGGGTAGGTAATTCGGGATTTCATATTTCCTTGTGTTCCATTATCGATAAACCCTATCTGTTGTATAAGTTTATAAGAAAGCGCCCATCTCCTTGGCCTTTATCTCAGCTGCGTTCCAATTTCAATTGTCTCCAGAGAGCAAGGCTGCAGCTCACAATGGCTGCTGTTAAGTCTAGCCCCTCGATTAGTTCGAAAAAAAAAACCAAAGAGACAGAGGAAATTCTGTCGCAAAACAAGTCTAATGAAAAAGACTTCTGAATATAGCAAGATGTGTGACGCAGATGTATGCGTAGGTGTTCGTTTACGAGAGACGGGTCCGGTACATAAAGGAAGAGCCTCAAGGGCTATTGATCAAGTCTTCAAATGAATTTTCCGAGGTCCCGCTTTCCACGCTCAGCGCGGAGTGCCTTCGAAACTGCTCCCACACCCTCCATGTCCGCCTACAACATTTGTAGCGACGTTCGCTCAGCCTCGAACTCTCCAGGATCCCTAAAACCTTGCAGATGAGAAGCTATCAAATGACGACTTCCAGTGGCAAAATCCAGTAAGTGCCCTTTGGATATCCTGAGACCTACCCGCGGTTCCTATGACATATAGTTTCGACATCTAAAGTCATCGTGCTATCGATTGACAACTACTATCTCATTCGTAAATCCACTCAACGTCAGACCTTTCCAATATTTGATCTCATCACTGAGCTAGGCTTCATATGGAGTCTGTCTCAGGAGCTCCTTTATCTTCAAAAGACCAGCTTTATCGCCTTCTGTCGTTTCCATCTGATCCTTTCCCACCCATCCTTGAGTGTATCCACCGCCAAAGTCGATAATCCACGCATCCTCATCCTCGTCAATCAAGATATTCGCGGGCTTCACATCTCCCCAGACAATGCCAGCTTCGTTCAAGCAGTTCAAAGTTGTTGTCAATTGTAGGTCCCATTTCGCACGTAAAGTCGATGACGTCTCAGGGCCCAAAGCGCACGCTAACGTCTTATTCCGACAGTTGATCCAGGATAAGAGAAGCCCAACGATGCGACCGTTCAGTTTATCTTCGACGACGCCATACATGCGGGGCAATTTCACTTTCTTATCCAAGCCCAAGATCTCAATACTTTTGTAGATAGTCATTTCGCGAATGGCAGCTCTTTGGTCGTCGCGATCAAGGAATTTGAGGAAACACAATTTTCCATCAGCGAATACCTTCCTCGGAGATTTTGAGAACATTTCATTTTGTTCAGAGACGACTGATTCTATCTCTGTGGGCCGAAATATGCGCCAGGTCGAACAAAGAGAAAAATTATTTAGGCCCACACCGTTGAGTAGTGGTTTTCTTGGAACCTCATAGTTAAGGCATGGATGTAGTGTTTCATCAATGGCGTAGACAGAGTAGTGAAACGTCTCTGGGTAAAGAAAATCTTGAAGTGTATAGCGCTGCTGATTAACAAAAGCTGGCTCAATTTGATCGAAAATCGGATTAAAGGGACCCAGAGCCCAGCAATGGAGGTCGTCTTCAGCCTGATCCGCGAACTCGTAATCCTCGTCGTCGCAAATTGAATTCATCAAGCGCATGTACGTTTCAAAAGAGGCCGGAGATCGACGTAAGTTAGCTGGCGCTAGTTGTATGCAAAAGTATTTGCCTTTACACACTATCGTTATGCGTGCAGTCTTGTCATTTCGATTGAAAAAAAACTCCCTTGGTAACCAGAGCTGGGTTTGGGTTGCCATTTTGCAAAGGGGGTGGGTGGTGATAGGATGTTGGAGAAGTAAGATGAGCTGGCGGAAAATGTTGTATGGCAGGAACGACCGATGTCTTCCAACTTGGAAAAGCGGTGTAGCCGCTGCACGTACCCAGCTTGTGGGAAAGCCAAACGGAGACGACTGCGGCTAGCAATGGACGAACCTCAATCTGTCACAACCTCTATCACACTTCTCGAAATGGGGCATTCTCCTACGCAGCGCCTGTGCTCATCCAGCTGCCCTTGGGGAAGTCATTTGTCGAGTGTAAGGGCCATCGTGCAGCCACATATGTCTCTGTGGCCTGAGTCCTGGAATTAAGTAAATCATAATGCTCGCCTTGGCTGCTACATTTGGCAACCAAATCTTGATGGCGATGTGAATGTTCACTACCCAGCACAGGGGAGCTGGCACCCGGATCTACATAGAAGCTGAAAATCTATTCTTGATCATGAATGGGCAAGGAATCTACCAGATTACCGCACTGTCATTAATAACAACACGCCCGATGATTGTGGGAAAGTTTTCTACGAATGACTTTTTCTAGCTTTTTGCTCCAACATCTGCTGCCAGAATGCGCTTTGGGCAAGAACAAGGTCCTCTTCAGTGTCTTTTGCTACAACTTGGTGATTAATAGTGATCGGCGGCGCCACTCGATCAGGTAGTGGATGTACTGGATATATGCTGGCGGGTCCACACTATACACCCTGCTTCTTCCCACTCGGGCGCCTGAGGGTATGGCAGGGCGTGGGGTTGTGACTGATCAGATGATTCAAACCTATTCTCTCACAAGGAGGAAGGGCTGTAAGTGGACCGAGCGGCATTAGAGCTGCGAGAGCACCCACGTGTGGGAGCATACGCGAGTCGTATTCCCGCAATTCGAACTCATCGAGCTGGGAGAAGTAATCAATGTGATGTATGTCCTCACTAATATCTACGCAAATTCCCTAATAGATGTCAGCTTCTTGGTACTCCCGCCCATCCGCTAAACATTGGTAACGAATGAAAAATCGCAGAAGGAAGGAAGCCACAGAACAAGGATGGCAGCGTTGCCTACCAAGGCAGTGTTTTCAGTACCACGCCACCATGTGGAATGCCAGCCGATATATAGGCAGATTACGTGCAGGCTGCTGTACAATAAAAGAAGAGGATGTAATCGGAGATCCAACTGTCACACGGGAAAGGGGAGACAGCCAGGACCCTGTTAGTTTGGACTGTTTTCATAGGCGATTCGCAAGTATTCCAGGGAGTTTACAGTACAATTACAACTGTACATACTGCAAAAATCCTAACGCTTGTTCTAGACCAGGGATCCAGGGGTTTATAGCTTGTCTGGGCATCAGATGACCCGATACTAGGGTTTGGGATTAAGCATATGAAAGCGTAGTGGTAAAACTGCTTTCGAAGGAAACACCCCCACCAACTGTGTTGGAATTAATTGGGTATCAACCTTTGTGAAACGCCGAGAAGGGCCATATTGAATGCGATATTTTAAAGTCGAATATCTCAACAACGAGAAGAGATCTCGCTTTTATTCTTGATTCACTAATTATTACGGATGTAATAAACCATACGGTAAAATATAGGGCAAATGAGATAATTATTTTAGCCTGATATAGTAAAATACAAGAATATGGAGCGATGTACACTGCAGTTATATATTTTTGAACCACCACCTTCTAAATTCTTAGAGACTTAAAAAAACAGGCTAGATATATCACAAAGAATATTAGATCATAGGAACACCATACGATAAAGAGTGGTTGGCAGGATATCAAGTGGTAATTTTATCGCATTTAATATGGTGTTTTGGGGTGCGGCGCTCGTTTACATGCGACGCTCGCTTACCGTTTACGTTATCCCGGTTCGCCAGCCAAGATAATAACATCATCTTCTACCACGGGACTGATCCATTCAGTAACAATTCGACCCGGAAAACCCTGGTGATCGAAAAAGGACCTGCTACCATATGTTACTGAATGGATCAGTCCCGTGGTAGAAGATGATGTTATTCTCTTGGCTGGCAAACTGGGATAACTAACCCTGGATCGTTTAGTAACTATGTTTATGTAACACGAATAGTTGTTTTTCAAAACAAAATTGCGCGTACTAATCGTAAGTTGAGCCGATCTGATGCGACGGAACGAAGTGAAGCGCTTTGTGCGATTGCTGTTGTGCTGCTATGGTTGGTGTAGATCACGACTAGGAGGTGGGCCGGGCGGCTTGCACCATGTGCCGTATCTTGCGTAGGACCCATACAAGGCACGCGAATTCTAATTCTGTAGGCCAATAGTTTCGTTCCGCTGCAGAAAGACGCCGACTGAGAAACACAACTGGCTGAATGGCGTTGGCAGCTGGCGGCTTTGATACATCATGTACGTGAGTTGGGTTGACATGAAAGACCATTGCTCCGAATCCTGCTTCCTTCGAAGCGTCGAGATCTTTCAGTCTCACCTCGTTAACACGACAATACGTATAGGGACAACCTTGTCCTCCAAACTGCCTCCCCATACGACCCGGCTCCGTTTCTGCGTAGCGGCAACGGCTTTTAGAGGGGATGAGCCAGAACGCCAGGTTGAATTAGACAATGCATACGCGCATACAGTAGTTTTCGAAATCAGCTTTACCAAGAACTCTTTTGACTTAAATCCCGGAAGAAAGGATCCGAAATGCACTAATCTTTTTTTGATCACTGCTTTATAATGTCGGCAGAACTGTACAGTAACAGCTATGCCACGATTATTGGGCTAATGTAATAATACTGTAATGGCCCCATAGAATTGCATAGAATCACCTTCTTTTGATGATGCGGCATGATTGCCTTCATCGCAAGCGTAGTTCAGTGAACGAACACCCCCGATGCCCACCACATTCAAACACCAATGCACCTAGAGCCGACTTCGCCAGTGCCATACGATAACGCTTATCGTACCTAAAATGGATACGAATACAGATCGCATGGCCGGTCATCCATGCTTCCGTGACAGTGACCTCTCCAAACATAGTGTGATCCCATCTTTCCGGGCGTTGGATGCTTTGTTACCTAATGAAGGACACAAACATGGACGCCAGTGAATCCATGGTGAATGGACCCAGACTGAAGGATGAGAGGCACCTCACACCGCCCATATCAACCCCAAGGCAAATGCACGGCACGTGGGTCGATGTTTCTACGTTCGAGGAAGAATCAATCTCTACCCTACCAGCTACTCATTGATGGCCTTGAGGTTTGCTGGAACGAGGACACAGAGCCTCGCTGGCTTCTACACTGTGCTAGAAGCTCTCAGCATAACTTGCACATTAGGAAAAAAGTGTCCAAAATTCGAGCGTTACCGGCTCATGAAGTTATGACAGGATTCGACTCTCTCCGCCCAAGACCAACGCATGTGTGAAGGTTAACATGTACATCCAGAACGACTAAGATTTCCTACGGTCTTGCGCCGGTCTACCTACAACAGGGAAAACATTGCGGTTGCTCAAGGTGCCTGATATTTCGGTTTCATGTGAGCACACGGAGAAGTGCCATGAATGTATCTGGTTGTGCGGAAACCAGACGCTCAGCATAGCACCTGGCGGTGCACACATCAAAGTTTCCAGGTATAATATCTGGAAGCCAAAATGAGGAATTTGAAGAATTGTCAAGGATTGTGAATCAAATAAATGTCCCGTCTGCCCGAAGCGATCCCGCACCAGAGGCCATGGCAACTCGTTCAGCGGATGCTACGAGGCTGTCTTCACTTCGAGCCAAATAATTTCCTCCGACTTAATGCTCTGGTCGGAGCATGCGCAAACAGTTCGTGGGCTTGTGAAACTATTGCCGAAACTGTTCAGCGCTTCGTCCCCTAGAGGCAGCACAGCAGCTTTCAAGAACAATAACGTGGTCCAAAGCCTGGTCGCAATGTTCTATCTCTCCATTAATCCTCGTGCCAGGACGTTATCGCTCGGACATACGCCAGTCTCATGCCGATTTCCGCCTGATGTCCGTGGGTCAAATATCAAAGGGTCAAAGCCAAGGAAATAACGATCCAAACCCAGGCCTATTCGTAACTGGGTGACCTTTATGACCCAAACAATCTTTGGGAGCTAACGTGTGCAATTTATGGAGACTCATGAGATTTCCAAAGCCCGAGTTCACCGAAACACACTCGATCGTGCGAGATGGCTGCAAGAAATGGCGACCATTCAAGCTACTGAGAGAGAATTGGCGCGCTTTTTACGGGTTTTGCGAAAGAGAGAGAAAAAAAAAAAATGAAAACCAAAAAGGAGAATATGGGGGCCTTCGAGAAGACGTACAGGCCGTTGGACAAGAAAGCTGGTGAATAAAAGGTGAAGTGGATGAATCCACTAGAATGGATCAACCGTCATTGTCAAATATCACGCTGCCGGGTATTCCTGAATCAATTTTTTTAAGACCAGCGGACCGGGTGTCGAAACCCAGTACATCCACAGTATCTCAAAACCGCCGCCAGCCAATGCAATTCAGCCAGCGCTGTTCCTTAGCCACCGGCGATTCGCTCAGAGCGAAGCTATGCTGACTATGAAGCCAAGCTCAAGTGAGGTAGAAGACGTGGTGGTCCCTCCTGTTGGATACTCGCCACACAAGCTTGACTCCAGACATCGGCTCATTGCAGCAGTTGGCGCTGATACGAAAATCCTTCTAGAGCCTCGACAAGACCAAAACCGCCACAGACGAAACCGCCACAGACGCCCACAGGCAGCCTTGTTATTCCTGTTCTTCTACTGTGACACCAACATGTGACTTCCAAGGTTGGCTTAGAATTGATATCATATTCAGACATGCACATACTTCCAAGGGATCAGGTCAAATGCGACTGTGTTCATACCGATGAAAAGAAAAAATAAGATAACCCATTTTCAAGTTGAAAAACAACAAAACATACAGCATACGTCACTGCGGCTACCATTCCACGCCTATCGAAGTACCTGCAAGGCGCAGTGTCATACCTCTCTGCACCTGTTGATGCAAGTCTGAGCTGTGCTCCACCGACGTCGTGGTCCCTCCTGTCAAGTACGCCCAGCCCTGCCAAGGCATCTGCCACACCTGCCACCGTGCCAAGCACCCTGCAGTATGAATAGCAATAGCCAAGCACCGCGCATATGATATTCTTCAATCTTGGCAGTGTCTACCACCATTCCTTGCAGAAAACTGACACAAAAACCGGCTTCAAACCTGATGAATCTTGGGAAAAAAAGAGCCGGTGACAACCCTCACCACCTCACCTCTGCATCCCCGGTGTACAGAAACAACTTTCGTAGACCATTGCATAATGATGAAGTGTTACATGAGAGAAACACCCTGCCGAGCCCCACCTCGGATATTCCGTACACATTGTGCATTGTGTTGTCGCGCTACACGCTGTCCCACCGACCTTTTAACCCACTTACCCTTACCACCAGACACACATATGGAGCATGGTAGTGCTACTCCATCGACTAACTACATTCAGGAACCTCCGACCGAACCCTCTCTAATATAGTCACAGCCGAATATAAATTAACTCGCAACTAGTCCGTAAACAAAAGAGGAGCAAGCAAAACCTTAATGAAAGCTTCTCGAATGACAGCACTGGCCTGCCTTCGGTGAACTGCGCAGACTAGAGGAAATCTCCGTGCGAATGCAACTCTGGAAAGGCTACTTGGCACTATTGAACCGCTATGTCGAACAGTGGGGCGGCGATCACAAAAGGGCAGACGTGGTCCCACTCCTTTCAATAGTCTGGTCTAAAAGTTCTGACAGAACCGTTGATTGCACGCGTTAGCGTATGCCAATCCCGGGGGTGCCTCGTTTTGGGATGGCATTTACACATTAAGAGGGGATCTACCAGATCGACGGATTGCTCTTTAGTGTACTATGTTGGTATGCATTTTGACGTGTCATTTCGTGGGCCTTATGTGCTGTCTATTCCATTCAGACACGTTCTGTAAGTTAGTAAGCACTCATGTACGCGCTAGTACCTCCTAAAAGCGAAGCGTATTACGCAAGACATGCTCGACAATGCCCATTGGCCACACTCACACCTGAGAAACTTGAGTATTGGACACGTCGCGAACACCTGATCGATCCGCACGATCGTCATCGGCGCCACAGTCTGACATGAGAGAGCTCACATGGAGAACTGACAGCTCCAATGTGCCTCGCCTTGTCCCCTCCCAACGACAGAGGTAGATTCACGCGATGCCGTGGCGCTGTCACACCCAGCCCTAGACTCCAGCATCTGTGAGGTCAGGTCGTGCGAATTCACCGCCATGTGATGCGTCGGGCATATGGGCATGCAGAAGCTTGCATCCTCCAGTCATTGTGCGGATGTGTCAGGGGAGTATTTCCGGCGTGCCTAATAGGTTGTGGCGGGGATGCATCGCGCTACTGTAGTTGGGGCTGAGCGCGTTCCTGGTTCATCCCAGTAGTTCTCGCGAATAGTTCGTACTTGTAGAGTGGAAAGGCTGCATACCCGCGGCCGATGCCGGGCAACTGTGGGTCTGCTGCATCGTACTTTGCGGAGGTCGTGCTCCCTTTTACCTTTCTTTCTTCCTTCCTTCCTTCGTGGAGGTCCTTACGGGTGGTGAATGCGTACAACTGCTTGAGACTCCTTCCTAAAACGACAACCGAATCTCCGACGGGGATTCGAGCGTGCTGCTGTGCTTTGTACTGTCGCATGTGCTGTGTGAATGACCATCTTATTCCCGACTGCGAGACTGTCATGCGTCGGACATATTAGGGCTGTTAGTGCCTTACTTTAGCTGGGCACGATTATTTGTTTTTGCGTGGCGTGGCGTTTCGTTTTCGTTTTGTATTGTTTTCTTTTTTTAGCAGGGCACTTTGCCTTCCTACCGGGGACTCCTGCCTTCTCCCAGGGTACTGGGGTGTCTCAGTCTCAGGACAAAACAGGAGAACTCTGTCAATGACTCGACAAACTCCGGTTCGTCGTATCAGGCTCTAGATCGTCTCCACTGAGGTGAGGTGCTGAGGCTGGGAGTTTGGAAGGAGTTTGGCTGCCCGAACTCACCACACGCCAACCAAGTTGTAAGGAAGGAACGACCGAGGATTCCCCGACAGCGGATTCCATCTGATTCCCGATTACAATCCGGAGAATTCACGTGGTTGGGACCGATCCCTGGGCCATCCCGTCAAACCAGTCTCGGGCGGGTCCAAGTTTCCTAAAAAAAATCGTGAAAGATTTAATTCAGTACCCTATGGGAAAATGGAGGTCACACCCGATGGAGGGTAAGACAGGCTGAACTTAATTCTGGGAGTTCCAGATGTCAAAAAAAGTATACCCTCCACTTCCCTCCTGGACACTGAAATCCGGGTGTCGCACCAGTAGTGGTGATACTCCTAGCAACTGCAGCCAAAGTATCCTCGGATAGAATGGTTCGAAGTAGACGGTGTTCACAGAATACGAAAACGAAAAAACCGGAGAGGTGACACCGATCTCTCGCCATCGGCACATTAAGCGCGACGAATCCCTAAGCCTCCCTAAGCGCTGTCAAAAGGGGCTCGTCGAGAGTACTCCATTCAGCGCACCCACTCACACCAGAAGGTTAGGTGGATTCATTCCTAGGGTTGTTCGGGCGTAAGTGGGTGAGTGGCAGCCGACGTCATCCGTTGACAGGAATTTCATGGCAGACAGCAGTGGGTCCCTCCAATATTGAAAACGAGATTGGGGAGCCGGACCCATGGGCTGAATTTTGCGGACCCAATATTGAGGTCGATCCGGCAGCTGCCACGGCTAGCACTTCCTTAGGGTAGATTTGGATTGGCAGGCTTGCGTGATTCTGTTCCGGAAGGGGGCAAGGCCAATCCTGGTTCTTTGCGGCGTGGCCGTCGGCATGCAAGTATTTTCCGCCCCCGCCCCTGTAACCACTAGACACTAGACGCCCCCTGGAGTAACCCCTAAGGGTGCCGGACAATACGATTCAGGATCGGAGCTGAAAACTTGTGTTGGGTGCTGGGGTGAGGGTGTTGGTGGGAGGTACCGGCTGAGGGGTGATCGACGGGATTGGCTCGACGCGGTGGACCGCGTGCCGCTTCATGATCCACGTTGTCATGTGTGCAATAATACGCGATCGTCGTCTAATGCTCAGTGAAATGGAACCATGGTAGGGCAGATTTAAGAAGTGACATTGAAAGATGTGTATTCAGAAAGTTCGGTATATCCGTGCAATGATGAAGCTAACGCCGGAAATGCAGTTTGGAAGCAGATGTGATGCAGTGCAACATCAGGGGAAAAAAAGATAAAAAAAAAGATAAACAAAAAAAGAAAAAAAGAAAAAAAGAAAAAAAAAAGAAATAACGCGAGTTGCCAACCCCTTGCAAGCCCAGGGTAAATCAAATCAAATATGAATAAAAGGGTATCAAAATGATATCTCAAAAGAGTCCCAGCACTGACGCACTCATAACAATCCAAAAACAATCTCAATAAGGCATAGAAGGAAAAAAAAGGAATGCCAGTCTATCCCCCTGATCCGTGTACCAAAACCCCGTAACTCATGAAGACAAAAAAAAAAAAAGGGTCGAAGCCCGGTCGTAATCCGAATAAACGCTCACGTTGTCGATGCCGTGGAACATGACAGAAAAGGCCGTAAAAGAATCGCGAAGCGCCTGAATATCAGAGGCTGCTCGATGCGTATAAATCTAGTGGTGCGGAGACGGGAGGTGGTCGTCGACGTCGCTAAAAGGGGACTGTCTCTCGTCGCCGCCGCTACGCATTTGATTGCGGAGGGCGGGGAGTTGGCGCCGGCGTGCGTTGATGAACCAATTGCTGATCTATAAAGAAATTAGTCGCATATTCAACTCTGGCTCGCAGTGCGGGGGTGGTCGTACTTGACTGATGGACAACCCAGTCCGCGTCATAAACATCTGCTTATCCTCTTCACTCGGATACGGATGATCCAAATGCTCATGGAACCACGCGCGCAAGATATCAGTCACCGGCTTGGGTAAATTCCCCCTCCGACGCCTCGTCCGCGGATCCACGGAATCGCCCATGATGCCAAAATTCGCCGCGCTGGATTGGTTCATCATCACCTGCTCCTCGTGGTACGGCATTGGGGGACCCTGTCCGTAGCCCATGACAGGGGCGTGGTGCTCGCGCCGCTCTGGCATGGGCGCTGGCATGGGCGCGCCGCGATATTCTGTGAAGGGGTCGGATCGCGGCGCCATGCGGCTGTCGGGGTAACCCTGGCGTTCGGGCATGGAGCCTAGGTCGCGGATGGGCGGGAGAATGGGGCTGGGCCCGCGCAGGGAGCCCGAGAGGTGGTCGCTCATCGGTCGTGGTTCACGGGTTGTGTATTCGCGGGGGTACTCGGCGTAGGGCATTTGGGATGGCGAGTTGTAGGGGATTGAGCGTGGGTCGGCCATTTCGTGGCCAGAGGAGGGGCGGTCCTGGGATTGTCGGAATGTCGAGGAGTCGATTTCATCGTGGAGGTGTGGTGGGAGGAGCTGGCAGGCGTTAGAGCGTGGATTTTGGGAGTGCGTAGAAGATGCTGGAGACTTACCTCGCGGAATGAGGGGAGCTGTTGCTGACTGGCCGGTGCTCTGCTGTAGGATAGAGACATGTCGGAATCTTCGTCTACCTCACGGGGATGTGACATAGACGGTGTATAGACGTATATCGACGTATTAGAGATGGGAGTTGGGTGTCGCAAATGATCTATGATGATCTGAGTCGGTTAGGGAGAGACCGGAGTGTAGTTGATATGCGGATATGAAGGGTCGGAGCGAGTGTGTAGAGAGAGCAGGAGGAGGTATAGAAGAGAGTAGAAGAGAGTAGGTGGAAGACTCACGGGAAGGAGCGGGTTGACATGGCCAAGATTATGCAAGGTTGGGGAATGCCTCCAAATAATGCAGGGCCCTGTACATTTTAAAAAAGAGACATGTTCCGACGCAAGACCCAGCTGTTACATGTCCATGGAAAAGCAAGAACAGGGGGGGGCCCAGAAAAATGACGATCGTGGGCGTGGTGGAGCCGGGGAGCCACAAACTACCAGCAGGTATGGTCCTTCACGGCATGCAGAGCGGAGAAGAGGGGTGCACATCATGAGTTTAGGTTGACAGATTGCCAAGATGCCACTAGAAGGGAATACAGAATACTACAGTGCGCAGGAGGAGCTGAAAGACGACTCGGTTGTGGTGGGTTTGGATTAGGATTAGTCGTGGACACTAGTAGACACGACAACTAGCACTGTAGGCTGGCAACTCAGGCACCGCAGCCAGCACATTATTGGATCATTTTTGGGGATTGATTGAATTTGGAATTGAATTGCGTCTCGGGCTAGAGGTTCCTCCTAAAATGGGAGTAAAATGGGGAAAAAAGAAATGGCCCCATCGGGCTGAGTAGGCTACCCCAAATCCGAGCAGTTCCCGTACAGAACCAGCGTCTCGGTATTAGGACGGCAACCAAATCCGATCGCAAGTCTGGTACGTCCAATTTCTGGTACGCCCAATTTCATTCTGTGTTAGGAAATGGAACTTCCTTACTACAGCAGAGTTAAATTTTTGTATTTTTTTTTAAACTATTTTATTTCCTTTGAATATAGAATGTCACAATCCTCGGCCTTGCCGCATGCCGGGAGCGAGGGGCGTACATACCCAGTACATGCTGTATGAGTGTACATGTAGAGTACCCTGGTAAGAGAGTACTGTAGCGCCCTCGGTACTCAATACCCGAGTCAGGCAATGTTAATTAAAATCAAATATCCTGTCACGTACAGACGCAGTTACAGTATGGTAAAAGTCAGACGGGTGGATCGGCCGACGAGAGGAAAGATCGCCGCTCCACTGCACAGCTGGTGTCACTCGTGCGAGCTTATCCTTTACCAAACTCTTTTTACCTGTAATCCCTAGAAATAGTTAAGCATTTACCTTAAGAAGAGTTCCTTAGGCCCGACCCTCAGATGTCCCGTGGTAAATGGAGTAGGGGATGAACCATCGGTAGAGTAGAGGAACCAGATCGATCGATCGACGAACACGAAGGCGAGGGGCTGGGACCATGGACAGGGATGCGCTGGGCAGATCGCCTAGGGGTTCGTGATCCCCACTTCCTTCGAGATGTGTGGCGTCGGATCCATGCTCGTACGTCAGATCACGGAGAATCCCCTTCTTTGATTTGATTTTATTTTTGATTTTCGACAATTTCGGATTTTCATGATTTTTCCATTTTTTGGTGTCTGGCACTTTGACTTGTACATACATTGAGTCTATCCTACATATCCTACTTACAGGGGTAGGTATACATACATACTGTAGACGTCCAGATCGTGGTACGGCACTTCATGCCAGGTGACAATTGCATATGATATCTCATCTTCTTTTGCAGCGAGGGGCGAGTCCAGTCGCGGGATTTGGTCGATGTGACAGCACTTTAGAGGGTGCCACTGACACTGCAGTTCTTCCGCCTCGATCCGCACTAAACTAGTCTGCGGCTCGCGTATCGCGTCCTCCTCCCGACACTCCCCTCTCAGCTGTTCGCTGTGTCGCTTGCCCTTCCTCGCCAACGCCAAAATCCAGACGGGCGGGGCAGTGGACCAGCAATAATAGCGCAGACTTCCCCCAAAATGCCATCGGAGATCCTCCTGGTGGGGCGCCTTTCAGATGCGCCCGGCCGAATGCCTTCTCCACTCGCCCACTTGAGGCCGCGATTGCGAGGTGCGAGAGCGTGAGTGTGGGCGATAGAAGAGGGCGTGGTTTGACTTGACAACAGTGCTCAGGGTTGGGAGTCACAGTGTCGAGTATCAGCCTCGATGAGATGCGACGAGTTTCGCCACGGTTACAAGATCCCTGCAGGCCCGTCAATGTGACACAGACAAGGCGGGGTTCGGACGCCCTCCGCACGCCTTTATTTTTGGTCACCCAAGCCTAGCACAAAGCCTCAGCTCAACAGGGCAGTCCAGCCGGATCTTAGTTGAGGGAGGTCTAGGCAGACGCCACACGCTGAGATAACAGGTGGCTCAGTCTGCTCCTGGATTCCCACGAGGCTGGATCTGGATCTGCCCTGATTCGCCCGTCATTCAAGGGGATCGATCGGTGGATAGTTCCCCTTGCTCGACGAACTACTGTTGGTGACCATGCCGAGTTCGTCGGCCTCGGTTGGTCGCGACCTGATTCCCGCTCCTCGTGGAGAAACCCGTGAGTGATCTCGCATCACATTACTCGACTCAACAAACTCGGGGTTGCCGACTACTCTACCTGCCTACCGTACAGAGGTACACACCCCTGGATGGCCAGGCACGTAATTGGAATCCGCGCGGATCATACCCGTCCGCATACCTCGAGATCCGAGATCGTGCATGGAGCAGGGATGCAGATCATCGATCTTTGTCACCTTACCCTAGGTCACCACAGCACAGTACAGCATACGGGGAGACGATCGGCTCAGTCCCGGGGAATGCACCGGAGGAATTACTCCGAATCCGCGGGAAGCAGGCACATGCAGAAATTTGTCATCGTGCAACCAGTTTTCCTGGTTCTTGGGATGGCGATCGTTTTTAGCGCCTGAGCACCGTCACCGCAGTACTGTGATTGACACTGTAAGTGCTGATGTACAGTGAGATGAACAGAGTACAACCTTATTCTCGCTAGTCGCGGCCCTACCAGCTCGATCAATCGATAGTTCGCACGGTTGGATCGAATTTGTGCACGAACAGTGCGCCTGCCAAGCTTGACCCTTCGAAGTTTGGTCACTAAGGTTTATTCGCATCTTGACTGCAGCCGCGACGGAATGTGAGGGATGTGACGTCACGCAGGGCATCCAGTCAAATGCAAGGATGTCGGCTGTCGCCTGTCAGAGTCGGTTAGTTGTCCCAGCCCCCTGGTTTTGGGTCACACCTACTACTGTACCTTAGGGTAGGGTAGTTAAGGTAGGGGCGGTACACACCTGGAGGGTGCAGAGGGTGCCGGGGTAACTGAGTCAGGGGCGTACTAATCACTTTTTCTTCCTACTGTAACAGGGTAGAAGATGCTTTTCCTCGCGCAGCTTGGCGTGATCTGAGCTGTCGCGGAAGTCACCCTCGTATCGCCCAGCCTCTTACTGGGTTACCTTCACTAAGGTAGTAGCAATTATTGAGTGGTCGCGACCGCATCGCGCTCGGGATCTCTTCTTTTTTTTGGTTCGACGGCCCTAATGAGAGTTCAAATTTGGGTCGTGGCTGCTGCAGCCGATGTTTGTCTCGTCCCGAGCACCTGGACAGCAACCAACTTTTGAACTGCGACTTCTCTTCGTGACCAATCGCTGCTCCGTGGCTTTGCGCCTAATGTGAGGCGGCCTAATCGGTGTATCCTGGTCTGTACCCTGCCCTGTACTGTTGTAGAGTAGCACTCGATATAGTTCGTCCAAGTCTCAACCTCATTGGGCCCAATACGCCATGTCCCCACGTCCGTCAAACTTCGCATCGAGGTTGTCGAATGATCGAGAATTGGGTTGTTTGTCTGTTGTGCGACAGACAACTCATCCACGGCTAATATACATTGACCGCGACATGTCGCATGCTCCTGAAGGACAATGACGAAAAAGCGCTGCAGATAGTGGAGCAACAACAACTCACACCCTCATGTCCAATGTTTCAACGACAAAAGCAAAATGGACTGCATGAAACGTCGCAATCCAAAAAGCAATGTGTCCATCCCCGTCACACCTATAAACACATGGGTTGAATCAGCCCCAAAATCAAGCAGAAGAAAATGAAAATGAAGAAAAAAGAAAAGCATTTCTAATTTCAGACCTTCGTCCCGCCATATTCCCGAGGCGAATTTTTTAACCCCGGCTGCATGTAAGCTGTCATGACTAGTGGTCGGGCGAGCTGTCGAGACCCCGATATGTGACGTCCAACTTTGAAATAAGAGCGCTGATAATCGTGGTTGCCGATGAAAGACCAAATTGCTTATGCTTGTTGAGGCTACGTGGCGTCGGACAAAAACAACTGAACATTAGATGAAAGATGATATCAGGTTCCGAGGACGCCGCGGATGGTGAATTCGTGGGGGTTGTTGGCTTGGCTTTGATGTCAGTGAGTGGAATTTTACGCTGTCATATTGCTGTTCGTGGTTCAACATCCGGGGTTTCTTGTATTTATGCTGGTTTTGCAACGAGAGACTTCCTCGTGACTCTGTCATTTTGAAGAATTTGCTATGTGTGCTGACGATTTTTTCTGGCAAGACCGTTGCCGGCCTTCGTAAAAGTGCACACTGCAAGTGTGGCTGTAGCTACTTAGCATAAAACCACTTACTCTCACATATTCGCCGAAAGCATGAAGATATACATTAATACGGCGCTGAGACTGGGACTTCCAAGCAGGGTAGCAGGCACATGTGACGCAAATGAAGGATATGAATAAAATTCAATTTATACAGTCTGAAGCGATCCACAAGCTCCTACTTATAATAATTCGGCACCTTCAACCCCTTGAACTCAAAAGAAGTATTCTCTCGTCGATCAATCACCTTCCGATGATGCACATCTTTAACTCGCGCGCGAACGTACTCCGTCCCTGTCGCAGCAGGCTTGCTAGTATCCTTATCTTCTTCGCTAAGCAAACCCAGACGTTCTAGTAAAGGTGACGGCACAGTCCGCATGATAGTATGATCTCCCGGCCTACAGAAATACAGCAACCCCAGGCGCGGAATATGGATCTGGTCTTTCGGGGGCGTCACGACGCGGTGGACGGTGGATTTCAGGAATCCTACACCAATATTAGCAAAGACCTGGCCAAAATGAGGAGAACTACACACCATTCGTAAGGAAGGATAGTGTATCCGCAATATTACACGTAATCCCCCCTTCAACAGGCTTAACATACTTCCACTCCGCCTCCGGCGTCTGAATCTGCAACCCAGCAACATGCTGCGAAAACAGCAGAGTCAGGCTGCCAAAGTCGGTATGGCCGCCCTTCGTGTAGCCCTGCGCCTTGTCCCATTCTTCTTGCGTTCGCGTGTTGTAGATCATGTAGCGCAGGTGGTCGTCGGAGAGCTGGTCGTAGGCGTGTGCGTTGACGAGATAATTTTCTGGGAGCTCGAGGATGATCGCCATTAGGACGAAGAGCTTGCGAATGACTTTTTCGTAGAGGTCGCGGTGGAATGTCGCGATTTCGTCGTAGTTTTGGCGGATTACGCGGTGTTTGGGGATGTGGGACCATTCGGGAATTGCTTTGGGGATGTTTAGCTGTGGGAGTTAGTCTCGCACTGGCAAGCCGTAAAGGTAAATGCTGGTGGGATGCATACCATCTCGACGTTATCTTTGACTCCGGTGTCACCGATCCACCGTTCATTCTCGCGGTACCCGAAATACTCCCCCTCCGCAAAATTGCAAGGGAAGCTCCGCTTTTCGTCAAGTGGTTCTTTGAAAAATGCATTGCCCAGACTGAACTGTCGCAGCACCTGATTATCATCAAGCCCATGTCCAACGACAACCCAGAATCCCACCCGCGTCACCGCATCGTGCAGCTGCTTCGCAAGCTCCTCCTTTCCTCCCGGGTGATCAAATTGAGAGAGATCGATCTCGACTAGCGGCGCCCAGTCTAAATCCTCTTTTGTTGGTTCTGGCCGGCTCCATGGCTTAACCAAAACTGTTTCGGTTGCCGGGGGTTCTTCAATTGCGGACGGTGCCATCTTTACTTTGGTACGGGTCGGGTTAGGCGATGAGTGGCTAGGGCGATATTTTAAATGTACCTTAGGGTAGTCAACTGAGCTTGTCTGACAGATGCAAAGAAGGTCTGTTAGAAACTATCCGGGCCTATCATCTTTGCCTCATCTGCTGTTTTCTTGGAGGGATGCGGGGTCTCGGATGTTATCATCTCTGCTCCGGATGGCGTTATGCAGCTCGGTTTCAATGCCGATGTTGAGTATACATTGTAGTCAGTAGATATATTCAATATATTTATCATGTTTAGCTGCTATGGAATGCCAATCAACTTTGCGGGGTGTTGCAGAACTCATACAGGTCTTGCCAACACTATCCTGCATACGCAATACCAATTTCGTAGTAGTCTCGTCTTCCCTCTAGCCTTCAGGTACAATTGATTAATAACCCCCGGATTTATGGTTCCTGGGCATGCCGCAATAGCGTGGGAGGATGAGCAACATATCGAATATGCTGAGCGAGCTGGTCAATATCGATCTCAGCTGGGTATATGTAGCCGGATGATAATATGTCGTGATCGAAACTGTCATGACAGGAACAAACCCTGACCCATCGAAGCCACAGCGTTCAACACTTAAAATGAACAGATTAGGGTCTTCTTTAATTCGTGACCTGAGGTCTGCGAAAATTCGGTCGCTTAACTCACTCGTCAACAACGATGGGATCCGGCAAAGGCGAAGAGGTCACCACGGCCAGCATACCTCCATCACCAGTCGACGACAACAAGAACCCCAATGGATTAATCCGCACCAATGCCGAGCTCGAAAAAAGGGTAATGCGCAAAATCGACTTCTGGCTCGTCGCCTTCTACTCTATCGTATATATATTCCGCGTCATTGACTCAAATAACTACTCCAACGCCGCGATCATCAACCTCGAAGCCGGAACCGGCATCAAAAAAGAACTCGGCTTCAACTCCTCCGAATGGGCCTGGACCCAATCCATTTTTTCGTACAGCTACCTCCTCTTCGAACCAACCAACACAATCCTACTCAAAGGCATCAAGCCGTCGCGATGGATGTTCATTCTTATTCTCTCCTGGGGCGTCTGCGCCTGCTCCGCCGGTGCAGCGCAGGATTTCCCTGGTATGATGTGTGTGCGCTTTGCCATCGGCATCGCTGAAGCAGGCTTTTACCCATCCGTACTCTACCATATGGCCTTCTGGTATAAGCCGTCTGAGCTGCGCTGGCGCATAGCACTATTTTACTCTCTCGGTCAGGTTTCGGGGGCGTTGAGTGGACTGCTAGCGTACGCGATCAGCTTCATGGATGGCGCGGGTGGCCTCTCGGGGTGGCGGTGGTTGTTCATTCTTGAGGGTTTGCCGGCTATTTTGTTGTCTGTTGTTGCGCTGTTTGGGCTGCCGGATTATCCTGAGACGGCGAAGATGCTGACAGAGGAGGAGAGGACTTTTCTGAAGGGGAGGTTGTCTGCTTCTGCGCCGAAGGGGGAGGATAAGAGTTGGGATTGGGGGGATATTGCGATGTTGTTGCGCAGTCCGACACTTTATACGTTTACGGTGTATTGGATTGGGCATGGCATTGGCGGATTTGGAGTCAACTATGCTTTGCCTACTGTGATTTATGAGCTGGGGTTTACGGATACGGCGCTGTCACAGTTGATGAATATTGTGAGTACTACTTACCAGCGAGAAAGGGTGCATCTGCTGATAGACTTCTTCAGCCTCCATATGTCGCCTGCTTCTTCTTCCTCAACGCTCTCGGCTACCTCCTCCACAAAGGCTGGATCCGACCCTGGACAACCGCAGTCGCCAGTCAGTATTCCCCTTTCTCATTATCCCTTTCGTTACTGACGGTTGAACAGTTGAAAGCACAATCATCATCTGCTATATCATCTTAATTACCGTCCCTAACTCCACCGTCAAATACATCGCCCTGATCGTCGCCACAGCTTGCGCAGGATCCGCATACCCCGTCATCTGGCCGGAACGAATTCGCGCCCTCGATGGTACCGTCGCGGCGGGTATTGGAATCGGATTGACGAATGCAATGGCTCAGTTCAGCGGGATTGCGGGACCCCATGTCTACAGCACTGTTTTCGGGCCGACATATCGTGTATCTTACATCATTTGTCTCTGTTTCCTTTGTGCGGCTATTTCGGGGATTCTCGCATCGTGGTGGTTTGTTTGGCGGAAAGATCAGAGGGATGAAATTCGGGGGAGGATTGGGCAGGAGGCATAGTGTCGGGTTAGGCATTAGTCCATGGATCACAACGCCGGTTGTTTATTACATCAAAATGATGGATGTGTGAAATGTGCCAAAATAAAGGAACACCGGTGTGGCTTCTGCATAATTCCGTTTCTTCGTTTGTAAACACAGGCGCATCACGATATCATCTTTCGCTGCCTAAAGCCGTGATGAGCCACTGCCGCGAGTATATACAGTGGGGTTTCCCAACTACATTGCACCTACTTTTCACAGCCCTCCCCTCGCCGGCACCCCTTTCCCATTTTCCTGCACATCCCTGGGAGCTGTGAGCTTCTTTGTATATACACCGCGGATATCTCTGGGCTGTTTGCCCAGTTTGTCTCACCTGCAGCTCTGCAGCGCTTCCACGTTAAAAGCCCGGCTTTGCATCTACCTTCCCACTGAATCGCATCTCTGACGTTTCTACCTTCCAGAACCAAGCGAAGCCATTTCATGTCACGAGTGGGCATCTTCTTGGGTATAAGCCCAGAAGAATTCCAGCAAATATCGTCGACTGCCATGACTGGACGCAACGCCCGCGATCACTGGGATGACCTTGAGATTGTCCTACACATGTTTCAAAAAAAAAAAAAAAAAAGGAAAGGCTACGCTCTGACACTTGCGGTAAAGATTGAGCTGCACAGTTTAGCATGGACTGAGTCTGGGTAGATCGTGGATGAGGTAGCCTATACTATCCCACGATCATTGGGCGACTTCAAGATCATGTCACAACCATGTGCCAATGGGTCAATACCAAGGTCAGTGAGGCTCATGCCCAGTTCTCTCAAAAACGACCGATATCAAAACCGACGAACACTATGACCGCGAAAAGGACGATAAGGGTCGTCCAAGCCACGAGGACATTGTCCTTGCTATTGAGGAAGCTCTCAACTAGGAAGAGCTCAGGATCAAGCCTTTGATTATACGATGGGGCTTATTGGACATGAGTGGAATCCAGTCCAACTGGAGCCCTCATCCTCGACTGCCACGCCAGCACCGTCACCATCGGCCACATTCGAGATTACGGCGAAGTCTTCCTAGTACATTTTGGATACCCGGAAGCAGACCGCCAGTGCTGCCTCGGCCTCAGGTGAGAGACGATATTAGACTTCGTCCAGCGAAATGCCAGGATAGCGTTTCAAAATCGGGATTGGGAACATCATGAATGCAGCTTCACCAGGGGAATGCGTGCCCTTGCGTGAGGCGGCTATTCGGTGCATAGAGGAAAGGTCGGGTATGTACACTAACTGATGACCTCAGCGCTCTGAAAAGGACTTCTACGGTCAGATAAACACATGAAAGGTTCTCTCCGGGAATATACCTGGCTCCGAGCATTTCTAGCTGTCGTGACTATGCTCCCGGAGCGGACCCAACTCCAGTTCACGAAAAGAAACGCAGATGAACTTTCCTGAAGAAATTTTAATCTTTATACCATACCTTCACTGTTTGTGATCGTATTGGGCCTTCATGTGGAAATTCTCGAAACGGAAGCGGTATTGGAAGCGGCATGAAGGCGGGCCTGAAATGGCGAGAAGCATCAAAGACCATACCGATTCTAAAGGAGCAACCATATCCTGGTCCTTGATTTCTTTCAAACAAAGGCTTTGCTAAGCTATGCTGGTGCGAGAGAAGGTAGTCTTCAGAGCCACGTGATGGATTTGAGCTCATTGAAGAGGTTTGAGCGTCTCGGCTCTATCGGGAATTTAAATCGCCATTGAGCTACCGCCGCTCGCATGTCGGAATGACCGTGATGTTGAGAGCATCAACATCTGTCAACTGCTTGAATACAGACGATGCGGCCAGCGCACACTCGATGGTTTCAATAATGTTGCCCTCGATTCGCAGGGGATTCGACCTTTACGGAGCACATCTCAGGATATTGGGCACCCTGCAGAAGAAAATATTATCAACGACCGAGCACATAATCTGCTATGAATATACCTGTGCTTCTTATTCAGGCTCGTCATCCCTGTCATCAAAACAGGTATCGAGAAGATTCTGCTTTGTCTTGATAAAGTCGGAGCTTCGACTTTTCTGAGCTCGGAAAGAACATCGCGAGTTCCGACGGTTTCTCAATGTGCGTCGGTTGGGGTCAGTTAACTATCTGTGGACAAGGCTCCACGGAGGGTAAGGTAGAGTGCTAGTCTATTGGACGCTGTATAACCCAATACAGCGAGCAGAGGACATTGCTCATGTGAAAGTGATGCTTCACCATCCATGGCGGAAGATTGTGGAGCTTCTCCAAGTTGGTCTCCCTCTGGTAGCTACTCGCAGCCGGCAAACATTGATGGGTACGTAACCTCCCTCATCAGCTATTCTATCGACTTGTCGGGGAACGTGCATATTCTGCAGAAGAGGTGGGTAAACTATTACTGGGTCTGCCACACCAGCAGGATAGTCGTGTGGCACGTGTTGATTGCCACGCAGTGACATTCCACCGTCGACAAAGAACTTTAACGCAGAGCAGTCAAAGCCTGTTATGTCAAGAGAGCGATCATTCACCATCAATTGCTGTTGTCAATGGCTGACCAGACACGAAAGTGTGCGCGAGGAGTTAGAAAAGCTCAAAGAACGGGAGGATTTGTTGGCAGAGAACCACTCAGAAAAGGACCAAAGTGAGTCAGAGTAATTCTCAAGCATTAATCCATAGAAGATAGGAGGGTTGGAAAATGTGGGTAGCACTCTACCCTGACTGATCATTGAACATGATGAAAAGTGTGATACTGATAATCTATAGGCGCATTAAACCGGGAAGACAAAGGATGCATCGAGCAAACCGCACCGAGCAAACCGCACCGAGGCCAAAAAGCAATAGCACCGGGATAGGAATAAGACCGCTCTTCGGAAATGGAGAGAAAGGCAGTCTGGTAACCGTTCCGGGAGAATATGTGCAGCGCCTATAGTACCTCGACAACGTTCCTTACCTATCTTTTTCCCGCAACTATCGACACGAGAGAACCTGCCAGTGTTTATGGTGGCCGAACTCTTGTTCAGATTTCGAGAGCGATTTTGAACGTATTAGGTCTGCATGGCTGTTGACAAGTGTGAGCTCTGCACGTGTCGCTGTCTAGGCGGCCATCATCACTAGCTTTGCTGAGAACCAGTGCCGTGACTCCACTGGCGGGCGAAGGAATTTCACTACATGGACCGAACTATTATCTCCACGCCACCCAATGCCAACCCCCAAAAAGCCCACTGGCCAGTTCGAGCCGGCCCGTGGAACTTCCCTGACCCCAATCAACCAACCGACAAGCGCAAAAGGTTAACATCCCTAAACGCCCTCCGAAGAATTCCCAACTACTGGCCATAGTATCAGATTTCCTGGCGCAAAAGATCGATTTGAAGTTGTGTGCCCTGTTGATGTGGGCTTGACAGGTCCTCATACTGAAGGGGTGTCATAAATCCCTCGATTTGCTGAATATGTGGTGATGGAGATAAGTCCAGCGAAAATGGCTAAGCGGACGTGGAAGAATTTCTCGGAGAAAGAGAAAAAGGGTGGTGTCTACTGGTACATTATGCGGTGATTCATATGCTACACTTTGCTCTTCGAAGAGTACGAGGCAGACTATCCAGCGTTTGTTCATAATGATACCTCTTACTATCAAAGTTACGCTTGCCGTCAACGATCTGGTTGTTCGTTTTACCCACCCCGACAGCGATTTGTTGCCAATTTACTAGCAACACTGACGACCTCATTTACAAGACCAGTCTGGGTACGGTTGTAGTTGGAAGGCAGCTGGTCCTACTCCCGGTTGACTAGAACTGACGTGGAATGAAGCATCTGCAGCCGATTAGATTAAGATCGCGGACACTAATTTTTGTGCCAGAAGTACACTGAGCAGTAATAAACACAAATAACCACAAATAATGATGGCTTTCGAAGAATAATGACTCATGCTGATTCACGTACGCTAGTCCCGAAAGGGACTAGCACCACCAGACCCATCATTGTTTATATTCTGGAATATATACCTCGTTTTTCAACACAGCAATCACGAGTTCAAACGACAAAAGCAATGGCTGACAATAAGCCAACTGAAGAAATGCAGATATTCGAGCAGAAGAACAGCTCGGAAAGCGAGGTCGAGAGCTCGGGCAAAAATGCGGCCGATTTTGAGTTAACCGGACTGCAACTTTTCATCGTCATCTTCGGACTTGCGCTCGCGATTTTCCACATGTCGCTCGACTCTTCGATTCTCGCAACCGCCATCCCGAGAATTACGTCGCAGTTCAATAGTACAAGTGACATTGGGTGGTATGGAAGTGCTTATTCATTTGCCATGTGTGCTTTGCAGCCTACTTCGGGGAAGTTGCTTGCGAGCTTTAATCTGAAGGTGAGAAGATAAACACGCCTCTGTGATTAGACAGACATTCTAATTATGTCTCATAGTGGACATTCATTTCCTGCATCGCTGTCTTTGAGCTCGGATCTCTACTTTGCGCCCTCTCCATCAACAGCCCCATGCTCATCATCGGGCGCGCGATTGCCGGCGCCGGCGCCGCGGGCTGTCTTACCGGTGCATTTTGCATTGTCGCCGTCTCACTGCCTCTCGAAAAACGACCCGTCTACATTGGCATCTTGCAGTCGACCTATGGCGTCGCGGCCATCATCGGACCCATTCTCGGCGGCGTCTTTACAGAGCACGCGACATGGCGCTGGTGTTTCTGGATTAACCTCCCCATCGGCGCGCTGACAATTTTCATCCTGGTCTTCTTCTTCAAGCCGCCTACTCAAGACTCAACAAGTCGTCCGCCAATCCTAGAAAGACTGGAGGGACTGGATATGTTCGGTCTCATCCTCTTCGCGCCTGCCATCATCATGATCCTGCTAGCCGTGCAGTGGGGAGGGACCACCTACCCATGGAAAAGCGGGACCGTCATCGGGCTATTCGTTGGTGGTATCGGACTCGGTCTTGTCTTCGCGCTTTGGCAGGTTTACCGTGGTGATCGTGCGATGATCCCACCACGCCTCGTCACCGAGCGGACGATGTTCTTCGCCTGCTCGACCGAATTCTTCGCCATGGGTGCCGTCTTCATCTCGATCTACTACCTCCCCGAATGGTTTCAGGTAATTAAAGGAGCGTCACCCACAAAGTCAGGACTGATGTACCTCCCACTCGCACTGTCAGACGTCCTCTCCGCGACACTGACGGGCGCCTCGCTGAAATACCTCGGCTATCCGAACCCGTACATGATCCTCGGAACAGTCCTAATGAGTGTCGCGACCGGCCTATTCTCAACCTTCACCATGACAACGAATCACAATCTATGGATCCCGTTCCAGGTTCTCCAGGGTCTGGGTGTCGGCATGACGCTCTCCATGCCATATGTTGCGACGCAGACGGCGCTCAAACCTGAGGATATTGCTGTTGGCACGGCTATGTTGCAGTCGTTTCAGTTCTTTGGAGCATCTGTCTGGCTTGCGGCTGGTGAATCGATTTTTGAAAATAAGCTTGTTGCGCAGCTGAGTGCTGCGATGTTCTCGCAGAAGGAGATTGAGGAGATTCTTAGTGCGGGTTCTGCGGAGGTGAGAAGTGTCGTTCAGGAGGCCCAGCTTTCGGATGTCTTGGATGCGTTCAACTATGCTCTGACGAAGACATTTTATGTTGCTGCTAGTGTTGCGGCTCTCTCATTTTTTCTGTCTTTGGGTATGAGATGGAAGAGTGTAAAACCGCCGAAGCCGAAGGTATCTTCTGCGGATGTGGAGGCTAAGATGTGAATGGCATGGATTGGACTGAAGAACATGATGCATGTATAGATCTGCTAGAAGCTGGATACTAATAGTATTAGACTACATTTGGTTCGAACTTCATCATTTCACTTTTTCCTTAACTTCTTTCCTGCAATGTACTCCCATACCGAGGAATGCGGAAATCCATTGCAAAACTTCGTGCTGAGCCCGTCATCTGCCCCACCGACTGTCAAGCAAGATGAGCCGCGCAAAGCACAATGAGCCATTTTCTCGTAATCTGCAACACGGGCGCGGGCGTTCGGGTTCCCGAGACGCCCGGGCAGCGCCACGAAAGCTAGGCCCGTTCCTACTCATTATCATCTGAAGTACACGAGCTCTACCTGTAGCAGGCAATGAACATCGCTTCCTGTAGGCCACGCGTTCTCCGAGTGCATAGATTGACGGCGATCTACACGACGTCCGGGATAAAGTTTGATTTAGACTACCGAGGTTTCTAGAAGCCTCCACCCTTGAAACAACCGTTGAATGCCAGTGATCACGAGAGCATAGTCGCAGTATTTCAAGGAATGCTATTGTGTGCAGGTCGTGTGGGTATGCATCATGTAGATTGTCGTTTTCAGATCAGTTCAGTAACTTCATTATATGATTCGTCGCCCGTGCGTCTTCTGAGCCTTTTTCACGTCATAGGACTTGGCTCAGGGTGTTCGAGTCCGTCGGATTAGGGGAAGTGGAAGTGTCGACGTGGATATGGCCAGTTCGGGAAATCCGTGAGGATGGTTGCTTGCAGAAAGTTTCTGTACGTGATGTTGATATGCCCATCCTCGGCTGCGTCGATCGTGGATGGTGGCCCTGTAGATCGCCGTGATCGAACGGCTCGATTCGGAAAGAGCGCCGAAAAGCGGAAGAATTCTTTTTTGAAGAATGTGGCTATGGCTTGTATGGACGGAGTGCGCCGGAGAAATATCAAGCAGAGAACATGAATTTAGCAAAAGCGCTATCAGGGTATACCGGCCTTATCTCTGAGACACGGCTTGGCCCGCTTGTCCTCGGCATTTCTTATCTCGATGTAATCTGGGGAAGGCATAACGGTCGCAGTTCGTGCAACTATCACCGGACTTACTCGGGCGTGAGAGTCAGATCATCTAAAGTTCGAGAGTGTCTGGTGTCATCATGAGCGGGGCGAGTCCCTGCATTTACTCCTCGCGGGGACGAGGTACTGCATACACACCCACCAGGTGGATAGGATAAGTCTGACTCGCGGGGATGAATCGAGACACATCTAAGTGATAATGTGAAGACAAAGGGGACTAGGAGATATCTTATCCGCCAATGAACACCCCTGGAAAACCATGATCGGTTAGCCTTGCATATAACCTCATCCAACCACGCTAGGCCGGCGGAAGGTATCACATTCAAAGCGGAGTGATTGGAGCGGGGATTTGTCTAGAGTGGAGGATTGGCCGATTGGCCTGCTCAAAAGGTTGGCTGTTACATTGACGATGTTTCTAAAAGGATGGCCTGCATAAGCGCGCTCGGCGCCCTGTGGGCGTCCTGTAATGGGCCAACGATCGCGATCCCAGCTGGATGATCCTGGTGTGAGCTGCTTCGAGGGACTGACAGCGGTCTGGCGCATATCCACAGTGTGTGGGGTCAGGGTCTGGTCCACCATTTTAGGGTGCGTAGTGCAAATCTTGCGGATACGAGTACTGTTGCTACTAAGGGTCCGCCTAAGGTACTGCTTTTGCCCATAGGATGCCCTAGGAATGTTAGGGCGTCACATCAGACCACTAGGGCATTGCTTGACATCACTCAAGCCGTCACCTCTAGGCTTGGCATGTAAGACCTAGTCGATCGCAATTCCGTTGTTAGAGATTCAGTGTTTTGCGAGTAGGTTCAGGGTAGGTGCCTTGACTTAGGTAGGTGGGTGGATTGAGACTGGGGATATTTCAGCTTAGAGACGGAACCTAGTTTGTGGTGAGTGGTTTCGTGGCAGTGTGTGGCGATGCCTTTCTTCGGGCTATGAATTACCCCAGACTTCAGCAAGCCATTTGTCTAGATAAGCCACCGCCGACTCTAATGCCTCAGAAGGTATTTAGTCGGCTCTGCCCGCAGCGCTGGATCCTGACCGCTTTATTGTTGATGGCAAGTTGAAAGGACACTATGGCCCAAACAGGCAGGCACTAAAGCTAGCTGCAGGCGAATATATTGCCTGCGAAAAGAGTGGAGACAATTCATGAGTGGAGGCCAATTGTGCCTCGGATAACTCGTGGAATTTGGGGAGATTGGTTCTGCTAGACACTCGCGATTTTAAGACTTAGCCAGATTTACGTACTGGCCGAACTCAATCGATAACCTTACTCGTGTTAAGTCAAACATCAATAGTCCACTGCACTCGTGTTGAGTCCAACCCCTAATGAATTTCGCAGATATTTCCGAGCACCCGGGCCTGCGTGCGGTTGTTTCCTCCGACCATAGGTGAATCAGAAGATTCCCTTGGGAGGAAAGGCCAGGATTGCGTCGCTAAGGATAAAGCTAGCCGGGGTTGGATGCGCTACTAGTGAGCAACCGGCTAGCGAACCGGCGTTAGCCGGTTTAAGAAAGTTACAATGTCGCATTGCTTCGAACTGCCTCGACTAGGCTGACACTAGTACCCAAGTGCTAGTCGTGTTCCTACTTAGTTCCCTCATTATTATTGCTGGGAAGTGAATTGCACATGTCAGACTCAGACCGAGCCTCCTATCCTCCTTCCTTTCTTGACCCACAGTGATCACACTGCTAGGTGCATAATATGATATTAACCCCACTTTGCACGATGGACGCAGGCATGGCAGGATGCAGATTGGGGCATCCTGTTGCCCAGTCCAGCCATGTACAGGGTGCTGAAGGAGATGTTCTCTTATGCTGTGTATTTAGTCAGGGGCGGGTGAGTGGCTCGGAGATACCCGCCCGCAGAACTGGAGATAAGAAATGCAGACTACATTTGTACACTCCCTTACAACAATAACCCTTGGGAAAGCACATTCCAGGCCTGAATTCACCCTCGATAACAGCCTCAACCCATCTAGGCATGGCGCAACACCCCCTCACAGGTGCTCCCGCTGGCACGTTTCTAAACGGCTCACATCGGCGAACAGGGGGCGAATGCGCGATAACCCCTCTCGCGCGCAAGCACGGCCGTCGCTACCTTTCTAGAAGCCCGTCGCGATCGTCGGTGCCTGCGATTACCCCAGGTCTGCTGCGAGTGGATCACGTACCTGCGCACAGCGGAGTTGATATCGTCAGTCCTCGGCGCCTTGTCGCAATTGGCTCGCGCCTGCTGGCCTCCTATCGGTTATAATCCTCCTCTCCACCGATCTGATGTGGATCAATTCTCTACTTTCTATCTTCTGCTCTCACTCATTTCATCTACGCCTACCCTGCTCTCCCCGATTAAATGCCCTAGCACGCCGAGTCGCCATGACGCGCACCAACGATACCGTCAGTGCCTCCTGGGACGCAAAGAGCATCGTCACCGACGACGCGGTCGGCCACGAGCGGCCGCGAGGACGCATTCGTCGGTCCATGACGGCGTGCAATACGTGTCGCAAGCTCAAAACACGCTGCGATTTGGATCCTCGTGGTCATGCGTGTCGTCGTTGCCTGTCGCTAAGGTTTGTCTTTTCTCTCCGCTGTATCCACCGAGATCTGATCAACCGAGGTTGAGCAGAGTGGAGAGTCGCGGCCTGCAATCGTGCGAAGAACAATTAACTGACTTTGTTATTAGACTGGAATGTGAATTGCCGGAAACACCGGATCGGTTCCAGGACAATGCGTCGACGTGGTCGGACGCTAATTCCTCGATTCCCTCTATCGAAGAGCGCCTGCTGCACCTAGAACGCGGCATGGGCGAAATGATCCATTTAATGCGGCAGATGGTAAATCACACATCTACCATCGCGGGCAGTGGGAGCCCTCGCTCTCAGGTCTCGAGAAGTGTTGATGAGTCGGCTGGTGAAAACGGGGCATTGCCGCCGTTTACGCTCAAGCCTGTGCAGTTGATCCGAAATCTCCAGGTGGAATGTTTCAATGGACGAGATAATCTCACTCCTGATACCGACCTGCTTGGTGATGTGGTTTCACTCGGAATTATTGACGCAAAGCTTTCCTACAAATTGATTGAACTGTTCGTTCTCCTCCCCAATTACGAGGACACCAAATAACCCCGCTCCAGATTCATTGAATACTACAGCCCCTGGATGACAATAGAATCCACCACAATCCAGCGAACAGATACGCTACTTTTCAACACAGCCTGTCTGTTAGCATCACGGTACCTCCCCGGCATGCCGGCGAGTACTACCCACGACATCTCATTGCAGGTCCAGCACGCCGTGACAAAAGCAATGTGGAGAAAATCTCCCTTAACGAACGACGTTCTCCAGGCACTTGCATTGCTATGTCTGTACCCGACGTCTGGTCACAAGGACGGCTTCATCGACGGCTGGTTATTGAGCGGGATCTCAATGAACCACGCCTTGATTTCTTTTAATTTCTTCAGCACTCTTTCGAATAAAAGTGCTTTGACTGATGAAATGCTTGCGCAAATGCGGCTTTGGAATACTTTCTGTTTAACTCATTTACAGTATGCACCCCACACACCAGGAAATATGTGGATTGCTAACGTTGGAGTAGTTCTGCACTTGGATACGGCCGCACCGTAAACGTCCAACCAACCTACTTCGACCACTGCACCCGAATCCTCGACCACCCCCACGCAACCTCCGACGACGGCCGCATCGTCGCAGAGATCCAACTATACCGCATCACCCTCCGTCTCCAAAACACACCGCACCGCCTCCGATCCGCAGAAACAGAGTACGAGGAGATCGAGCGATGGAAAATGGATTGGGCGCATTTATTCTGTTCGTATCTTCACTCTACCCATTCCACATACTCATACTGACTACGGGATTAAGCAAACGAAGGAAAATCAACCCTTGAACTAAGCATCTATTTCACCCACCTAATTTTGCACCGCACAACCGCCCGCCTACACTCCGAGTGCGACCGCCTAATAACAACCATAACAACTAACGCCCGCTCAATCATCACCCGCGCCCTCCAAACCCGCTTCGCAGCAGCACCAGGCCTAATAGATAATGTCTACTATATCCTCGGCTATGCCGCACTTACGCTGTGCGACTACACCCCCTCCGACCCTCTCATTGACCAGGTTCGCACTTTCCTCCTACATCTTGCGCCGAGCAGTGACCACCTTGCCTACCGCATTGCTTGTATTGTCGAGGTACAGAGGCGCGCTGTGAACGAGCAAGCTTCGCCGCCTGCTAGTGCGAATGCAATGTTTGTGCCCTCCCAGCCTCGCTCAGAGAATATCGATATTTCTCAGCTTATTCCTGGTGCGATTGAGGGACTGGTTGAGGTTGATGACTATGCGGTTTATGATCAGCTTATGCAGCCGGGCTATGTTCCGCCGCAGCAGGCTTTTTCTGCGCCCGCAGTTTTTCAGCATCCCGGTCCTGTGGTGGGTGGGTCGATGCCTATGGGGCTTGTGCCGAGGGCTTTGCATGATTTTTGAGTTGGACACCTCACATGGGATGGATGTTGATTGTTGGTTTTGGGGGCTAGCTGGGTTTTCTCAGGTTTTTGGGTCTACGAGATTTTGTTATGAGATATATTACTATTTGATTCTGGAAAGGGGCTGTGTTGGGAATAAGCTTTAAAATTCGAAGATGAGAGATAACATCAAAAGTCGAATTGAATTGAAGTTGTGATGACCTACACCCAGGCTTTCAATGTACTACCGGGACAAGAGCCTAAACACGGGATTTGAACAGCATGGTTCAGACGTCCTGGGAACGATGTAACGCAATGTAAGGTTAAAGATGAACAATCCTTGCCAAAGTGCATTTAGCTATCCATTCACGACCTGGACCATTCATATCTTTCAGACCAACAGAAAAAGGGCAAATGAACATTTCAAACCAACCTAGCTAGAAAACCAGGTATATCAATCTCATCCTAACTTCTAGGCCTCAAACATCTACGAACAAAGCCCCGATCCCTTCAATTTGTCACTTGGATACAAAATCCTCGGTTCACCACCCCCCATCTTAACCTCAACTTTCCCATCCCCACCAACAGTAATCTCCTCGCATGTACAGACCTCCATCACCGTATCCCCAGCCTCATACCCAGTCCCAGACAACTCAAGCGTATACTCGCCACCCCTAGCCCCTGCATTTGAAAGAACAGTAACAGTCTGCGAGCCTTCATACCCCTTCCGCATAGCAATTGTCGAGTCATCGTGATAAATAGGATAATTCTACACTCATCAGCATTCCCTCATCCATCGTGGGTACTTCGATAAACTCACCTTATACGTCACATACCCCTCATGGCTTGCAATAGCATGATTCCTCACCGCATTAACCCTCGCAATAATACTATACAGCACACTATCCGTCTTATACCCCGACAACCAGACAGCTTCGCGGTTATACGGATCAGTGCCGCCGGCGTAGTGCTGTTCCTGTCCCGCGTAGATGATGGGGATCCCATCCGCCATTATCGTGAATGTCGCCGCGTTTTTCGCGAGCGAGATGTCGTCTGCGTAGGAGGCAAAGCGGGGGTTGTCGTGGTTTTCCACGAATGTGCCCATTAGTGTTGAGTCTGGGCAATTGGACTTGACGGTGTTGAGCATGTCGTAGAGGGAGGAGATGCTGCCGTCGGTGGATTTGAAGGCTCGGAGGAGGGGGTAGTAACTGTTAGTGGCCGCGATTAGATTGAATATTGTGATCGGTTGGGATGGGGGCGTACATGGGATAATTAAGAACACCGTCTATGACTTCTTGGTACGGACATGTGTAGTCTGTATTCCCGTCGAAGACTTCACCGATGCAGTAGACGCCTGCGGCTTTGTTGAAGGCTGGCCAGAATGATTTCTGGACGTGGCGGACTGTGTCGATGCGGAGGCCGTCGACTAGCATTACGAACTGGTCAGCTAGAGTCTACATGGAGAAAGGGGAAGTTACTGACTTGAGTACATTGAAACCAGCGATCCAACCCAGTCGTACCAAATACTTTGCACATCCTTCCGTTCTGTATTCAGGTCTGGCAGGGAAAGTGTTTCATCACCGAGACAGCAGTCCTGCACATTCGTTTGGTTGTTGTAGTCCGTAATTTTGCAGTAGGAGTGAAAATACTTTTCCTAGTTGAAGGGGTGCAAGACGCTGTAGTCGACTGTGTCGCCTGCGCCATCGTATCCCTGCGAACATTTATGTTAAAACACTGGTTGTTCTGTCTTCTGTCTTACGGGTGACGTACCATGTGGTTGGCGACGACGTCGACCATACGGTACATACCCCGATCGTGTAGTGCCGAAGCGAGAGATTTGAGGTCATCGGCGGTGCCGTACTCAGAGTTGAGGGCGTAGCTGGAGACTTCAGTATCGAACTACCGGAAGCTGAAGGGAACATACATGTCCTGCTGCCAGTATCCGTGATATGCAGATCCGTCCGGCGTGTTTCCTTCTACCTGGCCTGTCACGGGCGTTATCCAGATTGCGGTGAAGCCCCTTCCTTGGATGTAGTCTAGCTCGTCTAGTTAGTATCGTGGGGTAGGTGTATACATAGCCGGGAGGGATGTACCTTGGTTTCGATGCCTTTCCAGGTACCACCGCAATATCTCTGCCCTCGTTAGGTACAGCCTTCTAGTCGGGTTAGGTTTGAGGGCTTACCCCATTTTTGGTATCGCATTCAGCAGTCTTTGAGCCGTCGGTTCGCGCGAATCGGTCGGTGAGCAAAAGTAGATGGATTGGGAGCGCCATTGCGCTGGCGTCGCTGCGATCGCTGAGCTGATCAAGCTCGCGAGGAGAGAGGTGCGAAATAGCATCATTGACGTCGACATTCGTGTCAATTATGCGATCGATGGAGAAATCTTGATGCTGTTGGAATATTTCACTCTTTCCTGCATGTCCAGACGTTAGCAAGTACCTTCCAAAGTGCAGTAGGAGGACAACCATCACCAAGAGCTCAGCAACGACCGCCGTAGATCCAAATCTTCTTCAAATGCCCGGCCCCTGTCGCGAATGTCTTTTCTCAAAGAACAAGTCGATGCAATATTGCAGCGCGAACCCGATCCGTGAATAGCGACACGCTACTGATGGGACAATAGCATTGTGAGTTACTGGCTTCGGTGTCGTTGTTTTGGAAAAACGATGCCAGGCCCTCAATTCAAAACAACGACACCGAAGCCAGTAACTCACAATGCTATTGTCCCATCTTGCACCCGACACTGAATCACTAAACCCGATCATGCGGCCCGATTCAAGATCCTTCAAATGGTGCCTCCGTGGTACCTCGGAACCGCCGAAGGCTCCCTCTATCCAGCACTCCACTCACCGATACAGGCGGGGAATTTCCCTAAAGCCTCATTGGTAGTGCAGGATGTCCGAAACTGGATCGTCCGGACGAGAGGCCGATCCGCCCGAGCGTCCACCTTAATTTACAGCGTTGCAATGGGGGCCAGGATGGTTGTCGATCGCTGCCGCTGGGGGGTGCCGAGACGTTCGGTGAAGTTTATTCAGAAGGATGGAGGGTAACTGTAAGCCAAGTTTGGTTGCAGCTGTTGGAAAATTGCGTTTGTTGTAGATTTGGCTCAGTGTGCTATGTGTGTTGTTGGACGTTGTGGTAGTGGGTGGTTTGTTTCGAGCATAAGCACTAGTACAATGGGTGTTTCGAGGTGAATTGCCATCGAGCTTCGGGGATAATTCCCGCTGAACGATTCGTGGTTCGATATTCATTATTTGGGCTGAGCTGACTTTGCATTTGCATTCACATTTATATTGCTGTCTTGCGATGCATGGACGTTAAGCGGGCCTGTTAAGAGATACGGCTGAGAGAGGATGCGAGTACAAAACGGATTCTATTCATTATGATTAATCTCTCGGAGTCATGAAACAAACATCCGACTATATCAACTTCGGCATTCCATTACAAACACTCTCGATTTACCACTTCAAAATCCACTTCCCACTCCAAGCCCCATCACCCGTAACATCCTTCAACCCATCAAAAAGCAACGTCTGGCTGGTCGCATTATAATGCACCCCAGAATCCGGAACAGACCTCCCATTAAGCGTAACCTTTCCGGGACTCTGCTTGACACCAAGAACTGTAACCTTCTCAAGCGGCTGCTTCTCAACCCAATTACCCTGCGGAATAGCCGAAAGACTCGACTCCGCCGCCTTGAACTTCACGCTGAGCGTCGCATTCTGCACGAGACTCACTCCGTCGTCGAGGTAGAGGTCGCCGCTCGCGGCGCCATGCGCGTCCAGCGCTGTCAGGAGGGACCAGGGGGTGTTTCGCGAGTCACGGGTTGTCAGGGCGGGGTTTTGCATGGGCAGCACGCTGCCGCCGCGGACAAACACCGGGATGTGGCCCAGCGGTGCGGGGATGCTGGTGTTTACGCCTGGTTGCGCGGTGACCACGGACCCGTTGTACCAGTCGTACCAAATGGCGCCGTTTTTCAGACCTGGGAAGACGCCGTGGACGGTGTCCACCTGCGGCGCCAGGGCGGGGACGACCATCAATGATGGGCCGAGGAGAAACTGGGTGTCGATGCGTGCGAGTTCGGGCTCGTTGGGGAACTCCCAGGCCAGTGCGCGCATGACGGTTGAGCCGGTTGTGTGGGCGAAGTGAAAGAGGGTGTAGAAGTAGGGCAGGATGGCATAGCGGATTTTCATTGCTGAGCGTGAAGCTTCGGCGACGGATTCCCAGACGTACGGCTCTTGGCTGATTGCCGAGAGGGTGTTGTGGTTTCGGTAGAAGGGGAAGAAAGCGGATAGTTGCATCCAGCGGTTACAGAGCTCTTCGTCAGAGTTGTCGTTGAAGCCGCAGGTGTCGACACCGAACATTGGGACACCGTAGAGGGAGAAGGAAAGGGCTTGTGGGATTGAAAAGAACATGTAGGCCCATTTGGAGTAGTTGTCGCCGCCCCAGTGGCCGGCCCATTTCCCGGAGCCGGCGAAGGTGGAACGGCCGATGATGAAGGGGCGCTTGGAAGGGGCGACGTCTAGCAGGCCGTGGTAGGTTGCGTTGAGGATTTGGTGGCCGTACAAGTTGTGGACGTCGTATTCTTGGACCCCGTCGACGTGGGTTGCATTCGGCGAGACGGCGTGTACCGCGAGGTCGTGACCCGCTTGGTCATGGTTGATCACATAGGGAGGGTAGTTGACGTCGCGGACGCCGGGGGTGGGCGTGGTGCGCAGGTATGCGACGGTGGAAGATCCAGAGGAATCGCCCGTGGCGGCAGCGGCGGCTTGGCTGGAGGAGGCGGCGGAGGCGGAGGCGGCTTCAGTTGCGTTGGTGATGTTGAAGCCCTCGGGGTATTCATAGATGATGTTGCCTGGCTCGCCGGGGAGGGAGAAACCGGGGTGCACCGGGTTGAGGCTGAGGTTCTTAGATCCGCAGCTACCAACGCAGAAGGAGGAGACCTCGTTCATGTCGATCCAGATACCATCAAAGGCGACCTTCTTGTACCAGGTGACAAGCTCGTTGGACCAGAACTTGCCGGCCTTGGGGTGGTGCCAGTCAGTGAAGACGGTATAGCCGGGCCAGACGGCGCCGATGTAGGTGCTTCCATCGGGATTCTTGAGGAAGACATCGTCCTTGGCACCGCGTGTGTAGGTTGCATAGCTAATCAAGTTAACGAATGAAGTAGAGCAGGAGGGTTTCCATGACTTACGCGTCAGATTTGTTGTGCGGATTGGGAATGTAAAGAGCAGAGTCGACAATCGGGATGTAGTGACGACCGCTCTGGTGGAGCTTGTCCAAGAACTTCTCGGCCTGATCGTAGGGGAAGCGGTTGGGGTCATTGTCAAAGTCACGGTATCCGCGCATGTAGTCAATGTCATTCCTGGACACAGTCAGAACTGATTCAACGGGTCTTCTCAGGGTGAACTTACCAGACGTTCTCTAGAGGAATCTCAAACTTCTCAAAATTGTCCACAATCTCCTGCATCTCCGTCCAGTTGTTGTATCCCCAGCGACATTGATGGTAGCCAAAGGTAAAGTACTGCTGCATCGCAGGCAGTCCAATGGTGCTGATCTGGTAGTTCTTGGTGACATCGACCTGAGTAGGACCCGAGTAGAAGGTCAAGTCGATGCTACCGCCCAGAGTGCGCCAGGTGAGCTTGGTGGGAGCGGTGATGATCTCCTGTCCGTGGGCATTCCGGAGGAAGACACCGTGGGAGTAGGAGACGTAGTCCTTGGAGCTGTCGATCTGATCGCTCGAGACTGGCTTCTTGGAGCCGTGCTCGGAGGCCTCGAAGTAGCGAGTTTCGAGGTAGAATGGGTGGTTGCCATATATGTTGCTAGCGAGAGTTAGTCAGCTCTTAGTTGTTGGACAGTAAGACTTACCCGTCAATGGGGTCACCAATGTCCGAGGAGTATATGGTCAAGGTGGCATTGTCCAGCAGATGCAACTGCTGAATATGCTCTCCCAGACCATAAATATTGTAGTTTTCGGGCAAAGCGGTGACAAACTCGATGAACTGGTTCTCAAAGACCAGAGCAGATCCAGTCGTGTCAAAGAGTACATCACCCGTCGCCTTGCGAATCACCTTGAAGCTGAACGAAGGGTCATTAGACCACTTGAACTCCAGATCCCCATTGGTGTGAGATCCATGCTTGTTATCACTCTTGGCCCGCGGCACGGTATCCTCAGAGAGATGGTACCAAGACGCATTGGAAGAGTCCACATGGCTCGGCGTGATCTGAATGTTCAAGCGGTCCTTTGCCAAATACTCTAAAGAGAAGTCCAGCGAATCCACATCCGTTCCGTAGGCATTGCAGGCCTTGCCAGCCAAAGTCAGCGTCGCCGATATCCCATTCTGCGACTTCTTGACATTCGCAGCCTTGTATCCGGGACAAGCCTTTTGCGCATCAACGGCCTCGGGGTCATCGATGTTGGCGATTAAGTTCGCGCCCTCGTCGGCGGCGGCGGGAATTGTAAATTGGTGGTACACGGACGGGACCGAGCTCGAGCTGGGCGCAAAAGTCGTGGAGCCGGCGTCATAAACAGCCGGCACCAGCCAAGCCCCGGCCAAGAGGCTCCCAAATCCAACCATAGCGACCAATTGATTTCTGCGTCAGCTTGAGCGGAGACTTTGTCGTGAGGAAATCAAGTTGTCTCTGCCCCTCTTATAGCTTCTCCCGAGAATCTGCAGTTGTCCCGACGTCGCCGTAGCACCGACTAGACGCAAATTTCCCCGAGAATAATACACCGAGAGCATCCCGCGAAGCTCACACTGAATTTCTGTTGAATGTCCGCGAGCCAGCGAGAACAGTACATTCTGCGCAAGTGGCTGGATGCTTTTGCGGGGTTGGGAGGAGAGGCTTGAGATATGCGGGGTCGATCGTCGCCCTGAAGTCTTCTGCCTGCCGACACCGCCGGTGGCCCTCACGGCGTCTTTGCGGTGCTTATGCGGTGGTTTTGCCCGTGGGACCTCCTCGAGCTATGCCTCGTCGGGGATAGTCGAGAGAAAACAAGAGTGGGACCGGCGAGTAGACCACGGTTCGCTCTGCTCATTCTTGTCTCCATGGTGATTGGCTGGTCGTCCGATAATTGCCCGAGCCTCGCTAGCTCGGCAGTTTGTGTAGCGTTCAGTTGGCTCTGTTCGAGCTGTGGGGTGCAAGTTGAGACGGGCCCGACATCGGGAAGAAAAAGTCGTCATTGAGCATGAAATTGAGCCGATTCAGGGTGGTTGTCGAGATCGAGTTGTTGTACTGTCTGAGACTACCCTTGCTTTCCTCAAACGTGATGAGAAAGCCGCTTATGGAAGCAAGCCGGGGAAAGCGGAGAACCCTGACAGTTTACGCTTCCAAGCGGTTTGGCTTGAGCTACACCACTCTTTTGCTCGGTGAGTCTTTTGACTCTAGCGGCGTCAAATGAAGGACAGTGACGGCATCGCTGGTATCCGACTACTGCACTGCCCACGAGGTCCCTGAGGTAATCCGGGGCCCCCAGTCGGTTTTCCCCCTCCCCCAAACCGGTGTCAGGGAAAGAGCTCGCAAGAACCTCGGGGGTTTTCTACCTGGTTCGAGTTGAGCTGAAGTTGAGCAAGCGGTATCCTCCGATCGATGAGGTTTGACCTAGTTGTATGATCCCAACAATTGGGAAATGAGGTGGTGGATAGTGCTACTACTTACTGGTGGTGGCATGGGCTGTTCGGCTTCCCGAGGCTGCAATCTCGGCACATCGCAACACAACTGGGAGGTCATCCTGAAACCGGGTGATCGTCTTGATTGGATCGGCTAGGTCACCCCCCGAAGACATTGGCCTTGGCTACGGCTCGCAATATGAAGGGCACCCGTTGACGACTTGCGGAGATGTGGGCTCACGGCTAGTGCCAGCGCTACGCCGCATCGCGATGCTCGTCCAGAAAATCGCGCATCGCCCCGCTTTCCCTCCACTTCGCCAAATGATGGAGGAAAGGATGGAGACGTCGCTGACAAGCTCGGGCCCAATACTGGCTGTGCCTGCTCAAAGGCGGGCGCTCTTACGTCGTAGCCTGCCATTTCCACACTGGTGCAGGCAGGGATGGACAGGGGATCGAATGAGTGCTTCGCTTAGCTGCCGAAGGTTTTCGAGAGGCGGTGTCCTGCATCGTTCTGGAAGGTCGAGGGATGGCCATTCGCTCGTGTCATTGGCGCGAGTCCCTAGCCCCGTTGTGGGGTGGCTAAGCAAGTGTAATTCCAGGGAAGGCGACGACGTCAGGCACGAGTCTGACCGAGACCGTGTTGAGATGAGAGGTCCCTAGCATTCTAGCGTTCTTGTAAGATGAGGGCAGTAATATAAAGTGCATGGGCCTTGCGGGGTTGACCGCAGGCCCCGCGTTCCCCGGATGCGATGGGAGTCGTAGAAGCTAGCTAGCACTAACACTATTAATTAAGTCCACTACTGGTAGTGCCCTAGGTAGATCAAGTCGACATTTTCCCTCTACACCTCATCTCCACCCAACGATGCCCTGCCCCCTTGACCCATCTGTCAGCTAGTGATACCAGTAGTACAGCCGCGCTGCGACAGAATGGACCTGGCACCGCCATCCAAACCCTCCACCAAACAAGCATGTGACAATTGTCGCCGGCGCAAGATCAAATGCTCGCGCGAACTACCGTGCGACAAATGCCAACGTCTCCTCCTCTCCTGCTCCTACAGCGATGTCCTGCGTCGCAAAGGCCCGAAATTCCGAACCCTCTACCCTCTTGCCCCGGTTCATCCTTTCTACCCCGACAATGACATTGACCCCACCACCTATCAACTGAGCTCGCCCGCCTCGCCGGCCTTAGCAGATGCGCAATATGCCTCGTCGCACGATGTCTCCGATACCCTCTCGCAACTACCCCCGCCAGACCTCGTCTCCTCGCCCGACTCGACAGACTCAACGGCCGAGTCGGCACGGGCATTCCCGCATCCACCGCGTCTCTCGCCTCAGATTCTGCTCGCGCATGTCAATGTGTACTTGAAGTATTTGTTTCCTATCATGCCCGTTGTGCGCGGCGAGGAGCTGCGCTATGACAGCCAACAGCCTGACCGACTTTCTTCGCGCCGGTACGCGTTCCTTGTGTCGCTCTGCGCTGCGACGCATATCCAGCTGAAGCTGGATGGTGCGACGCCGGTTCCGGACCCTGTGAGACTGCAGAGTCTGGGTGACGGGCATTCGCTGGTGTCGGGGGAGAAGTTGCTTGAAGAAGCGGTGCGCGCACACCGCGAGTGCGACGTCGTCGAGGATATCGGCATCGAGAGTCTTCTTATTTCGTTCTTTCTCTTCGCCTCGTACGGGAATCTCGACAAGCAGTCTCATGCGTGGTTTTATCTCTGCCAGGCGACCTCGATGGTCTTTACACTCGGTTTGAACCGCGAGTCCACGTACGCAGAGTACTCCGTCGAAGAATCTGAGGAGAGGAGGAGAGTTTTCTGGCTTTTGTTCATCACAGAACGGTACGTCAATTCCCAGATTCTATCCTGAACGTGCAATTCCAACGTTAAGAGTATTGCAGAGGCTACGCCCTCCAACAATCAAAACCCGTAATGCTCCGCAGCTCAATCCACAAACCCCAAGTCCTCTGCTCCGAGGACCCGATCCTAGCCTACGGCTTCATAAACCTAATCAACATCTTCGAGAAGCTCACCGCAAACCTCTACGACTGGATCTCTGCCGGCGGAGGCGACGGACTCGTCGAACGGCCGCCCACCTCCATCATCCAGTCCAGTCTCTGCAAGCCGATCTCGCTAGATGGCGTTCTGGAAATCCAACAGGTTGACATCCTCATTACGCAGCAATGGCTCCAATCCATGATGTGGAGGCTCTCTATGAGCCATGCGACTCAACCCGGTTCTCGAGATGAGGTCCTCCCTTTCCACCTGCCCGTACTGGTGGGTAAAGCCGTTATGAGCGTGATTGGAACCGCGTCTCAGGGTGCTGTTGATGCGCATGGCATTGGAATGGTACACCCCCTTCTCCCTCACTGGGACATGTGTTCAGGTACTAACGCTTTGTTAAGGAACAAAAACTCTTCGACATGGGCTCCTCCGTCGCAGACGTAACGCGCTCCCTAGGCTCGAAGGCAGTAAACCGCCTCGCCGAGTCAACAATCGACCCCCGCGAACTCCTCTGGGGAATCCTGCACACGCTCTCGCAGATTCGCGGCTCGCCGTCGTACCTCTTTCCGGACCTCTTGGGTCGGTGCAAGAATGTGCTTGGGCTGGATTGCTCGATTACGATGGGGAATTTTTTGCCGGCGCTCGGCGCTGCGAATCCGAATTTATTGAGTGCTTGGGCGGGGGAGCAGTGGGACCTTGAGTCGTTTTCTGCTGGTGTGAGGAATTTTCAGCATGAGGTTGGGCACGAGCAGGTGAGGGATGAGGGGGAGATTGAAGATGTGGCCATGGAGGTGGTTTCGCAGAGTGATCACCATGATCCGTGGATATAACCCTGGTTGTTGCGATTTCTGCTTTAGATGTTTTGTTTGGATTGATGATACCATGTGGCGTTTTTAGAATAGAGTGTTGTCTTTTAGTATTGATGCGAGCAACGAATAGCATTGAGCGTGAAGCTTTGAGATATATGTCCACATATCCCGCTCACGTTTATTACATCACGCCATGGGTTCATATATCCTTCCGTTTCTATTTGACTTTGATCCACATACGGCCATGATTTTAGGCCCTGCAATAGCTGCAGCAAATCGCATTCCTCCACGCTGTACCTGCGTGGGGCACTCGGCCCGAAGCTCCCACTAGCGCACGTCGTCGATATGCAAAGGATCGACAACGCGTAGATCGACCTGCTCTATTTAAAATGGCAGTAGCATACAAACATCTACACTCCTAAACAAACATGAAGGCCCTGCTTGAAGTCTCCAAGCCAGCTCTCCAACACTTGTGAAGTCATCTGCCTCCCATCTGCCCCCTCCAGTCCCCGTGATCCCGGTGACGTCTCTCCAGGCCTCTCCCGCCCCTGGAAGCACCGCGTACCTTCCTCTGGCAAGTGTAAACCAACCCCCTCCCTTCACCACAATAACAGTCCCGAAACCGCACCTGCCTGAAGTGCAAATGAGTCACAACAGAGTTTCCCAAGAAGACGCGCAGAAATTCAAATCTGCCTCTCCTCTCTTTTTCCCTTTTGCAACTCTCCTCCTTCCGGGCACTTTCATTCCACACAAACACTTTCATCCACTTCTTCGCATATTCGATCACGTATTTCGTGGTGATAGTAGTGATGTTCTTCTTTGACAGGGTGTGTACCTTCCTCCGGCCCGCAGACTTGCTTTGTTTCCAGTGTTGACCTTCCACAGACCTGAGTTGGGCATCGCCCACTTTCGTGGACGCGCCCTGAATTCCCTCGCTTCATCGCATGCTTTGTTGTGGTGCGTCCATCTGAAATGTCCCATTCTGTCTTCCTCTCAGTTGGTGACTTGTTGCAGACTTGGACTTAGACATCACATTTACCTGTCTACCTGACTTGTGTCTCTGTCCATCATGTCTTCGGTCATCACCGTTGTGCCTCTCCGTCTTTTGACGTGTTCCTCCATCACCATCTCACCCTTTCTTGAGCTGGTCCATCATCATCGATGGGATCATCAGCCGTCTACTGATCCCTTTGGCCATCCATCGCTGATGTGCTTGTCCACTTTACTGTCCATCGACACGTCTGACTATCCGCGAACCCATCATCAATGAGCTTGTCCATCATCGATGTGAACCCCAGCTATCCAGTGGTGCCTACGGTCATTCACCACTGGTGTCCTCGTCCATCCGACCATTGACTCATCATCGATGTGATCATCCACCGACGAGCTTGTCCATCCGCCGATGTGACCTTGCATCCACCTGCATGGTCTTCAATCATCATCTTCACTACACGTCACCGCCGCTTGACTTCTCCAAAACATGGATAGCTTCTACTTGTACGTTCTTCCGTTTGGCGTCCAACCGTACATTTCATACATATTGTCCATCCACGACAGACACATTCCGGACCGACGATAGTTTGACGATCTTTCCATACAGCATCCGACCACTCAGTGCCCACCCAATAAAGCATACCGTGCAGATTGTCTTCCACCCTCATTTGCGGTGATACAGATCGCCATTGATACACTTTTGACTACTGACTATCCAGAGAAACCCGTCGGTTGGCCCGTGATTGATTGTATCTGCCCTTCCTAGTCTCTCATCAGGTCGGTACCAGCTGAACTTTCCTTCACGGTCTGTGGTCCCCATGCTGCAGACTAGTTGGTAACCCCCTCTGGGGCGAGTGGTTTAAAGTTCCCGTAATTCCTGCTCTCAGAGACTCAGAAGGTTCCCTGATACAGCTCCAGCGCCTTCTGACGGGGCCTCTTTGATTCGTGTGAGATTTCGACATCGGTCCGCTACAGAGCTTCTCATCAGGACGGTACCTGCAGAGATACTTCCTTCACGATCTGTGGTCCCCATGCTGCAGATCGGTTGGCAACCCCTTTGGGGAATGGTTTAAGACACTCCCGTCTCTGCTCTCAGAAAGTCTCTGGACCTTTGGCTTACACGTCTCATCGAGTATCTCTGAGTTTCGGTGGGAGAGAGGTGTCTTTGCTTTCTGCGATCCACTGTCTGGAATGTCGGACACACGAAGAACGAACGCACGAAGGACGAACATTCGCTCAGTCCAACACATCTCCAAAGGTATCGTGGTCTCCCTCTTCCATTTTAATGATCTTTTGCTGACTCGAATATAGCCATCTCTCATCAAACATTCCCATGCAGTCGTTATTCCATGTCTCCCCTCTGATTCAAGTGCGAAATGTCGGCGTCGACTGCTGCAGACTGTTTCTCACAGGACGGTACTAAATTGAGATACTCCCTTCACGATCTGTCCAGCAGATTGGTCGGTGCCCCATTGGGGGAGTTGTTTGAGATACTCCCGGTCATTCTGTTACCGGGCCCTTTGCCTCTTTGCACCGTTTCATTGAGGACTGATCTGGGGACTTGTCAGGTCCACCCGGGCCGTCGAACATCCTTTGTGGGCGGCTAATCTCCAAAGGTGCCGTGCTTTTCCTCGCCCACTTCGATGGCACTTTGCTAACTCACACGTTTATCAAGGCTGTCTCTGCATACCTCAACACATCGAACTGCGTGGCTCGAGTGATCTACCAACTCCTCCATCCGAACAAACCACATACCAACGTATGTGGTTACGCGCGGATCGCATCGTCCATTCCCTTCTCCAATTAAATCCCTCTTCGCGATCGACATCTAGACAACAACTCACTCTATAAGTGAATGGGGTGGGAAAGAGCAGAAACAGTCTGAGGTGAACAATGGAGCAGCCGCACCTTTTGCAAATTTTCATGACTGGGCATGCCGCCGAATGACCTCTGGCACTGCGAATTTCCACAATTTCCACATATCCGCATCCAGTGTCCAGATTGTCGGAATTTCCTCGAAGTCAACGAGCACTTCTTTGGTCAACTCTTTCCAGTTCATCGACCTTGCTCGTATCGGTTTGCCATAATTTGACATGGCTTTTTCCCTCGAATGGCGATTCCTCGCTTGCCTCTGCGACTGTATTCAAAAAAAAAGAAAAGAAAAAGAAAGAAAAAGAAAAGAAAAAGAAAAGAAAAAGAAAAAGAAAGAAAGAAGGAAGGAAGGAAAAGAAAAGGGAAAGAAATCGTCCGCATCTCTGCGCTATACTTCGGTATAGCTTCCGGCTGCCTAGATCAAGCCATTGGACGCTCACCTCATCATTCACCCCCCTTCTCGAAACCTCAGAAAGACAATCACCAAAAGCAATGAAAAAACAAAAAAGTTCAACGAAAGGAACAAAATCCGGAGGAAGGGATTCACGAAAAGAAAACCGAACACACCACCTCCTTGACAGTCCGGGAACAGATCATGAGAGGTATCGTGAATCCAGCCATCGTCAGTCCACTTCGAACCATCATACAGATTCTCTTCAAGGCCATCCGGCATTCACTGCTTTATCACCTGTCTTGGCCAATACTAAGCATTCCACCACTTCAAATATGCCACCTTCGTATGGCATCTGCTTTGCGGCCCACGTCGTTTATCTGCTGTTCCGCACACACAATCCATATGCCCATGCCTCCACGATATGTCCTTCGACCGCGCAGCTCGCATCGTCCATATACTTCTCCACACACAATCCACACATCCACACCTCCGCGGAGTGTGGCCTTCAGCGGCGCGTCTCGCGTCGTTTATCTACTCCTTCAGTGCCAAGGCACATGCTTGGTCCATTTTCTGGGCTCTTGAACGGCATCACAAAGAAAGGAAACCTGACGCGATTTTGACAGTCCGAGACCATATCTTGAAAGGTACTGTGAATTCAAATTCTTGCCAGCCCCTTCGAACCATTTTGCTAATCACCAAGTAGATCTTTTTCAAGGATCTTCGGCCTTACCACTTTACCACCTCTCTGAACGATAGAGGCCGCCGCTTCAAGGGCACGCCTGTTCAATGGCCACATCATTCACTATGTCCCAATAATCACCTCTCTGGACGGCCGCTCTCCACTTCGAATATGTATGCTACCTGCATATGGCATCGGTCATACGGCTCACATCATCCACCTGCTTCTTAAATTCAAAGATTTGCCTCTGGTGCCACTTCTCTCGATGGGTGACACGGACAAAATCCCCATCAATACTCTCTTGACTACTGTCTAGTCGGAGAATCCCATGTCTATCATGTGGATGCTCACCAGCTACCGGTGGGGGGAGAGATCTGGCTGTCCACTTACTCGAATGTTGAACGGAATCGCCAAAGAAAAAGGGAAACAGGCCGCACCCTCAACCACCGTTTAGCCGGAGAAGCCCACATCTATCGTTGGGATACTCGCCAGCTACCGGTGGGCGCAATCCGGCTCTGTGTGCTCAATATCTGGGATGTTGAATGGGAACGCAATCACAAGGGAAGAAAATTACGCCGCCGCAGTATCCACGCCTTGCCCTCGAAACCACTGTCTAGTCGGAGAATCCCGCGTCTATCGTTGGGATACTCACCAGCTACCGGTGGGAGGAAATCCGGCTCTCTGTGTGTGTCACCATCTGGAATATTGAACGGAACCAAATGGGAAAAAGGAAACACACCGCAGACTTGACATTCTGAAGTCCCCCCTTAAAGGTATCATAAACTCATTTCTCACTATTCCCTTTGAGCAACTCAACTAACAACTTGAACTGCACAGCTACTCCTGATCTCTGATTTTCCGTCGCTCTGCCGCATACCTCACACTCCTTTTCCACCTCTCTAGTTGATCTCTCACTCACTCCAAAGCCTCTGTCACCTCACTTCAATCTCAACAACTTCCTTTGCCCTTACCGGTCCAAGCCCCTGTCGTGATCGATCGACCCTTCCTCGCTTTGGCGACTCTATTTGTGGAGGAAGAGAGGAAAGAGCAAAATGGATGCTTCACTTGACTGCAAAACCGTCATCTCCCACAACAGATGCCATATATATCCTTTGGTCACTCTTCTGGCGACTTCTCAGACCGATAGCAAAAACTACGCTTGCCATTTTCATGCCACCTCACCACCACACCAATCGTGTTGATCAATTATCTCTCCTTGAATTCAAGGACACCAAGCCATGTCCCCTCATCGCTTCGAACTTCCTGGTCTCAAACTTTGTTGGTCTCAACGACATCTCACATATTACCAAAAAAAAAACCCCCACGGTCGGCTGCTTGTTGCGAACTCGATTTCCGAGCAAAGGGCGAAGACCATATCACAGTGCCTATTTCATAATTGCCCTCGGCGTACGATCGACACTCTAAATTGCAGACCGTACCAACTTCAACTGCTCGCCCGTCTCTACAAGTCATCTAGTTCGTTACCATCGCCAGTTCAGGGCCTTTGCGAGAGGTGCTGTCGACATAAAGGTCAGGTGATATACTTTGTCTCTTCCAAGAGCTGCCCTCCTTCTGGACTCGGGTTACTCACCAAGAGCATATCAACTCGACGTTCAGACCTGGAGCCAGCCAAGTCTTGAAATACATCGCTTCCAGCCATCTTAGGTACTCATTCGATCACTTCGATAGCGGTTGTCGACACACCACGGGAGAACACTTTGGAGGGGAGGAACATGTCGATTAATCATACCGGTAGATAGTTTTTGCTGCCCTCATGAGAGTCAAGTTTTTTCCTTTTCCTTTATTCGTTCTTTAAGAAGACAGTAAAGTACAGTGTATGCATATGACCGAATAGCCTGCATAGTTTTTCATATTGTTGCGACGTGAGCTCACAGCTGGTTGCCAACTTGTTCGCAGTGTTTCGCAGAGATATATTTTGAGTATATCACATTCGCATTCCTCGATCCTCGAGTGTTGTACATAGGAGTACCGAGACGAAGTCTGAAATACAGAAATTAATTTGTAATGCACATCACACTACCAGAAAATTAATCGAATATATTCCTCCGTTGATTGTTGAAAATTGTCAGTGTGACCCTCTCAGGTACGGGATTGTGTACCTCTGGCCGAACTACAGTCGGCGCGGGCGGAATCTCGGCCCGCAGATTCTCCGAAGCGAGATGCGGATAGCTTCGACCTCCGCTCTCAACGCGCAAGGATAAAATCATAGGAATGCGCTGACAATACGGTGGGTGCAGGCGTCGTCACTTTTAGAAACTCATTCCGAGTGCCTCGGTCTGACAATAGTGCGAAAAAGTCTCCTCATCGACTCGATTTCCCGCAACAGTCGAGCCGACCGAATCTTGCTTGACGACCAACACCTCGACGAATTCCACTACCACTTGCCTGGTCGATCAAGATGACACCCCTACGCCCTCAGAGGCTGGCACAGAGCGCACTGCGCGCATCTCGAACAGCGAGTCGCCCTTCCTACCGCCCGACCTGTCTGCTACCCTCGACCACATCCTCGACAAACAACCGCCGCGCTCATTCCACATCCTCCGTCTCCGCCGATGAAGTCTCACACTTTTCTGGGCTAGCCAGCTCCTGGTGGGATCCAATGGGCCCTTCCCGAATTCTTCATCTGATGAACCCGCTCCGTCACGAGTTCATCGCATCCTGCCTTGCAGACAGCTCGCCGGCCGGCGCTGCAAACGCCCAGAACTCAAAGCCCGAATCCTCCGCAAACCTCGACTACCTCGACATTGGCTGCGGCGGCGGCATTTTCGCCGAATCGCTCGCTCGCACTATTCCACTGGATCCCTCCGCCTCAGCCCCAACACCCACCCGCGCCGCTTCAATGACAGCGATAGACCCTACAACAACACTGATCGAGATTGCGCGCGACCATGCGCGCAGGGATCCTACAGTCGACGCGCACATGCGCAGTGGACGCTTTCAATACCTCAACACGACACTTGAAGACGTGCTCTCCACCTCCACATCCGACTCCACATCGCCGTCGTCCCCACAACCCCAGCACCGGCAATTCGACATGGTGACCCTCTTCGAAGTCATTGAACACATTGATCCCACAACAACGACACCGCAGGCTTTCCTTGCCAACTGTCTCCGGGCTCTCAAGCCCGGCGGCTGGCTCATCGGATCGACCATCTCGCGCACGTTCCCGTCCTGGATCTTGAACCAGGTTATCGCTGAAGCTCCCTGGCCCATTGGTGTCGTGCCGCGCGGTACGCATGAATGGAGCAAGTTCGTCAACCCGTCTGAGCTGTACTCGTGGGCGCAGGAGGGATTGATGCGAGCCGCTGATACGAATGTCTCGCGCGGCGGCCCGTCTGCGCTGGATGGCATGCAGTGGAAGTGTGCTGGGGCTGTGTATGTTCCTGGTCTTGGGTGGAAGATGGTCCCCGGGTCAGAGGACTGGGGGAATTATTTCTGGGCCGTGAAGAAGGGGAATTGAGAATCATGGCTGTCAAAATGTAAGATAAGATGAATTGGTTGTACGCTGACTGTAATATAGCAAAATATCATGCTCTTCGTTTTTCGAACGTTTTTATTCCCAGGATTGCTTGTAAAGAATAAATTGTGGAGCTGGATGCAAACAGCATGTCTGTTGAAACTGATTTCGCAATGGGAGGCAACGGAAGTCACGTGTCAGCGCCAGGTGAGGGTAGGATATCAACGGGATGCATCCAAAGTGCATCACATCCCACGCTGGTATAAGGCAATGAAAAAATAAGGAGATGGCATCAGGTCTGCTAGATCAGGAGACCAGCCAATCGCCAGGCTACGGTGCCATTGGCCTTGGTACACTGTATAGGCACCGAGGCCCTGCCATTGAGGTGGGATCTGCCTCGACTAGAAGGGAAGGTGCGACTCACTCAACATTCATTTGCGATCCAGGCGGCCGCACTAGCGCCGCAGCGAGGGTATAAATACCAGGTCGTATCTCTCCATCTTCCCCTTGTTCCCCGGACTTTTCACAACCTCGCTGGCGCGTTTTTTCTCTGCTGTCTCTTGCCCTGTCGACAATGTCGGGCTTGCCCGAGTTCCCATTCTCGGCCCGGCGCCGCCGTGGCCCCCATAATCGCCCCGGCCGCCGCGCTGCTCGCCGTATCGCTGCCGCCGGCACTTCTTCCCTTCCTCCCCCTCCCCCTTCAGCACGCGCACCGCCATATATTGCCTGGGCCAAATCAGTCCCCGATTTTGCGGGGACTGTGATAGTCCACCAAGGTCCCGGTACGAAGCTGCGCAAAATCAGCGCGGGGGACCTGGCCCAGGCAACGGAAAGCATGCCGTTGGAGGAGAATGGCCAAGTCCGCCATATGTTCTTCACGGATGCTTCCGTGGCGGGGCGTTCATCTTCCCCTCTCGAGCCCATGGGAAGATGGCCCGCGTTGGCCGTCGTGTGGCGGTCCCCCCGCTATCCCAGATGGAATGGCCAAGCCTTTCCGGGATCGGGCCGCACCGCCGACAATACGGGGGTGCTGGAGCTGGAGGCCGTCGGTAAGGCCCTGCAATTGGCATATTCGCGGGTCGCGGGAGATCAGCGTGAGCATCGGCACAGCCACCTTGTGCTGGTGTTTACTGACTCCCAAACCGCGATTGACCGCCTGAGCCTGGTTCCATTTGCTCCAGATGTCAAGAACGTGCAGCACTGGGGCCAGCGACTCGTTGACCGTGGTGCAGAGCTCGAGCTGCACTATGTCCCGGGTCACCGGGACATTTCCGGCAACGAAGTCGCTGACCAACTGGCGAAGGCGGCTGCCAATTGCTTGGCCGATGGACGCTCTCTCTCGGAGGCGAGGGTCAGAGACCTGGACTGGTTCCAGGCTTGATTTCCTCTTCCATGTGCCCCAGAAGCTCACCGAGGTGGGCGTCCATGCCGATGGGGGGAGGGGATTCTTTTTCTGCCCTACCTGGAGGTGATTGCTAGGTAAGGACCACATGACGGCTGGCCTGGGTGTCATTGCCAGGTCAGCAGGGGACATTGGCTTTGGTTTTGGATTTGTCTTGGGTTTGTTTTGGTGCTGGTGCTGGTGCTGGTGTTGTTTTCTGATTTGGTTTGATTTGGTCGTTTTTTTCTTTTACGTTTTTTTGTCTTTCTAATGGAAGGTAGGCCTGGTAAGTCCCTCTTCGCCCCAGTTCCTTGATTCTGTCCATTCGGTAAGTACCCCTCCATCCCCAATTGACCAACAGCAGCGTGGAGCTGGAACCGTACAGTCATGGACTCAGGGTGTAGACGTACACCGTAATACTAACCCACCAGTAAATCTACTAACTACTAACCTGCCAGCGTGACCACTAATATCTGTATCATATTATCTGCCAGATGTCTTCCAAGTCACAATTTGATTAGCTACTTGGTCATATTCCCGGTCATCTACCCAGCCACTTCCTGGAAGGATGATTAACCCTCCATGTCTCGTGGTTCAATCACACACGGAAACGGCAATTTTTGAAATCGCTGATAACATGTTTACTTCTCATGTACGTCTTGTCGCCATGAGGTAAACGCGCTCGCTGTCGTCTGGCGCTGCTCTCCGGTTCTCCCGGGGTACGTTGGGCGGGGGCCTGAAGCCCGGGACTGGGAAACAGAAAATACGGGAATTTTGGAGACTGAGGCCGTTTCAAAGGCGTTGGAGTTGACTCTCATCACCTTCGAGCGGGGGATGTGGCGGCCGAAGGCCCACCATAAGGTTACTGTCTTTACGGACTCTCTCAATGTACACCGGCGGGCACGGAAATGCCGGGAGCGAGACTTACTGATGCTCTGTAGCAGGAGCATCCAGCTCTTCAATATCGGGGCAGAGGTCGAGGTTCGGCATTGTCCCGGTCACTATGGCGTCCTTGAGAACGAGGTCGCCTATGAGATTGCGGGGACCGCGGCCAGTTATATCGTTGCGGACAAAAATTCGGCTTTCGCTCCTGTCGAGAACCCCGATCACCTTCCACGCCCGGCATGGACTGCACGGAGAGAGCGAGAGCTCGAAGAAGAGGCAATTCGTTTCCAATGGCCAAGGTCCCTATTGCCAGACCACTAGAGGTATGATATGGCTCGCCGGATCCAGCCATATGATGGAACGACAGATTCGAGAACCTCGGCAGACCACCAGTGTGAAGTGGACGCGGCGAGATTACAAGAAAGTGTGATGTGTTGGAAGAGATTTTCATCAGGTGAGTATTTTTTTCCCCGTTTCCATGGAATTCATAACGGTATCGCCCGCCCTCCTGGTTTGATTTGGTGAGTACACCTTCTCTTGATTTACAGTAGATACCATTGAGCTGTAGTCAGCAGCCAGTGAATTCACTAACCTTCTAGCTCATCTGTTTACTAACCTAACAGTTGCAACTGGCTGTATATCATGAGTCACCTTTCTCGTAGACATCTGAGTAGGCTGTATTTCATCCATATATAGCATATGCCAATAATATCAATTTTGTGGAATTTCCAGCATTCAAATCATGATCTGACCTCTGAATACTCTCACCTTAAAAATGGCCTCCGCTTCAATGTGACAATATACCTGCCCCCTGACTTAAAAAACCTCCCCATTTACTACAGTAGGGTTGAAGGTGGTCAGGTGAGACCACCCTGTCTTGGCACTCTGATATCTACATCGCCCATCGTTCGACAGCTTCATCATCATCACCTCTCTCCAGGTTCACATCTCCTTCTCACTCCCCGAAATAAAGCTGATGAAAGGATGAAGGCGTTTGACAAGACACTATTCGCCGAAATGGCTGTTCTTCAAGGGCATGATTTGGCGCATACTGAGGCATCCAAGCAACAAGCCTCATCTCCATCCTCTTCTCTATTCTTCACTCAGACCATGATCGCGCACTTTCATCGGCCTTCACACCTTTCAAGCCTTTAAAAGTGTTGCTATATGCCTGAAATGAGAAGCTCATCAATGAACATGAGTGACAAAGAGTTCACTGTTCCTTCAACTTCCTGCGGTACAGCCAGCTCCGGTTCACCCGCCGCGTCCTACTCACCTTGATACCCACTGGGATCGACAAGCCTTTGGATTGACAGTGTCAGACACTGAAGTGGGAACTTGCATCGACGGGTTCCAAGCCCATGGATTTCATTGGTCGTGACCAATACGTCAAAGTCGTTGTCTCGCCCTGCCATAACGCAGTCCGGTTCGTCTCCCCGTCCAGTCATCCCTTCCACTATCCCTCTATGGCACCTCCTCCCGCCTCCCGCATCGTTGACGTCCCTGGTCTCTTCGCGAACTTTCTGAGAAGTGAACACAAATTGGACAGAGGCAAGCGTGTGTGGGAGCAAGAGAAACATTGGCCATGGCCTAGGCGATGGATAATTTCGGCTTGGAGTGGAAATGTATCGTTGGACAAAGACGTCACCGCAAAGAGGGAGAATGTGTCTAATTCCATGTGGCGGTCCTCCTTTACATGAGAAATGGATCGGCCAAAGATCCGCCGCCTCACAGGAGGCGCACTGGCAACAGAGCCAGATGAGGTGACCGATGACAATTTCGAATGAGGAGTCTCCAGATGCTTTGCAGAGAAAACCATTTCCCTTAATTAACCGAGGAGGAATTAGAACGCCTCATGGATATTGGCGCGACAAGCTTTCTTGACGATGACGAAAGGACAATCCGACCACGACCACCGGGAAATCTCCCAGTACCAGGACGAGTCGGAAACAACTAGCCATCACAGCCTACCTGCTGAGACGACTTCGAGAATTCTTTGATACGCCAGATGAGCCACTGAACACAGCGTCGGTTTATCTAGCCTGGGCCCAAAAAATAAAAAGCAAAAAGAAAGTCAAAATTTTGGTTCAGGGCACCTAGTCACCACCAAGGACGTCACCGGATAGCGTGGGGCTTCTTCGACTGGGGGGACAATTGCCAGACTTTCTCTCCCGACGCCACGCGAGCAGATAACAAGCTGCGTCTTGTTTCGGGCTATTACAATCTTATAAATATTAAGGGTGGTTGAGCTGGGTTCAAGTTGCCTTCTCTTTGTTCTTCAAACAAGGATGTGACGAGGAGTAACCTGCGACTCGAGAAGCCGCAGCCTACAAGATGAGTCTTCAACCACATTTACTTCTCAAATATCTCTCCGTCACCATGAGGTTAACGCGTTCGCTGTTGTCTGGCGCCCCGGACATTACAGTGTCTGGGGTAATGAAGTGGCCGACGAGCTGGCCGGAACCACCTCGAGTTATATCATGGCAGGCGAGAATGACAATAAAGCAATTCCGGAGCCAGAGGCGATTGCAAATGCTCATCAGTCAGAAATGCAGACCATCCAAAGCGGAACCTGGTACCCCGGCACTCTGCACAAGGTGACCATCTTCAGATCCTCTCAACGTCTACAGAAGGGTCAATTATTGCAGAGAACGAGATTTCCTGCAGATGTGCCGTCGAAGTATCGAACTTCACGCACGACCCAGGGCCGAGATGGTAGTTCTATACTGCCCCGGCAATTCCTTATTTCGGATAATGAAGTGCCGATAATACTGTAAAAATGGGCTGTCATTTGCATGACGGAGAGGAAAGAGGCGGTATTATAGCACGTCTACTACTCGAACGCACTGTGGCAAATCTTTGACCTTGATACCCTGCTAGAAATCTGGTTGGCTCACGACCACTCCTTCTGTCATACGGAGATGGAACTGAATTTAAGGGTGGTCTTGCTTTTTGGAGGTTATTTCCAGGTAATTCATGGCTCCGTTCTACTCATGAAAAGGTGAGTATTACTTGCTTACTTGTTCCCTGGCTCCGAATTATTGGAAGGGACAAGGACTATGGTGTGTTGGAAGGCATTCAACAAAGTGCTCATTCCGTTTCTATTTTATGCAAATGAAAATGGCGAGTACTATCTCCCTTGACTTCAAGATGTGTCCAGGTTCTGATATACCTCTATCTTAAAGGGAAAAATCGGAGAATGTGTCTGTTCCTTTCTTTCTACCAACAGACCTCGATCGAACCCGAGATCATCCCGAATTTTCTTGCTGTTCCGGAAAATTTGCTATGGAGATGGCACCGGTCTACATCCATACAATCCAGTCAGGCATTGTCTGGAACCGCCTTGGCAATGTCATTGTGGCATCTGCATTCAGATAAGTGATTATGGAGAGCAGACAACATCAAAACGAGTTCTCTCAGGACTTTGTCGAGATCCTTCGAGCAGAGAACTCTGTGGTGATATGTGCAAACAGTATACTGCCAACTGCTCTGTGCGTTGTTTACTTTTCTTTATTGGTTTTCGAAGCCATTGGGAGACGACAAGCTGAAATATGCACACCCGGAAATATGGACGCTGGAAAAGGAAGAGCCCACATGTGATTGTGGGTGTCTATCTCGTCTACAGGTATGCCTTCCATTTTACCCTTTGGAAACCTTCGCAACTTTCGCACCCCATATTGGTTTAGACAAAGCGACTCCGATCTGCTTTCACGGCGTCCATATTGAACTACTTGAAGCAAATTTCACTGACATCAAGCCTCCTGCAACAGCATTCGCATGAAGAATGGGTGTCCCATGTAATCCATGTGGTTCACGATATCAATTGGACGGCCGTCATGCCGTCCAAACTCGCAATCCAGCAGCCTTTCTTCAAAGGATTCATGTCGCTGCTCCTGTTGGCCATCCCCGCTTCGATGATGGCTATATAGGGGAAAGAGTGTGATAATGGACCTTGACAGGTCGGCTTCGCAGACCTATAACCCAACGGTCCTTCATCGGAGGACAAACTGGGCTTTTCGCCATGAGAACTGAAAACGAGGATGCGCGTCGAATTCTGGGGATCGTCGCTAGAGCATAAAGCCACAGAGCCAAAAGCCTTGCCGTGTATTCAAAGATGCTACCGCGATTTGAAAAGCTACTCTGGTCATGGATAGAGTGGTTGGCCTTTCAGCGAGTCTCGGGTGGTGGAAAGGAGATAGGGAGCGTATTTTGGGGAATTGGAGCTCCAGAAACCTGGGGGAAATGGAAACAACACTGGAATATCTGGTGTGCTGGCCCTTAGTGGCGATGAATCGGCGTGAGGTGCGACTTCACAGACCAACACTTTCTCGGCGCCCAATCGGGCAGCCTTCGGCATGAGTTGGAGGGTTGGAGGCTGGCTTACTCCCCTGCCTGACATATTTCCGTTACATATCGTCCGTCCGATCTCCTGCTTGCTTGATGACTTCCAACTGACGCCAATCCTGAACGACCTTGACAGGATGTCCCCCCAAAAAAAACGACCGGAAACCTATGGACACGGTAAGACAATACCGTTATCCCCTCACCCAAGCATAAGGAGAATGAGGGAAAGAGGACATCAGTGGCAGCTTCTAGGCTCCGTAGGTGGAGCGCCCCTTGAAGTTTGGATTTCCAACGACATCATCTAGTCAGGTAGAGACGGCAACTGGAAACATGCACCCAGAAGATGGGAGGCCACCATGGCCCACAAGTTTGCAAAGACCCTGAGAGTTTCATATTCTCCTCGTCCTCCGTCCCTTCCTAATTTCGCGTTCCCGTCGCCGCCGCCATCTCCTTTTGCTACTCCTCCCCCACCTTTGCCAGAACCTCCTGTTGATGCTGGGCGGACTCAGAGAGCGAAGTCATTAGCCACCTCGAAGACGAGGCCACGGTACCGGTCAAGCCTGCAAAGACAAGTAAATGTTGGTGCGCCCATACTTCCTTTACAAGTCTCGCTACTTACCTAACTCCTCCGCCGCCTTCCCTCTCTCACCCTCCTGGCTCCTCCCGCCCACTCCTACGTCCGTTCTTGGACGACATTTGCTAAAGCCATGGGGTGTTGTCAGTTTGGACTCGTAGTTTGTGCGACCGGAGATCTGGAGGCAGGCGCCGGCAGCGTACGCTTGCTCTTTCGATGGGGGTTGTCTGGAAGTAGGTGGTGTGTTCAACCACATTTACTTCTCAGATATTTCTCACCGTCGTGAGGTCAATGCGCTCGCTGTCGTATGGCACTGAGACTTGAGGCACGACCTAAGATTAATCGTTCCCTGCACCGCCGCCACCTACACTAGCCACCACATGCTCTTAAACCTACGCGATATATCTCAATATGCGGAGAGATCTCTGTATCAAGTCGACGACGTCCTGCGGAAGTCTCAAGGCAGCAAAAAGGGAACTGAAATCAGGCAGTCACGGAAAGCTCACATGACCACGTTCACCCCTGAGTTGCAGGGGGAAATACGATGATTCTAGGGGACATGTACAAGGCCTTTGAAACCGCAAATGCTTCAACATCCGACAAAGAGCAGAAAAGATAACGCATCACGAGAAGGAAGTGCGAAAAATCATCACTCAGAGCCCTAAATCCAGAGAACACAGCTACTACGACTGTCATGGCATTTTTTTTGCTTTTCTTTGCGGACCCTAATACCTTCACCATCTCAAGTGCGTATTTTGTGTCGACCACTGTTCCACTTCGCTGATGTGACAGAGTCTTCCTCCCCCTCTTACTCTGCTCTTTTCTGCAGGGCCTCTATGGTGATTCTCTTTTACGCGCGTTTTGCGCTTTTGATGGCAGTAAGCTCATCTTCAGGATACCCTGTGCCCACTTTATTTCCTTGTTCGACCGTCATTCCTTGTGCCATGATGACTGATTCCGAGTCCGAGGCCATGTCGATCAGCGACATCGAAGACAAGGTCGTCATGTTCCCCGGGTCTTTGAAGGCACAGGCAGATCGATCGCTATTCTCCTAAAGATTCTTCGACAACTTGACCTCGCTCTTGCCATTTCTGGCCCAGCCTCTTCTACAATCGTCGTCAAGAGGCCAAGAGAACTTCCTACACAGACCCAGTGAGTGGAACTGGAGGGGGTGTGGTTTGGTGATCTCAAATCATGGCGAGCCAGAACCATCGAAATCATCGACGCTACTCAGTCTGGGTTGGTCCTGACAAGAAAGAACGCTACTTCCTGTGCGCTTCTTCTCCATCCTCCTTCCTACCCAGCCACCCACCCAATCCAGCGACATACATCTCCCCATTAAGATAATAGTTGTGGCTATGGATTGCTTTGTGGAATACCAAAATATGGACTCCGCTCGAGTCACATAAGTTCGATTTAGGCAATTCTGTTGACTGGCAGCTGAATACTGGAAGAAGCAAAATCACCGTATTCACGGATTTGACCGCTGTTTATTTTCGGATAAGATATATCCGGGACCCAGATGCGTTAGAGCTGTGCAGAAGGAGTATTGAGCTCCACCACCTTAGGGCCGGTGTAGAGCTGCAATACTGTCCGGCGCACAGCCTCGTGCCTGTCTGAGAGGTAGCTGATGAGCTAGCTGGCACTACAGCTAGCTATATTGTTGCGAATGAGAATCGCACATTGGTCACTTTGAAAAACCTGCGAAGCTCCCTGGTCCAGCTTGGATCGCGCGACAAAGGCAGAAGGGCAAGGAGTATGAAACTCGATTTGGACAGCACAGACCCCTGGCTCCAGATTACTGGAAGTCGCCATGTGACAGTGTTTACGATTGCAACTATCCGTATACCACCGAGCCATGTACTGCAGGGAGAGGGACGTCCTGGAACTCTGCAGGCGCAGCATTAATCTCTGCCACCTTGGGGCCCGGGTGGAGGTCCTCGAATGGGTTGCTGGAGATGTGACGATCTCGAGAGATATAAGAATATTTTCCATAAAGTGAAGGTGAAGAAGATGAAATAAAGGTTAAGGAACATAAAGATAGATATCATACATTGCACAGGATATACAAAGTCCCTACTTAGTGATTAGTTCAACTAAAATATAAGACTATACTTTTCATGAGTAAAAGGCATGGAATTATTTACTCTGATTTAACCTATTAATATGTGATGTGAGCGTTACAGTATAGGTGCTGGAAGTTTCGAATGCTAAATTATGTGCAACTGCTTAGTTCCGATTGTTACTTCATCATTATTATACGTTGCATACATAACTACCCTGAGTAGGTTTCGTCTAAGGAACTTTTATCAGTTGCAATGAATAATGTGCGTACCTTCATGGATATGGAGTCACTTCGTAACAGCCTTGTAATTCATTCATAAATCATAATCGTCAGAACCGTCATATTAAGGTACGCCACGCAATGCACCGGAGCAGCAACAACAATCCACGCACCATCCATGCATCTAAACCGTAATAACCACCACCCAGAATAAATTACTTCCTCCCCTTCCCCTTATTCCTCCTCTTCTTAACCTCAGCCTCGGGTACACTAACAGTCCCCTGAACAACATCCTCCCCCTGTCCAGCAAGCTGCTGCGAACTAGAGATAAAAAAGCTCAAATCCCGATTCTGATCCTCCAAATCGGCCTTGGACAGTTTCAACTCTCCGTTCTCCTTGCCCAACATCTCAACCTTTTCCAGCAAATTCTGATTCATACTCTTTTCCTCGCGATATTCCTTCTCCATCTTCCTAGCCAGCGCCTCGAATTTCTCAGCTCGTTTCTCCAGCCGCGCCCTATCACGCTCTAGTCCCGGAATCGTCTCACTCGACAAAACCTCGTACTTCGATTGCATCTCTTCAAGCCTCGTCATCGCCTTCTCAGCCGCTGATTCCGCGGCGAGCGCAGCGGCGCTGGCCTGCGATGCCTTATCCGCGGCCCGCTCGACAATCTCTTCGAAGTACGCCCGTTGACTTTCCAGTTGACTAGTGAGTAGATGCGTGTATTCCACGCTCATGTTTTCCAATTTCTCGCGCGGCACCGCATCTTCCATATCCGGCGGATCGAGGGCGGAGTGGTCTGCCCCCGGTAACTCGACGAGTTTACCGTCCGTTTTACTCTGAATGATACGGTGGACGTACGCGTCCCCGACATAGTCCCAGACGCGCTGGGAGTTCAGGTCCATTGCGAAGGCGTGGGCTGTTTCTTTCCAGTGTTCGAAGGCGTGGGCGCCGTCGTAGCGGCCGCAACCTACATTACCGCAGATTAGGCAGGCCCAGAGGTTGAGGTCGTTGTGGCAGGTGCTGCATTCGGCTGGGTCGTCGGAGGCGTCGAGGGATAGTGTTCCCTTTCGAAAGTCGTCTTGTGTGTAGCGGCACACTGGGCAGCCGCTGCCTTTCCATTTTTGAAGGCAAGTGCAGTGGAAGACGTGTTGGCAGATTATTGTTAGGAGGCCTGTTGTTTCGTCCATTCGTTCTAGGCAGACGGGGCAGGTTGGGAGTTCGATGAGTGCGGGAGTTGGTGGGGCGAGGGGTTTCGAGGAGAGCGGTGCTTGGTTGGAGACGCTGTGTCGAGGTCCGGTTGAGGGGGACGTGAGGCCGTGATCTGAGAAGGTGGATGGGGATTCTGGTTCGGAGACTTGGATTTCGACAGAGTGGACGAAGACCACATGGCATGTTTCGGGCTACTGGTGTGAGCGAGATATTCGGTCAGCGGTACTTTGGGAACTTACCTCCATACTGTTGAATACCTTCCCATTCCACTCCTTCTGCCACTCTTTCGCCTTCCTCCCGCTTCTAAACTTCATCAAAACCATATACCGATTCGCGCGCGAGGTGCGAATCATCCGGAAATGACACACATCATCCAGCGTCTTCTCCCCAATAAATCCAAGGAAATCAGACGGGGACAGATAAGCCGGGACAGCGAGAATGCACAGCGTCGTGCAATCATCCTCCCGATCCCGCGCCTCCCGCATTGATGCTGTCGTGGGAAACGGATACCCAGTCCCCTCACCCTTCCCTCCAGCACGACTCCGGCCAGTGGCTTTGCTTGCGCTAGCAACCAAAGCACTCTGGGTACTACTATTCTCGCCCCGCGAAACAGCAGCCGCAGACCCCTTCAGATACGTCGAATAATCATCCTCTTTCTCAGCAAGGTACCCCGACTCCTGCGCATCACGGTATAGGTGCACAATACCCCAGACACTCTCAGAAACCTTCTGGTCAAGTGGTATATACCTCCCCTTCGTACGGAGTCCACCCAGAATATCCGTCCCGATCCCCGCAGCAACGAGATTATCCTCCTCGTGCGGTTGGCCCTTCGAGCGCTTCTTTGATTGAGCTTCCGGCGCGACCATGTCTATGCACTGGATGCTGATTTCGTTGAAGCGGATATCCGCCGCGGGGTCCAGGGCCTGGGTTTGTGGGTGTGGATTCGTGGGTTCCTGTGGCGGGGAGGTCGAGCTTGGTTTGGAGGTGTGTCGCGGTCGGTGTTCGAGCGTTAGCGATTTCCCGCTTGCGCTTGCGCTGCTGCTCGCGGCGATGCCTGAAGAGCTGGGTTCGAGCCGCTGAAACGGGCGGAGTGCTTCGTGTGCGGATTCGAGGGTTAGAGAGGTTGATGTTGGGTCGCGGAATATTTCGAGTGTTAGGTGATAGAAGTATGCGGGCATCCCGGGCGATCACTCTGCCCTTGCGCTTCGCGGGGTGAGTGTTGCAATCGCGTGGTCAAGCCGTCAATGGTGACCTGAATGTTGGCTGTGGATGGTGGATCAACCGCGATAAGACTGGATGACTAATCGCCCCAGATCTGTCAACGCACGAGGTTCCTGGGGTGGCGAGAGGCGATGTCGGCTTGTTTTGCAGGATTTGTGGTGGCGTTGGAAAAAAGAAGGCAGTGGCGAGTCTAGACTTACCCAAAAATTAATTCTGAGAGTGAGAGGAATGGAGTGATATAGGTCTAGGTTGTATACTACGACACATTCCAGGATAGATCTACAGTGGTGAGAATAGATGATAGCAATGAATGGCACACAGCAACGTCCAATTCATAGATTCTGTAAACTAAGGAACACCACCAAGGGTGACCGAGAAGAGAAAAGTAATGCCCGTGAAACCGTCAAAAGTAAAAGGAAAGAAGGAAGCCGCAGCTTCGAAACCCGACCGAACGCCATGCAGGTCATAATCGAGGACCCAGTCTCGCAGCAAAAGGATTTACTGGCCACCACGCAGACGGAGCACCAGGTGAAGAGTAGACTCCTTCTGGATGTTGTAGTCGGACAAAGTCCGGCCATCCTCCAGCTGCTTACCAGCGAAGATCAGACGCTGCTGGTCAGGCGGGATACCCTCCTTATCCTGAATCTTGGACTTGACATTGTCGATGGTGTCGGAAGACTCCACTTCCAGAGTGATGGTCTTACCGGTGAGAGTCTTGACGAAGATTTGCATACCACCACGCAGACGGAGGACGAGGTGCAGTGTGGATTCCTTTTGGATGTTGTAGTCGGAGAGAGTGCGGCCATCCTCCAGCTGCTTACCAGCGAAGATCAGACGCTGCTGGTCAGGCGGGATACCCTCCTTATCTTGGATCTTGGACTTGACATTGTCGATGGTGTCGGAAGACTCCACTTCCAGAGTGATGGTCTTGCCGGTCAGGGTCTTCACGAAGATCTGCATACCACCGCGCAGACGAAGGACCAGGTGAAGGGTAGACTCCTTCTGAATGTTGTAGTCGGAGAGGGTGCGACCGTCCTCCAGTTGCTTACCAGCGAAGATCAGACGTTGCTGGTCGGGGGGGATGCCCTCCTTGTCCTGAATCTTGGACTTGACATTATCGATGGTGTCGCTGGACTCGACCTCAAGGGTGATGGTCTTGCCAGTGAGAGTCTTGACGACTAGAGAACGATCAGTAGGTGCAGGCTGAGAAAAGCGGTGTGAGATACATACAGATCTGCATACCACCACGCAGGCGGAGAACCAGGTGAAGGGTGGACTCCTTCTGGATGTTGTAGTCGGAAAGGGTGCGGCCGTCCTCCAGCTGCTTGCCGGCGAAGATCAGGCGCTGCTGGTCAGGGGGAATGCCCTCCTTGTCCTGGATCTTGGACTTGACGTTGTCGATGGTATCGCTCGACTCGACCTCAAGGGTGATGGTCTTGCCGGTGACTGAATCAGCGGGTTAGTGACTTGCATGTGACATGGCGACACTCTGGCGACGGACGGGAGTCGCCATCGCGACCCTCAGATGGCGACAGCTAGAGAGGATACTCACGGGTCTTGACGAAGATCTGCATGATGATGGCGTGACCGCGGTGAATAGATGGACGGTGATGGAAAGGGGCAAAGCGGGAAACGAGGATATCGCGAAGCGGGTGGAAGAGTAGGAAGTGGGAAGTGAAAGAGGGGGTGAGGTTTTAAGTACGACCACGGAAGAGGGGGGCGAGGGCCCTTAGTCAGACGAGGCAGTGACCAGCGATGGGAACTTGCTAGAAGATGCCGGGGGGCCGGATGAGTCAAGGAGAGGAACAGGTCATTGACGCCACCGGCAGTCTGGTACCTTCCGGAGACATTCTACATGGGGTTTAGAGGATTTCTTTAAGTACGTCAAAAGTCGACTTCCAGAGCCAGTGCTACTAGCAGAATTTACACGGATTTTCCGCCTACGGGTTATCCAACGGCTCAGCCTTCCCCATCTCCTCTGGACGATGCGTGGCTGGGGGCGATGACGTTACTGGGCTTATCGCAAAAAGAGGGGGTGGGCCGGGTCTTTCCTGGAGGGAGACCAGAGGCCCAGTCGACTCCGTCGCGCCGCAGCCAGTCACGACGGCCGGACACCGACTAGCGCCATCACGGTACCCAGTGATGTGCCGGGAGCGCGGGCGGTGAGTGCATACTATGTATAGCCGCCGGCTAATCGGGTCAGGTGACTCCCGGGTTCGGCAGGTCCTCAAGGATCGGCAGCACTATGGCATTCTGACTTTGCACAGGCGAGTACCCCAAGAGAAAAACTACGACGAAGACAGTAGCAGGGAAAAAAAAGTTAAAATACTTTGAACAGTTAATTGGTCAAAGGATATATAAACACGCAGGGCGCAATGAGAATTCCACCCGTCTCGGACGCCACTTCCCTCGGCACTCCGGTTCCAATAAACAAGTGAAATGCAAACAAAAAGAATGCGACAAGACTGGACCACGCCTAGTCTACGCTTTTCCATGGCACAACCTCTCCCGACCGAGGAGAGGGTAGTCATTCAGCAAAAGACTGGCCAGGTGCTGTCACAAACGAAAGCAAATATCGGCCGTACACAGTCATAACGTTCGTGATCCTCAATCATCGCTAGAAAGCTATGCGAGCAAGGTATAACCACAAAGACAGTAGAAAAACACAATAAACACGAATAGATCCAAGACAATAGCGACATCAAAGAGAAAGGATTGATCAAAGAAAGACGGTTCCAAAGGAACCTCACGTGTGATGCTAAGACACAAGAGAAAAAACACAGGCAGGTCGGATCTCGCTAGGAGAGACACCGCAGAGAGGGTTGTTCGTAAAGAGCGGGGGAGACGCGCTCGCGCATCGTCACGACCGGTTGGTGGGAAATGGAAAATTTTTTTTCTTCATCGAGGGCATGGCGTGGGGCAAAACTGAACAAGTTGACGGAAAACATCGCTAGGCAGCACTCGTGGGGAGAAAACAATAGTCGTGGGTGAACATCATCGTTATCATGCGCATGCGCATCGTATGGTCGTCTCTAGTTGGCGCGAATAACAAGACGGGAAACAAATTTGTTGGAGAGGCAATCGAAATCGTCGCGGTTGAATTTGGAGCCGGTACGGCCACGGAGGTAGCTTTCTGGAAGGAGTTAGCATCAAATCACATTCAGCCAACACGCGGGATGTTTGCTTACCGTGTTGCTCGACATGTTGGCGGACCTCGGTCATAGTGTTGCACACATCCGGGTTGGAGTACAGCAGGTGATGGTGCTTCTGCGAGTCCCACTCGGTGAACGGGGGCAGCTTCTGGGAGATAGCCTGGAACAGACCGACAATGACACCAACGGGAGTGGTCTCCATATCGGTGCAGAACTTGTCGACGGCCGACTGATCCGGAGTACGGTAGTGGCTGTCAAACTGCATCTCTTCCCAGACCGCCAGCAAGATAGAGGCGAGAATGAAAATGGTCGGCCAGTTCTTCAGCTTGTCTCCGCTGTACACACTCGAGTACAACGCCGAAAGCTCCTCCAGGACATCCTTCTGAAGCTCTCGCCACATGCCCGCCATGGCGCACTTGATCTGGAAGTTGATCATGACAGGAGCCATGATCTTACCACGGAACTTGGAGCCCGGCTCCTGGATCTTGCCCATAAATCCGTCTTCATCGCCCAGTCCTTCAACCATGGTGACGTGGAGAGTCAGGTTGTAGGCGATGATCAGCTTGAGGGCCTTGCGGATGACGGGCAGCTTCGTCCGGTAGTAGTAGCGGAAGGCGGTCTTGAGCATCTGGGTGAGGAACGGGGTGCCTTCGAAGTAATCGTCCACGAACTTTTCAAAGGTGCCGTTGCCGTCGATATGTCGGTCCAGATAGTCAGACAGCATAGCGTGCGAGATGCCCTCCATGCCAGCGGAGAGTTTGGCGGTCTCGACTTCGTATTGTGTCGGCTCGCGGTGCAATGTCTCGACCCAGTCGATGGTAAAGCACTGCTCGTCACGGACGTAGACCTCGCGAGCGGTGATGGGGAGGATTTGGCCGTAGCCGTGGGTAATGAACAGAGTGCGCTCCTGGTCCGAAAACCCCTTGATGTTGCCGACTGAGAAACCCATGGAGATGTGTCGCTCGTAGTCTGCCCGCCAGTCCTTCATGAAATACCCGATTTCCTTAATGTCGATGCGGGTGCACGGCACCTGCCACAGACGAGCGTGCGACGGCTGGCAGCCGGCACACGGCTCGCCTTTATCACACGTCTTTTTAAGGAACTTGCACCGCAGGCACGCCCGCAGCTTCCGGATCTCGCTGGCTTGCTTGCGCTGGTCCGGCTTGAGAGGACCCTTCCGCTTGCCCACCCGCTTCTCGGTCTCGGGCTTGCCGGTCTGCGATTGCTTGCGGACCTTGGTCTCGGCCGTTTTGGCCGCAATAGGGCTCTTCCTCGAGGGTTTCCGACTGGGCGGCGAGGCCGACGAATGAGAGCCAGAAGAGCGACTGGGAGAGGTGGACTTCTTGATGGGGACAGGAATCGGACGGACCATGGCGGTGCTGGGGCTGACGGCTGACGGGGAGCGCGAACCCGGGGATGACCGCTCGAGGCGGACGATCGAGCTGCTGGTTGGTGAGGTACCGGCCAGGCTGACGGCGGCATTGGGGTGGTTGTACGGCAAGTCCATGTTGGTTTCCGAGCTGGGAGAGTTGATGGGGTTGGCAATATCGACGAAGCTACCATAAGACGTTGAGTAGGATGATTCGGAGAGACTGCGGTCGTGCAATGTCTGGGTGGGGTTGACGAAAATGCCCTGCTCGGGGAAACTGAAGTCGAGGGAGCGGCGGTGGTCGACGGTGCTCCAGCCATTATCGCTGCTGGACAGGGAACGAACCTCCAGGTAGGTATCGGTAGGCGAGCTGCTCTCCAGAACCGGGTGCGGGGCGTAGGATGAGACATCCGGCAGCCCGCTGGGGAATCCCATCAAATCGGTATGGAAATCATGGTAGGTGAATGGCACCATGCTACTGGTGTCGACCGGGGCGGAGAGGGGTAGGTGATAGGATCCATCGAGCAGACCACCACTCATCTGGCCCTGGGGCCCGGCCATGAGATCCACCGGGGAGGACTGAATGGCCATGCCATAGCTGGCGGTGGTGAACTGGGGCGCTGACGACGGGTCCTCGGGCGAATATGGTAATTGTTGGTGGTGGTGAGGGGTCTGAAGCTGTTGGAATTGCCAGTCGACCATGAGGCTCGGGTCCTGGGCCACCGACTGTTCCAGGGGGTGACCGCTGGTTTGAAGGGGCGAGAGATCGTGGGCGTCGTCTGACCGTGGGGGGTTCTGGTCAACGGGGACGGGCCAGGGCTGCTGGAGATAGCCTCTGGAGTCGTAGTCGACGATGAGGCCGTCGCTGGATAAATCGACATTGGACATGGCGTCGTGGTGATGCCAATAACGTGGGAAAGGCAGGGAGAAGAAGGGAGGGAAGGGCCAGCCTGGATGAAAAGGCCTTCTTCAGCGTGAGTGACACAGCCATGGGGGAGAAGAGGGTGAGGCGGTGGGGGGGACAAAGCAGCGGTGAGCGAGATGCGCTAGGGGAAATCGTGTGGAGTGGCCTCTGGGCGGGTGGGCACGCCATTGGGCCGTACTGCCACGCGGGGGCTTTCATTCCTCGATTTTGAGAGGAGTCTGCTTGCATTCCCCCTCTTGTGCAGGGCGAGGCCAGTCGGAGCGCAGTGCGATCGCTAGTCTGGTCCCATGACGGCGCATTGGCGGAATGCGGCCTGGGTCGCTGAGATTCTTATTCTGGTCATCACCTTAAGTTAATTTCATGGAGAAGACTGTTCTATTTTCTGTGCACTACAATGTAGGAGGGCTATCTCGTGCTGCCGTGCTGCCGTGCTGCTGTGTTGACAATTTGCTCTTTCCGTTCTGAGAGGAAGTGAACCGTGGCGAGATCACGGGAGACGGCACGGGAGATCAGTGGAGACCAAATGCGTGGCAATAACAACGCCAGCACAGTCCGTGCATGCGGCCGATCTGACACCCGATCGTGAGGCCAATCATTCTTCCCAGCGTGAATCCTATCAGGGTTCTTCCTGGCTCCTCATGGCCGGTGGGGGCCATGCACGACTCGCTCAACATTTCAAGTGAGTACATACTCCAGGCCGAGGCGGGACGTGGGCAGGGATATGACGATCCCTGCGAAGCATCTCCTCCTCATAGAGGTTCGTCGAGGCCCAAGTGCCTGGCTTGCAAGCATAATGCAAGATCCTGCCACTGCTGCCAGCAGTCCTGGGTCTTCGGGATCACGCCGTCATCGACAGGTCAACTCTGGGGAGGCTTGGACCACATGCACGCAAGCAGCAAGGAGTTCCTGAGCCACTGCACGACGGCGATGGCCATGGCCATGACACCAGCCACCGTCGTGTGCAGGAGCGGCGTGCAGGAGCGGATGCAGGCGCAAAAATTGGATTGATCACATCACTGCAGACGACATCGTGGTGGGTGGAGTTGACATGCGTCGGAGGATTCAGTACGGCACGCTGTCATTGCAGGTGGGCGACTCGACCTGCTCAGAGATTATCAGAGAGAACAGTAGAGGGGTCCGCTGTGGGCCATTGTTGGTGGATGTTTCAACGCTGTCACTGCACATCAGCTACTGTACTGCTGTCTGTACTGCTGTGCGGGAGGAAGACAAAGAACCCCGCGAGAAAAGTGGGGGGAACAATGTCAACGTCAATCAATTCTGCCGCCCTCGATTCACGAATTGCACGCAGAGCCATTGTGCCCAGCGCCACAACTACGTTCTTTGTTGTGTTGTTATACATATACCAATATCTTAGAGTACTCTCCCTCACTGATTTCTACGAGGTAAATTCACATGCCCACGGTCGCGGGGAAACGACGCAAAGTCCGCTTCCCGCTCGCGCATCTCAAAACTGCACCCCTCGCCACCCAGCACCAGCAGCAGCAGCAGCGGCACAAACCGAAGCGCCCGGGCAAACCCTCGACCGGGGAATCCTTGAGCGGGAAGATGGCCAGCCCAGCGAGGCGCATCCCAGCGCTCTTCACGCAGCCGCCGCCCATCCGCGACCCGCTCGTGACAGAGACTATCGATCTGCAGGATGCAACGATGAACAAGTGCCTGCCCTTCCTAAAGGGCGTCGCCGACTCCCAACCCGGCCCCTTCAATGCATGCGGTGTCCCTGCGCTCCAGCGCGACGATCACATCGCCTATCTCTATGATTCCTTGGAAGATTATCCCGCCGGCTTTGTGGCCATGGATGCGAGCCGACCGTGGATGGTCTACTGGGCTTTGGCTGGGTTGACGCTTTTGGGGGAGAGTGTGAGTCGGGTGAATCAACGGTATGCTATTTCTCTACAGAACTGCCATTCCTTTTTTTTTTTTCTTTTTCTTCTATTGTGATCGGCACTATTGTCTTTTCTTCCACTTGCTTTTTCGGACACGAGCAATAATCCAGACACCATGAAACAATATTAATATTTTGCCCAGGGTCATGACATCGCTACGGCCCATGCAGAACCGCACGGGTGGCTTCGGTGGCGGACACGGCCAAACATCACATCTCGCTAGTAGCTATGCAGCCATTCTCTCGCTCGCCATGGTCGGGACGCCGGACGCATTCGCATTGGTCGATCGGCAGGCAATGTGAGTTGTCATTCGACAGGGTTTTGCCCGAGCTCGTTCTAACATATTGTCTGCAGGTGGCGATGGCTGGGCCGATTGAAGCAGGCTGATGGGGGGTTTCGTGTTTGCGAAGGCGGGGAAGAGGACGTGCGGTAGGTCCAGCTTGAGCTCGCGTATGCAGCGGAGCTTTGTTAAGTCAGTGCTAACCCGTCTAGGGGTGCGTACTGCGCGACGGTCATTATCTCATTGCTCGATCTGCCCCTGGCCCTGCCGCCCGACTCGGCGGCGAGAGAGGCCGGCTTTGAAAATCTCACCGACGGACTGGCCGAGTATCTATCGCGCTGTACGTCTTTTCACTGCTATCAGTTGCACTCACATTGACTGACATCCACAGGCCAATCCTTCGAAGGCGGCATATCTGGTAGCCCCGGCGTCGAGGCGCATGGAGCTTACGCTTTTTGCGCGTTGGCATGTCTTGCCATTCTGGGGCCGCCTGAGCAGACAATTGCCCGGTATGCCTCGACATAATTCGCATACGCAGCTGTCATATCTTAGGGTACTAACCTGCTGTGATATGCAGACACATGAATCTCCCCCTGTTGCTGTCATGGCTCTCCGCCCGCCAATACGCCCCAGAGGGCGGCTTCTCCGGCCGCACCAACAAACTCGTCGACGGCTGCTATAGCCACTGGGTAGGCGGATGCTGGCCCCTGCTGCAATCCGCACTAGACGGCAAACCGCAAGCCGACAAACCACCCACCACCGTTGGCAGTCTCTTCAGCCGCGAGGGATTGGCGAGGTATATCCTTTCGTGCTGCCAGCACCCGGTCGGCGGGCTCCGCGATAAGCCCGGGAAGTAAGTTGTGCCCAACACTTCCGGCGTTTGCGTTTGTACCGCAACCTTCGTCGTAGGAGAGGCTGACTTATATTTCAGACACGCGGATTCATACCACACCTGCTACGTCCTAACAGGACTAAGCGCAACACAACACGTACACTACCGCACAGACTCGAGTCCCTGCAGTCACAAGAACTTCGCCGCGGCTTTCTCGTGGCAGTTCACCCCCACGAATCCCGAGGAGGATGTCTTTGAAAAGTACGACCGACTGACGGCGTTTCACCCCCTTTTCGTCGTGCCGCACGACGCGGCGCGGAAGATGCGGCTCTGGTTTGAGGGGGAGCCTTTTGCGAATGATCAGGGCGAGTTTGACCCGGGTTTTGCGCCCTAGTGATGAAGGGCGTGACGGCAGTCAAAAGACCAACTGCATCGGGCGCGACTGAGATGCTTTGTACCCATTTAATACCCCGATGAAATGAAATGGAGATGTAGATTGTACTACTACTACTTGTACGTAACTGTCTGCGGCTCCGGGCAACCGGAGTGAGTGACGTGCAGGAGCGGCCATTGACCACTGAACTAATTGCTGGGCCGGGTTGACTCCCTGTTATGTACGGGATCGGAGGCCCATCCCAGCTCCGATTTCTTTGTTCGGCGTGGAAGCCACGAGTGCAGCTGGCGACACAAGGGAAGTGGATGTGCGACGTGGATTGGGTTTAATGAACGTGATTACCATCTACTATTGCTTTTACTTAGTGTGTAGTGTGTACAATACAGTACTACCTGTAGAATCGCTTTAAACTGGCACCCAATACCAGTATGTCTGGGAAGTAGACTCTCCCCCAACCTCTGTGAGTAGGAGTAAAACGGCCTGCACGCGTCCAAAGAAGGAAATGCCCCCTCGTCACCGATAGACTTGTACTGTCGTAGCTAATAATGATACCAAGCCCTGTGTGAAAGGTAGAGTAATAACCCCACCATGCCAACTCATCACGCATCGAGTAACTCTGTTTCTCCGGAAATACCTATGGCCAGTTCTGCACGACACACTGCCAAGGCCAATTATACCGGATTCTGCAGCGCGCCTCGAGATGCGGCAAATTCTGCGTTTACACATTTACCTGGGTATAGTACCTTAGGGTAACTCGGGAGGGGGGAAAGAGGTACTGCGGGCGGGGTAGCTCACTCACTCATCCTTTCCCGGGTTACTTGTATAGCTGGGAATCCTACCCTAAACATTCTGGATAAAACAATACCGTTAACACCCAACCTACAATCCCATGAGCGATCGAGCAATACTTTCAGAACGTTGGCCAGGGCGCGAGGGTAATGTTTAGTCTCCGGTCGATCGGCAAATTGCAGGCGGGGGAATCCGAAGCCCACACCCCGGCAGCGCCCTCGACTGGCAAACAGCCATGCCAGCGCATCGTGCTTTGCTTAACCCACCGGCGCCGATTCGGTTCCCGGCCAGAGTAACACTTTGCTTTCAATTTCGCACTTTGCGTTGCGTTGCTCCAAGGCCCGGCTTATGACTTGAATAGGTACATGCTGTCAGTAGGTGAGGTTTTTTCTGTGGCAATGGTTGTACACCCTGTAGTTGGTTATTGTTTGTACAGTGGTGAGGTGTACTTCATTGAGATTCGACAATTCGATCCTCTGTCAGTGTACTATCGAATCGCACATGTACGCGACCCGGTTTCTTTCAGTGCGTATCGGAATCGCAAAGTTTACCTTTTACCCGTCTGAGACAAAGCGATTTGTACCTGTGGCAGGTACCTTGACGGATCCACCTACTATTACAGTTCATCCATGAATCCATGATGTTATTTCTGTACAGTAGTCGCTCTAGACCGATTCCCATCTTGTAAAACCCAGTACCCTAGGATAGTGAATTAGCGCCGCGATGTGTTATTTTCTCAGAACCGGATGATTCAACCTTCCCCGTTGAGGTTTCTGCAGCGCATGAGAGTTTTCTTTATGTATCCCAATTTCACTTTCGCGCCTACACCTCCGGAATTGAAGTACTCGGTACCACTGGCATTTGCCTCTGTGCGCTGTCTCGATTGCAACCGTCCATGCCTTGTCCCCCCTGCCCACTTTGAATTTACGATGCGCTCTCTCCCTACCCTTGGCTCCCCTACCTATGGTACTACTGCTAGGAATGATAGCCCATTGATTGACGGAATCCTGGTATTCGCCGCCGAGGTACCGAGTACACCCTGGATGACAACACATTGAAGATGCCCCACCCGATTCCCCTGATAAAAACTGAAGGAAAAATTAATTTTGAAAGAATTGAGTACTCCGCGAAACGTATTTTCGGTCGTACGCACCGTATTTTCCGTGGGTTCTTTTGTTACCCTTGCACCATCCTTAAGCCTGCGTTCTCATCTTCTTCTCCCTCTCCTGCTCGCTCTTCTTCCTCTTGAGTCTAGACCACGCCCCCGGCGATAACAAAACACACAAAGAAGCTGAATCCTGACTCTGGTTGTTTGGGAGGACAACAGTCAGACTCACCCAATCGACGTCGACCGTGACGGGTTCACTGCTACACTTTGAGCAGTGGGGTCCGACAACGTTGGGCATCACCATCCGCATATCTGCCACGATTTGAATAGCTACGTCCGCTCAGCCCTACCCGAGCCAATTCAATGCTGTCCTAGCCGCTACTGCAAAATCGACAGTGGCAACGCCGCTTCCCGCGTGGCTGTGTTTTCATTCGGCTAGCCGAGATGTACTATATTCTTTACCTTGCAAGTATGTGTTCCTGCATCTCGCCTCGTCTTGCCTTGCCTCCTACCGGTGGAGCCGGTATGAGGCGGGTTTGTTTTGAGACATTCCTGCCTGGATGTCTGTGGTGCTTGTCAAGTTTGCACAATGACGGAGACCATTGCCGCCAAACCACAAATGAAATGACGAAACTAACAGCTGATTAGGCCTCTGCCGCCGCCGCCGCTGGCCAGAACCCTCCTACGAAGCCTACAACACACCTGCAGGGTACACCTGCGTCGTCCGGGTAAACAACCGCGAGTACCAGACCGACGCGGTATACGGCAGCGAGACTTTGGCGCGCGAAAGCGCCGCCATGCGCGCGTACCTCATCTGCCGCAATTTCTCGGTGAATGACGGCATGTATCCTGTCGGTCATGATCATGGCGGCGTCGTGCAGGGGATTCCTGTTGCCATTGGGACGGGGAGGAAGAGCAGTCGTGATGATTCAGATACTTCTACTGAGGGGAGTTGGAGTGGAAGTGGTGGGAGTTGGAGTGGGGGAGTTCGCCGGAAAGGATGGTTGGGGTTCAGAGGGAGGGGAAGATTAGTTTGAGAGTTGGGGGGGGAGAGGGTTTGATTCGGATTGCCCAAGTGGTGGTGGGTGGTGGAGGGGGTTATGATGATGATTTATGACTATGACTTATGATGCTGCACGTTTTGGCTATTTTTGGAGATAGATGAAAAGGTTCGGCTCAATGCTGATTTTGATTGGACTTGATTGAACTCGATTTGATGAATATTTGGATAGATGGATTGATGAGTTCGAAGACTCAATACTTGAAGTTTTGTGATTTGTCTGCATGTGGTGATCAGCGATTGATTATTGTGATTGTGTGGTCATTTGATTCAGATGTTACGAATACTCTTCCGATGAAATCTTGGTTTTATGCTAATGTCTGCTTTTCGGATAGATGGTGTAGAGACAGAGAATCTATGGAGATGGTGGTTGAAGATGGTTGGAGAAGCCATTCTTGCTCTGAACGTGATGGTATAGGTGTCGAAGGCCGTAGGTCAGCTGACTGATGTTCACAGATGGACTCAGCTTTGGTGCTTTAATATAGGGGAAGCACCGTTTACAAGTGTAATAGGATGATCAACTGTGTGTATCAAATGTTCGAATTTATATTATCCTCCATCACACGGTGACTGTTTCGAGTTCTCACACAGCTTGAGCGATCTCACAATAGCACAATTGTTTGCCTGGAATATGATGATGAAGTCAGCTGATGACTTTTATCACTGTTATCTACCTTATCGCATCACCGGCGTGGTGGCAGCCATGGTAATAACTTCGCTAGCTGTTGCAACCCATCACAATACCTTCAACCTTAGTTGTTCTTGAAGAACTACAAACTCCCCACGACAAACCTATTTCAACGGTGCTCTTAACAAATCACCTCCACCCATCAACGATCGCATCGGCACCGGCAGCCAATACTGTTTGGACACAGTCTCCGTCGACAACCGCACATCGAACAGAACTGCCAAGAACCGCCTCCAACGCAGTTCATATCGCGGCGCCTGCCGATCTTAGCCACGGTGGGTCCGACAAAGATTTCCTCTTCGGGCCTAGCGTTCCCTGATAGACCGCAGCAAAGATCCCTACTTCACCACCTCCAAACAATCTGAGAGGGTCATCCAACGATGGCGTTCGAGTCAGTGCTCGATGGCTTAGAACCGGCCAGTCATATCATCCCTGATGCCTAGGTTTGATGGTTCTGAAGTGCAATCAAGTGTGGGGAAACCGCCGTTGCCAGGACCAGCTTGAGACATATAAGGTAGTGCTTCCCGACCAGATTGCAATTCCATTCAACCCCTCTACATCGAACGATCTCTTCTTTAGTCTCTTTATTGGAATTTTACTTGAACCAGTTCATCATGGGCGACTACGAACCCGAACGCGTCCTCTCTGCTCCGGCATCCATGTGCAAGGACCCGCTGAACATCTCCAACGAGACCAGCGGCGTCCTCTACCACCAGCTCCGCCAGAAACCGCTCAACATCGTCGGCGGAAAGGGAAGCTACCTCATTTCCGACGAAGGCCTCGAGATTCTCGACGCCACCTGCGGCGCGGCAGTGTCCTGTCTGGGTCACAGCGATAAGCGCGTGCACGAGGCTATCATGGACCAGCTGCAGAAGATCCCGTACTGCTATTCGCTCTATTTTACGAATAGCGCTGCGGAGAATCTGTCCAGGATCCTGGTTGAGTCTACGGGTGGGAAGATGTCGAGGGTGTTCATTTCGAGTTCGGGTTTGTCTACTCCATCTTCTACGATGCTCAGACCTCCAGGAGAGCAATGCTAATGCTGAATTCGAATTAGGCACGGAAGCCGTCGAGGCATCCGTCAAAATGGCAATGCAGTATTTCAGGGAACTTCCAACCCCTCAACCGCAAAGGGTAAAGTTCATCTCGCGCAAGCAGTCTTATCACGGTAATACCCTCGGTTCACTGGCGGTGGGACACCATGTTGCGCGTAGGGCGATTTACGAGAGTATCCTGACGAAGAACGTTACTCATGTCTCGCAATGTTATCCCTACCGCGATATGAAAGCCGGCGAGAGTGTGGAGGCGTATATTGGTCGACTGGCGATGGAATTGGAAGATGAGTTCCAGAGGCTGGGGCCTGATACTGTTTGTGCTTTTGTCGCGGAGACGATGGCTGGTGCTGTGAGTATAACATTCCTACGAATAGTCAGGTTATGGCTGACACGAGCAGACACTAGGATGCCAGCCCGCACTCCCGGGCTACCTCAAAGCCATGAAAGAAGTCTGCGAGCGCCACGGCGCACTCTTCATCCTGGACGAAGTCATGTCTGGCATGGGACGGACGGGGACTCTACATGCCTGGGAGCAGGAGGGTGTTGTGCCAGATCTCCAGACTATCGCCAAGGGTCTGGGGGCCGGGTATGCTCCCATTGCCGGTCTTCTCGTCAATAAGCGTGTCGTCGATACTTTGACACGTGGTACGGGTGCCTTCGCTCATAGTCAGACGTACCAGGGTCACCCTGTTTCCTGCGCAGCTGCGTACAAGGTGCAGCAGATTATTCAGGAGGATAATCTCCTGCCAAATGTGAGGGTTATGGGCGAGTATCTTGGTTCGCTTCTTCGTGAGAAGTTGGGTGGACACCCTCATGTTGGAGATATTCGGGGGAGGGGACTTTTCTGGGCTGTAAGTGGTTCTTCGCCTATATTTTGAATTGCTGCTGATATTTTCTAGATGGAGTTTGTACGAAACAGAGAGACGAAGGAGTCGTATCCGCCTTCGCAGAAGATTGCGTGGACTTTGCATACGACTGGTCTCAAGCCTCAGCATGCTATCTCACTTATGCCTGGCAATGGTGGTGCAGATGGTGTTAATGGGGATCATATTTGTTTGGCGCCGCCGTATAATACTACCAAGGAGGAGATTGAGATGATTGTTGAGCGGACTGTCAATGTTATTCAGGAGGTTTTGGGATGAGGTGGATCGGACATCAACTCTTATTGAATACAAGCCTGTCGTTTGCACGAAGTCTAGTCTAGTAAAACAATTCTCTGTTGAGCAACCGAATTCGGGATTGCGAATATAACTAGCCTCCACAATATAGTCCATGTGATCAAGAAGCAAATCGAACAACATAAGGACAAGGCTCCTCCCCGAATCCCGCAATACTGTTCTCCTGGACCTTATTGACCCGATCGTTGGGCGCATTCCACATCCGATCGCCAGAGTCCCTGTTATACCTGGATCAGCTTCAAAGGCCCTCACGGTGCAAGTAAGCTCGACTCACATCATAAGTCCAACATGATGAATACTCTCACTATCGCTGCAGTCACACTCGCCTCCAAAAAAGACGGCATCACCCGCTTTGCGCTGGGAATACGGGTATTTCCTGCATCCAATGAGCCTCTTACATCTAATCTGGGCAGGTGTCATTTTGGTAGTGGAAGTACATACTTATATCCCAAAGTTTCTTCAGACGCACAGTACATAGAGGACGTCACCCGAAGGCCCTCAGTAAACAAATCCCGACCGGTTACTTTGCAGACGGCCCAGCAGACTAGGCCGGAGCAGTCGTAGCCTGTATCGCCGTATTCGTAGGGCGGTTGGTCGTGCGTCGGTCCGCTGCAGGAGCCGCCGCCCCAGGCGTAGGGTATGCCTTTGGCTGTCATTGCTGTTGAAAGGATTTTTGCGCCCACGTCTGCGGTTGTGTTGGTGTGGGGGATTGCGAGGGTGGTGGTGGTTAGGGTGGTTAAGAGGGTGGCGGTGGAGAGTTTCATTTTGAAGAAGTCAGGTTTGTGTTGGTGTTCGATAGTTGAATTGTTTTGCTCGTGCAATGTGTTGGATGTATCGTGAGGTTGGTGGCAGTCGCCGAGATATTTATGTCTCCAGTCACACCTAGAAGATATCGGTAAAGTGGTCGTGTAGGACACTTTGTTGCCAAGATATGTAACATCGTGTTCATATTTAGCAAGGTAAGGATATACATAAGCACGAAGGGGCAAAATAATCGTCTGAATAACCCAGCCCAGGTACCCTAGAGAACAAGACTGTATTGGCCAAGCAGCTCCGAGTGTCGTCAGGATCGATCTCTTTCCCGTCGTCAGAGAATACGACAGGGCAAATGCAAGAACCAATAATAGTTTACGAGGTGCGACACATGTTGAGCAGGTCCATCTCTTGATGTGTAGTAAAAGCAGGAATAAACATGGGTCCGTTGGAAGAGCTGTGACGATCGCATCTCAATGTTGAATCAAGGGGGTTTGAATACGAGAAGTGGAGGTCGAGATCTTCACCTGTAATCGGGGGGCGGAATTGCCATCTTAGAGTTGGAGATCGCCAGTCGTATTCTGACTATTTTTGGAATTGAATCTGTCGATGTTTTCTGGACCTTCTACCGGTTGAGTCTGAAAATGGAGGAAACTGCGCAATACTCCCAAAATCCATCAACCTCGACGTCATATGTATATTGAGCTCGAAACCAGCTTCGGGGTAATCATAATACACAATCGACTTGCTGTATTAGGAGAATTCCTTTGCCTTCAAATATATTCCCTACCTTACCTAGTGTGCTTTAGTCGGCACTTGAATCACGAGTTGGAAGCTCTCAAGTATACTTCTCGGTATCATGTGATCGGACTTGCGGATAGTGGGGGAACCGCGGGATCCAATCCCCACTGCTTATATTGCGATTCCACATCTCCTGCATATCCCACTTGATCTGCTGCTCTTCATCGTGTGAGCGGAATGCCCCGTGGGGAGCATTTCACCCGATCGCGTACCGGTACGAGTCCCATGCAGACTCGCCCACGATCTCTACTGACCCGACTCGCAGGATGTCTCCAGTGCCGAAAGAAGCACAACAAATGTGATGAACAGAAGCCAGAATGCTCTTTCTGCGCTACCCGGGAGCTGGATTGCCAGTATCCCTCCGGACTGAAATGGGTGCGCCGTGCACAGCCTACACTATCGAGGCATCGACCTCGCAGAGATGTGGTCAAGCCCGATAGTGCTGGGCTGCTCAACAGGCCTCTTTCCATCTTTCCCAATGCTTTGTTTCAATCTGATGAGGAGAAACTTGCATGGGAGTACTGTACGTGCTTGTCTATCCATAGGCATCGATCAACATTAACACCCTACTGCCAGACATGAGGATGGTATCCTCCAACGTCCCTGCCCTGGACGGACCCGACAATCCATACCGCCACCTCTCATGGACCGCCTTATCCTCACCAGTCCTCCTCGACACAATCGTCTGCATAGCCACAGAGCACATGCTAAACTTCGGCCTTGGAAGCGTGTCAACAGCAGCGCACCGCCAACAGCGAATGCTACGAACCATAGGACAAAATCTCCGACTCATCGAAGCAGGGAATGGCCGTGAAACGCTGGCAAGAAGCGTCGCACCAGCAAGCAACCGCGACCATGAAGCATTACTCACGGCAGTCGTCCTACAGGGAGTCGTCGTCGCCCAGTCGGAAGACGGAGTCCTCGAACCTCACATCAAATGCGCCTCGTACCTCATGGAGACGCTTGACTACTTCCGTCAAATTCCACACAGTGCCCTTACCCGGATGGCGGTGCAACGGTTTGCCATGGTCGACGTGATGTTGGCGATCGCCCGACAACGACGACCATATGCCCCTAACAACTTTATCTTGCACCAACCCGATTCGGCGCGGTGGGACATGACTGAGCCTTCCTTCCACGGGATGACGGGCTGTCCTCAGCCGTTAATGTGCTTCCTTGCGTGCATCGCCCATCTCGCATGTGACGTAGAAGAAAAATTGGAGCAGCGCGCGTCTATCAGCGATATCCTGACACAGGCATATCGGCTCGAGAACGATCTTCGTTCCTGGGGCTCCCCCTTATACGGGGATGGCCCTCGTGGGAGACTATGAACGGCCTCCACTGGACATTCTGACCGAATGCTTCTACTGGACCGCCCACCTTCTACTGGCGCGGCGCGTCTTCCGAGATCCAACTCGCTGTCGCCGCGTCCAACATCTCACGCAGACCTGTTTCGGCCTCATGGACCGTCTTTCAACCGGCTGTGGTCCTGACTCGTCTTTGCCACAGCCTTTCTATCTCGCTGCCCGGGAGGCAGTGACGTTGGAAGACCGGGCATGGGTGCGACAGAAGCATCAGTCGATGACCGAGTACTATCGGGAGCAGCAGCGCAACATGGCCATGCGACTCACCGAGCGGGTGTGGAAAATCACAGATGAATTGCAATTGGCGAATCCAGTTGAAGTGCACCCTAATCAAGCAGTGTCGAGTGCGGATAGGCAGATCAAAACCCTGGACGAGGGATCCTGTCTGTTCATATTTTGACTGGTACAGCGTTTCTAAATATATCTCGGGTGGCGATGGTGTTGCAGTGGAGCAGCAGAGAATGAAGTGAAAATAAGCTTGCATGACAATGTCATTATCTCATTGTTGCAGACTCAATACCTGTTTCTAGTGATACATAGGTCACTCAATGGCATCTTTACACTCTACTGTACACCAGTGTCCTGCAACATAGGTACTACTGCCAAAGTACTAGACCTGCCAAGCAAGAACCGGCGCTAGTCTTTACTCGGCAGGCGACCAGAACAGAAAGGATTCCCACGATTCCCACTCCCACCCGCTCGGAATTGTGGATTCAACTCTGTTTCCCACGAACAGACCCCTTGGTAGTGCCGGAAGGACCTGGTCTGGACTGTGCGGCGGCAAAAAGGGTGCCACAACGTAATTTTTTCTTGTTCCTGGCCCGGACCAGAAAATCAGCCGACCAAGCTACATCCGAGGCCACAACCCAAGACTGCTCGAAGACTCTTGATCGGATGTGACGGAAGACGCGACGGCGCACGGAGGCTCGACTGTGACGTGCGCAGGCAGAACAAGCCAAGTTTGATGCAGGCTGTTCTCGGTCCGATCGGGCCAATGGGACCTAGCAGCGACACGCACGGAACCCAAAGTACTTGTACACTACGAGTTGAGGCACTGGTCTGGGGAGATGTCAAACGGTGGCAGTGAGGAGAGTGTGTTACCCGCAGTCCGGGACTGAACTTGTCCAACCAAGTCTGGAATGACCTGTCATGCAGCCCACGCCAATCATAACGAGTGCCAGGGCGGGTACCTGAATGTGTCCCTCTTGTCCGCACACTCGGGGCACCGTGGGCCAGCAGTCAGGTGTACGCTCATTGGCCCACAATCCACAGAGGGGCCCTTGGCAACCGTGGGAAAACCAGCGGTGGCGCCCAGCGGAGCCGTGGCTGACGCATTCTCGAATCAGGAGCTTGCAGGACCCAGCAGAAGGGCATCACGCTGGACGGTGTGTGCGAAACGAGGAGGGGAAAACGCGAGGCGAAGAGGGGGGTTTCGATAGAGTGATGTGGCATACTCCGTCGAGATGGAGGGGACTTACGACTTGCAGTGTATCCGGGTCTCCGGCGTCTCGAGCCGGTGTTTCAGAACCCCGCGGATCTCATGTGCTGGATGCCGTTCGGGCGGCACTTGGTGACGATCAGGCCTGGATGGTCGAAACGGAGGGATGGGGTCGTCTCGTTCTGGTTCTCGGGACGCCACCGTGCCCGCTGGCATCTGCCATCAGTGCCTCGCACGAGGGACGGCCATTCCTCGACGGGTTTGGGTTTGGGTCTGGCTGATCCATGTCCCTCCGTGACACCGGTGGAGTGGGACAGGTCCGCTGTGCGATCTGGCGCCCAGTTGCGAGCAAGGAGGACGCATGCGAAGGCGACTTGTCCAGTGTCGGGGCCCCCGTGGATGGTGGGAGCGAATGCAAGCTGGATGCAGGGGCCGAACCAGGCCAACAGAGCCAGAGCAGATCGTCAACAACAGTAGACAGTAGACCAGACGACAAGACCAGACGACGAGATCAAGAATTCGCCACGAACCGGCTCGACCGCAAATCGACGATGAATAGTTCCCGCCCCACGAGTGTAGTCTAGGGCCTCGGGGACTGCAGTTCGGACGAGGACACTACAGAACATAGTCGTGGAGTCCCGCCGGGCCCTCCGCCTGAGTCAGCATCTCCTGATCTCGTCCCTCTTCGTCTGTCGCTCTCGTTCTCTTCCTCGTCTCCATCCCGTTCTTTTCTTTTGCCGACCAGGTCGTTCGTTTCACTCTTTCAACGGCGACCGTACCGCTCTTTCTATCCTTTCCCCAACCCCACCCTCCTTTCGCTTCACTCGAACCGGTTTCCCTCGCTCCCAACCGCGAAGGCCCCGTTTCTCATCCCGTTGATCGATTCAACCAGGCCTTGCGATCCCAACTCTCCGACCTTCAGTCCCTTCCCCCGACCAGGTCGATCGCTGGAATCAATTGCCCTTCTTTTTTGCTGCATAGGCCAGCCTTTTTATTTTTCCCCATCCACCTTCCTTTGCACGGGACGCTTCTGCGACGCGCCCTTACCACCCAACCCCTCGGTTTCTGTCCAGCATCGAACACGATTCGATCCGCCTCCCAGAGCCCCCTTTCATTCATTTGAACTATCCTCTCGCGCTTGACGCTGCTTCGAGAGACTAGGTTTTGGAAAGACTTTTGCGTCATTTCTACCACATCCCCAACTTGTCGGCCGGATCGTCACGCATCGAACCTTTTACCCTTTTCCATTCCAATTTCTATACGGCAACCGGAAGCAAATACGAACAGGAACATTCCACCCTGCGATTGTGAATAAGTGAATTGGCATATCCTCTGTGACCAATACAGTTGCATCGCCCCAAATGTCTTCAATGACAGAAACACCCGATCTGGGCGCGCACACCGCGGCCTCCTCTTCCTCGCCCCCGAACTCCACCCCGTCCCCGTCGACCTCGAGTGCGACCACCGCCAATTCCGCCTCGGCCTCGCGCCGCGCGCCGCGCAAGAGCACTTTGACGCAGCAGCAGAAGAATAACAAGCGCCAACGCGCAACTCAGGATCAGTTGGTCACTCTGGAGGTCGAGTTTAACAAGAACCCGACCCCGACTGCTGCGACAAGGGAACGGATTGCATCGGACATTAACATGACCGAGCGGTCAGTACAAATTTGGTTTCAGAACCGGTAAGTTCAAGGCGCTTGCGTCGCTAGCCCCAGAAATCCCTCAGGGGCATATATTAACCTGTTCCAAAGTCGCGCGAAAATTAAGATGCTTGCGAAGAAGAGCATTGAGACTGGCGAAGGCTGCGATTCGATCCCCGAGTCAATGCGCCATTACCTTGCGATGCAGTTCGATCCCACCAAGCCCGGAACCCGCGATCCCTTTGGCCGTTCAGCAGGATACGGAGGAGCCCCGAGCATGTATGCGAATGAGACTAACCCATCTGGCAAAGTTGGTGCGTATTTTCCCCGGACTCAAATCTCAATGCGACCACTAACAAATCGCTTCTAGTCATTTCGCACTTTACCTGCCGTTCCTTGACCATTGGTAACTGGCGACGTATTGGCCAGAATGCCATGGACCTAGTGGTTTTTTATTCTCCTGACAAGGCCTGCATGACATACTACATCAACAACGACTCCGCCGGCTACAAGATCGAGTACCCCTTCGCCCATATCAAGAACATCACATTAGAGACTGGAGACCCGAACCCTGGACCAAACGGCGCGCCGCCTCGCCCTGGCGGATTAGTGGTGGAACTCAACCGGCCACCGATGTTTTACATGGATTCCTCCAACTCTGGAGGGTTCTACCAATGCGGTGATTTCACTGAGGAGCAACAAGCCAGCCAGATCATGGTCCACCATCTGGGGGGCCATCCCAAGGTTTTGAGTGTCCAGCTCGCGAAGCTTGTCTCATTGGAGTCGTTCCAGAACCGTTTGGCGTACAACGGCAACAATAGCTTCGCCGTGCCCGCCCCACCCGCAGCCCCTACTGCGATGTCCCCCCCCTTCATCCAGCGCCCCGCCTCCCAGCCCAACCACTACGCCGCCCCAACCCCTTACTTGGGACTCTACCAGGACAATGGCCACTTGGGTTTCAATATGCCCGCTGCTGCTCGCGGACACAAGCGTCAGCGCAGTCGATCTGTTCCCGCGGCCGTCGATATTTCCGCCTTGCAGGCCCCCATGCCTCCGTTCCACATGCCGCAGACCCCCGCGCCCTTCAACCACACTGACCACGGCATCTATGCGCCCGTGCCACAGTCTGCGCACGGGCACGCTCTGCCGACCGATTTGCGCATCGAGACCGAGGGATACGGACTGGACTTCCGACCAAACCCAATGTCTGCGACGACCGCGGCTTCGCCATCCGACTTCGCCAGCCCATCAATGTTCAGCAGCGCTGCTCAGGGAGAGTCGACACCAGTAGCCAGCATGCCTCCTCAATTCAATGTTTCCTACGTGTCTGGAGGAGGTCCTTCCGATACGTCCACCGTGGGCTCGCATGCGCCGTCACCTTACTCTGGTGTCAGCCCAGCCGACCCCATGATTGCCAACCACTCTCCTCCCTTGTCGAACATGTCCCACGCTTCATCGGACATGTATGGATTCGCACATGACCAACAATCAGGCTTTGTCGAGGACGGACTTTCGATGAACGACATGTACCCCAAGCATAACGTGAACTACACCGTTTCGCACGATGCCCCCAGCTTCGAACTCCCGATGCACGGCATGCCTGGTCACGCCTCACCGGCGCTGGGCGACTACTCCCATGGCATGGTGAACCTCGACGAGATCAACTCTCAAGGTTTGCCGACAGGGTCTTGAACGCGGAGCTACGAAAACGAAGAACCTCTGTGCTGAAGAGATTGCGACTTTTTATTTCCCTTTTTTCATGTTTCACGGCCTTTGGAGTGCTTGCGGCGCTTGTGTTGATGGGTTCTTGGTTCCACCTCGGAGGTATTCCTTGTTGTCTGGGTCTGGGTCGAGCTGGCGCAAATGCGAATTGGCGCCAACGTCTGGCTTGGACAACGCGTCACGCTGGCGATGGCCGGGAAAGCAATTCCGACTGGACTTGTTGCTGTTTCTGTTTGCGTGACAATATATCCATTCTGTCTTCTGCGTTGTTGTATTAATACCCTTTCCATTCTGGGGCCGGTCCTAAGCGAGTTTTTTTTTTCCTGCTTTTTTCTTCGAGATTTGTTTACATGCCTTTCTCATGACTCATAGATTCCTGGATGTCCCGGTTGAATCTTTGAGTATTTGGTGAATCTTTTTGGATTCCTTTTTTTTTCTTCCCCGGCCAGCAAATTCAATTTGTTTTCTTCTTCGCCTTGATTTGCAGACCGGGCTTCAAGTTCTTTACGTGGTTATGCCAAACAGACCGACTTGGACGGCGACTCCCCCCTTGAATTTTCTTTTTTTCATGTCTGAGCTTTTATTTTAAGGGGGCATATCCGAATGTTCCCATTACCTTCGAGAAGGTTCTATGAGGACTTTTGAATAGCATCCCCCTTGTGTTTGTGATGGGTCTTTTTCGACCTGGGACTGGAGTCTGTCTGCGCGCATGAACTGTCCTGTCGGCACCTGTTTGTGTCTGACGTGAATAACCGGCGTTGCCTCTGGCTTTGACTCGGGAGAGTTGAGATATTCTCTGTCCGGTCTGCTAGATGCTGGAAGATAGCGCTGGTATTGACGGTACAGCTGTGGGAGGTTGATGCTAGGATCCGAATCTACTTTTTTTTTCTGTCAGGCATTTGAATTTTGTCCAGTGTAGAGGGTTTTAAGCTTCTAGTGTCTTGTGTAGTGTGGAAGACAGTACGACTAAGCAGTATACTTGTAGTCTTGGTGAAAGTGTCTTATACCTTGCGAATTTTGAGTTGATATGGGTGCTGACTCGTAGTGTGGCAAAGTAGCCTTGCTGTTCACAAGTGTTGATTCTGTGAGTGGAAAATGAAGAAAAAGAGAATTTAGTTGAAGCAAAGACAGTTTACAAGGTCAGCTTGCAAGACTTGATATTCAGGAGCGGATTTGGACAAATTCACATCGAGGATTTGGGTGAATACTTAGGATATAAGAGCATGTACCCCATGCCCTCTAAACACTTTTCAATCTTTGAACTTGTAAAATTCATTCGAATCTGAAGATTTCGAAGACGAGGGACTGTATCGGGAATATAAAAAGCCAATTTCTCGCAAATCAGAACTTCCACTTCCATCCATCTCTTCGATATACCCCACGGTCGTCTTTCGCCCCCAGTAGGACTATACAAGAGCAAATCGGAACTTGCACTGTTCATCCTAACCTCGAAATCCCCACCCAAGTCTACCCTTACCGCGTCACCGCATCAGGTGTTTCTCAGTGGAGAGTGACACGGGGATCACTCGTCACTCGCGGAGTGGCCAATGACTCTGCTTTTACTAACACGCATGCTTCGCAAATTACCGTCCCGTTCTCCTCATCCTGGAACAGCAGTGTGTTCGTACTGGCTGTGGTTTCATTGTCCCGATATGCTGAGGTCCGCACCGTTCGGTCTTCACTTACCGTACTTCGGGATAGGTCAATGGACGTTTTGGTACTAACGAAATCACTGGCGCGCCTGGATATTGCTCGTGCAGATATCGAGGGTTAGAGCTGGGGCGGTGACTGTGGTGACCGTGATTCTCATCGATACCCCGGATATGTTAAAGTACGCATTTCCTCTCACGCCGCGTGAGCATCCTTCGAGAAAAGGCCAATGAGCCTTCAACATCCCCGGAACACCAAATGATACTGCTCTGGTGTGCTACTCGTGCGGGCAACGTGGTATTGTTTCTTCATGATCCCCGATATGCTTAAGTACGCTTTAATCCTCGTCGCCCATGGTCGCACTTTGGAACAGGCCCAAGAGCCCCAAACTGACCAGGAAAACAACAACAGCAATGCGCCCATATTCCGCATTCGGGGCCTTGTGATTGATAGACGAATCGAAATGAAGATATTCTCATCACTTTCAAGCACAACCAAGATTGTAACTCCTAAAATTCATATGCGGGTCAGCTCGTAGCCATTTTATAGCTCAATAAGTTCGAGTCAACAAAACTCGGCGGTTTTCTGCATAACTATGCAGCATAGGGGTATAATCTATGTCCATCCCGATACATAGTACAAGGCAATAGAATTAGTCCATGCAGAAAATTCTTACAATCCGGGTTATTCAGGGCTCCATCTACGAATCCCACCCTTTGGGTTTCGGCGCCGTATACCCCCTCCCTCGCAAGAACGCCTCAATCCAAACCTCCATCTTCTCAAGGATATTGCGCTCCGGCTTCCCAGCCTCACCGGGCTCAAACACGCCCTCCTTGCACCAAACACTCCACGACCCCATCAGCTGCGCCATGATAACATCCGTCCCGAGTCGGTCTCCCACCACCGCAATCTCATCGGCAGAATTGACAACCTCTCGCTCTCGGAACCATTGTACAACCTCATCGCCACAGAATGGCTTTTTCTCTGTGCCTGCTGGCAGACGGAACACGGGTATTGAGAGGTGGGAGAGCTGGGACTCGAGGGATGAGACCTCGTCTTCGTATTTGGGGTGGCTGCCGGCGCGATTGGAGACGATGAGGATGCTGTTGATATTTTTGAAGGGGGATGTTGGTGATTGTCGGAGTGAGGCGAGTTTGGAGAGAATTTGCGGTGGGAAAGTGGTTGTTTTGGGCGGGCAGAGGGTGTTATCTTTGTCGAGGACTAGGGCGCGGATTGTAGGGATTCTAGGAGGAGTCGCCTTTTCGGAGGATGTTTTTGGGATGCTGGCATTTGCGCCGACAAGATGTGGTCCTAAGTCCTCGGGAAGATGCGTAAAAGTCGGGATCGTGAGGTGTGGGAGGAATTGCGAGGGTTGTTTGGCGAGGGTCTGGACGGCGTGGTTGAATGCGCGGAGATTGGAATTTGGGGGCCCAGCCATTGTGCCGGTGCTTGTGAGATAAGAGACGGAGCCTGGGTCGTAGCGGAGGCTTGCGGAGGCTTACAGCGCCTGTGGTGGTTGTATGGGTGCCTGACTTTGGCGGTGGTGAAGTGAAGTAGAAGGAGGGAGTGCCGTCGGTGCCTCCAAGGCCGCCTTGGCCCAAAGCGGAATGGAGAAGCTCTGCCGCAAAACTCACCTCGCGACCTCCGCTCAGTCGTGCTTGTTCCACTTCACCACCTCGTCGCGCTCATTCTTCTCTTCCCACCATCCGCCCCCTCATCCTCTGCTCACACTATCCCGATACCTTCTCCCACCAGATCGATTACCTTTTCTCCATCTTGCGCCCACCACCGCCAGGATGGGCAAGACAACTTCCACGATCGGCGTCCCGATCAAGCTTCTTCATGAAGCTCAGGTATGTTGACCGTCCCTTAGCCACCCCCACCCGGTCATCGGGAAGACGAGCACGGCACACAGAGAATACACTGCTGGTGCGATGCACTGTCTTATGATCGCTGATCGCTGACTTGCTCACAGGGCCACATCGTTACCGTCGAAATTAACACCGGCGACACCTACCGTGGCAAGCTCATTGAGTGTACGATGCTCCCCTCCATTCCTTCCTCGTCTGCGCGGCCGTCTTAACCAGAATTCGAATCCATGCCTCGCGATTCGACACCCGCAGACATTCTTGAATCATTACTGACCAAATTTCTCGCAGCCGAGGACGCCATGAACGTCCAGCTCAAGGACGTCTCCCTGACCGCTCGCAATGGCAAGGTTTCGCACCTCGACGAGATCTATATCCGGGGCTCTAATGTGGTCTTTTTCATCATTCCCGACATGTTACGGTATGCCCCCTTCACTTGTGGTCGTCATTTGCGACAGGCCCAAGAGCCGCAGACTGACCAGGAAACCGCCAACAGCAATGCACCTATGTTCCGCGCTCGCGGACAGCGTGGCCGCGGTGTCGGTTTGGCCCGTGGCCGGGCTACGGTCCAGCGTGCCCGTGGTGGCCGCCGTGGTTAAACCAGCAGAACGGATTTCGGACGGTGCGCACCGGCAAGACTCGATTTTACAGTGGGCGGCGTTTATATTCGACATTTTCTTTTTTTGCGGGGTTTCACAATGGTTCTGGAGAAAATTCCCTCGCTTCTTCCGTCTTGCTGGAGTGACTCCTCTTCGGTGTTGAGTTTGTGCCAGCAAGTGGAGGAGCTGGTTGATAGTCGGTCCGAACGATTACGTGGGCCTTGACTTTTTTGTTTCTCTTTTTTGCGGGTTCTTCAAGGGTGTGGGCAATCCCCCTGGTTTGTTTGTTCCGTCTTGCTGGCTGAAGCATCGTCCATGCGACGTATTTCAAATCATGGATGAACATTTCAAAGCCGCTTTTCCATCCTCGTAAAGCTTGTAGAAGAAGAAGTAGTAGGGCTTGCTGTCTGTATAGTATGCGCGAAGACCGTACTAGCACGTAGCTTGGCATATACCTGCCAGTACAAGCGACTAACTAGAGAGGAAATGCCAGCAATTGAAACGAAATATACTGCCGAGCCCCTCAAAAGCAATACATACCTCGGTATTCAGCAATTTCTACAAACTAGACAACTGTTGGAATGTAGTGCCTGACAATCGCATATCAGCATCGCGCATTTGATCTCCGCAACTTTTTTCGATGCGGGGACACCAACACTTCCTCCGCAACACCTCCGTCACAACCACCACCAACCACCTCTCACGAGACACCGCGAACCCAGCATTGGAGCAGCCCAGAAAATACTCCTGGCAAACAAATCCACCGACCGAGTCGACTCTCCCCCAACTAATCCACCACAATGACCGACGCACCCCCGCCAGACCCCTCCAAACCAACCCCGAAGAACATCCCCAACCCCCGACGCCTCCTAATTCTCACCCCACCCTCACAATCGCCCTCAATAATCCCACCACTGCTACAAACACTGACCGGAGTCCCCGTCACCGACCCACCACAGCAAACCGAATCCAGACCCGGCCCCAGCCCCGAGGGTAGCACCCCGCTTACCACGGTGCAAATCTCGTTCGCAGGCTACACAACCCACAGCCCACTCCCCCTCTCAACAAAATACTACAAAGCAGAGATTCCCCTCTGGGTAGACGAGGTCCCGCTTGCCAGCGATACGCCGCGCAAAGCCGAGGACGGAAGTATCGCCCCGCCTGGCGCGTGGAAGACGGAGTTCCTGAGCGAGGAGGCGGGGATTGTGAGGAGGCTGTGGGGGCTCTCGTTGTTGCTGTTCAGGCGCCTGATGCTGCTCAGACAGATCCTGCGGGTACTGGGGTAGCGCAACGTAAGGATGTCCTGGAGCTCAAAGAGCTTATGGGTGATGTTGGTGCTGTGAAGAGTTGTATCGATGAGGAGAGGGGTGGGATGGATGTTCCCGGAATTTTTGTCCTTGTTGGGTCTAAGAATGCGGGTGTGAAGAAGGCGCCTGTGAATGCTTCTTCTGGTGAGGACGATGGGCTTGATCTGGGCGTTGAGGAGATTGGGCAGGATGCGGATGAGCCGCTTTCTGTGGGGTGGTGGGAGGACCAGCTTTTTGATATGGGGCTGTTTGGGTGGGAGGTTGTTGAGTGGGATCCGGCAGGTGAGGAGGAGGTGACGAGGAATAAATTTGGTGGTATGTTTCACTTCCTTCTGCGATGATTTTTATTTTTTGGGGAAGGGATGATGCGTCCAATGCTAACGACACCAGAATACGAAGGAATGCCCCGCATCAAAGAAGTCCTGGAAACGCACGACTGGAGCGGATCAGGCGACGACGACTTCGAACTCGACGAAGACCTCGAGACAGAGTTGCTAGGCCTGGATCGACAAGGCAGCACGCGGGGCTTCGGGGAAGAAGTTCACGAGCTGGAACGGGAGATGCTGGGGTTGCGGATGGCTATTGAGCGCAGTGGAGGGGATGGTGAGCGTGAGGATGAGCAGGGGAATGAGGAGGATCAAATTGAGTCTATTGAGACGCTTATTATGCGGATGCAATCTTTGCGAGGTATGTTTTGCTCTTTCTGGGATTACCTCCTGCGATTGCTTTTGGCCGGCTGGATTTGATGAACTGACGGAACTAGATATGGGGTCTGAGTTGCCGGCAAATGAGCGGAGGAAGTTTGCCGCGAAGGCTGTGCAGGATATTATGCGGGAGCTTTGATGTGCTTGCTATATACCCTAATGCGATCAGGTTTGCTCTATCACGTCCTTCTAGTCATGGCCTGACATGGCGGATGTGGCTTTTTTGTAGGATACGAGTAGCAGAAGACATGAGTCAAATACCGGAATCAGTTCAAGGACATTGTCTTTTATCCTGTACATTTAAAAAGATCAACGCAGTCAAGGTTTGGACAATAATTTCATTTGAAAATTGTCTAAGAATATCATAAGAATAGGTAAAGAATAGGCTAAGAATATGTTGATAACAACCCCGAGTCCAGCGGCTCGCCCATTGTCCCACTAAATTAAATTACAATGGTGCAGTCGACTCACCTTCGTCCCTACCACCCCATACAAGCCCATCTTACAATACCGTGAGTCACATCCACACTCTTTCCACTCCTAGAACCGCCTAATCGGCCCGCTTCTTCCCCCGCAAAACCTTCCGGCGCTGCGCAATCATGTGTGTGTAGAGGACATAAGAACCTAGTAATCCTCAGCATCAGAACCAAAACCCTCATCATCGGAATCCTCATCATCAGACTCCTCGTCATAGTCATATTCACATTGTTCCTGGAAATACACCCACATAACCTTCGCATAGGGAACGAACTTACCAGGCACATAAATAACCAAGACCGCAATCAGGAAATACTTGAAAAGCGGATCGATGGCGCCAGCCGGACCAAGCGCAAGGAAGATCAGCGCACACTCACTCGAGATGCCAACCGGGTACAGCACATAGAATGTGTTGTAGCGCAACCAAGTCCAGAATTCAGGAACAGCGTTACCGGAAAGCGTAATCGAGAAAAATCCGTACCGAATGATCTCCGTGACTCCCCACGCCAACACACAGCCCAGGTACGCGAAGTCGCCGAGGCCCGGCTCAGAGCCGCCGACAATCTCCCCACCGAACGGAGTCATGATGCCCCAAACCAGCAGCAGGCGCGAGGCAACTTGCATGGTCGTTGTGATGAGGGGCGCGCGGACGAGGCCGGTCAGGCTATGGAGCACTTCGGCGAAGGCGAGCGATTGGGTGATGACCAGGAGCGGGCTGGTTTTCGGGAAGATCGTGTGCACATTGTCGGTTTCGATTGCGTCAGGGAGGAGGCGGAAGGTTACGACGACGCAGATGAACCAGAAGATTAGGTTGGCTGTGTTGTAGAACCAGAGGTAGGCGCGGGTTAGGTTGGCCATTTTGGCTGTTGTAGTGAGCGCGGAGAATGTGAGTGCGGGCTGTGGTGAAGGGGAGGCTGTTGAGGAGAACGCGCCCTTCCGTCGTGAATTGGACTGGGTTAGCGACAGCGAGCGGACGCGGATTGCTGGGCGGCGTGAAGCTCAACAAAAAAGGGACCTCGGATGATGACATAAGCGTTCCAGAAGGGTGGTCGAAGCTTGTCATGAACCAGTATTACTTCTTAAGTATTCGTCGGTATGTCTTTTAATTGCAGTGTACTTTTGAATCGAGATTTCTAAGTTTGGATTAAAATTAGAATCTTCTTTTCTCTGGCTTATTTGTTTGCCTGAGATGCATGACCGTCGAATGCCCAACGAGCTGGTGACGGGCTGACAAGTGGTAAACTACGAGTCCGCTGCCCAAATGTTTTCTACTAGTACATTTACTAAGTAGCCATCTATGGTAGTAGTGAGACAAATTGCTATCTTCCTGTCTTAACAAGTTGTTAAGGTCATCCACAATAGTGGACTCTCGTGCTGGTCTAGGCCCGAATTGGACGAACCTAACTGGAATGCGCCAATTTGGCTGGTCAGCCCAGGATCGTGGCTGACGACCAAACGGATGGCTTCCGTGCTCGCCCAGCCGCCATGCCTGCAGAAGTCGAGGGGTCAAGTCCGAGTTCCACAGGCTGTCACCTCGTATCGTGGATGCAGTGGGGTTTAAACGAGTAGAGCCAACTTGATTACTCCATCCGTCACAATGGGAAGTCGGACGGCTGGTTTGTTTGGGTGCTAAAAGGTTTTGTGGGGTAGTGTCGGTTGATTATCTTATTTTACTTTTAACATGCCCTAGCCCTGGACGTGGAAACATCGATTTGAGGCTCTACTAAGTACCCCTTGTTGTATACACTGTATATCGGTGGTTCGCCGCACTATTATAGAGTCTTAAACTAGGCCGTCCCTGATACGTGCCGAGCGCAGTGCGTGTGTGACGGAATTTGCGAGGCTCTTCCAGTCGCACACCAGTTTCTGCGGCCACCACGTCGCACCGGGTGATGCAGCCTGACATCATGGCGCCCCGATGATGTCGGGCTGCAGCGAGGTGACTAGAGCCGACGGTCGGATCATGAATGCGGTCAGTATGGTGTACTTATAGAATAAACTACTACATGGTGTACTACTCTATTTACTATATATTACTCTACTTACTCCCTAGTACTTACAGTATATCTATACTGTGCAATAGTATTTTGTACGGTGAAGGAATGACATCAGAGGCTGAACTACACGATGACATCATGGCGCACATAACCTGCGCTGATTGGTGGACCCAGGCCGCGGGTCACCACCTCCGAAAAAAGCAGGGGCATCTCGCACGCCGCCTGCCAAATGCCCTCGCTATATAAACAACCGCCAGCAGCAGCGGGCGCGAGAGCTCAGCACAGCGCTCACAGAGACTGATGTCGTGCAGAATTCCCCGCCAAATTGCCCCCGGGTTCACTGGAGCTGCGCCGAACGAGGATGTCCCAGGAACAAGAAAAAGAAACGGGCCAGTCGCCAGCCCCCGCCAGCGTCATCGGTGACAGCATCGTTGCGAGCCCCAGCAGCACATACCAACGCAGACCAGCACAATAATACCTGGCATGGACTAGCCGGCAGCGGCATCACCACAAACCAGACCACTGGCAGCGCTGAACCCTAACAAACTGCAACCTGCATCGACAGAGAACAGGCACGGATCTTCGAGGGCCCAGACCATTGGTTCAGGCCCGGTTGCGGCGGTCCTACTCCATTTGTTGGTTGGCCTCTTGTGCCTTCTGATTCAACGGGTATGAGGGCCGCTCGCTTCGACGCTGCCGAGTACGGGTGTTTCCTTACTTTTTCTGCAGCTCACCAGCACAGTTGCCCCAGTTCTGAGATTTTCGTGTCCTTGTGTCCTCTTTCCGGCACCTGACCTGGACATCCGGACTCTAATTCACACTCAGACTGATTTTCGTCGACAGCATTCACTACAATACTAATGTCATCCACGGTTCTTGACGTCCTACCGCTGATGGATCGGCGCCCCGATGATGTCGTTTTGCGGCTGCCCCGCCGCGTTGTGTGCTAACGTGTCTTTCTTCTTCTCTGCTGGGCCCCCACCAGGTACTGTTTTAGTACACCCACAGAGATAACCCACCGTGTCTCTGTGGTATCTGGCAGGCACCGAGGGGGTTGGGACCATTGCGGTTGTGCGCCTGGTTCGGTTCTCCGTAGGGCAGCGGCCGATGACCTCACATCATGGGAGTGGAGCGAGACCCGGGGGAATGGGTGTTGCTTTTTTTTTTTTTTTTGTTTCTCGTGGTCCACTGCGTGATTTACAGCAGAGGATGCCGGTGAAAACGTGGGAACTTATGAGAGAGCGTCAGTTGCAGTGGTCAGGAGAGCACGCGACTTGACTCTTGAGGAAATGGTAGGGGCCCTTGGAACGGGGGCATCATGACGCAGTTCCGATGACCAGCGAAATTCCATAGAACAGCACCACCACTTATTCGCACTACGCGCCCATTTGCAATATCCTTCGCAACTTGAATATCTGCTATCTGCATGTAAAATGTAATTGTAAAAATAGCTCGAGATCGTCCGCTCGCTCTGCGCTGGGGCATCAAATTTTTTCGGGGACACCCTCCACTTGTTCCCCCCGAGTGCCGCGATGCTTACCCACATCCTTCTCCGCCCCTTTCCAATTCTCATCTTTCCTCTTCCTCCTCCCTCTTGACCTGCTGCTCCCCCCGCGCTGAAGCCCTGCAGCTTCCCGCCATCTCCCAAAAGTGTGAGTGCCTTTGGGCAATCGCTGTCGCGAGTAATTTTGCCCTCCATACCTGCCCCTCCCCCTCTAAGCGGTTGGCTTTCCCGACGCTCAGCCCGCGACCTCTACCCGCAAGCCTGATTGATCTGCCCTGCATATGTTCTGCTGTTCTGCTTGACTTTGTGGTTTATTTTTGGGATTCTTTTTTTCTTACTTTCCTCTTTTTTTTTCTATTTTCTCTTGCCTCTGTGTCTCCTGTGTTCTCCGAGTGGACCCCATCGAAAACCCCGCCGTCTCGAGTACCGAGTCGAGTAGATGCGCCACTGCTTCTTCCCCTCTGATCTCCTCTACCACAACCTCGTGTGTATTTGCCTCACTTGGTAGGCCATTGTTGCAGCTCCAGCCCCCCGGTTGGTCATCCCTCTGCCCCAGTGACGGCTCTTATCCCCTGACGTGCGCGTGGAAGCCCCCACCATTTCTGGCCTGTCAAGATCTGATCGGTCCCCTTTTTCACCCCTTGTTCTTCCTCTGCTTTGTTCTCTTCTCAGCCTGTTCCAGCACCGCTTCTTCTTGTAATTCACATTCTGCCCCGGCTTTTGTAAGGCGTCTCCAGCGTTCTGCAGTTTATGTTCTTGTTTAATGGAGGGGTTCGGGACATCCCACTTCGCTTGACATCACATCACATCCCACGTGTTTGATACATTTGCTCTGACCATCCTTCGCCTTCACCACACACGACGATCTGCACAATGTGGACATCATGAAACGGTGCTAACCTCCTCTCGCAGATCCCATCAGTTCTCGATTTGACGGCTAGATCGGGTAACCGGTGCTCCAAGCAAATCCGCGCGGGTGATTCAGGTTGAACCAAGCACCCTTTCCTAGTCCCCCTCAGTACACGCAGAGATGGCCCCGATGGACCCTAAGAAGGCGGAGCAGCCCGTACGTATTCGCACTGGCACTGGCACTGGCAATATAGCTAGTCGTTGCGAGCTCACTATCGAAATGCGGGGAATGTTGGCTAACGGGAGCCGCAGGCGGGCCCGCCTAAACTCTCCGATGTAAAGGAACTCATCGACGAGAGCACATTCGATCAGATCCTGGAAATGGATGATGACGACGACCGCGATTTCAGCAAGGGTATTGTCTACGGCTTCTTCGACCAGGCCCAGACTACTTTTACCAAGATCGAGAAGGCGATGTAGGTCATCACCCTCTGTAACCCAAAGTAAAAATACTCACATCAAACAGCGAGGAGAAGAAGCTGGAGGAACTCTCACAGCTGGGCCACTTCCTGAAGGGATCATCCGCCACCCTGGGCCTCACAAACGTCAAGGATGGATGCGAAAAGATCCAGCACTTCGGCGCCGGAAAGGATGAATCCGGCACCGCCGATGAGCCGGATGAGAGCGTCTCCCTCAAGAATATTGACAAGACCCTGAAGGAAGTGAAGGTCGAATACGCCAAGGTCGAGAAGTTCCTGCGCCGATTCTACGGCGAGGAAGTGAAGGAGGAGCCGGTGCCTAAGGAAGAGAAGGACGTGGAGAAGAAGGATGAGGAGAAGAAGGAGAAAGAGAGCGAGAATAAGCAAGATAAGAAGGAAGAGAAGAAGGAGGAGAAGAAGGACGACTCGAAGAAATAAGTGCCCTGCTACAGCAGTACCTGGGTATGGTACAGCCAATTCAGGGTTTCATGATTCATCCAAGAAGGCGAGGCGATAACCATTTCTTGCTCTACCTTTTTATATCTTTTTTAGCGACGGATGGAGCATTGCAATGGCCTCTCTTTATGACTTTCTTCTTCCTGAGTTTTCGTTCCGGTCTTTGAGTCGCGGTTCGCAAGTACATACACCAAACCCCCTCGCCACAGCAACAACAGGCTTTTTTCCCATCCACGACTGCTTCATCATGCGACTTCAGCTTCTTCCACCGGATGACCAGATACACACCCCTGTCTTGGGACTTGCGGTGAGCAGATCTGACATCGTCCGTCTAATGGCTTTCGACACGACAGTATATCCGATCCCTCTAGTCGGGGGTGAGTACAATCAGTACGTATGAATGAACAATTTTTACTCTATAGTATTCAATACCAGGCAGAGGTGAGAATAGTGTAGCGTTTCCATTCCAAAGGTCACTTACGATATATTTTGTTTTATCTTGAGGTGAACCTTGCGATATTTAGCGCGCAATAATGCATTCCCAACAGCTTTGGATATGTACGCACCCATAGACTGCGCCTGATGGTCAGAGAATACACATGGGATCGGTGATCTGTCGGGCGCTCGCTAGTTGGGAAACCGAGTGTTCTTTGTTCCATTATTTCTTGTTCCATGATTGCTTCTCGGTTGAGCTTCGGCGACTTGGTAGCATTGAAATATTGTAGGAGGGTTCTTTGTCCAGAGAAAAATGATGAGCGGGGGAAATGAACTGTGTAGTCTTGTACTTCGGCCCAGGTTGACTTTTGATAATGGGATCAGTTGTTATATCCCAGACTCCCCTATCGATCATTCGGACAGACTTTCCTGCAGCGACCGATGATATTCCAGATAGGCCATGGCCCATACGCAAAAAAAACAAAACTGGCCGGAGTGGGTATTGAAAGCGGTCTTACTATATGCATAGTCGACCTCTAGGCGCACCAGCCAGTAACTGTTGGCAGGGTCCGCCTTCCAAAATACAGCTTGGCCCAGGACACTGATCATGTTAATTACCGGTTCTATGTGCTTCAACGGATAGTTGTATTCACTGCCGCGGAGTTGAGTTGCATGTATTGGTGGACTATGTGAAACCCCCTGCCGCCGCTGGGAACCCATTTGGTCTTTGCAGACCACGAGGACAGGCATCGTGTGATTATACCAGATTCCTCCATGGTACGAAGATGTTCTCGCTGCCAGTCGACCTCCTGCGTGTACCGTTTGATGCCAGCTGGCTTCGGGATGATGTTCGGATACGTGGGAATACGGTGCTTGACAAATGTTGTTTCTGGCATCTCGCATACCTCCTCCAACTTTGCTTTCGGAATTGCCGTCAGAGGGTGGATTTCCCTTGGCGGCTTCCGTCAGTTCCCCGCAATAATGTAGTTCACATCCCAGTCAAATTTCTCGCAAACAACACGAGAATATAAAACATGAGTCCGAGCTGGGTTAAGGCAAGATCCAACTGCCAGCGCCGGATAGATCTCCGAAAAATGCGGTAGGATCCACCTCGTCCAAATCGGAATGGCGCGCGATCCATTGGTGGCGTTAAAGCTTCTTCAGCCACTCATGTATGGCTGTGGCTAGATCGGTCGATTACATGTGCTTGCTCTGAAACGTTGTTATGCTCAAGGTTTGGCGGTGCAGCTTGGCTTTTCTCTTACGCTTTGCGAGTGGTGTATCGTAATACCCCGTAGATGCCACATTATTTTCAGCCCGGAGGGACTTGAATGAGGGCAATGGGCGGTTCTTAGGATGATCAGGGAGCACTGTGGGAATATGCCCGATGAAATGACGGCGGTCGCATAGGTTAAGATAGAGTATCGGTGAATGAGACAATTCGAGGTTAGCGTATTCTTAACTTTCTCATTATGAAACAGCGCCCCTTCCCCTCCAGCTCAGCTTTCAGCAGTCAATTGTTTCTTCGCAGAGTATGATTCGAGGTATTTCCAAAAGGCGTCATCGGTAAACATTGAATGGAATGATATGGGCCGCTTCTAGGCCGAGTTACAGGTGGCCAGCTAGAATGCATTCATCGTCATCCCGCTTGTAGTCGAAGATTGCGAGAACACCCTGTGTCATGGGTAGTGTTCGGTGAAGAGGTTTGAACCCCTCTGTACGTCTTTGTTGCTTCGTCGTGGCTACTTGGTCCTGAGGAGGGACTGCCTATCCTGAGGTTGGCGAGCCCTCCGCGATCGGCAAGGTCGATACATTTTCGTTGCGCATAATCGAAGCCAGTCAAATCTGCGCGTAGGATCTGCCTTGAATTCAGATTGAATTTTTTGATCAATGCGTGGGTTAAGTCCAGTCCAGCATGATGATTTTCCAGAATTGGTACTGTTCATTGGCTTATAGCCAGAACTTGACCTTTGGTTTCTAATGAATACAGTCTCATAAGAACTGGAAGGCTCCACAGGCATAATAATTGAAGCCAGGATGAGAGCACCAATAGTGAGATACTAAGAGCATATATTTCTCAAAGCGGATCTTCGCAAAAGTCCCGAACGCGGATTTTGCGGTCTGATTGATCGTTGCTTCGCCGGTCTAGCAGTCCTCGTCGGATCGGCCCGTTGACGAGAAAACCTCGAATTTAATCTTGTGCGCTCCCATCAGCGTCTTCAAGGATCGTGGCACGCTTTCATGGCTAAGCTGGCATCTCGCCTATATTTTTGGAGAATACTCACAGGTATTTTCTCGTTCTAGACCGTCTGCCCTCCAAGATACTCTCACCTGAAGGAAAATGATTCCGTTTATTGTTGTTAGCAAAGCTCTCAAAGTCGAAAAGATTTTGCATCTCTCGAATGGATGACGGGAGTCAATGCAAGCAACATAAGGAAAGTCAGTATTTGGGCAACTTTGTGTCAGATGAAGAAGAAAGCGGAGTATTTGTCGAGGTCTGCTGCGGATCTCCCAATAGAAGCCGTGACATGCAGATGACAGGAGAGTGGTTAACCTCATCTCGTTTCCCAAGCATTCGCCTGGCTACATCCATCCTCCCGCATTTTCTGAACTTCAATTTATTTCCATTGTGTCATGACTAGCAACTTTTGTCATGTCGCCATGTTTGACTGGGTTTTGGTGCCAGTGGCGTCCGTCAATTCTTAAAGGGCAAGATGGAGGGAATGAACCTAACACTCTCTCACGACTGGCAGCAACAGACTTCTGACAACATGCCTCGCTATCTGGAATTATGATCCACATCGAGCGCGGCATAGCTCTCAATGCGTGCTATATCGCCAGGTTCGACGGGCTGATAGGGGCCGAGTGTCCCTAAAGTAAGAGTCTTCCCATTGCCAGAAAGGCAGCATCAAAGCCTCTTTGTTCCGAAAGGCTTGAAAATTTGCGGCTGCAATCGAATTCGGGCGGGCAAGCACGACCACATATGTGAAGGGAAAAGAGACATTCCTTAAAGACAGAACCATCCACCTAGATGTCTCATCTGGAGATAGCAATATTGACCAAAACCGCAATTAAAGCAGCCTTGTAGGCATTCCTGGGAGCCGGTTCGACTGCTCAGTATCTGCATGCATTTTCAGCCTCAAAAAAGCCTTGCTAGTCATGATGCGCTACTATATCCTGCATATCTCGTCGATTCGTCGAATGGGATAGTTCTATTCGACAATCACGTTCTTTAGCTGGCAGTAAGTGTGGACTATTCGTAGCCCCTCAGCTTTTATCCTGTGAAGCTACCAAGCCTTCGCTAACCAGGATGATTGACATTGTTGATCCTAGCACGCGCCGTCGCTTGTACGTTTTCTTCCTGTCATGTCAACTCTTGTTGCCTGTCTGATAACGTGGGCGAGTCGCGAGCCACATTTGGGTAAGTTGGGATATGATGGGTGATGACCAGGAGGGTTTTCGGTGTGCTCGAGTTTTCATGGACATCTTTCCATGTCCACAGCACCGATGCCGCTATCTCCAATTCCATGGTTCCCATCTTGATCAATGGTCCGATCCGAAACACAAGGAGCACCCGTCTTGTGAATGTCAGGGACTGGGAAAGCTTAGCAGTTTACCAACTGCCATGTAGTGTGCCAGCACAGGTAGAGCAGAAATAGACCGGGCATTCCGTAAAACGTAACCCTTGTACGTTGGAAACCATAGCACGCTCTGTGACTAGATAACAACACATGGGCTCGCTGCGGGTCTGCCATTGCGGTTTTTCGTTTTTTGTCCGGATCCCATTCAAAATCTCCAGGGGCGTCTGCGTCAGGCTTAATCGCGATTGCTGCAAACAGCCAGGCGTGCGACAACATCACGTGTGAGGGCTTCAGAAACTGAGGCTCAACTCGATGTTATCGTAGGACTTTAATTGTCTGTCAATCCATTTTCATGACCAATTCAGCCTGGTTGAGTGCCTGTTCGCCAGTCCTGTTGAGTCCGTTCCTGTCCTTGTTCAAGGCAAAGAGCATGCACCCCTCAAATTAGACGACATATTCAAAATACTTCGGCGTGCCTTTTGTGTCTCCTTGGTTTCAGGAGGCAGCTCAAGTATTGATCTGCGTCATGGATAGGCAGGTCTGTTGACTCGCTTCTCGGATTAAAGTTATATTGTTTGACAGCGGAGGTTCATCTCAGTGAAGCCACACCCCCATGCTTGAACTAATAAGTGGGTAGGAGTAATATCATCTCACAGGAGAAACAACATCTCTGAAAACAGTCGCTCGAGGGCATCGCATAGCCCAAAACCTCGGTATTCTCATTTTTGGCATTCCGCTGTTTTTTCTCTCCTAAGCACCTCGGAAAACCCGGAAGACTTCGCTGAGTCTTATCTTGTATGGCCCTCAGGAGTCCTGGATCTCGTTCAATTCCTCTTAGACAACGAATTCATCGCTCAACCAAAACACCAGAGCCCTCACATCGGGAACGATCTCGCTCTCCCCGATTTGGTTGTTGGAAGCATCCCTGGCAGCATACCTCGAAGTTGCCATCAGGGTTCTGAGTAGTTCTCGAAAAGCACACATTGCCAGTGTTTGGGGTGAGAGCATCCGCAGGGCCAGAGGGCACAGACGAGAGTTTCTGGTGCGTAATTAAGCATATCAGACCTCTATCATTGTCGTGATCGTGGCCGTGGTCGTGATCGTGATCTTTTTCTTCGTATTGGTCAGACCACGTATAGACCCTGCGATTTGCAAAGCCTGAAATGTCTGGCTGCATTCGTGAACCTACCAGGAGAAGAACGAGTACGGAGAACTGAGGCGTGAGCGTCGCAATTCAATCAACAGACGGGGAGTCAGAAAACCTGGAGTGGTTTCCATACAGAGCTCGCCATCCCTTCAATACACACTTATCATACCTCACTTCAAAGCTGGTATCGGCGTCCATCCTGTTGAGTGTCAGGTAGGGGCTGACCCACCATACGTACAGGAGAATATCGGGCCCTGCTTGTTATCGAAGTCTGAGCACTGAAAATTACCAGCCACTGAAATGCGGATTGCAGGGAAATAGTATCCGTTTCGTGGGGGTGATGTCGGAGCTTGGTAGCAGAGGAGTGAGATTGGAAATCTGCTGCTCGGGTGGCTTGTGATAAACATCGCCCGACGCTGAAGAAGTATTCGCGGAGACCGTCGTCTGATACACGCAATGGCTTCGGTTAATACGCGTTGTTTTTAATTTAAAGATGGTTTTGAGTGTCCTGTCGTTCGGCAAGTGAGAATGTAGGACCAGTGGACCATACTTAAGCATGCCCGGGACCTGCCTTTATCGAAATCGAGGATGGTTTAATAGAGAAACCGAGCAGCATGTCTGTTCTCAATACCCATTCCGAATAGAGCAAACATTGTCGCAAAAAGGCTCTTGTCCCGATGCGGTGCTCTTTACCTTGCCCAGGGCTCCATAGGGGTGAGTGACCACAGAATGAGGAGCAAATTCGAAAAAGATCCCAGTTGTCTCTTGAAGACTTGAAGAAGACATGGTGTAATTAGAAGAAGGTCCCTCATTCCACATGATTCAAATGGTTGAAAATCGCAGACTCGCTGAGCAAGTAACCTTGACTTGCAAGGACATATGACCATGTAAGTATGCACAGCCTGCTGGAAGCTGAGTTTTGTGCCACTGAAATCCGTGATTTTGCTGAGTTTCCCAAGCAGTGTCTATTCTGGGCCTTGGTCATGTTCTGTATTGTTCTGCTGGCATCTCTCACTCATGCTTGATGGAGAGCCTCATCTTAAGTGGACAGGCCACCTTTCCAATTTTGCGAGCGTCGGAAGCAAGGGAAATAGCAGTCCTTTTTGGCTATTTGTTGACTTTCAAGTAGTATTTTCTTGTTTTTCTGACAGGGGAATATTTTGTCTCCTGAATGTTCAAAGTCCTGCCTCCTAGCCGCAGGCACACCTACTTTGTAAGCTTTTCGCAATGTCTGGGACCGTGTCTCATCTTGCTTTTCTCCCGTAGACAAAGGGCCGGTAAGCTACAGCATTTGAGCTGTTAATAATGAACATGGGGGAGATGGACTGTTCCAAGTTAATGGAACCTATTAATATGTCCTCACTTCCTCGACTGGTTCGGGAGGGGACACCACCTCGCCGATCATGAACTTCCAGTGCAGCGTTCAGTCTGTGGCGCAACGACCACACAAGGACTTTGTACCCAGCTGCCATCCAGCAAGTATTCCCTGAAGACGGGAAGCCAGAATTTTCTACTGACTTTGACGACCACACAGGGACCGACTCTCGCCAGGATTTGCTAGACCTTCGCCTGTGGTAATACCGGGAACGAACGCGGTTGGGTATGGCTTCGCTTCTTTTGCATCGAAGTCAAAGCCAGATGCTCGAAAATGATGGAAACGGTTGATTTACGCATCGGATCATGCCAGGCAGAATAGTCCAGATGCTTTGATTTCTTGAAGCAGTCTGGTGGGACTTTTCCAGCTGATTGTGGGAGCACACTTTGCCTGAGCAGCAGGAATCAGGTCACAACGTGGCATCCGTGACCACCACGTAGAATCTCATTTCCGGTCGTTCCACAGGGTCGATAAATAAATAGGAGAACAATTTCCCTGGCCAGTTGGAGGTGGAGGACTTCATGTGCACAACAAAACACCACCATCTCTTCGGGCGTTTGAGGGTCCGTCATCTCAGCGCCGTGGTGGACGAGCTGCAGGTTCATGGCAAGCTCGGATGCAATAAATCGAATTTTTCCACGAAGCCACGGAGAGCAGACTCAGGTTCCGGTGCGAATATGGGTCCTGAGAAAAGGTCTTTCAATTGGGAATACGTGTCTGGGGCCCCGGTTAAACCCTGGGCCATGTGATAGTAGCAAAACTGTCCGAAGTGGCTGTTGAAAGCGGCCTTATAAGGGTGCTCGACCGCCAGTCGCACCGCCCAGCATCCGTTTTTCAGAAGTTTAGCATCTCATCCTATAGTGGGTACAATGTGGCATATTCTCCATGTTCCCGTCCGGCACGTTTTTGGCGGAACTTTTTCTTAATGGACCATCTTCCTCCACCAAAATGATTTGAAGGCTCCTGCCTCGAGCACAACGGACGGCCGCTTGGCATCACGGCCCTCAGTTATCGGTTCTTGCTTCCAGAGGGCAATCAGCTCTTTCGAACAATAAATCCCCATTTTTGGACCGAGTGGCTCCGCTGGGCAGAGCACTATCCAGAACATTGATCAGCGTGAGCTCGCTAGCGACTCCATGAATGAGCATTGTATCGTAGATTCGTGTGGTTCTTTAACGAATTTAACGAGCAATTTCTGCGTTCGAGGATCCCACATAAAATGCTCAGGTTTTGTTTTGAGGGGAGTCGACAACACACGAAGGGACATTTGTGAAAACCGCATATTGCGCGAACTTTGTGTTATTGTGCCTCTCAGCGAGCATTTCTCGTACGGCTCGAATGGACTTGCTGATCGATTCAACCTGTCGCTGTGTGGCCAAGGCAAATCTTGAACTGCATCGGTCATTCCCAAGTACGCTTTGACATAGTGTCAAGCTCTTGGAGAGTCCAGGTGGACATCTCGCGAGTGAGAGTATCTCCCTCTCCTTCCTGCCAAGGACATTGACTCCTTCATCCTTTTAACGGATTCCCGCGATGCGCATCGTCACCTAAAGGATCTAGAATCGACAGGACTCGTTGATTTTGCCGGTCGACGCTCCAGGTGACCATTAGCGGCTCATCTCGAGGAGCGACTTGATTCCTCACATTCGACTTTCGGTTTCTTTTCGAACTTTCCACCAACAGTGCGCGAGTTGAGGGCTTTCGAACACCTCGGCTGGCAAGCGGTCGCATGTCTTGAGAAGACTGCGATCGACAGCAAATCTGAGCTGCCGATCCTGAGAACTGCTGGAGTTCGTTCAGAGTAAGGCGCTTGGTACCACACTGTCTTGATTTGCCCAGGCTTGTGGCATTTCTTTTTCAGGGTGGTTCTGCTGGTTAGTCTGTGTCAGTGTTGTTGAGCCCTCCGAGCTGACAAAATCGAGTCTGAAACAAGCGGTAGTCTGGAAATTTGTGAAGCGGAGGGAGTTAGACCCAAAAGTGCATGGTATTCGAGGAGGTTGAGTGAGAGAGACGTGAGCGTTGAGGAGGCGGAAAATCTTACCATTCGTCCATCAGCTCTGACCTTGATCGGGATCGCATGCTCCCACATACCGCAGGTCGTTCATTTTCGCTGCTCCCATATTTTCATGTTGATGAGAACGGAACGATGAGACATATGTCATGACTCTGTAGATCGTCTGGCGCAAGCGGATGTCTCAAGAGAGTTGAGAGAGAAGAGGATGGAGAGAAAGTGAATGATGCATTTATACCCAGGCGATGAAAGGTTGGATAGTCCTAGAAATTTTCCTGATAAATCGTGTCAAGTCATTTGAGGAGTGCGTAATGAGCGACTACTGAAGTGTGTGGCATTCAAGTAGGTGCGATGTGTGGCCGCCTCAGGTATCAATGAGCTTAACTCACTTCATTCATCACTGTCTCCTCCAGGCTAGCTCGAGCCCCATCTCAGCGACCATTCTAAAATCTCACTCTAGACCCTTGGGACTTTTTCAAGATCAGCTTCGCTCCTACTACACTAGTGTATGATTTACGTACGGCTTCTCGAAACCCAAAGAGTAATAAAAGAGATTTTGTTTCTGCACGCTGTTCTCATTTGCTTGTGTTAATCAGCCAAAATATGCCACTAAAAAAGCCAGGTCACGCACTGGACTAGAATAATTAGCACAAATAGGTACATCTTGTTCCACTCTTCAATAGTGTCCACAAGAAGGTTCTCTTTGGTTCCGCTCAAAAGTCCAACACACAAAACTACACCCACTACTTCAGTACAAGTGGAAGCTACCGACCGGAGTTGGGATGAAATACCCCAGCCCCCATCACTACGGAATCCTGCATCCACCCACGCCCGCAACCGCAGTCGCATGCGAGATCGGGGCCATTGAAAACGGGGATTTCGGGAACCTGCATGGCTGAACGGGGTGTGGATGGAGGGCCGTGCGACTTTATCAGTTCCCAGTAATGTTGATTCCAAGGTACTTCTCTACCTCTTTTCAAAAAAATCACATTTCCAAGAATGTGCCCTTCATAAATGTTCCGGTGAGTGACTGGGTGTTGCGGAGAACTGGTGGGAAGAGGTTGTTGGGAATATCGCCGGGAGGGGGTGGTCGGACGCATGCAGTGTTGGAAACGGAGGCACGCGAGGTATTTCTTCGTAGCTTTTGCCTCGTGCGAATTTCGGGATGATGACGAGCGAAACAAAAAAAGCTCCGATCACGGCTTGAATGTTTGCGTCACCAGTAGCTCGTCCATCCTACGGTCGATCGCCATTTTTTGGTATCTGGTGGGACCATTCAATGCCTTGTTCGAGGCTATCTACGACGTGATGGATCTTGACCCGGGGAATGCTTGAGTTTCAGAATTTGACATGCCAAAATTAAAGGCCATATGGATAGGCTGATAGGCTGTTCGACCTAGTCAGATCGTAACGGAGGACTACCTTGCGCTGTTTAATTTCTGGTTCTTTCCGCCAGGTCAAAAGAAACTTCGATATTCGCGTGCTCGTTGATTTGCTGAATCACCCACAAACGCCACGAGTGTAGATTCTGTATCCTCCTATCTCGATGGAGCGCTTGCTCAACTGGCAAGTTCCTTCCCGGTGGACGAGCATACCGTCCACCCATCGGCCCGGCTCTGAAGCGTACACATAGGATTGACACAACATCTGAGGTTGTACTCGCATACCCCACACTGCATACTGCATAAGCACGATTTGACATCAAGCTTGACGGGAGTCGGCGGATACCTTCCCGATGCAGATGCAAGCAGGCTGGCCGTTTTTCTTATCGCGAGATGACAGTATTGAGTCTTGGGCTGGGAGGCGGCTTGATGCGTCACACGGCATGGCCAACGCCTTTTCCTTTCTTGGCGAGCTGAAAGTCGGTACAGAAACTGCGCTTTCCTTTTCGTCCTGCCTCGATAGCTAGAGTCTCGACGGATGTGGTTGAAATATGGGGATAGTGTTTCAGATGTCCAAGCCTCGATCTTGAGCTTGTTCGTCACGAATAGAAGCCCTGCTGCTGTGGCGTATCGACAAGAAAACGCCATTTGGTCGGCCTGCACCTTGGTGTGAGTTGTCTTCGGATACTCACATTGCTAAGAAACTCCACAACGTCTACCCCGTTATCATATCCGTCCCGCGTCTCCAGCGACATGTCGGCCTTGTCCCGATATACAAACCGAGGCTGAGCGCCTCTGCGTATGCATTGCATGTAATCGCCTTCCTGTCTGTCTCGGATGGTAGACTCGATCTCGGGAATCTCCCTCGAGCAGTCGACTCAACGACGCTCAGTCCCTCGACGCCGACTTCATGTCTCATGGTGTTTGTCTTCGGCTGGTGGAGCAACGACACATGAGATACGAGACGATGTGCTACCGCACTCTTTCTCTTCCCCGGGCACCAACCATAACACCCGTTTGCCTCACCTCCCCCTTATCCCTCCGCTGTCCCAGTCTGGAAGAAGCAAGAATGCGGCCCGTACCTTATCCGTGAGAACGAACCGGATATACCTGGTAGTGGTGAGGAATCAGGGAACTGTCCGGTCCGTGGCTTTCCTATTTGAAAGACAAGCAAAGTGGGTTTTCAGACTGGTGTAGGGGTTGACGGGGTCCGGGGTTGGATGTTGGCGGGTGTGAGATGGGCGAACAGGCACATTGTACGACCCCAGTCGCGTCAGAGTAAGCGGATCTTGCAGACGCACTGAAGCGCGTAGTATGGTATTTAAAATTCACTTTCAGGTGGTCGAGAGGAAGATCTGGGGTGACTGCGCGGACTTTTCTGCCACCAATTTTTTTTTTTTTTTTTTTTTTCTTTTTTTTCGGTCGAAGAAAGCAAAATGATTGAATTGAATGATTTGCATTGGCTGTGTATGCATCTTGCTACTCAACGTCTCGTCCGAGTATACTCCCGTCCGCGTGTCTCGGGGACAAATGGACCCTAGTCCGGCGAACAGAGACTGTTGGGCAGTAGATACTGCTCTCCTCGAAACCTCCCTGGGTGCCTTGTCTGCGTTGTTAGACATCGCGTACCCACTTGGTTTGCTCATTGCTTTGCTGCTTGATTGTTCATCCTCGTTCGTTCGTTCGCCCTGCCCTATACCGCCACTGAGATACCTGATTGTATCTATCCTCCTTTGAAAGGTCTTGTGCAAACCCGGAGTAGGAACCATTGAACGCATTGCCGTGAGGGGTTTGTTTGAAGCGATCAGGGTATCTGGAGCGTCATATAAAGGCCCTGGTGTGGCCATCAAGACGAATCCCATTCACACTTGTCATTCAATATCACAAGCATATTCCGCAGTTTGTTGGGACTGTGCTATCCCACTCGAAACACTTATTCATCGTCAACCAACGAATATTGAATCGCCATATCACTCGCTTCCTCGAAAAACACCATCATGTCACCTGTCGGCCCTCGAGTTTCAAAGGAAGAGTTCATGCTCGCACTGGGTTTGAACCCACAGGCCGCACAACATGAACAGTATTACCGAGCCATGCGAGTACGTCCGTCCGCCTCCCGTCTTTGGCCTCCCACTGACATAAACCAGGACGAAGCAATCATGGTCTATAACCGTCTGAACCAGGACAACACTCACCTCCTCGACAACGTCCGTGCCGATCCCAACACTCGACCTCCTTTCTTCTGGCACCACATCCGACCAGATCACCAACGCTGGGCAATCATGGAGATCTGGCGAAACGCAGGCCCGCTCACGCGTCCACTGTTTGATCGCGGTGGGACCAGCGGCGAGTATGGGCCGAATTGGGTTGCTGGGTGGTTGCTGTACAGCGTGTTTCGGTCAAGGGATGTGAGAAATAATCGAAATAGACGGAAGGGGGAGGCAAATGGGACTTCTCAGGAAGCTGGTAAGAAATATTCGTCAGGATGCTGTCGAATTGTGCTAATATGCTTGTGCTGCGCAGATAAGAGGCCGAAACCGGTCGAAGAAACTGCCTCGCCGAAGAAAGGGTACTATGATCCTGTGCGAAACGGGACGCTCTAGGTTGATTTTTTGCGCTGTGCTTTTTCGAATACGCTTTGTCTATTGTTTGCATAGGCCCGAAAATAATTGGTTATGACCGGATATTGACACAATTGCGAGTAATGCATGGGTAGAAAGGCAAATTCCCAGAATGAGATATCAATCATCATCTTCTTCGCCATCCCTGGCGTCTTTTGTTTTATTCCTACCGTTCTTCTCGCCACGATTTGATCTCAAGACCTCCGTCACCTGCTCGTCTTGTTCATCAGAGCGCTCATCCCACTCCGCATCATACTCCGCGGCAATACTCTTTATCTCCCGTCGGAGAGTTTTGCCTTCATCAATCAATGATTCCCATAGCTGGAGATCGATGTTATGCAGCTGGTACAGCTTCCGCTGGCGCGCGCTCACGGTAAAGTCCAACGCAGACTTGTAGGAGATCTCACGGTTGTGATACAGGAACCACAGATAACCACCCATCAGCGTAGACAAACTGACCAAGTATGTGACGGGCTCCATCGTGTCCCAACCCAAGTCCGTCTCAAAAGTCAGCTTATATACACTATACCACCAAACAGACAAAATTCCAAAACCACCAATAGCAACACGCTGGGCACCGCGATGCGCAAGCGCATCACATTTATTCTTGATCTCTGCGATACCTTGGATTCGGCGGGAAAGCTTACGCATGCGCAGACGCAGGAAATACGTGCGCTCGTTGAATGACGGTACCGTGACCCGAATCTGACCCAGACCCGCTGGCGCCCCTTCGATGGTAACGATGAATTCGCCCGTGCGTGCAGCATCACGGATGAAGTCTCCGACTTCGGTGGCTTGGGACCATCGCACGAATCGTTCTGGGTCTCCGCCTAGAGGGTCCAGACTGGAGTCTGTCTTGCGTGGGTAGCTGTATATCTCTGCGTCCTCTTCCCTTGAGCGTCGGCGTGGAACGGGATCATCGTTGTTGTATTCGTTGTATTCGTTTTCCACAGCTTTCTGTCGGGACGCTTCTGTATCAAGTTCTTCGATTCTCTTCTTCGGTTTAATTGCGTTGTCTTCGTGTTGGAGGGCAATGAAGGATATGGCTGGCGGGCGGCGTTTCTCGAGTTTGCCTTCAATTGGGGGTAATTCAGATTGGATAAGGCGTTCGAGGTACGACAGGGGTTGTTGCGGGTGGACTAGGATAGCAATCGGTTCAATGCCTGGAGATTATCAGTGTGAGCATACTGAGAGTGTGCTTATCAGTAGGCTTTGGGCACAGATGCCTTACCTTTCTCGGTGTCCTTGCTATCAACGGTTGTCAATGGAATGATGAGCTTGAACAGTCGTGATGGTGTCGTCAACATTTTCCCTATTCGGTCAGTCATGGCGCATATTAGTGTTAAGCAGACGCGTAGAGCTCACCTTTGGTCATATCCTCGGACCATTTCTGGTTCTGGCTTTTGACGTCCGGCTTTTGACCATCCTTGCTCAGCGCTGGTTGGGAGAGCCGACCGCCTTTCGCTTCGTCGTTGACCTGTAAGCTTTCCAAAATATCTTCTGTCCTCTCATTATCTCCAATTTCCTCCACATAATTTGCCTTTTTGAAGTACCGAGCCTGTTGATATCCGGCCAGTATAGGGACGCTCAGCCCGGATCTCTCCGCAGGCAACGATGGGAAACAATTATCCCCCGCGGTCCGTCTACACAGAAGATGTGTTTGGCGGTATGCCGTCCTCTGCCGACCGGATTGCAGGGCAATTGAGCCAGCTCTGTCAGACAAAGGTTGTGTGCCCAACCGAGGGCGTAGCAGCTGTTTCCTGGTTGCCGACACCAGGGGCGCACAGCTCCATATGGGAGGGCGCATCTCGGATTCCCGTTATTTATTTCGTTCGCTTTGGAGTGGAAGAAGGTTCTTGCGTGGTCTGGTCGCTAGGGGCCACAGTTCGTGTAAAGGGAAGAAAGCGCATAGTAGGCGGGAAGGAGGCAGTGTCGTGGACGCGATCAGCACATGACGCAGGTGTCAGGGAATTGTGGAGTCGGACTTTAGGACGGCATCCTCCATGGCATCAATCCAAGCTTCCACGGCAGACGTGCAGCAGGCTCAGGCAACGGCTACGAAGCACTCTACTTCCTTGTTCGCTCCGCTGACGTCAGTGTGGCGCATCTCCGCAGGATGCTCCTGTGGCGGTGTCTGTGGCTAGTCCCCATATCTTCCAACTAGCAGTCATTTGAGTCGTGGGCAGATTCGTGTTGCTTCGTTAAAGTTGATATTGATTTCTCGCGGCCAGCACACTCAATGTAAGTTTCGGCTGAACAATTCTTCAAAACCGGCTTATGCACGCACCTGAATTACGTGCCACCCATGAAAGAGAATCGAGAGCTCATCAAAACAAGGGTGAATAGATGCACGCGGTGTGCGAAATCAATTTTCCTATGGCGTCCTTCGCCGGACGTAGTTCAGGGCGGCCTTATTTGTCGTTCCGTGTCTGCCTAGGTGGGAATTTTGCAAGATCATGGTGGTTACTCTGAAGGAACACCTGCATGCACCAGAGAGTCAATGAGGGGAGCCTAGAGTGAGCTTTTAGAATCAGCGTCGTCTGGCTGAATTAAGCACTCTGCAATTGGAGGCAAATTTCCTAAAGTGGAATGCAGCTCGTCCTCGTGCCAAATGCTTACATTGCTAAACCTCGTGGGGCTCTCCCAATTAAGATTCAGACCCCAAACTAAATCTTCTAAGCCTATTTCAATCGCACTGCTTTCTAGATCTGGCTTGCCTAAAGCTAATGCGTTGCGATTGCTTAGCACAATGTCAAGAATCGGCAGCTTTTTCTCACTCTGCACGTCTTGGCAGAGGTACCGCGCCCCTAAAGTATAAAGCCCTCGCCTCTTTCAGTCTTGAGGTACTCTTAGCACATCGACTCACTTCACTCCCGACCATTTACGCATCTCAAGCCTCCAGATGATTATAACTACTTCTCTTGGATCGTCCTTTCCGTGCTCTTCGCCTGCGTTTCTGCTAGCCCTCTTCACAAATTCCCGCCCACCATTCATCTCGGCGGCTCAGGTCAAGTGCGATTCGAAAGTATATCAGCCAACAACGTCGAATCCTTTTTGAACATCCGCTTTGGCGAAGACACTTCTGGCAAAAATTCGCTTCCCTGCACCAAAGCCCTACGCCTATCCTCCTGGGTCCGTGGTAAATGCATCCCAACCCTGCGCCGCCTGCCCACAACAAAAGGTCCCAATAGCAGGCCTCGGCGTCTTCGACAATGTCACCCATATTTCAGAAGATTGTCTCACCCTACGCGTTGACCGACCTGCAAAAACATCGTCGAAAGACAAGCTCCCAGTCATGGTCTACATATATGGCGGCAGAGACACCATTGGACAGATCTATGATTCAGCATACGATCCCGCTGCTTTGATAACTGGTGCCAGTCAAAAGGGATACCCGATCATCTATGTCGCAATGAATTATCGGTTTGGTATTTTTGGCTTCGCTGCGACAGCGGCGTTGAATCAGTCCAACTCCTTGAATGCGGGACTTCAAGACCAGCGACTCGCTTTGGAGTGGGTGCAGCGGAATATTGAGGCTTTTGTGGTGATCCTGACAATGTCACTACTTTTGGAGAAAATGATGTCGCTACTGGTTTCGGTTTGCAGATCACTGCGTTTGAAGGAACGAAAAAGGCACCGTTTCAGCGAGCGATTATGCAATCTGGTAATGCAGCTGCTGATGCGGGCACCGCGAGAAATTTGACTGCTGTTCGCACAGCTGAGTTGATCAAAATGGTTAACTGTAGCTCGTCCGAGAGTAGTGATGAGCTTACCTGTTTGCGGAACATGTCTTTGAAAAATCTGCTGCCGGCTGCTCTGCGTTACATGTTCAGCTTTGAGGGTTCTTTCGGCTCGACACTTTGTGCCGACTGCTCCGTAGCAGTTCATTCCCGATAGCCCTTCGAGGCTTCTTTCGTCGGGTCGATTCGGCCGCAACATCGATGTCATCACAGGGTGGACTCAGAATGATCAGTCATTTTTCACGCCTTCGACCATCAAGACAGAGTCGGATATTGCGGACTATCTGTCTGCATCGCTGCCCAATCTTTCTAAAAAGAATATCCAGAATGCTCTTTCTCTATACCCGGCTTCCTCTTTCTCGGGAATTCCCAGTGAGAATGTCTCAGCGCAATTCTTCCGGGCGAGTCAAGTGTGTCGCGACTGCCAGTTTACTTGCACGAGTCTGCATTTTGTCCAGATGAACAACAAATACTCCGACTCGACGACATCAAATTACATCTACGTCCTTCACCAGACAATATTTTCTCCCCTGTTTGCAGAACAAGTTACCTCGTATCTTGGCGACTCTCACTTCAGCGATATTCCCTATGTCTTCAACGAGACTACGACAAGGTACTCTTTCCTTGCGTCGCCCTCCGATATTGGACTTTCTTCGCAGATGAGTGGTAGCTGGGCATCTTTTGCTGCCTCCGGGTATCCCTCTCAAAGGAATGGAACTTTGGTTAGCCAAATGCGGTTAGCACTGATGGATTGAATGTCAGGATTATTGGAGGTCCTGATGATGGAATTGCGACGATCGATGACAAGAATGACTCGTTTGAACGTCTTGGGGAGAGATGCGCATTCTGGAGCTCTCCTGATATACTGGAGCAGATTGGAGTATAGTCGTATGTGATTTCTATGCCATTCATCGTTTGTTCGTCTTCCTCTTCCTCCTTCAAGTCTTTGTAGTTGTACATCGTGGAACTTCATTCAACCGCAATGCGGAATCTGAGCAGATCCTTCTCCACAATCTCGTCAAACCTGGCTTCCAACTCGGCAACATCCCATTTACAAGAGAGAAATCGACCATTCAGAGCCCGTCGCCGTCGCTCAGATCCGCTCGATGTTGATAGCCATACGCAAAAGGCGCCCACTAGATCTGGACTATCAGTCAGATCTGTTTGATCGGCGAATTGGTCAGCTTTTGTACGTGGATATGTGAGCGGGTGAAAATAATGACATACACTTCGCGAGCCACTCGGGCGCATCCCGCGAGAATTCACTTTTCAAGCCACCAGGGTGTATGCTTGCGCAGAATAATCCGTTTTCCGCGTACTGCTCATTGATCATTTCAATCAGCCGAGCCTGGGCTGCCTTACTCACGCAGTAATGGGTATGAGTGATCGGACCGGACACCGTGGGTGCTGACATGGAACTGATAGCGAGGAAGCTCATAGCAGGCGAGTTCGTTGCAACTAGTAGCGGAAGCAGATAATGTGCTGCATAGAATACGCCGATAGTGTTCACATTGAATGCATTTTGGTAGTCTTTCGGAGACTCCTTCACGACGTCTGAAGTCATCGGGCCGGTGTAGCCAGAATTCACGACGACAACATCCAAACGACCGGCGAATTTGGATTCAATGGTATGTGCGAGAGACTCAACGTTTGACTCAGAAGTAATGTCGCATTCTGCAGTGGTTACTTTTGTGGTCGGGTTGATTGAGCGGACTTCGTTGGCTGTTTCTTCGAGAGCTGGGAGGGTTCGGGCTGCAAGGATGAGGCCTGAGGCGCCTGCCCGAGCATAGGCTTTTGCAAGACCTGCTCCTGCGGCACCCCTGCCTCCAATGATGCAAGCGACGAAGGCAGGAGGGAGTTTTGCATGCGAAGGATCGATGGCGTCGTAGGGAGTGCTGTGGGTGGCTGAAACAAAGTCGCGGCAGTGTTGAGCATTCAGCTGGCTTTTGGTCGGCGCCATTTTGACAATGGCAGTAGTATGCTTTCTCAATGCGATTTTCTATTCCAGCAGCAATATGAAAGACGCTGGAATGTCCGTTCTTTTCTACTTTGATACCTACTCTTAAGAATGGGAAGTAATGCAGTCGGACTTAGCCGGACTTAGCCCGGAGACTGGCGGTCTTTACTACTGGCGACGCCCCAACGGTCTACCGAGATCGTTTAGTGGCACTACGGCTCACAGTCAGTCATAATGTTTTAATTAGATAGCTGAAAGTTTACGTGCGCCTCATTTATTGTGCATAAGACCGTACAGAAAAACGTCGTATCTCTGGCGTAAGTGTGGTTCAACAAATAGCACTTCAGGTGCTCAGGCTACGAGTAGTGATCATCAAAATATAGTTTCCGGGCAGCAGCAACAAAGGATTCTCTTAATACCTGGAGATACAGAAACGTGTTCCGGCTTAAGATTACTTTGCTTAACCAAATGTGCCCTGCGCAGTTCATTAAGCCCCATTTGCCTCATCAGTCACTTCATATTGCACCTGTTTATGTTTGGGAAGAAGGCTGTCCATAATATCACGTGATGATACAGTGAACATCTTGGCTGATAGCGCACTATTCTCCACTTAATTTCAACAATTAGGCCGGCTGGCCCAATGGCAAGGCGCTTGACTACGAATCAAGAGATTGCAGGTTCGACCCCTGCGTCGGTCAGTCATTTTTCATATTTTTTTTTTCTTTGTATAATTTTGTATGATTATTTGCGCCCTCGTCGGAACCAGATCACAATTATTGGGATAAAATACCCTGCTGCGCATTCTTTGCGAAATTGCCTGAATCTGACGGCTGCTTTTTGTCGCAACCTAGTTGATCAAACGTAATCAACTAATTAACCAAGAGTAGTAATAACACGCCATGACTCACCCACCGACCTTGGCTTACGATACGAAGCCATGATCTTTATTATCTTCGAGCTTCTGATAGATCTAATGTATATGGCCTGTTCATTTTTAACTTCTCGGCCCAACATCGTTTCCGTTCATTCCACACCACGGCAAGATGACGCCGCCATCCACCTTCGTCTTTCCGATTCACGGCATTTCCAACGACCGCGTCAAACTCGCCCCACTCGACCTTGATCGACACCTGGAAACATTCTTCCGCCTCTCTGTCCCGCACCCAGATCTATACGCACACATGCCCATGGGGCCCTTCGAAACACTCGCAGAATTCAAGTCCGAGTTCCTGGACCGGCCATCCAACCATATTCTATCCTTCTCCAACCCAGAGTCCTTTGCATTTGCAATCATAGACAAGACCCGACCGGCATCGCTGGAAGATCCAGAAGGCGAGCTCGCTGGCACCATTTCCTTCATTCGCACATCGGCTACTCACCTTTGCACCGAGATTGGCTTCATTGTCATTTTACCCCCGTACCAGCGCAGCCATGTGGCGGCAAATACCGTTGGCCTTGCCCTGCAGTATGCATTTCAGAGCTCGGAGAGTGGTGGCCTCGGTTTTCGTCGCGTGCATTGGCAGGCTAGTACGACTAATCCTGCCAGCGCAAAGTTAGCGGAGAAGATGGGATTCGAGAAGATCGGCTTGACCCCGTGGCATATGCGTTTTGTGAATGGCAAAGCGAAAGGGAAGGTTGGCAATGGAAAAGTACCTCCGCCTGAAACTGATCCGCAAGATCTGTGGAGAGATACGTTTTCGTTTACTTTGGCTTGGGACCAGTGGGAGAAAGGTGTCAAGGAAAGGGTGGAGCGGGTCATGGAGCGATGAATCAACACTATGTATCGAATTTTATTCTGGTCAAAGATTTAAGACATGGCAAAAGAAAATAATCCGATTCCCAGACAATAACAGCAAGGTTGCCCTTTACAAGACCATCTGCCTCGAATATCACCGCCTCAAACTGATCGCAGAGTTGCTGTAGACTCTGTCTCTGACGCTCTTCGATAAGCAAGAAGTCCTCCTCGTCACCGGAGGAATTTGCATCATTCTCGGTTTGTTGGTATGGGTGGGTTCATCCACTCCGTGAGAAGATGCGAGTATAAACCGGCGAGGTTGTGTTTCCGACTATAGGTCTCGAGCTGATTGCGCAGATGATCCTCGAAGTCTTCGAGTTTTTCGGTTGGGATTGAAGTGTCGAATCGTGCTTGCTCAACCCAGTGTTCGATATTCAGAAGTGTCCCGTCATGGTTCAGTTCTGGAACGAGTCGTTTGGCGCTGGCAAAGAAGATTCGCGACACGGTCCCGGAGGCTTGTGTACTGATCGGCACTCGCAAGTGCCTCGCATTTTCGTGTCTCATACACATCGCACTGCTTTTTGAGCTCGTAGATCTTGCCTCGTGTGAGTGACGTGAGCGTCCGCGATAGGTAAGGGTCCATCGTCGCGCAGATGGGCGAGGTGTTGTTTGGAAAAAGCGAGTCGATTGAAACTCTTTGATGGAACCTGAAATCATGTACCGAATCAAGCCATAGTTATATTGGTTGCTTTGCTTCCATTAGTTACGCAGATCTACACCTGGTCTGCAGTCAGACGTCGTGCTGTCCGTCGCTGCGTATAGGCTTCGACACTGACAACTTGCATAGTCGCCCCACATAAGATCTATTGGGGCCATAGATCCTTTCTTGCTCCTCTCACATGCCCCGTTATACAAGGCTGGCCAGACAACCCCGCTTTTTCTTAGGTTAGTGAGTCACCGCCAGTGGAAAAATTCTTCCCCAGAGCCTTGTCGTGACTCAATTGTCTGCATCGACGTTTGCGAGAAATCTCTCCCTATTCTATTGAGGCCAAAACGCGGAAAAGGGTTTTCAATCACAACCAAAATTAGTCATGATCAGCCCCCAGAGCTAGAGAATTGTAATTGCACAGTAAATATTAATCATTCGTTCGCGTCATCAAAGCCATTATAGAATAGCACCTCTTGTATAAAACCATGCCTTAGCCTTGTCAATACCAAGCACAGTCACCAGCAACATTCTCCCAAATAAATCGACCTCATCCGGGTGCGCGCTTTGTAACACCGGCTCAAAATTGAGATTATAGACAATATGGTGCTGTTGCTCGGTCCACGCGACCGCGAAATCAAAGGCGCTCTGAGAATTCCACAGATGACCTGAGAGATACCAGGAGTGTTCAAGTCCGAGCTTCCCGTCACAAGTCACGGGCACTTTCCCCTGAAGCACTTTATATATTTGAATAAAGTAAAATGTGAGTAAAATAGTTCGGCGCGCTGATTCTTGCAGAACCCAAATTTGCCAGAATATCGCGGTACCTTCCACGGATGGGGGGAGAAGCTCTGTTGGGCCTGAGGGGTTTGGAACTGGAATTATGGACATCAGTGTGAGGACTGATAATTCTAGTGTCGCGAAGAGAGCATCGGCGGTGGCATGGGAGCGAATGTCGCCGTCGAAGAGTCGCATTATTTGGTACAGGATCAGGGCGTGGACACGCGCGAGTATCTCGATTGGTTCGGTTGGCTCGGACATTGATAAGAGCTCGCGGGTGCGTGCGTCGAATAGTGACATGATTACCGGAGCGTTGATATCGTTTTTGGACATGTATAGGGAGCAGCAGGCGTAGGCATCTGGTAGGACGGGTTAGCATAACTGACACTAGGAAGTAATAAAAGCCTGGAATAGAATCACCCTGCATGACCTTCGGCATATAGCTTTTATACAGTTGTTGGTGGCACCATGGAGTTTGATTTTCCAGTACCATTATCTTCGGCGTATTTTTGAGGTTATCTATGGCAAATTGCAGATGAGAGGCGACAATTTCCGAAAGAGGGCGTAAAGGCCTTGCCCTGGGGATAGCAACAACAAGGTCTGATTGCGACCAGTATCCTTGCGTTGTGAAAAATGAAAGTAATGAGGTATCGGGCGCATTCTCGACCCAGTCCGACAGCGAATGCAAGGAATCCACGGCGAGGGAGTCCAGAGTCGGATCCACATGCAGACCAGCGTCGGTGGAGAAAGACAGTGACATCGTCGCTGTGGACTGTAGAGTCTCCACGCCTTGGGGTAAAATGTACTCTTCCGGCGCAGGGAAATTTTCATTAACGAGATCGTGGTAGCCTGCGGGCAGTCGGCCGGGGTAGATACACGGCTTATTCATGCTCAGACAACGGGAGCATGCCGGAAATGCAAGGTCACAACGCCGTTTTCCGATCTTGCATGACTCGCAGGACTTCCGCCGTGGCAGAGTTGGTTCTTGATAGCCCATCGTGGCCTATCAAGATCGAAGATAATTTTCAGAAGGCGTCGAAGAGGAGACCACGAAGCTAAATCGGACGCCGGTGGATCGTCTTTGAAGGCGTGAGCGGAATTCCGCACGCTAAGGCGCAAGTGCGAGTTACGCGCCAACCAGAACAGTGGGCCCACTTGCGGACTTTCAGGCAGAGTTGCGCTGCTTGTACAGTTTAGATAGATGAACTCAAGGACACAGTGGAGAAGCGTCTATATAAGGACTCATCATCGTGGAACTCAAAAGCAGAAAAAGCAATATCATTCCCGTCCATTTTTACCACCTCATTGACCATGTCCGCTCCTATTGTCTTCGTTTGCGGTGCTACCGGTACCCAAGGCGGCGCCCTCGCAAACCATCTTCTACAACAGAATATCCCAGTCCGCGCCATCACCCGCAACACACAATCCGAAATAGCCCAGAACCTTCTAGCACGCGGAGTGCACCTGACCCAAGGAAATTTCGACAATGAAGAAGCCCTACGAAAAGCCATGACGGGCTGTACAGCCCTCTTCCTCAACCTGATGCCCAGTCACCTCAAACCCACCGGAGAACTCGACCAAGCCAAGAAAATCATCGCGATCGCCAAAGAAATCGGTATCAATCAAATTATCTACACCAGCGCGATGGGCACCGTCAACCCTGAACGCCTACCCGCCTGGAATCCCGCCAGTTTTCCCGGTATGGTTCTTCTCAGCAAACAATCGATCGAAAACGAAGTGCGAACTGCTGGATTCGAAAAATGGACTATCCTGCGACCAGGAAATTTTATGTCTAATTTCATCAATCCTCTTGTACGGATGTACAATGGCCTCGTCGAAACGGGGGTTTTCACTACTGCTTTTACCATCGAGACTGTTCTCCCCATGGTGGATCCCAACGACATTGGAAGATTCGCTGCCGCTGCGGTGCTTGGCTCAGACCGATTTCATGGAAAGGAAATCGAGGTCGCGTCTCAAATGATGGGGGCTCAGGCCTTGATGGAAGATTTGTCCCAGGCTACTGGCAAGGATATGCGGGTGGTCTTCCTATCTGATGAGGAGATCAACGAGAAAGTGACGCAAGACCCGTTTCTGGGAGCTCAACTGGTGATTCGCGATATGGCTATTTTTGTGGAATTTGAGAAAGTGAAGGAGTGGAATATCGAGTTGGGGACCTTTGCTCAGTTTCTGGAGCGGGAGAAGGAGCGCGTGCAGGCAACCTATAACTGAGAGCCTTGTGCACTGAAAAATGGAGCTTTTTCAATGTCCAAAAATTTCTCTTCATGTAAACCATATCAAAAAGATTATTCGCATAGTTATCGCATTTTAGCATCAGTTGTTTGTTTCGAATTGACTCTATTGGAAATTCTATATCTGTCTATAGTGTGTAAAAATATGTGCGAATGTACGCAACTTGACCTTGACCGAGGTCAAACATCACAAATTCATGAGGGCGTAAAGAACAGCAAGACAATTTACTGCTTGCCGAAGATCTTGACCCGCTCTTCGATGGGCTTCTGGGTCTTCTCGCCAGCTGGAGCCTCAGGGCTACCAAAGACAAGCTGGGCGACGAGGCGCCAGTCGGTGGGAAGGTTCCACTGTTTAGCAACAGAGGCGTCCAGGAGCGGGTTGTAGTGCTGCAGGTTGGCACCAAAGCCAACAGACTCGAGAGCAGTCCAGACTGTTTTCACATGTTAGTTACTTGCCTCTTACGGTTGCGGGACTGGAAAGCACATACGGAAGTACTGGTGCATGGCATTGGAGTGATCAGCCCAGGGCTCGAACTTGTCGGCGAAAGCGGCGAACTTCTCCTGGAAGGACTTGATGTGGGTGGGGTCCTCGTAGAAGAGGATCTAGAAATTAAGTTAGCTAATGTACCTTCGATAAGATACTCATTGAGCGATTGATGCTTACAGTTCCGGCAGCAGCCTTGAAGCCCTGAAGCTTGGGCAGAGTTTGGTTCTTGAAGGTCTCCTCAGGAACAGCACCAGACTGGACTAGGGGAGCGAAAGCCTCGGCGGCAAGATCCCAAAGGCGCTCGTGCTCCTCGTGCAGCAGCACAACCAGACGGGTGGACTGGGTGTTGAAGGAGCTAGGGACATTCAAGATGGCGGCATTGATGAGCTCCTCGACCTTGGAGTCGGAGACGGGGCTGTTCTTGCCGAGCTTGTAGATGGTGCGGCGGTTCTGCGCAGCTTGGATAAGGCCTTCGGTAGACATTGTTGCGGAACTGGTAGGAGATTGTTTGCTCAACGAGGTCGAGAATGCGCGGAGGGGTAGCTGTGCAGGAGATGGTGGGGTTTGGGCCGATACAAATGTTGTCCGCAGTCTCGAGGTGGATCCCAGTCGGCGGCATATGCTGTGGAGATTGGAAGCCGGTCGAAGAATTCGCGTTGTCATTGTCGCGGTCTTTATATGCGATGCTCTGAGTCTGCGGTGATCGCAATTGAGGTTGTCGGTATTGTGACAACTCGACGGCGCACTTCCGCGGCTTTAAATATCGCTCATGGATTAATGAACGTTGGTAAGGCCGACAGAGTGTTATTTCCGTTGTCTGGACAGGGCAGCGGAATTACGGGACTGCCGCTTAATAAGATCATCCCGTCACACCGAGTTTTATCAGCCATGACAAACCATAGATGCCAGTGGAATCACGAACAGCTTTAGCTACCTTGGTTGGGTTTGGGATTTTTTCCCCCAAAACCAGCAAGGACAACCGGATTCACTCCAGTTGGTCTAAGCTTCTGAAGTTAACTTATGCATACATTGCTCTTTGCATTTACAGTTTGCAGTTAGCCAAGCTTTGGACCACGATCTGCACGCCTGCAGACAGCGACGCTGCGGGATACCGGGCTTGCCCAACGATTCTGATAGGCGATTTGAACTCAGAACCCTTCATGGAATTATATTTCATAGCCTCGTCCAAATATATATCGCGCTCTCCAGAAGAGCAGGGCTGGCTTCCCTAAAATGCTTACTCAGCGCACGTGGGAATAACTAACGTTATACATGTGAACTGTACAACCCACACTCCCAAGTACACCAAGGTTCGCTTACACACTGATATTCTTCAAGATACAGTGGTAACTAACTTACGACTGCTTACAAAGGTCGTATCCTATCCCACGTTAGTGGGCAGGTCTCTGTGCACTGCTTCAGGAAAACACGACTGTAACCGAGCATCTCTCTGACACGATGAATACGCATTGTAATTTATGTAAAATTAGAGTTCGCTAGCATGTGCGACGGGAGAGTCCCATGGAAACTGAGTCGTGGGAAGTTGAGGTCTATACTGCACTGCACAGAAACCCATGACAGCGGACTTTTGTCAAACCTGGTCGGTTGTTTCGCCCCGAAGTCTAGACTGCTCTACCAACGAGTGAAAGATACCGTTTCGATATGCAGCTCTTCAGCCTCCCCCTCAATCACGGCGGGGTTGTCACTGGCCGGGTCTTGCTACCCCTGAATCCCCCTGCATCCCAGTTCCTACCCCTACGAGTCTGCGTGCATGGCGGCAGTTACGACTCGGAGTATTGGGATGCGGGCTCGTATTTCATTACTCAGATCTCCGATGCCCTGCACATTCCTGTCGTCGCTATTGACCGGCCAGGCTATGGCGAGACCACCCCCCCCCCCCCCCTGATTCTCCCGCAACGTAAGAGGTGACATACTGCCAACAGCAAGGCCGATATATTAACTCCACTATTATCCCGGCGTCGTGGAACGAATATGGGGCTACAACCCTTCACAAAGGGGCTGTGAGAAGATACGGGGTGTGGTGTTACATATGGTAAAATCGTAGGCGGTGTAGAGGTGGGGATATACCGAGGTGTGAATTGATCTTTGGCACCCCTGTACCCTACCACTACCTTATCACATACCCCAGGCTATACCTAAGAGGGTAATAGGGGGGCCCTCAGATGCTTACATTATCAAATTTTCGTGGCTGTTACAGCCCCAACACACTTCCACCGCATCCCCTCCAAAACCCCCGGGCCACCCCGAGCCGCACCCCCATCCTCAGCACGCATCAGCGCCTCCTCCGCTTACCTGCGCAGTTCCGGCGGGTTGACGAATTTGCTCCACTCGTGTGTTCCGCGGGGCACGACGCCGATGGGCTAGGGCGCTTCGGCGATGAGTTGGTTCAGGATGAAGGAGGGGAGGGTGCGGGAGATTGTGGAGCCGATTAGCCAGCCGCCAGGTTTGAGTGTGCGTAGGCAGTTTGCGAGGAAGGTTTGCGGGCTGGTGGTTTCCGTAGTCGATGTGTTCGATTACTTCGAAGAGGGTTACGATGTCGTATTGGGGTGGTTGTGGGGTGGTGGATGGGGCCTCCGGCTGGGATGAGGATGAGGATGTTGGTGGTGATGGAGATGGGGAGGTGATCTCTTCCAGTGTTGTGTTAAGGTACTTGTATTTCCCGCTGCGCAGGTGCGTGTCGACTGTTGGATCCATGCGTGCGTGCTCGCGCGCGATCTGGATGAGTGTTGTCGTCGGATCGATGGTTGGTTGTCATTGATGCTGCGCGGGTGGGTGTTGGAGCCCGGGCAGAGGGATCGAGCGGGATTGTGCGCGCGAGCGATTCAGCGAAGATGCCACCTCCGCAGCCGATGTCGAGGTAGTGCAGTTTTGCGGCGTTGGGGATGTTCGGGTCTCTGGTTGGGGGTGGTGGGCTTTCGACGAGGCAGGAGGCGATGAATTCGTGGCGGAGGGGGTTCATGAGGTGGAGGATTCGGGAGGGGCCCATTGGGTCCCACCAGGAGCTCGCGAGGGAGGAGAAGTGGGAGACTTCGTCGGCGGAGACGGATGATGTGCTGTGTGGGCGGGTGGTTGAGGTGTGTCGTGGTGTGGTGCGACGGGAGTTTTGGTAGAGACATGTTGATGGACTTGTCGCTGTTGCTGGCGACCGGATGGCGCGCAGAGGGAGAGAGCAGATGCGTAATGATGCCATTTTGAGAAATTAGAGGGTTGAGGGTAGGAGTAGGTTGTAGGGTGTATGAGGCTTGGAGCAATTTTTGAATTGCTCAGTGAGGTTTGCGATGTCGGCTCAGGAGGGGTGATGCTGGGAATCGCTATCAGCAACGGTTGATTAATGAGATGGAACTGGGTTTCAGTATTGCGTACCGCCAGTATCAGCACATTCTCGGTTGCTGTCTAGTGCAGTTGGTAGCGGAAGAGAAGTTGAAGTTGAAGTTATCCAGTTTCGCCGAGCGGAAACAAACACGCCAAGCAGCAGACAACACTGCACAATTCTTACAGCTACTAAGTCCGTTAATTAATGGTAGTTACTGGTAACATAAAGAGATGAGTCTATTGATCCAAGGTATGTCCAAACACTTGCTACCTTGCTACCGAGATATGTCCAGTCCACGTTAAGTGCGGATATATACAATGCGACAAACAACGCTCTATACATAACTCCAGATGGTATCATAAAATCACAGAATTATACATCGAAAATCATCAGGGCAGTATGAGATGCTTGTCAAGTTGGCAGATAGTCATGGTACCCATAATCACTTCCCTGAGAAACAGCTGGTAGATGAGACGCCGACTCAGTCTGGTCACCTTCTACCTCCCGTATCTCGTGGGGACCGCGACCAGCAGCAAGCATATCCCATCCCTGCTCACCAGCCCATGTATTCAACTGTTGTAGCTGGTCGGGCATCTCAGAGCCGAGAGTAGGTAGGAAATTGCCCATGGTGATCGTGCAATCGAGGCCCAGCACTGTCTTGCAGCGCTCCAACAGCTCGGGAAATAGGTATGACGGCGAGCCGCGAATCTGCGATAGCGTGTGCAAGATTCCCCAGAGGAGCTGGCGGGGGTCGACGGCAGCTTCGGCGAGTCGGCTGACAGCTTTTCCCCCGAGGGAACGTGTCACGTCGGCTACGGAGGAACCTATGTCGAACAGTTTTTGCTCCTGCGGGACGGGATGAGTATACTGCCTTCGTGTCTTGATTGTAGTTGACTCACCATTCCGATACCATGTGCATCTATCGCCCCTTGTGACACTGTCCCCATCACGCTCATAACAGCTTTACCCACAAGCACCGGGAGATGGAAAGGCAGTGCAGCGTCATCACGCGAGCCCGGCTGCGTGGCATGGCTCATGGACAATTTCCACATCATCGCCTGCAGCCACTGCTGTGTGATCAAGATATCCACCTGTTGAATCTCGAGCACACCGTCCAGTGATATTGGTTTACACAGACTGGACTGGATAACGGATGTTGGTGGTCTCTCCACGAGCCCGTCTCCGCCTCCAGCAGAGACCCAGTCATAAAGACTGGTTGTGAGCTTTTCAAAGATGTTGATGAGGTTTGTAAATCCGAATGCTAGGATAGGGTCATCGGAACAGAGAACTTGGGGCTTGTGGATGGAGCTGCGGAGCATGACGGGTTTCGATTGCTGCAGCGCATAGCCTCTGGTCTGCCATCAGTAACATATCATAAAGAATTTTCCATAACACTCACCTCTCTGTGATGAAGAGCAGCCAGAAGACGCGCCGCCTCTCCTCAGCTTCCTCCGCATTCAACCCCGCATATGTTGACTCGCGATGCAGGCCGAGTGTAAAAGCCATTGACGTGGCCTGGCATAGATAGAACCAAGCATGGCTCTGCTTGTCTAAATTGCCGTAAGAAGCGAATAAAAAGAACGAGGTCAGGAGAGTCTCGATGCTGATGTCTTCCACAGGGTCGCATTCCTGCCGTGCCCGCACGGCCTCGGATAGCAATTTGTCCCCGGAGACTAGGGAATGACCATCGCCCATGTTCTGCAATCGAGCTGAATCCGGGATCGGGTTGGCGCCGTCCAATTTTAGCTGAAGATGTGTCGCCGCGCAAAGAGAGGCCAAAAAGGCGTATCTGCGTGGAGAGAGCCGTTCGGGATGCTGACTATCCAAGAGTAGTTCGTCCCCTCGCACGACAGGCATAATGGAGAACAGGTATTTCAAGTAGACATTGACATGCGCTAGCAGACTCTGTGGAGAGAGGCGGCGGGCATGTGGGAGTGCCTGGCCGCTTGCCGATTCCACCGTCGAATTTGTAGAGTCGGGCGAAGACACCAGATCTGGCGGCGGGAGTTGTGAAAGGGTGTCAGAAATGTCCTGGGCACCATATTTCGTATCTGGATCACCGTACGCGGGCGACGCGGGCGAGTTGAATCTGAGATGGTCTTTATCGGCATAGAGCTGCTCTCGGGCCGTGTCGTTTCGGTTCGATAGCGGATGGATCGGGGCCAAGGGGTAGAGGTTTCGGAATTTGGGGCCTTTGCGACGGAGCACGTCGCTATAGGAGCAGGAGAGCAGCAGGCACTGACATTTATCGCAGGGTAGTTCGCGCGAGCATTTGATCTTCCGTTTGCGACAGTTGTCGCAGGCTTGTTTTAGAGATGGCTTGGATGGTGGTGCAAGGTCCATAGTTGTTTGGCGAAGGTCAAGACAGGGAACCGACGCAGTGCATGGTAGATGGAGGATAGCTTAAGAAGAAAGTTGAACAATATGATTGTCGATCAAAGTTGATTGAGAGAGATAGAGAGAGAGAAGAGTCAAAAAGACGAGAGGAAAAAGTATCTGGGGAAGCGCGGGGCCGGCAAGTCAAGACTCCCCGCAAAAGGCCTTGCACGTAATGGCGCCCCGATACTCCTTCTATAGCCTCGTCCTTTGATGTTCACTAGTTTGCCCACGACTAGCACCTCGGTGAGATGTCTGCCTGACGTCTTGGTACGTCCTCTTGGTCCTCACAATTAAAAAGCCAGGGTTCTGACGTGACGATCTAATCGATTGAGTTTACACCAATAAACACGAGCGCCCCGACCTGCATCCTTCTAGAATCGAGTGATGGACAAGCCTCTTCGACGCTACTCGATCTCTTGCGATCCTCTCGGCAACTAAGCGAAGTCGTCGCAATCCCCCTGTCTATCAGTTGCCTGGCTGCAAGCGGGAACGATGGAAGAGCCGTGCACACCACGAACACTCTCGAAGGACTCGGCTACGCATGCTAAGTAGGTCTCTGTACCTTTACGAGACCAACTTGAAGCCAAATTCAGACACAGTGGGGGGCACTAGCGCAGGCGATGCGCGATTTTTCTGGTTCCTGATTCATCCGAGGCGCAGTAGCGTTGGACGCTAGCCCTCGATGAGACGATGAGCCCGCAGTCTTCAACGGACGCTCTGCTTGTTTTCGGGCGTCGCACCCCAGCCGATCCAATCATGGCGGCGTTCTCCGCCGCTTGGATGATTTCACTTGCTTGTGCTTGGGCTTCGATGCCGAGATGGGTGTCCCTCGGGAAGCCGAACAAGCTTGAAGCACATTATTCACTCATCAGCCCACTAACCCCCTATATTCCGTACACCTTGAGATCAAAGAGATCACGCCATGACCATCTATTAAACTCGGGAGTGGTGGAACTCATGGACACCGCCATTCGCTCTTACTCCAGGTCGATCAGGAATCTCCGAGATTCCCGCGGGCAGATTCCCCAGCATTCCACAGAGGCTGGGTCGGTGCCCCGGATTGCCTCTGCCCATGGCAGCGATAGAGTATCACGGCATCACCAAGGTACTGCATCTCGATCGTGCCGCTAGAGAGGAAACTTTCACCGGGTGCGGCATCTTACAAAGCCTATTCTTCATGCCTTCCCCGGGTTTCGTTTCCTGAATCTGATTACATTCGCCGTGGTCCGACTAACATCCGTTCGCCGGACCCTCCATAGATTTCCACACAATGACTCCCATTCATGACGTCCTATATTCTATATCCTTCGTGGGTGATGATTCCTCTTCTATCCCAACAATACTGTTGAGAACCATCATCTCTACCGCCATGACCCTGATTTCGATCATCTCAGCGTCTCCATTATTTTGCAGCACGGCCGTCTCCAGACAGCTCGGGCATTTATCGGCCAACCCGCCAATCACCAACCACCGGTCTCCAGCCAGTGGGTAAGCCTTGGCCCTTGACTTCAACAAAGCTCAAGGACTCTCGACTGCTCTGTTCGTATTAGGTTTAAGCCACTCTATTCCGTTCCTGGTCTAGCACCGGCTCTCGTGTGGCATGGAGGAGGCAAAGTCGCAATAGTCTCCGTGATCGTCCCCGCAATGCCCAGTCCTCGAAGCCTAGCCAACCCCGCGAAAGCATTCAGCCACTGGAGTGTCGGGAGTGTCACTCCAATTTCACCTGCGTCCCACCTGTGCACGGGAATTCAGCGGAAATTTTGTTTGACGCGTTGACTTTGAGGGATGTCTTCGGTGCTGTTTCTTCGGCGAAAAGCTGCTTTGCTCGACCCCAATTGCATCGGACGGCCTCTTCCCAGTGTCGACTATAAGAAGGGAGCACGACGGAGCTTTCGTAGCTTCTAAGTCTTGACGACCAGTGCCTCTTCTCTGACGGACAACCACGGTCATCATGGTTGGATTCACGGATCTGCTGGCCGGTGCCTGCCTTTTGCCGGCCGTTTACGGCGCGAGCAGCTCGGTCGCGAGCTCGACTTCGAGCGCCCCCTACCACCAGTTTACTATCCCTGCTTCCGTCAACTATGGCGAGAACTTGATCGCCAACATTGACGACCCCCAGGCCGTCAATGCTCAGGATGTTTGCCCCGGATACAAAGCATCGGGGGTGCAACAGAGTGCTAAGGGGATGACTGCTAAGCTGCAGCTGGCTGGCGAGGCGTGCAATGCGTATGGTACGGACGTGGACTCTCTGGACTTGATTGTCGAGTACCTGGCCAAGGACCGATTGAATGTCCAGATCACTCCCACCCATGTTGATCGTCACAACGCGTCTTGGTACCAGCTTTCTGAGGCCGTTGTGCCGCGGCCCAAGGCCGACAAGGGCGCCACGGCTGAGAACAGCGACTTCGAGATCACCTGGTCCAACGACCCCTCTTTCAGCTTCAAGGTTACCCGCAAGGCCACTGGTGATGTGCTCTTCGACACCACTGGCACCAAGCTGGTGTTTGAGAACCAGTTCATCGAATTTGTTACTGCCCTGCCCCAGGACTACAATCTGTACGGCCTCGGCGAGCACATCCAGCAGCTGCGCCTCCTGGAGAACCAGGTTATGACCATCTACGCATCGGACATTGGTGACCCCATTGATGGGTACGTCCACACTATCCTGCTAAAGTAGCGTGATTGTACTAGGGACATCGATACTGACTTTCTAATTCCAGCAACATCTACGGCTCTCACCCCTTCTACTTGGACACCCGTTACTACGAAGTCGACGCTGAGGGTACTCACACCCTCGTTTCGAGTTCCGCGGCCGACCAGTCCAAGGACTATGTCTCCTACTCCCACGGTGTCTTCCAGCGCAATGCCCATGGTCAGGAGATTCTCACTGGAACTGACAAGCTCACCTGGCGCGCCATTGGCGGCAGCATCGATCTGACCTTCTACTCTGGTCCGACCCAGCCTGAGGTGACCAGCAGCTACCAGATCAGCACCGTTGGTTTGCCTGCCATGCAGCAGTACTACACCCTTGGCTTCCACCAGTGCCGCTGGGGTTACCAAAACTGGTCCGTGGTTGAGGATGTCGTTGAGAACTTCGAGAAGTTCCAGATTCCCCTCGAGAACATCTGGTACGTTGCTTAATTCGAGTCTTTGCATGCTATCAACTAACACGGTAAAAGGCTTGACATTGACTACATGCACGGCTACCGAGACTTCGAAAATGACGCCATGCGCTTCTCATACAGCGAGGGTGAGAAGTTCCTGGACAAGCTGCACGCTAGCGGACGTCACTTCATCCCCATTGTTGACTCTGCTATCTACATCCCCAACCCCAAGAATGCCTCCGATGCGTAAGTCACTCTGTTTCTTTGCAACTTGACGGCTGCTGATGCTTCGCTAGCTATGACACCTACACTCGTGGCGCCAAGGATGGTGTCTTCCTGAAGAACCCTGATGGAAGCACCTACATCGGTGCTGTCTGGCCTGGATACACCGTGTTCCCCGACTGGCACAACCCCAAGTCCGTTTCGTGGTGGTCTAACGAGCTCGACATCTGGCACAAGAAGATCGCGTATGACGGCATCTGGATTGACATGAGCGAGGTCTCCTCCTTCTGTGTTGGAAGCTGCGGAACTGGCAACCTCACTCTGAACCCCGCCCACCCTCCTTTCAGTCTGCCTGGTGAGCCCGGTAACATCATCTACGACTACCCTGAAGGCTTCGCTGTTACCAACTCTACTGAGGCTGCAGCCGCTTCGGCGGCTGCTTCTAGCCAGGCTGCCGCGGCCGGCGATGGTAGCTCGGGAGCGTCGTCGACAGTGTCCTACTTGCGCACCACTCCTACTCCGGGCGTGCGTAACATCAACTACCCTCCCTACACTATAAACCACGACCAGACTGGCCACGACCTCGCCGTGCACGCCGTGTCTCCTAACGCCACTCACATTGACGGTGTCGCGGAGTACGATGTGCACAACCTCTGGGGCCACCAGATCCTCAACGCTACCTACCACGGTCTGCTGAAGGTTTCTCCCTCGAAGCGTCCTTTTATTATCGGTCGCTCGACGTTTGCTGGTTCTGGAAAGTGGGCTGGTCACTGGGGTGGTGACAACTACTCTAGGTGGGCCTACATGTACTTCTCTATTCCCCAAGCGCTGTCCTTCTCTCTCTTCGGTGTCCCTATGTTCGGTACCGACGCCTGTGGTTTCAACGGCAACACCGACGAGGAGCTGTGCAACCGCTGGATGCAGATGTCTGCCTTCTTCCCCTTCTACCGCAACCACAACGTCCTCTCTGCCATCCCGCAGGAGCCTTACCGCTGGGCCTCCGTCATCGAGGCTTCTAAGTCCGCCATGGCAATCCGTTACGCCATCCTGCCTTACTTCTACACCCTGTTCCACCTAGCTCACACCACCGGCTCGACCGTCATGCGTGCCTTGGCCTGGGAGTTCCCTAACGACCCGTCCCTGGCTAACGTCAACACCCAGTTCCTCGTGGGTCCCTCTATCATGGTTGTCCCCGTGCTTGAGCCCCTGGTCGACTACACCAAGGGTGTCTTCCCCGGCATTAAGCAGGGCGAGGTCTGGTACGACTGGTACACCCAGACCGCCGTTGACGCCCAGCCCGGTGTCAACACCACCATCCCCGCCCCTCTGGGTCACATCCCCGTGTTCGTCCGCGGTGGCAGCATCCTCCCCATGCAGGAGCCTGCCCTCACCACCCGTGAGGCCCGTAACACCCCGTGGTCCCTCCTCACTTCTCTCAGCAGCCAGGGCACTGCTACTGGTAAGCTGTACCTTGACGACGGCGAGAGTCTCTACCCCAACGCTACTCTCAGCGTTCAGTTCCAGGCCTCCAAGAACAAGCTCACCGCTATGGCCCGTGGTAACTGGAAGGAGGCCAACCCGCTGTCGGAGGTGACCGTTCTGGGTGTCACCGAGGGGCCTCATAACGTCACCTTCAATGGCCAGACTGTTCCTGGCTCGGATGTGAACTACAATGCTACTTCACACGTTCTCTCCGTGTGCGGTCTGCAGGCCATGACTGCGGACGGTGCTTTCAGCAAGCACTGGACCCTCATGTGGTAAATGCACTGCTCCGGCATGTGACATTGGGGATAGATGATTGTTGTGTTCATTAGTTGAATTGTTATATTCTGCCAATCCCAGACTAGAGATTATTTCCTTGAGATACCTCCTCACTTCACATGTAAGACGACCTAGTCGAATCTCAGCCAAGGCACTTGGATGAATCCGTTTAACCTACCACCTAGAGAGTCATTAGTTGTTGTCCAGGGCTTCCATTTCAGCAAAATCGTCAGCCGCAGTCTGAATAGTGATCCTGGGATACCTCTTCGGCCAATATCCGAATGTCTTACTACATACTACTATTGTTTCGTCTGTCTGCATGAAACATGTGCATTCCCCAGTTGTGATCTCAAACAGGCTAATATCATACACCGAATTAGTGCTGATTGTACCACCACCTCATCAACTACTCACAATGCAAGAAGACAAAAGAGACAATGAAAATCAGACCATATCATACTGCTAATCATCTACAACACCCTCCAAGGAACCAATGGCATTTTTCAAACACCCTCACTATCCCATAGTCCATCAACATCAACCCTGCATGTATACATACATCCTCCTCGCTAACTATAAACCGCCCCATCGGCGAAAAGCCGCCATCAGGGAAATGATCGACGACCACCCCTCTCATCTATCCCATCCATCACCAATCACTACACTCCCAACTCCCGTCCCAACTCCACGATCACCCTGCAATACCAAGGCTTCTAGCGCATTCTCTCACTCTCATTGCCCGTCCCTGGCTGGCCGACGATCCTCGCACAAGTTTCCCACTAACAGAACCCACGACACTAGCAGAAGTGTGTACCTGACATCGGAGCCCGTCTTGCTCCGGCATGACGGCCTCGCTCGCACATGTGAGATCGGGAACTGAGCGCATCATCAGTGATTCCTCCTGATCATGGTGGAGCTGGGGCCGGGGGCAACAAGCTTGTGCCGAGGATCTACAGCCGTCTCTTACTGCTTTGGCTCGGGGAGGCCCATTTCGAGACGTGATCCCCATCTGTTACTACTCCTTTGGTTGCCTTCCTGTCTTCACCGCGCTCTGGACTTGGGGGTTAGTTCGCTTTGACCGGGGACGGACATTCACTGGAAATTTATCGGCACGCCGATCCGGTCTGTGTTCTGTGATCTGTGAGTCTTCGTGCCTTGCTCGGTCCCTCCTCCTTTTTGTATGAATTATAGTAGCGCTGGGGGTGGCGTCCTTTTTGCTTTCTGCACCCCGCAAAAAAATGCATTCTCTACCCGGTACACCTCGCTAATGCCGGGGTAAACCTGGATAGACCAAGTCAATTGATATATAGCCGGCATATTCCCCATCCTTCATCGGCTCTTCAAAGCCGACGCTTGGAAAGCCACTATGGTCTCCTTCTCACGCTGTGTGCTGCTTGCGGGCCTCCTGGGCTCGGCAATTGCTGCGACGCCTGCGCAATGGCGCTCGCAATCAATCTACTTTATGCTCACGGATCGATTTGCGAGGACGGATGGCTCGACGACGGCGCCTTGCGATACTAGCAAGAGGGTACGTACTGCCTGTTCAGTTATTCTACGGAGTTGGAGTTGTATAGCTGATCTTAACTAGGAATATTGCGGTGGTACATGGAAGGGTATCGAGGACCACGTAAAGAACTTTCTCTCACCTTTCTTGCCCGTACGGTACTGACTCCCGCCTTAGCTGGACTATATCCAGGGAATGGGTTTTACAGCCATCTGGATTACCCCGGTCACTCATCAACTCCAAGGAGACACGGGATATGGAACAGCCTACCACGGCTACTGGCAACAGCACATGTATGTCTACAACGAAGGCGTCAAATTCATCTCTCAACTGACTGGACGACAGCTACGAGCTCAACTCCAACTACGGTACAGCCGATGATCTCAAGTCACTGGCTTCGGCTCTGCACAAGCGAGGGATGTACCTCATGGTTGACGTCGTGGCTAACCACATGGTAAGTTCTCCAGACTCTACAGTCGTTTCCGTCATGCTAATGAACACCGATAATAGGGCTACGACGGTGCCGGCAACACAGTGGACTACAGCGTCTTCGACGCCTTCAACAGCCAGAGTTATTTCCACCCCTACTGCCTAATCACAAACTACGACGACCAAACCGAGGTGGAAGAGTGCTGGCTCGGAGACACGACCGTCTCCCTGCCCGATCTCGACACCGAGTCGAGCGCTGTGCAAAATATCTGGTATAATTGGGTCGGATCACTTGTCTCAAACTACTCCAGTATGATTCTCTCCCCAAGCGCATGACTGTTCCCTCTAACTGTGAGCTATAGTTGACGGTCTGCGCATCGACACTGCCAAGCACGTCCAGAAAGACTTCTGGACTGGGTACAACAGCGCCGCTGGCGTTTACTGTGTTGGCGAAGTCTTTGATGGTGATCCATCCTATACCTGCCCCTACCAGGAAGTCATGGACGGGGTTCTCAACTACCCAATGTGAGTATAACCATTTCCCAGGGAACGAACAAACAATGTCTGAGTGCAGCAGGTACTACCCCCTCCTCCGTGCATTCGATTCCACCAGCGGAAGCATCAGCGACCTCTACAAGATGATCAACACGGTCAAGTCCACCTGCAAGGACTCAACCCTTCTAGGAACATTCTTGGAGAATCACGATAACCCACGCTTTGCCTCGTACGTCCACCACAACGCAAACGGCTCATTCAACTTAAACATACTGACGCAAACCAGATACACCCAGGACATGTCCCTCGCCAAGAACGCCGCCGCATTCACCGTCATGGCAGACGGTATCCCGATCATCTACGCCGGCCAGGAACAGCACTACGACGGTGGCGCCGACCCGGCAAACCGCGAGGCAGTCTGGCTATCCGGGTACAACACCGATGCCGAGCTGTACAAGCTCATCGCCAAGGCGAATGCCATCCGCTCGCACGCTATTGCCAAGAACAGCGGGTACATCACGTACAAGGTAAGCAAGATCCTTCAACGTCTTTCAGTATGAAACCCTCCTCTAACGCCAGGCAGAACTACCCAATCTACCAAGACACCAACACCCTCGCCATGCGTAAGGGCCTTAACGGCTCGCAGACCATCACCGTGCTCTCCAACAAAGGCGCAAGTTCGAACACGTACACGCTCCCGCTGTCTGGGACGGGCTACGCGGCTGGCACGAAGTTGACGGAGGTTATCACTTGCGCTAATGTCACTGTTGATGCGAGTGGGAAGGTCCCTGTTCCTATGGCTGGTGGGGAGCCGAGGATTTTGTACCCGAGTTCGTTGTTGGTGGGTTCGGTGGTTGGGTGTTAGAGACATCTTTTGGGGAAGATGGCTGGGATAGAGGGGACTAAGATTGGGGATTGTGGTATATAGGTCTTTGGGGTTTTGAGATAGTAGCGACATGCGCCAATCTTATACGTAGATGTTGACTACAACGCGTTGAATACAGTCGATACTTGGACGGATGTTTAATCGACCGCTACAGCTACAAGTGACTGTAAAACAACAGGGATATCCATGTGGCGGCGAATTTGGCTAGGAAGGAAGCACATCAACTTTACAGTAGACTCAGCTGGTCACTGCTCTGCAGAATTATTAAAACGTAGCGTATAGAAGTAAAAGCAACTATATAGGAGTCCGGCCCATCTACACACAAGAAACAACTTCCATCCATCTACCCAACCCTTCACAGAACCCTTCCCGATCTAGAAATCATGCATCGCCCGCGGCACCAAGCTGACAGGCATCGCACCACCCACCGGCGCCGGGTGCTGCTGAAACATTCCCGGCGCGGAGAACGCCGGTTGAGGCGCGACATAGCCAGGAGGGATAAGCTGCTCAAAGCAGGCATACGAGTCAACGAGGCCATCCATCGGCCCCGCAGCTGGGATAAGATGCGAGAGATCGATACTCTCTGTCCTGGGCGGCGGAGGCGGCGGTCCGAAGATGGTATTCTTCAGCACGTCCGTCGCAGGCGAGGACTGGTCTGTACTGGTGGTAGCGGCCTCGTTGTAGCGGCGCTGCATCTCGCCGACGATGAAGGCTATCTGTTGTAATTCTGAGGAAGATTGCTTGTTTTGTTTTCTTCTGGACAGAAAACTTGAGGGTTTATATACACATGCAACCTCCAGATTGATTTCCAATCAAAGCTGGCAATTCTGTGAGGTTAGGAATTGATTACGGTACGATACGACATATCACAACACATCGTGATGGAAGTTCCGAGCGAGCCCTTCAAAACCTTCAGCGTCGGCAGTGGTGTTGGAATCATGCTGGGTGTGCTTTTTGGCTGCCTGCTCATCGGTGTTGTCTTCTTCGTGCCCTACTTCCAACGTCGTCTAGGCAAGGGTGACATTCGCGTCAAGTTCTACCATCTGCCTCTTCGACCTATGCTGTTGGTGGACAACTGCCCGTTGTACTTCCCGTCCAAGAGCGATGCCGTCGTCGTCGACTACTACGAGGATTCGTATGGCGAGGTGGTGGCTGGACGCGACTTCCGTCGTTATTATGGGCCACTCTGTAGGTTGTACTATTGCTACCATCATCACTGGCTCCTACAAGGGCACAGAGGGGTATCCGTTATCCGGATCACATCGGGCTTCGGTCCGGAGCTGATTCCTGAGGTGCGCGAAGCCTTTTATTCTTTGGTGACCCCAACAGAAGACCGGATTTTCTTCGATCGTGCTATGAGGGATATGATGATGGTGCAGCTCCCAGCTCGGAAAGTGGCCCACCCCGAGGTATGGGAGCTCAATGTTCGTCTGGATAAGGGAATTCCCACTGCAGAGCTAATTGATGGGAATCGACAATATCTCGACTACTGGCAGAAGTATAGCCATGCGATCAAGGTCCCTGTGATGCATGCGATTAGCGAGTTCGACGGAATGTTCATATCGACCCCCGATATGGCCAAGCGTATGGCGAGGCCTTCTCTGCGAGTCCACGGAAAGAATGTGGAATTGTGCCTATGTCTCCAAATTGTATTGAACTTAGCCGCCAAGGCCGAGGATGGTCGGCGCGGTGCTGTGGGTTTGCACTGGAATGTGCCGCAGCCAACGTGGTGGCGAAAGAGTAATTGGGTTTTTTGTCAGTTGCTACTTCAAGCTCCAACGAGCTTTATCGGCTCCGCTTATCGTTCACAAGTGTTAGCAATTGCACTACATTTCGGGCAGATTGCATGTTGAATGAACTCCATGTTGGATTCTGAACGCATCCTTCTGTATCTTTGCAAAGCACGCGCAGTACATACGAAAATAGGGCGGGAAGAGAGCAATATTATGTTTTTCATTGGCTCAGTCCACGACATCATAATATGAATTGAGCTAGAAAGATTCCGAATGTGACAGGCCCCTTCGCACAATTCAAACTAACACCAATCGGGCATCATAATTACAGCCTTGGGTTAGCGAACCACAAAGGAAACAAACTTCCCCCGTCCACTGCAGGATTGAAACGAGAATCACGCTTTCAGGAATCAAAAGTCCCAAAACCTTCGACAAATTTAGGGTGTAGAAACCTTCTTGATCTCAAATCCAGTGACACTTCGCCGGCAATCCACACCTTAATCCGACTCAAAAGAGACACTACAGTAGCCTTCTATTCTAATGGCGATACCGACAAAGATCACTGAATCATATGTCGAAATCGGAATCCCTGGCTTTTGAGTCAACATATTCTTCCCTGAGCTCCCGACTGGCACTTTCTACAGTGGGGGGCAAAGCCCAACCGAAAGCCATCTTTTTCCATATCGACCACGCCGCTAGTGAATTCCCTAACAGGAACGACGACTGGGCTTTATCGCACAAGTGAACAAAATTGTGCGACCTATTCTTGAACCAAAAGATAAAAAGTGGGAATACATATCTATGAGCATCCTTGAGAAATTTGGAGAGTCAACGGCATGATTCCGACCGTCGAGCATCCCCAGATATGGCAACAATGGGTCGAGAAAGACGAGCCCATGGTATAAGATGAGAATAAAGCCTAGTCTAGTGACAAAAAGGTCGATTTGGCGCATTGTTGGAGATCTACCTGGATCAATGATACCGCTAGTGTAAATAATTCAAGTAATCCGTCACGGACTTAGGCCCTGGCTGGATGTCGCACTGCAAATACGATAGCAAATGCCTCTGATATCTCTATCTATGTTCCTTTGCAACAAAGTTTCAACTACATACGACCATAGGGTGTGGAGAACAGGGCTTCCCGTCCGCTCAGCCGTACTTAAGCCACACGCCGGCAGGTTAGTAGTATGGTGGGTGACCACATGCGAATCCCTGCTGTTGTATGTTTATTTTTCATTTTTTTGCCCCCTTCATCTCAAAGCCACGAGACTGCGAACAAATTCATGGAGAAGGAGTTTAGCCGAGGGTTCAAATATGCATCAATAGCACCCACGCGACGGGCCAATCAGGTTGAATTTATTTTTTAAGAACGATTCAAGTTCAACGATAGGGATATGACATCAAGGCCGAGTAACGTCATCACCGCCAACAGGCGCAAGGCACCAGGGGCCGACAGTATATTCTTTTTTGATAAACCTGATTTGGGGCAGAATGACGCAGAAATATCAATACCAAGCCATTTTCAGGTACCAGTCGTACCTTTTGACTCGGTGATTTCACGTCTACTTCATCCATATCCATCAATCCCTGCAAGCCACATCCTAAAATGGGCTCCTTCTCGCGAATCCCTTCACTGTTACGGATGCCTGTTTCTTTTTTGCCTGTCAAGCGCAACGTGATCAACGCCTCTAGCCTGCGGGCCTACAGCCAGGAAACCAACCAGAAATTCGCACAAGCAAATGCACACGAATCGCAAGAAGAATGCGACCGTAACAACACTCCGAATCATCCGATTCCTTCCAACGACTCCCAGCCGACTCTGCGAGATGGCAGACAGTCCAATTTATCTGATATGGAGGGAGTCAGACATGATAATCTACCAGAGGACGTGAGGAAGCATAATGAAGACATGGAACACCGCTATGATCGACCCTACAATCATATCGCGGGCGAGGGCAAGGCTGAGAACGCATTTGAGCAGAAATTAGTGTCGCTACTGAGGTTCTTTGGAGCTTAGATCATATAAAGTGCTTACTGTTCACTGTATCTGTGTATGAGCGTTTGCATATTTGATTGCCCATTTCATATTCTCTGCGGTCGCATCATTGGTTAACGGATGCCGGCAGCGTCGCATCGGTGCTCCAGGGTCAGGATATGCACTCCTAATTCCTTTCTCTCCTCAACGACCTTTCTGTATACTCAAATCTATTCCCGAGTCTTTGCACCTTCCCTTCCCTCGATACTTTCCAGATCCGCGTAGAGTCTCCATTGATAGTCTAGTTTCGGGTTGTTAAACCTGATCTGCGCGTCGAGTTGCTCAATGGCCACCATATCCTCGGGGTCAAGCTCGAAATCTCCCTCGATATTTTCTTTGATTTGCTAGTCGATCGTAATCCTGGGAAAAGCAGAGCGACCGCTGTTGATGCCCCAAGCCAGGACAATTCAGACGGCACTCTTTCCGTACTTCTGGCCAGGATCTTGCAGAAGAGGCTGATCAATCACCCGGATCACGTGGGAGATTCCTTTGCTCCCTCCTGCTTTTCCATAGATGTTATTCATGTTGTCAGGAGACCTGAATTGTATCACATGGATTCTTTGCGGCTTCAGCCAGTCATCGAAGCCCTACTGTTGGAGGCATAGGTGGAGCTCCATTTGGTGAACAGCAGGAACGTTTGCTCGAAATGAGGAGGAAACCAGTTTGGTAAGACCACGAAGCTTGCCATGGAGGATTCGTCCACAAAGTATACCGCTTTCCCTTTCTGAGATTGGAAACTCCAGGTGATTTTGTCTTTCCGTTTTGGGGAATTTTTCATGGGTTTCCACATTTGAACAGATGTCGTCTGTTAATGAGACATCTTTCTGTTGTCTCTTGGAAAACACACAGTGTTTCTCGTGATAGAGTATGGATAACGTATCGTGAGAAGATGAACATGTGGCGTATCATTAGCGAGCGACTCATCGAGCGCCTTCTCAACATCGTCCGAGATAATTGTTGGACCAGAGTTTTGTACCGGGATACAGATCCTCTCTGTTTACCCCTATGTTTTAGATGCCCTGCCCGGATTCTTTCCCAACGTTGTAGATTCTTGCAGTGTCGATCAAACGAACACGCGGTTTGAGAGCCTGAGGGACGGCGTCGACCCGCGCCTCATTATCTTGGAAGGTCTGAAAACCGTTGGCAGAAATATCGGCTTGAGTATGGAGGCTGAATTGTGTTCGGTGCGTGGATACCACCTTGTGGTGACTTTTCGTATATCTCAATTACGACGGGGTATGGCATCGATTGAGGCTGACGGGCGTCGGCATGGAAATGGAGGATTGGCGAGATGTGAGTGCTAATATGACGGTTAAGTCTCACATCGAAAATTTAGAATGGGGCTCTGGGCTGTGTACCTCCCCCCCCATTTCCTATGGATCTCTGCTTCTTTGCCCGCCATAGCTATAGAGCGTAAGTGAGCTGATGACCGTGTAAGGGCGCTGGCTATCCACGTTTTCGTGCTTGGTATGAACGAGGTAATGAGCGGGCTCTGGCAAGTAAGCAAGACAAGGCGGAGGGATTATCAATGATGAGGGAGCAAAGTTTCATGTTCGTTCTCTCAACGAAGCCTGGGTTGTCACATGACCCAGAGCGCCTGAGGCGCAAACAATCAGGGCATGTTCGATTTCGTTGCGCCAAGAAATGATCATCCTGGATGACACCCGTTGAAAGTCTCCAATCCACTGATGGTAAGCAGCTTACATTAGCGCCGGAGCACGCTCGTGCCAAGAAAGGCTTTGCGATGATCCAGAAATTCAATCACACGCGAACCAGAATTCCGGGCTGTGAACGAGGTAAGGACCTTGGTCAATCGATCCCGCATCTACCAGACTCTCTTCTTGGATCGAGAACCCCTACACGTTCTTGGAACAGCAGTACGTGGTCTTGGCGGATGACAGCATTGCGTGGTTCAGTACCCACAATCAGTTATAAGACCGTGGGCTCGGCTCGCAACTGAAGGTTGAGGTATCTGTTCTTTGCAGTCCTTACCCAGACCTCCTTTCTCGATCTTTCTAAGGAGAATAAACACCATAGTCATGGATACGGCGATAGCAATCATTGTCGCACTCGCTATGGCGATGTGCGCTTTCGCCCAGAATATTTCGTATGGTGCCGATAATTTCTATCGAAGCAACAACGTGACGATTCAGCCAATCAGCTTCCCAACTCATTACCAAACGACTGTCGGAGGCAATCTCTTCTATCCCAAGACACTGAACGGCAGCACCAGCTGGCCGGCTGTAATCGTCGGTCACCCGATGGGTGCCGTGAAGGAGCAGAGCGCCAACCTCTACGCAACCAAATTGGCCGAACAGGGATTTGTCACGGTCTCCATCGATGTTCCATTTTGGGGCGCCAGCGAAGGGGAGCCACGCAATGCGGTCTTACCTGATCTCTACGCAGAGGCATTCAGTGCGGCAGTCGATTATCTCGGTACCCAGAGCATCCTCCAAGTCGACCGCGAACGCATCGGCGGTCTGGGTATTTGTGGTAGCGGCTCTTTTGTGATTAGCGCTGCGAAGTTAGACCCACGTCTCAAAGCCATCGCCACATCCAGTATGTACGATATGGGCACACTCGCTCGTCAGGGCCTTCGGAACTCGCAAAATATCGATCAACTCAAGGAAGCGATTGCCGAAGCAGCCCAGGAACGCTGGAACGAGTTAGACGGTGGCGAGGTCCAGTACACCAGTGGTACTCTGGATCACCTCACGGCAAATGCCACCTCGGTCGAACGAGAGTTTTACGACTATTACCGCACCAGGCGTGGCGAGTTCACACCTGTCGGATCTGCACCGAACCTCACCACTCACCCCACGCTCTCCACATTCACTAAGTTCGTCAATTTTTACCCATTCAATGATATCGAGACCATCTCGCCCCGTCCGATGCTGTTTATCTCGGGCGACCAGGCGCATTCTCGTGAGTTTAGCGAAGACGCCTATTCGCGTGCTAGTGAGCCGAAGGAGCTTCTCTGGGTACCAGGCGCCGGGCACGTCGATCTCTACGATCGCACTGAGCTTATCCCATTTAAAAGACTCACAGAATTTTTCGAAGCGGGTCTTGCTTGAAAAGAACAAGCAAGTATCGGGTGTCAATGGCTGCTACGTATCCATTCTGTGTGATTGAACTACCTAATCTTTAGTGAGAATCAGGCTTTTACTGTGGATGTCCTCGGGACGGAGGGACGAGATGGAACATTTGATAAATGACGAAGCTTTTGCATCACAAATGTATTTAGTTTCGATAGTTCAAAATTTCTACCGTTACTCAATGAATCAGGCAACTCGTCTCGGATGTAACTGAGTACAGGTAGTTAACATTGTGAACTGTTCGTGTCGCCTGTCTATTATTTAGTTTCAAGTAGGAGTGTATATAAGACCACCATGCCCTTTAGGACGACACCAGCATGCAACGGCCTAAACATAAACGGTTTTCAAACCACCCAACAGGTGAAGAGTTAGAAGGAGACAGGGTCTACTCCGACACCTCATAATGCATTGTGTCATGAAATCCATCTTGGAATTTTCCTAGGTAGCCTTACGATACTTTTTGGTTGCTCATTCAACTTAAGTCGCATAGTCCGAAAGAACCGACCAATCAAACAGGGGACTTTTGCTTACGCGGATCCACTCACAGTTTCGGGTGGGGTGTCTGATGTTAACCAATAAAACTGCTCATATGGCTCGATAAGCTCAGGGCCCACATGGAATCCCCCGATGTGGGCGCAATGCCAAGCCTCGCCCAACAGGCAGACAAAATTTTCGTGTCGAGTGGCTTGGGTGGAGGTGCTAATCAGCGAGATGCATTATTGGCTCCACCTGTGCTTTATTAACCATCTACAACACTTTTAGCTCGTCATCATATCGCATATATTACCATCCACACGATGACAGACCCCTCGCAAGGAGCGCAGATCATTCCACTCAGCAAGATGCCCCAGCAAGCTGGCGTCCGTGACGCTCGGGACGATTGGACTGGAGTCATAAGTCGGAAAGAACGAAGAAAATTACAGAATCGACTGAATCAGCGGCGCTACCGTATGTACTGTTTTCGTCCCAAGTTATTTTTGTCTCAACTGACAATTCACTAGGGTTGAGAAAGCAAGATAATGGAGCAGTATCGAATGCTGACATCATTGCTACCCCTTCCGCTATACCGTCCGCATCTAGAGTGCAACTTCTGGATTCCTTCAAGCTTGAGAGGCCGGAAGCTTTTGAATGCGCAAGAGCGCCTTCATTTGCTTTGGAGTTCCGTAAATGGTTTGAGATGAAAGCGTACCAAAGCTTTATGTCCGGTATGCCGAACAGAGACCACCTTATTAGCCTTAGCCGACTCAACGTGCATCGAGCCATCAATGAGAACATTGCTGCAGTCGGAATGACCTCCGCCTGGATGAAGAGCGATGATGCGATATCAATATTCAATCTCGCACAACCCAGTTTCTCAGTCGAGGGTATCCCACCTTGTTTACGACCGACATTCATCCAGTTACATATTCCCCATCATCCCTGGCTGGACTTCTTTCCATTCCCACGCATGCGCGACTGCATGATTCTTGCTGCCCAAGGTGATTCTTTCGACGATGACGACTTATGTCATGACCTCATGGCTTTTTGGGATACAAGAAACACCGCTGCGACCTTACTTGTGTGGGGAAACTCGTGGGAAGCCCAACATTGGGAAGTTACAGAGGGTTTCGCACAGAAGTGGAAATGGCTGCTCCCTGACTCGCCTGAGCTTCTGGCTTCTACAAATCGGTGGAGAAGATCTCGAGGGGAACGGCCTTTAATCTGGAATGATATTCTTTCTGGGTCATAAATGCGACAGACATGTTGTAATTACCATGAGCGTCTTTATTGTTTTTGATTGCGTTTGTATAGAGCTTCATTGGTGTTGGACAGAGCAAGATATCCACGGCAATATTCTAGGAATCGGATACATTATAGTATGTTCCCTGATAATCGAGTTAGTATACCCGACACAAAGACCTTTTCCGTCTTTGCCAAAAAGCAATGTGTTAGATTGATCGGTATTTTGGGGGAAAAATCAAAAGGCCAAGAATTCGCCAAGTCTTTGATTACCTTGGACCCATGGGTCCATCGCGTAAGCCTTAGCCGGTTATTTTTATCTTAACTCCGGCAACTTTTGATATTACAAACCAACACTAGTAGCGCAACTACAGGGAGGGAGGGGAAGGGGCTGCTTAAGTCCGACAAAAACACTTGAGATGCTTGCAAACTTCTACATTTCCCTTTTCATTGCTCAGCTGCATTGAAAGAGCCTCTCAAATCAAATCACAAAGCGCTGATCGCATAATCGAAAAGACGCCATGAATTTGATTTTCTTCATTTCCCTGCTCAGTGTCGGGACGATCGCAATTCCAACCTCAACGCCAGATCGAAAGCTCGACAACCCCTTGCAATTTATTGGACCCTCTTCACAAGACGCGCGACCAAGTCTATCAACCGAACATTCGCCAATGAGACGGTACTTGCGACCAAATATAAAAGCTCAACCTCTTCATCAGCATTCACATCTTGACCTCCCTGGAGTTGATGATTATGAGAAGCACGTTGCGTACTGCGAGGCTGGGTCTGTCCCCGATTGCCAAGCAGCCGTCGGGTAACCGGAATGGGATTTATTCTGACCACAGCACAGCCGATTCTTTGGTTTCGGTGATATACTCGAAAGTATCGGACATGATGCATTGCATGGGATCGTTCAGGCCATATATCCTCTCTTCTTGTTGTTGCTCAAACTCCTGTCTTATCATTTTTGGTAACGCGTATGATACGTCTTCTTAAAACTCTTCGAAACATTTATCTCTGCTTCTTCCCTATTTGCTAGGAGAGATTACACGACGTGGTCAAATAATATCGCCTATTTTAGGAGCACAGAATGATTTTTCTCTCTATTAATTTATCAATACTGAAACTTGCTCAAGTTTACGACTTCAATGAAATTTGGAAGCGGAAATTGATTCATCTCTTCATTTGAAGTTCTCGAGGAAAAAAGGTAACCTTAGATGAAAAGCCCCATTTCGACAGGTGCCGACTTAACTTGGTCTTTCTGAATGCTCTCAATCAAAGAGTCTTCCGGGTAATCCTCAATGTCCAGATCCATATATCCTCTTGATGACCATTTTCTGCCCGAAACAAAAAAAGAGCGACCATTAACAGTGCTGTCATTGAGGATTCTCAGGAGGCACTGGGCCGCATCAGAAGCCTCCGCGAAATCCACCCCGACCCTTTTGACGTGTGCAAAGGCCTCTTCGGAGAGAATATTCGTTTTAACATACCTGCTTTCATCAGTGTCGGATGCGGAGAATGGAATTAATGTATTCTTTACCAGGGCGATATGATATTCACGCGGCTTCTGTAATAGAAAGTCGTTCCCCGCAATGAATGCATGATGCCTCGCATCGCCCATTTTGTGGCGCAATACTGGGGTGCCCGGGGACAGTCCAAGAAGGCAGCACCGGATCCGATCAAGATCAAGCATGTGTCTTCTTGTGACGGAGATGGTTTTTGACCATTCTGTTTGATGAAGTAATGCGATGCGAGCTTCGAGGTATATAATGTCCCGATGAGATTGACATCGATAGTGGTGAGATCCGGCTTTTTGGGCTCGTTTCCGTCTCCGACATAGGAAAAAACTTCGTCCTTGCGATGAATCCCAGCATTTGCGACTACAAAGTGGATTTTACCAGACTGGGAGAACGACACTGCGTCTCGAAACAGGCGGACTTGGTCATCCCAGTTCGAAGTATCGCAGTTCACGAATTTTGCTCTTAGGAAGAGTTAGTGTATATAAATTCGCCATTTGTAGGGGTCATACTTTTTGAACTCTTCTTCAAGTCTTCTTCCTCTTTCAACGTCACGATCGGCGATCACCACCGTTGCACTGGAAAGGATGTGAGTATTCGATGCTCGCAATTCAGAGTGATTCGTTATCGCCTTACCCTGCTGCAAGGAGAGCACGGACATATGCCTCACCAAGTCCGTTCGCACCTGAATATATCAGCCTTGGCCCTTGGAGTCGGAAGTCACAGGAAAAGGTACCACCAGTGACAATGGCAGTCTTGTCTTTGACCATGCTGGTGTTCACGTCCACATCGCACTTGACGGGCGAGGTATACCTAAAACTAGCCATCAGGAAGAAGATTTCTTCTTGGCAATGAAAATCGAGTTGGATGTATGGATCCGTCGGAAAAGCTATGTCCGAGGGCCAGCTTCTTTAAAGGCCAGGCGATGTGCTTCTCCATTATTTATTCCCAGGAAGAGTGGTCGATGTGGAGACCTCTAAATACGCTAATGCCAGTTGCTTACTCCCTTCAACTCAAAATTCGATGCCTTGACTTTTGCCTGAGGCAATAAATCCAGGATATATTATCACGTGATCAAAATGGAATCAACAGGTCCTACTACGGCGAAGCGTGCAGTATCTCCTTTAATTCATCCGACAATGGATAAACCTGTTCGTCGGGCAAAAGCTTTCTTGCGGCCTCGAGATTGCCCGCCTGTACAAGTGCGCTGATTTGGTGTATCGTGTCCGTGACATCCACAATGGAAACAATCCATTCGTCAACATATTTCTTCACGGCTTCAGGGTCAAGTCCAATCTGAATAGCACGATGGTCCAAGGGGCGAAACCGGAAATCACGCTCAGGATCCCACTGGACACGGACGGGACTGGCTTGCAGTTGCTGCTTCCATTGCTCCTTATCCATGGCGCTTTCCTCCCCTTTGGCACACCAGTGACTCAAACACGAATTCCCAAGGGCCCATTCGAATCCTTCACGAGTAATCTCAATAGATAACACGCGCTCTTGGCGCTGCTTTGTTGCCCATCCGCTGCGGTACGCCATCCATAGGAATGAGGGTTTGATCCAGGTCATCCGAGTGCGGGAGAAAGGTGGCTGGAATTTCTGGGCTGCGAGTGCTGGGTTGGCAATTTCGGCGGGGTAGGCTTGGTAAACGGTGATAGTTGTTGTTGTGTAGACTGCGCGGATAGCTCGGTAGCTTTGGTGGTTCGAAGCTTGATGTTTTGACATTTTGTTGCGATTGCTTATTGTTGCCAGTCACGAATATCCGAAATAATTTTCTTGTTTGCTCTTCTGTCCGGAAAATTCGTCATTGAATAGACAATTTATACACCACGATCTCAGCCTCATTCATAAGCTTCGTCGACTCCTAGTTATTTAGTTGCTCAGCCACTCTGAGTCACAACTCTCGTATTAACAGTGCCGCGAGGTTCGATCTCAACACCGCCGAGATTTGCGGAGTAAAGTGGAGTACGCAAAGGGGGTGATCGTCTCTCCACGTCAAGAACCACTGGTAAATACTGTTCTCAGCATGAGAGTATAGTCACGTTGATTGAGTATGGCAGTTTTCATAATTCATTCTCTTTTACCGCCCATTTGCACAGCAATTGCCAATTAGAACGACCCCGTGCAATTCTGTTGTCTTTACCGCAACTTGCAGAAACCATGGCTATAGGTTTACATTTCTTTATTTTCTTTCCGTTATTCAAATTTCATGTGTTTCCCGGCAAAATAACTAGTGACAGAGCTTATTCACCTGAAATAAGTGGTCTGATTCGGCTCAACTCATATTCCGTAGGACTCGGGACCCGCGGACCCCGGCAGCAAGACTTGGCAACCGCAGACCCAGGGCGCTCAATATAAGAAAATAACGAGGCGCTTACTTTCAGATGAGTTTGATTCATCCCTTATCTTTCATCTGATACCTTTCCGTCCATATCACAAATTCACGCAATGGCAGATACAGTCTCTCACAATTACTATCCGCCCGGGGTCAAGTTACCTCATTTCGTGCCGAACGAGGACTCGGTGATTTCATTGATTGCTCGCTTTGGAGCTCTTTGGGTGGCAGTTTCTATTGGAGCAACCTTCTTGATTCGCCGCCTGGACCTGAAAACAAGTTTCGCAGACCAAGTTACTTTCGTCTGGATGTGTCTAAGTTAGCACATATTCCCCCTCCCGGGCAAAGGTCGAGAACGAATCGGCTAACATAAATCAGCGGGATGGATCCATCTCTTTTTCGAGGCTCATTTCGTTCTGAATCACGTAGAGCTGGCTGGTGACCAAAGCCTTTTTGGTCAGCTGTGGAAAGAGTACTCGCTTTCTGATTCTCGGTATTTGACTTCTGACTCGTTCTTGGTCTCCATGGAGGCTGTTACCGCGGTAGGTCAATTTCTTGTCAATTTCTGCGAGCATTTCTTAACTAAATAACCTTAGTTTTGTTGGGGCCCACTGGCGTTCTTTATCGCATATTGCATCGCAGTCAAGCATCCCCTACGATATGCCTTGCAGCTTATCATATCTGTGGGTCAGGTTTATGGTGATGTTCTCTACTACGCCACCAGCTTGCTCAACATTGAATACTGCCGACCGGAGAGATATTATTTCTGGTTTTACTACTTCTTTTTCAATTTCATATGGATGGTTGTTGGTTGCTGTACGTACATCGATTTCACATCCTGTTAAGTTTACTAACCAGTGGTATACAGGCTGTATTTGGCATGCAGTTATCAAGATCTGGGAAGCTTTTGGAAAGCTGGAACAGCTTGAGACTTCACAAAAGAGGAAATGATTTTGAGTCGGTCGTTCCCTAGTTCAATTTGCTTCCAGAAATATCTTGTAATATGAAGGCAGCAAATGTGAGAAAAATATCGACGCCGGGTTCAGGGTACGAAAATCTAGATATCCGTGACTTTGCACTGCCCCTGGACCACCTGGCCACCGACGTGATGACACCTCCACGTTCATGGCCGGTTCTCTACAGAGTCATTGCATCGAACAGAATTCAAAGTTGATTAGATATTGGTTAAGATTCAAATTTTGTATTCAAGCTTCATTCTCACATTGCGGAAAACTTAACTTTCAAACCACAAGTTAGAAAGCTTGATGGAATGTCAAATGATCTTAGGATAGAATGCGTATATTTCATAGACACAAGATTAACGCTTGAGGAACTCAAGCGTATCGCTTTCTAGGCAAGGTCTTGTACCCGTAGATTGACCGCTCATTCTGGCTCGGTCATGCACACGATTCTGCCACGCATCTAGGCAGTAATGATCTCAGTGACTTTTCTCTTGACACAAACTCAATCAAACTTAGGGGGTAGATAGCTTCTATGACCATCAAGAATCAGAAGGCGATATTTTCCTTTCATCCGAGTTGAGGTGAATAGGATGAATAGATTTTGGAGCCATTGGATACTAATTTCACCTGAAATCCAGCTGTTCAGAGACTCTTCAATTCGCCAGTTTTTGAGAAGTCTATTAAGCGAACTAGTCTTATAGTTTTTAGCTTTAAAGATAATATATAATGGGAGAGCAAAGCCAGCTACACTTACTGACTCAATAACAGTCAACTATTCACGATTTCTAGGCTACATAATTGCCCGATAATTATAATACTTAGATTAAGTAACCACTTTCTATACTAATATAAGGCCCATCGCGAAACCAGCCTTATCAAAGTCATAGATATCATCTGATAAGATAGTGATAACACTACCTCAGATGGGCAATGGGCAGAGAGAAGTCTTGCCGAAAAATTCAATTCTCGCATTTACCCCGACAACAGATGTATCACAAGCACTTCGTCTAAAGTAGAGCTACTCATTCTAGGAGCTCATCCTAGTTCGGCCCGGTAACTGTCTCAACTGTAAGGTCCTTCGGCCACACAGGCTGATCAACGCCATTCCCACGAGTCCCAACATTGTACTTCAGCTCCACCTCCTTGTCCGGGAACTGGGCAATCGGCTTGACCCGGACGAACTGGGCATTCACAGACTCCGAGTTTCTAGTTTCGAAGAATTTGAGGTTGAACAAGGTTTCCCGGTCATGCTCGTAAAGGCTATTTAGCATTGCTGGAGTCTGATGCCCCATCGCGTGGTAATGATGGAAAGTCAGATTGCCGTGTCTTGACCATAGCTCTTTCCAGGTGTCGTTGTCGTAGGTACCGCAGGAGCGGACAAGCCACTGTGAGTAGTAGTTGAGCGATACCTGTCGAGATTATTTGAGAGTTAGCAAGCTCGTCTCTTTTGCAATGATATGCAATGACGAAGACATTTACATCAATGCCGTAACTGCCTCCACTCTTCGCTCGTCGCACGAGTGCTTCCAGGACAGCTGTGCAGCCAGCTGCGCCCGTGCTGTACAAAAGTGTTAGTATCTAGTCCTCGTTGTCGGGGTTTGGTTCCTTCCTACCAGTAATCTGAATTAGGGAACACAGGAGTCACCGCCTCATCGAGACCCATTGCTTGCGCGTATGATCTCGAAACACCACAGCACTGTATAAAGCAGTTAGCATCTGCAACCATTCGGAACAGGCCATCGCAGCGATCTCGGGTCTTCTTACCGCATCACTGATTTGCTGCCACCCACTTCGATGACTCCAAGGTCCATGCCAACCATAGCAATTCTCTCGGAGATGCAAAATACCACGCGGCCGATCCTTGACCAAGTCATAAATATCCTGTCGACTAAAACCCATTCGATCCATGACACCAGGTCGGTATCCATCAACAACAACATCCGCATCACGAATGAGATCACGCAGTTTTTCCTTGTCTGCCTCGTCCTTCAAATGCAAGAAAGTGTTCCATTTGCCCCAATTCAAATCCAAGAAAAGTCCAGACATATCTGTGACGTGTGGAGATACGACGCGCATGACGCTCGCGCCCATCTCGGCAAGACTACGAGTGATGGTAGGGCCGGCAATGATTCGGGTTAGATCGACGACCTTCAGGCCGGCCAGTGGTCTCTTAGGCGAGGAGGGCAAGGATTCGTTTTCTGGCCACCATGAGGGTTGCTGGGCGGAACTTTCGTCTTTCATGATCTCGTATAAACCGACTTTGCCAGATGCTTTGCCGTGGTCGCTGGCGAAATACTCAACCGAGTCCCATGCGACTGTGCCTGAGGTGCGAAATTTATCGTTCATGAGCTCGTCGAGTTCTTTGGACTCGAATTGAGAAACAGCCTTTTGGATCCTCTCAACCACCGACTCATAGGTGTCATTTTCCTCGCCTTCCAGTGGTAGTCCCAGGGCTGTGAGTGCGGGTTCTGGGTTCAAATTCCCGTGTATGTGGTAGTAACGACCATCTTTGGTCTTGTAAATATTGGTGGCAAGGGTTCGGTGCAAGCTCGCGTGGGCGCGATGCTTATCCTGGCTCGGGAACAGCTTCTGCAATTCTGGCGAGAATAGATTGACCGGTGTGGGGACCCCATCTTTGATATGCTTTGCGATCAACGGGGACATGAAGAAGAGACTCGCGTGGTTCCTATCCAGAGGGTCAGATTCTAGCAGTTCAATGCGACGCGGACGTACTCACGTATTGATAACAATCTCCACGGGGTCAATCTTGTACTTTCGACATAGGAGGTAGTTGAGCATCGTGGCCTCAAAGGCCTTGACGGCTGATATGCTCTCCGCAAATCTCCAGTTGATCGGTATGAGAGGCTCGTTTGAGCCTTCGAAGCGCACATGTTGACTCAGGTCCTTCATTTCTTGAGGGAGGCTGGCCATCAAGGGGTTTTGCAAGATGCCCTCTTCAAGAACTCGCTGCGCCTCCTTCGGGACGGAGTACTGATCGATAGAGCCCATGCTTGATCCAATCTAGTGCGATATAATTTTATCGAGGATCGTAGGGAGGAGGTTGCGAATGGTTGATGTTGGGGAGGGATTGGTCGCCGAAGGTGTTACAGTATGGCTCCCCGCCTCAGTGGGGACGCCGCAGGTACCAGGTAAACAACCGCGGAGATTATGTACATCTGAAGAAGGTAATGCATTTGCAAATAATGAATAGGATTATGCATGGGGCCGCCACTTTCCAGCCACAAGCTGGGACAGCCACGCTCCGGGCCTATTATGGGCAACGAAATGCGGGGCGCCTGCCGGAAACGTGCCAGTGCCATCACAACCTGAAGCAGCATGGAATTACTCGAGGTACACATCAATCAGGGTGCTTGTCAGAGAGGGCAGAAATACACGAAACTCAAGAAAAAGACAATTATGCTCAGGCGGTATTATAAACCGTCATGAAAGTTCAGCTTCAACATCTGAAATTGAAACCTATGTACAAATTTTACAGTCCATATCCACCAGTGAAGATCGCTCCACCGGCACGGTAGGCTCATCTCCGAGCCAAGCCGCAGAAGCCAAATGCAGCCTTACTTTTCCTGCGTGGTCGTACACAAAGCAAGCTGTCTCTTTGCGAATTATATCCGCGGTGTTCATTCTTGAGAGCTCCAGCCCAAGCAATCGAAACATAATCATCAAGTCCAGGCCCAATGCAGAACCCCAAGCTTAGGAAGAAAGAAGAAGAAGAAGAAGAAGAAGAAGAAATACTAAGCAATGATATAAACAAGGCATAAAGACAACCATGAAGGAGTAAAAAAAAGATCATCCTTGTACTCCGATTGCGAAGCAGGTTTGGCGGCTTCAGGTGCACTTTGAAGTCTTCGTGAAATCGTCTGGTCCCTCGGGAGGTGTGATGAGATTAAGGGTAAAGGTAGACGTGGGAAATATCATGGTCATGCAGGTACGAGATCGGTGCATGCACGTCATGCCGAGCGTCAGACGCAGGAGAAACGCCCGTCAGACGAAGCAAGGAGAGGGAAGATCGACGCGGCAGTCGCCATCTGAGGAAACGAGCAAAGGGACTGTCAGGCGGAAAGCACGGGATTGACAGTTGTCCTCAAGAAGGGGTCGGGAAGAAAGAAGTCGTAATTTTTGTTTTGAGGGGGCATCGGGCGAGCCAAAATTCATCGGCGCTGGAGCTCAGTGGCAAGACAATCCAGGATCTATATTGAATTAATGGGGCGAAATCGCCAAATGATGTTGAGAAATACATACCGTCTCGGGAACTGCACCCTGGTTGTAAAGGTACTTGCCAAGACCACGGACAACCTCGAGTTGCTCGTCAACGGTCAGGCCGTTGATGGCAGTTTCGATGATGTCACCCACATTGGCCTTGTACACGGCAATGAAGCTGTGGTAGTACATGAAAGCAAAGAATCCCATGATAAACTGGCAGTCCATGCGGTCGGTAATACCACCGTGACCGGGAATCGACTCGCCAAAGTCCTTGATATTGAAGGTGCGCTTCAGACCAGAGGCGAAGAATCCACCGAAGGGAGCGATGAGGGAGGCGAAAGTAGCGAAACCAAGAATGTGGAACTGCATAGGCTCAACCCAGAAAGTCTTGTCCAGACCGAACAACTCGAGCGAGAAAGGCTGAGGGACGAAGGCCGGGTTCAAGGTGCACTCCAAACCGGTCAAAACGTTTGAGCCGAGATCGTTCACGGGGCAGATGAAGTACTTGTAGCGCATCAGGACGTTGGTCATGAAATAACCGAAGATAATGGTGCAGATCCAGGCACCAAGGAAACCTTCAACAGTCTTCTTCGGGGACAATTGGATAAGCTGAGTGCGTCCGAAGGTGATGCCGCAAACATAGGCGAAGATGTCGTTCGTAATAACCAGCGAGGCAGGGAGGAAGAACCAGATCATGCCCTCAAAGATGTTGTTCATGACGAAGTGAGCCTGCACCACAATCAGGTACAGGGCCATATGGGTCCAGGCGAACTGAGTGAACTGGAATCGGTAATGACGCTTCTGCAGGGAGCAGACGAAGAACACGAAGCCTATAAGCCCTACATCAGTATACGCACGCTTCAAAATGGGGGCGGAATCGACTTACCCATCACATAGAGCGTGAAACTAATGAAACGGTGGTGAGTGGCCAGCGGAAGCAGCACCTTGTCCACCAGCAGAATGTGCTTGAAATAGTAGATCACGCTCTCGCCGTACAGGAAATACATGGTCGTCGCGAGGAAGTACCAATTCAAGGTCTTGGTGAAACGGAGGTTCTTCTCCTTACTGGGGACGTTGGCGATAGCAATAACCTCCTTGAACGAGACAATCTGGATGGCGGTCACCAGGCCAATGATGTAGATGTGACCGGAGAACATGGCGATGAAGAAACCCGCGATCATCACGAAAGTCCATATCGTCCGGGTAATGAAGGTCTGCTTCTTCTTCTCGTACTCGGACTGGGCGGGTTTCTATGGATTCCACGGAGAACGCGTTAGGCGCGGCGACCGAATAAAGCATCTTGCAATCTGAATACTCACCTCCTCGGGGATCGTGGACTGCTTGGAGACGCTGCCATTTTTGTTGGGACTGGCAGGCTCCGAGGTAGCTTCGCTGACATCGGAGGACACGCTCAGGCGCCGCTCGCCGCTGTTGCGGTGCGGGAACCGGACATTGCGGCGGGACTTGGTCATGATTTGGACAGTTGGAAGAGTGGACCAAGAGAAAAGGGGGTTGCGGCTGAGACGAGGTGTTAAGAAGAAGAAGTGGAGTTACGAAGTTCATGAGCTCATGTGAATCCGAAAGCGGTCAGCTCGACAGGAGTTGGAAATCGCGGCAACAAACCCCCGACTTTTCGGTCCCGCGGAGCTGCGCCTCGCTTTTCGTTTGATTTCTTGCTGTGATGATCCTCGTGCTTTGATCGGCCCCCCATACGCGCTTTGCATTGCTCATCTCTACCCAACGTTCCTTATTCATGGCGGGGGCATGGACGATGATGATTACTTCTCCGACGACTTCGATTCCCTGCCGCCGGGTACGCTGTTCGAGCTAGAGCAGAATGCCTACCAGGCAACCCAGGCTCCGGCTACACAGCATCATGGACAGGCAGACGAAGATGCCAAACTTCATGCTGAGGCGACAGCGGCAGTTCGGCAACCCGCGACCTTGAAGCAACCGCCGCGACTACATAGCGGGTTGACGAACGACTACCATACGCTGGAGGTGGGAGAATTGGAAGCGGAGGTGCATGATGATTTTGAGGGCCACTCGGTGCTTCAGCAGGGCCATGAGGGCCAACAGGATCACCATGGTTTGGTCGCGCAGACCTCATGGCCCGGGCCCGGCAACGGAGGCGCAGACGATGCGATGGAAGTGGACGACTATGGCCAGGCGAATACAAACCAAATGAATGCACGCCTACAGCAGGTAAGTTCTATGGCTGTGGCATTTTTCGGTGCATAATGGCTGACCCTGTCCATAGTTAGAGCAGGAGAGAGAACAAATGCGACGCGAGTTAGCAGAAGCTCAAGCGCTTGCCGAAACAAAGGCCGGGGAAATCGCCATTATACGATCGAAACAAACCAGCATGACTCGAGACTATGACCGCCAGTTAGCGGCCCTACGAAAGGCCATGGCGGACGAAATAGCCAAGCACAAGGTGGAGGTCGAGGCCGCGATGTCAGAAGGCAGGAAGCTTGCGGCAGAGAACACATTTCTGCAGCACGATCTCGCGGAGGAAGCACACCAGCTGCGCAACTTCAAAGTCAGACAACAACGCATTGAAGACAAGGCCGCACCGGTTACCCCGAGAAAATCTCGAGTTCTCCCTTTCCGGGATGGATTCGACGACGATGAGATTGCGGTGGTTTCTCCCACCAAGTCAGCAGCCCGCTCAAAACGAGCAACGCCAACCCACCCCGCAAAGCGAAAACGACAGGCAAGCGAAGATAGTCCTGCGCCTTTGGAGCTGAGTCCCGCCGTGGAGGCGATGATAGTCGAGGCTCCATCTGATATTCCTGGAGCTGATGCAGAGAATGCACGAAAATCTCCTGGTCGTAATGCTCGCGATGAAAAATACATGAAGCGGCTCCTAAATCACCGCTTATTTTCGAGTGAAGAAACCGATATGGAGGCTTTAGCCAAGTACTACTTCCCCGCGGAGCCCAATGGTCCGATCTCTCGGATCCTCCTGGACAAGTTGGCGACTCTAGACACCGGCAGCTTCGTGGTAGACTATATTCATGCGATCGGACCAATATGGCAGCGCGCCATGAAAGAAAAGTTCTACGACCCTGTCCCCCGATTCATGGCAATTGCTCGCTACGTGTTGTCGCTGGATGGCGTTCGGCTACAAGATCTCATCCCGCCGTTGGTAAATGTGCTGCAGTATGCTGTGGAGGTGAATGCGGCCAAACGATTCGAATTCTCGCCAGCACGAGCTCTCCGACAGTCTCCGCAGACACCACAATCTGATCTGCAGCCGCTGGTCGATTCAACTGAGTGTCTGCGGCTTCTGTACCAACTTGCATGTGAGCTGATGCATGTTAAAAGCGCCATGGAAGTCTTCTGGGGCCATATTCGTCACGATTTTATACTTGTCATGCTGCACGGCTCTCAACCTCTCAAGGATATCTCCCTCACTATGCACCTGTTATCAACCAGCATCCGGCCCAACTCATTCGGGCCTATCATGCCCTCGGAGGAGGAACAAGCCGCTGTGCAAAAATACATTGTCGATCGACTTACCCACATGCTCCATGAATCAGCCCAGCCAGATGAGGGTCTCGAACCCTACACCGTTTATGACATCTGCGCGATGCGCCTCGAAGTCCTCTTGTGCCTAGAGGCTTTGGCCTTCAACCCCGCAGCTCCGTCACGAGACCATGGCAGTGCAATCTTATCGGTTCATCAAAACGCACTAGCACGGCTGTTCCGATCGATGCACGACGAACTAGATGCGCTTTACTCCTCTCCGCCGGAGACCGAGCTGCGTTCTGCCCTAGTCAACGGACTCATGCGGCTGATCTTCGGAGTCATGCGCCGCCACGGCCCGTCCATCAATATGCAGGATAAGCTCGCGTGTGTGGCTGGCAGCAAGCAGAAACATCTGGTGGTGCTGACGCGACTCGCCTTTTGCGATGGTGTCATACTAGAAGCCGGTATCGAGGACGAGACTGTCGATATGGCGCATGAATTACTGGAGGAGTGGACTAATCCGCAGGAGGCGGAGTCGCTCGCCGAGGCCTTCCCCAGCTCTCGGCGAGAGTAGCCTGCATTTTTATGAGTTTTTACGCATAATTATATTTTGGAAATCTGGAGTAGTCATATGAGCGATTGTTCTTATTATTCGCATGGTTATTGGATGTTAAAATGCATTATCGGTGTGGATTTTGAAATCTATATTTTCCCCTTTATACGTTGTATGGTCAGTGTCATGTGAGGCTACCAAGCCCATTTCGCGATACCGAACATCTAAACATCCGCATCTATCTTCATCCTATTTATTCATCCCATTTATTTAGCCCTGAAAAGTTTTGTATAACACAGTGTGACAGCGCTTGACATAAAAATAATGATAGTAACCAAGCAAGCAATTAACGAGATAGGCTAGTCAAAGCGCAGGCCAAATCATCTCACCCGAAGCCGCCTCTTTCAATGCGTCTAGAAGGGTTTGACAAGTTTCAGTCAGCCGACGGCGAGCAGCACAATATGAAAGACCAATATCAACGTTCCAATAAAGTGCCACAATGCCGTGTAAAAACCTCCACAAGAAAGTCCCACGTTTATCACACAGTTTTCGCGTCACTGAAGTAGAAGCAACAGTGCAGGCTGTAAAGCATAAAGACCAAGACCGCGAGTCCGAACAATCTACAAAACACTAGTTTTAAGCTTTTGGAACTCTCTAGGCACTGTTGAAGGGTTCAGTAGGTCAAACGTGTTCGAAGAACAATTTTGGTAGTACTCGTGCAAGGGTGTATGAACGTGAATCGTCGGACTAGTCATGAGCTGGTCGACGACAACCCTGGTTACACTTGATACCCGTGGTGGTAATACGAGATCATTTGGATTCTTTCAGTAGTTAAAATGCTTTACTTTTGTATTTTTATTTAGGACTCCATTGGTTTTGCCCCCCCGGGGCTTTCGAAGATCGCTGAGCCTCGGGATCGATCGTAGTGTGATCGACATTCGAGAGTTTTGGGAGACAGTAGAAACTACGTACATGATAAGACTAGGGGTAGGTATATCAGAAAAGCCGGGTGAGAAGAGTGAATAAAGTTAGGGAGCAGAGGGAGAGCAAGGGGTGGTACAAATGTAAATGGACACAGATGAAATCGAAAACACACCAGATTGATATTTGACTATACCCCACTGCGAGTTGCCGTAGCCAATCAAAGGGCCGCCCTTGACCGGAATATACCAGCGAAAGGAGGTACTCCTAGGAACTCATGTCTAAAATGGACGTGTGATCAGCAATTAGACAGTAAATCATATTTGGTAGGTTATTGACGTCTGCTCAGCTTCTTCACGTGGGGTAAATACGACCTATAGCTCATGGAGTTTGTGCCGGACTATAGTGATGGATGGCAATCCTTTGGTGAACTAATCCAGAGCATAGAGGCAGAGACAACGACGAAAATTCGTCTTTTAGAATTCGGTCAAATGAAGCTTGCATTGCCACTGTGAAAGAAAGAAGAAACAACGGAGGCAGAGTTCAGGGAATTCTCATTTCTCCTACAGAATGGCGGACCATGGTCGTTAGGCGATGAGCTCGAGTAAGCAAGCGCTGGAGAATAGATACAGTGTGAGATCAAGTCATGTCTTCCCTCGAGCCCCTAGGAGCGGCCGTAGGCAGCAAAGCGCTTATCCTCGGAGGATGTGAAACAAAGAAGGAAGAGTGACGTCGGCCAGTCGGAGCATCAGGGTCGCTCAGGGTCGCTCAGGGTTGCTCAGGGAGCAGCTCAGGGCGGCGGTGGGACTAACTCAGGCTGGGCTCCGGGAGCCGATCGCTTCCCGAGGCGGCAGTTTTACCGTCACCTTTTTTACACCACAACGCTAAGTGACGGTAAATTGGGCGCCGAAAAAGGCTACATTCGACGCCAGTTTAAGCGTTCATTTCACCAAGATCCTAGTCATCGAATCATCACGTGATTGGAATTAAAACAGTGTTATCGTTTGCTCTCGGATCGCTCCCTGAGCGCTCATGGCTACTCAGGGATCAGCTCTACCCTACTCAGGGTGCTCTGCGTAGACGATCAGGCACGTCATCAGTATCTCTTCTCTGTCATCCGCTGGTAGCCGCTTGTACAAAAATATAAGGATGATTTTGTCAGGTTTACGAGTCACCTCGAGCATTCGCCGACACATAAATATTTCTTGCTCCCACCAACCCGTAGTTTCTTTTCAGGGATATCTATCCAAAGAACTCTATTTCTATCATGTCACTTTGCCTTTGGCTCGGTCGCTCGCTTCCGTTTTCTTGTTCTGTCCGATTAGTGCGACTTTAATATTCCTCTTTGGTCTCCTTCACTTGCCCTGCCAATCATCCTATTTTTTTTGCCAACATTGTCATCACAATACCTGAAACCTTCTTTTGTTTTCATCCTTGGCTTCCTTATTTGCTTCTTGCGGGCGATATCCCCAGTTATGAATATAGTTCGAGCAAGCAGATGAAATTCTTATGCTCCTTGCGATCCGTACCAGTAGAGTATTGCTGCGCGGAAGCTAATATCAAACATGGATTCTTGAAGATCTACCCGAGCTCGGTATTGAAAGTTGTCCACATGCTAGGCTTCAAGATCACGCAGTTCCCTCTCGATTGCATCCCAAGCCCGAGGCAAGAGCTTTCCCATAAGCCAATAGTTCTCCGCATGGTCCTTTCCCAGCATATAAAAGCAGTTGATCCCCTCGAAATCAAGGTGAAGAAACTCGCTATAATAGTTGACCATTGACCCCAGAGGGTTCTGCCGTGCCTCTGTCTTCTCGCCTTGGGTAATAACTGCCGGACCGAATTTGGCCGTCTGAATCAACTTCGCTTTTGTCAGATTGTTGACAATTATAAAAATGCTATCCGATTCCCCGAACAAGATCCTAGGAGACCGATCTGCGTTAATATCAGCCATCACAGATTTCAAGAACTTTCGGCTTTGTCGTTCTGTTAACTGTTCGGAAACAGATTGACGATGGTCAGCTGCAATGGGCCCGACTGGACCTTTGGCAACCTTTGACGAAAGAAATGTATATGATGCCAAGACCATGTTCTGGAGGAAGACTCCGCTTGATTGAAGTAGCAATGGCAATAGGTAGCGAAGGTTGATGTAATTCATAATAGCAACCGAGCGCGAGTTTGGCTCGGACAGTGCGATAGCGCGTGTCGTCCACGCCGTGAGAATGTCGCCCTCGCTGACAAAAGGAACGGGCTCGGTCTCTGGGGCATTTGCCCTGATCTCTTGTTGTGCGCGAGTTTTGATTTTCTCGTAGAAGGATTTAGGAAGGAAAATGGCTCGACGTTCTCGTCGACCATTCCATATCTTGTCCCATACCAACCGCAAATGAAATCTCAGCACGCTGAAGCCTTTCAGTCGAATTCTCTCGAGAATAAACTCCTCCTTATCATCGTCATCCTCAGCTGTAATTGAAGGGTGTTGCAGGATGTCCTCGCGTGCGCCCGAGATACCTGGTACCTCGTCCTCTCGACCAGCCAAGACCGATGACCATGCAGCGAGGAGGGCTTGACCGCCCACAGCATCCATCAGCATGTGAGGCCAGACTAAAGATGCGATGGTCGCGTCACGGAAAGAAGTGACATGCAAGAACATCGGAGCAATATCTTGCTTCGTAAGCTCCTCAAATCTGGGATGATCCGCTTTGGCAGCAAATGGTCGAAATTCATTCGTGATTGGTTGAGTTGATGGACCATCAGTCTGTCTGGGGAGTTGTTTCCCAATAGGATGATCTTGGATTGCCACATCATGAACGTCATGTGAGAAAGAGACATTTTCTTTATCAATGGTGGATGATTTTTGAACATGGATCTCCCATTTGTTCTTTCCCTGTGTGGTATCAGCGCTTGGTGTTCGATAGGTTTTGAGAAATGCTCGATCCAATCGAACCTTGCATCGAATCCGACCACTGAGCTTCCGCCAATCGCCAATGTCCAGCAACCTTGATAGGGAATCGTTCAATTTTTTCGCATCAAGCACGTCATTGAACCGCATAACCCAAACCACCCAATTGGGGTTGTTATCCAAAGCGTGTAAAGGGTAGATATCTTCATTCGCAAAGGCGGACTCTCCTTGATTTTCCATTTTGAAAAGACTGGGGCTGGGATTTACACCCAAGAAAAGTCGGAACCTCTGTCGTAGAGATCATACATTTTACAGAATGCAGGTGAATTCATGAAAAAAGGAGGCGAAGAGGCCTCCACCTGACAGAAATGGACATATCACATCACTAATCTAGCCATCATTGATTGGTCATGCATTGGATGACTGAAATTTGGGGCCGAAGATCAGTTTCTTTAGCAAGGCATGATTATCGGGTGTCCAATGGGTGGCTCGGGAAAATTCCGGTACGCCACCGGCGCGGCCATGGCACTCCGGGCCCACACCACTTAGGGCGGATGTCAGGATAGTGCAAAATCACATCCTCTCTGCTATGTTTGAAAAGTATGAGATCCTCAAAGTTTCCAATAATGCAAAGTTGAGTTGTTCCAATGGGAGTCGTGTAGCTGGTAGTGTTTAGTGTACGTGCGCTGCTCGGAAAAAGGAGACGAAGCCTGAGTGCCCAAGGTCGGCTAGGGTAGACAGGGATTTTTCCTTTCCCAGCATGCTTTACCGGCTGCATCAGCTCAAATTTCCATAAGGTGGTGAAAAAGCTGTACTCATACAGTATAAAGTAGCGTAACCCAGTTCTTTACAGAAACTTGGGATTCTGGTCGTTGTGATAGCGCTGCTTTTCACGTGTGGAAAGACCGACCGGCATCTTTCCCAATTCTCATATTGGCCATTCGGAAATTTAGAATATAGATTTTCAATTAATAGTTCCTTCCACTGTTCGAGCTATCCATGGGGTTTGAGCCATGTACGTACAGTTAGTTACACTAGTCGGTGCGTTGTGAAAGACATGTGGTCTACTCAGACTGCTATCAATGAAAAGTCGCAGAGGATTGTAGTGTGTCTCTTCAAAATCGCTATTAGCTTCATCATTAGTCCCATTGCCCGTGTCCAGTTCGCTTGAACTGTCTTCCAGCTGCTCCAGGCTAAAGCGTTCGCCTCTTTTCTGATTCTGCTGAACTCGGACATTCTCTGTGATTCCCTGCCAGATGACAAAAGCTCATCAGAGAGAGCAGATCCGTTGCGGACAGCCTTATCCCGAGAATATAATCAAAAGATATTTGCCATGTGAGCAGAATGGAGTTCTTGGCCTCCCAGTCTCATTCTCTGCCGGTATGCTCAACAGATCCAGCCCTTCGGCTTGTTTCATTGTTGCACTTCGATAAGTGTCTTGTGGCTGGTGACGTTTGGCGCTACTCCTCTATTCTGGCTCATGACGATGATCGACCCGGTAGAGCTCCCAAAAAGATATCTCGTTGGTAGTTGGGTCGAACCATTGCTCCGAATATATATATCTGGTTCTTGGTACCGATTGACAGTGGTTTGCGAAGAAGCTCGTCATCGTCAATATTATTCAGGACAAGAATCCACTTTCCGATATTTTCGTCTTGTAACCAAATTACTCACGACTTGAAAAATATTGGCGTTGTGGTCTTGACGCCCCGGAATCTTAGCTCGATCGTCGAGGTCTCGGAGACTTTTCTCACAGCGGGCCGCGTTACTGGCAGGTACCCAGACGACCCATGTGTCGGCGGAATGCTGTCGAACCTAGTGGCAGTACTCAACGGCAAGTTGAGGTTTTCTGCTATATAATTAGTATGTACTTGTTTCCCCGAAAGAATACTTTTATTTCTAATGTTATACCCATGTAGCTTGAAGGGAAGAAAGATGTAAACTGAAGGTCCGAATCGCACAGGTTTAAAGTGATCGACCAGGTTGACATACATGCGTACCCTATTTAGGCTTCGGAAGGCAGTTGCCAAAATACAGCGAAATTGCCTGTCATGTGAGTTGCAAGTTCGATTTCTTTTCTGCTTGCGTTTGCTTTGTTCACGGATCTCTGCTTATTCCTTCACAACACTCTGGAATTATTTCTTTAACGATCTCCTCCAGTTAGTTTAAACGACTCTTCCAATTTTTTTAAAAAAAATTATATATATCCTTCAACGATTCCTTCCGATCAAGTCCTTCAACAATGACCTCAAATTCTTCCCTCAACGCCTCCCAATCTTCCAACGATTTTCCAAGGAGAAGTTTCAATATTTAATGGCGTTTTCCAACGGTAGAGTCCAACGACTTCTATTGCAAATTTCTTCAATCACTTCTTTTAGCAATTCCTTTCCACGATTCCTTCCCTTTGCCAACACCCTAGAATAAAATTTGTTAACTCTGAGGACAATCAATGAGGAGTACCAAATTTTTTTTGCACCTAGGGACATGATGTATTTGAGTTACGCAATTTGTGGCTTTTGATATGCTAGGATTGTGGTGCGACGGATGATTTCCTATCACATTATCCTAGACTTAAACGCGGAAAGAGCAAGTATATTGTACACTCATTCTCAAAATCGGCTTGACCAATAACACAGAGTAACCTGTAAAGGTGTTTCAGAATGTCGTATCTAGTCCGTAATGTTGGTTTGTTTATATAAATAACCTTCTTTATCTCGGGAGAGGCATTTGTCTTTCAGACTGCCTTTTCTTCTCGTCGACGACATTTCTGTATCTATGGTGTTGGAATAGCGGGTCTAGAGTTGTTTCTGAGGAGAATACGGTTCATGTATGGCTCGCTTCTTTTCTCTTACAATAGGCTATCTATACACGTGCTCACTTCCTTGTTCGGCTAGATTATCGTGAAATATATTAAAGATCCTTGACATACTAGGCCTATTTAGACTAGTTACAGATAAGGCTGCTGCTAACTCGTGGGTGAGGGTAGAGTGCGATCTCCTTAGCGTAATCAGGGTAATTATCAGCGGTTAATATATTGCTAGCAGAGGCTTCTAGTAGAATTTCTTAGGCAGATTGGCTACTTTAAGACACTAACATGGTTATGTTAGTTCGCCTCAAATAAAATTTAGATACTTTATGTTAATATATACTGAGATCCTCTGTTTTATTCTTATTATGTAGCCTGTGTTTCCACAGGATGTAGCTATTGGCCTTATATAGTTCTCTGACGGTAATGAATTGTCCCGGTATTATGGAGTCGCTAATTTCAGGACTATTATCCGAACATTCTCTGGAGGTTTCCGTGGCCGGTTGTTAAAATTTTTAGTGATTTAAGAGTCACTACAGTGACAATAGATCGGCGGAGTTTGAATAGAAACTGTCGAATAAGGAACTCGAGGAAAGTAATTTGCTATACCATCGTGCTTATTGAGGTCTTAATACTGAGGAAGAGATATGATTGAAGAACCGGCTTCTCCTCAAGTTGTAAATTGAGCGCGGACATGCAAGAATGCTGGCTTTCCGGACGCTTTGCTGGTGGGGTCACAGCTTCCTTCCGAACTGCTATTGGTACGCTCCAATTTACATCAGACATTTGAGCTTTCTTCTCCATACCCAAGTCGTTGACTCAAGGGATGATGAAAAAAAGTGTGAATCCACAGAGTGGAAGGTGCCAAAGAATATGCCTGACAATGACCCAGAAGGCCATTGAACAGACCGGTCCTCCGCGCTGTGCAATGCAGGGACCTGACTGTGGTGGACCGCCCTCATGACCGCGGCCACCCAAACAAGGTAAGTATGAAGAGAAAAGAAAAGAAGAGGAAGCCCGGTGGGAGGACGCTAACTTTATACCTTTTGCTGACGGGCGGTCAGAATAAGCGAGAACAATGTGTCATCATGCAATAGGCGTGTTGACCAATCAGAGTGACGACATAAAGCAAGGGGTGGTTCACATGACGTTGAGACACGGTTGCTTTCTTGGAAATATCGCCTGGAAATACAGGCTATCAATATACCACAAACCATGCAAACGAATCCGCAACCCACGTGACCTACGGAAGTTTTGGAGGCCCGGCATCAAGACACGGCACGGTCTGACGACTCGCAACCGATCCTCCCTCAGCGTCGTGTCCCAAGAGTCGCCACAATGAGAAATAGGGCCAGCAACTCCCTATCTAAGGGAGTATGTTATAATTGATTCCTCGCCCACCAATTTCACCCGTGCACACTACTAACATCGGTTCGTCCAGAAAATCCGTCAGTCATGGAGCAAGTACAATTTGTATAACTTGCAACGATTCCGCAGCCCAGCGACCGCAAATCGCACGTTCTTTCAGCAAAAGTGGACCGCGAAGGCGCTGTCCCGCGCCTACCACGGTGAACAAGTCCGCGAGGGTCAATGGAAGCGCATGTTCTCCAAGCGCATCCGCAGCGTCGTCCCTATGGACACCACCGACCTGGCCGCCGATGACGGTTCTCAGGTCTCTGCCGGTCGTGGTTCCGGCCTTCAGAAACAGGGCGATAAGGGTCGTCCCTCCAGAATCATTCCGTACACTCAGATGGCTTTCGCTCCCCTGGAGCGCCGGTTGGATGTTGCTATTTTCCGGGCTCTGTTTGCCAGCAGCACACGGCAAGCGCGCCAATTCGTTATCCATGGAGCTGTCACCGTGAACGGACAGAAGGTATGCATTTCGGAGATCTAAAAATAACGGCATGTTCAGTTATTGACTTTCTTTCCCTACCAGATGCGACACCCCAGTTACCTCCTCAACCCCGGCGACCTCTTCCAAGTCGACCCCGACCGCGTCATGTTCGCCACTGGTGCCCCGAAGACCAAATTTGAGCGCCGTGAGGGCCGTCAATTGAAGCAGAAGGATGGAGAGAGCGAGGAAGCCGAGGGTGAAGCGGCCGAGGCCAAGCCCAAGGAGGACACCGAGAAGAAGCCGGAGGCTGAGAAGGAAGATAGCCGCGATACCCTGAAGGCATTGATGGCTCAGGCCAAGACTATCATGTCCACAGACAAGGACGTTCTGCCTGCCAAGCGCAAGCAGGAGCTCCGCGGATTCCAGAAGGCCGTCCGCCGTGTTCTGTCTCGCTCCGAGACCAGCACCGTCCTCACAGACAATCTGGAGTCTCAATTTTCCGAGCTTACCCTTCTGCTGAACGCGAAGCGTGCCGAGAAGAAGCCCCAGAAGCAGACTAAGGAGAAGCCCGGCAAGGAAAAGTCCGAGACCGCCGCCGTCGCTGAGGAGACCGAGGCCGCCAGCGACAAGCTCTCCGAGGCTTTCCAGGCCGCTGCCGAGGGCGAGGAGGTTGATGCTTCTGAGCTGACGGATGAGGAGTTCGAGGTTCTCAAGCGTGCTCTTACTCAAATGCGTGACAATCCCATCGATCACTCGAAGCCCTACGCTACCCCCTGGCGCCCGCGTGATTACATGTCCGCTTTCGCCTTCATCCCCCGCTATCTCGAAGTCAACCAGAACATCTGTGCCGCTGTATACCTCCGTCACCCCGTTGCCCGCCCCGGCTCAGCTGAGGTACCCACTCCCTTCGGCGAGAGCATCAGCACTCCGGCCTATGGCTGGTACCTGAAGAGACGTTGGTAAAAGGAGAAGCTTTTCGTATGTTTCTTTACTGTCGCCCTTCCTGATCTTGTCTCTATTACCCACCCCCTTTCCTACCCATTCCCCCATGAGTGTATTACTGCTCTTCTCTATCTGCATATCTCCTCTGGTGCTCATAGATCTCCCCATGGTTTTGATTTAGCTGGGAGAGAGGCCCGCTTGGGTCTTTGAGCATGGTGTTGGTGCTTTTTGTTTTATTATTTTCGGAGCCTTTATGCTCTCTTTGTATCACCATAGCCATGATTCGATTGTAAATGGATATATCATCTCACTTTACATATGACATTTGAAAGTTGTAATTTCCCTCTTCATTTGAGAATAATTGCCGTTTGATTGACAGGATTTCGATTGTCTGCAAGTAGCCGCGAAGATCGGACGTACGCGAGGTACTCGGCATCCACAGTTGGAAGTTTGACCAATCTCAATTTGGCCGACCCGGACAGCCCATGCCAGACCAGCCCTGTGTTGCCTTCCTCTAAATCGACGCCAAAATTGAGACCGTACGCATCATTTTGTCTGAAAAGTCTCCAGCTTATGCGATGTTCTCTACAATGGATGCGCTTGGGAGGGTGTTTCCATACCCTAGTTCTGGGAATGGTGTTATTTATGGAACAGTGCTTATTATGATATTGTTCGAACGCTCATTAAAAAGCACATTAGATTCTGTCTATGATTAAATCCGTCTCCGCCTGGGAGAGTCTATATGTAACCCGGGGGATGAGTGTGGACAATCCTCTCTTGACTTTCGCTGGCAAGGCTTTCAAAAGTCTCCAAGTTGATATTTCTCCCCAGCGGCTTCTTTGACCAGCGATTCTGGTTGCCCAGGGGGTATTTCGCTTGGTCATTGTTGCTAGACCATTCCTGACTTCGGGTCTTGCTTGATGTTTTGTTGGCGGAGCCAAAGCCTGGGAGTGATCTTAGGAGAACACGCATAGATGGCAGTGAGCCGGTCACTAAGGCAAGGCCAAATTCCATGTTCAGCCAGATTAAGGGAGTAGCTCCAGCATCTGGGATAAAATTAGCAATTATTGCGTTCAGACAAAGGAAGTGATCACGCACAAGTGAAGTCGGTAATATTCTTCTGGTATACGAGAGTTGGGAGTCGAGCCAGACCAACTGCGCAAGCAACCAAACCTAAGACGAGCATTAGCTTATCTTCCTTGTCTTGCTGAACGATGATATTACTTACCCAAGGAGAAAACACCTATGATTGAAAGCCGGCGCTGTATAGGCATCTGAAGCTTCCAAATAGTCGGTATTGGCATCGTGATGATGGCAATATCGATGAAAAACATCAAAACGCCTTGATACATCTCGATGTCGAAGAGAGTATCCGGAGTAAAACATTTGTATCCGGGAACCGTTTTGTCGTAGGCAGCGCGTACAGGCTTACACTGGAAGATCAAAGGCACTTCCCCTGAAATTGTCAGGAGTACCATGAAAGCAATGATGCCGAAGCCGTAGTAGCGGATGAAGTTCGTAGGGAAGACGCGCATGATGAAGATCACCACGCTTATTTTGACGGAACAGGCGACGAAAAGGTAGGTGCACAGGGAGATGTAGACGGCCTATCGAAAAGTAAATCAGTATTGAATAACGGAAGGGGAGGAAAAGTGATAGCACGTACATATTGCATATTCGGCAATTTCTCCAGGGGAATGTCGTCTTGATGATAGCCGATCCCATAGAATGTGAGTGCGATGGACAGAGCGGCAAAGAATAATACCCAGATCTGTCAGATATGTTAGTTGTAGTTGAGTAGGAAAAAGGGTGGAAATCTAGGTACAAGTGCGATAATGACAAAATAGTCATCCACTCCAAATGCATTCCTCACAAATTTGCGTATATAGAGCTGCAGACATGTCAGTATAAGTGTCAAGGTCCTTTTGGGATTTCAGACATACCCTGGTCATGCAAAAAATCAAATCCAAAAGCGCCACAGTTCCTACAACTGCTCTCACAGCTGTTGCCATTGGAGGCGTGCCTCCTGTCGCGCTCATGACGGGCGAATTGAATTTGTGATTCTTGATCGAAGAATCCAATTATTGGACCATGAACACTCAGACAGAAACCGTACCACCCCTGGATATTTGTAAAAATATCCAGCTCACATCAGACCGATAGGAACCAATGCAGATGGTAGCATAATAACCTGGAATGTGCAGCCAGTGATGACAACCACGTTCGATGGATCGTCCGCTTTTTTGACACGTCCCCGCCCAGTGCAGATACCTACGCGAAGGGGGGAGTGGCGTTTGGAACTAAAGCACCAGAAATCACACTAAACAACAGCCAAATTTATAATGTGGCAGAGGGTCTCGGAAGTGGCAGGCATCTGTACCATTTGGTCGTGCATCGTGGTGATCGGAGCGACTCGTATGAGGAACTGATGGCCACTTCGCCCCCAAGCGCACTCCACTTTGGCAGATTCAAATGCGGTATGTCGTTCCACCCGATGCATGCCCCCCTGAAGAGTCCAGACGCGCCAACATTTCTGTGCCATGATGCTGTTCGACTGGGTAGCTTGATAGGCGGGGAAAATGAGGCGGACGCCATCCCGAGGGCTGGTCCCGGCGTGGCCCCAAATTGATGGGTCGTTGGGCGCACGGTGCGCGGGAAAGAGGGTTGAGTTGGCGACCCAAGCTGCCGGGAGCGATTATTGCCTGTATCATAAGCTCGGTAGGGTGCCATCCGCATTGTTCTTAAGAGCTACGCATAAGTACCTTAGTTGGTGCTATTACTTTTGTTGCAGGAAGATCACCTTTCCAGTGGTATGGGTCTATCGTTGAGAGCCTGTGATCACATCACCCTTGGAACCGCGCGGTCGGGAATTTACCCGGGACTTAACCTGCTAGTGCCTCGATTCTTGCAGCTGTATACATGTGCCATTTGTCTTCGAGCTATCTGGCAGCCTGTGCGCATGAAATTAACGGGTTCGCATCGAAATGAGACGCAGAAGAATTTGGCGACAGCTGCCCCTCACCCGTGCCTATCATTGACAGAACATGATCTTGTTATCTGAGTCCCTCTATGCAAGACATCATTCGAACCCTGAAATGTGTTGCTGGTACCTTTAACTTTTATATATCGGGCGGCACTTATCCGTAAACCTTCATCTATGAAATTTGAACCTTGTGGCTACATAGTCCAAAATAACCGTTTATTCGAGGCACATCTCAGTGCCAATAAGGCTAATCAATGCCATCATAGCGCACCTGCGAGGGGTGTCAAGATCAGCCGATCTATCGAAGAACAAAGCAAGTAAAATATCTCACTCTCCGCTTTAGCCGCCATAAACCTTACAGTGTACTTGCGCTATTAACATTGCTCAATATCCGTGGCAAGCCTTTATCTACTCTCAGCTAGCGCACCAATATCTAATGTCCAGGTGCTGCCTAGTCAGGCTGCGACTGGCACACAATCGATGGCGATAAATTGCCGATCAGTCGATCAGTCGATCAGTCGATCAGCCGATCAGCCGATCAGCCTATCTTCTCTGCTCAAAATCGTCTCAAATCCTGATCTATTGTTCGTTTTCTTTGTTCGGATCTTTCAATCCCGGTATCATGGCTATGTTTTTTAGCTCAGATGAGCCTCCTCGAGTGGTCGGATGATGTAGATTCTTCGTTGGGCCACTTTCGATGATATCTTTGTCGAGATGTTAGAGGTGGTATGTTCCGGAAAGAATGATGCACCCTAGCATGTAGTCCAAGCGTCTCCCTTTTTGAATCGCTCTACAAGAGAAAGAATAGCCGAGAGTCGCGGACTAGAACAATTCAGTATTATGAATGTCACTTATGGCGTGTTGAATCACGACGGACAATATTGCCTCGCATCATTTCATACCTAACCATGAAGAGAATCCGACTGATTTTTCGAGTAGAAGGGCGATCTTTTCTGAGACTAAATGGCAGAATACGGATAGTTTATCGGACGATTGAGAGCGTGGGATCTGAGGTAAGGAGAAAGCACGAGTCTACATGGATAACTAGTTAACTAACTTATCTCACTACCGAGCTGTGCACACCAACGAGCTGTGCAGCCCCCATGAAATGAAAAACGACTACTATATTCAGCCACATTCTTAACAACCACAACATAATTAAATTAACTACATATTACAATGGTTGGCTGTATGACCTATCTGGCCACAATTCCCACACGTTGGATTTTTCCTGGTTCCTCTTCAAGCTGGTAAAAACGTCGGTCCCATTACCACAGGCGGCGGTGGAGTAGACTCTCTTAGAGGGGGCGTTGGAGCTTTTTGACGCTGTAGATAGGCACGTATTACTTCTTGGCTCTCTGCGCCTGTCATGCCTTCATCGCATGGTATTTGAGCCCTAGATTTGGCCTTTTTAACCACCTGTTTCTCATTGGCAGCGCGTAATTTACACTTTAGCTGTAGTAGCTCAGTAGCGAGCAGTTGGATTTCACAGGCCTTAAAAACCTGCTCAATTTGCTGCTTAAGCGGACTTGGCGGACTCTTTGAGCGCTGTTTAAGCAGTGCCTTTATTGATGAAGCCTGCTTTCTGAGTTGTCGTGTATTTCTAGGTGTTTTCGGTGAAAAGTGGCTTTCTTGACTAGCAGGCGGTGTTGGCGTGCGGAGGCGTATATCTAACTTGGATATAATCTGATCAGGATTACAAGGCACAAAACCACTGCCAGAAAACGCATTTTTGATAGTTCTTGACAAAAAAGACCTGCTCACGCGCTTGAGGGTAATTTGCTAAGAAATCCAGCTTGTCGAAATGGTTGATGTTGGTTCGCATATAGCCCTCCACTAACGCGCTATAAGCGCGTTTTAAGTCTGCAAAACAGCCCATATCAAGCGGCTGTAAAAGATGTAATGAGTGGGACGGCATGCAAACAGGTATAATTTGGTTTGCAATATAGAGTTCATCAAACCTAGCCGTTAAGTGGCTTCCATGACCATTAAGGATCAAAAGTCGATATTTCCCGACCACTCGTGATGTTGTTGCTGGAATAAAGACTTTTTCAAGCCAGCGAAGCCCAATCTCATCAGTAATCCAGCCATTATCACTAACCACAATTCGCCAATCATCTGGGAGGTCATCATACCAGCCTGCAATGTGTGCTTTTCCTTTAAAGATAATACACGGCGGAAGTGCCTAACCAGAAGCAGATATACACTCAATAGCAGTAACCCACTCCCGATTTCCAGGTTGTAAAACATGCTTTTTTCCATAATACTCTGGTCGTGATATAACCCGTGCTGTTGATGTAAGGCCCATTGCAAATCCTGTCTCATCAAAATTATAGATATCCTCAGAGACAATCCCATTTTCTGAGATGACCTTTTCCACACGTGTAAACCACTCCGCGATAATCTTAGGATCTTCATTCTTTGCTCGTTGGTAATCGTATCATTTAGACCATCGTGTCGAGATCTCTGGGGTACGTTTCACAAACTTGGTAACCCAATTATGCCCGACTGTAGAGATATGCCGTTCACCACGCTTTGCTAGTAAGAGATTTTGCCATTTCTCGCACCCCTTGATGCCGAGGAGGTACTCCGCGTAGATCTAGGGAAAGGATCCAATCCTTTAGCGAAATCTCTTCATTTGCAGTCAATTTATGGCAATTTGGGCGTTTTTCAGCGCGATAAGTAACACCATGAAGGCGTGTTCGGAGCGTAGACTCGTACACGTTATATAGCTTTGCGGCGGCGCGAACTGATGGTATTTTTTGATTCTGAAAAGCCTCAACAGCAAGTAAAATCCTACCCTCCTGCTCGATTCATTTGCTTTGGTGGCATGATGGGTAGTTGAAAATGGTAAGGACGCGACCGGGACGCGATTTGGTGGGGGCTGCGCAGCTCGGTAGTGAGATACGTTACTCGAAGATGCGTGGTGTGAATGCCCCAGGCATAAATACCAGGCAAACAGAACAAACCCATCTAAAACTCTGAGAATCACAATCACCTTTGTGATTTTATTTCACCTTTTACATTGCCACTATGACAAGTTCTGAAGAATTTGCGACAAAAAAAGGAAGACAAATCTTATTATCATCTTGATAAGAAAGTAAAAGGGCAGATACTAGCAAAATACTGCTAAGACGGGGTAAATAAATGGTTAGGCAAACATACCATAGAGACACAAAAATAGATTATGAGCGAGATAAACGAGATGCGGTAAATTATTACAACTGTATCACTTTGAGAGCCCAAGAATTTTATCAAGACGTGAGTACTATTCATTTTCAAACTCGAAGTATTCGATGGAAGTACTCGAAAGTGCAAAATTGTGAAAACGGAGCAAAGTGGAGCCGAACCCCGCCCAGAAACCGCCCGCCGCTATTTAAAATACCGCCCGGCTCCGAAATTGCAGACGCACCCTCAAATTCACACTTCGGCCTCTCGCCACAGGATCGACTATATGAAGCTCCGCAATATTGTGCGACATTCAGAGCCCATTTTTCTGGACAGGAGAGCACCCGCTGTCTCTAAAGAAAATCCTCTCCACGTCAGTCTTGCTTCCCAGTCGAAGTCTCGCGAGCTACACAAGGAAGCCCACTTCGACCGGTGTTTTGTCGAATCCAACCCACGATTCCAGATTCCCCGGATCATCGATACATGTCCTAGGGTCAGGAGCGAACCCTAGCGCTCGCACTTCCATCCGCAACAGTCTGTCAACTGGATAACAAATGGTGCATCGGATTTAGGTTGAAGAAATGGTCCTGCGATCGCACGCTGTCGTGGTGCACAACTCGCCATCTGCGCGCTCTACGTCCTCCAATATGGTCCAAGCTGCTGAGGGAAGTGAACAAGGCGTTCAGAGGGGAGAAATCCAGGTCTCGACTAGTCGCAAGCGTGCCCGAGAGCCGGATATGGAGGATGATGGCGACACGCCGCGCAAAGGCGGCCACGGAAAGCGATTGACGACGAAAGAGGAGGTCTCGCTACTCGGAATATGCAATCGGCATGCGGGCAAATTCGGCAGACGCAGCGATATCTGTAACTGGTGGAAGCTCGTTGCGGAAGAATTCACTAAAGCACATGGGAGGCCGTATTCGTGGTATTCGGTTCGACGGAAAGTGGAACTCGTAACGAAGCAGAGGATGAAGTTCCTCGACGAGCAGCAGCAGCGACAGAGAGATTTCTCAGGGCAGAATCCTGTTGAAGATGTCATGAATCCGGAGTGGTGTGCAGCTCTCGATGCCTGGATTCCGGTTTGGCAGAGGTGGGAAGAGGCGGAGGCGAAACGAATTGCAAAGCGCGATGAGATGGTGATGCGGAAGCGTTCGAATCCCAAAAATCAGGATGGACGGAACAAGTTGAAAGGGCCTGGAGAAAGAATTCTTAATCTTGGTGTCCCTTCGTTTGGTCCTCCAGACGGAATGGGACTTGATACCGGCAACCCATTCCATGAGGATATGACAATACATCCAACTGTGGATAATATTCTCTCGCATTCTACCCCAACACTCGCTCATCCGCCTGTGGCTGCTCCGTTTGAGACACCTTCACCACTGTCAAATTCACTCAGGTTACCGCCTGGATTTGCAGACATGTTCTCAAATCCCTATCCTGCCAGCCAACCATCTCCTATTATGCCTGTTCCCACGAACACCGGTCCCGCTGCCCCCGTCACCAACGCCAATAATACACATTCGGAACCATCAAACAACAATCCTGTTTTCAACGCTGTTTTAGAAACACTTGGCAAGTTGAACAAACACCTCGATGCCGCCTCCGGAAATGGCGCTACTGATGCCCATACTTCGCCTGTAATTTCAGCTCTGGTCCAGGCAGCTTCGGAGTCAAATACCCAAAGCGGCCCTCCCCAAGAAAACCAAGAACCCCAAGAACGAGACTCGTCTCAGAATGCAAACTCCCTTGAAATCGGCCAAATCAAAGAAGATCTGCGAAAAGAACTTCGCGAGGAACTTCGACAAGAATTCGAACGCGAACGGGCTGTTTGGGAAGAGAAGTTCGATTCGGTCCAGAGAACACAGGAGATGATTCTAGAAATGTTGCGGCAAGAGCCTACTTGATATTGTTGCGTCTATTTTCACTTTGTGCATGGTGTTCCTGAGAGGTTTCTGCCATGTATTGATTGCTTCTATGATACCCAATACAAGCGCATTCATACTAGAAAGTGTGCAGCGCATCCAATTTATTCTTTGGTGAAATCATTTCCATGGCTGCCCACGAAGAGAGAAAATAATCCAAATAGGCACATTATCGCTCCCTGTATTGGCCCCACCCTCGACTCGGGGCCACGAAACATGTGTGGAGTATGGATCTTCACCATACAGCAGGCTCAGCCTCACCCGCGCCCCCATGTGAGAGACACCCATCCCTTCGGTTCTTCGCATGGCATGATCAAGGATTTACCAACGTCCATTGACAAACAACTACTCCAGAATCATATGGTTTAGACCTGATTGGGATTATTCCCACTCTGCTGAGTCTGAAATCATCATGCCCGGATCCTGCAGCTACGACTGCTCATTGCCTCAGCCTTGGACACCCTCATTCCCTGGCAATGACATCACAGGGTTTGGGGTAAGTGCCTCCTCAGAATAAATGGAGTAAGCAACTAATCGGTCTACTTCATCATAAACTATGTGGTCACGACGGCGCTCTCTATTCTCGTTATTACGATTTATTACGCCTTCGTTTACAACTCTTCTCATGATCCATTTGACGGCACCCAAAGAAATGCAATCCTCAATCGCTCCAATCCGGTAGATGACTTTATCTTGGGAGGCTTGGGAGGTCTAATATCAGGAGGAAGGTATGTGTCAAAACAAGTATTTGATTCTGATGGATTGGGACCTCGAGCGAATTTTCATATTCAGAAAATCCTGCTCAAGGTGTGTTTGTTTGTTCAACTCGAGCTCCCACTCTCTTCTCCTATGATTAGGGACACCTATTGACATTGAAAGTAACAGTATGTCCTAGTATTGAGTGATCTTCAAATCGTCACCGGCTTCGCGATACTTGTCAACGGGTATACTCAGCTTCAATGTGGGCTCAGTCACTTAGAATAGATTTAGCATGGTTTGCCTACATCACACAGCTTTCTTGCCTGACAATCCTACAAGATTATTTCTCCACCCATACCTTTGAAGGATTCTGGCGCTTACGTGCTACGGGGCCGCTGGGTACATTGCTGGCTGTTGACCTGCTTTTAACAGCCAGCCCTAAGTGGTATTTGGCAGATCATCCCCGTCCTGCCTTCTGCAAGATGGGTTGCCCCTATTGAGGTGACAGATATACGTACGAATAAAAATTTCAGGCAATCGACACTACAAATTCTGTCTGCGGTTTTGTCGTGGTTGCTTTTATTTCCGGATGTGAGATTGAACAAAGCTTTGAGTGTCGGGATATTTGGTAGAGGTCTCCATTGGCTTGGTTTTGGGGACGTCGGCTGTTTTGGGTCCTTTTTGATTAACTCTATGATGGAGAGAGTATCTACAGTCTCAAACGCTCGTTTTTATGCCGTTTTATCTTCTCTGTGTTCATGAAGGTGCGTCTACTGCTGGTTTCATGGGCTTCATTTGTCGACGAGGTAAGTTTGAGAAGCGAATCCCGTGCTTCGTCTATATATTTTAGAACAAGCAGATATGCTGGGTTTGTGTCGCATTCGCTTGGTGTGTTTTCCGTGTATACATGGATTTTGGCGGCCAAGACGTATTATTTAGTGCCAGTGGAGAAGACTGGACATCTGAGCAAGTTGTGTCCGTGGCTATGTTAGCAGCACCCCTTATAAGCTTCATTGGAGCTTTCAATGATGGTAAGATCCACTGCTCAAGCATAGAAATCCTACTCTTTGGTTTTAACACCTCATCTCACGCAGTTCCGAAGGCCAAGGATCATGTGATGGTCTAGGTTAGGCCCAACGCGCGCACGCTTCTCATAGAGTCTGGAAATTAGTTGCCTATCAACTCCGCGGGGGCAAAAGTCCAGGAGGATTCCGATAATCCAGATACAGACAAGACTTTGAATACTAATTTTCTCGGGACTGTTATCGCGTTCTGCTTCGGAGTGTGTCACGAAATGGCTTGCTTTGTCTTCCAATTCAGCCCAAGCAGCTTCAGTGTCTCTCCTTTGGAAGTTATTTCCGTTTCCGCCGGTGATACTGTTCCGTTGGCACTCTGTGAGTTGTATTGTTTGGTTCTTTGCTCCATGTTCATTGAGATAATCGTCCCGTAAGGTATGCCTTGGCTTCGAAGATCGCTACACGCATTGAATATTGGGTTGCTTCTGACCATCTGGTCATTATTTACGACTAATTATTTTTGGAAACCTGGCCGTCGTTACAACATACGCTTTAGGCGCTCTAGTACATTGGGTTGTTGGGTGGACAAGAAGGCTGGCCGGCGCTGGCAAATGTTCAACGGGGCGAGTGCGACGCTGCCTTTGATATCTCCATCTGTATATCTCTCAGAGGTTAGACCGGTTTCATGTACTTAGATTCGATCCTAGCCTCTATGCCGTATTTAAAATTGTACAGGATCTTCAAGACCCCAAATCCATGCCTGCTCTTGCGTAAAACCAGTGCTGGGAACGTTGAAATCGGCGAAGAACGGCTCCAAGGGCATATCGAATGCATCGCCTAATGAATCTGAGGACATTGTTAGATCCGAGTTGTAATTGAGTCGAATTAATCATACCTTGGTTGAGGTCATCCAGCGCTTGTTGGATGCTGGTTTCATCGGCGAATGTCGAGTCGCCTGCTCCAATCTCCAGATCTGCATTGTCAGCCAAGTTTGAACCTTGGCTTTCATTCAAGTTCAGTGGGTTTTCGCTCGTATGGTGCATAGTACCACCAAGCTGCAGATTCGATTCGCTTCCAGGGCCTAGAATCGCTCTGAGTTCATTTTCCATAACCAATCGAGCCAGCTGCTGCAGGATCTCGAGCCCTTGAGCGGAAAGGGGAGATTGGGATTTGGATTTTAAGTGGGCTTGCATGTTCAGCAAGCGACGCAGTCCGACTTTGAATTGATGTGACTCTGGCGTCAGGGGCTCAATGCTAGTCAAGACACAAAGTAGCACACCAGCAGTGAAGGTATGGATGCTAATAAATGCGGCGGCATATGTGTCAGCGGCAAGGTCGAATATGGGAGATTCGCCGATTTTGATTGTGTTCATCGCAGCTTCCCGACAGACTTGCACAGAGAAACGAGTTGCATTCCCCAATGCGCCCGCCAAGTCATTCCTTGTCTCGGCATGAACTTTCGTGTGGTATGTAAGAAGAGGGCGGTGGACGAGTATTCTGGCGTTCTCATAAGCCAGCGCAAGAGCCAGCGCTTGAAGCTGAAAAATGTGGCTGTCGAAATTAGGACCCGAGGCGCCGATTTGACGGTCCATGTCGTCTATGGAGAGATATCTTTTGGAGTTGCTCTGGTCTAGGCGTAGAGAATCAGGTAACTCGGCTTTCCACTGCTGCAGTCTTTTGTCGAGCGAAGGAATTTTCCGAAGGATTTCTCTCAAGTCGAATGAGAGGGTTTGATCTTTTCGATTGCCGGTTGGACGAGATCCAATGCCATACAAATCGATCAAAGTGTTCTTCAGAAAGACCGACAACTTTGACATCAAGTATTTGTAAGATAACAAGGTATCTGGACACTGACGTTCACCATTATTACTGGTGCCTGGTGGACTGAGAGGCACGGGCAAAGGATCTAGTGGCTCCACATTGCAATCTGCATCGACGATCCCGTGGGGATATCCGTACGAGATAGAGCAAAAGGTCTCAATCTCATAAATAGCCCACCAGCAGCGCTTACGCGTTTCGATTTTCTGTCTTGCCTGAGCAGAGATAGGCTCAGAAACCGGTACTTTTCTGTGCAAACTGAGCGCCTGGGCGACCCGTAGTCCACAACCACACACTGGCCATGCCAGATTTGGAATTCCGTTGTAGAGATAGTATGTGCCCAGTAAAACACAAGTTTGCACAGCCTCTATTGACCCGATGGAGACAATATCGAGTAGTCTAGACCGTATTGATGTGAGAATGTTCTCTTTCAAAAGGGTCAAATCCACGTTTTGCGCTTTCAGTAGCTGCTGTCTGTATGGTCCAGCATACTGCAGAGCGATTGCGATGACCAGCAGGAAGGTACTGATCATGGCGACGTCAGGACCTATCCCCAGTAAATCCTCTGTCGATTTGTCGTATAATGTCTGCCATTTCTGCCTGAAATCCTCCTGGTGGAAGATGAGCATAAACCAATGCACTCGGTCAAAGTAAGTGTCAACCAGCAATGCTGCAGTATCCCGAGGAGGAAGCAGGGAGAGTAGCTCTGTTGTTACTGCTTGTGAGCCTTGCAACAACGATCTCGACAGGGGTGGTCTACCCGTCCTGAGACTCGGGTCAGAAGTGCCAGCCGTGGCAGATGACTCCAACGCAAGCGGTTCGTGACCTCCAGGCATGGCTGTAGTCATCGAAATGTCCGGAGTGGTAGAGTGCAATTCAAATGCCTGAAATATGTGAGCAACCAAAGTAGCACTCATCTTTGGTGGCACCTTACTCCTGATACCAGCGACATTGTCGAGCTGGACCAAGGCTGGTTGTTGAGATGGCTGGCATCCTCCGGCTCATCGTGTGTGGTCGCAATACTTCGACGGGCAGGGCGCCTTGTCTGGACTGCCTCTACCGATATTCTAAATGGTCTGAAATGGTCCTCTGTGCCTGGTTGGCATTCGATGCCTGCATGCTGGCAAAGAGTGCATGGGCGCTGAATATCGCACTAGAGTCGAAATCAGATGGGACCTGCAAAAGACTCACGGTAGACCACGTACCCTCAGCTTTTGGCGTCGACACCTTTGGCAAGCGCTGCCTACTTTCGTTCGTTTCCTTTGAGGAGCCATGATAGCAAAGTGATCATGGAGTGTGGAGACGAGGCAAGGGTGGATGTAGGAGGTTCAGAAGCTGATTTTTTACCGGCTGCGGAGAGAACATTCCGCCCGACGAGCAAGTCAGACTGACATTGACTGCGTTGGAGCTCGCTTCAACGAAGAGATAGCCTCGTGTTTTGATGTAGATTCCACAAAGCTACATCGGGATTTCCCTCGGAGCCCGCCCACGCCGCCTTTGGTGGCTGTCGCCCGCCGCAATCAACTACCCCACGTGACTCGAGCCTTATAAATACCACGGTATGCTGGGTAGCACTCAGGCAGGTTTCCCTCTCTGCAGGACATAAGCATGAAAATTACAGTGATTAGATGGATAATTTGATGAAACAAGTCAATGAATCGAAAGGTTGAGGGCCTGAGGCAAACAGCAAAGTAGTTAGTTAACTAGTTAAGTAATTAACTACTTGTTGCTTCTGGCAACTGGTCGGGAAGTGAACAAAAATAGAGGGGAGCACATACAAAAGCAATGAAATGATGGATGGAAAGTGATGTTGAAATTGTCGCATAATCGGCCTGGGCTCTAATGAGCATCTGGTTAAGATATACCATGGATGTGATGCGGCTGTAGTAGATCCAAGAAAAATCTAATACCCAGAGCAAAACTCACCTTTAAAGATCCACTGGGAATCGGAGGCGCCAAATAAGTCGACTCACCTTCCTAAATATTTGCAGCCTATTTCACGACGATGTCCACTGTCATCAAAGAGGGGTTCCTGCTCCGCATGCATTCGCGACTGTAACAACATCGACTCCACCTCATGCAAACCGTATCTATTCTTTTCAACCGCATTCAGAAATGCATCAACAGCAGGAAAACGGTTATCTATCACTGCTATCAGAAACGTGGTGCTCAACCCGTGTTTAATTCGCGAATCGGCCCCTCGCTCTAGAAGTCGTTGCATAGCGACCCTAGTCTCGTGAACTGCGACGATGTACAACGCAGACCGGCCGCTCTTATCGGTATCAACGATATTGCATCCATTCCGCAAGATGGAATCCAGTAGTTCGTCGAAAACTTTCTCAAACTGTGCGCTAGAATAAACTAGCTCTCCCGTAATGTTGTCCATGTGGACATCGAATCCCGGGTCCAGAAGCAGTCGCATGGGTGGGAGTTTCCCCCATGGCCGCGGTAGCAAGAATAATACTTGTGGTTTTACCCCATAGTTCTTCTGATGTGGACACTGCGCCCCGGTCAAGAAGGAGGGAGAGGATTTTAAAGCCTCGATACAAGGCCTCATGGAAGTTCAGTCGGGGAGAACGAGTCAGGGAACGGGCTGACTGCTAGTTCTACACCTTCAAGCGATGGCCAAGCAGAATGTGCAAGTTATCAACGTTTCAAGTTACTTACAAGGGCTTGAAGGACAAGGCCATGGTTTCGAAACATGATATTCGGATCTCTCGAAGTATCACCTCTGGCGGAGAATGGTGGGAAGTAGACAAAACCAGTAGTAGTATGTAACTTGGTCAGAGCCAGTTGGGGACATAAGCCAGGCCATCAACAATAAGCGTTCCACCAAATTCGAGAGCTTGAAGAGGGAATGAAGAGAATGAATCATGGATTCACATGAATAGTGAAGAGAAAGTGAATAGAAGACGACTTTGGCCCTGTCACGTGGCTCTTTGTCGGCCTCAGGTTCAATAGAAAGGGGTCTAGTACGTCTCCGGTTAGCCAACTTTGGTGTGCCCCACGCTTGATCTGCACTGGATCGCGACTCCTTCACCTGCCAACCCCACCACCCAAAGCTCCCATCTCGAACCCGTCACCGTTCATCAACAACCATGGTGCAGCTTTTGGATTTACCAGATGAGCTATTGTGCATGGTATCTGACTACCTGGACGATGAATGCACAATCAGTGTGCTCCTTCAAGTGAGCAGACGCTTCTACCTTGTCCTCAGCCCCACCCTCTACCGATTCAACGTGCGTGTCTCGTTCGGCGATGCCCTCGCATGGGCCGCCGCGAAGGGAAACGAAACAACAGCACGATACGCATTGGAAGCTGGGGCTTCTCCAACCATCCCTGCCAGCAATGATCGGCTTCCGATGGCCACCGCTTCCCTGCTGGGCCATGAAGCTGTCGTGCGCCTGTTGCTCGATCGCGGCGTCGACCCTAACCGGCCAAGTCAAATCAAGGGCCAATCTCAAGGGCCTCCGGGAGCCGTCGATCATTATGAGAGCTCTCCGATCTCGATGGCTGCGAGCGGTGGTCACGAGAACATCGTTAGGCTGTTGTTGGAGCATGGCGCCGCTCCGGATGTCCGTTGTTGGGTACATGAAGAACCCGATCAGGTCTCACCCCTATCCCTGGCAGTCGAGAGAGGCCGTCTTTCTATTGTCAAGCTCCTCGTATCCCTGGGATGTGACATACATTTCCTGGGGCCGCACGGAGAGGGTCTCCTCGCTGATGCTGCGTCCAATGGCCATCTCGAGGTTGTCCGGTTCTTGCTGGAGACGAGCCCACTGTCCGACCCCCCTAGAGAGGGCATCCTGGCACTCTATGAAGCAGCCAGATGCGGTCACTCAGAGATTGCTGAACTTCTCCTAGAGCATGGTGTGATTCCGACTCCAGGTGTAGGAGCCGGTCGCCGCGGTCCGCTCGGTCCATTGGTTGTGGCTGCACTGAGAGAAAACTACGCTGTCGCTGAACAGCTTCGAAAGTATATGGAACTGAACAGCTTCATCGTCCACGGCCAACCCGACGATGATGCACACAGACACCTTCTCCTGGTAAGTACAGCGTGTGGCTGGAAAGAACTGATGGGTAAGTTGATGGCTGAAGGCTGTTCCTTGAAGTTTCCTCAGGATGACGATGCGCATTGGGGTGTCCATGAAAAGCACCCGGTCCGAGGCGCTTCCCCGGAGCGTCATTGGCAGGATCTAACGCATTTGGCGTTAGCAGCCCATCGGGGCCGTCATGAGATTGTTGAGCTGCTGCTTAACTTCCCCCAATTCCCCCAGGATCTGCTAAGTGAAAACGATCCAAATTCAAAATCCTATCCCCTCCTCTTGGCAACTGATGGCGGCCACAGACAGATCGTTAGCACACTCTTGAACCACCTCTGTCCGCACCAACGATTCGACAACATGGCTACAATCATCTACAGAGCAACTTACGCCCCCGATGTCCTACAGGTGCTACTCGAGCATGGTACACACCACCAACTGTACGCGAAAGACCAGGAGGCGATTTTTGCGAATGCGTTGAGAACTGGCAACCTAGCCACCGTTGAGATGCTCAAGGAAACATTCACCTTCAAGAACTTCTCGCACGAACGACCCCGAACAAAGCTATTTATTGAGGCGGCCGCTATCGCCGGGCCCCAAATGGTAAGATACCTTCTGCGAAGCGGCTTGCCCGTGATGGCCGAGAGCGACGAGGTTGAGAAAGCCTTGGTAACGATCCTCTCCCGTTCTGACACGGAGTCCCTGCGTCTTTTATTTGACCGAAAGCTCGTCGGCAGGTTGGTCGTGAACGGCTGCGGACGCCGGGAGGACAGAAGATGTCTGCTGGCTCATGTGGACTCCCCAGGCGAAAACTGGGGTGCTGCAGACGCGACTCTGGACATGCTTATCGAACACAGAGTCAGGCTCGACGGGGGCAACAGGCCCCCTCTCTGTGATTTGATCAAGAGAGAGTCGGTCATGACGGCCGTACTTCTGCTGCGTCGAGGTGCAGACCCTCTCCGGGATAAGGACCGTATCGAAGGAGGAAATGACGAGACTCCTCTGGAGAGAGCAGCTCGTCATGGGAACAAGCAGCTGGTCCGAGCCATGCTTGACACTGTGGAATGGCAGGACGTTGACCTCCACCGGCTCTTCTCGGTGCTGCACAAGGCTTACGGAACCGCTAATTTCAATGTGCAGCCACTCTTGCGCCGGTTCATTTGGCGCAAGAGGTATCAGCACCTGTAAGTCGACGCTGCTAATCCAGTGAGGTCAATTTGACAATCAGGTAAGTGAATCATCATTTTAGTTCGACTCCATCCACTTTTGCACTGACCAGCGACGTACCCCTTCATCGTAACCACTTCACACGTAGATTCAAATCAGGCTAAGCAGCCGACACACCAAAATTCAAGTACGAAAGACTTGAATACATCCAGAATCTATCCTACTATTGTATAAAAAAAAATCAATATGCATGGAACCAATGATGATTTCTACTCTAGAACAAGGAACCAAGACGAACAAAGAAAAAAGTAGTCATCGGCTAAATTACAGATAATGGTAGATAGGAACAGGGGATGCACTGCAGGAAACTTTCCACGGAGAGAAACATCAAGTCCAGAGTCCCCGTGGAGGCAACAATTCAGATCAACTCTCGCGAGCCAATTTTTTTCTGTGGACGCATCCGTACCGTTACAATTTAAAGAATCTTCTAGTAGTAGAAGGTCTCGTCAACGGTACGGCCACGCATCCACTTGGGCTCGGAGCCACGGACGTAGATGTCCTCGAAGAGGATGCGGGAGTTCTCCTCGGGAACGGCCATGTTCTCGGCCTCGGCGACCTCGGCGTCAACGTAGGCGCGGGCCTCCTTGTCGATACCCTTGAGCTCCTCCTCGGAGGTGACGCCCCACTCAAGCATCTTTTGCTTCAGGCCAGCGATGGGGTCGTTGGTGCTGCGCATGCGCTGAATCTCCTCACGGCTGCGGTAGGTGGTACCGGGGTCGGACATGGAGTGACCACCGTAACGGTAGGTGACGTACTCGAAGACGAGGGGACCGTTGCCGGAGATGGCGTAGTTCTTGCCGTACTCGACGGCGGCCTTGGTGGCCAGGACGTCCATGCCGTTGACCTTGAGACCGGGGATGTACTGACCGCGCTTGTAGTACTCCGTCAGGGCGGAGGAGCGGGCGGCGGAGGTACCCATACCGTACTTGTTGTCTATAAAATAAGAGGGTTAGCAGCCTGTCCTTGGTTCAACTTCAAATTAATGCGCAACGATCCTGGGAAATACGCAATCGGATAATCGAAGGGGAAGTTAAACATACTCTCGCAGCCGAACAGGGCGGGGAGGTTCCACAGCTTAGCCATGTTGAAGGCCTCAAAGACCTGACCCTGGTTGGAGGCACCATCACCGTACAGGATGATGGAAGTGTTGGGCTGCTCGTTGTACTGCTGGGCGAAAGCCAGACCAGCACCGACGGGCACCTGGGCACCGACAATACCGTTACCACCGTAGAAGTTCTCGGCGAACATGTGCATGGAACCACCCTTGCCGTACGCGATACCCTCGCGACGGCCCAGAAGCTCACCAATGATGGACTTGACGGTACCACCGCGCATCAGGGCGAAACCGTGGCAACGGTAGGCAGTGATGACCTTGTCCATGCGGTTGATAGCGTGCTCGATACCGACGGCAACAGCCTCCTGACCGGTCGACAGATGGCAGAAACCGCGAATCTTCTTCTCCTTGTAGAGACGATCGGCGGCCATCTCCATACGACTGAACACGAAAATGCGGTTAGATTTGTCCTCAAAAAGTCTGCGGATTGCATTGCGGGCGCATACCGGATCGAAACCATGTCGTGGTACATCTGCTTCAGCTCCTTCTTGGTGGTCTCCAGGGTGTATGGAGGCGGGTCGATCTCGTAGGTCTCGAAGCTCTCGTCGGAGAGACGAACGGTGAAGGGCTTGTCATCCTCCTATGCGACGCAATCGCCCGTATCAGTATTGAGATCCAGATGGGTTCGCGAGCGGTTTTCCAGTTTTCCGAATGGGGTCTCAACAAACCTGCGGGATGTTCTCGGCGTGCGCGGAGGCGGCGTCGGTGGTAACAGAGCGACGGGCAAGGGGGGCGAAAGCCGAACGGCGCAGAGGCGCAGCCTGGCGGGCCGCAACACGGAAGAGCATGGTGAACGCTGAGTCCCAATTGAAGATGGGGAAAGGATGAGGGAGATAGCGACACTTTTCCGTCAGATGTTGGGAACAAACTTTCCCGATTACTTAAGCGCTTCCCGTTCGGGGGCCGCCGGTGTGGCCGCTGCAAACAGGCCAAACCCGGAGCTGGCCTACATTCAGTCTGCGTGCTGCGATATCAACAATGCATCTTTTTCTATGGAGGAGTATCGTTGAAATGAAAAAAACGATCGGACAGGAGATCGGGGAGGTCAGTCAATTCCTCCAGAATAGGGGTGCGCCCATCAGTCCACCAGAACATCTCCTCCGCCCTTCTCCGGCACAACCCTGTTTTGCCCGGCGGACCCCAACAGGAATGCCATACTGACCACCATGGAATCCTGGACTGCGCGAAGGAATAATGCGAATTAAGGGGAGAACCTTACAATCAAGTCTCTTTGACAATTTTTTAGACGGGATCCCCATTCCGATGAGTCTCTGGCTATTCCGGGCAATCTTAGATTCGCCAGTCGACAAACCCAGTTTAGAGTTTCCCAACCATATCAATCACTCTACTGTAGCTGTATGTACCAGAGCTCCCCATCTCGAACAGTTCGAGCAAGGCCAATCGGGTGTCATCCGCTACAAGACGAACGCCTCATTCGCCATATGCGGGGCATTTCCAATCGCTAATAACCTTGATCACACGACTCGGGTTCGGAGACCGCTGCCTTTGATCGGGCAAAAGTACGCGACACGTCCCATTCCATCAACGTTCTCGGCAACCGTGGGCTTTCAACGCAACCAAGAAGGCGTTGCATACGGCGACACTTCTCAGCATCCAGCAATGGATCACATTAATCGTATTCCTCGTTTTGTCGTAGGCGTCGAAAGTACGTGCAGTAATATAATTCCCCGGCCAGTCGCAGGATATACATCCGTTGCGGGCGATGAGTCTAATGTTTATTCCTACCTACCCCACCCTGACACCGGACAGATCACACACCGTTTTTTGCTTCTAGACTTAGCTCTTACTCAGTCGAAAGAAGATGGCCTAGATATGTATGTTTCAATCGTTAGGCGAATTGCTGGTAGCTACAACCCAACACTGGAGACGAAGATCAGCGATCGGCGCAGATCTATCATCTATCTATTGATGAACGCTGGTTAATTCTAGCAATTCAACCTTGGAACAATCCAAGTTTGATTCGGTCTTGTACCGTAAAGAGATTTTACCATTTGATGAGAAATAATACAGGAATCTAGATCACTTCCAAGTTTGAAGCATGCGGAAGCCAATTCAGTGATGCCACGAAATCACTCGATCATCTCAAACAGCAGCGAAAGCCTCGACTTAGGAACAGCACTCAGGAACTGCATGCGTGAGGCAGTTTTGAAATTCAAATTCGGTCATTCACTAGCTGCGATTGTTATTTATCGGTCTACAGCTATAAATTCCTGAAAACTAGCATAGTCTATCCGGGTAGCGGTCTCCAAGAACTCTCTTGGAGCGATGTAAATGATCTGAACCTTACAACCTCGAGAACCAGACTTTGAAATGTGAGATCACAAACCAACGCCCAGATCCAAGGCAACACGGATCAATTACTACTCAAAACAGAAAGAAACGAAAGTGAAAAAAAATGTACACAAACACGAGCCTGTCAAAACATGATTACCCACACACGAGGTCCTGCACGCGACGAGTCGAATTGTGATCTGTAGTTGCTTTTGACCCCACCCTGACACTTGACTGATCACAACCGTTCGTGCTTTTCTCTTAAATTTTGTGCTAATAGCACTCATGACTCGCGAAAAATACTCCGATCATCGACCGTGCACCCATCACAGCGGGTCCCGAAGTAAAGGCGATAAACGGATCGATCAGTCCGAATCCACAAGGCCTCATGAAGCCCCGTGCAGGACGGAAGAATGTACCAAGGAACCAACACCTATGAATAAAAAACACAAAAAATATATAAATAAATAAATAGAAATTTGAAAACACTGAGGCAAATAAAAAACATATTGAGATCGCTGAAACACCGCATTGATCCACGTGAAGTACTTCACCCACGTAGATTAGAAGCGAAGCGAAGGCTGGCTGAGAACTACTCACCTCCCAAAAGAGCGACCCGGTAGATCCAGGCTCTTGGAAGTCCAGGATTCGCCGGGTTCCCACTGCCAATGATTTTTTCCCGGCGATGCGAGTGGTTTGTTTCCCCGGGCACGAGGTTTGTTTCAGGTCGTTTCATGTCGACCCCTGCCGAACCGGACTTGGCGATATGTACCATGGTGGTGGGTACAGTGCAAGCGAGAAGAACTCTGATCTGAATGTAGATTGTTTTGAAAGTGATGAAGTTCTGGAATTTTTGCCGTCACCGGGGCTTTTCTACCCATGACCATCAAGTGCTTGAATGTATTTCCATAAGGTGGAACGACTACTCCATCGTTCCCGCATACTCGCGGAGAGATCGAGATATCGAAACATGGATGCACAGGATACGTCAAAGTACGTCAACGCGCCAGACAAGACAGACCAAGAATCGCAGAATCGCAGAGTTGAGTCGTGATGGATTGAGGGTGCATACGTACTTGCGATCCTGGTGCGTCCACCTGCCCATAGTAGGAAGCTACTTTAGCAGGTAGTGCACTGCAGCACTACTGGTGAACCCTGTCGACATCGTCACCACGCAGCAGCAGCCACAGCTTTTCATTATACTAGTACTTCTGCAAGACGCAGCGCAACCGCAGGATAGGATCGCTCCGAACCCTTTCGCCCCATCCTTCTTGCAGAAGGTCCAGTCCAGCTCCTGAACTGCAGCTAGCACTGGCTGCATCGGATAACCCGCCGGCGCCAATGAGACGTGCATCGGAGCAGACAGCCCGTTTCATATCGAACCTTATTTATCGAGCTTCTCACCTCAGTACCAGTGCTTGCTACAGTAAGTCCATTCACGCTGAGGTTCTGTCGAGCGCAACGGTCGCCTGTCCGGCAAGCAGACTCCGGTGAGGGGCAACGGCCACGGCAGTTGCGCGCGATCTGAAACGCCGGCTCCAGCGATCCCTGGGCACGGATGGACACGGACGAGGAGCTGGACACGTATTGTGTATGTGTATGGGGTTGATCTTCAATATTAATTACCTCACCTCTGACGGTTGGTACTGCTGGAGGGAGGGGAGGAAGGGTGGATGGTAAAGTAAACACCGGTCGCGGCCGGTGGAGTTCCGCCATGCAACCCGCTCCGCAAGCTTCAACGGCGGTGATCATGCATTGTATGTATTGTACTTACCTACTCTGCAGCAGGGTAAATAGGGGAGGTTGTATTACCTTACAAAGTAGTACTGTAGTAGTAAATTACAAACAGCAGGTACAGTAGAATCCAGTGGAATGCATTAGTGGAGCTGAAAAATGAGGCGAAAACAAAAGCACTGAGATGAGGATCATCTGCTGGCGTCGGCTGCAATTCTTGTTTGGGACCGCGCGACAGGTACGATCCCTCCAGCAACTGGAAGGGAGATACGTGGACGATGGGCGTGGGACCGACTGAGACCATGTGGCGACAGTCAGATGATGAGCCGTCATTAATTCGATAGTCTGGTGATGGGGCGATTTCATTTGTGTAGGGCGTTTGACAGCTCAGGGGGGACCACCGGGTCACTTCATACCAGCACCATCGCCAGCACCACCACCCCGAAGCAGGAGGGTACCTCAGCGCAGGTAATTCATTAGAAGTGAATGTATTTATTCAGGAACACCCAGACTGAATTCGACTGTACCGGCAGGTGTCCGCACCCAAATACGAGCAGCCCAAAATTGAGAGACATGTTATCCTTCGCGATTGTGGGATCAGCGACATGATGAACAGAAGCAGCCTACCCGATACATACGATATTGCTAGTACATCCATCCTGTTCCCTGGGTAGGGACTGGCCCATAACTACTTGCTGTGCGTATGTAAGTCAGCGTGCAGCCACAGCTCCCTCGCAACCGAGCCTAGGCTGTGCAGGTCTCGATCCTAGGCCATGGCCGAGACAGCCGCCGATCCGGTCTGACCTCCACGAGACAGCGCGGCACTGGTTAGCGAGGATCCGGCACGCGAAGCCCGCTGGAGCCCTGGCTGGCAGCAGCAAACGAGAACGACGGAATGGAGTCGATGATGTGCAAATAATCTCCCTTAGCTCTCGCGAGCTCCTGTTTCTTGCACATCGGCGCCACTAAGGAGTGGGACGAGGCTGGTGTGGGGAAGGATTGGCAGCCATAGCGCGAGAAAACCAAGCGCGGCGACGTGCGAATGGGGGGATCAACTAGGCATTAGCCGGACACGCAGCCTAGCAGTAAGTAAAGCAGGGACTGCTGGCGTGTCTGTCGGGTGGAGCTGACCTGGCGATTGGTAAATCTCCGTTGCTGGCTCGGCTGGGATGGGTTGGGATGGCCGGGGACTGCCAGGTGCCACCGGCAGTGGCATTGACAGTCAAAGACTCGTGCGAGAGATAGTCCTATGCGAGACCTGCACTGCCGGACTACCCTGATAGCATTTGCCGAGATGCAACTCCTTCGAGGCCATGACGTCGCAAAATCAGTCAAAGCTTAAGTGCTTGAGAAGGCGAGGGACCAAATTTGTGCCATGACAGAAAACGTTGGAAGATCGACGACTCGGTTGCCGATGGCCAATCACGGGAACGGTCAGTGGTGGCCTGAGGCAAAATCGGGGTCTAAGCAGGGTCAGATGAGTGACTGCCTCAGGCAGAAATCCGGATCAGGCAAGCACGCTTACCTCATCGGCAGATCACGCGGTGCCAGCCGGCGGCTACCAGGGGCGAGCCGCCCTTATGAACATGGATGTACCCCAACCGGTCCGCTGATTGGATACGGCACCCTCCATCTGGACAAGGTTGAAGATGAAGAACTGCTTGTCCATGGACAGTTACCGCAAAGTAACCACACAGCCAGACCCAAGGGATTGTCGGCAGAGCAATTGGAGACGACCCAGCCCCAGCATGTCCGTCGGATATACCTTGATACGATGCGGTGCAGTCGGACCACGACGGGGTCCGTAGGGCTGCGAGGGGAGCAGCAGAGGGCGAGGGAAAAAAAAAAAAGAAAAATCTCCGCCGCAGCCTGCAGCAACGAACCTTATACGCACCCGCAGTGGTACTACTAGTACTGCACAGGAACGAGGGACGGGAGTCCGGAAATCCCGTACGGAGAAAAGGTCGCATCTCCCTCCCGGTTAGGTTCCGATCAGGATTCCGATGGAGTCCCGCCACATCAGAAGATAGCAACCCCTCCCACGCCCACAGGTACACCAACCCAACACATTGGATGTACCATACCCTGGGGGCAATGGCACCTGGGCCATGGGAAGAACCAACCCCATCGTCAGCCTCGAACGATGGGGTTCACCAGGAACACCTTCCGTTTCGGAACAATTACTTCGTCTGTGTCCACTTGAGGCACGCCGGCACGACCTTGTCGTCACCACGCGATGCTCTTGCTGGCTGCTTGTATGCAGACTACTGCGTGGCGGAGGGGCGGCCGGGGCGACCTGGGCCACCAAGGGAGGGAACCTGCGTGTCATCCACGTTTTTGGGGCCATCGAATATTCCGTCTGCCTTCTGTGGCCCAGTCCGTTTCAGGGGCGTTGTCCCAAAGTCCCATCGTCCCAGTTGTGGGAATGGGAGAGTCAGCAGCTTCTCCTCCCTCGTCCATGGCTCAGTGTCGTTAGTTCCGTGGGGCTCGATCTTCTCCAGCACGATCGTCATTTTTTCCCGCCTAGTCCCAGTCAGGCATGGAGTCCTTAACCCCCTGGTGCCCGCTGCTTTTCTTCCTCCTCTGTAACAATTCCCCCCTAACCCCTGTCGCTCCTTCGCACTACGGGACTAGTCGATACGCTTGTACGGCTTGTACTGTCTTACGCCCCCACCAGTACGAGTCCAGTCAGTCCACTGCATTGGGACTGTGTCTCCTCCGAGTACATCCCATTGTACTCCGTCTCTCCCTCCTCCGCTAGTCCCCTTCGCGATAGTGTCATCGGCCCTCTTTTAATTACTCTTTTTTTTGGATTTTTTAACTTTCGGGGCGTCTCGTCGTCTTTTTCTCCTTCTTCCCTTTTCTTCTCCAGCACCCCCACCCGCGCTCTCTGGGAGAAATCGCCCATGTGGAACAGACTCTCGCCCAGATCGGAGTCCAAGTCTGGGAGCGATTCGAACCACCTTCATCTTCCTGAAATTGGATTTCTGGGGCGTGCGCGAAAGAAACCAACCTCTGGTAAGTCTTGATCCATTGTACCGTCTATGCCCAAGGCTCGTCATATCAGATCGTGGGCATCGTCATTCACTCCGATCTATTGAAATCTTCCTCGTGGCATCCACATCCCATTGCGGTCCCTGTCTTTTACTGTACTTATTCACTGGTGGACTCTGAACACGGAACTGCTGGATCTGAGACCATTGCGCGGGTTCTAGATGTGCCCACTGTCATAAAACCTCCTCTGCCCACTCCTCTTCCTTCCATCTCTTCCCCCCTGAGTCGTTCGTATTTTCTTTCATCCTTCTTTGGCAGCTTCCCAGTCTATTCTGGGATCTGCGCAACTCCTTCGCCACTGCACCAGTTGCCTTGTCAGCATTGCTCTTTGGGCCCCCGCATCGCTAACGGGTCCGGGTGACGTACAGAATTACAATCGCGCCCAGATTCGCCTTCTCGCTCTGCTTTCCGGCCCTTTCGTTCTTTTAGTCGCAGGGACCAGTCGTTCCGGCCCGAAAGCACTCTTTCGAACTATACCAACAATACCTCTTACAATCGCCCCCGGGACCCCTCGACCCTCGCCGATTCCATTCATTCCGACTACTCGCAGCCGGCGTGGCAGCCTGCCTCGCATTCCAACCGCTCTCGCGTCTCGTTCAACTCGCGCTCCGGCATACATACCAGCCAGATGGAGGTCGACCGCACTCGCACCCGGCGGGAGAGGACGTTTATTGGCAGCGAATGTGCTGTCTGTGAGGAGCCGCTCGAACATACTCTGCGCGGCGAGCGGATCCTCCAATTCTCATGCAGTCATGTGTCCCACGAAGCGTGCTTCTACGAGTATATCCGCGAATTCGAATCGCAATACTGCCCGACGTGCAATGCGCCGTTGAGCTTGGATACCAGCCGAGGCGGAAATGTGTTGGACATCGGTAAGCCGCCCCTGTTGTGAATCATAGAGTAAGAGAATGTGGGCTGACTCAGGCACAGAGAAAATCAGCAACATCGTCCGCTCGGTGACGATGAGCGACACCGCCACCACCCGCAGCGGCCTGACCACGCCAACCCCATGGGAGCAACAATCCACCCGTCGCGCCCCCAGCGACGCCGGCAGCCGCTACAATGGCCCCACGCAATCGGCGTATAGTCGACGAGACAGCCGCGACACCACCGGCCAGCGCGAGCGCGTCGAGCGGCTGACCGCAGGCTCCCACACGCACTCCCGCCAACCGCATTCCCGCAACGGCAGCGCCGCCGGCTCCTCGGGCGACTACCACAACGACGGCCAACACACCAGCAGCGGCCGCCGCCATGACTACGACGTGCAGGCCATGGAGTCTGACCTCAGCCCGCGCCCCGGCGTGACCAAGAACCCCATCCCGGCCCCCATTGTGACCGTGCGAAGCGAGTTCCCCACTATGAACCGATCCCGCCAGCAACAAACCCTCACCTGCCTGATCACCGTCGAAGTCCCCGAAGGCAACTGGCGGCCCGACGCGGAGGATCTCCGACATACCCCGTCAGGCCAGCCGCAGCCTGACGAGCCGTTCTCGGCGCGCTTCGGAGGCTCGCAGGATGCGCGGTCGATTCAGTATGAGTCGCCGATGGAGAATCTGGATGAGATGGCGGAGGAGCTGCGAAACCGGGTGGACAATTGGCATGGGCTGGAGTTCAATCGTTTTGGCAAACTGCGGATGCATGGACAGATGCGCGTTGGCAAGGACCGGGAGTCCTGGCAGGAGTTGGAGTGCTATCTCTTTGGGGAGATGCTGATATGTGTCAAGGAGAAGAAGGTCGCGGATCACCACAACCAGTACGGAGAGTCGAAGCACAAGACACGCTGTACCCTGAAGGGTTCGATTCTCATCAAGAAGCACCTGAAGTCCATCGAGTCGTCCCCTGATGAGCCCATCTTGTCGCTTAACCTCTCTGTTAGCGAATTGCCCTGCTTCTTCCTCCGCTTCCCGAACCGCAACCAGCTGGAGATGTGGCGCCGAGCATTGATGGACCTGCACCCCGTAGAGAACCTGTCTCGTCAGAACGACTACGATCTGGACAACTCGGGTGCCGAGGAGGACGATTATCGTACCAGTCGGATTCAGCGACAGGCCTCGCTGAACTCTTCCTACGGCGCGGGCAAGTCCAACAACACCGCCATCACCGAATACACCAACCCGGACATGGAGGCCCCGTCAATTGACTGCTTCCATATCCCTCTTGACCTCGTTGTGGTCATCCCTGTCTCCTCATCGATGCAGGGCCTCAAGATTACTCTTCTCCGCGACGCTCTAAAGTTCCTCGTCCAGAACCTGGGTCCCCGGGACCGTATGGGCCTGGTGACATTTGGGTCTAGTGGTGGCGGCGTTCCTCTGGTGGGCATGACAACCAAGAACTGGAACGGATGGAACAAGATTCTTGATTCCATTCGCCCTGTTGGTCAGAAAAGTCTCCGTGCCGATGTCGTGGAAGGTGCGAATGTTGCCATGGATCTTCTGATGCAGCGCAAGTGCAACAACCCTGTCTCGACCATCCTGCTCATCAGCGACTCGTCGACCTCCGACCCTGAAAGCGTTGACTTTGTCGTCTCTCGTGCCGAGGCCGCCAAGGTCAGCATCCACTCCTTCGGCCTAGGCCTCACTCACAAGCCGGACACGATGATCGAGCTGTCCACCCGCACCAAGGGCTCTTACCTCTACGTCAAGGACTGGATGATGTTGCGCGAGTGCGTCGCCGGCTGTCTAGGCGCACTGCAAACAACCTCCCACCAGAACGTGAAGTTAAAACTTCGCCTTCCAGAGGGCTCCCCGGCAAAATTCGTCAAGATCAGCGGTGCCCTGCACACAACGAAGCGCGCAACAGGCCGCGACGCCGAAGCCGCACTGGGCGACCTCCGCTTCGGCGACAAGCGCGACGTCCTCGTCCAGCTCGTCATCCAACCCGACAACACAACCCAAGACAACATGCCCCAGGACCCCTGGGAGAGCCTCGTCTCGGGCCTGGAAGCACTCGGCGGCGGTCTAGACGGCGACGAACAGCGCGTCCTGAGCGTTGAAGAAGTCCCCCTCATCCAAGCCGACCTAACATACGGCGACCTCCTCCGCGACGGCCACCTCACTCACTCCCCGCGTCCCTCCCTCCTCGCCATCACCATGCTCCCGCCAAACCCCCGCGCAAAGGGCGGCCGCCCTAGCACACCTCCCATCCCCCCTCACCCCTCCATCGTCCAACGCCGCATGGAACTCCTCACGTCCGACATGTTAACCCGCGCCCTCACTCTCGTCTCCCGGGGCCAGCATGACCGCGGCCAACACCTCCTCAACGAAACAAGGAGTATCCTCAAGGGCCTGGGCAAGGGCGGCCTCCCGCCTCTTCCGCCTGGCGCGAACGGCGCTCGCTCCGGAACAAGCGAGAACGGAAGTCGAACCGATACGCCCAATTCCAGCTCCTCGCCCAAGTCATCTACCTTCGCGGAGAGCCACGCCTCCTCCGCCTCGGATACGAATACCATCACGCCTGCTTCGTCAGTCGATGCCTCGACGATGGTCGCGCTGAACGCGGACCTGGACTCCGCCCTCGAGTGGATTAACCACCCCGCTGTCTTTGGCCGTGATTCCAGGAAAGCCGTGCTGCAGAGTATCGGGACGATCTCTTCGCAGCGCGCTTATACCTACCGCACGCCCTCGGAGGCGCATTGGGCTCAGAGGATTGCCGGTGTTAGACGGTTGACGGACAAGTCGAAGGACTGGAGGGAAATGGGCGATGACGCCTTGACGGAGGAGTGATTTACTCAGCTCGGTTCCTGCATTATCTTTTCCCCTCGCTACGTTTTCCCCTTTTCTTTTTTTCATTTACATAGTATGGTCACGACCCCCATACTCCCCTATCCATTCCCCCTCTTTCGTGTTCCGTCTCCTTGATTTGATGCGTGCTATGTTTTGTTTCTCCCATGATACCACTTTGTTCCCACCGACTGTGCGGCATGTTACCAGGGGCTTTCTTCACGTACGTGTATTTCCTGTTTATGCGCGCTTTGTTTGGACATTCCCTACTCCTACTCTGTTAATGGGATAGGCTATTTTTGATGTCTTGTTTGGTTCGGATGGGTACTGCTTTTTCTGTGGCTCTCTTTTCTTTTTTTTTGGCTCCATGTTCCTCACGAGGGGTTGGAAAATATTACGATTTGTATACTGATACTGAGGTCTCAATTTTTGTTTATGGCTTACCGACCCCCTTTGCATAATTTGTGAATAATGACTTGCATGTTAAGATTTGGATATTTTAATTTTTTTGTTTCTATTCAGGTCTTGTGTTTTGTAGTTGGTGGTTGATTGTAGTAATACTTGTAGGTTGACCACGGTGTCAGGGTTCGAGTCGATTACATTCCCAGGCTTACTGTGCGATGGCCCCGATAATACTGATCCGGCTATGGATATCATTGTGTTGATCTGAAATTCGGTCTGTTGTGTATAAGGTGGACGGTCTACGCAATGTGGTAAAGTAAGCCAAAATGGAAGGAGCCAGAACGAGCTTAAAGCCGAAAGAGGCAGCTTATCTCCGCCGAGGCCTAGACGAGCTCCGCGCTTTCCAGGCAACGAGCCTCCAATTCTCCCTGAATCATTCCACGACAACCACTCCCCTTCCTTCGCATCTACACATACGTATCACCATATCTCCAACTACTACCTCCATGCTTTAGCCATGCGTGCGATGTCCATCCTCCGTGCCCTGCGCGGCATGCGCCCGGCCTTGTCGCAACCCTCCGCGAAACACGTCACGTCCTTTCCACGCCTGGGCCGAACACTGGCTCCGCAAACGCAAGCACCTTCGCGATGCATCACGAATTCCTCCACCCGACAGATCATTCAGCCTTTTAGTCTAGCCCAAAGGGTCTCCACCCTCCGCTCCCTTACGCGCACATTACCTCTTCGCGCACCGCATCGCACATTCACCTCTAGCACCCGATTCCAGTACCCTCGCTATCAAAGAAGCTACAACCGATTCGATGGCTCAAGTGGCGCAGGCTCCTTTTTCTCGACCTTGATCCAGAAATCGAAACCACAACATTTCGTCGTGATCGGATTGGGCATCTCGGGAATCTACCTCTACAACACAGATGTGGTGGAAATGACTGGCCGCCGACGCTTCAACGTCGTTTCGCACGAACAAGAATTGAAGATGGGTGCCGAGACCTACCGCGAAATCCTCGCCACAGAACGGGGCAAGATTCTACCGGAAGACCACCCTCTCACGAGAATGGTTGATCGCGTCCTCCAGAGACTGATCCCAGAAGCGCCAATTCCCGGCGCCAACTGGAAAGTGCATGTTATCAATGACCCCGACCAGGCTAATGCATTTGTTATTCCCGGTGGCAAGGTCTTCGTGTACACTGGGATTCTTCCCATTTGCCAAGACGATGATGGACTTGCCGCTGTGCTTGGACACGAGATTGCCCACGTCGTGGCGCGACACCCGGCCGAGCGGATGAGCAATAGCTTTCTCACTGTCGGCACCGTATTCCTTATTTCGATCTTCTTCGATGTCTCCGGCCACTTTTCATCGATGATGATGAATCTGATCTGGAGCCTGCCGAATTCGCGGACCCAGGAGGCCGAAGCAGATCAAATGGGGCTGATGATGATGTCGAAGGCCTGCTTCAATCCTAAAGCCGCCGCGAAGCTGTGGCGTCGGATGCAGCAGATGGAGAAACGGGCTCCGCCACAATTCATGTCGACTCATCCGTCTTCGTACAACCGGGAAGAAGCCATCCAAGGGTGGATGGAGAAGGCGCAGGCAATTTACCAGGACAACGGGTGTGGCCCGTTCAAGACATTCAGTAAGTTGCTCCCACCTTTCTTAGTTCTTTGTTTGGTAGATGGGCTGTCTGACCCCCTCCGCAAATAGTGCCCAGCTTTCAAAACGCATATGGTTCGCATAGCCCGTCTGTGTGGTAGGATTCCAGCGCCGACTCCACAAGCATATATCGAACTACTAGTAGGTACTAGTAGTAGCTGTATTATATTTCTACGAAATTCTGATGAATACATGATCTCAATTCAATTCACATTCATAGTGTACTTCTATAGTAAAAGTATGCGTCGTGGTGGATGTAGTGTGTATACTGTGGTCCGCGGGGCGGTCAACATGCCCCCCTCGTGCAAACGCAGCAAACCCACCACCCGTCGAGCTCCAAAAATTCCCGGCACCTCGACGAAGCCCATCTTCCCCCAAACACCTCAGATCCCGTCGCATCTACCCCGGACGCGACTTTTCACAATGTCGTTATCCATCCCCGGGCCCTCTCAGCAGGGCCTCTTCAAGCAAGGGTACCAGAGGTAAGAAAGAATCAAATAGAAGCAACCCCCCCGGAGATCCCACCTCCTTATCGGCCCCGGGCAGCCAGCGAATGAAGCCAGTCCAATGCTGACATTTTCCTTTTCAATTCAGCCACGATTCCGAGGATGGAGCCGTGATTCGTAACATCGAGGCCTGCCAGGCCATCTCCGGCACTGTCCTGACCTCCCTGGGCCCGTACGGCCGCAACAAGATCGTCATCAACCACTTGCAGAAGATGATTCTGACCTCCGACGCTGCCACGATTCTTCGCGAGCTGGATGTTGTGCACCCCGCTGCTAAGCTGCTGGTCATGGCCAGTCAGCAGCAGGATGCGGAGATGGGCGATGGCACCAACTTGGTTATTGTTCTGGCGGGAGAGTTGCTCAAGAAGGCGGAGGAGCTTATTCGCATGGGATTGAAGACCAGTGATATTACTTCGGGTTACGAGAAGGCACAGAACTTTGCCCTGAAGACTCTAGAGGGTATGTTTTGACAGTCATTATTGATGGTGGGGGCGTTGGAAGAAAGATAGGAGACAGATGAATTGGTTGCTAACTGCTGGTTGCTGTGATTAGACCTCGAAGTTGACCGACTCAAGGATATGCGCTCCATCCCGGAACTCAGCAAGGCCCTCCGAACCGTCGTCGCTAGCAAGCAGTCCGGTACGGAAGACATTCTGGCCAACCTCGTTGCCGAGGCCGTGCTCGCCGTCCTGCCCAAGAACCCCCTCAACTTCAACGTGGATAACGTGCGTGTCGTCAAGATTATGGGTGGCAGTCTGGAGCAGTCCAAGGTGGTAAAGGGTATGGTGTTCGGCCGTGAGCCCGATGGTATTGTCAAGCAGGCCCGCAAGGCCAAGGTCGGCGTGTTCAGCTGCCCCATTGATACCCAGCAGACTGAGACCAAGGGCACCGTTCTGCTGAAGAATGCCCAGGAGATGGTTGACTTCACCAAGGGCGAGGAGGAGCGTCTAGAGACCGCCATCAAGGAACTCTACGACTCCGGTCTCCGCGTTGTGGTCGCCGGTTCCACCGTCGGCGAGCTGGCCATGCACTACCTCAACCGCTTCAACATCCTGGTCATCAAGATTCTCTCCAAGTTCGAACTCCGCCGTCTGTGCCGTGTCGTCGGCGCTACCCCTCTGGCCCGTCTGGGTGCCCCCATGCCCGATGAGATGGGTACCGTCGATGTCGTCGAGACCACCGAGATCGGCGGTGACCGTGTCACTGTCTTCCGTCAAGAAGATGCCAACTCCGCCACCCGCACAGCCACAATTGTCCTGCGCGGCGCCACCCAGAACCACCTGGATGACGTCGAGCGTGCCATCGACGACGGCGTCAACGTCGTCAAGGCCATCACCAAGGACCCCCGCCTCGTGCCCGGCGCTGGCGCCACCGAGATCCAGCTCGTCGAGCGCATCTCCAACTTCGCCGACAAGACCCCCGGCCTGCCGCAGCACGCCATCCGCAAGTTCGCCGAGGCCTTCGAGGTCGTCCCGCGCACCCTGGCCGAGTCCGCCGGTCTCGACGCCACCGAGGTCCTGTCCCGCCTGTACACCGCTCACCACCGCATCAACCCAGCCGAGGAAGAGGAGGGCAGCTCGTCTGAGGAGGAAGAGGAGGAGGAGCCGTACTGGACTACTGGTGTGGATTTGGAGACTGGTTCCGGCGACGGTACCCTCGATGCTGTTGATGAGGGCATTCTCGACTTGATGGCCACCAAGAGCTGGGCTATCCGTCTGGCTAGTGAGTCTGCTCGCACTGTTCTCAGCGTCGACCAGATCATTGTCGCTCGCCAGGCTGGTGGGCCGAAACCCCCGGGGCCCAACCCTAACTGGGATGAGGATTAAACGTTTGATTATGAGGCTTCGAGACCGCTGGGACGTTGATAGATCTCCGTACGATATCACGAAAAAAAGTCGGCTGGTGTGTATAGCAGAGTATGATAATACATCCCTAACGTTTGGTCAGACTTCAGTCTACTTGACGGAGAATATCTAGCATAATTGTAGAAAAGTCGTTCGCTTTGTATGAACGTTTCCTACGAGCATGTGTCGTTTCAGTTTTGACATTCGAATGCTTGAGGTCCAGCAGATACCGAGCATGATCACCGTCATCGACATTTAGTAATAGCCGCAGCGAAATTCCGGATAAATCTCTCTGTTGCTACGCTGTACAGATTCAGACCGACGGGAAGAAGACGTCTCATTCTCCTGCCACGCCCAGGACACCGGCCCCTGCACCGACGTCGAACTGGTAGTTTTGCGGGTAAAAGTGAACTCGTCGTTGGCCTTCCTCATCGACATACATTAATATAGTAATCTGCCTTTATTCGCGTCGTAATGCCTCGTAGAACTTCGTCGATGGCCTTCTTACACCAGACCCCGAACTTTTTCTCTGCATCCTCGATTGCCTCCAACTAGTTCGGAGGATCTTGCGAGAGGTAGGTTGAAAATGTTCAATTGAGGCTGAACGAACGATGGTTGGAGAAGGTTGTAACGTTGCGTGGGGAAGTGAAGATTCGTAGCAAGCGAAGAGAACTTTGAAGGTCCTGATCTTCGCTGCCGTTGAATCGTAGCCCGGAGGCCGCCTGTCTTGTATGTGCAATCCAACATCTCTGTAGTCCCTTTGGAGGATTCGGTCTCCTTTCTTGCCACATCAATGGGCCCTGCGTCACCCTATTCTGTGTCTCTGGAATACACGAGCTTCCGTTGTGGTCCTCATGGATTCCTCCATAATGGAGAGAGTTCACCCAATTAGCCACCGGCGACAACTTGTCCAAGAACTTAGACTGCCGTTAAAAGAGTACGCTTTGGATCTGTCAGAAACAACTTCACTGCAATTCGTATTTCGAGCTTCGTAAGCTCTAGTTTTCGGAGAGCTCCTGTGAAAATGAGCCCTTAGCGAGCGTGACATCGTCGTCAACTCTGGTCACGAGAACATGTGTTTCTTTTGCAACTGTGCATTCTTTGCATAAAACCAAGCGCGAAATCAGCCATAATTTCGTCGGGAATTCTGGTGCACTGCCAGACGTGCATACGGCCGGAATTTCGGTTGTTTGACCGGACCACTACAATGAGCTCGCAGATTTTTAGCGGCAGATCTTCAATTCCTGATCGAACTTCCATGAATAACCGTGTTTGATATCCGCGTCATTCGTAAGTGCGAAGACTGCGAACAACCACGAGTCGACAGGTAACTCGACTTCGTCAGCCTCTTTGATCACCCAATGTCCTGGTAAAGCTGGCCGGTGCCGCCTTCTTATCTCGGCCAACCCTGAAGACGTCGATAACACCCAACCGTAAAAAGAAAGGCCGATACAGGGAAATGATAAACTTTGTATGATGCTGAAAATGGCTTCCAGCTGGAACAAAGTACGTTGAAAATCATCGCTTGTTTTGCCATTTTGTTCGTAGGCATGTTTCGCCACGAACATTCAGAAATGCCCACTCGTCAGCGAGTTCCCAGAACGTAGGCCCCAAAAAAAGATTCAAGAAAGTTCTGTTGTTCGTGACTTTGAAATCCCATAAGGCTCAAGCGGGCTAGGACTTGGATAGTCCTTCTCAGAAATCGCTCTCGGTGTCTGTCATGTTGGTGACTGACTCGGAGGTGTTTCTTTGCAATTGAGCTGCGAGGGAAACTCCAACCGATATCGGGAGCTTCTGTTCCAAGCCTCGATTATTTCTGCAATTTAAGCTCTTTCAGGCATATCCTGTGGTCAGGCCCCGTACCGTCTTGCCTTTGCTAAAAGAGCGGAATGAATGCCCCGTTGTTGGGTGCATCGTTGACTTGTTTGATGTCCCAACTCACCGGCACTCCCCGCAACCACCTTGGCTTAATAACCCTCAATTCATTCCAAATGCTTTGGACACATTCTCGCATATTCATTGCTCCTTGACTCCCCTAGGATCAAGTCTATCCGGGTAATAATCAGCCAGAGTGACTTCCCAGTCTCATAAAATCAAAGAACTTGCAGCATGACTGATCATAAATTGGCTGGGTCGACAACTCGAGAGCATGGGGCACTTTATCTGCCATTATGATGTAAATATCCGAGAACTTCAGCTTGGGGAGCATTCTGGAGGCTTTGTCTTTAAAGAGGTTCTTCAGAGACACTATTGGCGACTTGTTGCTTGACTCCTTTGACATTTGACCCATGGACGCCAGGGGGAATCTGAATTGACTGTTCTTTTCATTCAGAGCAAAATTCTGAATCGTTTCACGAGCAGCGCCTTCGTGAGTGAAGGATCTTGTGTATTGGGTTCGGGGGAAATAGCACAATTGTAAAATTGCACCAATGGCGACTCTTCATGATCGAAATGCACCCGTGTTGTCTCATCTCAGTCGTTGGGGTCGAATTGGTACAGTAGAGTCAGTCAATGGCTCCATCAGTGGGCAACATTCGAACTCTCTGTTCTCTCTTGCATCACTCCAGTATTGTGATCCAGGCTGCTTTTGGGTTTGTCGTAAACGGCGAGAGAAGGAAGTTAATCCACGCAGCCATCTCAATCTCATGTCCTCCCCCACTGCTTCTAGACGACCTTGATTGGCTTCTTACTCCCGACAATCAGTGCACGGCCCGTATATCGTAGCAAAGTATTCGAAACAATGAAATTCACAGGTTCCTGGGATCCCTGACTCCCTCAGTCCCGTTTTGGGGTGAAGAACATTATCCGTAGTCGAAGTTTGCGGTCTAAAAGAACGCAACGCAGCTTGTCGGGGTCTTCCCATACCGAACTTATCGGGTGATGACACAAGCGATTCAGAAGTCCGGTCTCCATGGAAAGGCCATGATATTATAGTCTTGCGCCACTGAGATGCTGCAACCATCATCTAGGTAGTTCTGGGCATTGGCTTTGCGGGGTCGCGCCAATTAAGATCGGGCCTGCCACAATTTGCCCGATCCAGATTTCATTTTAGTTTTTCCACCGGCCTCCGCGGTATAGTACAACTTGGTTTTCTTGTATCGCGTATGCCAGGGTTGGAAGACCCGTTCCGCCGTGATTTTCTCGCTGCAAGAAATGGTGCCACAAAGTATTCGAGCACAGGTGGTCGACATGGGCTTTGACCAGGTCGTAAATGTGGCCCTTGCTTGAGAAAGCGAAATTCTCCGCCCTCTTTTTGCTCGCTGTCCACTGGCGAGTCTCGAGCGCGCCTCTGCCACTCTGACAAGCGTAAAGAGGCTAAAAGCTAGCCGATGCGTTTCGAAGTTGATTCAGATGCCAATTTCGTCAACAACCTGCGTGTACTCCTATCTCGCGGGACTTGGGATCCGTCGTGCTCATGCATAAGGCGTGCTGCCGTGTATGCAGTCGCGTGTGACTTGATTTCATTCAACGGATCGCCTCAAAAATGGAACCAGTATTGCACCACATAGCAACGATTGCTGCGTAGCTTGGATAGCTTTTCGCTTCACTTTTGATTCGAGTTCCCAGGTCCAGGTAGTCAAGCATTGCCTGGTCTTCTGTGGGTCCATAGGTAGGTTCATGGTGCCAGGGTGTTGGGAGGTAGTCTGGAAGATGTAGGATGATAGACGAAGCCGGAGCGAAGATGGCTAGAAGAGGAAGTGTAGGAGTTACCCGGGCAAGAGCGAGCCGAGCAGTGAGATGCTAGTTTTGGATATCAAGCTCCCACTAGATGATGGCATGATATCAAGATATTTCGATGATGAGGCAGGTGAGATGAGAGGAGAAAGTGTAGTCCCACGCCCAGCCATGGGTGGGTGAATCGTATGAATGGGGAGTGAGTAGGAGGTGAGATTTCAAGATGGCTTCATCTTGAGTAAGAGCCTTTGTGGGTATGTTGGTGTCAGGAGACTCTTGGATCCTCTCGGGGATGATGGGTGAGGATGGTTTGTATTGACGAACAAAGCAGTCTCGTGGTGAATGATACGTGATTAGATTTCGGAAACAGGCGATGAGAGAACGAGGTCATATCTCCGACTGCTTGTCTTCATCCGCTAAAGTCTCGACAATGAATCATGTAACTACGAAGGACATTTGTCTGCCAAAGGATCGTGCTGCAATGAAAGACCTAGAGATATGATGTCACATGGCCATCACAAGTGCTGTCTCGTCTTCGAATTAAGTGCTGATCTGGACCATAAAGGCATCTTTCTTACAGGTGCTCATGTGAAAGCTAGGATTTGAGTGAAGCTGCCTTTTGAGAACGGAAATGGTTGATTCAACGTGGGGTGCAATCATCCTTTGATCGTGGACCTATCAACTACGTAGGTAAAATTGTGGCTCTTGTTTTGGATCTCTGCGCTACCACATATACATAGATGTCGCCAGAAGAAATTGTCTCACTCGTGATTACGACACGCACTAGCAGTGCTGCAAAGTCGATAATGCACAAAAGCGAGCTACAAAGAGGTAAATTTTCAAAAAAAAAGAAAACATAATTTCATTCGAATATATTTACTAAAAACGATTGTGCCTCCACACTGAGTGTTCATGGCTGGCTTGTATGGCTGACTAAATAACAACTCACGTGACACCTAGATTTTCCCCGAAACCCTCGCCATTCTTTTCGTCCGCATCGCGATTCGAGCTGTCCCCTTTCAATTCCCCCCCACGGTTCACTTCTTTGATTTCTTTTTCGGAGCCCCGGTCTCGTTCACGCCTTCGCCATGTCTTTCCCCATCCAGTCCGCAGCTCGCTGCGCCAGACAGCTGTCCGGCTCCGTCCGCCCATCCTCCCTGCGCATCGCGACCTCATACACAGCCCGCACACCCAGCGGCCGACGATGGGAATCTACCGAGGCCGCCGCTGCCTCTGCCAACCCCAAGATTACACAGATTGTCGACCAAATCAGCACATTGACTCTGCTTGAGACCGCCGACCTCGTGTCTACTTTGAAGGTGGGTGTTACAATTCGATGATGCGACATGGACGAAGCAATCGCATGGCTCCACTGCTCCATCGTTGTGAAGTCTGCGCTTCGGACCCAATTGCTCACATTCCATTCTGCTAGACCCGCCTGAATATCCCCGACCTCCCCGTTGGCGGCTTCGCCATGGCCCCCGGAGCCGGCGCACCTGGCGCCGCTGCCCCCGTTGAGGAAGAAGAGGCCGCCCCCGCCGCTGCCGAGAAGACACTGTTCAACCTGAAGCTCGAGGGCTTCGAGGCTGCCTCTAAGCCCAAGATCATTAAGGAGATCAAGAACATGCTTGGCCTGTCGCTGGTGGACAGCAAGAAGTTCGTCGAGTCCGTGCCGAAGGTCATGAAGGAGTCTGTGCCGAAGGAGGAGGCCGAGAAGATCATCGAGACTCTCAAGGGTCTGGGTGCTAAGGCCATCATGGAGTAAAGAAATCACCTCGCGGCTTGGGGACAAAAGCAAAATCGGACCGTCGTTGTTTTGGGCTGGGGATTGGAGGTGTTTTTTGCGTCTCTCTCACATTTACACTCTTCTCCCTGTGTTTTTTTTTTATTACCAAGACAATTTTTGGATTTCTTGCGCGGCCTGTGCTATTGGGCTTTGAGGATATCTTCTGAGCGTTGTTGTTGGCCTGGTCGTGTGAGGGCAAATGTACATTATACGCATTGTGTTATAGACCCGTCTGGTACAGAGGGTTTGTTTGATTAATTGATGCATTGAGCATTTTCAAGGTATTATTTTCATCTTGTAAAATATATTCGAGTTGATTTAGTTGTATGTGGTGGCTTCTTGAGTAGTACCGAGTGGTCCCGTGAAGGCGGACTGGAACCTCCGACCTCCGCTCTTTTCGCAATCTCCGCCGCAACACTACCCAACCCGTCACCACCACGCGCCGCCCTCGCTGAGCAGATCTTGCGCCCGCAATGTCAAGGTCGGCGGCTTCTCTGAAGCAATGGCTGCAGCTGCGCCGGACACTATCTTCCAAAGCCCCCTCGACCCTTGTCCCTCGTGCGCTGAACCCGCCTCTCTCGACATCCACTTCCCGCCCGACGACGACGGACAATGGCACGCTCAAGCCAGCGCGTTCATTCCATAGCTCCCGACCACGAAGCGCTGCCAAGAAAACTACTCGTCGTGCACCCTCGGTTATTGAAAAAGAAAGAACCTTAGAGCGCTCGAAAGGTTATATCGGAGAGAAGGGTAATCTTTTCCTTCGATCTCCTGTTGGAGGCTTTTTGGACAAGGGATTGGGCGAATTCTTGAAACTTCATGAAGAACTCGCTGAGCCCTATTACGACATGTCGATACGACTTGGTTTCATCTCGAGGGACATCACTCTTAAGACTTACAAGGAGGTTGGGCGAAAATTGGTTACAGCGGCTTTTGAAAGCGCGCCCAATGCGGCGGCTATACGGGCTATTTCGGTTGGTAAGTTCCATGCTCTTGATCAAAGGTTCTTTCCGTGAAATGGAAATGTGTGTTTGAACGTGATTCGTATGTCATGGTGCTGTGGTCACTAACTGTACGCAGACGTTGATACTGTTTTTCGAATCGGCCACTGCGTGATGGGGCAATTCCATGAAAAGTACCTTAATGAATGGACTCTATCCGCATGCGGAATGGCAAAGGCTCGCATGGCATTGGTCATTATCGTAAATCGAGCCGCGAATAAAGAAAAGATACCACCCCGCTCTGAATGGGTAGAGGAAATTAAAAAGCTGGCTGCGCTGGAATACCCTCCTGCGATGCTGCTGCATGCCAAGATCCTGGGCCAGCGTGGTCAATATGAGGACTCCTTTCGCATCTTCGAGAAGAAAATTTTCCCTCGGATTTCTCCCACGCGCTCGGAAGTCCCGATGTTCGATAATATTCGTGTGGGTGGGATGGAGTCGCCATATCGGTTGTACGCCCTATATCGTGCTGCGTACGATAAGCTCTATGGCTCAAAGGAAAGTCGGGAGAAGGCAGATGAGGCGACTCGTATCGCTGCGCTGGAATACAATGATCCGGACGCATTGGTTGAGTATGCCTCGCTCATGATGAATGAGAATAATCTCGACATGTACGAAGAGTGCATGGTCAAGGCTGCTTCCGGAGGCCATCAACGTGCCGGCTTCTACCTGGGCAACTTCTACTATCTTACTTACCATGGCCAATATCCCACCCGTGAGCAGAGGAGCCCCGATGCTCAAAAGTTGTTTTGGCTGCAACGACTTGCCGAACAGAATAAAGACGGCTCAGTTTCTATCCCGAAACGGGTGCTTGGTTGGGCTGCCTCTTTCTTCAACCAGTCTCTGTCCAAAGATGACTATCGCCTCTTGGCGGTCTGCTGGTATGAAATTGGAGGCTTTCTGGCCCATCCGGAATCGCTATTTATGCGGGCGCTGTTTATGCGTGAAGTTGCTGTGTCAGTCGAGGAAAGAGAAGACGCGGCTATTTACTTCGAAACCGCGGCTGATCACATGACAGATCCGCAATTGAAGCAGAAGATTGTGGAGATTCAGAATAACTGGTTTGATCCCTGCTACGAGCCAAGTCTGCCGAAGAAGCTTCTGGCTGTACGATAGTGGTGGGAGACGTACTTGGACAGGATTTATCAACATTCATGGATGTATTATAGTTGCATTTTTGAACATATTTCATATTCTAGCGATTATAGACCTTCAATTTATCCTCAGTTCCAGCTGCAGGGTTTAAGATTAGTGTATAGTTGAGTTTGATGGTCATCATGCCATCGGCTTCCTAAGCAGCCGCCGGGCCAACCTCTGTCACACTCAATCAAACCCCTTTCCGAACGAAGATTGGCAACAAAAAGGCCGCAAAAGGAAACACAAGAGACTCTCAAGCTAAAACGAGAGACAATTCTACAAATAAAGACGCATGCGTTGACGTTCATTCACCTTGAGGCTAACTCAACTCCTACAACCTTATAGCCGACTAAAATTTCGCGAACTTGAATCGATTCTTGATCTTCTCAGAACGCCATACCAGCGTCACCAGGTCCATGTCTACGTCCCAAGAAGCCCTTCTGGCGATGCAGATATCGATTTTGATAGAGATTTTCTCATCGCGTGAAACTTCATTCAACTTTGGTTTTGTATTCTCTTGACAGCTGGTCTGAGTGCTGAAGTGCTTGGCTTTCTGATCATGCGGGTCTGGATATTTCTTTTCAATTGATATTTGAGATATGAGCAGAGCAATATCACTTGCTAGTTATCATGCTACAGGGTGTATCGAAATCAGATTTTCCACTACATTCTCTTTGATCCTCTCTCGAACCTTATTTCGAAATACCCTAATCTATATCTAATTTCGCTGTTTTGAATTATCGAAATGTATTGTCACACATTATCAAATGATGGCTTACCCCACTAAATTACATGAAATAGCTATACACTACTCGTTATCCCTCATCATCAGCAATCTCCTAGAATATTCTTTGCGACTTAGCAAATTCGGCGTGCTCCTTCTTTTCCATTTGCTTTCGTAAAAACCCACCAGGCACCCGAACAAATGCCGGGTTGGCTGGAATTTTGTTGACATTGAATTTACAACTTTTGTGCGGTCTTCTTTAATACATAAATAACACCTCATTGGTGTGCAGCTTCTGACGTACGCAGGCACCTAACCAAGCTGTACGAAATTCTAGGGGATTTAGTCGTATAAAGATAGTTGAGCATCCGCACAGTACCACATCCATATATAGTAATTCAAGCTAAATTCTTCAGACGCAGTGTGGCTGCCTCCTCTAGAAGTCTTGCAATTGCTTCATGGCCATTCGATTTTGCAAAATTCCGTGGCGTATCATCCTCTTCAACCGCAACAGCGGAAACATCCGCCCCTTTTTCGAGGAGCATTCTTACAACTGCTTCATTCCCAGACTCGGCCGCTATATGCAGTGCCGTATGCCCCAAGTAATCACGGTCCATCACGTCCGCCCCATTCGCCAGGAGTGACCTAACAGCCCGTTCATTGCCATCCTGTGCAGCAAAGTGTAGTGGTGTCAAATGTCTAGAAGGTTCAGATACAGCCACATTTGCACCCTTCGCCAGAAGTAGGTCAAGAATAGACTCGCTGCAAGAGCTCTCGACATCAAATACTGAAAATAACGCTGTATGCCCAGTGGATGAAGTTGCCTCTAGGTCTACTCCCTTCTCTAGGAGCAGCTTCACCACCGCTTCATTTCTAGACGGAACTGCATAATGGAGTGCTGTTTCTCGCTCGATCGTTAATGCTGCCACATCAGCTCCCCTCTCCAGAAGCAGTCTCGTAACACTTTCATGGCCACCACGGGCCGCATAGTGTAGAGCAGTCTCTTGGATTGAATTAGTGGCAGCGATATCTGCCCCCATTCCCAGGAGTATATGGGCGGCTGTTTCGTGGCCATTCCCTGCAGCAAGTTGCAGTGCGCTACATGTCGAACTCCGTCCCATATCTATCGCAGACGATAGATCCGCACCTGCATCCACCAAAAGCTCGATGATGCAATGCATTCCGGCCTCTGCGGCGAGACATAACGCTTTGCTTTTCGCTTCAAGCGGAATTGGCGCATCCCTGGTTTTCCTTAGGAGCTTGCGGATTACAGGTGCTTGATTCCTTTTCGCGGCCCATTCGAGGACGGAGTTTTCGTCGGCGCAGATATGGCTGCGCGCACGTTGATAAAGATGGGAATCGAGGATGCTAGCATATCTCCGCGCCGTGCGTAGAAATGAGCCGACGTCTCGTGTGTCCAGAATGTCCGCTATCATGAGGAGGATCTCGATTGGAAGGTCGAGTAGTGGACTTGGCCGCACCTGTTTGATGGGCATGTTGAATTCGAGGACTACTCTGAATAAACCTCTTGCGTCATTTCACGAGTTTTACCTTGTCAGGTACTGTAAAAGACAGATGTCGACGAAGGCCACAGAAAATGGGAGGGGCGGAGATCTTGCCAGATATTCGTTGCATCTTCATTATGTTTGCACCGTTTGTCAAAACATTCTGACCAATAGACACCTTGCGGACGGACCATACGAGCTTGATACAGAAGCTATTTTATGCAATTATTTATTACGGTACCTGGATACTGTCAAGAACAGGGTTCAGGAGTAGACTAAACGTAATAGGTATAGCGTCATGCAAAATAGAGTTCGAGAAACAATTCAAGAGAATAAACCAGTGAAACTGATTTCGATCCACACAGTATCTTTAAAGAGACAAAGGCCTGTTGTGTGTTATGTTCGAGAAATCGAGGATTGCAATGATCTGTTGTGAACGTAGCTAGAGTCTGATGGTAATAATGTCATCAGCTATCTAAACAGACCCCTCAACGGGTCCACCCCGTACCTGTCATTCAATCAACCCTCAATTGAAACTGTAGACGACAGCATGCACCGAGTGGGAGAAGGATTTCATAGAGGGTACTCCAGCGAAGATGAGGAGAGGAGAAAGAGTAGGACGTGGTCCTGTGCCCCTATTCTGATATTTCTCCTCTGAATGTTTACTGATCCTTCAAAAGCTAATAGCCGAACACACCTCATGAGCGGATCGAACTTACGAAGATCCCAAAATGCCACACACAAGCCCCTCGAAAGACAATCTTGCTAGGGGCAAAGGCATCTTTAGAGACTTCATTGTCACCATGCCATCAGCTAGATTATATACTAGTACTGAATTCGTCGCGGAGGATACTCATCGTTGTCTAGTACTAAAACGTAGCAACTAAGCCATTTTCGGATACTGTCATGAATAGAAAGAACGTTAAAAGATCGAAGGCGTTTTGTCGTCTTTACTTTCCTCACACTTCTGCGACAAACTTACCTGACCTTCGAAACATTTTTTTCCAGCTACATTCGGCGTGAATTAAGTCATTGAACCTTTCACAATGCCAGGAGGCTACCAACATTCCGATGACTTTCTTGATGGTGGTCCCAATCTTGCAAGGGATATTCCCATGGTGTTGGGATTCGTTTTTGTCATTTTCATTCTTGTTCTGACAGGTCTCATTGCTGGTGGGCTTATTTTCTATACGGTCCAGCAATTTGTGAACTATCTTTGGCTAGGCTAAGGTTGTGATGCTACAATGATGAACTGAGCAAGAGCTAGTCTGCTGTTGACGAATAATTCTGGGATACTCTGTTCGTGATTGGGGATTTCGTTTGTTATAATTCGCCCTTACCTGGTGTATCTTGATTTTCCTGTCACACTATTATTAACTAGGTACTGAAATGGGAGTGGTGGTTACTCGCTATGCCTCCTGGAGATTTGGAACTAGTCCCTTTTCGGATACTCTAGTCAATAAAAACACAAAGATTCAACGTCTTCTCCCAACTTAATCTCACATCTTCCTTCAACCAACATATCTCGACTTTACAATAACTTGTTTCTGAACAACGGTTGCTCGATTAAGACTCCACTCCTCAAAATGCCCACCACGATGCCAGGTGCCTTCCCTAGCGAACTGGCCGTTTTGCGGCCAGCGTGCACCCACGACAATATCAAGTCTTTGAACACATACCTTCTCGCACTTGCAATGAGAATTATCGTGCTTGCTGCTTGGACTGTACTGGCGGGAGCTTTTGCCGTGAGAGTGGTTTTCCTCTTGCTCATGCATTTTCTAAAGGTTATCATCGTCCCGGTCAGTAGAAAGGTCTTTCCGTCTTGAGATTCCCGTTTCCTATGTGAATTTTGAAGCTTGTGATATGATCCTTGCCGTGGGAGTTTGATCGTCACTATACCATAACTTGCCTAATCGAGCGCGGTGGTTACTCATCGAGAATAGTACTAGCCTATATTAAACTGATCACTTCCACACTAGGCTATTCAAGGAACCTTGTGTTTGTTGCGCTTCTGAGGAGAGGGGATGTAAGTGGGTTGCGTGTGATGTTCTTTCAATCCTGTCAAATGAGTGAAATTGATGTTTTGATATACTACATCGCGATTCTACTTGCCAGACCAGCCTAGAAGAGTTTGTGAGGTAACTTATGATAGTGCAGCCGAGCACATCTCCCTGACTTAGGTCTATGAGGAGCTGATTACAATGAGGACCGACATCTCACAGCAGTAATCTCCCAACGCCAGAGGAGGGCTAGCTTTGGTGCTGTTTCGAAATCGTTCGAAGAAACGCTAGAGGACGTGCCAGGGAGCGCACTAGAGGAGGCAAGAGACAATTTGGAATGTCACCTAAAAGGGGCATGGGAAGACTTATTGTCAGACCGTCAAAGAACTATCCTGAGGACCAGTTAGGATACTCGAGAGATGACTCGGCAAACGGCTCGTTAGAGGCATATTAAAACAAAAGGTAGGACAGCACGTCATAAAGTTGATTGAGAATATGTTAGGAATAGGCCAGAAGATACACAGGGTGTCGAGGTCACCGTGCAAAGCAGCTCGGAATAGAACTCGAAAAAAGCGTTCCCTGTGCGCCACGGGAAAAAGAAGAACAGGTGCTGACGTTCATGGGAGACAACTAACTTTGAGAAATACCTTGCACCCCGAATACCGTTCCTCGACCAGGAAAGACATTGCAAATCCGATCGAGGATATGACTTTTCAGAAGCGGTTCCTATGATTCCAAATTGAGGACGATGTCCCAAACGGGACAGGGGATGCGAACCACGAGCGCAGTGACAAATGACAGAATTAGGAGCATCGACGCCACAGTCAACACAGCCAAAAGGAATTTCATCCAGGAAAGGGAGAGCGCCGCCAAAGAGTGTTTACAAGGAAAGTGGCATTCTCCGCGAGGGAGGGCGTATCCACAGGAAAGGTCTTCTCCACGCCCACGACAGAGATATTCTTAGCGACACCCTTGGGCGGATCCTTGGGCAGGTCGTTTGAGGGACCGTCGAGTATCCCGACGCGCTTGTGGATCATGCAGCCCATCAAGGCGCGGGAGTTGCACTGGCAGGGATTGCAACTGCAAGGATCGCACTTACAGGTGTCTTCGTCTTCGGAAACGAAATTGATGGGGATAATTTCTGCAGACTCGGGGCCGGAGTGAGGCATTTTGTCGACTTACCTGAGATGCTGTGGGAGCTGACTGGTTGTAACACTTGTCAGCGACTTGGAGAATGAAATGAGGACTTACTAGAAAGATTAGGGATGGACAAGGGGGTGGATTCGCTATGCTTGTACCTTTGTGGATGCGAAGAGGGTGTGTTGGCTGGGGAGGCGCGGAAGCGAGATGGGTGAAGGAAAGTGCTGGGTGGCGGCAGGAGGCCAGAAGTATTGCCGCCTCCTGGCACTATTGAGCCTACGGGGCCTGGAACAAGACACAAGCAAATCAGGTAGTATTCGGCCCGTTGAAACACAGCGAAAAGCGACCTTCTAACCCTTATCTTCGCCTTTAGATGTCTATCAGGCCGTCTGCCACCCAAGTCCACAGTGGGCGCAGGGCCTGGGCCACCATTTCACACACAAGCAAAGCTCCCCTGACAGCTAGGAGCATAGCCGCAAATACCTTGAAAAATTCGAAGAGTATCTCGAAAAAAGAAGGTCCAGCTTCCTCCCTCATTTCGATTCAAGTCCGCAGAATGTTCTTCGAGTCTGAGGGTTCAATGATTCAAGTCGTATTGCAGAGATGTACTGGGAAGAAGATTCGGGCGTGTCCTTCTGCTGATGCCCGATATCCTCCCATTAAAAGGCGAGTCCAGGTTCCGAGAATGGACTAGTAGCTGCGGTAAGGTAATCTGGGAGGTGGTTGATGTTCCGCGTCAGATTGGGAATTCAAGCAAATTTGGGCTAGTAACAGACATGGACCAGATGGTAACCACCGCGCCTGTTCGAATAGACGATGAAATGGTGACGCTCAACATTTTTCAGCTCGGTTCCGGCTCAAGTGGCCCGCTGTCTCTGGCATATGATGGTGGGAGTATTTCCCTGTACTTCCTTCAGGCATTCATGAGTAGAATTCATGAGTAGATGTCCCGCCTCTCGGCATCTTTCCTCCTCCACGCCTCCCCCAACCACAGCCCATCTCCACCACACATTCCGATTCGCTCACTCTTTCATTCAATCGCTCGGACTTCGGATCGTGTATTTCGACTTGAAAGCCTGCAGTTGTAGCCTCCAAAGAAGTTTGATAGTTTCGCCGCACGAATTGGCCACGCTTCCGATCGCGCCACAACACCAGCGTTAGAGATATCTGTGGTGAGAGCGAGGAATTCGCGTGGGATGCAATCCGTAGACCATAGTTTTTTAGAACAACTCTGACTTGGTCCAATGGCACGGTACTCGACGGGTCGAGTTTTCTGGGCTTCGATGTGTTTCCAAGCGCATATTCGGGGAAGTTGTAGAGGGCAAGTGCGTAGTGTTGGCGGCAGGAACACTGGAATTTTACCTACTTTATTCAGAAGGGGTGGAAGTGAAATGATGGTTGAGACGAGCGAGCTAAAGTGAGGTGATATATATTACATCAGACAACCTTGGAATGAATGGCCATATGTGTATAGGGAAGGAAACGGGAGCAGTGCTTGACAACCATCCACTGATTGTTGCACGTACGCAATATACACTGCATGTATATGATTTCGAGGTCCTAATCCGCAAAACACTTGGCAAGTGGTGCGAACACTTCGACCGGGCATCGATTGTATGAAGAACCTATTGCACATGGCGGGTCATGACATTTGGTCCATCGGAGATATAGTAGGTGATGCTAATCTAGTTTCGCTTATGCGTACATGGCCAAATAAAGGACTCCGCTGAATTTTTCGAGTCCGTGATAAGTCGAGAGGACCGGACTTTCTTTGAGCGTGGCTGCCCAAATGACTCAAGACAGAGTCTCTCGCAATGCGTAAATAGGGAGGCGCGTTCGACATGCGGTAGTTGTTTAAGCTGAACCGGTGCCCTGAGTTCCAGTAATACCGGTACCCCTTCAATCGAAGCGACTCCTGTCACCAGAACAAGACCAGCATCACGGACAGAGGCCGGTTGTATCCAGAGATATGGAAGGCGCTTGGCGATGCGATAGCGACGCCGATGCAGGACTCGCGTGGAGGTTGTGTTGGCGATAGGTATCGAACATGCAAATAGTCGCTGAATATAGACAGTTGGCATCTTGCCAATAGCTCGAAACCGCTCATCTCTTCTTTGTAACAGCAGGAACACCCTCACTCTCCCTAAGCTCAGCAAGCTTCTTCTCCCTTTCAACTAACCGCTCTTTCTCCTCCTTAATCATCTGCTCAACCGTCCTCGTCGCCTCCGACATCCGATCCAACTCTTTGTTCTCCGTTGCGCGACTATAAGGATTCTTCGGCGTATCACCGAGCGGAATCTCCGCCGTCCGACCCGCAGACTTGGCATTCTTCCCTTTACCCCTAGGCGCGGAGCCCGCCGGACCACCCGTAAGAACCTCGTAAAAGGGCTCGATAGGCTCATTGAAAATAACTTCCTCGTAGTTCTGGCTAACAACCACCTCCCGACGCTCCTTCATACCTTCCGCGTCGGGACCGTATGGGTGAAGCTTGAGGCTGTGCCAGAGCGTCTGAGGCTTCTCGTTCGACTCGGGGACAAAGTAGAGCTTGATTTGGATTTCGAATTCACCCCAGCCTGTCTCGACGACTTCGAAGGGGGGCGCTTCGATGGTGCGGATGGATTGCGCGTAGGTCTCGTGGAGTTTGAATTGCACTTTCTTCAGCCAGTAGGAGATGTCTTCGTCATTAATGCCCTTTACGAAGACGCGCCATTGGTGCGTGTGGTCGGCCGGCGCGTTGGCCGGTCGCTTCTCCGGATCGAAGGGTTGGGCTTCGCTGCCGAAGATGAAGGGGCGGAAGACTGAGACGCCGCGGACGCGCTTGTTTCCGGTTGCGGAGGGCATAGTTGCGACCGAAAGCTGTATGAAGGGGAGATTTGGACTGGCGTGGTTGGTGTTGAGGGAGATGCGTGTGTCGCGGGTTGTCGCGTGAAAAGGCAGTTGCGATGCACGTGACCTGGTGACGGCATGTGGGAGCTCCGATAGCTTGATTTCCGGGTGTCATGCCATTTGCCTCCTCTGCAAAAACTTGAAGCCAAACGTGCAATTCACTTTCAATCTATCATATACTGGGTCTGAAATGGCAGCGAAACGCCTTGTTGTTGCTGGGGGAAGCGGTTTCCTGGGTTCGTGCGCATCCGAGCCGGAATGCAGCTGGTGGTGGTGCTAACTTATTGCTTCTAGGGTCTAGGATCTGCAAGTCTGCTGCTGCGCGGGGATGGTCGGTGATTTCATTGAGGTATGTCCGCAATTTGAGCGCATCGAATGCCCATCGTCTAATTTTGTGATCTCTAGTCGTTCTGGCGAGCCGCGATGGGACACCGTTACGGATTCATCGGATCGCCCGAGCTGGGCGAGCTCAGTAGAATGGGCCAAGGCCGATATTCTGAAGCCGGAGAGCTATAAGTCATATTTGAATGGCGCTTCGGCTGTTGTACACTCAATGGGCATCCTACTGGAAGCTGATTACAAGGGCGTGGTACAAGGACGAGAGCCGATTGTCAGCGGACTTCAACGAGCATTCAGCTCATCCAAGATGGGGAGCCAGAACCCACTCTCTCGGAAAGAAGGGGAAGCTCTAGAGCCAAAAGAGAAGGACGGCCAATTAACCTACGAATTAATGAATCGGGACTCCGGTGAGTGCCAGGTTAAATGTGATGAATTGCTATGAGATCCTTGGAGGCTAAATTGATGTCCGCAACTTAGCTATTGCACTCGCCCAAGAATCCTCCAGCGAACATGTCCCCGCATTTGTGTACATTTCCGCCGCGGCGGGTGCACCTGTCCTTCCTGCAAGGTATATCACCACCAAACGCGAAGCCGAAGCCACAATTGCATCCACCCTTCCTGAACTGCGCAGTATCTTCATTCGACCGGGTTTCATGTACGATAACAGCCGGAAATTCACACTACCCATCGCACTCGGTGGCTTCGTCGCCTCAGAATTCAACACATTCCTGGGAAATAAACTCGGGTTCCTGGGTGCTATGGCAGAGAAACCGTTGAAGGTTGATGTGGTGGGCGAAGCGGTCGTGGAAGCTTTAGAGGATGAGTCGACTAAGGGGGCAGTGGGAACTAAGCAGATTGAGGCGCTAGCAACAAAGGCGTGGAGAAAAACGATGCTCTGAGGAGGGCTATTGGCTCAATTCATTCGATATCATTCGCAGAACGTTGTGTCGAAGTGAAACCAGTCGAACTTGCGCAGACGTTGAGATTTGTCTTGCACCAGGCAAGAAACAAAATGACCAGCATGTACATTAGCTCTTTTTCATGTCCCATCACATCATGGTGCCGCGTTCGAAACTGTCGCGTATCTCGCCCGTGTACTAAAATCGATGGCTTAGTACTGGCAAAGGGGTCTGTGGATTCGGTTAGCATACTTACCTTGTCATAGAATCGGGATAGCTTTTGGTTAAACTGCTTGTTCTTCTCGTTGATGTAGGTCACATCGCCATCGTCGTCACCACGGCGCTGCTTGCGTTTCTTCAGACGGACATCTTCGGCCTTTTGAAGGTCGGCAACCAGTCGGTCGAGAGCCTCGGGAGTCGGTTTGTGGTCGAGAAAAGCCATGCTATCTTCAGTAGAGTAGAAGGTGCCCTTCTTGTCAACGGCGATCATCTCGCCATCCTTTGTCTCGACAATCTCAAGATCACCGCGGGCAGCAGCCTTCTCGATGGCCTTTTGTTTTTCGCGCTCATAAGACTCGAGGTCGGGGTTCATCTGGCGGACTTGGCGTTCATAAACCTTGCGAGCGTCCTGGGTGTAATCCGAGAAGGCCACATCGTCACGGTGGCGCTGTTTCTTCTCAAGACGACGGTCCCACTTCTCAGACTCCTCCGCGGTCCAGTCCCAAGCTCGCTTGCGCTCGAAATCGTCTCCGGCGGCTTCGGTGTCGGCCTTGAGAAGGTTGTGGGAGGCGAATGCGTGACGGCGGGACAGGTTATTCATGAGGGCAGGATCGGTCGCCATGCGCTGGGTCTCTGCGGCGGTTGCTTTCAGGTTGCGTTCGGTGCTGACTTTCTGCTTGTGGATTAGCTTTCTTTGCCGTGATAGTAGAGACAAAAGGAACTTACGTGTCGCTGCTGCAGAGCTTTGAATCGTTCCATGCGCTCGCGGTGCTTCGCCATAGCATCGGAACCATCTTTCTTCTCGGTCTCGGGCTTCGACTCGGCAGCATCTCCATCGTCCTTCCTCTCAGTCTCGGCATTGGTATCGGCGGGAGCGGTAGCATCGCCAGCATCTTTCTCGGTGTTGACCTCTGACTCGGTGGGAGGGTCCTGAACGTCGGCCTCTTTCTGCTCCGTCTGCTCCGGTTCGGGGGGCGGGGCCTTTTCCGCGTCAGCATTTTGCTTCCGCGTACGAGGCATGGTGGCGAGCGCTAAGCGTAGCGAAACTCAGCAAGATCGAAGGGTGTAGCGGGGTGATGAGGAATGTTCGAGGTGATCGCGAGTCGCAAAGTCTGGCGACGGATCTAACATTCACGCTCACCGCCCCGGCGACCATCTGCGTACTGCCGCCCCAGACGACCTCCTTATCATGTTTATCTTCTCCACTCGCGCCTCCGCTTTATTGATCTGGTATCTTCGGTCATCATTACCTCTTATTCGAGGATGGCGCGACTGGTGCTGCAGCTGCAACGAAATCAGCGACAGGCTTTGAGATGGCGAGGTCTACGAGCATCCTCTCGATGTGTCTCCACAAACACATCGACTGGATGGCATGATCCGTCGCCGACAGAGCTCCTCCGAGCTACACTTTTGGGAGCTACCACCCCAAATACCAGTGATGGGACTCATTTGAAACAAAACAAACGGATATTGGAGCTACTTGATACCGATTGGCCACGAGGAAGCCCACCTCCACCCCTGTGGTATGCCCTGAAAGGCGTCCCGCCTAGAGAAGAGCAGGAAGACTCCGAGAGACTTCACTCAGTTGCCAGCCTGTCTTCCGTACGAAATGCGACCGAGAGACTTGTTGTTAATTCTGCTGGTGCAGAGGTTTTCCAGCGCAGTTTAAAGGCAATGCTTCAGCAATGTCACGGAAAAGTCACCTACAGCGAGATCCAGTCTACTTTGAGTGATATTGCCGTCAGGCTTCAACGGCTGGAGCTTCCAATGACTGCTGACCTTTGCGAGCTTGGAATGTATTATGCAGCGCTGAATCTCTCCTCTCCGGCTTTTCACCAAGTCTTCAAGGACTGTTTGAGGCTAGACCCTGATGGATTCACCTTTGTTAAGAGCGGCGCAATTATTCGAGCATTGTACGAAACCGTCCGCTTGGAACTGTTTAAAAATCCGAATTACGACGCCATTCACATTCTTGCTGAGGTCACTGGTGAATATGCGGCTGTTTCAGAGCAGAGCATACCGAAGTTCCATGATGTCCTCCACCGAAACCTCGACCTTGACCTGGGCAGTGATGGTCGAAGGAACTGGGCAACATACCTTTGCCTACTATCGAAACTTAGAAGCGACAAGCCTTTCACGCATTCGTGGACTCATTTTTTGAACAAGGCTATTGACAGTGAACAAGAACTGCACGCAACGTACAGGATTGTCTCGGACTTGATTCAATCAGGACGTTCAGTAATTGCTGCCAAGTGTCTAGAGGACATTTCCATTCGCAATCGAGATCAATTACCATATATCGCCACCTTCCGGCACTTGCAGGTGCTCCTTGACGATCCTGTTGTGAGCGAATCATTACCCGACGTGGTTGGAAATGAGCTATATGGTGTGATTCTCGAACTGGCTTTCAGCAATATGGAGCAGCGATTAGGAATTCAATGGCAGGCTGACGGCAGCACTCACATCGGCATTAGCGCAAACTCTTCAAGTACGGCATTTGAAGATCAACCCCTTCTTACTATCGATGGCGACTGTGCCGGCTACGATGATCCCATTCGCCTCTACGCAGAGCTTTACGCCCTCGGCTGCTCTCACTCCCCAGCCGACCTCGGTCGAATCGTGAACCTCTTGAACGAACACGACGGGAACGCACTAGACGTTGTGCCCGAGTTCCGTTCGGAGTCTGCACTCCCCGAGTTTCGATGGTGTCCTCAACACTCTCCTATCGAGTTCTCGCATGCCGTACTCCCAACAGTGACCGACAGCACTCGTGAATGGACACCAGCCTTGCTCGGTCTCATCCGCGCTCGCCCTCTCATCAATGACATGCCCCAGGAACGAGCAGGCTCGTTCCACTTTCTGCAACTCGGCTCTCTCGAGATACGGCGCGGCCCACACGAGGCGTGGCAGCCCTCCGGCTACATCGTTGGCTGGAACCGACTATTAGGCAGGATGACAGCACTTTTTGTTGGGAAGGACGCTGGACTTATCGACAGCGGTCCCATGCCTTCGGCTGCTCCGTTTGGGACGCTGCTGCATCTTCGACCCTCCCACATGCACGCACTCGTGGACAGTCCCTGGAGCTCGGTGGACCCCTTCTATCTCGACCTGGACCCCGGTCGAGATCTGGGTTTTCAATAATTCTCGACAGAATATTCACTATGAATGTTCCGCCGTATGGCGTGTGGATATGCTGTTAATCTAGACGAACTTAAATGTACGATCATGGAATTGCCTGATCCTCCGGACTGCCGATCCCACATGTAAAGTCCGCGATATGACTCGTATGACTTGTATAATACAATAAAATGCGACATCTGAATGGCTGGGTAGATTGTGTTCGTCGGTTTTGTCCCTCACTTCTCTCCGCAGGTGGGTGACAACTCACCCCGAGTGTCCCGCCGAACCCACCCTTCCCTCTGCCGCGCCTCGGACTCCAACGGGGATTGACCCTGATCGTGGATCCTGCCCAACGCATCGCAGATGTTCGCAGATGATCGTGTTCCTCCGATCGGTCCTGATCCACGATGAGTCGATCCCAGCACTCTGGAACCCCCTGCTAGGGCGCCACCACGACTGCTCTCACGCCGCCGCTACTCACCCATCCCCCTCTGTGAGTGCAAGAGATCGACCACCGGGCACGCCACCGACTTTGACACCCGAAGGGTCGTGCATGGCTCTATACTTGATTTTTTCACTGCCTTACAGTATGTTGGTCGACTGCACTCTACGTCATTTGGAAATGACAATGGAATTGACAATGGAAATGACAATGGAAATCGAGGTGGAGGAAGTCAGATAATTTGGAACCACAAAGTCATCCGAACAGCCTCGCATACCTGGCTGCAGTAGCCTGCAGCAGTGGATGCCTTCACTAGGCTTCCCATGAGGCAATCGACCGTCTCTTTATCACGGCCACATACCTGGTCGTGGTGGGGGCCACGGTTACCCCTCTAGCCTCTAGCCTACTGCGACGACAACAGTGACTAATGACAGCCCAGCGTCTCCACGGGTCTCGCTTGCGCAGTAGTATCTCGAGTGGTGCCGGCCGAGTCTTTGCCGACCTCCGCCAGCTCAGTGGTCGATGTCTAGGCTGTTGACACTGACAGAGTGGATGTAGGGTATGTGGGCGGATGAAGACTTTGAGCTGTCAATCCCACCGCCATGGGCACGACCCGACCCAACACGAGGAATTTGGAATTCCGAGATCTTCGAACTCTGAGAAGCGAACGACTTCGATTTGCCTGCGTTGCCTCGGCGCTTGGGCCGCCTCCGGTCAACGAGGCTCGATATGAAATTGGTCCGCGATTCTCCAGGCAGCCGGTCGAGTGTCGATCCGATCTGGGAGAGCGTCCGGGCGTCCGTGGCGAGCTGGTCCATCTCGAGTGTGCAGCTAGGCAAAATTCATTCAAAAATCAGAAAGAAAAACCTCGCCGGATGCGATGAAATCTTTGCGATGCGAGGGATACCGGCGAGCGCTGCCGTGAAACGCTAAATAACTTTGATTTCCTGGAATCGACTTACCGACTGTTAGTGCCATCACCTTGCTCCGAGGAGTATCAGTGGTACTCGCGTTCAAGCTTCATTGCCACCCACAAACGCACGGATGGTTTGCAAGTTGAGGGAACCACTGACGCAGCAGTTAGATCCTCACTGTGGGGTCTGGGAAGATCGTTTGTCTCAACCATCTCCAAAACCAGCACTCCCAGACGAGACCAGGGGAGAACAAAACCCAATCGTCAAAACCCCTCTCCCCCTCCCCCGGAAGTTGCAGAACCAGACCAACGTAGTCCGAATTCTCGACCAGCCCTCCGAGGGTCGGTCAGCATCCGATGGACGAGTATCCCCGTTTCACGGTGAGGTGTCCACTCTATCCGACGGAGCCCTGCGTCGTTTTGGTCTTCTCACCGTTCGTTCCTAATTTTGGGAGAACCGAGATCCTCGAGGGACAGCCAAGACTAATTCCTGGCCCTGTCGCCTGCTACGGGGTCGGCTTACAGTGCTGATGAGCTGCTAGGTAACGGATTATTCACGGGAGAATCGCGGGAGAAACCCGTCAGAGGCCCTGGTTTGTCCGTGTCTCGCCCCATCACATCCATCACACCCCTACCGCGAAAACGGGCTGGGACTGAGGCGACTGCACGCAAGCCACTTGCATCTCCCTCGGTGGAGCTGAGCGGTGCAGCGCTAACGGCTGTGCCTTCGTCGTTGACCGTCGTTCGGACCTCCACCAACCTCTCGATCCTGGCGCGATCGAGCAACTGGCGCCCGAGGGAGGGTGCAAGGGCTGCTCAGCATGTCACCACACAGGCCTCTGGTCGCTGCATCCAGATTGCACCTTCCTCATGTGCCTGTCCTCGTATGGCCTGAAATTTCAGGGTAGAGTATTACCAGGGTACTGGCGACAGTGGCAACTGCTCGGCCCGTTCCCCCGGGCCTTCCCTCACACCGGGGTCGCCAATCGTAGTCATGTTGGGTCTAGTCGCGATGGAAACTGTCAATCCAACCATCTCCCAGGATGAAACCCGCAGAGGAATACCTTAGGACCGAGATGGAAAAAATAAAAATAAAAAAACGAAGCAAAAATATCCACCCCCGGCCCATAACCCCGGTGATTGGACCGCAGTCCGCAGACCGGCGAGGGGGAAAATCCGATGTGCGTCGACCTTCTCACAACGTGAACGATGTTGCTCCTGCTCGTTTTCCCACCGTTTCACTGCGCTCCCAACTCTCCATGGCGTACCGCTGCATCCCGCGGTTCATCAGATGCCTTGACCGCAGGCAAAGATTCCGGGATATGCGACCTTGCAATCCCCACTCCCTCCTTATTTGATATAAAGCAGCGACTACAGCAATACACCCCGTTGGCGCCGCATCTGAAACATCGACTCCGCTCCAAACGCGGCTGTGGCTGGATCTGACCGCTGTTCAATGCGTCCCGCCAGAAAGCCCCCACGCATAAATCCACCGTCCCGGCCCGCCTCAGCGCCCGCGCTCATAGATGTCGAGGTCTCCCTCACAGCAATGCGGGTCGCCTCCGCCCCATAGCAGGGCCTACGAACGGCCTCAACCATTGTCCATGCCCATGCCCATGCCGGGACCGATGCCGGGACCAGCCCCAATGGCATATCAATCGTATCCGCGGCATGAGCCTCGTCATTTCGTGCCGCCAGATTTCGGATACTATCCAGCAACACCGCCACCACCACGCTTACCACCGTTGGGAAGCCTGGCGGAGAGAACGAATCCGGGGTATATGCTCGCAACCGCGTCGGCGTCCGCATCGGCTTCAGCCTTGGACAATGGCTATCTCAATCGCTCTGCAACGCAGACACTGCCGCTACGAATGCATCATCATGGCCCTCCCATCGACCCACGAGCATACGCTGCTCCCGCACCCGTCGCATACGAAGAGAGATCGAGTCCCATGATGAGTCAGGGGCGCGAGCCCCAGGCTCATCGAGTGCGTACCTACGACCAGGAGTCCCAGTAAAGTCCCTTCCTTTTTCGTTTTGTCGACCCAACCACTTGCTCCTGTCAGTCTATCCGTCCGCGGTGTTGAGAGTTATCAGGTATCACTTTCGATCCACTCAGATGGGAGAAGATGCCGTATCTACCTGGCCGACCGTATCACAAGTCCTCAATTCAGCTCTAACATCCGCACTCCAGACACAGCAATAGCTCCACCACCATAGTCAGCCCAGACTACTCGGAAAAAAGCCCGATCTTTCAACCTCCGGCTCTCCCACGGGCAGAAAAGCCAGATCCCGTACCCCGAAATACAGGGTACAGCATGCCCCACGGCATGGATAACCTCCTCCACCACGAACCCGCATCGTCACCCTCACCACCACCCCGACGCCCCTCCACGCACTCCCGATATCACCTACACGTTCGCCAACAGCCCATCGCAGCCCGCGCCTGTGGCGCCGGCGACCGAGATAGACGCCCCGTGGACCCACCGCCCATAGTGCAAATTCTCCTCACAGATTTCGACGCGGAATCCCAAGACGACCGGGATATCCTCGAAGACCCGCGGTTCACAGTAGGCTGTCTTCTCTTCCCAGTGTCAGATTCATCCCCGCACATCCCAACGCCAGAGGACCTACCTCCCGAAGGAGAGGACGGCGTCGCCCGTGCAGACGATACATTCTCGACACCTCTGCTCTCGGGGAAGGCGTTCATGTCGCCGTTCTTCGTGAACGCAGATCCAGACCCCAACTCCGCGCCCACGCACCCTTCGTACGAGAATGAGAATCCTCCATCTCCAGGCCTCCAGCCGAATCTACGAAATGCATCGAAACTGCACCAGCCCGCGACATTCTTTATTTTTGCGGATCTCTCCATCAGGACCGCGGGGCTTTATCGACTGCAGTTCCGGCTGATGAATTGGGGCTCCGTCGAAGATACGGGGCAATCCATGCCGATTCTGGCCGAGGCGTGGTCGGATCCCTTTCGGGTTTATCCCGCAAAAGATTTTCCGGGGATGAGAGATTCAAGCATTTTGGCGGAGGGGCTGAAGGAACTGGGATTTGTGGAGCTGAAGACAAGGGGAAAGGGTAAGGGGAAAGGGAGGAAGAGGGAGTGAGCATCACCATTACCCGACCCTTAAAGGGATGTTGTCTTTCACGAACGGGCTTCAGGTGTGCTTTTTCTTTTTACTCAATTTATCCACGACAGCCATTGGACAGTTTCCAATTGTTTAAAGATTTGGGTTTGCTTTTTTTGTTTTGGCGGTGCATTGCGTTGATTGGTATCATCATATATGTTTCGGGATTATTTCGACGGTCGGAGCACATAGGTTGGATTAGAGCGGGCTGTGGAGCGGGGCGTTGCAGTGGTGTTATTTTCATGAGATATGAAATGATGAGGGGAGTTGTTTTTATCAGAACGGTACATGTTAAGGTGTCTGGAGTCTTAGATTGCGCTTTAACTGGAACTTTGAGCAGCGATTCTAAGTGTAGGTTGTTTTTGTCTTCCAGTGGTGAACGGATATCTCTGTCGCTTCTTTAAGTAGGAGAGAATTCTAGAAGGAATAAATTAACATATTTCCAATAAATAAAAATGAACACCTAGTCATTGACCTTGACGAGAAAGATTTCTCATTTCTCTAGTGGATAATTCCTCACCATATCTTTTTCCCTCGCTATCCAATTCTTCTAACACTTGCTTTGGCTGTGATAGTTATCTGATGGAGCTCAAAATAAAGTTAGTGTTCCGTCCCAGGACTCCATTTTCGGGTACGTCGGGAGTTCCAAGGTTCGCCTTGTCTCACATAAAGTACATCTCCACTTGACCTGATCCACAATGTCAGCACTTTCATTTTCAAGGTATTCAGTGTTCGCAGGCGATCTAGCTAGATTAACAACACTCGTTATTGACTAAATTCGATTAATATTTTTTTGTTAAATACATTAACCGATGATGTTGCGGTGCACGATTATGTACGTAGTGCGGTGCTATACCATGGCTAAACCTGCAAGATATATTTTCATCAGTCCAAGCGATAGTATGTGATGCACCCATACTATGGCGAAATTATGACAGTGTACAAACAGAAATTTCGAGTCGTGAATTCTGAATAGTTGAACTACCCATGGCATGAGAAGATTTTAGAATGATCTAATCTCAAATCGTGAACAACTCCTTTAAGGAGCGAACCAAGTCCCAGAGTCGGCCCAGGAAAAAGAACGACGTTTTTAGCAAGTAGCAGCCTTGGTGGTATCTCTCGTCTCCTTCAAAAACGGAATCAAACTAGTTCCACCCGTTCCATAAAGACCAGTCGGATTCTTGTCCTCCAACCCTTTGACCTGCGAGCTAGCCGTTGCTAGATTCACCCTCTCAGTCTTCTGCTCCGGCGCGCGTGACTTGGCAGGTATGATGATGTACCGCGAGACGATCTGGATGTGCGCGTCTCGGAAGGAACTGAGGGAGAGAACGGCGGAGTTGTATGCTTCTTTCAGGGATTGGTCGGTGGAACTGAGGATGTAGCGGCGGGTGTTGGTGAGCTTGGCGAGGGTTTGGAGGAAGTTCCTGTGGGGCGAGGGCATATATTTGCGCATTTCCTGTGGCGGGCATCAGTATGAAAAAGTCAGGAAATCGAAGATGATCGAAACCAACCTGAATGTACCCAGTTCCAGCAGGCTTAACATCTCCCGTCGCAGAATGATTCACCCCGAGAAAAATATCAAATGTCTGAATGAGCGAGCTCTGCGCATTACTACCACCACTGTACTGACCCCATTCTCCCTGGCCATTTCCAAGGTCATAGAAAACACCGTCTGGCAAACCTGCAGCAGCCATATTCTTGCTACCTGCCAAGAACGGCCGGAGCTGGTGGAAGAATACATTGGGGTCATTCTTCTCGTACATCCGCTTCAGCGTCACGGTAAGGTCTTCCAGGATGTCAGAAAATCTGCACAGCAATGCGGTGAGACGTGGTGCGTCGTTGGCTGTGGCTGCAGCGATGGCGTCGAGCATTAGTGGGACGACACGCGCCCCTTTTGCTTCGATAGCGACGGAGATTACGATGAACCATTCCTCGTCTTTTGTGCCGGTGAAGGAGGTCAGGAGGGATAGGTTGTCGGGATTTGTGACGTCTGCTTCTGGGAACGTGGTCCAGTTCCATAGAGTCAAAGCTGCGTATGTTGCGCAGGGCGGGAGGCCAAGGTGCGCTGAGATCTCGAGGAGTGGCTTTGAGATGCAGGGGGTAGGGTCTTTTTTTGTTTGTCATGAGTTGATACTGAGGGTATGTGTAAAGGAGCGGTGGGCTTACATCTTGTGGTTTCTCGCCGCCCCAGATATACGCGTGCGTTAGGAATCCTAGCACGCTGTATGCACGACGCCATTCTGGTTCGGATTGTAACGATGCTGTCGTCAACACGGGGAGGTTGTCGATTAGTGGCCTGATTTGGCCGGTTTGAATGAGTCGAGGGAGATCAGAGGCAAGATCCTCCCAGGGCGCGTAGTAGGGTGCGCTGAGTCGGGAAAGAGGAAGGCCAGTGGGGGAGGAAGCCGTAGTCCGGGGAGATGGCGTAGCCGTCCAGGCTGAGTTCTGCTGATTGGAGCATGGTGGGTTTGTGTGATGGTATATGGTACCAGGGAAGGTATTATGGGAAAAGTAGATCAAGTGCCGATGGGGTGGTATTCAGCAAAAACAAAGGTAGAGTATCGCGGGAATGGGTGGGAGTGTTGCGGAGAAGGAAGTCAGGGGGACGAGGGGTGAATACAGAGGAAAGTATACTGCGCCCTTCCAGCTTCAAATATGCCGGGATTGCATACTCGACGGCCGTATCCATGCCGGCTGGGCTCGGCTGGCGATATCTAGGAAACCCGGAAGTGACCCGGATCGTCTTCCGGCTTCCGGGTTGACGGTGATGTAACCGAACTATACACTTACGTACTCAGCAACATTGAGTGTAGGAAAAGGCACCACAGGGTCTTGTCTAATATTGAAGCTGAACTGCTGAGTACATGTTTCGCTTGCTCTGCGCGACTGCTCTAGTATGCGGCTTGCTCTACGCTACAGACTGCATGCAGGCAACAGGCCTATCGCAGGTCCTCGTGTCTTGCCTCCCCACCGCACAAACCAAACATGCTCACTCGAAGTCTACGCAGTCTACATCCTAATCAGCTTGCTCTTCATTATCACTGCTACCTTGTAGGAAATAAGCGGAGATAACTCCACACTCGCAGTGGGCCCGGATCAATAGGCGGAAGCGGATGTCGCATTCCGGTCTACAGCTCTCCCACTTCGCAGCAACAGCAACGATATAAAGTGCTGCACAAAAGGACCGCTGCTACAAGAACCTCCCCTCACTTTCCCTCGGCCTCTGTCCTCCCGAGACCTGTGTCCCACCTCCGGCGTTTCAAATCCGACACCATCCGAACACCGAACACCTAGTATGAACGGCACGAACGGTACGAACGGCGTCAAGGCCGCAAAGCCGGTCTTCCCCGCCGAGGCTGCGTCCAGGGAATACGCTGCGTCGCTGGACAAGTCCGATCCACTCCGGGCCTTGAGGGATGAATTCATCATTCCCTCCAAGGCTAACCTCGCCAGCAAGAAGCTGGCTAAGCCTGGTATGTGGAAATAGCAATGCACGCTGCAACAAATGCTAACTGTTTTGGCAGGTCTTTCGGATAAGCCCAGTATTTACTTCTGTGGTAACTCGCTGGGTATCCAGCCTAAGGCTGTTGCCAAGTACATGGAGGCTCAGCTGGATACTTGGTCTGGCATTGGTGTCTGCGGACACTTTACCGATCTTGAAGACTCGCCACTCTCCCAATGGCAGTTGCTCTCGGAGCAGGCTGCTGCTTCTATGTGTAAGATTGTTGGCGCGGAGCCGGCTGAGGTCGCTGCTATGGGTACCTTGACTATGAATTTGCATCTGTTGCTGGCGAGCTTTTACAAGCCGACGGAGCAGCGCCGGAAGATCTTGATGGACTGGAAGGCTTTCCCCAGTGATCATGTACGTCGCCTGTGGATTGGGGATGTATAACCGAGACAACTAACATGATCGCAGTACGCAATCGAGTCCCACATCGCTTGGCACGACCTCGACGCCAAAGAAAACATGGTCCTAATCGGACCCGATGAAGGCACATACGAGATCCCCACCGAGAAAATCCTCTCATACATCGACAAGCATGCCGATGATGCCGCTGTTCTTCTCTTGCCTGGTATTCAGTACTACACCGGCCAACTCTTCGACATTCCCCGCATCACCAAGTACGCGCAAGAGCGGGGACTGGTGGTCGGCTGGGATCTTGCGCACGCATACGGAAACGCTGAACTCAAGCTGCACGACTGGAACGTTGATTTCGCCGCTTGGTGCACATACAAGTACGGCAATGCTGGACCCGGCGCTATGGGCGGTATTTTCGTGCACGATCGGCATGGTCAGGTGGATTATTCTGAAGGCGAGGACTCGCCCAAATTCCGCCATCGATTGACGGGGTGGTATGGCGGTGATCGCTCGGTGCGGTTTAAGATGGATAACAAGTTCAAGCCTATCCCCGGTGCTGGGGGCTGGGTCCTTTCCAACCCCTCCGTTATCGACCTGACCACCCTCTGCGCGGCGCTTTCCGTCTTCGACAAGACTTCCATGAAGGAGTTGCGTCAAAAGTCGATCCATTTGACGGCCTACCTTGAGTTCCTCTTGCTCAAGGACTCGACTGACGAAGAGCGTCTGTTTGAGATTATCACGCCCTCGGACCCCCATGCGCGTGGTGCACAGCTGAGCCTGTTGCTGAAGCCGGGCCTTTTGCACAAAGTCGCGGATCGGTTGCAGAATGCCGGCATCATTTGTGATAAGCGCGAGCCGGGCGTTGTTCGCGCCGCACCGGTGCCGTTGTATAACACTTACTCGGAGGTTTATGAGTTCGTGGAAGTTTTCAAGGGGGCTTTGGCTTCGTAGGGATTTTAAAGGGAACACCATGTTGATGGCTTTTTCAGTTTACTTCTACTATTGTGCATATCACATGTGATATCATAGCCGACATGACTTTCTAATGACCTTCATAGATTTATCCCCACATCACATATCCTATATCATATCACCCCACAAAAGCAATTGTGATAAATGGCGGAATACGTAGATTTGAATGATGTAGCTAGAACTAACATCTAAAATGAATTCCTCAAGCAGAGGACAACTTGAAGCCATCTAGAAGTTCCCGACAGAATCCCAATTCTCCCCACTTCTCAAAAACTCCTGCCCCTGCGAAAAGAAGTTCGTCGCCAGTATCGAAAAATCATCATTCGACCAAGTCAACTGCTCCGGGAAACCAACTCAGACGCCCCCGCATACCCCTGCACCCCAGGGAACGGCGAGCCTGCAAAACCCTGCCTCTGCCCCCGCGAATCCGATTCATCCTGCGCATTCAACCGACTCGGCGCAGGTAGCGGCGACGTCTGCGAGACCTCGGCCGTGACGGGCGGCGGGCCAGTACAGAGTGATTCACCGAATAAACGACGCGCGGAGTCCGCATCGCTGTTCGAGGAGTACTCGAGAATTTCCCAGAACCGGGAGAGGTCAATGAGGAGACTTTGGTTTTGCGTATCGAGGTCTGGTTGGTATGTTGCCGAGACGGCGTCTTCGAGGTGGACAAGTTTGCGTGCGAGTCGGGCCATGTGTGGCCATGTTTGGCCGATTGCTTGGACGAAGGTGACGCATTTGGTGAACCTTGAGCGTTTTTCTGAGCGGATGGCGGCATTTTCGGTGAAGCTTAGTTGGAGTTCGATTGTTGCGACTACGGCCGCACTGTAGCCGAGGACTGGGTCGGAGACTCTGAACGACTTTTCGGTTAGGTAGTTTATGAAGTGGATTATCCAGGTTGTGTGCGATGAGATTAGGTCAGAGGTATGTTGGAGGAATATCTCGGGGATTGTGCTGCGGAAGGTTCGCAGGCTGAGCGAGAGGAGGAGCGGGTGGTTTAGGACGCAGAGGATTGTATGGTAGAGGAATTGATTCAGGAACCATGGTCCCCAGTATTCGCGGTGGGCCTGGAGTTCTTCCAGTGATCTGTCGTTGAGGTTGGCGGATTTGTATCGGTGTGTGTGCGGCATGCGAGTCTCCATTTCCATTTGTAGTGCTAGGATTTTGGAGTATTCTGAGTCTGGGGACCATGGTGGGACTTTACCAGGTCGTCCGCGGTGTTGGACGTATCGCAATGTTCTGGCGAATGCTTCGCTGAGCATTATCACGTAGGCGTTGATACCCTGGTCTTGGATGGTGCTTCGTCGATTTCCTGAAATTGAGGGGCCTGGTGACATGATTCGTGGAGGTCTGCCTGGGCTCTGGGGATATGGCGGACCTGTCACGTCGGGGGGATCTAATATGGAGAATTCGCTGCCGTGTAGGCGCTTCAAAAGACAGATGCTCCAGAAGCAGCGTCGGCGTTCTTCTCGGACGATCGGGTCTGATGGAGGTCGAGTCTCTATGCCGAGATTGGCACATTGTGCTAGGTTCATTGCAAGGCTGCTGTGAATGCTTGAGCGATGTGTATTTCCATCTGCCATGCGATTAGCCTTTGAAGTCATGGCCCGAGGTTGAAGGGAGCTGCTCACTGGTAAAGTCGACCAGGCCTAGAAGACACAAGCACTGGAGAGTCGAAATTTCAACCGGGCCCTCGGAAACTCGTTTCATCACAAGCCCCCTGGCTACTTCTGCATAGCTATTGACTTGCTCTGCAAGCTCCCTGGCGTCGTGATATGTATCCGAGAATCGGAGACCGAGCGCCAGAATCGCATAGATGATCTCGACATCGCGTATCGGCAGACTCGCCAGGAAGCTGCTCCGGTGGAACAGGGGCAAAGGCTGTGAATCACAGTACGAGAGATATAACTCGGCGACAGGAATTATCTCATCCCAGGGCGGTAGAACAACGGAGAGATTTGTGACGGATGATCCCATCATCGGGAGAAGAGATTCCGAAGATTCATTTCTCGAGGCGGAACTGTCAGGTTCAGTAAGTAATCGTCAATCTCAGCTTATGCTTCATAATACATACCCGAGGTGGTCAAGGACGGCACTAAGCTTGCCATCCAAACTCTTGATCCGGTCCTCCTACTATCACGTCAGAAAATCTTGCCATAAAACTATCGACCGTCAGAAGATCTTACCAACGTGTGGGACACAGGCGCTGCGGCACCATTATGCTTCGAAGCCTCCTCTAACGCGGGACGACGTCGTTCCTCCGCATAAACACACTGCTGCCTGAGTCTGGCACACAGGGAACAGACCGGCTGTTCGCCGGGGCACTTTGCTTTCTTGCGTCTGGAAGTAGGTCAGCCACGTATCTCCACTTAAGGGCGGTCCATGCACATACCTGCATGGTTCACAGGCCTGCCGCACGCGTTTGGCGGGTCTCTCTGCGTAGCTCGAGTCTGCTTGGTCCATTTTGCAAAGTCCGGGTCTCAGTTGCTCGGAAACATATTCTGATAGGCAAGTGAGGGATCATGCGATTCCGACTCGGAGTTCTCCACAATCAAGACGTTTGTATGAATCAATCTTGCTGTTGGTCTCCAAGGTTGAGCTATCTGAGCGCAGAGTAGAGCTGAGAGTAAATATGCCCTTGGTTTGTCTCACCACAGCTCGGTTGAGATCTGAAGGTCTTGTTTGAAAGTGAACGCAGTCGCCGAGACAGTGGGATATATGATGACTAAGCAGAGATGTGTTACACTGGCAGTCTAGGTTGAGCTGTATTGTGATAGACCTGGCATGCATACAATCACCTCCAGTGTCTAGGTTTATATTTATTGTATACCTCAGTTATCGAAATAGAAGTCGAGGCAACCATTGCCTTGACATGCTTGGCAACTTGACCATACCCTGCAGCGTAGCTCTAGCCAATGACGTGCCCCGAAAGTAAGCGCGGATAAATCATGCAAGGAGCTTCCAAAAATTACGCTATGGTCGATTAAGATCTTACACTATGATTGATACAGATTACTGAAAAAGGTATTCTGAGGCAACATTCTGGAATTGGCGCTTGAGTTGGTATATGTACAGCTCCAATCATCGGTGTGCCTGCAAACCAATCTAACTCATCACCGGAGTAGAAATACACCGCCAATATCGAAGCCATCAACTTATATCCTCCCGTGGCTATCCAATTGACCGAGGGAGAGTAGTTTAGATCCAGGTCTTGTGACCCTGTAGGGAAGTTAGTAGATGTTCGTGATTTCGCAGCAGTAGTTTTTGCAACGGCGGAGGTTCCGGGCGGACTCACGAAGACCATGCGGCACATGGCATAGGTGGTGGCTAAACGAGAGGTTAGCAAGTTGTTCGACATTGGCTGTATCGCCAATTGGGGGAGGTTCACTCACCAGCACCGAGACCGTAGACGGAGATCAGGTAGGGGTACATGAGGTAACGGCTACGGGAGGTCTATAAATGCGAATTGCGCGTTAGCTTTGGTCGAATGTCGAGGCGGGAGCGACTGGGAGCGAGGGGAGGACTGACCTTCCACCACTGACGCTGACCGTCGTGGTTCTGGAACAGACGCTGGTAGTAGGGGACACGGTTCTCGCGGAACACGAACCTGCAAAAAAAAAAAAATTCACGAGTTAGCAGCTATTATCATTCAGACAGACTTGAGTCAGGCCCAGCACGGTCAATTGCAATTGGACAATTGCGGTAGCCCCAAATCACAGCGTCACGAATTTCCGGCGTCCGCCCACGGGGCACGGCGGCGATCGCGGCGACGGTTCCAGATTTAAAGAGAGACGTACCCAGCCAGACGAGGCGCAGTGCGGAACATTTTGGCGGTTGGAGGGGAGAAACGGGGTTTGGGGTGGGAGGGAAGAAGGGCGAATGGCACGATGTCGTTGGGTTTCGAGCTTCGGTCACCTGACTTCCCTCTTTCTTCCGCCAGATGAGTCAGCGGCCGAAAAGGGCAAAGCGGCATCGCGGGCGGAAGTCGAGCTCGCTGTCCGCGATCTTTTTGATTGCTCGCAGAAGTGTTGTTTCTTCTCCAGCGATGGTCGACGCCGGTTGCCATCCCTCCCTGATCAATCCATGCGACCGGCTCTTCTTCGATTGTTGAAGAGGCCCTCCGCCGTCTCGATCCTCGATACCCTCGCCGCGACCTCTGTGGGAATCGAGCAGTTGGAGTGTGATTACGCGCGCTTGAGGTTTCAGCCGCGATGTTTGAGATACCAGTCGACTGTCGGTGACACTGATTCTTGTACGACCGAGACGAGACACGGGAAATGGCCGCGAACGGTCAGCGAGAAGCGGCGGTTGAGCTTTTCTACCCACGAAATTGAGGCGAAAGCGCCATCGGACGAAACACTTAATAACCTCCCTTCAAATCCAACAACAATACATAATTCTGGCGCAAAGACGTTGCGACTACATCCAGATCGTCTCGAATTCGAGTCCGACGTCGGTCACATCAATGACATTGGGACACGTCTAATCGATCAACCAGAAAATGCAAATGACTTTGAGCTATGGGAAGAGCTTCTTCGGTATCGCCAACGGCATTATGGGGATAAAGGCACACAAGATATTTGGGAGGGGTTGACGGTGCGCCTGCAGGGCGTCCAATTGCCTGTCAGTGGAGAGCGGGCAGATTTCTTCTGGCGAAGTTTTGTGGAATTCGGCCTCAGAAGAGAAATATACCTTGGGGATGTCATTCAATACGCGATCAGCCTTCACCAGCGTGACGGCCGAACATGGTCACAATTATACGAGGCGGTGGTGGGAGGACTTTTGGATCGAGGCAGGACAAGACAGGCCACGGCATTGCATCGATGGCTGCAGAAGTCGGGAATCGCCCAACCGAATGACCTGGTGCGAGTATTGAAGCCAGCTTTCGATCCGGCTTGTCTGCCCGTCTCTTCGGAACCGGTGAATTTGGTGGCAGCACAGCGACGAACAATCACTCTTGGACTTAGAGCGTTCAAGGAGATGTGTCGTACAGCACCAGGACATAAGATCTATGGACCCGTCGTCTCCACTCTGGCACAGCATGGATACGGTGAAAATGCGTTACGGATGCATAATTTTTTGGTCAAGCACGATGACCATCCACAGACGGCGGACGAGATGATGGATATCCTGGATTATGTCAAGAAGTATGGCAGTCGGGACGAATTCGGCGCACTGCAAACCTACGCCAAGGAAAGATGTCTCGATACAGCCAATGGAGATGGACAAGGCCTCCACAGTTCAAGTTCCGCGGGGAGGCGTACGAATCCTCCGGAGGGGAGATTTAATGACGACATCGGGGCCAAGTTAATATCTACCCGGGCATTCAACTTCGACATTGTCCAGGGGACCCTCAAGATGCTTGGTGTGTCAGCAGTCGGGCCGCGGACCTTACGAGAAGTTGCCATCAGATCGAATGGTAGCAAGGATATCCTTGACAAGATGAACCGATTCCGGACAGCTGGAATTTCAATTCAAGACTGCGTCTTTGTGCGGCTGGTTGAGAAGCTTGCGAAGCAGAACCGCGATATTGTGCTGTCCGATCTACTGCATAGTGACCAGCACCCGGACGTCCTCGAAGACGCGCAAATACAGGAAGCTTTCCTGGCCTCGCACTACATGACCCAGGACTGGCGCCAATATAATTTGTCGCAGGCGGTCTTGACGGAACTCTTTCCGAGCTCTCCGGGTCTCTGGGATATTCACTTCCGCAAACACATCGCCGTGGGCGAATATGATGCCGCCTCCAAAGTCGTGGACGAAATTGCTGTTCATGGCCAGAGATTAAGCGAGGAGAGTGTCGACTTTATGGCCGAGAAGGTTCTAACTGCCCGTCAACTGACAAAGGCCCCTTCACCCGGAAAGCACCTCTCCGCCCGGAACGAGGTGATGTTCGTCTTCCGGGTTCTCGAACGCGTAGTTCCCGCTGGCGGCTACATCAGTGCGGCGTTTTGGGTTGAGCTGCTGAAACGGCTGGGTATGAACAACAACTGGCGCGAACTCTCCGAAGTATGCCACTGGCTGGTCCGTTGGTACTCATTCACCCCCGGATCAAAATCCAAGCTCTCCGCGACATCTTTCGCCAAAGACCAGCCCGCAGGACGGGACGGCCGGATCCTCAATCAGATCTTCAGCCAGCGAATGCAAGCAGCCATCGTCACCTGGGGATTCCGCTCCCCACTCCAGGACCATGTCGTGGGCAAGCACGTCTACCAGCACCCAAACTCCGGCCAGAAATTCATCCCCTGGATCCGCGGGATCGCGCTGCTTCGTCAATTGCGCGACGCAGGCCTACAAGTGAACACAGGCTGGGTCCGACAAGCCACCCGCCACCGGCTTGCTATCCTCTTCAGCCAATATACCCCTTCAGCCAAACCCCTGAACCGGACACTACGGCGCTGGTGCCCCTTTACGCCACAAGAAGTCGTCGCGGACGTCGACCGTGCCTGGGGCGAACCACTGTTCGACGGGGCTGAAAACTCCAGACCCAAATGGCTGGTGAATCCGACCCGCACGCAAAGTAGTCGACGACGCGCCTCGGGCGTTGTGCTTTCCCGGACTGAACTTGGAGAGTTGCGTGAGAAGGCGAAGCTGGGTGATGGTCGTACGCTCCGTCAGATGCGTGAATGGCGAGAACTGCGTGACCGCTTTCCCCCGAAACCCAGGCCGGACCCGTAGACCCGCCGTGTTTCTTGTATATTACCGACTGTATTTAGATGAATGTACAACATACTACCCACTTAAACCTGAGTGTATATGATAGCCACCTTCCCTCCTCCTTGTACACACTACACACTACACGCTATACTCTATACACTGGTTGTAGGGTACTCGATAGCCTCGGCTGGCTATGAATTATTCACAAGTATTGGTCCCATGGCAACCCCGTCGTGGTTATGATCGTCGTGTCGTCTACACTATTGCTGTACTAGACTGCCTCCCCGCAGCGACTTTGAATTCGGCTGTGCGACTGCGTCGTCACTGGAAAAATTGCGCCTACATCAAGATCCACGTACCAGGAAGCTGCTGGTCCCTTTATCAGTCTCTTCACTCATAGCGTAGTCGTTAGTATGGGTTAGTCATGTTAGGCGGCCGCGCCAAGCGTGGCTGACGATCGGATCTAAGAATAGTTGAGACGGCAACGCGGCCTGGACCCGCTATGGATCGGCTGTCAACATTGCCTCCGTCACAGGGTATTTACCCTCCTTCCCTCCACATCTCCCATACCATTACACAGTGTCAACGGGAATCACACCATGCATCTCCTCTCCTTGCTGGCGCTGCTCCCCGCAGCCCTCGCCAACTCGCTGAACGTCCGCGCGACGGCCTGCAACAACTCGCCCGATCTCTGCGACAAGTCCTACGGCGACATCACCCACCTGGGCGCCCACGACAGTCCCTTCGTCGGCAGCTCGTCGTCGGACATGTCCCTAGCCAGCAACCAGTGCGTCTCCGCTTTTTGTTTCGTGTCGTCGCATTCATCTGATCTCTTCCAGGTACTACGATACCCCGACCCAACTCAGCGCCGGTGTCCGTCTCGTCTCCGCACAAGTACACAAGAGCAACTCGCAATGGCGACTCTGCCACTCAGACTGCAACCTGATGGACGCGGGTTTGCTAAGTGACTGGCTCGGCGATATTAAAGAGTGGCTGGACGACAACCCCAATGAAGGTACGTCGCCTACGACCCCATCTACAACCTGGCAACATCTCACATCTCAAACAGTCGTAACAATTCTCCTGGTAAACTCCGATTCCGCCTCCGCCTCCGACCTCAACATCGAGTTCAAAAACGGCAACATAACCTCCTACGCCTACGAGCCAGACTCCCTAACCTCCGCGCCAACCACCTGGCCCACCCTCCAAAAAATGATCGACTCCGGCAAACGCCTCGTCGTCTTCGTCCCCGGCCTCACAGCCTCAGACAGCTACCCTTACCTGATGAACGAGTGGACCTTCATGTGGGAAAACAATTACGATGTTTCCTCCCCCTCGGACTTCTCCTGCGAAGCCAACCGCCCAACAACCGACACCGCAACCGCCCTCGCCTCCAACAAACTTCCTCTGATGAACCACTTCCTCTACTCAACCGACCTCTCCGAGATCGGCATCGAGTACCCCAACTCCAGCTACGTGTCCACCACCAACGCGGCCTCCGGCGGCGTCGGGAACCTCGGCACCACCGCGAGCAAGTGTAAGAAGCAGTGGGGTCGTCAGCCAACCTTCATTCTGGTGGATTTCTTCAATCGTGGACCGGCGATCGACACGGTGGATAATCTGAATAATGTTACGAATGCCGTTGGTCGGACGTCGGTTTCGTCTTCGTCGACTTCGTCGAGTGATGGGGCTACTATCAATAATGTCTTTAAAGGTCTTGTTGAGTTGGCGAATTCGGCGAAGGAGGGGGCGACGCCGTCGATGGGGAATTGGATTTGGGTTGGGGGGAACTGGAATAGTATCCTGGGTGGTGGTATTCCCATGAGCTGAGCCAGTCAGCTATTGGGTTTTGAATCTCTCTTCAGTGTTTGTTTTTGTGTTTGTGAGCACTTGTTTTCGTGCAGCGTTCTTGTTCTGGACATTGTTCTTGGCCTCGGATTTGGTTTCAGGCCTGGTATATAGAGCGTGGATTGGAATGGTATTTTGGACACATTGGTGGAAATGGATGTCGCATTGCATCACATCTGCGCAAAAGGATCGGCGTTTGGATTTTTGTTTTCTTTGATGGGACGGTGGACTGACGACGGAATGACCGGTGATGGGTTACCCTCACTACATTTTTACCTACTCTAGTAGTATAGAAATTTGAATGATCTCAACCATATGATTCTTCAGCTCCACCTAGTCCAGCCAACTATAACTAAGGAAGAATCACAGATCCTTGCGCAACAACTGGCACACCTTGTTGACCTTATCCTCGGCCGTCTGCTCCTTATCCGTCCTAACCGCAATCCAGTCGTCAGAACAACTTCCTGCCTTGGGGGAGTGGTACCGTGTATAGGATGGAGTGCGTGCTAAGGGGGAAGCGATGCAGGGCCGTGAAACATGAACCTGCAAGCTTAGGGTAGAGCAGAACATACCTCGATCCGACGCGGATATCCGTCTGGATGCGCACGATGCCCTGCTGGTGGAGGAGGGTATGCGCCTGCCCGATGACCTGGTGGACTCGGTCCCAAGGTCCTTCTGTGGCACTGTCAGACCCTTACACTGTCCGGGTTACGCCCATACTACTGGCGCGGTGCTAGGCAAGCTGGATACATACCCAAGGTCGTGCCGGCAGAGTGCATGGTGTATTTAACGCCCGATGCCTCGATCAGCCGCTGGACGTCGGCGATTTGCGCGGAGACGGAGGGGGAGGCGGTGCCGATCTAGACATCTCAGTATTATAGCTATGAAATCATCTGGTGTTGACGTACCGGAATCAGGCAAAAGTCGGCGGTGCACTTGGCTGGCGTGGGCAGGTCCATGGTGGTGAGGGAAATGGTGGGGTCGTGTTAGTGCAAGGTCGGATTCTGCGATAGGCACGTCAGATCTCCTGCAGGATGCAGTAGCGCCAGTTATACCCTTGGGTGCGCTTAACATGTAATATGCACTGTACAGCAGGTAGGAGGGAGCAGTCTGATCGCATTCTGCCTGGGTTGTCCCTGGCTGACCGCTCGGCTGTCGCATATGGACATCGCGGGTTCCTTCCCTTCCAGTTCTTCCCTCCTCCCGACGACTCTCCCAGTACTGCCGAAGGGTACTCCAGTCGTGTGGGCGTATTCCTTGATCGAATGATCGTCCCAGGGGCAGCGCCACTCCACCCACCACCGACTAAATCCTGCCATCCCGTTCGCTCAGTCACTGATCACCGCAACTCTGCCCGAACACGAGGGGTCTGTGGCTGCCCGCGCCGTGCAACAGACCGTCGCAAAGGCCATCTCGGCGCTGCACCCCGTCCCCGCATCATCGGGGCTTCTGGATCAGTTCTAGCTCCAACGACGCATGCAAGCGATCGGCCCGGTCGACTGAGCTTGTCCCGACCAATCGTCGCGCCAACAGAAATCCATCACCCATGCACCCCCGGACGATTGAAAAACAAGAAACCCGCCAAAAGCAACGTGATCTACACGATCTATCCAGCGGTGGCTTGCTTCCTTCTCCTTCCCTACAAATACCTACCAGAGTCATGCTCCGCAGTTTCCTTTCTCTCCCCACCTTTCCCCTGAATGACCAAGCCCAGTCTCCTGGAGCTCCCGCCGGGAGTTCAACTCGTCTACCTAGCCGAGGGCGGCGCAAATGTGATCTATCGTTTTGTCCCGACCAAGTCCCATCTAGCGGTCAAGCAACACCCACGATCCCCTCTGGATCCGCAATTGCTCTCCGCCGCCTTCGGAGGCAAATTACTACGTCTGCGCAAGGAGACAAAAGCAGCTGTCTCGTATAGAGAGATCGTGCACAATTTCGATGCGAAAATCAGACCACTTTTTCACACCGATGAACTCGTCGACCAAAACCTCATTCGTCTCCCCGACGGCCTCCTTGCTCACTGCAACGAGTTGCTCCGACTCTCGGAACTCAATGGCGAACGTCCCAAAAAGAGGCATGGCGGGTACCTTTGCTCTAGTGAGCCATTTGGCTTGCTGATTACCGATATGACTATCTTCAATGAACCCGGCGCTACGCTCGCTGAATTGAAACCGAAATGGTTGCTACAGTCGCCCTCTGCGCCTGACACGGCGAATAGATGCCGCACCTGTGCGCTGAGGGAAATGAAGAATTACGAGTCCCGACGGCTGGGGCTGAAAGAGTCGAGATCGTTTTGTCCCCTCGACCTGGTGTCTGACCGCTTTGAGAACGTCCTCCGCGCAACGACCTTTATTAAAGGATGCAACGACCGCGCCCGACTCGCGCGTATCCTCTTCCGCAATCCCACCCTGCAAAATATCCAGTCTCGGCAGAAATCATTCAGAGAGGTCGGGCTACTGGGTCCGTCCGCGCAGTCTCGCGAGACGTCGTTGGATATGACACTCCGAGACTGTACGATGTTTATCAAGGTATGTATACTCACTCCTGCCTTGTTCCATGGAGCAGTGCTTACTGACATATGTCTAGATCCCCGCGGACGAAAAATCACCCGTCCAAATCCGTCTCGGCGACCTAGACCTGAAAACTGGGGCGGGCGGTAAAGCACAGTACTGGCGGGACCTGGAGCACCAGTTGATAGATGAGGGATGGTATCGCGGTTCGAATCCCGGTCAGGAACCGAGTGAGTGTGCATTGGCGAGGTTGGAGGGGGTCTAACGGGAATGGGAACGAGGTTTATGCTGGGACGTGACCATGTTCTATTATTTTTTTTTTTTTTTTTTTTTTTTTCATTTTTTCATTTTTCTTTTTCAGTCATGCTTTGACTGGCCCTTGGGTGGTGGTATCAGCTGGCATCTAGGTGCTATCAACAGAGTTTAATGGTTTAGTTTTGGGCGGGCTTTTGTATGATATCCTTTCTTCATTCCTTTGGGTTTGTTTTGGTTCGTGGATTCGGTGGGTTTTCGGCTTATACTTGAAGAATACTATTTAAATATAAATAATACAATACAACCTTGGAATTTCCTTCTAGTTAATCCAGTAAGACACCACCACTGACTCTGCCTTCGCCTATCCCACGAACCAAATGACGCGTAGAAGAACAACCTGGGCGAGATCTTGGACGAGGAGCACGTCGACTGACTCAACTCATCCACCTGTATACATCACTAATTTTACCGGACGATTCAAGGCTCGTGTGTTTGAGAGAGAAGATATTTAGTTTGTCTATCTCCATTTCAACAGGTCTTGCCGTGCACCGACTGCCCATAATACGCTAGGTTCCACCCATTTACAGGTATATGGCTGAACAATCTGCAGCTCCGGTTGGGTTGATCGCTCTGACAGAACGGGCATGTCGGTATTGACACAATATATTGACGCCATTAAACGATTTGTATGGGGGAGGCAAAAGGCGCCAGCTCTGCCATGTGAGTGACTTGAAATACTTCAATGGTCGAGGTTCCTCTCGATTACAATCACAGCACCACCTGAAGAAGATCTTTTTGGAGAAATATCCCAGAAAAATCTGCATGGTGTCCTTGCTGATCGGCGTAAGTCGCGTGCGATGTGATCTCATCAATGATCGGCTTGATCTTGACCGAGGTAGCTCACCACGCTTTCCATTTCCTCGGTTTCCGAGGGGATATCGACCAGAGGATTCTATATGTCTCAAGCTGGATATCAGGCCTTATTGACATTCGTTGGTCGTTCTCCGAGCCCGGTTTCTGTTTCTCCAGTATTGTAGACTGGGCACCTGAGTGGACCATGTGGGTCATACATCTTTCATAGTTGGTGGATCCAGGCAAGATGCGGCGTCGCTCGCTGAAGGTATTCAAAGGATCTGGTGTAGACGCACCGCTTGGAGACACGACGCTTTTCAGAAAGCGAGAGGTCACATTCAATGGGAAGTATCTCTCTTTCCAGTTGAACGGACTCGGTATGTGCACTGTGGGGGGTGTCGGTATGTTGGTTGGATAGTGTTTGAAGTGACGGAGGCACCGTGGCTGGACGGCGATGTCGGCGTGAGCAGTGGGATCGGTAGAAGGAAGTTTGACGCCATCAATGAGAGAAGAATGTCACATTAAGGATTGTTCTTTCCAAATGTTTTCTGTGAGAGGAAAAAACTAGGTCTCGTTCGAGAGGGGTTAGTGGGTGATCTGTTAAGGATTTTTTTGGAAGGGAAGCATAAAGGAGTGTGAAGTCTGGGTGAGAGATGAAGCTATCTAGCTATGAAAGTGTAGATATAGGTGCGCGAAGGCGGTAGGTTCGCCAACCATCATCAACAGCATTCATTTATAGTCGTCTTCTTTCCTTTTATCTATCCATGGATACTGCTAGTGTTCATCTTTCTTCTTTCACATGGGGTCTTTGCTCTCACTCTTTCACTTTGCCCCCACTTCCCCCCACTTAACCACCTCAACGCTGATTCCACTTCATATCTCACTTACTTTCTCAGGGAACAGGATCTTCTATATCAACCTGGACCAACCGAAGATCTCCACAGGCATCTGATTCCCTCAAGCAACACCAATCTGGATCCGACATTCAATTTCTACAACCTGAAACGACCCCACAAAATCACCCCTCAACCTTCGATGACCCATTCGGCGAATCTAAATGTACTAGCAGATTACGCAACAGGCAAATACCTCTCGGGGCTCAAAAAGGACATGGCAAAGCAAGACACTTGAAGAGAGGACAAGGACATCCGGGATGCAGCGCTCGAAGGAAGCAATTCATCGAGGAGCTGTCAGCAGAACAACGGTCGAAACTTAAGCATTTCATCAAAACAGGCCCCCAGGGGCTGATACAACCTGTAGGGAAAGAGCTCAGAACACGTTTGATCGACTGGTTTGAATACTGTTATTGAGTTCCAAATCTCTTTGAAACCGGCATCAAGCCCTACTCAAATTCGAAAGTGAGCTTTGACAGCTATGACCTTATGTGGGCCACTTTGCGGGCTCTTTTCGCAACGTCAAACTCGAGAGCCCGAGATCACAGTTTACAACAATAAGGATTCTGGATAGCGTGATTTTCGTGATTCGAAATTGCGGAATCGAATACAGTCATGAAACATTGAAAACGGTACTTTCTATATGACCATCTGTCAATTCCTCCTTGTTCAACTTCGAAAGAGTGACAGGTGCTTCAAAGGAAATTGAAAGAGGTATTCCATCCAAGAAGTGGTTTGGGGGCTAAATGTGATGGAGGGTTGCGTCTTCTCTTGGGGCTTGCTCTCATCCACACCGAAGCCAGTGGTATTCACAGCAACGATCTTCCCACCCTCCGTTATCGTTCCATTGACGGGGAAGAGCAGAGAACCCCCAGTCGCAACATACAAAGTCTCGGTGTCTCCCGGAAGCGTGCCAAATCCTGGCGCTACAGATCCAGCGATCGTCATCTCCGTCGGTGATCCGGCAACAAATGTCGCGTTTCCATCTGCGGTGATTGCAACAAGTCGATTGTCCGCATTAGTCGCACCCCAGATTGTATCGCCGTCACCGGGACCGAGACAAATCGAGTCCAAATAAATCGTCTGCAGTCTCTTGACCAACTCGATCTTCGCACCGGGGGCAGCATAGCCATCCTTGGTGATCGCGACGCGGTACACAGATGCCAGGTAGCTGTTTGTCCAGTACAAATACCCATTATGGATTCGAAGATTGTTGATTCCGAACGGTGTTACAGTCCACGAAGGATGGCCCATTGAGTCTTCGTCTCTGATGGCGACCTCGTATTTGCCTGTGAGCGTGTCGACTTTGTACACTAAGCCCAGCAATGAATCGCTCACTAGCACGGTGGATGGTGATTCGGGAAGCGCTTGGATGCCAGTCATCAGACCACCGTCTGGAATTGGCACAGCATATCGTATGGTCGGCTTGCCCCCCTTGGCCTGTGGACGCAGGTCGATTTCCCAGACACCGAATGTGCCGAATATTCCCACCCCGATGCTGCTCTGGTTGCCTCCGAGAAAGGCTAGTACGCCAGGCTCAGTCTCCGTAATTGATGTTGCGACATTGATCTCGTCGAAGGTGTGGACGAGAGACGCCTTAGGTGTGTCTGTATTTGCGCCCGATACACTGTATATTGACGCATCTGGCCACACAGTTGTCACATAGATATCTCCGTTCGGTCGCACATAAATGCTGTTGAGATAGGCCGGGGCGGGAAACTGATGAACAAGCTTCACGGGCAGCGGGAGCTCGACAGCTTGCGAAATTGTGGTTATTGCTGATAGCAGGGGCACCACGTGGAGCCACGAGCCGGCGGGCCGCATTTTAGAGTGATGTCGCGACAGGAGTCTAATGCGACGTCTTAGAGAGATCTCCTCGGTCAGGATGCTGGGAAAAAACCATCCTGGGTCGTTCAGCCTCTTTTGTTTTCTGGAGTTCCGTTCTGCCAGGGTCGCGCGTTCGGCTGCATATCGCCGAACTTCCCAAAAAGGAAACTCTCCGAACGTGGCTGGCTTCCAGCTAAACCCGCCAAAGCCTCCGAAGGAAAAAACCCGGCCATTTTGAAGGTATGATCATTGAATTTGTACCTTTCTAGTAGATAGATTATCCCGGTCTTAGCTGGGGCTAAAAATGTTCTGCGACGTTCATAAACATATCCTTGCAGCATTCCGCACCTGGGTTAACCCACCGACTTCTGGAGCATTTCCTAGCAACACAAGGATCAGCATTGAAAGACACATGCTTCTCGAACTTCTCGAGAAATCGAGGGTTGAAATATGAATGCCCGATCACTCCTTTTTCTTGCCTTGGCGGCATGCATCTCGAATTCAGAGGCCAGTGCCGTGAGCTTTACACCTCGGACGAATTGTGAAACGCAACTTTGCGAAAACACTCCAACCACTCGAGGATGCTGGGGTGCATATGATCTCGAAACAAACTATTACAAAACGGCACCCGATACCGGAAAGACAGTGGAAGTCTGGCTATCTGTCCAAGAGGGCATTTGCAATCAAAATGGCTACGAGCGCCCTTGCATGACCTTCAACGGCACAATGCCAGGGCCGCCGATCATCGCCGACTGGGGCGATAAGTTGAAGATCCACGTCACCAACAACCTTGAGTCGAATGGCACATCAGTACACTGGCATGGTGTCCACCTACGAAACAGCAATCAATGGGACGGGGTACCTGGTGTCACTCAGTGTCCGATCGCACCGGGAGAACGCCTCACTTACGAATTCAAAGTCACGCAATATGGAACCAGCTGGTATCATAGCCATTTTTCCCTGCAATCATCCGAGGGCCTCTTCGGTCCGCTCATCTTCAACGGCCCCGCAAGTGCAAACTACGATGAGGATCTTGGTGCGCTCTTCCTACAGGACTGGTCGCATAGTCCTACTTTTGTCGAGTGGGAGGTCAAGCAGAAGTTCGGTATCACATCTTCACAGACAACGACGCTCGTCAATGGGACCAATACATTTAATTGCACAGCGGAACCACATAAAAATTGCGTCGGGGGTGGAAAGAAATTCGAGATGGTATTCCAGCAAGGAAAGAAATACCGCATTCGCTTAATCAACGTCGCTATCGATAGCCAGTTTCAGTTCAGCATCGATGGTCACAGCTTGACTGTTATCTCCAATGACTTTGTTCCGATCGAGCCATATCTTGCAGACAGCATTATCCTGAACGTTGGTCAGAGATACGACGTCATTGTCGAGGCGAACGCTCCTCCGGGTGACTATTGGCTTCGTGGAGGATGGGTGCAATCTTGCCAGGGTGTTGCGAACGACCACCCGGAGTCTGCTACGGGAATTGTGCGTTACAATTCTCGGAGCATGAGGGACCCTACCAGTACCAGCTCGCTGTCAGCCCCGGTGTCTTGTCTCGACGAGCCCCAGGAGAACCTGGTGCCGTACTTGAAACTCGATGTCGGCAGTATCACCGACACGACTGTTGAGGATATAAACGTTCGCTTGACAAACGCTGCCATGTTTCAATGGACGATAAACAGTAGTAGTCTTGTCCTAGACTGGGGGAGGCCTACGATTCAGCAAATCTATGACAAGGAGCGAATCTTTCCCACCCCCTACAATGTTGTCGAAGTTGAAGTAAGTGTTCTTGTTTATCGTCTCGGAAGTGGTAACCGCTAAATTTTTGAGCAGAAAGAAAACGAGGAGAAGGAAGAATGGGCAGTGCTGGTAATCGAAAACAAAGCTGCTGCATTCTTTGGCGGGTAAGTCACTTATTACATCCTGTACAGAAGATTCGAAAATTGAAATAAATTTAGTCTCGCCCACCCCATCCATTTCCACGGTCACGACTTCTGGATCCTGGCCCAGGAGAGCCACCCTTGGGATGGAAGCTCTGCTTCATTCCAGACCAAGAATCCCGTTCGCCGAGATACTGCAGTGCTGCCAGCGCATGGCTACCTTGCTCTCGCATTCGAACTCGATAACCCTGGCGCATGGCTTGTTCACTGTCACATTGCTTGGCACTCGAGCATGGGGCTTGCACTTGAGTTTGTAGAAAGCGAGAATTCAATCTCGACTAGTATGGGTGATTGGAAAAACTTGGATAGGACTTGCAAGTCATGGTCGGCTTGGTCAAGAGGGGCCCCCTATGGACAAGATGATTCGGGAATTTGAGATTGCAGGGGAATCGAGCTTACCCCTAAGTTTATAGAAATCGTGCTCGAAAACCTGTAATTCGACTTATTCAAAGTGTTGGCATTTCTCCTCACGTACCAAATTATTCTCTAATGCAAATTAATGTACTCTGCACCAGTGTGTGCGCGCAAGTGTAGAATCCCGGGTGGGCCAATTAACCATGTACCTAGTGTAGTGGGGAGACCCTGTCAACTCTGAGAGAGGTAAAATACTGTGGATTCTCCACTGCTCTTGGTTATTCAGCATCCACCCACATTGCAATAGTAATTGTATGGTAATTCGGGTCATTCTCGGAAGAACTGTGATGTAATACGCAGTTTATAGCCCCTGGATCATTTTCAACAGATCGGAACACACAGACACACTCTCGTTAATCCATCTCATGCATCAATTGGCCGTCCCTCGATACTAGATGATACACGTATCCGACATCCTGACAGTTATGAGCCCGGTTAGCCGCGCCGCACACGTGTAACTGCGAGCGTACCACCCCTGGCAGCACTGCAGCAGCGATTCGCACGATCGGGATACCCCTGAACGCACGCATCACGCGAGAAATTGGAACCTCGCCCCGCGCTCAACGCAGCAATCCCGTACCCTTGAACCTAGCATCAACACAGCATCAGTATCATCGCGAGAGAAGACAGGATGGCCGATTCACAAAGAGAGGAGATGGCAATGATCCCACCCGATCAGAAACTACGGGCGGAATCGCAGTGGAGGATCTGGATAGGACATATCAGGTCAGCAGCCATATCTGAAGATGTGTGGAATTATCTTGACCTCGAGAAGTCGGACGAAGAAGTTGAACAGCTTCCAATCGCACATCGGGAACCTATGATGCCTGTGGACCATCGCGGTAGAGAGAAGGATATCATGGACCTCACTGATGATGAGTTAAGGAGATGGCAGTTGCAGATACAGCTGTATGAGCGGCAGGAAACAAAGCGACAGCGGCTTGTTAAGGCTATGGCGCGCATGAATAGCCTTATTACCCGTTCAGTAGCCACTGAGTTTCACTATCTTATTGTCGATGAGGAAACTCCAAGGAAGAAGCTATTGAAACTGGCAGAGACATTCAAGCCAAAGCCTGAGAATCGACGACAGGAGCTCCGACGTGCGTGGAGATTGATGATCAGGCAACCTGCGAGAGATGTTAGCATTGATCAGTGGCTCACACAGTGGGAAAGCTTATATGAGGAGGCAAAAGCTGCCAAGGTTCCTGACTGTATTGAGAAAGATGATGCTATTCGTGACTTCCTAGATGCTGTGCAGGGGCTAGATGACACCTTCTGCTCGGGATGGCGACGTGAGCTTCGTATGAACACGACTGCTACGTTTCATGAGGTTATTGCCGATTATCGCAGCCGCCGTGGAGATCTAGCACTCACTTCTGGAAAGAAGCAACCGAAGATGGCCTTCGCAACCCTGGATGGTCAGAAAGAGGCAAAGCCAACTGGGAAAACAGAGAAGACTTATCGAACGAAGTGCCCATGCGGATACCCTCGACACCACTACTCAGAGTGCTGGTATATTGATGAGACCCTGCGAAGTGACGACTGGAAGCCAAGAGAAGGAATTGCGAAGCGCTTAACTGATGCTATCAAGCAAATGAGTCCTCAGGATCAACAGAAGATCAAGCAGCTGATGGAGAAAAAGAAGGAAGCACCATCAGCGCAGGCTCAATTAGCAGTATCAGAAGAGAAGCTTAGCTTCTTCATTGCAGCTGCAGCATCAACCGGTCAGCATCAGGTGACCAAACCGCTCAGAAATCGCTGGATTCTTGATTCAGGCACTACCCTGCATATCTGTAATGATCGTGGGCGTTTCAAAGTGTTCATCAAAGGGGAAAGCTCTGTTAAAACAGGTGATACTATGACTGCTACTACAGGGTATGGCACTGTGGACATGGTAGGCCAGGACCCTCAAACTGGCGAGCCTCAAGTGGTAGAGCTCACCAATGTTCATTATTCCCCGGGCTTCCATACCAATCTGATATCCTATTCAAAGATTGAGGATAAAGGATATTGGTGGAATCCTAGCAAGAAAGCCATTGTCAACAACAGCGACAGTCCAGTGTTACATGTGCGAAAGGAAAAGGGATTATACTTCATGGAATACTGCTCTTCTGATGCAGCCTTTGCAACCAAGCAGTCAGAAAAGCCACTCATTTCAGCAGCATCAGCCAGGCGCTGGCATCGTCGGCTAGGCCACGCATATAGCCAGAAGATTGAACTGTTGCCAGCGATGGTGGATGGAGTCAAAATTGATGGAAAGAGTGAAGACAACTCTCATGGTAACCCTGAACGATGTGAGGTCTGTCAGATCACCTCTGCGAAACGTCAGATATCAAGAAGACCACAGGGAGCCACATACGGGAAATTTGGGAGAATACACTTTGACCTTGTTCAAATTGACCCTGCCTATAATGGTGATCGCTGGTTATCCCATTTCTATGTGGATGGAATTCGATTCCATGCAGCATTCACTCACGAGAAGAAAAGTGGTTGTCAGCAAGCTGTGACACTCTTCTGTGCATATGTGAGGACCCAGTGGAACCTACCAATCCGAGCCTTTCGCTATGATAATGAGCGTTCAGCAGGTCGTACGGTAGAGCAATTCCTAGCAGAGGAAGGCTTTGTTGTTGAGCATAGCGTCGTTGGAACGCCAGAGCAAAATGGCTTCGCGGAGCGATCTGGGGGGGTGATAGTCACTATAGCACGCGCACTACTGCAGGATGCAGGTCTTCCGAAAGACCTGTGGCCAGAAGCAGTCAAAGCAGCTGTTTGGATAGTTAACAGATCGCCCACGAGGATGAGAGATGGAAAGTGGATTGTCCCATACCAGGAAGCACTTCATGTCCAGCAAGACCAACCACCACGAGTCAACCTTGCCAACCTCAGAATCTATGGATGCAGAGCGTATGTACGCAAGCAGGGCATCCCGAATGCAGCGAAGATGGAGCCTCGCGCAGAGATCGGTTATCTCGTTGGCTATGAAGCCTCAAATATCTGGAGAGTATGGTTTCCACAGAGAGGAGCTGTACGGGCAGTGCGAGATGTTGTCTTTGATGAGAACCAGTTCTTCAACCCACGAGAACTAGACAAACCACCAGTCAGCGATATAATTGAATCAATGCCTTGGATCACTGAACAGGATGAGGAAGAGGAGATACAACACCAGATAGTCCCTCTTTCCTCAAATGAAGCAGGAAGCAGAGAAAGCGCTGCTGAGAACATGCATGAACAAGCAGCAAGACATTCAGCAGGAAAAGCAACAAATTCGCAACAGAAGGAGGGACGACAGATGGCTACACCTTCACCAACGCCATCAGCATCACAGCAACGGGCACCTTCGCTTCCACCAGGAACATTCCCTAGCTCACCGCCACGGGAGTCATATGACCATGCTGAGCAGCTTCAAAATGAGCTCACAGCTGCATCACCCGCACAGGAGACTCCCAGAGCACCTAGAGATATCGATGGTGACATTTCAGAACGAAACATTGTGAGAGGAACGAGAAAACGACGAACAAGAGAGGATGACAACTTTGTCAGCTTTCAAGCTATCTCTGAGAAGGAAGAGGATAGCGTACTCGCAGCCTTCGCTACTGGATTAAACAGCTCCCGCACACACGCGCAAGTGCATCAGGATGAGTTACCTCCAGAGCCAGGAAACTGGAAGGAGATGATGAACCATCCTTACCGAGAGGGATTCCTGGCAGCTTGTGCTCTTGAAATTCAGACAATCAAGAGGAAAGGCACATATGAGGTCATACAACGACCAAATGACCACAGCATACAGATTCTACCACTCCGTTGGGTGTTCAACTATAAGGTTGATAGCAATGGCTATCTCAGCAAGCTCAAGGCCAGAATCTGCGTGCGAGGAGATCTCCAGAAACTTACCACAGAGGAGAAATACTCGGCAACCCTCGCTGCACGCACTGCACGAGCAGTCTTCTCATTAGTGGCTGCTTTTGACCTTGACACTTACCAGTATGATGCTGTCAATGCATTCCTTAATAGTTGGATTGATGAGGAGATCATCACTGAGATGCCAGAGGGTTTCAAGGAACAGAGGCAGTGCTGGAAACTCAAGCGAGCTCTCTATGGCTTACGAAAGTCTCCAAGGCTATGGCAACAAGAAGCGTCTAAGGTCCTGACTTCTTTTGGCTTACAAGTTGTACAGGAAGACCTCTGCCTCTTCTCCACAAACGGCATCATTGTTTTCTTCTATGTGGATGATATCATCATCGTCAACCATCCAGCCCAGCGCACACGCGCAACGGAACTGCGCCAGAAGCTTAATGAGCAGTGGGAACTACGTGACATGGGAGAAGCAGCGTGGTTTCTTGGAATCCGAGTTGTTCGAGATCGGCAGGAGAAAGCACTCTGGCTCTGTCAGGACTCTTATATCTCTTCTATGGCAAGCCGGTACCATCTCACAAATGGCCGCAAAGTTGACACCCCACTGCCCTCAGCACTGGCACTGAAGCCATATGAAGGAGAAGCAACTCGACAGCAGATCCATGAGTATCAGCAGAAAGTTGGATCAACGCAATATGCTACCACAATCACCAGACCAGATGCAGCAAAAGCAACCTCTGCGCTTGCACAATTCCTCACAAATCCAGGACCTGAGCACCTTGACGCCATCAACAGGGTCATTACCTATCTATATCACACGCGTTCTCTTGCTTTGACGTATCGCTCACGTCCACATGGAGACATTGAAGCAGTATCCTTCTTCAGCGATGCATCATTTGCGGATAACAGAGATAGGAAGAGCTCAGAAGGATATATCTGCAAGATGTTTGGTGGAGCAGTTGATTGGCGTGCCAGCAAGCAACGTACGGTTACCACTAGCACCACGGAAGCAGAGCTGCTAGCGATTTCGGAAGCCGCGAAGACCATGGAAATGTGGAAGCGCCTATTCTTATCCATCCGCTTTGATCCTGAACACCCTTTATCGATCAATTGCGATAACCAGCAAACGATTGGTATACTCACCAGGGAAATACCTCATTTACGTACGAAGCTTCGTCATGTCGACATACACCATCACTGGCTTCGACAGGAGGTTCAAACTGGCCGGATACATGTTGAATGGGTGGAAACAAAGGATATGGCCGCGGACGGCCTAACAAAGCAGCTCCCACGACAGAAACACACCGAGTTCCTGCAACAACTGAGAATGGAGGATATCCACACTTTGTTGGAATAACCTCAGCAATGAGAGCGGATGCTGGGGGGGTGTGTCAACTCTGAGAGAGGTAAAATACTGTGGATTCTCCACTGCTCTTGGTTATTCAGCATCCACCCACATTGCAATAGTAATTGTATGGTAATTCGGGTCATTCTCGGAAGAACTGTGATGTAATACGCAGTTTATAGCCCCTGGATCATTTTCAACAGATCGGAACACACAGACACACTCTCGTTAATCCATCTCATGCATCAATTGGCCGTCCCTCGATACTAGATGATACACGTATCCGACATCCTGACAGACCCCTTCCCCTAACCGGCCCCACGTAATTTTTACCAAAATTACTGGACCCTTGCTTGCGAGGGTCCGACACCCAAACAAAAAACGACCCCCACAATATAAATCTCTTCAAAATGCTACACTTCCACTTCAGCATCCTCCCACGCCACCAATATGCCTCATACAAACAAGGAAATTGAGGAACTGATTGAAAAAGCGCTGGAAAAACTACATACCCAATCTCGGCCAAATATCTCAAAAGTTGCGCGTGAATTTGATGTGCCTTATCAACGGCTCCGTAGCCGCTATCGGGGCAAAAAATCACTATTTGAACGTGAACCTAATGGTCGGAAGCTTGATCCTGCCCAAGAGAAAGCTTTATGTGGCTGGATAGACTATAATGATAGTCTAGGATTACCAGTTAAGCGTACACAAATTGTGGCAGCTGCAACTTCAATTTTGAAACTCGCAAACCCATCCTCACCACCACTGAGTGAAAAATGGCTCAAACGCTTCCTACAACGACATCCTAAATACAATATCCGACGTCCAAAAAGCCTTGATATTGAACGTCTTCATGACAAATCATTGATTCAGGAGTGGTTTCAAAGGTTTCAAAATGCATTTGATCTATATGGTATTCAACCTGAAGATCTATATAATTTTGATGAAACAGGCTTCCAAATTGGTATTGGAAAAGACCAATGGATCATTACACGTGAACCTAGGCGAAAAATTGTTTCTGGCAACCATACAAATCGTGAATATGTGACTGTGGTTGAAGCAATCTCAACAGATGGGTTTTGTGTTCCACCATTGATTATTCTTGCTGCTGCACAGCTCCAATTTCGCTGGTTTGATGATCTGAAGAATGAGGAGCATATTGCTACCACTGAGTCTGGCTATATAAATGATCAACTTGCTTATCAGTGGATTCAGCATTTTGAAAAGGCAACAAGAGCACGCATGAAAGGTTCCTGGAGGATGCTCATATGTGATGGCTTTGGCTCACATTTGACATATGAGATGGTCAAATATTGTGAAGATAAAAAGATTTTGCTTTTCTTCTTACCTCCACATACAAGCCATCTTCTACAACCTCTTGATGTTGGTGTTTTTAATGTGTATAAACACCATCACAGCGAGGCCATTGAATCAGCAACCGCAACTGGTTGTACAAAGTTTTCAAAGATTGATTTTTTGGCTGCAACTTCATCAATTCGCACCAAAACTTTTACATTACGCACAATTCATCTTGGATTCAAATTATCCGGCATCTGGCCAATAAATCCTAATATTGTGTGTGATAATCTGGTGGATTATAATCATCCTGAAGTGCCAGAATTCCTCTCAACCAATTCATCCAATTCAACAAATATCAGCACACCCAAAACAATTCAACGATTTCAGAGACTTGAGAGCAGGCTTTTGACGTTAAACAAGGATATTTCTCATTATGAAAATATTGTCAAAAAGCTCTCAAAGGGGGCACAATCATGTGCATATCAGCTAGAGGAGGCACACCGAGAGATTGAGACATCAAAAGCTGCAACTGCTGCACGCAATGCACGTTATGGTGTATCAAGAACAGGTTTTCGATCAAGAGGCATTATTTCTTCAGCGAATGTGGCGAAATGAAGCGGGATAAACAAAAGCTGACTAATTTGGAGGCAATTGATAAACTGCGGTCCCAGTGGAAGAAGGTTATGATTGAACTAAAACGGCACTGTAGGCAGTCAGGACGCCGTTTGAAGCGCTGAAATTTTTTTTATTTATTGTTCGTCCTATGAATACACATGTTGAGACCTCAATTACTAGTAATTCTAATGTAAATGTGGGTAATTTTGGGTGTCAAAGTCGGATGCTGTGATAATTTATATTGTGGGGGTCGTTTTTTGTTTGGGTGTCGGACCCTCGCTTGCGAGGGTCCAGTAATTTTGGTAAAAATTACGTGGGGCCGGTTACTACATGGGTGCCATCCAGGCTATGTGACATAGCCGGCAGTATACGGTGGCCGGATAGCTAGTTCTAGAATACACCTTCTTACACCTCCCCGACCTAATCCCTACATTTGGATTTCTCGCTATTTCCTGATTGCTACGCGTGAGTTTTATGTTGGTTTTTCTGCTGGATCGACCCGCACATCTCAGCGCGTGCTGCCATCGAGCGTCTCCCTCTACACTAGGTAGTTGACGTGGGCAATTTCAAATAGGCGAAAAGGCCCCTGGTCACGCAGGTGCCTCGGTAGCACCAATGACTATAGTGTAGACAACGTAAATGATTCCGCAGGAACGAGGCAGATAAAATCATCGTATTCTCGATCTATATACATACAACAAAGATGCTGGATGACACTCAAGGCAATGGTACGCTCCAGCATTCAACTTGCCCGACAGTCCGTTCCTCATTTACAGATGGCTGTCCAAGAATGTAAAGATTTTGTAGCCCTTCGTACTTGCCGCTGACTTGGATAATCAAACGGGTGTTCTGGGTGGCCGTAGAGCCGATTCCCATTTCCTATGGTTTTGTCAGACTCGGCCGAAATATTATTCGGATATAACTAATGATTACCTCAATGTAGAATGGAGATCCATCGTCCGCATGCCCGTAGGCGTAGATGTAAGGGATCTGCGTGGTGGTTCCATTGTTTGTGACAACCACCGGAGCAGCTACTCCTCCGTCAATAGTGGCGTTGAACCCGGGCCCGTAGATGATGCCACCAGTGATAGGTTCGACAATCCGTTTGCCACCTTCCAGCAGTGGAATAGGGGCAAGCGCCTTGCCCAGGTTCACGGTTGCGCTGAAGAGATAGGCGGATGTGAGTGGGCCAACGCCGGCGTCCGAAGTCGAGGTTGAAAGGGTCATCTTGGTTGGGTTTCTTTATTATGTTGGGCTTGGCAACGTCAGACAAGTGACATGGTAGTCAGCTCCCTTACATTTCTCTATGTATTCGAAATCTACGGATTCGACTGTCCCCATTAGGCCTACAGATTCGGAAGAGCAACAAACGACCCGACAACTACTCTCGGAGATATTCGGAGTTATGATGCGTGGAGGCGTGTCGGAAGAGTGGAGCCCATTTCGGATGGTGCTCCGACTCTCCGATGACGGCCCCCACTCCGATGGCCTGCATCCGGCTTCGCGGCTTCCCGCATTGGGAATCCGAAGTATAAAGGTACTCCGAATATATTCCCCGAAGATCATTTATGTTCAGATTTGTCGTATAGGCGGCCAGCAGATCAAGTGCTATCAGAGATACCCCGCTGCAGGAGCGCGCCGCATCCGATTCCTCCTTCTCTTTCTCCCACTCCTCTCACTTCCTGTTGCTTCCTGTTTCTTCCCCTCAAATTCATGCCTCCTTCACTTCGCCTACCCCAACGTCGACCGGTCCCACCATTGACCTTCTCTTCAAGGAGCACTACCTCCGGTTTAACTTTGAGGCCTTTAAGTTCGGCATCTCGACATTTGGGCTCTTCACCAACTCTTCTTAAATCTGAATCCAAGTGCATTCGACCAACCCCACGCCAACAGCCGGCTGCCACTCTGTCTACTATGGAGGCTACACACGGCCACAACAAGGCCTGCTGCAACATTCCACCCGTTGTCTCTTCCGACTATGTTGCCAAGGGCTCGTACAGCCAGCTCGGAGGAATGAAGACCTGTCAGTCTCACTCTGGATTCGCTTTCATATGTTATTTCCTTGTTAACTGGTCTTGAAGACGCGACCGGGCCCGAGAACGAGAAAAAGGGAATCGTCGTCATTTCCGATATCTTTGGTTATTCCGATCAGGCCCTTCAGGGTGCGGATATTCTGGCGACCAGTCAGCATCACCAGTACAAAGTTTTCATTCCGGACTGGTTTGACGGTAGCCCTTGTCCCTCGGAATGGTGAGACATCACGCGTCGCTGTTTATATAAGCACTTACTAACAAATCTTGAAAGGTTTCCTCCTGATACCGAGCAGAAGCAAAAGAATCTGGGCGAGTGGTTTGGCAACCACATGCCGCAAGGCCCCGCCACTGCTTTGCCGGAGTATGTTGCGGCCCTCAATGCCGCGTACCCATCCATTACGTCGTGGGGTCTTGTCGGGGTAAGTGACTCGAGAAAATGAGTCTGTCGCCTTTTATACGTATTCTAATCGATTAAATAGTTCTGTTGGGGAGGTAAAGTCGCCGAAATTATCACATCCGTCGAGGAAAACCCTTTCAAGGTTGCTGCTACTTGCCATCCGGCTATGATCGACCCCTCTGGAGCTGAGAATATTTCTATTCCTTTCATGCTTCTGGCCGCTGGTGAAGACCCTGCTGAGGATGTCAAGAAATTTGAAACTCAACTGAATGTGCCCCATCATGTCGAGATTTTCGCGGACCAGGTCCATGGTTGGATGGCGGCTCGAGCTGACTTGTCTGACTCTCACATTCGTGAGGAGTATGCTCGGGGATACAAGACCGTTCTTGATTTCTTTGAAAAGCACTGGGAATAAAGAATTTTCCAGTAACTTGATTTTTCTCAGAGCTTCAGCACAGAATAGCTAGATAAATCCAACCCACTCCTCTCTATCACGTGAATCTTTTGAAATTCTTGTAGAATAGAAGTCTTTCTACTCTGTTAGCTCTCTTTAAGTGACCAATGCGGAGGCAGAGGGAAGACCTTGGCGGGTGATAACTAAGGGTAGCACAATCCTCATCGACATAAGGACGCCAAGCTCCGAAAGTTTGAATAATGTGGGAGCCCACTCTCGTTGTTGCCTGAGGCGGAACGCCCCCTTGCTTTGGATCTGTTTCGTGCACACCGGACCTGGCTCTGTGTTTATCGCCTCTCGTTTTAAGGACTGTCCGTTTAAACTCTCACCACGAGACATAAAAAGGTTGAAAACGTTATTCATTGATACGACATCTCTGCCAACTACACTAGGCCCAATCGGTGTTGAATCATGAGCCACATGTAAGCGATTCCAATCTTACACACCTCCCACACCAGCCCCAGGCCCGTCAGCCCAATCATGCGGTTGAGTAACAGAAACCTCCTCGAGTACAGTCTAGCCTCGCGATCTCTCTCTTCCTGAGTTATCTCACCATGCCATACTCTATTCATCTGAAGGCAATGTCGCGCCGCCTGCTCGGACGCCATTCCTAAATGGGATCGGAAGCCAGTATAAGCATCGCCGACAAGTATCAGTCGATCGTCGTAGAAGCTCGCAGCAGCAGCCTCCGCTTCCCCGACCTTTGTGACGAATGGCCGAGGTGTCTTGGTCACAATCTCTGCAAGAGGCGCTGTCATCTGCGATATATATCGAGCGATCTGTCCAGACCAAATTTCCGGCTTGATCTTTCCATGTGGTACCGTGTTGGGGTGAAGGTTTCCATTGACGTCTCTGAAAATGGAATCCATTTCCGCGGAGTTTTCTGGGACAACGAAATACCAGACCCAGTTCACAAGACGTTTTCCAGGCTCAACGTTGCCCGCTTCGGTTGGGATGAGATAGCTGTCCGGGATTAGAGGTGAGAATGTGGGTTTGCAAAGTGATCGCAAATACCTGATAAAGTATGTACCCTTCAACATAGAAAAGTTGAGCCGATTCGAGAAATATTCCACCGTCTCCTTCGACAAAAGACGCTCAGGAACAGTCCCGCGCCACGCGATATACCCGGCGTAGTCCCTTCGTGTTGGAACATGCATGATCTTTCGAATTGTTGAGTGGACACCGTCAGCAGCAATAACAATGCTCGCGCTGACAGTGCCACGCTCCCCAGTCACGGAATCGACGTAGTTGACGATCATAATATCCTTCTCAGAGTTATAGCTTACTCCTGTCGCCTTCTTGCCTGCGTGATATTCCACGGCCCCATCCGTGGGTCTCGGAGCTGGTGGCTCTGGCACAGTCTCAGATGCCATCCCGTCAAAGTTGGCTCGGAGAATCAAGTACAGACAACCCCAGTTGCTCATGTTGTGTTTCCAGGTAACACTGGCAACACGAAGTCGCTGGCGCCATGCTACACTGAGATAGCGCGCGGGAATTGCTGCTGGTCTACCGGTCGCATCGTACTGTTGAAGAAGTTTGACAACGGTAGGTCCTATCGAGACGCCTGACTCATGACTATGACGATCACTCGAGGGGTCTTGCTCGAGTACAATCACGTTGGCACCTTGGCGTTTCAATTGAAGGCCCTGGAGTAGGCCAGCAACAGAGCCACCGATCTGAGTTGTGTTAGAAAAACGCGGGAAGGTTTCAGTGAATGTGGAAGACACTTGCGATGATGGCGGACTTGGGGACTGGCATGATGCGTGATCGGATTTACTTTTGTGTTCCATTTCTCACAAGAAGGCCTTCTAGAGTGTCTAATGTATATTTCTTGCACTTCAATCCTGCCTCATTTCCGACTGTTCAAAATATTTCAATTTCCCGACCAGGACATTCCTCTGACAATATTCACAGATGTTTACGGATGCCGATCCTAAGATAGGTACTGACAGTAGTACCTGAAAAGTTCTGGTAGTACCGAATTGCAGCTGCATATTCCTGATTAGGCACCGAATCCGAAGTAAGATACCGCACAAGGATTCCGAACTTTGGGGAACCTCGGAACTTGGCTGTCCAAATTTGGAATAGCAACAAATTATCTCCTGAAGACACGCTATCCATGAAGTGAGGAAAGCAAGTCCGACCATAATCCACTTTGACATGTAACAGTGGAGCATGTAGGATCAATAGACTTCTATTGTTTCTGGTGGAGTATCTTCCGAGGCATTTGGGACAGAGAGTTCAAAGATGTAGCTCTCAATTGAATAGATTCTAAAACGCAGTTCTTTTTGCGACTCATTTGTTGAAAAGTTGTCTATTGTGCTTGGTATATTCAACCAGCTATTTGCTCGGTGCCAGTAGCCCGTCTAGTAGATCGTCCACATCTTCCACCTTGGCGCGCAGGTTTCGTTCCTGCTCCCTGAGCTTCTTTTGTAACCTCCCATTCATTAACGGAGCCAAGACCCCTCCTTCCTCGAAGAGAGGAACGCTTTCTGTTGCCGACCCATCGGCGTCTTCCTGTGACTTCTCTGTATGTAAAGCTGTCCTCACAGTTGCAGGAAGTCCGAGCGCTCTCTCGGAATTGCCCAGCGAGTTAAGAAGCATAGACATAGCTTTCCTGATGCGCATCGCTGGTTCCCACCCAACGGATATTGACTGCAGCTGACCTAACCGCAAACCCCGGTATGCGTCCATATTGTATTCTATCGAATAGGAGGATGGGCCCAAGTCCCGGTTCGATAAGGCCGCCGGAAGCTGTGACAGGTGCGCATAAAGATATTTGAAGATCGTCAAGTAAATGCGCGTTAGTAATATGTAGCAAGAGAGAGAAAGCAGTCGCGTTGGCATGTCAATGTCGGATGAATTGTCGAATGTGGGGATTCTTCCGTGGTTGATCAAGATGACATGAAAGCGCTGAGAAAGGTATAACGCGTCGCCTATGGGGTAATTGTCTAGCGTGCTTTCATACAGCTTTGCTAGTTCCATTTCGTAGTGTGACAATTTGCCCAGCAGGCCGGAAAGATCGACCAAGAGACCGGGCGTTTCCTCTTCCAGAATATCCATACCCATGGCCATATTCGTATCAAAATCTAGTCCTAACTGAGGTGATGCAGTGTAGGGCGGAGAAGCGAGGATTTGTTGGACGTCGAGCAATTCAACGAGGTCTGATTGAAAACTCGGATCTGCGTGCATGTCCATCATCTCTCCTGAATCGGGTTTTTCGCACTCCTCCGCGTGACTAGGGGGTTCGTGCACATGTGCGACCGTATTTATATGGGTTTGCAGCGCTGGTTCTATAAACGTTGTGTATTCGTCGCTCCAGAGACTGTCCAAAAAGGCTTCTGATTCCAAACTCTGGCTTTTGTCGCTGGAAGTCGCTGTTTCTGGTCGGCTCTTCTCGACGATTGACGGCTCCGGTGATGATAAGCTTGACAGTGTGAATGTGTTCATTCCGGGTAAGAATTTCGTTGGTACATGGTTTTCTCTCCGTGGGTTCTGACGGTGATCCGATCGTCTCCCCGAGGCAGGGGGCTTTCCCGTTTGTAGTCGTCGACTGAAAGTGCAAGATTTAGGCTCCTTGCCCCTCAGACAGCGTTGACAAGGGGCAGAGGGGTCGGCCTGGGAGGATGGGACGCATCGTAACTTCTGGGCGCGGCATCTGTCACACGACGATCGCAATGACGTGGTCAAAGTAGAAGTGTCGTTTGGCTTGACGGAGGTAGACATGGTGCTGCCGGGTGTGAAGGATGCAAGACCAATCATGCTTCCAAAAATGTGTAGATAGTATCTTCTTTAAGCATATACCGAAAGTTGCAGAAGATAGTCTGCAAAGTATACACGGGGTCCTCCGCGACACTTGAAGCCCCCGACGCCAGGATGAAGCATTGCGCAGGTCCCCTAGGGTCGTAATCTTGGCCATGTTGAGTGCCTTGCCGAGCCTCCTCAGGGTATTCTTGGCTGGCGGGCCCCGTGCACTTCAAAATCCGATACGCAAACAACGGGAAATAATGATAGAGGATCCACCGAGCTTACCACATCGTGTAGAATTATGGTGATTTGGGGCGACTCTAACTGGCCATGTCAACACGCCACCTTAGCGCTAGGACTAGCGTCCGCGTCAAGTCCGGCTGAGCACACAACAGAGTCTTGCACGGAATGCCTGACGTGCAAAAGTAGCCCCTTGTCGCAGAACTAGCCCTGATAGGAAAATTAGCGTGGCACAATCGATCTGAAGCTGAGATCGGATTTACCCGGGTGGTAGTTGCCCTTGATAAGAGTCCACGCTCTGTACGTCGGTAGTCGTAGGAGGCCCGATGCTATGGCAATGTAGTAGTACCGAGCTCTAAATCCACCAATCAGTCCCAACAGTCAATTGTTGGCACACTACCATGCAGTGCATGACGAATGATCAGGATGGAGCTGCCAAAACCGATCTTTCAGTTCTTAACCTGCGCGCGCCGTATTCTGAGTGGCCTTAATTGGTCGATTTCATAAGCCATACCTAAGCGCTAGGACTAGCGTCCGCATTACGTCCGTCGGCGCACACAACAGACATGTGCGCGATATGATTCACTTGCAGATTACATCGTACCGTTCAGCTGGTCCTTGCTGGGAAAGCTTAGAAGCTACTAGTGATTACAATGAAGCAGACTTTCTAGAATGCCATTGTCTTAGATACAGCCATGGCCCGGCTCGTATTCCTCCAGGCCACAGATTGGAGTCGTTTCGTAGATGGCTTCTCTTCGTTTGGGATGCCTAATGCTATGCCAAGTGACACGTGGAGACTACAGTGGCCTGAACTGTCCAGCTAATGTAAATTTTCGCCTACGATTTCCTAGCATTGCTGGGATACATAGTACGTGTGGGGGCCAAATCCGAAGCACTAGGAAAATATTTCCCATGCACGGACCCACGTAATATATTCCACCACTCACATGTAGTTAGAACACTAACGTTGAGACCCCATCCGTGATACAATATTACTCTCTCAAAGACTGAAAATTGGACTTGTGAAACGCCTCTGCTTATAGTAGAGAGAGGAGAGCATTCTTGTGCAAAATTAGAGACTTGCGGTAAGGGTGAGGGGGCTTCTTGGCATTGTACTCGGGAACCGTCATCATGGCCCGGCCTGGAGCGCCACCTTCGTCCTGGCGCGTAGTCGCTCTCCATACTTATAGAAGAGAATAGGACCGGGAAGGAAAGCCAATGCAAGGAACCCGAGTAATGAGTTCCCCCATCCATAATTCAAGGTCTTATACATGCTTGGCCCGGCCAGGGGGAGAAAGGTACTGGAAATATAACGCAGCAAATTGTTGGCACCCAGTGCTGATGCGGCGGCCTCCGAGCCGAAGACATCAACCAAATACAATTGGGCGGGCATCTAGGAACAACAGGAGTTAGCCACCGACATGCATGTAAGGAGAAGGCAGAAATATCTAGTGACTTACAATCACAAAGTAGGCCCCGAATCCCATCAGGAAGGTCCCGATTATGGGCACAATCCAGTGAATCTGGTAATATGCAGTCCACCCGTAAAGGAAAAGTCCGAAAGCCACAAAAGGACTGAACCATATCATGAAGAGGAGGCGGTATTCTGGGCGTGGTTGCTGCACACCATCAGCCTTCATGCGGGCTGCCAAAACCCGAGCATTGAACATGTTGAAGATGAACATGCTGAAGAGTAGCGCCACACCAAGGCCCAAGTAGGTTAGGCCAGAAATAGCCGTGGAAAAGCCATACTGCCCCTCGAAAACGCTAGTGAACGTAGTGAACAGAAGGTACATGACGCCAAAAACCAACGCCACATAGAGGGAAATGACAAATAAGATTGGCGATCGCACAAGGAGCATGAGGGGGCGGACAAGGACTTGTAAGACAACTTGGCGTGGGGACAGGGTGATGTCCAGCTTTGAGCGCAAATCCGGGTTCCCAGTCGTGGCACGCATACGAGCGGCCTTTCGGTCCAGAAGAACTCTGGGATGTGTTTCTCGCATAAGCACGACGGATGCAATCCCGAAAGCTCCACCGAGAATGGCTAGAAGCCAGAAGGTCCAGCGCCAACCTTTCCCAGCCGCAACAAAGCCACCGATAACGGGACCAAGAACCTAACCCCACCGGCGTTAGTACGGTCTCAAACACGACCTCGATACGAACCAGATGCAGGGGACGGGAAAATAAGCAAAGACTTACAGGCCCTGCGAGTGGCCCGAGACTAAACAGAGCCATTGCCATAGCTCTCTCTTGCACTGTGGTGAGATCCGCAATGCTACCCCCGCCTAGCGCCATGGGCGTACCGCCTGCACATCCTGATATGAAACGGAAGACCATGTATTGAGCGGTGGTCTTACTCAAGGCGCCACCAATAATGAACATGACGAAAACAAAGGTCGTTCCATGATACACAGGCACCCTTCCATAGAGCTCGCTAAGTGGAGAGGTGAACATCGGCCCGATCGAGATTCCCAGGACATAGAGGGTGACTGCAAGCGTGCTAACCACAGTTGATGTGATGTGGAGGTCAGCAGCGATGCTTGTCACTCCGGGTGCACACATTGTGGGAGCCATATTCCTATACGAGAACGATACGTTAGCTTGATGTCAGCTGGATAGTGATGGAGATCGGAAGCGTACGTGATCAAGGCCAATATCGAGATGATCACAATATTAGCCCATTTGGTTCGTGTTGACCAATTACGGGGGTTCTCAGGGTCATCGTCTCCATCCCAGTCAACCAGATTAGGATCAAAAACCTTTTCTGAGGGGGCGGCAGACTCCAACTTTCCCGGAGTAGTACTTGTAGAGCTCGATGATGAAGACATTTCTGACTGTGCCGAGGAGGAGATGCTGAAGGAGACGATGGAAGTATCCTAGCCAACCATTTCCACGGCATTTTAAGTAAATTTCGGTATCAGGAGATTCCATCTGCAGGGCAGCAATGCCGCTCAATCGCCGATAAGTGAGCCCATCGTCCTCCGGTCGTCCTCCGACAAGCTCTCCGACACCTCCGATCGTCCGCGGAGTGGATCGGGTGGTAGATCTCCCGCTGGATCCCGTTGTGGGTCTGCCAGGTGGACCGTCGGAGGGTCGGAGCATTGAGTCACGTGATGTGAAGCATGGGGCCACGAGTGCTGAGTCAGAGCCCCACTGATCCTCCGGCGCGTATCCTCCGCGATAGCCCTGTAGCTTCACAGGTGTCTTTGTTCCTCCCATAGTTGGTCCGCCGCCACGCTCCGTGTCACCTCCAGAAGCCTCAAAATGGAGCTAGAGAGTCTTGGTCAGGATATTGAGACAACATCACAGCCGTCACAGACATCCCAGCCGTCGCAGCCGTCGCAGCTATCACATCCTCGACCGAAGCTCAGTCGACAAAGAGACAAACCACAGCTCTCGTGTAACGCCTGCCGACGTCGCAAGTATGAAAATCCTCGTCTCCATTACACTGTCTCTTAACATATTCATTTTCCTTCAGATCACGATGTGACCGCCAACAGCCATGTTCCTCTTGCTCTGCCCGTGGCCAGATATGTACCTACGTGGATAACTCAGGACTAATGGGCTCGTCGAAGCTGTCACCCGCGGGGGCACCTGGCGTACATGACCGTTTGGTGCAGTTGGAGCGTCTAGTCGTCTCGCTTATGGCCGATTCGACTAATAAAGGGCAAGCACATGTCCGTCCAGACTCTGAAGCTCCTGCGACATCAAGAATAGAAAGTGCCCCTCCTGGCGATGCCATCATGGAGGCTGTTGATGGTCACTCCGAATGCGGTAGCATGCGAATCAGCGAATCCGAATTCCACTACGTTGGAAATAATCATTGGGCGACTATCCTCGATGGAATCGCGGATCTGAAAGACCATCTCGATCGCGATGAGCAGTTCCGCCTCGCAAATACACCATCAGATCTCGACTTTGATGAGCATGGTAACGGCCTGGCTCGCCCTCGATCTGGATATGCACTCCTTCTGTATGGAGGTCGTCGTTTAGGCTCAAAAGAAGAGATTCTCGCGGCGTTGCCGCCAAGAGCCGCTGTCGATCGCTATGTTTCTCGCTATTTCAATTACTTAGACCTGGTTTCTTCTTGTATGTGTCATATCCTTTTGGTAAAATGCGTGTGCCAATACTGATTCTGATATAGCGGCCGTGCACGGACCGAGCTTTCTACGTGAGGCAAGTTTGTCAGGCCACATCTCTCAAGTCCTTCTGCTAACTGTTACAGTACGAGGCATTTTGGAAGAATCAATCAAGTGCGCCTGTAATGTGGATCGGTCTCCTCTTCAGCATGATTTGTCTCGCTTGCCTGACCTCCGATGTGCTGTCTGAACCCAATCCTGAGGATCTATCACTCCAGATTGACCTTTATCGTGAAAAAATTGTGCAATGTTTGACGTTGGGGGAATATACCAGAGCTGGACCATATGTTTTGGAGACAGTCATCAACTATACATATGCAGAGTTCTGCATTCGAACCGATGCCGACAAGGATATCTGGTTTCTATTGGCTCTGGAGGTGAACTTGGCCATGCGGATGGGTTACCATCGCGATCCAAGTCACTTCCCTGGCATATCGCCCTTTCAAGGTGAAATGCGCCGCAGATTATGGGCAACAGTTCTTATGGGCGACATACTCATCTCCAATCAAATGGGCATGCCGCGGATGATCTCCGACGGCAAGTGGGATACGTCGGAGCCACGCAACTTGAATGACACAGACTTTGACGAACAATCGCCCGAGTTACCTTTATCGCGCCCTCTGACAGAATACACAAACTCCCTTGGAATCATCGCCCGAAGGCGGATTCTGGCGGCACTTGGAGCCGTGATAGATCTTACCGACGCAGTCAAGCCATGTACCTATGCAGATGTGATGCGTATTGATGCTTTCATCCAGGAGGCGGCAGCCAGCATTCCCCCGCCGTTAAAGCTCAAGTCCATGGCGACGAGTATGACCGACCCTCCGCAGATCATAATGGCTCGTTTATTCCTATACCACATGATATACAAGGGACAGGTTGTGCTTCACCGCCGGTTCTTTTACCCCAAAGCAGACAATTCAGATGAGCAAGCGACGTCATATTCGCGAAAGGTCTGTTTGGAGGCTTCTCTGGGTACCCTTGAGATTCAACATATTCTTGATGAGGAAACTTGTCCCGGGGGGCAATTGTACACCATGCGATTCCGCGTCACATCCATCATGAATCATCAGTTCCTTACCGCCACGATGATTCTTTGCTCGATGCTACATCGAGGACAGACGCTGGAGCGGGAGCAGGATATTCGTGCAGCGCTTCAACGATGCAGAGCAATTTGGATGAGAAGGAGCGAGACTTCGAAAGAAGCGAAAAAGGCAGCTGAGACTGTGAGCTTCGTCCTGGCTCGGGCAGATGACGGGCGAAGTCATAATATTGCATTAACTCAAGCTATTACACATTCTGGCGGACACTTCCCACCCAGCAGTGTTCCACTTGAAAATCAAGACCCCCCAGGCTCTGGTCCAGACGAAGCAACGGCATCATCAGACTATATGAGCTTATTTGATCGTGAGCCTCTCTCCTTGATATTTTCTAGTCTTGTGTTCTTATCATACTCTAGCCGACTACTTTGTCATGACCGGTTCCCTTGGAAACTTCACTCCCCCGGGACAGCCGAGCCAGAGCTTTTCGCAGACCCAGAACTTTGACATGAATTTGAACGGCATGGAGAGACGGCCTGATGAATGGATGCTAATGCCCTGGTCTGGAACATAACACGCCTTAAACGTAGAAATCTACACTTTTTAATGAAGACAAAAATTATACTGAACATTGAATTCGTTGAATATGGGCTCACCTCGGCTTCAGTTTACCGACATCGAAATAGTGCCTCCTACCGTACCTACGAAAGAGGTCTTGGCATTCTACGTCTAGACTTCAATAAATTGATCTAACTAATATGGTCTTCTTTTTGGCGCGTCTAGAAAAGCCATTTCAGCTCCAAACTTCGGGGGTCCATATCATTTAGGGGGCTGAGTGTATTCTCGCCCCCACCGGAGACATGCAATGCTCGGCTAGATTGTGCCAGGCCCTTTTGTTGCATTCGGTCTCGTTAAGCTCTAGTTCCACCGGCTGACTGCAGGTTCCGAAAAGAAATCTAAGTCCCGATTTCTCCGGAAACTACCTAGCAAGCCACGTGCGGCAAGCAAAAATGTCTCCGAATCAGCCGTATACAATCGGTCACCCTAAAGGGGTGCGATCCTCCGATCATTCCCTGGCGGCGCCTTGCCCAGTTTATGCGTACTCGAGTCTTCATTTGGCACAAGTACTAATCGCGTACGGAGTCTGATTCCATAATGTGTCTAGTCAAAGATATCTCTTTTTAACCCTTGCTCAATACATCAAGCTACTTGGAATCTTGAACCAAAGAACCTTATAGATTCGCGAGCTCCTCCACGTTGACTTTATATATCTCCTAAGAACCAACTTCTCATCATAATCCTCACGACATCACAAATATTCAACACCTGGATCACTAAGCCTTGGAATTATGGTTGAGCCAATTGCTATCATCGGCTCGGGGTGTCGGTTTCCAGGAGGTTCGGACACTCCCAACAAGTTGTGGGAGCTGATCAAAGACCCACGTGACCTATCGAGCAAACCACCGTCCTCGCGTTTCAACATCGATCCATTCTACCACCCAGTGGGCGCCCATCATGGAACCACCAATGCCACCCAGTCCTACTGGCTGGAGGAGACAGAGCGCACCAGCATTACCAAGTTCGACGCCGGGTTTTTCAATATTCAGCCGAGCGAGGTCGACGCGATGGACCCACAGCAGCGGGTCCTCATGGAGGTCGTCTACGACAGTCTTTGTGCTGCAGGCCAGCCCATGGAGAATCTCAGGGGGTCCAACACTGCTATCTACGTAGGCATGATGTCTGATGACTGGAACACCATGGTCACCCGTGACTGGGAGACCCTGCCCCGATACACAGCCACGGGCTTGGAACGAGGCATCATGGCGAACCGTGTCTCATACTTCTTTGACTGGCACGGCCCTAGCATGACACTTGACACTGCGTGCTCCAGCAGTTTGGTTGCGTTGGATCTGGCCGTCCAGATCGTGCGCAGTGGCAAGTCTAACGTGGCCGTGGCCGCAGGAACAAATTTGATTTTGAGCCCTGGTGAGCATTGTGTAATTCCCATGCCATCGACAACAAGTTAATATTGCTAGCGATGTATATTTCGGAAAGTAATCTCGGCATGCTTTCCCCCAATGGCCGCTGCGCTATGTGGGATACCGCTGCCGATGGATACGCTCGCGGCGAGGGAGTCGCAGCCGTCATTGTGAAAACTCTCTCACAAGCACTTGCCGACAACGACCCAATCGAGTGCATCATCCGTGACGTTGCCGTTAACCAGGATGGAAAAACTCCGGGCTTGACAGTTCCCAGTAATGTGGCACAGACTGCCCTGATTCGTGACTGCTACTCCCGCGCCGGACTGGATCCTATCAACAACCTGCAAGACCGTCCCCAGTTCTTTCACGCCCACGGAACTGGCACTCAGGCTGGCGATCCTCAGGAAGCGGAGGCTATCGCCAATGCCCTCTTCCCTATCGGATCACCTGCTGCGCAGAAGGCTGGGAATTTGTTTGTTGGATCAATCAAGACAGTTATCGGCCATACAGAGAGTACAGCAGGCCTTGCCAGTGTTATCAGCACATCTCTGGCCATGCAGAATGGCGTCATCCCCCCAAACATGCACTTCAAAAATTTGAGCGATCGCGTCGCCCCATTCTTCGATCACTTGAAGATACCAACGTCTCCGACTCCCTGGGCAATCAGCAAAGGCCAGACGCGAAGGGCAAGCGTGAACAGGTGAGCTTGTAACTCCACAATGTTTATTATATACCATATTGACATGTCCTTTTTGTTTTTATTAGTTTTGGCTTCGGTGGCACAAACGCACACTGCATTCTGGAAGAATACACTGAAAGACGCGAAACAGTCAACTCCTCGACCAGTCAGATTTTCACTCCCCTTGTCTTTTCGGCCGCCTCGGAACTGGCACTGCGGCAGATGGTTTCTGATCATCTTCAGTACCTCAAAAAGCACCCAGATACTTCTTTCTTGGACTTTGCTTACACTCTACAACATCGCCGCTCCACGCTCCCATACCGGAAAGATATCATTGCTCCAACATTGGAGAATGCAATTGTTGCACTCGAAGCTTTGAATGGCGCGGACACAGAATCTGACGATATGAATGCTCGATTCAAAAGCCTCAGTGGCCCCGCAAAAGTGTTGGGAATATTTACTGGCCAGGGCGCACAATGGCCGCGAATGGGTGCTCGTCTGATTGAGTCGTCTCCTTTCGCCGCCTCGCGAATTGCCGAGTTGGATGATGCGCTTCAGAGCATCACTTCCGCTGAAGATCGACCGAGTTGGACCATTTATGACGAGCTTCTTGCATCGAAAGAAAATTCTCGGCTTGCCGAGGCAGCTCTGTCGCAGCCGCTATGCTCTGCTGTGCAGATCCTTTTGGTCGACATTCTTCGAGCAGCTGGTATAACGTTTACCGCTGTTGTTGGTCACTCGTCGGGTGAAATTGGAGCTGCTTATGCTGCCGGCTTTCTTTCCGCTGAAGATGCGATCAGGATAGCATACTTCCGGGGGGTACATGCCAAGCTAGCTGCGAGTCCCAGTCCCAATGCTCCCCGTGGTGCGATGATGGCAGTCGCTGAATCGGCAGACGAGGCCCGGAGGATTTGTGATCATGATTTCCAGGGACGCCTGCAGCTTGCAGCGATAAATTCCAGCTCCAGTGTCACTCTGAGTGGAGATGAAGATGCCATTGACGCGGCCGAAAAGCTTTTCAAGGAAAAGGGGACATTTGCTCGGAAATTGAAGGTGGACACTGCCTACCACAGTGCTCACATGGTCACTTGTGCGGAGCCCTACTACAAATCTCTCCAGAAATGCAAAATTGAGTCCTTGCCGCAATCAGCAGACACGGCACCACTGTGGTATTCGAGTGTGTATAACGGAGAAATCATGGATCAATCTCGTCTGACGAATCAATACTGGGTTGACAATATGTGCCAAACTGTTCTTTTTGCCGATGCATTGGCGGAAGCAGTCATGGTCAATGGATCTTTCGACATTGCTATCGAGGTCGGCCCCCATCCTGCTCTCAAGGGTCCAGCTACTGCTACCATCGACGGGGAGACCACCACGCCATATACCGGTTTCCTTGCTCGTGGTGAAAACGATGTTGCCGAAGTCAGCAAGGCACTTGGCTTTATCTGGAAGCAACTTGGTTCAAACAGTGTAAGGTTCTCTGCGGTGGAAAAACTGCTGTCTGCCAACGCCCAAGAGGCAACTGTCCTGAGTGACCTACCTCCGTATCCCTTCACTCACCAAACCGACTACTGGACTGACAGTCGCCTCGCAAACCACTTCAAGCACAGAAATCCGGCGCATGTGTCGAATGCAGTCCTCGGGTCTCCGTGTGCGGAGGCTACCACACCAGGAGAGTTCCAATGGAGAAACATCTTGCAACAAAGCGAAATGCCCTGGCTGAGCGGTCACGCGTTGCAGGGCCAGACTGTCTTTCCTGCGACTGGCTATGCTTCGATGGCCTTTGAAGCTATGAAAAGCATCAGCCTTGAACTGCGACCCGCTTCTGCGATCTCCCTCATGAAACTGGTCGATTTGGATATTCCTCGAGCGATCGCATTTGACGACGATGATATGACCGTGGAGACGATTTTCAGCGTGTCTTCTGTCGCTCTCTCGGACATGAGGCTGACTGCAGACTGGGCATGCTACTCCGCTGGGAGGGATGGCACAGTTCAGTTGAACGCCAAGGGAGGCGCTTTGGTGGATTTGACCCTCGCAAAGCCGGATACAATTCCTCTGGTGGGAGCAGACCTTTACAACTTGGTTCCTGTGAACGAAGTCCACTTTTATGAGAGCTTGGCTCGCGTGGGATACAATTACGCCCGCCCTTTCCGTGGCGTTTCGGACATTCGCCGCAAACCCGGATACAGCGTTGGTACGCTCTTTGACCAGTCCGACGATGATGATCTTGTTCTTCACCCTGGACTCCTTGATTCCGCCCTTCAAACCGTTTTTGCGGCCTGGGCCTACCCGGGAGATACCCAGCTTTGGTCTCTGCACGTCCCGGTATCAATTGCGAGTATCACAATAAATCCATACTTCACGTCGCTGGGCGATGGTGGCAAACAGGATACCTTGCACTTCGAGTCTTCCGTTCGCGAACAGTCGGCAGCAGGCGTCACTGGGGATGTTTATCTCTATGCAGACGATTCGAAATACGCTTTCATTCAGTTCCAAGGTGCCAAACTTGTCCCTTTCGCACCCGCCGTGCCGAAGAATGACATGCCCATGTTTTCACGTTTTGATTACCCAATTGCCATTCCCGACGGACAGCTGGCCGGAGCTGGAGAGACATTGTCCGACTACGAGGTACAATTATACAAGGACGTTGACAAAATCTCGTATTGGTTCCTCCGCAATGCGTCACTTTTGATCCCTGCCAAGGACCGCAGCGGCCTTCTGCCACATTACCAGAGATACCTGGGTTGGTGCGACCGTATCGTCAACATGGTCAGCAGCGGTAGCCACAATAAGGTGCCTGCTTCATGCAACAATGATACTCGTTCCGATATCGACGAGACTCTAGCTCGTTATACAGACCGCAAAGATGTCCGTTTTGTTCAGGTGGTCGGTGATAATTTGGTACAGACAATCCGTGACGGAAACTCAATGCTGGAGCATATGAACCAAGACGGGCTTCTCCGTGCTTTCTACGAAGAAGGCGCAATTTGCTCTGGTCCGACCGGTCGCTGGCTCGCTCGTGTTCTCGCTCAGATTTCAAAGATTCACCCGGGCCTGAATATTTTTGAAGTTGGCGCAGGTACTGGAGCCACCACTTCTGCAGTTTTGGATGCTCTTGAAGGCAGATACGCGTCGTATACGTTTACTGATATCTCGAGCGGCTTTTTCATGGCGGCCGAAGAGCGATTTGGTCAACAAGATGCTCATCGCATGACATTCAAGACATTCGACATGGAGAAGGGGCCTGACACTCAAGGATTCACCGAGCAGTCTTACGATGTGGTGGTCGCAGTGAATGTCTTACACGTTTCCGCCGACATTGAAGCATCTCTCACCAATGTTCGACGCTTACTCAAGCCGGGTGGCTTCCTTGTCACGGCCGAGCTTACCTCCACAGACCTTTTGTTCAGTGGAATGACTGTGGGCACACTGCCTGGTTGGTGGATTGGAGCTAATACCGGTCGCCCTTGGGGCCCACTGTTCACACTGGGACAGTGGGACAGCGTACTCAAAAACACAGGTTTCGCTGGAATTGACACAGTCAGTCCCGACATTAGTGCCTCTCTACCGATGAGCGTTTTCGTGGCGCAAGCGGTAGATGATCGGGTGGCACTGTTGCGCAATCCTCTCTCAGTGAAGGTGCACCCTGCTGGAATCCGAACTGATGTACTGGCAATCATCGGTGGAACAACCTGGCCGGTATACAAGCTGAGCCAAGAGATCTCAGAGTCCATGGAGCGTCGCTTCCAGTCTAAACGATTGTTCAGCACAGTGGAGGAATTTGCTAAGTCCGACTTGGCCAAAATGACCAACGGCTCCAGAGGAGTCACGATCTTGTCTCTGACCGATCTTGACCGGCCATACTTGGAGGGGTTGACACCCGACAGACTTGAAAGCCTCAAGGCGTGCACGAATGCTGGTGTCCTGATTTGGGTGACATGCGGTTCCCGCGATGATCAGCCATACAGCTCCATGATGACAGGAATTGCTCGAACCATCCGTACGGAGAGTCCTGGATTGAATATTCTGACGTATGACCTCGATCCTGCTGTACAGAATGGAATTCATTCGAGTACAGCAACAGATCTTTCTGCGACCGTTCTCCGGCAGTTGGCCCTAACCAACTGGGGCACCGATTCCTTTCTCTGGTCATTGGAGCCCGATATCTATGTTCGTAATGGACGTCACCTCGTCTCCCGCATTGTTCCCGACCACGAAAAGAATGAGAGATACAACTCCCAGCGACGAAATATTCTCACCACTGCCAGCCCATCAAATGAATTCGTCGAGTTGGTTGGCGTTGGAAACGGCGACGAGCGATCTCTCGAGCTCCGTCATGTCTCCCCCTTGGCCGTGGCCAACTCACCAGCGCCAGCGTCGCGTACTATTCGGGTCACTCACACCCTTTTGCAAAGTGTCGCTGTCGGGGCTGGAGGCCTCGTTCGCGTGTGCACTGGTGTTGATTTGGTAACTCAGGAACACGTTCTAGCCCTGACCGATTCGAGCCAGTCCCCAACGCAAGTCTTGAACGACTTATGCATCCCTGTCTCCACACCTCTGATCCCTTCCAAAATCGCGGCTGTTGGTGCTCAGCTTGTCGCTGATCGTCTCTTGTCTTTCGCCTCGCGAGGAAGCACTCTGATAATCAACGAGCCTGATTTGATCGTGCAGGCGGCAGTCCAAGCAAAAGCCTCCGCCAAAAGTGTTCAGGTGGTTTTCGTCACGTCCAATGCTACCAGGAGGCAAAACAACCAATATTTATACCTGGATCCCAGCTCGCCAGTCCATGTTGTTCAATCAATGGTACAGAATTGCTCTGTGTTTGTGCATTTCTCGCGTGGCGTGGTTTCCGATGCTGTACGTGATTCGATTGTCCAAAATATATCTCCAGCTTGTGTCGAAATCACCGAGGAGATGTTGGTGAGCCACAGGGTCGATGCACTGGCACTCCCGGATGACTTGCCAGACTTGCTTCAAGCATCATTCTGGGATGCTTCTCTTGATCATCTGTCGGTGAAATTGATTAGCCTGGCTGATGTCACCGCGCACAAGGCAATTGGTGAGCCGTTAGCAGTGGTAAACTGGACGGACTCTCAGTTTGTGCAGGCCATGGTGCAGTCAATTGACTCCCGCTCGACGTTCAGAAGCGATCGCTCCTATCTCTTCGTGGGAATGACTGGTGAACTGGGTCAATCGCTCGCGGGGTGGATGATAGCGCACGGAGCCCGCTTCGTCGTTCTCACAAGCCGCAGACCTACGGTCAACCCACGTTTTGTCGAGGATATGTATGCTCGATACGGAGCTGTCGTCAAATCGGTTCCACTGGATATCACCTCTCCGGAATCGCTTCAGTCAGTCCTTGCTTCAATGGCCGCGGCACTACCACCCATCGCTGGTGTCATCAATGGTGCCATGGTTTTGGACGATGAACTCTTCACGAACATGACACACGAGCAGTTTTCGCGGGTGACGAAGCCCAAGGTTCTTGGGACGCAACTCCTCGACGAGGCTTTCCACAGCACTGATCTCGAATTTTTCATCGTCGCCTCAAGTATCTCGTCGATCATCGGATGGAGTGGACAGAGCAACTACTCGGCTGCCAACGAGTTTATGACGTCCCTTATGAACAAACGACGCAAGCGCGGTGTGGCTGGATCGACAATGAACATTCCTGCGGTTCTCGGCATTGGATATGCTGCACACTCCGAGAGCTTCGATTTCGATTACTTCCAATCGCTCGGATATATAAACATCAGCGAACGTGATCTGCAAATTCTTTTTGCGGAGACGATTCTCACTGGACGCCCGGGCCGGACAGAGGATTCACCTTCCCAAGTTGTCATGGGCATCAACTACGTTCCCAATGATTTGCAAGTGACCGATGCTCATCGACGGGACGTGAAATTCAGTCACTTCATTCTCAAAAAAGATACCGACTCCGAAGTGCAAGCACACGAAGCAGCTGTTCGCGTACGCGTTCAGTTGCAGTCAGCTAAGGGCGCCGAAGAGGCCTACTCAGTCACTCGCGACGCATTCATTGGTTATCTTAAACGCATCCTTCGCAGAGCAGTGGATGAAACCATTGATGATTCGATGACACTAGTCGAGCAGGGTGTTGATTCTCTTGTGGCCGTTGACATTAGATCTTGGTTCCTAAAAGAGCTGGAGGCCGATGTCCCGACCCTCAAGGTCATGAGCGGCGGATCTATCTCCGAACTAGTGAAAACAGGCCTTGCAAAGATGCCAAGTCTGGGGGAGAGCGTCCCCTCAGAACCGGCGGTGCCTGCCGAGAGTCAAGCGCCGCGTCTACCTGTAACAAAGCCCCAAGAGGAACGTTCGCGACCTACTTCCGAAAACCAGACGCGGTCTTCGTCTCCTCAAACAGGAAGTCCCCTCTTCACGCCAGCGCAAGATTCATTATCCACCCTTTCTGATGATGGTGCTGCGCGGACCCCATCTCCCGCGGGGGACTATTTTGTCAAATCCGCTGTCAACTCCAAAGTCTCTGAGTGGAAGGGCCCAACGGAGGATGTAGAGATTGTGGATGTTTAGGGATACTCATGCAAGTCGGCAGACTGGTTGACGTTTTCCTCGGGGCATATTCAAGTTTGTCAAGCTCAACGTTCGGCATTTTAGTATAGATCGTCCTAGAATGAATCCCATATACTGTCCTCTCGCATGCTGTGTTCTTCAATGTAGATGAGTTGGCATTTCATCAAGGCTGTATAATGGTTGAATAAACAATCAAATCTGGTTTTATTAAAGAATTGCACTGCGAGGTAAAGAAAAACCAACGAAGGGATGGACGCTCACCGGTTGCCAGAGATCATCCACAGGTATTTCTAGGCTACGGGATACCCCGACCGCCTCTTGATAGGTATTGTGGACAGATTCACGCATTAAAATAAAGTGATCAACACTAGCACAAGGCAGCATAGCTGCGCCTTATAGATTGTCTTTGCTGCGATATGACTAAACACAAGTATAAGAAACCGACTTTTGTCGCTCCTTTAGTTAAGAATGTTTTTGTTTTCAAGCTTATGGATAGACTTCGGCAAACCCCATTTTGGGTTAGAGCTTCTGACCCAAAACCCAACCTAATAACCTTGTTGATTGATAAGAGATGCTTCGGTGTTCATATTATTGAGGGGAGTTGATTGTGTGTAAGATACAAGTACGCTGGTAAGACAGGTATACATGTATGCACGTGATCCCAGCCCCCATGATTATCTCAGTAACCGGGATATTCAACAAACCTAATAGGTTACAGTACCCATTAGGTTACCTAATCTGATAGCACCTAATTTTACATAAAATTTGGTCTTAGTGCTCATAGCTTTGCTTGCTAAGTAGAGTAAAATGCCTGTTATTTACTACTGTATGAGTTCGTCTATTAACACTGAGAATTCTCACCCATCTCACCCACACTCACCCTAAGGTGAGATCCATCGCTAGTTTAACAGTCGAGGCTTCTTAGAAATTGACCGCGCATAACATGTGGCTAGTCTACGGTTAATAGTCGGGTGGGTGTCGCCCGGGTGAGAATAGGGTGAGCGCCGCTTTAGCGTCGCGCGTGTTGAAATATCCCGGTTACTGGGATAATCATGGGGGCTGGGATCACGTGCATGCCTATATACCTGTTCACCAGTCTACTTGTATCTTACACAATCAACTCCCCTCAACAACATGAACACTGAAGCATCACTTATAAATCAACAGCGCGACCGGGGGTGGGAAGAGTGAGTGCGCAATAGACAGGGTGAGAATGGGGTGAGACCGGGTGATATGGATTTCTTTTACCATCGCCACTGCACTGACATTCTTGGCTATAACTTTGATTGGATTGTGCTTCGAAATCTGAGAACCTCAAGCCCTTGGTCTGTATATACGTATGATAGTAGTATATCGTGACTCTGAAGAGATTTGACTTGTCGCTTCGGAACTTGAAGGCAATGCGACGATCGGTATGAGTATGTAATATAAGCAAAGGTCCCTCAACCAGACAACTACCTCTAAAGCTATGTGTCACGTCCTCACTTTTTGCCAAGAAATTAGAAGTTCATCTTCTGCTCATACTCCTCCGGCGACAAAGACAGCATTTCTCTATGCTCTTCAGGGGTGAGCTTCCTTGCACTATACTGAATATTTTCTTCCACCGAAAGCATCCCAAGCTTTCTTGCAGCTTCCTGGATACCAACACTCCGATGAGTCTCAATGACGATATCTGTGGCCTCGGGGTCAATTTCTTGCGAGGGTCGGCCCAGAGAATGAAGAAGAGTAAACTGGGCTCTTGGATGAAGGCGGGCTTATCAAGAACCACTGTAAAATAATGATGGGAAATTGGGCGGAAAGAAAAGTCACGTAAACTCTGAGGCAGTACCCGAATGAACGTTCCTGAGCCCGCCCCGAATTCATGGGAGGCACCGATATCAAGTCCGTTGGGTGGCGCGGATATAAGGGATGATAAGGAAGAGCCTGGGATCCGGAACTCGAAGTAAATTGTTTTGGAGGGGAGGTGGGAAATAATGCCCGTGGTGAATGTACGTGCGGTGGTTTCTAGGAGAACGGTCTGATCATGATTGATGTCTGCTAAGAATGGCACGTAGATCACGTATTGGATGTCGGATTCCTTGTCCGCGGAGTTTGTAACTGTGACCGATTTGTTCTCGGATCTCCAGGTCAGACGAAGAATATTTGAGTCAATAGATTGGACATCTGCTGTTTGCTGTTGCTGCTCCAAAATCTGCTGAATGTCTTGGGTGGTTGGATTCTCCTCAGATGGTGTGGGTGGGGGCGGTTCATGGAGCCCATAATCATGCTGCCCATAAACATAAACTGAATAGGATTGTGTCATCAAATCCTTTATATCGAAACCAAGTATACACTGATCAACCGTGATTTTCACAGTGATATCGCGAATTTCGGGATAGACAGCAATACCCCACTCCTTAAAGGTTTAAGTTCAGTTGGAGGACGGATAAGGCGTTTGATTATAGGGAGCTCCTTCACTGCAGGTGGAAGACTCCGATCGAAACTAATCCACCAGGGACCCGTGCCATGGTTATTGTCACGGAATGCACCTTTAAGATAGCTCTTAGACGTAAGAAGGAAGCAGAATCCAGACATGAACTGATCCTTGAAGCTGGTTTGCATTGTGGGAATCAATGGGGGAAGACTTTCATCTTCTTTGCCTTCCTGCTGGTGAAGACGCTTACGATAAGCAACTTCACGACGCTGATGCTCTACACAGGCCAGACCATCCGATGGCTTGTATGAGTAGATCTCCAGAAAGGGAGGCTGGTCGAATTCAGAGAAGAAATAGTCTTATAGCTTGTTGAACTCCTCTGGCTAGATGGGAGTTTTGCTGTATACTTGGATTCGGTACGCCTCGATTTCATCTTGCTCTGGCTGATAAAATTCCCTTGTGTAGCTAGCCACCTTCCCTAGAATGACCGGGTTGCCTTGATGGTCGACATAGTCCCGTTGGATCCATCGGATCGGTTCTTCGGGTGAATCCCGTGCAATCTGCGATGTTCTCACCATGGTGTTAGCAAGATGTGAGGTCGATTGAATGGGTGAAAGATGCCAGGTGGAAGTGGGATGTGGGGCTGAAAATACGTTGGATAAGGACCCTGTCGCCAAGAAAGGAGATGATGATGATCTGCGCCGTGTTCCTACGTTCAGCCCAGTCAATCCACCAACCACCCATCGCCCCACACGGGGTCGATTTACAGTGGGGCCGAAAAAACTCGTCCATATCCACATGCTTATCAAAAACCTACAGCGACGAGAGGCAGTGGGAGAAATACAACACCGATGAGGAACGATATCGAAGGAACAGGGCATGTTGAAAAACGGCATGCCAACTGGAGCAGATGTGGAAGCAGAAGCATGAGATGGTGCGGCAATACGGGGATGGGATGTGGCCGCATGGCACGGCATGTGCTGGCATAAGCCGATTACATTCATTTTGAGCGTTCTATGACGGTTTTTGTGAGATTATCACCCGTTTTTGAATCGCGACATGCAGTGTTTTCTTTGTATTTGTTACTGTTGGGCGTGGCGTTTGGACGAGTTCTTGTTTCCGACGGAGGAAGCACCTGCATAGCCATTACGTTCTAGTTGGGCTGCATCAGGTTAATAGAACTTTGAATTGAATTGAATTGAATTGAATATCCACGTGCTTATATCACGGTCAATAGATGCAGCGCATAGGTGGACAGACCGCGATGGAGCTTGGAATGAAGTTTGCAATGTAAGCAAGCAAGGGGCAATTTTGGTTCGCCCGGATGGTATTGTCGCGTGGCGTGGAGAGGATCACGACTCTACACTGTCTGAGCTTTTGAAGCAGTTTTTAAGTGTTGGCGGACCTGTCTCGAGCTTCTTGTAACAACAATTCAATTTGTTGTAAATACAACGGTAGCTTTTGAAATCCTTGAATGTGTACTTGGAACGTTACCTGTGATGAAAAGTAATCACAAACATTGAAAACGGAGAGGAGTAAGGAAAAGTAATTCACGAAATAATAAACGGTAATAGGGAACAGGGCCTCGCGCTGTCCGTATGTTTTGAATATTTCATGGGTAGTTAAGATGCTCCGAAATGCTCATTTCCATGCTTATCAGTTAGCGGCTATTATACAATCTCTGATGTCTGCCCTGACCAACATTATTGCCGAACCTTTTCCCCGTATGCCAGCGAACAAACAATAAATTCAGTCACATCTTGCTGGTCAAACGCGAGGAGTGTCTCAATTTTTTTTCCTCCAAAGGCCTTTGTGCCCCCGTATATGGTCTGTTTAATCGTGCCTCCACTTTTCCTTTCCCCCCTGCCCTCCGTCTGCTTCGTTCTTTTCGCTGTTGCCTTATTCCGACGGGGGAAGATCTCGTGCTTCCCTAGCCACTCCTTCACTATGTTGTTTTCATGCGCAGCAAGTGAATGGCCTTGGATTTAATAAGAAAGAGAGAACTTCCTATGAATTTCACAAGTAGAAGACCAGGTAGAGTTGAATTTGAAAGAAATCGGCAATGGGCATCAGACGAGCAGAGAATAGGTGAGGAAAAGCCTCAGATCCAGAGGTTGGCATGGTCCCCGAACACCTGCGTTTTAGGGCTGGAATGAATAATATGTACATGGGCTTTTTTTGGGGGCTATGGGTTGAATAATATACAAACACGAAAAGGGAACAGAAACAGTTCAGCGCATTATTGCTCTCTGACTCCTATCCCCAATTGTGCAGCGAGCTCACTCAGAGTATCTAGGTATTCTAGTCTTTTGCTTTGCATACGGACTTGCTCCTTTCTCGCCATTGACCGTAGTAAGCGCACGATCTCTTCCAAAAGCTTCAAGTCTTGGGTCGTGTGAGGACTCTGGTTGAAGAGCAACATTGAAAGCAATCATAGCGAACGCAGACAGGAAAAAGACCATTATGAGACTAGAAAGATCTCATCCAGCCTTGCACCAAGTCAATGCAGAATGTAAACAAAACCTTATAAAATAATGTGCATGTCCGCATTGTTTTGAATGGTTTAAAGCATAGAAGTACACTTGGACTTAAGAGTTGCCGTCACCAGTTTTTTGTTCCCTTTTTTGTGTGATTATCTGGCCTAGAGGATCCCTATGGGATCCGTTCCCCCGAAAATTTGAATACGTAGCCCTATCCCTTATATAATTGTAAATTCAGATCTGCTGTTTGATGAAGCGGATCGGCGTGTGGGGACATTCCGTTCTATGCTTCATTCCTGCCGATCCCGGATATACGGAATTGGATAAATTAGAAGTACATCGGAAACGTTCCGCTTTGTCATGTGGGCTCTTATTAAACGGAGTTAACCTCCAGACTGTATCTGTCAAGTATACTCACTCATCCTATATATCACCTACAAATTCCGCTTGTTGTTAGTGTTGTGGGATGACCAACCTGGATCTCGGCGTTGATATTCCTGAGGCGCCCCCGCAATCATGTCATTGAAAGTCAGCGGTCTTAACGTACTGCACCGGCCTGTACAAGCTCCTGAAAATTCAGATCCTCAATATGATGGCCCCCAGTCTTCTACCACGATTTTACCCAAGGATTTCAGAAAGAGCCCAGATGCCGCAGCTTTTCGAACCGCTACGATCTTTACAAAGGACATCGAAATTGTTCTACGAGATGGAACAAAGATACGCGCAGATATTTTCCGCCCGCACGATTCTGCTAATTCTGTCCCGGCATTGATCGCTTGGAGCCCTTATGGGAAATCCGGCCGAGGTGAAATCTGCCTCCCTGATTTCCGATAGTATGATTCCTAATTCTCCTTGACAGGGCATTTCAACCTCAGTATAGTGCCTGAGAGGGTGGGAGTACCTGAAAAAAGGCTGTCGGGCTTTGAGAAATTTGAAGCACCAGATCCTGCGGAATGGACGGCCCGTGGATACGCTATTGTGAATGTAGATCCCCGAGGGGTTTACGACTCCGAAGGAGATATTCGGTATGTTCTCAGGGACTCCTTTTCTTTTAGAAGTACAAAAATTCTAATTACTGCAGTTGGTTGGGTTCCGCAGAAGGTCAAGATGGGTATGATGTCGTGGAAGAAATTGCCAAAATGCCGTGGTGTAACGGCAGTGTCGGGCTTGTCGGTAATTCATGGCTAGGCATGGCACAGTGGTTCATCGCAGCCGAGCGGCCGCCTCATTTGAAATGTATCGCTCCTTTAGAAGGGGCAAGCGACATGTATCGTGAGCTCTGGTGTCGTGGTGGCATACCTCAATGGCCATTCTGGGGATTCTTAGCCGAGACAATGTGTGGTTTGTGGCCCCACGCTGAACCTCATCGTGCCCCTGGCTAACAGTCTCAAGGGCGGAATCGTCGAGAAGATGTGAAGGGGATGCTCGACGAGTATCCCCTCATGAACGAGTATTGGGAGGATAAAAGAGCTAGAATCGACCGTATCAACGTTCCAGCTTATATTCTTGCAAGTTATTCCACTTTCCTGCACACCATGGGATCGTTCCGTGGATTTGAAGAGCTTGGGAATGACCAGAAGTGGTAAGAAAGCTGCCTGAATTTCTCCCCGGATGCTTGAGGCCACTCATCTAACAAATCGCTTCTAGGTTGCGAGTCCATCCTACCCAAGAGTGGTTTGACCTTTATCAAACCAGTACAAATGATGAACTCCAGATGTTCTTCGACAGATATACCAAAGGCATTCAGAATGGCTGGGAAAATACTCAAAGGGTGCGGGTTTCTCTTCTACGGTTTAACAAAGTCAGTTGCACTTAACCGTATCGGCGATATTCTACTAATCGAAGGTTAGGAACCTATCGTGAACTACCCTTTCAACACCTGGCCTATTCCCACAACCAAACACGAGGCTCTCTATCTGACTAAAGATGGTCTTTTGTCGAAAAAGCCACCATTACAAACCGAAACGTTGTCGTATCAGTCAGACGTCAGAAGCTTCCAGATTGATTCTGATAGCGAAGAACTTCAATTTGAGTACACTTTTGCTCGGAAGACCTGCCTTCTGGGCTGCTCGCGCGCTTTGCTTCAAATGTCTTGCCCGGACTACGATGACATGGATGTTTTCGTTCAACTGCGCAAAGCGGACAAGGATGGTCACATGTTGCAAAACATCAACATTCCTTTTCAAGATCTAGGAAAAAGTGCCGACGAAATTGAAAACGTCAATCCTCTCAAATACCTTGGTCCAACCGGGGCTCTTCGTGGGAGTCACCGTGCCATTGATCCAAGGTTGTCAACGCCTCTTTGGACCGAGCATGATTATACTTCCCGAGAACCTGTGAAGCGAGGGGAGATAATTACGATGGACATCGGTATATGGCAAACAGGTATAGTCTTTGACGTCGGAGAAAGACTGGTTCTTAAGGTTTCGGGCCATAACATGACCCTGGCTGAGTTCACTGCGCTACGAGGGCAGTTGACTGCTGCGAATGTGGGCAGGCACGTACTTCATGTCGGGGGAATGTATCAAAGTCGCTTAGTGATTCCATTGGTGGAAATTGATCAACGGTAGTACGTGATGTCCGCCCACGCCAGGCTGATTAGGTGGGTATGCATGCCCAGGTATCGAAGACTTTATGTTGTATAGAACAATGTAGTATGCGGTTGATTTTCTGTTTGTACCGCGGGCAATTTAGTCACATCGTGCTGCGTGATTGCCTCGATGGAAAAAAAATTGATTACCAATGTGCTTTTGCAATCCTATGTACCTTTGCATTTGGATACATGCAGATTTCAGTCTGGAAGATCGTCATTCTGTCCACATTGGAACTAGTCTAGGTATTGTTAAAAGAAAATTGAGTAATCCTGCAAGGAATGGGAATCGAGGCATGTTTTTTTAAAAGAGATCTGAGATAAGTTTTTCAATGAATTTTTCTAACCACATGCTTTCATATCTCTAACGCCTCTCCGGACTCCCATCTCCAAAAAAAATAACTGGCAAATAACTTTGTTCGAGAAGGAAGTGTGAATGTTCACTGCCATTTAACAAAAGTGACTTGCCGACATTCCACCCTACTTCCGTCCTAAGGCTTGCGAAGCGGGTCTGGTCTATCTCACTTGGTGTAACAGATGGGTCCACCGTCAGGGGGATAGTAGATTGGAATACAGTCGTCCACGCCATCGAACATCCATCCGAGTTGACAAGGGACACTTAAGAGCAGTGGAGGTTCTTGTGGTCCCAGAAAAATCCAACTTTGCAGTCGCTCTTGACACACTGGCGGCCCTCCCGGTGCTCATCCGGCTTGCAATCCTGTATCGCTTCACATTCATTTCCGTTCCAAAAGGGTTTGGGGTCCTTTAGTGTTCCAGAGGAATCAACCGAGATCACCTGGCCAGGACAACTGTAGAGTAGCTTGCACCAAAAAGAGTAAACAGCTTGGAATACGAGGCCACAATATAGTTGACCTTGTCACCTGTATGGAGTCAGCGCTGTTGTAGAGCTCTCGCATTGGATCTATGATGACTCACAGCTTTCGACGATGGATACATTTCCCTTGAACACGCCTTGAACAGGAGAGAATAGACTGAGTCAATTGAATAGCTTTGGTACGAGTTTCCATCTGTGATGTAAAGATGTCATTGTTCTGTAGAATTGTAAGTACATCTTTGTATTCGAAGACGTCCACGGGGCGGTCGTCGTTCCGTGTTGACTCACATCTGTAGCAATCCACTTCGAACTGGAAAGTCCTAGAGTTCCGTTGTAAATGGCGCTCAGCTAAGAAGACACATCGTCAAACTCGAGCCCATACAGGGAATGTTCCCTGTATGATCCCGAGTATAACTGATGAAATTGACCTAGAGCGGGTGAAGACAAAAGGACGTCAGCAATCCACCACTGAAAATCATCCTGTATTAAAAATGCTTGATTCAAGCCCCTTAGCAGATTCTGGAGACTCCTGAAGCCTTATGAATGAATGCCTTTGAAGGCACCGGGTGTCAATCGAAGTGTGTCAGACAGGCATATGTGTATGGGGTGTCCATACGTAATGGGCTGACGTTTGTGGTCCCTTGATGCTCACGCAATAAAGCTTATCATTGCTTAACTTGGTCCGTTAAGCGTAATTTGCTTTACGTGAAGCATAAATATCCGCCGCTTTTCACATGGCAGCTTGTTGTCTCTGAAGGGCTGAGACTCAAAATGTGACTGGAATGCGTCGTATACGCCACTTTCGGTAGTTGTGGTGCCTTTCAATTGCTGGAGTTGAAAATTGAATGGCAATAAAATTGAATGGCAATAATATTCTTGCTGTATAATCAATGAGTGTAAAGACAGCAATTAAGTAGGCATAACATGACACATTTATCCATAAGCGAGTTCTATCATCGTTCATTCTACTCTATTCCATTATGTCATCGAATCCTGACGTCAAAAGCACCTTCGTGGCTGCCGATGGTCGAGTAAATTCAAGGGAGCTCACATCCATTCGTCCAGTCGCAACTCTACCCAGCGTCTCGGAAAACTGCGATGCATCTAAGGGGTAGGCTGGGGAGCCTGAACAAAGTCGGCCACGGGCGGGTTGGCAAGGACATCATCAGTGTAGGAGGGGTAAATGATAAGACCATCCTTGACAACGGACATTTGCGTCCACGCCGGATCCGCATCTCCAACGTAGTTGCTGGTGACAGTGTAGGCGCCACACTGGGTAGGGCCACCGCTGGCGTCGGGGCCGTTCACGATGTAGGTGCAGTCAGTAGTCTCAGAACCATCGAAAATGCCAAAGGTCCAGGTGCACGAGGAGTTGTCTTCAGTGCACTCACGCGCAAGACCCTGGATACTCCAGTCGGAGGATCTCGTGACACTGGCAGAGAGAGTAGGGGCGGCGAGGACTGCCGAGGCGGCTAAGAGGGTGGCCAGGATAGTCTGAGTAGCGTACATTGTTGCGGTTGATTTGGTTGATTTTGAACAAACGGTGAGATGTTCGGTATTTTGTTTTGGGGTGGATGATGATCTGGTTTGTTGACGACGTTGATGGATAACCTCATTTTTTTTTTGCGGGAGCATCGACGGTATTTAAGTCTTGAGAATGCATCCATGGTCTTGTGCTGATTGAAGTGTTCAGTGCCGGAACAGGGCAGGAGTGCTCGTTCGTAGCTCTATCCATATGCGTTCGCTTGTGGAATGTGGGGAACGATAGTAAGGCATCAAGAACGCATCCAATCGGAAGGAGACTGCTGCGGCTTCCTGGGCCGCCCTATGGTGGGCCTGACGTCTGTTCGCAGCCGCAAGACATTTGGCGGACCGAAGCCAGCCCTGCTCAGGGACGCCTAAAGTAGGTCATCCATGCTTTGTTTTCGTTTTCCAACTCATATGGGCTTCAACCCAGTCGGCGAGACTGAATACCCCCGACCGGAGCTTTTGGAGAGTTGTCTGATCATGGGAAAGAATATGGAGCATTGATTGATCATTGCTGAGCGCAAAAGGCCAGTCCCTTATTCCCACCCCCTGGACTACGTCGTAGAATCATGCAGGGCGTTTCTAGGTTATAATTATGGCGTCGGGCTGTAGCTGGAGACCTTAAACTCGGATTGCCGGCAACGCCCCAAATTCCCGCACTTGGTTCAGGCGAGCCAGGGCCAAGCGGTTGCCAACAAGGTCGATATGTATGATGCGTTGTCTCGTGAGATCAATGCGCGGATCTCCCGAGGATGGGGCAGTAATGGTTCTGTGTTCTGGACTTGAATCCAAAATAATTCTCTGCCGGAATGCTGCGTTTGGCGCCATGCAGCAAGCGACACCGCCTGCCTGGGCCCGATGAATCGAGAGTGCGAAGAACAACAGGCTGTGCAAGCCGGATGGGCGGGATTATTCGACTTCAAGGACTCTATGGAAGTGGCCTCGGGAGGACGGTACTAGCGCAAGTATTCGCGTGCCAGGTAACTCGGAAAATGTCAGCCTTCAAAGCAAAGAGATTGGGTGCCATCGGGGTCCCTCAGCCTGCGGCTCACCATCTTTTGAGGAATTATAGCTGGCTGCTGCGTTGGAGGGGTAAATGAGGGGTGGACAAGGTAAACATTCCAAGCGACTGGGAGATTTGAAGAGCCCAGTCGCTTTTACATAAGAACTTCGACAATCTCGTGCTGAAACAGAAAGCAAGGCAGAGGAGCAAGATCGCGATCGTAATAGTCGGTTCTAGGCATGCGATGTAAAGCCCAGTGCGTGCAAACAGAGAGCAGAACTCCTACGACCACAGGTTCGAATCGAATGATCCATACATGAAAATTTATCTACTCGGTATTGTCATTATACTCGAAGACTTTTGTCAGTCAAGTTCACACGATATCCAATCATTAACCGACGGCGTCGTGGGAGATGTTCGTCGCCCGACCGAGGATATTTCTAGGCGATTGGCGGGACGCGCCTGTTACTTGCACTTAGCCGCTCTCCTTACCAAACCCCAAACTCCTGTTCCCCTAGAATATCTTTTGCCGCAGGATTTGCATTCCGATAGCCGGTTCTTACTTGCTGACAAGCTCTCGATTCCCATATTAGGATTTCTCCTTTGACCAGCCGGCGCCAAATTTGTTTCACCTCTATAGCATTAGGGGCCGATGAAAATAGTCAACATCCAAACCCTACCCGATGCAAGTCTTCGAGGTATCCTACACTCTCTGGCCAGCGCTACGCCAGTGGAGGAATTGAGACCGATGTTACCGTGGTGTATTTAAGATACACAACGCTTGGATGAATTTGATTTGTAGAAGTAAATATCCTGCTAAATCCTGCATAATTTCGGATCTTTCGAACTCGTGGCCGAGCCCATTCCATTCACCAGCCGCGAATGAGACACGAATACGGCGATCCTTATGAGAAACGACCATCGTCCTACACAATTCGTGCAAAAGCCGATTACGATGTGTATAAGAGGCCCTCGGAGGGTCACGCGCATCTTTCAGCCGAAATGCGCCGTTGCGAAAACACCGCGGTGGGAAAGGCAACCTACCCTGAAGACTCTCATTATGATCAGCTTTTGCATAGAACTGAGGTTGCAGAATTCGGCCGTCAAACGGCAAAATCTGTGAGGCAGCCTCTGCAGGAAATGTTTATTAGCCTCAGCTAATTCGACTTGACAAGGCTGCGCAATCCCGTACGGGATTCGATCAGAAGTACCCACAGGGTTATGGGACTAGTGACGCGATCCAAGGCCACACTATTCAAGCTAGGGACCAGCGCTGGTCTGACAAATTCTGCCGAGAAGGCGAAGGCGCATCAAGTCAGAAGCTAGTTGCTTGGGGAAAGCCAAATCAGCGTCAACGCGGCGGAGATTAGACGTGGACCCTTAAAGGGCACTTCTGAACTCAGTGGAATGTTAAAATCACCATCTAACGAGATTTCCCAAATAATGGATGTCTGCTTTAACACCAATTCCATATACGTTTCCTGTCAATTATTTATGTTTTCGGTCAATCTTTTTCCTTTTCCTTTTTTGCTCGTTCCTGCTGAATTTTGTTCTGACTCGGACTTTGCATTGCCTTTTCCAAGTCCTGTAGAACCACTTTCGTACGCATTTTCTGGTTTAATTCATTTGTTCATAGTCTTATTTCATTCTTCCTATCTGAGATATTTTCATATTTATGGATTCTTAGTGGTATTCAATTTCTAACCACTCTCATCCTTTTTGAATATCGAATCAACCTTCCGCTATTTTCCAACCCTATCAACATAGTTTGAAACCCTGTGGCATGTCAGACTAATTCCATTTTGATTTTTGGAGTTGCCTACTCTATCAAATTCCCATCTGGGTCTCTCACGTAGACACTTCGAATCTTTCCAACCGCCCCGGTGCGATCGACGACCTGGGCACCTTCAAGGACCTATGGAAACTAGCTTAGCACGTTTACTCGTCGGAATCCTCCGTCGACTCACCTCGATTTTGGCATCCTGGAAGGCTTGGTGAACCTTATCCACATTCTCGTCTGTCAAGAAGCACAAATCGGCGCTGCCGGGCTTGACATTCTGCGCCTTGGGTTCGAATTCTTTCCCAGAAAGATGAAGATTGATCTTCTGAGTGCCAAAGAGAAGGGCGTGCCTGTTCATTCAGTCATTAAGCCCCCTTCGGAAGTGTGGGTGGGATGTCCTCACCTCTCTACCGAGGGATCCTTCGGTGATATAAAGACTTCATGCCGCATCCCTAGATGGGTCGTGTAGAAGTCCACTGTCTCTGGAATGGATCGGACTGTGAGAACCAAGTGGTCCAGCGACCGGACTGCAAATTTTCCAGTCATATCCTGACGATGCTGATGAGAGGTGGCGTCGAATTTCAGGATGGGAAGTAGGTATGTAGGCGAGTTACCGGCTATTTCACAGCCTCGGGAACGGGCCGGTCGGCGCCGATGCGTGGATCCCGAGGTGTGCACCTCAGCCCTACCAATCGTAGTACATGCCGCCATAACCATTTGTCTGGGGGTAGTAGTGTATTTCGGATCAAATTATACATTAGTCCCATCGAGAACGGTTCAAATCGCGACAAAATTGGAAAACCCAGACCTGGTCGTCACTGGAGACGAAGTTCCAGTCGATGTGGTTGCTGATCGCCTGTGCCATCTTGCTACAAACACGTCTGGTTGCATCCACGCCGTTAGCGGAGTTAAATCGCGACTACAACTTCAGGCCTGGCGGCAAACGGTAGACAAAATCCGTCGGATTCCCCTAGGAGCCTACAGCCTCGGTGGGTCAAGGCAGACTGGAAATCGACCAACCAGCATGCGATATCTCGGCTATATGCAATCCTTGGAACTTCATTTGCGGTCGGCGACGAAAAAACCATCGCTATGTGCGAGAAACTGTCCAAAGATGAGCAAGTGGGATTGCGGCTATTCACCAGATCAACACAAACCAGAATCTTCTCACTCAAGCAGAAGCCATTCGCTATGCCATGGATCAATTTGCCTGCAAAAGTAAGGTGGCATGGTTGATGGCAGGACTTGTTTATTCTGATTTTGGTAAGTCTGGAGACGGGACGTGTGTTCACCTACAATTTCAGCAACGAAGCGAAAAATGGTGCGAAAAGATCGAATTAAGAGGAAAAAGAGAAGCGTCCGGGGTGTTGAGGGAAAAATGAAGAATCTCCAGGACTTATCACAAGATCTATGCCATGTATCTTTATCCCGCCGTTACGCTCCTTTTGTTTCCTGGGTCGAGGGTTATCTCTGAGGCCTCTCATATACAGACCTCCAACCTGGAAATGTTATCCCTGACCTTCCATACTTCGTAGCAGGCCATACCAGATCGGTTCGAAGCTAGTCACATGACCCTCAATCCGTCGCTGACTAAACCGCCAAGAAAGTTGAAGCCTGAATAGTTTGGCCACAACGGGACCCTAGCTTAACTACTCGTCATGTATTGCATCATGTGACTTTTCACTTCGTTGACCGCTGGCCAATCTCCCTACCGGCAACATTTACTTGCACAGAGAGAATGCGTCGGTTCGAACGGATCAGTCATGTCGTCGAATCTGTGGAGGAGTATCGTGTCGGGGGTTACCACCCCGTTCACCTCGGGGACATGTTCCACCAGAGGTATCGGGTTGTGGGCAAGTGGGGTTATGGCGAATTCTCCACGGTGTGGATCGCAGAAGATCTAAGGTTTGTTGTATCCTAGGATGTCTCTTTTCTATTTTGCCAGTGATCGTCGGACTTACACTTCCCATGCTATAGGCTCCAAAGGAACGTCACATTGAAGATCCTCAGAGCAGATGCATCGAAGGATAGCCGCGAGCTTTCTGTTCTCCTTCGCCTATCTGAAAGCAGCATCCATCATTCAGGCGAAAATCACGTCCTGCAATTGTTGGATCATTTTGAGCATAGAGGGCCCAACGGCTTGCATCTTTGTCTTGTGTTTCCTGTCATGATGTCTGATGGCAACGCAATAAATGCCCGAGGAAAGCCCCGATGCCCAGGCTATATCCGCAAGGTCTTGAAGCAAATACTGCTCGGTCTTAACTACATCCATACTCTAGGATTGATTCATTGCGGTATGTTTCGTTTTGGCCGAATTCCCAAAAGATGAATGTTAATTTGTGAGCAGATCTCCAACCAGGCAATACACTATTCACCGTAGATAGTGATCTATCAAACGAATCTATGATGGAACAAGAATTCATCCCTGTCAAGTGGCTTCCGGGAGTTGAAGCCGATGACAGTGCTCCACGCTATCTTATGGACTCGCGGCGACCTTATGGAATGCTAGACGATGCACCCATTTCGGATCTCATTGTCAAGATTGGCGATATGGGCGGAGGTCTATCCCACCCATTGATTGACACGGTAGTACACATCATTGACGAATATTGTAGTCATATGGAAGTTTGAGTCCGGGCCTGATTCTCGTCCCATTATGCCACTGGGTTTAAGGGCTCCCGAGCTACTCCAACCAAGTCCTTGGGATGAGAAGATTGATATATGGGCTCTGGGATGCTTGGTATGTTTCCTTTCTCGATATAACAGGGTCACAATCTGATTATTGTTCGCGGATCTTCGAGCTTGCTACAAACGAACCACTTTTTCCGATACTCACCTGGGGAAGCACGGCTGAGGAGCTCCGCCAGCTTTTGCAATCTCTCGAATCCAAACTATTTGAAAATGGTTTCCAAAATTTCGCTACCTTCCTTGGTGAGCGGTTGCCGACTGAATTCGGTACAGAAAACATTTCACAGCTGGCAGATATTCTTTGGTCAATGTTGCAGGAGCTTCCCCGGAATCGGAAAACAGCCACTGAGCTTCTCAGTCACTCGTTTCTGGCTGAATAGTTGGATTGATTGAAGGTATAGAATCGCTTGCCTCGAGTCATTTCATATAGGAGATTGCCGCAGCCTCATCCCTTCGTCCCAGACTACACTCCCCATCATGACATCTCCTCGATATATACTTTGAACCTCGCTTATACACTGTGCCAATTTCAGCGGTAACAGTTTGGAAGACCATCTCCACCTTGTTTTGTTAATTTGAAGGCTGCATTTCACCTACGGCTATGTTCTTTGCTCAGCCACCAATCTACTCGGGGCATCTACCTAACCACCATGTTTGGCTAGCAAATGGATGAATCTTTAATTGCCTTCTAAGTACAGTTGAAGTTGGCTGGGGACAAATGGTTCACTTTCTCGCTTGCTGATGGCTTACTGGGAGAAACATCTCGGGGTTTTTGTTTGACTGTCCTTACCGTTTACGTCATTCCGTATATGTTATCTGCGATCGAGCTCTACAGATATTGATCACAAAAGGTGTCTTCTCATTTAAAAGGTGTCTTACTCGAATATATAGACTGTCACTTGTTTCATCTGTAGATTCCTGTGCTGCTTTCCTTCTACTAGTGGTACCAAAGTGGTGATCCATGGACCCAGCTCTTTTCGCCCCATCGAGCCCAGCACTAGCCCCATCCAATGAACGCCCGGGACCCTCAGTCAAGCATCGCCGAGTTCCGCCCAGAACCGTCCGAACTGAGGTCATCAGGCGCTCTCCCACTCTCTACTTATAGTACATTAGCGTAGACAGCATCCGAGCAAGCGACTAGCACGAGGCATTTCCAAAAGCGCCATTTTCCAAGGTCAACGATATAAATCTCCGACCTTTACCGCGGCCAGCACTCACCTTCCAACACTCTCACTGCTACAACCACGAACATGTCCTACACCTCCTACGCTGAAGCGCGCATGTCACACATGTTCCGCCCAACCCCGCGCAAAGCCCTACGGCCCCCAACCCGACAACTCGCCCTACGCCCCGACCACATCGCATCTGCCAACGCCGCCCTCGTCCTTAAACCCGGCCGCGACGACAGCGCGGAGGTGGGCTACTGCATCGAACAGGAAGATGGCACGCCCGTGTACACAGTCACCGGTCGCAAATTCGGCGATCGGACCAGCCGCGAATTTCGCGATGAGTCGGGGTTGCCTTTGTTCGAGATTCATCGGTGGGCAGTGCTTTCTGTGCCGTTTTATTGGTATTTGACGCTGCCCGGAAGTGATCGGAAGGCGAGGATTGCGACGGTGGAGTCGCAGACTTCGTTGAAGGGGGGTGATTTGAAGGTTTCGTTTGAGAATATTGCGTATAACCCGGATACTAAGGACAAGGGTGAAGCGCAGAAAGGCATCACGCTTATGGTGAGGCGGCATGGGGAGGCGTTAAGGCTTTTTGATATTGTGGATGGGGATCGGAGGGTTGGCGAGGTGCGTGAGAGTATTCGGTTTAATGAGAAGTTGTTCTTGACGAAGAAGTCGAGGCGTCAGGGGGCGCGGCCGGCGATGGAGATTGTGGTTGTGCCGGGTGTGGATGCATCTCTGGTAGGTGATGCTATACTCACTGTCTATCTAGACATCTTGTATGGTGCCAACTAACCCGGCTTAGGTGGCAGCCATCGCAGTGATCCTGTCGGACTGGTATTTTGGGAGCGGCTAATACGATGCCCGGCGGTGACCAAAGCATTCGATGTTGAAACGTTTCGAGTCATATTTATCCCTGGACTTTATTAATCTCGAATGCGTGCTGCGCCGTCTTTCTCTGTTTTGATCCCATGCACCAACCGCTCCTGGCGAGCAACAATCTGGAATAATCGAAATAGTCGATTCAACATGAAAGCAATCAACTTTAACTGCGACTTATTTGAAATATCAAGAAAAAGAATTTCTTTAACAGACAGTGCAGGATAACCTCACTATACCTCTGTCACAGTATAGAGGTTGTACAAAGCAGAAAGTGGATTCCATGCGCCACCAACATTCGGTAGCCACGCGCCCAATTTACACGCGTCGCATATCCACTCGATCGCAAAAGCAACCAACGCTCGTGTCACTCGTCGCGTCACTCCGCTCAGCAAGGCAGTCTAGACGGGCGCGTAGTAGTATATACCAAGTGTGAGACTGTTGCTGCCTCACCAGCCACAGCCGCGATGTTTCAAGTGGCAGTGCCGCCAACCAAACCAACAACAATCGCACGCTGCGCCCAGCTGGTTCATGAGTCATTTTTCCTGGTATCTACCACACTCTTTACTACTATATTATCATTTTTTGCACAGAACTCGTCTTCTATTTGAAAGCCCCGACGATCTCCTTTTTTTCTTTTTCCATCACATCCCATCGTACCCCGCCCTGCCCCACGAACATTGAATCCCTTGCTGCCCTGCACCGATCGCAATTTCCTCCGTCCAGTCTCAATCCTACCATCCCAATGGAAGCCCGAGTCGGAATCGCTGTCTTCGTCCTCAATGCAGAGGGGAAATTCATCCTCGGCAAACGCAAGGGAAGCCACGGTGCCAGTACGCCCTCCACCTCCACTTCCACCTATTGGACCATCGAACTAACCCTTTTCAAGATACATGGGGCCTCCCCGGCGGCCACCTCGAGTTCGGCGAGTCCTTCGAGACATGCGGCGAGCGCGAACTCCTCGAAGAGACGGGGCTGAAGGTGCAGAATTTGCAATTCCTCACGGCCAATAACAATGTCTTCAGGGATGTGACGCCCAACAAGCACTACGTCACGATCTTCATGGGTGGTGTATGTGAGGAAGGAGCTGAGCCGCAGGTATGATTTCGTTCCCGGAAAAATAGTTCTGTAGATCATCGGAGGTCAACGATCGATCATCGGCATTCCCCTTTTTCGTGCTTCGCTGACAACGAAACGAATTCGTGCAGATCATGGAGCCTGAGAAATGCACCGCTTGGGACTGGGTTTCGTGGGATGAGATGGTGGCCGATGCGAAGATTATGGTGAGCGGCGAGGGAACGCCCTCGAAGGAACTGTTCCTGCCTTTGGTGGAGTTGCTGCTGCAGCGACCGGCATTTAGTATTTCGCGGGAGTTGGTCGAAAACTAGATAAGCAACGGGAGTTGATAGCACCACTATTGTTCTAGCTAGGGATGAATTGCTTTTGCAAATATTACAACATTTTGCTTGTGCTGTGCGATCCTCCATCACCAACACAAGACTTTACCTATTTCTGGCCCGTCCCATCTGATGTATAACCTACCTGTCGATCCATGCATCACCATCACAGCAAAAGGAACAATAATATCCAACCCATTTAATAGTCTTGTCCCCCTTGAATAAAAGGAGAAATCACTTCACTCCTTTGATACAAATCACGTCGCTCATTTCTATCCAGTATCCAACTTTATATACGCCACTAACTCGAGAACTTTCTTCACACCTTTCATCCACGCAAGCCACGCAGTCAATTTCAAAATGCACCTCAAGTTCTTCCTCCAAGCCAGCAGTCTGGCCCTTCTGACCGGCTCCGTTAGCGCCCAGCTGGACACAGACGCCCTAGGCCTGAACCCGATCCTTGGAAGTAATCCTCTCGGCGGCGACTCCAGCCCTTCTGCCTCCACGTCTCCGTCTCCGACTCCCACCTCGACCCCCAGCGCATCTGGATCTCCGGGCCCGCAAGACGAGGAGAGCAGAGGTATCCTTGGTCGCGATATCGGTGGACTGGGTAACCTTGCTGGTGGCGGATTGGGAGGTGGAGGGCTAGGAAACCTCCTCGGAGGAGGTAGTTCTTCCTCCGTGGCACCTTCTTCAGCAACGCCCTCTTCCACTGCGACTCCCAGTGCAAGCGCCACACCGCAGATTGAGCAGAGCAAAGGGCTCCTCGGCCGCGAGCTGGGCGGTGTTGGTAACATGCTGGGCGGTGGCAGCGGTGGTCTGGGTGGTCTGCTGGGAGGACAACAAAGCTCCTCTTCTGTCCAGCCGTCTTCGACGCAGACCCCCTCTTCCTCTGCACAGCCATCCTCAACTCAGACTCCGACATCTTCGATGCAGACTACCCCCTCGTCTAGCTCCGGATTCGCTACGCAGGCTAGTCCCTCGCCCACTGCTGCTCCTTCGCAAATGGTACAGCGAAGCCCGGATTGGCTGGATGGTCTCAATGTGAATGCTATGGATGTTCCTCTGCTTGGTGGCTCTACTGCTTCGTCTTCGTCTATGACCCCTACTTCCATGCAGACGGTGGCTCGGTCTTCGCCTGCTGAGAACTCGCCGAAGGAGACCGGTGTCCCTCAGGGATTCGGTCAGTAGATTGAAGCTTACTGTTGGTCTGGTATGTTACTGCCAGAAGTTATGGATTTACATCAGCTGACTCCTTGCAGCCTGAAGATATTGGCTTGGCAAGATTCTTGGATCCATCCTCTGCTCGGTAGACGGACAGAAGTAATAATGAAGGGAGAACGCCATACTTAATATTTCGACACGAACATTTCGATGGAATAGAATTGTTCATTTTTTGTTACGTTGATTAGTTACTACGACCAGCTACTTCATCTCTAGTGTTACGCAAATACTTGCTGCGTATCTCGGGTCCTGACGCTTAATGTACATCTCTTCGGAATCGCAGGGGAGTGAAAAATAATCAAATGTCGCCATTCTAAATGGAAATTCCTACTAAATCAAGTCCAATTGTCGAAGACCGCAGTGCCAGCGACGCGATGGCCCAACAAAGCGCGACGCGGATTATTCACATTCACGCCCTATACCCAATCCGGTAGGTGCTGGTGTGACGTCTTAACGTCACCAGTCAACCACACGCACCAGCTGGATCCCTTTTCCACAACCAACGAGTGTTTAGCAAATGCAGCATCAATTGAACAGCACGCGACTCGCTTTGCCGCGTTGTCGGACACTCTGTGAACTTTTTTTCTCTTCTGCTAACTTTGCGATCGCCAAGACAACAAAAAATGCACACCGCTACGTCGCGATATCGCGTCAAGAGCGCCAAACAGAAAAAAAACAAAAAAAAAAAAAGGATCCCTGCAAAAATGCCAGTACTGACAGCAACACCCTCACCTCACCGTCTCCTGCCTCCCAACTCTCGGAACAATGAGGCTCGAGAGCCCTTACGCGAAAAGAACCACTTTTCCGTCCCACCACATTGGAAAGACCCGATGTATGATCTCATACCCGACTGAAAACAATGAAAACAGGGATAGGGCCTGCCCTAGCCCCCTACCAGCGCGAATCCTATAAGAATCTTCCGGGGGAACTACCATTCCACTTTTCTTTCTTCTCCAACAATCATCCAATTGAACCCAGGAGAAAAAACGGTTCAATTAGGTTGATTTTTGGCCCTGCTCTTCAGATGAGCCCTGGGCCCGCTACTGACACTCCCGCGACCGGCGCAAGCCACAATTTGCCCCGGACTGCGTTAATAGGACCTGTCCAATCTCCTCGTGAAAAATCGAGGGAAATTATTTCCATCCCCGCTGCTGGAGTCTCTCCGACTGGTCAGGTACGACTTTTCCCCTTCCCTGCCACCCCCCTGCCCTTTCCTGGCAATTTCTGCGCGGGCAATCTCATATGATTGTTTGCGAGCGCTCGGTGATGACGACCTATACGATTTCCCTTACTTAAGAAATCTTGAGGAAACCTAAACACCTTTATGTTTCAAGACGGGTCTCTGAGTTGCTGCATTTATTTTCGTTTCATTTCATCACATCGCCCGCATCGAATCATGGCTAACAGTTATGATCAGAATAGTATTTATAGAGGGTTGAGTTCGAGGTGAAGGTTATTCGGTCGCGTCGATTTGAGTGAGTTTGTTGGATGTGACAAGTCAAGTCGGCGCGTGAACGGGTGTAAAACAGAATTTGCGATCGGCACGAAGGCAACCCCAGGTAGGTTTTGCGGTTGTCGCAATCCGGAGGCTATGAAAAAATTATGAATCTTTTATCTTTTTTATCTTTTTTTTGTTGGGAGTAAATCATTCCACGCGTAGTGTGTTGTCTTGACTAAGCCCTGCACGGATTAATCCCGATGCGTAGCGACCCCTCTTCTGCTGTGTAGCTTACCGCTGCTGCTATTTGCCCGGCCGAGTGGAATGAAAACATTATGTTTGACTATTCCTTTTATTCTGTTCGTCTCTCCATGAATCACTCATCTTATTTCAACTATTATGGCCTTATGATTGTGGCCGCTCACCAACTCAACACATATATGTCTCAGAAGTATGACAAGAAAGCGCCGCTGTAGTCGGCTGAATTATATATCCGGGTGCACCGGATAATGCACAGCAACCTTTCGTCTTAGGGATGTCATCATCATATGATGCTGCTAACTCAGAATCCCTGCTTCAATTCGAACAATCCATCCTAACCAGACCGACAAATCCCACCTGTGAGCATGAATTAACATGTACATCGATCAAATGACATTTATCTCTATCGCAAATTATGATCCTCCGCCGCAGAACAGACTCCACGCCCAACTAGGGTAAACATGCATTGAGCCAGCTTAATCCCTGCTCGGAGACTACCGCATGTCCCATGCTAGTGAATCCACCCACCCCCGGACGACGCGCTGTGATAGGCCGCCCGCCCAACGCGGGGAACAAAAAGCTGGCAGGGGGTTAAGCTATTCTTCAGCGCGATCGCGAATCGGATTCAGCTGGCATCCTGGCCCTTAACCCAGGCGATGCAGCCTAGCCTGGTGGGATTTCCTCGGGGCTGAGGTACGCTATTTAGGTCCACTGGTACAGGCTAGACTTTTTGGAAGCTGGGAGTGTGCCTTGGGGGTCGCTTTTCTACCATACGTAGGTACTGACTTGCCCCTTCACCTACAAGTAAGCATAAATGCTATGCACTAGTGTAGGGGAGAGTGAACCCGACCTAGGCAAAAATAGCGAGCTCGGTCTTGGCCGGCCTCTCAGCTGGAAATTGGTAATCGAATCCCGAAATTAAAGTGGTTCGCTGATAGTCCATAACGTTGGCCCGTGTTGATGAGTGCTCAGTCGTGTCCCGGCGACGTGGTTCTCCTGTCCGAGGGATGTACCAGGCCGCGCGAAAGGGCACATTCGATACAGCACGTACTAGCTCCGCCCAGAAGGGGAAACAACCAGCAGACTGATCCATCCTGTCGGGACCACGGGGACCACGCTGACCACGTCACAAAAAAAGAAAAACAAGACACTCCCAAGATCGCCTTCTGATCGTGCCCGAAACCGGTCTCCAGTGGCTACCGACACGCCGGGTCGACCCCACCGTGGCGGGTGCATCATTGGCCGCGGCCAGCAGCAGAATGCCCATCGCGACTCCTCCTCCTCTTCCCGCTGCTGCTCGCTTCTCGCCTAAGAGTCCTCATAACTCTCGTGCCGCCTAAACGTCTCCTGTCCGTATCGAACTTCTTCCCCCGCCCCTTCTTCCATCATCTGCCCACCAACATCCAAACTCCCTTTTTCACCTCGCCTCGCATCGCCTCGCTTTTTGCTGACCACCCCCACTTCCGCCGTCGGCATGGCGGACCTCTCAATCTCGGATGGGGTCTCGATTGATGTGGTATGTTTGCTCGATGACAAACCCTCGACCCGAACTGTCGGGTTGCGTGCGGGCTGGGCTGGGCTGGGCTGACCAGACCTTCTGACTAGGACCCCGATTTCTATGAAAATGATAGTGCCTACGGTGGCGAGGAATGGGTATCGTATGTGTCTCTTCAGTGTTTACTTTCCTCCTTTTCTTTTGTTCCGCGTGGTTTTTTACTTTTTCGTGCTTGCGTGGGTTGGCCTGTGCACATCGCGTGTCTAACCATGCCGAACTCAGACTGCGCGACACCACGTCCATCAAATCGTCCATCTATCGCGGGATGATGGAAAATGGCAGACGGTATGTCCTGATTTTCTGCAAAATATGAATGTGCTTTACTAAGCCAGTCTACAGATACCAAAGTCTCCGCAATAAAGAGTACATGTACGGAATCCACTATTGCTCAATGCTCATCTGAAAGAATATCAAACTCATCTTCGACAGCTTGCCGTCAGATGAACAGCAATTCGACGCCTATGAAGCCGGGTATGTGTCCTGCATTACTCCATACGGAAATTTACCCGAACCCCTGCTGATGCGACCAGACACCTTGTCGACTTGATCCTGGACTCGGAGCGAGAGAACCCGCTCTTCCGCGCGCCCTGTGGCGATGACAAGGAAGCACCGCTGCACATTCTGGACATTGGTACTGGAATGGGTACCTGGGCTATGTAAGTACAGCCGCAGTGCATCAATCCTCCCCAATGACGCGAAAAGAACCAAAAAAAAACTAATAATTCCACAGCGACGTGGCCGACATGTTCCCAAACAGTTGGTTCCCCAACCCGAAAAATGACATGACGGACCAACTCACTCACGTAAAACAGGCATCGTCCGCGGCGTTGATCTCTACCCACCCCCAATAACCTGGATGCCACCAAACTGCACAATCGAAGTAGACGATGTACTCCAAGAATGGACCTGGCGCGAACCATTCGACCTAATCCGCATGCGCAACATGATTGGCTCTTTCGACGCCATTGAATGGGACCGCGTCTACCAACAATGCTACGACAACCTCAAGCCCGGCGGCTGGATCGAGCAATACGAAGTCGGGCCGTTCGTCGAATGCGACGACGGCAGTCTCCCGCCAGACAGCGTCCTTGCGAAATGGGGACCTAACATCCGCGAGTGCGGGGAGCGAGCCGGCCGCTCCTGCGAGGTGATCTATACCATGGTGCAGAGTATTCGCGACAAGGGCTTTGTTGATATGCACGAGAAGAATTATAAATGGCCGATTGGGCCGTGGGCGAAGCATCAGAAATTTAAGGAGGCGGGCTTGCTGAACTATGAGCATTGGATGAGCGGGATTGAGGGGTGGTGCATGTGGTTGCTTACGAAGCATGGGGCGCCGAAGCCCTGGAAGAAGGAGGAGGTTTATGTGTATTGTGCCAGGATGAGGAGTGAGATTAAGAATCCCGTGTATCATACGTATCATCGCGCGTGAGTGGTTTTCCTTCCCTGTTGCTGCGAAGGTTGGATTGGGTCTGTTAACTCTATACACAGGAAGAGGATTTGGGCTCGGAAGCCCTTCCCCGGTGAGGTTGTGCAGGATTCTGAAAAGGTGGCCCCTTCGAGTTCACCGAAGAGACCCGAGTCTGTTGGGTAGTGGATGACACTCTGCTCTTGCCTTTCGCATCGGCAAAATGGCGTTGGTGGCTTTTTGCTTTTTGTTTTGTACATACAGCAGATCCCGATGCTTTTCGGATATGCCTTATCTTTGATACCCGGCGAATTGAGGTAGAGAAAAGAGATACATCTTGAAAGAATCTTTCGAGGTACGGTTTGTTCTATCTGACCTTGCAAGCATATGGCGCAAAGGATAGAATTGAGATTGTCAATGATAATACCTACATGTTTCGGGGTCCTACTAAGAGTAGGGTAGGCTGCGGGGGAGACCATGAAATTCGAATCATGTTGAATTAGGATATCTTGGGAATGACAGGAAATGATACTCGCCCGGGTGGGTGACCTACACGAGTCCTGGGCGAGTAGCGCATCGACTGCTCGACCCTTATCTACCTGTACACTTTATTAGATCCACCGGTCGATTTGAGGTTTGTCCAGTTGAGAGAGAAAATCTCTAGTTGGTCCATTCTAATTTCAGCGGGTGGTGCCTTCCGTTGAACAAAAAATGCCAGATCCAACCCATTCCCGGGGATGCAGCTTAGGAAGCTGCACTTACGGTTATGGTGTTCATTTTAGCAGAATGAGCATGTCTTCATGAGGTCCTCCGGCCAGAACCTCATGCTCATGGCATCTACGTCAAGGCTAATCTTCGCGCACCCAGGGGGCTCCTTGAATGCTAGCTTCGACTTGTCCATCTTTACAGAGCCTTTGTGGTATTGTACCATTTCAAAACGGATCTCAGTCTGTCGGACGCTGAATCCGGATACTCATACCAGCTGTAACAAGCCCGAAGACTGGATCGAAGACATATTTACTGAATCATTGTCCGTGTTGCTTCCCGGAGAACCATCACATCTGCTGGGCTAAGGGGCATAGCCTGGAGGCGGTTTCGGGATGTAGAAATGGTTCTGAAGATTGTAGGCCCACACTAATGAATTTTGCTCATCGAAACCACGGCTCCAGGACAAATTGACTATCTGTTTACCCCCTCGAAGTATACTCATGGAAGGGTGCACTGCCAATAAAAACGACCAGCCCAGCCGAGTACACTTCCGACCACGTAGTACAGGCCATGGGAGCCAACGATGTACTGGACGGTCTCGCGAGACCCAAGTCTCCAAGCCTCCTCCTCATCTGGGCTTTGAAGCTAATCCATATGTGAAACAGCCTCATATTGACGATAAACCATATGGGTTAATTGCACCTGTATTCAGCTCGACTTCCTCCGTCGTTTTGTGGCCTCGACCTGCCCCTTTTCCTTGGGGGTCCACCTGAGTTTAACTGTGAAGGGGAAGAAAGGCGTTACAACCGTCACGATCGCCGAGATTACTATTGCTAGTCGCAACGGCAGTCGAAGGGTGGGTTGGGCGCTGCGAGTAGATTCTGACTGTATCGGTGAGGGTCGGATGCCCTCTGTTGGGGTGGAGCATACAGTATATGTGTGCTGATAAACCATCGTGAAAGCACAAGACCCGATAAGACGGAGTTTGAGCGGGGACCTGAAGTAGTCATGTTCGAGTCTTTAACGGATTGACGTGTCTTCATGTATGAACGAGGTCCATCAAACGTCTCTAGAAGAGAGACTTGTTGCTATGCAGGTATCCGAGCCTAAGAAGCAGTTGGTTAAGGGTTTCCGCAAGTGGAAGCATTGGTGTGCTCTTCGAAATGTGGTAAAGGCAAGAGACCGAAATACCACCGTAAAGTACACCAAGACCGCATATTTCGCATGAGGAGTTATTAATGCAAGTTCCAGTTCGCGAGCTCGAAGTAGCAGTGTGGAGAAGGATATACTGAAATGGAAATGACTCGTGCCGTCTCTCAGCATCGGACTTGGGGTCCATCATAAACCGAACCCGAGCGTCGCTGCCAGCACGATCACTCGGCCATTGTTCGTTGGGAGGCTTCAAGGGTGAGGAAAGTGCCGGATACCCTCCCGGGTCACGGCACAGGTTCAGGTCTGCCCGAGTGGACAGTGGATTGCCTGTTACTGGGCAAGCCAAGCAGCGATCAGTTCACTAATGGCTAGTCATGGATGTAGCTGTGATAGATAGCGAATTCTATTTGTTTGCAAGGGCTTTTGGAAAACTGGGTAGCGCATGAAGTGTCCTAGGAAGGATTAGAATAAACACCAGTGGTAAGGTCTGGAAGGGTCTGAGAAGGTTGAATACTTACCAAAGGTAAGACTTTGGCGATCGACCCTCCTGATTAACTCTTTAATCTGCCGTTTGATTTGAAGAGGCGTCTTTGTTGAAATGGAGAGGCACTGTGGGGTGTACATCTCCAGGAGATCGAAGGGGGTCTCTATGGCCTCGACAAGGCTGGTGCACCATCTCTCGCAGTCTCCATGTGGTGTATCAGAAGATCTGCAGGCTCATATAATGGTCATGGTGAGCTGTACCAGACGATGAAATGCGTGATGGTTGCCTTGTAAAAGTAAGAGGCAAGTGAAGGAGATCCAAAACGCCATCAATGAAAAGCTGGTAAGAACTGGTGTTGATAGAAAGAGAAGAGAGAAAGAGAAGGGGGAGAAGGCCTCGCGAGAAGTAACGAAGGTAGAGCAACGCCCAGGTGATCAGAATTTATACTTCACCCTCGAATAGTTGCTGACAAGCTCAAGGGTGGTACTGAGTTGTGGCAAGAAATTCAGCAATTTACTAGTAGATATGGCCTGGAGGGCACCAGCTACGTCGACTATAGATAATTTGCATGAGAATTCCATCCAGGTAAACTGCATTGGATTCATAACTGTCGAACTAGGTCGAACTGAGGGTATCTTGGTTAAAAAAAAAAAAGGCAAACTCCAACCCCCAACTCCGCCAGTAGATCTCTCACACCTCCACCTCATACTCCTCCCACTCCTCCCGGAAGTAAGGCTCGACCGCCTGTCTCTCCGCGGCAGCCCACTCCGGGTCGATCATGAATCGAACCGGAGCATCGCGGGCGCCACGGTCGGCACGGTCTCCGAGACGGTCGTTGTTGGCCGCAACAGGGGTGAGCGGGTGAGGGGGGCGCTGGGAAGGTGCGCCTTCTCCAGTTTCAGTCGAGCGGTTCTCACTGTCCTCTTCCCTGGTGTATCGCGGGAGATTCTGGGCAGCGGCCTCCTGGTTCAGCGGGATGCGGACGGTCAGGAACCGATCCGCACGGAAGTCCGGGCCAACTGAGGTGGTGCCACGCTGGTGCGTGTACATCTCCAGGAGATCAAAGAGGGTCTCCATAACCTCAGCACGGCTGGTACCCCATCTCTCGTACTCCTGACCGGTTTCGATGGGCTCATTACGCAGGTCCGCCAGTCGACAAGCAAGTTCGAGGCACGCGAAAGCCATAGTCGACGATGTCTGCTTGAGGGGCGCATAGGTACGGTACAGGTCGATCGAAATGCGGTAGGCCAGCAGAGCCACGTCGTCGCCGACCTGAAAATGCTTGCCGAGCTTCAGCAGTCGCTTCGTAGGTTGTCGGTTACGGAAATCAAAACCAGAGGCTTCGAGCATCAGCCGTTCGAGTCCCATCATACGCGCGGCATTGGTCTCGAAGTACTAGAGACAAACATGTTAGTATGTTTATTCTCGTGGGTTTCCGGAGCGTATGCACGTACTTCATCATCGGGGGACAGATGCTCGGAGGATGGCTTCTTTAGGTTGTAGACGGCACATGCAATCTCCCGCGACTTCTTCAGGGTATCTTCGATCTTGCACGCGGTGAACAAAGCAGCGGCCGCAGCATCCTGGATTAGGATTTCCTGTTGGCTTCGAACTCCTGTCATGGGATTAGGGTAGGTCTCACGTACCATGAAATTGTGTCCGGTGTCCGGGGTGACGAGTCGGAATCGGTGGTAGTAGACTGCTGCGGTATTGAATGTGCGGAGGGGCCTGTCAAATAGTTCAAATGGTTAGCTTCACGTCTTGCGCCTCGCGGGATGGGGAATTGTGACGTACAAATGAAGGATTCGGCGAACACTGTCGATCAGAGCAATTCCTTGCAGGCGCATCGATGCCTCCCGAATGGGATCCACCCGCATTGCCTCGAAGCATTGCTGGATCGTATGTTCGAAGATGTATGGCTTGGCGACTTGAATGAAGGACGGGTGGATGGGCGGAGGTTCCGGTGGTCCCTGCTCGGGTGCCGGGGCTGCAGCTGGACGAGCCCGCTCATCCCGAGTCACGGACGCCATGGCAGGAATCCGCGGCGGAATACGATCGAAGAGGGACTTTTCGGTGTAGCGCGCAGGGCCAGCGTCGTCACTGGACGAAGTTGTCGACTCGTTATCTGCTATCGTCACGTGTGGGTAATCGAAGCTGGAAGAACGATTATCCGAGGTTTACTTACTCGAGACCTGCATCCCCGAGAGAATCGGTTCGGGGCGATGGTGATGATTTCGATGGAAAGAGTTGCAAGGGAAAAAAGCGGGCAGAATGAGAGAGTTGCAGAGGAGAAGATTGGAGGGGGAGAGAGGAAGTGAAGAGGGAGTATTTAAGTGAACAGCGGCGGCGGCCTCACGCTGGCGAGGAAGGCGCGTCGAGGCAGCTGCCCACACGTAATTCTACCGCGTTCTCTACATTTATTTTGAGATACACTGTAAGAGTGAGCCTATTCCGGTGTGCTTTTTGGCAGATTCAGCTACAAAAACCAGCCCACATACAGTCAAAGTCGACTCAGCATGAGTACTTTTTTAGTCCTAACTATAAATATATCTACAATATACAAATAGTGAAAGCTACTTCGAAATACACCGAAAATGGTGGAGCGCCATTTTATTTCCTGTTTCGATTCGAGGTCTTGCAATTCGTTGCTACCACACTACAACACTTGTGAGCAATTCAAAGTAAACAATTGATCTATCTCATGGAACACCCCTCCCAGCCCGCGTAGCCTTCGCCAATTCACTCTGCGCCGTATTCTCCGCATACCGCCGATAAATCGGTAAATAATGCTCCTTGGCACTAGTAGTCTCAACTACACTCTTCCTCCCCTCAACAGCAGAAATCCACTTCCTCCAGCGTGCCCAAACACCCTCATCCGCACCACCAGCTCCCTCAGCTGGAAGACCGAGTCCATCTTCCTTGAAGTCATCAAATACCCACAGCCGCACGGCCCAAGGCGCAAGTACAAGATCAGGCAGCCCGATCTCCGAGCCTAGGAAGAACGGTCCTTCAGAATGCATTTCTTTTGTCCAGGTCTTCAGGTGCGTAAGGAATTCTTGACGGACTGGCGCAATTCCGTCCTCTTTATTCTCACAGTTCGCTGCCTGGTATTGTAAAAAGCGGTGAAAGGAAGGGATTATTTTGGATGTCACGTAGTCGATCCAGATTCGGGCTCGGGCTCGTTCGTACGGGCTTTTTGAAAGGAAACGTGGGCCGTGCTCTGGGTATGCTTCTTCCAGGTACTCTAGTATCACGGTGGATTCATAGAGGGGTTTAGGTTCTGGATCTGTCGGACAGGAGAGTGTGGGAACTAGACCGCGCGGGTTGAGTTTGAGGAGAGAGTCGGGTTTGTTGTATGGGTTCACTTCGATGTATTGGTATGAGATTTTCTTTTCTTCGAGGGCAAGCCAGACGGGTTGGACTTGGATTGTTAGCTTAGGACTATGATTTTTCTGGATCCTTTAGGGTGGATGATTTTCGACACACCGAATCTGTCATTTGTTAGCTGTGATTCTCATGAGAGGTATTGGGGTACGCACGGGCAGAACCACCCCGCATACAGCTTCAGCGGTTGCTCGGCGCGATGCTGGTCGACGAGTGCCTTTGCAGGGCCGCTGGCTTGGGGATAGATATCAGAATCTGGGTGGGCAGGCATGACTTCTCTGTATTCTTGTGGGTGACGGTGTCTGAGAGATGGAGGTTGGAGAAGGGAAGTTGGAGTCAGCTTAGATCGCATTTAAGCTCGACGATGGGACACGGCGCTGGGGTATTTCGCCATTTGTGGAGAGAGCGATACGTTGATTTCTAATTCCATTCTAAGAATCCATCAAAAACAAGCATTAAATATCCAAGGCCCTATCGTATATTCTGATAGCCCAATGGTCAAGGATCGTGGTATACAATTGCACCAAGCACGACGAGTCATCGATTCTCCCTATTCCCCTCTCTCAACTGTTCCACCACCCCTGTCGAGAGAGACCCTTTCACGAGTCTCTTCAATTATTCGCTGAGCCGTCTCCACAAATTGTCCTACAGCTTGCCTATCTGACTCAGACCTCGAAGTGCCATACAACTCCTCACATCGGCGAGCCAAGATCCTGACTTCATAGCCTGCCCTATTTCTGGCCATCTTGGCCTCACACAAGGCACTTGAAAGCCGGTTGATGTCATTGTAGATAGTTGGATCGAGAAGTGTGATATAATTTCTTACGCATGGAGGAAGCTGTACCTGACTGGACGCACGCATAGCTGGGCTCGTCTGTCGCTGAAGCCCTGCAGCGTCCTCAGATGCATCGAGATCAATTGCAAAGACGCTGGTTTGGCATTGTGGGTGTGAACTTGGACTCTGGTCATCTCGAAGCCCAGCTTGACGAGTCGTGCCGGTATTTGCACTGCTGGTACTTGCTCTCATCGGAGTCTGACATCCAAGCCTTATAGCAACTTGAATCTCGGGTTCATTGGCTTCAGTGAGATTAGTGTCCGTTCGGCGCTGTTTGTGTGAACTTGTGTTTTTGCCTTGTTGAAGCTCAGCTGAGCGAGTCGAATGAATAGTCGCCATCATTGGAGCCTGCTCAATCTCCTGAACATGTCCGGGTTCCTCAATATCCACCTCGTCGGTCGGTCTCAGGCCGTACTTTTTGGGCAGACCCGGTGCCTTCTTTCCAGACATGATGTTTCAAGTGCTCATTGAAGTATTCCTTGAACCCATTTAGGCTCTTTACCGTGCCGGAGCCCACACTCGACTCCTTCTCCAGCGCTCCCGCAGTTCATACAAGCCCCGATGTCCAAAGTATTTATTAGATCAGTGTTGCTTGCTTGCTCAATTGATTTGGCAGAAAATGATCCTTTCATTTGGTATTTATATCCTCAAATTCTCAGACCCGATCTCTTCCTGCCACACGTTACTCCCCATTCCCATACTTCCTCACCAACTTCTGCATAATCGACATCGCACCAGAGCGATACCCACCACCAAAGATAGCATGGTGATTCAAATGATGATACCTGCAACCGATTAGCCAAGCCCAAAGTAACAACAGCGGCAAAAGAAAAACTCACAACTCATACAACCTAACCCGATCCTCATACTCCCCCACAGGCTCCGTCTTCGGCACAACCCGATGATACTGCTCAAAAAACCGACTCCCAAACCCACCAAACATATGCATAATCCCCAACTCGAACTCACTATGCCCATAACAAGCAGACGGATCATAAACCACATCCCCAACCTTATCCTCACCCCCCGCACCAACAATCTTCCCCCGATCCGCATTCCCACTCCACAAATCACCATGAATAACAACAGGAATAATGCCCTCCCCTTTTCCGTCCTTATACCCCAAATGCTGGTCCCCAAGTAGCCGCGGCACAACGCCGTAGGCAGTCTTCTCGACGAGATCACGCAAGCCAGCATCCTTCCCATTCCGCTCTTCAGACGTCGACAGGATCGTCAGCAGTCGCTCATTCGCATAAAAATCAGCCCAGCTATCATAGAACCGATTCGGCTGCTTCGTATCCCCGCAAAAGGTGGGGACGGGGAATCCGAATCGTCGACGACCGGTGCTAGGGTCCGGCGGTGCAGGCGTGGAATGTAACTTCCCCAATCGAGCCGCCAGCGAGCTTGCGCTGCTCTCATCTGAGCGAGACCGAGCGCCGAGATCGAGGAATTCCGTCGCGAGGAAGTACTTCTTCGTCTGCCCTTCTTCCAGTGGGCCCCAGGCTAGTGCTTTAGGGCAGAAACCTGGTACGGAGCCCGCGATGGCATTTAGCGATTCGTATTCGCCGCGGAACATTTCTTCGGCGGCTTTGCCGTCTGCGGAGGTTTTTATGAAGTAGCGGCGTTCTTCTTCGCCGTTTGCTCCGGGCACTTTGGCGCGGATTGCGCCTGTGCTCGTGAAGCCGGAGCCTAGGCCGGATGTGGAGAGGGTGACCTTTGATGGGTCTTTTGGCAGGGAGAGGGCGTGGAGGATTGTTTCTGGGACGGCTGTCATTTTTTGTTTCTGTCTTTTGTTTTTTTTTCCCTTTTTTTTTGCTTGGAGAGAGAGTGTGTTGGTGTCTGATGGGAAGTTGAAGAGGTTGCTTCAATGTTGCTGCTTGTTGCAGGGATGAGGTGGGCAGGTATGACGTACGTTCCCCACACGAGGTCCTTCCTGATAGCTGATTGCGGTCAACACCACGTCTAGAAAGTATGTACTACAATGGACATGTACAATACTGAAGATAGTTGTATAGAATTTCCTGCAATGCGAATCTTATGAACTGCTGGAAGGTATGAACAATCATCTCGGTAACGCCAGATCCATCTTATTTGCAAAACTCCCCCAAAAGGAATTCAGATCGAGTAGCATATCGCGTTAGATGAGCATGTGCAACCAGTGCGTTGCCATGATTGTTCAAACAAAATCCATCCACAAATATTCCTTAAGAAAGCACATTGAGCCAGTGTAAGGCCGTCTTGGTACGCTCACGAACGTCCAAGTCCTTGTCCTTCTCCAGCTTCTCCAGCTGCGGAAGAACTCGAAGCTCCTTCAGGCGCGCAGCGCGCGCACGGCATCCTTCATTGTCGTTTTGGTCCTCGGCGTACAAGAGATTGATGACCACCCAGACACCGTTGAGGCGAACCTTCTGGTGCGAGTGACTAAGAAGGGCGATGACTGAGCGCATGATATCTTTGTGCCACACCACCAGCTGGCGATGACGCGGGAGTCCAGCAGCAAGGTGGACGATCACCGCTGTGACGGCCGTGATCAGCTCAGTGTGGGCCGTGGCTCGGGCATTTATGGTGTGCACCGGATTCTGGGGGTTGATAGGAAACCGCTCGAACACTCGCACCTTGAGACTTTCGTTGATGGTATCGAGAAGTGCATCTTGGCCGATATCACGGAACAGGTAGTCGATCATTTCGGCGGCGCCTTCGCCGCAGATCATGTTGCGGATCAGGTCGAATGTCTGCTCGCGAACGGCATCCTGGTCCCGGGCTGCTTGGTCGTTTTGTTCGATGACTCCCCACGAGATGAGGCGGCTGCGTCGTCGAAGAGCAGGAGGGAACCGCTTGTGCTTCGCCCCGGGGTCAGTATTATAGTCGAATTTGTAGCTGACCAATTCGAGACTTACTGAGTAAAAGAAATGGTTCCATTCCTCAGTTGGATTCAAAATGTCAACGTGTTCGCCGGCCGAATTGGCTCCGCCCATCGCAACACTAGTATCCTGTTCCATCTCCTCGTCAAGGAGACGGTTGTCTGGCTCACCCTCGTCGGGTGGAGCGATCCTCTGTAGCATCCAGCGGGGGCCCAGTTTCTCGACCACAGTGATCTTAATGTCGTTGGCAGTATTATACACGAGATGCTTGAGTGCCCACAAAGACTCAATTTTCAGCTTGACGGCATCGGAATGGGCATGTTCACAGAGAATCGGAATCACATCTGCGGAAACAATGGCCTTGGGATACGTTAGTTACAATGTCTCTATCCAAAATTTACAATCTCACTCACCTCTTTCATAGGGCTGAAATCCAATGCCAGGTTACAAATGACGGCGGTTGCCGCGGTCTTGACTTCCACATCCTGATGCTTGAGTAGGACGAAGAGTGGCTCGGCGACACCCGCATCCACAAGGCTGGTCCTCAGGACGCTTACTGATCTCGTCAACATCCGCGTCGCACCGCAAGCAGCCAAGATTGTCGGGGTAGGATTGCCGTCGGCAGCCAAGTTCTTCGGCAGGGACTCGGCGTTCGCAGGGGCATCCGTCGGCCGGGGTCGGAGCGAGTCGATGATGTAGGGCACGGCACCATTTTCACATACTGCCTTGCGGTATTCGTCCTTGAATGGTACCAAAGCTGCCAGGCCCTTCAGGATGTTTTCACGATATCGCATAATGTGGCACATCAACGGAGAGTAGCCGGGAGGTCCAAGGCGGCATTCCGCCGTGACGGACTTGGGATCACGCACGGGCGCGTCTCCTCCAGCGTACCACATCGAATGAAGGTTCTCAGAGACAGGGTTGTAGGTCTCCTTGAGCAACTGCGAAAGACGCTTGAGTGCGCCGCCATTAACGGCATACTTCTGCATTTCCTGATCATCCATGACTAGATTGGCCAGTACGGCGGGTGCTTCTTCTTTGACCTGTTGTGTGATTGCGAGTGAAATATTGTTCACATCATCAGATCTGACCCGCCCGGCAGAGGCCTCGGAGTCCTTGTCCAACATCTCAATGAGAATCGGAACCAGCAGGTTGCTGAACATGGGAACCCGATCCTTCCTCGTAAGCCCCAGACGGACAAGGATCGAGAGCAAATGCGCGGAGGCAAGACGAGCTAGACCACTTTCCTCACGGGTGATGACCAGAAGGTAGGGGACAAGTGAATTTTCCTCCTCTTCGGTGGAATTCTTCTCTTCGTCCTGCGAAAATGGCGTGGGGTACGAACTGCTGGGGCGGCGTTGAGAGCCGGCCGTGCCAAGAGGTGGAAAGTTGGTCGAGTTGGGGGATGACCGTTCGTGAGAGTGCGGAATGGGTGGTAGAAGTGCATCAAGAGGGTTGGCACCCGGTTGACGGGGAACCGCCGAACCGGACAGATACGTCGAGCCCCAAGGGCCGCGCCTGACATCCGCCGGGGTAAAGCCGGCAAGCTGGCTTGGGAACACTGTAACGATTCCAGGAGAGGAGAGCAAGTGCTGTGCCCGTCGCTTTGACTGTTCTACAATAGTCGCGATCGCACGAAGGATAGGTGTCAGACTAGCAGATGCAGGCGCCGCTGCCGGGAACGCCCCCAGCGCATCTGGCTCCTGGACGAGGTTCGCTGCTCCGGGAAGGACATAACCTTGCGCCACAACAAAGGCCGCAAGCTTGATGCCCAAAGCATCCAGTACACCACATTCCGCCAATTTGGCTTTGTGAGCTTCTTCGGTGCACACCTTTCCAATGAGAGCCGCAGCCAGCTCGATGCATATTTGTGTGTTGCGGTCGACATACTCCTGCGCAACGAGTCTCCGCAGGGCACTCGCATTCTCATCAGAGAAGATCAGATCTGCGAAACGTGTGTCCCGCAGCGCCTGTTCTTGGCTCTGCAATGGCAGTCGATCGGCGATCGCGTTGAGAAGTCGCAGGATGGGGACAGTAAATGCCTGCGGGCAATCAGGAGAGACAAGAACGGCGAGAACATTCGAAACAAGGTCACTAGCGAAGATCGGGGGAAGAAAGTTTGGGCCACCTGCTCAGCCTTGTTAACGCCCAGTTCGACGAGGTATCCGTCGACCCTGCGCATCGTGTGAGTAATAGCACGTACCATGAGCCACCGTTCCAGAAATGATAATTGCTTGCATGCAAGCATCATACTCGCTCGAATCCTCGTACTGGAACGGCTTTGCTTCGCTGGAATCGGCCGAGGTAACTTTCGACGGGTGATTTGATGCGAGGATCTGGGCGAGGATGGGGAGAATGCCCCAGATCACATAGGTCTCTTTGCGTTGATCATGGCCGATCAGCTCGTGTTTGAGGGTGCGGAGGCAGGCCGCCTGCGATGCAACCGACTCCGCGTTCTGCAGCTTCAGCAGAGGAGTCGGTGGAGCGCCGGAAGCCATCATCATTCACAGACAGCCACCCCCCAGTGGGAGGTCTGCCAAACGGTTGCGCGCTGAGAAGATTCAAGAGAAGCGTGGGTTGGAAGGGGATCGGGTGTTAAGGGAAAAGAGAGGTTGCGGGGGTCGCAAGGTGATGGGTGGAGGAAAGTGAAAGTCGGGAGGGGCGTCGGATTTAGACGGTCGCGTGTTAAGACGAGTGCCGTCTGGATGCTCGAAGATAAAGAGGTGTGTGTGCCTGACGATTCGAGGTACGATCAGCGATGTCACCAGCCGATCTGCTGTAACTGCGGTTGTTGTCTTTGGCCTCGAAGCTCTCTTTGACGTTCCCGTCTCCGCATGGGGATGACTGGAAGTTACGTAAGGGTCTGGCCAGCGTTTATGCCTGAGGCCACAACATGAATACGTTAACAAGTTACTGTCAAGTCAATCGGGCGCTGGACACTCGTCTATCCAGCTCAGTTGATCACTTCTACCCTGAGTCCTCCGACCGACCGCCGAATCGAAATGGCGCCGAACACACGTCGACTAGCCGAATCGAGTAGGCATCCTCGCGTTACCGGTGTTTTTCCGAATAGCCCGATGGCGACTTCAGATGCGGGTGCTTCTCCCAGCACCGCTCTTCTGGATGTCCCATCTTCTTACAGTAGCCACACTGTGGCCTCGACGGCTTCTGCTTCTTCCTCTACCGTCGCTAACACATCAACGGCGCCCAAAAGAGGTAAGCGAGGCAACCGAGGGGGTAATGGACGCAGCGGTAAAACGACCAGCGCGCCAAGCGAGAACCAGAAGCCGTCGAGGCCACAGTGTGGCTACTGTAAGAAGATGGGACATCCAGAAGAGCGGTGCTGGGAGAAGCACCCGCATCTGAAGTCTGGCACTATGCCGGACGATTGTAGGTGATCACAATGCGATGGCCGTGAACGATTGTTATTAGACTCACTGGTTTTTAACAGACGATTCTACACTGTGGGCCTTCTTTCACAAGATATGGCACGCTGCTCATTGTATTTGCTCGACATGTCGCCCAGCGCCTTTCAACTGCTGGGACTATACGAGAGGCCAACCTTTGTTCCCCCTTGATAGCACGACTTTTGTTTCGCTTGTTAAAAATAAGACCCTTGCTTTCACAATAGATAATCCCCAGGGATTCTAAATATCGCATCTTCGGCACTCTTGTCCGTCTTGAGTGCCCAGTGCATAGTAACTCTTTGCACTTTAATGCTAAATTAGTTAAAGTCAGCCACTCCTGCCTTCTGCCTCAGGCCGTCACACTAGTTAGGGAGGAGCCATCTTAGCGGCAATCGATCGGGAACCCTGGGAGCCTCATTGGGCCCGCAGTGCTTCTAGTTTCCCTTGGTCGCCTCCAGCCCCATCCTATGTAAATGGCGGCATGTCCCCCATTTCTTGATCTTCCTGGAGTCTGCAGAGTTTCCTGTACAATAGTCTCTGTACTTGTCGCATCACCTGATCGGAAGCAGGTAGCCTTGTGGTCACGTATTGTCACGCCTGACAAGCTGCCGGCCCGACGAGCCAATAACAGGAGCGAATGAGTGGCCAGATCGCTACCGCAAAAACCGGAAGTCGGCGCGCAGGACGGCTCCCCAGGTATTAGCCGTATGGAAATTACCTCATGAAAAATCCTGCTTTTGCCCGGCTCCTCTTACTCCTCTTTTAGGTCGTGACTCCTCTTCAACTCTACCCTTTCAGTCACCCCGCCCATTTGTCTCCTTCAATCCTCTCGTTATCAGATTGAGATCTCTCTCCACGCCTCCCGCACTCATCCTCAAAGCAGGATGAGGCCGTGCGCCAACGCATCTCAGGTTCCGCCTGCGCCCCGTTGACTCGTGCGCCCACGTGGTGCCAGCGTGCCCTCCGAGCGGCCGCCGTGCCTCAAATTCCTGCATTCCTCCTGGCCTAAACCATGTTGGCCTCCTCCCCCTCGCCTTCCACAGCCGCGCTGCGATCACCTCGCCCGCAGACGGGCCACTATGATCCCCCGGCTCCACACTTCAATAGTCCTCGCTCCTCGCGCTTGGCCATTGAGGAGTTGCGCACCGCCCTGAACCGGCATACCGTCGATCCCTCCTCTCCTGAATCCCCAGCAGACCGTCGCAGGCGCGCCTCTACGTCTTTCGCCGTCTCTGCGTCTGCGTCTGCGCCTACCGCTGCCTCTGCCGCCGCCAATAGCTCCTGCTCTTCTTCCCTTGCCCCCTCCGCTCCTGTGACTGCCTCCTCCGGTCCTTCAGCCACTCCTTCCACGGTCGCTGTCCCCGCGCCAGGCGCGCCCGCAACTCACCCTGCCTCTGCCGCCGTATCAACATCCTCGATGCCCGCCCCAGACAGTTCGGGGTCCAACAAGCGTAACAGCCAGAGTGACCACCACCCGCCAGAGCGCGCTCCGGCGAGCGCCGGTGCGGACCAGCAGGCGTCGCAATCCAAGCGTCTGCGCTCCTCCCGGCCCGAGGTCAAGGTCTTGCCCGCGCAGTACGAAATGGCCGATCCGCGTGACCTGGTGGTGTTGATCTCGAGCATGCTGATGGAGCTGATTCGATTCAATGACAAGATCCCTCTCCATCAGGGCCGGCTAACGCGCTTCCACTCCCGATCCCCGCCCCGGATATCCGTGCAAGATTACCTGCAGCGTCTCACCACCCACGCCACCCTCTCCCCTCCCATCCTGCTCGCTATGGTTTTCTACATCGACCGTCTCTGCGCATTCTATCCTTCCTTTACCGTCTCCAGTTTGACCATCCACCGTTTTTTGATCGCCAGCGCCACTGTGGCCAGCAAAGGGCTCAGCGACAGCTTCTGGACCAATAAGACATATTCCCGTGTCGGCGGTATTAGCATGACCGAGTTGGCCATGCTAGAGTTGGAGTTCTTGTTCCGAGTCCAATGGCGTATCGTTCCACAGCCAGAGGTCCTGGTGGATTACTACCAGAGTCTCGTCGAGCGATGCGATGGCTTCGAGATTGAGCGCCCCAGCTCCAAGACTGTCTCAATGGCGAAATCCACTACCAATAACCCTTCTGCATGATCCCAGGGGGTGTCATGATTCGATCGATCGAGACCGTAGCGGATCTTTTTCTTCTTCGTGTTCATTTAATTTTACCTCATCACCATCTCGGGCTGGCCTCGAGACACATCTCTGGCGAAGATGAAGCGCTCGTTATCGATCGATATTCCCTCTGATTCCAATTCCACCTGGCGACGCGATCTTAATATCTTGCATCCATGAAGGGCGTTGTTTGACCAGATACTCTCGCCATGTTTGTGATCTGTGATCATCACCGCGGCGCACACATCAATCGGCGCGGCATATTAGAGTGGTCTACACCTTTAGCATACCAGAAGGGCGGTGTTTTGTATCTTCAAGTTGTTTTCAGCGGTCCATTTACTAGCGGAAGGATCCGGCGTTTTGATGCCTCATGGAATGACGTGCTATTAATGACAATACCACATTCCATTCTGTTGATTGTTTGTATTTCTTATGTGATTTGTTAAATTATCTAAAAATAAGTAATAAAAAAAAAACTTGAAACTACAAGTACCACCTGATGTTGTACATATGTGTGTAGAACGTAGTTGGAGCCCTCTTTGGGGGCCTGACGATCTCCCGGTCTAGAGTCCCTCCTGCATTTCCACACTGGGCGAATTAGGGCTTAGGGTGCGGGGTTTAGGGCATTTTTTTCAGGAACGGAAGGCGTGCCTGTAAACCGCTGCCTGCCTCCCCATCGCGCCTTCCCTCTGTTCACGCCGCACAACAGTTAAGAGGCGTCTGCCTCCCTTGTGGATTTCTTCCTTTCGCAACCCCCTGCCCACACACATCCCGCGACCATCATTCTCATAATCCGTTTCCTTAAACCACCTTCCGTGAAAAATTCGCAACGATGGCTGCCATCAGCCCCAGCGAGATTGTTGCAGCGATCAGCCCCCCGGATGGCAAAATTCAGGCCATTCGAACTTTCCAGCAAGTCCATCCTCCTGAGGACTATGGTGAGTTGAACCTCTAGTTGCACGCCGAATCCCAATACGGCGACGGTTTGCCACGGACTGACACAGATGTGATTTGGCCAACAGGCCTTGCTTGGGTCGCAGAAGTCGACCAGCAGCAGGCAAACACCTCTCTGAAGTAAGTGGACTTCGTTCCCAAAAGTGAATGCACATAAGACTAACTTGCCTTTCCAGAGCTTTGCAGAACGCGTTCCCTTTCCTCAAGACCGGCCGCGACAAGAAGAACAAAGACAAGAAGGGCAAGAATGCCAAAGCCGAAGATCCCAAGAGCGAGGGCAATGACGATGAGGACGAAGATGATGACCTTATCAACCTCCGGCACCTGCGTCGCTTTTGCAGCCGCGGCCGCCTTCCCATGAGTGTCAACGCCAAGCTGGGACCGCATTATCCTGAGGGGTGCAACACAATGTGCTTGATGGTTGGCCCTCTGATGCCCACTACTACGGAGGATGAGATCCGAGAAGTCCTCACGCCCTTCAAGCCGCCTCTCGATCGCCGCCCACCATCCCCTACATCCAGCCACTCTTCGTGGACTGGCAACAACCCTCGCGGCAAGTCCGCTGATCCCTCCAGCGATGAGGACAAGGACAAGGAGGACAAAAGTCCTGCCGAAGCTCCTGTGGCCAAAGAGCCACTCAACCTCATCCAGACCCGAGTTCCCCTCTACCCTCCGACCAACCTCGAGCAGGCCAAAGAGTGGACTGCAAACTTCTGGGAGACCACTTTCAATGCGGCTTCCACCAAAACCAAATTCGCTCCCAACCCTCGGGCATTGAAGGACATGGAGATGTCGCTCAGTTACTTCGCTGGCCATTACCTTGCTCTCGCGCGTGCCGTTGCCGCTGAGGCCGAAGAATCCGGCCGTGGTCGCGCCGTTGGCGCAGTGATCGTCGACCTTGCCGTCCAAGAGCAAATGCAAAAGGACGCTTGGGACTATGGCTTCCACCCACTCACGCGGTGGATGCAGCCCGTCATTGCCGTCGCAGGTGATGCGAGATTCGCTCACCGTGTAGCTGGAGAGAAGTCCGTCAACATAGGCAAACGCCCTACACATGATGCGAACGACGACGCCCTGCCGTACAACGCAGACGAGGAAGGCAGCCCTGATCTCCACGCTATGATGCGTGCGGCTGCCCTGGTTGGACTTCGCCGGCTGGAAATTTCCGGGCTCGAACCGCCTCTTGAAGAAGACATCCAAGCTCAGCTTCTGGATGATCTTACCCCCCTTGAGTCATACTTCTTGTATGATATGGACAAAAAAATTCGCCCCTCCCCCCACCTCCTTCACCCCGGAGCACCGGGTCCACGGTCTGTCGTCCCCTAAGAGAAGGCGGCACAATGATGAGGACCCGGAGACCATCGACCACCTGATGCTCGACGAGGGAAGCTCTGTCCCTGGTCTTGAGCACGGTGACGAGCGAGAGCCTGAGCCTCGCAATGCCGATGATCAGCCCGGCCCCTCGACCACGCCCGCCGCCCGTATCAAGTCCCAGAAGGCCGGTGGCTACCTCTGCCGGGATCTCGCCATTTTCCTTTCCCGCGAGCCATGCGTTTGCTGCTCGATGGCGATGGTCCAGTCGCGTTTCGAGACGGCCGTCTACCCGCAAATCGGCCGTACTCTTACCGGTGGCCTCGCTTCTGAGTCCGTGATCGACCAGTCTCCCCCCATCACGGACGAAGATGAGTACCAGGAGATTTACCCCTCCTCGGATACTGATCCGATGGAGAATCGGGTGTTTTACGGACTCAATTTCCGTAAGGAGCTCAACTGGCGGTTCCCCGCCTTTGAATACATCGAGGAGCGCCCTGAATGGGTGGATGACTCGGTCCTTTTCCACGCTTAAGCAGCGTGTGCATTTTTTGATTCCCCCAGTTTGGGGGTCCATTTTTTGAATTTAATGAAGCATATGAATGTATGTACGAGTAGCATGACTGTGACGAGTAATGAACGGAATCTGAAAATTGTAAAAGCTTCTTGTAAATTTATATAGGGTAAAAGTCTAATTAAATCTCGCTTTCTTGCTCCATAATTCTTTACACTTATAGTATAAAAGCTTTTCCCCTTCTTCATCTCTACCATCATCATCTTTTTCTCCTCCATCCTCATCTCCTCTACCTCCATATCCTCACATACAAGGAGATCGCTCATTCGTTAAACACCGAGCGGAGGAAACAGGTGTTCTACGGAATTAATTTCCGTAAAAAACTGAACTGGCTGTTCCCCGCGTTCGAGTATGTTGAGGAGCGGCCGGTCGACGAGACAGTACTTTCCAAGCATGAAGGGCGTGAGCAACTTTCGGGACCCCAAAACTGAACCCGGCGATTGACAGGTGGCATTTGAGTACGCCGAGCATGCCCTGGTCTTGGGACTGGGTGCCCAATGTCCAAGTCATTTTCCAAGACTGACGGCATGCACAATTCTCGGTACCCTGAAACCGGGGTGCCATCATGAATGTAATTTGAAATATTGACAAACGTACGAGAAGACAGACTTGTAGGAAATAATGACCGTCATTTGAGATTTTCAAATAGCTCTTGTGGGTTTCTTTTGGGGAGAAAACCATATAGGCGTTTTGATGTTCAGATATGTCCCCCTTGGCCTGTTCTTTTTTATATCACACACTGTATCTACATAATCCCTTCCTTCATTTTCATCATCTTCTCTTTCTTCACCATCTACTCCTTCACCATTTCCTTCTTCATCTATTATGATCTTAATCTAAATCCCATCCAGGGCGATCTCGATCTCCGCCTCCTCTGACACGGACCCGATGAATAATCGTGTTTACCACGTCCTCAGCTTCCGGAAAGAGCTGGACTGGCGTTTCCCGGCGTTTGGATACGTTGAGCAGAGCAGAGGCCTGAGGGACTGCAGCATTTCTCCAGCACCCAGGTTTCAGTGTACTTTCTTTGTTTGAAAACGAAATCCTGGAAGAATGTGCTCGGGTAGTACCAACGATCAAGAACGAGTGGGACGAAGAGACTTCATAATCTTTTTGTACGTTTGTTTGAGGGTATATTTTCTCTCCTTACCCATTATTATTATTCATGCTTACAGTCTTCTTTTCAGTGCATATCACGGCGAATTTGAGTCAGTCTCACGACGATTAAACCCTGCGACTTATCGTGCGATTTGGGCATGGTACTCAACACTTCTACCACGTACGCTATCGTTCTGCGTCAAGATGGTTACCGCGAACGAGACCATCTGGATGACTGATACGTTGGATGGATCCTGGCCACGATTCGCCATTTACTTATCAAGGTTGCGAATCACTATGACAAGCGCGAAACAACTCAAGGTACGCTTCACACGGCCGAAACAGGCTCCGAGGACTCCGTCGGCACGGATCTCGCTGTTGTGTACGACTTGGACAACACATTTATGGACGACGCCACATTGTTTGCGTTGGTCATGACCGAGAACCAGACGAACCCTCAAGAAGCACAAGCTCGATTTCGAGGCCCACATCCCGCGTGTGATCCGAATAGGCGTAGCTATCTAGGCATACGGAATCAGGTCGATTCCCATCATTGGATGTCGAACGCCCCTTACAGGCGCCGCGTTGGGAGCAATTTTCCATACCTGGTGCGCACATCGAGATCAGACCAGGCTCGTGCCCGCGAGTTACCGTCGGTGTTGTCACCATCCTTGAAACGTGGGTGGAGGGTAGCGTGGTGTACCAACATAAAACGGGAAAGGGAATCCCAAAAATATTCAATGTACTCTTAGCTTTGATAATGACTACGACAAAGAAAATAAATTGTGAAAAATTCCTTTGAAATTTTTTTTGGAAATAAAGACATGCTTTTTCTCCTCCCTCCCCCTTCACCACCTCTATCCCCGAGCCATCTAGCAAAATCACAGCAACCACCACTCGCCCTTACACACATACAATAGGGACATTCAGAGTTGCAACGGTAGGAAAATCATCAATCCCACAGCCAGGAGTCAAAACTAGATACATGCCCACCGCCACAGCTGTCATCATGCAGGGGGGTAAAAATCAGGAAATTCATGACATCGTCAGATTCCCTCGTCGCGACAAAATACATTTAGGAAAGGAAAATGATCCCGAGATCAAGCAAAAGGACACACACTCCAGCGCCGGCATGTGGAGTGTAATGAACCCCGATTGAGATCAAAGATGTATGTATGCTCTCCAACCCTCTCATGATTGAAGGTGGAAGTAGAATTAGCACCGCAAATAAGGTGCAGCTGTCAAGGAAAAATGGGGTATCAACCGCTATTCGACATTCCTAATACAGCCCGAAACAAAAAAGTGGATTCGTTGATGATGTCTCATTGACACAGATGGAGGTGGATGTTGAGAAACACGGACATGTTGAAAAAGCGGTGGAGACACTTGGACCATATAAGGTTGTAAGGTTCGTGTGATATGATGCAGGTTCGGAATAATCTCACTTTCGCTCTGTATTTGCAGTCCAAAGTGCTCGTAAGATGGAAAGAGGTACATATAGCGAATTTGGGTTCCCCAACCCTTTTCGCTAATGCGCTCGTATCCGCACCTTTCAAGTCTCAGTTGTGAGCTGGGTGCATTTCAGTGATTTGTAGTGATGTATTCGTTATGGTGTGGACTTTAAGCCGAATTTGCTATCTACAACGGATAGATGCAAGAGGTTGAGGTGAGGCTGAGAGAGGTAGGCAGAGATGTACAGAATCGGCTGATACACCTACGAGAAGGCGCCAGTATTGGAACGGGTATGATGCTCGGAAGGAAAAGAAATTTGATGGAAATGCGTTTCTCATTGGTTGAACCTGGGTATTTGTGAAAATATGTCATGCTTACTCTTTTTTTATGTGTTTTTAGTTTTCTTTTCTTCTGCCGACGACCGCGCTGGTTCATGCCATGCGCTGGTAGAAAAGGAGGTATGCGACCTTGTTGTCGCGGGAGCCATATCGTCCCAGGGGAGTGCGAACCCCAGACGAAGGACCCGACGAAGGTGCCGCTCCGTTGACGGACTTCTTGGTATGTCCGTTGGTGGAGCCGTGGCCATTGACCTGGCTCCAGCCCTTGTCGCTATCCATCGAGTCCATCTCATCCTGGTCGATGTTCTCGAAGATGTTTGCGCGGGCATTCTTGTCTTGCTTGTTGTGCTGCTCAAGAGCAGCAGCAAGGACCTTGGGGTCTTCTTCACCCCCGGCTTCGGCAACGTCTTCACTGCGCACGCGGCGGAGGACCGTATCGTCCATGCGGATCCACTCGCGGCCATCCTGGCGGCGGACATCAACCGTGTAGTGACCACCACTGGCGTTCTTTCCGTGGTGATAGATTACTCCCATAAGGCGATACTTAGGGAGACCGCCTTGGGCATTCATGGCGTTGCGGCGGTGTGCGGGGAAGACCTCGCGGGGGATCTCCAGATCGAGGGGATATCCCACCTTCTTCCAGATCTTTTGCGTAGCGCCTGTAAGACTATCATACTGGAAGCGTTTAAGGTGAAGGATGAGGACGGGTGGAAGGGTCTCAATGAACATCTGCTTGGTTGCAGTGACATTCGGACCGCGGGAGGAATTGAAGTCGCCTTGAATGCTCTCAGGCTTGGTCAGGCCACGAAGTGCGTCGATAATGTTATGAACATCGGGTGCGCCGATGTCGAGCTGCAGAGGCTGATAGGGTTCCATGGTGACAGAAGTCTTATTGCCTGGTACCTTGAACTCAGAGCGCAACTTGCCTCCGAAGATTCTGGTGACGGGCGACTCGGTGGCGACAGCGCCGGATGACTGGGTCACTGCCGACTTCTGTTTAGCACCGACTTCCAGCCATCCATCAGCGGAGCCATCGGTGGATTCTTCAGAGGCTGCGTTCTTCGAGGTGTGCTTCGCAGCACGGTCACATTCTTCGTGTAGTTCCTCGAGCAGGAAGCCGAGGAACTCCTGCGCATCTTGCTGGTGCCCTCGGCGCATGTCCCTGAATCGCGGCAGCTGGCGAATCATCTCGTACACAAACTCGGGGACAAAGGACTCGCCATATTGCTCGAGCTCAGTTGGCTTGAGGCGGAGTCGCAGCTGGTCCTCCGAAGTCGCAGCGTCAATTACCCGGAACTCCCTCATGAACATGATCAGTGAGTCGATCAGGGGCACATCGCTCTGGAAGCTGTGGACAGCGCGACGACCAACATAATCGAGGAATTGGTAGAATGGGACACAAGAGACGAGGATTTGTAGGACAGAGTTCATGTAGCACATGTTTCCAGTGTTGACTAGTCCTCGAGGCTCGAGGAAGCCGATCTTATCACTGTATTGAGAGACGTCTTCACCGAGGCTGCCCAAGACATCTCCAAGGGACTCGCTCTTCTGAACAAGGGGTGCGCCGGACTCGGCGGCGACGGGGGCACTGGTAGGGCGACCAGCAGCTGCGGCTGCGGCTGCGGCGGCTTTAGAGCGCACCAGGTCTGCCCAGGATTTCGGGGGAGCACGAGCAGGTGAGGCTGCCTTGGTCGAGGTTTCGGTAGAGGGGGAGGAGGTTTGCTCGGTGTCTGTTGTGCCCGCAGCACTCGATTTGGGGGTTTCAGAGCCGACACTGGAGGTGCTAGTATCCTTGTTCGCTTGGCGGCGAGGGGTTCCTGGAACATTAGGGACAACCGGAACCACGGGAATCGCAGGCTTTGTGCTCTTTTGTTCAGTCTGACCCTTGTTGATGGTAGGTGAAAAAGCCGTTGGTTTCGGCGAAGGTGAGTTCGTAGTCGGGTCTGCAGCCGGCTGAGGGGCAGAGATGGTGGGGGTTTGAGATCCAGAAGTGATATTAGCAGTCGAATCCTCAGGCTTTGCCTTCTTCTCCTCAGCGGGCTTTTCTCCAATGAACCATTGGCCATCCTTCAGCGGAAACTCGACATCCGACGACAGCTGGCGAGTGGGTCGGCGTTTGGTCTGGCGCCGAGGCGGAAATGGCTGCTCAGGGACGGAAAGCCAAGGAAGCTATATATTGTTAGACTATGTCCACAGAATTTAAAACCAGGGAATAACATACCGGTGGAACAAATGGAGGGGGGGCCTCGGGTTCCTTGTGGATTGGAGAAGGAGGCGCGGCGGGGATGTTATTAAGAGGGCTAGGGCCCGAGAGGTCCTGGAGCTCGGCGGGAAGAGGATTGGCATGGACCGAAGGAGACATTACTGGCTGCAAGGGTGTCGCGGCCCGCGGCTGCATCGGCATCGAGTGAGGTGGCATGTGGTTGGGCGCCATAATCGGCTGTGAAGGTGGATAGGAGGACACAATCATGGGCCCGTAAGGTGGTTGTGGTTGATAGGGTCGGGGAGGGTATTGCATTTGGCCATAAGGCGGGTACCAAGGCTGAAACTGCTGAGAATATGTAGGAGGCATGTGGCCGTTCATGCCATTCATGCCCATGCCGTTCATGCCGCCCATACCGCCCATGGCGTTCATACCGTTTATGCCATTCATGTGTGGGGGATAACCCATGTACGGCGGAGAGTTCATGTTGGGATGGCCATGGTTGAAGGGAAAGTCCTGTCGCCGGCGCGACTGCGGCATTGGTGGCTGCCCGTGGGGCAACTGGGCCATGTGATGGTTCATCCTGATTTAGCTCGAGAAGGTATTCGCCTTTGTTCAGCCACGCGTTGCCTGGATGGCAACCATGCGCTTTTGGAAATCAAGATGTTCCAGTACTCGAGTCCGGGCGCGTTTATGCAGCCATTATTGCCTCTTCTGGGGGTTCGAGGAACGAGAGTCGAGACAGGTGTATGGGGAATATATCTAGGTCGAGAGAGTGCGAATGGCGGGAGCTGGGAATTTAAGTGTTGGCACAATGCGCCGCTGGGGAAAAAAAAGGTGGAGGGTGGTGTATTCGCTTACCAGTATATCACAGGAAACCAGAGTGAATGTGATGCACGCTTGAACGCCGGTCGAACAAGGTGAAGGAGGGTGAATGGAATAGGGAAGGGGGAGGAAGCAAGTAGCGGTCCCTCATTCACTGCGTCCGAGAAGCTGAAGTGCAGGCCTTCCCAAAAGCGTGCTGAGTCACTGCTGCTGAGTCAGTGGGCACGTGCCGGCGATGTCATTCCCGCCGCCCCTCCTCGACGCCCGTCGAAGGGCTCAGCGTGCCATTCCGGGTCGCTTTGTCTACCTTTAGATGGCCTCTCGAGGCTTGATCTATTCCTACCTGTCTTGGGCTTCCTCAGACTGATCTGGGCTGCGCTGGATGGACTCCATCCTCTCCTTCCTTGCCGGTTGACCGCCCACATTATCAGTGCGTTGCGTCTATCACTGACCTCTCTAGGGAGCCTTTTTGGACTTTGATCAAGCGGGCTTTTGTCGTTTTATTGTCACTCGCTTTGTCGCGAGGTTCTTACCTCGGTTTTCGGTCAAACCATTCCGTGAATCACCTTGGAAATGTCGTCAAATGCTGGACAGTCCCCGACGCCTTCCAAAGCAGTAAATATCTCGAACACCTCGGGCAGTTCTGCGACGTTTCATCCTTCTGCTTCGTCCGATAGTGGCTCTCAGCGACGGCCAGGTGGTCCGGGGAGCTTTGGTGCAGGTCTATCCTCGAGGGGATCAGCATCTCCGCGGAACAATCAAAGCAAAAAGAATCAGCATAAGCGACAAAAGAAACCTCGGGCCTTGGATGATGACGAGTACAGCGAATCAGTGAGTATTTCGCCTGGACTTGGCTAGGCCTCGTCGTGCTGACGCATTACCCCTCGTTCAGGCCGTCATGAAATCTACAAGTAGCCGCAAGGGACAGACGTCCATTACCCATCTGATGAACTTTTCCCTCCCACCTCGACCTCAATACCAACCACCACCCCGCAATATTCGGCGTTATACATCGTATGGTGCAGGATCTGGGTACCATGCCGTGGACAAAGCGCGCTATGTCCATGCCAACTACCGTTTCATTGTTTCACCGGATCGCAACTACCATGCTCAGGCCGCCAATGCCGACGTACATCTAGACTGGGCCTCTGTTCTTCAAGTCCTAGTCTCCGCTCAAACTCAGGATGCCAGCTGTCCCATCTGCTTATCGACGCCAGTTGCGCCCCGGATGGCACGATGCGGTCACATCTTCTGTCTTCCTTGTCTTATTCGGTACATGCATTCATCCGATGGTGAACATCGGGACAATTTGGGCCCCGAAAGAAAGCCTCGGTGGAAGAAATGTCCCATCTGCTGGGACTCGGTTTACGCTTCGGAGACTCGGCCCGTGAGATGGTTCCGCGGTCAGGAGGGCGACCTCCCGGTGGAAGGTGGAGATGTGGTCCTGAGACTGGTCAAGCGAGAGCCTGGCAGCACTCTTGCGCTTCCTCGCGATGGGGGTGAAACCATTGCGCCGGGAGAAGACATCCCATGGTATCATGTGGCGGAAGTTGCAGATTATTCTCGCATCATGAAAGGCGGGGAGGACTACATGACTGCTCAATTTGATGCTGAGATCGAAGATATCCGCCGGCAAGAGGTCGAGGATGAGCTTCTTTTCGGCGATGAGAATACATGGTCTCGAAAGGCCGTTCGGGCAATTTCAGAATCCAAAGAGAAGCTGAAGGGGATCGGTAACCCGCCCGATCTCACATGGCAAAAGACGAGCTCCAAGTCCACAAAGGAGCCTGCTGTGGAACCTGAAGCCGTTGAGCATGCGCCTCTTTCTGCTGGTGGCTCTTCCGAGGAATCGGGGCCTGGTTCCAGCACGGACCTAACACATCCGGCCACGGAATCCACATCCACACTAATTACATCGGCCGAATCCGAGCAATTGTCAGAAGCCATGGACAAAGTACAACTAGAATCTGACAACAAGTCACAGTCACGGTCAAGGGGTCGGGGCAAGGAGCCACAAAATACTCCTCCGTCTGACCAGCCCTACTACTTCTATCAGGCTCTGCCCCAGTTCTACCTGTCACCTCTCGACATCCGGATCTTGAAGGCAGCCTTTGGTGAATATGCTCAATTTCCTGCGACCATCCTGCCACGCGTAGAGCATATATCGACTGGGCATATGGTGGACGATGACCTCCGCAAGCGCGTCAAGTATCTGGGTCATCTACCTTATGGGTGTGAAGTGAACTTCCTCGAGTGCGACTGGAGAGACGTGGTCGTTCCCGAGGTCCTCGCGCGCTTCCGCACCGAGACCGACAGGAGGCGGAAACGCAATCGGGATAAAGAGGCTCGAGAAGAGAAGGACCGCATCCGTGCAGAGAAGGAAGAAGACGATAAAAGATGGGCCGCTGCTAGGCGCAAGCGACCCAGTATCAGTGACATTACCAGCGAAGCGCCATTCTCTGCGCAGGACTTTCAGCCGTTGTCCAGTACTGCTACTGACCCGCCTTTGTTCGACGCGGACACCTCTTCTGCGTCCCCGCCACGCGCGTCTTCACAATTTGGCGCCTTAGCTTCCCCTTCGACGAGTCCGCCTGGCGCCCGTACCGTGTGGGGTACCACGGCGATCCCATCGACGTCCCCCGTTCTGGAAGTCCAGCGGCCCCACGACGGGTGGTTGCAGGGTTGGGAGGACGAGCTCTTCGCGCATCAAGAATCCGAAGCAATTGCCCAATCGGCGGCCGAGAGTCAGTCTTCGGGTCCGTCAGCCGCTGCTAAGGGCGGAAAGAAGAAGAAGAAGGGCAAGATTACGTTGATGTCTACCAACAGCCATCGCGGCGCATGAGCCAGCGACCCGTGATCTGTCTACATACAGATGTATTCCGGTTTTACAACACTAATTGTGTCCATCCGGTGTAGAGAGAAGTGTGCAATTTTGATAATGGGCATGTCATACTGTCACTTCTGTTCTCTTTTACCACCTCTTTGCCTCGTCGCATAGTACATTCGGGTAATCCGAGGATTTTGTTCGGAGTGATCTCCTTTGCATCTCGCGGGCCCACATTCCAGTCCCAACATTTTCATATGATGTTGATTATCTGAATTCAAAATAAACATAGAAATCAGAATAAAGCACCCTGTTCGACATCACGATATAGCTCGTAATATGTATACCTATTAGAACTAAGTAGCATCCTACAATAGGACGTGCTGAACCTGCGATCATTATAAGTGCTTACGCAGGGAACGGCAAGCTTGGCGCAGCGATCGCCGCTGCAGGGAGAAGCCGCAGGGGCCGGACGTCGGAGCATTCAGCAGCGCGACGGGGAGGCAGAACCACGGACGCGGCTGTCACCACACCTGACAGTGGCACCCTGCTAATTATGTATTGTCAGTGCAATCCGGCAAGTCGAGAAGCGAAATTGTGGGGGGAAGCAAACAGGCCCACGCAGGGCGGAAGAGGCGCGAGCCGGGCGTAATCTGCAGGTAATCGGGGGTAATTTTGCCGTATCCACGCCGCTTTGCTGGCAACATGTAAACAGTCCCGTTTTTCTCCTTCCTCCTTCTCTCCCACCGTTCTCCCTCCCCATTTCCCGTCGGATCTCGGACGTCCGAGTAGGCAATCATGACTCTGACACGCTCTCAAACGGGGAAAACCCCCAAGTAAGTCTCCCATTGGCTTCGCGGTGCGATCCACCTTGGTACGCGGATGTTATATACCCCCGTCGATGCCATTGCTTCTTTTCTGTCTTGTTGGCAGTCGCTCATTCTCTTTTACTGCAATTAGGAAAATGGACCGCCCCGGCTACATCGAAACCCCCGGCCGTCGCGTCTCGCGCAAGAGCTCTGCCTTCGACGGCAGCGAAAATGATGCGTCCGACTCCCCTGCCCCCAGCAGGTCGCGGTCTGTCACCCGCCGTCGCACTTCCGCCAAGGTCAAGTCCGAGGATGAGGAGGACGAGAAGAGCCTCGTGAAGGAAGCCACCAATGGCAAGGCCAAGACGGCGACGCCTACAAAGTCCAAGGCCAAAGCCGGATCCAAGTCAAAGTCGCGCATTGTCGACGGCTGGGAGGAGGGTCTTGACCCCAAGATCGATTACAGCGGCCACTACGAGTTCGGCGGTTCCGCGGGTGTCCTGGCTATGATGATTGGTTTCCCGATGCTCATGTACTACATGTGGATTGGCGCGACTTATTATGATGGCAAGTTCCCTGTTCCCGCGGAGGGGCAGAGTTTTGCTGAGTTCACGGCCCATATGGGTCATCTGGTTTACACTGGCGCGTTCCCCTCGCTGAAGGCGTGGACTATTTATTGGGTTTTCTTCATCTTCGAGGGCGCTTGCTACGTGCTGCTCCCTGGTGTGTCGGTCTCCGGACGTCCCCTGCCGCACTCCGGGAACAAGCAGTTGCCCTACTACTGCTCTGCTGTGTGGTCCTTCTACACTAGCATTGTCCTGGTGCTGGTTCTGCACTTCACTGGTCTCTTTAAGTTGTACACCATTATTGATGAGTTCGGTCCTCTGCTCAGTGTCGCGATTCTCTCGGGTTTCCTCGTCTCGTTTGTTGCGTACTTCTCTGCTCTGGCGCGTGGTGCCCAGCACCGTATGACTGGCTCCCCGATCTATGACTTCTTCATGGGCGCTGAGCTGAACCCCCGTATGTTCGGTATCCTGGATTTCAAGATGTTCTTCGAGGTCCGTCTGCCCTGGTACATCTTGCTGTTCCTTTCCATGGGTGCCGCCGCCCGCCAGTGGGAGATCTACGGCTATGTGTCTGGTGAGGTGATGTTCCTCATTATGGCGCACTATCTCTACGCCAATGCTTGCTCTAAGGGAGAGGAGTGCATCGTTTCCACCTGGTAAGTCTTCGTTCTTTACCACTCAAGAACATCCACTAACATCACCAGGGACATGTACTACGAAAAATGGGGCTTCATGCTCATCTTCTGGAACCTGGCCGGCGTCCCCTTGAGCTACTGCCACTGCACTATCTACCTCGCCAACCACGACCCCTCCGAGTACCACTGGAACCGCTACTTCCTCGCCTTCCTGTACATCGCCTACCTGTTTGTGTATTGGGTCTGGGACACAACCAACAGCCAGAAGAACCGCTTCCGCCAGCAAGAGCGCGGTACCATGGTCGCCCGCAACACCTTCCCCCAACTCCCCTGGCAAACTGTCGAGAACCCCAAGACCCTGTCGACCGCCGACGGCTCCAAGATCCTTGTCGACGGCTGGTACGGCAAGGCCCGCAAGATCCACTACACCTGCGACCTGTTCTTCGCCTTGAACTGGGGCCTTATCACCGGCTTCTCCAGTCCGTTCCCCTGGTTCTACCCGCTCTTCTTTGCGTGCATGATCTCCCATCGTGCACTGCGTGATATCCAGCGCTGCCGTGTTAAGTACGGTGAGACCTGGGCTGAGTATGAGCGTCAGGTTCCTTACCTGTTCATTCCCGTGAGTGTCCCAGAGTTCGAATAATGGAAATATCGTTACTAATGAATTCTTTGCAGTACGTCTTCTAATGACGACACTAATTGGGTCTTCCCTCGACTTTCTTTTCATATATAGCGGCTCAGGCGGCTGTGCTCGTTGCTCGGCCCACCAAAATTGCTACGACACTGTTGGAACTTCTTGGCATGACTTCGAGATATTTTCTTTTAATGCTGGTTCCGTTGTTTCGAGACTCCTCTGTTTAGGACAAGCAGATTGGTTGACCTCGCAGCGACCGTTCAATTCAGTTCCATGTACATTATTCTCTGGATTCCTCGGGCTTTTCGATTTGATGTTCAATACAATAAACTTGTTCATTCAATTTTCCTTAGTCGTGTGTAGTCCTATGTACAGTCGTATGTACTTGTGGCCCGCACTTTGTCAGCGGCCACATGACACCCCGCGCGTTATCGATAATGCTTTGCCCACAGCTCCAAACCGCAAGCTTCACTCAAATTCACTGACAGGTTCAGATTGATTGCAGAGATCAACAATGCTCGTCTCAGAATCCCACGTCGACGTTCCTACCTCGGCCGATGGCCAGGGTTCCATGCGTACGTCCTTCTCTCGAGTCCTTGGTGCTCCGCCGCTGTGCAGTCAACGTCATACCCGCCAACAGCTGCCGTGGACTCGATATTACCTCGTGTCGCGTCAATTCCTGCATTGATGCTGGGATGAGACAGAAAAGTAATTGAGTAATGGGCTAACAGTTTGGGATGATAGGAATCTACATCTTCCATCCCAATATTCCCGGGTATCCGAAAGCCCGGTTCCCCGGTGTGGTGGTTTTCAGCGAGATTTACCAAGGTGCGTCTTCACCGTATTTATATCGCCGAATTTCAGATGCGATGCGGATACGTATTGGCATGGATTTCTAATAGAACGATCCAGTCACCGGCCCCGTGGCACGTTTCGCCAGACAAATTGCCGGTCAGGGATATATCTGCGCTGCACCCTCTAGCTACCACGAATTCACCGGACCCGAGGCTCTGCAGTACAACGCCGAGGACACGGATAAGGGGAATGCGTGGAAGATTAGGAAGGTAGGCCCCCAGATTTCTGCCTTACTTCTACATTTGTACCCTTGGGCGTGGTGAGTGCATTGCTAACGTGACTAGGCCCTAAACGCCTACGACGAAGACGCCAGCCTCTCCGTGGATTACCTTCTCTCACTTCCGACGTGCAATGGCCGCGTGGGCGCGACGGGCATGTGTCTGGGCGGTCATCTGGCGTATCGGTGTGCGCTGGATAGTCGGGTTAAGGCGGCTGTGTGTTACTTTGCGACGGATATCCACAGCAAGACCCTAGCCCGGGGTAAGAATGATGATAGTTTGGCTAGGGCGGGGGATATCAAGGGGGAGTTGTTGATGGTGAGCATTCCTATTTTTTTCTTTTCTTTTGGGGGGGGGGGGAGGGGCGCTTCTCTTCCCTGGGCGGGAGATATATTCATGTTGAGGAAAGAGTGGCTAACACCAAAACCAATTCAGATATTCGGCAAAAACGACACCCACGTCCCACCCGAAGGCCGGGATCTGATTCGCAAGACCCTGCATGATCAGGGCGTTCTGTTCAGTTTCTACGAAGTTGCCTGGGCCCAGCGTGAGTTTTGAACTTGATCCCTACCAGGCCGTACAGCAGCCTTTGAGTGTGGAATTGGCTGACGAAGGCAGACGCGTTCATCCGCGATGAGCTCAGCAAGGGCCGGTACGACCCTGCGATTACCAAGTCCTGCTTCGAGATGATGATGGAGCTCTTTGGGCGCACGCTTAAGCTCGATTTGGGTGAGCATGACGGTAAGGAGGTGGTGGTTGAGGATGTTTGTTGATATGGCCCCGATCGGCGTGGCTACCTCCTAGGAAGAGCTAGTGGTCTAGCCGAACCTAATGAGGGAAAGAGGGGAGTGATTCCTACGAATTGATGTTGGTACCGACATTGTAAAGGAGCCAGATCGTGTTTCAAGGCCATGTTTGTACACATTATGACTACCCAGTACTCTAGGGTAGGTAGTAGTAGTAGATTGACCGAGTAGAGATGATCCGTCGATCGAGTCCGGGTCGCCGGGTCGACCAGATCGTTCGGCAAGGGGAGGTCTGGAGCATCGTGTGCTTGGCTGATCACTGCGGAGTGCCGTCTGTGCAGTATTCTCACACTTACTGCATACTGTCGTGAAGGTGCAGCGTGGAGATCTATTCTTAGGCCTCCGAGGCCGATCCAAGGTTATGCACACCGTTGCCCCAGAGCCAACCGTGGATCCCAGACCTCCTTGACCTGTCCCTAATACTGTGGGCAGTGCTCAGGTCCATTTTCCAGTACCTTTCTAGTCGGTCATGTGTAATTCTAGTGCTGTGCCCACCGCGCCAATTTTCAGTTGAGGCCCAGGCTAAGCGCTAGCGTCGGCCATTCCCTGATCGAGCACACTCCAGTCCCGACCGCACTCTGCTGCCTTCACCTCACTTCCCCTCTTACCACGACGCTCGCTCCTCTCACGCCTCGCACATCACGCCTCGCACATCCCGAGCGTCGCCCTTCACCTCCTCCGAATCGCTCGCTCCCAGCATCGCGGGTCAGGGGACTCTTCTGATCCCCGTCCCCAATCCAGCCCGGGTCTAAGCCCCCGTTCTTTGTCTCGCCAGTGCCACTGCAGTACCGGCAGTGCTAGCCAGCGTCAGCCAGCTCAACCCCGTGGAGGTAGAGCCGAAACTCCTTCGCCATGGGATCTACGCAATTCGGCAATTTCCACGTGAGTGCGATCGCGCCCTGGATTCTCCCCGTCCCGCGCCGAGCGGAGACGGCAACAATGGACCTGGACTGACCGAGACCGCAGGACTTTTGTCGCGACTCGCTATTGCCAGTCTGCAATGTACGTGATTTTCTCCCCCGCGACTGTCGCATTGACTACAAAGCATTGAATATGATTGCTAACGTTGGTTTCTGCAGCTATTTCTCGATAACCAGCCGCCCAACGCCGGCCCCAATGGAACCTTTGATGGATGTCCGCTATACGGAATCGAGTTGAGCGGCGATCGTTACCTCGCTAATCTGGGTATGTGATCGGTGGTGACGGGCATGGATATGGATGTGCGGCTAATACGTATGATTTGGGTGTAGGGTCGATCTTGCTCGCCGGTATCTCTATCCTTATTTCAGTTGCCTTGTTGTGGAGGTCGGATCGCAAGCATGCTGCTGTCGGGCGTCGGTACGCTTCCCACCCTATAGCTTCGTCGATTGATATTGCGCGAGTATATACGGAATTTGGACTGACAATGTCACTAGTGAGATGCAATTGTTCCTGCTCGGTTTTATCGTGATTCAAATCTGTGAGATTTTCACGGTGGGCGGTATTCCGATTCACGACTCCGTTAGAAAGGTGGGTGTTTCGAGGTTGTGGTTATTGAGCTCGTGCTGATCATATATAGGGCTTCTCGGCCGTTCATCTCGCGGCGATCACCGCCACCTGCTGGATTCTTCTTCTCAACGCACTCGTCGGTTTCCAGTTACTCGACGACGGGACGCCGGCTTCAATTGGACTTATCGCGGGATCGGCGATCGTGCTCTTCATTGGGACTGGTTATATTGCTCTGGATACCGCATTCGACTGGACAGGTCATTTCCAATCCAGTGTGGGCGCCGGAGGTGATAACCGCAACATCGCTCTCTACGTCCTGTACCAGCTCTTCCCGCTCGTTTGTCTGGTACTGTTCTACATTTTCGAGGCCATCCTGGTCATGCGGCTGCTGGGTGAATTCCGACCAATGAGTATGTCCACAATTATCCTTTTGGCCGCTGTCTGCATTTTTCTATACCCGTACTAACCTCGAATAGTCTACCTCACCGGCGCTGCCCTCCTCTTCGCCATCGGCCAAATCTTCCAATACGTCATCAGTGTCCACCTCTGCGAAGCCTCCAACCACAAAATCAACGGCACCCTCTTCGAAACTCTCTTCACCCTCCTCTCCGTCATGGCCATTTGGGCCTTCTGGAGTAGCATCACCGAAGACGACTGGCCCTTGCCGACTGGTGGTGGATACAATTAGATGTTGGTCGGCTCGGTCGGTGACGAGTCGTCATGAATACTTTCGACGCTGTGATACCACATCCCTCTCGCCCCACGTTTCACGATTCACTGTCCTCTTCCCCTTCTCTCGATTCTTATGCCTCGCTGCGGTCATGTCTGCTTTCCCTGCCACGAGGGATTGTGATCTGTAAAACGCTCGGTCACCTGGCGCCTTTTTGAGCTTTCTTGTTCTTTATTTTCCAGATACCTCTCATGTACACATGTTCTAATTCAGTCAATAATAGCTATATTTGTCCCTTTCCCTCCCCTGTCTACCACATAGGTTTGATGTGTATGTAGCACTGCCAATCATCCAGACAGGACTGCGTGGCATTACAAGCTGTGATCGGGTGATGTCCAGCTCCGCTGGCAAGTCAGAACTCTGTCGGAAAATAACAAGTTTGCTCCCCGCGCCAACCACACCCGAGTTGTAAGTCGAGGGTCCATATTCGAATTGGCGATGTCACTCGGTACGACCTTCATCACCCAAACTCGGTTAATCGGCCCCCTCAATCTCGCCCTGTGTGGACGCTGGGGTATGACATCCCGTTCTCGTGTAGTTTGTTCCTGCGGTGCTTTTCTGCTTGCTTGGCATACTCGTTGCTGCTACCGCTGGTGTTGGTGGTGGATATAAGGCACAGCCCGAAGGATCTGTCCAGGTTCTTGTTCTTATTGAAATCCCTTTCTTCATACACCGTCTTCTAATCTCCCCTCGTTATACCACATTGCTATTTTTATTTCTATTTTTATTTCTATATTTTTCCCTTAAAAAAATAACACGCCAGTCCCTACTGAAAATGAGAATAACATCCCTCCTCCTCCTCGCAGCACTAAGCACAGCCGAGGAAGAAGGCATACCTGCTAGAAGCAATGCCTCTCTAACCCGTACGTCTCCCTCACCCATTCTATCAAGTGTTATCCACTCAAGTGTTATCTGCATTCTATCTAACACTAATACCCATTCTAACGTATCGATGTGATATAGTCCTCCAACAAAACCGCCTCACAGTCGAGCAAATGCCCCCAGCCTGTAACCTAGCCGCGTGCCTCGGTCTCTCGGGGACGGTTACCTGCGTTATATCCGCTATTGCGGGTGGTGATCCGGCGGCGTTGCAGAGGTGTCTTGTTAATGGGCTTGCGCAGGTATGTTACTCTTCATATGGTGGATTGAGACGGCCGGTATACTTTGTCAGGGTCAAGCTGACGATGTAGATCTGCTCTTGTGCGGCTTGTGTTCCGTCTGTCGATAATTTCTTGACCTCTCTCGGGGTTTGTGTTACGAATCCCGGGAATGCGACTGAAGCCGCGAGGGTTGTTATGGAGTCTTTGCTGGAGAGGAAGGTGTGATTTTGAAGGATGGGTTGTGTAGTTTGATTGTTGGTTTTTTTTTTTTTTTTTGCAAATGGGGAGAATGGAGATTGTTTACTTTTCTGATTATCGAGTACGGTTACTGGACAGATGTTGGGAGTACAATGGAAATCGTCATGTGATGTTGCTTCCATCGAAAAAAGTACGTTCGCTATTCTGTAGCAGCAAGTCGGTCATTAATACAACGTATCATATTTACAATGCAAGTCGAGTCCATTTGGACTGAACGAATTTCTTGCAATCGAAGGGTCATGAAGACGAATGAATCTCGGAAGCACTTGGCAGACGGCTCGCTTAGTATACTCAGTATCCGAGTAGACTCAATATTCATGACGGGACATGCAGACCCCTCGCAGCGGGCACTCTGTAAAGAACCGTGCCCGAACAAACTTTTCTCATCCCGTCCATAGATTCGAGATCCGACCATCTACAGTCGAACCTTCACATCCACGCAAGGGAGCGTCCACTCCCGCCGTCCGAGCAAAACGCGCAACCACTCCAGTCCCACTCCCGTCCACTCATCCGGCTTCGTTTCCACCCCCAGTCGCTGCTGCGCGCCTTCCAGCGCTGCGCCGGCCAGAGCCTTTGCGGTCGAGTTGAATGTGTCGAAGACGAAGCCCGTGAGGCTGTCGCCGGGAAGCGGTGCTTCCATGGTAGCATTGCCAGACTGGTTGAAGAGGCCGGTGCCGCCAGTTGGCGCGCTGTAGCTGTAGCGCGGGGCGAACCAATTGCTTCGGAGATCAAAGATGCATCGGTCGGACCAGTGGCAGGAGGATGCGAAGAGGATGAGAAGGAGGGCGGAGCAGTAAATGCATGGTCGGTGGATGATGTAGGTTAGGGCGACGAAGGAGATGATGAAGATGGGCGACGCGTTGGTCGGGATGAAGAGCAGCGGGAGCCAGCTGTCGTAAACAAGTACTCGTGAGTTCAAACTCCACGGACTGAGGTGTTAGTGTTTGGCATGCTCGTACGTACCTCCGGAGGCAGAACATCGTGGGGGTATTGGTGGTGCCGGCTCGTTGCTTCGAGCCGGCGTGGAAGAAAGAATTTGTAGAATCGCAGGGAAGCACAAGATCAGTCTTTTTTTTTTTTTTTTTTCTCAAGATTGACAGGGAGATCGAGGCCAGCGTTGCGCGAGTGCTACTGCGAAGATCCGGCCGGACGAAAGACCGATGATGCAGCTGCCGCCATCACCGCCTTCGCCACAACGCACCAGCCACCGGTGCATTTTGATTCTCCAATTTGACCAACTTCACTTCCCATCCTTCAATCCTTTCCAACATTCGTCACGTCTATCCTTTTCTTCCACAACCGACTCAATTTCTCAATTTTTTCCAACTACTCGACTGCTATTGTTCTCTGATTTCTTTCCCTCTCGAAAGAGAGCTTTCGAGAGCTAGTCAAGCTTCGTCTTCGTGTGCGGAGGTCGCCTGTCATCCGAGGCGAGCGGCAGAAATGTCCACTCCCAACGATATTCAGGCTCTCCTGGCCAGCATTCGGCCTCGCCCGTCGCCGCCCAATGCTCCTAGCCAGGATCAGTATCAGCAGCAGCGCCCGCAGCAGTCATACCCGCCCGGCATGTTCCCACCTCACCCCCAGCAGCAGCAGCAACAACCCTATGATGGCCAGAGTTACCCCCACCCCGGGCGTCATGGCTATCACCACCCTTCGGTCTCCTCTGCAGTCCACAGTCCTTCGCCTATGAACACTCCGCCTCACCATGGTTCTGATATCCTCAGTCCCAATGTGTCGACTCCTCAGGGCGATCGGGGTTCTCAGCACCAGATGCCCCAGAACCTGAACAACCCGGATCGTGCGGCGAGTCTTCTCAACTTGCTTCGATTCAGTCAGGGCCCCGGCACCGTCCCGCAGCCGGCTTCGCCTGTTGTTCACGAACAAGATCGATCTCCTCCTATCCAGGAGACGACCTCTCCTCACGGACGAAACATTTCCGCGTCGGATCTGGTCGCCTCCCTCTTTGGTGGTCAGGGTGCTGCTGCCCACGCTGCTCCTCCCGTGCCTCACGCAGAAGAGCCAGCTCATTCTGAAGGACCGAGTGAGAACACTCAGGACATGCTCCTTCGTCTGCTCAACCGGTCCCAGTCCGGTGCGAACACTGCTGAGGCACCTGCTCTCGTGGCTGCAAGCCAGCCCGCCGCCCCACAGAACCTCTCCGGTGAAGAATACGTAGAGGAGGACGGAACCGAAGAGAGCGCCGGGGAGTTCTTGGAGCCCAGCCCTAAGGCTGCGAAGCCGGAAACGGTCGCGCCCTCGGCTTCCAAGGGCTCCATGTTCACCTACACCAACCCATTTGAGCAGCTGGCCGCTATCTCTCCTCAGGCCAAGTCTCCCCAGCCGACCTCGGGTGGTCACACTCCGGTTGTCGAGGCTCCTGTCGTTGAGGCAGTAGAGAAGACCACTGTTCAAGTCGCTGCCGAAGCTGCACCCGCCCCCGCTCCCGCCCCCCAGCCGGTGCGGTCTAACAAGAAGAACTCCGAGCCCATTCTGGAGCCTGTCCAGCGTCAGGCGCTTGATGGTGTGGTTGGGCGCCTCGTGGACGAGATTGGTCGCTCTCTTAGCATTGGCGAATCCAAGCTTTCCCAGAAGACTGAAACCGTATCTCCCACTACCAAGGAGGAGTCCACCGAGGCGGTCATCTCATCTATCGCCAGCAACCTGCGGGAGACCGCAGCCGAGGCAAAGGACACTGATACCTCGGACGAGGTGACTGGACCCGAGACCACCGACATGGGTCCCGCCACCACCGCCGCTCTTGCGAGCGACAATGAGAATGCAGAGGCTTTGCTTGATAGCTGGGAAAGTGCCGAGGACAGCGCTGAAAAGGAGGAAGAGCGTATTGTCTCGGTTCACAACTTCCCCCTGAAGCCTTTTATCTCCATCACCGTTAAGCCGCAATCTGGAAAACTTGCGACTTTCCGCGATGATGGCATCATGGATATCGCCCGTCTTAAGAAGGAGTTTGATCAACTGGATCGCTCCCTGACCGCTGCCACTTCTGAGTATATCGTGTATGCTCTTGCGAAGACCGGTGGCATCCGAGTCATTCGCCAGGATGATGGCACTGATCGTCAGGTGTTCCGGTCTACTCGGGACCGTGTGTTCAACGTCGCTTTGTGCACGGCTCCTTCGTCATCTGGCACCTCTGATGAGCAGGCGATTCTCGGCATTGGTGTCAGTGGCACAGTGTACTGGGCTTTGATCTCCCGCCACTCGAAGGACCTGTTCGAGCTGGATGCCTTGGAGCGAGAGAGCTTGATCTTCCCTCCTTTCCCGGCCTCTGACGAGAACACCTCTGGTGGCCAGCTGAAAACGCGGGCTAAACGGAGCACTCGTCACCCTGATTTGTTTGCCATTGGCCGTGGTAAGAACATCTACGTCGTCTCCCCCCAGTCCGCGATGAACCCTGTCTATGGTATCAGCGGTTCTCAGCGCACCGTCAACACCGAGAAGTTCTTCAAGGAGCGTGCTCTGAAGATCTCGACTGGCAAAGCTGGCAAGGACTTTGCTTTCAGTGACGATGACTCTGTGATCGCCTCTCTCGACAAGACAGGCCGTTTGCGTTTCTGGGATATCCGTGATTTCCTGGAGAACAACTCTACTGAAGGCCCCGCGCCCAATGAGATCCGGGTCCCCCTGAATACCTTCGTTACGGGCTCTCCGGCTGAGAAGTCGTGGCCTACGTCGGTACTCTTCCTGGATAAGCTCCGCCCTTACTCGCGATCCATGGCGTTGCGGTATGTCTTGGTCGGCCTTAAGCAGAACCACACCTTGCAGCTCTGGGATATTGGGCTTGGTAAGGCAGTGGAAGAAGTCAAGTTCCCTCACGAGAACGAATCGGATGCCATTTGCAGTGTCGCATACCACCCCTCCTCTGGTATCATCGTCGTCGGTCACCCGACCCGCAACTCTATCTACTTCGTTCACCTCTCTGCGCCGCGTTACAACCTGCCGCCAATGCCGCAGGCGGCTTTCGTCAAGGCTGCAAGCGACAAGGAGAGCACGCTGCCCAAGCCTGAATCGACGGCCTGCCTCAGTGGAATCCGCGAGATTTCTCTCGGTTCCAAGGGCCAGCTGCGAAGCTTGGAGCTCCTTCCAATCTCCAAGTCGGCTTCTGACAAGCGAGACCAGGACACTGGCTTGTTCGAATTGTATGTGATGCACTCGCAGGGAGTGACTTGCCTGAACGTCAAGAAGGAGGACCTGGGATGGTCCTCTGATAACAAAGTGATTCGCCCGGTGGATGGTCTGGAGGAAGGAGTGATTGATATCGCTGACCTTCAGGCGTTCCCGAGCTACGTGACCGATGATCCCTCGGTCAATGGCGATGCTGCTTCTACTCTGTCGAAAGCTACCAAGGAGCAGCAGCCGGCGAAGAAGACCGACAACGCTGTGGAATCTACTGCTGGTGTCGTTCCTTCGCGTAACGCATCGCCGACTAAGCCTGTGAAGAAGACGGCTGGAGGGGACCAGACCGAAAACGTGACCAGCTCCGGCAGCGCCGAAAAGAGCGACAAAAAGAAAAAGAAGAAGATTGCTTCTGCCAGCTCTGCTATTTCTGAGGCTACGGTGAAGGCAAAGGAACCAACTGCGACGGCGGGGGTTGAGCCGCTCCTGCCTAGTCAGCAATCCACTCACCCAGGTAAGTACAGACTCACTTGTTTACCTTCCAACATCCTCAACCCACTCACATCCACCCCCTCAGCCATCCCCACGACCACTCCAATGTCGACCTACGACCTCGACCAGCATCTCAGCTTCATCCAGACTTCGGTCTCGGAAAGTCTGTCTCGAAACATGAACAGTCAGCTCGATAGCCTCTTCCGCCGCCTCGACCTGGAGCGACGCGACTGGGATGCGGCTGCTTCCGCTAAGCAGGAGGAGGTCCTGCGACTTGTCTCTCGAACCCTGAGCGACAACGTTGAGAAGAACTTGGGCCGCATTGTCAGTGAACGCATCCAGGAAGAAATTCTTCCTGTCGTGATCGAGCACATCTCTGCGGACATCAACCGCAAGCTTAACACTCTCGTCGCCCCCCACGTCTCGACCCAGGTTGTCTTTGCCATCAAAAACGAGGTGCGCGAGAATCTCCCCATCATTGTTCATGGTGCTCTCAAGGATGCAAACTCCTTGAAGCCTCTGGCCGACGCGACCATGCACCTGCTGGCTCCCCGTCTCGAGTCAGAGCTGTCCAAGGCCATGAACAGCGTCGTCCTTCCTGCGATCGGAGAATTGTCTCGCCGCAACCAAAAGCTGGAGTCCGACATGGAGCGCCACCACGTTGCTCAGATCCGACACCTCGAGACGATGCGTGCTCAGGATCAGGACAAGCTTGATGAGATGGCTACCATGATTCGCAGCCTCTCGAACACTGTGACTGCTCTTGCCGCCAACCAGAACAACCGGATTGAGCAGGGCAACAACGTCAACGCGACACAAGTTCCCTTTGCTCGCCCTGTTGAGCGACACCAGAACGCCGCCCAGGCGCAGGTGTCGTATGGATCCCCTCACCCAGCTGTTTCCGCTGCCATGGCTCCTGTTCCCGGTGCCGCCCCTATGTCCACTCACGCACCCGGTCGTGTCCTATCCTCTGCTGGTCTTTCCGTCCCAGCTGGTCCGGCCAACTATGATGGTCTCACTCCCGAACAGGCCGAGTTGGCGGAGATCGCCGAATTGATGCGCGTTAACCGATTCGAGGATGCCTCGGTTAAGGTAAGTCTCGTCTCCTATCTGCATACATGAAGCAAGCTGATGCTAACCTTCGATCTTCTTAGTGGATCCGATCTAACCAGCAGGCCGATCTTTTTGACAACTACTTCATTCGCGTTAACCCCACGTACCTCGAGCGCCTTCCTGGAGTTGTCCTGCTGTCCATCGGTGTCGCCGTTACCTCGTCTCTCTCGACCAATGTGCAGGCGCGTCTCAACTGGCTGAAGCTCGTCTTCCGACACCTCACTCTTCGGGTACGTATTCTCAACACCGTGCGTCCGTATTGGAGCCCACCTGTGGTCCCCTTTGTCGACTGTCAGGTCCTGTCTAACCCCCGTACCCTGCAGGATGCCGATCTTCGCGAGGTGCTACCCGACATCATGAACATTCTCTCCGAGCGTCTAAACACCCTGTACCTGCGCATTGCTGAGCGCAACCCCAACGACCAAACCCTCCGGCTGATCGCTCCCCTCGCTCGCACTGCTCATGACCTCCAGGTTCAGTGCCACTAAGCGATTCACGCTTACTCGTGATGACGGTGCAGCGATTTCTTCGTTTCGATTTGTTCTTACTTCGTCGGATATGGTTTGATTTTTGATGTGGGTTTCCCGACATGTTTGCTTTTTTATTTGCTATGGGCCCATGATGGCCACGATATCCTTATGCTTGTGACCCGATCCCGGTCTTGAGTAGATCATGTTTTTTTTTGGAAGGACGGCTGAATCCGAATATGTACCCTTAACGATATTACCTTTTTTACTTCCTCTTTTGTTGTAGCCTCGTAGTTCCTAGATGGCACATCGTAGACAACAATGCCGACTCACTCCGTCCATTCTCAGGACTCATCCTATCTTCGGCCACCGACTCATTTTCCTTTTCGAGGGTTCCTAGTACGTAGTGTCAGTTTTGGAGAAGCTTGGCCAACTCCCATACCTAGGTAGGTCATGTGACCTTTTTGCTTCCTGGCTACACACTCTTCCCGTGATCACGCCGAACCCTAATATCTGTGTTTTGCCCAATATAATAGATATGCGAGGATGTATGTGACGATTTATGAGGCCGTGAGGATTTCAAAATAGATCATCAGGCTGCATCAAATTAATCTCCTGCTTTAATCTAACCAAGACCCTTGTCTGATTCCACTGATCATGGAATTTTAAATTGATCATAATGCACTAACTAATGTAATCTCCACTCTTTCAACAAATAATACAACTAGTAATTGTAGTCACCCATCTTGTTTTCGTCATCCAATAGAGGGAAACCAACACTCCCCTCCCAGCAACCATCGTCGGCATTGAAAAGCAACACTCCGCCATACTTCTTGGATGTTGTGTCCGTATCACCTGCTACTTGTATTAGCGGACGTTGCATAGGATGGCCAATTAGAAGGCGATGGGCTCCACTCACAATCATCAATAGCCTTCATAAGTGTGGCTTCACAGTCATCAGGCCAGAATGAATCAGTGTTGCGCGTCTGCCGACAATTTGACTGATCGTCCGCATATTTAAGATCCAGTTCAATGGAACCACCGAAGATACCAGAAACCCGGTACCACTGAGGGCTGTTTTTATAAGTGGTTTTGTCATAATCATGATTGCAGAGCGTTTTGACCTGGTGAAAGGTGAAATCTCGGCTGACAGGCGTCATTGTTGTGGAAGCATAAACACTATTGCAATACTTAAGCGTCGGGACGGTCATGCGTTTCATAAAAATATGCCACCAGGAATTATCATTCGTGGTGAGCTCGCCACCCCGTTTACGATCCGTGGTGTCGACGTCGCAGTCATCAATCAATACTTTGAGGTTCTTCAGGCAAGATTTTTCATCCAGAGGATCATGCGGATTCACCTCCCGCTTGAAGATTCTGGGTGCACCCCCTCGAATTGAGACTGTAGCAGTGCCGTCGGACGAGGTGTAAGTATCTTCAAGTGTGAGTCCCCATTCCCAGGCACCACTTTCATGGGCCTCGGAGCACCACTCCTTGGCGTATTTCTAAAATAAAAGTTAGAATCATAGTAAGGTAAATGTTTCAGAAGAGCCCGGACTTACCACAAGCTCACCACGAGGCACTGCGATCTCGCTAGGGTGACTGTCATCAGCGACGTATTTTTGCGTACTCACTTCAGCGAGCTTAGACTCATCTTCAGGGAGAACTCTCGACCTGAAGATGTTGTAGCCATAAGATGCACCGCAGTTCAGATCACTTGAGGCCTTATCCTGGATATGGTGGCTGTCTGTTCCCTCGCATGTCTGAAGGATACTATCGTAGATATCGGTACAGGTGTTTCCGCAAATGTTCCCATCACCAGCAGGTGTGTATGAGAACTCAAATGTGTAGTCTTGGTATTGAGTGGAGTGAATGTCGTCGGTCGTCGGTCGTCAGGTTCCTTGTTGTTGCTTTATTGAGGTCGCCCGAGCAGAAATGATCGGCAAACTTCGACATGACACTCTTCTCGATCATGATCTGGTCGGAGTAATTATCGGAGCAGGTGACATTCGGATCAGTCTCATAGGCATTTGCGGCTTTCCAAGCATCACCAAGAATATTCCACTGTAGGTCAAAGGTGCTTTTCTCAAATTAGTAAATTTTTACTTCTGCAGTGAGGGTACAGGTGCAGCCTTTGTATTTTCCCTGTGACCTGTTAGTTGAGGCCCAACCTGGTTGAACGAGAACTAAAAATCGTACCGTAGTGCGAGTGCTGTCTTTACCATCACAGTCATCGCAAAGAGGTGCATCTTTTCCAGTTGGTGCATCACTGGGGCACTCGTCCTTGTCGCCATCACCACCATCATCATCATCATCACCACCACCACCACCACCACTATCCTTCCCCGGAGAGGAAATCTTGGGTATGTTGACGGGGACGTTGTGGATGGAGAAAGCACTGTCGTCAAGCAACCGCTTCTGCTCGATACCGATCTAAATCAAAGAGATAAACGTCAGTGCCTCGAATCCAACCGTGATCGCTGCACCAATGCCCGCACCGACTGCGACAAAACCTCTCGATTGGAGCTTGCTGATGGCGTCTTTAATTAATGTACCGTCCGCGTCCTCGACTTCATCGGAGACGAATGTAATGTCCTTGATAGCAGAGCGAATCTCCTTAACCAGAGCGTCGTCGCTCTTTGCCACATCCTCAATGGAATCCGCGTGAGTATGTCCAGTCAATACCCATTTGTTGAGAAATCTCCCATTCAGATTCATCTGTGGCACAAATTGAGTGTCGAACCCCTCAGTCTGAGGAACAGCGCCCGGCTGAGCTCGATAATCGTCTGCAAGACCCAGATATCGGAGTAGCTCCATCGAGCGACAATTCGTAAAATCCATCTTGGGCCATTTTGTCGTCTCTTAGTTCTTCTCAGCGATCAAGCAAGGCACATTCAATTGATCGAGCTGGTAGGCAAGTAACATGCCAATGGGGCCGGCACCGACAATTATAACGGGTATTTCTTCGACCATCGCTGTTGTTCACAGGGCTATCAGCGGCTAGGTGTCTAGGTAGAGAGTGAAGTGCTGGATTGGATGTATATGAGCGAGCTGTTTCGATCAGGCTGAGCCCCTCATAGGGCCAAATGAACCGCTTTCCTGATTTGTAGTCCTGCATGGAATTGTTGGAGTGTGGAGTACCCCAAGCCAATGTAGCCTTGTCTGGGACCCTTCTTCTGAATCTGTATGAGTCGTCATTTGCGGCTACACAGGCAGCCGCTGTGATTGGGTTTCCTCAGTTGCACAAAGCCACTGTGGACTGTAGGTCCGGATGAACGAGCCCACGGCCTAATGCAGAATCAATGGTCAGTGCGCGAAAATGATGGCCTAATATCGATGAATTAGTTCACCCCAGGCAGTGCGAAATATCTGGAACTAACGAAATAGATGCAACAATTCAAAATCGAATCAACGACAGGTAATATTGATAAAAAAGTGTGTGAATGTATCTATGAAATGGCATCCGATTGCGCAGATGGTCCTTCTATGGCTGCTCGTCTCACCCTAGGAGCCAACTAAACAATAGAAAATGACAGAGAAGATAAAAAAGCATACCCAATTGGATATGTGAAATTCCGAGGTTCCGAAAAGAGCACTGTCCGCTGAATATCAGGTAGACCGAGCAGAGTCAGAAACCTCCGCTCCCTCATTCGAGAGTGTCGGGTAATCATGAAGACCCATATTGACGGGTCTCTCCGGCTCATCAGTCTGGCCCGAACCAGGCTGCTGTTGTTCGTCCGCAGGAGCCCGAATGACCGAGCGCCTGATGCGGAAAAGAGGCGGGTTCGGCGAGGCTGAGCGCTGCCCACGTTTGCGGGTGCGGAAGCTTGAGTCGTCCAAGGGCGTCGCGGTGCTATGGGTGTGGCGGATATTGGAAATCGGGACTGGCTCGGGCTCGTCGGTGCTCGTGCTGATCACGCTGGAGATGGTTCGCGGGAGGTGGTAGCCGGCTTTTCCGATTGGAACGGATAGTCCGTGAACGACCTGGTCAGACAATGTTAGTAGCTGCGCGTATAAGTGACTTGGGGAGTACTAACGATACTGCAAATAACCAAAAACCACACCACAATATTAACGGCCTCCGCGACTTCCTTGGCATCTTCTCGTACTTGGCCGTCGACTTTGATCTCGAGCAGAAACTCCCGACTAACCGAGAGGTAGAAGATTGCTCCGACACCAATCGGGCCGAAGAATCCGACAAAGGCGGCTTGTCGGAGATGCTCGATCTGGTGGATGTACTTGTGCATGGCCAGAACGACTGGAAGCCGGCGGAAGATGAGGACGAGAATACCCAGGAAAATGAGCCGGTAGAGCGGGATGATGTCGTTGTTCAGGAAAGATGACCAAGGGCAAACTGCGCCAAACCACATGAATACAGCTAAGTTGAGCAACATGTCGATGGTGGGTTGGAGAGAGTCGTCCATTGTCTCGAGGCGGAACCAGTCACTAGGGGTTTCGATGTAAGAATATGGCAGCTTCAAACTCTCGGGGAAAGACCTACTCTTGCGTGAACACATTTCCTGCAATGAAGCATGCAAGAAGATCGTCGGTCCCGATAAGACCACACGTTCCCACGATGAAGAGCTGCAAATCAAGTCAGCATTGAACTAACAGTTTTAATCCAGAATTGACTCACCGCAAGTGCAATTGCAAAGACCAGGAAACTCTCCCGATCCACATAGTGTTTTTCCTCAGCCCAATGGAGTAGCTTCCTGGACAACCATCCAGTAATAGTTCCATAGGCAACACTCAGCAGAATTTCGTAAGCCCAAGTCTCATAGAACCACAGCCCCATGGCCTTCCCCGCGCCTCCACTATATTCCTGACTACTCATCCCCAGATACTGCAGCAGGTATATACCGAAGAACAAGAACGGGTACCCGAGTCCATCGTTTGCGCCCGACTCGGCCACGATAATCCGCTGTAGCGGACGCGGGACATGTTTGTCCGCAAATTTGCCCTTAACAATTGAATTGGACAAGACGGGGTCCGTGGGCGTGACGCAGGCTCCCACGATCAATGCGTGAAGGAACTTGAAATTGGGAATCATGGCCCAGACAATTAAGCTACTGCACACCCACATGGCGACCATGCCTGGGCCCAGGAGTAGCGAGAGACTCCGCCATTCGATCTGCAGGTAGCGTTTCGGTAGCTGGACTCCGGCTAGGACCAGTTGCACGCCGAGGACGAGGCGGGTGAAGTGCAAGGTGATTGCATCGAGGTTCTGCTGGTTGTGCTGAGCATAATCCTCGGGTCTGATGAAATTAGCTGCATGGGGAGAGAAGGCTACCCCAGCGAGCAAAGAAATCACTAATTCAGTATTAGCGAGGCTGGTTCTTGGATCCCATGGGTCGGGGACTACGTACGCGCTTCTGAGAGATAGAATCGCTCTTTGCATAGGTATGATACCAGTCCGAAGAGGGAGACGAAGCCCCCGAGGGTCGCACAGACGATGTTGAAGTTGATCAATGCGAGGGTCGGCATTTTGCTTAATCATGCACGTCACACGGTGCAGTGCTCATGCAAGGGTGGGAATGGATATATCTTGTCCAGTCCCGCCAGCGTCAGGTGGATTCCACGTCCACTTTCACTGTCAGCTGTCAATATGAAGTGATTTCAGTCAGGTCCGCTTTTCTCGAGATATAATGTCTTCACGAAAACGGAAACGGCGGGCACAGCAAGAAGCAACTGTTATCGAATCATAATCTTGAAGTTCAGAGTCGAGTACAAGGAGGTCATAGATAACAGAGTATATCGCCACGATATCCCAGCCAGGGTGGTTGCTTCGGTGGCTTCGCGTGGGGTGCGATACGCTGCGATGCGAGGTTGCGAAGAGGAAATCTGCGGTCGGCGGTCAGACTGATCTACACTCCACGGCTTATCTCCGGGCCATACACTAGGGATGCTACACTAGGTCTTGGACTGAATGGGCACGAAATAAGAGGGATATCATTATTCGTGAAAATTATACCTAGATACTAGTATATGATCAAAAATCCTCCTCCAGCACCTCATCGGGCACATCGCGACTGGCTTCCAGCAACTCGGCTTTCTCGGCCACACCTCGCTGGGCCCCGTTGACAGCCAGACGATCAGCAGCCTCGTTCCCTGGGTCTTTAGCATGGCCCTTGACCCATTCAAAGAGCGATTTCACTCCGAGCTGATTGCGTTCTTCAATCTTCTCGAGAATCGCCTCCACCAGGTCCTTATTCTCGACTGGCTTGCCGTCCTTGGTTATCCAATTGTTGCGTCGCCAATTCTTATACCACACGGTCACACAGTCGATCGCATATCGGCTGTCCGTCACGACTGTCACATCGCGATGGCGAGGCGCAATTTCGATGCCTCGAAGAATGGCTGTCAGCTCGGCGCGCTGGTTTGTCTGGCGATTTCCGCGCAAGGGCTCGGAGACGTTTCTGCTAGGAAAACGAAAATGAGTCAGAAGGTCAATCTAGATAGAAAAGAGAACGGAAACAAACCTTTCATCACCAGGACCAAAGAAGACTCCGACACCCGCGGATGCCAACTGGGTCCCATTCCGCAGTGAACTCCCATCAGTGTAGATTCGCAACATCCCTGGTATCCCGCCCACTTGTGTCTTTGTCGCAATCTTCTTCGAGGCATCTTTATAAACAACTTTCCCTGTGGCCGGGTCTAACAAGACATTAGGGTCAAAATCATCTTCCGCGCCGTCTGGTAGTGGTCCAAATCCGGCTGGTTCTTCCGCGCCGTCTGCATGTTTGAGTGTTTCGTTTTCCCCTGCAGGGGCCGGGATTATCTGCCTGGTCTCTCCAAACGTAGAGTACTGCGGTTTCCTTCCTTCCTTGACAAATGCCTCTGCCTCTTCGCGCGTCGGGAACTTCCGATATCGTGGCCTGGTGAACCCGCGAATCTGTTCTTGGGCCGCGGCCCAGTCGGTGTACACCCCCGGCTTCCGCCCGCGCTGAATGCCGTAGAATCGCGTCTCTGAGCCCGTCGAGGAACCGCTGACCTTGCCGCCTGTCAGGAAGGCGTTCGCATCTTCGAAGGTAGGAAATGACTGGACTGTATTGCGAGTGTTTATCAGCTTTGCGGTCGGCCGCAGGAGCACCCAGCAGTAAGGCGTCCTAAAACAATGCAGAAGCTCTTACAGATCGCGCCCTTGAATCCCGTTATTTGGGCGAGGCAATCATTCCACCCGTGGTAGATTCCTGGCTTGAATCCTTTCTTGACGGCATAGTATTTGCTATTCGTCCTCTTGCGTTTAGCGCCCGCGCTCGGCGAGGCAGACAGTTTCGGCGCGGGCGCCGGACTGGGCGAAGGTGTGGTCTCGTTCATTGTGTTGGAGTTCGAGGGGTTGGTTGGAGGGAGGAGAGGAAAGGAGATTAAGGGCCTCGAATTGTAGGGTCGGGTGAGAGAGAATTCGGGGTGGTGTCGCTGTGGCAGGGTAGACCGAATGATCCAGTGTCGCTCAGTGAATCGCGGCCGACAGCTCGAGAGGGAACTCTGAAGTCCCAGCCTGGGAGCTGAAAACCAGCTAGATCGGTGAATTTTGAAAAAGTCGCGGAGAGTCGGAGGAGAGAAAATCGCGGTCGTGGAGGTGGAGGGGGAGGTGGGGAGCTCTGCAAGCGCGACGGGGGAAGGTCGAGAAGTCAAACGAGGGGGGGGGGGCCTTACCCGATTCGGACGAAGCACACTCTTTGACTACTACATACTACACTTGTAGCGCTTTGTATTTCCTTTCTTTTGATGATTTCTGTTCAGTTATCTCTACTCTTTGCTTGTAGACCATTTTCATTTTATTACCTTAAGGAATTCTGGCTACTGATAATTTTTAAAGTGTGTTGGGGTTTGGAAGAGAGGGGGGGGGGGGGGGTGGTTTGTTCACAGCAGCAACTTTGTATGAGTGGCACAAGTACATTATTCATCTTTGTTTTCTTTTGTCCTTTGTACATTCTCATGAGCTACCTAAATCATTTACTTGTTAGTATTCATATTAACCTCACATCAATTCCGACAAGGAAGACCAATCATGAATCACTTCATTCTCACTTAGCTACCATTATACATTAAGTGAATAAGTGAAAGACAATCCAATTTCATTCGACTACGACTATCCTTTCAGGATGCGTCAAATGTTTCCCATCAACTTCGTAAGAGCTGATTTCATCTCTGCCCGTATACTCTTGATCAAGTCCTCCACCGTGACCACAGAATGAATGACCCCAACACTTGCCCCCCTACAAAACGAGTCAGTCTATTACCTGAGGATAATGGATATCTGCGAATGATGAAACCTACGCCCACACTGTCCGTCGATGATTCTCTCCTTTTTGCCGGGCCTCATTATATCGCCGAATGATTTCGTCGTCGGCAATGCCCCCCTGGAAATCGGTATAGCTAAGCCCGATCACAGCTCTCCCGTCATATTGCCTGGGAAAGACATCTGTGGATTGATAAACATCATGCTGGACTGATTTGACTGTTGAAGTAGCTCCGTCTTTAGCATGGACAATCACCTGCTTGATCTCCTCGGGCGCAGGGCACTCGGCGGTTGCAACAAACTGGATACTGTCAGTAAATCTCTAAAACAATATGTGCCCTACTGCCTCACTCTCGTTCCCATGACGACTCCCTCAGCGCCTAAATAATTATTGAGTGCAAGATTAGTTACATGTACAAGCACGCGGTGAATGGGGGTGGAACAGTTCACGAACCAAGTCCCAGCGCAGCAAGACATCCCCTCCCATCGACAATACCACCAGCTCCAACAATAGCGACATTTCCAAACCTCGAATCGGAATCCCTCGTATCGCGTATCTCCGGCAAAAGCGACATCAGGCTAGCCCCTTGCGCCCATTGATGACCACCCGCATCAGTTCCCTGCACCACGAGAACGTCCGCGCCCTGCTCCATAGCCACCTTGGCCGCCTCCACAGTGCCGACTTGGACAAAGATCTTCAAATTCCAGTCGCATGGGCTTGCCTCCTTTGCTTTGCGAAGATTATCGATCAGAGACAGGTGATCGCTGTCCGACTGGGGGAAAGAGAGCCAAACAGCGGCAACTCGATGCTTCTGGAGGATGGCAACGGCATTTTCGAATCCTTTCGGGGTAAGTGTAATAAATCCAACACCAATAGGTAGGTCTTTATCATCCTCGTGTATCTCTTTGAGCTCAGAGCCCGCTTTTGCGAGGTTGGCGTCTAGGTCTGCCAGCTGGATTGATTCGGGCCGGAAATCGAATCCACCGCCGACGAAGCCTGCATTCACTGGTCAATGATAGGAATAAAGCACCAGTCGAGTCGAAACATCAGATATCGTCATGGACCGTTCTCGACAAAAGCAATCAACATACCCAGACTACCGGCTCGGGTCACTGCATTCGCCATGCGGACATCTGTGAAGCCCAGCATCGGGGCGTTGGCGATGAATGGCTTCGCCGTGTGAGGAAACCATTCTTGAAGAAGATTCTTCTGAGTTCCAGAAGTCATTGTCGTGTGTGTGATGGACTTTGTAATCACCGTTTAGTTTTATTAGGTGGAGGGTGGAAGTGGGCTAAGCTCGAAGAGGTGGGGTACTGTACTAGTCTTACCCTCCGGCAGTCACCATGAAAATGCTTCTTGAAGACATTATGATATCTGTGTTTCTCAGTCCTACGCGCCGGTGGGAATATGAGAAATGGAGAAGCTAAAAGAAATGATTTCTATTCTATGAGCGAAAGCTCTAGCTTTACGCCCATTTATGGGCATTGTACAGCGTCGCGCCAGTTTCCAGAGTAGCTAACCAGAAGGCTAATCACGTGGGTGACCAGGTAGGGACCAAGTAGATGACTGTGCACTGGGCTTCCTTCCGACACATTTACGTGTCTGTGTCTTTGTGCTGATGGCCTGAGTCATCAAGACACTGCTGGAAAGTGGGTTTGAGCCCACCCCATTTCGGAAGAACCAAACATCACGAAGTCCGAATAAGGCGCCGACTCAAAAATGGATTTAAAGAAAAAAAAAAAAAAAGGCTCATCCTCTCCTCAGCATTATTTCTGACTCACTTGAATCTTCAACATCTTCGACGAGACGATCTACAGAATCCATCATTGCACGCCTTACAACCCGAACCTCCATCCAAAATACATCTCCCTATACCTGTCCGGAAAATCAGGTTCGCCGTCGCACATAAATGGCGCAGACCTCCTATTCACTCAGCGATATCCGACTGACCTTCTAGCAGTGGGTTATTATCCTGTGTAGCTTTCGGCTTGGGCATACAGGGGAGATCCCCTAGAAAATCGCCGAGTTCCTTTCTCCCGGCGTCGATGAATCGGACAATCTCATCGGCCCGCTGTCGAGCATTCTTTGGTTGCTTGGTGTTGAGATCCTAAGCGCCTCACCAGAGACTCTTCCTACACTCTTGAGGATGAAGTATGCTATATACCACTTAGGGCGCCCAGGCTATGAATCGTGCAAATGTTTTATGAAAGGGAAAGATTCTCCCTCGTCTTATGGATTGTATTTTACATGAACCATAGACGATCTTCCCCGGAAGATGGTCTTCCAACGGATAATCTTCAACTAGTCGGACGGGCCTCGCGCAAAACAACTCAATCCCCCAGCGTTCACCACCTCTGTCCAAGACTATCAGACAACGGAGCTCTTTCCGTTTAGTCGTGGCAACTCGATGCCAGAAAAATCTCCGAGTTCAAGATTATAATGGAACTGAAACTTGAAGAATCTGGAGACCGAAATCAAAAGCAACCTACTTGATACGCGAGGTTGCCGGCTACTGTTTCGAGGTACTCCCCGCAGGGCATTGGGCTACACTACCTAGTGTGATATATAGCATGACGCTTCAGAGTGTCTTCTTTGTTTGGTGTCCCTTATGGCAGTATTCTGTGCTGTTATGACGTCCACTCACATGGACAATGAGGTTGGCCCTAGCTTGTATACAGCTCCTTCTCTCTTAACAGCCGTGAAATATGCACACCCCAACGGGGTACTGTTGGTTTTAAAAAACACAACAAGCGGCCTGCGAAAACCCACAATTTCAGGAGAGGATTGGCTGACGACGATACGCTACTGGACTAATGATCCAGTCGGAAACTTGGAATATGAATTGCCAGCTGACTGGTAGGGGGCAGACGTATTGGAGAGGCCGATATCGCAGGCTGGGAATGGCCACGATGCGGGCAGAGTTGAAGAGCCAGAGCCAGAGGTGCAAGTTATGGGAGTCACCACAAAATCCTTCCAAGCATTTGCGTCCGTAATGCGGATGATTATCTGGTTTTAGTAGCCTTTCTGTATTTCTTTTGGTTGTTTCGCTATATTTATAATTTGCTGTGGCTGAACCAGATTCTGAATTTCCTCTTGTTTTGGTCAAGGATAAAGCGGCCAAAGCTCACTTTCCACTTTCAGTAAGACTCAGTGCATCAATTATAGAGATTCCTACCTCAATCTGACCATCTTATGTACAATCATCTGAACAGTCATCTGAACAGTCACCTCGTATCTATCATTCCTAATCCTGTACTATCGACGATCATGAAAGCTTCAGCAAGTGCTATAGAATTAAAATATTTTTAATTTCTAGTCAATTGAGTCTGTCTATGCTGCACCAGCTGTCAATCTACAACAGGGCAATAACATGGGTGAAGAAAGGAAAGTGAGCACTTGCTGTTGCAATCCTCCATACCTGGTTGCTTTTTCCGCATTCATAGCCAGCTATCACTGCGGTTCTGTGTTCGACGACGTATTTTACAGTCACCTTCCATATCGTGGAACTCTTGTAGGTGGATAGTCATCATGAAATAGAGTGACAACAGGATGTCTAGTCAGGGCCCATGCTCAAGTGAGGAGCGCTGTGGCAGATGATAGCATTTATCAACCTGAACATTATGAATGCCCCAACAGCCGTGAAAGCGTTTTTGATGACCCAATGATTGAATTTTGGCCAAACGTAGCAGAATACAACCCACCCCTCCCAGGAAATGATAATTGTCGATGACTTCAGACCTGAAATTGCATGAATTGCAAGGGGGGATAAGATCCACGAAATCAGTAATCTGCGTTAGGCTCCTGTTGTGCTGAGACCGGAAACAATCGGCCTGTATGGCATATTGATGGCGTCTTCCTCGATGGAGGAAATTTGGTTGACGATATCGAAGCAATATCCATAGGAAAAAGTAGTAGTGAGTGCCTCAACCAGGATCTTGAATGTGATAGGTAGTGGTTGAGGAACTGAGAGCAAACGAGCCCATACCCCAACCATCAGAAATCCACCTGCGGCTCCAGTGTTGGACTTGAGTAAAAGGTACGTAATACGCATTTCACGCCGGGTCCATATCCTGTCACATACATGGACTGTCGTGGCCTAGTTGGCGCTCCCATTGTTAGGCTGCACTCGTGGTGCTCGACTGCGAATATATATGGAGCAATATACATCGTTGTCATCATGATACTGGAGCCGCATCACGCTCGAGAACATGAACGGAAATGGAGGCAAACACGAGCAAGGGGAATATAAGCTATGTTAATGAATTCATAACTTTGTCTACTTTAGCAAAGAATCTGCCAATGACGCGACGAAAGGTGATTCTCACCGGCTCTCACCCTGCTTTTCACCTCGTCTATTACGCACTTACTCTTCTCGCCTGGATCGCGCGACGCTAAAACAGCGTACACCAATTACCGGGCTTATACCCTGTATAAGTGCTTGGATTGACAAAGAGTGTACGGCTTATGTGCAGTCAGTAATCTGGTGTGTTCCGCCTAGGATTACTGGCTAGTATATAGCAACAGAGGCTTAGAATGTAGGGCCTTAAAAGCCGAGCGTTGCTTGAGCGTCGCGCGACCTGGAGTGAGAGGGGTGAGTGCGTAATAAACAGGGTGAAAAGCAGGGTGATTCTCACCTCCCCCCGTCGCGCGACCGCCGCACTGACTCTCTCTCTCTCAGCTAAACTACTGTATAAAATAGTATTGGATCACATCTTTTCACTTGGAGCACTCAGTCTCTTGGCATCTGCACATAGCTACTGGACGGAATGAAGGTTCAACAGGGCCAGAAGAGGGTGTTGATTAGGTTCTACTTCTTCCTAAGATTGCCTGCCTCCGCCGAATAAACGCGGCGAAAGAGTTCAGCCTGTAAGGTTTTCATATGCTTGTCTCCACTAAATGTCGCTGGGATTGGATTTTATTTGTATAAGTAAGCCTGATTGGTTGGCCTATTTGAAGACGGTGTAAATAAATCGGAAACTCATTGAATTTTGTGATGAGTGTCAAGACGGAGATCCATCTAGCTCCGACGTTGAAGGGTATAAGCTCCATCACTAATGGTTATACTCAATTGAATACTCCCGAAATATTTCTAGTCCTGTAAAACTATCACCAAGCAATGGATATTTGTGATGCTGAGCCACCCCTTCCAAGCGGCTCCTCCCCATGCCCCTCCCGACCCTTTCCGCGTAATTTGAGCCTAAATGGACTAATTCCTCTTGTATGTAACCAGTCTTTATCTGTATCATCCCTTTCATTGTGCAGCCAAATACTGCAATGCCCTTTGGTTTCAACTGGCAACCCGAGGCTGAATGTGTGGCCAGCTCCGCTTTCGATTGTGCTTGGCTGCGAGCCAATGAAATTAGAAAGAAGTATTAAGTAGTTTTTCATGTGAGAGAATGGCACAATCACTTCGATCTGATGCACGCCAATTGCGCCACAGGGATGGGTTGTCCTGGCAGGATCATTAAAACGCAACCTTTCTTGCCTAGGTGTGCCGTCGTAGCACAGTAATGGGGCATCTAAGCGTCCTGTTGGAAAGAAACATTTGTCTGGGGTCTCTGATGAAGCATAAAATATCGGATTGGCTCTAGTCCAGTTGACCTTAAGACCCTGCGGTGTCGTGCGGCCCTGTCGAGTTGGCTCAGGGTACCTTACACCGAGCTGCCCATCCCCGCCGAATTTCTGTTCACGCGTTCCTCAATGCCTTGGAAATGTTCATGGGAAGTTTGGGCCGATGTGGTCGAGATGCTCCAATCGATTAGACCAGGGCGTTTTGATCCCCAGCTGTGATCTTTTGGTGGCTGATCCCACCAATACAAATTAAGTGCAATAGTGTCATCTCGTATCTTGGTAAGATTCCCATAGTCAGGATTATTCTTGGCAGAAATCCCTTTCTAGCGCATTTCAATTTAAAACTAAGCGGCCTTATCACGCCCCTAATCTCTGTCTTGACCCTAGAAGAGCTATGATAATCTCAGGTTTTAGCCTGCTATTCCCTTAGGTTCGCAAGAGCCTCCTCAGTGGCCACTTCAGTACTGAAAGGTCGCCACGCCTCACGCGTAGAAGCTTCTGTGGCGGGATCCTTCCTCTGCATTTGGACGTCTTGTCGTGAGAGCTCCTCAGAAAACTTGCCTGTAATCAGCAAATGGACCACGGCCTCATCCAGGGCAGGATAAGGCTTTGCGGCAGGGGGATTCTCATGTAGGGCGTATGCAATCATAACATCCAGTGGGAAACGATGATTGTTTCTACATATCCATTAGTTGAGGGAGTGGTACGATACTGAGAAAAGATACGCACAATTTTTTTGGCTGCTTCTTTGCTACACCGAACAAGGAAGCTTGGGCCGAAGTAGTACACCATTGCCACCACCAATACTCACCAATTTTCTTTTCATTGTGGAATGATTTGTTAGATTTTCCTCGATCGACCGCTATCAGGCCTCTCGAGTTGCAGAGAGTGCTGACGGCATTTTTTTCTTTGGCTGACCGGAGCTCTGTCAATCGAATTCCAACCTTCCGAAACTCCTACTTCTTTTGTTATTCAAATTCGCGAGCAAAAGAAAGGAAAAAAAGCAAGGGTATGGAACAACTGCATCGGTGCGGGAAAAAAAATGTTGACCAGACCCGGGCTCGATCCGAGGACCTTGTCGGTGTTAACGACACGTGATAACCAACTACACCATCCGGCCAATTGTTATATTTTGGATATATCTCATTATTAATCTATCAATGTAAACATAGTAGGCCAAGTCATGCTGTACATATAATTCATCTAAAAACTTCTAATTACCTCGCCAAGCAAATTGATTTCTATGTCATTCGCGTTCATAGTTTGTTGGAATTTTCATTCTTTTATGGGAATATCAAAGAAAAATATTATGCTGTTTAGACAGATGCAGCTTATAGCCCTTCAACGAAGGGAAAATAAAGCTGCAGCCGGGAATATCACATCGACGGCCAGGTGTTTCGAAGAACATCGGCAGTTTATGGGTCGCAAAATGCTGCTGTAGTGCATCTTTTCGAGCATAGTGGTAATTCCTTGCTACTGGGATAAGATCTTCTGTACGCGCCAAGCACACCGGGCACTGCAGAATAAGCTTCGGCTTGCTGTCTTCCGATTCTTCTGTTTCATCGTCCGACGCAACTTTTACGGTAGCTTCATTGAATTGAACGTGAGCTTTAAGACCACGGGGCACATGGAGCTTGTGTAGTTGCAGCCGTAGTTCCAGGGAGCGGATTCGGTCTTCAATCAGCAGAATCCCGTCGATCTTATCCGCATCTCTATTTTGAAACTCCAGGTTGGCGAGCTCAATCCTCTCCGGCTGGATCCGGCTGTCATCGGGGGTAAATGTGATTTGCTCCCCCTGGTGATTGCTCCCAGTGATACGGTTGCCGATCTCACGGAAGAATCCAGCGCGGCGTTCCCGTTTCGCCGAATCGCAGAGTTTCTTTCGTCTCGACTTGATCTTGTTCTGAAGCTTCTGTAATTCCTTGGAACGCAGTCGCCGGACTGACTAGCGGCTTTCCACTGGCCGTACTCCATGATTAGATCCGCCCGCAGCCGTTTACATTCGCTTTTCTATTCAATCATTTTGGCGTCCAGTTCAATCGCGTCTTTCTGTGCGGCCGTGGGCTGTTGTGGTGCGGACGGATCCCGTGTGATACTTGCATGGGTAGCGAGGCTGATTAGGGACTTTCTGGTGAGTGTTTCCATGAACATCAATTGCGTGTCATCCATGATGGATATGTAGTTGGCAAACGTCTTCCCCAGGATATGGCCCATAATGCGATTCCGCGAATGCTCGTCCAGATCCCCTGCCAGAACAAGTTAGTCACATATCGACTGGGTGGCCATGTTTCTAGAGTCGTACTGTTATTCGCGGCTGCGCCTTTGCGATACTTGTAGAGAGTGCCTTTGCCCTTAAAGCCGGCCAATTCACTTGTCGTTGCCTCCCACTGTCGCACTTGGTTGTACTGAAGCGCGCGCTGAGGATCTGTCACTAGAAGGCCCGCCTGGTTCTGACAAGCACCCCGCAGGATCGGAAGTTCCTTAACACTGTCCTTGAATTCAATCGGCGTACTGAGACGGTGGTCGGGGACAAGGGTGAGGCGCCAGATATCGCGGGGACACCGGATGTGCTTACTATCAAACGCGTCGTCTAGGAACGCATACATCAGTATATCCTGAACGACGCAGAGTCCTAGGTTATCGTTTCGTTCCGTGTATGTGTACACAGGCCCGAAGTGCGTCAGAGCATAGACTAGAAGCGATATATAGCGCGGTACTCGCGCTACTCCTTCATTTCTTCGGCCTTTGTTCAATCGATGCTTCACCCTTATCAGAAGGACTTGAGATGTGGGGCTGTCTGGGTGCTTCACCATAAAGAGTTCGATGTCTTTCCATTTTAAGGCGTCATTCTCATGAAGATATCCCGATGACTCGATCAAGGTTCCGGGTCGCGCACTAGTGGAAGTCATCATTTTCACAGCGTGTTCAGTTGGAAAAGACTCCGCACCGTAGGGAAAGTGAAGGAGCACCACGCAAGCAGATGATACGTCGTGAAGAGTAGATCGTCGATATTAAACGGAGACTGCTCGGACGCGCTCAGTTCAAGCTCATACTGATCCGTTAGGGTGCCGCTCACAAGCTGCGACGATTAGCAAGAGATTTCTGTGCGTTTCGCTCTAGATACACAATCGCTTCAATTTCTGCTTCATTTCATAAGGGGCCTCCTGGCCCCGTTCTTGATTGCAAAACATTAAGAAAACCCGGGCATGGGTTTGGAAGGCCGACTTGCGGACCACATTATGGTTGTCGAGGTACCAGCGAAGGAAACCCTCAATTAGTCGCAAGCTGAACCTCTCGAGGAGCCAGAACCTCCAGTCAGAGGGATCGAGTTTCGCCCACCTGGACAACTTAGTCGCGGTTCTGGTGAACGATTACAGGGGCGGTTCGTACTTTTTGAAATTGTTCCAATGGAGACCACTTTTCGACAAGTCGAGCTCTTGTTCTCAACTTCAGGCTCTGGGTCGGGCTCGCGGAGGAAGGCGTTCCAGTCGACAACTGCCGTCGCCTTCTTCAAATTGTTCTTCGTCGATGACATGGTGAGTGAATGACGACGGTGCCTGAAAGGGCGTGAACGCACGGTTGGATCGGACGCTGAGCTGGACAGGCGTCGACGGGCAGCTCGCCCATGTTCAGCTTTATAGAGGCATCCCTTAAGCTCATGATGGAGCCGCCGGGATGCAGGTGCTGATGCCAGCTAGGGCTGGGGTAGAGTGCTTGAGCCCGAAAAGGCATAGTGTGTAGGGGAGGCGCCCGTCGGCGATAGAAATATCACGGTTTAATGCCAGAATGCCACGGTTTCTTGACAAAACTCCACGCATGTCCGTGAAATTTCCATTGTCACCCCTGAATTATCACGTATCTTTAACATCGATAAGGTCCTCGGATCGAGCCCGGGTCTGGTCACTTTTCTTTTTTGTAGCTGTTTTTTTGGACTCTCTTTGTTTCTAACACGATGTCTCCAACCGTAACTTTGAAGTTGGAAGCGTGGTCGTCGTTTTATGCTTCAACTTATGGGTTGCATTGCATTTTTGGTCTACGTGCTAGCATTCTTCTTCATTTTTTTTGTTTTGCAGGCATACACTGAACACGTTGTGACACTTCAAAAAAATACCATACGTCATGCTGGCCACAGTCTACTTGGAATGAGGGTCCAGGGAGCTCCGAAAAGCAATTTGTGTTCGCTTGGGTTGTCTTTCAGTCAAAACCGAGGATAGACGTGACCATCCACAAGAGCCAAGGTAGTGAGACAACAAATATCCTACTAGTACAGATCTCAGGAGACGGCAGAACACGAAAATTGGAGAGAAGAAAATTAGAATAGCAACAACTCCAAGTACAAAAAAATGAAAAATGAAAAAACAATGGGAAGCTTGGAAATAGCAGCCGAACGCGGTAACCACTGCGCCACTCCGACCAACGTCGGAGCCAGGATTCGAACCTGGGCACCCGAAGGAATTCGGTGAGCTTAACCACTGCGCCATCCCATTGTTAAGGACCAAAAGCGCAGTTTTCCATTACATGACTTTACTATTAGTTATTCCATTTCAGCATTGTATTTAAGTCCTAGTTTGACGCGATAGCAGGGGTTTGACGCCTCATCTTATGCAATTATGATATGTGCGGACTGAAAGGATGACAAAATACGCTGGGATTTTATTCGGGATCAATGCGATCGTACATATGTTGACTTCCACTTTGGGATCTAAGAAATGCATGAAGGCAAGAAAATATATATTAGACTAGGCTATATACAATCCAGTGTGGAAACTACACTACACTACAGTGAATATATTTTGTGACCGTAATCATGATCGGTATACCATGCGAAACTAACCAGATTTCGGCCGACTCTCATTGGAGCCACAAAAAAAAAAAAAAAAAAAGCAAATCGAGCTACGCAGAAGCGAGGGACTAATCCACGTGAGTGGGACATCATGCCCCTCAGCTCCCATCCCTTCGCGCATGACCGTGTGATTTCAGCATCGCCATCGTCACAACTTACCACCAGGTAAACAACCGAGGAGACAAAGTCGTCATGTTCGAGGTAGGCAAATCAACCATAGTTACGCTCTATATTCCACCTGACGGGTCTGTGGCAGCGACGCGCCGCCGATCGATATAACCTCCGGATGCACCGAGCCCGCTCGGCTGTGTTGACGACGGAGGAAATCGTGGAAGTCCGAGCAGCCCAGCGGACCTTCGAGGGCGCATATGTCCGGACCTCGCTCTCGCTCTTCTCCTTCTCCCTCGCCGTATTGAAGATCTTCACGGCCGAATTCTATAGTATCGGCGCGCTCTTCGCAATCTACGGGACGGGCGTCCTGATCATAGGGCTTTTCCGTCGATACCAGCGCAACCGCCAATTTTTCTCAGAGATCGGCGAAGACGGGATCCATCGACACAAGTTTCGGACCAGTGGGAATGCAGTGGTGATTCTGACTGCGCTGAGTGTTGCCGCATACGTGTGCCTGATCACCCTGACCCTAAGCCTCACCCAGTGAGGCATGTTTCAAGTTTGAAAGTGAAGCACCAGAGACAAGATAAGGCAGGATATCATCTACACCGTATGGCGGATCCTGCGTCTCATTCTTCCCTCCACCGATAATCTGCACACTACCCCCCTGCGTGACCGCCAAGCGCCAAGCCATTCGTACCACGCCATCGGATCGCAATGTCTGCTGGCTGCGGCGGAAGATCGTCGCGCGACCGCGGAAGCTTACAGTTGTACTGAGTTGTGCTGACAGCCGCGAGTCCGCCAAGGGTGGCCGAGTAGTATGCCCCGCGGGAAGGGGAGAGGCCCCGAGCGGGGAGCACGTTGGACAAGGCGTCCATAGAATTGGCTGTACGGAGGCGTTCTGATTGGAATTGGTGAGGCGTGCAGGCCGTCGCTGCTGGCGAGGTATAGTCCTGGTACCCTACTGTATATGTGGTGGTATGAGTATAAGTCTCACCACCGCTGCGCAGGTCAGCCAAGCCGGGGATCGGATACGGTGTATCAGTTGCTCGCAATAGCGCGGTGTGTTATTGATGCCTGGACACAGGGATGGAGGCGTAGCGATTACTCCACCCTGGCGATTCGGGCTGGGGTGTCTCGAGCCAAGCATTCTGGCTGGAGATCCAAAGGAGATATGCAGTTGATAGCCTCGCCAGGCCTTCCTTGTACAGCGTACACCACCTCCTTTCTAGATGTGCCGGCCTATATAGATCGCTCCATCCAATCTGACTGTCACCCACTAGACTCTTCTAGAATTTTAAGTCGTTGCATTGACATCATTCCGCGATGGCCACCGTGCCCCAGTGATCCACCCCGAGTGGACTCGACGATCGCCCACAGTTCTCTCAGTGACTTCATTCACAGGTAGTGGGGGTCAGCTCGCTTCACAGATATCAACTCCATTATTTCCTGCTTTTCCTCGACTCGAACTGAAACCGCCACGGCGCTCAAAGGTGGTTTATTGCTCTTTGTTGTGCTGGCGCTGTTGGCTGACCGTGGCCCGCCTCACGCCCATTCAGGCGTTTCACTAAATTCGACCCCCAGAGACGCCAAACGCGACGGCGTCCGCCACCCCCGAGTCGTCTTTTACCCCGCGCCCTGCCTTGCTGCTTTGCTGCTTTGCTGTTGCTTTGCTGCTGGTGGCGTTCCTTATAGTTCTGGGAAGTGACGTTGCGGCCGGAGTTGAGTCATCCGCCGCACCGCAGGCTCTTTTTCACCTCCCCACTTTGTCCCTCAAGGCATTTCATCGAGCTCGCGTTATAAACCACCGAGGCCGTTTGATCCGACGCACACTCTCACTTGTCTCTGCAAACATCACCTACAGATCCCCTCGCCGGGGATGGCCCAACATTCCAGCATCGCTCGGTCGGCCATCATGACGTCGGCCTCTGCACCCGATCCTGCAGTGCTGGGGGATCAGAGGAATATGAACCAGCGCCCCAAAGGCGTCGGCTCCAACGGAGCTAGCGCCGACTCGGGGAAAGAAGGAGGCCTGATGCTTCCGCCGAAGACCGTGGTCAACAGAGCGCTAGGGAATGACCTGCATTCCGACAAAATATCACAGGCGCCCAAGGGCGGAGTCGGGACCGCTCTGACTGACACTCCGATTTCTACCGCACCCCCGTCCCCACAGATGTGAGTCGTCCTCGTTTCCTAGTCGTCCACCACTGCCCCGGAGGCAATCTGTGCCTGAACAACCCGGCCCGGCCTCTATGAGAGCCGCATGGATCACCGTTTTTGATCGGCGTGCTGCCACCGGCGTTCGGGTGGCTGTCTGTCTCCAGATTCCTTGCCGGGGATGGGGCTGATGTTTGTCCCGATGATCGGCCGGGCCTTCTTGCTTATCTTGATTGCATGTTGACTACTATTGTTAGAAACATCTACTGACATGTTTGCTTCTGCAGTAAGGGGCAAAACCAGGCCGACACTCCCAGTCGAGTCCGGGCCACCACCCTCGATATCCCGGGCTTGACCAAGTCCAAGGTCTCCCCGGATGGCCGTATTGCCCAGCGTGATGTCGGTGCCAAGCTGGTCATCATCATGGTTGGCCTGCCGGCTCGCGGCAAGAGTTACATAACCAAGAAGCTCGCTCGTTACCTGAACTGGCTGCAACACGACACGCAGATCTTCAACGTCGGTGAACGTCGTCGTGTGGCCGCAGGCAAATCGCCCTCGCCAGCCAATCTCAATAAGGGCCAGGAGAGGGGCTCCAGGCCCAGTATTCACAAGGATCTCGTCGACTCCGTGCGCCGCCTGAGCGTCAGCGTGGGAAACACTAGCATGAACCAGAATGATACCTCTCCGCCCGAGGAGAACGACACGCCCAGCGATGCACCTCTGCCGCCGCCAGTCGTTCCCGCCAAGATCCTGGTGAACGGCGAGGAACAACCCGAGTCGATTTCACAGAATGGAAGTACTGTCATTCCTTCCATCGATGCCGGTCCCGCCCAGTCCATCCAAAACGAGGAGGCAATCAAGGAAGCTTCCCCGGAGCCTATGAACCAGACCGCCAATTTCTTCGACCCGCAAAATCAGCGAGCTGTTAAGCTTCGCGAGCAGGTTGCTCTCGACACCCTCGATGAGCTGCTCGAGTACATCCTGGAGGATGGCGGCAGTGTCGGTATTCTCGATGCGACCAACAGCACCATGGAGCGCCGCAAGGCTATTGTGGACCATATCCGCAAGCGTGCTGGCCCCGAGCTGGGTATTCTGTTCCTGGAGAGCAGCTGTGTGGACCAGGACTTGCTGGAGGCCAATATGCGCCTGAAGCTGTCTGGACCCGACTACAAGGGACAGGATCCCGCCACGGCCCTTGAGGATTTCAAGAAGCGAGTTGCCCTGTACGAGAGGTCGTATGTGCCACTGGGCGAGTACGAGGAGAAAAACGACATGGCCTACATTCAGATGATTGATGTTGGTCGTAAGGTCGTCTCCCACCAGACCCACGGCTTCCTCTCCTCACAGGTTGTGTACTACCTTCTCAATTTCAACCTGTCCCCGCGTCAGATCTGGATCACTCGCCACGGTGAGAGTGTGGACGACCGCGCTGGCCGTATTGGTGGTGACTCTGATCTGAGTGAGAACGGCCAACGCTACGCCAAGGCCTTGGCTCGCTTCATTGATCACCAGCGCCAGCAGTGGGAGCTGTACCAGCGACAGAAGGACTTGATGAAGCACTTTCCCCCCCGACCCGGCGACAGCACCCCTCCCAACCCTTCCTGGATCCCGCGAGACCGACCCCGCAACTTCTGCGTGTGGTCGTCGATGATGCAGCGATCTGTCCAGTCCGTCGAATACTTCAACGAAGACGAGTACGACGTCAAGCAGATGCGCATGCTGGACGAGCTGCACTCCGGCATAATGGAGGGAATGACCTACAAGGAGATCCAGGAGCAGTATCCCGAGGAATACGCCCACCGCAAGAAGGACAAGCTCTTCTACCGCTACCCCGGTCCTGGCGGTGAGGGCTATCTGGACATTATCAACCGTCTTCGCACCGTGATTGTGGAAGTCGAGCGTACCACCGACCACGTTCTCCTCGTTAGCCACCGATCCACGGCCCGTGTTCTTCTCTCCTACTTCCGCGGCCTGAAGCGGGATGAAGTTGCGGATCTCGATGTACCCATGGGAATGCTGTACATGCTGGAACCGAAGCCCTACGGCGTCGACTTCAAGGCTTACCAGTACAACCCGGAGACAGACTGGTTTGACTACGTCCCGCAGTACGAGCTGCACCAGGTGGGCGCGACTCAGAAGCCCTAAATTGTCCTGCAAAGATCTTGCTTATGAATTACTATGAACTCTTGACGACACGCTACTCTCACCTCTTCGTGATTTGATGTGAGACACCCGTCAATATATCCACCATGTCCATATCATCCATATCCACTGCACATGTTAACCTCGCTCCATGCTTGCGGGTGTTTGTGGGGCTGTGTATTTGTCCGTTTTGTATCATCATTATCTTTTTGTTGCTGCGTTTTGTTCTGATTGACTTTGGCTCATGATTCACCCGGTGCATAGGGGGCGCTCCTTTCTATTTTTGTCCTTTGTTCCGTTTCCATCATGACTCTCATTGTCTTTGCATGTTTGGCGTTAGCGGCTTAATCGCCACGACGTGGATCTGAGATCTTCCTCCACGCTGCTAGACAGCTCATAACGCAAGAGCAAGAGCAAGATGACGGAATGCTGCTATTTGTTAAGCATTGTTCTTACTAGGTTGAAGCATTTACATTTACTCAAGCCTCCTTCAAAAAGTAGACATTACCCTAAAACACTATACAAACCTAACTATGCAAAACAGTACCCAAGTAAAAATCACTGTCCATCCCGAACCTTCCCAAAAATCTCCAAAAACGTCTCTGGCTCATCCGCGCCCTCAACAACATACCTCCCAATTTCAAAAAACGGCACACCAGAAACCAACTTCCTGGCCGCATTTCCAGCTTCACCATCAACCTCCTCACCACCTTCATCAGTATCCAACAACGCATCCACAGAACTACGCTCCAGCCCCGCCTTCACAGCCGCATCAACGAGAACGTCCCGATGGGTAATATTCTTTTCTTCTTCAAAATACGCCCGGAAAAGATTCTCCACGACGCGCGTCTGGATTCCCCCGACCTCCCCGACTGATGAAGGGAAGGACTTTTCTTGTTCCCCGGCAAACCAAATAACCCGATGCGAATCCCTGGTTTTTCCCGTATTCCCACCAAAGGAGAAATTGATGCCCTCTGCTTTTCCGACAGCAGAGAGCCGGGTGAACATCTGGCTCACGCGCTCGGAGCCGAATTTCTGGTTGTACATTTCCAGCTTGTTTTTGCCTGGGTATGCGGGTGAAGACGGGTTTAGGTAGAAGGCTTTCCACTCCAACGTGAATGTGTCGGTTGGGTGGTTCGTTTGGTGAATTTTTATGGCTGTGCTGAGGCGGCGGTAGCCGATGTAGCACCACTAGAGTCAAGGTTAGTAAATACCCCTAGGGTAGTTTTAGGGGTTAGGTGGACCGGGTTACGGACTGGGCAGACTGTGTCGGAGATTATTTGGATTTGGATGTTCGGCATTTTCTGGCAGGTGTGGAAAGGAAAGGGATTGAGGATGAGATGGGAGGAATGAGGGAGACAGGAGGAATGAGGACAGGGGTGGGTTAGAAGTACGAGATGATCGACCCGTTTGATGTCTTTAAAGTACTGTACCCTTCTCGGGTCCGATGACGAACGGTGGGGCCTGCTGACAAATTGACAGCCGTTGTGCCGAGCTTAGTGGTAGTTCATGTTGATCGAATACACCACTCCTATGTGTACATAGTAGCTATGCTAGTAGTATGCATAGGGCTATTCAAACGTAAGGTTGAAAGGGCTATCCGAAACTAACATCCATTCTCAGGTATCAAATATCAAATATACATGGCTCCTTATATGCAGCTAAATCCAGACAATATCATGCAGTCTATCTACAGCCAATCCCGAAATGGCTTTCGAAACAAAACTTACAGGACCTGCTGCGCCTGATAGCTCGGCTTCCAGGATGCAGTTGAGTCACCAAACACTGCCGAGGTGTTGTGAACCGGAACTCCAACAGGCGGCTCGGAAGGTGGAGAGTTTTCCAGCATGGACGTATACTGTTAGAAAATGTTAGAAAACCCCCAAAAGAAGGGGGGAAAAACCTACCTTAAAGGCAAAGTTCAGAACCAAGGCCACCGCCAGGCCAAGACACACGACCAGGGGCCCAAACATGTTGTCCAGGTCCTTTCCGCTGCGCTGGCGGATCAGGCGAGAGCGCTTCTCGTACATATACCAGCCCCAAGCGGCGGAGAAAAGTGCGAAAAATGTGTAGACGACGGCCAAGGCCTGCGCAACGCGGTTGTGTTTCCCCGCGGAGTTGTACAGCCCCAAGGACAGACTCGACAGCAAAATACTAATGTGCAGCCATTTGATAAAGGTTCGCTGGTTGGCGAGCCAGACTTTGCTTTCGACACGGACCGGCCCGGCGTCCTTGATCCAGATGCCGGGGTGGCGGATACCCGGTGGGAGGGAGACGCCCTCGCGGGCGGACCAGTTTTGGAATTTCTGGGTGAGGCCCTGGAGGATCGTATTGAAGTTAGATGACTGGGGAGATTCGGTCTCGGGCTCCGCGGGTGGCTGTGGTTGCTCGCGGGGCTGGGGTTCAACGACAGAAATACGAGGCCGTGAAGGCACAGCACCTGTTTCGCTCATGCCAGATGGGCGACGAATGTTTGAGCGAAACACTGAGTCGCGCCGTCGGTTTAAGGGAGACCCGGACAGCGGGTGGGCACTGGGACTGCCCGAGGCACCGAAGAAACTGCCAACAGCAAAATCTTCCTCGGCACGCTTGGCCAGGCGTTCTTGCTCCTCGTGGAAAGCGGTTTCGGGGTCCCGTCGAATATCGTTTTCCAGCTCGCCAAGCCAGAAAGGGAAGCTGTTTACATGATCCTCAAACAGCTGGGCAATACCGTGGACAAACTTGGAGAAGCGCGGGGCCTCCTTGACCAGGTGGGAAGACATGAGATCGTTCACCCACTCGGAGTCATGGGCCTTGCCGCGCAGCTTAATTTCCAACAGAGCGTGGGGGAAGCGGACGATCTCACCCGTACGAACTGCATTGAACGGGTAGCTCATGGCGGTATCATCCAGATCGGAGCGGTGCCACTCGGCGGGATCACGGCAAGGACGTTCGGGGTCGAGCGAGTCTTCCCTAATCAAGGCAAGGTTGGTGTCGAGGGAGATGCGGATGCGGTCATCACCGGGGATCTGGAACGCGGTGCGTGTGTAGTTGGCCCGCAGCATAGGCTGCAGATTGTTCTCTTTGACGAAGGATTGCAGTTCCTCGACATTCTTCTTGAGGGATTGGGCCTCAGCCGACTCGCCATTGTTCTGATCTTCCATCCGGTGCACCTTCTTGTCCAGGTGGTATTCCCCGTCTAGAAACTCCTTGATATGCTTTTCCTTTAGCTGCACCCTGATCTCGCGACTGCTGTCATCTTCGGACACGATCTTCTTCTCGAGGTAGATGGGCGGCTTGTCTTGCAGCTGACCCGTCCAGCGGAGACGCAACGAGCCCGCTTCCGAGGCGCGAGCCACCTTCTGGTTGTACAAGTCGAACTGGGGGTTGTCAAAGTAGAGCGAGGTGATGGTGGGATCTTCGGGCAGGGACAGCACGTCCTTGGACGTGCCCGGGTTGTAGATGAGCACGGGCAGACGACGCAGGATGTGCGTCTTGGCCTCGAGGACATTATCGGCGTGGATCCAGAACTTGTAGGACGAGTAGATATCGCGGCCGAAGCCCCGTTCCGGCTCCTTGGCGTGGACGATGTCCTGGCTGAGGGTCTCGCGCACAAAGGAATACATGACCGACAGGCGATGCACCAGCGGCGAGTAATCCTCCGAATTGAAGGGCAGCTGCGAGAGGCGCACCTGCAGCAGCGGCTTGACACGGTACCGGGCACCACGCTTGCGGTCATGCTTCTTGGCGGCCTTGAGGAAGCCGGTGAAGTTGATGCGGCTGTACTTCTCCAGCTCGCTCACTTCCTTGGTGATGCTGTCGAGCTCCTGCAAGGCCTCGGAGGCAATGGTGCGCTTCTCGACGTCATCCAAAGCTGCGATTTCCTGGTCGGCGGCCGGGGCCAGCGGGCGGAGCTTGGCCTCGCACGCGGTGGTGCGTTCCCGGAGCTGCTGCGAAGTCTGCGATTGGAAGTTGTTGACCTTGTCGAGCTGGGCATTCAGCAGCTCCTGGACAAAGGCCTCCTCGTCCTGCTCGGTCCATTGGCCGTCGTCGGAGTCACTGGCGTCCTCGCCGTCGCCCGTGACATCATTCTCGCGCAGCAAGGTCTTGAGCTTGCCATAGTCGATATAATTGCCCTTCCACGGCGGGTACACCGACTTGCGAAGAGTCTTGCCGAACCGCATGGTGGTTCAAACCGGGGGCGATGGACCGGTTGGCAACTTGTGTCACTTGGGGGGAGGATCGAGAGGGTGGGGTGGAGGGTCGACGGCTCCGACAAGGGATCCAAGACTGGAGAAGCTGCCTTGCGATTGACCCCGTCAATTTCCAGTTGGCGGTTGTCGATGTGAGGTTGTGCAGTTGGAACAAAGGCCGGCCGAATTGACGAGATTTCTCGAGGACTCGTCTCAAGTCGCACTATCCTTCACTCGAAGGTTTCCGTCGCTGGCGAAGCTGGCATGAAGCTAGCACTGGCACGTGCTGCAGTGTCTGGTCAAGAGGCCTCGCCGCTTGCACAGGGCCGGCCAATCATCAGCCGGCCCGAAGCGGCTGGCGGCGACTACTGCAGCTGTCCGGATTTACATTGTTCCGAGGTGGCAAGTTAGCCGATATCCCTATAACCATTAGGAAGGTGAAAGCCATAGAAATCAGGATGCCGATGATCTTACGAGGGAATGGGATAAGCAATGCATCTACTGACAGGGTGGCAGACTTGGAGCATGCAGTCCGAGGATAAATAGTCTGCGTGGTAGCAACCACTCTATACATGACTGGAGTGTCAATCTAGCCTTGAGATTGTTCTCATCCCAACTCGGTACTTGAAGAAATTGTCTTATAGTAACTGAATAATTTCGATTATAATGCCGCATTCACGTTTTCTTCCCTATTCACCCATGTAATACTCTAGATTGCCGCAAAGCTTGAACGAAAAGCCCAGCCTCGGCCCGCGATCCACCGACGCACGGACAACACCGGCCTGGCTCCGCGGAGCATCCCCGTCGGACATCCTCCACGACTGCCTGCATATAGATCGCGACCACGACATAATGGAATCCTCACGCCCCGACCCGCCGGGCCTATCCTCGCACCTCCACGATGTCCTCATCGACCTCCACCAGCGGCCCTACCCACACGTCCCCAACCCGCCCGCCTGCAAGAAACGCGCCTCCGTCGCCCTGATCCTGCGAGTTCGCCCGACCTACGACCACTGGCCGACCGCGCCCAACATTGGCGACCCGTCGCTGTCGCCGGAAGAGCGGCTGGATGAGTTCTTCTCGCAGTCGTGGGTGCAGTATGGGGATCCCGAGGTTCTGTTCATCAAGCGCGCGTCAAGGGCTGGAGATCGTTGGACGGGTCATGTTGCGCTGCCCGGTGGGAAGCGCGATCCCGAGGATGCGGATGATAAGGCGGCCGCGATTCGGGAAGCGGATGAGGAGATTGGGTTTGATTTGACTACCGATGATTGTATTTGTGTTGGTAATCTGCCGGAGCGGGTGGTGACCACGAGCTGGGGGTCTATCCCGTAAGTTCACCTGCGCTGTCGTCTTGACTTTGGCATGTTGTTGCCATTTAGGCCGATCTAGACTCATTTATTGGTTTAGTCTGATGGTATTGTGCCCATTTGTCTTCATCACAACCCGCAGCGACTCGCCGACGCTGAAACTACAGCCCACCGAGGTCGCCTCGACGCATTGGATCCCTCTCCGTGCCCTCCTCTCCTCGTCCCTGCGCACCGTCGAATATGTAGACATGTCCCAGCGATTTTCCCGACAAGGCAGTTTCCTCACTCGAATGGCCGTCCGCTCCATGTTGGGATGGATGCAATTCTCAGCCGTCCGCCTCCTGCCCTCGGAAACACAACACTGCTCCTCGATTCCCGGATTCGTCCCCGACGAGAAGAGCGGCAATACCTCGCTAATCCAGCGCTTCAAGTCCTGGTGTCTGAGCAACCAAGCTGATTCAGGCGATCTTAATCGCCCCCTGTTGCTCTGGGGTCTCACGCTTGGTATCTTGGCCGATTTCTTGGATATGCTGCCTCCTCACACGGCCGTTCAACAATGGAACTATCCCACCTTTACCGCGCCGGACTTGAGGCTGATCGTGAGTATCTTGACCTACAACCTGCGGAAACGTAATGCGCGGATGGTGAAATTGGGCGCGAGGCCGAATGAAACGGCGTCGGATGGGGAGACGGCTGCTTTGCCGGTGACGTCGAATATCCCCCACGACGATAATGAGGTTGGTATTGGTGGGCTTGGAGTTGGTCGATACTACGGTCCATCGGATCGTGCCCCCGACGGTACCTCGTATGCGGTTGGTATCATGCTGCGAGGATACTACGACAAGCTGCGACTTGCGATCTACTTCTTCATGGCCTGGCGCATGACTCTGGGGTCGGCGGCAGCGTTTGCAGCGTGGAAACTGCTTCGGCGGAGACTCCAGTGAGCTGCACGTATAGTGCGTCCTTTTCCTTGCGCCTGAATGTTTGATACCCAAAGCTTGGAGGTTACTTGGATCTATAGTTAGATCTATGTGTACATTGGTCATAATAGAATCTTACATAATCACCGATCGGCTCCCCACATCTCAAGCTCCAAGTAAACAGTCTCCTCTCACAACATCTCTCCGCAACTCCCGACTCCATGGCGCCCACTCAGAAGCTCTACCCCCGCGGTACAGTCAAGCGCATCGTTAAAGCACACTCCAACCGCAGCGTGAGCAAAAATGCCGATATCCTGGTCCGTCGCGAAGCTCCCGTCTCCCCTCCCCAACGCGCCGTCCCGTGGCTAATGACTTGTCTCCCACTGGGAGACGTAACAGATCTTCCTCGACTATATGCTTTTCATGCAAGAGTATGCAGCCACACCATCCCTCTCCCAAGTTTCCTGTTCCGGTCGCGGTGCCGTTGCCACGCGATACACGCTTTGCGCGACACGCCTGCGAGTTCATGCTAATTTATTTTTGCGGGTGACTAGACTTATGCGCGAAGCGTCGATTCGATCGCGCAAGTCGGGCGAGAAGAACATTTCAGCGAATGCGGTTCGCAAGGTTACGGAGGTATGTGGTTGGTTTTGGTCTGGACTGTGTTGCGATCCGGCTGTCTGGATGGTGCCTAACGATTTTGCGCGATACAGAAAACTTTGCGCAAGTTTCAAGGATGAAATCAGAGGATGATCAGAGAATCGTTGAAAATTGTTGCTGTCGTTGATTGAGATGGGGCTGAGTGGTCATCGATCGTGAACTCAGCAGTAGATCAGATTGGGACTGGGGTTGCTGGTGTTTTGGGGATTGTGCTTTTTGCTGGCGTACGGAATAATGAGATACCCGGAATTTGAATTCTACTCTGATGTATAGATTTTCATTATGAGACAAATGATCTTATCTGATTGTGGTGGCGTAGATTGGCATACTATTGTACCCTAGGGGAGTGTGGTGGTATACTGTGTAGTTGTGGACATGCGACACGCTGCAAGTGGGCCACTGAAAGGGTTCGGACGACTTCCACCCGCATCGATTCTGCGCACTCCCTCCTCCCCCATCATCCTCCAAACAAGGACCTGCCCCCAGTACGCTCCTACTGTACACGCAGTCTCTGCTCCGTACAGCTCGATTCCCTCCGAAATTTAACTTTCACAAGCTGTGTCACCAGCATTCCATCATGGCTCCTGCCAACGCCACCTCACCCGACCTCAAGCTCAAGAAGCCCACCGACCGAGTTTCCAAGCCTGATCTGGAGAGCCCCGTCTCAGAGACCGGCGCTTCAGAGCCTGCTTTTCTGAAGGAGTTGCAGAAGTAAGTGTGTCGCGACGAGTGAGGAGTGTCGCGTGAACTGGGCTGACAGATGTGACTATGTAGGAACCTTCGCAATGCGACAAAGAAGCTGGTATGTGAGCGATCTGCTGAGGATCAATGATTGACCGATCGAGATAATGCTAACATGTTTATTGTGTGTTTAGAATGCCACCGCGAAAGTCGACACCATCCTCAAGGAGAACGAGGGCAAATCGCTCGATGAACTCGTGGCGGAGAAGAAGATCAACACCGACCAAAAGGCACAAGTCTTGAAGAAGCCTGCCCTGGAGTCCCAGATCGCACAGATCCAGCAGCAGATCGGACAATACAGGGAAATTGCCAACCAGTACGAGCAACAGCTGGCCAAGCAGAAGGCGGCCGCCGAGGAAGCTCACCAGAAGGAGCTCGAGTCCGTGCGGGCCAATGCTATCGCCGATGCCACCGCAACCACTGCAAAGACTCTGCGTCAGCAATTGCTGTCTGTGAGCAAGTTCCTGTGTGCCGCGGCCAACAGCCGGCGCGACGGTGATGCCGAGTCTCTGGAGGCCCGAGCCTTTGAGGGCGTTCTGTTCCAGGTCTACGCAGGCAACCAGGAGGCCGTTAGCAATATGATCAAGCTGATTGATGGCGCGGATGAGAGGGTGGTGGGCGTTGAGGGCGAGGTCCTCGAGATGAGCTGTAAGTATTCTGCTCTTCAATTAATCTGCGCTTGGACAATGCTAACTCTCTCTCCAGACGGAGATGTGAAGCAGGCTTCCAACAAATTCGCACCCGTCGAGCCCGCCGAACTCACAACCGACACCGCCCCTGCTTCGGATCCGACTCTCGCCAATGCCGGCTTGAATGAGCTTCAGGACACCTCTGTTGGTGCCGAGGCCGCGGCCGCTCAGGCTTCGACCGACGAGACCCCCGACCAAGTCGCGCCTCCCTCTCAGACCCTGACTGCCGGTGCCGCGAACTCGGTTGCCGAAACTACCTACGATCCTACTTCTATGACCTCCTCCACTACCACCGACGGCTGGGTGAACATCCCTCGTGACCCTGCTGAGACCGACACTGGCCTGCAGGCCACTCCGGCCAACATCAAGAACACCGCCGAGGCTTCTGGGGCCAAGGCCCAGACCGGCGGACAGAACCGCAACCGAAACCGCAACCGTAATCACAATGGCCGCGAGCGCGCTCAGGGCGAGAGCAACAGTGGCGGACGCGAGGGTAACCGTGGAAGCCGAGGCCGCGGCCGCGGTGGACGTGGTCGCGGACGCGGCGGTGCCAATGCCTCTGCCCCTGCTTCAGGCGAGCAGTAATCGTCTCAATCTTGCGTTGTTAAGTAAGATCTCATATTCTTTTCAGGCCCTGCCTCCGGACATGCGTTCGCCCTGCCTTTTTTATTTGGTCGGTGTTCACGGATCTACGAAAGCAACGAATTTTTTTTCCTTCCTGCGAAAAGATGTTTCTGCATCTTTCTTCTGAGCGTGCATATTTTCCCAGACTTTTCTTTTTTCTCCATGTATTTTACTGGGTTTGATCGCCGTCCAACAATGGCAGTTTACGACGCGGTCTAGGAATGCAGATTACCTGAATGCCCTCTCCGTATCGTAACCACTCAATAATAATAGTAAATACCCTATAGATATTCAAGATACTCAGGGGAATGAATATCTATCACTTTATGCGCACCTCGTTACCCCGATACAGGATATGCTACCAATACCATACCTTAGGGTATAGTCTCAATGCGGTGATCAGCCAACTCCGATAGGCGTGCGCGTTAAACCTCTGCGGGACATGCAGGGCTCCACTATTTAGTTCCGCCGTGGCCACCTGGTCATCCCATCTCACCTTCTCCCCTCTACAACCACCCCGGCGCCAGCAGCAATATCCCACCCACAATGGCAATCGCTGGCGCCCAGCGCAAGCAGGTCCTGAAGGTCTTGATGATCTCCCTGCTCCTGGACCTGGTACGCTCACCACCATGGATAAAGATAAACAAAACCGAACCACCACTAATGTTTCAACAGATCTCATTCACATTCATCCTACCCCTCTTCCCCTCCCTCCTAGCCTTCTACCGCGCCCAAGATGACATCACCTCTTCCGAGTCCCTCCTCACGCGAATCTTCGTCTACCTAAACGCTTACAAAAACGCCTTCGCCCGCCCCATTGACTCAAAATACGACATCGTCCTCCTAGGCGGCGCGCTCGGCTCCCTCTTCTCTCTGCTGCAAGCCATCGCCGCCCCGATTATAGGTCATCTCTCCGATACACACGGCCGGCGCCCCGCCCTGCTCTCCGCCATGCTGGGCAACATCCTCAGCGTCGCGCTGTGGGTTTCCGCGACGGATTTCCGCACCTTCCTCGCTAGCCGTGTTGTGGGTGGTCTTTCGGAGGCGAATGTTCAGCTGGCTGATGCGATTGTTGGCGATGTTACGGATGAAAAAGGAAGAAGTGCTAGTATGGCGCTTATTGGGGCTTGTTTTAGTGTTGCATTTACTGTTGGTCCGGTGCTGGGGGCTGCGTTGAGTTCTGTTGATGTTGTTAAGGAGAATCCGTTTGTTGTTGCTGCGCTTGTTTCGTTGGGGTTTGTTGTCGTTGAGACGGGGTATCTTTGGGGGAAGTTGCCGGAGACACATCCGAGGTTTACTTCTTTGCAGAAGGAGGAGGAGAATAACGGCGTGGATGCGAAAGGCAAGGGTGAAGCTAAGGTCAAGGAGGAAAAGCCAGGCGTGCATACGAACAACCCTTCCATTCTAAATGCCCTACACTTCCTCTTCCTCCTCCCTTTCTCCGGCCTGGAATTTTCCCTCCCTTTCTTGACGGCTACACTCTACGCAGAAACGTCAAGCACAACCTCCAGTCCCGCCGCTCTAAACGGCCGTCTTCTTTCGCTCATGGGACTCATCGCCTCCCTGCTACAGGGAACAGTCGTCCGCCGGCTTCCGCCGCTCATCACCATCCGCATCGGCGTCGTAGCCTGCGCAATTTCATTCTTCCTCCTCGCGCATGTCGAGTCTGTGTCAGGTCTTTATGCCGCAGGCGGCTTGCTGGCCGTGACTAGCGCGACTGTCGTGACGGGGTTGAAGAGCCTGGGCAGTTTTGAGGCGCGCGATGCGGATCGTGGTGCTGTTATGGGGAGATTGCGTGGTTGGGGACAGGCGGGCAGGGCGACGGGGCCGATTCTGTTTTGTTCGCTTTTTTGGTGGGCTGGGAAAGAGGCCGCGTATAGTGTTGGTGGTGGTGCGATGTGTGTGGTTGCCCTGGGTGCTTTTGCGCTTTTGAGGGCACCGATTGTACATGCTAAGACGGAGTAGGTGGTCAGCTTACTTAAGTGTAACTGGATTATGTTTTGATATCTGCGTGGATCGCATTGCATTTGGGATTGTGTTTTGTTTTGGGGGTTTGGTTTGGGTGCGAAACTGATTTCGAGGATTTTCTGGATTGTGGGTGCTGTTTGAGTACATTACGTAGCATTAGAATCAACTTGAAATACCAGTATCAGTTCATGTTGGCATATTCTACAGGTGATCAATGTGAGACTGGTTGAAAGGAGCACTTTGTTGAGATGAGGGATAGGATCTGGAGGGAATCGCTTAAGCCAGCAATGAAGTAATATTGAAGATGTCTAATAATCTAAGATAACCCCTGAGTGGAAGTGTGCTATACACACTTCCCGAAGGCCCGCGTTACCGTATAATGCTAGTGAGACTCAGGGAGGATGGCATAGTAGCCCTCATGGCCTCAGCGGCATTGAAGACTGCTGAAAACTCGACACACTTCACATGGTTCAATCATCCAAGAGTATCGGTATCGGATATATATTCCGCCTATTGATGTTCAAGTATTGCAACGAAAGAATAGCAGTGCTTTAGATTCAAACACTAGAAAAATATACAAACAAATCAAACTAAAATGCTACACCGAAATATTCATTCCACGCTCAACTAAAATCTGAAAGGAGATTGAAAAATAGAAACATCACAAGGGTATATAATACAAAACAGAAGATCAAGAGCGGTGATGGATGCAAGCCCATCTCATCTTGACTTACCAACGCCGAGATTAGACCTTACATTGTAGACCTCGGAAGAGTACTTGCCTCCAAGTGGAGTACCTACGGGACAATGGACGCACTGTAAGTAAGAAACCTGGTAAAAGTAATACTGAGAAATTTGAACTCACCTTCATTCCGTGGAATATCGCAGTTCTCCGAGCCACGATTTACGAGGCAACCGTACCTGCAACGGTCAAGATCTACGAGAACCTATCTTACATAAATTGGATGTCTCCGTCGACACCTCATGAGACACGGCTGGACCGCGTCTGACAAGACTCCATGGCGAGTCCCGGGTTCGGCGACGGATCGAGAGATCCTCTCGCCTTGCCAATGAGCCAATCTGTCAATGTCACAAACTTGGCCGTGCGGTCCCAGCCATCCCCGTCTTCGGCATGCTCAATCGTATGCGTCAAGATGCGCCCTTCCTCGTCAAAGGAGAAAATGAACAATCCACTAAACTGTTCTTCCTTGGACAGTTTGAAAATCGGCTCTTCGCCGCCGAGGAGGACACTCAGGCCTCGGTTTGTGCCATTCTTGGAGGGGAAGAGGTGGCCGTGTGAGTGCGATTTGCCGCCGGCAACAGCGCTCTGGCTGGCGGAGTCGGATGTGCCACCGAGCGATTCGTGGAAGGGCCGACTATCTGTGCGCGGCTCTGTTTTCCATCGAACGACGAGGCGTTCATCGCCATAGTCTTTGTGGTCGTCGTGTGGGTCGAGAAGTGTTCCTGTGCGGACGATGCGCTCGCTTTGGATCTGTAGCTTGACGTTGCCGACGAGTGGGACACTACTCCAGGCAACTGGGACTGTCCAGAGTGCTGCGCGGTAGAGAGTGCGCCCTTTGACGGTGGGTAGGTGTGGGTGGGTGGATGGGAAGAGGTGGAGATTGACGCTGGGAGCGAGGATCTCCGGTGGGAGCGTATTGTACAAGATGGTAGGGAGGAGAGGTGAGAGCGTCCGCAAGGCTGTAGACTATTAGTATGGCTGTTTTTGTGAGCGCAGCAACTTCTGAGTACACACTCTTTCCGAGCTTCAGGACCCGCTCATCTGGCGGCTTGTGGTCGTTCTGCGGTCCATTGTCGAGCCCGTCGATCCCACTGCATACCTTTGTCGGCGAGAAATAGGCGGTCGGTAGAGGCGTGGATGAGGTCGGAGGGAGCCAGGGTTCGGACAGGATGCCGTGGCGTGGATGGGCGAGTGGGAGGCGCGGGGTGAATGTAAATGACCGGCCCGGACGTGATGGATGCTGCAGGTGCAGCGGCCGAAGGCGAAGAGCGCGCGAAGGTGAGGCCAGATTAGGCATTCTCCCGACGCGCAGATTTCGTGGCCGCGGGGGTCATGACATGGAGGAGGCAGGAGTGTTGGAGGAATGAAAGTGAAAAGGAAGTTAGAGGGAAAGTTGGAGATGCGGAGACCGCTTCCCGGTTTTTGGGCGGCCAATCGCAAGCCGCGGGTATACAATAGCCTGCCAGCGTACGACAGCACTACCCACAGGTACAAAGAAATGGTACAAATACTATCTAATTAATCAGTACAATTTGTTGATGCATCAGATTCATTTCAGCTTTGGTATTTGCGTGGTATTGCCCAATCTCGTTTACGCCAATTCATCATCATCGCCCATGCCCATCACTCGTCGCTCAGCCAGATCCCGGATCTTATCCTCCAAAACACCCCGTCCATAGCGCTCAGCAACCTTCGCAGCCGCTTCAACCATCTTGCCATTACGGTCCGTCATTAGATTTACAAGTTCCAGAGCCTTCATACCGCGCTCTTCACCCTCTCTGCATTCGATGGCCAGCATCTGCAGAAGCGTCTTGTCCAGTTCGAGCTCTTTCCGCGCCAGCTCGGCGCGCTGGCCAGACGTGGCATTGGTAGAAGCCAACAAGTCGCGGAAGAGCGAAAGAAGCAAGTTACCGCGGACGAAGTCCTCTTCGAAGCGACTGCCCTCATTGCCTGCACCCTCTTCTTCGGGGCCCTTGGGCGGGTTGCTGGAGACGGGGACCTGGAAGTCAAACTCGCTGAGCAAGGGTCTGGGGAAGTATGGATTCTTGTCGCCACCCTTGAGAATGATGCAGTGGAATTTGCCTTGCGCAACGGCGACGGGCCAGTAGGATTCTTCCTTGCGCCCGCCGGCAAGACGGGAGAGTTGTTTTGTGTCGAGGAGAGGGACCCATCGGGCTTGGCCGGGTGTGCGCCAGTGTTGCAGGACAACCAGCACGCCGGTGGAGTCGTAGACACAAGGATCCTAGTTACTGGGTTAGCTTGAGTCAATATTGGGTGTTTGCGGGTGAGGACATACGCCAGTGTCAGAAAAGAACACGCTCTGCAGTTGAGCCCCTGTTGGAAGAGCAACCACATCTTCATTCTGACAGATCTCGTCGCGCTTGACGTTCTCAACCGTGTAGTGCAGCGTTGCGTAGCGGCCATCGGCTGATACAGGCCCGTTGCCAATGGTCATGATATAGTCTCGCCAGGCGGTACAGGTCACGGCCTGACTCTTCTGTCGATACACTCTAAAGGGTGTACCAAAGAGGGTGTACACTCGTACGTAGTCTTTGGTTGTGACGGCAACAATGTAGGACTCGCTGAGTGCCAGAGCTATTAAGAGATATTTAGCATAGCCATGTATATAGAGACACGGGGTTTCTTACCTCGAACCATCTCTCCTTCGGGTAGCTGAGTCCGCCAGTCTGCTCGAGTTGTCCAAGTCTCATGAGGTCGGTAGAAGATTGTGGACGGACTTCCATCCGAGGGATTATTAGAGAAGAGAGAGCCATTTTCATCTACTCGGGTTAGCTTTGTTCAGTCGTCTGCAGCTTAATTCAAACTTACTGAGACACGCTTTGTCGTATTGGTAGGGGTCCGTAAAATGGAAGTCACGATGAAGCTCGCGGTCATAGAACTCTACGGTAACAGTGTGATGTGTTTCCTGATCCACAGTCCACACAGCCCCGGTCAAGTTCAAGCCTGTAGTAATGGAAATCAGTAGAGGTCGTAAAGATGTAGACAAAGGAACCCATACACAGATATCGCCTGTTACCAGCCCACGGCGTACTACCAGGCTGAAGAGGCGCATGGGTTCTGGGCTGAACCATGCCAGAGTTAACACGCTTGCTGTCACGACCACCAATATCATCAAGGTGACCATTCGGCCGCTTGCCATAGAGATTCAGTTCCTCAGCATAGCCAGCTCCATCGTCGTCATCAACAAAGTCTGCCATTTCCTCATCATCGCCCAAAATATCATCGAGTGAATCCGGTGTACCTGCTCGAACCGGCTTCTGGGTTACATCTCTGGATCGATCTGCCAAAGTCTGTTTTGAATTGTTGTAGATCTCGGTCAAGGGTCCGGGGAAAATAGGAGCAGCCTGCAGCGGCTTCTGCAGCTGAGCCTCATGCTCCTTCGGGACAAAGTTATCATAGATAAAAAGTTCACCGTCTGAGGTTGTGAAAGACAGCGAGTTCTTGGTAGGATGCCAGGCGATGTTAATGACATTTCCAAAGTCGAAGCGCTGCAAGATGGATTGCGTCTTGGTTTCCCAGAGCACAATTTGCTTGTCAGCTCCAGCCGAGGCCAGAAGCGTTCCATTGGGAGCCCAGCTGAGGGCGGTGATTTCACCAGTGTGTCCACCAGCAAAGGTCTTTTCCTTCTTCCATTCAGAGACTGAGTAAATGGCAATGTCACGGGTCGCTTCTGCAACGGCAAAGGCAGTGCCGTCAGGGTGCCATACGGCTCGCGATGTTGCCTCCGATTCCGGTTCAAGACGTCGGATGACCCCGTCGAGTGAACGAACCAGTTCAGGCTCCTCCTCTGCCAGGGAATAAACATAGAGAAGACCGTTTGTACCGGAGATAGCGATGAAGCGGCCATTGGGATCGAAGGTGACGTGCTTGGCGGATTTCTGTTGTTCGCGCAGGTACCTGATCTGCGACATGTCGTCGACCTTGACGATTTTTACGGTGAGGTCACTAAATCCTAGCGTTAGCCTTGATAATTTCGTGATTACTTAGTGCGTTACACATACTCGCTTGCCACTGCCACCCACTCTCCATCTCTTGACAGGGCCAGATCTCTGATCGGGAGCGCGCATCGTGTCAAGATAGGTCCCGATTTGCCAGTCACGGCGTCGTATTGCCAGACGTTTCCGTCCTCACTGCCCATAACAAAGAACTTGTTCTTTCCAATGTGTTAGCATCTTATATCTCTTGGGGAGGGGGTTGCGCTCTGGCATACCGTCGCGGCAACACCGACATGGCCGTCCATGCCGTCATCAACAGTCTGTGGCTCGCCGTCTTCGTCGACAGTGTAGATACGAATGGCCGAGTTCGAGCCACCGGTGATGATCCGTCGTCCGTCGGGTGTGTAGGTCAATACTGTCGTCCCCGGTGTGTCTAGATGGCAATGACATGATTAGTAGGAGGCACCTTTCCTGCTGCGGTGGGACATAATGTACGGGCTGGCCGCCCACGAGGGCGAGCGGCGTCCATGCTCATTGCGACGGATAGTTGTATCGGATATCGAGAAGTGAAAGTCGCTCTCTAGACAGTCATTGGCTTCAATCGCAGCAACTGTCGCAACGCCGCGGAGTCTGGAGATTGGAGACGATCGCCGAGGACGCGCGGGACACGCGACGCTGCGACGCCGCGACGCGTGCTCCATTTAGCCCAAAAGGGAAAGTAGGGCTCAGGGCAGATGCGGCAGAACTCATGTGACCCACCGCCTTTGTTGTTGGGTATAAATATCTGCTGCCTCCTGCGCCCTTCCTCTTCTTTCTTTTCTTTTTTAGCTCTCTTTGCCTTTTTGGCTTAGATCAAGTGTAGTATCTGTTCTTTTCAGTTTAATCTCTGAAAGTCTTCTCCGGAAGACATCAATGATTATTCCAATTTTTGTACCTCGCGACCTGCCCTCTGTGCTCTGCACATGTCTCGTCGCACAGTGTCATCGGGCTTACACTACCTCCGATTGACGCGAACCCTCTTTTTTCATCACTTGATCGGCTTGTCTGATCGTTTGGAGAAGAAATTATTCAGCCACTAGTCAAATGACTTTGCCCTGTCAATAGAACCTGCCACCCCTACTCCTTGCTCGCTTTGGGTTGTGTTGCTAGCTGGACAATTCTAATGTAGACATTTTTGAGAAAATGAACGTCAACCGTCGTAAAAAAAAAAGAAGAAACTCTACAATGACAATGAATTAATTGGCCAGCGATGGTTTAAAAAAAGAGAAAGACAAAAGAAATCTCCGATAGGGGGAATCGAACCCCCGGCTGCCGTGTGAGAGACGGCGATGTTAGCCACTACACCATATCGGATTACTTGTTGAAGGTTGAGTGGAGTCTGGCATTACAAGCTAGGCTTATCGCTCTTCGTCCCTACGCACAACCGTGAGTGGGTGTATATAAGCGCCCTCTTCCCCTCTCGATCCAACAGCCCCCAAGTTGCTTTGCATTCTCTTCCCTGCTCTTTGCGATTGAGGCATTTTTGCCATTGATCAGAATCGCCGAATGCTCCACCGCCCCCTTTCACGGACAATCAGCACCTCGTCCGCTTCTCGGCCATTCTCGCTAGAGCAACCTCCAGAATACGATCGAAATTTCTGCTTTGAGCAGGTCACAAATATACATCGCACCGTCACATGACAACACCGTCAGATCAGGCAGGTCATAGAAACCCTCTCCGTAGCTACAAGCTACAGAGAGGATCGAAATCAGTTTCATCACTTACAACTAGCGACTCTGTCTTGAACCCCTTCCGAAGTCCGCTAATGCACCCTTGACTTAGCCGTATTTTGAAGATCGAACTGTACAACCACGTGATAATTAGTACTATAAATATATTCTACGGCTGCTCTCACTCTCAGGCAGCAATACTCACCAGGAGGATAATGTATTTGCGCTTGTTGTGTCCCGACTCGGAATACAGAGCTTCTTAACTATCTCCTGGTATTTAGTTTGAAGGCTGAATGTGAGGTTTCTCACGAAGAGCTAAATACATGTGCGTAAATGAGTGTCCTCATACCTAGTCCTTCTGATGGTCCAGTGGGATCCTATCCTATGATGGGTTAAGATGTCGCGTCTGGTGATTGCCGTAGCGCCTTCAGTATGGGTTATGAAACCACAAACACATAGTTTATCGCCTGTGTGTGGATCTGCTCAGTCCTTTGATCCCTGACCCGAGTCCTGATCATGTTTCCATCCTTGAGGCTTTAGCAGTGCACGTGACCTTCGGGCCCCAACCGTGTCTTCCATGAATGATTGGCTCTCGGTGGCCCATCAGTAAGTCGCGACTATTCATTTTGCAGGGTCCGTAACATGGGTGCACAAGCACTGGCAGGTGAGTGGACTTGTTATCTTTGACGCGACGTGGTAACTGACGGCAAGCCTCATAGCGATCATGCTTGGCCCGGCTCGAGATGGATGTCGATGAGTAAGTACATTGACGCATACAGCGATCTTGCTGCAACAGGCACCGGGTAATTGAATGGCCAATACTATTGTAGCCACTACATCTTCGGGGTGCACGTTTGGCTGGTGGAGTGGCTTGGCATGAACACGTGTAAGGTCAGGCGGATCGGCCCGACACTCTCCGCTGGGATTTGGCCCTGCTGAGCCAGAGACCTTAAGATGACAATGTGCACCGAGGATGACATGAGTAGAAGGGATTGAATGGCTATCAAGAGAAGATAGTCATGGTTGTACATCTACCATCAAAGCATGACGCCAGGTTTGCTGTGAATGTGCGGAATCAACTGCCATCCTTGACAGAGTGGAGCAGAATGGCTTTAAGCGATGTGATGTGTCTGGGGTGAGGTGCGTTGGTCACTTGCGGCACAGCCGCCGTCGACCCAGTGAGGCGCCGTACTTGCTCCACCTAGGAGTCTTCTGGCTGAACTGCCCATCCCTAGGTAGCAAGCTGATAACCACTTCTCCTTTTCCCTTACCTTTGAGCTTTGTGATTCATTATCGAAAGCAAAAATTGCAGGCGGAAGGAAAGACTCGGAGATGCAGCAAGTAACGACTGTCGAAGGCGAGCCGAACCCGCTGGACAGCACCGGGCTCTGCCTACTGTCCCTCGATGGCGGTGGTGTGCGCGGGCTGTCGACCCTGTACATCCTGAAGGGGCTAATGGACCGACTGAATAAGGAACGCCCCGAGGGTTCACCAGCAAAGAAGCCCTGCGAGGTGTTTGACCTGATTGGCGGCACCAGTACAGGCGGGTGGGTTGATTCAGTCCATGTTCTAAAGTCGGGTGGCTGACAGATGTAGATTGATTGCGATTATGTTAGGTCGATTGGAGATGGATGTTGATAAGTGCATCATGGCATATATCAAGTTAATGAAAAGGATTTTTTGCAAGCCCTCAAAACGGGGCCTATCCAGTCTTCTTGGCAAGATTAAACCCAAATTTGACGCCAACAAGCTCGAGGGTGCAATCAATGAAGTCATTAACAACTGCGGAGCTAAGCCGACCGATTTATTCAATGATCAAGCTGACCGGAGTTGCCGGGTGTAAGTGTATGTGAGTCGATGAATCCGTATCCTGCTAACAGCTCCAGATTCGTCTGCAGTATCACGCAGGAGACCAAGGATATTGTGCGCCTTCGCAGCTACGGTAACAAGGCCGGAATTCAAGCCACCATTTGCCAGGCCGCCCGCGCAACCTCAGCCGCCACTTCCTTCTTTGAGCCGGTGTCGATCGGAGCACGCAGATTTGCGGATGGTGGACTCGGGGCCAACAACCCTGTGGATGAGGTGGAAGGCGAAGCGTCTGATATTTGGTGTGAAGACACAGGCGACCTGAAGCCACACGTTAAGTGCTTCATCTCGATTGGCACTGGCAATCCCGGGAAGAAGGCGATGGAGGACAACCTTTTGAAGTTTGTTTCTAAAACCCTGCCAGAACTCGCCACCCAAACTGAGCAAACAGAGAAGCGATTCATCGCTAAATGGCGGCTTCATTATGCTGAAAATCGGTATTTCCGATTCAATGTGGACCAGGGGTTACAGGACGTCGGGCTGGCGGAATATCAACAGCAAGGCTTGATTGAGTCAGCGACAGAGGGGTATCTCGACCACCAAGCAGTGAAATTTAGAGTGCGGGATTGTGTTGAGAATCTGAATTCAAAGCAGAGTGTGTTTTTAGAAGACTTTTCATAGTCCTGGTATCCTTCGACTAATGGATAATAACGGATATAGGTCCAACCAACCTCAATTTTGCTGAAGAGATTCGGGTTAGTGTGCCGTGACCAGAATAAATGTATGTGGCTAACCTCATATAGCGGTATAAAATAAAAGTGGCCCTTCTGGAACAATGTATGCCGTTATTCAGAATACCTGATCCGAAATCCAATACTAACAGAGCTCAAGGGCAGGGCCGTACCCGGTGGCAGGTGCCATTTGAACGAAACGCTAAATTCACCGGCCGTGGGGAACTGCTTAGTGACCTGACACAGAAACTTGAACGGAAGTCTGTTGCCACGAGAAAGATTGCAATCGAGGGCCTCGGCGGTGTGGGAAAGTCCCAGCTAGTGCTTGAGCTAGCCCATTGCATGCGAGAACGGTGCGCGGTCTTTTGGATTCCAGTCAACAGCCTGACCAACCTACAGACAGCATATCATAAGGTGGCTCAGAACCTTCGCCTCTCTGGCTGTGAAGAGAGTGGTGTTGATATCCTGGAACTAGTGCAAACATACCTCAGTGATGAGACTATTGGCTCATGGCTGCTGGTATTGGATAATGCCGATGATATAGATCTGTGGACATCTCCACTCACATCTGAGGCAGGAGCCAAGTGGCTGGTCGATTACATGCCCCGAAGCAGGCTTGGAGCGATCATATGGACCACACGCGATCGCAGGGTGGCCACCAGAGTCGCTCAAGAGAATGTAGTGACTGTGCAGCAAATGGATGAGCCCGAGGCCGCAGAGATGATGCGGAAATATTTAATCGATCCTATCGAAAACGAAGAACAATCGTTACCGGGCTTACTGCGGAAGCTCACCTATCTGCCACTAGCAATTGTTCAGGCCGCAGCGTATATCAATGCGACCCACGCGACCCAGGGATCACTCACGGAGTATGAAGAACTCTTGTCCAAGCAGGATGATGAGGTGATTGAGCGCTTGAGTAAAGATTTTGGAGACTACGGCAGATATTCAGGCACGGAGAATGCCGTGGCAAAGACATGGCTCATCTCATTTGAGCAGATCCGTCGCCGCAGTTCTCTCGCGATTAAATTTCTAGGAGTCATGGCCTGTGTGGACCCCAAAGACATTCCTCGGTCGCTACTACAGCCTTCCGAGAAGTCATCATATAATGAGCAGAAAGATGCGATCGATATCCTTAACGCGTTCTCATTCATCACCGAACATAAGGGTGGATTGGCTTTCGATATACATCGTCTAGTACATCTGGCGACGAGGGGGTGGCTGAAAATGAACGGAGAGCTGCCAGATTGCCACAAACAAGCAGTAGCGCGATTGAGTGAACTACTGTCAGACATCAGCCAAACAAATCGGATGCACTGGCGGCTATACATAGCCCATGCACAACACGCTGTGGGAGTAGATGATAAGTGCAGTAGGGAAGATGTCAACCTTGCAGAAAAGTGTGGGGACTGTCTGAAATATGACGGGCGATACTGTGAAGCGGAGACGATGTATCGGATAGTCTTCGAGTATCGACAGAGGGTGCTAGGGCCAGAACATCCAGACACGCTTACCTGCGTCAGCCACCTTGGTTCAGTCCTTTCCCGCCAAGGCAAGTACAAAGAGGCCGAAGACATGCACGGGCGGGCGTTACAAGGCCGAGAGAAGGTGCTAGGGCCAGAACATCCAGACACGCTCACCAGCGTCAGCTACCTTGGCTTAGTCCTTTACCGCCAAGGCAAGTACAAGGAGGCCGAATGTATGCACCGGCGGGACTTAAAAGGATCAGAGAAGATGCTAGGGCCAGAACATGCAAACACGCTCACTAGTGTCAGTAACCTTGGTTCAGCCCTTTCCCTCCAGGCCAAGTACAAAGAGGCCGAAGTCATGCACCGGCGGGCGTTACGAGACCGAGAGAAGGTGCTAGGGCCAGAACATCCAGACACACTCACCAGCGTCGACAACCTTGGTTCGGTCCTTGATAGCCAGGGCAAGTACAAAGAGGCCGAAGACATGCACCGGCGGGCGTTACGAGACCGAGAGAAGATTCTAGGGCCAGAACATCCAGACACACTCACTGGTGTCAGTAATCTTGCTTTAGTCTTTTCCCGTCAGGGCAAGTACAAAGAGGCCGAAGACATGCACCAGCGGGCGTTACGAGGCCGAGAGAAAGTGCTAGGGCCAGAACATCCAAACACGCTCAACAGCATTAACAACATTGGTTCGGTCCTTTCCCGCCAGGGCAAGTACGAGGAGGCCGAAGAGATACTCCGGCGGGTGTTACGAGACCGAGAGAAGTCACTAGGGCCAGAACATCCAGACACGCTTACTAGTGTCAGCAACCTTGGTTCGATCCTTTCCCGCCAAGGCAAGTACAAAGAGGCCGAAGACATGCACCAGCGGGCGTTACGAGACCGAGAGAAGGTGCTAGGGCCAGAACATCCAAACACGCTTACTAGCATTAACAACCTTGGTTCGGTCCTTTCCCGCCAGGCCAAGTACAAAGAGGCCGAAGACATGCACCGGCGTGCGTTACGAAAACAAGAGAAAGTGCTAGGGCCAGAACATCCAAACACGCTCACTAGCATCAGCAACCTTGGTTCAGTCCTTGATAGCCAGGGCAAGTACGAAGAGGCCAAATCCATGCATCGGCGCAGTCCATAGATTGAAACAGGCTATATCTGTTATTGCTTTAACGTTGTTGCCCTCCTACTGAAGTGTGTCGGTATGGAATTCCTTGTTCGTATACTTTTGCGTTCTAGTTCCAGACTGTGTGATGTGGATTACTGAATCCACTTGATCATCACTTTCAATAGTATATATGTTCAACTACTATAATTGATTGGAAATTTGAACTGCACAGCACCTGTATAAGTATCCCATTATTTCCAATTTTCCTCCTACGATTTGTGTGGAGCCTTAGGTGTTCTCTATATAATTGAATAACATCCTAAGTCTCAACATCAGTCCAGAAAGAGATCTCCCCAATCAGAAAGCTATTTGTCTATAGAGCACCATCCAACACTATCATTATCAAATCTCCGAGTACGGCCCTTCTGTCGCTTGGCTGAAGCGACAACAGATGTGTCATCCAACTCGAATTTCCGTTGTAGATACTTTTGAATTAGCAGCTGCTTCAGCTTTGACTGCAGGAAGAGCCTCCAGTAAAAGCGATGGGCTAGAACAAGATCGTATATCTTTTGCAACTGCCCTGCCATTGAGGTTAATTGAGGTTAATCTTCCATTCAATCATGTAGCGAATATAGGCCGGTGGATATGTCCGACCTTCCTCCCAGTCGCTAGAGTGAAGTAGTAGAAGGCTATTACATTGCGTAATATTTTCTTATGGAAAGGTTTTATAGATATAGGATATAAGATCGATGTTAGTGTAGCTTATGTCGGACGAGGACGTGGGTGAACGTCGTAATTTACTAGATGCTGGTATAAATTGTGATGTACCGTCCTAGGGATCCAACGCTACGCCTATTGAGAGCTATAATTATCATGGTCAACGAGAGAACTGGACTTTATACTTCTGGATTCACAGTAATGATAGACTGATTATGAGTGACTATTAGTTGAGTGTCAAGGAAAAGTTCAGTAAGACTATTACTGCCTGGATGCCTGGGAGTACTAATATGCATAATCGAGTCAGAAGGAGCGGTCAACCGACGGGTATAAGACCTCGCACGGAGGGCGATACCCTTGAGTTTCTCAAGTGTTAATCTTGTGTTTATGAGAATATACGCATTTTGTCCTAAGTTCCTCTTGCCTACCACCTAGTCACCTGGCGTCAACCAAACTGGCTGTTCTCTTTAAATTGAGGCCAACGCCATCGGCTGCCGGATAGGCCGTTATTCGCCCGCAAACAACAGAACCCCGGTCGACAGTATATTGCCGACGTTATTCATTGATGTTCCCTGAGCCAAAAGACACCATTCAAATAATTCTTTGGCCGAGTAGCCTGTTGTGGAGAGGTGTAATTGGCTACTGATACTATCTTAACATTAGTGCATATTGTGGTGCATCGCCCAATAGATCAAACGTCATAATGATCATGGTTAATGAGAGAACTGGAACTCAATCTCCTGGTCTTACTGTAGTGACAGTCTAAAGGCCATTAATTATTAGTTGAGGCTTACACTATCAGGAGCCGTTAAGGCAGTTCAAGAACTGACCAGGACAATTGTTTGGTTGCGTCATACTCTCCACCATAGTGTGTCTCAAGTATTGCTGCGTTAACATTTTCTTTGATAGAGGTATGAAAGGCCAGCAAAGCCAGAAGCTGCAGATACGGGGTTGTCTTGAGGTTTCTGCAGCTTTTCCTGAGCCCAGGGCCCCAAGTCTCCTACGCCTCGAAGAAGCACCGTGTGAAGAGATTTAACGTTATTGATTGACCATCAATCTGTATTCTCTCCCGGATGCATTGCAAATCAGGGGAAGTGTATAGTCCCATTCGTTTTGGGAATCCTGTCTTCAAGCCATGCGCGTGAAGAAATGATCTGGTGAACGCGCAAGTACTCCTCTTTCCTTTTGTCCCGGTAACATGGATATTATTCAGGCTGTCGACGTTGCTTTCCTAGACTTGGTAAAAAAAACTAACGCTGCCGCACATGTAAATTACTAAGTATTCGGACAGAGTGTCCCAACGCCTGCAGCCATTCCTTCATTTGACCAGGCTAGGTATGCCTTTCACTGCTGGGTTACCCGCTAGGTGTCGCGGAATCTTAAGGCTTGGCGGGTGCCACGAGGTTTTTCGGTCGGGCTTTCCGCCTTCGTGTCTCAAGGAGAATCAGGGCATTCTGTATTGTTGTTGGACCGAACGCAATGGGGTTTATTAAAGTACCTCTTACACCTCATTGTGGTGGTATTTAGGGATAGATGGGCCCGAGTAGGTAATCAGCAAAGAAGGAAATTGACAGCAAAGGAAGGGGGGATTGCTGCAGACGCCATGGTGGGATCCAGGGGTCGTGTTGGTTGAGGGTCGCTGATGATAGTTATCATCGGTGACTGACCGGTTAACTAGTTATCCTTTCGCTTCGAAAGTGCTTGATGTCTCCAAACTGACAAAAAAAGCCTCGGGTATTACTATAAATGGCGCTCTTGCCCACGATCTTGGGCTAAGGGCTTCGGAGATACTATAACTTGCTTTCACATATTGTGTCTCTGTCGCTCTTTTATTTTGATATATCAACCAACTATATCCTACGCATATAATCATCGCTCATGTGATAGAAGGGCCTCTTCTGCAAAGGAAAATTTCCCACTGCAACAATTTAAGATGATATTACCACAAAAGACATTGAACACACCAGGGAAAACAAGAACTCTAAATTGCCTTTCAACTTCGAGGTCCACGATAACCTGTAGCATTCGTGCATGCAAGTTCAGCGTCGCTGGGGATCTTTACCTGCTCGACGGGGTACAGCTCGGCATGTGGGAACATCCCCATAGCAACTTCAAACAAAATAGAGCCCATGGCAAACAGATCAGAAAGCACTATATTCCGCTGTTCATAGTCTCTTGGAAAACAGTGTGTTGCTTTCTCGTAGCCAAGGGTGGGACAATCGGGGTACTGGAAAGAAATACAGTCGCCAAGTCGGATGTTCAATTCATCATCGACAAAAAATTGGCGAAGTGCAAGGTCGATATGAATCATGTATCACTCCATGCTGATGGGTAATACTGAAGGCCTCGATAATTTGTTGATACCACTTGGATTGCAATTCATCGGTGACTCTGGACTTTTGACAAAACGCAGATAGATCGCCATCTGGATTGTACTTGATCTCCACAAGATCAGTTCTCATGTTTGAAAGACATTGAGCGATACGAGGGCGATCATCGATCCTGTTGTAAACAGTGTCCTCGCGAGAAATTGTCTGTAGATAAACTTGGGCAGTGCTGCGGGGGCGCTTTCCTGATTATCGTGTCATCTACCAAATAAACCTCAGAAAAGGGGCCGATCATGATAAGCTTCTGATTGCTTGCTTTTTGATGACTGGAACATGTTTTGAATGAGTGACCCGATAATTGAGAACCAAAAATCTGATCAGGCCCAATATCAAAGTTGTCATCCACCGCAAACTCACGTTTTGACACTCATCAATTTGAGCGAAGTGGCCTTCATAGCGAAGACGAAAGGTAGGGTTAATTCCTGCCCATGCGAGTGAGAAAACACTATAACGACCATAATTAACGCGTTTAATATAGGAGCATTATTTTTCAAAGTTCAAGTTATGGTCAGCAATGACAAGGGAGGAGGGGGCATGAATGTCAGGGATGGATGACTCGAAGTTCAACCAGTCGTATACAGCATCACTTCACGTGACCAATCACATGCTAAGTCCTGCATTGGCGATTAATCATAGTGCCCGTTACAGACGCACGCTATTCCTATTTAGGCCCATACTTTCGTTGAACACTAAAATGATCTTGCAGCGGCAACAGCATGTGTTCTCGGCGGGAAATCGAAAATATTTTGCAAGCTTTGGTTCCACTATGTGCTATACAGGCCAGAACATCATCCCGAGCTCCGCAATCGCTGAAATCTCACTTACAGACGAAACCCCATGAGCCCGAGAGTGACTCTAGTCGGGCTGATATGGACTACTCAAAAGGTTGCAGAGGATCAAGCGCCGCCACCCGTTGGAATTGGAAGATGTGAAGCCGAAGAATTACAGGGCTTTTATGCAGAGCAAGGAGGCCAAGAAATCCGCCTTTATTTCACTGTCGAGCGGAGTGGTTCCGACGAACCGTTCTACAATCCTGCGGAGCACATCGAGAAGGCGAGAGAATTTGTGAGTAACTTCCGCGCTGCCACCCGGAAAAGCCCAACACCCCACGAGAGATCTCGTTTGGTAGGGATGTGGGCCACGGCCCCCACCGAAATACCCCGAGACGAAAGATATTGCCTGGAAGGTTAGCCGACATCAGCTGTGCCTCGCGTGCCGGCGAGGCCCCGAAACGGTATAACACGTGCTAATGGAGTGCCCCAGACATGAAAGGTTCGGCTGGAGGCAGCTGTGGGCAGGCTGTGGACTCTGGGGCGCCCAAGGAGAGCCAGCCCGTCTTGGACGACGTGGTGGCGGACTTGGCGTTGGCCAAATCGGAAAGGCCTCTCTTGGCCACTCGTCGGCTTGCCTACCCTACCTGTTTCCGCCCCCGCGACTTCTGGTGGGCTATACAACTCCAAGATTGGGGCGAGCCAGTGATTCTAGCGCTGGGGTCCCCGGATCGAACCATTATGCGTGTCTCGTGGGGGCTACCTCATGTCGGAGGGAAGCGGATGTGTTCTCCGTCTTTTGAATACTTGATACTACGGCCCTCTAACATCTTGCGGCAGCTTTTGCGAGCTTGGCATCTTGAAAATTCTATTCGAGATCTACGATGTATGACTCGTAGGTCCTCAGCAAAAGCACTTCCAAAGGACCGGTAGCACCAGACCTCATCGTCATTGTGGGTCGTCGGTTAATTCATATGGCGTGCAATGCGGTCTATGCTTTCCGAAAAGCGTTTGCTTAACGCAGATTCATATTAATAATAATACTAATACATCAATGCGACAGGATTGGGCGGTACCGAGTCGGTCCCGATGCCGCCTGCTACTTGCCCCCTACGGGTGGTCGGAAAGCCGACTTGACCCAAAAGCAACTGCACGAGATTGCACCGGTCCGTGTGCCCTGCGTTGCGCCTCAACGGATTTGGGCGTCATTGGTCCGAAATGTGATACATGGCTAGGCGAAATTTGCCTAGTGCTGGATTGGACACTTGGCGAAAAGGGTTCGACGTCATGTTGGGGCGACAAGGCCTTGGCGGCTTCGGGTCTACTGCTGTAATTGTAAAGTCCAAGTCTACGCAATATGGATGTCGAGTCGAAGAGAGGACAAGAAGATAATATACACGATGAGTCCAGGGAGCGAGTGTCGGGGAGGAAACCCGAGACGCAAAGGTGGATGCAAGATTTGAATAGATCGGTCGTTGTTCGGTGCATGAAACTGCCAGGAAAACAAGCATGCACACAAGAAAGCAAAGCCCCGGGGGCTTAAACCCAAACTGGCGGAGGCGCATGGCCCGTACGCCACTCCGGAGAACGTCTGCTCGAGTGCAGAAATAAAGATGCCGCCATATGTTGGATGTAGTAGACGGACCACTGGCAATCGGGTTGATGGAAGCCGGATTAGTCATTGGCTCACAGACCGTGGACCTGCCAAGCGCCAAGGTTCTCCGCCAAGTGCTCCCTCCAAGTGCTAAAAGCGCCCGCCAAGTGCCAAGACCGCCCGCCAAGGGCCATGAGGAAGGATTCCTCCGCGTCTCTCCGCCTCGGGAAATGCAGTCCTCGCTGGACTTTCCCACTTGGGGTCTGACCAAGGCTCCGACCCAAGGCTCTGACCAAGGTTGCAGTATGGATTGAATATTTCAGTTACCGTACTGCTTTACGAACCCATGGAGTTGCGTGCTATAAGACCCCCAATTCCTCTACCCCGACGTCCTCGTTCCTTCCTTACTACTTTTTCCCCAGTTTTTACTGCCCCCCACGACCTGACGGCTTTTACTGCGTATCTACCGTCAATATGTGGACGACCACTAGCGGCTTGAGTGGTCGGTCGCTCCGGGTGAGCATCACCTTCGCCGCAGTCATGGGTTTCTCGCTCTTCGGTTACAACCAGGGCATGATGGCTGGCCTGCTCAACGGTGAAGAATTCGTCAACTCCTTTCCGATTCTCAAGATGCCCGCCGAACCAACCGCATCGCAAAAACACTACATCGACGTCATCCGTGGTGCAGTTACTTCCTGCTACGAGCTTGGCTGCTTCTTCGGCGCCTTGTTCTCCATGTTCCTCGGTGACAAGCTCGGCCGTACTCGTTTGATCTTCATGGGCGCTAGTGTTTTGATCATTGGTGCTTTGATTACAACTGTCTGCTATACTGGAAAGTGGGAAGTCGGCCAATTCGTCATCGGTCGTGTTGTCTCGGGTATTGGAAACGGCATGAACACGGCCACTATTCCCGTCTGGCAATCGGAATGTTCCGGTGCTCACAACCGTGGCTTCTTGGTTTGCTTCGAAGGTGCGATGATTGCTGGTGGTACCTTTATTGCCTACTGGGTCGTCTTTGGTCTTTCCCACGCCGCCGATACTGTTCAGTGGCGATTCCCTGTGGCGCTTCAGATCTTTTTCGCTCTGGTTGTGGCCGCTGGTGCTCTGCTGCTCCCTGATACACCGTCGTGGTTTGTCATGAGAGGACTGGACAAGGAGGCCTGCGAGGTCCTTGGTAAGCTCAAGAATCAGGCTCCTGATTCCGATCAAGTTCTTCACGACTTCAATTTCTTGAAGGCCGACATGGAATCCTCCAAGAGTGTCCAATCAAGCTGGAAGACTGTCTTTACATTCGGAAAGACTCAGGAATTCCAACGCCTTCTTATTGGTTGCTCTGGTCAGTTTTTCCAGCAATTCACTGGCTGCAATGCCGCCATCTACTACTCGACGCTACTTTTCCAAGAGAACCTCGGAATGGAAAAGTACCTATCACTCATCATGGGTGGTGTGTTCGCTACTGTTTACGCCATTGCAACTATCCCGTCCTTTTTCATGATTGAAAGACTCGGCCGCCGCAACCTATATTTGATTGGTTTCCTCGGCCAGGGACTGAGCTTTGTCATCACTTTTGCTTGCTTGATCAAGGAAACCGAGGAGAATTCGAAGGGAGCTGCTGTTGGTATCTTCCTCTTCATCGTTTTCTTCGCATTCACTCTGTTGCCCCTGCCCTGGATCTACCCTCCCGAGATCAACCCCCTCCGTACCCGTACCGTCGGCGCTTCAGCCTCGACCTGCACAAACTGGATTTGCAACTTCGCCGTGGTCATGTTCACTCCGCTATTCGCTGGTCAGAGCCCATGGGGTGTCTATCTCTTCTTCGCACTGTTCAACTTTGTTGGTCTGATTTTCGGCTTCTTCTTCTATGTTGAAACGGCCGGCCGTCAGCTTGAGGAGGTCGACCTCATCTACGCCAAGGCCCATGTCGAAGGGAAGATGCCATTTAGGGTCGCCGGCGACATGCCCAAGCTCACTTTCGAGGAGATCGTTCAGCAGTCTCGCGAGCTTGGCCTGGATACCAGCGACCACAGCGCTCATGAGAAGAACGAGCTTGGTCTCAGCAGCGACAGTGGCCAGGAGACTGAGGAGGTCCAGGAGAAGCACCACTAATGCTCTTCTAGTGGACGTGATATAGCTGTGATTAAGAGTGATGATATTGAAACAGGTGGTTTCCTAATTTTTTTTTCCTTCTGTTATTTTTTATTTCATTGTGGATATGTCAATGTCGCGGTGATAGAACTGATGAAGTATACCCGGTGAAGAGATTCTGTATCTAGAGAACGGTACCGCTAGGCGGGTAGTTACTCTATACGCAAATGCCATGATTTTATTCTAAATCACACAAAATTTTGATGTTATGTTTCCGTTGTCTTCTCGACTTAGAGATCATATCGGATAGAAAGTCAGTGTCGGGCGGAGCTTGGCTGTATAGATCAGGGAAATCAGTGTGGTTGGTTGAGACAGCGGCTTGAAGGCGCTCAATCATCTAGGCCTCGACAAAGCTGCAATGCGAAGATCTCAGCGCGAAAGAGTATTGAAGCCAAAAAGTCCAGCACACTAGGGTCGTCCGATGTATGGGTTTGCGATTTGAAGTGTTGCCCGTTATCTAATCGCCCGACTTGATGAAGAGGACTTTCAAGCCAGGCCGCATAAGGTACCCGGAAAAAAAGCTCGCTCTGTAATGCACTGCAACGGAAAGATCGGACAAGGAAAATTTTAGAAACACTTGAATGAAGATCACCACCAAACCCACAGCGATCCTATTCATTATTATTATTATCATTATTATTATTAATACTCCGGCTGTGCGCAGCCTCAGGCTGCATGTAGCCTCCATGCCAGTTATGCCGAGTCATCTATGTACATGTAGTTCCCTCTCACAAGGCCTTCTATGTCTCTCGATTCAGTCGGCTGGTTGCCATGGCGAATTGGATGACAGATTTGACAACATCCATATTGGGAGTCCAGTTGTTTTTGGATTCAAGATCTTGTCCGGTTGGTCCTTGGCTTGGTGACCTCTCACCCAGTGCGAAGGATGTGTCTCTGTATCGATTTCCCATTGTCGCTCTCATCTCGCCGCGGTGAGGTTCCCATAGTTTACAATCAAATAGAAAGTGGTGAATGGTTTCTGGTCCTTCTTGACATTCACAGGTGTCGTCTAGTCTTTGTCCAATTTAACACAAGTATCGATTTAGGCGAGTGTGACCCGTTCGGAGTTGTGCTAGCGTAGAGGCTTGTGCCCTGCGGGGTTGGTCGTACATATCTTTGGTGTGCTTTCCAGGAAGTGCTGCATCAATCGCTTTGGTGTGCTTACCAAAAGGGTCCTGCCAGAACTGTTGGCTGTGTGCTTGTCTGAGGTTTCTTCGTGTTTTTCGCCAAATGGCAGACAGTACTCGTTTAGTCGCCCAGACGGGGCGATCCTATTCAGATAGCTCAGCATCGCGTAGATCGCACGGCAAGATCACATGACCCACCCAGTTACTGACCTGTCGTCGCACGCCTGCCATTGGGTCGCTCATCCGACATGCAGGAGCGATTGTGGCATTTGTCCAACTCTAATCCTGGCATACTTCTTCACATAATGAGAGCAGATTATATGCGAGCCTCGCGAGGCAGCGTTTTTAGATTGGGAATAGAGTTAAAGCATGGCGCAATATTCGCCCGTCTCGCATGGCCGAGGCTGGCCGTTGAGTTTGTAGCCTTAGCCTAAAAGGGCCCATTTTGCGCGCCCTGCATATTGGACCCTTCATTATGCTGTGCAGGTTTGATAATCCAACAACAGGTTGACTAGCGTGGACTCAGCCTCATTTCTAGAAATTTGGGTCTTTGAGCTGAGGAACGTGCAATGTGCGGTCAACAGTCAGATCAGTCGCTGGCCCCAAAAGCTTTCTGCAGAGCGGATCGACCAAGTCAAATGGGCGTTCGCATACTGACAATTCGAGAGTCTCAGAAATTCTTTAGATGAATCAACACCGGTATAGATGCAAGTGGTATCTTGGCACGACAAAGGTTACCGTCAACTGTGCTGATCTTACTCTTTGAACCATTCTCTCGTATTATGTGCAGCTGTCTTTCGGACGTTTTTAAATGAGATATAGACGCTGGCCAATCCGATACGATGCAGAGAATATTAATACTTGAATATTCCCCGCACTGCCACGCTGCCCCGGATGACTGAAAATCTATAAAAGGGTTCAGACCCCCCCGGGGGAATTCTAGTCGATTACCGAGCCTTCAAACCCACAGAGTCGACACACTCCTCAGCATATCTACAACATGAAATTCTTCAAAGTCATAGAAAGGCTCTCAGTCTTTCTTCTTGCCTCCCCTGTCTATTCATGTGCCCCTACTGGTGACCCAAATAGTCCCATCGTCCCCGGGACCGACGGTCCTGCTCCCGCAGCAACCTTGGGCTATGCCATCAATCATTTCGGCCTAACGACAACCAACCTCAAGGCCATGAAACATTTCTATGGCGATATCCTGGGAATGCGACTTCTATTTGACGCTCATGTCACACCCGAGTATACTGTGACCTATCTGGGATATGCCCAAGGTGGTCGCAACGGCACCGGCTTCCAGACTGGCGCAGAGCTCGCGCGTGACAAGAACAATCTCTCTGGGCTTCTCGAGCTCGTCCAATTCAATGTATCGGAAGATCATCTCGTGGCGTCAACTCGGCGTAGCAATACGTTCAGCCACATTGGGCTTATTGTCCCGGATATCGCGAAGACGCAGGAGTATCTTGAGGGACACGGCGTGAAGATTCTGAAGAGGTATCAAGCCCCAGTGGCTCAGTTTACGGGTCCACTTCAGAATGCTTTTGGTATTGGCGAGTTTGCTGGGGCACACATTGCTGCGAAAAAGGCGTTGATCAAGGCGCAGAGCTTGATTGGCTTGGAGATGCTCTTGATGGTTGAGGATCCTGATGGAAATATGGTTGAGATTCAGCAGCAGGACCCCCCCAGCAAGTCGGTTTTGTGAGGCCGCTGTCGTGGAAAGGGTTCCTCGATGTGATTTGTAGTATTGATGATGCTCGAATACAACTTTTGATTGGGGAGGAAATGTTCATGTTCGGATTGCAAAGTAGAATCAAATTTTCTAATGAGTGCTGTTGCCGAGGCTGACGTTTCCTTGTTCGAAGCAGTTATGGAAGCCGACGAGAATGACTGTAATTTCGGTTATGTTGTAAATGGCGATAGCTATGCTTGAAATTGCAATAAGTGCAAGCATCATTATGATGGATTTAAGGCGTTCGGACAACTTTTTATCATGTAGATCTGCTTCACTGCCATAAGTGAGCAGATTCTTGTGGAAATCATTAGTTATATGATGGGTTGATAGATGGCTGCAGAAATTGTACACAACCGCGTCAAATGGATCTGTTTTCTTGATTGTGTAGCTGCCGTATTGAAGTTGAATGAAAGTGGTTTCGCCATAAAAAGTAAACCAAATTTCAATTTGGTCGAGCCAAGGGGTAACGAGATAATTCCCATTGTCACGAACAACGAATGACATTTCATGATCATGTCGGTTTTCGGCGTCCGAGTATCTCAGCAAAGTTCTCAAAGGCATCCTCAAGCTCTCGAGTCCAAGCTCTCGAGTCAATCTCTCAAAGACCATAATCTCGTTGTAAGGAATGTAGTGGACATGTAACTCCTTTGTGCTCTCAATGCGACACTCAGCCTACAAGTAGGCCGATGTTTTGACAACGAGGTTCGATCAGTGGAACGAGGAAATTGAATCTGGAGGGAGTGACATGTCATATTGAATGAGAGAGCAGGTAGACAGCCATGTAATGTAAACATGTCAGTCGGCTCGTCCCTTGCGTCTGTGCAAGTCCACCAGCAGGTGGGGCAATCTTCGTTCCGGCCTTGATCGGAGATGCAACCCAATCCTCCTATCACATACAGCATTACTATGTATGTGTTATGTCGTCGCATACCAGCTATTTCGGCTTCGTAGCTCGGTGCCGTAACAATGTCTTCGCGGCATCGTGTATACTCATCGCGTCATAGAAGAGGATGTTGCGTACGAAGTTGGAGGTGTGGGGTGTGGACTCAGAAGTATCGTAGTCTAATTCCAGAATCGAGGGTAGTCTAGAAGGAAACAATGGTAAGCATTGATATTCTGGTATGATATCATCGTGGCAGAAGGGAGATCATTTACTAGAGCATTCAAAGCGGATAGACGTTTTGGGATTTGTGCATAGTAAGTCTAGCAAACAGGACCGCTACCCCCGGGCAGATGATGCGCTTCAATGGTCAATGTCGCTGGAAATATTTCAGTCGTGAAACCGGGGCTCGGGAAAAATGTCGCGGATTCAATTTAGTCTCCTCGAAGAGGATTAACACCGGACACCACGAGAAGGTATGAATCCATCGTCCCAACAGCATGAACTGTTGCCCAGTGCAAACTCACTGGGGGCAGAAACAAGAAAAAGAAGGTGCCCGGCGGCTATGCCGGGCTGGATGCAAAAATTAGGGTTGTCAAGCGGCCGCAAGACGAGCAAGAGCTCAAGGATCCTGGGGGATGGATTGGTGGATTTGGTTCGAGGTATAAATTCGACGTATCTGTTCGTGGTATCGACTTCTCGGTCCCGGCGCGGGTTTGCGGAATTGGTTCATGAAATCGGTCGATCGATTTATTCGTTTTCGGCGTGGGATGGCGCGTTTGGATGGCGAGTTCGTTTTGTCGTAGATCCTGCCCGGCCTGGGTCTCCCTTAATCCTCCCGAACCTCCTCCTGGCCCTTGAAGAAGGACGCACCCTTACGGGGACACCGGGTGAACACTCCTCAATCCACCCCACTGCCCGGGTTCAACCACGCAGTTCCTCTTTAAGCCCGATATGGAGTCCTTACTTCAAGACCCAGACTGGGGAGGGTCAAGTGCCGGCAAAGAATTGCAGGCGTACAAGTCTCCCCAAGTAAAGGAAAGAGATCGTCCAATAGGTCAGACCTTCTTGCATGCGATATCATTGTAGCGGGTGACCCCGAGCCAGAATCACATTGGCACCATTCGGTGTCGGAAGCGGTCGAAGGCCCTCGGGAGCATGCAAACACCCGAACCTAGTCGCCGAGGCTTTCGGTCGTGTGAAGCATGTTGGATCTCCCGGCCTACGCATGCAAGCCGCACTTCCCTAGAGATTCGCGTCTACATCCAGGTCAGCATTCCAGGACAAGACTGTATTTTCGTGTTGAACGAAACTCCCGCAAGGAACCGATCATCTGGAGAGCACAAGGCGAAGATGAGGAAGTATGTGATGCAGATACCGTCGAGAGTTCTCAAAACGGGGCAAGGAACAGGAGGTGGTTGTCCGGCTTGATGGTACCCCCAAGCGAAGCAGCAGGAAAAGAGAAGGAGAGTTGAAGAGAAGAGAGAGGAGAGGAATGAAAGTGGGAGGCGTTATTTATGCGAAGGCGGGCGGTCGATCGACGCGTGCCTGTCCTCGCAGTGAATAGGCTCCCATTCACTGCGAGGGAGGGCGCGCATTCACTTGACTCCCCACCATCTTCCCAAAAACAAAAGCCCAATAGAATTATAGGTCATGGTACTGCTTACGAGATCTTGAGGGTTGTGTGAAGTATTATCTCAAGTCCTGTGAGCTGCCCTCGTTATTTTGGATGTCCTGATGCATCAACTCACAACGAACGGAACCCTGGGTGACGAGTGCAGCCTCCATGCATGCTTTGCACCATAATAAAATGACTACGTTCAAATAGAAAGGGTGTGTTCGATAGTAAAAGACTTGGGGAATAGGAAGGCATTTCTTTCAGGTGTAAAGCTTCAATCCTTGCCTTCTGGGGACAGGCTCCAATGCCCTCCCAGTATTTGCGGCACTACCCTGTTGTTCTGTGTCAGTATCTTCCCCCAGGAAAGGCCGCCATTAATTTCATCGTCACTGCATATGGAAACAAGTGCATCCAAGAAAGGGCTACACGCTCATTCCTCGAATACTGGAACACTCTGGCGCTTCTACATGGAGAGCTTCGAAGACTCTGGCCCTGCTCGTGTATACAGCCGACGCGTTCAAGTCCGGTGCTTTACTGAACAAAATTGACGAGCAGCTGCTCGCCACAACGCCCTAATACCCATAGGTCTCGCAAGTCCACGACGAGAAGTCTATGACCCGAACTTTCCACAGCCGTGATGCGTGGCTACCGTGGATCTCCGGCCAATTCCTTTTTCTAGAACAGAATCGTTCACGCAGGAAGCTCGAATCTACGCATGCCCCAGTCCAAGGAAGACACAATTCACGCACAATTATTTCGAGCCATTTTGCAGCGCGAGCTGTCTCTGTTCCTCGCGAGAGGTGCTCTTGGTCAACCCCTTCTTCGAGACCACAAGCAGCCGGCAACGCCGCGTGATGCTCCTCGGACAACATTGCCTCGACTGATCCCGATTCCGATTATCAGATACATCCTTTAGTCACTTATCTGTTCCCTCGAGTCATGAGTGACTGTTCGGCTGTTCCAGACGTGACTTCCAGAAGACCACATGCTGACATCCGTCATCTCCAGCCCAGGACTCATCCATTGCCGACGGTCCAGCTCTCGTTCCCGCCTCCACAACCAGTGTCAGATCGCGATGGCCTAGACTACTCATTTCCTCTCATTGTTCCAATGGCCTCGAGGCCTATACGTGTTCCGCTCAGGATTTCTTGTTTTCTCCCCACGAAGCACGAAGCGCTGATGGCTACGAGGTCCTTCTGCGGATATCGTCCAGCACAACAACTGTCGTCCATATTTACCATGCACTAGGGTATCTTCCGCTTGAAGATAAATTCTGTCAATTACGATCTACATGTTAGATGCCCACGAGACCCCTGCCAAGGTTCTGTGGGTCTGCTGCATGGACGCACGGTGCATGCTTAACTCAACAGCGCTGGAAGCATGCGTCGCGCTCATCGGTCGGTCTCACGCAGATGCCGACATCTTGTCACTCGTGCCGCTTGCTATAATAGCATCTATTACGACTCTAGATCTGCTGCGATTATGTGACCGAATTAGAACCGGCAATGCCTGCACCACGTTTATTCGTGGTGGATGAAGGTCCGATCGCCATGAGAAGAATTGAGGCCGAACTCCGTTGCTCTCGATCGCGTTGGCCAAGGAGCAACATCCGGTTAAACAACGGGGAATAATATCTCCCCAGCGTTGCGGAATTGAGACTCTGTGTAGGTTGAAGTGAGGGGATGCTGTGCTTGCTTTTGTTTCACCTGGGCTTTCGTGACGTATTAAGTAGATCATGGTCAGGCCTCGAAAAACAAACACTTTTTCGATTTTAATGTACTCACATCCAAATGCACCAATCAAGCTTGATACTTGGAACGGAAAGATCGTGGAAACTCGAAAGAATATGCGGGTCCTCAATTTCTTCCGCCAGCTCGTCCCTCTCGTCGCTTGCGAGACACTGGCATATCTCAATCTTCCTTCCAACCGCCCTCAAATGTGATAATCCACGCAGCAATCAACGAGTTCAACTCCAGGGTCTACTTTCCGCACATCCGAAGCCGGGCTGGCAACAGAACGCCGAGAAAGTACGGGAGTTGATCGATCGATATATCAACGCCGATTCGTCCTCAATTGCTTTGATGCGCGACACGACTGAGGGCCTGGACAGCTTTATACGCAGTATAAACTTCAAGGAAAGAGATAAAGTTGTCATCTTGGACTCGGAAATACTAACCACGCATATGGCTGGATGACTCTTCGTGCCGCAGGATTGGATGTGCGACAGGTGCCGACCATTCCTGAATCTGTGAAGACGGGGAAGGTTGTGGCCACAAATGCGGAGACATTCGCGCCATTTGCGGATGAACGGACTCGTGCAATCAGCCTGAGCTCCGTCATGTTTCACAGTGGACAGATGAATGATGTCAAGGATACAAGCTCGCTGCATACGAAGTATGGAATACGCACCCATTTAAGTACTCCATTACCCTGCAGTGGAAAAAACTTGTAATCAACAGTTATGTCTCTATCTCCCTGAGGTTAACCCTTTTGATTAGCGATTTGTTTCAGAAAGAAGTTTTGGAATCCGAGATTCCGGTCGTGGTGCTCTTCACTCTTCACGCAACCATCTTGTGAGCCAGAAGACGAGCAGGAGGGTATCCTCATCCCATTGGCCGAGGATTTTAGGGTTTTGGCCAATATCTGCAAGATCGATGCCACCGGCAATGCAGAGCTGACAAAAACTACTGGACAGCTTGATGAAGCCAAGATTCCAGAGACGATGAAAAGATTTGGCGTCACAAAGTTTCCCACTCTGAAAGTGTATGCCGATGCAGAGGAAAAAGTGAGTAAATAAGGCGATGTGCTCAATCGTGAGCAGCTGAGCGAATGAATGCAAAGTGCAGTCAATAGATACTTTAAACACATGGAGTAATGCTAGTAGCATTGGGCACCTATCCAACGTCATTGGGGGGTGGTTGAAAACTAGCGCAGCAGAAGCTATTTACCGATGCTGTCTATCGGGTACAATCTAGTAGTTTGAAATAAACAACTCCGATATTTTCCGCCTTTAATTTGTTCTGTCGCTGTGTGTATCTCCGATCCACTCATATTCCCCCACTAACCCGATTTACAGACTATAGACTGCACCTAAGATGACAAAACCCCAGACCCTGGGTTGTTACTGGGGGTCACATAACACCCCAGCAGACATGTCTAAATAGCGCGGCTTCTTTCCTTCCTACCTTAGAGTAGTTACACCAAGGGTTCCGAGAATACCCCGCTCCAATCCACATTTCCACACGATAGCAGTCGATCCCCGTCCGATCGGATCGAGCTGCGTCATAACTATGCTCCCTTGGCCCACTGCTTGCCTGACCACAGTTTCCCCGTTGTCCAAAGCCAATAGTCCCGGCCCTTGATCAGCCACACCAAAAAACTGGGCAACTGCCAGCCCATCGCCGCTCCAACTCCTTTATTCCTTCCGATCGGCACCAATTGCGTCTCTCGCAGATCCTCCCGGAACACACGATCCTCGCCCGCATTTTGCCCCGCCTCCAGAAGTAAATCTCTCTTGATATTTGCGCAGAGAACCGGCACCGCACTGAGAATCGCATGCACCGCTGGCCGCGCATATGAGCTCGCATCCCCAATCGCATACACCCGCGGGCCGGCCTTCTCGACCCGCAAGTGCTGATCAGTCTCTACCAGTCCATCAAGTAGGAGTTCATCATCCACAAACCTCGTATTCGGCTTTGTGCCCATGGCAGGAATGTAGATGTCGGCCTCAATGCTCTCCCCATTCGAAAATCTGACACACGTCTTTCCAGTCAAGAGTTTTCCTTCATTCCCAGAGTTGACAGGATCCACAGCCTCAATTCGCACACCTTTGAGTATGGAAATGCCCAATCGCGCAAGATACCCCTCTGCTTTGCGCGCAATGCTCTCTCGCAAGGCAGGCAGAATTTGCGTTCCAGCTGTGACGACTGTGATAGATACTCTGGGATCCTTCAACTTTCCTCCCTTCCACCCCAGATATCCATTCAAGTATTCGCCCAGTTCCCCGGCAACCTCAATCCCCGCAGGTCCGCCACCTCCGATAACGATTCTCTTCGCGGTCGGAAGCGCCTCACGAAACGAACCCCAGGATGTGCGTAATCTTTCCGAAGTGCCCTCATTTAGTCCGAGCAAGGGTGATTCAGTCGATGCGCCGGTCGCAATGATCAGGGCATGGTAACATATATCTTTCTCGACGGTACCGGCCTGGACACGGACCTTTCGCTCGCGATGATTTAGGGATATTGCGAGGCCTTGCTCAAAAACGATTCGCTCTTTTCCCGCAAGAAGTGATGGAATATCAGCGAATAGCTTCTCCTGTGGGAGGAGAGAGTCTGAAACCAGTGCTCGTGGGCAGGCAGGTCGACAGAAGACTTCATTTGACGGGGCGACGAGCGCTATTTTATGGTCTAGAGGTAGACTGGGGAGAACATGTTTGAGAATGTAGTGTGCTGATGATAGTCCGGCGTATGAGGCTCCTAATATGAGGATTGTCTTCGATTCGGCCATCTGATTTGCATGGGATCGGGTAGAGGAGGGGTCATGTATAGGCTATGAAGTAGATGGTCCGCATCTATTTATACAGCGATACGAACTTGATCTCTATCTATTTTTGAGACGCCAGAACTGAAAGAATAGCCGTTCGTCCTATCATCGCTGGAATTGAACGCCATTTGAGCTGCATTTGTGATGTTCTCAAGATCCCGGTCGATTTCGGTCTTGGATCGGGATGTCGGAATGCCGAGCACCGACGGAATGCCGAGCACCCCAAGTGGATGACCTCAGTTCGTGAGGGTCCGTCCCTCGACATCGCTAGAAAAGGAGAAATGCCAAAGTAACAGATACTTCCAGTCCTGGGGATGCTTTTTCTCTGCAGTTTGAGCTTGATGTCTGCTGCAAAAGCCCGAGGCTGCAGTCTATATTCAGAAGCGTCTATCTAGATGTCACGACAACATCAATTCAGCTGCTACATCCGTAGCCAAGCTAGAGCCAATCTTACGAAAGCGCCGTATTGCAAAAGGCACATGGAAAGCAGACGAGATGATGAGCGCTGCGTAGACAGATCTTAAACAGGCCGTGAGCTGTTTTTGTTGTACTTCAGAGGTATGAATTGTCTTATTGTTCAGAGGGAAACATTAGGCCATATATATACAACGAGAAGAGCAAGTTGATTGGAAATCAACTTGGTTCTTCGTATAGATATCTCGGGATTAATTCCGATAGTTCGGCTTGCTTCCTGATCTGCACCAGCCTCATATCACAACAGTCTTCTGGATATACTTGAAACCACCAAAACAGCTGACAGTGCTCGGAGTAAAAGAAAGAGTTGTGGGTACGGAATTGGCTCTTCGCTGTGTTAATCATTTTAATTACCGTCGTTTCACGTGTACAGCCAGGCCTTTCGCCTGAAAGATTTGCCGGAATATTTTGCCAAAGACACAGAGCGAGACAAGTCTCCACTCCGACGAGGATCTGCCAGCTTACGTCTCCTTTAAGAGCCCAAGAACTATGTTTAGCCCCCTATCACTTTCTGATCCAGACGCGATTTGAAACAAAGCTGTATACCTCGACATTGCTAGCCCCCTCACGATGTCGTCTCAGAAACCACCTGTCATTTTCTTCAACATCGTCAGACACTCCAAAGGGGCTTTCGAACAGCTTCAACAAATAGCACGTACTGAAGCTTTCACGAGCAAGATTAGGGACGAATTCTTCCAGGATATTCAAAGCTAATACAAGAATGCCTTTGCCATCTACAGAACATCTGCCAGTGAGTCAGTAAGTGTTGGCTAATATTCTGTACGGAATAGGATTAACACGTTTATGTGGCTGGTAGATTTGATGCCGAATTCATCGATTAGTTGCCAGAAAGCTGCAAGTATATCTGTCACAATAGTGATGGTACTTCTCATTCGCTATCAATTGCTCGAAACATTTTACTAATTCTGAATGCAAAAGGATACGGCCCAATAAATGTGAGCACATGCGCAAGGTGAGGAATAATAGTCACAAATGCGCCTAATCCTGTAACAGATGCGACCGCCGATTTGGCTGTCTTTCTCCTCTTGGGTGCCCTACATCAAGCCAATCCATTATTTTCTTAAGTCGAGCTGGGCACCTATAGAAGAGAGTGGATTTCGGCTATGATCTTCAAGGGAAGACTCTTGGTATTCCTAGTATGGGTCGAATGGGTCGCGCGATCGAACGTCGCTGTCGCCCCTTCGGTCTCAAAACCATTCACAAAAACCGGAACCCCCTTTCAGCAGTTGAGGCCGAAGCACCTGAATATGTTCCATTTGATGAACTTCTATCGAAAAGTGACTTCATAAGCGCCAGTGAACCCCTGAATGCGAAGACGAAGCATTTAGTCGGGACTGTAGAAATTGCGAAAATGAAGCCCAGTGTTGTGATTATTAATACTGCACGGGGTGCTGTCAAGGATGAGGCTGCCAAGACCGACGCATTGGAGGAAGGCCATATTACTACTGTGGGCTTAGATGTCTTCGAAGGAGAGCCCAAAATCAATGTGAAGCTCCTGAAGCAGGAACTGGCATTCATGGTGTCGCATATTGGTACACATACTGTTGAAACTTTGGCAAAAATGTAGACTTGGGCAATGGATAATGTGTGACGTACGATTCTAGGAGAGAATCTACTGTCACCTGTTGCGGAGCGCCAGCATTCGGTATAAAAAAGACAGTGAGAATTTTCACTATTTCAAGTCTCAGGTAGAACACAAGTCTCAATAGTTCTTATTTCGGATGTAGCCATTTTCTCAATTACTTCTTCCATGACATAGTAAATTGATCTTGTTACAAAATCGTAACCCAGCATGCTATTCTGTGAGGATGTGTTTGAGATTCTTCGGTATAGAATGAAATGCTCTGATCTACTTGACCCTTCATCCGAGGTGGCGTGAACATCTACTCAGCTAATTCCACGAATGGGTGATCAGTCGGCCTTCGGCAACTTTATGGATCAAGTCATTCCAAGGGCACGGTAATGCGGCGGAACTTTCAGCCTATATTAGCTCTATCCCTCGCGTACATGTTCTCCCGAAAGGGGACCCGATCAGCACGTTTATGGACCGTGCGGCGGTAGGTTTCGTCTCTATAAAAAGCATAAATTACAATTGATCTCTTTAGATAAGTGTGGACCTCGAGTACCAACGACACACTGACCCACCATCCATATTCAATATGGTTAAATCGCCTTGCTGGATGCCGCCGGCCAGATCAGAACACCGCTCAGTCTCTTTTGCAAAACAGTAAGTGCACCATGCGACGTGACTTAGATTTGTGACTGACTTCCATCCAGAGCAATTTATTTGATGATATTTTTATTTACGACGTAGTGCACACACCGGGAATTGCGACAGATTTGATGCACATTGATACCAAGGCCAAAGTTACTGAACACCTGCCGGCCGACGAAGGCTTTAAAAAATCCCTGAAGGGGGCCGATATTGTTGTAGTAACCGCGAAAATCGCTGAAAGCCTGCAATGACCAGAGACGGTACGTAGATCCTAGTACCTCAATTAGCTAGAGAAATGTGTCTGATTCCTATGTAGATTTATTCGAGGTAAACACAGTTCCCTCCCCCATTGACAGCTTGTACTGACTGGTCTAGACCAATGCATTGATTATTCGAGATATTTTCGCAAAGTTCGCTGGGACATGTTCTGGGCGGAAACGCGGGCCCTGAGGACTTCGCTGTCTGTAATCGGAGGTCACAGCGGTGCCACCAATCTTCCGCTATATAGCCAGGCCAAGTCTGCTGTCAACCTAGATGATCAGACTTTGGCTGCAGTTATTCATCGTATGTTTGAACGCAACGAGGGAAAGAGATAATGCTAATGAGCAGGAGGCGTCCAATTTGGTGGAGACGAGATTGTCAAGAGCAAGGCGCAGGGAGTGCCACAACCTGCATGGTCTATGCCGGATTCCGTTTCATGAAGGCCATTTTTGCTGCAAGAGATGGCGAAGAGATCACCAAGGAGACCTATGTTTATCTACAGGGGGTTCCTGGTGGAAACTAGATTACGGATGAGCTTGGAGTCGACAACTTCGCCGGCTGAGTAAGGCGGGAGCCATCCAGGTATTGCCTATCGGTACGATCTCGGCGGGCGAGAAAGATGACTCGACGTAGCTATTCCGAACTTGAAGGTAAACATTGCAACAGGTAAAGAGTCCATGACGGCATAGTTTTCCACGATAATTAGCTGTCTAGACAATGTGACAACTGAACGAATGCCCTCATTGCGCTATCACATAAACAAACGCATCCAATTAAACATGCTTCTTGCCTCTTAGTCGATCATTCGTCATCAGCCAGGCCAAAAGAGTAGAGCAGAGCATGATGGTCACTCTAGAAGGGGACACATCCTGATCCCCACTCTCTTGGTCTCCAAGATCTTCATATAATAAGTCTTCATTCCTAGAATTCCAGCTTTATCGAGTCGATTTGCCACTCCCCCTGTATAACAAGGTCCCTCGGGACGAAGAGACTCCCGCATATCTGTCAAGCTGTTCTCTTGCAAAAGCCCACTGTCCTTGTCAAATACTGGATTAAAGTCTCCTGCAACTAGACCATGTCCCATGCGGGAAGAAAGGATGGTGCTATCTGTCGGGGCCGATGGGAAGGCTTGATGGACAGGGGGCCAGATGAACGTTTATTAGCCTTATTCGCGTCGCTCTCCGGTTTCTTGGATCGAGGCAACGGAAACATCACAGCAAAGTGTATCTATGTCGAAATGGCTGGGGAATTTGACTCTCCAAACAGGGCCAAAATAAAATCTGACGTAAATCGCGATTTGGACAATAGGGTCATCGTCACAAAGAAAACTTAGCCCCATGCTGTTCCATCACGCTCGCCTGAGAGCCAATTTCTTTGAACGAGTTCGTCGCTCAATATTTGTGTAAGGCTGCCTTGAAAATCGTAAAAGAAAATAATGTCGACTTGAGACCAACGCTAGCAAGAACGTGATGATAATGTTTGAAATGAGCTGCTTGGTCTGGGGAGATGTCATATCAATATTTGATGTCAGCAGTACCAGATTCGATATATCGCGTCCTGGGTTTGGTTCTGTATCTGAACGAGTGGGTATCCACTTTTGGGCAGCGTCGAACAAGTGCCAGGACTGTATCCTGACATTATTCGAAGCTGGAAAGGAAGTACTTTGTATCCAGGACAGATATCCCGTGCAGATCCGACCGTAGATATCAATGATGTAGTACCTGAAGATGTTTGTGCTGGGTTAGTGACGATAGAGTTAATCTCCCCAGGTGTTCAACGGCGGGAGCGGGAGCGGGCGGTGGGTCCACCCATGTGCGGAAAAGAGTTGTCCCGAAATTGAAACAAATACGAACAACTCTACCAACTCATATTCATAATTTTCGGAAGAGGCATAATGCATGGATAATGATGGGTCCATCGGGAAGTCTCTTTCCATTATTGATTTTCCGTACTGACTTTGCCGCTTTCCTGCTTAAATGCGAGGCGATTCACCGATGACCTCAAAATGATCAAATCCTTATCGAAATGGTCTTCCCCGCAAAATGGGCTATCTACATGGGGTCAAAATTTACCTGCAGAATGTGGAGGGCATTTTGTATGCTCAAAGTCCTCAGCTACTGCGTGGGAAAGATAATGGGACGATTCTAAATCCGATAGTGTGGGATGTGTGATGTGCCTTCAAATCAAATTCTCTGAAGCGCTGCGTTTTCTTTACTTCGGGAGTCCTTGGTAGTGGCTCATGCACGTGGGACTCTTTGCTCAAAGTAACCAATGCGCGTGGGAATTGTGGACTACTGGTGATGTGCTGAGTCCTTAAAATCCCATAGGTCGAGGGCTTTTTTAATCAGCCCTATTTTGGGGTCCTAGAAGCCCGAATGGCGCGAAGAAACGAAAATTGTAGCTTCAAAGACATCGTTGCCAAGATTTCCAATTGATGTTTTGATGCTTGCTAGACCGTAGGTTTGTAAGAAAGAAAATATCTCGGTCGCGCATTTGTCCACGTCGCAGTTGTGGGTAAGATGAATCGATCCTGCTGGCGAGCAAAGCTCATTCATTTGCTTTCAAGAACAAATCCAATGTATGAAACCGGGTTTAGCCACATGTAATAGCCTTTTGTAGGTTGACATAAATTTGACATGCTGGGAATGAGACTTTGCATCCTGTTTCCAGGATGCAAGTCGATGAATGCAACCAGTATCGGGGTGCGGACAGGGTTGACATCGTGCCTTATAATCGGGTGGCGAGTGGCGACCACGTCTACCGCCCCCAACGCGCTTTGGAAACCACCCAAAATACCACCAGAATAATCAACTTCCATGCGCTATTGCAATAAAATAGACGCTTTAAATGACAAAAAAATCAAATTTTTAGCTCTGGATTCATCAGTCACGTTTTGAGATGATTTCAATGCCGGATATTTTCGTTGGTGGCAAGAGGAAAACTATGTATGTGATGCCACCAGGTAGGAGCCGTGCGAAGCCTTTCATTTTCCCGCTTCGTCGCCAGTTTCTTGGAAGTCTTTCGCGGTCTTCCCTTCGGCTTCGCTGCCGGGAAAATCCGATAAAAAATGGGTTCCAACCAAGGAGGCAAATGCATTGAATGATTTTTTTCATACCATGATCCGTAATATGGTTCCGGTAGACGTTCAACAACTATTCCTTCACCATATTTCTTGCAGGGGGTACACTGGACACGCCAATAAATATAAGGATTGGTCACCAACCAAGAACTTTCATAGATATCCATTCGGTTAATCTTGAGTGTGAGTTCTTTCAGAGGCAGAGAATGCCGGGGTTTGGTGGAAGAAATGCAATCAAAGATTTCACGCGCAAGTTTCTCGTCGATTATCGAATCAATTATCATCTTTCGTATGTGACCATTTCGAGGCCGAAAATTAAAACGGAGAGAACCTTCGCAGAACTCATTGTCGAACCCGTCAAATGATGGATCGGCCGGCAATTCCTGTGACCTGGGATTCTCGAATATGTCGTATGGCGAGATCACAGTCTCGCGGGGTATCACTCCGTGCGGCTCTGCCGTGAGAGATGTCTCATAATCGAGATCGAGATGTCTGAGATCCTTTATGGCTCCCAAGGCTCTGTACAGAGCCAATTCCCTCAAGTTGCCTTGAGTGCGGTTGATGGTGATCGCCAACTCTTTCAGAATAAGACAATACTTGCTGATCTGGCAAATTTCTTGCTCGTTCAGGCCCTGTGAAAGAAATGGATGCATCAGCCTCAGCTTCTGAATCCGAGGACCATGGCGTCTGGCGATCGACTCAATAGGAATCAATGAGTGCCATCTATTCAAATTCAGTTCGACCAAAGGTGGCAGGCCCTGTAAAAAACTGGTCACTTTTTCATAGTAGCTCATTGTCTGGGTTGACGAGGACATGCGACCAATATCCAACGTCAACGATCTCAGCGCTGGAAATGAGAGATCCATGACCTGTGACTGCCAAAATGATTCGTAATCGGCCGATGGCAAGTCGATCTCAAGTTCCTGCGAGGCGGCAAAATTGATATACTGTCTCCATATGCAGGCATCCTCACTTCGAGTAAGCGATCCAAATCCATCGGAAACCTTGAATCTTTCTAATGAGGCAGGTCGCGGTGGATGTTTTAGTCCTTGTTTTGGTGGCTCTTCAAGCGTCGAATCTGGAAGATGGACTTCTTTCAAGTTCGGAGCTAGCTGTATCAAACGTAGAAGAGTCTCATAACGCCTCCTAGCAATAGTTGGATGTCCTCTCCTACCACCTATTCTTGTCATTTTTACTGTGTGGAGAGAAGGAGATGTGAGAATCGCAAGTTCCCCCGGGTCTGTCTCAGGAGAACCCTGGCTGCGCAACCAAAAACAATCCAAGTGAAGCAGGCATTGCGGCTGATCTCGATGAAGTGTTTCGAGAATAGAAGCCGGAAATTGCTCAGGGTAGTGCCAGATAAGATCTTTCAATGCGGGCAGTTGCTTGATCAAATCGACGACAGGCTTCCACATTGATTCGGGGTGGTACCCCCATGACTCGCCATAGAGATCCCGACCACCAACGCTATTAAAAAAACGCTCAACCCACAGTGGTTTCATTTCGCATCCCGAATGTTGTCGTACATGTTCATACTGGGTCGTGTATTGATCTGGATGTCTCTCACGCCGAAGGTCCGACAACTGAGGTGGATTCCATCTGTCCTCAGATGGCATACTTGTTCCATAATTGTACCCAAGGCGCCCATGGACAAGAAAGACTCTTCGCACATAACGAAAGCTATCTGTACGGTGAAGCTTTTGCACAAGGTCACTCACAACATCTCCAATTTTCTTTTCGTCGCGGGGTATCTTTATGAGGATATCATGATAGACGATCGATTTGATCGCTAGGTGATGATGCGCATAGAATGTTTTGCTTGTTAATGCGAGATTGAAGAGAGTTGGCGGATGCTTGAGGGCCAGAAACTGAGCAATTATATCGATCAGCTCCACTGGGAGACGAAGATGAATGTTGCGAGACATCTGGGCAGTTGGACTGACTCATCCGGCTTCGTGGGTTCGGTTGTGTTTTAAGTGAAATCTCGTTGGTCCCCACGCGCTAAAAGCGAAAAAGTTTGCGGCTCGAAAATAAATCATCTTTGACTGCCAAGACTGTGAGTCACGACAGATTCACAGAATAAGCAAGCGCGAGGTGGATACGAAGAAGGAAGTGGGAAGGAAGTACAGAGCGAGAAGGCGGATCCAGGCCTTCCACCGATGCAGACAGAGTGCGTTTTGCAGTCTCAGGCAGCAACGTCCGCAGAGCCTCACACCTCGTGTTGGATCCATGTACTGATGGTATTGTCCTGTCACCCTGACACGCACTACTCATGCATTAGGGTTAGACCTGTATCTATTGTAGTGGGTAGAGCTCCCCCTACCACATGGGTGCCATCCATGTTATGTGACATAGCCGGCAGTATACGGCGGCCGGATAGGTGGTTCTAAAATACACCTTACACCTCCCCGACCTGACCCCTACATTTGGGGTTCTCGCAATTTCCTGATTGCTACGCGTGTGTTTTGTGGTGGTTTTTCTGCTGAATCGACCCGCACGTCTCAGCGCGTGCTGCCATCGAGTGTTCCCCTCTTCACTATATAACCGGGTCCGAGACCCACAGATCCACACACAATACAACCATCTTATACACATGCTACAAGACCTCGCAACCGCCAAGCACCACCTAGGCTACCCTCATTCCCAACCATATGCGATCCTCGAAAGCCTTACCCCATCCTACTAGTCGTCGGACCAGTAAGTGGAAAACATGCTAGTACTATTATTGTGCTCCATGGTCGAGGAAGAACAACCAAGCGCTTCAGTGACTGGCCGGAAGTTGACAAATCTACTTGGCTGACTCCATACAGTCAAATATTCTTACTGCGTCCAAACGACATCCCAGACCTTTTGGGATACAGAGTTCTCCGCATCTTCGAAGGATCTCAGTGTTCGCAAAGAATCCCGTGGTGACGTGCTGATACCCGTTATTCGAAAGAACAGGCAGCCCCGAGGGTCCTATTCTCCAGCGGCTTTGGACAACACGGTAGTCACTGCATCCCCTGCCGAGCTCACATGGCTTTCAAGGTATTCTCGATCGATGTCATATCCACCTGCGGTGCGTTGCGTTCGTCCTGGGAAACAACACTGAACGCTGCAGATGCGACAATGGATTCGGCGATCCCATCAAGACCGAGCCCTGCTCCAATCCCACCACCAAGAGCAGCGGTGAATCCAGCAGACACAGAGGATGCCCAAGAGTTGTCAGGCTTGGGAGGAGTGAAGTCCACGCCGACCTGATCGATAGCAAGACCGTTGAGCCAGCTTTCTCAAAGTAACTTCTCGTGAACCGAGTTGCACTTGCTGTTGAGGGTGCCGACCCACTTGGAAACCCAGTACAGTTTTTCATGGCATCTGCGTAGAAAGAGCACTTGGGAGGGATGTTGCAGCTCGAACCGATTATGCCACAGTCTGATAAATCGTTGGTGCCATCGTCTTGGAAGCTAGCTTCCCATAACTTTTTGACCCATATCCCTGCACGTGCGCATGGTATTGTATCTTGGCACTTGGCGCAGTGGACTGGTCGATCTTCCTCTGTGCCCAAAATATCAAGGCTCCCAGAGTCGAAATTAAACAGCGTTGTATTGGGGCTCATGAAAGATTTATATGGAGCATTTTATACCTTGCATCCTGCATGTCGATCTCTTCTGCTTTCCACGATTGGCTTGTTTGTATTTCTCTCAAAATCCATGAAGGCGACCATTTGAACCCAAAAACGCTTGAACCATTTTTATATCCAACGCTGAATCCAATATGAGTGATTGTCTTTTTATTTTCTTTTTCCTCATCGCTAGATTGGAAAAATCCTGATTGTTTAGATGGTCGCAGGTTGGGCGTGACATGAGGCAAGCATAAATCGGACGTTGGGGCATCTTCGCCGAAATCGATTTCCAAATTTCATTAGTTTAGTCAGAGCCACCAGGCCCGGCAGCAGAAAGAAAATCGAAATCGGTCCCCTCATGTGCCTGATTCACCGACCGCTCATATAGTCCCCGATAGCCGCGCTTCTTCTTCCTGGCTTGCGCAGGCCCAGCCTCAGCTTCAAGAGCATTCTTTCGCTGAGAGATTCGAGACTGTAAGACCTCATCTGAGACATCCAAATGAAGTAGCCGATTCTCAATATCGCAAGTGATCAGATCTCCTGTTTCAACAATTCCAAAAGGAGATCTGGGTACTGCGGCTTCGGGCGAGATATGGAGAACAATCGTCCCCCCTGCCGTTCCCGACATCCGGCCATCTGACAGTCGTAGCATATCCTTCACTCCTGTGGCGGCGAGTTTCCTCGGAATTGGTATGAGGCCTGCTTCGGGCATTCCAGGATTCCCGATCGGTCCGATGCCTTTGAGTACTAGCACGCTGTCTTTTGTGACCTCCAGCGCAGGATTATCGATGCGTAGGGCTAGGTCTGCGGAGTTCTCGAAGACGACAGCAGGTCCGGTGTGTGTGAGGAGATGGCGGTATTTTGAAGCAGATGCTTTGATGACTGCGCCGTTGGGTGCGAGGTTGCCGTGAAGAACAGCAAGGGACGATGAAGGGAAGAGCGGATCTGATAGGGGCCTAATGATGTTTTGTTCGAACGATAACATCCTGGATCGAGCTGCATCGAGAATCTCTCCTAATGTCTGTCCGGTGACCGTCTTAGCAGATAAATGAAGTAGTGGACGCAGGACTTGCAGTAAGGCTAGCATGCCGCCCACATTATGAAAGTCATTCATATAGTTATCTCCACTCGGTTTGAGGTCGATCAGCAGCGGTGTTTTCCGTCCGATTTCCTCAAATGTCTCTAATGTGATGACGCCTTGAAGCTGAGGGTGTCGATTGGCTATCGCTAGTAGGTGAACAACTGCATTCGTAGACCCGCCTATCGCCTGAAGTACTGTGATAGCATTCAGGAATGACTCTTTCGTCAGGAATTCTTGCGGCTTTCTAGAGGCTTTTGCCACTGCGACAGCATTTGCACCGGTCTCTTCGGCAATGCGTATTCTTGCAGACGACACTGCTGGGGCGGATGCGCCTCGCAACGGCATCATTCCTAGGGCTGCGGTGACACATGCCATGGTGCTGGCTGTTCCCATAACGCCACATGTTCCAATCTGAAAACATCCGCTATGTTAAGAGTCGCTCCGACAAGACATTCAAGATCATGGGTGCTTACTGTTGGGGCAAGCTCTTCGTTGATCGCGGAAATCTCTTCGACATCAATCTCCCCCGCTCGAAAGGCAGCCCAGTTATTGCGACAGTCGGTGCAGGCGCCGATCCTCTTCCCGCGATGGCTACCTGGCAACATCGGACCAGTGATCAGTGGAAGAATGGGCTTGTTGGCGGAAATACCACCCATCAACTGTGCAGGAACTGTTTTGTCACAGCCTAGAAAGGTCAGTGAGTATTTCGGCAGATCGAAGATGTCCCGTCTTCGTGAGGAGAAAAGAAGCCAGGGCAACATGAAAAGGATATACACACCTCCGATCATAATACAAGCATCCAATGGTTGTGCCTTGATCATCTCCTCGGTGTCCATGCTCATTAGATTCCGCAGAAACATGCTCGTCGGATGTGAGAAAGATTCGTGGACACTGATCGTGGGAAATTCCACCGCAAGACCGCCGTTGAGCTGCACACCCCGTTTGGCGGCCTCAATCAGCTGAGGGACGTTGGCATGACAGGGATTGAAGCCCGAGAAGGTATTGATGATGCCCACAATTGGGCGTGAGAGCGCGTCTTCAGAATACCCGAGTGCCTTGATAAACACCTTGCGGAGAAAGAGAGAGAAATGCGCATCGCCGTAGGATGTTAGACCCTGGCGCAATCCCGAGGTAGTAGTGATGGGGGTGGCGAGATTGTAGTCACTATTGGGCTCTTGTTCAGTCGGCATGTTGGACGAGGCTGGTAGTTGGTTTGAAATCAGCTCCGCGAGCCACTGCTGCGTGGTAATGGTCTTAGGAGCTGGTGGAGCTTATATATGGCCATTTGCTCAGTGGATGGTGTCACTCGGGCTAACTCCGACCGGATATTATTCCGGGGTGTTCCACCCCGCGCTCCACTCATCTCTGGCGTAGGCTCATCAAAACACGCAGTATATAAGGCTGATCCCTCCTTGTGCTAAAAATTTCGAGACATTTGATTTGTTAGGAGATACCTCAGTCGTTCGGACTCAGCGAGCTGTGCTTTCGCCGAAAATGATATCCAGTGAAAATAATTAAATTGGAAACGGGACGACTGAACGCTTTCTATGGTGACATGCATATTTGATTTGATATCGCGATTGAAGTAGATCGTGGTCCAGTCGCTTAAACTGTCGACTTCATACGGACTCTGATATCCTTCGACGGCTGGAAAGAGCCCCAGGTCGATTTGTTGTTGGGGATTTTGAGCACTTTCTCATCAGCGGACGTGATATCCCACATCGACACAATACCCGCGGTGAAAGCCAAGATGGACCGTTCGTTTAATTGGTTGTCCTTGATTCCATAAAGCCCCTCCGCAAAAGGACCAAGAGCATCAGCACTGGCCTGCTTGCGGCCGGACGCAGGGTCTGTGACCACGAATCGTAGAGGATCATACTGGTCTGGGTTGGAAAAGCGCCGAGCATCGGTCTGATAAGCGACATGGGGCATGATGACCTTTTCACCCTTGCGAAGCTTGTAAGTACAAGGTTCAGTCGCATCTTCATCTGACTCCGTCAAAGTCAGGTCTGACTCAAGCCTTCTGAAAGAGACACCGGCAGAGTGGAGGCGGACGGTCTCGTGATAGCACGCCTTCAGGAGTGTGCACGATTCAAGAACGTTGTCGAGGTCAAGACTCAGGCGGGGAGGCTCGTCGAATGGGAACCCTGTCTCCTCGCGACTAGGTCGGGAAGAGTTCACATAGGGAGCGAACTCCTTTCGGATCTCCTTGAGAAGAGCGCTGTCGGCAAAGATGTGAAGAGTAGTCCAGAATGTGATCTTGGTAATGTGCTCCATCACATCCCAGTACAAAGACAAGTTGCCCGCAGCACTGGCGCCAGGGGTCATTTCCAGCTTGCGGAATGTCCGCATTCTCTCCTTCACCAACTCGGACACGTCGTCCAGCTCGCGAAGCTCGATTCCGGGGTCGATCCCGTCATCCCAGGCCGTAAATGCACGGTAGAAAATAGACATTATATGGTGAAGTCTATCGCACGCAGCATGTCCCGCAGACACGCCAGGGGCTGGCACGTAGCGCGGAAGTCCCACAAACAACGACACAAAGTTGGTGTCTAGTTTCCATAGGTCCTCGACGACCATGGGGAAATTTTCCAAAAAGGCCTCGCCCATCAGGAAGTTGGACATGTGGTGACCGACAAAATTTCGCACGAGGGCGAAAAGGTCTGCCTCGCACACTGATTCGCCCTCTTGGACGACGGACACTTTGCTGCTGTCGCGCTCCCAGGGCGCCTGGTCAACAGGGCTTTGACTGAAGCTCACCAAGTTGGGGATATTTCGTTGGACCATTTTGGTGATCGCAGCCGAGGCCTCGCTCAAAAACGACTCCTTGCTAATGAAACCAGGCACGTCGTCGCTGATTTCCTGATTGCGGCTCTGCTGCAAACTGTGAATGAGATTGCGATTGCCAAAGACATTGTGTAGTGCCTGGTCAAGCGCTAGCGACGAGTTCTTAGAGGAAGACAAGATGGTCTTGATCATCGATGGAGAGATCACAGTATCGTGGGTCTCGCCACGGAGGTAGACGCCAAAGACAGATTCATCCATTGAGTCCCTAGGCAAATTAGCAACCGATAGAATACAGTGGCAACATGTGCATCACCCACCTGAGCCCTTGAAAAAGACTGGCATGGTTCCATGTAAAGGACAGACTATGTCCTAACCAGGGGAACCAATACGGCGCCAATCGCGAAGCTCGAGGCTCTGACGGATCTCGGGTTTGCTGTCGGCCTTGAAGCCCGCTGATGATGCGAGTCGCGATGCACGAGAATGCCAAAACGGCAAAAAAGGTCATCCAGGTCATTTCGGGCAGGCCGTCCCGGACCATCTGGATGAGCCCGTTGGTCGGCGTTTCGTACTTCTCCATGTTGCGACTGGGCGCACTCAGATGGGAAAGAGACAAACAGTGCCGATCGTGGCACGACGCCGATTCAGCGGCGCCCACTCACTGCTGGAAACGCGACTGAACGCGAAAAATAATTAGAGAAGGAAATTTGTGATCACCGTTGGGCCTCTTGGGACCGGTTAGAGGGTCGAAAATGGCGACGCAGAGGAATTCCACCTGGCCCGACTTCTGCTTAGCTCATCACGATCGCCGAGACAATCTAAGTATAGCCACAACACAGCCGGACACACACTCGCCGACATTCACATTTACATCTTAATTTCACGATTTGAAGTTGAAGACGTGCTATTTCTGAAATTTGAATGGAGATGTACATGAAAGCTGAACTGTACAGAATAGGCATCCTAACACCACAACATGGATGCGAGAAGCGGGATCATCGCTCAACTGTCACTTTGCAGTGCTCGCTGCAACTTCCGACTCTCCCACTCATAATTCTCAATCTTGCTCTGCGAGTCGGAAATCTTGTTCAAAAGCCACATCGTACGCGAATACAGCTCACGGGGCTGCTTCGGCAGGGACCCAATGAGCTGGAGCTCTTCCTCGTACTTGCCAATGCCCTTGTTTTCGTTGCTGATCAATTGTCCAAGAATCAATAGATCAAGTCGGCTCTGCAATGTCTTGTTTTCAATGAGGCGTTGAAACGCAGCATGGTAGACCGGCTTTCCGGGCTTGACCCATCGTGGAAACCCCTTGACCGATCCGACAGAAATGAGCTCGGCTTGTTCCAGAGCTCGGAGGGTTGCTTCGCCATTTTCCTTGAACAGGTCTGCCAGGAGGACCTTGTTGTACAACAAACTACCATCCTTGGAGTTTGCCAGAGCCTTGATAATATGCCATGCTTGTTCGCGAGTCCATTGGGGTGTAATCGTGTCCGTGCCGAGGATGAAGATCTTCAGGATTTCCGAGGCAGACTGCTCAATGATACGGTCCACGGCGGCTATGGAAGAGTTAGCGAGGTGTGGCTGAGTAGGGGTTGCTTATAGACAAACCTTGAGGTGTTTCTCCAGCCTCGATGCGATGGGCCATAAACTCGAGATCAGTAACACGTCCGCCCAACACCCTAATACATTCATCGAGACCAGTCAGGTTCTCTCGGGGCTTTTTTGGTGGCACCCTTCTCGTCGTCTGACTCTTCGGCATCTAAATGGCTCATGACAAAGCGACGACCCACGTCGAGAGAGCAGTCACCCAAGCCAACAGTGCGGTAGACCTGATTGGGAAGTGCCTTGCTAAGCGGCTTCGCGAACGAAGAATCAGTGGTCAAAAATATGACATGAGCAATGTTGGCAGTAGTCAAGCCAGCCGCCCACTCGGTGAGCTTATCGAGAACAACACTATCTTCAGCGTCGTAAAGGAAGTTATCAATGACCACAACAGGTCGCTTCTCAGGATGAGCCTCGAGGTATTCATCGTCGCTCATGCCGGCATCCTTATCATCCTTGCGTCGGGCCTCGAGTGCCACCCGCTTCATGGCTACTGCGGTGTTCTGCCAGATCTTGCTGAGTTGGGCATCGAGGGTTTCCGAGAAGCCAGCCTTGGTGCCGATCATGCCTTGTGCCGCTAGGTCGATGAAGCTGCTAATGCTGTTCATCCAGGAGAAAATGGGTCGGTAACCGACTTGGGCTGCCGCTCGGGAGATTTTGGCTGTGTCGCCACGAGCATCTTGGATCTGCTTGCAATCAATAACCACCTTGTATTTGTGGTCCTTGAGAGCTTGCTCCAGGACCAATTCTCGCTTTCCAGACCCCCGTGGTCCATGGACAACAATAAACGTTTCCGCAGTTTCGGTTAACCAGGCTTGAAGCTGAGCAATATCCTTTTGTCGATCCTCCCAAATCGCCGTGAGACCTCGAGGATCTGTCTTCCGCTGACCAAAGTACATTATGTTGGCTTTGCTGGCCTGCCTGCGGATCCATTGAATGATGTTATTCTCTTCAGCGTGAAGAGTGGCTTTGATCTTCATCTTGATGAAGAAAGTTCTGATAGGGTCGAAAATGATGACCGTGATCGTTGCCACTAGAGCAGCCAAGGCAGGAATGACAATCCTAGGGTGATTGTAGATCCAGTCCTTTATCATGGACAGCTTGATCTTGCGCTCGTAATTGATCTTAAATCTCGTACCGGCTTTGCCCCCACCCTCTTCCTCAGATGCAACATATCCATGCAAGCAGTTTCTCGCCATCACTGCAAACCTTGGCCGGTCAAAGCGTAGTGTGGCGTAGCGAGGCTCGACTTTCGAGTCGAAAGGCTGCGGATGGATTTCAAGCAACTTCCCATATGGACGAAAGAGGGTGTACAGGCATTCCTGCGTCAGCTCTGCAGGTGGGCCATCTGTCGAATTTGCCAGAAATTCGACTCTCACGGAATTACTGGGAATCCGATAGAGATCTTCGATCCATGGTCGTCCATGGACCAAGTCTGCATCGACTTTTTGAAACGGGTTGAACCACGGCCTGATCGGGCTTTTGTTGAGATGTTCCTTGATGGCATTCTGGATATCCTCATTCTTGACACCGGGCTTGCGCGCATATTTGACAAAGGCACCTCCTTCCTTGTATCTTGTGACGACGTGCTTGATTTCGAAGTCTTCGGATTGTGGTAATACGCGCTTCACGATTTGGCTGGGATCCGCAGCGGCGAGGTCGGGATGATTGATTCGTTTCAAAATTCCTTCAAGGGGCTGGATATGGCTGAGGGGTCCCCGCAGTAACCATTGCAGTCTATGCGGGAAGATATCTGGAGATGGTCAGGCCGTACCACATATTTGCCAAGAATTGTTCAACTTACTATTGACATATACAAGGCCTTCATCTTCGGCGAGATCGATGTGTCCGGACTGGATCGAGGACACAGCTCGTACATTGACGGAGAAGCGTGGAGCAAGTCTCCACCCCCGGCGAGAGGACTGTAGATTCGCCCTGGGCCGGAGGGGAGAAGCCCGCACAGCTGGAGACATTCTTGAGAAGCACGCTGGCTTCATTTCAGTGGTTGTGCATGCCGTCAGGAAGCCGTGTTAGAGGGGAAAGACAAAGAACGAGATCCGGGTTGCGATCAATCGCAGCAAGTTGACTTCAATGACGTCGCCAAGCGCGACCAGCTCGGCTTATCGCGCTATCGGAGATCCACCCAGTCACATGACTTTGCTGATTATCAGAAAACCGCGTCGTCGCAGTCTGCCTCGCAGCCGGACGCCAATTCTCGCAACTTTCTCCTCCAAGATGGGCTGGTGGTGGTCATCGAGTCCTGAAAAGGACAGCAAAAATGAAACAGCATCTACACACACAAGCGCTCCCGAAGAGCTGGTTCCGAATGCGCCTCCGCCGAAGCAATTGACTCCGGATCAACAAGCGGAGTTGGAATTCAGTCAGATCCTGGCCAGTCTGCGCGAGGAAGAGGATACTTTTGCCAAGAACCTCCAGCAAATGCAATCAGAATCCAATGGCACCGATGCGAAGTTTTCGCCCGACCAACCCACCTCAGCGATCGCCCCCGATTCCCTCTACCAAGACACCATGTCCTGCCGTCAAGCCTTCGACTACGCCTTTTTCTGCCAGTCCTTTGGAGGGCAATTCGTGAATGTTTATCGATATGGAGAGATGCGCTCCTGCAGTGAGCATTGGGATAATTTCTGGTTGTGCATGAAGACCAGGGGGTGGTCTGATGAGCTGCGGAAGAAGACGATTCGAGACCACAATCGCAAGAAGGCCATAAAATACAAGACTGGTCCAAGCAGTGAAGATGTCTGGGATGTCCGACTCGACCCAGCCCGGAATGCCTTCCAGGGAGATTTTGCTGCACTGGAGAAGGAGATGAAGGCAGAGGAGGAGGCCCAGCAAAAGGCTAATGCATGAACGCTCCAAGTCTTCACCGATGCGGAGCGAAGCGCTGATGTTTTCTTTGAACGTTTGAACTCATGAACTGTAGATATATACCACTTGATTGGCGTGGACCTGTACAATACTTTTGGGAGAACCGAAGGACTTCTCTACTCTAAAATTGATCTCTTCAATTTATCCCGACTTATCTGATATTACCTGACAAGTACAAGAACTAAAAACTGCATACAGTAACTACAACATCTCCAGTCATCTGACGAAATCTGAGATCGATCCTGGATATACTGCTCCCCTTACTAATCTAGCAGAGCCTCAAAGGATCCCACCGCCATCCACCTGACCATCAACACCCAACTTCTTAGTCATTTCATCAAAATCTATCCCGCTCATCAGAAAGTCCACAACTTCATCAAAATATATCAAATTCCAAACCATACCACCCAGCCAAATTCCACAGCCCAACCTAGGACTATGACTCAAAGCGTCCAATCGTGGACGGCAAATACAACGATCCAAAACAGGCAAACTACGTCCAGCCGGGAAATGGCAATGTGCCGGACCACCGCCAGTCGATATACTCATTACGAATCTACATGAGGACTCCAATGAACATGATTTCCACACGTGGTGGGGTTTGCCTATGGAGAAGTTGCTTCATCATATTATGACTGTTGTAGATGCGAGGGGTATTAAGGTTAATTCGGTTATGGTGACGACTTATCCTATTCGTGTTATTCTTGCACATGAAATGGAGAAGGAGGAGATGGATGTTGCTTTTGATGAGGTGGCCAATGGGATATAGTAAAGGAGGGGTGTTTCTTAGTTTGATTATTTTTGAGTCAGGTACAAGAATCATATGTGGGTAACTTCTAGAGAGATAGAATCAATGAGTACATGAACATATCATAACCACTAAGATTTATAAAACCTAAAGCTTACGTCCCAAATAATCCACCTCAATCAACTCCCCAATCTCAGCCAATCGATCCCTCATCGCCACCTCCTGTTCCCATCCAACACGTTCACTCTCCAACCGCTCATTCTCATCTCGAACCTTTTTCAGTCGCTCTATATTCGGCTCCCACGCATCGCAAAGTGCAGTGCTATCCCTCAAAGCCTTTCTCTCTCGGACTATCTCGTCTTCTGAGTCGAAGGTTCGATATTCTGGCGCTGTTCTGTACCCTTCACTGGCTGTAACGAAAGTTTCGTTGTCCGAATCGGTGTCACAGTCGAGGCTATTGTGGTGACATTTTCCTTGGAGCATTTTTCTTTCTAGGTTGCGGTTAGCTTCTTCTTCTGCTCTCGCCTTTTTTACCTGTAGCTCCTTCTGACGGAGTCTCTCCTGCTTCTCTTTTTCTCTCTGAAGCTTTTTCGTCAAGAACTCTTGCTGGTGAAGCTTCATCTCTCTCTCGTCATCTTCATCTTCTTCTTCTTCTTCTTCTTCTTCTTCCTCTTCCCATGATGACCGCGTATTTGCTCGTGAGGATCTAGGTACGACCGAGGGCCGGCGGGAATGGGATATCGTTTTTGATTTTCTGACGGGAATCTTGCTCTCGGGGGTTTGTTTTGCTTGGGAAGATGCTGTGGGTCTGGCGTAGCTGGGTGCGCGTGGCATTTTGAAGATCTGATTTTCAGTCTGGGTGGTGAGTTGTAGTTGGTCATTTGGTTAGATGTTGATTTCCTTTATTGGATTAATAGAACGGAAAGGTGTGGCTTGGGAGGTTTTCGAGTCCTCTTATATAAATAACCCGTGTCCACGTTATATTTGGCGAAGGGTATTGTCTCGTAGTTGTAAACACTACGATAAAAAAAGTAAGAGTGGGAATAATCGGTTTTGTCCCCTTTTAGACAATGACCTCAGAAAAAGGCAAGACCAAATTTAGCTTTTCCAACAATGGTGCCACCAATTTACGCCTTTGTTAAGCTTAGCTCTAACAAAGATGAGAGGGAAACTACATTGTCACAACAAAGAACAGAATATTTAACATAAAATCGAATTGACAATAACGGAAGGTATGCACAGCAAAAAGCAAATTCTCCGCACAGCATAGCAGACGCTCTAAACACCTCGCAGGGAATACGCTGCTAAAATCAAGCAAAATAAGGAAACAACAAAAGCGGAGCATCTTCAGTCATTTAATATGAAATGAAGCACAAAAACTACCCGGGGGTAGAAGGAATTTTTCCCAGTCTAAAAGCGATTGGGAGATGAAAAAACTGATTGATCACATTCCGCCCGTTTTGGATTAACTTTTCACATTGAATTCTTGAGGGCCGTCAACTCGTAACCTCGTCCTCGTTCACTCACTCCGCCCTTTGCAGATTCTCAAGCAACAACTGCCTCGGCCTTCGGCACGGAATCAACAGCCGGCCGTCGGATAATACCACCCGTAACGGGAAGCGAAGAGGAGATTCCCATGAGGAAAGCATCAACCTCCCGCGCGGCCTGTCGGCCTTCGTTGATACCCCAGACAATCAGTGACTGTCCGCGACGGCAATCACCCGCGGCGTAAACACCGGGGATGTTGGTGGCGTAGTGGCCAGGAGGGGTCTTGACGTTCTTCCTTTGGTCGCGCTCGACCTCTTCGCCGAGCAGACGATCCTCAGGTCCCAAGAAACCCATGGAAAGAAGAACCAGGTCGGCAGGGAAGAATTGCTCGCTTCCCTCCACGGTCTTCATGTCCCATCCACCGGTGGAAGACTTGGTCCATTCAACACGGACAGTGTTGATACCCTTGACACGGCCGCTGCCGTCATCGACGAATTCAGTCGACATGACGCAGTACTCACGAGGGTCCTTGCCCATGTGGGTCTTGACTTCCGAGTGACCGTAGTCAATGCGGTAGATGCGAGGCCATTGGGGCCAGGGGTTGTCGCGGGCACGCTCGGGTGGGGGTTGCGGGAGAAGTTCGAAGTTAGTGACCGACTTTGCACCGTGACGAACGGACGTTCCGATACAGTCGTTTCCGGTATCACCCCCACCAATGACAACGACGTGCTTGTCCTTAGCAGAGATGTAAGCGCCATCCGCAAGACCCGAGTCCAGAAGGGACTTGGTGTTTTGGTGGAGGAACTGCATAGCGAAGTGGACGCCATCGAGTTCACGGCCGGTCACCTTCAGGTCACGGGCGACAGTAGCTCCCGTTGCGATAATCACGGCATCGTTGGTGGACCGGAGAGATTGGAGGGAGACTTCACTGTCCGGCCCGACTGCAGTGCTGACAATGAACTTCACACCCTCAGCGGCCATGAGATCCACACGGCGTTGAACGACCTTCTTGTCCAGCTTCATGTTCGGAATACCGTACATCAAAAGACCACCGATGCGGTCAGCGCGCTCGTAGACAGTGACAGTGTGGCCAGCACGGTTGAGCTGGTCAGCAGCTGCCAGACCAGCGGGTCCGGATCCGATGATGGCAATAGTCTTGCCGGAGCGGGTGGGTGGGGGGCGAGGAACCATCCAGCCCATTTCGAAGCCGCGGTCAATGATGGCACACTCGATCGATTTGATACCGACGGGGTCTTCGTTGATACCCAAGACGCAAGCACCCTCGCAAGGAGCAGGGCACACTCGGCCAGTAAATTCGGGAAAGTTGTTTGTCATCAAAAGACGGTTGAGGGCATCTTGCCACTGGTTTTGGAAAACCAGTTCATTCCACTTAGGAATGATGTTAGAGATCGGACAACCGGTGTCTGACTGACAGAAGGGAACACCGCAGTCCATGCAACGAGCGGACTGGTACTTGAGCTCGTCCTCGCTGAGGCGGTTGGACAACTCGGCCCAATCGCGAGTACGAGTTGTTGGGTTCCGGTACTTCTCCGAGCGACGGCTGTACTTCATGAAGCCGCGAGTCTTGTCCAGAATAAGGGCAGACCGCTTCTTCTCAGCCTTTGAGTCGCTGATGCTGTCCTCAATGTCCAGCATTTCAGCTTTCTTCTCATCAGCGTGAGCCTTAGGCTTCTCCGCGGGGGTGCTGGGAAGCTGGGGCAGAGTAAACTCGGCCTTCTTAGCAGCTGCAGCCTTGGCAGCTTCCTCGTCCATGACACGCTTGTAGTCAGTCGGAAGTACCTTGACGAAGCGAGGAAGAGCGCGGTTGAAGTCCAAGAGGACCCGGGCAGCCAGTTCGGATCCAGTGTAGTGGTGGTGATCCTCAATCAGACCACGAACGAAAGCAATCTCGGAGGGGTCCTCGATTCCAGAAACTTGAACCATCTCCAGGTTGACCTTGGAGTGGAAGTCCTGGTTCATATCCAAGATGTATGCAATACCACCGGACATACCAGCAGCGAAGTTACGGCCAGTGGGTCCAAGAATGAGGATACGACCACCGGTCATGTACTCGCAACCGTGGTCACCAACACCCTCAACGACGGCGGTGGCACCCGAGTTACGGACGGCGAAACGCTCGGCAGCCATCCCGCGGAAGTAAACAGTACCGCGAGTGGCACCGTACAGACAGGTGTTACCGACAATGACGTTCTCCTCGGCCTTGAAAGAAGCACCACGGGGCGGGTAAACAATCAAACGACCACCCGATAGGCCCTTACCGACGTAGTCGTTGGCATCACCCTCAAGCTCCAGCGTCACACCAGGAGCAAGATAAGCACCAAAGGACTGACCAGCAGAACCCTTGATGTTGGCGTGAATGGTATCTTGGGGAAGACCAGCCTCGCCATAGCGTCGACTAATCTGGTACGACAGGGTCGCACCCATTCCACGGTCAGTGTTGACAACATCGCACTCGATGCGGCAAGGCAGGCCCTTCTCCAAAGCAAGTTCGGACTCGGCAATGAGCTTGTTATCAAGACGAGTGTGGAGACGGTGGTCTTGCTTGCGAACATTGTAAGTGGCAACACCCGGACGGAGAGAGTGAGCAGGAGTCAGAATGAGCGAGAGATCAATGCGCTCCTGCTTCGAGTTGCGAATATCGTCGCGGACCTTGAGAAGCTCAGCACGTCCGACCATCTCGTTGACAGTGCGAATACCAAGCTTGGCCATGATCGCACGCATTTCATTGGCGACATAGTAGAAGAAGTTGATAACGTGCTCCGGGGTACCGTTGAATTTTTTTCGTAGCTCGGGATCCTGGGTGGCGATACCGACAGGGCAGGTGTTCAGGTGGCATTTACCTAAAGAATAGTTAGCATGTATGCAAAATCTTGAACCAAACACCTAGCACTCACGCATCATAATACAGCCCATGGCAATCAAAGGCGTAGTAGCGAAACCATACTCCTCAGCACCGAGCAAGCAGGCCATGGCCAGATCACGACCAGTACGAATCTGACCGTCAGTTTGAACAACGACACGGCCACGAAGGTCGTTCAGAACCAGAGTCTGGTGAGTCTCAGCAAGACCTAACTCCCAGGGGAGACCAGCGTACTTGATACCGGTCCAACGGGAGGCACCGGTACCACCATCGTGACCAGAGATCAATATGTGATCAGCCTTGGCCTTCGCAACACCAGAAGCGACAATGCCGACGCCAACTTCGGACACCAGCTTCACGGAGACACGGGCACGAGGGTTGGAGCATTTGAGGTCGTAGATTAATTGTTTCAAATCCTCAATAGAGTAGATATCGTGGTGCGGGGGAGGCGAAATGAGACCGACTCCGGGGGTGGAGTGTCGAGTATGAGCAATAGGTCCAACGACCTTGTGGCCAGGCAGCTCACCACCTTCACCGGGCTTCGCGCCCTGAGCCATCTTAATCTGCAACTCATCGGCATCAGCCAGGTAGTGTGAGGTCACACCAAAGCGACCAGAGGCAATCTGCTTGATGGCGGAACGCATGGTATCGCCATTCTCCATTCGCTTGCTGCGCTCGGGGTCTTCACCACCTTCACCAGTGTTGGACTTGCCACCGAGACGGTTCATGGCAATGGCAAGAGTCGAGTGGGACTCCATCGAGATAGATCCGTAGGACATGGCACCCGTAACGAAGCGGCGCACAATCTCGGTCCAGGGCTCGACTTGGTCGATGGGGATGGGCGTCCGCTGCTCAAAGTCGAACTCAAGCATACCGCGCAATGTGCAGTTTCTGATCTGCTCATGCTCTGCCTTTGCATATGCCTCATAGGATTTGTCGTTCTTACTACGAACGGCGTCCTGCATGTTGGCAATGCTGACAGGATCATTAATGTGAGCCTCGCCACCATCACGCCAATGATACTCGCCGGTTTCACTAAGACCAGGGATCTCGATGATGTTGCGCGATGGATATCCACGCTCGTGGAAGGCAAATGCATCCTGGGCAATCAGGTCGAATGTGATACCGCGGATACGGCTGGCGGTTCCGGCGAAGCAGCGGTCGATCACGCTGTCATCGATACCCAGAGCTTCGAAAATTTGGGCTCCCTTGTAGGACTGCAGGGTGGAAATACCCATCTTGCTCATGACCTTGAGAATACCGCCATCACAAGAAGCCTTGTAGTTCTCAATGACTTTCTCGTCAGAAATGTCCTTGCGGATCAAGTTCTCCCGGTTCATCTTGAGAAGACATTCCAGGGCGAGGTACGGGTTAATAGCGTCGGCACCGTATCCCAGAAGCACGCAGTGGTGGTGCACCTCACGAGCCTCGGCCGTCTCAACAACCAAAGCGGCTAGCGAGCGCCACTTGTTGCGGACCAGGTGATGGTGAACTAGACCGGTGGCTAGCAAAGCAGAGATCGGCACGCGGTCCGCGGAGGTCGCGCGGTCAGAGAGCACAATGACCTTGTCGCCATTCTCGATCGCCTCAGTCGTGGCATTGCAGATCTCATCGAGGGCGGCCAGGTATCCAGGAGTACCCTTCTTCTTGTCGAAAGTGATATCGATGGTTCGGACGGTCCAGTCGCTGTGGGCGCTGTTGATGTTCTTCAGAGCATTGAATTCCGGAATGCTCAGTATTGGAGAGGGTAGAAGAAGACGATGGCATTGAGAAGGATCCATCTCCAAGAGGTTACCCTGGGGACCGACATAGCACTCCAGAGACATGACCACCGCCTCACGAATAGGGTCAATGGGCGGGTTGGTGACTTGAGCGAAGAGCTGACGGAAGTACTCATAGAGCAGACGCGGCTGCTGGGCAATGCAAGCCAAGGGAGCATCGTTACCCATGGAACCCAGAGCCTCCTTGGAGTCAGCACCCATGGGGCCAAGCAGCAGGCTGACCTGCTCAAAGGAATAACCGAAGGCCTTCAGGCGGGGGTCGTTTTGGACGGTATTGTCGTCCAGCTTGAAAGAGAGATCGACATTGCCGTTCAGCAACAACTTGTTAATGGCAGGCAGCTTCAGGAGCTCCTTGTCCAGCCAGCTGGCGAAGTCCTGACGGCTCGAAACGGTCTGCTTCAGTTCGGCATCATCGATAATGCGTCCGGCCAATGTGTCAACCAGCAGCATCTTTCCAGGTTGCAGACGGCCCTTTTGCACCACACGTTCGGGGTCGATGTCAATTGCGCCGACCTCCGAGGCGCAGACAATGCGGTCATCATCCATCACATAGAAACGGCACGGGCGCAGCCCGTTACGGTCAAGGTTTGCACCGCAGTACCGACCGTCGGAGAAGGTGAAAAGAGCCGGGCCGTCCCAGGGCTCCATCTGGCAGGCGGCCCATTCGTAGAAGGCTGACTTGGCCGGGTCCATGGCTGGGTTATCCTGCCACGCCTCGGGAATCATAATCATCACAGCCTCGGGGAGAGACAGAACGCCGTTAATCATCAGCAGTTCCAGAACGTTATCGAATGCGGCGGAGTCGGAGCCACCGTCTTCCACAATCGGATAGAGCAGGTCCAGTTCATCTCCGAAGACCTCAGATCGAAGAACACCCTCGCGAGCGCGCATCCAGTTCTTGTTTCCACGGAGTGTATTAATTTCACCGTTGTGGGCGGCCCATCGCAGTGGCTGAGCACGGTCCCAAGAGGGGAATGTGTTGGTCGAGAATCGTGAGTGAACCAGAGCAAAATGACCCTCATAATCGACATTGACTAAGTCGTGGTAGTATTGATAGACCTGCACGGGTGATAATTGACCCTTGTATACGATATTCCGGTTACTCAGCGAGCAAAGGTAGAACCAGTTGCCCAACCCAATCACATGGGTGGCACGCTTCCGCAAGACATACAGCTGCAGCTCAAAGGTGCGCTCGTCAAACTTGTCTGTGTCGGTGATTTCCGGCTTGGTACCGGCACCGTATGCCGACTGGAGCACGACAAACGGCTGCATGATAATGGGCTCTCGCGACAGGGCGGCCGGGCCCAGAATCGTTGAATCGCGGGGGACTTCGCGCCATCCCAGCACGCGCAGACCCAGAGAGGTAGCCAATTCCTCGAAGCTGGCGATAGACTGCTTGAGCGACTCTTCATCAGGCTTGAAGAACAAGTTGCCGACCGCATATTGACCGAGTGGAGGCAGGTCCACGCCTACCTCTCGGGCGAAGTTTTTGATAAAGAATTTGTGCGGGATACTGGTCATGACACCGGCACCGTCACCGTCTCGCGCGTCAGATCCAACGGCTCCACGGTGAGTCATGTTGCACAACAGATTGCGAGCTAGCGAATGAAACCTCTGTTAGTTGGATTTCCATTTCTCTTCTTTCCTGTCAGGAAAAGAAATATCTGTGTTATGGGAGTTGTTGAACTTACCATCGCTCACGATTTTATGGCTCGCTTTGCCCTTGATATGGCTGGACGCAGAAATGTCGGTTAGTCTCAATTGCGCAGTCGGGGAGAGGGGGGGGGGGTATTTACGCCGCGAAACCGACACCACAGGCATCCTTTTCGTACTCGGGGTCATAGAGACCCTGCTTCTCTGGGAGAGTATTGGCCCAGCCGAAGCCCTGCTTGGGCTGATAGCCCGAGTACTCCTGCGGGGGCTGCTCTTCTAGATCGTTGCCATAGATTTCCTCCAAGTTGAGACCCATTCTTCCGCCGGGGGTCGACAGAAGTGCGTGGGATCGGTTGAACTGGAAGCGTTCCGGGATGGGGTTGGAATCTCCGCCAGATTTCGGCGGGATATATGGCGAGATGTCGTCACAGGCGTCGAGTGGGCGGATGGATTGCTGGGAGATGACTATGAGGGATGCCTGCGACCACGCGAGAGGGAAGGGAAGTTGCGGGGGATAGATGGAGAGGGGAGGAGCCAAAAAAAAATTAAAGGAGGGGTGAAATTAAAAAAGGCAGCACTGCGATTACCGGGACCAGCGCCAGTCGGGCAGGACAGGACAGCACGTCCGGGGATTGCACGTAGCTCCGACCAGGACGGTACAATACGAGTGTGGGGTGAACGCCTGGGCGAATGGCAGCAGTTACAGCTGGAAGAGCAGTCGCAGACGCTGTCACATCCAGGGAATTGCCAATAACGATGATCTTGGTTGGTCTTAGTTTAGGATGTGAAAGGCGTGGTGTGTGATTCTGTCGCGACCGTGATTGATTGAGGACTACGCTACAAATGGTCGATGTTCTGTCCACTTTCTCTTTTCTAGGAGTGGTGATCCCCAGTCTCTCATGGACGAAAGCGGGCGAATCGCGCATTCCACGACGACCACCGTAGAGCAGAAGATAGTCATGATGATTGGCAACTCCCCAGAGATAAGCAGCGCGCCAATCAGAGCAGATGCTTTGCAACTGCTGAGCCAAAGCGATTAGGTTTCTCCTACGTCAAGATGGAGTGGGGCTGACCATACCGTACAGTACACTCTCACTATGGATGTATCCATTATATCGAGCACTCCTCTATGAAGATATAGTCTATAAAGGATATTCTGCTCTGCTCATCTTCTGATCTTCTCTCAGTCGAGTCCGATCCTCGTCATCCCACTGCTCCAGAGGAATGTGGGCCACACGAAAACAACTGCGACCTAGTCCCGCCGCGCTGGTCGGTGGGGCATCAGCAGTGCTTAGTAGCCCGCTGCGAAGGACAAATACATAGGCTGTCTATACCAAAAGTACGTACCACAAGTATGATACTCGCCTCAATTTCGAGCCCTCCATCTTTCCGAGCCATACTATCTACTGCTGAGTCTTGGACGGCGTACCGTACCAGACGGCCAGCAACCAAGCCGAGATCGGGGTTGCCCAGCCGCCCCCCCCCCCCGGTATGTTCCTTGCCCTTGCGGCTACGGCCTACTGTTTGCGGACAGCCCCCAGTCCCATCGCTCACCAGCCCGCCATGCATGTCCCTGTCCTGTCGGGGGAGGGATGATGTCCAAGCTTCTGATTTCAATAGGATGATCTGCTATAGCGCGGGTCGACAATTGCCCTCCCTCCCTCCACCACCCCCAGAACCAACTCCCCCGGCCCTCCTCCGCGCCCACTTCGAAACGGGCCTGATGAGGACTCAGGGGAGACTCGCCACTGCCGGGGCTTGTTCGTTTTTCCCGACTGCGTTCTCAGCGCGGAGTTAAGATCTCCCGGAGACCACTCCTCCGGGGCAGATCCAGTGCGTTCAGGGTCGCTGGTCTGACACGTGAAGGGACCCGATAAGCTCGACTTGATAATTCGAATACATAACCACCACGTTGGGGCCTGCCCGCCGGGTGCGAGTTTCATGCTCGGCCGATCAGGATCGCTTCTCCTGTTTTCGCCTAGCACTAGCACCAGCACCAGCACTCGGAGCAATCGGCCAGAGACCACTTCATCGGGGAAGATCTGTTGCCACCCCGGCACGTACTCAAGCATCCTCATCCATGTGAAATTCCCTAGGTAGACCACTAAACTCCCAGTCGTAGGTCACCATTGCCATGCAATGGTTCTCCTCCAGTGCTCAGTCGAAGAGGATCTGCTTAAGGAACATCAATATCCACCTCCCGCGATCCACACCGACATCACCTGATTTCCGTCCAATCACCTCCAGGCTAATCCTAAGATGCGCGTTCGTGGGGTTCGACCGAGGCTGCCCTCGCCCTCCCAGAGCCACTGCCTCGCATCCTCAAGGACTGCTCATGCAATGCATATCCGATCTGCTCGAACGGCCCCCACCCGGCTTTCCCCGACACCTCCGCCTTTGTCCGCATTGGGTTCACCGGACGACAGTCTCCTCGACGGAGTGGAACACTGCCAGCATCGGGGCATCCCGGGATGCCATCCTAAAGTAATACCGTCTCTCGTACGACGCATACGCGGACATCACATGCCAAGTCTTTAACAGAAGCACTGCGCGAGCGACCTGATCGGGCCTCGCGAAAGGCGAGCCGAGAGTCACCGTTCAATACCGGCCTGGGCGGACATTCTTGCGGACGGATTGAACGGTCGTACGACGGAGATGGGCTTGCCCAGCATTGGCGGGCTCCTGCAGCGCTTGGCTGGATCGACGCTGCTTATATATCACATACATGCTAACAGCTTTGCTAGCTCTGCGGCTGATTCTGTTGGAATTATGGGAACTTCACCGCTTTGCCTGGGCGTTGCGGTGTCTGCGTCATACAGTTCTTTGGTTGATCAGGCATTGTTGGGGAACTCATTACCCGGGTGAGTAGTTTGAGCGAAGATTGCTTTGTTTGCTGAGTACTCGTTGCAATTGTAGTCGCTTTCCTGCACTCGGGATGTTGGGAGCTTCAAAAAGCCAAATGGTAAAGGTGATTAAGAGTCGCAGAGCCTTTACATGCAATCGAATAAGGAAATTAATATTAGATCCAACTGACTGTGTTCTAGCATATTTAGTGTTAGAGCAAAATGATAATCTACTCGAATCCCTTCTCAGCCTGAGCCGGTCTCCATTAAGTAAACAACATTGGGAATGTATTCGAGCTCGGAGGGTATTTTCTCGGATACAGAGGGTACGTCGAAGGCCTTGTAGCATTCGCCTTTTTATTTGTTGGCCCACGAGTATCTTGTAAAGTTTCGTAGCGTTGAGCTAAGATACACTTTGAATGGATGTCGGAGCAGACGCGCAGGACTGAATGACCGCAGATATATATCGCCGAGAGAAGAGAAACCTCGAAGTCTATAATTAAAGTGCCCAATAGTCACCCAAGCGAATAAAAAACTTCGCAAAAGCCCAGCAATTTCCCCAGTACTGCAATCTTACTGAGAATGAATACTGGCAGCTCGGGCTGCCCCCGCAGTCACGCCGATGTTGTGCCGGTGGAGCCCCGCGACTTTTTATCCGCTAGAGCTCCGCCAAAGCTTCCCAGCACCTGCGACAACCATTGCGCTATCTACCACATTTCGTCCACCACAAACACACTTTAGATTCGCTCGCCGATAATAGGCTTCATCTTTATCGGTTCCCGTCAATCCTGAAAACCAGTTCCTACGTTCCAGAACACCACGATCTGGCCTACTTCAACGCCGGCGTCTGGTGCTTCGCAACCACGACCCATCGCGGACACATCTTGCAACACACCTACTAGACTCAGCAGCTCTTCGCCGCTGCCACCGGGATAGTATCCACTTGAGCTTCACTGCTGCCAAGTGCCAGACACAGTCGCAACAATGCTCTCCCTACCGGTCATCACACCACGCGACGTGAGTCCAACCCGACGACATCGTACCCAAATCATACATCTAACTAGATACATCAAGTCTCACGAACTGTGGTTCGGCCCCTCAAATGAATACTACACCCCTACGCCCACCCAGCACCAGCAATCCGCCCAAGCCAGCCGACAAAATGGTCATCACTCCTTCACCCCCCGTGCGTACCTGCCCTCCCGTCACCCTGCAAACAGCCTCGCGGCCCTCGCCGCCGAAGAGCGGGCCCTGGCGCTGCGTAAGCAGAGCATTGCTTGCTTCGGCTACTCGTGGATTAAGCCGGCTGGATGTGCGAAGACGATGCTTGGCATGAAGGAGGAGGAAATGGAGCGCGAGGAGGCGCTTGCGGCGGCGCGGAATGAGATGGCTGCTATGGATGCGGATGATGATATGGGCATGACGCAGGAGGAAGATGAGGAGGGGATGGAACGAGATCTTGATGATGATATTCCTGATGCGGATGTTACTGGTGAGGCGGAGGGGTTGATTGAGGAAGGGGAGGAGGGGCTTGAGGAGTCGCATGTTGTTGATGATGAGGAGGCGTATCTGGAGAGGGATCTGGATGATGAGATCCCTGAGGCGCAGTATGAGTTCGATGATGCAGGCTATGAGGAGAGGGATCTTGATGAGGATATTCCCGAGGGCTCGGTTGAGTATGGTGATGGTGATGGTGATGAGGAGGGATTGTATGAGGAAGAGGTGGATGAGGATTTCGACAATCAGCCTGACCTTGATGCGGATGTTCCGTCTGCGGATGAGGTTAGAGATCTGGACGATGATATTCCAGATGCTGCTGAGGACGGTTCTGAGCAGGAGGGTGAATGGCAACACACTGATACGGAGGAAGAGCTCGATGACGACGATGACGATGACTCTTCGGACCATGAAAACTCTCTGCGCCCCCGATTCACCGAGAACTTCAGAACGAGTACCCCCAACAGTCGGGGTGGATTGCCGCTGCCCCCGATGCAGCATGCGCGCGAGACCGATGCCCAGAGACGGTTCTTGAACCGCTGGAGTGGCGGTGGTGATGTCTTTGACTCGAGCAGTCTCATGGAGAGTGATGATCTGCGGGCTTCGGTGACCAGTCAAGGTAGTCGGCGCAGTGGATTCGGAAGACGGTTCCCTCGTCATGTTGGAGGACCACGCGATAGTCTGAACTGAGTGAGAGTATCAAGTCCCCAAGGATCTGATATCGGTGAACGATCAATGATTTGCGTGTTAGCATATGGGAGTTTCTTGACTGTACTACTATGAGCGTTTATGTGTGATTACGATTGTATGATAGGTGTTGTTACAGCCTTTGGGAATATCACAAATACTGTAATCTTGTCAAAAATTAGTTCTGTCAGCTTAGTTGGATACAGTCGAATAATTCCGGGGCTAGCTACGTTATAATGTCCGTCTGTAGGAAAGAAACTATCAGGTATTCAAAAGAATATGAAGGCAAGATCAACTGTTGATGAGGATGTATACTGCGAAACAGCAGAAAAGTGGCTCCGTGTACAATTATGCGTATGTACAAGCACCGACTCTAGTAGAATAAAACAAGAGAACGCAGATAAGAATCACAGAGCATGTCAAAAAGATAATACAGTCGGCAAATCCCAAGAGCACCACCAAACACCATAGCCAAAAAGCACATGCTGTAACGAGCTGTATGTATATGCACATCATCAAGGAGCAGGACCAAGACCAGGACTTAGCAGAGGCCAGACCAAACCCGGATGGGAAATTAAATATGTCGTAGAGGTAGAGGGAGGAAATAGCCCGTTCGGGAGGATGGGAAAAGGACACAATAAAAGATTCCGCATGCTGCACCCTCAGAAGAGCCACACGTAGAAGAAAATAAGGAAGACGGCGAGGAAGAATCCAAGCCAGACCTTCCACCCGACACCAGTCCTTTCAGCCATGCGAAGCATACGCTTCATGTTTCCGCGGATCCGCACCCGCGTGCCCTCGAATGAACTCTCGAGCTCGTTCATGTGTGCTGTGTCTCGGATTTCGTCGCCAATGGCAAGTGTAAGCTGCAGAGTCCCGTGTCAGATATATCCCACTGCGCTACCGTCATAGCAGAAAGAGGGAAATCTTACGTCTTTCAGCATCTTCACCTTTGAGGTGATCCCTTCTACCTCTGCATCGTTTTGTGACTCAAGTGATGAAAGGACGGCGTCGGAGTAGTGGCCCCTAAGCCCCAAGTGTTAGATTAGACATGTCGAAGCTGGGTTCCTAGCGGTGTAGGAAGAGCTTGACTCACTTCTTATCAGGTGTCGCGCTTCGAAATGTAGGCCCTGCGGCATTTCCATTACCGTAGCTACTCCCAGCAGGACTGGAGTAGCCCCCGTATCCATATCCTCCGGCCGGTGCGGGCGACCTGCTGGAGGGCCGGGAGTCGCCACCGTACGAGTCGAAGAGGTTCGAGGGACGTTGTCGGGGAAATCTGGCGGTTTTGTTAGCTCGCTTTATCCTGCGCGAGATTACCCCAGGCCTAGCTCTCAGAGGCGAGCCTGACGAGAGGTGGCGACTATACCGTGATGCCATGACAGTCGTTCAGGAAGAGTCGGCGATGAACCGAGGTTGTTAGGGGATAAATAGGTTGGCTGTGAAGGGTGGTGTTGCTTAGTTGTGCATCGGGGTCATTGCGCGGTTCTTGAACCGGCGTGAATCATGTCTTTCGAGATGTTGGGGTTCGATGCTTGCGGACAAAAACACAGGTGGCCAAAGCTTGTTGGTCTCGCCCGAGGCCGCTGCACGTGATGACGCAGCAACTTGTTTACAATGGGATTGGAAAGTGAAACAATAACAAATTAATTTCTTTGCGATCCTTGATCTCTGACTCGTAATTTCTACGCCGTGGGAAGTTGATTTTATGGTGCTTATCGTGGAGTGCGTTTACGGGCACTTGGCGTTGAAGTTTGTCTTGCAGTTTAAGCCCAATAACGCGCTTATTTAGTCGAGAATAACTAAGGACATCTTGGACAGATTAACAACAGAGTTATGGCTCAGTAAGCCCAGTGGGAGCATGAGCAGTACGTTTTCTACAGGGATAGCCAGATTCAAGCAAAAGCGAGCTTCGTTTTCATTGATTTCATAGACATGATCATCGCCAGGCGATGACCGTGAGTTCTTGCATAAGAGACGCTGCCCCTAAGGGCCCACGAGAGAGCCTCCCTTCGAATCCGTAACACCAGTCCTCCAAGCCAATTCCCAGATCATGAGATTTGTCGTAAAGACCAGGCGCTTAGTCGCGCATCTGGTCGTCGTCATTGTCGTTGGCGCCCTGGTAGTCATCGTCTTCGTCGGAGTCTTCCATCTCGTCCTTGTTCTGCTCGGCGACGTCGGCGTAGTTGATGATCTTGCCGCGCGTACGGCGGCCGCCCTGGATGATGTTCTGCTGGGAGACGGGCTCGAGGTTGTTGTCCTCATCTTCGTCTTCTGTTGTGACTGTATTAGCATATCCGGCTCCACTGAAGCACCCAGATCCAGTCGTATGCGACTTGAAATCATCGATTGGGTGGGAAACGCCTCAAGGGCTCAGCCGGTGAGGGCTGGAGGGGTGGTCGCGTACCGATCTAGAGTAGCGCCAAGTCAGTTATGGGTTGATCCAGGGTGTTTTGGGGGCTGGGGAACAGGAAACACTCACCATCTCCTCGTTATCATTGTCACTCTCCTCCGAGCTGGAGTCATCCTCGTGTTGGTCCTGGACATCCTTGCCCTTGCCCTTGTCCTCGAAGGTGGTGTTGGAGGGGTCGTTGGTGGTAGCGTGGTCACCCATGGTGGATCGATGTGGTGGTTAAGGATAGGCTGATGGGAAGGGAGAATTGGGGGGTGGTCCGCGAGGGAGGGGATTTAAAGAGACGGTCTGCAAAGTAAGGTGTAGCTCGACCAAAACAACCCGCAACAGTAAGGGAGGCCCCTCGCGACGTGATTCGCCTCACGAAGTGGGGCCCGCGTGACAGCCCCAGCCCTGAGGCATCCGTCCTCAGTTAATAGTCTACTAATGTACTGTACAGCCGTAGGCGACATCTATTGAGGTCAATTTCGTGAGATAGAGATTGACTGCAGCTATAATTGCTGGTAAATCTCAGTTTCGAGTGCGAGGGTCTTTATATCGCGACGCATCGCACGGCCCTGTGCCTTGATGCCCCGCTTGTTCGACAATCAGCTTGCTGAAAAGAGCGCAAGAATACTCCAGTGGGACTCGGAGCATACTGTGTGTCTTACTATGTATAGTAGTACATAGTATCCCTGGGTGTGATATCAATAGAGATCCTGACTATTGTTCCAGATCAAGCACCGGACCAGGAGGTTGATAGAGATGCAAAGATCTAGAAATTCCATAGCAGGATCGATTCATCGAGTAAATACGGGCAATTTGACGCATTGGAAAGCTCCAGAAGTCTCGCTGTGCTAAGGAGAAGGAATGGGCCCTATTCAAAGAAGCTATGGCAGGGGCATGTTCCCCACCCATAGTGCATTGGTGCTACACTGGATCTAGAGCCGAGCCGAGCCTCAAAGCATCAGCGAGCTAACCACTGCCCTTTCATGGGCCTTGGCATTGATCTAGATGAAAGACACGACAGGATCAGGCCATGGCATCTACCCGAGGGTCCAATCTAGGCTCGATGCGTTCATCAAGGGGCATATCTAGCGTGATGCGATGACCAGTCAGGGTCAGCCAGCCCGACAAAGCAGCCTAACGCCCGTACAGACTTTCTTTGATTTTGCTTCTCGAGAATTTCAGCGTCTGGCATCAACAAAACAGCCCAATCGATTCGCTGGTAGCTCTCCCCCTGCTAGCTTAGATGCTAGCTCAAAGAGATGTATAGAATTCGGAGCAATAAAGAACACGTGACGGCGAAGTGAGGAATTTTCCATGAATTCATTCTGAGGTCATGTCACCCAATGTGGTGACCGTACCAATACGGCGGGCCGCCTGCCGAAGCCGACCGAAACAGGGGCGATTGGGCAGTGACGAACCGGGCCATACCAGATGCATACGGGCCATACATTCAGGCCAAAAAGTGTCATCCCGCCGATTACATCATACACTGCCCCGCCAAAAAATTCTCGAACAACGATAGTTTGTCACCAACACACGAATTGAGCGCAACCGGCGTCATGAAGAGACTCGTAGCCGGTAGAAATTCAATCGTACCCACTAGGCCCGCCTGGAATCGGCGGGAGCGTTCATGAAAGGCCGCGGCGGCGCAGTTGCTGGGGCATCGAAGGCCGTGGAATCCGATGGATGCCCATGGAAGCTCCCCTGCTAGAAGCTTCTGAGCAATACACCGCTCACTATATAGCAGGAATTTGCCCTGTTCCGCCCTCTCCCTTTTTTCTTCTCTTCACTTATCTCGTTAACTTCCTCTCTGCTGTACACTACCTTTCTCCTTTTACGAATTTCCTTTTGGCACGTTAACGACCCCCTTCCACATACACACATTCACCATGGCTCCCGCTGTTGGTATCGATCTGGGTACCACCTACTCCTGTGTGGGTGTGTTCCGTGATGACCGCATCGAGATCATCGCCAACGACCAGGGTAACCGCACCACCCCCTCGTTCGTCGCCTTCACCGACACCGAGCGTCTCATCGGTGATGCCGCCAAGAACCAGGTCGCCATGAACCCCCACAACACCGTCTTCGACGCCAAGCGTCTGATCGGTCGTCGTTTTGCCGACGCTGAGGTCCAGTCCGACATGAAGCACTGGCCGTTCAAGGTCATCGAGAAGGCCACCAAGCCCGTCATCGAGGTCGAGTTCAAGGGCGAGCAGAAGCAGTTCACTCCCGAGGAGGTTTCCGCCATGATCCTCGTCAAGATGCGTGAGACCGCTGAGGCCTACCTCGGTGGCACCGTGAACAACGCTGTCATCACTGTCCCCGCCTACTTCAACGACTCTCAGCGTCAGGCTACCAAGGACGCCGGTCTCATTGCCGGTCTGAACGTCCTCCGTATCATCAACGAGCCCACCGCTGCCGCCATCGCCTACGGTCTCGACAAGAAGACTGAGGGTGAGCGCAACGTCCTGATCTTCGATCTGGGTGGTGGTACCTTCGATGTGTCCCTGCTGACCATCGAGGAGGGTATCTTCGAGGTCAAGTCCACTGCTGGTGACACTCACCTGGGTGGTGAGGACTTCGACAACCGTCTCGTCAACCACTTCGTCAACGAGTTCAAGCGCAAGCACAAGAAGGACCTGACCACCAACGCCCGTGCTCTGCGTCGTCTCCGCACTGCTTGCGAGCGTGCTAAGCGTACCCTTTCTTCCGCTGCTCAGACCTCCATCGAGATCGACTCCCTGTTCGAGGGTATCGACTTCTACACCTCCATCACCCGTGCCCGTTTCGAGGAGCTTTGCCAGGATCTCTTCCGCGGCACCATGGAGCCCGTTGAGCGTGTTCTCCGTGACGCCAAGATTGACAAGTCTTCCGTCCACGAGATCGTCCTGGTCGGTGGTTCCACCCGTATCCCCAAGATCCAGAAGCTTGTCTCCGACTTCTTCAACAAGGACGCCAACAAGTCCATCAACCCCGATGAGGCCGTCGCCTACGGTGCTGCCGTCCAGGCCGCTATTCTGTCCGGTGACACTTCCTCGAAGTCCACCAACGAGATTCTGCTGCTCGACGTTGCCCCTCTGTCTCTCGGTATCGAGACTGCCGGTGGTGTCATGACTCCTCTGATCAAGCGCAACACCACCATCCCTACCAAGAAGTCCGAGACTTTCTCCACCTACTCCGACAACCAGCCCGGTGTCCTGATTCAGGTCTTCGAGGGTGAGCGTGCTCGCACCAAGGACAACAACCTGCTCGGCAAGTTCGAGCTCACTGGCATTCCCCCCGCCCCCGTGGTGTTCCCCAGATCGAGGTTACCTTCGATCTTGATGCCAACGGTATCATGAACGTTTCCGCTTCCGAGAAGGGTACCGGCAAGTCCAACAAGATCACTATCACCAACGACAAGGGTCGCCTGTCTAAGGAGGAGATCGAGCGCATGCTTGCTGAGGCCGAGAAGTACAAGGCCGAGGATGAGGCCGAGGCTTCCCGTATTCAGGCCAAGAACGGTCTCGAGTCCTACGCCTACTCCCTCAAGAACACCATCACCGAGGGCAAGCTCCAGATCCCCGACGACGACAAGAAGAAGATCGAGGACAAGGTCTCCGAGATCATCGGCTGGCTCGACAACAACCAGACCGCTGAGAAGGACGAGTACGAGTCTCAGCAGAAGGAGCTCGAGGCTATCGCCAACCCCATCATGCAGGCCGCCTACGGTGCCGCCGGTGGTGCTCCCCCTCAGCAGCGCGCTGACGGTGAGACCGAGGAGAAGCGCGCGGACGACGAAGAGCTTGACTAAATTAGTCGCTTGTCGATGTTTGGGAAGTTTCCTTTTCTGAATTCATGACCCGGCCTTTAGCTCGGCCTATTTTTCCTTTCACGTCTTGTTTTACGAACTTATGGGGTATCGAGTTTTCCTTTTGCGCATGATTGCATAGATCCAAGGTTATCTCCAGCTAGGATAGTAAAGTCCTAGCGAATTTCAAAATTTCCTTAATTCATTACTTGTCCACTGTAAAATATACTCGTAGCAAATAGGGTGTTACTGCACTTAGACATCATCGAGGACGCATCAAGGATGCTAACCTTTTGAGATGGAGGTTCATACACCCACAGCCCCAATAATCAATACCCGACGAAATTAAGTATTGCGGTTATCAGCCCAACCGGCCCGTTCTCCTGCTTGCCATTGCTCTGTCCATAGTCTGCTCTGCTCTTAGGTTGTTTCCCTGCGAGGTATCGTTCATAGTCTTTGGTATTGCGTTTGAGCTTGAATGTATTTGGTCACGTTGCTGGCATAATCTGCTCGGCGTGGAGAACGTGGTTTGCCGGGTTTGGGTTTGTTGGCTTTGGGGACATTTAAGCACATCTGCGACGAATACATATTAGCGATGACCAGAGTAAATAGTGTGGTATCAGTAGAGCCTGGAGAGACTTCCATCAGCATGTGGACGGAAAAGTCGAGTTTCTCTATGAGAGATGTTTAATACATAGATGAGTTCAAAAGCGAAAACTGGACTGAATGTGTTTGGATCCTTGTTGATCTTCAGCCTAATGCTCAGTCTTGCCTGGTGTGGTGCATTTTTGCTTTATTCGCCCCCTGTATTGCTATGTGACCTGTACATTTACTTGGATCTGAAGGGCATTTGCGAACCATCAATTCATGGCTGCGCCACGTACTTATGAATCAAGTGACAAAAGCTATTTGGGGGCTGCTCAGCTCCTGGATCGTTGCTGATTTTGGGTTGTTGCTTCTTTGCGCTGTTTGAATATTTCGAAATACGTATGTTCGGCATCAATTAACTGTATCCCAAAATGGTAGATAGTTGAAGCCGAAAAGAAGTCTACAATATTCAACGTCTATTTCCAAAAACATGAATCCCTTCCATAAAATATTAGTAGATACATCAAGCTCTCTTTTCCAGACACAACAGCAGCTGGTTGAAATCCTTTTCTAACTGAAGCCCAAATTGCTTGTCGATAGATCTGCGACTTTCATGCGTAAAGACCTACTGCTTCCCAAGCCTGACGGGCGCCTCAAGCATCTCCAACAATTCGGTCCTCGATCGACTTCCCGACGATATGTATTCGCATCCTCTCAAAATGACATCCGGGGGCAGAGTGAGCTCTGAATTATTTGCAAGGATGGGCTCAAGGCAATCGGTCGTTCCTTCTTCTAAGCATGCATTCAAATATCCCTGCCAATTTGCACACACTTGTCGTGATTCAGAATCACTTCTAAAGGCTTGGATATAATCACTGCTGGATTTGCGCCGAGAATATTGAGGATAATACACGCACAATGTGTCCTTTGCAATAGAGGCATCTAAAAGCTTTCGTCTCTCTGCATACATACTCAAAAGCAATATGCTCATGGAGCTCCAGGCTTTTCCTATCGGCAATCGCCACTGTCGGGTAAGAGATCGCATCACATCATCTGGTTCAGCACAGGATCGACCGAAGCGGCTCTATTCGCAGTACTGAGGGCCAACGGAGTACTGAGAGTGTTTGACGTGCACTTGCTAAGAAATGAACCCACAACCACCGAGACGAGAGAAAATTTTCCAGAACTGGGAATTTCATGGAGTATAAACACTGATGAAGAACTGAGTACCGTCCAGTTTAGATATTGTGCATGGTGTAATTACCACTATGCCAAATTGGATAGCCAAGCTCCTGAGTGTCGCTTTTGATGCTGGGCGTAAGACACAGAAGACAACCATTTCGAGATGGTGTAGAATCTTTCTTCCTCTGATGTCGTCGCATGTGTTGCTGATGCATCCACTAGGCGGCATATTGGACGATGGAATGTTTCGATGATATCTCGAATCCTATAAACTTGAACGTAGATCTGGTGCTGTACCTGCGAGGCCATGGTTTGAGCCAGAGCCCCCAAGGTGCAGGTTGCTGACCCCTTTGCCCCATATCAAGCCCCACCATGGCATTTCTAAAATACCCAAAATCTTGGTCAAAAAAGAGTGGCATCGTCATCCCAAAGAAAAACAAGAAGAAAATGAAAGCGATTACACGAGGCCAATTGTTTCAACAAAAGCATAACTCCTTATTCCAGTCATCAAGATATAAATGCGCAGTAGACAGAGGAATATATGCAGGTTCCCGGCCAAATAATATACACACAGCATTATTTCGTCTCCCTTATGCTTCCAATTCATTTGTTTAGAGATCCTTGAAGTCCCCATTCCACCACCGCTGCAAACGGCGCTGCCCCATCTGCACAATAGTGCCGTATCCAATCTCCGCTGCTTTCTCAGGGCTTGGGCTCTTTTCGATTTGGTCCCGGCGGATGCGTGTAAGCGCCGCTGACACGCCCATGGTTAGGGCGAAGATGGGGTCACCTATCCTTTCACATAGAGAAATGTTAGCTTGGTTTGGGCTCCGGACGGTTGCAGGTCGTGGTAAATCTGGGAGCTTGGAAATAGGTTGGGCTCGAGCTTGGTGGAGGGGTCTGTGATTTAGGATTGGAAAACACTGAGAGCAATGTCGCGAGAATAATTAACTTGAGTGCGAACGTACCGGGAAAGGAGGTAGGCTGTCATGGTGCTGGGTTTTGTGTTGGTGCTGTGATCTTTGAAGGTGCCGTTGCGCTGTCCCGAACCTGCGGTTATGTATCACGTGATTATATTTGTACGGGAAACGAGCAAGGCTACTATACAACTTGGGAAAACCAAGCTTATGCACGGGGTTGAATGCTAGAAGAATTCCAATATTCTCGGAAGATTTTTCATTTCTCGGCCGTTGACTATACCCCGTCGAAACAAGAATAAACCATGTCTATGAGGGAAAAATACACAAGTGGCCCCTGCAAGAGCCAGAGCAGGCCAAAAAGACCCAAAATGAAGGGAAAAAAAAAAGGAAAGGGAGATTGTCGAAGAACGCCGCGGCTATAAAAAATCTTTTAAATCCTGAACCCCCTTTATACAACCTGGCCGAAAGCAGGGATCAGAGTCTGTGCCAGCCAGAAGCTGAAGACCAGCTTGGGACCGGTCATCAGCAGCTTGGGGGTCAGACCCTTGAAGAAACTGGTCGGGCCCTCGTTCTTCATCATGTTCGACACAATGCGGAAGCCTGACTCGGGGTTCTCGAAGTTGCGGTTCTGGATACGGGTCTTGATCACGTCAAGAGGCGCGGACACAACCAGCGAAGCACTGGCACCGGCAACGGAGGCAACGAAGTTCTGGCCCCAGGTGGCGGCGTTGTAGTCCTTCAGGCCGTAGATGTACTCCTTGGCGAAGGCGGATCCACCGAAGAGCTATGGGAACCCAAAAATGTGAGTGCGCGATTTCACATGTGACATCTAGGTAGAGCGGGAACTTACCGCGAAGGAACCGGGGGCGTTGCGGGCAGCAGTCCAGCCAGCACCACGGTACAGACCCATACCCTCGTCGGAGATAATCTTGAAGAGACCGCGACCACGGAAGGCCTCGGGGTTGGTTTGACGCTTAATCTTCAGAACGTCCAGGGGAAGTAAGACGATCTCTCCAATGCCGATCAAACTGGTGTACTCAAGTCAGCTCGATGATTCCCCTCCCTCTTGCTGTGTTCCAATTAGGTTTCTCGTACCTGCCAGCAGTTGCGTGCATGATGGCCTTGCCAGTGCCCTTTCCGAAAGCATTGTCGAAGTCGGCACCGTGGTGCTTGGCAAGGTAGTCGCGGGCGAAGGGCTGACCACCGTACTTGTAGATACGCTGAAGAACCTGTTGAAGAAAAAAAGCAAATATTAGTCCATTGAACACAGAGTTCGAGCGAGGCGTATTTTCCCCAGGAGCGAACGAACCTTGTAACCCGCAGCGTAACCCAGACCGGGGAAAAGCGAGGTGAACTTGCGACCGACGGACGCATCAGCGTACTCCTTAAAGACGACCTTCTTGAAGTCGTTGGCACCGGCGATCTGGAGGTGACTCGGTTAGCAAGAATTGCAGCGAATACGTTCGCAATTTGCTCCGAACTTACCCGGCTCTGGTTGCTCATCAATCGCTTTGCCGTAGTGTCGACCTGAACAGGGCGAGTTAGAGATAGGAGGCGGGAGACAAGGGCGTGGGCGTGTAATTGAGGGCTCTCATACGGGGTGGAAGACCATCAGCTCGGCGATACCAGCAGAGCCTAGATATGAATCAGATTAGCCATTGGTCTTCGAGGGAGGGCGCTGAGGCTGTCTTACCGGAACCGAGGAGACGAGCAGTGGCGGATTCCTTCTTAACATCCTTGGAGGCGGCGCCGGCACCGGCATGAGCAATAGGAGACATCTTGACGTTTGAGGACACGGAGAGAATGAACCGGTGAAGCCAGGTACCGCTGCTTCGTTCGTAAATTTTGAGCACGCGGGTGGGACGCTAGTCCCGTTCAGGAGCCGGCCTCGGAGGCCGCTCGACAGGACTGCGCTGGGTTTAGCCGGAAGAGTGGAGATAGGCATACACAAAGATAAAATGACCACGACTGTCGTAGGTGACAGACAAAAGAAGAAATAGAAACTAGTTAAAATTTCTCGGCCGCAATATTGTCTACGAAGGCGTGTCTAGACATTCCCTCTTTGGCACATCACAGTTGAGGCCAAGCGCATAGGGTTACTCCTATACTTCAAAGATCTAGCAGTATGGAACATCATACGACCTCTACAGCAAGCTACCAATAATCATGGGAGGCTGACTGCATCAAATGCTCCGCGTTTCATGTCTGGATGTCTGAAGATCAATTCGCGACAGTCGCGTTGGCGACTATTAATTACTAATAGTTCCACGCGGACTCCGCTACGAATATTGTCTGGCTCACCCATCTGCACAGAATGGCTGCTTGCTCAGATGGTTCTGTATGCAGCAAACCAACCCGCGCATTTCATAGTTTTCGAAGACTATTGAAGTTTGACGGATCAAGGCCGAAATATCAGCGCCAGGCGCTGCAAATTCGATCTTATTTCATTTCATAGAGCAAGTGCATAGGGCTTCATTGCCTAGCAAAATTCAAAACTCAAGATGTGTGCACAACTCCAAATAAACGCCGCATGACCGTGAGAACCGACACCGTTGCGCAAGGCTGAATGAGTCTCGTCCGCTAGATCCGTTTGATGACTGGGCCACTAACCACCCTTCCAGTACCCTGGTGATCAATTTGTGTAGCGAACGCGGGTGAACAAGAAAATCAACCTCTACAGGTCGCCGAATGTGTTCTCTCCGGAATACCTAGTATCCACCGAGTTAGTAAGAGCTCTTCATCTTCATCCAGCGCGGGTCGATGGTTTGTGGAATGGGGAAAGGGGAAAGGGGAAAGGGAAAAGGGGGCATTCATACGTGATGTACAAGAAGCCATCTTCGTCCTTGTGCTCTTCGTAGATGCTGCTCATCAGGGCGGCAGTCGGGGGGAGGACCTCGTCAACGAAGATGAAGATCGCTTTCTCGGGGGACAACTTGATGCGCTTGCGGATCACGTAGACGAACTGGCCGACAGTGAGGTCGGCGGGAACCAGGTACTTCTTCTTGTCGATCGTGGCGATGTCGGACTTCTCAACCTTCTCGCAGATGACCTGTATGATGATTCCGTTAGCTACCGAACAAGCGGTGAGAGAGGGAGGTTGTGATCTCGCGAGGCCGGGGGCAAAATGGCTTCACTCGAGATTATCGAAGATCCCAAAGTAATACTTACCGGGATGCGGTCGGCGTATTTCTGGCGAATCCGCTCGGCCTCGGCCTTGCGCTTCTCGAAGGGGTGCTCGTCCTTGAACTTGGATCGCATGGTTGATAAGCTGATAGGTAAAAGCGGGTCTGGTGGGGTGGAAGCTCAAGAGAGCCGAAGCAGAGGGAGATGTGGGAGCAGAAACGGATGGGAACCGCTGGCGTTGATGGAAGGGGAAATCGGGGGATCGATGAGGATGAGAGGAGAGAGAGGGGGTTCGACTCTCGATGACAAAAGGCAACCCCCGCTGACGTTACCGTAAGAATACCATCACATGGGGCTGTGAGGCGGTGAGTCAGGCGCCGGCATCACGTGGCTGGGGTCATTTGCGCCGTCACGATTTCACTTAGGTAAATTGAATAGCGAGTTTGAGTCGTGGGATATTGAAGCTGAAATGATCTCGCATCGAGCGGATTATTTTGGTGTCCACAGAGTGAGTCATCTTCATATGTACTTCCTGGATCGCACCTTGGGGTCCATTCACGAAATTCCGACCCCCACATACATGATACTATCAGTGGAGTAGATCGGAGCTTCTGGATATACACTATCTTGGCTATAGACTTACAAAAAAAAACCAGATGTTCAGATACATGAGACTGATTCGAATATGTCCCGTTGTCTCTCAACGAAAGGCACCTCCTACTCTGTTGCCCGTTAGAAGTGTACCGCGACCAAAACGGCCTAGCGTGATGTTGACAGCGAGACCGCCATCTCCAAGTTGAGCCCAACAAGGGCATCACCATTTGCTCCATCCTGGATGTCAATCCTCCAGATAGACCGCTTCTTCACTGGAGATATGCTTGTATCATTATACCAGCACCAGTCTGCACCCCTATCACAATATGACCTTACAACTGCAGCTCCGGCACTCACTGGTCATAGGTGCTTATCTCATCCCGGCAAACAAGTCAAACAGGCAACACCTAGTGGCCATGTCGATTGCCTGATGTCGTACGAGATCCGAGTTCCCTGATCTTCACGAGTGTTCTTAAGAGGGACCGGTGGGAACCTCATCACAGAAACTGCGCGCCGGCATTCAAATCTCAGGCGATTCTCCTAACCTACAATCCAATTGCGCCTCAGTTAAATCTTGACTCGGTCGCGTGAAGATCCTCGGTTCTCCGTCGGCGAAAATGGCCTCGCGATCTTTCATGCCTCTTCGGAGGTGTTTGGCCCAGCTCTCCGCGTCGAATATTCGTCCGGTCGGTCGTCGGGCGGGTGCTTCTCTGCGTGGCTACGCGACGGAGCAGGGCTCGCGTCAGAAGCAGCAGTTTACCGTCTGGAGGCCTTATTTGCGACTTGCCGTCGGCATTCCATTCATCGGCGCAATCATTTACTCCATGGTCAGTCGAACGCTATGTCCTCACCGGCAGCTCCCTCGCATATTAATCCCACTAGGCCACCGGCGAAATCACCGAACTCGACTCCCCTTCGATTGTTGAGCTGGATGAGGCCATCAAAAAGTCCTCCGATATTAATGAGTCCTCGCCCATGCGCCTGCGAATGGAGAAACTCATCAAGGAGCACCAGCAGAATATTATCGAGGAACTGGGCAGGATAGATGGGAAGGAGTTCAAGACGGATACTTGGTCGCGCCCCAATGGCGGCGGCGGCATTTCCTGCGTCCTGCAAGACGGAAATGTTTTTGAGAAGGCTGGTGTCAACGTTTCCGTGGTTTACGGCGAGCTGCCGCGTCCGGCTATCGAGAAGATGCGCGCTGATCACAAGTCCTTCGTGGGCTCCGACGTGGAGTCGCTCAGTTTCTTCGCTGCGGGCCTTTCGCTGGTCCTGCACCCGCACAACCCCATGGCCCCGACCGTGCACTTGAACTACCGGTACTTCGAAACCTCCGACCCCAAGGATCCAATCAACGGCGACAAGAACTGGTGGTTCGGTGGTGGTACCGATTTAACCCCCACTTATCTTTTCCCCGAGGATGCTCAGCACTTCCATAAGACTATCAAGGATACGTGTGATCGACATGACGCGACCTACTACCCCAAGTTCAAGGCTTGGTGCGATAAATACTTTTACCTGCCTCACCGCGGCGAATGCCGAGGTGTCGGTGGTATCTTCTTCGATGATCTCGACGCCAGTTTCCTCCAGGCTTCGAGTAGCTCCTCGTCAAATCCACAGGAGACCCTGTTCTCTTTTGTCTCCGACGGCCTAGCCTCGTTCTTGCCATCTTATGTGCCTATTATCGAAAAGCGAAAGGATATGTCCTATACCCCCGAACAGAAGCAGTGGCAGCAACTGCGCCGCGGTCGCTATGTGGAATTCAACCTCGTTTATGACCGTGGTACGAGCTTTGGTCTGCGCACCCCCAATGCTCGCATTGAAAGTATTCTCATGAGCCTTCCCCGCACTGCAAGCTGGGCTTACATGGATCCGGTCTCGGGCACGAGAACCGAAAGCATGCCTGTTGATGAGGAAGATCTGACCGAAGATAAGAAGAGCGAAAAGGAGATCATGGATGTGTTGAAGCACCCGAGACAGTGGGCCTAATTTCTCTGTCTTGAAGCCATCTACTATTGCGGATGCTGATCATCTCTTCTGATTTTGCCTGACCAAAATTTTTGCATACAAACCACCCACTGTACCATTGTGTCTGATTATGAAGGACTTGTTCATGTCTATGTACATTACCTGTATACTGTTGCGAATATACATTGTCTTCTAATGATTCTGCTTGGCCACACAAGTTGTGCTCCAGGCCCTATGTCAATGATACATAAACTTGCTGAAACTGCCAAGCGGTAAATCGTTGTAGAGGCCCTCCGAAAAGCAAATTGTACATGATATTGTCCTTAAACCCACAAATATTGGTATCAAGAACAGACAGACGCGTTCAACCTAGAAAGGCGAGGAGGGAAAAAAATGCAGGGGGATATGAACAGCGCGTAAATGACATGTATTCTATTTGCCAAACGCGTATAATTCAATTGCAAGGGAAGCGGCGATCTAGTGGGGATATCAACGAAAATCAACGAAATATAAGCGGCGAGTGCGAGCAAATTAAGTGTGTTGCCTGCAACATTTGAGCCTTACTGGCCAGCGACCGCACTTCGCTGTTTGGCTAGCCAGCCACGGAGATCCGCTGTGTTTGCTCCGTGTCGGAACCGAGAGACAGTCATGTTATTGTTTTGCCATCGGCTCTGGAGATGGTACCAGGCTGAGCTTACGAGGCTAAGTTCCCGGGCCTGGTCGTCGATGATCCTTTGGAGCTCAATCTGAGACATATGGTTAATATATGTGTGCAATATCACTTCAAATCATAGGACACTTACTTCGCGCTCCTTAGGGATACCATCGTCGAGATTCTCTTCATAGTTCTTCATGCGCTCGCGCAGAGACTTGATGAGCTCATTTTGCTGCTGGATGTACTGGATTGGTAGAGCAAATTAATAAATGGTTGAAAATACCACGACTGATCGAAACTTACCTCTGCCCGCTGAGCAAGACGCTCGACATTCTTTTCTAGCACACCCGCACACTGTTTCAGGAGCTCGAAGCTCGACTTTTGGGGCGTATCACCGCCCTCACTGTTGTGGGTCTCGAATTCACCCAAAAGCATTTGCATCTCAGTCATCACTTCTTGGTCCTCGGCGCTGATCTCGTTCTGCTTTCGCTCGAGCATTTTGCGCAGATCTTCTCGCTCGGCGCATACTTCACGGACCAATGTTTGACTGGCGTCCACTTCAGCCTCCAGGTGGTGCACATTCTGTGTCAGATTGTCCCATTCACCACGGAGCTTAGACAGCTCAGCCGAACTGTGCTCTTCCATTTCACGGAGCATATCTGCCTTCTCGTGATCGAGGAGACCAACTGTTTCGATGTCAGTATATTTGCACTAGGTAAGCTGTGGATGGGAGGAACTGACTCTGGGTTTGCGCATCTGATAATTCTTTCTTGGTAGTATCCAGGGTATCCTGAATCTCTGCAATCCTCTTCAGGTTGCTAGTATACGTTTCATACAACTTCCAGTAATCGTCGCTGATATTGTGGTTAGCAATAAACTTGAGAACAATTCGTGGGACGCGTACCTTTGCGTAGAGTTGGCACGCGCAAGTTGTACAGATGTATTGAAGCTTTCAGAGAATCCTTCCGAGTGCGACCCGAGCTGGGAACTGTTAGTATCGTTCTCGGTAGGTAGCACATGTAGGGCACATACAGTCGTAGAGGGTGGCTTTTCCAATTCCCGTTTCAACTCATCATTCTCCGATTTACTGTGGGTGGGGTTAGCGTCGAGTATCATGGATAACAGCGGGGGTATACTTACAGCTGCGATTCTCGCATTCCAATCGCCTCGAAATCCTTTTGGAGGGTCCCCTGCATTTTAGGGGTTTCAGAGCCCGGTGACGAGCTGCCCGGTAAGCCCTCTAGCTCACCGAGCCGTTCGCGAAGCTCACTGATCAGAGCATCATCTCTTTCGTGTTGCTCCTCTGCACTCTCTAGCCGCTCGGTAAGTGCGTGGTTGTTAAATTCCAGTTGCTTCTTGAGATTTTGAATCTCGTTGCACTCTTGCTCCAATTGCGGAAGAAGCTTGCGATACTCCTCCAGTTCCACATCCCGTTCAGATGTCCATCTCTGCTGGGAGTCCGACTCCTTCAATTGCTGTTGCAGATCCTTGATCTGATTCTTGAGGGTCGAGTTCTCTTTTTCAAAATCTTGGCTGGCCTGGAGCTTCTGGCGATATTTTTCGGCGGCGTTTGCTTTGCGCGCCAACTGATCACGGTCGGTCCGAAGCTCATCATAGTCATCCTGCAACTTTTGGAAACGCTGATTCTTGACCTTCAAGGACTCCACCGTCATGCGAAGACTGTCGATTTCATCCTGAGCGTTCGAAAGTTTTTCCTCTTGGGCTGCAATCAGGTCATCCTGCTGACGAGTCTTGCTCTCCAACGCCTTCGCATTGAACCCGAGGTCGCCCTTTCCCGATTTCAAGGTCACTAGGCGATCTTCGGTTGAGGCCAGGCGATTCTGAAGAGTGTCGTTGTTCTCTTGCAAGCGGGCCAGTCGGTCGTGCATATCACCGAGGTCCTTCTGCAACTCCTTTTTATCCTGCGTGAGACGGTCATTCTCCGCCAACACTTTCCCTACACGCTCCTCGAACTTGAGCTCGATGTCTACCGGGGGATCGGCCTTGGCCAGCTCTTCTTTGAGATCATCCACCCCATCGAGAGGTTCATGCTCGCCATCCTGCGCTTCCTGGATAATCTCCTTGAGAGCCTCTTGGGTTGGGGTGCTCAACTCCTGGAGTGTTTGTACGTACGTCGCGGCATTTGGCGAGTAGATGGCGGCGATCAAGAGGATTTTGAGCAGCTTGTTCGTTTCCTTTGCGGATGCCTTCTCCGCAATGGCTTCGAGATCGGGGGACGGGTCTAGGCCGGGCGGGATTGTGTCGTTGTTCTGGTGCCGAATGTAGCTGGATAGGAGTTTGTAGATATGCTTTAGGTTCTGCCATTTGGCGACCCAGTGCTCGCCGGGGTTGCGCTCGGGGATCTCGTCCAGGAAGTACTGCGGGTCAATGTCCTGGAGGATCTCCCAGAGAATGATGCCGTCCGTCAGGTCCTCCGTGGCCCGGAGTGTTTTGCCCAGGGAAAAGCTGTTGATCCATTCCAGTAAGGCCTGGGTCACGGCGTGTTCCGACGCCATGACTGAGTCTCAATACGTTTCGGAAAGGGACGGGTGCGGGTGCAGCATTCCCAAGACTGCAGAGGTGGGAGAGGTGGCCTTGGATAAGTTGCGGATCCACGCGCGGCGCGTTCGGCGCTCGGGCGGCCACGAGGAGGTCGCTAGCGGGAGATGATCGCGCCCTCCCCCCGAGTTCCTCCACTCACTCACTCACTTGCACTTCTACTGTATACTGTACAGAAACTACGCTACTATGCAAGTGTTTGATCAACGAGGATTGGTCACGAATGAGATAGCAGTACGCACGAGATATGACTCAAACTTAGTCGAGAAGCACGAAAACAAAATCCCCATAATACACCGAGAGATTGTAACTAGATACCTCAACCAAGTGGCTTTTGAAACAAGCCGTTGCCAATCCACTAAACTCCATTTACGCCCAAATCCCCTAATCTGATCCAATTGCATCAAAAGTTTCGTTTCGGAAGAGCGCGCCTCCGATTGGTTTGGATTGTTTGTATCATGGATGGCCGGTCCGCGACCGGCCCCCAGTCGTCATACGTTCACCCAGAACCTGCTGTGGTGAGATGTTCGAGAAATCCTTCAGGCATGAGTCGTGAGAGCTCGCTTGAATAATAGAGAGTGAGTAACCACTCTCTCTTTAGTTCCCGTTCGCGGAGACCACCTGATCTTCCTCGATAATAGGCTTGTACTCTTCGGATTGCGTCGATATGGTTTCAAGAGCAGTCGCCGGAGCCTCGGCAGCAAAGCCACTAGATAAAACGTTAGTTCTGGGGTTAATTAAGGCCATAGACTGAGATAGCCGTACTTGATCAGATCTGCGCAAGGAAAGAAACGTTAGTCTGATGTATGGTCACATGTCGAAGGTAAAGTGAGAGACTTACGGTATTCATGAGTAATGACGCCGCCCTGTCAATAGTCAGTCAGTTTGGGTCCATCAGAAATCCACAGATGAGATGCGCGGCGTACAGATGCCACCAGCGAGTCCTTCGCCTGGTCGATGACTCTGGCGGGTGTGCCCTTGGGGAACGTGACGATCACGGACTTGAGCGACTGGGCGGCCAGTGCCAGTGGAAGGAGGCCCAGGATGATGGTGTAGAGCAGCTTCATTGTAAACCAGTGGTTTCAGTTAGGAGAGGTGCAGGTGCAGGCGCAGATATAGATGGATGCAAGACGCAGGGAGCGGCGTTGCCTCCCCAAGTTCCCCGATGCGGCTGCGTCATCCGGGGTCAGGTGACCGCCAACAATCCCTTTCACTGCAACTTCACTTCGCGCCTCACTTCCTCAATCCGACCTCGCCCCTCACCACCGTTTCCCCCACCCCCCCTTAACTCGAGCGTTTCTTTCTCTTCTGCCTCGGCATTTGCATTTGTGGTTTTTCCGGACACAATATTGTCCCAGCCTTTCTTCCCGGCGTTACAACTCCCTCGGGAGATCATTGACGTGGAGGACAGTTCGTTGGACAGGTGCAGGATCAGGGTTTTGGAGGAAAGGCGCATCTGTTGTTTTTCCAAATCTCGCGAAAATAGCTAGCAAGCATTTACAAGTTCCGACTTTTCTCTCCCTCTCGTGTTGTTGCTTCTGCCGTGGGACGAAGCCTGCACTAAGAACGAGCATTCGGTGATAGTGAGCCGAGAACACAACCCTCAACTATACCTGCTGAAGAAGGGGGAAATAAAAAAGACCAGCAAAGAAGAGCAAAAAAAAAACAAACAAGATTCGCAAGGGAGGGGAAAAAAAAAAGAAAGAAAGAATCACAAGCAGACGCAGAAGAAACAACGAGCACGACAGAACGTGAATCGAGCGCGGGGGGGCGTTCACTGCGTAACCCGTCCACATAGAAAGGCTTGAGAAAAACCAGCGATCTCCCGTGCAGACTGATCTTCTCTTCTCACAGCACCCCTCTGCGTCTCTGTTGAACACCACGATTCACCCACCACCATGTCGGGCCTGCCGTCCGACGACCTCGTCGAGGACTACCGGGTCTCTCTGGAGGACCTGACGACCAACGATCGCTTCCAAATCAATAACCTGACCGTCATCGCGCGAGAGAACACAGAGCATGCCATGGCCATTTCACGAGAGCTGGAAAATCACATCAAAAAGGTAGGTCCTCGTGCCTACTAACCTCCTCCCCCCATTCTGATGTAAGCCGAGTCTCTGACTACCTCTGTAGACGCCTCCGCAGCAGAAGCTGCCAGCCCTGTATGTAGTCGATTCCATCGTGAAGAACGTTGGAACTCCCTACACACTCTTTCTGGGACGCAACATGTACCAGACGTTTATGAACGCCTACACCCTGGTTGATGGGCCGACCCGCCGCAAACTCGACGAGATGCTCAAGACTTGGAAGGAACCGGTGCCCGGTTCTCTCGACACTCGCCCCGTCTTCCCGCCCGAGGTCACCCGCAACATCGAGAGTGCGCTGATCAAAGCGCGCACGGCAGCCCTCGAGCGAGATCGGACCGTCAATCGTGGCCGTACTGGAGGAACCCCGACGGGCTGGAAGAACAGTCCAATTCCGCCGCAAGCCATGCCTCATCCGCCGCCGCAGCACCCTTACGGTGGACGGGCTTCCAATACATCGGTATGTTCCGCTCGTGATCCACGGCTTGCGCTGCATGCGCCGTCAGTTCTGTCTAACAGGGAATTCATGAGGCAGACCCCTCCTCAGGGCAACTCCCCCAATATGACTCTAGAATCTCTCCATCGAGACCTCAACGCCTTGGTTGAGGGAGCACGGGCAGCCTTCGCCCGTAGCCCGTTCGATATCTCATGCCAGCAACGCTTGCAGGCGCTACTGGATCTTCAGAGGATTCTCCAGCAACAACAGCTCCCCCCAGATCAGCTGAGGATTGTTCAGGATCAAGTCTCTTCGCTTGCCGCGACACAGCCAGGACCAGCACCCGCACCCATTGCTCAGAACTCCGTCCCCAGCGCCCCCGTGGCAACGCCTCCAGTGCCCGTGTCGACTCCGCCAACACAACCAACTCCCCAATCTTTCCAAAGCCTTTTCAACCCGGGCACCTTGGCCGACCTTATCAAAGCAACGGCCAATCCTCAGCAACCTACTCCGCCGCCACAGATTCCCAACCCTCTTACTCAAATGCCTCCAATGCCTCCGATGCCTCCCGCCAGCGGCACACCGCAGCCCGCTGAAAACCCTCTCATTCAAGCTCTTCGAATGCATGGGCTTTTACCCTCTGCATCTGCACCGCCAGCCATGATGTCCGCAGGCGGCACACCACGCGCGGGACCATTGCCATTCCTCATGCCCGGCCAACCGCATTCGACACCTCCAGCACCGACACCTCAACTGGCGTCTGCCTCCACGGTTCCCATGAACACCGCCTCCATGAAAATGTATGCTCGGTTCACCCCTCGAGCTATTCAATGGATCTAAACTAACGCTAGAAAATCAAGTCCTCGAATCGCTCTTGTCGCCTCTCTTTATGAGGCCAAGCCCAACCGATGTGGAACTTGTGGCCTGCGTTTCCTCGCCACCGCAGAAGGCCGAGAGAAGAAAGCCCGGCACCTGGATTGGCATTTCAAGACCAACCAGCGTATGGTCGACGCATCCAAGCGCGCACAGAACCGCAGCTGGTATGTCGATGAAAGGGTATGTCATCGATCTTTTCCTCTCTTTGCGATTTACATCACGCTGACGATATATACAGGACTGGATCAAGTCCCGCGAAGCTGGAGACGACACCGGCCCAACCGACACACAGGCCACGATCGAAGGAGAAACCGGTGTACCCGGCGATCCTGCCAAACAAGGACCCCCGAAGGCCTGGATTCGGGCACCGAACGACGCCAAGCTACGCAATACGCCCTGTCCCATCTGCCAGGAAATGTTTGAATCGACTTGGTCAGAGGATGTACAGGATTGGATCTGGCAAGATGCCATTCAGGTTGCCGCCCGCGTTTACCATGCCAGCTGCTATGCCGAGGTAACCAGGGATGGTCCTGCGCCGCGCAGTTCAACACCGCAGGCTCGAACTGGCACACCGGATTCGGTGCTGGGCAAGCGCAAGGCAGAAGGCAACGACTCTCCAGGGAATACCACGCGCGTTAAGATGGAACCCATGTGAGGATGCGCATGATATCCTTTGTAATTACCATAGCAATAAAGCAATTGCATACGGGGGGCAATACTACCTCAGCTTCTCCGGAACTCCATACCTCCATTCATAATAAAAACGTACAGTAGCACTACGGCATGATAGTAAACATCACAATATTAACTTGTGCTTTGAGAAGTTGGCTCTTGTCCTGATTTGAGGAGCCGCTCCAAATGGCACGCGATCCTACAACGTATGCATGTAAATTCGAGAATTGGCGACTGCCGTTCCTGTTCTCTCACTTTGGAGACCGGGTTGCGGGGATTAGACATTTGGTTCCGTAGGTAGAGAATCTCCCGGACATCCTTGCTACGCACAATCAATCCTTTCTCTTCCTTCGCGACCCTCATCGTCGTAACTGTGTTACGGCCCTGCTTCAGACTTTTCGTCACACCAGGACATGTGACTTATCTTGCCAATGATGAGAAAAAGGGTGTGTAGCAGTTGATCAAGTGCCAGGGGTAGGATCGCTAATGCAATTCAATGCCCTACACCCCAATCATTCCCTAAATCCACTGTGACCAGAGAAGGTGTGCTTATGTACATATGATATATAGAGGGGATCGGAAGGTTTGCTCAAGCCCGGTTCATCCAGAGCCTGGTCCCTCCGTTCCGTGTAACCCACTGGTCCTACAGAAATCAGTTTCACGCATTTTGATACAGAACCAAACGAATGCATGAACCGGGTCAAGACGATTTGGAATGATTGCTACGCAAAGGAATCTTCCAAAAATACGAATGTGTCTGGATATCATTGATTTGTCTCTAGTGGTTCCCGAAGTAAAAGTTTCTCCTTTCTTTTTCCAAAATCAAGTATTTGAACGAACTGCGACGAAAAAGTATATACTGCATCAGCTCAAAGTGCCGAATCCTAGGTCACGAACCAGTAATGGGCGATTGCAGTCCTTCTTTTACTCCGGTAACTCAAAAGGACTTTCGAATCTAATACTGTAGTCTTCCATCTTAATAATGCTTACATTATTTCAGGGAGCAGTGAGCATGTTCTTCTCCGTCGGCCGGTTGCCTGACCTCCCCGCTCTTTCCTCCTCGCACTTCGATCTCCCTTCTTCCTGCTCTCATTCCTAGATAGCACATCAATGCAAGACTCTTTCGTTCTCTTACCATCTCAGTTCACACAGTACGAGGGCTGGAAATCCCACTGTGTTGGGCTGTCAGTAATAGGAATCAAACCATTTTTGATTCTCAAATTCAAACAGACCCATTTTGAGGAGTTCTAAAGCAGTGTCTACTAGGTAGAGGCTTCCTGTGCCCAAAACTTACGCCCTTATGCCAAAGCTCTTGACTCGGTCGATGGCATCGCGGACATTCTCCGCCTTGTAAAATGAGGTTGAAGGCCAATTTTCCCTCCAGAGTTGGGTATAATCTTGTAGTCGCTCTCCTGTGATAGTGAAGTGATCATCATATTCAATTTGCCTGACAAAGACGACTCGCTGAACACCTGAAGTCAAAGAACTTCCTAAAGTGCGCATTTTTTGGGACCAGTCACGCGTTCGCAACATTGAAAATTGGCAAATACGAGGATCTGGGTAGAGCTGTAAATGAGTCAGTCAGATGTTGTACTCGCACTTTCATGGGTAGCATACTCAGTGTCAACAATCCGTTCATACCACTTCGCAACTACCTCCATGCTCGTCTCATTGTGTGTTCCGTCTAAGAACTATCTACAACCAGCGCGGTCCACAATTTCAAAGCGCCCAGGCCAATGGTATTCCTTGATACGGGCTTCAACATCCTGCTTGTCGAATGAGTGGCCTTTCAGTCGGAGAAACTCATAGGTGATTCGCGTAGCCAGTGCACAGTTTTGTCGCTGTTCAGTTGATAACTTCTCGGAGTTTTCATCAAATATGAAGCGGGACAAAGTGCCCCTAGCATTTCTGATGGACTGGAGCCGTACTTATCTCTCATTTGCCCGGTTTGCTAACTCCCTAATGCCGCTTCGGCTACTTGATCTTGGGAAACCGAAAGGCAGAGAAATTCCTCCTTCACGATCCCGCTTTTGTGCCAGGCAATGTTCTTGACAGACCCTCTCAAGTTATCGACGTGATCCATCCCAATCTTCGTGATAGCGGTAATGGCAGGATGGTCGATGAAATTAGTTGCGTCGAACTCCCCACCATGGCGAGCCTCGCAAATAACAACATTGACATCTTCCTCGATGAAAGTGTAAAAAGACACAATGGCTGCCAATTGAAGGAATCCAGGAGTCTTCGTATTGGGAGATGGGTTGTTAGGAACGAGTAATAAGCTTCTTTCCACCTCAAGAATGCGTTTGACCAGCAGGTCCTCCGGCAAAAGATTCGAATCAATCCAAATTCTGTGACACGGCCATAGGCTTGGCGATGTCTAAAGTTCCGACTTTCCACGCACCATTTTCCTTTGAATGCTCTCGCAGGAAAGAAGCCATATAGGCAGAGGTGCTACCTTTGCCTTTCGTTCCAGCGACGTGAATGACATTCAGCCAGTCGATGTCTTCGATCTAAGATCCATTAGTACATTCCATATTGCTGTTTTAGGTACGTACAACTATGAATAAGTTCCAATAGACAGTTTTTTCATGCCAGTGACAGGTGCCGAGCCCACCAGAGTTGAAGCATTTGGGGCTATTGGCAAGTTTAAAGACGGCTGAGTCGACGGCGACTTGGAAGGAAATGGCCGACAGTAGCGTTTGAGAAGTTCTACATAGCTGACATTGTCAGATTCTATAGCGCTATCTCAATAAAAGAAACTCGCTTCATCGCCAAAGTTTGGGTCTGGACAAAGCTTCTCGATGTTTTATTGTTGAGAATCATGGCATGAGATCACATGACTCGGAAACAGTAAAGGCTTTACTGTAAAGCTGACCGCTTCCAACGCCGTTCGGCCATACAAAGTTCTGCCAGGCAGTAACAAGCCTATACATAGTCTGAGTTCAATACAATGAGCGGTAGGAGCTCGATATACAGTAGTGTTTAATTTACCGGTTGAGAGTCCTTGAGGGTTGAAAACACGAGTGGCGATGCAGTAATGAACACGTGATGGAACTACGCAGGTCACCTGATGGAACGGAGTCGTTGACCTTCCCCACAACCAATATAGAATTGCTTGGGCTTTTCCCTTGGCATCTAGTGAATTTTTGGGAAAGGATCTGACAGGCTTCTCTGACCTGGTGTTTCTTGGAACTGTAAAAGATCCAGTCATACAACTGCAAGTAAAAATTGAGCTCAAGTCGTCAACGCACCATGGCTCACACAATCCGGTGGGGTATTATGGGTAAGTGTATATATCAACACCCCGGTCAATTGTCATCGAGCTAACGTATAGCTCATAGCCACTGGCTGGATCGCAGAGAGTAAGTCTTGAATCAGGCGACAGCCTTCTAGTCGTTCCAAAGATGTCTCCAATGCATCCGAAACTAACTCACCACAGCATTTGTCCGCGATCTCCTCCGCGATCCCAAGGCCCGCGATGCCGCAGACATCGCGCACCAAGTCGTCGCCGTCGCCTCATCTTCCTCGAAGGACAAAGCTGACAAGTTCATCACGGCCAACGGTATCCCTGCTCCCTGCGCCGCATACGCCACCTATGAGGAACTCGTGGCAGACCCCAACGTCGACGTGGTCTACGTCGCTACGCCCCACTCCCACCACTTCCAGAATGTGATGCTGGTTCTGGAAGCTGGTAAGAATGTTCTTTGCGAGAAGGCTTTCACCGTCAATGCCGCCCAGACGAAGATCCTGTGTGAAACTGCGCGCAAGAAGAACCTTTTCCTGATGGAGGCTGTGTGGACTCGCTATTTCCCGCTCAGTGTGCAGGTACGCCAGCTGATTCAGAATGGTGAGATTGGTGAGGTCCTTCGTACAACGGCCGATACCAGCTTCGGTGATGATGTGGAGGAGAGGTGGGGGACTACTCACCGGATGGTGAATCCTGATCTTGCTGGTGGATGTCTTCTGGATTGTGAGTGTAATTGATTTGCTTGCACATCGTGAGACTTGACACTAACCGCTTCCCTAGTGGGAATCTACTCTCTCACCTGGGTCTTCCAGACTCTCTACCACACGCTGCCCAAGGACCAGAGAAAGGCTCCTACTGTCGTCTCACAAATGACCCCTTACCACGCCACTGGCGCTGACGAGTCCACGACGATTTTGCTGAACTTCCCAACTAGCACTCCCTCCAACGGCCCGCACCCGAAGCATTCGCACGGTGTGGCTATGACCAATCTTCGTGTTGCTGCGGACCCTGACGAGAAAGGTACTACGGGTGCGAATATTCGCATTCAGGGCACCAAGGGTGAAATTCAGGTCTTTGGAAACCCTTTCCGCCCTATGCGGTACCGCATCATCCCCAAGAAGGGTGCTGGTGAGGTTCGCGACGTTGAGTTCCCCATTCCATCAGAGGGTCACGGTATGTTCTGGGAGGCAGATGAGGTGGCGCGTTGCCTGAGAGATGGAAAGTTGGAGAGCGAGGGCCTTCCGTGGGAGGAGAGCATTGTTATTATGGAGGTAATGGATGAAGTGCGAAAGCAGGGTGGTTTGACTTATCCCCAGAAGATTGAGTCAACCGAATATCCGCTGCAGCTGTAGTGTTTGGATATAGCGGTGTATATAGTGATGATTACGAATGAATTATTGCCGGTGAAATGTCTCCAGGTCTACGCGTCTTTTGAACCTACGTCGTTGCTGGCTTATGCCTCTTCGCACTATAGATCTGAACTCTTGCCTGTGACAGTAATTCGGTACCAGAAAAAGTACACCTACTATACATGGCCCCGAGGGACTATTATTCAACGTCTATATGTGAACAGTATACCGGTCTACGCCTCCCATGCGCTCACCAACCAAACCGAAACATAAGAAAAAAAAGGCGAAGCGACACGGAGAACGGCCGGTCATTTGTTCTCAATCCCCCTGTTTGACTTTTGAGGTCCTGGATTATCCACCCAAATTATTTAGTTCTTGTGGAAAACACCGAGCAGACTCTTCCAGACCTGGCCAGGCTCCTGGCTGGCATCAATGCCGCGCCAGATGCCGGTCTTCTTGTAGTAGTCGCAGACGGGGAGGTCTGGGCGTGGTAGGTCGCCAGACGCTTGCTCAGAGTGTCGGCGTTGTCGTCGGACCGTTGGATCAGGGGCTCGCCGGTGACATCGTCAATCATGTCACTCTTGGGTGGGTTGAAGATCTTGTGGTACGAGCGCCCGGAGGCGGGGTGAACCAGACGGCCAGTGATACGGGCCACAAGCAGGGCATCATCGATCTGCAGCTCCACGGCGTGCTGGAGCTTCTGTTGACGGGCCAGAAGCATGTCGTCCAGACGCTCAGCCTGGGCAACAGTGCGAGGGAAACCATCCAGGATGAAACTGTACATCGGGGAATTGCGCGTTAGTCAACTGTTGTCGGATACCGCGGGTTTCGCCGTGAGGGCGAGGAGAATTAATCCATACCCGTTCTTGCACTCAGTGTTGTTGTCCAGTTCGCTCTTGATCATGTTGACCATGATCTCGTCGCTGACGAGGCCACCCTGGTCCATGATCTTCTTGGCCTCCTTACCGAGGTCGGTCTTCTTCGCGACTTGCGACCGCAGCATGTCTCCAGTAGCCTATTCAGGAAACACTCTGGTCAGCAAACAATGCGTCTCTGCAGTGATCGGGACCGACGGCTACTTACCAGGTGGCACACGCAGTACTTTTCCTTGATATTCGGGGCCTGAGTACCCTTGCCTAAAACGACGCGTCAGTGGCCATTGGGCTATTTCAAAGGTCGCAATTGCGTACCGGCACCCGGGGGGCCCATCAGAATGATGCGCATCTGCTCGGTGAGCGACTTGGGCTTGTCGCCATTGACCAGGCGGCTCTCCAGGTCGACAACGCGGGACTCGAGCTTGCTGATGGTGTCCTTCAGACCGGCGACGGTCTCATCTGTGATCGGGGCCATTGTGACGGGAAGGTAGGAGTGGAGAGAAGTCGAGAGACTTGGAGAGGGCAGGGTGGAAGAGGAAGAGGCAGACGGGGAAATGGAGAAATGGACAAATGGAAGGGCAGGAAACCTTGGCGCCCCGAGGTTCGGAACACGGGCGCGGACTACATGCTCTCAGACGCACCGCGGCGCATTGCGAAGAACACCCGCGACGCTCTAGCAGTTGACTTTTATATGCTCCTGTCGACAACATACATTTTAATCCTTTTATCTTCTTTCTTTCTTCCTTCCTTATTTTTTAGTTTCTTTTCTACTTTCAATTGCCATTGTGTTCACTTTGTTTTTCGTCCCAACTACCGTCCCAACAAGGCAAGCCGCTGACTAAGAGCACCAGCCGCATGGCGCAGTGTGGCGCACCCCAAGCTCTCCGAGCATCATCGCACCTGCACTGCGAACCATCCAGTCAAACCCCCAAAGCATCCCCCTTCGTTATCGACCACCGTCCCATTTCTCTCGGTCCTGTTGAGCTCCTCCCCCCATTGAAATCCTCGATTCACCTCTCTCCGCCATGCCTGCCACTACGGCGGACACACTATCCCTCGTCAACCGCTCCGTCACGGTTGCTCCGTTAGTCCTGCTCTCCGTCGCCGATCACTACGGCCGGACTGCCAAGGGAACCCGGAAGCGTGTCGTGGGTGTTTTGCTCGGTGAGAGCTCGGGTGGCAATGTGCGAGTATCCAACAGTTTTGCAGGTAAAACTTCCGATGTCGATACCGCCGCCTAGCTATTGCGGCTAGCTGTTCAGTTGCAATGAAACTAATCATCTCTCTCTGCCACGTATAGTCCCGTTCGAGGAGGATGAGAAGGACCCCTCAGTGTGGTTCCTAGACCACAATTTTGTCGAGTCGATGGGAGACATGTTCAAGAAAATCAATGCTCGTGAGAAGCTGGTCGGCTGGTACCACTCGGGCCCCAAGCTGCGCGCCTCGGATCTGGAGATCAATGAGCTCTTCAAGAAATACACACCAAACCCCTTGCTGGTGATCGTGGATGTCCAGCCGAAGGAAGTGGGCGTTCCGACAGATGCGTACTTTGCGGTGGATGAGATCAAGGATGTGAGTGTTTTCAGCCGGGTTGTGTTCCATGGGTATTTGACGACTAACACGGTCTTGGTCATTTATAGGACGGTACAACGACTTCCAAGACGTTCGTGCACACCCCGTCGATAATCGAAGCCGAGGAGGCAGAGGAGATTGGTGTAGAGCACCTGCTCCGGGATATCAGAGACGTTGCCGTTGGCACTCTTTCTACTCGAATCACTTCACAGCTGCAGTCATTGCAAGGACTGCACCTCCGACTACGCGATATTGGCCAATACCTCCAGAAAGTCCTCGATGGCGAGCTCCCCGTCAACCACGCCATTCTGGGTAACCTCCAGGACGTCTTCAATCTCCTCCCGAACTTGTCCACACCCGCGGCGCAACCGGCCGTCAGTGGCCAGGAGCAGCCTATCGAGAACAGCGAGCTTGCACGGGCCATGAGCGTCAAGACGAACGATCAATTGATGGCCATCTATATCAGCAGTTTGATCCGTGCCATCACAGCTTTCCACGACCTCATCGAGAACAAGATCCAAAACCGCCAGCAGCAGGAGGAAAATGACTCAAAGCGGGAGCAAGAGCTGAGTGCGGCCAAGGAAGAGAAGGATGCTAAGAAGACCACTGGGTCGAACAGCGAGCAGAAGGAGGAGCAGGATGCCTCTGATAAGAGCAAGAAGAAGAGCTAAAATGCTTTTTTCGATTTTATGCTTTGTTAGAGGAATTGATGCCCGTCAGTATGACACGACTCTCAGGAACTGCGTTGCGCAGTGTATAGTACGGATAATCAAGGATATGACATGGTGGCCATTTCGTCCATCCATATCATGAACCAATCGGTTTCTCTCATGTTGTATTGTAGTGCTGGCGGAACCATCCCATAGTGCCATCTGCCGCTTCATTCCGGATTTTAAGATAATGAGACTCTGTTTCGTAAAGGCGGAGCAAATCGACGGGAGTTCTTTCCAGTTCAGCCAGCCCCAGCAGGTCCAATGTCGGTTTCCTCGAATGCTCAGGCTAACTCGGTAAGTTCAAAGGCTTGCGGTGAGAGCAGGTTAATTGAAGACCCTTGTGGCAGGCAGCAACTCGCATACTCCCAAACACTTCCAGCCTTTGCATAACAACATCTCCACTGCCCGCTCGTTTCGATAGGGCGCCATATACCAACATTCCTTCCAATCGTCCAACATCAACCTCCCCACCCAGCACACCAGCCTGCCATCTCCTCCATAGAAACCATCCGTTTGCCATCGCCATGCTCTCCAAAGAGCCCCGGGCACCGAGCAAACAAAATACAAGCGAGAATATGCTTACAGACTGGCGGCGACCCTCTGTCTGTATCACGCGTGAGTGTCCCACCAAAAGGGTAAATAACAGGTTCATCCCGGCCCCCGCGGTCATGCAACGCCGACCTTGACATCGGCATCGAAATTTCATGAGAGTACTGAGGGGACTGGCCGTCCCGTCTCGAGTCTAGATCCTTGAATGCAGAGAGTGCGAAGGTGGGGCACGTACAGTTCCACGAGTGTAGGCGAACTTCGTAGCCCTTGTCTGGTTCTTGCGTAGACGCTGTTTTGGATGGAGCTCCAGCTCCAACTGGGTGGGTGTGCAGTGGGGTGGATGACGCAGATGTCACAAGGAAAATACTTTGTGGTGCTGCAGATTTGGGGTCGAGGGGGTTGTTTGTCGTTTCATGGGTGCGTTCATCTGCAGGCATGGCGTGGTCTAGGCCAAGGACACCTGCGGTGGTGCTTCCTCCTTTGCAAATGAGACGATGCACAAGTCGGCGGTCAAGGATGTCTAATGCTGGGAGGAGGTCGTTTGGAAACAGGCAGTGGAGGGTAAGCACTATGGGCTTCACTTGGGCCAGTTGTGATGGAGGTAGACCCGTGAAGGGATTTATTGATGTCGGAACTCTGGACTGATCTGCTCCAGAGATGGGGATCCCCGTTAATGGAGATTGGAAGCTGGCTAGTTCGGTGATCAGACGATCAACGAAGCTCCTGCTGGTTGGGAGGTTCATTTGGTCGGTGATTCTTGTTGATGTGTGTTGGGGTGGGAGAGGCAATCGCCGAGGCCCCATGTCCTCACCGAGTTCGGCTGCGGGTGACTGTGTACTACGCGCGATAGAAAAGATCAGGAAACGAGACGGACCGTCCTCTTCATGTTTCAATGAGATTAATATTGGTGTGAAAGCTACCAAGGAAACAATTTTAAAATCAGTCCAAAAATAAAATTTAAAAATTTAAAAAAGTTCGAGTCTGAACATCACTATGATATGAAAAATATATACACGGCTACTCCACCCGTCCAGAACAACAATCACAACGACAACCATGTGAAGTATCATGGATACTAAACACTACTCGTAGGAATAGTAAGAAACCCCCATTTCATTGTCTCCTTCCTCCGCTTCACTCCCTTCACCCTCTTCGCCCTTTTCGCCCTCCTCAGTCTCCTCATCCTCCCTGTTCTTCTGGCTCTTCTGGTTCTGCTGGTTCTCTTCTCCTCGTCTTCATCTTCATTGCTTTCCTCCGCATTGGAATCCGGCAACCTTTTCCCAGTAACAAGGTTAAGCACCATTTCGAGGTTCTCATCCAATCTCGTTTTCTGCTCCTTTGCATCATCTGCCAGGCGGTTGCATGGTTTGCCCCGGACGTAAAAGTCCAGTGGGATCCTATATCTGGCTTTTTTTGCCCTTTTGTCGTCTCTGAGCTCCTCAATATACTGTATTCGGAGCCAGCCTATTCTTTGCTGGAATGTATTCTCCAAACTGAGGTTGACCCTTTTTTCAGGCCCCGCTGCCGTAGGAGGGTTTGGCCAAGCTGAAAATTCTGGGGGCTGAATCCCCTCCGGAACGCCGGCCTGCGTTCCCCTGTCCATATATGTTCTGACTGGAGGAGGGGGAGAGGGAGGGGGAGCAGGCGTGTACGTTCTGACCGGGGGAGGAGAAGGGGGTCGAGGAGGGTTCGGAATCCCTTGTTCGTCGACATCCATTGGGTCTGAATCTGTTCTCCGGCCTCTGCTCGAGGAACTAGTAGGATGGTTGCGTGCGGTTTCAGCCGGAGAGTAGGGGCTCGAGCCGTATCCTCCCTGCGACAATTTTGGATTCCAGATTTGCTGGTAGCGGAGCGCCTTCTCTCTGGTTTCGTGGAAGGGCACACGTGTGTAAGAAAAGAGATAAGCATGCTCTTGGTTCTTTTGCAAACCCTTGAAGTCGCTGAAATGAATGGACTTGACTATCTCGTCATCTATCAAGGTCCATTGGCCAGTTCTTCCCTTGACGATGATGGTATAGTGACCCGTCCGGGTATTGGCACCATCATGCAGAATCACAGCGGAGAGTTCGTACTCGACGTCGTACAAGCCATCCTTTTTGATCCCAGGATCGAGCCATTCTTTGGCCAAGGTGAGCTTCTCCGAGAATTCGATAGGACGTTGGACCTTGATTCCTAGATCATTGGTCCGATTGACTTGTACTGCAAGATGCTCCGGGGCACGGATGAGATACGCTTGCTCGACTTTCTTGCCAGAGCATTTCTCGCAAGCAGGAAGAGTGGACTGCTGGGTGAACAGTTCGCTCACAGTGTTCTGGACAATATCGACCAGATCCGATTCACCATAATTGACTACCAACCGGGGCCAGCTCCTAACCTCCTCAGAATCTTCACAAGCACCTTGTCCTTGGCACTGTTGGATCGTGGTCGCCTCGATATCTGTTATCTGCGGCAGGTCATCTGAACTACAAAACAAACCGTGTGGGTTAGCTTCTTCCTGAGCGAGACGAGTTAGGGTTGCCGGGGGAAACGACACTCACTAAACTGCTGGCAGCGCGGCATCAAGTTGGCGATAAATGTCCATGAGGAGTTCCCCCGGATCTTGCTGGCCTTCCATGACGCACTCATTTTCGACGCACCACTCTTCATAAACCTCCTTCCAGAAGATGTCAAACTTCTGGTCCAGTTCGTTCATGCTGGAGTCCCAGTAACTGGCGAGGAAGTTGTGGAGCATACAGATCAGGCATTCCCCTCCGTCAGTGCCTAGCTCGCATAGAAAACTCGGCGGGATATGACGGTCCTTGTACCATCGGGCCCAACGAACAATGGCCGGGGAATGCGCAAGCAGCTGGAAGACCACGTTTCGATAGCACGAGTTGCCGGGATTCTCGAAGCCCACCTGGGTTTGCTCCGCTGTCCACTCATCCCACAACGGCGGGAACGGGCTCTACAGGTTGTCAGAGTGGTCTATCTGCATGAGAATAACGAAGGATCGGCGCTCGATGACCTTTTTTCTTGTCCTTACCCGAAATGAGAGCGCTGTGGCTCGTCTATTGAACCCGCGGTCGCGAGCACCAGCCTGGCGAGCTTCATTCTCGAGCCGCCGGTGCTCTTTGTCTGGCGTGAGACCAACTGCTTCTTGGGGCTTCGAGGTACCACCCAGCTTTGTAAGGCCAGCGAAGCCAGATCCACCGGGATTTGCGGCAGCGTCCTGGGAATAGAAGAGGGAAGAGAAGGCCGCGGAGCCTCCGACATACGAGCCGGCCATGATGGCGGTCTGTCAATGAATTGACTTGGGAGAGGAGCTTTTTCTTCCCAAGAACAGATGGGCCATTTGGGCGGCAAAAGGACGACCTTTTGAAGTATTTCATATCCATCTGTTCAATGTCTCTCAATGAAAACACCATTTTCTTTGTTCATCAAAAAACTACCATTCGAAGCATCGAGTAGCCAGATGAGAGAGGCCCCATTGCCTGGGTTTCTTTCATCGCGAGGTCAAAGGAAATCAGCAGTTCGAGGACAGAGTGGTCGTATGGGATGATGGGATGGTTCAATGCCGGCGACTGCCTTGGAGCGTCGTCAAAGAGAACACCCTGAGCGAAGCTTAAAGCTCTCGTTCGAACTATGTCACTGAGCGCCGGTGGCTTCCTCAGGGTACTACCGTAGAACATAGAAGGATTTACGGAAGAAAATAGACAAAGAGTTGCACACCCGGGACGACATCATGAAAGACCCAAGATCCAAAACTGAAAGGACGAGAGAACGCTTCGATTCAGCACACAGCGTATTCCTCATTGATGGTTGTAGTTGTATATAGCCCGCACGTTCTTTCTTCGGTGCCGGCACTACAAGCGTCCTCCCCAACTGTTGACATCTACTCAACGGCATTTACTGTAGTATACTCCAGTATAGTATATTCCAGTATAGTATATACTGCAGTACACTATAGGACTCCTCGCCACGTTCCGACGCCTCCCCACCTCTATCTCCTCGACCATGAAACAGCTGGGCTGTCATTTTCCTCGACTGGTGGGGGCTGTCAGTCCAAACCGTGGTTTGGCCGTCCCGAGAATGAAGATCAACAGACTCCGCAATGGTCCAGAAGCCCTCACCAGCATCGAGTCTAGAACTTCTTCCCCCCCCCCCCCTCCTCCTTCCTAACGCCCTGAAATGAAGATGGAGGTCTGTGGTTGGCAACGGGCTCCATCTCGTCGAATGTGAGGCATCTACTGTCACAGCACGATCGACGAGGCCACCTACTGCAATGGGCAGGCTAGCACTTCACGAGGCCCATGAGGACGCCATTCCACGGATAGCCCAAGCCTGCGTGGCGCGGACACGACGATGCCCTAAGAGACCTTCCCTGGGTAAGGTAGGGCACGACGTTCACCCTGGTCAACCTTGGTCAACCTTGGTCAACCCTGGTCCCGACCGGCCATTGACTCATGAACCGGTTCCTGGCCTTCGCCCAGCAGGATTTCCCGAACCCAGCGCAGTCTAGACGACTCGTCGCTCTGTTGTTCCCCACAAGGCAGAAGGAGAGGATGTTTCAGGTTGCTCTCTCTCAACTTCCCGGTGGAGCAGAGCCTGACGAATGCTGGCCCGGTCCACGACTGATTGGGCCCTTTCGATCGTGTCGCGAAATCCGGCCGAGTCCCAGGCCGAAGTGCATATCCTACTGCATCGAGCGATCGCTGGTGGTTGCTGCTGAGCCCCTCCTGCCATCCCTGCCACTTTTGCCTTGTATGCCCATTCCTCATCCAGGCGCCGCCGCGGGATACTCTGCTTCGGCCCCGGGAGCCTGTGTTCTACGGACATCGCCCGCAATACATCCAAAACCACGCGGCTGCCCAACCCAAATCATGCTACAGAGAAAAAAAAAAAAAAAAAAAAAAAAAAAAAATTGTAAAAAAGTATGCGTGCGGCTTTTTCCTTGGTCATGATCTCCCTTCTTCCCCCTACAGAGTGACAGCAGCGTTCCTCGCGTCTACCGAAGATCCACCGTTGAGAGAAAGAGAGGGCACTGCCTCGTCAAACGGTTGGGCGCCACTTTTCAGCTCTGCCACCTGGTGAGTCTGATCGAAGTGGAACCCTCCCCTCCCCCGGGCCAGTGCGCTCGTCGGCCCTTCCGAGAAGCCGCGTCTGGTGTGTTGGACATTAGCAGGTTCAAATTTCTCCTAGACCCTGCGCGTTCTTAATGACATCGCGATGGGGAATGGGTCGTCGTCGAACCGCCCGATCCCTGGGTCCTCGGCATTGGTGATCGAAATAGATGAAAAGCGCATGAAACAGCGAGGAAATGAAGTGTCATAAAAAAAACCGGGTCAGCGGTGGATGTGTCGGACATTTAGGGCGATCACTGCGCAATAAATAGAAGAAAGCTGAGAACCCGCAACCAGCTCCTTCGGCCACTTCCACTTATGTCGTTAGTCGCGATGATCCAACGGTGGTCGCCCATCCCCCCCCCCACCACTCGTGCTTGGCCGTTATCTCACGATATCCCTGGGAGCACGATAGCACCAGCTTCGCGTGTGAGAAAGAGTCACTTAAAAAGTGAAAAACTGACAGCGCGACCTTTCGTCTGCCGCCCCGATCCCTGCAGGTTGTCACAAGATGAGCATCGCATGCCCATGCCCACGTCCAGGTCCATGTCCATGGTGTCCAAGCCCTGCTTCGACCTTGGCTAATCCCGGCCAGCTGCTCCACGCGAGCAGCAGCAGTCAACAGAGCAGACGGGATCGTCACGGATCGTCCTCGCTTCGGACCACGCTGGAGCTTTGGGCGCGGCCGTTGCCCCATTTCTCCAAATGCGCCCCATCTGTACAAGCATGAAATCTACGACGCCATCGATGCTGGACGGCACTGGTGCAAACTCCCCCTCCAATCTTCCATTACCTATACCCGTCCCTCCGACCCGCATCGCACCCTTTCACCTGCTCTGTATCCCTTTTCTGAGCGAGTGGACAATAAAGGGGAGACTGGGAAAGCGAACCATCGACTAGACAATATAATGAAGATCGATTGACAGGTGCACGCTGATCGACGCATGGACTAGCCGGGTGTTTCAGGCAACCGAACGGATCGTCCCTGCAACAAGCGGAGCACACCGGAAGAATCGGCGTTTGCTCGTTGCGAGGAACTCGTGTTCGAGCCTGAGGAACCTGCAGACGCTGCGCTGGCGGTATTTTCTTTGCTTTTCTTTTATTTTCGTTTCCTTTTTTTTTTTTTTTTTTTTTTTTTTAATTTGGCGTTCTTTGCTCAGCTGCCGTTGCGCTTGCCCACCGCCACTTTGGGGGGAGCAACGAATGCATTAGGGTGGCTTTGCCCACTTGGGGCTCGTGCCAGGCGTGCAGATGCGTCGATCCAATCACGGAGAATATGGGCGACTGCATTTTCGTCATAGCGCTGACCCTCGTCGTACATCTGTACAGTGGTATACTAACCTAGTACTAATATACATATAGGAGTATACTTGGATACCCTGTATAATGATCATTGTAGTACCTGAGATCGGTAACTAAAGTATCATCGTCCTCATGCGAAGCCAAGCGCAACACCCTTATTACTACTTGGAGTAGTAGTACAGTCAAGAGGAGTACTTATTCTGCGGATGTCGGTCGTGACCCACCGGTCCCTTAATCTGGTGGGAACGCGCCAAAAGGGGCCCCGTCGTTCGACGCCTCCGCTTCAAAGTGCGGTTCGGTAGCATTTCCTTCTTCTGCCCGCCTCCATCAGCTTAGCCTCGGCCTTGCTCGTGTTGCAAAAGCAAGCAGGTCGCCCTTTCTCATTTACCTCAGGTTCGTCCCGTCGGTCGGGAATCCGCCCTGTAATCTCTCCAGCATCGCAATTTCCAACCCTCATTTCCCAGTCTCGCACACCTGGTCTCGCTCCCCTGGGAAGCTGGTGGGGGCGCAACATTCTAGACCCGATCAACGCGTTCCAATTTCACGCGGGCCTGGCCCGCCCCCCAGAATTTCATTGCGACGCCGTGTGACCAGACCGAGAGCGCACCTGCGAACGGCGCGTCGGACGGCGTCGAGCTTAGATCCCTGGCTTCTGGAAGAACGGGATCGCAGTCCGGGGGACGCGATGGAATTGGCATCGCGATGGAATTGGCATCGCGATGGAATCCAAATAGACTCGGTAGCTGAATCTTCAATATCGACATCAAAACAAAAGTCCTTCTTCAGGCACAATCCAGGCCGTCGGGAACCTGGAAAAAAGAGGATCCACCGGGAAAACAAGGCCTTTTTTTTCCCGGGGTTTTTTTTTTTTTTGGCTCATCACTTTTCTGCTGGCTGGACCTGTGTCTCTGCTTGGTCGTTGCTCTGTTGGATGTGATGTGGATTGTTTAGGGGCCCGCCTTGTCCTAGGGCAGCAAGTCAGGGCAGCGAAGCTCCTCCCCCTAGCCCCTTTCGCCCCGAATTACGGTACGGTAACTGGGATATGCAAACAAATGGAGTCGCAGAAAAATCCCCGAGTGGTCGCACGAAACTGAGGCTGCAAACCCGGAGGAGCTCGAAACAGGCAACGCCACGAACAGCGCAAGACCCCAGATCCCGGCAGCGGCAGAGCGGCAGAGCAGTCGACCGGAGGGAGAGGAAGTGGAGCGCCGTTAGCAGCGATCTGGGTCCTGGGTTTTAGTCGCAACGGTATGGCATTAGGGCGGGTTAGCGTCTGGGCCGGCGCTGGCCGTTGTGGACGTTGTGACTGGTCAGTGCGGGCTTTAAAGTGTCCGTTACGCACCCTCATCTCATTTCAGGATGATGCGGGTCCCGAACCGTTCGTCAGGGGGGGGGGGGGGGGGGTTGTCTGTCTGCGTCTTCTGTGGTCACGGTGGTGGTGGTGGTGGTGGTGGTGGTGGTGGTGGTGGTGGGTGAGGTGAAGAAGGGGAATGAATGGTGATGGCGGTAGGAGGTTCTACCCGCCCCTCCTTTCTGTACTTACTGCAGTGGTAGTAGTCTTGCGAGATAGAGTATCGACTAACAGGTAAGCTCTTCGCCTTCCTGGTATCGACTGAAACGAATGATCGAGAGGGGAAGAGGGGTTTGACCGCTCCAGCAGCATCTTTAATTAAACCGGCGCCCTGAGTGGATCGGAGATATTGTGGCTCGTCTGGTTATTTATTATGATTTTTTTTTCTGATTATTTCCCTTTCCATTTCCCTGCCCATCGTACCGTACCATACTAGCAGTACCCTCCTCCACCCGAAGTCTTAGACTCTGGAGAGGTCCATCCCGGCTTTTGGCTGTTATCGATCGTCTAGTTTCATCTTCACGTTCTGGACTTTCCTCTTTGATGCCCTTCTTCTTTTTCTTGTTCTTTTTCTTCTTCTCTTTTTCTTCCTCCTCCTCCCTATCGCCACGGTCGTACTCTTTCCTTTCTCTCTTCGATTCGCTCTTCGGGACATCTTCACGCCTCACTGCTGCTGTTCGTCCACCACGGGTTGGTCTTCCACGGTACCCTCAGCCGCCATTCTGCCCAAACGGCTTTTGCTCTGACCTCACCATTCGTTGCACGAGACCGAGTGTCCGTTTGAGTTTCTGCTCGAGCTCGGAGCATTTTGGGACGTGGATCCCCAGGTGGTGATCATCCGCTGCTGCGTCGCAGACACCCAGTCAACAAACCCTGATATACCTCGACCGGACCTGGCCCTGGTCATCTGGCCTTCTTCGATTCGGTTCACCTTCACTTGTTTGGTGACGCCTTTCTTGTTCTTGGGGATTGATTCTCTACCTGCTAGGATTTCTCGCCAGGAAGGAGCTGCTTTGCTTTCTCTGTGACGCATTACTGTCGTCCCCTCAAATCCACCACTCCTCCTCCTTCCCCTCCAGGAACACCCGGCTTTCCACCCCCGTCGCGCATATGATTGCGTTACAAAATCGGCCTATCTTGCCACCCGCCAAAGTGGATATCTCACTGCTACTGAAGCCCCAAGATGAGGAAGAAGCCACCCCGACTTCGCTCTATCCACCGAGATCCTCTCTCGCGGGGCCGCCTCCCGGGACGCCCGCTCCCATCTTGACGGGCCCAGCGCCGGGTGCAATCCCGCCGTCGTTGATCAAAACAGGTCCGTCCGGGTCGGCGAAACGCCTGCAACCGGCGCATACGGCCGAGTCGCCCGCCAAGAAGCAATCCAAATGGTCTCCCGAGGAAGATGCCTTGATCATTGAGCTGCGTGGCAGCGGCATGAAGTGGGAGGATATCAGCAAGCGACTGCCTGGCCGCAGCGCGATCAGCTGTCGTCTTCACTATCAGAACTACCTGGAACGCCGGAGCGAGTGGGATGAGGATAAGAAGAACAAGTTGGCCCGCTTATATGAACGGTAGGAAACCAGACATCAACCCCAAAGAGGGCACTGGGTCCGCGCAGAAGCTAACGACAGGAGAACAGATTCAAGGCAGAAATGTGGTCCAAGGTGGCGGAGGAAATGGCCATCCCATGGCGGGCGGCCGAAGCCATGCATTGGCAACTGGGGGAACAGGAGATGGCCCGCCGCGCCGGCGTGGTGCCCTTCTCCTTGTCGAGTACCGCCATCGATCCCCCAACCACCAGAACTCGCCGCGCGAGCACCTCTCTGTCCCGGCCGCGCAAGACCTCCCTCTCGCGCGCAATCCCCGGCCATCCCCCGGGCCTACCGCCGCAGCTGCCCTCCCTCGAGGAGCTGACCGCTGGGGTGCCCGCGTACGCACCTCCTGCCCCGCCCCCACCACGAGAGTACTATGGAGTGGGACGGCCACCGGAGATGGGCATCCCCCCACCGGGCCTCATGGGCCCTCATCTGGGAATGCCCCCTCGAACTCTGCCCTAAGATGAGACGACGATCACGCCTGAATGGCTTTCCTTTGTTTTGATACGAATTGCATAGCGCCGGCCGGAGGAATCCGTGATTTGTGGGAGGCTTTGAATAGCATAGAGAATTTTTTTCGCCCCCTCTTTGCGCTGAGATCTTCCTGCTTTTTCGCTTTTTATTTTTCTTCTTCCCCAGGAGAAGGAGCAGCTATCGGCGCAACACCCTCTCCCCTCCTGCGACGGACCCCGTGTTTCATGTTGATAACGATCTTCGAGGCTGGTTCTCGGAACGACAGAAGACGGCACCCCTTTATGGAGCGGGTTTGGGTGTTGCGATGGCCCACCAATTATCCTTTTCATATCCTGATTCGAGAACAACACCACCGGCCTGCGCAATGTCGCGCTCCAGCTCGCCTTCCTCATACAGATGGTAGTAGCGATGGAAGGTCTGCGATTGTTCTTGGTCCGACTTGGCTTTGCGGACCCATGGCACCATGATATCCTGGGGATCACCTTTATCCCAGCCACGACGACTGTCCTTTTGCTCGAGCGCCCAAGCATAGACAAGCAGTTTGCCTCCCGGCTGTGTTTCCGAACCACGACTGAGGGTTCGCAGAATCTCGGCGACGGCCTGAACTCGCCGAGCCGGAGTGGAAAGATGGTGAATCACGGCGATGGAGATTGCAAAGTCAAAAAATGCATCCCGGTGTGGAAGCTCAAGAATATCAGCCACCACGGCTGAATGGGGCTGATGCCGAACTGCAATCCGCGCCAGATTTTCTGATCTGTACGAGTCAGTCCGGATCGAGATTGGAAAGAGAAGAGAAGCTGTGCAGTGATATCATATAAATATATATATATACCTAAAAAATACCACAAAAAAAAAAAAGGGAAATTCTTTGCCAAACCAATACACGAACCACCTATTCTCCGAGAAACGTACCTATCCGAAGCCACGATAAAGACGTCTTTGTTGACCATCAGGTTCTTGCCATTACCACATCCCACATCAAGACCAACAGACCCGGGAGTCAATTCCTGAAGGAAGCGCTCCACGATCGGCCATGGCTGTCATTGTAGCCATAATCAATTAGTCTCGAGCTTGATCGAGCGCTAGTTCCATTTATCCCACACACCTTGTAGCGAGTCGCCGAGAAATGCCCAGCAATTTGCTGGTACACCTCGTGCACGTTCTGTTGTTCGTACGCATCTGCCATTGGGAAGTTGCGGAGTTGAATGGTGGACGTTAGCGCCGTGCGAAGCCAAGCAAGCGAGCACGTGATGAGCCACCTCAACTGTCGCACCTATACAGTACAAGCATATCCGTCGAGACGACGAGGGCTCATAGTGTATTATAATCGGTCGACCAAAGACATGTACTCTCAGCTTTTTCTCCGAACTTATTATATAATTTTCTTTTTGTCCGATTCTCATCAAGGTGCGGTTTGGGATGAGATTGATTCCCGCTATGTGCTGACTAATCCCATCCACTTTGGTGAACCGTCGCCAGCACATTTCAGGAGAGTATCTCGTCTCAAGTGGGAAATGTGAGTACAGTCCCTGTTTCAAGCCGGTGAGGCCCCCTGCTAGCGATGAAAACACAAGATATTGTTCAACCTATCACCTGTCCCCTGCGAGATCTGGGGGTGACCCAGACCGGGGAGATCCCAGAAGGGCAATATCAAGATGTCGAGGATGGATTCTGCGAGAAGTTTAAAACCTGTTGGAAGCTCGCTCCATTCCGACTTGCCTTGCTTCATTGAACATGTTTTCTTTGGCACTGGGCCTCCTCAGTTCCGTCCACAGCATGGTTGCATATCGGCCCTAACCTTTCATCTAGATCGCTCACTCTTAAAACCACACCCGAAAGAGTCTGTTCGACTCTGTCAATATGGCATTCCAGCCTACTCCGAATGATGTTTCCGTCATTATCACAGCCGCGGCTTTGGCCCGTGGCGCCGACGCTGAGCCAAACTTTGTCACTGAGCGTCGTATCACTCCGACCTGGACAGTTATGCAACTCAAGGGAAAGCTTGAGACCATGACTGGCGTGCCACCGGGCAGCCAGCGCTTAAAAGTCAAGGTACCTGGGCGGCCTGAGCAATGGGCCGACGGGGATGATCGGCTCATTGGCGAGTGGGGTCTAGTCAAGGGATCTGAGATCGAGGTATGGTTTGCTTTTCTCTTTCGATCCTTTGCGTCACGTCGATTTCCGAGACTACTGCCAAGCTCTCTGTCCCAGAATATGCGCTAAATATCTTCACGATAGGTTCATGATTCTCGCCCGCCGTCGATGAGGCCTAATTTTACAGATCTCTCTTCCGTTGATAAATATGAGCTGCCCACTGAGACCTATGAGTCTCTACCTAATTCTGTCCTGGCCTGGAAGAAGAATCAAAAACTCGGTCGTTTCGACCCAAATGCTCTTTCGCCCGAGGACGCATTGCGAAAGCAAGTAGAAAAGGATCAAAGCGAGGTTGCTACCAAAGGTATGTTGAGGTTTCTGTTTCGCAAGTCAAATAATTGCCCGTCTCATTGTATTTTGTGCAGAAATTGCCGTTTCCAAACGGGCGATCATCTTGCCTTCGTCTCCGCCGCATATTCGCCGGGGAACTGTTCGATTTGTTGGTCCTGTTCCGACAATTCCTATCTCGGGTCCCGGCCGCGAGTTGGAGCGTAAGGGCGAGCTTCCTATGGAGTTGCAGCCGATCTGGGTTGGTATTGAGCTGGATGAGCCGATGGGAAAGAATAATGGTAGTGTGGGTGGTCAGCGATACTTCGAGTGTCTCGACAAGCGAGGTGCTTTTGTCAAGCCTGAGAAGATTGAAGTGGGAGATTTTCCCCCTCTGGACCTTGAAGATGGCCTGGATGATTTGATGGAGGAGATTTAAATGCGCGATGAGAATTTCACTTTCGGGAAAGTAAAGTAAAAAGGATATATTCGTCGTTGATTTCCTACTTTTCTAATATTGACCCCGCACTCGGGTGCTATCGACAATCATCGTGAAAAAGAAAAGAGATTAAAAGAAAGTACTCCAACGCCGGCACCCTACCCTCATAGAGCCTTCATAGAAGGGGAAAATCGCTGGAATAAGACTAGCAGAATAGGTATCATGACACATCAACACCAACATACTCCGGGCACAACGGCTAAATGGAGGTAATAAGAGCTGATTTATTTATCGGCTTTTTCCTTGCCCTTCGGACGGCCCCTAGCTTTCGTGGGCTTAGCCTGCTTGGTGGTTTTCTCAGAAGGACCAGCGTCGGTTTCAAACTCGCTGTCTTGCATTGGTTTGCCCTCAGCTGAAGGCGACTTGTCGGGTTGGTCGGACTCGTCTGGAACACAGCCTTGCGTGAAGAACAGCCGGGCCTCTTTGTCATATGGATTCGCGAAGCTGTAGTAGTTTCCTGTCGTCCGAAGGGAAGAAAATTAGCTATCATGGAAGCGCTCGAGTTCTCTCAGCAGCTATACTCACCTCGTGGAACCTGGAAGACGCATCCTTTCCCAGCACTGAATTTGACGTCGGAGATATCCACTTGCACCCGGCCATGGCAGACAAAGAATACCATATGCATCTTCTTCGAGTTCTTCGGCCTCTTCACTCCATTTGGCGGAAGCTCAACAACTCCCGATCCAATGAAGGAAGAGCTCAGTAGTTTGGCGAAGCGGAACGAGGACCCCTTGACCTCTCTGGTTTGGATACCAGAAGGGGCATAGGCAACATCTGCGGAAGAGCGCGATTATTATAATTGAATTTTGAACAAGTGGGTAAAAAGGGTGATTCTTACCGATGACCTCTTCCTCTGTGCTGTGGGTTTGAGTCTTATTATCCCACTTGGGCACAATGCCATGAAGGATGCCCTCTTGTTTCTCCCACTCGTCCAAATTGGGATCTTCCTCATCTGATGATTCGTCACGCTTGGGTTTCTTGGACTTGGGCTTCCGGCCAGCACGCTTGTTCTTGGGTTTCTTCTCCGGCTCGAGCTCCTCCGTGCGAATGATCTCCTTGATTGTTGATAACGGGAAGCGGTGCCCTTCAGCAACCTCCCCAGAACCATAGACACAGCGTTCGTTCCGCCAATATGCAAGGGGCCGGACGGAAGCCCGCCCGGAACGGGTATGAGTGTAGGCATTGTCGGCGGGGTTTTCGCGCTTGAGAATATGCAAACTGCGACCTTTCAAGGGACCCGTGCGCTGAGAGTAATTCTCAACAACGCGGTCCAACTCCGGGTCCAGAGGTTCCCGAGGCCGAGATTCGTTGGCTGACACCTTTTGTTTCTTAGCCGGCCTGGGTTCAGACGATGCATCATCAGCAGGGCGTTCGGATTTTTTAGGTCGTCCTCGTCGCCCGGGCCCAGACTGCGGTTTTCCGTCGTTCTCCTTGGTGGGTTTGGTAGCTGGCGCTTTCTTCGTCGACTTAGCCGTCTTCCCGGTCCGAGGCGAGCTCTCTGCAACTGGAACAGGATCGGCTCCGGCTTCGTCCGCCTCTTCGTCACTGAGTTCTGGAAGATCCTCCTCAGGGATCATCGTCTCATCGCCAGCACTGACGCTATCATCAAACCTATCGTCGACTGGCGCAAAGGAGTCCGCATTCTCGTCGCCTTCTGCATCAGAAAACTCGCTAACAATTGATTCGTCCATCATTTTCTGACGCGCATTGTTCTTTTGGTTCTTTGGGCCAGCGTTGGCCGAGCGAGCACTCAAGGGAGCTGGATCTTTTCGCGAATTGCTTTTGGTAGCAGAACGGCCATCGGAGGGGCTGGGCGATAGGTCTTCTTCGGGCTCTGGGGAGGACTGAATTACGGGTGATCTTCGCGAAGATCTTGCTGCACCCTTTGCCGGTGATTGAGACGGTGGCGGCAAAAATGGAGAGCGTGGGTCTTTGGGGGGATTGAGAAAGTCCATGGGACCTGGGGCATTTCCTGTTGGGTCAAACGGGGATAGTTAGCAAGTCTGATATAGACTAGTTCGGACAGGCCAAGTAGGCAAACCTTCATCAATGGACATATCAGAGCCCATGGAGTCCTCATTTTCCGCATCGTCAAAACCGTTCAGTCTCGCCGGTGACTTCTCGGGGGATGAGAATAATCCATCTACTGATTCCATGCCATGTTCATCGCGTCGGCCCTCTTTTAATGTGAGACCAGTGCGCCTAAATAGTACTCCCTGCATCAGTATAGTTCGGGCGCAATCGTCAGCAGGGACCAGCTCACCTTCCCGTGGTTCCCAAATTCGAGTAGTCGAAGTCGCGAGCTTTGCCTGGACCACGAGCCATATTGGCGGAATCGAAGAAGCGACCGGCGATTCAGATTCAGCGGAAAGATGAAGTGAATCTGCGCAATTCAAGGCCAGGTGTGGAGGAGGGGAAGGAGATGAGCGATGCGACGGAATCCAATTTGGGCACGCGCGGGCACGCGCGCTAAGCCGGAACGGTCGACGCGTCTTGTGCGGCATGTCGTGCAGGAGCCCTTGTTCGCTGTTATCCCCGACTCCCTCATATCTTTTCATCACACCCCGACCAGCATGGAAAAAGACGATCTGGGAGTCGAGGCCACGCAGAATTCTCTCTCGTTTATCCCTCGCAGTGTCGACTCGGCCCGGGTGCTCTCAGGCGAGTCCTATGCCTATTACACGCCCTGCCCAACAGCAATCACACCGCACGATAAATCAAATCCAACCAACGGTGCTTCCGAGAGCACACCATGTGTGCTGGGTGTTGACGAAGCCGGTCGCGGCCCAGTCCTGGGTCCCATGGTCTACAGTGCTTTCTACCTGCCAATCGAGCTTCATCACTCCCTCCTCGCCAAAGACCACAGCTTCGACGATAGTAAAGCTCTCACCGCCGCAGTACGCGCCAACCTCATGCACCTTTTGAACACACCGGGTCATGCGCTGTACGAATCGTGCGGGTACGCTATCAAGCTGCTTTCTGCCCGCGATATTTCCTCCGGCATGATGAAACCCGGGACTGCGGTCTACAATCTCAATGCCCAGGCGATGGACGCGACGATCGAAATCATCCGCGGCGTAGTCGAAGAACGAGGGGTGGATGTGCGAGAAGTTTACATCGACACAATTGGCAACCCAGCGACATACCAGCAGAAGCTGGAGCGAATTTTTCCTTCCTTGAAAATCACCGTGGCTAAGAAAGCGGATTCTCTCTACCCGTGCGTGAGTGCTGCTAGTGTAGCGGCTAAAGTAACGCGTGATGTTGCTTTGGAAGTTTTATACGAGTCTGTGCTGCAGGCACAGGCCATTGAGAACGCTCCTACAGTCCCCGAGGGATGGGGTAGCGGTTACCCCTCAGATTCTAAGTGTGTCGGCTGGCTCCGGCGTAACATGGACCCTGTTTTTGGCTGGGGTAATGAGTGCCGCTTCAGTTGGGGTACGGCTAAGGAAATGCTTGAGGTGAAGGGAGGGGCAAGGGTGGACTGGCCGGCTGATGATGAGGATGGAAACGGCATGCTCAGCGAATTCCTCCTAGCATCGGGGCCGGGTAAGGGATCAGGTCAGAATGGCTTGCGTGAATGGTTTGGTCAGAAACAGGCCGAAATTATATGACGACATGGAATCGTCTTGTATTAATAATGAGACTTGAGCAAAGAGAACAACGATGATACTTTAATTAGGCAATGCAGAACAAAGCATGCGAACATAGGAAACACATCTCTTTGCGAGATTCACGTTACCAATACTATTATAAACAAGTTTTGCAAAACCAAAAATTGCAAAGACAAGAACGGGAAAATAAATTTGGGTATCATGGGAGAAGGTAGATGGGCGGGCCGTAAATCACAGGGTAGTGGTCGAAAAGTAGTAGTTGTCCCACAGGTATTCATAGTCCTCCACCACACTACCCACCAAATCCAACAGTGGCTTACCCTTCATTTTGCCAGTAAGACTGTGCAGCCATGTCCTGCTTTATGTCAGCGTTGGGTTTTCCTTTGCTCTAGATTGGGATGATCCGTACTTCGTGATGTTCTCGTAGAACGCGCCCCGCATTAGCCACCAACCCATGGACCATCCGCGTTTCTTCAGCTCCTCCCGTTCAAGTCCGGTAAGGCTGCGGAGGCCTCCAGCAACACGCTCACGGAAATCTCGCTTGGCAAGTTGTCGACAGCCATATTCCATTCCAAAGCCAATCAACCAAGGCCGCCAGCTTCGCTTATCTTTGCTCCATCTCTGCATTGCCAGGGCGTATACGACTGGCCGCAGTATGTACAGAACCTCGGCCAGCTGTCCTTGTCCAGTCACTCGGTGCAAAAGAGTCTTAGGAGGCTTGATATCATCAGCGGTGAGAACTTTCGAGATAAGATAATTCGATACGTCGTTAACGTCCGGAAGCGATGGGAGTGATAACCCAGTGCGAGGCATCGTCCAGCTCAAATCAGATGATCGCTCGCTGATGGGAGACTCCATCCCATTCCAGTCACTTTGGTCTTCTTCTTGTTCCATTGACCTTGGGTCAACTTCTCGCTCAGGGAGTGGGGGGTTGACCAGAGGTCTGGAATTTGTCAACCGAAGCAGAAGTAGGCGGCACACAGCTTTGGCGAATTCAATGAACACGACAACGCGCCACCTGGTCTTTTGGCCACGCCGGCGCGCCGCCATCTCCCACAGCAACTCGGTATATTGAAGCATCTGCAGCGCAAGAGCTACCTGGCGATACAACGAGGAGCGTGAGATCCAATATTTGGTATATCGAGCATGTGGGGTGGGCGTTGGTTTGGGAACGGTGGATGGAAGCTGAGAGACAACTTTGGCTACCAAAGAGTCGTGGTAGAGGGACAAGAGTTGAACACCGGAATGAACTGTCGATTTGGTCAGACGCGCTTCCTCGGGACTTGTGGGCATTTATACTCACCGCATTCTGAAGCAACTTCAGATTCGCGATATCGCCCTAGCAAGAAAGAGGAGCTGGTTTAGCACACATGCTTCACTCGAAACCACTCCGTATCGACGTCGACTCACCAGGGATAATGTAGGTCAATGAACGCAAGGCGGATTCAACCTGCCCAACCGAGCTGGCATTCTTGGTCACGAAGTCCTCGTAGACTGCGAGCCACTTAGATGGTTTCAGCATCTCCGGTGGTATTGGGTTTTGCATGTTCCGTACGGTCTCCATCGTTCAACACGATGCGACTGCGTGCTTGCGGAGAGCGGAGCGTGGCGCATGGAGCGGCCGGGGTGAGGTTAGGGAAGTCACGGGTTGCCAAGACTCACTGGGCCGAGGTCGATGCTTGCGGGCCGTTGTTGGTTCGCGATTGCTGACGTATACATACTACCGACCATGTACTTCTGCCCTTTTATGGTGTGCCCTAGGAAGCGCTTGGTCGGTTACTGATAATAGGGGTTTTACCAAAAAAAGGACCTATTTAGCCATCTGAATATGAATAGAATAGCCTTTGAATGTGTGAAATTGGATCTCTGAGACTGAAACCTGAATTAAACTTCATAAAATATATATTGATGTGCACTAAATATCTTTGGGGTAGGTATCTTTGGATTGATTGTCTTACGGCAATATTTATTTATTAAAATTTTATATTTTAATTTTTTAAATGTTAATTTTTAATATTTTTAATTTTTAATATATATATATATATAATTTTTTTTTGTTTGGAAAGGAGAGCTATGTAACATGATATAATGTGTAACATGGAGATATAATGCTCTTCATTCATCTGCCCAGGTCCAGAGGCCCCCGGGCGCATTGCCTCTCGATAACGCTCCTCGACCTTGTCACGCTCCAACCTGCTTGCAGCTTCGCGATCGGCCTCTAATTCCTGCGTGTCAGGCATATCGGTCCTCCAAAACCCCGGTGGTGTTTGGGGTCTTTGGTGAGTATGTCGATGCCTTCCGTATTGATTGGCGATGACCCTCGCTCTGGCCTCAACCAGGAGACGCTCGCGATCTTGATCGCTTAGCCCCTTTAGGAGATGCCGGTCTTCGCCTATATATTCTTCCAAGAGTCGTTGGTTTTCTGTCTCCGTGGAATTTGTCTGAGGCAATCCACCAAGACGGGCCATGGCACGGAAGCGATCTCCGCAGCATCCAGGACGCGTGCACCCGGAAATACACCTGCGATCATCTTTCTTCCTCACAACCGTGCTGTATGCGTAGTCCAGTCCCTGATTACTGGATGGGTTTATCTTAAAATGAGAAAGGCCTAGTCGATGCAGGGGTCGTGCTCTATACGGTTCATCTTCGGGATGTATCTCGGGGCAGCCTTGGGATTCTGACTCGTCATGTGGTGAAATTCCCGAACGCCGTGTAGATGCACTCGCATGCGATCGAGCCCGATCCGAACGGATGTTCAGATTGCAGGAATCCTGCGGTGATTGGGATTGCAATGGTTCCTCTGTAGGGCCGTGTGGCTGGAGGGAGCCAGATTTTCGATATGCTTTGGCTGTTCGATCAGAACGTGCCGTTGCAGAGCCCTTCGAGGCATTTTTGCTGGTTTGAATCTCGGGACTCCTGTGGCCGTTGCCTTTGGTCATTGGCGACATTTCATGTTGGTCCGCAAGTTTCTGTTTTTTTATGCCAGGCTCCTGGTCAACACGACGATCCATTCGAGCATTCCCATCGACTGGCTGCAAAGCTGACTCTTGCTGGGCCAGTTGATAATCAACTCGATTTCGGTCACCAGGGCTCCAGTTGGCCCTTTGCATTTGGCTTTCACGAGGTTTCTTTCGGTGTGTTGTTCGCTTGGTGGGTGTTTGGACAGCATTGCCGATTGCATCTAGATCCTGGGTGCTTGGAAAATGTTGTCCGATTGAATGAATGGAGTAATGTGATGGGCTCGATGAGATAGGTTCATTCTTAACGGCCACAGGCTGCTCAACAGCTTTGTCTATCGTTTCATGACGGCCGACTGGCAGGACCCGCTTTCTCTTCCGATCTTGTATACTGCCAGTAGGTAAAGGAGGCAGAGTGTCTGAAAATGATTCCGGCGGTGACACTCGACCAGTACCAGAGTTGCTCGGGTCAGAAGCCGATATTTCTGAACAATTACCGAGATCCATAGGTGGACTATTAACTTCCATTTTGACACTGGCCGTTGTCAACGTTGCATGATCTTGATCATGGCTGTGCTGGTCGTTCTCTGAGGTACCGTTCGCACGAGAAGAAGCCACATCCGTACTTGCTGGGTTGGAGCTCAAGCCAGAATTGATTCCTTGCATATGGGTGCCTTCCAATTCGAGGCTTTGAACTTTTCGAAAAGTAACCCGCGTACCATCAAGGACAAGTGTAAACTCATCAAGTTCTAACATTTTGTCCCAACGACGCAGTTTTTTTTTGTGCTGTAGAACCTTAAGTTTGAGGCTGTTCCAACCCTGCACCAGGACCTGTAAGTTGGTATATAGTGCAGTGTATTTAGCCGTGAATGTTTCTTTCATCTGGTCTGTATTTTCCGGATTGACGGCGCAGACAAGCTCGGGCCCGAATTCATCTTCAAGGCGAACAAGTTGTGCGGGAAGCTCCAAGTCTTGAGTATTGGTTTCAAGGTGGCTTAGCTCCTCGCGGAGGGCTCTCACCTGTGACTGTAGCTCTTGAATTCGGGTTTCTGCAGCCTGTTGAGCAACGGTAGAAGCTGCGGCGTTCTGTTCAGCATTGTTTGCTCTTTTCTCGAGGCTGTTGATCTGGGATGCTAGTTCTCGATTTGCTTTGATGAATGACGCTTCACATGTCTCGGCAATAGAGGCATGGAGGTCCTTGAGAATGTCCATGGGGCCTTCCATGATCAGACGACATTCAATCACGAGGAGCGACGCGACAACGCGTTCGACTGGCAAAACGCCCACCGCAAGATACACCGCCTCAATTGTACCCCCATGGGACGTACACAGCAATCCGCGGTCACGTAATGCACGTGATTTCTTATCAAAGAGCGGATCGATAAGAGGCATTTGACGTAGGGTAGCGGAGAGAGTTTCTCTGTGTATTCTCCCAAAAGTCTGCGACTATAGGACACAAATGATTGACAAGACCAACCAGCATGTCAAAGCGTCGCAGGGAACAGGAGCATTTTACCCTCCCCTTTTCCAAACGACTCCGGGAATCTGCGGGCATTCCCATTGACCGTCTGTCATCTCTAAGCAACGAACTTCTACTCCACATATTGTCGTTTCTTCCGATTTCATCACTCAGTGTGTGTCAAAGGTGCGTCTGGCTAGCTTCAATTACTGACTCTCAAGATGTTAATTTCCATTTTCTCAGACTATCTCGTCGTTTCCATGCCCTCAGTGGGGACTCGGAGCTCTGGAAGAGACAATATTATACCCAATGGGTGCGACCTCGAGCCCGTCGCCTGGCGAGTGTCAGGCGCTCAACATTGCCGACTCGGACTGAATATTCACCCAAGGTCTCGACATGGCTTGACCATGGCCATTTGGCTGAAGAGGGAAAGGTGACGAATTGGAAAGGACAGTATCGTCTCCGGCATAACTGGTCGCGCGGGACTTGTCGATTTAGAGAAGTCGAGCTTCCGCCACAGCCATTTCCCCCGGTATTAGCCAAGTTATGTGGAGCATTCGTCTTCACGGCAGACTCCACGCATGGACTTCGGGCCTGGGCGGCAAGGGAACCTGAAATCTGTCTGGCAAAAGCTTCGTTCTCAGGCCAGGCAGGGTCATCGGAGATGCTTCCGACAGCCCTTGCGGTGAGCCACTCAGAGGACAGCCAGGAAATTGTCGTGGGGTTTGAGAACGGCCATTTTCACCGCTATATTATGAATACCGAAACGTCTCAGCTCGTCCTACAATCCTCTGACTCCAGCTCTAGCAGTGGCGCAATCACCGCCATGGCCCTCTCATCGCCATACCTCTTGATGGTTTCCCAGAATAAAATTCTGTCATTACATACCCTTCAAACTGGACCACGTGGTCCAGAGACTCCCGGCGGGGCTGAGAGCTCACGCGAGCTGGCCTCCCTCAAAGCGGATAACATGGTTGCTCCAATGACACTTTGTCTTCGAAAATCAACTTTGGACATTGTGGCTACCGTCGTGTACAGCTTTTTTCACATCGGCTGTGGATGGTCTCTGGGGATCCAGGAGTTACGGTTCGACAAAACCGGCCGGCAGCTCGAGTCCCGACTTACGAGTACTGTTGATTCACAATACGGAATTCGACCGCTGCAAGGCATGTTGCCATCTGCCACGAGACGTATTTCCACTACAACCGGACAGATAGGTGACGGAGGCGCTACAGTCCCAACCACCGCAGCAATATTGCACAAACAGCCACCAACGTCCATGTCCTACTCTCATCCCTATCTCCTGACCTCTCACGCCGACAATACGTTGACTATGTACCTCGTGGTCTCGAATTCAGATAGCCTGTTTGTTCGAGGCGGCCAGCGTCTCTGGGGCCACACGTCTTCCGTATCCACTGTCCAGGTAAAAAACCGAGGGAAGGCAGTCTCGGTGAGCTCTCGAGGCAACGAGGTACGAGTTTGGGAACTCGAGACGGCCGTTCCTTCACTAGGTACACGCAGGCCTCTGAGGGAAGAAAGTAGCATCCAGATCAACCCTGAAAATAAACGGGAGAACTGTCGGACAGAAGCGGGCGATTTGGATGCGAGTTCCGATAACTCACGAGAGATGTCCTGTGGGCGAGAGTGCATTGGCTTTGACGAAGAACGGGTCTTCCTCCTTCGAGAAAGGACAATTGGCACGCAGCTACTGGAATGTTATGATTTTACGTGAAGACGAGAGACTTTGAGATAGGGCATCGATGCATGCATTCATTCAGTCTTTCCTGATCTCTCCTAGGTGTTTGTTCAGACGCCAGGTCGAATTTGGCATCAGATCCGATCTCTCTTACTCCCTCCGCCAGGCCTATCTTTCCTGTTCACACTAGATTACATCCAATGATAGTATTTCGGCTTGATACTCGACCGCCTTCAGTCATCGGCTCTGCCACCTACGCGATCATATACCCTTCTTTTCGAATCAGTCTGGAATCCGAAACAGGCATCTGAAAGATCAGGGAAAGGGTATCAAAGGAGACAAGAAGGGGTCGTGGATGCATCTATCCCCTTGATAGTGCGCCCTGGATGAGATCGTGAAATTTTTGATACTGGCCCTCTGGAAGTTGATCATGTTGGAGTTGAGGCAGGATGGTTTCCGAGGAGCAAAATAAGACGGGACGCTAACGCAGGTCCTGCGACCCGCCGGTAGCACAAGGTACTCGCCGTCTCCATGCAATGGGGACCCTTGCGGTGTTCGTGTCGCCCGAGATATAAAGGACGCACTACCCCGAGCATCGGCGGTCGTTTGGCATTTGCAGGACTCGGGCAAGCCTATCCAGGTCCTTGTCTATCAAAATGCGCCCGCGCACCCAGGGGTCGCTGATCACCTGCCTGCGTTGAAGTAACCCTGTTGGGCTTTTGTGCTATCCGTTAGCCCATATGGCAGGCTGTTATATTCGTCTCGGTCAAACTGAGACCAGACACAAGCGCTCGCGAAAAAGACACAATAAAATTAAAAAGGAGGAGGTCATCGCTCAGCATTACTAGTTCTCGGGAAACCGGAACGCATTGCATCGCTGTGTCCCTGGGCCTCAATCCCCGGCAGCATTCTCTCTCACAGGGCCTTGCCATAGCGTGGTCATGAGGTCTCATTCACCGAGCAAGGGAATTTGATCTGATCCTGTTTGACCAGTTGCGATCACAAAGCAGGGAGGGGGAGTTTGGCAGAATAGACGGGCTATCTTAGATACCAGGCGCCCGCCAACCCATCTGAAGTGTCAATGGATTGTTGCATGATGGAAATCAGTACCGCAGCTGGATCTCTGAGGTCCAGGTGCATTTCCCGGTGTACATCGGTGCACATCGGTGCCCTGTACTGGTGTTGGCCTTGGGCGGGTTGGGCCGAGCGAAACGAGGCGTGGCTCGAATCTTCACGGGAAGTTTTCTCCTCAGGCCCCCGCACTACAAATTTCCTCCTTCCCACCCGTCTTTCCTCTGTCGACCTCCCACCTCTCAACCACCTCCCTCCACCTTTTTAACCGCTGATTTCGCTCTCGCTTCGACGAAAACATCTACCAAAATGGATCCCCGCTCTCGATCTTGCTACAACTGTGCGTATCTTCCAGTCCTGCAGCTTCTTGCTGAGGCTCGCCTACGGCACACACAATCCAAGCTTCGCTCCCAAAGACCACCAGTTCTTGAGCAGAGAAGCTTGGATAAAAAGTGTTTCTGATTCGCGTGACACCTGAATCTCCTACATTTTCTCTGTCTCTACTTTGTTCTCACAAACGCGGTCGTCCGATCGCACCGTGTATTTTTGACTGACATTTTTTCCCTCGTTAGGCGGTGACGCATCCCACCAGGTAAAGACTCGCTTCGTTCCTTGGTTTCCTTCAGCTCGCCCAGGATACGGCCTTCAATGGCAGGAATTGAAAGGTTATGTTCATTAAGTGATACTAACTCGTCGACATTTAGGCCAAGGATTGCCCCAAGAAGGGTACCCCCACCTGGTATGTGATTTTCGGCACCCCAAAATCCAATCAAAATGGGAGGACTAACGTGTTCACCTATAGCTACAACTGCGGTGGCGAGGGCCACGTGAGTAAGTGACGCTCTACAACCAGGCCAGCGGCCCCGATGGTGCGCATCAAGTCACTAATCGTTCTCAGACCGCGAGTGCCCCAACCCTCCCAAGGAGCGCACTTGCTACCGTTGCGGTATGACCGGACACCTGTCTCGTGAGTGCCCCCAGGGCGGCGCCCCCCAAGCTACGGTGGTGCTCCTGGTGGTGGCCAGGAATGCTACAAGTGCGGCCAGGTTGGTCACATCGCTCGCAACTGCTCCCAGGGTGGTGGCTACGGCGGTGGTTACGGCGGCGGTTACGGCGGACGCCCCCAGACTTGCTACTCTTGCGGTGGTTTCGGCCACATGGCCCGTGACTGCACTCAGGGTCAGAAGTGCTACAACTGTCAGTCTTCTCTTCTACTGCCTTGCTGACTATATAGCCTATACTAACTCGGTTTCCTAGGCGGCGAGGTTGGCCATGTTTCCCGCGACTGCACCACCGAGGCTCGCGGCGAGCGCGTCTGCTACAAGTGCAAGCAGCCCGGCCACGTCCAGGCTGCCTGCCCCAACTAAATGCCAAAAAAACAATCACCCCAAAATCCGCGACGTCTTTTCCTTTTGCCCTGTTCTTCTTTGAGTGGGCTATGAAACGATAATTCTTTTTTCTCTTTTTCATTTTGCATGTTCCACGATTTTGCCTATTTCCCCAGGTTATTTTGACTTTGTATTATCACTCACGGATTGAATCACGACCATGGGCTTTTTTCCTTTGCATGTGTTCCCGATAAGGCTGCTGGTGTGCTTGTGGCGCATAGGTGGAGATCGAAGTGCAACAGGCGATTTGGCTTGCAAGTAAATGGGTATGGGATTCTTTTTGGGCGCTCTACAGGAGATATTTAGGTGCATGGGGAAATGCATATCGACCTCTCCCACACGGCTCTTTCTTCCGTACTCTCTTCTGTATTAGGTACTACATTTCGTACTTTGCCCTGCTTTCACGAGCTGCAGCTGCACATCATGGCTCTCTTATACTTGGGGACATCCCCACAGAACCGCTCCTCTTCTGATGCATCCAGACCCCAGGCATCGTTGAATGGGTTGAGGCACATCTGCATGACCCGGCCTAGAATTTCACGGTCACCTTTTCGCTCCACGCGCTCAATGACTTCATCTAGAATCCAACCTCGGGGAACAAACTAGTGAACCACAGGTGTCAGTAGATTTCCAATATGGAGAATGGAGTCAGTCTCGTATGCGGGCTAGGTGAGGCATCTTACGTTGGGGTTCACGGCCTTCATGGCTCCCTTCCTTTCGTCCTCTTTATCAGCTCCCCAGTCTTCCAGTGCCCGTGCTCGCCAGCTTTCAAGCCACTTGGCGATGCGGTCCCGAGCGGAGGCATCAGTGTAACCAATACCGCCAAATCCCTCCGCGTGGAAGAAGATTGACGCAACCTCGGCTCTCTTTTCTTCGGTTTCCAGCTCGGACAGCGAGAGGCCGGAGAGGCGGCGGAAGAAATGGTTGAAATCCAATTCCAGCGCCTCTAAGGTGTCGAGCATTTCAGAAAAGAGGTCCTGGAAGTCGGACTCCTTTTGCGTCTTGAGGCCCAGTCGTTGGCACATCAACCGCTTGTACTCGTTCAGAAATACGGCTTTGAATTCCTCGCCCGCTCGCTCAATGACGGTTTCCGCACGCTTGATAATCTCTGGCTCCATCTCTTCGTTGACACCGTCCTTGATGAAGCTTTCTTCGTCCACTCTGCCGCCGGCGCCGATCAGCTCCCCGAGGGACTCGCCAAGTCGGACCAGATTCCACCAGATGATGCTGGGCTGGTTTTTGTAAGAATACCGTAGCATGTGGTCATCATGATTAGGAGTGTAGTGAGGGTCGAAGTTATCCATAAAGGCGAATGGGCCATAGTCGAGCGAAAGACCATAGATGGAAGTATTGTCCGTATTCAAAACGCCATTCATGAATCCATAGGCTTGCCATGCAGCGACTGTCTTAGCATTGCGTCGGGTTATCTCGCGATATAATCTCGCAAAGCGATTTTCTTCGGCCCCTTCGTGTTCTTGCACCTTCTCTCGAGAAACTTCTCTTCGAGGATTGTCTATTTCGGCCTGCGATTGCTCTTCGCGGATAGATACGGCTGCAGGAAGATTTCCCCAGCCGCCAAATACATCCTCTGCGATATACGTAGCCAACTGTCTGATCAGGTCCCGCTCGCCTCGCACTCGGAGGAGATCGAATGTTCCAATCCGCAGCCAGGTTTCCGCGAATCGCGCCACAATTGCACCGGGCTCGATCCGTTCACGAAGAACCTTGGATTTGGGCAGCAAGGTGATCGACAAAGCACGGGTGGTCGGCACGTTTAAGGCATTGAGGGCTACCAAGTGTCAGCAACAGGAAACGGAGCTCCACGGATAAAAAAGGGGACGAGAACCCCGGGACTTCTCACCCTCGGATACTATGTATTCACGGATGCTCGATCGAAGGACGGCCTTGCCATCTGCAAACCGCGAATACGGAGTTCTACCTGCACCTTTGAGTTGCAACTCATAGCGAGTGTTGGTGTACGGGTTGGTGCTTTCAAAGAGGCTAATTGCACGCTTTCGTGGTGGTCAGCCGAGACTCTTGCATCCGACAAAAAATCGGGGGGATGTGCCGCAAACATACGCCATCTCCCAGTTGGCCTGCCCACGAGCCGCTGCGACGGGGTCAGTGTTCGACATTCCTCGCGGTGGCAAAATCAAATCGTAGTGATCCGGCGGTATACTTACAACTGCCATCCTGCCGTTTTGAGCCGAGGTTAGATATCAAAATTCGCTTGCGTCTGGAGCTTCGGGTGAGCCACTCACCACCGTAGCACTGCGCCCATGGGTAGATCCCTCCTTTTTCTTCACTCCAGGGAAACTCATTGCCGGCAACCAGTGCCTGTAGATGTGACGAATTTTCCTCGCTGGGATCCAAGCCCAGATCTTGCATGGCCCGGGGACTGACACCCAGAAGCTCGGCTTCCTCTGCTGGCTCGGGGCGCACATAGGTAAACAATGCGCCCCTGACCATCCGAGGCCCTAGGGTCTCCCGCGGCGCCTTGTGCGAGGCCTCCGGGGTTTTGAAGGCCGGGTCCGCCGGTAGCTTCGAGGTGAAAACATTGGATTTAGGCAGCTCGGCGAGGGTGACCCCGGCGCTGCTGGTCGAAAATTGAGAAGCCATTTGGCCCAATCGGTTCCGGGTCGATGGCAATGGGCGCAGGGCTGAGGACATGTGTTGGCGTCCGAGGCTAACGACACAGAGTGAGCGAGCCACACGCATAGGGGGTGTATGAAGATGAAAGTTGTGATTGCGGAGAATCTCAAAGTGACATCATGACCATTATTAATCGCAACGGAGGAGATCGGACATCATAACTAGTAATTTACTGTACTACCATATGTATGCCTTACGTATAGTACATGGAATAATGCAGGTATTGCCAGATGCACATCGATCCTCGAAGTGGGAAAGCGTACCTGGGAATGAAATCCACACCTCGTCAGCGATGCCCTGTTCATGCAGGCGGCGCCGCTGTGATCGATCCATTCCAAGAATGATCTTCTCTGCGGAAAAGACCCGCCCCGCCAAATCCACGGCCCCGCGATGGCGACAGTATTTAGACCCTCCTGTCCCTCGGGAAAGGGCTTCATCCGTGGATCTTACATCGGCACTGGCATTATGGTGAATATCACAATTCCATCCGTGCAACTCAATGATGGCACCTCGGTTCCTGTCGTGAGTGAAGAACTCTCCCCGGGCCCAGGTTTCAGTTGGTGCCGCTCAGTCGACTCAGACTAACCCATTGTACCGGGTCCTTGTGATTAGCTAGGATATGGGACGGGCACTGCATGGTATAAGACCTCTGGGGATACTAGCATCAACCGTGAGCTGGTTGAATCGGCCAAAGATGCCGTGAAGCTGGGGTTTCATCACCTCGATGGCGCCGAAGTCTATCGGACAGAAGAAGAACTGGGCCACTCGATCCAGGAAAGCGGGATTCCTCGCGAGCAGCTGTTCGTCACCACCAAGGTGAATCACGCCCGCATCGCCGAGATCCCCGCCGCGATCGAATCGAGCCTCAGGAAGCTCCAACTCGACTATGTGGATTTGTAAGCCTTTCTCTCCCTCTCGCGTCTTCCGCCGGTGCCTGTTTCGATGGATTATCTGATTATCTGACAACGCGAGTGAAGATATTTGATTCATGCTCCGTTTTCGGCAAATAACGAGGCTGAATTGCAAGCCGCATGGGCGGCAATGGAGCAGGTCAAGGCAACAGGGAAAGCCCGGTCCATTGGCGTCTCCAACTTCTTGCAGAGCCACCTGAAGACGATCTTGAAGACCGCCAAGGTCGTTCCCTCTGTGAATCAGATCGAGTTTCATCCTTACCTCCAACATGGGGAGCTGGTCCCGTTCCAGGAGGCCCAGGGAATCAAGACCGTGAGCTACTCGGGTTTGGTCCCCATTACTCGTGCCCTGGGTGGCCCACTGGACCCTCTCCTGTCTTCCCTGGCCGAGAAGTATGGTGTGAATGAGTCCGAGATCTTGCTCCGTTGGACTCTTGACCGGGGTTGTGTGGCGATCACCACCAGTAGCAAGGAATCCCGCCTGGCAAGCTATCTGCGCGCGTTGGCGTTCAAACTGACCCCGAGTGAGGTGGATGAGATTTCTAACTTGGGTCAGCAGAGACACTACCGGGCATTTTGGCGAGAGAAGTTTGCCTCGGATGACCGGTCGTGACCAAGCGGCGCGAGTCGGTGGAGATCCAGGTATATACTCAGTATAAACAGGCATCTATATCAATCTTAAATACGCAGTGCATATCCATGCGCAATGCGTATGAGCTGCCCTCCAATTGCAACTGAGGGTGACTATCATGGGATGACCTGCACATATAACCCCTCACCTAGTCGGTTAAGTTGGACCCCCTTGACTCGATTTATCGAATTCCCAGGGATTTTCTTTTTCCTTTTCTCTTTGTAATGGCAGCCGCGGAGTAAACCGAATAGATCCCCCAACACCCATTTCCGCAGCCCAAGTAAATGAGGTTCAAAAGAGCAGAAGCTCTTGCTCGTCACGACTCACTCGCTCTGGAGAAAAAGAGGGTGGGTGAAGTACAATCAAAATTCAACTAGTAGACCAGGAGCGACGTGCATATTGCGTGTTCCTTCCCCCAAAAGCGGCGAGGCGGCACCCCCGAAAAAGAAACCCCGGACAGAATCCCCATTTCGCAACCTCGACCCTCCTTCACCTTCATCTCGAAGCCACCAACTTTCCGGTCATTGGCAGTCGGTCGACTCACGGCCCATCGCGAGGCAGTACCCTGGCAGCACGCGCCATAAGATGCCCTGAAGGGATCCTCTTTCCCCGAGGCCCGCAGATCTACCCGCCTTCGATGTTTTGACCCGCAATCGACTCTCCCTCCAGCGCATTCGACACCGCGGTTACAAACAGTCCAAATCGCACTTACGCCTCGATCATTTCAGCTCACAGCCACCCCCTCCGAAACATCACCCGAACCTCATCGATGGTGAACTCGAAGCAGATCGCAAAATCCGCGGATTGCGATGTCGGTGAACGACCAACCTCCCTCTGCAGATCCGACACTCTCTAGTCAGGCGTATGCATCTGACCTTGAAGCCCTGGACCATCGATTAAAGCGCCTCTCAGAAACCGTACTCCCACTTCACCCCTATCTCCTGACCCTGCCGACGAATGCACCGTTCCGCTTGGGATCCCGCTCTGCGAACAACAATTGGGCAGTCGGACATGACCGACCGTTCAGCTCAGAGGAACAACAGCTTCAATATATGACCTTCTTATCGCACCACAGCGGAGATTCACTGCTTGTGGCCGTTGGCGACTGGTCAGACGACTCAGGGCGCATGATGACCGATCAACCCACAACCACAACCGCGACAGAGAACCCAAGAGACACGATCGCCAAGAAAAAGATCAGTCTGAAGGACTATAATACACAGAAGGTCACCAACGTCGTGGCCACCCCCGCAGAAAATCGCGCTCGAGAGCGGCGGGAGGAAAGCAAACGCGAACGCGAACGCACAGCAACGTCACCGCGAGTGACAAACTCGGAACTAGCGAGAAACGGCAAGCTTGATACAACACCCATTCCCTCGAAATCGCAAACACGACCATCCCCCAATCAAGATTCGCAGAAGCGGCCGTCGGCAACCTTGTTCGAATCCCTGGATCCACAAGCAGCCAAAGGCACGGAAATGCACTCTCCAAAGAAGCCGCGATTATCTCCCGAGAAAGAGCCGCGTATAGAAAGCGTGCCGGCGAAGTCGCGCTCCCCTAGGCTGCCTGCTCTTCTGTCGCCCACACTGCCCCCCACAGCGGCCCCCAAGCTGCCCCGGCTGTTATCACCAACCCTCCCACCAGACATCGAGAAAGAGCTAGCAAGGCTCGGAGGCAACTCTCCAACCCGCACATCCCCCAAACGCGAAAGTACTGGGGCGAGGTCGAAGCGGGACGACGTTTCTCATCCCCGATCCTTAGCATCCGCGAAAGACCCCTCTAAGCCGAACCCGCTACAGCGCATTGTCAGTCTCAAGTACGGAAAGTCGAATCGAAAAAGAGTCGAAGCTCTCCTGAAATTCTCGGCGAAGAAGACCCTATATCGTACCAACTTCTCGCCCGGCACGGAAACGGATTATGAAGAGGCTCCACACTCCGAAAAGAAAAGAGATGATGTTGACCCCGTTCGCAATAATATTGTGTCTAAGAAACCCAAGACAAAAGGCAGGAATGAGACAGATGAGACCGCGGGTCCGGTGAGCGGACGGGTCAAAGGATTCAAAGCCTCTAGCGATAAGCCTTCCACTCCAACATTTCATCCGCCTACGCAGGATAAGATCAAACAGACCTCACTGACACCCGTGAAGGATGTCAAAGGGATGGTCTCGCGTCGCCATGACCCCGGAGATGGCGATGGCAAGACCCCCGTCAATCCAACCAACAAGCGATACTCTACTGAGCTGGGAGCAAAAGGATCGCCCTCCCAATCAGAAAGCCGTTGTCGCAACAGCGACCGTCGAGCATGGCGAGACGAGTTCCAGAGGTTTAGCAACATAGGTCGAGAACTGAAGCATGCCGCAGAGCGATACACAACAACGGCTGGGACTTCGTCTACGGACGAGAAGTTGGCTGCTGTAACCGCAATTGAAGCCATCCTCTGCTTTGTTCTTGCTTTTGTTGCCGATGACCAATCCAAGGCCCTTGCACGGCAAACCGGTGACTCCTCAACGTGGATTTCTATCTTGGCATACTGGAGAGTGGTCCGGAAAAGGAGCCAGTCATATCCAGTCCTACACAGTCTTTCACTCCTTCTAGGGGCCGTCTCCTACGATGCAATCCACGCACTTGACCTCGAACGCCTTGCTGCCAGTCCACTACCAGGGGAAAACACCCCGGTTCCCACACCCGGAAGCGATAGCCACGCCGTGCCAGCCGACGAGAGCAAAAAGGGATGGGAAAAGTTTCTGGAATTAAAAAATCGACTCCCGGAATGTTATAAGGAATCCCAAAAACTGTGGCTAGAAGGGACACGAAGACTCTCAGAAGACATACTCAGCCAGCATTTTCCTACCACTTGGTCGCGACGATCCCATAACTATGCTGAGCGAGGAAAATTACCCCTCAAGGCCGGTGAATATGTCGGTGACTATTTCCTCCCACTCGGGGGGACTACTCCTCCTATTGAGATCGTGCGATTTGGCTGGTCACTTCTTCACGAGTGGTGTTCTCAAGAAGGAGTCGAGTGGAATGGGCGTCTTATCCTTTGAAGCCCAGTCATCGACTATACCAATAGCTCGCTTTGCCCTGATTTTCATGTTAAACACTCTCCATTTAACATCTTTTTGCGAGGCTGCCGCATTTCGGTAGTATGGCGTTTCAGAGTTATTTGCCTAAGTGATTTTGTCCACATGATACCACGAGCGCCGGGACTTAATGCAATTGTGGCCTCTTGAACTTTTCCAAGATCACCCGGCCAATACAGTTGATAATAAATATCAATTGTAATGAAGAAAGAAAGGTCCATATTCGTGAATGCCATCAATTCCGGTAGATTGGGGATTGTACGCCTGTAATATCTGTTGTGCCTAGACAAGTGACAAAAAAGTAGGATGAACGGTAAAACAGGGATATTCGAGTGATCATAAGATGAATTGGCTCCAACAAAAACACGGATAGAGAGAAGGGTAGGGGGTCGCTTGCAAATTGAAAAGAGGGAACAAAAGCTGCAGGCTAAACCTCTGGATAGTCAGATCGAATCTCGGAGTTAGAATCGCCAAAAAGCCACCCAGCCTCACGACAATAGCGAGCCTCTCGGCCATATATGCCGACTTCACTTGCCCAACAAATAACCGAAGCATCGACTATGTCTGCGATAACACCTTCGATAGAGCCCAGGATAGTCCAGCCGATCGTGCCTGCGATTAGCCCAACCACATAGCCATATAAACTACCTCGAATTGTACCACTGGCGCCAGACGACGTCAAGCTCCGAGCTGTGGTGACCCAGCCACCGAATCCGAGTGCCAATGACATGATAAAGCGAGCAGCATGCAAAATCAACTTGGAAAGCCGGTAGGAGAGCAATGAAGGGGAGCTTCCCGGGGAACGAGAATAGGAGCGAGGATGTAGAGACGTAGAGGCAGCCGATGGAGCAAGAAGTGCCATTTGACTAAGCCCACGTGCAGAGGCAGCCAAAGGTTGGGAGTGAATGGCGGCGTACGTAAGGGAGAGGGGATTGGTCAAGTAAGCGATTGGAGTCGGTATGAGTGAATAGGCAAAGAGGCTCAGCAGCGAGAAGAGACGGGTAGGAAGCAAGAGCAGAGGGAGCCGGATCAGCAGTCCAAGCAGCCGGGACAAACAGATGGTTCCGAACAGAGTTGTGGTTGCATGCACCACAGCCGCTTGCACGATCTGCTTGGAAGTAGGGGCTGGGCTTGCTAGACGATGGAAGTACCATTGGCTCACTGTTGCCGCCGTGACGGCGCGCTGAATTCCGGCAATCACTCCAACCGACCACAAGTAAAATATGACGAAGTAGACACCTAGCCACCAACTGCTCAAGTTGATGATAAAAGACCGTGGGCTAGCCAAATGACCTCCCAGGAACACGCGTGTAAACATGAGCATCCAGACCCATGTCCAGCAGACGACGCAAACAAGGACCCCCAGACCTAAGCCAAGAAGTTCAGGATTTGCGGCCAGGATTCGACATGAAAATTCGAGAACACCTATTGCCTTTCCGATCGAGCGGCGACCTCGGGAAACGTTGTAGATCCACAAGCCAGCCATCACAAAGGGGACGATAGAGCCCCAGCGCATTGCTCTATCCTGAGTGCTTGATCCGTGCCAGGTGCCTTTGAAGCTCGAAATGAAAGGGTAGAGGGAGAATGAGAATAGAATGACTGGCACCGCCACAATGATTACGTAGACCAAAAGTCGTACGTAAGATCGAAGGAAAGCCAGCCAGAGGAGAGATATGAGGACCGACACGAGAGTGTAGATCCCAAGGAGAAAAAATGATCTGTGGACGGTCAAGTAGATTGTATCGCCCCATTTAGACAGGTCCCCAGATGGAGAAGACGTGTGCAGGTAGACCAAAAACGCCGTCGCGAACAAACCGGCCGACGCAATCAGGAACAATTGGCCCCAAAAAGCATCATGCAACGAAGCCTCCGAGGCAAGAGGTGACATTGATGCGGGAGAAGACCCACCGCTTGAGCTTGACGGCCGGGGGTCATCCGGATAGTAGGAATTGATACGTTCTGAAGGAGGGGCATGAGCCGTAAAGTCGAGAGGGCTCTCTGCCAATGACGGTTGCTCTCGAAAACGCTGAATAGGGGGGTCATTGGCAGCAGAGTCCGGCAGAGGCCGGTGGTCCCCATTGTCGTTATGTCGAAGTGAGTCTTCAAGCCCGATATCAACTAAATTTCCTCTGGCTTTGTGACTAATAGTGCCCGATTCAGAACCTGTGTCGTATTCCACCGCTTCGGTCACAGTCTCAATGCGAGAATGATGAGTTGCGGGGACTCCGTTCTCGCCGCGCCATGAACTCTTGATACCTTTGCCATTGCCAGGCCGGTTATCGTAGGTGTATCCTTCATCCAGGCCCGTAGAATGTTCCGAGTCGTCATCAATTTCCGAAGATTCCTTCAAGTTGCTATCACCGAAATGCCGCCTTGACCGTTGTAGCGCATAAAAGTCAGCGATTTCGCGCTCCCGCTCAGTTTCGTCATCCTCTTCCCGGAATTCATCGGTGGCACTGTAGAACAAGGGGGCCGGTTGAGTAGAGGCCCGAGAAGCAAACGGCAAGTTTGATATCTGAGAGGCCCCTGGTCGATAAGGGTCGCCGGCTTTTAAAAAGGAGCGGGAGGAAGGGTTCCGTGAGCTGCTGTGGCGTTGGTTCGGATGGGCACGACCGGTTCTCTGGAGCTCGTCCGGGCGAGGTGCTATCCGGGATTGTGACTGAGCAAGAAATCGAGATGCATCTGGGGGTGCTCATGGTTAGCCAGCATCGGGTGACAGGTCATGGCAAAGAACATACATTCCGAGAACATGGCCCACTAGCGGGAGATCGGGTGGAGATGAGAGGAGGGAAGCTAAGTGAGCCAAGATTTAGATATTATATGCATAAGAAAGGTAAAGGCAAGAGAGAGAGAAGAGATGAGAGCGTAGTCCGAGCCTTCTCAGTCTCCCTCCAGAAGAGTTGCCGATCAATCTAAGGTCATTCAGGTGATGCAAGCGATCCCCAAAAGCGTCATCCGTCATCCGCGCAGGTCAGGCCGCGATAGCTGACTCAGCCTCCCGATAGCTCGTCCGCATTACCATAAGCATCATCACTGCGACTTGCGACTTGATTTGCGACGTGCGACCCTTTCCTCAAACGTTGACCAGCTCGATTCGCATTCTCACTGTCTGTCCTTACAACGAGGAAGAACCTTGTCTCAGATAGCATTTGGCTCTTATCTGCCGTATGATCGAATGATCATTGCAGACTCCAGTCTGTCGCCACGCCCGACAGCTTTCCATCCCATTTTTGGAAGTCGAGACTCTCTCCATGTCACAGCCATGGGACTATATTGCTAAGCTTGTCTGCATTGGTGATTCTGGGACCGGCAAATCCAGCGTGGGTGCTCTCACATCTATAGGCCATGCAACTTCCACACACACACACACAGACGCTGACAGCATCGCTAGCTCACCATTCGCCTTTGCGAAGGCCGCTTCTCCCCTTCCCACGATGTCACGATAGGAGTGGAGTTTGGCTCGAGGATTGTTCCGGTTGGGCCTCCCGCTTCTCTGGAGTTGGGAATCAATGAGCTCTCTCACACCGCAACTGGCCCCCTCAGCGATGCGCCTTCAGATGAGTCTGTCAACTCGGGCCTCCCCAGCCCTCCACGAAAGCCCCAGAATCCTGCCAACCAGAAACGCATGAAACTATCGCTCTGGGATACAGCTGGGCAAGAAACATACAAGTCCATCACCCGATCCTATTTTCGCGGCGCATCTGGCGCCTTGCTCGTCTTTGACATCTCGAGGCGTTCGACCTTTGTTTCGTGTACACAATGGCTCCAGGATTTGCGCCAAATCGCAGAGGAGGGCATTGTTGTTATTCTGGTCGGCAATAAAACAGACTTGGCCGGGCAGGGTTCCGGTTCAAATCATAGGCAGGTCACCCAGCAGGAAGCAGAGGAATGGTGCCGTATGAACAACGTGATACGCTACACCGAAACCAGCGCCAAGTCTGGGGATGGTGTGGAGCGGGCTTTTTTGGAAGTGGCTGAACGGATATACCGTAACATCGAAGTTGGCAAATATGACCTGAATGATCGTCGCAGCGGGGTGAAAGGATTCGGTGCATCCGGGGGTGCCAACACTGGTGTGCCGAGAACAGTCACCTTGGGAATGGATGATGCTATGCGTAGGGGCAGTGGCTGGAGCGGGGGCTGTTGCTAAATCTCTCATGGTCGAGGGTGCAGGGTTCTCCCAGATGGGGTGCCGTAATTTCATCTCGGCTGTACATACTGATTGGAAAACGTCTGAAATTGGGGTTTATGCTACAGCGATATTTCTAGCAGACCGGGACTGGGGAGTGTCACATCGAAAGAAATTTCAATTTTGATCTAGAGCACAGTTAGACCAACTAGAACAACATGGTTGCTAATTCAAATGAGGCTCCGCCCATCCATTACATTCACGTACTTCACGGGTCAAGATGCGAGTAAGCATCCTGTCCCACAAGTCTAAGTCAGTTCCTTGGCGATATCACTCATCTCTTCAGTTCGATATCTTCCAGCCAGGGAGCCAACGCAGGTGAGTCCACTGCTGATTGGAACCTTCCATGCCAAAGACTATGGCCCGGAAGTGGACAAAAAGGCCGATGGTGATTGAATAGAGGATGGTGTAGACAACGATGGAGGATTTGACACCCATCCTGCGAGTGACCCAATCAACGCAAAATGCGAAGGTGAGGATGGCATAGTAAAGCGCTGGGTAATAATGATGAACGTAGGTCACTCGGGCCATAATGATGAATGGAAGGTAGTGCAGAACCCAGCCGATCGCAGGATACAGGCCAGAGTAGTGGATATGGTCGATATCGGCCTTGCTAAGATCCTGGTAGCCTCTCTGCCACCGCAGAAGGTACCAAAGAAATAGTAAGCCAAATCCCAAAAGGCCAGCAGAACTTCCCCAATAGACAAGAGGATTGCCAAGGAGATAATATTTCACAACATTGTCGTCCCAGGAGCACATCCGCAGGCCAACATTGAGAATTGGCCATTGCCAGAACTTCGAAGCCAGGTCATCCTGTTTGTCTGGGTCGGGAACCAGAGCATTGTTTGACGTCATCATCGCAACATTCAAATGAATGAAGTCCTTGAGGAAAGGCGACCTATACGAGCCAGGGTCACCCGGAGGCACTAAATATGCACTATTAGAATCCTCTTTCCAATATCATCAAAAGAAATTGTAGTGCAAAACTTACACCGATCGTTCGTGTGGGACTCCACATTCCAGTGGGTATAGACATCTCCGGGCTTGTTTTCCTTGACACATGTTGTTTCAATCTGCTTGAATCCCCACTGTGGAAGATTGACATTGCCAGCTCGTAGGTAGCAGCCTAGCACAGGGTGGCGAAGCCGGAAGGCTGTGGTGAGTGTCCGAATCTTAGACCGGTCTCTAGACGCAACGTCGTTTACCACTTCCACCTGCCAGTGATCCTTGTCGTCCCCGATAGTTGTGTTTCCGTAGCAGGATACCTCGTAATGGGACTTGGAGACCGGCGCCGGAATGGAATGAGAATGCAGGTTCCGGCCTGTCTGTCCATGAATGAGACGAATAGTATCACCATCGCCAATGAATTTCAAATCGCCATTGGGGTCAAACTCCGGCTCATGTCGGTTTGGGTACATAAACCAATCATTATTAGCGTCTTTATGGTGGTAGCAGGTAACCTGTTGTTGGTTCGATCCTTCTGGGTAGGTCTGGACGTGCGAATGCAGGAGACCGCCGCCATAGCCCATATTCTTTAATGTGACTCGTGACCCCAATGCGATTTCAAGAGGACTGTCTTTGCCAACCTCAGTGCCACGTAGATTCGCCTGAAACAGGGAGCTCATCTGAGCATCGCCCGGGCCACTGTTGGATAAAACAAGGAAGTGCAGATAGAAGGAAAACATGTACACCAAGATCGGGATGACAATGAGTCCTCCCACCCGGGCAACAAGATGTTTTGCAAGCACGGTCTAGACATAGTTGTTAGTCCGCTGTGATTGGTTGACGATTCTGAATACTCACTCGAGGCATCTTCAGATCACCAAACTTATTCCATAAATCTTCAATTGTGTACAGGCCAACAATTGCGGTGCAGAAAAAGCCAACCCATTTGACGCTGCAAACACAGCCGATACTAAGTCCGGTCAAGCACAGCCAGGCATACCACTCCAGAGAAAAACTAGAGTGTTGCAAACGATGGAATTTTGCCCAACACATTGTTGTAGTGAAGGTAAAGCAAAGGAGCATTGAGTCCAGGAGGATAAAGCGGGAGATGGTTGCATAGGAGTTCTCGAACAGAACCATCAGAGCAACCAGCCACACCGTGGCCCGGCGAAAGTTCAACTCGCGAGCCGTATAGTATGCCAGAGGAACACACACAATTCCAAATGCAGCATTGAAGGCCCGCATAAAGGTGAAATTAACATCCTCGGGGTATTTCTCGCCGGATTTGAATTCAAATGATCCATTGTAACCAGCCAGGTAGCCTGAGAGACCCACAAGCATCTTTCCAAGGGGAGGGTGTACATCGAAATAAAACTCGCGTTTCAAATAGTGGGACCCGAATTTTCCGAAGCTAAAAAAGTTAGAGATATTTTATGGGGGTGACTCCAGGGGTTTCGCGATCTTACTGGGCTTCATCCCAGGTAACAATGTTGGAACGACCGATGCGATACAACCGAGTGAAGAGGGCGAGTGCTGTTAGAACAAGAGGAGCAATTATAGGTTCCCAGTGGTTCAGGACATGTAAGAAGGAAGGCGACTTGAGAAACTTTGTTAGCAGGTGGTCGAGCTCAACAGTTGAAGACCTTACCTGGCTGGGCTTGCTCTTCTTCATATCCACGTCAGGAACGGGCGCGGACGTCTGGGATCTTCCGGTATCTGCGACATTCCTGCGACGCAGGTCGGCATCATAATGGGATCCCGTACTGGTGGCAGTATCCATTGCTGCCATGATGGCGGGCTCGAATCAAGGAAAGGCTGTAGAACCAGAAGGGTAAGGGGTAGAAACACTGGAGCCGAATAGAAACGAATGACAGTGGAGGAATTCAAAAAATCATAGTGGCCACAGGAGCCACAATGAAAGAAATGGCGAAATCGTTGGCCTTGAGGGAAGGGGCAAAAGAAAAGGGAGGGGGGGAGGGATAGAAAATCAAAAAGAAAGCTGAAGTCGGGAAGCTCTGAGGTGGCCAGATGGATACACAGAGCCGCTTCCGCTTTAGCGCCTTGAGGGGCCGTTTTCGTGGGTACCAGAGTTTGACACCTTCAAAACGAGGTGTCAATACTTTCCGAATCAATTACCTAGTATTTCACCAGATTTATAGACGTGATACTTTACCTGGTAGTGTTGAATATTTCTCGTCCATGAGACTTGTAGGATATCAATATTATTTGTTCTTAATCAGTCCTCCCTTTCAGTTCCCAGGTAAATAAATTCTCACGACTCCGAATTACCACCCAGGGACTCAAGGTCAAGGAGTCATCACTGGGGACTTTAAGCTAGTGCTCCTATAGGAGCAAAGCCACTCCCATGCTCCGATCCTATGACACCTATAGTGAAAAAAGAGATTGCGCCCACAGTCTCACACTTCTATCCCATATAAGTTTTTCTAGTCCCATGTCCTATGGTCTATGGTCCTATCTATGTGAAGGGCTACGGCCGAATTGATTCAATTGAGCGGTGCCAGCATGCTGTTTATCTGAAGCTTAGGGAAGTGTAAGAATAGTGGTGGCCAGCGGTGAGTAAATACCCTGGGGATCTGATAGATCACATCGTACAGGCTTGGCCTGGACAATAGGTCGGGACCTGACCCGTTACAATCGTATAGATTTTTTTTTTGTTTGTTTGATAATTAAACACTATTTTCAATGACTATGATGATGGTTATGATGAATTCATTTGCCCGATGTAGCTTGCTCTAAATATATGCTGCTATGCGGGAGTGCTGTCAGGCCTGCCGACAGCTTGAAGGTGGTCGCCAGCCCACTGAACGATTGTTTCCATGGGTTGCAACGCAAGCCCCTGATTGGTCGCCCGAGAATGTATGCAAGCATGACAAAATAGATAAAATAAACAAAGGAAATCCAAAACGAACGTCGCCTCCCCTCTACCCACTCTCCTTTCCACAATCAGACTTCATTCTCTGATCTACTTCATCCTCCACCGTCTTCATCTGCGCAGCCCTCTGGGCCGTCGGCTGCCGCTCCTGCGCTCGCTTGCATCAAGGGAGTACAGTGGACCTGGCACTGCACTCCTAATGGGCACCATCCTTCTCCTTCCGTCACACTGTCCTAAGGGGTCATCCTTTTTCGTCGCCTTTTTTCCGTGCCGAGAGCCAATGGGTCGACTGCTTGAAACTGATTTAAGAGACCTGTCCGGACCATGAATTCGGCCACAATTATGCGAGCCCCTGGCCGCGTCAGGAGCTCGTCGCGTCGAAGAGCAACTCCGCGGTCGGACAGAGCATTTCTCATCCAGTTGCGCTCGTCTTGGAGTAGCGGGCATTCAAGCAAGTTATGATTGACCATCTAGTTTAGACTGCGGCAAAACCATGGATAACCGCGGATAACCAAAACCGCAACCGCAAATTTGCGGTTTTGGGGCTGATTTGGAAACCCGCGGTTTTTGCGGTTATCCATGGATATGTAGACATTACAAACATGCTAAGACTGGTGACTTTGTGCGACTGCATAGATTATGCAATTTTCGTAGTATTTTTAGAGTATCTGGTATGTAATAAGTTACCCACTCCTCTCAGTTTGAAAAGAATACATTTTTAGACCAAATTTTTCAATTTCTTTTGTCTCTAATATTACAGCCTATCAATCTCAAATCCCTCGGGTAACTTAGGCTTCTTCCGAACCCTTCCTGACCGCGCCTGCGTCTTCTCCTCAATTGGCATCTCCGGAAGTGGGAGGCCATTATCAGCATCATCTAGAGCCTCGGATGTCTTCCTTTGACGCCGCTTCCGTCCTCTCCGCTTAGTTTGAGCTACAGGCTGCGTGGCAGATAACTCTTCTTCTGCCTCATTATCAGATTCATCTGTATCATCCTCAGATGTATCCTCTGCTTCGCAACCCTCTTCTTCATTATCGCTGATCGGTTCAAGTTCATTTAGCGATGGAACAGGCTTCCTTGTCTGATCAAGCATAGCAGCCTCTCCGACAGAGAGATACTCTTTAATCATCTCTAGTTCGCTTTGTTCAAGATCAAACTTAGATGAGAAGAGATGGAGCATTAGGCCTTTGATGGTGTCTGGCTTTAATCGTCCCCGACGATAGTGACAGATATCACGAGCACAATTAAAGAGCCGCTCGACACCGGCACCACTTGCAGGAACTGAGAGGATATCTCGTGCAATCTTTGCAAGGGCCGGATACTCGTGCTGATGCTCCTTCCAGAGGAGCCGAGGATTACCCTTTGCGAGCCCTATAAAAAAATCAATTAGTTTCGGAATAATATATGTAATAGAGAATATTAATTTCTTGCCAGATAACGTGTCAGTTCATCCTCCGGTTGATCCAATTCGGCTTGGAGAGCAGTCTGTGATTCACATAATAACTCAAGTTCATTTTCAGCGGGATCAAGGGTTGCTTGGTTATTAGCCGGTTCAGTTTCCCAGATCCCCTGTTGCTGATATCGCTTAAACTCCTTCTGTAGAACCTCCTGATAATGCTTCATAAAATCGACTTCCTCCCCTTTCTCATTTTTTCCCGTCCAATCCGCGTTATCAAAGTATCGAAGCCTCTTTGACGGACAGAGAATAGTGGCAATTGCGTAGACTATGCCGTATGACTCATTGTCTGTTTCAGTGTAGTTTTTAGAGAGCTTTCTCTTTGCTGATCGAAGTCCCTGAAGCATTCTCTTTTTCCATGGGACAGCTTTGCGTTTCAGTTTCTTCTCAGCGTCATCAAGATGATTAAACAACCGATTATAGGTACTGAAGACATGATGGACTGTAACATCTCTGGTCTTTGATAATACACTTGTAAATCAAAGAAAGGCTTAGTGATCAGGAGTAAATACTCGACTTGGCGCCATTCCTCTTGGTCTACTTGAATTGAACATGTTGATATGTTATACAGTACTGGTCAAAGACTGACTGTAATTTCCTGGCACGATCAAGCATTAGAAAGGTAGAATTCCAGCGTGTGCGAACATCTTGGATCGGAATAAGATTGGGCTCGGTGGTCTGAAGAGTAAGAAAGGCTTCTTTGCGCTGTGGACTGGCATTGATGAAGACAGCGAGATCTCGAATCTAAAGATAATTTATATTAGTATAATTATAAAGAGAGCGCCAAGATAAACTTACCTTCTTTAAGATTGCCGCAATATTTCTTGTAGGCTGCCGAGAGTTGAGTCTGTAGTGACTGCGTTCGCGTATCAGACCACTCAGTCTCTACTTCCATGTTTGTTGGGCATGCTTTTATCTTTCCAAGTAGATCCTTTAGGCTAAGCTGGATAACATGCGCAATACATGGAATCCGGAAGACAGAAGTCTTACTTAGAACTTGCGATTGAACAATCTCTTGGACACCTATCATCATAGTGTTGTTATTTGACGCATTGTCTGTAGTAATTGATAATACCCGATCGTCGATATTATGCTCCTTGAGAATTTGAATCACAGTCTGACTTAAGTGAGCACCGGTAAGCGATCCGTGGAGATGCTCAAAACCAAGAAGAACCTCGCAGTAATTCCATTCTTGATCAAGGAAATATCCAGTAATTGCCATAAATGCATTCGAAAATGGGGATGTCCAGCAGTCAAGTGCAATTGAGAGATGGCTTCCCTTCGGAAGTTTGCTAAGCACTTCTTGCTGCTTTTCCTGAACAGTGGCGTCTAAAAGTCGTCTGATAGTCCGCGCAGGGGGAATATCAATTCTTGATTCAGAGAGCTGGGCAGCTTCAAGGTCTTTGAGCTCTGGGTGTTCAACGATACGACATGGGAGACGGGCGGTTGTAATAAAATGGAGAATTTTTCGCTGAAGAAGGTTATTAGTGAAGATCGTCTTCGGTGGTACACGCGGCTAGACGATGCTAATATTAGTGATATCTCTCTGTATCTTTAACATATGCAGAACTTACTAAATCACGTATCAACTGGTCGATTCCATGCCTTTTTTTCTCTAGGCGACACATGCCTCCTTTCAAATGCGCTCAAAGCGCAGAGGTTCCTGTACGCTAATGGCCTGGATGAGTAAGGGTTGTAAAACATCGCTTACACATAACCTTAGGCTCGCCAGTCCTCTCATGTGCAACCTGTTCAAAATGCCCCCAAAGTACTGATGCTTTTTTCCCATCCCAATGTAGGGCATCTCGGCATTGAGGGTTCGATCCAGACGTAGTAGTTAACCACCATTCCACGAATTGCTTCCGGGAGTCTTCCATCTCAGGCTCACTGGTATAGAGAACCCAGAACTTTTGAAGTGTTGGTCCAACGCGCTCAGGCGATTTTGGCGCATAAGAAAATTGCGGAGGGGGAGAAAAAGGAATAGAAGTCACGGTCAGTTGACTGTTTGGTAAATCAGGAAGGTCATCTGATTGAAGAAGATTGAGATTGATAAAGGAATTGGAGGAAAAGGATACTTGGGACTGAGACATTGTAGTATGTTCCGACTGGTTAGAAACTAGAAATAATAAAGAGATACATGAGGAAGAGCGAGAGGGGACTTACACAAATTCCTCCTACTATTTAGGAGACAAACGGGTCGCGACCACGAGTTTGACCTATTTAAAAAAAAACTACACTCTACGTTCATTGGATGACTAGCGATGGTTGTGCGGTTCTTGTGCAGTTATCGCGGTTATCCATGGATAACCGCACAAAAACCGCAAAATATCCACCAGGGAAAAAAATCACTAAGTCCACGCAATTTGAAGTACAAGTCTGATTTTCTCTTGAATTTTCTAAATATACTAATATAATGTAGAATATAAGTATAGAACATTCT